GGGATTGTTGTTGTAGGATACACTTCCGTCTTGAATGGCATACGAGCAACATAACGCGGATAAAATACAAGATAGCACGCATTGGATCTCGAAATGTGTCACCGTACTGCTGTTCCAATAAATCATTGCGGCTGCTCAGCAAGTTGCAGGTATATTAATTATGAAAGCCCTCGCCGAACAAACGCGCTGCACTGGTATATTCCATGCAGTCCATCTGCACATGGCAAGATACCCAATGTGCCGTCTGAGCCGAACGCTGTGTCCCATATTCTTGTCAGCGCATTCTCACGAGCAGGCCACTGCGCAGCAGGTGCCATCGCACTTGATGCGAACGTTGTGTACCAGCTTGCAAGGGCTCTATCGACCCCAAGACGCCATGTGCACGTCAGCGGTGCATAGAGGCCATCATGCGCCACAGCGGTATTGCCTGCCACCGAGTGGTCCAGCAGCTGTGCTGCGATGTCCACCAGAGCGTCGCATCTACCGATACGGGTGCAAGGGCTGCTGCTATGGCTGGGTCTCACCTCAGTGTCCTGTCGTATGTGCTGCTGCTGCTTTCGTGAAAAGCTCGACGCGGTGGTAACTATAGTGCTAAAAACACCAGATTGTATATGCATCGTATACACCAGGTGGTAGCTCGTCAACCGCAGCTGCCACCAGAGGGCGTCTTGATCACTTGGTTCTCCGCTGTAGTGCCGGTCTCGTTGCGTAACCATACCGGGAAAGGGTCATCGATCAGTTGCTCACGCCTATCGGCGTCGATTACAGCCATGCCAGAAAGCAGCTCGCTTATCACCGGTCTATTGCCCTGACGATTGTTCGGTACATAGCGACCCGCTGGAGAGCAGAATGGAGAGCCTTCGCCAATAGAGATCTGCATTTCATCACGTTCATCGTACCCGATGGAGGCTCTGCAACTTAGCGCGTCGATGATACCATCAATGTTGCCGTAGAGAACAGCGTCGGTGATGGTGCTAGTGTCGTTGACAATGACCTCGTCTCGACGCATAAGGTGAAGAGATCATTACAGAGAGTAGAAACATATCCTCCCCGGACAACGATCGTTTCTTTGTGTTCAGTAGTACAAAGAACTGCGTAATATTGCGCGTATCGATGCATTGCATTGCTTGTCTTGATAAGCTCACCGCAAATGGATGCTCCGTCTGTTGTGTCCACGGAAGCCCTTCAAGTTTATTCAAGACTCTTAAGATTGGATGTGTAAAGGTCATTATCCACGAAGGGTAAAAAAGTTCTGAGGAAGATTAATAATGAGCGATTGAGCAAGTACCACCAAAGAGATATAGGGTGTTCGCTGGACCTACGGTGCCAGACGCGCCAAATCTGTGACCCCGGAGTGTTACTCAACCCGATATTCCCTGTTTGCCGTTTCGTGCCCCAGTGAAACCTACGCTGTCTCCCACATGCATCCAATTCTATACAACAGAACAAAATTTCAACTTCCATATATCTCTCAGATACCCTACTCATACGTCAATCAGTCCGAAACAGTCAAGGAGCTGATAGTTGTCATTAGGCTCTCGGAATCTTTTGGTCCGAAGCGTCCAGTGGAATAACTGTTCGAAATGCTTAGCGAAATGTATCGCAGCTTTCATATGGGATTTGCTTTTAAGTGCGGCTAATCCAGCTCTATTCGGTGGTCACTGTGTTGTACTCTCACAAGCCACAATAAAGAGATTTACCAAGACTTCCAGCTGGACAAAAGGGATATAAATGGCCATCTAAGCCAACACAAGTTGGGCATGCTACCGTGCCTCGGGCGCGTCGCTCGTAGATGGGCTCTCCAGAGAACCGTACCTCGGGGACGCATTGGCCTCGTAGAATCGCTGCACCTAAGTTCATTCGCCAGGCAATAGATTTTGCACTGACGCATCACTGTAGCCCTAGTTCAAATTCCAGCTTCCATGTTACCAAAAGTTCCCATCAATTCCTGTCCAGGCAGCGGATTGCTTTCTCGAGGGCGGTATGTCATCGTTCTTGGCCGCTCCAACGGAGCCTTATACACCTGAAGAATTGAGTGCCTCAGAACCTCCAACCTATATCCATGAGAATTTGTTACGATAATTGTCCCAGAGATTATTGAAGACGCCGCACGTGTCACGACTGCCAAATAACCAGAGCACTCCGCTAGCACCGGTCCGGGAGGCCGCACCGTCCCGAGCCGGAAGCATGTTTCTGGTATATGAACCACCATGAACGCCTTAGCTACGAGAGCTACCTGTAGAAGCACTAGAACTGATCCAGGCCCAGAACACAGTATCTTCGGAATGAAGAATTCCATCAGTTGTGTGCATACTCTGAACGAAGTGTACCATAACCAAGAGTCTCACTACAAACATATATTGTGGTCGCATATGGTAAATCCGGACGGTTCCGCACCGGAAAACAAACGTTACTGAGAAAATCGAGTTCCCTGGAGTCTATCGGATATAGGGGCATTAAGCCGTTGTTGTTGCTCTTCGTGCTGCTTCTGGGCTTACCACCTAGAGTTTCCGGAAAGTATTCTGATGTACCCTCCTCGAAATCGTGCAAGCACCGCAACCTGAATAAGGCAGATCTACGCAGGGCGCTCCCGTAACGAGACATTTCTAGTCTAAAACGATAAATATTTCTCTTAGTGCCTGCACGATTGTAGCCTCGGGTCCAAATTCTCTCCCGGATCCGTGCGCACGATTTAATAGGAAGCAAACGTGCGTCGATTTTATGTACAGACATGAATTGCCTTTCTGTTCGTATATGAGGAGCAGTGCACGCAGTAAACTCAAGGTACCCATATATATTCGTCATTGTGCCCTGCACAAGAGCGCTGCAGCGCAAACAAGGGAGTGGTACGGCTGGGGTTGTAATTTTCTGGCAGCGTTTGGATGGCAATCATTCTGATTTAGAGTCGATACAGGTCTGTAAAACTCGGAGCTTCGAGTGCATTCTGGCAGCAATTTTGGTAGACTCAAATCTATGTCCTTAAATACACGGAGACAACCAGTCATGCTAAGAAGAATGCCTTCTCTTTCCGGATACGGTACCAGTTTGATCCAGACGGTATTGCATATGCAAAGCACGGCCTTAGTCTCTACCAATATCGCGTCTCGCATGGCTGTGCAGAGCCGAAAGATTCAAAAACTCTAGCAAGGCGTCTGTCGCAAATGCGGACGCGGCCGGCTACGACTCAGTACGAAAACTTCCTCTTTCTCTGTATCATCTGATCATATTTCTTGAAATCCACACTGGGCGTAAGTTCGGCGTCCACTTGCCACCACCATAAGGATGTGAGCCGTAAACAAGCACTGCTGTGTTGCCAGCCTGCTTATGATAGCATGCGTGTGCAAATTTTTTCAAAGCATCAAGCTTCTGCTAATTGGAACATACTTAATCATCGGTCTTCGTGCAGCGTCCGAGTAGGTATCCATTATTTTGATTGACAGGCCGGTTATATTCAAATGCAAAACTCATATTTGTACGGTCGAGAACGGTACACGGTAAATTCAGAATCGTTTCGGCCCGTATTATCAGATGTCTCCAGTGGCCGCTTCGAGTTGATTTCAATGATTGTTGTCAGTTCGAGCTCTCTTGTGCCTTTGTCTGCCCCAGGATGCTGCACGAGCACCTCTAATGCTGGCGCGGAGGCAGCAAAGTGACAGAACGGATTTGCCATGCAATTCCTAGAATCTCGTGTATAATTCGGGCCTCCTGGTCACATTTTTGGCTCGTAGAGTCTGCTTATGCCCGCCTTTACTTACAGTGCGACACTTTCAAGATGCGCAGCCAATGCGTAGGACCCTCGGGATCGATATATCCCTTGCAGATGTGCATATATATTCCCACCGTTTCGCGATGTTGGACTTTGCTTTGAGCCCACCTCTGAAAAGTCCGTGTGTAACTTGACCCAGGTGCTCGTACACGTTGAAGGTCCTTCCGCCAAATCGTGAAACCGCTGATTTTCGTTTTTACCCCAGGGGCACCCTGGACATGTTCGACTAATTTATCTGCCCAAAATACTGCCTGGCACAGATTCATTCGCAGTTCATCGTTGAATTTCTTCGTCCTCCAAGCACGATGCGTTACTGTTTCGAATCGCGAGCGGATCCTGACGAGCTGCCATGACGGTACGAACGTGTTCACGACTTTGAAGAATCCAAAAATCTCTGCAAATGTCTGCCAGATGGATGCTCTAACGTCACAAGCTTGTGAGACAGTTGTTTCTCGAATAGGCGATCCCCACCTCAGTTCACAGGCTCTCTTTGCTGGCCGTCTCGCTGAGAGCCTCGACGGAACCTTCCCCGGATATGGAGCGGGAGCCCTCAACTAGAAAATTTCGCTATGGGATATGCCAGAGCATATCAAAGTGCATTGCGATACTCTCGACTGCGTGCGACCGCTGCTTTCAGATCTGCCAGCAACAGAGTGACTCAGCCGATCAGACTTCCTACATCACAACTGGCGGTAACAGAGGAAATACTTAGCTACTATCTTCTGCGGCCACTGAAGACTCACGCGCAATATTTGGGTCTCGAGATCTGATTCTGTGCCAGCAAGGATTACTTTCTGGTTGTATTCAAAACGTGTACATACTGTTTCTTTAAATACCGGTGAACACGACCTATCCGTTACAGAATCCGGCTCTAGCTTTAGCTTCTCGTCTCGCGCGATGGCGCCGGAATCAGAAATGAGCCCTTATCGCTGTTCCTGACGTCCAAAGTGGGAGCTCAGAGCCGCACGTGGACACGTGTTCCGTGCAGCGCTGGCTGGGCGTACATATTTGGCGATCGCGAATGCGCGCTCGATTCGCTCGCAGGAGATTTCGCGGGCGGAGAAGACGGGATGGCAAACCCACCAATACGTGGCAGAATGAGGATGCAGCAACGAGATTAACGCTTACGTGTCCAGAGGACAAGACATAGATCGGTGTGCGCACGCTTGGGCTCAGAGCTTCAACACGAGATAATCTTTGGGCTTCTTGTAGACATAAATTGTCTCCAACGAACATGCTACGAACGCGCGGTTTTCAGTACAACCCATTGTTGAGGACAGGTATTATTTTATTGCTGATGATATGGGCCCAGCTCTGCTCAGCTTTTCAGGAAGCAGACAAAACAAGTCTTGGAGCGAGACCTACGCAGGGGCTGGCGACGAAGATATCTTGCAGCCCAGCGAGCTACGTTCCCACATGCAAAATTGAGAGATATTGCGTCAGGCATGATACTTCAAATGGGTGTGCAACAAAGGAACAAGCATGTTCACGAAATGAGCCACATCGTAACAGACTGCAACAGGTGGAAGATAGAGTCCAACATTCAAGGGGCTTCACAAACAGCATGTGGTATAATCTTTTGCGACAAAGACAGGAAAAGGTCAGTGTTGTGGACACGCGAGTTGATTGCAACTCTGAGTGCGAACAGAAAGACGCCCGAGTCTGCTTGGCATATGAGTATCGCAAAGTGTGTCTCATTTGCTCCTGCATACGCTCCTATTCGGAAATGAAGGACGCTGCTCAAAGGTACCCGGAGTATATTGGGAAGCAAGATCAAGGCCTCGGGATGCAAAGCACACTAAATGCGGGTACGAAGTACGAAATTTTTGAGAATCGTTTCCAGCATCGCTACAGATGCCTCTGGGTGCCTACAAACCAGGACGCAATCACGTCATCAAGAGGAATACTTCGGGCCATGAATTCTCGACTTTCCTGGATTAAGGCAAGATTGCAGAAGACTGGCATCCGCGATGCAGCACAAGTACCCGCTGTGTCCCAAACGGAGCGTGAACAAAGTCAGTGGCTGCCAACTGAGCCCGTTGGGAGACGTGCGCCGGGGGGCGCCTTGCCTTCTATGCCGAATACCATTATCAGCTTGGTGGGAACACCATCGCTCTCTTTGTCACCAACACCACCGTCACCATCAGCTACTTTGGTTCCGACGACGCCAACGATGCTACCGACGCCAACAACAACGGGGATATCAACGGTTTTACCGAGCACCATGGAACCTCTACCATCACCTTCCACCGCGACAACATCTGCGATGCCAACTCCGATGATGCCATCGCCATCAACGTCAACCTCCACATCATCAGCTACGCCACACACATATATGCCGTCACCATCACCTTCGGCATCGACCATGACGCCTCCGTGGACGGCAACTGCAACATCGAGCTGCTCCCATACCAAGACTCATTCTCATTGGACCGGGACGATGACTGCGCCAAACCCGCCTCCACCGACATACATGCCATCCACCCAGTACCCTCCAGGGTGCTACACTGGCCCTCCGACCGTTATGTGCACATGTGTGTGCTCATGTCCGACAGCAGCACCACCCTCGATGCCGTCAACGATGTCACCGACATTCACCGCATCCGCGTTACCCTCTGTTTCTCAATCCTCAGCTACAGGTTCTATTACAACAACAACAGCATCAGCTTCCCCATCAACGACCCTGTCTGGACCCGTGAGTAGAACACCATTCCCGTCAATCATCGTGACATTCATGTTCCGTTGAAGACCTCGAAGCACCGAACTGGGCATTGTGGTATGCAGAGAATCCGATCCGTGCGAATCCATGCGTTTGAAAGTGAAACGTGAATGAGATACTGTAGAAACCTTTAGACTGGGATGACGTACACGTGCAGCTGGATTCGTTTCTCGACTCTGCTGTACGCTTTCGCGTCCACCTGCGTGCCAAGGATGCTATCGTGCTTCTCGTTGAACGAATTTGCCTCTGAAAGAGTCATTTCCTGATGCAATCATCAAAGTCACCAGGGGCCGATGCGCCCATTCAATGGACCGAAATCTTGGACCGAAAATTGAGCTGGCAATGCGGTCTTAATGCTTGCGACAAGAGCAGAGCCACTCAGTACAACGTTTGCAGGGAGAACCCGCATGCTCAGCAAAAGGAACACCACTCTAAATTGTTTTCTTTGGGTGTGAATTATTTCTCCGAAACGTGGAAGGAGGAGATGTTCGGTGAGTACCCTTGCGGACTGAGGTGCGGCAAAGCTCACAGAGCTCTTCCCTAGTCTTCCTCAAGAGCGGTAGGCCTCGCAGGGAGCAGGTGTAACGCTTTGTGGCCCTTGAGTCCCTTCTGTCCAGGTGCAGGATCCAGTCAACCGTCATTGCTTCCAGCATGCAGGCGATCCAGACCAACTCCTCCGCCGTTCCAGTCAAAGGCCGGCTTTCTGCATGTCGCAGACGCAGCATGCGAGAACGGCTGTGGGCAAACCAGAGCAACCTCGTATGACGTGGCAACCGGTCCCCAGATGGTGGCCATTGTCAAGCGCGTCACAAAATAGTTCCGCAAATGGAATCTAGACGAAACTCCCAGCAGGAACCCACATTGCTGTAGTGGATTTTGCGTACACTGTTGCATTCCGCTCACCTTGGCGTCAAACACTGCCACAAAAGATACTTCTTCAGCTCGCAAAAAATCTTCATCTGGAACATTAGCGCGCAGAATTGTCGCTCTCTCTTCTATGGCATAGAATGTAGTCTCAGCTCTCCGGGGTGACAGTACCAGAACCCATTCAGAATGGTGCTCTCTCTCAACGCTCCATCTTTACTAGCCGCGATGTTTCGCACTATGGTATCCACGAATACCCGCTTCAGATCCAGAGCATCTGCTCAACAACACGCGTGATTCGTTATCCAGCGTGTAGGTGCGGTCACTGCAAGCCGCTCGCGAATAGCAGCACGAGCGGAACCTCGGATATAAAGCAATAATCACAGTTATATACATAGGTCTAATGCTGCCTCCAACCGCAAACGAAGCCGTAGGCATGATTCTTTTAGCTATACAGTTAATTCTAAATATACCATAATGTGTCCATGCTGGTGCGGACAAGGCTGCCATCCTTTTTTTGGTTTCACTCGGCCCTTCCATTTACCACGGATCCCAGAGTTCGGGATGGATGGGTAGTGGCGTTCGGGACGCGTCCATCATGCCCCAACCTACTTCAAGTTTCATGAATTTTTTCTTTCGGATATACTGGTCGTATTGTACGTTCTATCATGCGCTGAGCCTGCCGTGAGCACCCGCCTTAGCGCCTATACAGCTGGAGCAGATGCTGCAAGGAGACAGAACGGCTTTTCCGTACCACTTAAAGCGTCGACTCTAGGCGTGGTTTATCCAACACGAGGTCGGAGCACACAATCATTTAGCATACCTGCAAGATGCGCAGACAGACCTACTGCCTCCGGTAGCGCGAAGCAACGTATTACGAAACCATCACGACCAGTGCGACGCCCAGACGCAGCCTAGACACCCCTAGTCCCAACTTGGACTGCGTTGCAGATGAATTGCTCAGGTATCGCCACTGCACCCACCACTGGGAGAAGCACTTAGCAGGAGCCGGGCAGACTCGTTCGCTCTCGGGACCTTTCGCCTGGAGGGTACAGTTTCGGAAATGCGGTAAACCTTTCGCCCTTTTATAGCTTACCGTAAAGAGAGGAAGATGTTTTTGCCGGATAGCTAGATAGTGGCTATTCTCTTCTCTTCTTCTCTATAGCTCGCTCGATACGCGCACCTCTGTATCTAGCAGGCATGAGTCATGGCGCGCGTCTCGCTGTTGAAGGAAACAGTGATCCTGATCATTAGCGTAACGCTATCATGTACATGTTGTAACGGTGTTGACGTCACAGCAAACTATACTTATTTGTTCGATTGTGTTTTGAACTTCAACCAAGTGTGTTCAAGTGATTTTTCGCAGTTAATCGCAGACGTGCTCGAGAGTGCTCTCTTTCTCATAAAGAAAAAAGAAGGATGGTTATGGAAACGGAAGTTGATTATTCTGGAGGCCCAGGGACGCCGGCTGCCAGAAAAAAACAAAAAATAGTGCCGAGTCCGGAAGAAAAGGAAGAGAAGAAGAACCGAAGGGGGGAAGTCCTACGTCGAATGCGGCAAAAAGGACGGCTGTACGACGAGATGATGGTGAAAACCTTTCTTCTTGGACATATCAAGGATCCGTACAGGGAAAAGCTGCGAGACGCTATCGAAAAACGTGTCGACTCGTACTCCAAGAGTATTGTCAAGGCTTCGTCAGGACTGATGCATTTGGCGAGGGAGATGTACCGCGACGTGACGCACATGGAAACAGTCGATGTTCCTGACGAGTTTTTCGACAAGATGTTTATTCGTCAGCTGATGCCTGGCACAGAGAAAGCGCGGAAGGCAAACGAGCGGGTTCACGCTCTTCACGAAAACTACGCGGAATTCCGCTTCTAGGGTGCCCGATACAAGGGTGACGCGGATATTTAAAGCTATGGGGCGATGAAGTACCTCACGAATCTGAAGAACTATTTGGCAATGAACCTCGAACGTTTCATGATACGCGCCGTGTTTGCGCTCTACCCTGGCATCTCTTGCAAAGGGATATGGACGATTATCAAAGGCATCACGAACGATCGCAAGCATGAAGATGAGGTCGAATTTGTCGTGAAGAAGGCGTCAAACGAGAGTACGAATTAGGATTCCGTCATCCGTGCGGTTGTACAAAAGCACTGTGCGGTACTGGGGTTGGCGAATCCAGCAGGAAAGATATCAGAGTTGAAAAAAGATAAGGACAGATACTATCGCCTCGTCCTACGGTATTTCGTGTTTCTCGACCGAGAGCTCGAACGCAAGGCGGAGATGATGGTGAATAGGGAAAAATGAAGAGTGGGAGAGACGGAAGGCTTTCCTGATGGGGAAGCGCTTCGACGTGGTTCCAATGTGCAACATCAGGTCACATTTTGTGAGTATCGATTCAGGCGTCCTTCACGGCATCATGAAGGAGATCAGTCCCGAGTTCAATGTTAACAGGAAGGAGTTCAGCGGTGAAAACTGGGAGACGTCCTGGAAGAATATCTTCGATTTCAAACGTCTGAAAGTGAGCGAGCAAAAGTTGTTCACTGGGATGATCGAAACCGATGGAGTAGCCTTGTGTGTACACTATCGGCGGTTGAAGAAAGATCGTCCAGTTCCGCCTTCGACTGCGCCCTTGACGAAGGATGAAGAAAACAAAGAGGAGGATCCTGCGATGCAGGAGGTTGAGGATAGCGACCTTGTCGTTGGCGCGGCGAAGGATGAAGATGGGAAGGAGGCGGATCCTGCGACACAGGAGGTGCAGGATAACCACTATATCGTTGGCGCGGCCCCTGGGAATACGAATATCATAACCATCGCAGCACCGTAGCGTGTGGAAGATGGTACTGATGGTAACTTGCGTCAGAAATATATGCGTCTTTTGAGGTTCTCGAGAGCGAGATACTATCGAGAATCCGGTATGATGAATGCAAAGAAGAAAATCGAGATATGGAATGCAGGAACGAAAGAGCACCTGGAAGCTTTGAGCGAGGTGACTAGCCGAGGTGCCGACTTTCAGGCTTTTCTGAAATTCATGGATGATCGCGTTGCCCATTGGGATGCACTGTACGAGGAGTATACAAAGCCCCGGTGGGCACGTTTGCGTATGAATCTATACGGTGGGAGGCAGCGGGCGTTTACCAACTTTTTTAATGAGTTGAGTGCCCTCAAAGAAGACGAGACTCAAAGGCTCGTAATAGCGTACGGAGCAGGGCGATGGAAGACCCAAGAAGGAACTACGCCAGCTCGAACGACAAGAACGTACAAGGAGTGTCCACGGCTTTTCGTTACAATACCGATAGATGAGTTCCGAACGTCCTATACACACCATGAACTGGGGTGTACCCTTCAGAGGGTCGTGATGGAAAAGTGCCAGAGGAGCCCTGAGGAAATAGCAATTACGGACCGCTGACAGACGAGCAAATAGGAAGGAGGGCGAAAGTTCGTGGACTTCTTGCATTAGTGAGTACAACCAGTGATGGCAAGAAACGTATGGAGTTTGTTAACCGAGACTTTAACGCCGCAGTCAATATACGGAGATGTGCGGTGCTGGAGAATAGACCTCCAGAGTAGACAAGAGGGAATTTTGTTGGACAACCCCTCAAAGTGGAACTATATGAGAGAACGTTGGAAGCAGTAGTAGGTGGCCGGTCCGAAAAGACGAGGAGGCGTCTGCACATCAGCTGAAGACTTCTTGTCTAGGGCCCCGGTCGCCGCCACTACTGTACACGCCCGACGTCGTTCGACTTTAGAAGGGCGTTCGGATCGACTAGAACTTGGGGCAAGTATCCGAAGTGTTCGGGACTCAGTGTCGACAGGGCTCTTCCCGACCCATGCTTCTGAAGCATGCTCTTTTCATCGGATATGCGGTCGGTAGTCTGCGTCATCCTGCAGCGTCTCTCTGCTGACCGGTACTCTCCCGAATTCGGCACACTGGCAGTAGAACGCATCCTTCACATGCCTTGAACCATACCCTCCACTGCCAACATGCGCGCCCTGGGGTCGCCCAAAGCATCCGCGACCGAGCTTTGCATATCTAGAGAATGATCTGACCGGATGCAGAGGTCGACAAGGTCTTGTGAGGCAGCACAATGCAGTTGCGAATCACAACGCCGCCGTCGCACTCGACATGCGATCCGAGGACGCTGACACGTCCGGCCTCGGACTCGATGCCGTCACCCTCGACACGAGCCCAGGGCCCAATGACCGACGACCAGCCGATGATGCTGTTTGCGATATACGCATGCTCTCTAACTACACAATCTTCTAGGATGATGCAGTGCTGAAGGCGAACGCCTGCACCAATCACGCAGCCAGCTCCAATGGAAACGTTGGGTCCCACTTTCGCTGACGACGCCACCCGGGCCGTCGAGTGTACGAAAACAGCGCCTACAAATGTAGGACTCGTACTACTCATTGTCACTGAACCACGGCCTAGGTCGTCAGTGCTCTTGGTAAAGAGCCTGGAGGCTAATGCCTCCGGGCGGTAAGCATGATCCGCAAGCTGCTCGGGATGCACCTCAGCATAGTGCTCCAGATAAAGTTTCGAGGCAAGCAGCGCAGCGGCCGGTTCCTTGATCTGACACCAAAAATCTTTGTGCTCGTAAATATATATAACTTTCCGACCCTCATAATGCATGATAACATCCTGCTCGAGTCTGATATGGTTGCAGTCGCTCTCGCTAACGCTAAAAAGGCTTCCACCGCTCGCGTTCTCAGTGAGCGCCCAGCGACTGCACTCTACACACGTCTTCTCCAGAAGTTCATAAAATGAACCTGTCGTTGCGATATAGATACCACAGTTGATCAGGTTGCTTACCCAAGTCTCGGGTTTCTCTACATAGTGCAAGAGTTCGCAGGTATCGGGGTGCTTCACCATGCATCCGTACGCTCTTGCGTCCCCGGAAGGAGGCACCGTCTTTCCCAGCACAGTTAGTGGTTTGCCGTGTTTGCGATGAAACGCCAGCATATCGTTGAGAGGAAAGCTGGAGGCTATGTCGCAGTGTAATATGAAGAGCACCTCGGGAGAGCCAGAGCGAATAGCGTCGCGGTAGCGCCAGATCCCGCCGGCTGTGCCTAGGGAGCTCTCTTCGCGCAGGTATCGCACACCAATACCCAAGTGGTTCGAGGCGTTCTGCACGAAGTCTGAGAACAAACTCTCGTCGTAAAACCCGAGAAGAATCACTTCGAAGAGCCCAGGGACCTGTGCCAATCGTTCGAGGTGATGCAGGATCATCGGCTTTCCCGCGATAGGGATCAACGGCTTCGGCAGGTCAAAGGATAACGGGCGAAAGCGCGTGCCCTTGGACCCGCCTCCTACTAGTATCACAGCCTTGGCGCTCATCAGCGACTGCCCTTTCAGAGGTGCCGCTGGAAGAAGAACGCGGCTCCACGACTCGAGCGCAAGCGTCAAACGAAAGCGCTGAGGCTGTACGGCAGCGCCGATGGCGATGTGGCAGGCGCCGGCTATGCCGCCTCTTTTAGCGCTCGGTAGCCGAGCTACGATTTTCAAGGGGTTAGATCGATGAGCCATTTCAGGGTTTACTCGCTTTGCATATGCGGACGGGGAACAATGAAGAAACTTAACTGGCATCATACTAGCCTCTGTGCGGTATAATCTAGGAGACATGCTTCTTTGAGGAACACTTGCTAGATCCAGTAGTCTCTGGGCAGTGGAGGCACGCCCGTCCACGGCAGATATCAATGGTCTACAGCTGTGTCAACTATGACTGAAATACTGAACTGATCGCGCTGCTCTTGTGTTACGATTTATTCCGAACTTTTATGAAACAATGTGGACTCAACAATCGAAGTTCAGAAATAAGGGCGTACGGATTCGTAAATGGTTTTGGGATTCTTGTTCTTTTTTGGAGTGGCTGCCTCGACTCTTTGCCGCTGGAACACGAAACGTCCCTGAAACTATGGCGATTTGCCACGCCCTCGGATAAAGGTTCGAAAAATAGCCGATAACTACCACTCGTGTCATATGTGTGACCTTCCGATGCTCTGCTCTCCGCTCAGGGAGCATGTCCAAACCATGAACTCATAAAGGTTTCGATGCTCCTGCTTGGAAGCAACGCAAGGCAACATCGATTTGCACCGCTGGATGGACTACGACGAAAACACTTCATGTCGGCCCTGGACGACTTTCTTACGCGATCACGCTACGAGTTCACTGGGAATGTCACGTTAAATCATCGCTTCGTATCAAAAGATGAGTCCTCCTCTTATTGCAGCCATCAATGCGAACGATGCTCGATATTAGCATGGCGCCTGTCACGGGATAAGCTCCCAGACGCTCCTGTCTCTGTTTTGTCCATGCCGAAACGCCACTTGGTCTCGGACTTGTGTCACCGCTACAATCCCTGCAACTGCCGGCAGCGCCATCAGTATCCACATAGGTTGCAGAGAACGATCGATGTTTCTCGACTTGTTCTCCAGCGTGGACTTTTATTCCGGTACTTGTTTCGTCATGGAAAACGATTCGTTCCTCAAATTCGTTATCGCATAGAATAGTGTCCGATCGCGCGCCCAGCGAGCAGCGTCATAGCCAAGGGGATCTCCTGGAATACGCCCATGATCGTCGGGTACGATACCGGGCGCGGAGAAACGAAGAGGATGTCGAAGCAGAGCCTTCTCTACCCGTCAAGGGCGACTACCTAGCGATAAAGCAGACGTTTACGCGCCACAGGGGGCACGTGAACGAGGCTTTATCGTCGACAAATCGAAAAACCTGACCAAAGCAAAGTCTAGCCGCTGCGAAATGCGTACAGATGCCGTATTCAAAGAAATTGAAGGTCACAAGCGCAGCATTTCCTCCGACTGCTGGAAACGGAACTTGAGCTGAAAAACAGACCGGCGTATTCAAAGCCAGAGGCAAGGAGAAAGAAAAGGGAACCGTCACAAAAAACGCCTCAGCTGCTTGTTTCGATGACAGTGGGATTATAACCATACTTAAGCATGTGCGTCCGAGATCAGTAAGAGGATCGGTTCGATTTTTAGTCTGACATAGGTGCAGGTCTGGGCGTGGAGAGCGTTCACGCAGCGCGCGCGAAAAGGCTCACCAGTGGGACTACGCTGTCTCGGCAGCGAAGCAGCAGGGCGGAGACACTCCACACGACACGAAATCACCGGCGAGTCTCGCAGGCAGCGGCTTGTGCCTCGCCTTGGGCCATGAATGCACCTAACAAACGTGGTCAACGCGCTGGAGCATACGCGTCGAAAAAACACAGCTCAGTGCGGCAAACTCACGAACGCTCATTGCGGGAGCGTGCGGAACACGCACATAGCGCTGTTGCGTGAGCAAGAAACAGTATTTACGAAGCATTCTAGTCCTGGTCAAGTTGCGAGTGACGGACTTACATGTCCTGCGTATCGCGTACCGGGTTTATAGGCGGGCTGTGGGCGCGCTCCCCTCGAGTCGCAAGGTGTTGCAGGCTTTCCGCTTCGGTGCCCTTCAAACGTTCCACTGCAAAAACCTGATCAACTACAGCGATTCAGTGGACTGGAGCTCGAGGAGTACACCACGTTTTGCAGGCGTATCAAGCGTGCTGATCGTCAAACTGCTCGTGTCTGCTTCAATTGTCGAGCTCTTCAGGGGCTTGCTGACGTGCTTCTCTAGATAGTCGGATATGAGAACGTATTTTTGGTGTTGTTGTCCGCCGTCAGGTGCCAGGGCACCAACTCTAAATGGTGCGCCTCGAACGACTGCGAAGTTTTCCTTATCAAGTGGATTCGAAGGCGAGAGCCCGAACAGTCCTTCTTTTCCGGAAGAATGCTCATCTTCCGTGCTTGACGACAGGATAGACGCCTCTCCGTCATTATGGCTTTTCTGTATGCCGGTCGCAATCACCAGCGCCGGCTCACGACTGAGATTCTTCTCCAAATCATATTGTGACCGGTGCATTTTCACGATTTTCTCAATAGCTTTTGCCAGTGGTGGACAGGCGTTGCCGATACGCCGCTGGAGGGCGTCAGCCCAAGCGAAATACTCTGCGGTTCGTTGCTGGCTCCACCCGTGCGGGCGGCCCTGCTCACATGCAAGAATCTCACGCAAGTTCACGAGTTTGTCAGCGAGTCGAACCATTTTGGCCTCCTTACTCTTCAACATGCTACAGGCAGCCTCAATTTTTTTGCGGTCCATCCGGGTCAGCATGCTGGAAGCTTTCATGACGCGCCAGTCCTTCGCTCTTCCCCACATGTTTGAGAGTCCTTTTTCAGAGCCAGGTGTTTCCCCTTGCACGGCCGTATCCGATCCCTTCACGTCATTTGGCTGGGCTCTCGAGAAGAGACGTGTCCACAGGGACCGTTCAGTGGAAGCTCCAGTCGCTCTTGCGGTGCTCTCTTCATGGAGCATATTAGTGCTTTTCTTCTCAGTGAGAAAGTCATTCTGTAGTCTTGCTCTTTGATCCAAAGGATGTTGCACGGTTTTCTCAGCGAGATGGCGGCTTAGAACACGTTTTTCCGCCCAACATTCACGCACAATGCTGGAAATTTCAATGCCGAACTCCTTTTCGATCTCGACGATGGAAGCACTCGAAGCGGATGATGCGTTTGCAGCAGTCAAGAGAAGCTTGCCATCGTGGTTTTCGTCCAAGTCGTCAGGCAAAGCTTCTTGCGTCAAAGCGTTTTCAGTGTGTGCAGCAAAGTGCTCATCGCTGATGGCATGACAAAGAATGCCGGCCAGAATAACCCGACCATCTCGGACGCGACCATCGTGCCACAGTGCATACGCAACATTCAGTGCATGATTAATGTAGGGTGTACGTTCTGTATCCTTGCGGCGATGGTTCCGATGCTTCCGTGCAGCGAAAACGCAAGCGTGAAGCAGCATAGCGATGAAATCGTCCGGCGTGCGGCACCAACGAGCTGGTTTCTGTTTGAGTGGACGACGCTGCTTCAGTATTGCAGCAAGCTCCTCGGACCATATGCGCTCTTGCTCACTCAACTCGACCACAGTGCTGGCATCAGTGCGTTCGAGAGCAGGCTCGCCGGTTTCTGCACTCGCGGAGAGAACGCCATCCTGCTTCACTGCCTGCTCAGCGTCTTGCGCGGTACCGTGCACAGCTGCGTCAACAGCACTAGGCGCTTTCGAGTCTGCAGACTGGCTCTTCAATGACTGGAGACGCTGCACAGAGGCGCGATGCGCAGCAACTGCCCGAATTACCTGGTCGATTAGAAGCTCTTCCTGCTCCGACGCAGCAACGCCGTCCCCCTCAAATACTTCTGCGCCAGTGACTCTCAGAATCACTGAAGACGTCGTTACGACTGAGGGTGCCGGGTCTGAGCGGCGCACCTTGGTCAGCTTCGTGGAAGACGGCCGCTGGTTTCCGCGGAGCAGCCAACCGAGTCCAAAAGCGATCAAGGACGACAACACCTCGGCAGAAACAGCGTGTGTTGAAGAAGAATGATCCCGTTTCTCCTCTGAGCTCATCGTATCGCCTCGTACGTAACAAAAGGCAAATAAAATGCAGCGTCTTGCGCGCTGCTACCAGCACCCTTTGAGTCCGTAACAGCACGCGATCCCGTCGCATCTGCAGCGTCCTCGAGGGGGGGCGTTCAAAATCCAGTGGCGCGCATTCGGGGACACGCCACCAGCGTCACGCGGGCAGGCGCGTCGCTTTGGGACGCACGCGCGATGTCACAGATGCATCGCAGCTCGATCAGGACAGAGGTAAGGTTCTTTTCTATACATCAAGGAATGAAATTGAAATTCATGGACATGTGTATAAAATTTGTAATTTCGGACACGTCATGTTTGGGACGGAGCGCTTGGCGATTTCTTTCCGATGACGAGTCGGTTCCATTGACCATAGACCCCAGATTGCGGGATGGGTATTGGCTTTCGGAAAAGCGCCCATCATGAAGCACCAACACTCAAGTTCAGTCTCCCATACTTCATTTCGGATATACCGGTCATTTCGTATGTTCCACCGTGCGCAGATTACCTGCCGTGAGCACCCGCCTTTGCGCCTAAACCGCTGTACCAGATGCATGACGGAGACAGCACGGCATTGACAAACCACAGAGGGCGTCGGCCCGAGGCGTGGTTCATCCGACACCGGATCGGAGTACATAATAATTCTGGGAGCCTGCAAGCTGCGCAGACAGACCTACTGCCTGTGACAGCGCGAAGGTATAGACTAGGAGTCCACTGCGACCAGGGCGACGCTCAGACGCAGCACACGTGCTCCGAGTTCCAGAATGAAGTGCGTTTCGGACGATCCGCTCACATCTTAGTACAGCACCCGCAACTGCAGAGTCGCACGGAGCACCTGCCCGGCAGACTCGATCAGTCCGCGGAACCTTCCGCCCAGAAGACAAACTTTCGACAAAACGAAAAGGTTCTCCCTCTTGTAACGTTCACCGTAGAAGCAGAATGAAATCTTTATCTCGTTCCTACTTAGTAGTTCGTTTCTGTTCTTTTTTCTATACAGCCCGCGCCAGGCGCGCACTTCATTTCCTCGACAATGAATTCCGCTGGCCGTCTCAGCGAACCGCAACAGCGTCGGTCTCTGCGACGGGGAAGCTACTTCTTGGTTGGTATGGACGTTGGTTCCTTTGGTATAGATCCTGACATCCAGTTGCGGAATGTAAAGCTTTTCGAAGTGCATATACGCCGGACGTGGCTTGCGCTGACATTGGCACGGCGAGCTTGCTACGTGGTTCTTATAGTACTGTGCCTGCACGCTGCGTACTGCGCTAAAAAGGCTTGCAGCGCAGTCTTTTCAGTGCAGCTCTTTGGAACCAGTGTCCCCGCAGTTCAAGCCATGAGATCGAGTTTTGATCAGAGTGCTCCGGGCCAATTGTACCACGGGTGCTCTGCGAAATTTGTCAATCAGGATACTATGCACGGTGCGTCTACCTCAGACTGTGAAACGTGTGACCTTGCGTCGGCCCAGCTCGCGGAGAAACCTTGTACAAACGCCTGCGCAAATAGCCCACCGGGAACAGGCTTGGATTCTAGCGGTGTTTATGGGTGTGCGGTGGAAGCGACGCGCGGGACAAGAACCCGCGCGGTGCTCCGTCTTCTGGAAGCATTGAAGTACGCTACTTTGTGGGCACTGAGAGGCTTCTTGCCTCTATGGATCTTTTTTGGTATGGGTATTTACAGGGCGTTTCTTTTGGACTCGCAACTATACGTTATTCGTCTGAACAGAGTATTGTCTCGCTTCCATATCGTCTTTTCGCGCAGCGCTCGCCGGCTGCACAAGGCCGAGCGATATGCCTCTAGAGCGCAACACCCGAGTTCATGGACGTACGCCGAGCAACGCATTGCGAGGCCACCAGAATCGGAGCGACTCGAGCATCGCGCTGATCGGGGAAAACTGCAGAGGACCTCCTGACCTCCCACGAGCACCGAAAGTGGCCGATGACTCGGTAGCGAGTGTTCATGGCAAGCAAAATTGGCTTCAGGCGTGGACGCCTTTCGTTATCTGGATCACGAGGCATACAGGAGCGTTTTGTTTGCGCGGATGCTGGAGTTGGCAGTGGTGCACGGCGTATTGAAATGGTGCCAAAAGAGAAAAGGGCTATCACAGTTGATTTCCCTAGTGCTGCAGAGAACCGCGCTTTTGGATACTGCACATCTTGCGGAGCCTTCGTTGCAGAAAATTTCAAAGTTTGCGGTCTCAAATTTAACCAGAGCTGGCGATCTGAAAGCCTGCCGCGTATCCTGCGCTTCTTCGAAAGAAACGCATCACCACTCTCAAGCACAACTACAGGCTACGGAATGCCGGCTCGACCGATTACGTGATCTGACGGGAGGCGGAGCTTTGAGGGAAACTCCGAACCATTTTATCGCATTTCGGGCGAAAAGCGTTCCTAGCAGATTACACACTGCTGGGTCCTTGCACTACCATCAGCGGATGCTTATCGAAGAGCCAGGACCCCAGCGCTCGTATCAACCTTAACGCAACCGAGAGCCGAGACGCTCGTGTCGAATCTGTGAAGCTCCGGCCGAATTTCGTGACGGACAAAAATTGCATCGCAGCGCGCCTCGATCACAGGCGACCCCCGTGTATTCGATGGAGACTCGAAAACGGCGTTGACTCGGGAAAAAATGTCCATGCATATGCGCGGATGCCGTTGGCTTTCTCTGCAGGTCGGCAGAGCAATGTCATAGGTGCATGGAGCACGCTCCAGGCTCGACACGAATGCTAATAGCGATGGCTTCTCGGGGATTCGGCTCCACGCTCGATAATCCTGCGTTTCCACGCACACGACATGTTCAGTGACGTCGCTCGGTGGGCGCGACTCGTGAAGCTTGGAGTTTCGTAAAGTCTTTTTCAAGTTCATCGGTGACGCAGCATCGAACGGTTTCGTCGCATGCTTGCGACGCTGCGTTCGGCGCGCACAGGTTGACAACACAAAGGGGGAGGACGAACCGGCCGCATGTTGCGCTCTCGAACGATCCTCTTGAATATGCTTCCGAAAGCGTGAGACTTTCGCTTGTATCTGGACGCTTCCGGGCACGCTACAGTGCTTGACGTCAAAGGCCGCACACCATTTTGGTCGGTTATCGTACGTGCGCGCGCTGACGACATCGGGTGCATCAAAGCGATCGCATCCGCTATACTCACACCGGAGCATTCTGGAACTTTTGTACCAGCCCGACTCATTGTTTATTTGATCGTTGTTCTCGCAGATATTCGAGAAAGGAATTGTATCAAGCTGATTGGAAGAAGGTCGTGGAAGACCTTTATTCTGTGGTTGGTAGCTTGTGCAGTATGGTCTTTCCCGTACCCGTTAGTCATTCTAAGGTCAGCAAGTGGATGAACCACCATCCTCGCAGCTCTTAATCTGATCATCGTGCATTCCGAGAAACAAAACTTTGTAAACTCTATCTAGACGACTGCCAACGTGTCAATTCATGCTACAAACTGTGCTCTCCGAGGAAAACTACCAAAGGAGCCACAAAATGTGAAGTGTTAGTCAGATTTATACGCATGATGACTAAGCGACACGGATGGAAGAGGAATGACATGCCCTCATTGGACGACCATTGTGCATTGAAGAACATACAGTCGATTTCGTACAGAAAAACGAGCGCCTAGTACTCGAGCCGCAGGTGTTCGTCTCAACCGATCAGAATTCATGCGCTGGATATGGTAGACTTGTGTATTGGTACTCAACAAGAGCAAACTGCTGTTCCTAAAGAACACACTATGGAGCACTCCGACGACTTCCGCCGTAGCGCCGGACTCTGCCGTGAGGGCGCCTCCTGATCGCCGAACCAACTGGATCGTTCAACTTCGCAGCATTCGCTGATGTACGATCCGTGGCTGCTGCTGCTGCTCGTATTCCTCTGTGCGGCTTGTAGCCAACGTCATTCTGCATCACTCAAAAGGCGTCAAGGAGTACGCAACTAAGATTGGCATTGCGCTGCTTGGCATGCCCACCTAATCTCCCTTGTTTAATTCACTCGAAAGCGCCTTTTCAATACTAAACTGCCACTTTTATATTTATGGATCAGTTGAAGAGCCCTTCAGGTCCGCTCCACTGTTGTTCAGTGAGTCGTTCTCTACCTTCACGGGTCTCGAGCTACTGCACAGCTTCTTTGCTCATACACGGGAGAGCCCTAAAGGGCACGTCTCGGTCCGTGGGTCTGCTGCGACGGGGAAGGTGCTAGAACGGAACCTGAGGGCTATCAGGTGCATATCCCGGAATGAAGAGGCGACTTCCAATTGGAATGCGCAGCCACTGCATCTGACTCTCAAGGAAAGCTGGTTGTCTTCAAAAGCTCTCCGAGATATCTTAGAGTTGAGTTTGTTTCGCTTGGACAGGTACCAGCGTTGCCGAAAACCTTTAACACTGAACCTCAGGTCGTGCGGCAGCGAACGGTAAAGACCGCCACGATACTCTCCGCCCGAAATGCACCGGATGCACCCGTCACTTTCGTCGGAAAACTGGGCATTGTTTCTGAAAGCAGTCACGTTGCGACCACTTGGAACTCTCACAGGCACGGAGACCAGCGCAGATCCTTTCCGTCGCAGAATACTCGCAGAACACATTGACCGACGGGCTGCTGAATAGAAGTACCGTACTCGACGACAGCTCGCGCAGGAGCCTCCGAGTTTCGCAATGAAGTGCGACTAGCACCAGTCCTCCGAACAAGTTCAAGTAGCACGCAGTCAATACCACCTACTATGTTGCCCTTCTGGCCGATCAACGTGCACACGGCGCCTCCACGCTCACGCGATAGCGCCTAGCGCCCGCGCCTGGTGCGCTTCCGCGAAACCTCACTACCACGCTTCAAGTTGTACCTATCGAGCCTCTCACTTTCAAGGTTTAAGGATGAGCTGATGCCTTCTAAAATCGGTGCGACGCAACAAGAGAACACAAACACCTTGAGTACCAGGAGCAATCGCACGAAACTTCCGTGAACCTGGCCCCCGCATGCAGCAGCCGTGCACGATCAGATAACCCACAACGGCAGCAGGCAATTCAGTGATCCCAATCCGTGCAGCACTTGCCGACTCCTCGCCGCTGGCTGCACCCTGCGCTGACTAACGCGCTGCCCAGCGACGGTGTCCTGAGTGTAACAAACGCGATCGAGTACTGTCGGAAATGAGTATGCAAAACAACCGCCATTCTCTCCCGAAACCAACTGCTTGTTGCCGTGCACCTGAACAGTAGATGCTGTGAATCGTTAGGATACCTTCCGGCAAATTAAAAATTACGCGTTAGAAGCGTCCATATCGATGTTCGAAATACATGAAATCGCAACATCGGAGGCGTAGCCCGAGCTCAGTTGCTCGATGATGGCCCGTAGACGAACAAGCTCTTCGTCTCGCTGAGCGAGCTGCTCTTCCAGAGACTGAAGGTGCTCACGCACGCGTCTGCGGGTAAATTTTCGCAGCGAGAAACGCCCGGGCAGCTCACTCTCCGCTGTGTTTCTCCGGTTCTCTTCCGTTTCTTCTATCTTCTTTCGCAACTGCAGCAGCTCTCGCTCCGCTTCACGCGAACGCTTTTGTTCGTTGCCAAGACCTGATTCGGCTCGTCGCGCTTTCCGTTCGGCCTCAGCGAGCTGCTCATCGCGGGCTGCCAACTGCAAAACGAGTTCAATCTGGCGACGTTCTAGCTCCTCAGCGCGAGACGCAATGGGCTCTAGATGCGCCATTCGAGCGTTCAGGACCAGGAGTTGCTTATCGAGGTCGTCACGCTCTCGCCGTAATCGCGCATAGTGCCCTTGCAACTGTTTGTTTTCCCGTTCAAGAGCGTCCAACCGTGACCACGTAAGTGAAGTCTGTGAGCTCGCTTCATGACGTTCGTGTGTTGAAATCCCGCGCCAATGAACGTGTTTTAAGAGCGATAGCGGTTCAAGAAAAAGTTCCCGCGATGGTGAGTGCGGCTCGCTGACGCACCCAGCCGTCTGAGCACCGTGGTCCCGGCGCGGGGCACTGCCTGCTCCACCCGAAAAAACTCCCAGAAAGCTTCTTGGACTCGGCAGACCCGACCCAGTAGAGAACTGCTTCGTAAACTGTGGGCACTCGCTGGAGAGCTCCTCCGTGCTCCGACCTGAACGCTGAGTGTCACCGGATCCGGACGAACAGATGAGCGTGGCAACAGCAACCAGTGCAAACGCCGCCCCGTAACCCAGACTTTGCAGCGTCAGTAACCAAAACAGGTGGCTCAGGCTGGGAAACCCGTTGTTCCTGGAAAACACCTGAAACGAATGCAAGCTATAGGCAAAGCTCACAGCGAGCGTGATTCCCGCAACGACCAGCCAGGTCGCCCTTCGAAAAGAGGTGCGCTGTGGCATGCCACGCTCCCACTCACCGGCAGAAGCAGCAGGGCGTTCCCGGTTCACTAACTTGGACATTAACTCCTAAAGTGAAGCTGGACGGACCCCTGCCTCCACAACAACTGGAAATCCAAGTCGCTTTCGCTCCCCAAATTCTGTGATCCGTTGACTCGCTGCGCAGTACGGCCGCGCGCCCTGCTCCAGGTGATCGCGCGCTCTGGGGGGGAGACCCTGAGAGCGCCGGCGTCGCCTTGGCGTCCATCTACCGGTCCAATCAGCGACAAAATGGACAGATCAAAAGACACCGCCTGCGCACGGTTGTTGCGAGAACTTTCACCTCAATGGTGTTTCGCTCCCAGGGGCGTGTGATGAAAACGTATTTTCGCGGTTTATGGCAGAACTGTTCCAAGTACGTCCATTTGAAGGACTAAAATTTGCAAGAGAAGGGCATGGACGTGTAAGTCGGGGACCCAGAAAGCCGTCATGAATAGATGCCGAACAAAAGAAAAAATCCTTTTCTCACCGATTATCGAGCGTAGAAGAGCAAGTGATGATGATGATGAAGAAGGTGGCAGAGAAGAGGGGAGGTAGACGGCCAAAAGCGCATGCTTGATGCAACAATGACGAAACTACAGTGGCACAGAGGTCACGAGTGACTTCGAGGAATCATTGCAAATGTGAGTTCCACCAGAGTCAATAAACGCAAAGAGTTCGTGAAACGGGACTTCGACACCGTCATTCATATCAGACGATAAGTGATGCCGACGACGAGACCCGAGGAGGTGTCACAATCCTACTTTCTGGGGCAGCCTCTCAGGCTCGATATGTGCCTGGGTAAACTGAACCCGATAGCATCGGGCCGCTCAAAAAAAGGCTGGGAGCGTCTGCGCGTGGGTATATGTATTTTCCTTCCGTGGTCGGGAAACGTATTTTGGTTCATTGGCTGTCGACATGCGTCGATTGCTCTCGCACAGTGATGCTCGCCTGGATCGCTATGATCGCGGATCGCGGCTCCTTTCAGAAGCACTGGGCAGCGATAGAGACGTGCGCTGCGCCACAGTCCAATGTAGAGCAATATGTGCCGCTGTCACTCGCGAGGAGAGCTGTGGGCTCGCTAATCCTTGAAAGCGATACAAGAGGTGCACTACGGGCACGAGACGCACTCGTTGGACTGCTTCACTTGGCGGAAACGAGCAGCCAGTGGAATTTGCGGACGAACAAAAGTCAGCGGCATGAAGACCAACCTATGCGAACGATATCCAACATGATATACTTATGATCGCTACTATTCGACCGAGCGTTGACCTCAGCCTCTTTCGCGCGTGTTTTGCTGGTTTTCGTGGTCGAGCGATACCTTCACGAACCCGAAGACGGCTCCGCATCGTTGTGACAACGGATAGAGCGCTGCATTCTCGGTTGCAGGCGTCTCCCTGGAGCCGCAGCGCATCCAGCCCATATTGCAGATCAGCATCGATGGCATCCACCGGGGCCCGAGCCCATCCCATGCGCCCCATTGTTGAAAGCGGTCGCCGTTCCGATGTCCTTGGATCCAGAGTTTCTGGATACCCGGTTCCTTCAAGTCGCAAACGTTCGCGATAGCCAGCAACAGCGCATGCCTGATGGCATACAGAATGTGACAGCCCACAAACTAGCGTTTCCCTGCGGATAGCGTCAATGGGATGAGGACCATCAAGGCGCCGAGGACTCGCGTCCATCACGTCGTCGAAATCGATACCTGTCTCGTGATCGGAGAAGACAGAGTATCCAGCTGAATCTAGCCAGCTGGCCACCGCAACGGGCACTCTCCGTCCGACGCCACTTATCGCGTTGATGAGCATTCTGGTGGCGCGAACCCATTTTATGCAAGCAGAACAGGTCAGTCTCAGGGGGCCTCTAGGCGGGCGCTGCGGAGGGCACCACCTCGAAAAGTGACATGTCCTTCGTATCCGCTTCTGTTCTGGAGACGTGCAAGCGTTATCTGACGGAAGCTATCTTTTCTCCACCGCATGCTCATCGATAAAGAGTGGCAACTCGCGACGCATGGCTTGCATCATCCGATTCTGGCAGCTGCGAACGCTACCTCCAACGTGGACGACTCGGACTCGAAGCGGAACCCACTGTCCCGTTGCTGTCAGCTGGACCTGGTTCAACAACGAACAGGCCGCCCATAACAGCCGATACTGATCCCGTGGTGCTCGTAAAATGGCTATTCCAGTCTCAGCGTCAAAGTATTTAGTTGCGAGGGAAGGGACCAATAGACACCAGCCCAAGTCACCGAAGCAGCTTTCGATAGTTGCCCGCAGCGCAGCGTGGAGTTCCCGCTCACCAAACGGCAACGGCAGGCGGTATACTTCAGCGGTGCGCGCTTGGTGGGCGTCCGCTGTATTCCCAGTCGACGCGGGCCCGACTTTTGAAAAGTATCTGCGTTTCTGCCCAACTAGAGCGCCGCGCTCCATAGGCTGGCCGGACGGCTCTCCGCAACGAGACACTTCAGCCTCCGTCCGTGGCTGCGTTCCAGCGTCAGACGCGTTTCGAATCTGACAGACAAGGTAGCGGCATCTATAACGCACCATTTAGACTTGAAGACCTCGAGTCGAAACCTAGAACAGTGGCTCCGTCCGTGAGACGCGCTTGTCTGAAAATAATCTCGAGCCTGCGCTACATCCGGGTCAGATGAAAAAGGAACAGTAAACAGTTCGTTCTGGTCTAGATGTTTGATTTTTTCGGATCTTATGAACGATGTACAGCATCGACACTCAATGACCAAAAGTAGCACTATTGGATTCATATGCTGTTTACCGATGCTCGGTCGCCGTTTCGGGATGGCATCTTCGGCGTTTCGTAGCTGGAATCGTAATGGAACCTAAACCATGAGCATTTATAACGCCCGCGAGCAACGGCTCCTAAAAATACCCGATATCGTTATCCAGTGTATACGGACTGGCCTCCACGCTTCTCTGCTCTGTATGTGCAGCGTGCCCAAATCGTGCGGTCTTCGAGCCTCTTCGGTTTCTGTTCCGAGGCTACGACTGGGCGCATCAATGCTGGCCACTGGATTCTTGGGGAACTGCGGTCGACGTGCTCCCTTGGCGGCCTGTTTGCATGGTCATCCCGAAAGTTCACGGAGATGCTCATGTCAAACGATCGATTCGGTTCGAAAGACATATCCTGCTCTCTTTGTGGCCACCGAAGACTCCCGTTTTTTTGAACAGCACCGTGATACCTTCCTCTAATGGGTATAAACCACCAGACACTCCCTTGTACTGCTGAAATTCGAACATGGGCGAAAGTTCGGCAAATTCAAACTCGGACATCTGGGAGGGAAAAATGAAGCATTCACAAAAGTATCCTGCAAATCACGCTATTGAAGACTGTGGGAAGTGACCCAAACTTTAGTGTGCATGCACGTGTGAATGAGCTTGTCCTAGTTTATTCCCACAGAGAGGTACTTGCCATTCTGTAGAAGCGGCGGCGACGACGACGACTACTCAAGTCGCTCGCAGGCGTTCTCAGAGACTGATGCTATCGGCGGAAACTGCACCCCAGCGTCACCTCTAAAGCAGCATGCACAGCAATGTAGATAGGAACCAACGCGTCGAAAAACGAATTGACAGTTTCAATATCGCACGTCTCGTTCAGCGCATGTCGCGAACACGGCGCATGCACCCTCGTTGCCGAATCCCTAAAACAGCCAGCTGGAGCCCCAGAGTCGTTTCATACATCGAATTTATTCACGACGAGCATGTATTCAGGATCTGCGCTTCATGCGGGGAGGCGACGCTCCACGACCACCATGCCATCTCGTCGCAAACAGTGCAACTTTCCATACCCGGGCCGAGGCTGCTGATGTAGGCGAACGATTTCTAAGGCCTTCGTCACGAGTGCCCTGGTGCCCATGCCATCACGCACAGAGGTCACCCGCGGTAGACATGCTTGGAGCACCAGGCTATGTAGACGCCGATGGAAGCTGTGCTTTCGAAATCGTGTTCATTGCGATGACAACTCTACCAAGCTGGTACATTCACTTTCGGCAATTTACGAGCGATAAAGGGCGCTCGTTTCTGGTAGCGGTGCTTCCATGCTACTATTCCGCATGCGAGCTTGGCGTCGAGATGACATCGCAGGAAAAAGAGGCGGAGAGTACGAGCGCCGCCGGCGTCTGGCCCAGGATGGATTCCTTGTGCTACGATCCAGTGACCGCGGGCGCCGAGTATCGAGTCCCTGTCGCCAAGGCGTCCTTGTGGTATTTCGCACAAGCGTACAAGAACCAGATTCAGTGGCGGGATCTCCGTTCGGCGCGGGAGGCCCCTTCTGCGAGAACTCCACAGAAACCTGGCGGCAACCGATGTAGGCTCCATCCATCTCTGAGCGCGCTCTGATCGCATCGTCGAGTGACCGGAACTCGATGAACGCAAAATGCTTACGCCTCTCAATGCGTTCAATCGGCCCAAATCGGTGGAAATGGATGAGCAGGTCGCGGCTTGTGATTTCATCAGGGTCAAAGTTGACCACAAAGAGCGTTTTGGATGTCGTTACCGAGTTCTCCAAACACGCCCCATCCCCGCCTGTGATGCTATCTTCGCCCCCAAGAGTCTTTTCGCTCTCCTGCAGTCTGCTGATTGACGCTGGAGCGGTACCTCGCGCCCATTCCGCTGTGAGGATCCGAGACTGCGATCCCAGGCGCTGGCCGTTCAGAGCAGCAATAGCGTGTTCGTAGGCTTCAACCGCTGTGTCTTCACTAAAGTATACAAAGCAGTAATTGCTTTTCATTTCTATACGCTGAACTTTGCCATAGGGTTCCACCAACTTCTCAATATCCCGCTGTGGAGCACGCCCAATATTCGCTATGTAAAGCGCTTTCACCCCGGTCGGCGTTACCTTCGGTCCTGAAGAACCCCAGACATCTGAATTCGATAGCCCCTCAAACTCCCTGGTGCTCATAACCCTGAAATATGGCGAGAAGCGGCAAAAAGAAGGGTTCACTACTTTAGATCTTCGGTTCGCCAAGTAGGGGCGAAATAAAGCGGCTGCAACTCCCTGTTTGAACGTGTCTGGAACCGCTCCGGACACCTAGGGTCTGAGTACCAATTTGCCTCCTCGAAAAAATGTTTCAAAATCCGTAAGCACACGCCGTCAGCGGTGAACGCTGCCGTACGAACCAGAGGATACCTGTCCTAAGCGCAAGCAATATACCTGGATCACGGAGATGCGTACGCGGCACGACGTCTGCGTCCGGGCGGCCTGGTATCACGTCCGCGACAAACGTCTTTCAAAAGAAACACGTTGCTGCCAGTGGTACAGAAGTGGCCGCAAACGCGCCTTAGACAAATTGGCACCAATTGTTGTATAGACGCCTCCCCGTCTTTTTCGACCGGCCACCTACTACTACTGCTTCCAAATTCTTCTCATATAGTTCCACTTTGAGAGGTTGTCCAACAAAATCCCTTCTTGTCTACTCTGGAGGTCTATTCTCCAGCACCGCACATCTCCGTATATTGATAGCGGCGTCCAAGTCTCGGTTCACGAATTCCATCCGTTTCTTGCCATCACTGGTTGTACTTACTAGTGCAAGTAGTCCACGAACTTTCGCTCTCCTTTCCATTTGCTCCTCCGTCAGCGCTCGGTACTTTTTTATATTCTCAGGGCTCCGCTAACACTTTTCCATCTCCACTCTCTGAAGTACGCACCCCAGTTCATGGTGTGTATACGAGGTTTGGAACTCATCCACAGGTATCGTAACGAGACGCCTTGCGCACTCCTTGTACACCCTCGTCGTTGGAGCTGGCGTAGTCCCATTTCGTGTCTTCCAGCACCCTGCTCCGTACGCTACGACGAGCCTTCGAGTCTTGTCCTCTTTGAGGGCACTCAACTCATTGGAAAAATTCGCGAATGCCCGCTCCTTCCCACAATAAAAATTCATTCGAAAACAAGCCCATCGGGAATTTGTATACTCCTCCCATAGTGCATCCCAATTGGCTACACGAATTGCCATGAATTCCCGAAAAGCTCCAAAGTTCGCTCCTCGGCTAGTCACCTCGCTCATAGCTTCCAGGTGATCTTTCATTCCTGAATTCCAAGTCTCGATTTTCTTCCTCGCATTCATGGTTCCTGATTCTCGATAGTATCCCGCTGTCGAGAACCTCAAAAGACGCATGTCTTTCTGACGTAATTTACCATCAGCACCATCTTCCGCACGCTTGGGTGCTGCGATGGTTATGATATTCGTATTTCCAGGGTCCGCACCAACGACAAAGTCGTTATCCTCCACCTCCTGCATCGGAGGGCCAGCCTCCTCTTTGTTTTCTTCATGCTTCACCGCGTCAACGACAAGGTCGTGCCCCTCAACCTCCTGTGTCGCAGGATCCGCCTCCTTCTCATCTTCATCCTTCGTCACGTCAACGACAAGGTCGTTAGCCTCCACCTCTTGCATCGGAGGACCAGCCTCCTCCTCTTCTCCATCCTTCGTCACAGGCGCAGCCGAGGGAGGGACTGGCCGATCTCTCTTCAACCGCCGATAGTGTATACACAAGGCTACTCCATCGGTTTCGATCATCCCAGTGAACAACTTTTGCTTGCTCACTCTCAGACGTTTGAAATCGAAGATATCCTTTTAGTACGTCTCCCAATTTTCACCGTTGAACTCCTCCCTGTTAACATTGAACTCGGGACTGATCTCCTTCATGATGCCGTGAAGGATTCTGGAGTCGATAGTCACAAAATGTGACTTGACTTTCCACATTGGAACCACGTTGAAGCGCTTACCCATTAGAAAAGCCTTCCGTGCCTCCCACTCTTCATTTGTCTCTTCACTCAGTTTCACCTCTGCCTTGCGTTCGAGCTCTCGGCCCAGAAACACAAAATAGCGCAGGATGAGGCAATAGTATCTTTCCTTATCTTTTTTCACCTCTGATATCTTTTCTGTTGGATTCGCCAACCCCAGTACCGCACGGTGCTCTTGTATAACCGCGCGGATGACGGAGTCCTCATTTGTGCTCCTGCGTGACGCCTTCTTGTAGACAAATTCGACCTCATCTTCACGCTTGCGATCTTTCATGATGCCATTGATAATCGCCCATTTTCCATTGCGAGAGATGCCCGGATAGAGTGCAACCACGGCGCGTATCATGCAACGTTCGAGGTTCTCTGTCAAATGGTTCTTCAGGTTCGTGAGGTACATCATCGCCCCATAGTCGTAAATATCCCGGTCACCCTTGTACCGAGTACCCTCGAACCCCTAAAAGGGATGTTTTTCGTGTAGGGCATGCACTTGCTCATTTTTCCCTCCGTGTTTGCCCTGAACCAAGCATCAGGTGACGAATAAAGGTCACGTCAAAAACTCGTCTGGAATCTCGACCGTTTCGATGTGCATCACGTCGCGATACATCTCCCTCACCAAATGCATCAGTCCTGACGACGCCTTGACAATACTCTTGGAGTACGAGTCGACACGTTTTTCGATAGCGTCTTGCAGCCTTTCCCTGTACGGATCCTTGATATGTCCAAGAAGAAAGGTTTTCACCACCATCTCGTTCTACGGTTGTCTTTCTTGTCGCCTTCAACGTAGGGCCTCCCACTTTCGGTCCTTCTTCTCTCCCTTTTCTTCTGGACTCGGCACTGTTTTTCGTTTTTTTCTGGCAGCCGGCGACCCTGGGCCTCCAGGATCGTGGACTTGCTTTTTCATAGCTTTCCTTTTTTAGTTTTTTTTTGAAAAACAACGCTCTGTGAACGCTTCTGTTATATACTGCGAAAAAAACTTGAATACACTTGTTTGAGGTTTGAAAGAAAAATGAACTAAAAAACTGTACTCTGCTAAGACCTTAACGGAAATCCAATTTTTCCAGTACAACAACACGCTACTGATCAGGATCGCGTTTCCCTTCAACAGCGGCATTCGCATCGTGTCAGTAGACTGGCCGATCTCCGAGGTATCTGGGCGTCGATCTGGTCGTGGTGAGCAAAACCCCGGGTACAAAAACACCGATAACAAAACAAACTAGTCGCAAACTATTTATTAAAGAACAACTATCTTAAAGACTCACATATCACGCCCGCCTTAGAGGTCTAGTTTTTCCGGAGAAGCTCTGAAAGTGGGTTAACGCGGGGTGCTTGGGCGACAGCGAAGGAAGCCCACACCAGGGACCTTAACCGCAACGAACGGAGGGGCGGCGGCAGTAGCACCAGAAAATGTTGACGAAAATCCTGATCAGTCATCCGCCCCTCCCGAATCAACGCTGCAGGTTCCGGCGCAAATCTTGGATCGATCCTTAAACTCGGGCTCCGGTTTACCTCCTACATTGGGTACCTACCTCAACTTTGGAAACAGTCTCGGCGGATACTTTGGAAGACGGCTGGCAGCATGTTCACTGTCAAAAGTGGAATAAGCGGCTTGCCCGCCTATGTGTTTGGGGAGCGGATACGAAGCCGCTGAAAGGTTGGTTCATAGAGTATCCCCTGTGGTTGAGGGTAGCTTCACGCGTCCGGCAAGATAAAGGTCGCATTTGAATCGACCTTGACTAGCGTACATCTGATTCTACGCTAGCGCTGCGGCAGACACTCAGTGAACGACTGGAATGCAGGAGGCGCTGGAGGCATGTGCGATCACACACGCCATGGAGGGTGCGTCTAAATTGACGACGTATCTCTGGAATGCCGCAGCGCTATTCCTATTCCCTTACGCGCTACGAATCGGTAGGTATTGCATCATGGAATATTTGTGGGATAGCCTCGGAATTGAGCTACGAAATATCGAATTACCAGTAGAGTAAAGAGGAACTTATACAAGTCGGGGACTCTACAATAGGGAAAGAGACCCAACCAGATACGGAAAAGGAGGCACAAAGTCCTCATGATCCACGTACCAGAAGAGTAACTAGAGAAAGCAGCTCAGCAAAAAGCCCGAAGAAGAAGAAGACCAACAAGAAAAGACAGAAGAATAGAGAGAAGAACACCCAAGCGGGCCCATCACAAGGTATCCCCCGAAAGGGCACTCCAGCGGGAACTCAAGAAAGCTGTCAACAAACCGAGTCACCTACTCACAGCGCTGAAGATCCGAAAAGCCGTGCATGCAAGTCTTTAGACCAATTGGCACGCGAGTTTGTAGATGAGAATCAGAAGATCGCCAGAGAACTGGGACTGCTGGCACCAGAACGCAACAGTTGCAAACCTCAGTACCTGAAACGACGTAAAAAAGCACAGATTGATGAATGCCACCGACTCAACAAGATCGTCAACCGCACCGCCATACGCGCCAACGCCGGAGACAAGGAAGCGAAGGCAGCGCTACCGGCGCTACAGGCGCAACATGAGGAAGCTATCAAAAGAAAGAAGAAACTTTCCAGAGAAAACAAACGAGGGGATCGAAACCGCAGAATCGCCTCCCTGGCGAAATCTATGCTAGAGAGCACCAACGAAGATGAGACTTGGCGCTACATCCGATCGAGACTGGACCCACCAAAAAAGTGCTTGGGGCTCACACCAATCGTTTATAAGGAAGCGCTGAGGACGGAGAGTTCCTCAGTGAATGAGGCCTGGACGGACCACGGGATAGAGCTGCATGAAGAAGCAACTGGGAACTGCCAAGACCGAATCTATTGGCACCAATATGCTGCAGAACTACCGCGCCTCGACCTGGTACCAGAATGGAACGACCCAATCTTCTGGCCTGAATCTGTTCGGACCCTCTTAAGGTCATGCAACCGCAAAACACCTGGCTTTAACGGTATCCCTGCGGAGTGGATGAGACTGGCGACCCCAAAAGACGGGACAACAGGGACACCATCGATACCAGATGAACCTGACACAATCTTAGGCAAACGCCCTCTGGAGCTCATCCAACGCATGTTTGAAGAGGCATACATCCCTGATGTATGTAGGAGTGTTGAGGTCGCACCGATCCTCAAAAAGGACTCCCACATACACAGACATGAACAACTACCGGACTATTCGCCTCATCCCGTCAATCATGAAGCTACTTTGCGCCATCCTCACAAACCGGATCCAGAGGGGCCTCTAGGAGCGCAAGTTCTTCGCCCCAAAACAGGCTGGACTCCGGAGCCGCGAGGAGTGCATGAGCCATGTCCTGACCCTCATTGAAGTGGCGCAACGTCGCTTCATTAGCGACCAACAACCAACTTACGTATGCTTCATCGACTTCCAAGAGGCATTTGACACGGTCCCGCATGAGGCTCTATTTCTGAAGATGGAACGAGCCGGAGTCTCCGCAAACTGCTTGGCGTTTTTCCGTGCGCTCTATGCAGACTCGTGGATGCGCATCCGACTGGGCGACGGCTCAAGAACCCCTTGTATAAGAATACGCCGTGGACTGCGACAGGGCGACCCCGCATCCCCGCTCCTTTTCAACATCTTCATCAACGATCTGCTGAACAATTGCAGACAATACGGGCTTGAGGTGCCGTGGATAGACTGTGGAGATGCTCGGTGAGGAGCCCTCACGTAGGAACCGCCTCGCAGGCCTTCTATTTGCGGACGATGTCGTGCTGTTGGCACCCGCCCCGGAAACGCTTGCGGCTAGCATGGAACAAGTCAGCGCCTGGGCCGATCGCTGGGAGATGAGCATAGGAGCATCGAAGTGCGGCGTTATGGCCATCCATGGAGACTCGCAGAGCATTCGCAATCGCTCGTGGCGGTTGCAGAATCAGGAAATTCCGATCGTGGAAAAATATCGCTACCTGGGGGTCTGTCTCACGCCGACGCTTGACGAAAAGGCACACGTCGACGAGATGATCGCCAAGATGCATAGACGTACAGCGATCGCACGCCCAGTCCTATCCGACCCTTCTATCCCCTTAGCAATCCATACGAGGGCACTAAGGATGTGTATCATCCAGCCTACGACCTGGGGTGCTGAATGGTGCAGCATGAAGCACCCAAATGCCTCGCGTCTGCAGACAGCCGCCAACAGGGCAATGCGACTCGTTGTTGTTGTTGGATGCTCAGTGCAGAGCAGAGCGACCAACCTGCTGGCACTCGGACTTGAACTCGAAATACCCTCGATAGAAGCGATAGCAGCAGGCTGCTGGGCATGTATACGGACCAAAGGGCCCGCCATGCGCACCTCTTTGAGTCGGATTTTCATGCAGACCCCAACGCACCGCAAGAAAACTTGGATGAAATCAGCGCAGATTTGGCTGATGCGCCTCTTAGGCGAAAACACGCTCCAATCGTTCCCCAGGAATATAGAATTCTCCCGTCGCCTCAAGCGAACGGTCCAAACACCAATATGGGAACGTATACACGGTACCAGTCGCGCCAGTAACGCCGGCTTGACCCTATCCGGAACTACAACCTAGAATACACATGCAAGCACTGATGGGAGGCGCTGGAATTCCCGGGACTTGCTCGAGGTGCCCAGTAGCTCGCCAAAATCCACGTTGGTGGCTCCTGGCTACCAGCACGTGCTCTAAGCCGTATAGGAACACTGGAATCGCACTGGGAATCACACTGTCCCTGCTGTCGAGACGAGACCCCCCCCCCCCCCGAGACGCTGACATATTTAGGCTTACAGTGCCCGCGCTGGAAGCAGGAGCGCAGCGAGCTCCTTGAAGGACAGCAGCAGCTGGGCATCAGCGTGATAGTCGAAGGCCGGACACTCACTCTGAGTGTAGCACTGGCAACTGATGGTCCGTTAACGGAGCCTCAGCGCTCATCAATGGCGAACAAACTCACATGCTACGTTCTAGGCAGAAGGTCCAGCGAATCGGATGCGCACACGGGCCCAGTGCGCTTTCTGCGCCTACCCACTGTGGTGGGTATCGAGCACAAACCCACGTTGCCAACCGACAACAATGCATTCCATGCATGATCACGAAGGAGAGAGGCGGCTCCCAGGATATATCCTAACAACCAAGTTTCTCCAGCGTGTCGTGCAGCGAATACAAGCCTGCATCCGCAGACTGTCCGAGCACAAACTGACGACGAGACCCGATTCTACGTCGGGTGAACCACACCTCGAGCCGACGCCCTTTGTGGTACGCCAACGCCGTTCTGTCTCCGTGCAGCGACAGCACCGGCGCTGTAGGCGCTATTGCTGTCGCTTTCGGCAGGTACTAGGCACACACGATAGGACGTATGAAATGACCAGTATATTCGAGAAGAAGTAGAGGTAATGTAAAATGGAGGTAGGGGGTTGATGGATACCTCACCTCGCACTGAAAACCCCAAAAAGAAAAGAAAAATGCGCATAATCGGAGAACGCTGGCCTATGGAAACGTCTTGGCAATGAAAAAAATTCAGGGCGTCCCTTTCCCACGGTGTCCGCTATGGCGATTCGATGCGCCGCGATCGCCGCCGACGTCGCCCGAGGCGGGTGCCGCGTGCGCGGCGCCGCCTTCTTTCGCCGATGTCGCGACCTACTCCGCCGACACTTGTTTCTAAGGCGACCACCGCGACAGTGTCGACGGCTTGAAGCTTCGGTTTGTGTCTTGCCAGTGACGTTTGGACTATAGTCGCGACACTCGTCTCTCCGTGTGACTCGTTCTAGGAAGATTACTCAAAGCACTAAGCACAGATCTTCAAGCGTCTCTAACAAACGAGTGCGTTGGACTTTGGGTTGGACGGCAAGCTCGTGAGGCCCTCCGAGTGAAGTGGAACCCTGTCGAAACGAAAGCGCTGTGGGCTGTTTCTGAAAAAGCGGTCGCACTGGCGCTTCTCTGAACCGCTGCGTTTCCGTGGCGTGTATCGAGTTTATGCTGATCGAGCAAATTAGCTTGTTCCCGTTCTCGGACGAGGAAGTCTGGCTGGCCGCTATCAAGTGGAAGTGTGCAGCGTTCACGGACGTGGAGACCGACCCTGGCTAGCGTTGGCTTTTCGGTGAGGAAACTCACAAGTAGGAAACAAACTCAATGGGGTCCGTTTATGAGCCAGTAGGGTTTGAAGGCCCAGAGAAAAAGCTCGAAATCGACTTTCAACCAGCAGGTGAGGTAGCCGGTTCGCCCTGCTCGCCAAAGCATAGCCTTCGGTCGGTTCCGCGTAGCAAATGGGAAACAATTCTGGCGGTTGCGCAGTGTAATATCCTCTCGGTATTGCAGAACGCACACTGCGACGCCTATTTGCTTTCAGAGTCATCCATGTTCGTCTTCGATCGAAAAGTCATGATCAAGACCTGCGGGACGACTTCGCTCCTCCGCACAGTTCCCGAGCTGATGGCGGTCGGCCAGCAGCTGCAATTGGAGATAGGATTTCTGCAGTATTCACGCACTGCCTTCCGTTACCCAGAATACCAGCCCGCGCCGCATCAGAGTTTCCGCGACGAGATCGCATACCTCCGCCAGTACCTACCTGAAGGCTTCGAGCGCGTCATGGCGGATGACCACGCCATTCCGCCTGCCCAACGCATGGCGTGGCATGTCTTCACCTACGATAATCAGCGAATGCCCACGAATGAGCAGAGCCTCGAGGTGTGCATGTTTGATCTAGATCCGATGGCAATGCGGTGCTTTTTCGGCGATGATTCGTTACACGGAGGCGATCCAGTGCTGTGCACGCATGTGTCCGGCATCGATGATCTCTTGCGCGCCGCAAAGCGCCTCGATCAGAATGCAGTGGATGACGACGGCGCCGCGCCGCTCGTCGACGCGCACCTCTTCTCGCCGTGCGGGTATTCCATGAACGCCCTGGACGGATCAACCTACTACACGATTCATATAACGCCTGAGAACCACTGCAGTTATGTGTCCTTTGAGACAAACGCCCACTTGGGCTCTTTCGTGCCAGTTTTACGCTGCGTTCTTGAAACATTTCGGCCAGCGCGGTTTCAGGTTGCATACGTAGGCGATGAGCAGGCAGCAGGGACACACGCGGCGCGCGACTGGCCCAAGCACCTTCACGCTGGGGAGCAGCGTTTCTCGCGTCGCGACGCTCTACAGACCGGGGGATGCGCAAAACCCAAGTGCTCCCCGATGGTATGGAGAAGGACTGGGCCGTACAATCACTGGATGGCGAGCAGTGCAACCTATCAGTGCGTGTTGGGCTGGCCGTCCCTAGCTTGCGATGAGATCGCCGGCGAGAGGGCGCACTGCGGCTACAATGGGTGGAGTTCACCTGTCTCCGGTGACTCGTGGAGTACCCGGCCGACGCCGTCGCTCTGTTCCGACTCCGAGCGCGACCTCGATGACGTTCCACTGGACTCCTCAACGACATTGGATGGACAGGCTCCGAACATATCCATCGGGTAGCGAAGCGAAGGCGGTAGCTGCGCTCGCAGACGTAGCGATCAGAATTTCACCAGGACTGCAACATCACCGAGGGGAACCGAGTTCACTCGATTCATGGAAAGATTTCGATGCCCTAGGCTTCACGGTTCGTAAACGATACTTTCAACGAATAATCAACGCACTCGTATCCCTGCGATAAGCTCACGCTGATAATGTCCGCAGCAGCACACATATAGCGAGGTGCTGTTTCCAGCGTGATACCACCACTCGCTTCGATCAGGTACCGACAATGGGGCATGGTTGCGGTCTTCTCACGGAGCCGTTTCGCTGTCTCACAAAAAGTCTCTGGATCCATGTTATCCAGCATAATCACATCGGCGCCCGCTGTGATGGCGGCAAGGGCGCTCGCTTCCGAACCGCACTCAACCTCGACGCTGACTGAGAAACCAGCACAGTTGCGTGCTCTGCGAACGGCCTCTTGAATGACGATTGGGTCATCGGGTGCTCGCTGGAGCTCCAGCCCGATGCAGGCCAGGTGATTATCCTTTAGCATGATCATGCCAGAGAGGTCCACCCGGTGCATGTCAGCACCACCAATGTGCATGCCATACTTCTCAACCAGTCGAAACCCTGGCGTCGTTTTACGTGTTCCCGCGATGACACCATGCCACTGGCGTACCCGACAGAGTTGCTTGAACTGGCGAGCACGCGTCGCAACACCCGAACAGCGTGAAAGCAAGTTCAAGGCGGTGCGCTCGCCCTGGAGCAAACGCCGAGCAGGCCCGCGAACGGTGGCAAGAGGTCGTTTGCCTGCACTCGAACTACCTTCCGCGCCATCCCAGTACTGTCCTTCTAGACTAGTGGTAGAAGTGGTACCTTCGTCGCGCCAAGTGACGCTGCAGCCGAGTGTTTCGAAGACCGCGTCGAAGAACGGACGTCCCGCCACGACGCCAGCACTTTTCTGCCAGAGCGTTCCACTAGCGGGCCGCAGATCTACGAGAGAACCACTGAAATCGAAGGATGGGGCATCTTCAAGGAGCCAGCGCTCTATGTGCGCGTTCAGCAGCAGCGGCAGAGGTGCGACACGCGCTCGCTCCAGCTGCTTTTCTTTGCTATTCATGCAAAGCGATTCTCGAACGACTGGAGCTTGCGCTGAATAGCGTTTGGTAAATCTCAAACAGCTTGAGCTCTACTACAAGTTATGCTCCGTCCAGAGGGCAACACAGCGGCTAACGCAAAGCAGCCTGGACTCTTGAATGAAGCATCTGGGGCACTTCTTGAATGAGCGATCGCTCTGCGCCAGACGCCGATGCCCAGCTCGGGTGCACTGGGGTCCATCGCTACCGCTACTTGTCCGTACGCTGAAGCGTAAAGAAACGCCCGAGAATCCACCCTGGAAATCACTGGAGAGAAAAGAACGTATGGAGACCGGACGATGCCTCCTGTGAGTCACGGAGACAGGGATGTAGCAGTTGGATCACCGTTTGCGGTGAGACGCTGGCATCAGGCTCGGGAAACGTTTGTATGTGCGGTCGTATCCGTGGGAGTGCTGGTGTGCTGTGGCGGTGGTGCTTGCGAATCAGACGACACATGACCGCGAGGCATTCAACCAGCTGCGCATGCTAGTGCTGACGCAGGAGCACGTACTATGTCCGAAATGTGTGCTCTAGCTTTCACTGAAGCTGTGGCGTTGTCGGTGCTAGGCACGGTATCCGTTCTAATGCTGGAGGTTTTGCGCATTCCAGGAATCCCCAGGAACGCTTCGGTTGCCTCGATGGACTACATTGCTGCAAATTCTTCTGCTTGGGCAAGTGTTTCCGTTTAGAAGTATTTCGACGAGAAGCGCTGACCACTGCATGAAGCCGAAATCTTAGAGGGAGCCAGCAGTCCGCGCAGATGCTTTTTACTGGACACAAAGTGTCATCAAGTGCTGCTGTAGGTTTTTCCCCATTTACTGAAGAGGCGTGTCGGTGCCGAACTCGGCCCGCTGATCAGTCGTGCAAGCTCCCAGCTTGCTCTCGGAACGCATAAATGCGCTTCGTGCAGACAAGGAATGGAAGCGTTGTAGTGGTTCGTAGGTTCTTTCTTCTTTCGAGCTGTTCGATAGCGTTCACATAGAACGCTCTCATGCGCTCGCTTATTCGCTGCCATTGTCAGCTGCGGACCTGAACGGTTCCACAGGCACTTTTTTTGAGGCGATCGGCTAGCGCACGCACGCCATGTTTTCCAGTCCGCTGCACCGATAAACCAGCGCGGCGTGGGTACTCTCGTCGACGACGCGACCGCAGCACTGCTGTTACGGGTTTACGCGGGATAGATTCCAGCCGGAAACCTTCGATAGGCAGTACTGGAAGCGGTTGGAAAACGATCGCCCACGCTTCACTCGGGAAACCTTACTATAGTCTGTGCTATAGAGAGGAATATGCTCTGCGACCTCGAGCACCGTACGCGGCGTCCGGATCAATATCGCTGAAGCTGCTCTAGCACGGAACCCGCATTCAAGTTCATGTTTTAAACTGAAACATGCTCTGCGCTCATGAACAGTGTGGAGGCCATTCGAGCTATCTCCGTGCTCCTTTTCACGCCCTCGCGTGTCATCGAGTTCTTTCCCAAGACGCGTTTTGCGAAAGAAATTCTCCCTGTAAATTCATAAGGCAGAGCAGAGAGCCGGCGCTCAGCACGCCATGACTTTAGCAGCGCTCGCGTTGCAAGTTGCCAACGCCGTACAATGCCAGGGAGCCTCGGCTTGGTCTGCCACACTCAGGTCAAAATAACGTGGGACGAACCTGCGTAACTGACTCGGACGTACGTACGAAACCTGGTTCTCTTCCCAGTATCATCAGCAACAGCCTTTGCGAGATTCTTCGGCGACTGCTCCCTTTTCCGGTCTCTTGTCTCTGGCGTGCCATAGCCGATCTCTCCTGTGATCGATGTACTATGTCAGCAGTCAACGGATGCCGATGGCAGCATCGAAGCCTCGATTTCGCTGCTTCTGGCTGTCGCCGACGCGCTTCATGAACAGACCGTAGATGCGATCTACGCCCCGCTTGGCATGTTCGCCTTCTTCATCATATACCGCCTCTGTACGCCGTATACAGCGGTGACGCTTCGCTACCGTCGGTTATTCGCGTATGTCGACTGCGCGTCTTCCGCGGGCCGTCCTACAACGCGTGAACGCTTGCCTCATCGCCCGGCACATGCCCCGCCATGGCACAGAACGCTTCTCTGGGTGCGGTCCTCGGTTTCAGCACGCGGTGCCGTGCACTACGATTACGTGCTCCACCCGGGCGATCCTCTCGCCATTGTCTCTGTCCTCTGCACGAGCAAGCGCGCGCTCTTCCAATGGATAGATGATTTATGGAACGCGATGTCGTCCACGATGAAACTTGTGTCGGAAGGAAAACCAGGGCTGGATCAGCATTCGAGAGATTCGGATGCGTCAACGCTGCCTCTGTACGAATCGATGACGCACTCTGCACTAGCCGCACTCGCGGCGATACAAGAAGGCCGGTTCGAAACCTCTTCTACGTGCAACCGGAAGCGTCGTGTGCCTCAGGGAGTACAAGCCATGAGGTATGCCATGCTCCTGGGGAATGCGGTTCCGTTAGTGGCCTCAGAGAGAGGATAATTTGGCTTTCCGTGAGATTGTTTATTTGATGTGAGTGTCTCAGTGAACTCTTGGCGTGGACTTGCGAAGAGGTCGATGAGGGTCTTCGATGGGTTTTTCCTATTCAATCCAGATGCGCAGAATGCTGAGCCCACGACTTGCCTACAAAAACTGGTTGATCGAAAACTTGGTGAATGCTTATGTTGAGCATGCTGCGCGCAATAAATGGAGAAGCGCGGAGTCTCGTACTTACGCATTGGATAACGATATCGGTTCTTTTACGGAACCCTGCTGGAGGGCGTCGTGCTTCATCATGATTTCGATAAAGGATCGAATTCCAGCAGTAAAGCATCCGAGGCGCTACAGCAAAATGACGACCGAAAAAGCCACATCTGGCGTATGCATCCGTACGCTCTTGTTGCTGCAGGTCGAACGGTGAGGCTGGTCATCCCATAAAATTCTGACAAAATCGACATGCAGTTCAGTATGCCACGTTAGCGTTGACATGGATGTCGCGCCTCTGAATTGTGTGCGCAAATTTGCGCACCGCAGTTAACCAGAGTCGCCTGTACTCCATGATTGCTCAGGATATTTCCGGCGTGATACACGGAACAGCAAGCCTTGATCATTGCAGCACGCATCGTACCCAATCAGAAGCCGCAGACGAAAATCGTTAGTCTGAACTCGCGGCCTCGATCGCTGACGAGGCATTGTCGCTGGCATGCGGCGGCTCTGCTGTTGAACGCTGCGACGCTGCAACGTCTGGCGTGCCTCTGTCTGATATGGGTGTGGCGGTCTGCGACCTCCAGGCCGGGGCCGCCGCAGCTGCTGCAGCTGCTGCAGCCTCGCGCGCAGCTTCCTCCGCCAGGTCCTCCGGGATGCGGTACCGATCCATGGAAGCGAACAACGTAGATGGCGCTCCCGTCGGTAGCGGCATTTTCAGGGCTGATATCAGCGGATTGCCCGTAGGTCTTGGTCTATAGAGTGGCTTTTCACCGGGCGATGTATGCACCGATCCGATAATTTGAAGACCGTGGAAGAGGTCGACGCCCAGCTCTGCCTTACAACGGCGATAGAAATCTTTCGGCGCCAGTTTTCCGCGACCGGTGCCGCGTGCAATCATGCGCTGCGACTTGACCCAGAGCCGCACCGAGCGAAAGCGATCTCGACGACAAATAACGCTCGGATACGGATGCAATGGAGTCCATTCATCCGTTTCGTAACGCCATTGGCGGAGCTCGGCAAAACGCTCCTCCAGAGAATGTGTTCGCTTGTTTCTCTCAGCCTGAGGCGTATCTGCTGGCGCCGTCGATACGCCCTCATCCGAAAGATGATCGCCCTCAGATTGTTCAGTGGATTGTCTGGGGTGAGCGCGCGGCTGCGTGAAGCTATCGCTGCCAGTCTGGGAAGCCTCTGGTGACTGCTGCTCCAGTTCGTTTTGTTGCGAGCCCGCGTGCGTTGGTGTTGCGCGCCCCTCACTATCAACCTGAGACGTGACCTGCTGTTCCTTGTCCCGTTGGCGCTCCTCGCGTTTTCGTTGCCGCTCTGCTTCACGTTCTGCTCTACGTTTCGCAAGCAGCTCCGATTCCCGTTTTCGATAGACCGACTCCAGATCCTTGGCTGTTACACTAGCGTCGTTCACAAAGACAGGATGTTGTTTCAGCTCGGCTGCGAAAACTTTGAGCATTTTGGAGACGCTGCGGGGTTTCTTGTAGCGAAAATTAGCAGCATTCAACGCTTGAACCTGGTGGACAAAGTACTGGTGCACGCAATCAAGAAGCGCTGGCCTCTCGAGCAGGTTCGATTCCGTTGCTCCGTCCGCAGCAGGCAGCTGCTCCGCTACAATGTGGAGCTGATCTCGTATCTGGCGTAGCTGCTCTTCGGCGTCGCGCTCTACCTGACGCCAGTATCGAGCAGATGCAACCTGCAAAAGCTTCGGCTTGGTTGTTCGCAGGAATGCTAAACGATTGAAGAGTTCCTCTTGAAAGCGGTACGGGACGGAGCCCTCACTGGTGGGCACCGAAGCAAGTCGAGCAGCAACAGCGCTTTCGCAAAATTCTGCCAGCAATTCCACGAGTTCTGGTACTTTCTCCCATCCATTCGGCTTCTTGTCTCCGTAGAGGTCACGAATGCGTGCCTCTAGACGCCGTGCCACCTCTTCCACTCGCTGTGGGAGCACAACTCGTGAATGGCGCCGCGACCAGGCCCATTCCTCAAAGTCATCGTCCTGGGATGGCCCCGAGCGTCCCGTCATCCCCGAAGCGAGCTGATGACGCTCCGGCGTCGATGCCGCACTAGCAGGCCGCGGATCCGCCGAAGGAATCCGATTCCAGCGCTGCCCCAGGATGCTGGATAATACGCCAAAACCAGGCTGCATATCAGCTGCAAAATCCTCGGTTATTTCAGAGTCATCAATAAAGTCGGAGTCATAGTCATAAACGGAGTCGTCGGACTCGTAGTTGCCACGAACTGCAGCGTTCAGCCGTCGGCGTCGCCGTTTGCGACCTTGACGTTGTCGTCCGGTTGGAACTGTCGCCCTCACAGGTGCAATAGTCTGTGGAATTGAGGCAGGTGACCCCGGAGGCTGCTCGCGAACGTTTGTTTCCAGATCTCCCTGCTTCGTGGGAAGCCGCAAGCTCCCCGTCGCTTCCAAAGCGGAGACTGGCTTGTTTGCTTCCGTTTGAGAGGGCTGGGCAGCCTCAGTCCTGAATGCGACACCATCGGACGCTTCTAAAGTTCCTGAAGCGACGACGGAAGCGGTAGCAGTGGACGGCGCAAGCACGCGAGTCGCGCCGGCCGTTTCCTCGCGTACGGGAGCCGGAGCAACAGCGCTCTGCCGACGCATGAGCTCCCGAAAGTTCAGTTCATTGGTCCGCTCAGGATCCAGCCTCAACATAGTCCACCTTTTCGGACTAGAAATTTGTTCTCAGATTGTGAAGACTGACCAGCGACAGACCCAACTGTTACGTTTCGTACGGAAAACGTGGATGCGGAGGAGATTGGTGGCGCGCAATGTCGCGCGCTCTGCCCTAGGCGGCGTACTAAGGAGCGGCCGTGCGTCTGGCAGAACGCGTTTCTGTTGTTGTTGTTGTTGTTGCTGAGTAACACTTTCATTACACTGTAGGTATAAAGCTGCCTCTATCCTAGTCTCATGCCCTGGTCAGGCTGTGGTATGGTAAAGACGGCAGCGCAACGCGGATCGGCATAGGACGGGTACCTAATGGAGCTCGGACGCTTGCAATCGTCGTGTGTGCGAGACCGAAAGCGCGCTGCATGGGTCCCAAGTGCAAGCTGCTGACCGTGCTTTATTGAAAAGCGTTGTTGGGATTTCCCATTTCGTTCTTGTGTCCCTACGTGAACGGATTGTGCATCAGACGTTGAGGGTCAGCGCATTGCAGACAATGCAAACCGACCGCTAGCACATTTGCATCAGTACAGATTTTTCGTGCTTGCAGCCAGGCAATTCGTTCGGTGCATCCACGAGAGGGCCGAAACACTCCCCCAAAGTCACGTTTCCTATCAACTCTTACAACAAAAGCAGCGCACAGCTGGCGCGAGATAAAGCCGTCTCTCAAGTTCGTCACTCCGGGGGCGCGCACACGCGTACCTCTTGCGCACCGATACGATAACAGCGATGCTAAGGCGAAAGCGTCCCATATACATTCGGGATCCGTAGTGAGCTCGACAACTCGGTGGTAACTGCGTGGATCAAGCCTTTCTTTCCTGACGGACTACTACCCTGACGCTGAGGCGTGGAAATTCCCGCGAAAGGCATCAGGCAAAGCACGCTGAGGATCGCAGTCTAGCGGCCTGCTCGAGTCGCGAGTCCGGGAGCTTCCAGCTCGATGTAACCGGGCGAGACGATATAGAGTGTGTCCGCACGAGCGCGAACGGGCGTCGCGACCTCAGCACCCAAACCTCATGACAACAAAAACCACAAGCAATTGCGGGTTCCGGCAAAACTGATCAATGGTTCTTTTAGCCACGTTACGTCGTCGAGTCTGGCCAAATGACCCCGCGAATTATCTTCAGACTAGACAGGTCCTGGTTGTTTGGTCAAAGTGCGTGGCGCGAAGCTCCCCATAGCTGCTTGCAGTTGGTGCTTCTGGTGACGCCGTGCAGGGCGAACGCTTTCGCAACCAAGGCCAGTACCGACCAACACTTCACATTGTAAATCGGTACCAGTATACTGAGACCTGAGCGGTTTGGTCTGCCGGGGTATCGGTAATATACCTCACCCGCCGATGAGTGCCATTGCGTAACAACGCAGCAGCGTACACGGTCTTGGTTTGTGTACAAAAGCCTGTGGACTGTCCGCTGGCTGCGCCAAGAAGAACGCTTGTCTTTGCGCTACATCCGGGTCAGATGAAAAAGGAACAGTAAACAGTTCGTTCTGGTCTAGATGTTTGATTTTTTCGGATCTTATGAACGATGTACAGCATCGACACTCAATGACCAAAAGTAGCACTATTGGATTCATAAGATGCCTACCGATGCTCGGTCGCCGTTTCGGGATGGCATCTTCGGCGTTTCGTAGCTGGAATCGTAATGGAACCTAAACCATGAGCATTTATAACGCCCGCGAGCAACGGCTCCTAAAAATACCCGATATCGTTATCCAGTGTATACGGACTGGCCTCCACGCTTCTCTGCTCTGTATGTGCAGCGTGCCCAAATCGTGCAGTCTTCGAGCCTCTTCGGTTTCTGTTCCGAGGCAACGACTGGGCGCATCAATGCTGGCCACTGGATTCTCGGGGAATCGCGGTCGACGTTCTCCCTTGACGGCTTGTTTGCATGGTCATCCCGAAAGTCCACGGAGATGCTCATGTCAAACGATCGATTCGGTTCGAAAGACATATCCTGCTCTCTTTGTGGCCACTGAAGACTCCCGTTTTTTGAACAGCACCGTGATACCTCACTCTCTCACGGAGGTATGCTCCAAGAGGCTCTCCTCTGTCTCCCATTCGCATGGACAGAGGTCTTCGACTCGGACTTGAGCTGTCGCAGTGAACGCTCCCAGTGCAGCGCTCATTGCCGGTCCGCACCGAGCGATCATAGACAGATCGACGAATCTCGACTTCCTCTACATCCTTTACTTGCCGCACGCTACGTGTTTCATCGCGGGTAGCATCGCGCTCCACACATCTTTTTTATCGAATGAAGCAGTGTGCGTTTGCGTGTGCAACGCATAGAGCAAGTGCCGAGACGATCTCCCGGGAAAAGCACGTCATCGAAGTGCGTCGCACCGGCTGCTGAAGCCGTGCATGGCATCGAAAGAGGCGTCCTGTGTCCATCAATAGGGTCTGTCTAGCGACCGAACAAAAGGTCACGGGTTATAGGACGGCGCTCGGTCGGGAAGATGCGTTGGACATACCGAAGCACCTGACCACAGTCAAGCGTTATTGCCCGAAAAGGCGCACCAGGCCGTATACAAAGATGAAGAATAGAACGGGCGAGGCGTGGATCGCTGCTGCTGACTCTACGTTACCTTTTGTCGATAACAGCCAGACGCAGCGAGCTTCAGAAGAGAAAGCTGCCGTCAGCTTCATTCAACAGCTGAAAAAGGATAACGATCGCAGAAGAGACCTGAATACGTAAAGCCGGAGAAAACAGACTGAGAAAGGAGCAGAACGGCAGACAAAGACCGATGAATATAAATCTAGAGATAAGAGAGCAGTGTCAGTGTTAGAGAACTCATTCTGACAAGAATCTGATGCGGTCGCAACTAGCTCCAGGCTGCCTACGCGGCGAGTTTGCGACGCACCTGCTGCGTCCAACGCTGCCGTGCCCCTGAACTATTAAATCCTGAAAAGGGAAAGTTATGTCGTCCAATGTACCGCATAGACTGCTTGATTACAAGGGTAACAGCACTATCCGGTTGTGGAGCAATGCTTTCGTGGAGTATCGATTCCAAAATTTACTTGAGTCCGCAAAAAATGCGACTGAGCGCTGAGCACGGGTCCCTGCCGCTGTCGCTTGGTACCCGCGCACGGACACCAAGTGACGACTTGCAACCTCTACACGATCCATACTCAATTATGATCGCTGCCGGTGTCGCTTGGTACCCGCTCACTGACGCCAAGTGGCGACTTGCAACCTCTATACGATCTATTCTCAATAATGACCGCTGCCGGTCTCGCTTGGTACTTGCGCACGGACACCAAGTGGCGACTTGCAACCTCTACACGATCCATACTCAATCATGTGTCCAATACAGCACCACAGCAAAGCGCTGTGCCCTTTACATCAGCGCCACCTGCGCTGATCTCGACCGCATCATTTCAACAGACGCAGGAAGATTCTTGTCCCGGTTGTCAGCGGCATCAACGTTGGCGATGCGCTGCAATGGCGCAGCGGCGACGAATTATGAGTGTTCGGCATGATTTGCGACCTGTTGCTCTCGCTTTCGCTTGGCCTCCTCTAGAAGCTCAACAAAGTGTCCATGATCAGCGAACAGAATCAGCAGCCGGATCGCCAGCGGCACCAGGTCCATTCTTCGGAGCGTGGTGTCCAGCTGCCATCGTGCGTGCTTGGCCTCCTCCTGGGCCAACAGGGATGCAGCAACTTGATCACCACCGCTCGCTCGGACCTGGAGCTCTGGACGAGGATCCCGATGAACAACCAAGACACTGAAGCGCAATTCTTGATTCGATGCTCGAGAGATGCGTTGCCGAACAGCCCGCAACGCTACGCAGACCCAGGCCAAATCATTGTGATGCTGCGCTTCGGCCGTGGGTAACTGTTGTTTCGAGTCTGGCGTTCCAGGCGCCAAAAGTGAAGCATCAAAAGTGCCCACTGCCGACGGTCCAGTCTGCAGGCCATCCAACTCGTATACCTTGCCGCCGAGAGGCACATAGGAGACGTAATGGAAGACATCTTCGCGCGGAAGCAAGTTACGAAGGGATGGATCCTCTTCCAGTAAAATACCCCGCAGAGGGGAGAATGAGTTGTGAACCGCGCAAATATCCCTAGCATTGGCCAAAAGCTCGCCCCGTGTCTCCGCATCAAGTGCCTGCGCAAACTCCGCGTACTCTGTCAAAAGCGGGCCCAGTTGCAGACCTCGTTGCCGTGCGTTCAAGAGCACTGCAAGCAAAGCTTGGGTGGCACACGCATTACGAATGACTTGCCGCGAAAAGATTAAATGATGAGGAGTTTCGGCAGTCGAGAGCGGCTCAGACGCCGGCGCTGCCAATACTTGGTCGTACTTGAAGAGAAAGATGAGGCCGAAAACCGGACACGCGAGGTTGGCTGCAACAAACGCTTCTTCACTGAGGTCCACGAGTTCGTCCACCTGGACACCTTTCACGCCCAGTTCAGTTATCATGGCAGTAAAGACACCAGGATCCGATTCGATGGTACACCAGCCTCCCTCCGAGTCAGCGCCGTCATCAACGGAGCTCGCCATTGTCGTCGGTCAGTGCTGAACTTTTACGCTTCGCCAAAGGTGTACCCGTTGCGCTGCGTCTTTTCGATACGCCTTCCCGAACTGATACCACGATCTATCTGGACTGTGAAACTCCGCAGGTAGACGCACAGACGGCAACCGCAGCCGAGAAGTTCTCGCCACCCTCAGGGCTGGATGTAGAGGCGTTGTTGACGGCTTGCGCGCGGCGGCCGCTGCGGTCGTGAGCATCCGCTCATGCCATTGGTGTACCATAGGTGACGTCGCTTTTACCGCTGCGTTGCGCCGACGCGGTGACTGTTCAGCGTCCGCGGAGGCCAGGTCTCTGGTCGCTACGGGCACCGGGCACAGGTTTTCTCAGTACGAGTGGCGCGGCAGCTTCTGGACTCGCGCATCTGGTACCAGTCTGTGCACGAACGGGACTGTTGCGTCTCCGTTTCCCGCGCGCATGGCAGGGAAACGAGCGAGCGACGGTGCAGCGGCGAGCAACCCGTATAACTCGCTGTTTGCCGACATTCTTACGTCAGTAATATCCGTCACAGCCTTATTCATTGGTGCAAACATTATTCGAAAAAGGCTGGACCCAGCATTTGAATCGAAGAAGGAGCTTGAACGACGTCGCAAGGAGCTCGAGGAGCGCCTCCGGAAGCAACGCAGCAGCTGTGGGCGGCCACCGCTGGACCTTTCGGACTTGACCCCTAACGAAGAGGTTGTCGCGCACTATCTGGTCGATCCTGACGAACTTGATGTGCAGTCATTGGATGATGTTGGCGGCCTAGAAGAAATCAAAGAGGAACTGCGCGAACTTGTGATCTTACCGTTCCATCGCCCCGAACTCTTTCCTCCCGGCTCGCTTTTGCAACCGCCAAAAGGGATCCTTTTATATGGACCGCCAGGAACTGGGAAAACGATGCTCGCGAAAGCACTTGCAGCTGAGTCAAAGGCGTGTTTCTTAGCTATTTCGCCAGCGACGCTGTTGAGCAAGTGGGTTGGCGAAACGCAGCAGCTCACCCGGGCAGTCTTCTCGCTCGCGTACAAAATCCAGCCGTGCATCATATTCATCGATGAGATTGACGCGCTGTTCCGCACGAGGAGTGCGCAGGATCACGAGGTATACCGGGATTTCAAAGCGGAGATGATGCAGCTCTGGGACGGATTGACGACGGACTCCAGCGCCCAAGTGCTGGTACTGGGTGCCACGAACCGTCCCTGGGATGTCGATACAGCGATACAACGTCGGATGCCGAGGAGCTTCCTGGTGGACCTCCCGGGCGTGGAACAACGCAAGCGCATTCTTGATGTCATTCTCCGGTCCGACAGGCACCGCTTGGAGGCATCTACCGAAGAACTCGCGAAGCTTACCGAAGGTTATTCGGGAAGCGATTTGCGCGAGCTCTGCAGGGCCGCTGCGCTTCTTGTCCTACGAGATGCAATGCGCGAAGCCAAAAAGTGCGGCGTCGACGTTTCCCAAGTGCAGCTGCGCAGCATGCGACTTGAGGATTTTGAGCGAGCGATGGAGCGAGTAGCACCGACCGGTGCCCATGCTGAAATTTTTCGGTACCGCCAAACTCTGGAACGTGTGCGGAAGCTGCGCGTCGCGCAAGAAAACAGTAATGTAGAGTCCAGAGAACCCGATGAGCAAACATTGGTTGCCGGAATCGAGGAGGCGCTCCTGGTAGAGGCTAATGAGTTTGTGGAGCGCGTTGGTCGTCGGCTGGGCTGAGCGGCAAACCCGCGTAAGGCAATGGCAATTGTTTCCAGCAAGTGCTTCTCGTTGATCGAGGTGCCTGACGCAGCGCGGTCCAGAATGGAGCATGCGCACGCACGCACGCACGCACGCACGCACGCACGCACGCACGCACGCACGCACGCACGCACGCACGCACGCACGCACGCACGCACGCACGCATGTTCCTGTGACGTGTCCACCAGATCGGGGCGCACGCATTGCCACAGGCAGCGTTTAATGCGCGGATCACTCGTTGGGAAGCGCGCGTATAAATGCAGCGCGCGATCTCATACGATGCGTGTGACGATACGCAAGGCACGTTCAAGCTGCACAGCTGATGCAGTGTACCTCTGGATACAGAGCAGGATTGCGTTGTGCTCCTGCCTAGTATGGGTTGTGTGTACGGCGGGCACCTGCATCTTTGCGTAAAGACACCAGCGAAGCTTCGCAGCCGATACTATCTACCCGTAGATATGTCCCTGAATTGCGTTGTGCTTCTGCCCGTCATCAATGTGTTATGCGAAGGTTCTACCAGACGCTGCTACGCAGGAATACGCTTGCAGATCACTTCGCGCGCCGTGATTTGAGCAATTCTTGTTGGTGAAGCGGACAGACGTTGCACGCCGCGCACATCAGGCATGTGTGCACGCGATCCGCTCGTCGCTGCGTGCTGCATGAGGAAGCACAACCGTTTGACTTTGTGAGTCTTATTCGAGCCTGCCTGCTAGTTTCAGGATGGGCTTGCACCTTCAAAAGCAAAATATGAGCCAGCAATAATGATCATGTGAACCCCCAGTGCTTCCTTTCGTTCGAGGCAGGACAAACCCGGTTTCATTGGCAGAATTCCTTTCTGATTCGCAGATACCAACTTTTACCGTTTTCCTTGCAAAGCGTTGCAAGAATGAAATAAACCTCTGGCGGAGCGCTTGACACGTTCAACTGCTAGCATGCTTGCCAAACGCCACTCGAATCCCGGAACACCGAAATGAAACCCAGTTTTTCGTCCTGAAATTCTCATCCTAGAGACGCCAGCAAGATGAGCATGGATGCTGTGGGCTTTGAGCCCTGCAGCGTGCTGCGACATGCTACCGCCCACGATCGCACCTCCGAGGCTAAGAAGGCATAGGCTCGTGTGCGATGGCGCAACGTTCCGTGAATGCCATGCCCCGTGAACAGCTCGCTTGACGTCGATACAATCGCCACCGTACTGGAGCTAAGTTCGCCGTAGCGTCCAATGCAGCACCCGCTTGTTTTCGACGAGCACGACGATATTTCGTCCTGTGGAGCGGCCGAAACATGTCCAATACCATGGCCACAAAAAGAAACGTTGATCCTCTCTACTTTCATGTCAGAATATAATTTCAGAGGTTGTCTACCAAGGTCGTTCACCGTGAAGTTTTGGTCTCTTCCCAGTATCATCAGCAACAGCCTTTGCGAGATCCTTCGGCGACTGCTCCCTTTTCCGGTCTCTTGTCTCTGGCGTGCCATAGCCGATCTCTCCTGTGATCGATGTACTATGTCAGCAGTCAACGGATGCCGATGGCAGCATCGAAGCCTCGATTTCGCTGCTTCTGGCTGTCGCCGACGCGCTTCATGAACAGACCGTAGATGCGATCTACGCCCCGCTTGGCATGTTCGCCTTCTTCATCATATACCGCCTCTGTACGCCGTATACAGCGGTGACGCTTCGCTACCGTCGGTTATTCGCGTATGTCGACTGCGCGTCTTCCGCGGGCCGTCCTACAACGCGTGAACGCTTGCCTCATCGCCCGGCACATGCCCCGCCATGGCACAGAACGCTTCTCTGGGTGCGGTCCTCGGTTTCAGCACGCGGTGCCGTGCACTACGATTACGTGCTCCACCCGGGCGATCCTCTCGCCATTGTCTCTGTCCTCTGCACGAGCAAGCGCGCGCTCTTCCAATGGATAGATGATTTATGGAACGCGATGTCGTCCACGATGAAACTTGTGTCGGAAGGAAAACCAGGGCTGGATCAGCATTCGAGAGATTCGGATGCGTCAACGCTGCCTCCGTACGAATCGATGACGCACTCTGCACTAGCCGCACTCGCGGCGATACAAGAAGGCCGGTTCGAAACCTCTTCTCCGTGCAACCGGAAGCGTCGTGTGCCTCAGGGAGTACAAGCCATGAGGTATGCCATGCTCCTGGGGAATGCGGTTCCGTTAGTGGCCTCAGAGAGAGGATAATTTGGCTTTCCGTGAGATTGTTTATTTGATGTGAGTGTCTCAGTGAACTCTTGGCGTGGACTTGCCAAGAGGTCGATGAGGGTCTTCGATGGGTTTTTCCTATTCAATCCAGATGCGCAGAATGCTGAGCCCACGACTTGCCTACAAAAACTGGTTGATCGAAAACTTGGTGAATGCTTATGTTGAGCATGCTGCGCGCAATAAACGGAGAAGCGCGGAGTCTCGTACTTATGCATTGGATAACGATATCGGTTCTTTTACGGAACCCTGCTGGAGGGCGTCGTGCTTCATCATGATTTCGATAAAGGATCGAATTCCCGCTGCAAAGAGTCGAGGAAGCCACTTGGAAAATACGACCGAGACTCCCAGAACTACCTAAGAATCCGTAAGCCGCCATTGTTGCACGTCCTTTTTCGAAGCTGTTCATCTAGAAAATTTCGGAGAATTCGAAGAGCAGGAATATGGCGAGCGATTCTGCGTCCCATTCTAAGCTGGCACGGGCCTAGAAGAAATGATATTTGAAGCTGCATCAGCATGCATTATTCGTTTGCTCGCAGCATCCGACAACTGTAGAATGACTCGATAGCCTCGAATCCACCCGGTAGGAGCACCAGCCTCCTTTCGATACGCATGCCTGTTCAAGAGCATCCCAGAGAAATGACCTCGGAAGGTACGGGACTCGACAGTGTGATATCGCAGAAGCATTGGGCTACTTCAGCATGTTCACCTACAACGGCGCACTTGGTGCTGTGAATGTCATAGGGCGCCATGTGTACGATTGCCCCGCCCGATTCAGGGCTTGTATCTTTCCAGCAGGAAAAGTTATCCTCAATTCGAGTGCTCCTTCCTGGAAGCGGTCGTGTAACAATGTGCTTTGAGGAATCACATGCCGCGCCTAGTCTAGACTTGAACGATGAAAGCGCCGCGACGATCTCGCTCGCTGCCTCACAGACGTCGGGCTCCGAGCGAAACCTAGTCGTTGCGGAGACCTCTTCTGCATGTCTGCAGCATAAATCGGATTTCTCTCGGGTGCATCTTTTGAGCACTTCATGGAACGACAATCACAACGTTCCAATCGAGAGCCCTGGTTGTGTACTGCAATACCTCCGATTAGATCATCGAAGCCGGATTTCTCTGCTGTACCTCGTACGAGCATCTCAAGGGGCATAGATCACAACGTCTCCATCAAGAGCACTTGTCGAATGCTGCAATTCTTCCGGGTAGACGATGGAAACGAGCGCATTCACTGTATTCCGATAATGTGCAAGCATCTCAACTGTCCCCAGTCGGTTCGCGACATGGAAAAACCCAGTAACGTGGAGTACCTGAGCCTTTGGATAGCGTTCTAAAGCTTCCGCGATACTGAAAGCCATTGTTGCGTCCCAGAGAGATTGCGCTTGGAGCATTCTCTGCATGCGCTCCTGTTGAGCTTGTGCAGAGCTCGGATCCGGTCGCATTACCTGCTGCATGATGGCCTGAAAGGCTTCGCTGTAGGCGTTACTGGGTGCAGGCCAGGGCGTCGGTGCGCACCACGCACGTTCCTTCGGTGAGAGCGTCTCCATAACCGCTTGCTGGCCTTGTTTTGCCACTCGGCTTGTGATACTGCGAGGGGCGTTCGCGGCGAGTACAGCAAGGTTATTGGTGCGGGCGAAACGCACCAACGGCACGTACGGTTCGGGAACCACGCTCTCTATCTCGTCACGAAGCATCGCCTCGTTGAGTACATGTTGTTGGGATCGATCTAGGAACTCCAAAGAGAGCAAAAGTTGTCGATTCTGTCGTTGACTACTTAGCCACAGAGCTTCCAGAATACGAAGTTCAAGCTGCTGCGCGACCGAGTGCTCGTGATTTTCACCAATAAACACGACTTGTTCACAAACTTCAGAGGCGAAGATGCTCAAAAGTTTTTCAAGGGATACCGACTGCCCACGGAAAAAACAACGGTGCACACCCGACGGAACCGCCATGAAAGCAATATATCGTGAACCGGTCTATCGTGTGGATGCTTTCAAGTTTCAAGCGCCGCGGCTTGCCTCGTGCCGTCGTATCGGCTTTGAGGCGAGCGCTCGAGTTTTGAACCGTGTAATTGGTACTCACAGGAATTCATCGGTCATTTTCGTAACATTAGGAAGGAAACGCAACTTGCCGCGCTCGATGGGCAAGAGATAGGGAGCATGTGCCGAGAAAACGGGTACAGCAGTGCCATGCTAGAAGCGAATCAGATGAAAAAGGAACAGTAAACAGTTCGTTCTGGTCTAGATGTTTGATTTTTTCGGATCTTATGAACGATGTACAGCATCGACACTCAATGACCAAAAGTAGCACTATTGGATTCATATGCTGTTTACCGATGCTCGGTCGCCGTTTCGGGATGGCATCTTCGGCGTTTCGTAGCTGGAATCGTAATGGAACCTAAACCATGAGCATTTATAACGCCCGCGAGCAACGGCTCCTAAAAATACCCGATATCGTTATCCAGTGTATACGGACTGGCCTCCACGCTTCTCTGCTCTGGATGTGCAGCGTGCCCAAATCGTGCATTCTTCGAGCCTCTTCGGTTTCTGTTCCGAGGCTACGACTGGGCGCATCAATGCTGGCCACTGGATTCTTGGGGAACTGCGGTCGACGTTCTCCCTTGACGACTTGTTTGCATGGTCATCCCGAAAGTCCACGGAGATGCTCATGTCAAACGATCGATTCGGTTCGAAAGACATATCCTGCTCTCTTTGTGGCCACCGAAGACTCCCGTTTTTTGGACAGCACCGTGATACCTCACTCTCTCACGGAGGTATGCTCCAAGAGGCTCTCCTCTGTCTCCCATTCGCATGGACAGAGGTCTTCGACTCGGACTTGAGCTGTCGCAGTGAACGCTCCCAGTGCAGCGCTCATTGCCGGTCCGCACTGAGCGATCACAGACAGATCGACGAATCTCGACTTCCTCTACATCCTTTACTTGCCGTACGCTACGTGTTTCATCGCGGGTAGCATCGCGCTCCACAAATCTTTTTTCAAATGAAGCAGTGTGCGTTTGCGTGTGCAACGCATAGAGCAAGTGCCGAGACGATCTCCCGGAAAAAGCACGTCATCGAAGTGCGTCGCACCGGCTGCTGAAGCCGTGCATGGCATCGAAAGAGGCGTCCTGTGTCCATCAATAGGGTCTGTCTAGCGACCGAACAAAAGGTCACGGGTTATAGGACGGCGCTCGGTCGGGAAGATGCGTTGGACATACCGAAGCACCTGACCACAGTCAAGCGTTATTGCCCGAAAAGGCGCACCAGGCCGTATACAAAGATGAAGAATAGAACGGGCGAGGCGTGGATCGCTGCTGCTGACTCTACGTTACCTTTTGTCGATAACAGCCAGACGCAGCGAGCTTCAGAAGAGAAAGCTGCCGTCAACTTCATTCAACAGCTGAAAAAGGCCAACGATCGCAGAAGAGACCTGAATACGTAAAGCCGGAGAAAACAGACTGAGAAAGGAGCAGAACGGCAGACGAATCCATCAAAGGCTGGTGCTTATGATACTGAGAAGAGACCCAGACGCTACAGTGTCCGCACGAGTTCGTAGACCCGTCCCTTTTTCCTGGCAGTGGTGTAGTACAGTACACGGACTCTGGATTTCACTCGTTCAAACTAAGAGCTCGATACCCCCGGATTCTCGACCGCTCATGCTCCTGGATACGTCGGTAATGCTCCAGACTGATCTACGCTGTTTCACTTCAAGAGCCGCAGCAACGAGAACAAGCTCAATAGCGATAAACAGTTGTCGCTCGACGACCTGACGCCCGCCGGTGACGCCCACCGTAGCGACGCGTGCCCACCGGCGACGGAGCCCTGCAGAGCTCTATATTCTTCCTCGTTGACCTCAAGTAAGCCTTGGAGCGCACTGCAGTCCGCTTCTTTATAGATTGATAGATCGAACGATACAGGTTAGCTAGAGCTAACGATATGGAGGTTGAACAGGCGGCAACAATGCCCCAAGTTGCCAATGGAGGGGATTTTCCTCGAGGTAGAGACGATGATCTGCCGGTTACCGCAGCTGCCGCCGTCACCTCTGACAGGCGGACTCGACAAACCGGAACGAAACGGAGTAAAAGAGCGAGCACCAGCGTGATCCGCAAGCCACAAAAAATCAACTTGTCACCGTTGGTGCGCTCTGAGCGGGCAAAGGTTCCCGCGTGGCTACAGGTCGGCGACCTCCAGCCAGGGACACTGCTGCTGGGTTGCGTCGTCACCGTTAGGCCCGAAAGAGCAGTTATTCTCTTGCCTTACGGCATCTGGGGCACTTGTCCACTTGCCGGCACAGAGGCGCTGGAACGGAGCGCCTCGGGAGCTCCGACTGCAAGCGTGGCGGTTGCTGCCACCTTGAAGCTCCAACCGCAAACAATCGTGCGAGCCTGCGTTCTCAGCCGGCCACTTGCGTCCCACGAACTAGAGCCGGAGCGCAGAGCAACACATCAGAGTGGTAAACGCGAACGAAGCATCCATCTGAGCGTGGATCCGCGTCACGTGAACCGCGGGTTAGGTCTGTCGGAGCGGCTCGCGGACTATGGTCCCATTCAGGTGCGACTGTCGCTCCCGTTAGATGACGCACAGAAGCGTTTCACTGTCGAGGCGCTGGCAGAGGACCCGTCGCAAGATCGGCGTCTTGCGTTGCAGGTCAGCGGAGCGGGTGCAACTGCTTCGAATGATACGGGAATGGTGTGTTGGGCGTCGCTCGCATCATGGAACGAGCAACGACGTACAGGCATCCTACAGAATGATCCGAAAATGGTCGCAGAAGCGTTCACACGAGGCCATTGGACGCTCGAGCAGCTGAGTCCCGGAATGCTTGTGGAGGCACAGGTTCTATCACGTGACGAGCGCTTCGCCATCGTGCGCTTCCTCCAAGTCTTTGAAGGCATCCTTGAATGGTTCCATTTGGATCAGTGGGAAGACTTTGCTCGACTCGAGCCGGACGCCATTCTTCGTGTCCGCCTGATTTACATCGATTGTAGGCGTCGTCGGATCATGGTGACCGCCCGTACTAGTCTCGTGAACACGCTGACTCTGCCGCTATTGGTGTCTGCTGCCCGCAGGTATCACCGCGGCTCTTTCGTTGAAAGTCTTCGTGTGTTCAAAATAGAAAACGGACGCGGAATCTGGCTCCGCAAGGACAAGGAGGCGATTTACTTTTTCGCGGATCGCAAGATGCTCAGCGATGAGCGATTTTCTCGAATGGAAAGGCTGTTTCCGCTGGGCACAGTCGTACCCCGCGCCCGAGTCGTGAGTCACATGGCGATGGAAGGCATCGTGCGCGTGAGTCTGAAGCCGTCTCTTCTTGAACGAAAGTTTATGGACGTTTCAGAGTTGGAGCCTGGTGCCTTGGTGCGCTGTCGGGTCCTCGGATGGATATCCGTGACCCCGGCGACAGCGACTCCTTCACTGCGCGTCTCCATTGAGGACTGCCTCTCCGGTGAAATTCCTCTGGAGCTGCTCACCGATGTACCGGTCCAGTGGCGGCGACTAGAGAAGAAGTTTCCACCGGGCTCGCAACTGCGATGCCGGGTCTGGCTCGTCTACCCCAAGCGCAAACAAGTGCTTTTGACAGCTCGCCGATCGCTCGTGGACTCGGACCTGCCGATTCTCGCTGGCTGGGATACCATGCAGCAGGGCCAAGTATACGCTGGTATCCTGGGGCCGCGCGATCCTTCAGGCGCATACCGTGTGCTTTTCTATCAACGCTTCACAGGTATTCTGCCAGCAAATCTAGGAACGGAAATGGCCTCGTTCAAGTCCGGCCAAGTTATTCGCGTCCGAGTGGAACGAATCCATTCAAGGAGGGCGAAGCAACTGCTGGTGAGTCTAGATAATAGTGCAGTCACTGCGACGCCGATGGCGGCAGCAGCAGCAGCAGCAGCATCAGAGCAGCAGAGCGATCAAGGCAGGTTACGTCCAGGCACCCTTGTGCGTATTCAGAGCGCCTTTCGCGACCAGGTAGGGCGCATCCTGGCTCTCGTGTACATCGACGAGCCCCGCGCGAAAGACGCTGGTGCGCAGTCTGCGAAGAGAACTTGGCTTGTGCTGCTTCCTCGCCAGCATCTCACCGATTATCCGATGTTCCAGAAATCTTGGGCCGCTGATGCCGGTCTAGCCGCACTCTGTGACGAAGTTGCGCTAGTGATCGATGCTGGTCACACTGGAGACAGCTCTCTGCCGCTCATCTCGCATCGCTGGTCGCTCTGTCGAGCAGCAGCTTGTGGACTGCTGGATGACGGGGCGGTGGAGCGATCTGCACCTGGTTCCATCGGAGTCGGGTATGTGGAGCGGATAGGTGCCGCTCAGGCCTACGCTGTAGTGCGTCTGGGGCTATCGTCGCGACGGGTTCACGTCCAGCGAGCCCTGCTTGCCGATCGCTTCGTGGATCAATCCACGAGCGTGCTTCTCGAAGGCCAGCTTGTTCTCTACTCCGTTCGAAATGGATCTCGGTATAGTTTGCGCTACAGCGACGTCCAGCCTGCGCTCGAAACAGAGCCGTATCGCGAATTCTTCCAAGAGATGCGCTCTCTGGTGCCGCTCGTTCGAGAACTAGCGCGACTGTGGCGAGCACATGAAGCATCCCAATCCCTGGGTCTGAGCTTGCCGCTACCCGGCACGCTTGTTCGTGGTCGCGTGCTTTACAGTGGCGACGATAGAATGGATATGGAGGTTCAGCACGAGCAGGTCATCTATCGGGGAGTCGTTGGATCGTACCATTTTGTGGACACACAGGCTGGCGAGCAGGCTCCAACTGCCAGCCGAGAAACATCCACAACTCGTGCCGCAGTGGGGCAACTCTGCACTGCTTTGGTGCTCTGGATGGATCCACTTGCCAAAACAATGGTATTATCACGCAAAGCGAGCCTGTTGAAAACAGCACCGTTGCCATGGAGCGACGCTCAATGCCTAACTGCGACCGATAGCACTGTATCGTCGTCACTAGGCGGATGTACTCGAGTTCAAAAGGCGCAGGTCTTGGCTGTCTATGGCCAAGTTGCTGTACTTTTGGCCCAAGCTCGCCTCGCGTTCATGAGTACCCTCGATATCAATGGACGCGGAACAGAGCGGCCTGTCCATGTCGGACAGCAACTCACGGTAACTGCTAGAACGGCGAACGCAACAGCACGACCGCCTCCTGCACCTGCTGCTTCGACTCCTGCTGCTGACGACGAGAATAACGGAGCCAAGAACGGTGACGACGCTGCAGAGTGGCCTGCCTGGATGCGCGCCATGTTGCGTGCCAGTGTGCGACCTGCTGCTCCTAGTACAGAGACTGCCGCTCAGAGCGCGGGCGTTCAGACGAAACGGCAAGTGCCACAACCGCTATCCAGACCGCCTGTACGTATCGGTGACGTCGTTACGGACGCCGAGGTGACGGCTGTGCACTCGTTTCAGGTACATGTGCGCTGGTCCGATGGCCAAACAGGTCGCGTGCACATTATCAACGTAGAGAACGAGGGCGCCTTTCGGGAGCTTCAGGTCGGCCAGTTGCTGCCGCCTGCTCGCATTGTCGCTCAGCGGCGGCCGCGGCAGTGGGAACTCTCGCTGCGTCAACGCGACCTCGAAGCCACCGATGTATTGTCGTTGGACTCGCTGCCTCAAACTGGCGACCTTGTCGAGCGAGCAGTGGTGAAGACCACCGACCTCAATGCACAGGGTGACGTTTTGGCTGTATGGCTCTACGTTCGACCGGGGCTCGTTGCCCGCCTCTCACGCCTGGAGGCTACACCGCGAGTGCTCGATGAAAGCTGGGTACCCGGACGCTTTGTGCAGGGTCTACGCGTTCTCCGCGCGGATGCTGATCGCAAACGATATGACTTGACCACAACGGACCCGCTGCTTGCTGGCCAGTGCATCACTGGGGCACGAGTACGGTCGGTGCATCCAGTGGATGGTATCGTGCGGGTGCAGCTTCCGCGAGGGCAAATGGGGGTCCTTTTTATCGGCTGTCTGCCCTATGAAGACCCCAAGGATCCATTCCGAACGCTGCAAGGTATTCAAAAACTGGATGTTTACCTCGTTGAAGATTGGATTCCTTCCAAGCAAGTGCCGGTTACCGCGATACCGGAGCGTCAACCGCTCCGCTGGGCGCAACTCCACCGCGGTGATGTCGTCGGTGCTTTTGTGCGGCACGTTGACCAGGCGGGGGTCTTTCTGAACCTTGCTCCAGGGCTAGTTGCCAGGTGCCTATTGCGCGATCTCGCAGAGGGCTTTGTGCCCGACCCTGTCCAGGTGTATCCAGTCGGTATGCACGTGCAAGCGATGATCACCGACTGCGGCGGCAGTGACGCACGCCACGTACGCGTCTCGTTGCGAGCAGCGCAACAACAACAACAGCAGCAGCAGCAACGGGCCGTTGCAGCGGAGCAGGCACCAACGTCAGCGGTTCACATCGGGGGCGTGTATTTGGGGCGCGTTCGTCGCGTCGTTCCGTTTGGTATCTTTGTGGAGCTGCTGACAGATCGTACAGACGAGGGCGATGCACAAGTGCTCGCTACGGCGCTCTGTCATCGAAGTGAGCTGGTAGAGCAGGGACCATGGCCTCTGCCCGAGGAGCTTCCACAAAGGTTTCGGGTCGGTCAGCACCTGCCGGTGTTGGTGGTAGCGAGAGACGCTGCTGGTCGCTTGTCACTATCAGCGAAGGCCTCTTTGATAAAGGAGGCGTTGGCTACGCAATGCGCCTCTGCGAAGTCCATCGATGAGGTGGACTTGGGTGCTGGTTTCACTCCAGCGCTCAAGGACGTCATCGTGTCCGCCACAGAGGACGAGAATGTCGCGCACGAACCGATCTCTAGAAGCGGTAACTGCGACTCGCCAGCATCTGCGGCTACCAAATACGCAGCTTCATCTTTGATGGGGAGCGAACGATCTCCTCAGCAGAGGGATGCGATGGCGTGTCTGGGATCGAACACAACAGCACTCGATCATCTCGAGGAGAATACGGAGACGGAGGAGATGGAGCACACTGCGCACCAACCGAATGGCGTCTATGCAGCTGTGAACGGTGCATCGGCGGGTACGCTTCCGTTCCTCGCGATACCAAGCGAGACAGAACTGGTACGCGAGGACGCGGACACACATGCATCCAAAGATTGGTCACGGTCTGTCGATGAAGCATCTGGGGCTGCAAGAGCACCTCTCGACGATGAAGCGCTAGAACGTGGCGAACGTGCGCTCGTAGAATCGTTGCACAAGCCACAGACCGCAGCAGACTTTGAGCGCGCGCTACTGGGGCGCCCCAACGATCCCCAGCTCTGGATCGGCTACATGGCCTTGCATCTCGCTACCGGGAACGAGCTTGAGGCAAGAGGCATCGCAGAGAGAGCTCTGCAAACAATTCACTACCGCGAGTACCAGGCTCGCATGCGTGTGTGGATTGCGTACCTGAACCTGGAGCGTTCCGCAAACGCTGCCGCGGATCCACTCGAGAGCGACATCTTTCGCCGAGCGCTTCAGAACTGTGATAGCTTGCAGCTGCACCTGCGCTTGGCGCGTTCCCTAGAGGCAGCTCAGGAAGTCAAACTCGCTGGCCGAGTCTACGAACATGCATGCCGACGACACGGTCACCAGACGGCGTCTGTTTGGATAGCGTATGGCGCATTCTGTTTCCTTCGAAGCTCACAAGAGGTCCTGGGGCGCACGCTTCTAGAACGAGCGCTACGAGCACTGATGGACCCCGCTCAGCACGTTCAGTGCATCCTCAAGTTCGCTACGTTTGAGTTCAAGGGTTCCGGTGAACCTGAACGCGGGCGAACGCTATTGGAGAACCTGATTCAGGCGTTCCCCAAACGATTAGACTTTTGGAACGTGTACTTGGATATGGAGCTGATGCTTTTACGCCAAGAACGCGGCAAACTCGAACTCGTTCGCAGATTGTTTCGTCGATGCACAGCGCTTCCCAATCTTAGTCTGAAACAGGCCAAACACTTCTTCAAGCGATACTTGGAAGTGGAACGAGCATTTGGCGACGCGTCTTCCGTCGAGCACGTGAAGCAGGCCGCGCGCGCCTACGTTGCCCAGCGCACGGGCGAGGCGCCGCAGCGCTAAGCCACTCCGACGCGATGCACTTGCGAAAGACGCGCCCTTCTCTCGTTTCCATAAAGCATACTCACGAGGCATACAAGCCCAGCATCAAGGTTTGAGGAGCCTACAGCGAATTCATCGTGCTTTTCTCGCTCAAATACATCAAGCGTACTTGTTCTCGTTTTCATAGAGCGAACCCATGGAACACGCACGCTCACGAACAAGGTTCAACGGTCGTTCAGCGAAGTCGTCGTGCTTCGCGTTCGCTTTCGAGGAGCGTGAGGATGTCGCCCTCGCGCACTGGACCCTTCACGTTGCGGATGATCGAACGATTCTGATCATCCAGAAACTCCACCCGAACTTGAATGACACCACCCCGGGACCCAGTTCGCCCAAGAATCTGTTTCACTCTTGCAAGTTTTACCGGTTGATCCATCGCAAACACAAGCGAACTTGGATGCAAACGCAGGCACACAGCGCTCAACAAGAAACAATGCGAAACAGCGCGTCCTGAATGCGACAGATGCGCACGCAGCGTCGTCGCTGCGGCGCGCCGCGATGTCACGCGCCTAGCCCGATGTGACGTTCGCGGTGCGATGCGCCAAGCACCAGCGCACGCCGACGGGCGGCGGCGTAACCGCGGGATGCTTCACCTGCAGTATCCCTGGATGTGCGAATTCGGCGTGGAACTCGGGGAAAGGAACCTCAAGTACCGCAGAGCACTGAAGACGCTGCGTCAAAATTCTGACGAGTAACGCATTGAGGACGAATCGGTCGCGTGATTTCCACAGTGCCGAGCGCATTCGTGTCGTTCAATGGGGTGAACTTGGGGCATTCTTCCACATGGGTCCAGATGTTTATAGGGTGCAAGTAGTTAGCAAATAGGCCGTTGTTCATGTACAGGCACTTTCGCAAAACGCCAGATTCAGAGGACGCTTGCGTATGGCCTTAGTAGCGAGACCCTGCGATGATGCTGGTGGCGAGTCGGGCGCTGGTGCTTACTGCAGCACCAGATGCACAGCCCAGAAGTGTGTCGCGAGAAGGAACGGTCACGCGGTAACTGCCTCTGCTTTTTGGTTTCACACCTGCACTGTCCACGTTTCTTTCTCTCTGTCCAACACTTGATGATCGCCATCATGGTTCAGAGCCCGTCGCATGGAAACTTCAGCGGGATGCAATTCCATGACAACGGATGCGCTGGATTCGTGCTGAAGCCCACGCACGCTCAGCGATGTTGTTCTGTCTGGGAGGAAACGAGACGACGCTGGAACATCCACCATCGAAAAACTTGCCTACAGTCTGCTCCGCGTCAACAGAGTCGCTGGATGGACTGATCTGTGGCTCGTGCGCAGCGTCCTCACATCCGCTAAAAACAAGTGATGATCGCTCGTCTGGTTTTGGGCGGCAACTGCACCTTTAGTGGACTACTGTGCGACGTATCCATCAAACTGCATGAAGCGAGAAGCCGACGCCCTCTGTGTGTGCTACGGCAACGCCGTACTGTCTCCGTGCAGCGACCGCACCGGCGCTATAGACGACATTGCGGTCGCTTTTGGCAGGCACTAGGCACACACGATAGGACGTATGAAACGACCAGAATATCCGAGAAGAAGTATAGGTCATGTAACTTGGAGGTAGCGGGTTTGATGGATACTTCACCGCGCACTGAAAAAACACAAAGAAACAGAAAGAAAAGAAAAAAGCGCATAATCGGAGAACGCTGGTCTATGGAAACGTTTTGTCAATGAAGAAAAGTCAAACTGCATGAAGCGAAAAGGCGCCGCCGCCGCCGCTGCCGCCTGCTGCGCAACGAAACATCGCGCGACGTCCAAGTCCGATACAAGCTCTGCTGCTACACATCACGCCTGTAAACGTACTCGCCGCGAGTCGCGTCGTTCTTCTGTACTTTGTGAGAGCGCTTGGGAGCATGCCTGGTTGAGCACGAGTGCTCATGCGATACCTGCGATCAAGCGCATTGACTGCGCGACTGATCAAAGCCGGGTGTTTGCGTGAACCAGCGTGGATGTCGGCGCTCCGGGGTCTGGAGGCTGTACGCGCACAGCCCGTGCTTGATCCGGACGCTCGGGTTCCGAAGCCTGGAACCCGGACGCGTACGGCGAATGACCACACTTCACGGGTATCGCTGCTGCAACGACTGCGCCGCCGACTTGCGGAACGTCACCCCGAGTGGCTACTCCACGTTGTGGTTGACCTCAATGCACCAACGAGAGCAGAGCGCGACGTGATCGAAAAGTTTGTTCGTATGCAGGCGGAGCTCATTCAGAGGGAGCAGTTGTCCGAAGAGGAAGCTTATGAACGCACGCTGGCCGTGCTACGCAGCGAACTACCGCGGACGTCGCAGCTGGCGGCGCTGGTTGAACAGCAGCAGACCGCGTCAAAGAGTGTCGGGTTGTCTCAGGTTATGGTGGCCGCACCGTCGCTTTCCGTTGCTAGTCCCGAGCGCCCACTCCAGGATCCAGAGGCCGTTTTTCTGGCAAGTCTCCAGGATGCACAACGTGATCGCTGGTTATTCGAGCAGTTTAGTAGACGTTTAACGAGTTAGAGACGAGGTTTCCGCGTGAACACTGCGAACGAGTCTGTCGATGTGAACGAGCAAGATCTACTGGGCAAGCGTTCGCGGAACAGCGTTGGGGCGTTATTGTGTTCCGTGCTGGTCACGCGCGAGCATCCCAGAAACTGAGCGTGCATCAGTAGGCGGCACGCCTCTGTGTCAAAGGCGTCGCACACACACACACACACAAGTACGCACGATATGAATTTCAGCGGTGCTTGGTATCGTTGCACAGGATACCGCCGGCATTCGCTTTCCAAGGCGGGCTCCTCATACCATGTATCGATATCATGGCTCCTCCGCAAAACACGGATGATCGCCAACAGCAACGAAAACGGTTAGACAAGTCTGATGGAATCCGTGAGACAGCATTGGTGTAGCGAGCTTCGTTCAAGGGGTGCGCTATCGCATACTTCGTCGAAACAGATCGATATGATGCGCTGGCGCTCAGCGAGGCAGTATGCACCAAGAAACAAGGGAGAGACGCTGACGACCATACGTCTTTGATCGTGTGTGCGAGGTAAATTACGAACAGGCACGGGCTTGTAGAACGGGTTCATCGCTGGCGAGCTCTCGTCGAGCATGCGTCTCATGTACGTGATACCGACATAAACAGCAAGAGACACGACATTCTTGCGGTGAGCATTTCTGAGTACAGTGTAAAGAGGCCATGGGCGCAGTTAGAGAGGAAGCATCCTCGACAGATCGCCGATGGTACCGGTTGGTGTCATATATGCGCATATGTTTCGTAAATGACCCGCTTGCAAGCGAGCTCGCTTCTTTCGTATGAACTTCGAAGCCTGTTGGTCATTCAGGGTGGCGCTGAAACCCGCTCCATCTCCCGAGACATGTTTCTGGGGTGCAGCATCATTCACATGAAAAGAGGATCATCGAATCTACCGCGAGCACCGTCACGGGCGCTCCGACAGTTTCGTGCTGTGCTAAGCGACTGCAGGTGCTCCACTGGTGCAACTTGCCCCAGTGTCTGCTGACCGCATCTCATCCCCGAAACCCGACATACACCAGCTTTACCAGTGCATCATCGACAGATGTAACCAATCGTGCGCGTAACACGCAACACCAATGCCCGTATAAACATCAGAAGACCTCCGGTAGGAGACCTCGAATCTGATGCCTCAAATATGATCCGTAAACCAAAAAATATCGCCGGATCATGAAGCGTCCATTGATACCTACTCAGTGGCGCTGCCCAGCTTTTTCGGACCGGCCGCCTGCAATCGGTCTCAGTTTACCCAAACACATTTCGAGCTTGAGAGGCTGCCGTGCGATTCTAGATCGCTTCAGTTCCTCGGGCATCGTCTTGATCAGCACAAGTCTCATGATGTTGACGGCCGGTGTTGGAGTATCGGCTCACAAACTCCGTGCGTTTCTTGCCGCTGGCGGATCGCATCGATGTACGGGTTGCTAGTACTCGTGCCGTCTCTGCCACTGCAGTCTCGTCATCGTCCTGTCGAGCAAACACCTTTTCCCGCCGATCTCCTCTCTTCTTCTTGTTCTTCGTGACTTGCTCTTCTTCACTCGATATTCGACGACGAGACGATTTTTTCGTTGTTTTCCGGTACCCGGCGATGCCAACCCTCTAGGATCCTTGACTTCCATGTCCATGCCTTGCCATGAGTTCTTTATTTCTTCAAATGAACGCACTTGGAACACGTCTGCTATAAACCGCGAAAAACCTCTTCATTTCCAGTCGCCTCGGTATGAACCAAAATGAACTCGAAAGACTCGGCAGGGCACCCGTCTGTGCCAGGGTGTTCGGCCAGATTTTGCCGCCCCGCGGATCAAGTCGCTACCCAGAGACGCCACTGTTCTTGTCCCAACTTCGTCTGAGAAGGGGTCGTGCGCCAACACAGTGTTTCGAATCAGACGTATATGGACTTGAGCAGCCCGCAGGAGACCTTGCGTCCTCGCTATAACGCGGTAGCGTGGTCGGTGTTGCTGGTGCGGCGTCCAAGAACGCTGTTGGCGACGGCTGGTCAAGCTGCGCTGCGCCCAGCGCTGATGGTTCGTGGATTCAACGTCAGGGTCGGGATCGTGTTGCATCAGCTACCTGATGCACCGATCCGTGCTAGAAATTACCTATACTGTCTTTCTGAGAAACAACCGGACTCTAAAAAGCCGACGGACCGGAGCCGGCGGGACGCTTCGCAACCAGTGCCCAGAGACCAGTCCGTTGAGCAACGCCTCGCACGAGAAGCCACTCAGCACGGGCACGGATCAGAGGAGGAAGCGCCTGTCTTTGATGAGACTGCCGCACGGGCTGCTGAGATTCTGGAACTTTTGGAAGGTCTGCGCGCATTCCGGCAACGAATTATTGATGATGCGCAAGCCATGGCGAAGCAGATCAGAACCCCGAAGGAGCAAGTTGATGCGAGTTTAGCGAAACATCCCGATATCGCTAAGATTGATGCGAGCATCCGCCGACTGGAAGCGGAGCTGAAGGCGATCAGCGATAACGTGTGAGTTGCGGATCTCGGGCAGAGGCGCTCCGATACGTGGCCATATGCCACGTCAGTAGGAGTAAGAAAGCGTGAAGCACCTTCCGGCTGGCTGATCGAACGCAGCCGCCGTGCCACTCGCAAGCCGGTGATGGTGCATGGAATTCCCGTCAGATTCTGAAGCGACTAGCTATGAAGACGAGGTATATAGGTGGCAGCCAACGCAATGCTAGGATTTGCAACGATAACGGCTCAGCTTCGGGCCTGTTTGAGACGGAATGGAGCTAGCCGCTGCATTGTACAATTTTTTCTCAGCAAAGGAGCTCCGCCATGACGCGCTCTTCATCCGCTGGCGATGCAACGATTCGACAGAAACCGATTCCTTCACCAGGTGACGGATTTTCCCATTTGCCTGCAAACGACGTCACCACTTTCACCACATCGTTCTCGGTGCTTTCAAAAAGAGTCGGGTGATTGGGTCCCCGCAAAAGCACTCTCCGTATGCATTCATCCAGTGGAACCGGGAAAACGAGAACGCCTACGGGGTAGGCATTCGCTTGCGCTGCAATCGCTATCCAGACCGCTCGTTGTGCGCTATCCACGTTGCACCGGTCGACAATGACGTGGCGAGGAGGATCAGACGTGAGCGCCTCCTGCATCATGCGCTCACACTCCTGCCGAGATCCGAGATCATCCTGGCTGACTCGTACCCAGTTTTCACCTCCGTGTTTTAACACGAGTTTCGCGAATGTCGACTTTCCCGATCCAGGAATGCCACAGAGTAGGACTACGCGGGACCGATGCGCTCTCCCCGAGCTCTGGAGTTGCTCCTCCGAGGACCTGTATTGAAACTCGGAACTGGCTGCTGTCACCTCGGTCAGCGGCGCAGCCACACCCCAGCGTTGATCAGCTTCGCGGGTGCGCCCGATGTCGCAGTCGTGACCAGCAGTGTCGTCGGTGTTGCTCGGCGAACACGCAGTCGATGATAGGCAGCTCACGTGCAGCTCTCCACGCTCCTTACTGGCCAGAACCGACTGTTGCGGGCGCAACCGCTCCAGGTCCGAAGTGCCGTCTGTTCGCGAAAGCAGTGGCGCTCGGACAGCGCTCCGGATCGAAACGAAAAGCCTCTGTAAACGGTGTACCAACTGTACCGTTTGGCGAGCTGGGTTGTTCCCTGAGGCAGTGCTGGTCCGCATATCGCCAGAAAACAATGTCTGGCGTAGAGGGTGCTCGCTCAGAGCCAGCGTCACTTTGCAGTGTCGCCGCGCAGCGGGCTCCCTGCTCTTGCAGCAAAGTCGTCGAGCACACGTGTTTGCCGGCGTCGGTCGCTGCTGAACCAGAACCAAAGTTGGACCCACGAAAAGTCGAGTTCCAAGCTTCCTCTTGAGCATGGTCCTCAGCGACACCGCGATAGCCAGCCAGCTGCACAGTGCATAGTTTTCGGACAGTGCTGCGGCCAGAAGCTGCCGTTCAGTAGGGTTTACGCTGCGCGAACGGCGCTGCGGGAAGTTTGGGCGTTTTGCGCGCACATCGAATCCCAGGCGCTGGCCGCGCTGCTCCCCAGACCTGCTACGGTACAACAGGGGATTCACCGGCGTTGTCGGTGCTTATGTACTCATCTGGGGTGGCGTCCGACCAGTGGGGCTTGACTGAAATGATATATGTTGGAGTATGTTTTGTGTGGAGCGTGCATCTGGGGATACAGCACGCGCATGATGCGTGCGTGCTTGGCACCGAACGCAGTAGCCACGACGACTCCTACAGAGCGCCTCCTCTGGGTCGTTGAGGGCGTCAGATTCCATGCCACACTTGAGACTGGCAGTGCCCATACACGCACTGGAGCTGAGCGTTGTCATAAATCGGGACCTGGGGCTGCGAAACAATCGCTCTCAATGGTATTGCTGGCGTGCAACGAATGGACAGCGGGCACCACAACGCAAGTGCCCGCGGAATGCGGTGCGCTGGATGATTTCCTTGCATCTGTATGCAAGGATGCGCGCTCTGCTTCTTGTGCTGGTGCTGCTGCTTTGGGGAATTTGTGCACGTGCGTCATCCACGCTGATGGTTGCTTTTCGAATGGTGACTACTGAGGCGCATTCGCGAACATACATACTGATCTTTACCGAGCAGCAAGCGCGAAGCAGTCGCATGTAAGCGATTGTTGCGACAATCAGCTACCCGCATGCGTAAAGCTCTACCATTGCCAACGATGCTCTCTACTGAAACCGCATCATCCTCGGAAGGCACGTATCACCGATGCGCTATTATCATTGGACGCAAGCCGCCGAATCATCGTGCCGTTCGGCAGCGCGTGCACCACCAAACGATCAAAAAGCGCAGGTTACACCTGCACCCGTTCGCCTGCACCGCAGTATCTCGTTCAAGCAGTCGCACGATGATGGGGCTATTGCGCCAATCTGGAAACCGCACCGCCGTCCACCGACAATCCCGCGAACACCCGTGTCCTTTCCTACCTAACAAAATGTTAACGTACACCGGGGGATTCCGATTGGGCGCCAGCTAGCAGCGCTCTATGTAGCAAACACACGTCCACGTGTCGATCGCGCGTGCACCGGAATCCCGCCTCTGCCAGCAGCTGTGCGCTGCGGTGATCGCGGATTCGCGCCAACGACGCCAAGCGCTGCTGCTGGTGCTCTCGGTGCCCGTAATCCGTTGTTGCGCTCAGACGATATGCGCGCGCGCGCACGCTGGCGGGGGCACTGGCTGCGATCCGCGAACGTACGTTGCCGTAGCGCTGCATTTTTCGTTGAGGCTGTGCTTGCTCGTAGGTCGAGAAGCGGCCCGGTTGCGGCCGCAAACAAGTTCGAGTCCAAACGGGACCCGCAACAACACGAACAAGTGTTTTGGTGAATGTTCCTCTTTGCTAGCACGTTTGTGTGTCAGCGAGCCTGGCCGCGAGCGCGCTTTCGGAACGCCCCGTGTCGGCGCGTGACGTTGGACGCTAGGGGTGACTCAGTGAGTGCAGGTGCCGAACAGCCGACGCGTCGTCCTGAGGCGCCCGCGAAAAGGCGTGGGAGTCGCTTTCTCATCAAGGTCCGAAAGTCTGTGCGCACCACACGCAAGCACGGTAGCGTCATTCCAGCTGATGTTTGGTTACCACCCGAACTAACAAGTGACGTTTTGCCTTGCGGCGACAGCAAACTCTTGGATAATGAGGCGCACTTACCGGCGCTGGTGCTCAACGCGGACTATAGACCCCTTTCGTACCTGCCACTGTCGTTGTGGTCCTGGCAAGAAGCAATAAAGGCGTCGCTTTCGGGTCGCGTTCGTGTTGTTGCCGAGTACGATAAAATTATTCGTGCACCGTCGATGAGCATGCGGTTGCCTGCTGTGGTGTGCCTCAAGCGCTTTCAGCAGAGCACGGTCTCTCGGGCAGCTTTCACACGTTTTAACGTCTTCCTTCGGGACTCGTTCCAGTGCCAGTATTGTGGTACGAGCGGGCCTATCACAGATCTGACGTTTGATCACGTCGTGCCGCGTTCGCGCGGTGGCAAGACGTGCTGGCGCAATGTCGTCACCTGCTGCACGGCCTGCAATCGACGCAAAGGCGGCAAACTGCCCCACGAAATACCAAATATGACGTTGCAACGTCAACCTTATGTACCGCTATACTGTGAATTGCAGGAAGTGGCCCGTAAGTTTCCCCCGCGATTCTTGCATGAGACCTGGGCAGACTACCTGTTCTGGGATGTGCCCCTGCAACGAGACGAATGATGGAGGTTTGGGGTACGAACGTGACTTGGAAGTGCCCCGCCCCGCGGTTGCGTATCTCGAACGTTTGCCTGTCTGGGGCAAGCCTCGTTAGAATGCAGCACTTCAGTGCGAAGTGAGTATACGAGCTGCAAGAGCTGTCGACCAATCCACGGAGCGCGCGCTTCGTGGAACCATCTGATTCAGAGGATCCCGGGCAGAGCCATGATCTCTAGGCTTTCGAAGGCGTATCGCTGCTTTTGCCGGCATTGGCGCTGTTCGTGGTCCAGATGTATTGGAAGCGAGTCCGACCGAACGCTATGCGCTGTCGAGAGAAACGACTGATTCAGCGTGTTATTTACTTTGCGATGGAGACGAATCCGCAGGCCACGATCGAGCCCTTTGCGAACAGTGCTTATTTCTGGTCGATCTGTAGATGTGCAGAATGGAGGTGTCAGGTGCATGGAATGCGCGTCACGATACAACGCGGATCTTGTGGCACGACATGGCATTGCACAGCTGGTACCGAGGAAGCTTCGTCAGAAACCAACAGGGAGCTATTCTTTCCGTGTGGAATCGTGAGAAGCGTGCAATCGCTATGGGTTGCCATCCGTCGTGTATTTCAACGCAGCGAGGCCGTTTCATCTAGCGTGAATTCTAAAATGTGCAGTATCTGCTCATCGGTCAACTGCAGTACACTCGTGTCCGAATGAAGTGGAACCTGTCCACTTGCCTACGACAGGCGCACGCTCTCAAGTCTGGACAGCTCCCACTGCCATGAACACTGGTCTTTGCGGGCTTTTTATACAACTGATTCTTTTTTCTTCTTGACATCTTCGGCTCTAAACTCGCCTGGCTCTCCTGCCCGACCAGCTCCATCGTCCGCAATTCAAAGGATTTTGGCGGAGGCGTTCAATTCTCGTGTTCACCGCTTCTGCACGTGATTCACAAGCACCACGCGTAAGCGGAAAACTTGCGATCTACGCTTCGCTTGTTGCTTTCAATATCTTTTTGTCAGGTTTTGCGCGCCCTTCGCAGCGCTGACGCGTCACAATTGGTAACGGTTCCCGAATGCGTCGGCCGCTCCTCGCTCTTCGGTAGACGCCCTGTGGCGCGCTAACGCTCGCTTGATCGCTTGTTTCATGCCCTTGACAGGTACAGAAAGGAGGTCTCCGCTGCTTTGCTGTGTTTTGGCTCCTAGTCCGAGCCATGCGAACAACCCCTCGACTGGGAGACGCCCTCGGAGAATACTCTGTTCGCTACAGGCGCAAGCGCACGCTGTTCCATTTGATGGAGGAATCGTTGAAAGCGATATTGTCCGGGATGGAAGAAGCACCCGAAAAGGAATTCTAGGCTCGAGAACACGTCGAGAAATGTTGATCCATCTCCGGCTCCTTGTTTCCAAAATGCTGACGCTTGCTCTATCGGAAGCCGTCGCTTTATGGACAGAGGTCCATGTCCAAGACACGTGTCCGTGCAAAAACCAGGATGCCGATGCCTTTCGAGGCATATCTCGTGATAGGCTTCGAGCTGGTGTCGCATGCATTTTGCCGATGGCCTCTAAGAGAGGGGCAATTTGTTTCTTGAGCGGAATCGATTCTTTGAAGTGAAAAGATCGTTGAATTCGCAGCGTGAACCTGTGAACAAGCAATCAACGGATGACGTCGAGGTGTTTCCCTTTTCAAGTCAGCGGTGCGAATTCCAACGGCCACGATTTGTCCTGGAACAGAGAGATCGAAATCTTGAAAAATGTGAAATTTGAGCATGCTACACGTACAAAAAGGAGAAGCGTGGAAGCCTGCACATGTTAATTGGATGAAGATATCCACTTTTTTAAGAGCTCTTGTTTCATTGTGTCGCGAATCATTTCGATTCCGGCGACGTAACGAATTCCAGCAGCAAAGGATCGAAGGAATCGCTGCGAAAAGACTACCAAGAATAACAAACCCCGTATGCAACCGAACGTTCTTTCTACTGTTCTGCGACCACCAAAGCTCCACGTCTAGAACATCTTCTGAAAAACAATCACAACGCAGGAACAAAGCGACTGCTTCAGTGTTCCGTGTTTATCCGACACAACTCCAGCGGACGGAAATCTGTCCCTATCCGAGAACAGCGAATAGTTGCAACGCAGGCATGCCCTGCACCCGATCGCATCAGGTAAACGGCCTTCTTCGATTGAGACAACGTTTCTCCGCACCGGGGATTCCCGATTTATCCATCCCACAGAGCAGGCAAACCATGGAGATCACGTATTCGGTGAAAGCGTTGTCACCAGGTCTCCTCTGGTTGCGTTCAGCGCGATTGCATGCCCATGGACGTTGCCATACGACGCATCGGTCGCCTAGGCATTGGGCACTTTGACTGGCGATAGACCCATCTGTTCAAAGCGGCCGCTCTGCTCCCAGGCATGAACGCCGCCCTCAATTTCCTCGAGCACACGAGCGGCCGTCTCCGAGGAAGCTCGGAATCCCTCGAGGAGTTGCTGGAGCCGCGGACGGTTCCGGAACACCGGACGATGATGCCACTTGGGCATGATCGCAGCGTACATCGCCAGTGTGGGCGCCAAAGCGATATCTGCGAGGGTCACCATTTGCGTTTCGACGGCATGACGTCTGGTATTGTCCTCAGTGAGCATGGTCTCGAGTGTATCGAGATGTAGCTCGATTTGCGAGAGCCCATGCTCTCGCTCCGCAGGTGTATTTGTAGGCCGATACAGCACCGCCTGATTCGTCGTGAGGTACAGATCGTGCACTCGTACATAGAGACGCGCGCGAGCTCTTTTCTCTGGAGTCTGCGGCCGGTATCGCTCCCCGAGTCCGTATTTGTCGAGGAGATACTCGACGATGACGTCACTTTCCCAGATGCTCTCTCCCGTGGGCAGCACTAACGCAGGGAACTTGCCATACTTGTGCACTCTCTGTCGATATTCCGAAGTTTTCAGGTATGAACCTGGAGGTTCAATTTTTATGTCCAGGTTGTTATCGTAGATGATATACCGAACGCGAGCAGAAAAGTTCGACACGGGAACCGAGAAAAGCGTAGCAGTCTGGTTGCTTGTCGTGTCGTTCATCAGCACGCACAAGGTTCCCTTGTTGATAAAGTGACGCCGTTGGGCTCGCGGAAATATTGCTTGGATAGGCGTATGCTTAGGTCGAACAGGCAGAGCGTGAATGAAAGCCATCGGTTGTTGCGTAGGCCCCAGAAATACAGCGCGCTCTCTACGTGCCTCTGGGCGGGTCTAAGCGAAAGGACACAATAGTAATTGACAACTCTGGCTGCAAGCGATGCGATGCAGAGGCCACCGGGCGGCGGCTGCGGAGGCGTCCGGTGCTCGATGGAGCGATTCGCGAGGCCTGCCTGCCTGCCTGCCTGCCTGCCTGCCTGCCTGCCTGCCTGCCTGCCTGCCTGCCTGCTTCTCGCTACTGCTGAACAGCGTTTCGCGCCACGTGTGGTGGATGAGCTTAGGCGCTGCTCGATCAATGTTTACGCCAAGAGCTACCCGCATTGCTCTGTGGCTTGCAAACCCGGATGCTGGCCGACCGCATGGGTCCAGTACGTGCTGCTGCCAGATGAAGATCGAAGAACGAGTAGTTTTGGTGTTTAGGGTTCTCGGAATGGAGGCTCATTCCTGGTAGCGTTCATTAGAGATTCGCAAAAGAAGCCGCCGATGATTTCAGGGCTGGGTTGAGCGTCTTTTGCGCGCTAGATGACAGGCGTATGCAGAGGTATCCACCATCAAGCACCCTTCGGGACCTCAGTAGTCACCATTCGAAAAGCAACCATCAGCGTGGATGACGCAAGTGCACATATTCCCCGAAGCAGCAGCACCAGCACAAGCAGCAGAGCGCGCATCCTTGCATACAGATGCAAGAGAATCATCCAGCGCACCGCATTCCGCGGGCACTTGCGTTGTGGTGCCCGCTGTCCATTCGTTGCACGCCAGCAATACCATTGAGAGCGATTGTTTCGCAGCCCCAGGTCCCGATTTATGACAACGCTCAGCTCCAGTGCGTGTATGGGCACTGCCAGTCTCAAGTGTGGCATGGAATCTGACGCCCTCAACGACCCAGAGGAGGCGCTCTGTAGGAGTCGTCGTCGCCACTGCGTTCGGTGCCAAGCACGCACGCATCATGCGCGTGCGCGTACCTTCTAGGCACAAGGTCCAGCGAATCGGATGCGCACACGGGTCCAGTGCGCTCTCTGCGCCTACCCACTGTGGTGGGTGTCAAGCACAAACCCGCATTGCCAACCGACAACGCATTCCATGCATGATCACGAAGGAGAGAGGCCGCTCCCAGGATTCATCCTAACAGCCAAGTTTCTCCAGCGTGTCGTGCAGCGAAGGCAAGCCTGCATCCGCAGACTGTCTGAGCACAAACTGACGACGAGACCCGATTCTACGTCGTGTAAACCACGCTTCGAGCCGACGCCCTCTGTGGTATAGAAAAGCTATTCTAGCTCTATGAACTATCTGCTCCAGCGGTTCAGGCGCAAAGGCGGATGATTAGGGTAGGTACTAGACACACCCGATAGGGCATATGAGACGACCAGAATATCCGAGAAGAAGTATAGGTAATGTAACTTGGGAGTAGGAGGTTGATGGATACTTCACCTCGCACTGAAAAACCCAAAAAGAAAAGAAAAATGCGCATAATCGGAGAACGCTGGCCTATGGAAACGTTTCGTCAATGAAAAAAAATGTGCATGCGCGCCGTCGCCGCGTCGCTGCGTGCGTGCCCCGTCATCGATGCCGTGCACGCGGTAGCGCTGAACGCTCTAGCGAGCGAGGCAGCAGCGTCTTCATTCCTTCTTTGTGACAGAGGCACCGCGCTACCTTCATACGTCTTGATCTGGTTACCTCACAACGTGCATAGCGTTTGAAACTGCACTCGTATCCTACTTACAAAGGACGTGGCGGCGTGAGAGGAAAAGCAGTGGCACGGACGCGATCCCGCGAGATGGATACCACCGCCAGCTACCACGTGTTGCTGGTGTTGCTCTCCGTTGAGACTTTTCTCTTCTTTGCAGTTATTGCACAGACAGCAGTGCAGGAGCCGCTCGCACACGGGAAAATCGCCCGCTTTTTTGGCCTTGCTTTTCTGTCAGAGTCGGTTGCGGGCCTCGCACTTGCAGTTACGCCACTGCTGCGCGGAAGCGTGTTCCTGCTGGACCTTTTTGCGCTGATCGCTGTTGTGGCGATATGGGCGGGCGCCGCTGTTGCAATCATTGGTGCGGCACACGTTGTTTTTCCAGAGGATGCGAGACGGGAAGTTCGGGTAGCTCTGGTCGTGCTGTTTGCGTTTGTGTTCGCGTTCGGAACCGCGCGTCTCTATGTCGCAGTAAGTGCCGCGACACCGGCTTTGCCCCTCTGGTCCACAGACTCGCTGCGGGTGTCTGTTGCGGTTAGCCAGGGCGCTATGGCCAGCGTGGGTGCTGCTTGTGTCCTGCGAGCGCTGGCTCGACCGAAAATACGGGGCCGGAACGGGGCTTCAGTTTTGCTCCTGGGAACCTTGGTTTGCCTTGTAGGTTCAGTGATTTGGACATGGCTGTTAGGCAAATGCGAGTTGTCGCAGACGTTGGACAAGGAAGATGTACGGTGTCCGCTTCCACCGGTGTTCGATCACAACGCTCTTTACTGTCTGTTTCTTATTGCAGGCAATATTCTGAGTGCAGAAGGCGTCCTGCGTCTTATGGCTGTCGGGGACGGCGCGTTGAACTATGCAGAGATTCCCTGAAGGGCATTGCACTCCGTTCGCCCTCCGGTGATCCTAAGTCGACTGCTTACCGGTTCCATTGAGCGACAGGGTACATCAGCGAACGATAAAAAATGCATCGTGCCCGTGAGTCGCGCGCTAAAGACGCTTGGAAACTGCGTCGTACATTGTCGCCCAATGGGCAGCTGCTTGGTTTCGACGCTTGACCGACAATTGGAACCGTACCGCGCTGCGGGCGTGCATGTGGGTACCTGTTTGTGCGGGCCTTGCGTTCGTCTGGAGACAGGCATGCCGAACATGAAACCAGCCTGTTAGCAGGCTACCGTGTGGAGTCGCTATCGGACTCGCTGCGATTCCCGGACACAACGCGGCCCGTGTTCTTTTTCGCTGCGAATGCGAGGAATAACACAACCGCTTTGAGGCATCGCAAAACCAGGCTAGGAGAGTCAAAAGCTACTGACTACCGTCCAGGACGCAGTAAACACTCTCTAGTACTCTTTCTGGTAGAACTAGGGCAGATCGCTGCCTAGTTCATTAGCCGCCATTAAGAGGCGCTCGGTATGTTCCCCGGGGAGGCGTGCGGGGTAACCCGATGACGAAAGCGAATTTTTCCATGATGAAACAAGTACCGGAAGGAATGCGCAGTTTGCATATACTGTCGAGACATACCGATCGATCTACGCTCCCCTTGTGCAGAGCGATGACCCAAGCTCCTCTGCAGGATATCGCTGGGTCCACAGCACGCCGTGCTCAAGATGCTTTTCTTTGCAAGCACTGGAGACAGGAGTCTCTGGAGGCACGTCCCGTGAGCGGTTTCGTTCGGCTGTGGACTGCCGTTTCTTCCACAGCGACAAAGGGATGAGGATTTGTGTCTCGAACCGGATCGATTGCTTGCTGACGTTCCAGGTCCAGGGAGTATGCGGCGCGCGCTCCTGAACACGTCCTCAAGCCACGTCGTCGAGTTTTGGTCTCTCGTCTATCCAGCGGCGTGCACGACCGCGCCCTCGACTTGCCCTGAACTCGAAAGATCCACAGCATGAAACATGTGTGATTTGCGCACAGTACACGTCATGACATGGGAAGCGTGGCGGCGTGTCCGTATGAACTGCATCACGATAGCGGTTGGTTAGGATTCCTTGCTCCAGCGTGTCGAGAATCAGCGTGCCTGCTGTAGCATACCGAGAATCCGGCGGCAAAGAGACGATGGAGCCAGTCCGAAAAGGCATCGAAGCACCCTAAATTTACGTATGAACCCGAAAGCCCATCTTGCAGCACTGAGCGTGTCGAGTCTATATACCTACAACATTGGACGGGAGCAAAACAATCGAGTCGCAGAAACAGTGAGGAGTAGAGCGCTCCACCGTCTTCTGACACGAGAGTTGTTCGCGTTCGCAAGCCCTGCAACGGCGGGTTCTCAGCCAGAACCGGCGGTGGATCTTGCTCTTCTGCCATAGCGTACTCGTTCAAGTGACAAAAACACGTGCCAGTTGCGTGCGTTTCTCTGTCGCTTCTTGACAGCGGTGCTTACACCCTGGACTTTTGCTCTGCTTCGTGTTACTCGTGGGTACGGAAAACCAGGGCTGTAACAAGAACGCATTTCCCTACGACCTGTCTGTGTTGGGGAAGCTGCTGGGCGAGGACGCTGCAGCACCCGGTTCAACGCAGGTGAGCGCTCTCGTCTTGACGCCTTGGAGCATGCAACCAGGCACCGAAGATGATCCGCTTCCGTACTCTGAAGCAGTAGTTGAGCCACTTACTCTAGAGTATGAAGCTCCAGAGCACGACACTATGCTGGGAAACGGAGAAGCGGCGCGAGCGGGCAGTGCGGGAACCCCAAGCCGCCCAGCGCATCCCGAGGATGCAGTCAGTTTTCGTTTTGATCCCAAAGTTTGGGAGCAGGTGCACCTGAAGGATGAGAGCAACTTGATTTTTTACGAGGGCGGCCTCGACGACGAAAACGACGGCACAGCTGGAGGTTTCGACGAGATTCAGGAGCAGTTTCGGGAATCCGAGGAAATACAGGCCTCTGGGGCGCATACTCAGTCAAACTCGGCGGAGCACAGTTGTATGAGCGCGCCGTTCTACTTCTTATGGGGTATAATGCTACGCATTCTCCAACCTTATTTCGAAATCGATAGTAGCGATGTGATGCTCCGCTTGAGCCGCTCATTCGTACCTATTCGACCACTGCTCGCCGGCGAGCATCACCAGATGAATATGGTATTGCGCCTGCACAAAATATGGACCAGGATTCGCCAGTTTTCTCAGGCGCGTTCGCCGGAAACCGCTGAAACTAATGCGACTATCGACAGTGATATCAGCGACGACGAGTGGACCTACTCGAGGAGAGCGGACTTGTATGGGCCGTTCTGGATCGCGACCACCTTGATCCTGTTACTCTCGCTGAGCGGGACAGTTTCTCACCTGCTTCATCGTGCCTCGGTGCATGCTGTACAGACAGCAAAGGCGTCTACAGCTGTGAAACCGGTTTGGAAGACCTCTGAGATTATCCGCCTAACCGTTTCAGCAGCGATTATCTATGGATACGAGCTTCTGGCCGCCACTGTGCTTTGGGCGCTGCGGCTTGTTTATCGTTCGCAGGGCCAAGTACCGCCCTGGACTACCATGTTGTGCGTTGTAGGGTATGCTCAGGGCCCGCTGGTACCGGCGTCATTGCTTGCGCTGTTTCCCTATCAGTTCTTTCAGTTTGTTGTTATGGTTGTTGCTTTTGCCCTTAGCGTGGGTTTTTTGGCGCGCAACCTGCTAATTGAGCCACTGGCCGGCGCCGATACTAGTCTGGATGCTGGTGAAGCCACGATTACGGAACCTATCTGGTTGTTGAAGCAGCGTGCACTCGTGCCGGCGCTTGTAGCTGGCTTGCTCCAGATCGGCTTTGCGATCTGGTGCGTACTCTTCATCATTCTGTAAATGGGAAAACGCTGAAAACCATATCGGAATCCGAGTATGTGACGAAAAGCGGTGTTTGAACGGGTCCGGAGACGATTCAGGAAGCAAGCAATGCAATGCATTTGGATGCTAATGATATCTATGTTTTGACATCGTTGGCCTTCATGCACGCACTAGAATTCCGGTGCGAGGAAGCGGCTCGGGGTCCGTTCTCACTGCAGCTGCAGTGTCGATTGGATCGAGTCCTTCCGTACAAACAGAAGCGACTCATGGCTGCTGGAGAATGCACTGGTCCTCTGAGCGCGGGCGACACCGGCCCCCAGAAGAAACAACAACAGAAGACAGAGATGACAGGGAATAGCTCCATTAGCTTTTCTAGATTAGAGACAAAACGTATGGAGTGCCTTGCCGCCGTTGTCTTAGAACGCTGTTCCGCAGGGGCGTCGGCATCGACAGCCTACGGCGTCTTCGATGCCCCTTGCAGACCAAGAATGCGTGACCGCCCGCTGGTATAGGGCGCTGTAGCAACTACTTGGAGCGTCTTCGATGCCCCTTGCAGACCAAGAATGCGTGACCGCCCGCTGGTATAGGGCGCTGTAGCAACTGCTTGGAGCGTCTTCGATGCCCCTTGCAGACCAAGAATGCGTGACCACATAACGACGGTGGCCATAGTAGCTGGCGACCGGGCGCCAGTGACAAGTAGACTCGAGGAGTTTTCATGAACAAGCGTCTTGTTCCGGGGACTGCTGCTTCCTATCCCCCATATACATCCGTATTCCGAAAGAAGCTTCCCATTGGTTTTCGATCACCAAACGCATCTATACATCTATCAAGTCTAGTATGGGACTGTCCCATCGCGCGTCATGAGCATCGGACATTGCGACTTCATCCTGTGTGGTAGAGCGTGAGCGCCAGAGACACAATGTCCAGATTTGTGCGCTTTCAAAAAACGCAGCGTTTCGTACCCGGACAACGACCACACCACCAGGAGCGTTTCTCGACCAGTGAGTCGAGCGCCTGCACAAACTGGGTTACTCTTCGTCTTTGGAAACAAGAGCAATATGTTTTCTGTATCCTAATGGCGTCGAACGCCCTGTCAACGGCTGCTTTCTTATACCTTCATGCTCCAGACGCTACCGCCTGAAGTGGTGCGCCACCTCACCAGCGCTCCCGTGGTAACAAGTCTAGCCAGTGTTACCAAGGAACTGGTTGAAAATGCACTGGATGCAGAGGCAACCCAAATCAGTGTCTTTCTCTCTGGATATGGCCTGGAGTTCATCGAAGTAAGCGACGATGGCTGCGGAATCGCCAAACAGGACCTTGAGCAGCTCGCGCAACTCCACACAACCTCAAAGCTTCGAGCTTTCGCGGAACTATCGAGCATATCTACGTACGGGTTTCGCGGCCAGGCTCTAGCATCACTGGCTATGACGGGTCGACTGGAGATTTCATCACGACCGCGAGATCGGGACGCCTCGGCGGTACCTGGCGTCGCTTTTCGTGCTAGGTACCAGGCTGGTAGGCGCATCTCTGACCTGGAGCCCGAGGCGCGTCCCTATGGTACGACGGTGCGCGTATATGAACTCTTTGCATCCATGCCCGTTCGTAGACGGGAGGCAGAGTCTCAGAAAAAACGAGAACTTCAAAAGGCAATTCAAATCCTGCAGACGTATGCGTTAGCGGCGCCCACGGTGCGCTTTTCGGTTCAGTGGACGCCGAAAGGTCGCGAACGTCCAACGCTCTGCCTAGCCACACAGGGCAAATGCACGCTCCGTTCGTGCTTCAGCCTGTTGTACGGTGCGGAACAGCTCACGAAGCTGGTGGACCTCGCGGTAATTGTAAAGTGGCCCACACCGCTGCCCGGTGCCTGCACAGAACCTGAACTCCACATGCGGGGCCTCCTGAGCCGATGTTACCCAGCAGCAGGGCGCTCTGCCCCAGATCGACAGATGTTGCTACTGCAGGCAAAGCGGCCGGTGCAGTGGACCAGAATGCGCCGAATGTTGGACTCGGAGTTTCGCCAACGAACGTGCACTTCGCTCTACCCTGTTTACGTGTTGGCCATCGACCTGCCACCAGATACCTTCGACGTCAATGCGAGTCCCGACAAAACCGAGGTCCTCATTCACGACGATGCAGCGGTGGTTGCCTCGGTTCGGGAGGCATTGCGTACATCATGGACACAGGTGGCTGACGTCCGCACCAGGGCCCCATTCTCGGTGCAGACTGGAAAGTGCGCCGATGCGCGAGCGAAAGCCCCCGACGATCATCTGCGAGCTGCTCAACTAGCGAATCAGCTGGAATGGTCTGTCACCACAGAACAGAAGCGAGACACTAGTCAGAGGCTTGTCACAGATGCGAGACCCGCATGCGTCAAGGAAAGTGCTACATCGACGCTCGCTGCGTCGGAAACGACGCTGTCGTCGTCAGGGATGAGCGCGGGAGTTTGCGTCGCCTCGAGAGCTGAAGTAGAGGCTGCGTCCTTCATCGTCGACCATGTGAAGCCGCACACAACCGAACAGCCATTCCGTGAATCCCTGCAAGCATCCTCGGCGGCGGTTGCGGCGACGACGGGAGCCCATGAACAATGGGAAACAGCTGAGCCACTTGCTCAGCGATGGACGCATCACAACGCTGAGGCTGCCTCTAGCGGAACGGAGTCCTCGGGCACGATTCATAGAAGCGCGGATACGATCCTGAGTGGTGTGAGCGGTGTCAACAGCCACGAGCACGATCGTGTAGTCGCTCGCGCGTCTGGTGCGTCCATGGAGCGCTGGCTCGCAGTCCACGTCGTAATCGATCCTTTCCAGTGGACGTCATCTGCGAATATCTCTCGCAGCTCAGGTTGCGCCCGCGATGCCGACTTGCCGCATGTGGAGCCTATCATTCGTGCCCGTGTTGGTGAGCGTTTGCAATTGGCGTGCCTCTTGGAAGCCAGTACTCCGAATACGACGGAGGATTGCGTCACAGAATCAAGCACTGAGGCAGACCGGGAACTAGAACAGCGATTTCACAAGCATTGGTTCGAAGAGATGCGTATCATCGGTCAGTTCAACTGCGGTTTCATCCTCGCAACCTATGGTTCCGACCTTTTCATCATCGATCAGCACGCGGCTGACGAAAAGTACATCTATGAGTCATTGGCGAGGGCATTGCGTCCGCGTACACAGAGCATGCTCCAGCCACTTTCGATACCCGCTTCGGCCTCGGAAGAGCTCACGCTCTGGGAACAGCGCGAAAACCTGGCAGCGCTTGGGTTCGAGCTCGAGTTTCGGTGGAGTGCGCCTCCCACGGAGCGTGTCTGGATGTTGGGAGCTCCCACGGTATGTCAGACGGTGCTGGAAGCAACCGACTTGCTAGAGATTGCGCATCAAGCACCGCTCACTGGTCGGGTTGCCGACCTGCTGCGTGCCAGTCGAGTGAAGTTGCTGCTTGCGACTCGCGCTTGTCGTCGAGCAGTGATGATCGGGATGCCGCTGGATCGTACCCACATGCAGAGTATTGTTGCTCGTTTGGCGACGCTGGAGCAGCCGTGGAACTGCCCACACGGACGACCGACAATGCGTCATTTAGTACGGGTCTCCGAAATCGGGTTCCGCAGGGCGGTCACCTGATACCTGGGCAATGCAGATAGATCGTTTGCAGACGATGTATACGGTATGCATGAAGTAACCCGACTTTAGATGCACTCCAGACGAGTGCTGGTTGTATTGGGTCTGCGTGCGAATGCAGTGCGGGTTACGAAGGTAGAATCCTTTATGTTTTGTCGTGAAGATTTTCGCCGGCTCGTCTCGCGATGCGTAAAGTTTATGTCAAGAGAAGGGGACGAGCCTCATCGAAATGAGGCGCGAACTACTTCTACTTCTACTGATGCTGCTGCTGCTGGTGGTGGCGGTGGCGGCGGTGGCGGTGCTAGGTGCATTGCATTCCGGGCCAGATATCGCTATTTAGAACCCGAGTTTCCGTCCTGGAAACTATGCGACAAGATCTCTGAAGACCATGATGAGTGCTCTGTGCATTGACGCAAGCCAGAGTACGTTCCACGGATGTCAAGGAGGATTGTTCGACCTCAAAACAAACCGTGCTCTGCGCTTTGAACGGAGCACGCTGCAGTGGGTTGCACGGGTACATGAAATCAATGTTGGACCTGAAGCAAAATGTTCTTTCGTGCCTGTAATCCAATTCACCCGGTACGAGCGGAATAAGGCGTCTGGGTCTCAGCCGTCGTAGAAAGGCAGACAGCAAGCTCGATAACCTCGTCGCAGTGCAGACTATGTATGCGCTTACTTCACAAAATATTTAGCGTCACAGACAAGTCATGCTTTTGTGCCAAAATCGTAGGAAAAAGTTCGATTGCGTTTCCTAAAGAACCAATTCGAGTATCACGAAACAGGTTTATCCAACGCATCCTCACAATCGTGGCAGAATGAAGTGAAACGATTTCAACCAGCCTATTCTGGCGTTCAAATGAGTGGTTGAGTATATCCGGCTGTTACCAAAACTGGTCTTTGCGCGCTCGTTCGGTAATGTCTTTCGTATACCTTCGGCAAGCTTCTGCGCTGGGTGTGCAGGTCTCCTGTGTCATTCGAGCTTCGGTTTCAGTAGTGGATGGATATTGATGGCAACGGTAGTGGTACGATGCCGCAATTTCGAGTTGCTGTCGAGGCATTTCATGCACAGAAGGTAGTTGCGATCAACGTTTTGCTCGCCATGATCATCTTCATTGCAGACAGCTTCGGTGGGCGCTTTGTACCGCTGACGCATGCCTGTGATAAGGTGCCCCCATATGTCCATCGTGCCTCCGTTCCCGATAGCCGCCCTGGGTCGCGTCAAGGCCAGCATCATCGCTCAGGAACCGTCCTCGAAGCGTACAGAAGGTGTCAGTGGATACCCGCTCCCGTTTCCGCGCCCGTTGCCGTGCCCTACAACCATGTGCTTCTTCTGGGGGATCCACTCCTCGAGTACGCTCTCCACTGCACACGAAAGCGCATGATGTGCTTTGCAGTTGTGGATTTGCAGAAAGCGAATTTTTCCATGATGAAACAAGTACCGGAAGGAATGCGCAGTTTGCATATACTGTCGAGACATACCGATCGATCTACGCTCCGCTTGTGCAGAGTGATGACCCAAGCTCCTCTGCAGGATATCGCTGGGTCCACAGCACGCCGTGCTCAAGATGCTTTTCGTTGCAAGCACTGGAGACAGGAGTCTCTGGAGGCACGTCCCGTGAGCGGTTTCGTTCGGCTGTGGACTGCCGTTTCTTCCACAGCGACAAAGGGATGAGGTTTTGTGTCTCGAACCGGATCGATTGCTTGCTGACGTTCCAGGTCCAGGGAGTATGCGGCGCGCGCTCCTGAACACGTCCTCAAGCCACGTCGTCGAGTTTTGGTCTCTCGTCTATCCAGCGGCGTGCACGACCGCGCCCTCGACTTGCCCTGAACTCGAAAGATCCACAGCATGAAACATGTGTGATTTGCGCACAGTACACGTCATGACATGGGAAGCGTGGCGGCGTGTCCGTATGAACTGCATCACGATAGCGGTTGGTTAGGATTCCTTGCTCCAGCGTGTCGAGAATCAGCGTGCCTGCTGTCGCATACCGAGAATCCGGCGGCAAAGAGACGATGGAGCCAGTCCGAAAAGGCATCGAAGCACCCTAAATTTACGTATGAACCCGAAAGCCCATCTTGCAGCACTGAGCGTGTCGAGTCTATATACCTACAACATTGGACGGGAGCAAAACAATCGAAACGCAGAAACAGTGAGGAGTAGAGCGCTCCACCGTCTTCTGACGCAGGCGTGTCGCGCAGCCACCGTCGCAGGCGCTTCGAGTGCAGCAACAACTTGTTGTCTCTGAGCCGAGTTATCGGGCAGTTTCCACAAGCGCTGCTTTCTTCGTAGTGACTCTTTGCAGTCTGTCATCAGATACCTGGTTGACTCCGCAACGAGTAAGCCTACGACACAGCAGTAGTCGACTAAAGTGCACGAGCGCTCTGGTCCAGTGAGACGGTTCGTGAACCAGCCGAAGGTTGACGTCAGATAAACGCAGATTCCAGAAACGAGAGCCCCACAGGTCGTTGTGCTCAGCTCTGTGCTCGACATAGCAGCTGCAGTTTTTGCAATGTTTGATACGGAAAACGGCATCGTCTATACCATTGAAGAAGCCGATCCTGAACAGCTTTCGTCAACGATAGAACAGGAGAGCGATGCCTCATCAGCTAGTGAACTCTCCTTCGCTGCAGAGTTTTTCGACTGGACAGGTCCGGAGGCGCTAGTAGAGAACGCTGCCTCTCGTCGAAGATCGGAGTCTGAACAAGCACGCGTTGACCGGGACCCACGCCACGAAACTCCTGAACACAGAGCTAATCACCACGTCACCGATTCTGGTGAAGGCACCAAGCCTGACAGCAACGGCACCGATGCGCATACGGCGCTCGCTACTCATGATCGTCTGAAACCGCTTGAGAAACGCGTTCATGCTGCTAGCGCTACAAAGCATTCCAGCCCAGAGGCGAAAGTTGATACCGTCCGACAAAGCGAGTCTTGGGCGGCGCTTGCGCTCTCGCCTCGCATGCTACGGGTCGTCGAGTCGCTGGGCTGGATGCAACCAACTCCTATTCAGGCCCAAGCGATACCGGTTGCACTCGCTGGACGAGATGTGCTCGGATCTGCTGTAACGGGCTCCGGGAAGACGGCAGCCTTCCTGATCCCCATTATCGAGCGTCTGTATCGGGCGCAGCGTGCCGATGGCGTACGCTTCGCCGCTGATGCCTCACAGACTGCAGCTATACGCGTTCTTATCGTCTTACCGACTCGTGAACTCGCAGTCCAGTGTCATGCGGTGCTTGAGGCAATTTGCGATCGTACGGCGAGGGAAAGTGCACGCCGGATGAAGCAGGGCGTCGCAAAGTTCGTTGGCACGCCCGAGCAGACGCGCCTTCGCTCCGTGCTCCTAGTCGGTGGACTAGCGCTGAAACCGCAGGAACTCGCGCTGCGCCATGTTCCAGATATCATCATTGGTACCCCGGGGAGAATCATTGATCACGCTCGAAACGCTCCAAACTTCACTCTCGATGACGTTGAAATCCTGGTACTCGATGAAGCAGATCGATTGCTGCAGATGGGCTTCATGGATGAACTGCGAGAGGTGGTTCGACTATGCGCGGCGAGTGCGCCCTATCGACAGACGATGCTGTTCAGCGCGACACTGGACGCTGGTGTTGAGGAACTGGCTCGTTTCGCGCTCGCGCCGGATCGAGTTGTAACGGTTCGCGTGGATGCTACGTTTGATCTCGTTGGAACGCTTGTCCAAGAGTTCGTGAAACTGCAAATGCCCGAAGTTCTCGTGGAGCCGGCACAAGATACGCGCGATACCCTGACGCACGCCGAGCAAGTTGTGCAGACTGAGCGCGCCGCGTTATTGCTGGCGCTCTGTTCCCGCAGCTTCACCCGCCGAGTCATTGTTTTTTTCGCCCGCAAAAGGACTGCACATCTCTTCAAAATTATCTTTGATCTCGTCGGACTACGTGCCGCGGAGTTGCACGGGAACCTAACCCAGGCGCAGCGCCTTGATGCATTGGAGGCCTTTCGCACCTGCACCAATGCAGATTTTCTGCTCTGCACCGATCTCGCAGCGCGGGGCCTCGATATCCACGGGGTAGAAACGGTGTTGAATTATGAGTTGCCGAAAGATATTCGGGAATACGTCCACCGGGTGGGCCGCACTGCACGCGCGGGTAAGCATGGTCGGGCAGTCTCGATATTCCAACAGACAGACCGGAAGGAGCGTCATCTGCTGCGACGCTTGCGGGAGCAGGCTCGACGATATCGGGTAGATGCTCTCCGGGGAGATGCACCTGTACCCGCTCCTGTTCTCCTTGAACGTCGAATACCTGCAACGGTGATCCGGGAGTGGCGTGATCGGCTGCATTCCCTCCTGGATAGCGTTCGAGAGAAACTGCGACAGGAACGGGAGCATCGGGAGCTCGAACGTGCTGAACGGCTCGAGCGAAAAGCGCATAATCTTCTCATCCATGAGCAGGAGATATATGCACGACCGCCGCGAACTTGGTTCCAGAGCAAGGCCGAACGAAAACGTGCGCAGATGGTTGATCAGGAACCTGCCTCGAAGGAGCGTTCTGAACGTTCTAATTCTCACAAACACGATAAGGTGCGGAAGCGCAAGCTGGTAACAGCGACAAATCGAGGTGCGCACAACCGGAGTAGGATGTGAACGGGTGCGGTGGTGGTATCCACGGCTTTGTACTCAGTCGCATGGTTGTGTCGATTCTGTTTAAGCAGCTTTGGCAAAAGCCAAAACGAGCGTGTTCATCGTTCAACCACGATTTCTTAGCCCGCAGCGACTGAAAGCAACTGGGCGCGCTTTAGGTTTCCGCGGCAGCGACGGGCGAGTCGCTTCACGACGCTTCGTTCAGTTGCAAGTCGAGCATCCTGTGGTCTGTGCACCTGGGATAGACTAACGCCGTGGAGGATGCGGAACCACGCTGCAGCTGGTAAAAAGAGGTACCTCCAAAGACGCTGATACTCTCCGCTAATCGAGCTACAAGACATGCTCTGCAAAGAAGAGCTAGGAAGGGCTCTTGCAGTATGCTGCAGCTGGTAAAACGAGGTACCTCCAAAGACGCTGATACTCTCCACTAATCGAGCTACCTAGACATGCTCTGCAAAGAAGAGCTAGGAAGGGCTCTTGCAGTATGCTGCAGCTGGTAAAACGAGGAACCTCCAAAGACGCTGATACTCTCCGCCAATCGAGCTACCAAGACATGCTCTGCAAAGAAGAGCTAGGAAGGGCTCTTGCAGTATGCTGCAGCTGGTAAAACGAGATACCTCCAAAGACGCTGATACTCTCCACTAATCGAGCTACCTAGACATGCTCTGCAAAGAAGAGCTAGGAAGGGCTCTTGCAGTATGCTGCAGCTGGTAAAACGAGGAACCTCCAAAGACGCTGATACTCTCCGCCAATCGAGCTACCAAGACATGCTCTGCAAAGAAGAGCTAGGAAGGGCTCTTGCAGTATGCTGCAGATGGTAAAACGAGATACCTCCAAAGACGCTGATACTCTCCACTAATCGAGCTACCTAGACATGCTCTGCAAAGAAGAGCTAGGAAGGGCTCTTGCAGTATGCTGCAGATGGTAAAACGAGATACCTCCAAAGACGCTGATACTCTCCACTAATCGAGCTACCTAGACATGCTCTGCAAAGAAGAGCTAGGAAGGGCTCTTGCAGTATGCTGCAGATGGTAAAACGAGATACCTCCAAAGACGCTGATACTCTCCACTAATCGAGCTACCTAGACATGCTCTGCAAAGAAGAGCTAGGAAGGGCTCTTGCAGTATGCTGCAGATGGTAAAACGAGATACCTCCAAAGACGCTGATACTCTCCACTAATCGAGCTACCTAGACATGCTCTGCAAAGAAGAGCTAGGAAGGGCTCTTGCAGTATGCTGCAGCTGGTAAAACGAGGTACCTCCAAAGACGCTGATACTCTCCGCTAATCGAGCTACCTAGACATGCTCTGTAGCGATGATCCAGCTGGCGCCCCTACACCTAACTGTATCCCCAGCTGTGGAGCGGAGCACCGCTCGAGCGACACCAACCTGGAACTCGCCGCATGCACCTGCCAGCGCATCCCGTGAACAACTTTTATCGGATTCTAGCGCCTGGAGTGCGAACCGACACGTCCTGCTCCAGCCGAACACTTTCGAGGAGAGGTTTTGCGTTGATGGACGCTGATTTTCCCGAATGGGAAGCTCCAGCGGTCAGCCTCTTCGATTGTTTGCTCCAGGGGTGTCACGAGAACCCGAACGGTCGTTGTGTACGCTGCGAGAACAGCGTCGGGTGTCCTGTCGCCTCCGTTTCTTCGGACGGCTGGCTGGCCTACGCACAAGTCAGAGCGTACGTGGATCGCCTTATCGCATACCTGCAGAGCGAGCCATTGAAACTGACTCCAGGGAAACGCGTTGCCGTTTATAGCGTGTTTCGGTGGGAGGTCTCGATCGTTCTTAGCGCGGCGAGCTTTCTGCAACTGCCCGTCGTGCTCATCGACGCACACGAAGACGTCTCCTTTGCTCGTGCGCTACTCAATAACCAATGTGTTTCACTTCTGTTTCTTGGTCAGGAACAGAACTGCGAGGAACTCCAGAGCTATGCAGGTAGGTGTCTGCTTTTGGGAGCGGCGGCTCTAGACCTGCCGTCGCAGCCGCCGACACTATTCTCGGTACTGCAGGTCGACACTGCCCCGGAGGTCGTGACATCTGGGCAACCTCGTCGAAAAGACTCCGTCGCGCTGATCATGCCAACCGCGGGCATGACAGGTCCACGACGAGTCATCTGCGTAACCGAAGAACAGCTAGCCCAAGCCGCACATGCGCTAGCCCCGTTGCTTCAGTATACATCGTCGGATGTAGTCTGTTTTCTGACATACTCCATATTTCATCCATTTTTTATTGTACATATCCTGCTGTTATTCCGAGCTGGCGGTGCCTTTGGAGCCGAACTCCAGACACTCGACAATATACGAAAAATGCGTACAACCGTGCTTGTTGGCCCAGGTGCTATACTATCCACATTCTATGAGCTTCTCCGCAAAGAGGGTGAAAAGCTTCGCGGACTTGCGCGTCGCATCTTTGCGCTGCTCGTGGAGCAACCTCCATTGAATCAATGGGACCCAAAAGCGGCGCTGAAGAGCACGCGAACAGGCATCGCGCGCTCGGTGATGCGCAGCATCCGCGACCTCTTCGTGCCCCAGTATCGCCTGACGGTCAGCGGCATCTCGCGACTCGCCGAGGACACACGACTCTGTCTGGAGCGGCTCCTTCTGGAACCTGTACTCGATGTATACGGGCCATCGGAGTGGGCTGGCGTGTGTCTTGCTCGAACGCGCAAACGAGAGCATGACGAATGGTTCTGTATCCTGAGCAGTCCCTTCAACCGTCTGGGCCGTCTCTCGACACTCATGCGTCAGGGCGAACATACGGCGTACGGCGAGCTGCACCTCCATATCAACGGAAAATGGACAGCGACGGGGGATCTCTTTCGTTTCATCATGAACCGGGGTCCAAGTGACCCTGAAGCACCGCAATGGCGAGCGCTCGCATTTGTGGATAGGATCTCGAAGATCGTGCTTTGTGCAGAGCACGGTGCGAACGAGTTGGATACCTCTTTGGTGGAGCCAATTGAGCTTTCTCCACATGAGAAACAACCGCCGTTTCTCTCACTGAGTCTCATGGAACGGGCATCACAGCGCAGTGCCTTTGTTCGACAGTGCTGGATCTCGTTTGAGGCACCACAGCGTCTCATGGTTCTTCTGGTTCCCGTCCGCGACATGGTATGGAAATGGCTACGAATGCGACAATCCGCGAATGGCACTGCACTCGTGCCGTCCAGAGACGCGCTTTCGGTCGAGCCGATGCGAGATGTCTGCAACGACGCCCTGTTCCAGGAGGCTGTTGTGTGCGACCTGCGGCGCGTGCTCGTCAACTGTCGTGCCATCAGAGACGAATGGTTTGATGCGCTCTCCTGGGAAATCTATTTTGAGCCACAACTCGATGCGGGCTGCTTCGATTTGGGCTTCACTCCGCGCAACCGCCTCTTAACACCGTCGTTCGAATTGAGAACGAAATCACTTCGTGCCTATTATGGGAAAGAGCTTGGTATTCCGGTGCCGAGGGCCTCGCTGGAGCGCGGTGCGTTACTCGCAGAGCAGCTTGATGAGGAGGGCAGGCTCTCGGAATCCTCGAATAGCGACGAATTCGAATCAGACATAGGCGACGAGCCGGAGACTGCAACCGCTTCGAGTCTACAGCGATGGCTTTTGACGCTCTGGTCGGCTTTGCGCGCTGACCTCGTCGATCCTGTTTTGAATGCTGATGAAGAATGCATCGAGCATCGCTCGTTTTGGGGACGCATATTTCACCGTCAGCTAGTCACGTCCGATTCCGCCGAAAGGGCAACTACGCGAAGCACGCGAGAGACCTCAGCTGGTGAAGCTGCATCCACCAGCATACCTCGCACAGACCCCGATCCAGATGGTGCTTCAAAAGGCCCAGCACCCGCTCAGGAGATAGGCTGGATCGCACGTTTCTGGCGATCAGCGGGCGATCCTGGTCTCAGCGAGCGTCCCCCGGTGCATTTGCCACGCTTCGCGAGCCTCGATGCTGACCTGCCCGATGGTGCTTGTTTGCCGCTGTTGCATTCGACGCGAAATACTGGTCGACGACAAAGACAAAAGGCGCACGATGGACGGCTACGTAGCCGTGATGGTGGTGCAGCTTCAGGGCACTCGCGATGGCGCCTCGGTCGATTGTGGAACACGTTGGTCCATGAATCGCCAGATCACGACTGTGTGGATGCTGGTGCTGCTACACAAGTTGATCGTGGAGCGGGCGACGGGGCGGATATGGTGGGAGGCCTCACGGCATCGGGCGCCTCAGAAGCTGCAGCGCAGATGCCTCGATGGCGGCGCTGGTTGCACGTCCCGAGAGTCACAGCGTCAGGCGTGTGCGGTGCTCCCCAAATGAACGAGCACATGAGAACGATTCGGAAAGGGCGTAAGCGGAACCGCTATGATCACCACTCTGCCGAGTCGCTTTCCATATCTGATTCTGAGATAGCACGGCGATTTCAGCGCCCGTGGCGGAAGTTTCCTGTACAGTTCCATGCAGCGGCTGCCGGTCGCATTCGGCAATGGTGGACGGGCCGCGACTCCAGTGACCGGCACGTGAACGCGAGCGTCACTAGCATTCGAGAGCACAGTGATGATCACTGCATCGCAAGTGCTTCAAATGCCACTGAGCAAGGAGTTTGTACAGAGACGAGTTCGAATGTGAGCGCGGTAGATTCGCTTTCAGAGAACTACCAGGGATCCATGCGTATTCAAGGTCTTCCATGAAGAATCGCGTTGACAGAGAGGCATGGAGGCAGACAGTGGTGCATTTCGCTATGGCAGCCGATCCTAGTGCATCCAGATTCTGGGCACGGTTTGCAAAGGGACCTACTTGGGCGACAAGTCGGGTAGATGCCATTATTCATCTTTCGCATGGTTGCGAGTATTGCATTCCAGACGGTCTTTATGATCGTATGAAACGAAATGTTAATGTGACGGTGGCAAAATCTCATGGCGTCCTACAGTGTACGCAGAGCAGTGCTTTTGGATACACATGTGTGAGCGCGCTCCCTTTTTTGTTGTTGTTTTTCGAGTAGGTATTCAACAAAATGGGTGTATCCATAATATTCGAGAGACGTGGCCGGAACACGTGAAGCTACCCCTTGAAGCTTGTGGAAAATGGATTCACTTGCTCTAGAAAGTTTTGTCTAGGCTTAATAGGTGGGTGAACCATGTCTCTTTCAGGTCTGGTTGCGAGCGTCATGGACCTAAACAGACCATGTCAAACATAATTCACGCAATTGGCCCCTGGTCAGTACGTATCACTCCCGATATTCTCTACGACCTATGACAAAACGCCACAGGATGTGAGGTTCACACAAGGATCATACTTATAATCATGCATAGACACAGATGGAGGGAACAAAGCATGCCTTGATGTGCGATTCGTGCATATTGAACAATACACGATCGATTCGGGAGTGAAATGCGAACGCCTGATACAAGAGCGAAAAGCGTTCGTCTCAGTTGATGAGAATGTCCTCACGCGAAATGATAGATATGGATATGGGGATCGAATGGATGACAAAGCGCTGTTCCTAAGGAAGAGACAAGCCAGCATAATGACATCTTCGGTAATAGCGACGACTTAGCCGTGTGAAGGCCTACAAGACGCGTCAAACGGAAGATATCGCTCAACACCAGAACCGTCGTTGAAGCAGTTCTTGCCTGCATTGTCCCGTATTCGGCGGTCATGCTCCTGCTCAGCGCGACTTCCCGTTGTTCCAAAGCGGTCGAGGTGTACGCAGCTGACGTTGGTTTTGCGATACTGCACTTGCGAACATCTCCTCCCTGGTTCCGTTCAATCGACGGCGTATGCTGTCTTGTCGAACACCATCTCTACGACGGCGTATACGTAGACGAGTCATTCGCATCTGGAACATCAAAGTTCTTCGAGGAGTCGTACGCGACCTTCACCAGTCCTGAACGGGCCTGTTGCTCCTCTGCACATGCGTAGGAGCGGACGGAGCGGCGCGCTTCGGTACGTGAGCGTGCTCGCGACAGCAAAGGCCTAAACCGTACATGAGGAATTGTGTTCACTGATGCATCGAAGAGAAGGGCACCATTGCCAACGTCTACTCAGGTCGTCTGATTTCCGTTGACTCAATGGGCTTGGAGTGGAGCGCCCACGCCTACGCAAACCTGAAAACTCACGGAGAAGGCGAAGCGGTAGAAGGGGAAGAATGTCACCTCACAAGCAACAGTCAGTTGCTTTCGAAAACAGCACAAGGAGAGATCGGAAGGAAAACTGGTTGTTGCGGGGAGGTCACTCTGGACGCAGTGTCAACGCCTCGCTATGACGACACGTCAACGGGGAGGATCCTCCAAAAAACGAGTTTCGGGACGCCATGAAGTCTCTCGAAGCTTTCCTCATCTTGATGCGCATCGTCAAACACTTGTGCTTAGGCGAACCGGACGCACGATTTCGGTCTCCCGTACACTTCTTGGGATTTGCTCTATCCATCCGGCATGCGGCAACACAACTGATACCCAGGCCAGAAGATGCAACACCGCCTGATTGTAGGATAAGAACGTTGAAAACGCGCTCTCGAGGATAGCTTGCGGCGTCGCCGTGCCACCTCGGCGATGAGCGCGTCTACGACGCGTTTGCGGAAACTTGTGAAACTAACCTCCGCATCCATTTGTGGATCGGTCTGGAGCACTTGAGAAAGTATATCTTGTCGGTGTTGGGCGGTCGTATTCTCGGAGCATCGGTCGAGAACGCGGGAACCTATGCAAGGAAGGAATCCTTAGAATGTCGATTGCGGCAGATGACGTGCTGACGTTGGCGGCCGATGCTATCGATGCGCTTGTGCGTTCCAAAGAGGTGTCGCAACGAGCGCGTTGATCGCTGCAGATCATCGAAGTTCATTGGGTCGCTCACGGCCTCGCAGCGGCGGACATCGTACCCCACGCTAGATGAACCGCGATGCATCTTGCGCTATGACAATATCGAGAAGCGAACTCCCCCGAGCCAGGCGGACTTTCTTTCCGAATGCGAGCGCCCGAGCCGCTTCCACCGGCAATGACATGTGGTACCCGAACGGGAGCTAGAGGCCGAGTATATCATCGTTGACGCATGGATAGCGTATGGTCTCCTTAATGGGCTATGGCTGGTCTCTGCGACCAACATTGCAGCATTCGAACAGCTTCGCGAAGAGCATCGGCCGCGCTTGTTCAAGATTTCCCGTTTACCGGAAAGAGAGACACAGAAGCATACATAGACGAGTGAGAGCAGCAGACGATCCTTCTGCATGTGCTATGTTAGACTCAGTGCTGAGTCGAATAACGGGGCTCGTTTTCAAATGCTCCAGGTAGCTTTTACAGACACTGCGTGGCGGGCGTAGATTCCTGGTTGATGGGCGTCGTGGCGGTCGCAGTACCGCCAGACCAAGGTGACAGAGCCAAGAGACCCGTACGCAAAGCAAGTGAAGCTGCCCGACTTGCCCAGTGCCCAGGATCGTCGAGTCGGGCATGATATACGCCCGGGTGCATACGAACGAGCGGCATGACTGCTTCATGGACCATGGCAACGCCCTGAGCATCGTATCGCGCAGAAGGAAATGCTTTGTACACTACGGTATGTGCGCTAATGAGCGTCCACACGGCTGTTGTGGACGATTTCTGGCCTCGGTACATAAGCCATCACGGAGATCGCCAACGTTTATTGATGGACGAATGCGAGAAGCGTACGTCTGCGAGCTTGTTCCATGAACAGGGAAGGTAGATGACCGATTACGCGCGTCATTTAGCGGCGGTGGGAGCCCCTGCCGCAGGACGCGTTGTCGAGCGAAATAGCTACGCTCCTCCTCTCTCGAACAGAGTGTACAGCGGGTGCAGGAATCGATTCTATAAGATTTCTGTCGATGCTTTCAGGATGACATTCGCGCGTCACGAGCACATGTGCTCGCTCCAAAACGTTTAGAAGCGGGAAGCGAATCAGAGACGGACGCACGACATGGTGCCTCGCGTACGGACGGCATATTAGGTAGCGAGGCAATCGAAGGGAAACGACTTGCGGGGGTGTGATTCCACCAGCAAGCGTTCGCGCAAGCACTCGCTGCACCGTCACTTGAGCGTCTCGGTGAGCACTGGGAAATCTGTAGGAGTTCAGGAGTGTCCAGCGGCTTGGAGTTGTGCGAGCGTTAACGGAATCAATTTGTACACAGTGCATGGGTATTGTAGTGAATCGCAGGGGGCCTCGCGATGAAAACGATCATTAGTCACGAACGTGCGCATTGGACTCTCGCATGGTGCAACGCAAGGAAATGGTGCGGTTCAGCGATCCACTGAGACTGGAACGCCCTGCATACACACCAGAAATGGTTTACATTGCCATGCGGTAAACGACAATGGTGTTCCGTTGATTGCTATTTTTCTGAGTGCAAGTCTGAAAATTAGCAAGTACCTTAGATCTGTACCAGGATGTCACCTTTTATTAGAATGCATGTGGCGAAGAAGGCAGCGCAACAGATTGAACGCTGCACTGCTGAATTGCGTTTCCTCCTCAAAACTGATCGAGTCCTTCGAAGCTCACCCAGCATCGGCATGATAGTTTTCAATCTCGACCGAGCATGTGCAATTGAATCGGGAACTGAGCCTCGCCTGGAATGGATTTGCGGCTGTACAGGATCTCGAATGCGGGAAAGGGCTTCGAAGCTCACCCAGCATCGGCATGATAGTTTTCAATCTCGACCGAGCATGTGCAATTGAATCGGGAACTGAGCCTCGCCTGGAATGGATTTGCGGCTATACAGGATCTTGAATGCGGGAATAGAGATACTGATCTAAAGCGCTGTGCAACAGAGTGTGCGCAGTCGCAAGGGGCTCCCCGCTTTCGTATCATATAATCGGGGCTGCAGCGCGGCGCACAAAGAACGCTGTTTCGATCGTGGCTAGTGCGGGTGTTTCGCGCCCGCCGGTTACAGGTGTAGGGACAAGTACAAGGTCAGTCGACAGCTCGATACTAGCTCGCGAGCACGTATTTGAGCTACTGCTCTTTGCGGCCGAAACGAGAAAACTTGCATGCACAGCGATCCCTCGTCCTACAACCTGGCTGGCTCGGAGCGCCACACTCGATCTCTGCAAATGAATACGGTGTCGCTGCTCAGAGAGTTCCACAAAAGTAATGCTCCACGTGCAGCGATAGGCGCGCATGGCGTTGCGCGAACATAACCAAGATGCTTCGCGAGACGGGATACGCAGGCACCTACTTGCACACTCTGGCAACGTTCCGACACGTATCCCCGCTCGGAAAAGACCCCGTCGCGCCGCATCATCCCGAGTACGCGTCTGCGTGGAGAGAAGCCTATCTCTGCCCGCAGCCGATACCGCGATATCGAGAGAGCTGAGTCCTGAGCATGCAGCGTTCGAGTCCAAGCTACACAGCATCACGCCCATAGGAAACGCGATAAGCATTGTTGTGACGAAACGTTGGCCATGCGAATTGTCTTGATTCGGCATGCACACAATCCATGCAGCCGGACCTTGACCTATCGAGTGCAATCGATGCGCGTACCAAGCGTTCGCTAGTGCACAATCGTCATCAGCGTCTTGAGATGCAGCCTCTGGGCTACGAAAATCCCAAGATGTTTTCGCATCGCCTACCAGCGATGCATCTGCAGAGCCCCGACTATGCACACGCACACACCGGATCGAGTGCGTGCGTGCGCGCGTAAAATTCTCCCGCGATCACCGCAGGACACGCATCGCTGGCGGGGCGCCACTTTTTCCCTCCGATGCGTTTCCCGCGGAGACGGATAGCATCGCCCTACCGCTCCATTCATATCTAATTAACTCATGTATTCTTTCTGCTTTAGCCTATGGCCTGTAGAATAAACGCGGAGAAGGACTTCGAGGCAGAGCCCGAGTCTTCCACGAGCGGTACAGGTAGCCGGGCGGAGCGCAACCGCGTTTTGCCTGAAAGAGCAGGCAGAGCAGCAGAGTCCATCGTATCCTGGGGTCCTGAAGTGTACGACGCTGCCGCTGCTTTGTCGCAGTTGCGCGAGAACACGCACTGCGGGCCGCCAACACAAACGAAGCGTCGTGGACGGCCAAAGAGAACTTTCCGTTCTCCGACACCTTTCGGGCCTACCGGACCGAACCGCCGCTGGAAGCGATTCGAGGCAGGTCCAGGGCTGCGTTTAGAACTGACGCGGACGGAACTCGAAAATAACGCGTCCACGCAAGTGGAGTGCCCTCAGCCGAGCTGTGGTCGTGTCTTTGGATCGCGGCAGGCGTTGGCCGCACACTTGCGGCATTTTCCATCTCATCGTTCTTTCTATAACGAAAACGTAGGTCATCGGTATGGTAACTCTCGCGTACGTATTCGCTACATCGCAGCAGAGGAGTCGCACCAGGCTGCTTGCGGATCGGAGATGGCGCCTTCTTCGGCGCCCTTGGCGACTGCCCGAATGGAGGTCCCAGTGGATCACGCATCCAGGGATCAGGCTGAGTCGAGGGAGCGTTTCGCCAAACGAAACCTTGTTGGCGGTCGTGTGCTGGGCAATCTCACCAATATCGCTGCCCAGATCAATGAACAAGGCGTTTCTGTGTGTGACGATGTGGCACGAACTCCGGGCGCCTTGGAATCGAAGCGCGTGTCGTAAGCCAGCTGGCACCGAAGACTCCGCAAGCCTACTTTCGCCTTCCAGGTGCGCGACTGGTGCGGTTACCAGAGGCGCACAGAAAGCGCCATCGAGTCGCACCAGCGTCACGGGGTCGTATACGTTTGCTGCTGCAACCGCCCTGCTGTTGTTTCCTCCTGTTCATGATTGGTGCCAACGCTCCGATTCTTTCTGCGAAATGGTGACGGCAACGTAGCAATCACGCAGACAGCGCAACCAGAACATGCGAATCACTGGATATCGTCTGGTTTGCCACACATCGCGAACCCATCTCTCAAATATGGTACCTGCACATGCTCCGGGTTCGAGTGCAGGCCACAGCGGTGCGCGTCTCTCAGAAATGGCATCGGCAGGAGCTTCCAGTTCGAGTGTAAGGCGCACCTCCTTGAACGCCGTGCAACGCGATGGTGCGATTCCTGATTGTCGGCGAGCTCGCAGGCTGCACGACCGGGGCATCGAGTGGATCATCCGAATAGAGGGAGCGCGTTGACGACCTCAGCGCCGAATGCATCCGCAAGAGATACGACTTTCGCATCCTTTACGCAGATCGTCTAAAGCAAGATTGATGATGGACACAAGCTCGACGAAGCGCCTTTGCTAGTGCGTGTGCATGATCGCGAGGCATTCTGATACCGCAGTTTTCGAGGCCAGCCACGCCGCCCTTTTGCTGCGAAATACCCGCTCCATACGAGCGTCACTCGCTGTATCTCAATCGACGACGTTGAAGCGATTGTGCAGACAGGAAAACATGAGGTTCTTAGGCAGGGTCAAAGCGGTTCTGGGCTCCAAGCTATGCGCAAACGCTGCCTTTGCCAAAAGGCCAAGCAGCTTGCATTCAGAATTCGAGGTGAGGCTCCGACGGAGGCTCAGCACGTCGGCAGTCTGTAACCCTAACGATTCATTTCGCTGGCGGGAGCGTCGTCCGAGACGGCCTGCAAACGGTAAATTAATTGAGCATGCGCAGCGATCAGGGATTCCCCTCTGGAGCCGAACACACAGCTCCCCATCTGATGACGTAAGCGAGGAACCACAACAGATGCCACCCTAAGAGCGTCTTCCAGACGGTACACGTGGATTACACCGGCATCCGTTGCAACGCATACCAGGCCGGGATCAACGGCAGTCCCGATGTGGTCCTCATCGAGCGCGACATCGATAGCGCCGCATCCTCCTCCGCTGCCGCGCAGTCCAATGACCCTCTCGCCCCGCCCGGACTGATTCCAGATATCTGTACCCTTCTCATAATCAAGGTAGCGTAACGAATCAGATGTTTTCACGACGAGACCGCGCGGGCCACAGCGCACGACTTCGACAGTACTCGCAACTGCTGCAAGGAGGCGACCACCGTCGAGTTCAGCCAGTCGACCCTGCAACACTTTGCTTTCCGCACCGGGTGCCTCGGCCGGCCCCGTCCAAGTGCTCTCCTCAAATCTGAGTTGCCACACTCGGATTTCGGACGGCTTCGTACGCGCTACGAAAAGCGCATCCTCCGGAGAGAGCGCGAGCGCTGTCGGCCGTTCCAGATGGACTCGCCCGATGAGCTGCACATGACGATGACCGCCCAGAAGCTGCCATACACAAACCCCATTCCCTGAGGCAGATGCGAAGACACCCTCGCGGCTGGGGTGGGCGCCCACCGCGCGAATGCCGAGTGCATCAGCAACCGCATGCAGATCGACTGCGGTACAGGCCTCTGCTGCGGAGAGCGGTTTTCCAGCTTCATGCGATATGATGAGGATTTCCGAGGCTTCCGCGATGCTGAGAACCCGCAGCCGACCAGAACGGCAGCCGATGACGACCAGCGTCTCCAGGGTTGCTTTGCCTCGTTCACTTGCTGGCACCCATCGCTCTAGCCAGGAGCGCTGCTCCCTCGTCGTGACCGGCAGTACGAAACAGCAACAGGTGAACTCGTCTCCATCCGAAGACCGAAAGGCAACACACAAGTCCAAGTTCGGACCCAGGTGCTCGTTATCATAAACAAAGCAATACTCGGAAGAAAGAGAGGCGATTAAGTTGTGTGCAGTTGCTTGCACTGTGTTGCGCTCGAGTGCGCGAATATCTTCGTTGTGCGGTTCACGAATGATTCGCTTAAGCTCCAGTTTCTTCAAGTTCGTTTCCCATACTGACATGAAGCGGAAAGTCCAAACGTCCTTAACTGACTTGTGCGCTACCCAGGTGAGTACGCACCAAAAGCGGTAGAAAAAAGATACGGAGAGAGCGCGGGCACGGGAGACGCGCGCCTTCCCGCGCCCTGGCCAGCACGACAGCTGCGCCATCGAATGTGTCGCAGCTGCGGATACGGGCTGGTGTGCGCTCGCAACCACTCGACGCAGTATCGACCATAGTGGATTCTCGGGGAAAAGCCTGATTTTCAATTAGACGTATGCGCGATGGTTGGTTGAAGCTCCATTCCATGTTTGAAATGATGCATGCTTGCCTAGAAGACGATATTCGGTGCGCACTGGGGATATCTGGTTTGTCCCGACGATCCAATACGAAATATATCCATCGTTAGGCAGTGGCGGCGTCGTGCACTTGGACCTCCACGGTGCACGCCGCTCGTATCATGACAGTAAGGCAACGATGCCTGTATGTGGATGTGTGCTGGATACGGAACGTCAGGAACGTGGGCCTGCGCGAGAACGTGGCAAGGCCATCCAGAGGGCACAGACAGCGTCGAACGGGCCCGTGAATCGGAATCGTGGGGTATCGGAGAGCGCCGCACTGGGGCAGCGGATAACCGTCGTATTCGTAAGGCGGATGTGGTCAGGGGCATTCCCCAGTTACCATGCGCTAAGTATTCGATGGTCCAGGTGAGGCCTTCGAACGATCTCGCTATTGATTGGGCTGTCTGTGGGCGGCCTATACAGAAGGTTTGTCGAATCAGGAAATCGTGTACGTGTGACCGTTGACACATCGGGAGTGAACCAGATTTCTCCGTAAAACCCAGAGACGGACGCACGACATGGTGCCTCGCGTACGGACGGCATATTAGGTAGCGAGGCAATCGAAGGGAAACGACTTGCGGTGGTGTGATTCCACCAGCAAGCGTTCGCGCAAGCACTCGCTGCACCGTCACTTGAGCGTCTCGGTGAGCACTGGGAAATCTGTAGGAGTTCAGGAGTGTCCAGCAGCTTGGAGTTGTGCGAGCGTTAACGGAATCAATTTGTACACAGTGCATGGGTATTGTAGTGAATCGCAGGGGGCCTCGCGATGAAAACGATCATTAGTCACGAACGTGCGCATTGGACTCTCGCATGGTGCAACGCAAGGAAATGGTGCGGTTCAGCGATCCACTGAGACTGGAACGCCCTGCATACACACCAGAAATGGTTTACATTGCCATGCGGTAAACGACAATGGTGTTCCGTTGATTGCTATTTTTCTGAGTACAAGTTTACCAACCCCAGTACGATGGAGCGCGTGACACAGCTTTCCGGTACGCATACCTGGTATTCCAACAACCCAGTGGACGTGCAAACACGAGCACAACCCCTTTGAACTGAAGTTGAAGGAAAGGTACATCGTGCAACGCTTTCCCAGTCCGGGATCATCGCGTTCATCTGTGCGACGCGGTGCTCTGGGATCGATTCGCATTCCGCGTGGAGCTTTGGTGCATGGAAACCGAATGTTTGTTGGAACGGGTACCGCAAGGTTTTTCGCCACAAAAGCCCAAAAGGCAGCAAATGCAGGACAGCAGCACGGCCGTTTTACTGGCTATGACCACGTCGTGCTCGTGAACCGAGTGAATGCGCCGCGACGACCTCGCGGTAACACGCGAAACGCTTCCAGTGCCTTGCGCATTCAGCAGCCTCTATCACTTTCAGCGAACTTGTTCCGGAACGAAAAGAAAAATGATTGGCCACGCTGTTTCCCGCAGGTGCTCTGTGGGCTTCTAGTGGCGTTGCAGCTCCAGTCGAGCGATTGCACGGTGTTCGCGAGCGCGAACCCCACCGAGAACGCTGGTACGGCACCGCTCGAAGCAGAGCCATACCTGAAACAAGGGCGACCCGTCCCAGCGACGACTGAGCCACTGACTCTGGGTCATGCCGCGGATGTTGAGCACCGCGTCACGCGCGACGCTACAGGCACCCTGATTCCCCTCGACATTGTGCAGCTGCGGGCACCGCGCGACGTTCGCTCGCCGCCAGTTCGGTCACGAGATGCCGTGCTTGTCCGGTACGTCGCGTTCCTTGAAGATGGAACTGTGATCGAAGACAAGAGAAACGGCAAAACTCCGGTTTTCTTCCGGGCGGGCACTGCAACCCTGCCGGCGGCTGTCGACTTGGGGGTGGAGGGTATGCGGGTCGGCGAGCAGCGACGTGTTCGCGTCCGAGCGGTGGACAACTTTCACGGAGTGAATCTGCGGCTAGGCGCTGCTGCTGTGGTACCACGTGAGAGTACCCTTTATTATGACATAGAGCTGGTCGGGATCAATCCGTATTCGTAAGCGGTAGATCCGGATCACGCGGGGCATCACATGGACGATTTCAGTTCGCGCTTCATGGGTATGATCAAAAAAACTGGTGTGTGCACCTCTGCCCTGAATGATCGTAGTGCTTGCTGACGACCCAGGACGTGTTATTTGCACAAGCAATCGAGAATAGCTGCCAATGACGCGTAACAAAACTGACCGAGCTGAAACCGTGACGAAATGTCGACGACTAGGTACCCGCGAGATGGAGTTCGGCCACGAGTCGTTGGCGCTCGTGCTTATCACCGTGTACGCAACGACGACGCCAAAGTCAGCGTGAAATGGAACGGGTGTACACGCTCACGTTTGAGTCTCTTCCCATCGTTATCAATGCCAGCGTTTGCGCGCTTTTTCTGTGACTGTTTCCTTTTCATCTGTGCGAATACGGGTATTCTATAGGCCGGCTTCTGTTCTCGCTCCAGCGCCATTTTCAACGGTTGAGGGATGTTGATGGCAGCGTTAAAGTCGCGATTCCGTAGCTTGCTCCTGTTATCGAAGCGATTCATGCGTAAGCAAAAGTCACGAACAAAGCTTCACTTGTCGTTCTCATCTCCGTTGCGTCCAGCCTCGATACGCTTTTCGTGGCGCTGACACATGCTTGTTACGGGGGTGCTCCTGGGCGTCCGCCGCACTTGATCCTCCGAGAATCGCCCTGGGGCGCGTTCAGGTGTGCGTCATCGCGCTTTACATACCCTGGACGGATACAGAGGTGTCTCCCCGGTTCCATCATCCGTTTCCGCGTCCAGTTTATTACCCTACGATCACGACTTTCGTACGAGCGATCCGCTCGTCGAGTATCCTGCTCGCTGCGCGCGTACACTGTTCTTTTCGATAGAGAATTTGTGAAACACGGTGTTGCCCGTAATGGCACGAGAATCGGAAGGGACATAACGGCTGGAGAACGAGTCGTAGCATGTCCTTACGTCAACGCTGGCTTTGCCAAAACCGGTGATCGATGTTCCGCTGGAACCAATCGCTGCGAAGTCGCAAGTCCGAGTCCAAGACTCTATTCCATAATATAGAAGAGACGGCAGTCTCTATGAACATGTCCCGTGGGCGGTAAAATGAGGATCTAGTGTTCGGTTCCGTCGATCTCCATGCGAAAATTTTTCTTTCCGATGGAGACGATTATCTAACATGGCAAGTTCAAGGAGCGCTTCGCTTGCGCCTATGAAGCGTTACTCAACGAACCATGCCGACGCTTTTTAGGCGGCGATCTAGCGACGCGAACTTTCTGCGCCCACGCGTTACTCTGAAACAGGAAGATCGAAAGCTTCAAAAAGACTAGAGTAGAGAAGCAGGATACATGTCAGCAAACTCGAAAAGCGGAGACGTGTGTATACGAATTGGAAGGCGATCTCGGTTGCTTTTACGAACCCAAGTGCGAGGGCGTCGTGAATCATCTTGACTTCAGCTACGAAATGCATCCCAGCGACAGAGAGTTGATGAACCCATTCTGAAAAGAGGACCGAGAACCCCAAATCTACATATGAATCTTTCAGCCCCGATCTCTACCCGAGAAATGTTGATGCTGTACATGTACAAAAAAAAGAATCGAAAGACCGAACATGCAGGATAGGAACGACTCGTCCAGGGTTCCATTTTTAAGCGAAACGGACCTCGGCGCAAAAGCAAAAGCTTCCAACCAGTACAGATTTGAAACTTATCGACCAGCTCTCCGCTCTGGCCGACCGCCTCCCTCTCTCTCACCAGAACAGCATCACGCGGTAAATGCTTGTACCCATAATGCGTTCCACTGAGCGAGTGCGGACAGCCAGTCGTGACGGATGCTCGGCTGGTCGACCTCATGATCATTCGCTGCGGCGCCGTGCCTGCTGGCATCATCCATGCGAGACTCTGGTGCGACACATGCGGAGGCCTCGCTCGAGGACTCAGTCACTGAAGCGCTTGTATGAACATCAGTCGACATCCATAAGCAGGTATCGAACAACGCGTACGTGATCTCATGTCCAGGGGATACGTTTCGAGCCGCACACTGCGGCAAGATGTGTTGAATGACGATTTCGAGCAGCTGGCGACGTAAGCACGCTGGCAAGTCCGTCGAGGAAAACATGCGGCTTGCTCGCTGCAGCATCTCCAAAATTTGTTCATCAGAGAGGAATATTCCGCGAAGTTTGCATAGGATAAGCTCGTAAAACTGAGCATAGTCCGGCAAAAACGCAAGCGCTGCTAAAATTTGCCGCCGCTGTTGACCCACGGAAGCAGGAGCCGGGCGATCCTGCAGCGCAGCCTCAAACGCGTCCAATAAACTCTGCTTCTGTGCAAGAAACCACATCATGTCCGGCAACCGCACGGAATCACCGATTTCCAGGCGGCGCATCTGTGCAGTGCAACATCGCAAAGCCTTTTCTTTTTGCCCCAGAAGGACCCATTCGTAGAAGGCAGCAGGCCATATTGCGTTTGCTTCCAGCAGGCGCGCACGAGCAGCGTGCAGCGCATCGCCCAAGGCCTCGCGCTCTAAAGTGGCGACTCCCGCACGGTGCATCATGCGTATTGCTTCGGCCTCGAACAGCCGTTGCTCCCGAAGAGAATGCAGACTGGATGGGATCAAGGCCAAAAGCATTCCTGACACGGCATTGGCCGCGGCAAACGACGTCCGGTAACGTAGAGTCATGCGCCAATAGTCGGTAAATTCAGTGCGCTCCATGAGTGTGTCAGCGTATCGCTGCATAAGCGGGCCTGCGATGGACGTCATACCGCTCGGAGGAGAACATGTGTCCGCCATGTGAACGGCGTGCCAGATCCCAAAGGGAAAAAGTGTCAGTGCCACTATGGCTTCTTCAAAGTGGCCCATAGCTATCGCGTTGGATATCCAGTACAGCACTGCAGCGGGTTCCAGACTGCCTTCTCGTATCGTATCGAGGTACTCGGCAGGGGACGCGAGCGGAAACCTCAGACAAGCGCTTTTCGCTGCTTTCGAGGAGAGCGCTGCGAATGAGCGCTCGTCCTCATAGCTTCCGCGTCCGTACAACACATGGGCTATGAAATCATCCGCCCAGTTCCTTACAACGTCTAGGGAAAATTCCTCCTCACCACTGAGGCATTTTAGGAGTTGATTCGCCTCATGGAGCCCGTCTATGTTGCGTCCATTAGCTCCTAGCTGTGAAAGCGTCTCTGCGGCAACAGCGCACGCTTCCTGCCATTGTCTCCAGTTCGGGGCAGTGAGTGTTTCGGGAGCCTCGTGCAGCGCTGCCGCCACCAGCTCAAGAACCGATGTCGCGTCTAGCAGTTGTGTGTCGCCACCCGCTCGATCGTTCCTGCTTTTGGACAGCGCAGCGCCCAGCAGCTCCAGCGCAGCAGAAGGTCGACCCTGGGCGCAGGCGCGATGAACGGCCCGCCAGTCCAGGGTGCCGGAGCGTTCAGAAGGTGCGCTTTCCGGGTGCTCGGGTTCTGCGGTACTCACGCCAGCATACCACTGGTGCAGACACTCGTCGATGGACAAAACATTTTCAAGCGGCTCGTCGCAAAAAAGCAGCGCCTGGGCAAGCCGCCAAATGCCCCCGAGCGCGGGTAAACTCGCCAGCACCCGCGCCTCTTCTGAACTGCCACAGTCGCTCGCTTCAAGACCGTGTGCCGAAGTTGACTGCGCACTCACCTGCTCTACCAGGTCGACATAGGATTTCCAGGCAACATGGCGCTCACGCGAGCTTCGCACACCAGGCTGATCGCGAAAGCAGCGCCATATTGCATAACCACCACAAACGAGCTGTGCTGTGGGCGTTAAAGAGCCGTTCTGGAACACTTGCATGACCCGATCGGGACGCCTCGTCCACCAGTCGAGTGCAGGGACGCTGCCTGCCACTTCCAGTGCGATCAAGTTCCGAACCCAGAGATAGACTCTGGGTACACGTGGAGAACGGAGCTGGTGCAGGCCCTGAAGGATGCATTCTTCTCTAGCTGCAGTGCGCCGGTGCGCGAGCGCAGGTCCGAACATTCCACTGGGGGCTCGCTTTCACAGCCCGACGTTCACGACTGTTGGCTTGCACTGCGTCTAACCGACACGAGCAGCAGCAAGCCTGCCTTTTATTTCTCAGTGTGACACTTTAACATACGATAAAAGGGTGCTCGCTTCAAATCAATTGAAGCTATCACGGGCCGGTTGCGCAGAGGAAGCACAGGCTACTGGTGAGGAAGAGGCCTCCGGTTTCCAGCGAAGCTACCCATGCGACCGAGACTGCTCTTCTTGTCGTCGCTACCCCAGCGCTACTGGGGCAGGTTCACCAACCCAAGTTTCTGTCTGCACGAAGCGAGCGTTCGATCGTTGCGCAGACACGGCGGTAAGCAGGGTCACTCGCCGAGCTTGGAGCTGCTTGCCTCGGACGCGGCCCCTGAGCACTCGGCGAAGGTTCAGGCCGCAACGGCGTCCTCGGCGGCTGCGTCGCCAGCACCGAAGAATGCTCGGGGCCGCCAAAACCCCAATATCGCTAGCCCCGAGTCGGGTGCAACTGCAAACAACCTTCGCGTACTGCGGAGCGCCCGCCTCGAGAAAGTTCACGCCATGCGTCAGGCTGGAGTCGAGCCCTACGCGTACCGTTTCGAGGTGAGCCACTCGACACAGGATCTTCACCAGTTGTTTGGGGACGTCGAACCAGGCACGATCCGGGATGATGTTCATGTTTCGATCGCAGGCCGCATCATGAATCGTCGCATCTTTGGGAAACTGGCCTTTTTCACACTCCAGGACTCGAGCGGTACGATCCAGCTTTATTTGGACAAACAACGCATCACCGAGCACATGCAAAATCGAATACCTGAATCTTTTTCGCGGTTGAAACAGTGGATCGACGCAGGTGATATCATTGGGGTCACTGGCTCGATCCGAAGAACTGAAAAAGGCGAACTTTCTGTCTACGTTAAGGAATGGACGATGCTTACCAAGTCCCTGCGTCCTTTACCGGACAAGTGGCACGGCCTCACGGACATTGAGAAGCGCTATCGCCAACGCCACATGGATCTCATCGTGAACCCCGCTGTACGTGATGTGTTCCGCAAGCGGGCTCAGATCACTGCCGCGATTCGACGCTTTCTCGATACGCACGGCTTTTTGGAAATCGAGACACCTGCGCTGCACCAACAGGCTGGTGGAGCCGAGGCACGTCCCTTCGTGACGCATCACAATGCCCTGGACATGGATTTGTATCTGCGAATCGCCACGGAACTGCATCTAAAGCGACTGGTGGTGGGCGGCTTCGATCGCGTCTACGAAATGGGCCGCATCTTTCGAAACGAGGGCATTAGTACGCGGCATAATCCCGAGTTTACCAGTATTGAGATTTATCAGGCGTATGCGGACTATGGGGATATGATGCGTCTCATGGAGGATCTGGTGGTGCAGGTCCTGCGGGATGTGCATCAGGGTGTGTTGCAGGTTCGCTATCAAGATACAGAGTTGGACTTTAGTCCACCGTGGCGGCGCGTTTCCCTCTTTCAGATGCTTCAGGAGCGCACCGGAATGGACTGGCGCTCCACTGCTTTGAGTCTGGAGGAGGCGCGAGCGCTCGCTCACAAGCACGGCTGCCCGGCTGGCGATGCACGTAGTATAGCCGAAGTCGCGGTAGCGGTGTTTGAATCGCTTTGCGAGTCGGATCTCGTGCAACCGACGTTTGTTGTCGACCATCCGAGGGAGACGAGTCCGCTTGCGAAGCCGCACCGCTCCGAATCGGGCCTTGTGGAGCGTTTTGAAGTTTATTGCGCGGGTCGAGAGCTCGCGAACGCGTTCTCGGAACTGACGGATCCTGTGGATCAACGGGAGCGTTTCGTAGAGCAGTCTGCCCGTAAAGCGGCCGGGGACCTTGAAGCGTGCGACGTTGACGAGTCGTTTCTGGCGGCCCTGGAGACTGGTATGCCGCCAACAGGAGGTCTCGGAATCGGAATCGACCGTCTCGTGATGCTGTTGACGAATGCGCCCAGTATTCGGGATGTCATCGCTTTTCCGCTGCTGCGGCCGACGTTGGAGTACCCGAACGACGGGTCAGATGATGCAGAATAGCGGTGTTTGGAATGAGAATGGCAGCTCGTGACCGGGCCTGATCGAAATGCTGTTAGAGATGCTTGATCTTTTGTATGGCAGGGGATATGCTCGTTAGATACGGCGAGCGTTGACTATCCGCGACTGCGTGCTTCATGTGCTGGAAAAACCACATCCTGATGACGCACTGTTGCTGCACAAGCAATGGCAATGCTGAAAAACACCAGGGAGAATCGGATGAACTTACACCATTTAGTATGTCCTTGGATCGACTCATTTGTATTCCGTCGAGTTCAGGTGTAGCAACGACGATCAAGAGGGCGCAGCAGGGGTCGTCATGCTTTGGGGCAAGTGCACCGGCCACGTTGGTGAGCGTCGACTTGCACGGAAACCATGTTCGCCTCGATTGACTCCAGCTGCTTGTACAGAGGCGAGCCATACCCGGATTACCACTGGCAGGCACGGAATTATTGGGAGACGAGAGCGCGTACGTGTCGGTGTGTTTTTGTGGGGCTACAGATGCGATGCCTCAAGACGAAGAACGCTGGTCTTCGGCGCCGGACATGCGGAAATGCATTCTGTCACAACATTACCGTGAAAAGTGGTGTGTTCATGTGCATGGGCGTGCGTGACCTCCCAGACGAATTCGGACGCTACTGAATGAGTATACTATTGGGAAGCGTGGTGGACAAATGGATCGTCGGCTTATTGCCATCAAAGCTGGCATCTTCGTGTGTGAATCATTTAGATGAGTTCGAAAGCAACTGAATGTGTACATTGGCAGGGATCGCAAGTGCCTTGCTCGCGAGCATCGCAAAAACCGCAAACGTACCAGCGTCCACAGACGACGCACGCTGACCGAGGTATGTCATCGGATGGATACGCTTGATGCTGATGCTGCCGGATAGCAAACACCATGCTCAGCAAGCGCGTTGGCCCTCAGCATGTCGGACAAGGGCTTGCGTTCCATAGGAAACATTCCATGCTCCGTTGGGGCCCAGCCCTGCGGGACGAATTCCATGGGTCAAATCTTCGACAAGGCAAGGTCTACCAGTTACAAGACATGTAGTAGTCTTTTACCGCGAGTCGTCGGTGCTTGTTCGCGACTCGAGTACTTCAAGTTCCCAAAGAATTCTTGTCATGCTGCCACGAAACACGCGTTCCGCACCCACATGCTATGTCCGTGGCTTGCGTAGCGTTCGGAGGTAGCTGCGCAGCATGTTCAGTACCGTGAATACCATTCGTAGCATATGCAGAAACCATAGACGCATTCGGTATCTAATCAGCCGGCTGAGGCCAATGATGCCCATGGTGGAGGTCGCACGGCCCCCAGCCTCTGCAGGGTCGACGAATGCAGCGCGATCGCTGGTACGCTCCGTTGGAGACGCCCCCCATGCGACCGTGTTTTCGTCCATAGATATTTCTGGGCAGCTCAGATTTTCCAGGTCCTCGGCAGAGATTTCCACATCTGCTGTAGTTGCTCCGTCTTCGGATTCGCTTTTGCCGGGACGCCAGCCACGGCGGATGGCGTAAAGAATGTCTAACCTTTGTCGCCCTAGTTCAACCGAGGTCACTTTTGCAGGTTCCGAGGGAGCGCGTTTCGTCGTCGACTGGCCTGTTGGGACGCGAAAGACATCCGATATCCTGCGAGGCCTGCCCAGCGGTCGACGCGGCATCCTTTCCAGAGTCCCAGGCTCTTGAGCGTGCGCATTCGCAAGCTCGTCTCGGGTTGGCTCGTGTTCGGTGCTCTCTTTCGCGTCGGAATCGGTCGCCATGCTCCCGAGTGTTTGATGCTCAATAGCAGAGGCGTGCTCTGATTCGGTTTCATCATGCGGCATTGCTTCGAGCGAATGATTCGAGTCATCGGGCGCGAGCTCTGTCTCCGAGGCAGCTTCGGCGGCAGTAGACGGTCCATTCAGCACAACGTCTGAATCAGCCAGTCCATCCACGGGCTGCACCAGATCTTGATCACGCTCTGTGTTCGTTTCGTCAAAAGGATGAGTAAGTACTAGATCTGCTGTTTTTTCTGCCGAGGTTCCATCCGTGTGTGCGTTCGTTTCCTCTTGCGCTAATGAATTGCCTGTGATCTCCTCCAGACAGCGCTGCATCGGCGCAGTTGCACCATCAAAAAGAGTACCCATTCCGAAAGGCTCGTCTGGTAGCGCTGATGAAGATAAAAGAGGCGATTCCTTCATCCTATCACTGTTCAAGTCATCGACAATGCCTTCCGGCGCTTTCGAGTTCGAGGGCTCTTTCTTATGCAGCAACCGTGCCTCTTCGGCTCCAGGAACCGTTGCCTCCGTTCGGGGTGAAGCTTTTGCCTGGTGTTCCTCACAACGCAGCGGTGTCGCACCACGTATAATCTCCGATCGGCCGGCTCGTGAGCTCTCTCCACCGACACGTACAGAGTGATCAATAGGTACCTCTTCCCGCGCTTGCGCCGCGGGATAAGATGTCTGGTCTGCAGTGCGGAGATGATCACTTTCCGTATGGCAAGACTGGGTCGCCGCAGATTTGCTTGAATACTTCCGCCGCCTCCCGAGGTCGTTTATCTTTACCTGAAACCAAAAGCGCCGTTGGTGGAGAGCGTCCATAAGCAAGCGCGCAGACGGCGCCTTGCCGCCATAGAGGTGTCGCTCCATGCAGCTTCTGTCCAACCCATAGTGGACACGACAAGTGGGTTTCTCCAGACCGCGACTACGGTGATACGCAGCATGCATACCCGAAGGCGTTGTGTAACAAAACATAGGCCTCATTATTTAAGAATGATGACTCGAGCTCTGAGAAGAGCGGAACGCTATCGCCGAAAACCGGGAAAGCCATCCATGCAGCGGGATCGCGAGGTCGAGTGAGTCGCTCCCGGGCCGCTCGCAGCGCCCCCGCCAATTTCGTGGTCGCAATCGGAGTTTCGATTTTCGGGAAATTGACGGCTGCTGCTCGGCTGGAGAACCGGTGGTGAGTCAGTTCTTGTAGGCGTGGAGAATTCCGGAACACCTGTACCAGAATACCCCTTTCGTTTCAGTATATTTCTGTCATAGAGAATCAACGAAAAAATGTATCATGCAGGTTGGGGGAAGCTTGCGGACAAAAGGGATGATGTCGCTGCTGCCTTGTGACAAACGGCCTTGCTTCTGCCCGCTAGTCATTCCAAGGCCAGCACGTGGATGAACCGCTCTTGTTCTAGTCCTAACACGGAACGTTGTCCACGTAAATCAGAAATCAAACGCTATGTACACGATTGTCTACGTGCTACTCTAGTCCACTGGAAAGTTTCCCCGTTGAATGCTATCAAACGAGGTACTGGATTTCAAGTTTCAGTATCGTTGATACGAACGATGATAAATAAATAGGCTTGGGAAAAGAATGAAGCACGGTTCTATGGGAAACCGTTGCGCATTGAAAACCATGCTCTCGGTTTCGCACTGAAACATGCACGCTTATTATGAAAGCGACGGATGTTCACGTCACTCCATGAGACTGCAATCGGGAGCATTGTCAGATCCATGCATATGTGCACTGAACAAATGGGCAACTGCTGTCCATAAAGAACATACAAGCGTGTATGACGAGAACATCAGTCGAAATGGCGATTCGGTTGTGTATTCGGTAGCCTGTTCAACGCGCTGGAAGCAAAAGTCACCAATTCGCGGTGTCGTTGGGTTGTGGTAGCCACTATGACGGTGGGCGCAGTACAGCGCGCAAAGGCTGCCATCCCGCCCCCTTGGCAAGCGCGTATGGTGTGCACAGGGTTCGATGCTATACGAGTCCCACGGATATGTTCAGGACCGAATACACGTGCGAGGGTCACAGATGCGCGCTGAACCAGGCGGAGAAACAGTATTCAAGCAGAGACAGACGCACAAGGTGGTGTGCGGTAAGCTGATCGATTGTCGGCTACCAGGGCAATAATTGGTGAGAGTCTTGCTGTGGTGCACGTGCGCCAGCGATGGTGTGCCGAAGCGTTTCCTGTTCCGTACCCTAAACGGCTCGATAAACAGCAAGGAATGTCTTGTGCTCCTGGAAAGACCGGCGGATTAACTTCGAGAGAAGGTTCGGAGACATCGTTTGGTAGTTGGTATGGGTATGATAATGAAACGCTGAAGACTTGTGATACAAAAAAATCAGTGGCCAGAGAGACGGCATTGGAGTCTCGGATGGAGCAAGGCAACGACATGATACAGATCAACAATCGAGCCAGTCTACAGCGTTGCGTATAGGTGGATAGGGAACGGTTTTCTTGAGCAAGTGGTCATCGACGCTGGCGCTCTGTTATTTGACATTATCGTATAAATCGATTCGATGAGTTAAACAAATTCATCTTGGGTACGGGAATCAGCCTGCAGATATCAAGGAGACAATCGAGTCACTGCGCGCACTTCAACGCTCGGGAAACTCGAGAATTACCTCTATTCCGTGCAGAGAGGTTCAGTAAATTCAGCAATTTTCTGGATGTCACTTATCCCGGAGACTGGATTTTGCTGGGGCGCCTCCTGCCGGCGATGGCGCGCACTCATGCTTTTTCGCATCCAGAGGAAAAGTACGCTCCAAGAAGACCAGGAGGTCGAGGCAAACAGTTTTCGCTGCACCGCGACCTGCGAAGCAAATTTCATCACTTGCGTCATCCAGTAGGCACACGAGACCCAGTCCAGATGCGATGCACGCAACAGTGGCGAATTTCCGCGTTTCGCTACGTGCTTCCCCCAGGAACACCAGTTCTCATAGAAGGTTGCTATCGTTTTTGCGGGAGATCACCATGAGCTGACCTCCGGTTCTCAGCGACTTTCGGACCCATTCATACCAGTCCTATCGCACTGATGAACTAGCGTCGACGTTTTGCGGATATCGCTAGAACGCATGCGTCCATGTTTCTTGCATCGTACTTGCTCGGACACGGACACCAAGGCTAGATTCACTGACATGGCGGCCTCCCAGAGTTTTCTCACGTGTCCATGCATTTGAAAGAGACGTGATCGGAATCCCGCTGCCCCAACGTAGTATCCATTGAATCTGAAAACTTTATGAAGTAGCCTTTGCAGATCGCTGGTGCATCGTATCTGATTCATTGTTTGTAGCAAACAAAAGCGTCATGTCTCTAACGTTTGCTAACACGTATAGGGGGAAGAACGGCATGGCTAGAGTTATTTGTGTACCACGTGCAAGGCTACCTGCAATATATCCATGGAGCCCCTGCTGCGACGAACTTATGAGGAAAGGCGGGCCGCTCTTCTGCGAACAGGTGAGCTGAAACGATCAACTCTTTTGCGAACAGATGAGCTGAAACGATCCGCTCTTTTGCGAACAGGTGAGCTGAAACGATCCGCTCGAGCGTTCCCTGGCGATTTACCCCGCCGCCGCTTGCCGCCCTGCGCACGCATTCCCCCCATTTCCCCCCATTTCCCCCCATTTCCTCAGTGCGCACGCATTCCCCCCGGCGCACGCATGCCGCCATGCGCACGCATGCAGTGAGACACGTAGGAGCGGTGCTCGTAACCTGCGCACGTACACCAACAGCTTCTGCTTCATAGTTCAGTTGCATTTGTTTCAGCCTCCTCAGCGGCACTTTTTCAGGCACGAGAGCCGTATCGCTGAGGGCAAGTCGAACTGGTGCTGCAGGTGAGGCTCTAGCCTGAACAGATGCCGTCGTCCCCGACACCGGGGGAGCTGCGCGCTCGACTGGAGGATCCTCAGCTCACCTCTGCAGAGCGTCTCAAGTTGCTTATCGAATTACGGGAAAACATTGAGTGGTTTCAATCTACAGATTACCAGCAGTTTCTGGACCAATTAATCCCGTGCTTTGAGCAGATTCTCACAACGTTAACGAGACCGCAACTTGAAGAGAATGCTGAACAGGCTCTGCGACGAACCGTTCTCGAGGTGCTGAGTCGTTTGCCGCACGGGGAGGCGTTGCGGCCGCACGCACGACGACTCCTGCAAATGTGCCAGTATGTGCTCGACGTTGATGATGCGGAGCCGAACGCGGTTCTGGCGCTGCAGATCATGTTTGAGTGCCACAAAGCGTACCGTCCGCAACTTGCAGCGGCGATACCACCCTTTTTGGACTTTGTTTTGCGCATTTACGGCGTTTTTGAGTGGCGTGAATCAGATGATGATTCCCTGGTTGCTGAAGACACCGGACAACAGGATACATACCTTGAGCCGGGTTTGGAACAGGATGGCAGCGTCGAGGCAGCGTCGCGCAACCGACCGACGAATGTGCGGTATGCCCCGGCCTTGCGCTCTTATCGGACGGTTCGCGAATGCCCTCCGTTGTTTATGTATTTGTCGCAACACTATCCTGCTCTGATCGAGCCGCGACTCGATGAGCTTCTCGCAGTGATGGTGCGCGCTATCGAGATCCAGGTACCGCCGACGTCACCGGCTCGAGCTCTGCCGATCTACCACGACTTCATTACAGCGCAGATGAAAACCGTATCGTTTATTTCGTTCTTGCTGCGGCAGTTTGAGTCGCGAATGCTGCAGTACGCGGAGCGCGTTCCGCGCTCCGTCGTGAATCTACTACTCAACTGCCCAGACAGTGCGGTCTCGATTCGGAAGGAGCTGCTTATTGCCAGTCGGCATTTGTTAGCAACTGAGTTTCGCAGGGGTTTTTTCCTGCAAACAGACCTCCTTCTGGATGAGAAAGTCCTCATTGGAACCAGTCGAGCTGCTTACGAGACGTTGCGACCTCTGGCCTACTCGTTCCTCGCAGAGTTAGTTCATTTTGTGCGTTTAGAAGTGACGCTACCTCAACTGAGTCGCATCATTTATCTCTTTTCGACGAACGTTCACGATGCATCCCTTAGTTTCTCTATGCAAGCAACATCCATTCGTTTGTTGCTCAATCTCATTGAGGGTATCATGCACCGTCGCGAAGACCTCAACACCCGCGGACGCCAGCTTCTAGAACGTATTTTCGAAACGATTGTAACCAAGCTGATGGAAGTCGCCGAGGTGGTGCCGTCGTTGCTCGTGAGCACCGGCGCCGCCGACGGCAATGACGCCGAGGATAAGGCGAATGGGTCTGCGTCGAGCCAGCGCGCCTCTTCACCCATACCTGAGCCTTCTGCGAGCACAGAGACAGGTGCGATGCGCCCATCTGCAGTCCCGGATGAAAAGTCTCAAGAGGAGCGTTCCAAAGAGGTGCAGGAGTGCCGCCAACTCGTTAGAACCCTCGTTCTAGGTCTGAAGACCATTGTATGGAGCATGAGCAACGCTTTCGGAGACTCACGCACCCGGGGTCTGACTGAATGGGAATGCATTCTTGTCAGCCGGATGCTGCCGGCAGCGCGAACCTGTTTCCAGCTCTACAAATTCGGAGAGCCGGCGGAACAAAAAGAGATTTTGGACCAATTCGCTCAGGTGTTCACGGTAATGACTCCGCGCAACTTTCAAGACATCATCGGTGGACGCCTGCCCCAGCTGCTGGCGTTCATGGTCGAGCACCAGACTGCGCTCTCCATCCCGCAACATTTTTTGGCGAATACGAGCACCTCACGGTTCTTTGCGGATATCCTGATCACTTTTCTGACGGAGCATTTGGAGCAGGTGGTAAGCGACGATGCTGCGCGAGCGTCGGTGCTGTTGCGGTTATTCAAAATCATGTTCGCTTCGGTAACCCTATTCGCCGATAATGAGCCGGTGCTGAAGCCTCACCTCGGTACCATCGTTCGAAGGTGCCTGGAGCTCGCTGCCACTGCAGAGAATCCTACGAATGCACTGCAGGTGCTTCGGGCACTCTTCAAGTCTCTTGCAGGGGGTCGCTTTGAGCTGCTTTATCGCGAATTCGTACCTATGCTCTATTACCTGCTTCATAGCCTGGAACGACTCATGCAAGGGCCTCTAGGCGAATCGCATGGTCTCCTGCTCATCGAGCTGTGCCTAACTGCACCGGCTCGCCCATCCACTATTTTCCCGTACTTGCGTATGCACATGCGACCATTGGTGCGCGGCCTAGATTCCGAATCGGAGCTAACTTCCTTAAGTTTCCGAACGTTTGAATTTTGGATCGATACGCTCCACCCCGAGGTACTTGAGCGATTGATGCAGGCGGTGCAACCAGAACTGGAACGAGCGCTCTGGCGATACTTGTCGCCGACAAGCCCATTTTCAGCACAAGCAGTGCGCATTCTAGGCAAGCTGGGTGGTTTGAATCGCAAGACACCTCGAGAACTGACACCCTTGCCATGGCAGCAGCCTGTTCAAGCCATACATGCCGCGTTGGCCTGGTGTGATCGCGCCGAGCCGCTCACGGTAGCGCTCGATGAAGTGATCAATGCTGCAGTCGACGCAGTGCTATTCCAGGCCTCGTACAAAGTCGCCGCATACACTCTCTTGCAGCAGGTGATGATTGCCGCGCTCTCCAGCGCGTTGCCGCCACAGATCAAAGGGTGCCCTGCGGACCTCTTGCCCGCAAGCGTGTACACGATGACGAGTGCTTTCCCCCGGTTGCAGGTGTCCAAGACGATTTACACCAGAATGCTTACCGCGCTGTTCTTTGCCAGCGGTGATGACGCTCTGCAGCAGACTCGAAACGCTGTGGAATTTGCGCGACAACTCTGTGATTATTTTTGTCGCATATGGATGGCACCTGTTCTTATGGAGAAAAGCACGTTGTCGGCACTCGAAGCAGCAGCGCTTAATGCCCATCGCACTCCCCCGGAAAACATCACCGAATGGACTCGATTTCCAGCCGCAGTGACCATCGACTGTTTCCTGGATGCACTGGTGGAGGCTGCTGTGCTTCAGCAAAAGACCCTCGATCTGGCTGCTGCAGCGAAGGATCTTAACCTGTTCGCGCTGAGCCGCTGTGTCGAATTATTCAAAGGTGACTTTAGAGGCCCGCAACGCCCTGTGGTACCTGCGAGCGACGCAGCCGAGGTCGCGGCGCCTGACTCGAAACCGCTGACAGCTGCAGCCAAAGGTGCCCGCGCGACGGAGGCACCGAGTGCTGAGACAGCGGCAACCACTGCAGTAGACGCTCCCGAGCACGAAAGCGTAGACCGTCTGCGCGACGACCACCGAGGCGCAGATACAGCGACTTGCGTGGACGAAGAGATCGCGCCACCGCTGCATAGTGTCGCGGGGGCCTCGCGCCTGACCGAGCAACTTGCGCTGCTGGTAGAGCGCATCTCCCATTTGGGTTATCGGGAGCGATGGCAGGATCGCCTCAGCTGTGCAATGCTGCTGGCCGGCATCATCGAGCAACTGCCAACGGTGGTATTCCTGGATCGCTCTTATTGTCTTTACGAAGCGCGACTTGTTCGGGTTCTGCTGCAGGTTCTCAAAGGCTGCGCGCAAGAGGGCATGGCCAGCCGCAAACCTGCCCCACTAGTTCGACAGACATTGGAGACCCTACTGCGGCGTTGCCACGAGCCCACTAGTCCCGCGTGGGCGCTCGAGGACGTCACGTCGTCGACAATCCCGGAGACCGATCGACCCAGCAAGACCAATGCATCGACACCTCGTGCGCGCTGTGGAGATGTGGTCGCCTGCCTTGTCTTTGATTTGGCCTCAGAGCACCAAGCTGTGCGCGAGACTGTGCACGCGTCGCTGGCACAACTGCTGCGCTACGGCGTTGGCCAGAACATGGCCGAGGTGCTCGCGCTGGCCCAGACACAGATCCTGCGGCCGTTACTCTCTCGTCGTGTTCGCACGCTGCACTATTCCAGTCAGGTTGGGCATGTGGATTGTCTGCATTACTGCCTCGAAAACGGCATTATCCGGCCTTTCATTGATCAAGAGACGTCGCTGTTGCGCACCTCGTTGGTTGCAGCGATGGAGATATTTGAGGATCCGATTAATACGAGGCTCGGAGAAGCGGATGCGCTCATGCTGAACCGCCTGCTCGAAAATCGTTTCGTCGACCAGGAGACCATCACGGCTATTGTGATGCTGCGGGAGAAGGTGCTGCAATTTTTGGCGCTTTGTCTGCGGCAGATCGACCAATTGGTACACACGCCGAACGAGGATATACGCTCGCTGTACGCACGCCTCGTTGCTTGTTTCTTCCGCGGTGTCGAGAGTCGGCATGAGGCCGTCACCAGGGCGGCGAAGCATGGACTGCGCGTTTTCACAGAACGTTCGCGTCAACTGCCCCGTGGGATTCTGTCGAGTAATCTGCGCCCGATTCTCCAAAATCTCTCCGACACGAACAAGCTCTCGCTGCCGTATGCGCAGACGTTGGCAAATGTGCTGGAAGTGCTCTCAAACTGGTTCAATGTGCAACTCGGAGAGCGACTCGTGGAGCATTTGATGAACTTGCGCGCTGGAAACCCACGCAATCCGTCGTTGCTAGCAGCGCGCATCATTGACTTGTTCCATCTATTGCCACCGGCTGCTTCGCGCTTTCTCGATCGGCTCATCGCCATTGTGCTGTCCTTCGAGGATGAAATGGGGCCAGCGGATACCGGAGCTGGTCATCACGGTCTGCAAAGTCGCTGGGCAGGCTCCATGTCGCCGTATCGTGCTCCACTGTTGCGTTACCTGGAGAAGCACGCCAATCTGGCGATTGGCTACTTTTTAGAACGCATTCGCTTTGCGAACTACGCCTTGTTGTTTCAGTCATTGCTGCGAGCGCACAATGCGGAAAACCTGCGTCGCGAACTGGCGAACGACGTTTCGCGCTTTATTGCGGCAACCTTTGATCGTGGTCATCTGTTGCAGGGTCTGCTCATTGTGGATGCACTCGAATCGTTCCAAGCAGGCTGGATCGCCACCCAGCGCCCAATATACAACATCGCCTTGCAGATCTGGCAGTCGGCAGAGCGACTGGAGCGCCTCCGCCGCGAGGAGACGCTCCCCGTTGACCAGCTGGCCGAGTCGTCACTGTTGGCACACGTGATCCTAGCGTACTGTGCTGTACACCATGGCGAAGTCGACGGTCTGTATGCGTTGCTCTCGATATTCTCTTTACGCACATTACGCGACTTTAGTTTCGTTCGACGCTTTCTTACCGAGACGGTAGCCCAAAGCTATCCTATTCTGTATCGCAAGAAGATTGTGGAGCGATTTCTGGAGCGTTACCTGGATCCTGAGCTTTCGGACGAAGTGAAAATGTATGCGCTGCTCTATCTCGTGATTCCAATTTTGCGACAGGCGTTTCGTGCCGGTGAAGGGCTCGCGATTCTCGATGCCGTGACGCTCGAGGTGCTGGTGAAGCGTCTCTTCACGAGCACACCACCAGCATCGGAAGCGCTAACAGACGCCAGTGCGGATGGCGGCGGCGGCGGCGATACGGCGCCAATGCTCGCGTCTCCTGCGGAGAGCGACGTGCTTGGAGAAGCGCTGCTGCAACTTTCGACGCTGCTGATTGAGGAGATGCCCATCGAGCTGGTGCAATATCGCCGCGAAATCATCCGCTTTGGATGGAATTATCTGAAGCGAGATGATTCGATCGCCAAGCCGTGGGCATTCCTCAATGTGGCACGCTTCTTTGAGGCCTACCAAGCCCCGGAAAAGATTGTGCTGCAGGTTTTTGTGGCGCTTCTGCGAGCAAGTCAAAGCGAACAGCGCGCACTCGTACGCCAGGCGCTTCGTATTGTGACGAGCATCTTGCCATCACGTCTTCCCGCGACGCTGGGTAAGGCGCGCCATGCGCCCTGGATTCGTTTCACCAAGAAGATCTTAGTGGAAGAGAGTTATTCAGCGCTGCACTTGGCGCATATTTGGTCGTTAGTCATTGATAAGCAGGAGCTTTTCTTTCCAGGCTACGCGTCGCTGATGCCGCACATGGTGAACTCGTTGCCGCGTCTGGTCTCGGGCAGCGTTTCAGCTCGAGAGCACCGACGCCTTGCGTTGGAACTTGCGGGTCTCGTGGTCGCGTGGCAGCAGCGCTTGCTGCAAGTCGGGAACAACGCCTCCATTTCATCTAACGCACCATCAGAAAATGGGGAAAGCGCAAACGCTAGTCCGCAGACGGGCTCAGCGCCGATGGCATCGCCAGATGTCGCTCGCCGTCTGGAGGATCTCTCCGCAGTTACCGAAGTGGTGCTGCAGTTTCTGATTCGCCTGCCGTTCCTGGTTTCGGAGCCAGGAGAGCACACAGAGCTTTTCACGCGAGCGCGATCGCTACTCGTCAAAGCGCAACGCGTTTGGAACCACCTGGGCAGTGAGCGCTCACCGATTGCTCAAATGTCCTGTCTCGACAAGCTGCTGGATAATCTGGCGGCTACGGCTGCTGCGTCGCCAACGACAGCCACGGGGCAAACATCGGCTAGCGGTACAAATACCGCCGCGATGCCTGGCGCGCCGGCACCCGCGCAGAGCCACAGTACGACGAGCACTATCTCGACATCGACAACGAGCGCAGGCGCGGCGAGCGCTGCACATCATCGCACAGCGAATGCCGGTACCGCGTCTGCGACTGTAGCACCGCCGAATAACCCGCGAGATGCGCCAGCGAGCCGAGCACGGGAAGCACTCGCGCGTTCCCGACGTCTCGTGCTGGAGCACATCGTGGAGCTGTGCGAGTTGTTTCTCGATTGGCAGGGCATTCGCTGGATTCTCGCGAACAGTAACTCACTGCGCAAACTCGTGCGTCCGGTGCTCGCAGCGGGCATGCTACCGCTTGCCTACCGATTCGCACTGCTGTTGTGCAAACTCTGGCTCCAGATAGGGGACGCCCTGCGTACACCCGAGTCAACAGAGGATCAGAGAGCAAATCTGGAAACGGTGCGACGAGACTTGGAACAAGCGCTGTTCGAGGCACTCGATATCCATTCGGACACGGCGACGTTGCATCGCTCGTTGCTCCTGGCCCAGACGCTTGATCCAGAACGTTTCACGACGAAGCATGTGGAGCTGATTGTGCGCATTTTGCAAATCCTCATGCGAGAGTGCCTCGCAGGTATCCAGACAAATCGTCGCATGGTGCTGATACCGGCACCAGCGTCCGGGGACCGACCCCAAGCATCTTCGAGCCGAGCGCAACTCGGCACTTCAGCCGGGCGTTCGTCGCATCCGCCTGAAGCTTCTGTTACTGGTTCTGGTACCGGAGCTTCCTGGCCAGCCGCTACAGGTACGGTTACGAAGACTGGTACTTTTTCGACCATGACGCGTCTCGCACAGGTTGCAGGTGAATCAGCACCGTTAGGGTCTGTAGCGGACCCAACCGCCAGTGTCAAAGAGACCAAGTCCGCGCATGTGGCATCCGGCGATGAGCACTTGCCAGCCAAGGGCGGGTTCGAGTATCCAGGGGTCGCGAACCCGCTCCTTGTGTGTCTGGAGATTCTTGAGCGGCTCTTCCATGGTCTCGCGGATTATCGCCGGTCGTTTTTGCAGATGCTCTGGGTGCTCTTGGACAAGTGCTGTTACAGCGAGGTACTGATGCACGTGGTGCGCGTCCTGAGTCAGTGGATTCTCATGGATGCCGATGATCCTGGCGCATTCCTTCAGCCCAAAGAGAAAGTGCATTTTCTTGTGAAAATGACCGTGTTTGAACGTATTACCGGTGCGGAGGCGCACCTGGAAGCTTTCCTGCCGCTCGTACTGCGCCTCTTGGCGGAACCGTGCCATGCACTGCCTCGAGACTGGCTACCTCGACTCGAACGGCCGTTTATGATCGGATTGCGCGCGAGTAATCCGCAATTGCGTCAAGCGTTCTTCCAGCTTTTGGATGAATCCATCATTCGTAACCCAGTGGATCGACTCTACTACATTTTTGAGTATCAGAGCTGGGAATCGCTTGCCGACTCGTTGTGGATTCGACAGGCAACCGCCTTGCTTCTGGCACTGGTGCAAGTCCCCGGCTCACGGATTGAACTGACCCCGGACTGCGTTCGCCTTGGCTGTGTATCGTATCGTAGCGGCACCGCTGCGGATGACGCCATGACCTGGGAGGTCTCGCGGCCGGGCGCTGACGCTCCTACTGACGCTGCTGATGCCCCCCGTGAGACATTGACAAAGGGCGCTCAACGATCACCTACGGACGATGCGTATGTAGAAGCGTTTGCCGGTGCCTGGACGGCGCTCGACGGGCACGTCGATACAAATGCATTCTTCGAGGCGCTCCATGAACTCTTGCATCACGATGTGAGTACGCTACAAAGTCTCTGGACCCAGCTGTTCGGAGCGGTGTGGTCGCTCCTGAGCGATCGCGAAGAACGCCTGGCCATGCAAGACGCACTGATCGCACTGCTCTGTCGCGATTATCTGCTGACACAGTGCAGGTGGCGAGTCAATGTCGTGCAGATCATTCTGGATGCGGCGACCAAGTGCGCACCGCAAGTTGTGATTCCGCCTCAGCTCGCATTGCATCTTGCGACGCACTGGAACGCCTGGCATATTGCACTGACCTATTTGGAGCGACGTTCGCGCTCGTCGACTTTGGGTGTGGCGCGGCATTCGGATTTCGTGTTCGATTCGCTGCCTGATGGTCATGAATTTGCTGGGATTCTGGACGCGAAGGCAGAGCTCTATCGGCAGCTGAACGAGTACGATCTGTACATTGGCCTATGGAAGCGGCGCGCGATGGACTCGCGAACGCTCTTGGCGCTGTCTCTGGAGCAACAAGGCCACTTGCCGGCAGCTCAGAACCTCTACTATGATGCGATGACGAATACAGAGAGCCGAGTTGCTGTCACCGAGGCCGAAGCCGCACTCTGGGAAGATCGATGGCTGCACTGCGCCGAAGAATTGAACCAGTGGGATGCACTCACCGAGTTTTCGCGCACAGTGATGCACCCAACGCTTCTACACGAAGCACTGTGGCGGTTGCCGGACTGGGCGGCGCTCAAAGAGCTGCTCATGAAGATGCCGCCCGAGGATAGTCCACGCCTCAAGATTCTCCAGTCGTTTGTGCAGTTACAGGAGAATCGACTGGATCAGGTGGAGCCTTTCATCTCTTCGGGAATTCGACGCGCCCTCGAGGAGTGGCAAGGCCTCCCCGAGAACTCCAGTATTACGGCTTTTGAGCCATCGCTGGTGCTTTTCCAGCAATTTGTCGAGCTGAGTGAGAGTGCCTCGATTCTACAGGAGCTTAATAACGCGCTCCAGAACCCGACGCTGCTGGAGACGCACGCGGAGAACATTCGACTGGTGCTGGCGATGTGGCGCGATCGTCAGGCCAATCACTGGGATCGGCTCAGCGATTGGAATCGCTTGATCTGCTGGCGTAATCACGTGCTGACTGCGGTAGTGCATACGCTGCAGGGGTTGCGTAATCGCTCGCGGGTGGATATCCCACAGCCGCTACTCTGCATGGGAATCAACGAGACTGCCTGGAATGTGAACTGCTACGCGCGAGCGGCGCGGAAACAGCGTTTGTCTGAAGTGTGTATGCAGGCCCTGCAACGCATGTATCCTTACTCGACAATGGATGTGCAGGATTTTTTCATGAAGACCAAGGAACAGGCCAAGGCACATTTGCTGTTGCCTTCGAATGATGACGTCGCCCTGCGCGCCGGCCTCGTTCAACTACAACATACGAATCGGGAGTATTTCAATACACGCCAAAAGGCATACCTCAGTGCCTTGGAGGGCGAGTTCTACCACCGATTGGGCGAGTTTGGGGCAGCGAATCAGGCGTTTGCGTCCAGCGTCCGTGAATACGGCGAGCACGGCGGCGTCTGGCTCCGTTGGGCCCGCTACTGCGATCAACGTGGTCGTTTGGCGAGCGCCGTTCACTGCTACCTGCAAGGCATTCGCTTTGGATCTAGACAAGCGCGCGAGCATCTCGTGTCTGTGTTCCGCATCGTTTTTGCACTGGACGGGGCGTCGTCGAATGCCGTCGCTGACTCGAGTAGCCTCGAGGCGATGCAGACAGAGCAGGCAGCAGCGACGACGACGACGACGACGACGACGACCGGCACGGCAGACGCTGCTGCTCCCGCCTCGCCGCTTACAACGACATCGGCGCCTGTTGCCGTGTCGTCGAGCAGCGCGGCGGTGTCTGCGGGCGCTTCCGCTGAGGTGCACGCCTCACAGACGCCTTCGGAGGGTCTCGGCGAGTCGCGCACCGACGCCTGTGATGTGTGTGAATCCTTCGTCGGGGTACTCCCGGTCTGGATCTGGGTACCCTGGAGCCACGAGCTCATTTCGTTATTGTCCTTGGGACGCGAGCTCAAATTGTTGCGGCATATTTTGCTCCGCGTTGCCGGCTACTATCCAGAGGCACTCTTTTTCCAACTGCGGACGTTCATCGAGGAGCGACGGCTGCTCGATCGCCCTACCCGGATGCTCTGTCCGCGGGTGGATCAGATCCAACTTCCAGTGATGCATCCGCTGCGTTCCCAAGTCGCCAGCGGGATACCTCCCTCGAGCAGCAGCAGTAGCAGCACATCGAGCGCGAAGAGGAACGACCCCACAACAATAACCGCAGCAGCTGCAGCTGCTGCTACTACTGCCGGTGCGGATCGGTCCCGCAAACCGGAGTCGACGACGACGACGACGACGACGACGCTCTCTGCTGCCGGAAATGAACCATCGAGCGTTGCTGCTTCAGCCGGGAACACTGCCGGGAACAGCGCCCAAAAAGATGCGGAAAACGCAAGTGCCAGCGGTGCGAACGCGGCTTCAACGGGAGCGACGCCCGCACCAAACCAGCCACGCGGCTCAGGCACGAGTGCGCTCCCGAGTGTCGAGCAGAATATTCTCAGCATGTTGCAGTTGCCACTCGGAGATACACCATTCGAAATCGCCGACACTGTGCTGGCGTTCATGGTGAAGCAACACCCCCAGCTTCTCGTTGAGTTGGAGACCATTGCTCGTGAACTTAGTTTGCGCATGAAACCAAGCGCTGAAGAACAGGTGCTGCACGTGCTGAATGCACTGCTGCATCGATGCTGGAGCCTGCCACCGCTGATGCATCGTGAGGTGAGCTCGGGCATGCGCAGCGCCCTCGAGGAGGTCAGCAAGATGTGTTTCGGGACCGGGTTGGCCGCGGACGAGTTCCACGTACCACCGACGTTGGCAGATCTCCGTGAGGCCTTTGAGGCAGAACTTGCACCGCAGACCGCCAAAAACTTTCCAAAAACGATAGAGCCGTTTGTTGCTCTGCTGAGAAAGTGGCGGGGAATCTTCAGCCGGCGCGTTCAAGCCATGCCTGAAACGCTGCGCCTAGAGCGAGTCTCCCGCAAATTGGTCGACGTTCGTGATTCCCAGCTGCACGTGTTCGGTCAACTCATTCAACTGGCCCAGGAGGATGGCGAGCCTCTGCCCGATCTCCTGGTCCATATCCAGAGTTTTAGCGTCGACGTGCAAGTTGTCCACCATTGTGGGAGTTCCGCACGCGGCATCGCGGTAACCGGATCCGACGGCCGTCAGTACCGGTTCCTCGTGGAGACAGCACTTGGGGCGTCGCTCCAACGCAGTGAAGATCGCGTTGGACACGTTTGTCGCTTCATGAACGCACTCTTCCAACGGGACAGCGAAGCTCGCCGTCGTCGGTTGGTAGCTCTGGTGCCGTTCTCGCTGCCGCTGAGTCCGCAGGCACGACTCGTTGCGTATCAGGAAAACACCCTGCGCATCCAGCACGCGTTGCAGGCATTCTGTGAGTGTCACGGATTTGACATGGATGATACGCTGGTGGCTTTCCGCGATACCTGTGCACTGCGATTGGAAAGTTTGGGAAATGTTGCTTCGCGTGAGCTGGCGCTCGAGTACCGCCTCGATGCGTTCAAGCGTGCGTGCCTGTCGCTACCGGACTCGGTGCTGGCGCACTGGGCTGCAGCCTCGCTGCCGGATGCGAATTCGCTTTTCATGGTGCGTAAGCGATTTGCGCTGAGTCTGGGAACCTCGTCGTTGCTCCTGTATCTCTTGGGGGTGGGTTCACGGACACCAATGCATATTGGGATTCATGGAAGCACTGGTGATGTGGTGCATCTGGAGACGCACCCCATTGTGGTGAGTCGCGGTCAGCAGGTTTACATTGGATTTGATGAAGCGGTTCCGTTCCGATTGACGAGGAATATTCGGAGTCTCATTCGCCTGACGGGAGTTGAGGGCCCCTTTGCTGGCTCGATTGCGGCGACGTTGAATGTTGTGTATCGTAACTGGGCGCTTCTGCGGGACCTCATGGGCATCGTTTACACAATGGAGCTCTTTGAGAGAACCAGTCGAGAGACGCTCCGTGTTGAGGATCTGGCGCAGGCGGTGGAAGAGAGCCTTGTGCGGAGCTGGGCCCGAGTCGAGCCGCTGCCGTTCTCGGCAGCACCGCTGGTTCAGTCACCAACAGCACCAGCGTACGCTGCGGCAACGGCAACGGCAACGGCAAACGGGAAACGCGTACCACACCCAGAGTCCAGCCACGGTGGTGATCATGATCATGATCATGATCATGATCACGAGGTGACGCAGACCCTACCACCGCCTGTGAATACAAAAGCGAATGGCCTCGAATTCGCGGAGCGTTGCGGGCCGGCGACCTCGGTTCGCGACGAGCCCGAGGGTGTCGCTCGCCGCGTCGCTGAACTCATTGCGAACGCTGGTGACCCTGCGCACTTGTCGCAGATGGAGCCGCTGTGGTATCCATGGTTCTAACGCATCGACAGCTGCAGTGGGGATGCAGGATACGCGCGACGGCGAGCTAGTTCGTTCACGAACGTTTCGTGATCGGAGCACGAGTAGCGCGCTCGCTGGAAACAAGGTTGAAGAGCGCACGAGTTGTTTCGGGGGATACACGAACAAGCGTTCCCGAGTCGATTCTGGATCGAGGCACAGCTGCTTCGGGAAAGCAACGGATCAGTGAGCGCGATGTCAATGTCAATGACGACAACAAGAACAACAACGACGAGGTCCGGGCGTCTTGTTGTTCATATGCGGCTGCAGGGTATCTTTAGTCGTATTGAATCATAGAACAGTATGATCGTGTATCCGTGTTCGGGGTAAATCTTACGCTGTGAATATAAACGGCGCGAAAGTGTTACTGGATCGTTGAACGACACTCTACAGGTGCGTTGCTCTAGGCGAGCCTCCGATGTCCTTTGCTGCTGACCACGAAGTTTTTTCCCATCGCACGTCATCAGCGTTCCAATACAATACCCACACACACACACAGACAGAGAACTCAATGGAACCTCGAAAGTTCGCTCAGTACAAGGCCGCTAGACGCTGCAGAAGCACGAGACATCTCCGGATGTTGATCGAGGCGTTCAACTGTGTGTCTACAGAGAAGGAAACGTCAGCGCATGTGGTTGTTCGCGGGAACACACACACACACACACACACACAGACAGACACAGACAGACACACACGCCACTGCAAACCTGTCAGGTTCGATTGCCTCGTCATCTGTGGTCCGGTCTGCCTAAAGTACACCATTTCGTGGATCGCTCTCCGTTTTATGCTGTGCTTTTGTACCGGTTTCAGGGTGTAACCGGGCTTTTGATGCGTATCTTTCGTCGTGGACGCCTCCATGGGAATGGTACAGGGTGCGCTTCCTGCACTCGTTGGATGCTCTCGTCTGCGACACGCGATTACAGCCTTTGAGCGCTGCAGGATGCCCAGTGGTGCAGAATGGAACAAAACCACGCGACTCGATGGTCATTTGCTTTTCCAATTCATTGAAAAAGTTGGTGCATACATGCTCTCTGCCTCTGTACAACAGAGACCGTTCGCAATTCTAGATCGATCCCGTGGAAACCGTCCAAGTATCGCCACATGCCCTTTATGGACGCGCGTATCCTCTCTAAACCGTAAAATTTCCTATACCAGTCAGTAGGTTTTTTCTGGAAGAGTGAAGTGAACGTACAATGCGAACAGAAGAGGGCGTACATCGTGACGCGCTCGAGAGTGCTCCGCATAGGGTTCGCATTTCAAGGTTGGTTTTGAGTTTTTTTGGTACCGCAGCTGGCGATATTCCAGGTGTCGACTCGATGCGGCGACCTGTAAAGTTAAGTTGGGAATCAAGTGTTCCATTCCCTGGACTTTTGCTCAGGTCGCACGGCGCATCCTGCCCCGCGCGCCAGCTGGGTTGTCGTGCGTAGCTTTCATCGACAAGTTCTGGATGAATGTGGATTGTTGGTTGTCCTGCGTCCGGACTCCTACGTACCGTTGCTTATCGACGTGCATCGAGAGAGTAGAGGCGACCGCTACTCGAATAAGAAGCCATACAATTGCTAATGGAGTACGGTCTTTCACTTTTCAGAGGAATCTCCCCGGTAATCGGTTATAGGAAGGAGGGGTTTAGAAGGGTTTCCGGCTGATCTTTCCACCCTGGCACTCTTCTCATTACTGTTCTTGCTTGTACTCTGTTCGGAAGGATGCTTCTCTTCATTGTCGGGCGGTTTGCGCGTTATATCCTTGGCTCGTCGGGGCGTCATCCATGAGGTCGCTGTACCCTGTATGCATTTTTCCACGCGATTCACATGTGTGGAGTTATCTGTCGGCCAGAGGCTGGTCTCGTCCATCCATGAATCTACGAATCCTCGAGTACCTTTTCGTAGTTTTCTCTGTCGAAAGCACGCTCCAGGACCGGAGCGCATATATGCGCTCCGTGCTGCACTCAAACTGAAGAGCGATAGTGCAGAACGGGGGCTCGTGAAGGTAGAGACCGACTTGTCGGAGAACAGAGCCACGGATGCGAACGCCGCATCGAGTGATTGAAGGTCGTATAAAAGGTGTTTGAGAAGAGATAGTTCGCCTTCGACTTAGTGAAACAGGGACAGAAAGCGGGTACGAAGTGCAGCTCAACGCTAGTCGCAGGCGCGTACTCCCTGACCGCTGTTGCGTAATGTAAATCGACGTTGTCAAGAATCGTTACGAAAGATTTCCGGAAGCACAAGTCAGAGGGTGTTTCGGCGAAGGATTCGTTACTGAACGCTCCTGAAGGTTAGGCGATTTGTAGTGTTCAAAGAACTAGATCGCTGCTGGGGCTCACGTTGTCGTCAAGCCAGGTTGTCTCGTCTTGATGGGCAGCAGTCCAGCGCTTCTTGAGTGCGCTTACACAAGTCGACTAATACTGCCGAGTAAATTCTGCTCGAATGAGACGGATACTTTTGACCCTTGTACGAAGAGCTCGAATTTCTCCTTGAAATTGATAGAATCTTGATCAGCGTGCGACGTTGTACCACGGAAACATGCGTGTTTCTTAGTCCTTCCGATTGTCTTCCTTGCGTATGGAATCTCAAGTACGGAAACGTCGTATCTCGTGGCAGCTGCGGTAGTATTTTTCCGAACACGTATGGATTGGAACGGGTTCCCCGGGAGATGATTGTATAGATGAATTCTTGAAAGTTCTGAGTTCGGTGCATGATTCACAGAATCGGGACTGGATCAAGTGTGCTTCACACGCCTGCAGACAGCAGACGCCTGGTTTGCTCGTATTTTTGCGACCACGCGCTAGTTCACAAGAGTCTCATCTTCGCTTGACTGCGTGTGAGAAAACGGATAAAAACAGAAAACGCGTGCCGATGACCATATTCTAGAATTCAATGCGCTGCGAATGACCTGGGCATGTCGTGTGCAAGTCAGCCGATAGCGTTCTAAGTGCAGCATCGGCTGAGTGGACCGTATCACTTGGGTCAGCACAGAATGGGACACCGAACTGCTCGCGCTGTGTGTGCCTTGCGATTTTCGTCGCAACTTGGGCTTAGATATCTAGCTTCGACGTTCGGCATTGTAGCGGTATGAGGTTACGGGTTGATGGGAAGTTTCATCGCGCTCAGCAGTTCTTCAGGGGTGAATTTTCCGACTGTTCGACGCCTCTAGATCTTGTATACAAGCCTCGACTCTGCTGTTTTCCTTAAGCGTACCATGTTCAAATCACGCATTCCTCAAGTTTTCGATCGTTCTGTTCCAAGGGAACTCGTGGGTGCAGCTGCTCGTGCGGCTGGACTCGCGAAGAGAGAAACTCGATGCTGCACCTAGGAAACTCCTTCAGATGTTCATGCCAAACGCCCAGTAATTGCCCTAAAAATGATCGGTACCGTTCGAAAGACAAACCCACCACGCTTTACGTTCATCGACGAAAGAGCGTTCCATAGATGCGTGACATATGTAATGGGATATGCCTCCAGAGACTCTATTTTCATCTGTTTATATGTCGTATTGTCTTGGACTCGAAGCTCGGTCACCGCGACATCGCGTGCAATGGAGCATCCGTTACCTCTTTGCACCAGGAGATCGAAGGTTATAGTCGGATGAAAAGTTTTCTCGACATCATCTCCTGCCTGAATGATCTCGTCGATACTTGCTTCATCATGGATCACATCGCATTCCACAATTCTTCTTCTGATTGAGACAGCGTGCACTTGCGTGTTCAACGGATAAAGTACTCGCCGAGTGCATTCCCCGCAAAAGCCCCTGACCGTTGGGCACGACATCGGTTTCGAACGCGGGAGCGGGCATCCAGCCCAGCCCTCTGTACACGTCAAGGGCTTCTACCGAGCGATGATGAAAGTCTCCACGCGCTACAGGTCAGCTCTTGGAGGAAAACGTGCGGTGGACATCTGGGAACACCTGATCGCAGCCAAGCTTCAATTTTACGAATGGCGAACCAGCGCTGTATGCAGAGAAGAAGAGCTTGGCAATCGACACGTAGATTCAACCGCGTAGCTGTACATGACATAAAAAAGCAGAATAGCCAGAGGTCGCGAAATGAAAAGGCGAGCGCTGCCGTCAACATCCTCTGACTGTTGACAAAGGAGCCAGAGATGCAAGAGAGATCGGCGTATTGAAAGACGACGATAACAAGAGAAAAGGAAGCAATCGCAGAAGAAGCCCACAAAAATTAGAATTCACGATCGTTGAAAGATATGCAAGCTTGATCGTATGCTTTCGAGTTTGCGCACTGCACGCACTCCATTTCATGCTCGTACGAGTCTAGCGCACGGGGTTGCGATGGATCCATCGAGACCCTGCAGCGCGCATCTTTCTCCAATGTCAAATTAATTCCAATAAATACATTGAAATACAGTGTTGTATCGAAATGTGCTGGACATCATGGAGACGCGGCATGCGCGCAGTCGTCAGCATTCCAGCGAGCGTCTTGCAGGGCATCCAGCATACATAACTGCTTCGAAACGCGGTTGCGGTCCGTTCGACCGGCACCATCGCGTGCGCTCGTGTGTGCAGCGGTGGTGCTGGCCCTGCAGCAAGTGAGCTGGCGCTTGATGCATACCTTGCACCTCGCAACGAAACAGCCGTTCGGCGTGCACTGTGTTGCAGTGTCGCCTAGGGGGCGCCGACGGCAGCAGCAGCAGCAGCAGCAGCAATATCCCCAAAAACGCACTGCAGGCGTGCCTCTCGCGTTTGGCGGCGGCTGGGAAGTCACCCTGGGATCGTTGCTTTCTACACTACTCGCCCTGGGGCTGGTGCTCTGGGCAGAACGAAGATCTTGCTCGGCTTGTCAGGGCACAGGCATGGCCCCGTGTCCATCCTGCAGGGGAACGGGCTGGGCGCCCGGCGCTCGTGCACAAGTCTGCGGACGTTGCGACGGCGTCGCACGCGTGCCTTGTCCGCGGTGTGCCGGGCGCCGGCCTCGTCAGCGGCAATCAAGCCGGCGATCGACAACATTCACAACTCGAGGCGACAAGTGAAGAGGCACGGGAAATCGTCAACCGCTGTCGCAGAAAACGCCTTGGGGTCTGCGTAGATCGTAGTCATGGCGTTACAGAGCGCGGACGCTTCACCAGCACCGGGAATAGAAACCGCACTCGAGGGAGGCATGACGCCAGCGCCGCGAGCGCGTTACTCCTTCACGCGTCTCGGTAGCAACGATGCTGCTAGTGATCCTGGTAGTCATGGTTTACGGACTGCGCTCGGTCCGATGCGCTAGCGTACTTATGACGACAGTGCCTGCTTATCATGGATTTCAGGAATTGGGCTGAAGTACGGTGGGAGTCTCTCGAGACCGCTCAGTGCACTGACCACAGATCAGACGCTCGTGCGGCGCACTTGCGCAGTGCTGGAGCCAGCTCCACTCGCCCGCGGTGCTTCAGCATCAATGAGGCAGCGGCACGGGCATCCAAAATCTCGCTGAGTGCATCGTACGCAACCTTCGCAACGGACGAGATGCCTAAACCGGGTCGTTTGAAGATTGCAGGCAGACTCTCCAGGGCTTGGGTGAGGAAGGGTTCGTCTGCCAGGGCCGACACCGTCGCAAACGCGAGGACGCACTCGCGGCGAACATCCAGCAATGTGCTGTTCAGGGCCGCCTCCCATAGGCCGCGCAGCAACTTGCTCATTGAAACGGAGAAGAGACGTCTCTGGTCCTGGTCGTCAGGTCGATCTCGAGCGGCAATGAACAGCAACTCGACACCAAAGCGGCGACTGAAGGCCGCCGCAGCCAGCGCCAACCACGCCTCGGGGCTGCGCAGACACCGCAGCAGCGAAGCGTGGACATCGCGTGCTGCTGACGGGGTCTCCATGCACAGAAGCCAACCGTTTCGTAACCAGCTTACAATCAGGGGACTGGATGCATATTTGGAAGCGAGTTGCTCACAAAATTGGATATGCAAACGGGCCAGCTGCGGTGAAGTTTTTGCATAGCCAAACGCGCCCTCGCGGAGAAAGAAGATGGCATCACGAGGCGCACACGATAACAGAAACGGCTGCAGGTGCTCCGCCAGTTCGGAATACCGGTACGGCCTCTCTTCCAACTGGCTCAACTGGCCAGTATCTTCGATATGAAACATGTAAATAAACGCAATTGCAGCAGCAACGCGTACAGCTGCTGAACGATCGCCATTCATAGCGATTACGATGCGTTCTCGCAGCGCTCCGTACACGGGTCGTTCGCGAATCCATTCCATGGCTGCTGGGGTTGCGTTCGCCACCGAGCGGAGAACTTGGAGCCACAGCGTGAGCGCTGCGAGTCGTCGAACAGATTCAGCGCTCGCCAGAGCGTAGAGCGCCCGTCGCATGGCCGTGTCTGCGAGCGGGCGTCGAGCCTTGTGCGCATTGTCGCCGTTGGGCTGTGACCTGCGCTGCAGCTGCGCAGAGCCGCTGTCAGAGGGTGCTTCGGTTGTGTGTTCGGCATCCGAGCGCTCGTCCTGTCCGCCCGAGAGAAGATCGTCCAGCTCGAGTAGGACGTTCGATGATGCTGTATCGCGCGTAGGATCGGCGGAAGCCGCCTCGTCTACTTGGCGTTGCGTAGACAGTAGTGCTGCCTCGTTGGTAAACGGCCAAGAGGGATCGTTAGCCTCCAGGAACATCCATTTCTCCCAGGGTAACGATCGGGAAAGCATGGCGAGCATTTCCAAAATGCTACGATTACCGGTGGAGTAGTCACAGAGCTCCTGAACATACGTGAGAATCTCCTTGTCACTGAATTCTTCCGACTCGATATGATCGCCTGTATCGACACTCAGTGACTTGTTTCGTGCCATTTCAGCTTTGACTCGCGCTGCCAGGAGACGGCGATTCGTCATGGCCATTCGCTCTGACGACAGTTCCTGGGCGGTAGACAGCATGCTGAGGCGCATTTGCGCCAGCGAGATGTACTGTGCCCCCGAACGCTTCACGTCTGTCGTATTCAACTGATGAATATGAACCAAGCATTGTAGAATCTTCACTAAGTAGACCTGGGTGGCCGGATCCGCAGCCAGCCTCGCCAGCAACACTCGATTACAGAATGCTCGACGGATCAGACCGCGCATTCGAGTTGGCAGGTTGAACTCCCCGCTGGTCCGCCGACAAAGCTGGGTATATTGCAACACCAGAGCCACACCATGACGACGCACTGCCGCTGAGCGCGCATTCCAGGCTAGTTCAATAAAATGTACGGGAATGGGGTAGGGTTTCTGGGCTAGTTTTTCCAGTCTAAGTGCCTGGAGCTCGCGCCAGCCTAGCAGCAGCGCTTCCAGGAACGCGTCGCTTTCCCGCGGCGACGAATGCAACTTCAGCGGTCCAGCGGTGGCGGCAGCATCGTCAGTTGCGGTACCACTGGTGTACAGCGCATTCGAGCGTGGACGGAAATCAGCTGTCCAACCGCTGTCTGCGAGGGAGCAACGACCCAGTTGGACCTCTTCATCTGTTTCCCAGACGTTCACCAATGCGCTGCATGATGCTATATCCAAGTCAAGTGTGACAGAGGCTTGCTCAAGTTCTGAGTAGGGAGCCCCGACTACGCTACATGAACCGCGTAGCAAAAGAGTCGCCAGCTGATCAACGATACCCGATGAAGGCAACGCCACCGCCAGCGCAACGGCAGTCTGCAGTGCACCAACCTCTCTTGCGTGGTGCCGTTTCTCGAACTGCAGAGACCACTTGCGAAAAGCTTCGGCGATCTCAGAGGTGTGCTGAGAGAGCTGCGTGGCGAGTTCGTTCTCATCGTTGCTTCCAGTGGTCACGACGGCCACAGCTCGAGCGCAACGGCGTATAAGCAGACGCGCCGCCCCGGCGACCCGCGAGCCATAACCTCCAAAAGTGAGTTGGAGTAGCTGTGGGAAAAGATCGAGGGGTGACTCATCAGTTACAAGAAGTAAGCGTAGTGCTGCCAGGAGCCGACTTTCGCTGCGAAGCGCCTTGTCGTTCTGCAGCTCCTCTTGGAGGGCGATTCGGCCGATTGTTCGGTACGAGTCCTCCGAGCGTTTAACACTCTCAGAAACTGCTGTGGTTACCCTTGACTCGCAAACCCTACCGACTCCGTATTTTTCTATACACTGAACGAGGTACTGTCCTGGGAAAAACCACATGAAACTACACGTGTGCGAAGCCACTCGGATGACGAGAAACGAAGCGCATTCGTTGAGTGAGTCAGTGCGGCCTGTCTGGACAGGTTATACCACGAGTCCAGAAATGGGAGGATTCGGACTACCACATAGGCACAACTTCATAACGTCGGATTCGCTTTCAACTCGGGGGTGACATTCTCCGCAGCAACGAAAAGGTCTTTTGAATCTTCGAGTTTATCTACCAGATTAGCTGTGGGAGGTGTGTTTTATCGGACTGAGAAAAAAATTGACTCTGGTGGGATCAGTTTAACATAACCTCTGGCGTGCTGGACCAGTGTGCTGCGGGACGCTTGCGGGGAGAGAAAGGACGACGAGCAGACACAAGTGACCGCAGGCAACGTTGGCTTTGTCAAGATGAGGCTGAACGCTCTTCTCCAAGAAAGCTGCCGCGAACGGATATAGTCCTCGGTCCCAATTATTAAGCCAGCCGTGGCAACTGGTTCGAAGGGGAAGCATATGCCCTCGAGAACTTACACATTCTGACGATTTTCTCCAGCGACACCTGACCCAGCTCAACATATTGCTCATTTCGCTTCTTACAGATAACGAACAGATATAGGTGCAAGATGGTCAAAAAATGGACGGGCGGAGAGGCCACAAACGCGCTCCCGCTCCTCGATGGGAACTTTTTCGCTCTTGCATGATTGCTTGTATCGAGAGAAGCATGTACAACTTCGAGAGAACCATCGGCTCGAGTGTCACTTCGATCGTCTCTGACCCAGACGCACGGGAGGACAACCCGAAAGGGAAGAACAGTGAGCGTGCGCGACAGTGGATTTCCTCGGAATGACTCAAACGCTTGCGGAGCTTAGCCATCAAGGTGGCGACAACAGAAACGAATCACATGCAGATGAACGTCGAGTCAAACGTCGCCCATTACTGAAAGCCCAAGCACGGAAACAAAATCAAGGAAGACGCTAGAAAGAGAGGGAGGGAAACATTGTCTGTGTTGTCACCATTCGATCGTTCGTATGCCTCGACGCGTCACCCGCCTCCCGAATGATCGAGAAATGAAAACGAACGTGACACTGGCGGCTGCGATCACGGAAGACGTGATGAGATGCATTCGCGAAGGCTTGTTTGTGAAGCACTCGTTCATGATGCGAGGGGTCCTTTTATCTGGCCAGCAAATAGTTGAAAGAGTGTGTGAACGTTTCGAATACCTGACGGGAGTAGGACGCAGCACGCAGAACAAGTGAACGTCACCCAAAGACGTTCGCTCTCCTGTCTACGGAGCGTGGCTTCACTATAGGTTACGTTGCTTTCAGTTACTTGAACATCGTGGGCGTGCTGCGATGTCGTGGCATCGAGAAAATGAGAGGAAACGAAAGGAAATCCTGTGAGGAAATAAAGAGGACGGTTTACCAGGAAAACCTCAATATCAAGAGTGCCGAAACGAAAAACAGTCCATTCGATTTCCGGATACTCGGACATGGGCACGGTGTCAGCCATGCACTGATAGCATCGCCGAATATTTCGGGGCGAAGGGGAAACGATGGAAGCCTGCCGCCTCAGCATGATAATCAGAGCCTCGTGGGCATCGATCCGGGTTTTCCAGACCTGGTTTTTTGTGCACCCGAGTCCAGGGTCAGAATAGCGTCATTATAGCAACAGAACAAACGCCCACGAGGCGAGGTTCGTCTACAGCGCAACCAAGAGACAAAAAATACAACTTACAGCCGGAGGGTGTGACTGCTCGTCTCATCTTTTGCGGAACGATGCATTCTACTGACAATACTTATCTGCGTAGGTAACTGAGCGTTCTCCTTGAATGACTGGAAAACAGAGCTGGTTCTCGATACCAGCGCTAGCGGTTCCTCCGTCACGTGTTTGAACACTAAACAGTCCAGGGGATCTGCGACCCGCCTCTGGTGCGGTGTGGCAAAGAGGCAATCCTCGTGTTCCGGAACTGGGATGCCGAGGTCAAGCATCCGATCTCCCGTCGGGCGTGCGGCGCATTCGAAGCGACCAAACAGAAGTTTCGGGAAATACCGGATTTTTTTCATTGACAAAACGTTTACTTGGGCCAGCGTACTCCGATTATGCGCTTTTTTCTTTTCTTTCTTTTTTTGTGCTTTTTTTTTTCTGTGCGCGTTGAGGGAAATGCCGGATGTGCGCATGGTGGACATCGATGAATGCCGGACGTCGATTAAGTATTCTTGTCACGCAAGTCGCCTCACGAATTTGAAAGGGATGATGACGAGAGCTATCAAAAACAAAGAAACGAAATCAAAAGAAAGGAGGTCGTATATTTCTCGGATCCGCAAAGTGCTGCCCTGCAAGCGTGTACGAGGCAGGGGCGAGAGGTAATTCTCCCAGCCGAGGCACCACATGGAACCGTGACGACAACGGATGCCACAGCATTCCGCAGCTGCTACAGATCAGAGTGAGTAGCGTTTAACAACCTGCACCGTTGCAGCGCTCGACAGAAAATGAAAATCATAGCCCAGAGGCCAAAAAGACTTGGCAATCTTACAGACCAAATGTCTCGAGGCGAGAGAAAGGTTACGGTACCCCGAGTCTCGTATGTGACGAGCATTTTACACTGATACAGGCATGCAGGAGAGCGTGCGATGCAAAGACTGTCCTACAATGTTGGAGCATGCTCGTACACTATCATAGAAGCAAGCAAGCAAGAACGCGCGCGCACACGCACACCTTCGTATTCATACATGAATGTGCGCAAGCACTTGTATAGAGGCAAGTATTTTTTCATGGCTTCATATCGATGGATCTGTGTAGATTCCGCTGGGTACTCGCCGAGTGCCGGTCATCAAACAAGAGACTGACGGGACCGTAGCGACCGCACGCAAGAATCCGAAGGGCAATGCAGTGAACATCCCCAGTTCAAGGCACCGAGTCCACATGGCGGCATCGATCCGGGGATACGCACCAGGTTGCGACTCGTCTCCAAATCGTTGATCTGGTCGGTTATTCGAGATCTCGGGTGCGCTTGTAATGCATTTTCGATATGGGCAAATGACCGACGCAGAGCTTTTCTGGTCGTCCAAGTCGAACGACAGCGAACATGTTATAGCCGGGCGTCCATGGAACGAGAAGGCGCCTACGACATCCGCATCCTATCGCGTTCGTTCAACCGAGTTTATGGTACGCAGGAGAAGACCGCCGCAGCAACGTACAATGCGCTGTCGTTGGTTCTCAGTTTCAGTGCGCGCTTCACGGGTATTTGCAGGCGTTGTCGTGTCCGGCGCGTTGACCAGAACCTGCCTCTCTTCCAAAACTTGGACCTGTGGACTTGGTTACCTCCGGAGACACCGAACCTGCCAAGTTTTCCGGATTACCGTTGATCCGTCTGGAAAGCGCTCATTCGCTGAAAGCTGCTTGTGCCGAGAAAGCAGCACGCATCGCCAGCAGGTTCACGGACTAGCACTAGAACACGCGAGTGCAAGGCCTCATCTCCGGAGCAGTTCTATGTATCATGTTCGTACTCGATCTCCTTTCCTGATACATTGTAAACGAGCTGCTAAGAGCGCTCTTCAGAACTGCTCGGGTTCGCAGGCGCTGACCAGAAGTCGCATTCGATAGAGGCATCTTCCAAGCCGTCGACATTCCAGGAGCCGCCATGTGGTCCATAGCGTAAACGCGTGGGATTCGGCAGACTCGATGGCCACAGGTATTCGCCCGAGTCGAGTCCAATGCATGCCAAGCTGGATTCAGAGCAGTTGGGACTTTGATATCTCGCCTAGTTGCTAGTCGTATATTGGCTCAAGAATGTTTTCCAGGAACTGATGGGCGTCTGCACACGTTGCCAAACTCATGATCTGAACGCCGTTATTGCTCAAGCCTGACGCACATTGCCGCGTCGAGCCCATTTCGCCGGAATCTTCATATCCAGATGCTCTACGAGCCCGTGCCCGCACATGTTCTTGGGGCGCACAAGCCATGTCGGCATAGTGCACTCCCGTTTGCCCTGGGTTCAATAAAAATCCCACAACGCCAGCATGCAGCACTGAGCTTACCGAAATCACCCGCAGTAGCTGACTCGTACAAAGAAGACTGCTGGTCGGCCCCGTTGCCGAAGCGAATACGTGGTTCAAAGCTGCTTGCAGAGTCGGCACTGTCGAGGATGGCTCCGTCAGGGCTTCAAGTACCAAAGCATCCTTGCAGACATAAATCCGCTGGGCAAACACGACTTCGAATAAGGTTCATACAAACCCCGCCCGCTACGTCCACGCACAATCGTTCTCGAGAGATAACGCTCGATGCGAACGCACCCTTCTTCGTCAAGATCATGGAAATCACCTCGTGTGCAGTGTGTTGTTACACTTGCTCGCTGAGCCTCTTCCCATGTACTTGCTATCCAGTTTTACATGTGATGTCGCTCTTCAACTGGTGGCCGCGACCCTCCATGCGGAAAGCGGACCCCATGCAACTGCCGCCGATGATGACCATTGGGGTCAACTAGGTCAGCACAGAGTCGCTCGAGTAGCTGAGCGATCCCCGCCATGCTCGGTCGTGCGTCCGGCTGTTCTCGCCAGCACAGATGCATCAGTCGAGGGATACGCAGGTCCACGAAGCGGTGCGGTATCTGCGGACGCGCCCTCTGCAACGAAACCTTGAGCTGGATCTGTAGAGGGGTACACCCCGGGTACGGTTCGATCTGATGTGTCATCAATTGCCACAGTACGATGCCGAAACCGTAAACATCGGCCTTTTCGCTGTAGGCCTCACATCGAATAACCTCAGGTGCACTGTACGCAATCGTTCCACATGGCGTCATCTTCTCACCGAGCGACGCCATCACCCGGCTGAGACCGAAATCAGAGAGCTTTAATACAAGACCATTATCCCGGTCGGCGAGAAGGAAATTGTCACTCTTCACATCGCGGTGGATGATTGGTGGTTTCTGGGCGTGTAGAAATGCAAGAGCACGTGCAGCGTCTCTCGCAAACGCCAGGTCTTGCTGCAGGTGCGGTTCCGCCTTCCGAATCCAGTTTGTGAGCGTTCCTCGGTTCAAGTACTCGCAGATGAAATATGGTGGAAGAACGGATACGTCAGAAACGCCCAGAAAACGGACAATATTTGGATGGTGCAACGTCGAGAGCAGTCGCACTTCCTTCTGAAACTGCTTTAGCAGGTGCTCGCGTTCAGCCTTCGATTTACCAGAAACGTGGAGTACCTTAACCGCAACGATATGAACGTCTTGCCAGCGAGCTTTAAAGACCTCACCAAAGCTCCCCTTCCCGATCCTCGCCAAAACCTTGAGCTCGGCTGGCTTCACGACGATGAGCGGAGGCGGGTGCCCAGCTGCGGGTTCAGTCGCAGTTTCCCGCCCTGTCTTCCAAAAGAACATATAATGGTGCGACAAAAACCAGAGACTATCTGCAGTGTTTGCTAGGAAACAAAAAACAAGCAAAGAAGCACAGAGCCGAACCAGAGCCCAAAAAGTCCAGCGCGAAAACGCGTTTTCCCTTGTATTCGTACTGGATGCAGTGCGACTGTGGCATCGGCGCGTGGGCGTTTGAAAGCGCTCCGCTGGCGGCTTTGACTAGGGGCGCTCATGCTGCTCTGGCGTTGCCGTTTCGCCTACGGATATCTGAGGGTGTCATCGATGCCTCGATATACAGAGGCTCTCGCGGGCACCAACGCTGGTGCTGTCCGGAGCAGCCCGAGGTCTAGAACAAGCGTTCCCCGTACCTATTCGTTCCGCAGCATTGTTTCGTTGTAGCGTATAGGTGCCGGTAAGCGGCACCTTGGGATTTTGTATGCGCGTTTTTATAACGTAGGATCGATGAATCAAACGTACGTTCCACAGAAGAGCAAGCTGTCTACTCATTTCCATGGAAGAGGCACCATCTCATCTACGAAAGCTTGTGTACTAAACCAGCTTCTGCAAAAAGAAAGTCCCGTCGGCACTTGCGATTTTATAGAGAGAGCGTGTAGACGTAGTGTCCAAAGCAGGGACTCTATATACAAGTGGACGGCGTTTTGGACGCCTTCAACGATGCCGACATCCCTATGCCATAGAGCACACACACTTTTCAGAATGATGCATCGATCTCGCACGTTCACGGCGTATCGTCTCGGGTGACGGCAGTAAACACCGGTTCGTGTCCAGGTCGAATCGATCGCAGCTGCAATCAACGCAAGCGCAAGACTGTCTGTGAACGGCGCTTTGCCAGAATAGCGAGTGTTCAGGCCTATAACGAATACGAGTTATGAACGAATGGCAGCAAAACAGCCACCAGACGGTAATGGGCAGCGACCATCAACGTCCTCCGGCCGTGTCTGTTATCGCTGGAGTATAGTCTCGAGACCCGCAGAGAGTCAACTGGCCAAGCACGACCTGTGGTCGTCGCGAACACCAGAGGTGAGCTTCATGCCCGACGTGCCCGGTGAGTACGTTTTGTGCTTTAAACAGTTTTATCAGGGCAAAGTCTTTACGGATCAAGTGCGCATCTGGGTAGAGAAATCGAATCGAGTGGATCAAAAGCAGAAAGCGTCTGCGGCTGACGCAAACAGCTCGCCCAGAGAGACAACGGCCGTCGGATCAGGGACTCCAGAGGCAGCGAATCCGGCCTCTGCTGGAACCGACGACACTGGCGCTCTGATATCAGAGGGGCAGCAACAGCAGCACCAGCTCCCTCGTCCACCGGTCGACGCGGAGCTCTGTGTTCACATCAAACTCCCAAGTTCGTAGAGGCGCCGGACACTGAGGTCTATGCTGGATACTCGTTACCGGTTGCGAGCAAGGAAAAACAAATCGACCTGCACGCCCCGGAAGACGCAGGCGAAGCAACAACGGTTGTTGGCATCGCCTTTCAGAAGCACTTTAAAGGCGACTGGGAAGCATGTCGCATACGCTGGCGGTCACGATTATCCATGGGATAGGAAACAGCGCCCGGGGTTCGGTTGCGGACGGTGCCCATTAGGGCTCCGAGGGATCACGGAGCGGTTCGGGCTTCATATTCAGCGCAAATACAACAAGCACATCGCTAACGATGAACCAGAAGCATACGCGATGCCTTGCCATCGCCACCCATTGATCCGAACGACGATGCGGTGCTGGAGGGGTCGGCTCGTCCGCTAGAGCGACGACTTTGCCGTCGTTCCCGATCATGCTACCGCATGCGTACTAGATGCATGGGTATATCAAGTCGGTTGCCAACCCGCGTCCTTTACGATGAAAGAGGCGTCTGCTTGCGTTTCCACATGCACCCACGCACACCTTCCGGGACGTTCAAGCAGCGTACAGGTGCCACAGGATACTTGTCATGATCTGTGTGCACCCGGCGATCGGTGCAGGTGCCGGCTTTTCGCTCCCAGCAAGCTCGATGTGATTCCGAAACGATTCCCCTGTATCAGTCGCTTTCCTGGACGGCGATCAGATGTGTTCAAGATGATTGGCGCTCGCCTTCCGGGAACATGCTCAGTCGGCAGCAAGGATTTGGGTGCCACTGCCTGAACGCCTCCGTCGTTCGGTTTCGCGAGAGCGACTCTTACTTGAGGTCACTGTTAAGCCGACAATCTCGCGGAGGACATGTCTGGCGTGTCCAATGTCGGGTAGGAAGAACTCGGCGCTGGTGGGCGCGGAGCTCCCCGCAGTCACCACCCCGGATCCGACGCTACACGTCCACGCGATACGATCGCCAGTGTCGCGTCGATAACCGCGAAGCAGCGTGTACACTTCGTTATCATCCCGTGTATCAGCGGCCAAGCAGAAAACGAGATGCCACGAGGATCCGAGATCCTGCAGAACTCGGGCTACGGCAGCAGCCCGGCTACCGCCGCTGGCTCGAAAGTCAATGCGCTTGGCGCTGCCACCCTGGTGAATGACCTCCATCGGCATGGTGGTACAGTAGTCCACGAGATGGGCTTGCAATTCACGGGCCTGCCAGACTCCGTAATCGGGATCAGCATCGCGATAGTGCCAGGATATAGAGCGCTCTTTGATCTCGAGAAAGCTTCCCGGTGTTCGTTCGGTGTAATAGTTCAAAATAGGCAAGATTTCGTGTTTCCATTTGAGCTCGGTCTCGCTCGCATTTGCTTCGGTTGCACTCGTGGTGACTTTCCATTCAGTTAGCCGCCCAGGGTGTCGATAAAACTGTCCATCCTCTGCGATCAGGCCCATGGATAGGAGCGTGGCGTTCGCAGAGCGCTCTCCACCGGCCCGGACTTCCTCAAACCAGCTCATGAGATGGCTGCGATCCCTAGAGCTCATCAAATAGACTCGATTATTTCCGTCCGAACAGAGACGCATCAGCAAGCGCCAGAGCATTTGCGATGGCGCCGCCAGCTCAGGGACACTTTGTTGTTCTTGGATGCTTCCCTCGTAACCGAGAATGAACAAGCGATGCTGAGCACGAGCCACTTGTTGCATGAACTCCGGAACAGTCAGCAGCTGCTGGCTATCTGGCTGCTGTTGTTGCTGCTGCGTGCTGCGCAGCTGCTGCAACTCGGAGACAAACGACTGCGCCCAGTACGACGCTGTGTGCGTGGTAACATACCGATAGAGCTTCCAGTGCTTCATTTCACGCTCGCGATCACTCATGGTGAGTGCCTCATGCATCGCGGCTGCAAGCTCCTCGATATTCCATGGATTCACCCGAATCGCACCGGAAAGCGACTGTGCCGAGCCGGCAAACTCGCTCAGAATCAGAACACCACATTTCTCTCTCTGGCACATAACATACTCATAGGAAACTAAGTTCATGCCGTCGCGAATCGACGTGATAACGGCAACATCAGCGACGTGATACAGGGCGCACAGCTCCTCAAAAGGAATGCTCTGATTGATAAACATGATGGGTGCATACTCCACGGAGCCGAACCTGCCGTTAATCCGTCCCACAAGCTCGTTCGTGTACGCGATCAGCTTGCGGTACTCTTCGACCTCAATTCGAGACGGGACAGCGATCTGGGCCAGTACCACTTTCTCGTGCCATTCGGGGTACTTTTTGAGCAGGGTTTCAAAAGCGAGCAGCTTGTGCGGTACCCCCTTAATGTAGTCCAAGCGATCAACCCCGATGAGAATTTTTTGCCCTCGAAATCGATTGCGCAGTTCCTCGATCCGGGCTTTGACCAGCGCCAGCTCCATCGTTCGCAAAAACAGGTTCGGATCAATGCCGATGGGGAAAATGCCGACCCGCGCAAAATGACCGTGGAAGGCGACGCCCTTGTGTGACGACTCCAGTCCGAGGATCCTCGTACATACTGAGAGGAAATGGCGCGCATAGTCGAAGGTGTGAAAGCCAATGAGATCCGCCGCAAGGACGCCCTCGAGAATCTCCCGCCGGACAGGTAGAATCCGGTAGACCTCGCTCGAGGGAAACGGCGTGTGCAAAAAGAAACCAATTCGAGTTGAGTGACGCAGTTTTCGTCGGAGCAGTGCTGGGAGCAGCATCAAGTGATAGTCCTGAACCCAGACTGAGTCGCCCCGTCGATACACCGACATGATTGCTTCGGCAAAGCGCTGGTTGGCTGTCGTGTACGCGGCCCAATACTTGTAATCGAACTTGCGCTCTCCGTCCTGGGAAACAACCTGCAATGGAACGTAGTGGAATAGAGGCCACAGCACATCGTTGCAGAATCCATTATAGTACAGTTCGTGAAGCTCTGCGCTCAAAAATACAGGCACCAGACCGTACCTATGAAGCAGCTCCGTGGATACCTGCGTCTCGTCTGCGGGATCGACTTCGCCTCCGGGCCAACCAACCCAAATGAATGGGAGCTCACGCGGGTCCAGCGCACCCTCCAGTGCCGATACGAGGCCCCCAGAGCTCATGGTATAGTCGTACTGCCCATCATTGCGACGCTTCATCGTAATCGGTAAGCGATTCGACACGATGATCAACTTCGGCTTACTCTCATCCTCTGATTGCATTTCAGAGTGCATATCGGTGCGTGTGTTTCGCGGTAACGAAGCCGCACGTCGACTAACGCGCCAGGAACCAGTGTGCTCCGTGGAGGCGCGAGCCTGGGTGCCGGCTGCGTCCAGTGCCGCTGCCGTGCCGTCGCTTCCTCCAAACGCCTGGATAGCACTCGATTCGGTATCTGCTGGACTACCAGAGGCTTGCGAAAACTGACTGGGGCCCTCAGCGATCGTTTCCCTGACGGTCTGTGTTGCTGCCGATGCGGGAAGCGATATCGTTCTGCTCAACGCAGCGGAGGCGGCGTCATCGGAACCGGTGACACCAGTCTGTTGCAGCTCACCAGCGACGGGTGTACTCTCCGCTGGTGTCCCCAAATTCAGCGGCGTTCGGTTTGTGCCACTCGGTGGATTCCCCGACTCCCGAAGGTCCATGAGCTGGAACTGGAGCTCCTGAATGCGCGACAGAAGCTCATCTTCGGTTACATGATTCGGGGATACTGACGCTCCAGCTAAAGGCGAGCTCTGTTCAACAGCATGCGATCGTGCATGCGATCTTCTGTACGCAGCGCCAGTCGATCGGTAGGGGTTTTCACCCCCGATCTGCCGGCCGTACAGCGCGGCCGTGACGTCTGTGTAACTGCCCGCTCCCGACTGACCTGCACTAGAGTCTTCAAGTTCAAAGTCTGTCGAAGAGAAATCAACCACTTCTTCAACATCTTCAACGGAATCGGAACTTTGATTGTTGGCATTCATCGGCCCAGGAAAGGTCACGAGGAAAAACTCCAACGAAATCCTCTGCACTTGTTCCGCAGAAGCGAAACTGCTGCAATTTGAACGAGAAGACGCCCCGTCACGCAGTCTGATTTTCGTACAGAAGCTCCAGTTTAGCACTTGAACCGCCAATACTATACAGAGCTGGTAGAGAGCCCGCGCTTTTTTAACAGTACGCGCGCTCCAGGTTGCAACGACCAGGGCAAGCACCAATAGCCTCACGAGTACGAAGCGATACAATCGCATCGATACGGTTCTGGGCGCGTAGGCTCAGCGCCGATCGTCTTCTCGCACCCGTACGTTGATTGTCGCCCTGTGTGTGTGTGTGTGTAGGATCGGCATGCGAACATCGAAACGCTTTGATCTTTTACGGTTTCATCGTAGGTCGGTTTGTTCGGATACAATATTCGGATTATGAATGCTGTATTCAAGCAGAGGACAAGACGAAGAAGGAGCCGGTGTTTAGGAGCAAGGATGAAGTACTCGAGCAACGTCGCGAGATGCGTTGCCGCAGCTCTATCAAGGTGTCTCGTACGCTGCAAGGAAATGGAAATCAATGCACAACGACGATGGAGACAGGCGGAATCCCATTTTGCATGCAATTTGCGAAACCGTTGCTTGATCCAGCCAACGAGGCTCAGGTTCGGCAGTTCAAGGTAGACGAAGAGAAAGATCTGGTGATGAGCGTGCATCTAGGATTGAAGAATATCGTGTTTGGTGGCTCAAAACCAAACCAAGAGGCCAGCGCCAAAGAGCGGAACGGAAAACGGATTAGGCTGGTTAAATTTTCCAGGGCGCGCTCGTCAACGAGAAACGCGCGCTATAAACGCCACGAGATACACCGACAAATGGAGTGGCAGCCTCAGTGCTCATCCAGACGCTCTGAGCACTCTTTCGAGCAGAGAACGATGCTTCACACACTTCATGACGTGGTTGTATAAGCGTTACAATGGCTCTCGAAGAGGATTTTTTCACTCGAGTACATGAGACCGTGCTGGGGCCGCAAACGCGGCTGCGGTTGTACCAAGACGGATCGGGCACGTTACCCAATTTGTTCAATGCGATGGAAGAGGAATTGGAAATAAACGTCGTGTCGTTTGGTGGTCGCCTAAGCTGCTGAACGCGCTGTAGCGCACAAAGGGTACCATTCTGCTCCTTCGACGAGAGCGTACAGCTTGTGCAGGAATTGATTTATCCACATTCCCATCGATGAGTACAGAGTGACATGAACAGATGACGAGCACGGTTTTACGCTGTCACAAATAGAGAAGAAATGCGAAAAACAGACCCGAATCAACGAAATGGTGTACGGTACGCTGAACAGCCGTTCAAGATCTAGACAATCGACGTTGAGACGCGTGCGATAATGTGATTCCACACGAGCAGCCAGGTGCGCAAACCCTTTCTGCACCCAGACTACAGCGCCTCGATTAACTTCAGGAGATCTTTGGTACCCTCGGAGCATCCGGATGATTTGTCTAGAGCATATATTCGAGACAATCGTTTGGTACTCAGGGTGGGTATTGTGATGGAAAAAAAGTCGTTGATCAGCAGAAAGAGAGAGCGTGTGTGCACTCTGTATTCCTGCCCGATCGCGAGCCCATGGTATGGTACGGTTCAGCGGAATCCAGGTACATCGGAGCGCCATATACGTACATATACCGAGAATAAATTTTCTGGGCAATTCTTCAACGATAACTGTTGTGCATGATACGATATTTCTGCGTATTCGTTATCCAGAGGCGGCGTACGGGAACTCCTAGGAAACGTGGAAATACATGGACAAACCTGTCTAAACTACAGCCGAAGCCGCATTCGTCACTCCAGATGGTGGACACGCGCGCTTCCCTTCCTTCCCTGACGTCGTTTCTTTTTCTGTGCTGCCGCCTGACGCAGACTACACAGATTGCGCACTGGAGGCTAGCTTTCTGAATAGTGTACTAGGCTCTTCGCTAATGATCATACATACCTGAGGAGCAAGTCACTTTGAGCGTTTGCGGTCCGAATCTCACACATGAAGGCGGCAGCACAAAACTTCACGCCGAACGGTGCGAACGGGGGCCGCACCTCGCTCTTCCGCGCTGTCCTTGCAATGGCCTACTACATCACAGCAGCTTCGGGCTTGACAATATTGAACAAAAGTATTTTTTCCAGTTTTGGCTTCCGGTACCCGCTGGTGCTTGTTGAAGCACAACTCTTGTGTACACTCGGGCTCTTCGAGTTGTTGACGCGGTGTCATGCGCTCCAGCGGCCGACCTGGAGCTTCGCCAGCGCATCGAAAATGCTGCCCCTTGTTGGCTCTTACCTCGTCATGCTATTGAGCGGCATGTTTGGACTCCAGAACACGACGCTGGTCATCTATAATACGTTACGGCGTACCACTGTGGCTTTTGTTCTCGTCCTCGAGTACTTTATTTTGAACGTGTTCCCGACCCTGCCAACGCTCTGCTGCGTCCTCGCTATGACGTTAGGTGCCACGTGGGCTGGTCTCGTGGACAGCACCTTCGATCTATACGGATACGTGATGATTTTCGTTGCGAATGTCTCTTCAGCGTTATATGTTGTGTATGCGCGACAAGTCAAACAAACATCAGCATGGAGCAACACCGACATCCTGTACTTGAATAGCTTATTCTCCGCACCGCTGGTGTTAGGGTTTGTGCTCTGGCGTGGTGAGTTGACACAACTCTATCGTATGGGAATCGGAGCATATCCATGGAGTTTTTATTTGATTTTTGCATTGGCCTGTTTGATGGGCTTTATTATCAACCATTCAATCTTCTACAACACGAACACAAATTCGCCACTGACGCAGACCATCTCTGCGCAGGTCAAAGATGTGATTTTGCTCGTTGCAAGTGCACCGTTCGATGGAACCAAGGCCATCAGCGAGAATTTGGTAGGTATCTTGATCAGCCTGCTTGGCAGTGTAGCGTACTCGATCATCAAATACAGGGAGCACAGGGCGCTAACAGAGGAGCGTCACTAGCGCTCCCACGTTCCATGCACCTCATTGAAGTAGCCTGCGGAGATGATTTTCCTCGAAGAACGTCTCCAACGAGAGCCATTGGCTACGCGCGAGAAACCGGATGCGCTTCCAGACGCCAGTGTCGCTGCCAGGCAACCTCGCTTTGTTTTGCTGATCGCGAATGGCTACTCCGTCTACGCTGTGGACCGCTGAGATACATGTTGTGGTATTCTCAGGGGGGCGTGTCGCGTGGAAGCGGACGCAAGTTTAGACGAGTACGTAGAGGCATGGCAGTCGTGACTGATAAGAGACGCTGACGTCCCAGCTGCGTACCGGCAATATCGACAGGCCATGAACGCCAACTGCACGGATGCAACAAAGCGAGTCGGCTTTCCGGTGCACGCGTTTATAGCTGCCGACGGATGATGGACACTGCTGTTGTATCGCTCCTGGAGCAGAGCGCCCGCTTCTTGCGACAGTCTCCAAAATGCTGGGGATCCGCGTGGTTGCATGCCCACAAGCTCGACTGATGGGCGTGCGTTGCTCCGACGTTTGCACGCTTGCCACGTGCATGAAACTGGTGGAACCTGAAGCGCGCTGGTCCGTTCACCATCGAACTCGAAGCAGTGCAGCGTGTCGAGTCGAGTGCATTTCAGAGCGTGTATCAAGGCGCGTCGCATGAGGCATCTGTCACGTAATTTGGCAAGAGAACCGGGGTATTCACGATGAGCGCTGTCTCGCTTCATGGAAACCGATGTTCATCGATCATTCCGCGTACGAGCTAGGATTTCGCGGCCCATCAGCTGAACAGGACCCCAAACGCCCAGGTGGCAGTCTCTCGAGTCGACTTTCGACGGCCACTGATACATAGTTTTTCTACAATGGGGCGCAGCCAACCGAGCTCACGGAGTGCGGACACCGCGGCCGGGCCAAAGGTCTGTCCGATATCACCCATGACACCCACAACTGCGCGCAGCATATCCTCATCGTCCACAACCTCTTGGCTGACCTGCTCGCAGAACCGGATGACCCACTCAACTTGCTGGCGATCGATAAGAAGCCCGGCTTTCTGAGCAGCATTCAATCCGTTGATAATCCCCGTGTAAGCGTCCAGAATACACTGCCGCATTTCCAGGATCCAATCATTGGTCTCATCGTCAAGCACGGGTGTTTGCAACGTCGACCAGGCTGCGTGTTGCAAAGCGGCAATGCAGGGGTCCAGGTAAGGCTCGAAAGCTCCCTCCAGGGCCAGCGCAATATCCCCAATACAACAGAGGATTGGAGGCTTCACTGTCCGGTTCAGGAGAGTGTTCTCGAGCGCCGCAAGCAGCACTTGGACGGTTTCAGCTGCGAAGGGCTCGAAGCGCTTCTCCAGCGCCCTACAGATATCGCTTATTGTGCCAATTGCAACCGCGCAAACATGGTAGGCCTCCCAATTGCGCACACTTGCGAGGACAAATGGCATAGCGCGAGCTGCATACGACGCAAATGCGTGTTCCACTGCGGAGGCAATCGAACCAAGGGCCATCAAGGCATCCTCGTGCACTGCAACGGAACGATTTCGATTGAGCACTTGCAGAATCATCTCCACTAGGCGAGAGGTAGTACCCTCCAGTAGCGGTGGATCAAGATGCTGGACGAATACCTGAATGAGTCCGCATAAGAGGCCTTGAATTTCTATCTGGAACGCTGGCTGATTTGCAGACGCTGCAAGCATCGCATCAGATTCCTGTAACGCCCTTTCCAGGCTGTGCATGGTGAGCGGTAAATACTCTCGGGCTAGTGACCTGGCATTTTCAGGTGAGCTCTGCTGCACCAAAGCAATCAGCGTTTCGTACGACGATGCCAACAAGTTCCATTCATCCGCATCATCGCGTTGCGCCGTCTGCCACAAGGCGTTCGCCAGCGTCAACGTAGCCGCCGAAATACTTGCCAGCGCTTCCGCCGACTCGTGTTGTGTTTCTATCAAGGAGGTGAGGGCGTAACAGGCACTTCGTGCAACCCGAGGAGTATCCGCAAGCGCTCTCATCAGTGCGGTCAGTGCCGCTTCTATGACATTCGCATTGAGGTGCGTTACCAGATGGGCAATCAAGCGACCGAGGCTCCATGCTGCTGTATCGCGGACTGCCTCGTTCTGCGCGGTTTCCAGCATCCGCAGGGGAAGCGCGAAAACTTCCAGTGTGGTCTGCTCGTCGTTGGCGCTCGTAAACGTCACTGCGATGGAGCCGACAGCGACCAGTGCCGCCTCGTGGGATCGCCAATCCCGTTGAACATCCAGATGCTCTCGAATAAATGGCACAGCAGCCTCCAGTGTTGCTTTCGGAGCGACCTGCGCAAACAGAGAAACGCATGCACTTGCAGCTAGGACTCGATTCCAGTTCTCGCCTTCGACGTCCTCGTCCTCGTCGCGCCGGATCAGACACTGAGTGAGGAGCGGAATTAGCGCTGGCGCTGCCTGCTCCACGATCCCCAAGTACGCTGTCTCTAGCGTGCCATTCTGTAAGAGTTGATGCTCTTCCAGACGCTTGATCTCGACATCGGCCACGGATGACCAGAACTCTATCGCTTGCACCGCAACATCCTCCTGATCGTACTGAATCGCATGACATGTGAGCTGAAAAGCCATCTCGATAAAAGTGAGTGGTGGATTAGAGGGGCTCGGACAGGCAAGTTTCTCATAATACTGGCTCGCTATACCAACCAGGCACTCGTAGGCGCTGCGTCGGAGCTCGGCATCGGCAGGCTCAGCCGCCGCCATCATCACGGTGCGCATGATCATATCGCGCTCGACTTCGTTCTCCATATTCTGTGCGACGAAAGCCAAGGCGTTGAAGAGCGCAGTCGTTGCAGCCCGTCGAACGAGCGTATTCTCCTTCGGAACGGGCGGCTCGGTGGGCGTGGTCTCATGATCGCCGCGCATGCCTTGAACCAGCGCCGTTAGGATCAGGTTCGACTGGTGGGCGATAACCCCCGCGACGGACGGTTCCTCGCAAATGTAGCCCAGTGCCTCGACACAGCCGTGTTTCAGAGCATCGCTAGAACCAGCCTGGGTCAGCGGTTGGACCAGCTGCTCGATCAGTTGGGGCCACTGGCCGTGCGGAAGCTCCACCACCGCAACCTGAGCGAGCGCTTGCGCAGCCTGTCGTCGGACTGAGGCTCCCCCCTGTACAGTACCCAGCGCCTGAATAAGCACACAGTGTACTTGCTTTCGCTCTGCAGCACCAATCTGAGCAAGCCAGCGCTCTGTAGCGCCCTCTTTTGCGGAGCCAAAACGCCCACTGAGCGAGTTTTTGAGCAGGATACCCGCCAACTGTCGCGCTTGAATCGGCGCCGTCCCATCGGCCAACAGCCCAACTAGATCAAGCACGAATCGTACGTATTCATCGTTTTCCAGACGAAATAACTCTGCTTCGGCGGCCTCTCGAGCTTGATGATCTGGTGATTGCGCCTGTAACAGCAGAGGCGCGAGCTGACTCATGAAAACGGCGCGTTACCTGGCGTTCGGGCTAAGAGGTTCACGCGATCTGTCCACGGATGAATCAGGTTCAGAGCCTCAGCTTTGCTACACCGCTGAGAACCTGCCAATGGATCTCACCCTTTCTGCAAGAAAGCGCCTCGCAGAGCGGCGTCTAACCTCTTCCAAACAACACCCCGGGCTAACTGCGACGCTGCCCAGAGCACGAGTGCACAGCAGCGCGGCTTCGACGTCTGCGTTGTGCCGCTGCCGCCGAACTGGCAGCCGCGCCGACGTCCATCCACAGGCGCGATCGCGTAGGCGGACACGAGCGCCGTGCAGCATGCGTCTATCGGCTGTCAACTCAAGTGTGTTTCATCCGCGGGTGCGTTGCAACGAATGCTTTTTCGCAGGGTATAACAGGGGATGGAATTCACGATACAATGTACCGTATCGATCGTAGATCAGTTGGATGTCGGATATGGATTCTTTACTGAACAGGGCAAAGAGGACTGCATTCCGCCTTCGGGTCTCTCATAGGGTCGTACTCAAATGGCTGAGGAATATTGAAAGAAACGTGCAGATGTACTCCGTACCAAAAACTGGTATTCTCTAATACTGCTTGCGGTCTATGGTAGAAAACGACCAGTTGATCGCCTTTTGCGGAAGGTAAAAGCGATAATAATAGACACCAGCGGCGTCTCTGTTTCTCAACAGGTGGTTCATGTGGACGTGAAATCTCTGGGATCCAATCGCAGAAAAAGTACGAGTTCACGCACAGCCATCTTCCACGGAAATCGCAACTACGGAATTCCTGGAACGTCAAGATCGGTATGAAGTAGACGAACGTCAATTTGTTTCTGCAGAAGATGTGAGTTCCTTCTGAGGAAACGATCGGAACGTCTATCGGTACGCGCGGAGCAGGGCACCAGTTTTGTGTACGATTGAATTCGAAGAGAACGGCGACATCATCTGCTCTAGGCGCAGTGGATTCATTTGGCAGCCTCAGCGTCGCTCCTCGAGAAGGCGCTTACCAAAGCACCCACTTGGTTGAACCATTGAAGATCTTCCCGAATGTCTGGCGAAGGCCTTCCATTGGACAACATACCCTTTCACCATTCCACATGCGTTCGAGCTTTTCTTCGATTCTATCGGGGCAGAGCTGCTTTTCATTCCTCCATACCCTCAGAGATTCATCCCCATGAAACAAGTGTTTGCCATCGTGAAGCGTAATGATCCCTCCACTGCACGAATCCATGAATCGTTCTGCTCACGGTGACTCACAGGGACATATTTCGCCGTCCTTCCGCAAATCTATCTCGCTCCTGCAAGGTCCTCAGCTAGGGACATAAAGAAGTGCTTTCATTTTGAAGAAAAAATGTTCAAGGCATGAGCTGAGTTGTAACCTTCAGCAGGTCGAGCTCGAAACAAGGCAGCCGAGCGCTTCTGCGATAGAAAAGTACGGAAAGCTGATAGACCACCAAATGGTAATGAGGGCACGGCCTCGAGGACTCCTTGCGCTGGTAAGTTCCACTAGCGGTAGAGCATGCAAGGAGGTCGCGAACCGAGACTGCAACGTCGCCACCAAGATCAGATGATATGCGGTGCCAAAGACGAGACTCCCGGAGCTGACGCGATCCAACTTTCTGGGGCAGCCTCTCAGGCTCGAAGGGTGTTCGGATAAAAAATGAAACCTTTAGCAGGAAGCCGGTCAAAAAATGCTGAAAGGCCTCTGCCGATGGATATCCATTTCCCCTACAGGGCCGTCGGACATTTTGTTTCACTGACGACGTTTGTATACGCGCAGGTTTTCAGACATTCGAGGTATACTTGTTTGTGTACGTGTTCATGTATGTGTTTGGTTGTACGCGTGCTTATGTGCAGCGCATCCGAGACCTCCAGAAGAAACGTGATGATCTGGATGCGAATACTAGGGACGCGTGACGGCGTTGTCTGTAACGTGCTCCAGTTGTCCGGAAAGCAGTAGAGTGTTCGGGGCAGTAGTTTTCCAGTGCTCGAGTTAGTATTCGTGTCTGGTTGGCGACATCGCAATCTGGTTGTATCCATGATGGCAGCGCCGCTTCGAACTGGCACGGCCTGCAGCTACCCGAGCGTACGTGCATATCTCATGGTGCTGGTAATTTTGATTTCGCAGAAGTTTTCGGCGACAAGCGTATAAATGCGTGTAATCTACACGGAGACGTCAGACGTTCGCGGCTGGTGCGGCGAATGATGGCGCTAGTGTGCGACGCTGCTTTCAAACGATGCCCAGTAACGTTGGATGCACCCGTCTGTAAACATGACCAGGGAATCGATCGTGTCTTGCAATCGAGACACTACACAGTGCGGAAGGTCGACGGCGCCGCAGAGCGCACCTCACGTGTACGCCTCCAAGCGAGACTGCACTGGATGTATTGATGAACGGAACAGGGGTGCGATTCCCTGGTCTAGTGCCCAGCACCGTTCCCTATGACCGCAATCTGCACATGTTCAGATTGGTGATACGGAAGAGTTGCTGCGCACGCTGCGGAAAAAGGAGACCGTTGCGGTATTGCAGCATATCAGCGACGGACATAGTGCAGCACGCGTTTTTCTCGCTGTACAGCTGGTGCCAGGCACGCGCTTTGGTAGCAGAGATGCATATGCTTGGCTTCGTGTCTGGACCGTATTCGGCAAATACTGAATGATGATGTAGAATGGCAGATTGTGATCTTGCGCCCTTCAGAGGAAACGAGCCGCAAACTCGAGTTTTTTTCCAGCAGCGAAGTTTATAGTGCTGGCTCGTTGAATGCAAGTCCACGTGCACTCGTGTCACGCTCGCTCCAGCGCATGGCTTCATGGCGGAAATCACATGACGTCTCACAGATATGCAGCGTACGATACGTTTCGATGAGCGCTCGGATGCGCTGCAGCGACGAATGGCGTCGAGTCTCTGCTCTAGTAGAGCTGTCGCTCAGGGCGTTCAGCACACGCAACCTAGAACAGAGGCGGCTACTTGGTCTGGAGCGGTGCCTTTGAGCTGCCCAAGAGTGGCTCACACGAAGCCGCGGGCGGCATTTCATTCGACTGCAACGCCGCTAATGGTGCATAGTGCGTGGCGTCGGGCGCCCAGCATAGAGGTGGAACGCAGCGGCACCAGTTGTCGACGAAAGCGGCACCTGCCGAGCTCACCCTGCCGCTGCCGCACGCAGGTTGGTGTCTGCAGAACCTCCGGGTAAAAAACTCGAGCTCGACACCCATGTCGATGCAGGCGGATTCTACTTCAGAACGTTTTGCGCGACAGTTGCCCATCTGGGGCGACTACGCCCAGCGCCTGCTACAGCGAGCGCGTGTTGTTGTCATCGGTGGAACAAGCTCCGCAGCGGAGGCGATCAAGTGCTTGGTACTAGGCGGGGTCGGCTCGATTCTTCTGGCAGATAGTGCTCGGATCACGCCCGCAGACACGGAGGGCAACTTTTTCTTACCACCTTGGACGGTGGGCGAGTGGCGTGCGACTGCTCTGTTGCGATCTTTGGTGAAGCTGAGCCCGACGACGCGGTTCACGGCACGACTGGGCACTGCTCAAACTCTAGTGAACGAGTGGACGACACTCCAGCCTCTTTCCATGGTTATTCTGACGGAGGGTACCACCGCAGAGAAGCAACAGCTTGCAAAATTTTGTTGGTATTCAGCGATACCTCTATTCATTGTCAGCGTTCACGGTTTCGGTGGCTCCTTGATACCCCAGTTCCCAGAGCGTGTCTTTTTCCGGTCGACAGGATTGCGCCCGGCGGTGCACACAATAGAATATTTGCAAGCCATTCGTGTGATGAATCCTTTCAATGCCCTAGCGGAGTGGTGTACGAAACGTTTCTGGCCTCTGCAGCAATGGAGTCCATCGCAGCTCGCAGCTATCCCCTGGCCGGTGCTCGTGGTTTTAGCGCTGCAACAGGCCAATCGTAGTATGCGGCCGGAAAACCGCGATCCCAGGCAATCCACAAACACCGACCGTGCAACTACAAGTGATGGATGTCGGTGCACGGAAGCAGAGGAGCGCGAACACCGTCACGAGCCGACCGAAGCCGGTGGGGCGCTAACCCAGGCCGCACTGCCGCGTGAACGTCAGAGTCGGGGCGCGGGCGCGCTCCTGGTACCCGGCTGTTTTTCCGCAGTATCTGGAGGTTCCGCGTCCGAAGCCGTATCTAGTCGAATCGAACGGGCATTGATATTGCTGCGAAAATGGGAACCAAGCGAGCTGACGTCAGCGAACTGGAATATGGCGGTCGCGGCTCTGCAGAAATTGCGTACTGCGAGCACAGATCCGGATCCGAGGATCATTCGAGAATCCTGCTCCTTGCGTAATCGTCAGCTTACGCGAATACTGGAGGCGACCAGAGCCTTTGCCACCCAGCACGGTTGGCCGGTATTTAGCGATCTTGGCGAACTCCACGGCGATCCAGAGAGCGTCCACGAATTACGACGCCTCTATTGGGAGCAGGCGGAACACGACATCGAGACTATCTGGCGGCTCGTGCGGGCAGACCCGATGGAGGCCGAAGCGCCGGACTCTATTTCGAAGGAGCTTGTTCGAGAGGTTTGCTCGAACTTGTTTTTCATGAAGACATGGCGCACGCAACCGTTTTACTGCCTATATGAAGACGCGGCGGTGGAGAAACCGCAGCTGGCTCCACCAACGACAGCAGCACAACGCAGAGCAGCATCGTTGTTTCTCGCCCTGATTGCTCATGAGTGCTGCCAAGAGCTGGACCGGACCCAGCAGCTTGTGCGACGTCACGGTGCGGATGCTGTGCTGCTCGAGGAAGCCCAGCGAATTGCCAGGCTCTGGAGCTGGCCGCCCGACCTGATTGATTCCGTGCGTCTGCGTCATCTCGCGGAGCTGTTTGCCGAGGAGGAGCATCCCTCCGTGCCCATAATGCTCGGCTCATTTGCGGCACAGGAGGCCATCAAACTCGTCATTCAATTATTCGAACCCTTGACGACGATACTGGTGTATGACGGTCTCGCCGACAAAGCCGATCTCCTGCACCCCGCGGTTGCATCATAGCGCTAACAGGGAATTTTTGTTTCCTGGTGTCACATCGATGCTGCGAACCAGTACCCTGCCAGGTGGACGACTGCGGCCGACAAAACGGGAAAACGACCAACAGCGCACTCGCTCGTGTGACATCATCGCTGCACCGTCCTCGAGCGGACGCCCTTCGACACGCCACCGTACCGTCCTGTCCCTGCAAAGCGACCGCAGCAGCGCATCTCGCGTCACAGCAGGCACGCACGCGACGCCCTACCCAGCACGCAACAATCGTCGGATTCCTGTAACCAAAGGATCTCACCAGGTCTGACCTCGCGTCGGTTCAACCTAGCGACATGTTTGTGGGGTTGTAAAAGTGACCACACGTCTGTTGGTGGCAGCTGCTCTGCTTGTTGCCATCCATCAAAACACATCTGGCGGAGGATCCCAATGCGATGCACGCATCGATCCCAGGCGAAATTGCCGCTGCGCACGCACGCACGCACGCACGCAGCAGCTCCTGACGTGTCCCGCGATGCGGTGCCTTGCTGGCCGGCCGCCAGCATCGATCACGAACGGCACACAGGTGCGCGCCTGCCTACCGCTCGGCGATCGCTACGCCACGAGAGAGCGTCCGGGTGCATGCACTGACCGCCTGCATGGATGGTGTCGCTTGACGCACGCTGTCCAAAACGCATAGGCTTAACGCTTGACGTATTCTGGCCCAAGCATCCCAAAGCATGCGTTCTCAAGACGCAGTGTAGGCAGATTCGAACATCCTGGGTGTTGTCATCGGTATTGGGCATGGTTCTGTTCGCGTATATGGCGGAAGAGCGCGTTCCTCGAAGTGAATAACTCGCTGCACGTCTGGCACTTGTACGCGGCAGGAGCACCAGCGGCAGCAGCGCCTGCATTTTGCGCTGCCGTTGCTGCTGCGAGATGACGACGACGACGACGATCCTTCGCTGTTTCCGCACGTCGACGGTGTGGTCGGCTGCGCTCGCGATCTCCCAGGGCCCGCAGCTCGTCCGTATGGGCTGCAGCGTGCGTGCCTGCTTCGATATCTCGGCCCGCGTTCGTTGATTTGCCGTTCATGTGGGCGTCTTGCATGGAGCGAGTGCGTTCAGCCTCTTTAGTGGCGCTCTTGGGATCACTTTCAGAATGTGCATTCCTGGTGCCGACTGGAACGGCGAGGTCGTCTTCGATCTCATCATCATCATCATCATCGGCATGGTGGCGCCTAGAAACGCTCTGTTCCGATTCAGAAGAAGCCTCGACGGAGCTTGCAGGACGCACACCGGCTTGTTCGTCTTCTGAACATTGACCCTCGCAGAGCGAGCCGTCCCCGTCAGGCAGCTTTTTTTGTCTCTCGCTGGATGCACGTTGTCGCATCGTCTCGTTGGGGTGCGCGTCTCCATTCACCACGTCGTAGACGTGATCCTCGTCTCCTGTTGCTTCCACCTGACCCATAATCCGGAATACCTGCACTTCTTCGCCTTTGGCAAGACAAAGATCCTTGCGAAAGCGTCGTACGCAATCCCGATGCTTCTTGCTATGCTCATGATTTTCCCACTGGGCAAACGTTTTGAAATACTTCTTACACGCAAGGCATTGAACACCTTCGATCGTTGGTTGAACCGCATCACTTGCTCCGTGAGGCTGGTTCACATCAGGTGCCTCCTCGCTGATGCCAGCGTACTCCAAATGCTCCAGTAGCTCCTCAAGATTCGGTATATCCTCTTCAAGCTGCGCAGCAAGCCTCGCCGCATGCAGAGACCGAAGGCGTTCCCACTGTTCTCTTTCCTGGACTTGTCGTTCTAGCTTCTCAGCTTCTTTTCGTGCTTCTTCTTCCTTGTGTTTCAATACTCGACGATCCCGCTTTTTCACAAAGGCAACGAGCTCTCGCACGAGCGCTTGGAACTCTCTGCGAGCACGCTCCCGCTCGCGGCGGTTGTCGCGTTCTATGGCCCGTCGAATCTCCCGGTTCGGCGCCTCGCTCGGGTTCCAGGAGTCCGCAAACGCGAACGTCTTCGCTGATACAAAGTTCTCCCAGAAGTTATAGAAGCGACGTACACTGGGCCAGTCCGCTGTGGCACTGCCGAACGGGGGCGGCTGTGCGCCTCCGGCTGCCACCTCTTCTCTCGCAAGCTGCTCGAACGCTGCTCCGTATACGTGATAGAAACCTCGTTCTCCGTCTTCGTAGCCATTATAAGCAGAAGATCGGAAATATTCATATATATTGAGTTCTGTCGCCCGGTTCACCGTACGCTCTGTACGAGAAGCGGCACCGGTGTCCGTCCCAGGCGCTTGAGTCGCCTCCAGCGGATCCCGGCCGCGCAGGATATCCTCTCGGTGGTCATCATACCATTTTCGTTCATGTGGGTCTGAAAGCACTTCGTAGGCTCTCCGAAGCTCCTTGAAAGCCTCCGCTGCCTCTTCTGGTCGGTCGGGATTCTTGTCAGGGTGCAGGCGAAGCGCTGCTCTGCGAAACGCTCGCGTGATCTCCTCCGCGGTGGCGTCCCGTGGAACACCAAGAACTTCGTAGTGACAGCGCATGACAAATGTTTGTGCCGCTTTTGGGGTCTGCCCCTGATCGTTATTAGAACCCCACCAGAAGAAACGCATTTTCCCACGGAAGCGGCAGCGAACGCCGTTCAACAGTCGAAAGTCGCCAGCAGTGTACAGTAGTTGCGAATGACCTGCCCTAGACGAGACACGTCCGAATGACGTGCAGACGCCTCCCAGTATTTTTGGACCGGCCACCGACTACTGGTTCCATTTTTTTCTCATATAATCTAACCTTGAGATGTTGCCCTGCAAAAATTTCTCTTGTCATCTCTGGAGGCCTCTTGTCCATCACCGCACGTCTCCTGATATTGATAGTGGCATTAAAGTCTCGATTCACAAACTCCATGCGTTTCCTGCCATTGGTAGTTGTATTCATTAGTGCGAGTAGTCCGCGAATTTTCGCCTTAGTTTCCATTTGCACTTCCGCCAGCGCTTTGTACTTTTTTACACCCTCAAGGCTCGGCTGACACTGCTCCATCTTGACCTTCTGGAGCGTACACCACAGCTCGTGGCGTATGTTGGATGTTCGGAACTCATATATCGGTATTGTGACGAAACATCGTGCGCATTCCTTGTACGCTCATTGCGAGTTGCTGTAAACCGGAAACGAAATTCTCCTCGACAAGCCATAAAAGTGGTGTTGTGGCTTTCCGCCAGACACGGTGGCTGTTTTTGCCGTGTCCATGGTCCCGCAGGCGTGTCCCGGAGTGCGCTGACTCCATAAAAGCCGCGAGTTCGCGCTGCTGCCCTGGCATCGGGGTGCTGGCGGCTCCACAGCACAGATACCTCATGATGTGCGGGCGAAGCATGCTGCTTCAGCACCGTAAGAACGATGCGCTCTCATGCGCGTTCCCCTATGATCCGAGATGTAATCCACAGAGTGATGCTGGCGGCTATGACCGAGCGTCTTGCATATAGAATGCAAATCTGGGAACTGCGGCCTAAGGCTCGGAGTTCCAAGTCACGAATGGTCCATATGCTCACGATCGGTACTCGAAGCGAGCGCGCTGGACATTATACACTGCTTTGCTGCACGAGAACAGTGCTATGCTCGGGGCCGGCTAGAGTACCTTACGAAAAGTCAGCAGGAACGTCGCTTTCAGGTACGGTGCGTGACACGGGCTAGGCGAGAGCGATCCGTTTGCGAATCATTTCGGAATGCGAATTCGATGTTCATGAGTGTCTTCCCGTAGTAATGCCTCTTTACTTCAGGTTCGAGGCGCGCCTGTTCGAGTTGGTTTAGCGCTTGCGTTCGAGCTTTTTGTCGATTCCATCGGGAAGCAGACCTGCTTTTTATTCTTCCTTGCACTCCGTGATTCAAGCCCATCACAGACGTGTTTTCTATCGTGAAACGTAATGATCGCTGCACTGGGCGAATCGCTGAAGCGTTCTGCACAATCACGTCGGAGCATATATCGTCGTTTTTCAGCAAGTCTTTCTCCCTCCGGGCAGGTCGTCGACTACGGGCATTCAGAAGTACGTGCATTTGTCGAAATAGAAAATCCATGCGAAAAGTATGGACATGAAAGTTAGGGATCCCGGAGGGTCGTCATTGCCAGGCGCCGGAAAAATGGATATATTGCTCTCCTCGTCGACCAGTGAGCGAAGAAGAGCAAGCGAAGATGATGACGAAGAAGAAGAGAATAGATAGGCGAGAAAAGATGGATGCCCGACGAGACGCTGGCGATTCTTTATTAGCACTGACGGCGCGAGTTCTAGCAATCCTGGCAATCGTGCGTTCAACCGTCGACGATGCTCGCATGTAGCTCGTGAACCGAGACTTCACTGTCACCATCAATATCAGACGATGCGCGGTGCAGGAAACGATACCCGAGGAGCTATGACGATCCAACTTCGTAGGGCATGCGCTCAGGCTCGACGCGTGCCTGGATACACTGAAGCTGCCAGCAGGTGGCTGGTCAGAAAAAATGGGAGGCTTCTGCACGCGGGCACCAGTTTAACCTCCATGGGCGCGAAATGCCTATCGTTTTACTGACTACAGACGTTCATTCTCGAGCTCGCTCGTACGGCCACCAGCAACTAGTATACTGTGTTAAGAAGCATGCACAGTGAAATTCCGCAAAAGCTGAGCAGTCACCTGCATGCTGTTCTGATCTGGTAGGCTCGTACGCCATTTGGAACGTTGGAGTCGTTTGCTTGTGCCTCCTTCGCGAACGAGCGATGCGGCGTCCGGAACCTTGGCCAAAACGCGTTCCAATACATTATTTCGAAAAGCTGGGCGTGAGACGCGAGTCAGGACGAAACGGCAATGCGCGCTCAAAGTATGGAAGACTCGATAGAGTCGACCTATCGAAAACAGCTGAGAACCCGAGGATACCAGTCGAACTTCAACGGTCTTGGACGAAGTTCACAGCCTCAGCACTTGAAATGCCATCCAAATCGCATCAAAACTTGAATATTGTTATTCGGGAGCAAATCGCGTCTCCGCGCTGGCCTGCCAGGGTTACGCCTCCGATGCCGTTCAGGTAGCCTTCATTGGAACTGGTTGTCTCCCAATGAGCCGTCTCGCTCGGCGGACCGCTCCCGCAGGCAATGTGCGTTTCCATTCAAAGTCAATCACATGCATCAAGCGTTCCAGGCGCTGCTCATTCGCCTGCACGGGACACTCGCAGGGCAACACGCTCTGCAGGCACAAGACACTAGTACGATATGCGCGTCCTTCGCAGATCAGCTCCATAGATTGTGGAACCCAAACGACGCTCCACATTCACCCAAGGACGAGAGAGCGCCCGCCCCGCAGAGCGATGGGATCCGCACGCGGCTCCGGTGCGCAGCCGCTGCCACGCGTCGTTATCGGGAGGCCTCTTCCGACTGACGGCATCAGGTCATCACACGCTCATACAATGCTCAATCTCCAACCGGCTACGGGGAAAAGCTCTGGAAGAAGGAAATCGAAAAACCCTCGTCAAACCGGTCGCCATCGCCACGTCGCAGAATACGTGCCCAGTTGACTTCAAACCGACCGAGGCTCGTACAGCAGGCGAGTCCAAGACCCGCTGACATGCGCCAACTCTGGCGCCACGCGACAGCGTCCGACCATTCCCGACAGTCACCTATTGCACAGAACGTGTGGAACTGTAAGCCGAGGGAGCGTGCCACTGCACTGGTAACGATCGGGACGCCTAGATGTAAACCTAGTTTGTAGTAGACATCTCCACCGATGCTGTCTCCATCGGCGCTGGGCCCTAGGCCCCGATTCCGGAAGCCTCGGAATGCATTCGCACTGCCGCCGACGAAAAATCGATCGCAGATCCTCGTCTGACGCAACGCATGCCGGGGGCCGGCACGGTGCTCGCTTTTCCGGTCTTTCATCGCAGCGAGCGCTTGGTGGAAGGGAATGATCATTCCCCCCTGGAAGCCAACTGAGAACACGATAGGAGGCATCAGACGCTCGGGTGGTGACGGGGCAGCGTCACCAGCTGCAAGTGAATCGTCCACATTGCGCACGAGTTCGCTGCCGTCGGCTCCCGTCAGTGGCACATTCCACTGCCACGAGAGCTCGCTTCGAATAAATCTCGTTGCGGGATCGCCACCGAGTCCCGCTAGTTCACAGTTCCACTGAGCATTCGTACCCTGACGAGGCGCCAGCGGATCGTCGCGACCATCCCGGGTCCAGGTGTATTTGAATGAGCTCTTCACTGAGTGCCCAGCTTGTTCACGAACCCTGATGCTTGCGTGCGGTGCGACTTGCCCCAGCTCGCGCCAGCTGCACTCATAAGCGAAACGTCCGAACCGCGTCTGGAGGCCGGCTTCAAAGCTGCGCTGAAACTCACTATACGAACTTGTGTCCATGCGATTCAGCAGGGCGCTCTCGGCACTTGCCGTCGCCAATGCGTCCAGTAACCCCCAGGGATGTGGTTTTCGCCAACCGCAAACAAGATGATTCGTGGCTGTTTGTTTTGCAAATAGGTAGCGGTTCGGGTGCACCAGTGCAGCGAGGCTACTCAAACTCGAGAGCGCGAATCCGGACCCGCCGACGCCCGCACCAAGTTGGCAATGCAAAGCATCTCCCGTCCCAGTAAAGTTTATGAAGCCTCCATCAAGCTCGAGAGCGGTCTCGCCGGTGCGCGTATCGGTAGAGGTCCCAATACGGAGTGAAAAAGGTGGCGCCTCACGCACAGTAACGAGTGCATCGCAGGGCACAGACTCTGCAGTTGGCTCACCGTTCGCAGGGACCGCCGATTCATCGATGAGAATGTCCACTGCACGGAAACACTCGGTCAGACGGAGTCGCTCGGTTGCGAGTGACGCTCGTTCGAGGAGCTCCTCGAGTGTCAACGAGCGGCGGCTAGACTCAGGAGGCAACGAGTCTCGGTTCTGCTCCTCCGACAAAGATGCATCTAGGAGGCTCTGGACAAAGTCGATGCGAGTTCGTTCGACGCCGCGAATAATGACCCGCCGCAGACGAACTGTTTCACGCAAGATGTCGCGAACTGGTGCTTCAAGATTTTGCGCTGAGGCAGTAGCTTGCTCAGATCCGGAAACCATCCGCGGGTGCGTACCAGTGCAGCGCTCCTTGAAGAAAGCTGCCGATTTCTCCACCACACACTGGAGACGTAGACCTCAGACAGTCGAGGTCGATCGCAGCTGCCGAGCCTTTGCAAAACCTGTCCACGGTGTAAGCAGACACGTCGTCCCCAAAAGTCTGCACCAGCGCAACGCCACATTGGTTCGGGCGAGCGCTTCCGCTGCCGAGGGCGATCCTGCGGGCCTGCCTGCACAGCCGCTCGATGAGTGCATTGTCGCCCGTTCGGCGTTCTGGATCGACTGCGTTGAATGGGACTGCATCTGGCAGTGACGTCGGAGGTGTTATGGTGTCATCTGGGTGTGCAACGATGCTCAAATGCGTTGCATGGGACTGCATCTGGCAATAACGATCGACCGCGTTGACAGGGACTGCATTTCGCACTAAAGTCGGAGGTGTCATCGTATCATCTGGGCCTCAAGTCGTTCGTGCAGTGTTGATGCCGGGTCGAAGAAAGGGACCGATTGCCCGTGCGCTTTTGTCCATGCGCACAGTCCCTGGAAGGCGGAGTGCGTTGATGATGGAGGTCCTTTTTGGATGCGTCCCCCAGATATCCCGCTGTTCAGACTCAAAAGGGTGACAGTCCTATTGAAAAGGTTCTCGTGCATCATGCCGCTCGCTAGTTTCGTCCCGGACAGCAAGGATAACCCCTAAAAGAGCTACAGACCACGGCGACGAGCTCGATGAACAAGAGTCTGCTCGTTCGGCGGCTGAAAAGCAGCAGCAGCAGCAGCAGCAGCAGCAGCAGCAGCACGTTGCGCTGTCACGATCGAATTCGTGACATCACCGCCGCGCTTCACGGACGGCACACATCGCGCACCATCTACGAGCACATCTGTTTTCGCGCTGTACGCTCTTGAAGAGCAAAAACCAGGTGGCATATGAGGGCCAAGTGGAAGAAGAAGCGTATGCGCCGCTTAAAGCGAAAGCGACGAAGGATGAGACAACGTAGTAAGTAAGGCTGCTCTTTTCGTCTCCATAAATGTTGGCAGCTTGGCTCGCAACGTGCACGACAGGCACTCGGGGCGCCAGTTCATGAACGAGCTCGCGGCTGTGTTGCCGGTTTACGTGTTGGGGCGACTCTTTTTAGCTGAGAGTCGTCGTTGTCGTTGTCATAAATTGCGACACAAAGTATTTGCCGCCTCTTCTTCTCTAGACGGGTGAGTTGAAGCTACGAACTCGGAGGGCACAACTTTGACCTCGGAAACGAACCAGTTGGAACGGTAACCACTTTTAGCGGTATTATAAACAGGACGGACAGCCTTTTCCCCCGATCACTTGCAAGATGAGACTCTCCAGAAAACGAGGCGTTCGCCGGTCTCTACGAACACTGGCCGCGTGCCCGCTGCGTTAGTGCGTTTGCTGGATCTCCCGTTGAATCTCAGCAAGCGCCAGGCGCACGTCCCGCTCTGTTACCACCCTGTTTTCTCGTGCACACTCTTGGAAGAGGCTGTACAACCGCCTTTTGGCGGCGCCCCAGGCATATGCGTACTCCAGCTCCAGCACCCGCTTGCCCTGAATCGAAGGCGGAAACGGAGACATTTCCACGTCGACGGCACCATCCGCAGCCTGTTCCTCATCAAAAAGCCATTCCAGATGCGCAGCGTTTCGTTGTGAGCTGCAGGCGTCACATGGACAGACTACCGCCTCCAGTTCCTCCACAGTCACAAATATCGGAGCCATTTGCTCCGACTGCGTCGACGTGTCGCTGTCAAGTACCGCTTGCGCAATGCAAAGCGGTTTCGACACGCTGCCCGCTGCCTTGGCAGCGGGCACCCATAGCGCCAAGGGGCTGCAGCTCCGCCGGCACGCAGTGCACACAAGCAGCCCGTCCGTGGAGCCCGTCGTCGCGTCCAGGCCACCGAGGCACTTGACGTGGAACCAGTCCTCACAACCAATACACTGGTGCATGGTGTCGTCTTTCTCGCCTTGATACTCGGCGTCACATACACAGAACCTGTTTCGAGCGTTGTGATGCTCTCGCAGCCACCACACCTGAGAGGTCGGCAACGGCGCAGCGGCAACGTCGCTTAGCGCACAGTGCGGAGGCGCACACTGGCATACGAGTCCGTGCTTGTTTCCCAGCGCAAACGTGTCGTGGTCTGCGTGGCAGGCATCCGCACACGCCTGGCATACGATGGACGGTAAACTGGGGCCCTCGGGCAGCGCTGCCCGCGTCGTGCACGTCCGACAGACACACACTGCTATTGCACGTTCTGCTTGAGAGCGCTCGCGAGCACACTGCCAGTTGTGCTCTGGACACGCAGCACTGACTAGGTCCTCCAAGGTCACCACATCCTCTGAGTCTTCGACTGAACCGAGAGCGTGCTCACTAGACCCCATGCTTCGGGCGCCGTGGCAAAAGTGCAAACCCCTGGAAACAAACGTCTTTCAAAAGAAAAACGATGCAGCCTGCGGTATACAGAAATGGCGCGCAGCGCGCCCGAGTCAGAACGTCTCCAGCTGACGTGCAGTCGCCTCCCCGTCTTTTTGGACCGGCAACCTACTACTGATTCCAACTTTTTTTCATATAATTCCACTTTGGGAGGTTTTCCAACAACGTTCTCTCTTGTCAACTCTGGAGGTCTTTTCTCGAGCACCGCACATCTCCTTATATTGATGGCGGCGTTAAAGTCTCGGTTCGCAAACTCCATACGTTTCTTGCCATCATTGGTTGTACTTACTGATGCAAGCAATCCTCGAACTTTCGCTCTCCTTTCCATTTGCTCTTCCGTCAGCGCTCCGTACTTTTTCGTATCCTCAGGGCTCCGCTAGCACTTTTCCATCTCCACCCTCTGAAGTGTACACCCCAGTTCATGGTGTGTATACGATGTTCGAAACTCATCCATTGGTATCGTAACGAAACGCCTCGCGCACTCCTTGTACGTTCTTGTCGTTGGAGCTGGAGTAGTCCCTTTTTGGGTCTTCCAGCGCCCTGCTCCGTACCCTGCTACGAGCCTCTGACTTTTATCCTCCTTCAGGGCACTCAACTGATTGAAAAAACTCTCGAACGCACGCTGCTTACCACACTATAGATTCATTCGCAAACGAGCCCACCGGGGCTTGGTATACTCCTCCCACAATGCATTCCAATGAGCAACGCGAACTTCCATGAATTTCCGAAAAGCTTTAAAGTCCGCTCCTCGGCTCGTCACCTCGCTCACAGCTTCCAGGTGCTCGTTCATTCCTGCATTCCATTTCTCGATTTTCTTCCTCGTATTCATGATTCCCGATTCTCGATGGTATCTCGCTCTCGAGAACCTCAAAAGACGCATATCTTTCTGATGCAAGGTACCGTCAGTACCATCTTCCCCACGCTTCGGTGCTGCGATGGTTATGATACTTGTGTTTCCAGCGTCCGCGCCAACGACAAAGTCGTTCTCGTGCATCTTCTGTGTCGCAGGACCCGCCTTCTTCTCATCTTCATGGTTCTCCGAGGGCGGAACGGGCCGATCCACACTCAACCGCCGATAGTGTATGCACCTGGCTACTCCATCGGTTTCGATCATCCCAGTGAATACCTTTTGTCTGCTTACTTTCAGACGTTTGAAATCGAAGATACTCTTCCGGGGCATCTCCCGGTTTTCGTCGGTGAACTCCTCCCTGCGAACATCGAACTCCGGACAGATCTCCTTCAAGATGCCATGAAGGATTCTCGAGTCCATAGTCACAAAATGTGACTTGATATTGCAAATTGGAACCATGTTGAAGCGCTTCCCCATTAGGGCCGACTTCCGCCTCTCCCACTCTTTATTTGTCTCCTCACTCAGCTTCCTCTCTGCCTGGCGTTCGAGTTCTCGGTCCAGAACCACAGAATAGCGCAGGACGAGGCGATAGTATCTTTCCTTAACTTTTTTTCAACTCTGATATCTTTTCTGTTGGATTCGCCAGCTCCAAGACTGCACGGTGCTCTTGTATTACGGCACGGATGACGGAGTCCTCATTCATGCTCTGGTTTGACGCCTTCTTGTCGACGAATTCGATCTCATCTTCATGCTTACGATCGTTCGTGGTGCCATTGAGGTCCGCCTATACTCCATTGCGAGAGATGCGCGGGTAGCGTGCAAACACGGCACGTATCATGAAACGTTCGAGGTTCATTGTCAAATGGTTCTTCAGATTCGTGAGGTATTTCATGGCCCCATAGTCCTAAATATCCCGGTCACCCCTATACCGAGTACCCTCGAAGCGGAATTCCGGGAAGGTTTCGTGGAGGACATGCACTGCTCATTTTCCCTCCGCGCTTTCGCTGTACCAAGCATCAGGTGACGAATAAACGTCGTGTCGAAGAATTCTTCCGGAATCTCGACTGTTTCCATGTGCGTCACGTCGCGATACATCTCCTTCACCAAATGCATCAGTCCTATAGAGTCCATACGAACCCTCGTGAAGTACGAATCAACATAATTTCTGATGGCCTCTCGCAGATTTTGCTTGTGCGGATCCTGAATATGGCCTAGATGGCATGATTTCTTTACAATCTTGAAGTAGGGTCGTCTTTCGAGTTGCATTTGGCGCCGGGCCCCCCCTTGTTTTGCGTCATCGTCGTGTCTTGTTTCTCTTCGGTCGGTATTCTTTTTCGCTTTTTCCGCTAGCCGGCGACGCTGCCCCTCCAGGATCCTCCACTTCCTTTTCCATAACTTTCCTCTTTTATTTTTTTGTAACGCACTTTGAACGCTTCTGCTATAAACCGCGAAAAAAACACGAGAATACACTTGTTTGAGGTTTGAGACACAAATGAACGGAAAAACTGTACTTTGCTACAACTTTAACGCAAGTACAACTTTTATATTAGAGCAGCACGCTATTGATCAGGATCGCGTTTCCCTTCAGCTGCGGGATGCGCGTCGTGACTCGAAAACTAACAGATCTCCCTGGTGCGCAAATCGATAGCGCTATGTAGAACAAAGAACAGAGACTCACGACTAGCGAGCAACGATACAGCAATTTCTCTCCCGTTCTACGATAAACGTTGAAAACGGGGAAAAGGTTCCCATATTCTGAAGAGTCCTCCCTCTAGGCGAAAAGTCCCGCGAGCCGGACGAGTCTCCCGGACTCGTGCTTCGTGCTCCACCCAGTAGCGGGCGCTGTGGCGAGACCTGAGCAGTTCGTCCGCAACGCGGTTCATTCTGGGACTAGATGCGGGATGCTGTGTTTGGTCGTCGCCCTGATCGCAGTAGACTCCTAATATATCGGTTCGCGCTTTCGCAGGCAGTAGTTCTGTCTGTTTAGCCTACAGGCTCCCAGAATTATTCTGGACTCCAACGCTGTATCAGGTAAAGCGTTCCTCAATCCGTCGCCCTCAGTGGTATGGCAACGCTGTTCTATCTCCATGATGCATCCGTCCCAGTGGTATAGGCGCTAAGGCGGGTGCCCAAAGCAGGCACTCGGTCGCACTACAGAACGCACAAAACGATCTGTACATCCGAAAGGAAGTATAAGGAACGGAGCATGGAGGTAGAGTGCATCATGATGGACACTTTTTCGATCAGCTATACCCATCCATCTCGCTATCTGGAATCCAAGTACAATGTAAACGTTTTGTCATTGGAGAGAAATCAGCGGCAACAGCAAATGCAGCGGATTTTGTTCCATGTGAAAACTTCTCACACAGGCGAGCGTGCCGCGACTCTGTGTGCTTGCTACCTGCGCGCGGTGAAACTTTCGTCGTTCCACGCTTTACGTCCGAGTTTCATAACCCATACTTCTTCTCGGATGTACTGGCGTTTCAGACGTACTATCGGGCGCCGAGTGCCTGCCCGTGAACATCCGCCTCAATAGCGCTTGTAGCGCCGGTGCTGTCGTAGCACAGAAACAGAACGGCGTTGCCGTACCGCAGACGGCGTCTGCTCGAGGCATGCTTCACCTGACGTAGAACTGGGTCTCGTTGTCAGGTTGTGCTCGGACAGCCTGCGGATGCAAAACTTGCTTTCGCTGCACAACACATTGGAGAAACTTGGCTGTTACGATGAATCCTGGGAGCCGCCTCTCTCCTGCGTGATCGTACATGGAAAGCGTCGCCCTCGGTTGGCGACTCGGGTCTGTGCTTGGCACCCACCAGTGAGTAGGTACGCGTAACACTGGTCCCGTGTGCGCATCTGGTTTGCTGGACCTTCCACCTAGAAGGTAGAGTATGAGTTCGCTGACCACTGGTGAGTGCTGGAGCTCAGTTACGGGACCATCAGTTGCTAGCACTACACTCAAAGTAAGTGGCTGGCCTTCATTTACCACAGTGATTCCCAGATGTTAATGTCTCTCAAAGAGATAGCTGCGTTCTTTTTTTCCAGCACAGGCACAGAAAGCTTAAGTGTGCTGGCGTCTCTGGCATCCCGATTCCGCTGCACCGAACGCCGCGATCCTTCGAAGCCCTGCATCGCGAGCACGCTGCCGCCCATCGTCGATGATCACGAAACGATTTTTCCGTTCGTGTTGCATGAACGTTTGCGTTCTTACTTGATTGCAACTCGCAGTTTCATTGTTGTGTATAACGCTGGATAATGTTCGTGCTTACAACAAATAGCCTTACGTTTAGAACGGTGCCTCGGTGTTATCCTGGTACGGTCGAACGTCAGCATACAACGCTGGGCAGGAAGCGTGTGGCACTGCGCATGACGTATGCGCTGCCGAGTACAGTTGATAACGCGCGTGGAGGGAGCGGAAGCGGTGGCGACGGTGGCGGCTCCTCGGGCTCCGATGACGACTACATACCAGATATGGGGAAGCGCACGCTGCTGAGCCTCATTCTCTTGGGTTCAGTTGGACTCCCAGCAAGCATCATGCTGAGCACATACGCAAGCTACTTCATGCCGCCGTCGAAGAACAAGAGTTCAGGCGGCGTGATTGCCAAGGACGCCCTCGGGACGCCTATCAAGAAGGAGGAGTATCTGAAGACGCATCCCCCCGGCTCTCGTGATCTTGTGCAAGGCCTGAACGGGGAGCCCACGTATCTTGTTGTGAACGACGCCGGCGAGCTCGAAACCTACGCACTGAATGCTGTTTGCACGCACCTCGGCTGCGTGGTGCCTTGGTACGCAGCACAGAACAAGTTCATTTGCCCTTGCCATGGCTCGCAGTACGATCGTACAGGGAAGGTGGTGCGCGGTCCAGCTCCGCTTCCGCTCGCTCTGGCACATACCAAAGTGGATGATGACGGGTTCGTACAGATCAAACCCTGGAAGGAGACCGACTTTCGAACTGGTGAGAAGCCCTGGTGGAAGTGATGTTCTGTAAAATACCTAGTGTGTTGGAGGGCGCGGTCGAACAGACCTCGAGTGGTAAACGACATGCTTTTAGCTTGACTTGGTCGTAGTGCAATGCGCGATCATACGGCCTGTGGGCCAGCGGAGACGGCCTCGTAACGAGACGTTTTCGGGGTTCCCGTTTCTGCTGCGCACGTTCGACGTGTCTGTTCATGACCAGACTGTGATGGATGGACCCGAGGAGCAGCGCTAAAGACGCGCCCTTTCCGAATACATGTTGAAACGCGGTGCGAAACAGTCTCACGAAGGGCACGCACGAAGCGGAAACCCGGCAGTGTCTCCAGGTCACGCTCCACTGCATTGAACGTAGCGCCTTGGATGCACCGGTGGATATCGGATTCGAGTACTACACGAGACGCAAAACGACGGAATGGAGAGGCGTCCTTGTTCCCACGACCAACTCTTGGCCAGGTACACCTACATGGCGCGCTTCCATAAACAGACAGCCCCACGACAGGTTCATCTCAATCACTGCCTGGAGAATATCATCAGACCAGTTGCTGGCCTGATGCAGACGAAGCGTGAACGGACGCATATCGGTATCATGCACTGAATGCACAGAGACAAGTCCGTTGTCGACGGCAGCGCTGCAGGCATATTTGCACATGTGCACTTTATCGGGGGCGCGTCTTTGCTAGCTTGCTTGCTTGCTACTGGATGCTCGTTACCGCTTGTGGCGCCTTGCGCTCCAAAAGAGGTCTTGGAATAACAAAGTTCCGGATACCGCAGAACGCGCTGTTTGTAGCGAACGCAGCACGTCGCCTGCACCAGGCTGCCCCAGACTCGAGTGCCGACCAGCGAGCAGGCGGCCGCGGGTAACCTCGACGACAACAGCTCTGATTTGCGAAGACTCCCCAAAAAGCCAACAAAGTCCAAAGGTGCTTTCAACGTGGAAATCATCCCAGTCGGCCGCACAGGTTGCGGACGATTACCACCCAGAGCGAGGTTTAGCTGGTGTCCGGCGTTTGGCCCGTCACCGCCGGGTTCGGAAGTCGCTCTTCACGTCGTGCCTGGCGTATTTCGGCCAGCCAAAGGTCACGACAGCGTCGATAGCACTCTTTCTTTTCGCGGCAGGTATCGTGTGCCCCAGGCTGGCGCTTGGCTTCCCCGACGCAGCGTAGCGCCTCCTCCCTGAGCCTAGCACAGGGGTCCGCCGGCGCTGCCGGACTCACCACGCTCGTCGAAGACGATCGCGCAGCGCTCATGGCAAAAACGCAACTCGTGAACGTCCCCCGGCTGCTGGGTTTTCCTCTCGCAACAAGCTCGACTCGAAAGGCAGCGAGATGTCTACCGAAACATTCCAAGCGTTTTACGGATCAGTGCGCCCTCAGCAGCGCCGTGCGGAAAAGCGCTCTGAACGATTGGATGGGATCCAGATGCCTATGCTGCAGGGTATTTCCTGTGAATGCAGAGCACTCGTTTCCGGTTTCTATGTTGCCGTCGCATGCACAGGTGTAAGCGGACAGTGAATTGACCTCTTGCGCTGCACTCGTGAAATGTCGAGCACGAATTCATCCATGTCAAACTGAAATGGTATTTGCCGCAAGCTTCCCATGAAGAGGCATTTGCTGGTCGCATTTGGACTTTGGAAGCGATGCTGAAGACAAGTTCATCGCCGCGAACTCGCGTTGGAGCGGGATGCTTTGGCATTTCGCGACTGCAAAGCAACGTTCAGTGAGTGCTGGTGAGTGCCAGCACGCACATGCCAGCACCATGCCCTGAACAGACCCAGAAAACGAATCGACGCGAATGTTTAGCTGCTTTTTCACCAGATGTGTCATATTGGCATCTATCGGATGCGTGAACGCTACCATCAAAGAGGCCCGAGGTTTCCGTTCTTGTAGTCTTTGTACTAAATTCTGTTTCACTTCCGCTGCGATGTCTAGAAGGAGATCGAAATCACAATGCAATGCATAGTGTAGATCGTAGATGATTTGCATGTAGCATATACATTCATTTCTGAACAGTGCAAGGAAGACTGTATTCCTCGTTTAGGACAGTCATACCACCGTACTCAGATGGTTGGCAAACACTGTAAGAAAAATGTAGATGCACTCCGTGCCAGAGATCGATATTCATTGAGGTCGCTTGCAGTCGATCTTAGAAAACGATCCGTTGATCACCATTTTCGGAAAGCAACAGCGACGATAATAGCCGCCACAGGCGTCACCGTTTCTCAACAGCTTATTCTTATGATCCCGAAAACATTGGGATACAATCTCAAAAAAAGTCATCGTTCAAGCAAAGGCATCTTCCATCCAAATCGCAACGACAGAGTCCCTGGAACGTCACGATCGATAGGAACCACTGGATCGTCAGTTTGTTTGTTCAGTTGATGAAAATTGCTTCAGAAGGCACGCTCGGAGCGTCAATGGGTATTCGAGGTGAAGGGCGCCCGTTGTACGTTCGATCGAGCTCGAAGAGAACGACGAAATCATCATCTATTATAGCTTTAGAAGATTTATTTGGCGGCCTCAGTTTCACTTGTAGAAAAGACACATGCAACAGCACCAACCAATTTGTCCAAGCATTGAAGACTTTTACCCGACGTCTGGCGACGTCCTTCTATTGGGCAACGTGGCATATCACCATATCGCTTGCGTTCGAGCTTTTTGCCGATTCTATCGGGGTAGGGGTGATTTTTGTTCGTCTGTGCGCTCCGTGGTTCAAGCGCATTGTAGGAGTGTTTTCTATCGTGAAACGTGATGATCGCTCCCCCGGGCGAAACGCTGAGCGTTCATCACTCGGTAACACATCGGGGTACATGCCATTTATCTTGCGAAAGCCACGCTCCCTCCGAGAAAGCCCTCATCTAAGGGCAAAAAACGTGCGGTCGTTTTGACGAAATAAAACTCCAAAACAAAGCTATGCACGTGCAAGTCGGGGATCCTGAAGGGCCCTTGCCGCCGGCTGGCAGAAAAAAACGAAAAATTCTGCCAATGGAATAGGAACAAAACAGAACGAAGAAGCAAAAGGGCGAGGCCCGACGTCAAAAGCTGCGCGAAAGACGACTATGCGACGAGACGCTGGCGAAAGCCTGTCTTGGTAACCATATCAAGGATTCGGACAAGCAAACATGCAACAAGTCATCCGAGACCGTGTCGAGTCGCACTCCATGAGTATTGTAAAGGATTCTTCAGGACTAATGCCTTTGACGAAGGAGATGAATCGCGGCGTGACGGGCATCAAAACAGTCGAGGTTCCGGGAGAATTTTTCAACACCATCGTTATGCATCACCTGATGCTTGGCACAGGGGAAACGTCGAGGAGAAAGGAGCGAATGCATGCCCTCCACAAAATTACCCCGAATACCCTTTTCATCGGTAATCGATACCGGCGTGACTCGGATATTTACACGTACGGGGCGAAAAAGTACCTCACGAACCTAAAGAACCATATGAACATGAACCTCACACGTTTCATGATACGTTCCGTCTTCGCGCTGGACCCGTGCCTCTTTCGCAAAGCGATAGACGGGTTACCATCAATGGCATCTCGAACGATAGTAAGAACGAACAGGAGATCGAACTCGTCGACAAGAAGACCTCGCACAGGAGCATGAATGAGGCTTCTGTCATCCGCGCGGCTATTCAAGAGCACCGTGCACTCTTGGGGCTCGTTGACCCAGCAGAACAGGTATCAGAGATGAAAAAGATGGAAAAAGAAAGATGTTACCCACACTTCCTGCGCTATTTCGTGTATTTGGACCAAGAACTCGAACGCAAGGCTGGGATGGAGCAGGGTGTGCGGAAAAATGCAGAGTCGGTAGAACGGAAGGCTGCGCTTGCGGGTACGCGCTTCGAAGTCGTTCGGTTATGCGAGATCAAGTCGCACTTTGTGACAATCGACTCCAGAGTCCTTTACGGAATACTGAAGGAGATAAGTTCGGGGCTCGATGTACGCAACAAGGAGTTCACCGGTGAAAATCGGGACACGTACTGGACGCATGTCTTCGACGTCAAGCGTCTCAATACGAGCCAGAAAAGGTATTCAGAGGTGTCATCGAAACTAAATGAGTAGCCATGTGTGCACACGATCGGCGCTTGAAGGCAGATCGTCATATCGTGCCTTCGGCTTCGCCCGTGACGAAGCATGAAGATGTGAAGCAGGCGGATCCCGCGACGCAGGAGGTTCAGGATACTGGCTTTGGCGGCGGCGCGGACCCTGGGATGACGAATATCATAACGATCGCAGCACCGAAGCGTGCGGGAGATGGTGCTGATGGTAACCTGCGTCAGATAGAAATGCGTCTCTTGAGGTTCTCGAGACCGAGATACTACCGAGAATCCGGTTCAATGAATGCGAGGAAGAAAATCGAGACATGGAATGCAGGAGTCAAGGATCAGCTGGAAGCTATGAGCGAGGTGACGATCCGACATGCGGACTTTCAAGATCTGCCAGAGTTCATGGACACTCAAGCTGCTCATGTCGAGGAGCTGCGGAAAGAGTATCGAAAACAAAGGTGCGCTCGTCAGCGTTTGAATCTGTACAGAGAGAACCAGCGTGCATACGCCAACGATTTCAATCCGTTGAGCGCCTTGAAGGAGGACGAGAGTCAGAGGCTGGTAGAAGCGTATGGGGCAGCGCGCTAGCTGGCCCGAAAAGGGACTACGCCAGCTCCAACGACAAGAACACTCAAAGAGCGTACACGGCGTTTTGTTACGATACCAATAGGTGAGTTCCGAACATCGTATACACACCATGAAGTGAGGTGCGTACTTCAGAGGGTCGAGATGGAAACGTGCCAGCGGAGCCAAGAGGATATAAAAAAGTACAGACCGCTGACGGAGGAGCAAATGGGAAGGAGGGCAAAAGTTCGCGGACTCCTTGCATTCGTGAGTACAACCAATGATGGCAAGAAACGCATGGAGTTTGTGAACCGAGACTTTAACGCCGCAATCAACATCAGAAGATGTGCGCAGCTGGAGAAAAGACCTCCAGAGTTGACACGAGAGAGAATTTTGTCAGACGACCTCTCAAGGTCGAAGTATACGAGAAAAAGTTGAAACCAGTAGCAGGTGGCCGGTCGAGAAAGTCGGGAAGGCGTCTGTACGTCGGCGTATAGGCATCCGATCTGCGGCGCGCCGCTCGCCACTCCTGTACCCCTAGCGACAGCGTTTTTCTTGTGAAAGGCGTTTGTTTCCAGGGGTGCCCAGGGGGTCGCTTTAGCCTAGCTTTTGGTCTCGAAAATGCCTCAATGGGACAAGCGCGCCAGACAGCGAAGAAGCAACCAGTCTCGTTGGCGTCGGGAACCATGGGAGACGCAGGAAGTCGCTTCACCGTTAAGTTGGCTCTGCTTGCCTGCGCGTGTGCTAGCGTGCTTTGGCTCACCTCCGAGCGAAGAGCTCGCTGAGTCGGCGCAGCCGCCCGACGACATTGTGCCTTGGGAGGACTCCGAAACCGCCGACTCGTCTTCTCAAAGCAGTTTTGGTGGCTCTGATGAAGGTGCGCGCCAAGAGCTTGCGTGCCGTACGCGAGCGGAGAAAGTGGACGGCAACGGCGCTGGCACCGAGAACGACCAGGATGAGCAACTATCCGTCGAGCTGGACGCGCTTCGTCGACGTCGCTCCTTCTCGGCCACGAGCTTCCACTTGCCAGCTGTATCCCGTCCAACAGCGGCAGGTAGCATTGTCGACATACCGTCAGAGCGTCCACAGACCGCGCAACGCAGAGAACGTCAACGTATCGTGGGCAAGTTGGCGCTCGTTGGGCTCGGTACTCAGCTTCTGCTGCTCAGCTTGAAGTTGTACAGATTTGAATCGCTCTCACCAGCGTATCTCGTTTTTTCCGTCGCGTTTTTCGTGTTCAGCGGAGGACTTGCTTTCCTGAGTCTCCACTACTTTAAAATGGGGCGCCTGCCACCTTTTCTGGATGTGGCTGCAAAACGGCGAGAAGCGTCGCACAACCGTTCGTGTGGGACAAGCCCGGCCCGCTCCAACACCGACTCGACGATGCGTACGCTGAGCGGAGCGGGTTCGGCGTTCAGTACTCCAACGGCGGACAGATCGCCATGCACGCCCAAGTCTCGAATTGCCTCGCGCTCTCGAGAGTACGCTCAAAGCTTCCAAGAAAAAGGCGATGCGCAGGTCGTCAGAACGTCATTTGACTCGCGATCAAACCGACGAATCTTCTCAGTGCTGGGTGTCGAGAGCTCGCAGTCATTTTGCGAGCAACAGGGGTGCAGTACAAGAATGCCGAGCAAGAGTCGACCGGCAGCGATACGAATCGACGTTACCAGCGAGCGTACCGCGGCAACATCAGCGAGCGATGACGCAGTTAGTGCGGACAACATCGCCGTGTCCGTCAGAGAGCCGTCCACGCTCTCTGATGCCGATGCTGATCATACAGAGCATGGTATCGAGAAGCGTCGCGGCACCTTCCGCGAAAAGCCCGGCCAGCGAGGCACGCCCGGTGTTCGCGCTGCTGTTGCCGAAACCCAGCGACGACATGTGCAGCGGGCGACAGAAACTCGTAGCGCCGGCGCACCGGCCTTGCCGGTACCAGACGCTTCGGACCAGATGAGAGCTGGCGCATCCTTAGAGCAACGGCGTCGATCCCGCGAGGCATCCTCTCTGTCAGACGACGGAACGCCTCCCGAAGTGCAAATTGAGTCACTGCGTATTGTAGAGAGTTGGGAGAAGATGCGTATAACAGCAAAGAAGGAAATCTTAGCGGAAGATTTTTGCGAGGGAATGCTCAGTCTATTGAGCGTCATCGATGCATTGGGTCCCGCTTTTCGAATCATCAAAATCGACATTCGAAATCATGTGAATGGGATCCACCGCAGCTGCACGAAACACAACTGCCGCACCCTGCAGCGCCTCATTGATGCAGAGTCGAATCGGGTATCACGCTGGTTGAATCCATCGGGCATTGGCGATGGTACGGAACATGTGCTCTGGATGAAACGGGCCATGCAGTTTGTGTACATGCTGTTGTACATGTTTTTGGATGGCATCGATTTAGACCGGTGTGTATACCATGCATATCGCATGACGCTGCGAGCCTGTCACCCGTACATTGTCCGGAAAGTAGCGGAGAACCTGCACCGCTTCGTCCCTACCAGAGCTGGCTTTTTGCGCAGAATCCACGCAGATGAGGACTTTGTTTTAACGCAAATGCGGCGATTCTTGAAGGCAATCGAACCGCGTCTTGATATTATCGTTGAGGTATTCAACGCAAACCAGCTGGAACCGCACTGTCGATTCTCATGCGCAGAATTGCGCCGGCTGGCACAGCACTGTGCAAAATATGATATCGACGAGGATATGACGCAGTGAATGTAGATTTCAGTTGAGTCCAGCGAAACTCCTGTTTTGATCGGCGGTTTCCGCACGCGTCGCGTTCGCTGGCCTTTAGGTGCTCGCGGCATGACGAATGCGGATAAACGATCTCGTATCTTCAGAAAGCTCCTGAGCCATGGATGGATCGCGACCTACCCTGGTTCGTCATGCGACCTTGTCCTGCGGTTGCGCGCACTCATTCATCGATATCGCCACAAAAATGCCGGTATCGGACACGGGGTGGTGTGTTCGCGAGGGTGATAGGGGGTTTTCTGTAATCATGCTGCTTGCATATCACGTAAGTGACATGCCGTAGAGTCGTGGTCAATCCAGGCTCTCGAAAAGCAACCTTCGTGGACTCGTTTCATAAACCCATCATAAGCTTCGTTTGGATGCTGTCGCGTGCAGACTGCCGCGTTTCTCCGAGTCAGCTTTGTTCATGGTCCTTGACCCATTTCAAAAAGAGGATGCTAGCGTCCAGTGGGTCCACTTTTGGCGAAAAGCCCCAGTAGTAGACCGAGGCAGCGTGACCGCCCATCAGTGCTGCCGCTGCAAAGCCTGCAGTTGCAGCGAGTGTTGCCCCGAGCCCCGAGCGCCCATACTTGTACGCAAACGCACCCGACCCAACCGCACCAGCAAGTCCAGTGGCGATTGCGAAGTTACCTGCCCTTCGACTCTGCCTGAGACAGTTTGCCTCCGCGGGGTGCTCCCTGGCAAACTCGCGAAAAGCTCCGCGCTTCCAGGACTTTACCTCACCAACAGCGGCATACTCTTTCAGTTGTCGAAACGTTCGGAACTGATCCCAAAAGGAATCTCCCTCTCTTGACATAGAGTCTCGGTAGCCTAAACTGTGAAAGCGACAGCAAATGCGCCCACGCAGAGCCAGGTGTCGATCATCGGAGAATGTCCGAGCGACTGCGAGCGTGCCTGTTTGCATCGCTGCGCGCCTCCGCGCGTAACCGCTATGTTTTTCGTGGAATACGACGTCTGCGATGAACCTGAATATCTCGAGTACGTGATTGTTGTCGGCAACGAGAAAACAGGCGACAATTCCTTTTCAGATGGTTTGATGCTTCACGCCTGCCAGCACAGTCTCTCGATTCGAACATAGGATTCGACTCAACGACTTTTGGGCTACAGTGCTCACTCGACGGTAAGCTCGCCACGACATCCGATTCTTTTCATGGACAAAACGTTTCCATCGGCCAGCGTTCTCCGATTACGCGCATTTTTCTTTTCTTACTTTTTTTGTGTTTTTTTTTCAGTGCGCGGTGAGGTATCCACCAAATCCCCTACTTCCATGTTACATTACCTGCACTTCGTCTCGGATATTCTGGTCGTTTCATACGTCCTATCGTGTGTGCCTAGTACCTGCCGAAAGCGACAGCAATAGCGCCTACAGCGCCAGTGCGGTCGCTGCACGGAGACAGAGCGGCGTTGCCGTAACACAAAGGGCGGCGGCTCGAGGCGTGGCTCACCCGACGTAGAATCGGGTCTCGTCGTCAGTTTGTGCTCGGAGAGTCTGCGGATGCAGGCTTGTCTTCGCAGCACGACACGCTGGAGAAACTTGGCTGTTAGGATATATCCTGGGAACACGACATCCGATGCACCGCCGCAGTCGCTATACGCGCGCTCCGAGCGGCGTCGACATACCAAAGCAGGCGTCGGATCGACATAAAGATACAGGGGGCGACACCTAAATTTCCGGTGTAGTGGGATCGATGCATCCAACCAGAATCCCGGTAAGCACGAATTGGAGCAGCAATTAGGGAAGCATTCCACGCTTCTCTCCGAAAACTACGCAACACTGGCATCCACAGAGGCCCTTCTGCACGAAGAGCAGATGCAACCTCAGGCATTTTCGATCCGGCACTGCAGCAGCAGCAGCAGCAGCCGATCGGCGGCAGCAGCGGCCGATCGCAGAATTTGAAATTGCCGTGCTTTTCCGGCTCGCTTGCCCCTTCACGGCTTGCCGCCATGGCGGATGACAAGGAGAATCAACCGCGCCGGACACTTTATCCGAACGAGAGCACAAAGCTGTTCGGAGAGGGTCATGATGTGAGAGAATGTCAATCCAACGGAGACGCCTCGTCAGAAACTTGGGTAGACGGCTGCAGTGACGCTATTCGGGTCGTGCTGCGTGTGCGCCCGCTGACGCCGGCGGAGCATGAGCGCTCCCAGAGAACCTGCCTCGAACTGGACTCGGCAACAAACTCAGTTTTAATAGGAACGAATAACGACCTACGTCGATTCACCTATGATCATGTGGCGTCGCCCGAAGTTGACCAGGCACAGATGTTCTATCTTGTCGGTCGGCCGATCGCCGACAGCGCTCTTGACGGCTATAACGGTACAGTTTTCGCTTATGGTCAGACAGGGAGCGGCAAAACGTATACAATGCAAGGAGATGTCTACACGAACAAGGAATCCGAAGAAAAGGACAACCGGGGGCTCATGCCACGGCTGTTCGAATACATTTTTGCGCAGATCGCCCGCCGGGAACGAGAGCACTCTGCAACGCGGTACCTCGTCAGGTGCTCCTACCTCGAAGTATATAACGAGGTTGTCACAGACTTGCTGGATCCTCTGTCTACAAATCTGGCCATTAGGGAGGACTTTCGCAACGGCGTCTCTGTGGAAGGCCTCTCCGAGGAACTCGTGTCCAACGCGGACGACTGCTTGCACGTTCTCGAGCGAGGTCTCTCCAACCGCCATATTGGAAGCACGTCGATGAATAGGGAGTCCTCACGCTCGCATTCGGTGTTCATCATGGTTATCGAGAGCGAGACGACGAATGAAACACGTGTAACGACTCGGCGCCGATCCCGTCTGAATCTTGTTGACCTTGCAGGCAGTGAGCGTCAAAAGCTTGCCAGAACCTCTGGACAAACGCTCCGGGAAGCCGGCAATATCAACAAGTCTCTCTCTGCGCTGGGAAACGTTATTAATGCACTCGTCGATATCGCGAACGGCAAGGAGCGCCACATTCATTATCGCGACTCGAAGCTTACGTTTCTGCTCAAAGATTCTCTGGGCGGCAACACGAAAACGACCATGATCGCAACGGTCTCTCCTAGTGAGCAGAATTTCGCGGAAACACTGAGCACGCTCAAGTTCGCGCAGCGCGCGAAATACATCAAGAACAAAGTTGTGGTGAATGAGCACCTCTCCAGCAACAACATTGCTGCCCTGCAGGCAGAGATCACTCGACTTCGGCAACTAGTTACTTCCGCTGGCATTCCAGTAGACGCAGACGTCTCCAAAGTTGGCTGGATTGTTGCACGGCAAAGCGTGCCAGGCATAGACTGTGAGAAAATGCACCTACAGAGAATCGGCGATCTCGAGCGTCTCCTCCTTGAGGCCCTCGATCGTGCTCGCTATCACCAGGAGCAATACCAGGCACTAGAGCGACAGAACGAAGCTCTCAACACAGCGTGCCGCAAGCGAGACAAAGTTTTGCAGCAAAACAAGATGATCCTTCGATTGCGAGATGCCGCACTGGAACGTGTACGCAGTAGCGGCGAGGTCTATCCAACGTCAGAGGAGCTCCTGAAAGAAATTGAGATTCTCCGCGAACAGATTGAGCACCACCCTCAAGTAACGAGCTATGCTGTGGAAAATATGCGTCTGCAGGAGCGAATTCGCGTGCTAGAGAGCCTGGTGCCCGCAGATCAAGATCAAAGTGCTTTCGTCAAGCTGGAGCGCTTCGTGGAGCAGCTACGAATAGCATATCAGGCGTGCTGCGAAGAAAAGAATTCACTGCACAAGAAATTGCACGAGCTCGTGTACGCTGAACTGGAGCCTCTTGATCAAGCGGAGAAAACACACAATCGCTTTATCGCCTTGGAACTGTACAAATGGCGGGAGAAGGAACGTTTCGAACAGCAAGTCGAGGAAGCTCGTTCGGAATGCCGTCAGGCGATGCTCAAGTACGAGCACGCACAACGTGAGTTGGAGACGCTTCGAACGAAATTCAAACAGGTAGAACAAGCATACGAGGAGAAGAGAGCAGCATGCGTGGAGATGGAAACGGCGCTCTCCACGCTCCGTCTTCAACACGACAAACAAACGGACATCGAGCAGAAAATACTCATTTTAAGTGATGAGTTGCGGGAATCCCGTGAGCGGTGCCAGAGTCTAGAGACGGATGCCGCGGCGCTCGAGCAAGAGTGCGATCGCCTGCGTGCAGTGTTGAATGACACCAAGGACCGTCTGCAGCACACTGAGACGGAGAAAGAAGCTCTGGAGCAGCAGCGAAATCAGCTCGAGAAGCGCCTTGAGCAACTTGAAAAAGATGGCCAGCACATGCGTCAGGAAGCTGCGGAACGCGCGCAAGCCATGGAGGCTGCACATAACGCCGCGCTCACCGATCTGGAGAGCCGTCTCGCGAACGTCCAGATGGAGCTCGAGTCGCAACTGGAACGGAACTGTGCGCTCCAAGATCAAATCGACCAACTGCAGTCCGAGACAGATTATCACCGAGGTCGATATCAGGAAGCCCAGCGAGAGCTCGCCAACGCGCAAGAACAAGTCAAGGGTCTGGAGAGCAAATTGGCTCAAAGCAACGCCACCGTTGAGGAGTTGCGCGCCTCCCAATGCCAACAGGCGGCGAGCCACGACGAGCAATTGCGGAGCGCTTTGCGTCAACAGAGGAGTGCTGAAACCGCGCTGCAGCAAGAGCGCGAAACGCTTCACCGATTACAGAGCGATCATGAACAACTCCTTGCGCGACACGAAACCATTCAACAGGAACTTCGTGAGAGTAGAGACATGATCCAGCGACTGCGCGTGGGCATGCAAGCTGCACAGCACGAGGCGCACGCTCAGCAGGAAGCGCGGCTCGCACTCGAACGTCGCGTGACAGACTTGGAGCAGGAGCGAGCCCAGGGCTGCGAGCGCGTGGCGACGCTCGAGCAGGACCTCACCAGTGTGCGTCAACGTGCTGATGAAGCTTCCACAGAGGCTGCGGCTCGCATCAGCGAGCTCATTCAGGAACTCGAGCGCAAGCACTCGGCGCTGACCCGCGCCCAGCTCGCTCTAGCAGAAACCGTCGCCAAAGCCGACCTCGAGCGCAAGCAGCTAGCTGACGAGCATGCGGAACGCCTCAGGGCTCGCGATCGACTGCTAGCCCAGTCTGAGGTAGAGACTGCAAAGTTGCGCCAGGGAATTGAGAACTTACAGGCTTCTGTTGCCGAATATCGCAACGAACAACGTGAACTGCATCGCCTTGCAGCCCAGGAGCGGCAGCAGCGCAAAATGCTCGAAGATGACTGGGAGAAACAACGGCGTCAGTACGCGAGAGATATGGATGCACTCCGGAAGCGCCTCGAGGCGGCCGAAAGCGAAACGCGAATGCGCTGCGATGCCCAAGCTGACGCTCAGCGAGAGATCGCTTGCATTCGTCAACAAGCGGAAGCCTACCAACAGAAATTGGCGCATGCCGAAAAGCATCGCGCTCAACTCGAAAATCGACTCGTCATGCTCGAGCGAGATAAGCAGCGACTTGTCGCCGAGAACCGCCACGCCAATGAGGCTTTGATTCGCGCACAAGCCCAGTTCGAAGCACTCGAGCGCGAGCACAGGCAGACCAGTGAAGCGCTCGAAAAGGAACGAGTAGCGCTCGCGAGCCTTCAGACCGAATTCGAACAGCTCCAGATCATGTGCGAACGCCTGGAGGAGGAGAATACCAAGCTTGGTGGACACCACAATTTGCGTCAGCGCATTCATCATCATATTCGAGTCAAGGAGGAGAACGCGGTGCTTCGCAAAGAGCGCGACCGCATCGCTGCTGAGCTCGATGCCTGCAGAGCTCGTCTTGCCGAACTAGAGAACGCACCCGGCACCAGCTAGCACCCCGTCACATCCGCACACTGTCGTCGACCGCCGACCGCGCCTAGAGCCGTCCTCCGAATGACGCGGGAGTTGCGACTCGGACACCACGTGCTACGTCGTTGGTGCGCTCGACGCTGCACCCGACACCGCTCCCGTGAGCTGGTCCTCTATCGCTCGAACGATGGTGTCGACGCTGGCCATTGCCCCCACTCCGGTGTCACCACAGGCAAGCATTTTCACCGTCGGCTCAATGATGTGCGTCCCTCGCTTGACCAGTAATTGTAAATGTTCCGTTGTTACCGGATGATGCCACATGGCCGTGTTCATTGCGGGCGCAACCAGAACGGGTTTGGAGCCAAGTTCCCACGCTCGCGCAACGCACAACAGCAAGTTGTCACAGATGCCGTACGCCAGTTTCGCAAGCGCGTTTGCGGATGCTGGCGCAACAACCAAGATATCCGCCTGACGTCGAATCTCAATATGAAGCACGGGGTCCCCGATTTTCGCCCAGCTGCGCCACTCGTCCTCGTCCGTGAAAAGCGAAACGCCTCGCTCGCGAAAGAACGCTACTAGATCAGCAGGTGCTAGCGCTGACGCAGCACCAGAATACTCGGCTGCCGCCTGGCCGAGAAAGCGCAGTCCGTTGGCGGTTGCGACAACCAGCGCGTTTGCCCTGCGAGCCCGCAACGCTTCCACAAGCTCCAAAGAGCGTAGCGCGGCAACGGAACCGGTTACGCCCACGACGACACAGCGTCCTTGCAGGGTGGTTGCAACCGCTGAACGTGGTGCACTCGGAGTGCTGTCACTGTTCTGGTTGGCTTCACGAGCCTGTGCACGCATGAGGCCAGTCTTGTGTACGGTGCGCCGCGCTGTGCTCCGCGTGAGCTGCACCGTGCGCGCACTGCCGAGAAACAGCGGTGTTCGGGTTCTGGAGCTTCCGACGCTCTCGGGATCTTTTCAAGTTAATGTTTTAAGTGCGTAGCATGACGACCCTCGGAACGCGTCTCCCTGTAGCGAGGTACGGACGGTTGCAGGCAGCTGTGCGCTCAGCTGACAACTGGCGTGCCTAAAGGCATATTTGACGCAAAAGTATCAATCCTGAGATACGTTCTCCATGATTCGCGTATGGACGTATCGAATTCATCTCTTATGAGTCATATTTATATTTATCTGGAAGAGTTGCACTTCGCAACGGGCAGTTTGCGGCGGCGTTGCGTTGCTGGTGGATGGGCGCTCGTCCAGGTGAGGGCTTGCCTGTTCATTCGTGCGCAACTTCGAGCCTGCGATATCGCTTGGCTCCAGATTCCGTACCAGAGATGGTATGCGCTTCCAGGCGCATCGACATACAAAACAGATGCCCGATCTCCTGGTTATTCTCGACGAGGCGTTCGTACTGGATATGTGGATCGGAACGGGCCCTGCTTACCGCAGTCTGCGACTGTGCAGTGCAGAGGCACGACCGTGCATCGCTTGTCGTCTTTTCCAAACAAGGTTCGTCTCTGCGTATCGTGGTTATTGAGCGTCACATCGCCGTATGCTCATTCAGAAACATAACGTCCCAAAATGTTCAGGTTCCACGCATCGCCACATGTGCTTCCGCATTGCAGTCCAGGGAATCCGAGCCGAGTGCCCGGAGAGATTCCCATCACGACGTTTTCCTTCGTGCTGAATAATAGCTGGCGTTGCCGCAGCCATCAGCGTCATTGACGCGTCCGCCGGAAAGCCGAACTCCCGATTCGAAGCCCGCCTCCCCGGCCGCTTCCACAAGTATCATCATCCGGTCTGCTACGAGAGCCGAGATACCAGCATCAAGGGCGAGCTACGCGTCGGGTGCCACCAAACGTACATATGCGGGCCAGGTTTTCATCCAGAATGACATTTCAGGGCGCTTGCCCGAGCTTTCTTACTGCCGCATCCAGGAGCGTCCGAGGAACAGTCGCACCGTTCACGCGTTCAAGGTTTGCATGGCATCACATCAGTGTATCTGACAGGTTTCCGCGAAGAGGTACGTGCTGCCGGAGGCAACGCAGCGGCCTTACCAGACGCTTCAACGTGTCCGACGCTGGAGCGCGCTCCCCGGGCCAAGTAACGCACCCACATCCAGTGCGTGACACGCCCGGCGGGTGCTGCGAGCCCGCCACCACCATCGAGCAATATCGCGCCGCCACGTGTCGGCACCAGATGCGACACCGGCGAGGCACCCCGGGATACGCTGCTGCACGCAGCACGCGGGAACGCCTCCGGGGTGACCCCGCGCGCTGCCTACAGAGCGGCGCCTGTTCCGTAGGCGCGCATCTGGATACGGAGCATCCGACGGCGCGGTTGGAGTCTCGGCGTCAAGCGTGGCACCAGAGCTCGCGAAAGCCGCTGGCGAGCTTGCGCCCGTCGATTGCGGTCCAATGAGGCATGCGGGCGCACGCTTTGGATTGCTGCCCGCGCCCGGCCGCACACGGCAGCGATCGACGGGCGCTAGCACCGAATTCGAATGCGCGCAGCAGTGCCGCGCTGTGGTGTCTGCTGGTGTTGGTGGTACCGGGTGTGCCTCGGATCGCGGCAGCCGATCAGGGCCGTGCGCGGCGGCTGGGCGTTTATTTCCTATCCCGTAAGTGTTCTGACGTTTTTGTTTTGCGCGCAGCCTTGACTTTCCTTGCTAACAAGACCTTCAGGTATGAGCGAAGCAGCAATCCTCGCGGAGGCGATTGAGAAGGGCTCGACCTTCGATGAAAAGCTTGTCACACAGCACGCGAATTGGGTCCAGAGCATGTCGTTCTCGCCCACAGCGCGGTCGCTGCTCACAGGCTCGAACGACGGCTCCGTTCGAGTGAGTGACCCTCGAACGGGTGAGAATCGGCTTGAGCTTCGGGGCGACTTTGGTGGTCAGGTGTACGCGTCGCTCGTAACGCCGACTTCAGACGCAGTGGTCGTGGCCTGTGGTGACGGCAAGATTTACGTCTACGACACCGAGACGGTCAAGGGCCCCCAGAAAGAGGTGCGTCTGGCGGCGCGCCTGCGTCGGACGATGGAGGCGCACGGATCGAATGCGGTGCTCTCGCTGGCGATAACGAAAGACGGAAGCACCCTCGTATCGGGGTCGGTCGGTCGCGATATCGTGAAACATGACATGAAGAGCGGCGAGGAGCTCGGACGGTTTGTAGGACACGAGGGCTACGTGTATTCTCTCGCGATTTCAAGGGATAATACGCTGCTTGCTTCTGGATCTGGTGATGAAACCGTGCGGGTATGGAATATGAAGGAATGCACCTGTATCCACACGCTTACGGAGCATATTGGTTGGGTATGGGGCGTTGATTTCCACCCCAAGCGAGATATTTTGGCCTCTGGTTCGAATGACCGGACGATTTGTCTGTGGAATCCTCAGACTGGAGAGCTGCTCCAAAAGATCGAAACGTTCGAACACGTTTACTGCTTGCAGTTCGCACCAATCACGGGCCGGTTTCTGCTCTGCGGAACCAGCGGAGAGAAACCACTACGTATTTATGATATGGAGAAAAACTATGCCGAGTATTTGATCAACAACACGAAGCAAGGGGGTCGAGTGTTCGCTGTCGCATTCGCCGCCTCTGAATCTGCATTCGCAGCCGGCTCCGAGGACGGCAACGTCGTGCTCTACCAACCCAAAATGCCGAGCGACAGCGCCAGTACGACGCGTCGCAGCGCGGCCGCTGCACGCCCGGCGGCCGAGCCCAGCCCAGTGGAAGATGCCGGTGCTGCTCGTGCGCCAAGCACGAAACGCACTGGCGGACGTCGCTCAAACTTTTGTAGCTGTTTTGGTGGTGGTGGTGGTGGTGGTGATGGTGGTTCCAGCCGCCGCTAAGGCGAGCGCGCTACCGAGCAGGCCGCAGCACGCAGTACTTTTCGGTGGCAGCGAGCGCACACGCTATACTGCAATTTGGCGGCTAGAGAAGCGCCCCCGTAACCCATTGATATGCTCGCTTTGAGAGAGCCCGTCGTATCGAGGGCGGCTGTGGGTCGTTGTCGGTAGAGTATTAAGCAATAAAAGATCTTGGTCGATATCGTGAACGTGTATCGGATTGATCCTCAGTCATCGTCGAGTTTGGTGTCGTTGCGGCAGTGCGAGTCTTCATCGAACGGCACCGTCTATGCTGCCGACACGCGAGAATACCCGTCGAGCACACTCCTGATCCCGGGCTTGGTGCCGGCACCAAACCCGTATGCCAGACATCCAATGAGCATCCTAGCTGGAAACGGGATGCTGCCAGGGACCCGCTCAGGGCCATGCGGCAGCGACACTCCTAGATGTCATGGTGGCGGTACCCGCTGGGCTACGTGACTCGCCCGGCTACACGACAGATCCGCGCCATCGCGGTGGCATCGATAACGACTGTTTGTTCACATATTATGCATATAATTTCATATTTTTCTATTTCTGGACAATGTGCGCGGTGAGACACGCAGGACACCGCTCGTGTCACACGGACCGAAGGTCACGTTCCCAGCGACTGGCGTGCGCGCCGCGGAGCGAGACGCATTTGAATGCCCGTACGCGCTCGGTGCTGTTCTGCGAGAACTACCAGGCTTGGTATGACAGGAGCAACCTGGAACCAGGGCCCGTATGCAACAAGATACACACCAAGGACTAGAGATAGGCTCTCAGCACTCGGTCGCCAGCTTTTGGATGCCAGATATGGCCGCTCACGAGAGTCACACGCCACAGTTCCGACAGCTTCATCTGTAGCCGGTGGTAACTTTGAGCACAGCGCGGCGTATACTGGGCGCTTTTATGACAGAACCGGAGTGGCTGTAGAGGGTAGCGTATTGAAATCCTCAACGACGGCGAATGACCTGGATGCGGAAGGCTTCTTGCGAGCGCACACTTCTCGAATGTCGCTCTGTAACGATGGTGCGCAGCGCTCGCTTCTCGCTGACCAGAGCTCGATGGACACGAGCTCCCCGGTGTACCATGGTATAGCGGCCGCCAACGTAGGTGAACGAGACACAGAGCCGTTTATAAAAGAGCCGAATTTCTGGATCACAACCGGCTCCAAGCCAGCGGTCACGCGGGCGGGGCGCGGCTCCCGAGCCGCTTTGGAGCCGAGGCCGCAGCCAGTGCTGCATCGACTGCACACCACGGATAGGGTCCTGGACAGTGCTACGATCACATCGCCAGCAACCGGTAGTGACCTGTCTCCACAACGCTTCCAGAGTTCGCTCCAAGCCTGTGTTGCAGGCAGCGCACCTGCAGATACGTCGCCTCGTGCATCCGCCACGATGCCGCAGGCGATCGATGCGAACCGTCGGATGCTCTACGCAAACGCTTCCCCCGCATGGAATCGTGCGGTACCCGAAGATAACAGCGAGAACAACGACCTCGATTCCATAGACGCAGCATCCAGTTTGGATCCTGCTTCAGAGCGAGATTTCTATGACGAGATTGCGACGGGGAGGCGTCACGACATGAGTGCTAGACTTGAGGCTCTTTCCCCCGATCGAGCGCCGAGTGTCTCGGCGTGCAGCTCAAAGAGCTCCCCGCGTTCCCCAGTGGCGTCCAAGAGCTTTGCGCAGTTGCCTGATCCAGTCGCAGGACAAGCATTCGAATGGACAGAGGCGTGCGATCCGTTCACCGATGACGGCAGTGTAGAGGATACGTCCTCGAGATTTTCCACAGGTGAAATAACCCAGAGGCTGGAGCTTTTGCAACAGTTGCAAGAGCGCCTCGAACGGATCCGTGAAGACCTGAGGCATCAATTCGAATCAGATTCCCCGCCACGAGCGCACACTCGTGATCAAAATCAGTCGTTCGAACACGATCCGAAATGGAGGCTTATCTCAGAACATATTCGGTGTCTGCGTGAGTTGTGGCGGCACGAGTCAAACCAGGCCAGCGAACTGCGTTCGGTACTCGCAAAGCAGCAGCAACAGCAGCAGCGACAAGAGAAGCATGCAGGCCAGTGCTCAAGATATGGAGCTGCAGGGGTACCCGCGCCAGCCCGCTCACCCCGTCTCCAAGCTAGACAATCATCACCGTTGACAAGTCGCATGTCTGCCTCTTTTGAGCGGTCTCTACTGCCCGAAAATGAAAACATGGACCCCAGTTCCAGCTGCGCCATGCAAAACTGCGAGGGCTCACATCACCAGCACCGTTTGACGGGCGGAAACTTCGCGTCGTCAGTCAACTCAAGAACACTCGTAGAGCGTGCTGCGTGCACCCACAAGTCCAAAGAGGCGGCGAAAAAGCACCTAGCCGGCGGCAAACGCGTTTGCTCGACTCGTGACGCAAAGATGCCCGTTCGCGAAGCAGGTCGAGCAGCTCGCCAAGAAAACCGAGCGCGTGCAGTGGTTGTGTCTGCTTCGTGTAACCAGAAACCCGGTGCACACAATGATGAAGTGAGCTCGCAAACGGTTTCAGCGGCAGCACCGATGCACCTTCTGGCTAACGAGGCCGCAGCGAGGCATGCACACGTGTCGAAGGGAGCCACCGACACGTCACTGAGCAAAATCCCTGCTCGACGCTGTGAGCGCTGCGCGTCACGGCTCAGTCGCACTCGCCAAAAGTTGCGAGTTGCGGTTCACGCTTTGGTTGCAATGCTGCGGTTGACAAAGCGCGTCCATCGAAGCAAATCTTCGCCCGAGCCGAAAGCTCCAAACTTCGCCTCTCCTGGGCGGCGAGAACAAACGCCCTCGCACCGAACAAGAGCAGCGAGCGCTTGTTTGTCAGTTGCCCAGGCTGCGGAAAACGAGTACGAGCCGACGTTTCCAAGCCACCGAGCGACACGTTTCTCTGCACCGTTATCAGCGCAGCCGACTACTCAGTTACTCGAGTCCTCGTCCGAGCAAGCCGACCCAGTGCAGGCACGAGCCAGGCGTCGAGGCAACGAAAGCTGTGACGGTCGTAGAGCGCGGGCGCTATTCCAGGCGCCGCCTTGCGGCAGAGACCCCCGACGTGCCGACGTTCGAACAGTCTGTGTATACCGCCAGGCACTGCGGCGGGTTCTTCGCCGACTCATAAGCCTCACCGCAAGCTCGACTGCAACTGCGTCCAGTCCCGCACAACCAGCGGAGAACGCTGTAGCATCTGAGCGTTGAACGCTGTGGTCGGTAGTCGCAGGCCTCGTTCGTTGAGATCGCCGGGTCTGTCTTCGCGGTCATCGAAGCACCGACGGACACTGATCCAGCGTTTTTCTTGTACCACACATGCCTGTGCGATAAACCAAGGCGACGCGTATGTTCCGCAGTGTGCTCGTTGAAGCCGCTGTTCGAGTCGAGTCGCCGCTACTCGCTCATCGTCTCGAGGATGCGCTGTTGCACGCTTGCAAACAGCGCTTTTGCAGCCGCATTCTGCCGTCGCTGGGCGTTTGCCTCACGGCTTTGCGGATCTGTAAGCTGGTAGACGGGGCGGGAAAACAGTTGGCTTTGGAGATATGGCCTGTGGAGGTCTCCGGCGGTGGCCTACGAGCTCGAGTTCACGTGGAGCTCTTGCTGTGGAGCCCGCTTCCGCACGAGCTCGCTTTCGCTCAGGTCCGTTCCTGTAGCCGGTTTGGGATACGTTTATCCATATTGAACGGATTCGATTATGCGTTCGTACCACCGGGGAGCATGCCGGAGCCATGCACCTATCACGAGGAGCAACGTTGTTGGAGCTGGCGTTTCAACGAGGACGATTTTGTCATCGGTGAGGGTGACTGGGTTCGTGTTCTCATTGAGCGTGTGGAGTATGCCACGGACAGCGCAATGGCCACTTTCGACAGTCCGGGTACTGTCGGTAGCGGTCCGCCGCTGCATATTCTGCCGCCGCCTGTACCCGTAGGAAGAACTGTTATGGAAACGGATCAAGCGAACGCAACACCCGGAGCGCATCCCGAACATGCACCGCCGCTGGAAACGGAACCGCCAGAATTCTGGGAAACGCCCAGCATTCTACCACTGCGTGTTTGGGCACGCTTGGACGCACCCGGTCTGGGACCGATCGACTGGTGGTCGTAGAGTGCGCTGCGTCAAGCACCGAGGACACGAGCTCGTTACCCGACTCAACCGGTTGCAAACGGTACCCTTGGACGCTCGACGAGGGCGATGGCGAGGTGTGCGCCTCCGTGTACCGCCCGCAAGTTCATGGAGCACAGCTGCAACGGGTCAAGTTTCGGTATCACGTTGCTGGAACAGAAGCTCGTTTCACGCGCGTCAGGCGTGCGTATGTGCATGCTCGGGTATCGTATCTGGGAAGAGCAGGAGGAGGCGCGGCGGCTCACCCGGACTTGTTGTTGGGGCCGGTTTGCGGCTGCGTTTGCTGTCCGTAGCATCGACGCGCGGGCTGTTGACGAAGGCATACAATGTTGCTGATCGAATGCGCGCATGCGGTGGTGACTTTCAATGCAACAGCAGCAGCAGCAGCAGCAGCGAGCGGTAGCCAGCATCGGGAACCTCCATCAAACAGGATCACGATGTCTCTGAAGCGCACGCTGCTAAGGCGCCTCGATGAGCGCATTAGGAACGTGTGTGAGTGCATGTGGTGGCGATGGTGGTGGCGGTGTGTAGGTACACGGCGTCGCGTGTTTTCCTACACATCCGGTGCGAGTGTGCGCTTGCGCACAAGGACCACGAGCGCTGTTGCAAGGCACATTCTAGTCGATTGAAAATGGGACACGAAACGACGCGCTCTGATTCTGTGTTGAGATGTTGTCAGAGCTAGTGTTTCATTGGACAGCCTGGACATCAGAAATGTAGCGTGCTTGGATTACGGATGCTTAGATTTTTTTAGGATTGTCGATCGTGGTTTCGGAGTGGCTCCTGCGACGCCATGCCGCTGGTTTTCGTGATGCCGCTACGATCCGCATGATTCGTGACGCTTTTGCGGACGATTCCGGAAATAAATGATACCATGATTCCAGTTCACATGCACAAGCTTCTATGCTCCTCCGTTCCTTGCATATAGCATGCTTGGATCATGCATTGTTTACGTTTTTGATCTCTCCGTTTCAACGCAACTCGCGCCGCTGAATCGACGACGAAAAGAGCTCGACGAAACCCCGTGAAGACCGCGTCACAAGATCGTACCACAAATTCACTAAACTTTTCATTCCAAATAATAAGTTCAATTCAAAAGATAAATCCTCCTCTAATTGCGGTCATCAACGAAGCTGCATTCGACAACAGCGGCGGCATGATGCCTGTCACAGGAGGTGCTCCCCGAGGCTTCCGCTTTCTCTGTGAGGAAAATGGTAATGGACCCGGCCATGGGTCATCACAGGGATCGCTACTGATAGAGCGCGCGTCGACATATAAAGCGCGAAGCGAGCGTAGACGGATCGAAAGTTTTGGAGTTGATCTCCAGCCTGGGTTGCCGTCTTGGTGCCTGATTCATCATGGACGGTAACATCGCGTCCCAAACAGCCTCGATCTTGGAAAGCAGCGTGCGCTTGCACGACCAGCGGACAGGGTACTCACCGAGGATCTCGCGCAGAGGAAACCCGTAATCGTCGGGTACAGCACAACGCGCTGCATCAAAGGGAGGCATCTTGCAGCGCCCTGCGTACCGGTCAAGCGGTTGTACTGAGCGGTGAAGCGAGCGCTGACGAGCGATAAGCGGCGGTTCCTCAGCAGCAGCAGCAGCGATACTGACTTTTTCGATGACAAAACGTTTACATGGGCTATGGATCTCAGATTGCGGGATGGATATCGGTAATTGAACATGCGCCCATCATGAAGCATCTACATGAAAGATCCATCACCTGTACTTGCTCTCGGATATACTGGTCGTTTCGTGCGTTCTAGCGTGTGCCGAGTGCCTGTTTGGAGCACCCGCCATGCGCTTAGACCGGTGGGGCTGATGCATCACAGCGGCAAAACAGCTTTGCCCTGCCAGCGAGGGCGTCGACTCGAGGTGTGATTCACTATTCACAGGATCGGAATTGGTGATCATTTTGGGAGCCTGCAAGCTGCGCAGACAGACGTACTTTATGCAGCGGCGCCAAGCGATATTCGAGAAGTCCACGACGACCAGGGCGACGCCTAGACGCAGGCTATGCGCTCCTAGTCCCAGAATAAACTGCGATGCGGACGAGCTGCTCAGGTCTCACGAAACCACCTGCAACTGGGGCGAGCACGAAGCGCGAGCCCGAGACACTCGTCCGGCTCTCAGGACCTTCCGCCTAGAGGATAAACTTTAGACAGTACGGAAACCTCTCCCGCTTTTAACTTTATATCGTTGCTAGTTAGGAGTGAGCCTCCGTTCTTTGTTCCGTATTGCGCGCTCGACACGCCCACCTCCATACTTGGCTGGCTGGCATGAAACACGACGTGCATCTCGCCGATGAAGAGAAACGCGATCGCGATCATTCGTTGACTTGGTGCTCTAACAGACAAGTTGCGTTTGCGCAAAAGTCCTAGAAAAGTATAGTTTTCATTTCAATCGCGTTTCAACCCTCAGTTTAGTGTACGCAGGTGATTTTTCGCGGTTTACACCAGAAGCGTTCAAAATGGGTTCATGTTCAAGAAAATATAGGAAAGTGATGCACGTGCAAGTCGGGGATCCTGAAGGGCCCTTGCCGCCGGCTGGCGGAAAAAAACGAAAAACTTTGCCAATGGAATAGGAACAAAACAGAACGAAGAAGCAAAAGGGCGAGGCCCGACGTCAAAAGCTGCGCGAAAGACGACTATGCGACGAGACGCTGGCGAAAGCCTGTCTTGGTAACCATATCAAGGATTCGGACGAGCAAACATGCAACAAGTCATCCGAGACCGTGTCGAGTCGTACTCCATGAGTATTGTAAAGGATTCTTCAGGACTAATGCACTTGACGAAGGAGATGAATCGCGGCGTGACGGGCATCAAAACAGTCGAGGTTCCGGGAGAATTTTTCAACATCATCGTTATGCATCACCTGATGCTCGGCACAGGGGAAACGTCGAGGAGAAAGGAGCGAATGCATGCCCTCCACAAAATTACCCCGAATACCCTTTTCATCGGTACTCGATACCGGCGTGACTCGGATATTTACACGTACGGGGCGAAAAAGTACCTCACGAACCTAAAGAACCATATGAACATGAACCTCACACGTTTCATGATACGTTCCGTCTTTGCGCTGGACCCGTGCCTCTTTCGCAAAGCGATAGACGGGTCACCATCAATGGCATCTCGAACGATAGTAAGAACGAACAGGAGATCGAACTCGTCGACAAGAAGACCTCGCACAGGAGCATGAATGAGGCTTCTGTCATCCGCGCGGCTATTCAAGAGCACCGTGCACTCTTGGGGCTCGTTGACCCAGCAGAACAGGTATCAGAGGTGGAAAAAGATGGAAAAAGAAAGATGTTACCCACACGTCCTGCGCTATTTCGTGTATTTGGACCAAGAACTCGAACGCAAGGCTGGGATGGAGCAGGGTGTGGGGAAAAATGCAGAGTCGGTAGAACGGAAGGCTGCGCTTGCGGGTACGCGCTTCGAAGTCGTTCGGTTATGCGAGATCAAGTCGCACTTTGTGACAATCGACTCCAGAGTCCTTTACGGAATACTGAAGGAGATAAGTTCGGGGCTCGATGTACGCAACAAGGAGTTCACCGGTGAAAATCGGGACACGTACTGGACGCATGTCTTCGACGGCAAGCGTCTCAATACGAGCCAGAAAAGGTATTCAGAGGTGTCATCGAAACTGAATGAGTAGCCATGTGTGTACACGATCGGCGCTTGAAGGCAGATCGTCATATCGTGCCTTCGGCTTCGCCCGTGACGAAGCATGAAGATGAGAAGCAGGCGGATCCCGCGACGCAGGAGGTTCAGGATACTGGCTTTGGCGGCGGCGCGGACCCTGCGATAACGAAGATCATAACGATCGCAGCACCGAAGCGTGCGGGAGATGGTGCTGATGGTAACCTGCGTCAGATAGACATGCGTCTCTTGAGGTTCTCGAGACCGAGATACTACCGAGAATCCGGTACAATGAATGCGAGGAAGAAAATCGAGACATGGAATGCAGGAGTCAAGGATCAGCTGGAAGCTATGAGCAAGGTGACGATCCGACATGCGGACTTTCAAGATCTGCCAGAGTTCATGGACACTCAAGCTGCTCATGTCGAGGAGCTGCGGAAAGAGTATCGAAAACAAAGGTGCGCTCGTCAGCGTTTGAATCTGTACAGAGAGAACCAGCGTGCATACGCCAACGATTTCAATCCGTTGAGCGCCTTGAAGGAGGACGAGCGTCAGAGGCTGGTAGAAGCGTATGGGGCAGGGCGCTAGCTGGCCCGAAAAGGGACTACGCCAGCTCCAACGACAAGAACACTCAAAGAGTGTACACGGCGTTTTGTTACGATACCAATAGGTGAGTTCCGAACATCGTATACACACCATGAAGTGAGGTGCGTACTTCAGAGGGTCGAGATGGAAACGTGCCAGCGGAGCCAAGAGGATATAAAAAAGTACAGACCGCTGACGGAGGAGCAAATGGGAAGGAGGGCAAAAGTTCGCGGACTCCTTGCATTCGTGAGTACAACCAGTGATGGCAAGAAACGCATGGAGTTTGTGAACCGAGACTTTAACGCCGCAATCAACATCAGAAGATGTGCGCAGCTGGAGAAAAGACCTCCAGAGTTGACACGAGAGAGAATTTTGTCAGACGACCTCTCAAGGTCGAAGTATACAAGAAAAAGTTGAAACCAGTAGCAGGTGGCCGGTCCGAAGAAAACTGGGACGCGTCTGCACCTCAGTTCGGGACGTCTTGTCAAGGGCGCTGTCGTCGCCACGTCTGTATACTGGCGGCGGCGACGTTTGTTTTTCGAGAAGCGTTCGCTGGTATCAGCCGTGGTCGCGCGTGTTTATTCGGTCTTCGACAGGCGCGACATGTTCCTAACCCCAGTTGGCACGTCCTGCACTGGAACGCTTCGACGTCCGATAATTGGGAGGCAGCGTTTACAAACCGCCAAGCTCGGGCGTCTGGTGGCTCGCACCGCGGTCCCCGACTCCCTTGAAGTTGCGGTAGCGCAGGCGCAGGAGGCTACTCGGCGTGCCCTGGCAAACTCCTTGCGTCAGCTGCGACTCGAACTCGATACGTCTCTCGGGGACGAGACCTACTCTCGATTGAAGCAAACGTTGCCGTTCTTGCGGCTGCTTTGTTTGGCCCTGCTTCAAAGTGACGAGTCGTTGAGGTCGAGTCTACGAGTCCTTCTTCCAGACGAGGGTGCGGCGGCAGCTCTGCGTAACGACTGGAAGTCCGAAGATCAACTATCTTCAGTTCCGGTATTTTCAATAGAGAGTAGAGTGCGGCGACGTGAGCTGGTCGCCGAAGCACGTGAACATACCGTGACCTGTCTGGCGGTGACGCCGCGCGCTACCGAAGTCGACGCGCTCCAGGAACTGGCTCGTGCTGCGAACGAGCACGATTCACTGCGTTTGATTGTACTCAATCCAGAGTTGATCGATATGGGTGCAACTGGGCTGGGACTCGCAGCGCGTCGCCTGCGCGATCGCCTCCTGAACGGTCTCGAGCCTGTCTATTATCTGCGCACAGCGCCGTGGGGTCTCGTGCTACGTGTTTATCCCGACGCGTGGAGCGTCTGGATTGATCGTGAGCGGTACCTGGCCGTGAAAGGAGAGCATGAAGCAGAAAATGCTGCCAATGACGACGACGCCTTCGTTTGCATTGCAGACGACTGGCAGGAGCAGCCCACTGGTGATGCGCTCGCAGACCTGGTGGAGTCATTCATGAATCCAGAGCAGGCGTTAAGTGGTCCGTTGGCAGGGCTTATGCAGTCGTGGCGGAGTCTACAACGTTTTCTTCGGGCGCTTCGCCAAACTTAGTATAGTGGAGTGCCGTAAAGGCTTCCCTTGAAGAGCGCGCGTTCGCGAGCCCCGAATGTGCTCTTGGTATCGGCAATGAGCGGTGGTCGATCACTGCACGTACCGCAAGTGCGAGTAGATGCAAGCCAAGGCATTACGGAATCGGAGACGGAATGCTCCTTGTAGACGCAAGCCCCGAGCACACGCTCAGGCGTGCTCTGTCGTCGAAATGGACAGCGCAAAGCACATCCACTCGCGGTTCGCAGCGACGAGAAGCGCGATCACCGGTGTGATGCGACTTCGGGCTAGGTTTCTGTGATTTGCTCGTTTTAGAGGCAAGACGGGTACGCTCGTTCGATATCAGTACCAGAGGCGTCGGTGTCCGCTTGTCATCGTGTCTTTGATTATCGCCGAGGCCCCGCGTTCATCGCTCGCTCAAGCAGTCTCACTGAATGGGATACATACGAGCATACCCGCTCATTTGAGCAGGCCGCATCAAACTGCCACGGATGTCGCTAGCATGCTCTCTGGTTCAGGCCTGATGAAAGCCAGCTTCCAGAAGGTACGTTCCTTCAGGAAATTCTCGTTCACGAGGCGCGCGCGTGCATACTCCCGCTTCCCCGAGCAGCAATGCCCCGGGAAGCTGCGGCTACGAACGCGGTGCGCACGCTACGGAAACACTCAACCATTCGACGCAAGCGGTTCAGCGCTACCAAACACTCATGGCCCCAATGCGTTGCATGAGCTTGACCGCTGCCGCGGATCAGCGGGATCGCCGCTCACACGCTGCGGTATGCGCAAGGCTTGCAGTTCGGCGCGACGCTTGCGAGCGGCTTCCAGCAGTGCTTGTGCCAGCTGCTGCAGTCGATCCAGCTCTTCGGCGGACATCTCGGAAACCGAGTCTAAGAGCACCTTTTCGAATACCGCTGAATCGAGCGCAGCATTGCCGACTCGCTCGAGCAGTGTGCGAATCGTGTCCCGGAGCACGTCGGAGGAGTTCAGCGGCTCGGCATGCGTTTGAGATTCCGTCTGGAGCAAGAGGTGCCGCTTCCTCATTGAGACATCTTTGTCCTTACGATAGTAATACCTGCCACCGTGCACTGTCGCACCAGCAGCTGCCAGTCGTCGGGTGATCTCAGCCAGGCCCGTTGGATCAAGCAGAAACGAGGTTCCCAGTTCAATGGCGTCATCGTTCATACAAGTCACTTGAGAGCGATAATAAAGGTCCGCAGCGCGTTCAAAACTGCGCACAAGTCGCAAGCGTGCGGCCTCGAGCTCGCCAGTCGGCACCAGGCCTGTGGCCCGCTGTCGAGGATCGACCGCGGGCGTCGCAGCGCCTGCAGTGCACCCGTGCAGTCCGGCTGCGACATGTTCCCGTTCGAAATAGGACAAAACAGCCTGAATAAAGGTATGGTAAACCTTCGGGCACCCCCGGTACTCGTATTCCATACGACCTTCGCGTAATGCAAGCTCCACATTTACCATCCGTTCGGGATGGAACTGAAGACCCACCAGAAAGCGTCCCTGTGTTGGATCGAAACAGTTTGGGTCGTAGAAGGCCTCCACGAGGCCGTCATCGGCGTGCGCCATCGGCTTCAGACGCGGTGCCAGCTTCTTCACGCCCTGGTGATGATACGAATTGACCCAGAGCTCATCTTCCTCGAACCATTGATAGAGCGGTGTATCGCGCACGATTCGAATCCGATGACGGTGGCCGTCGTAGTTGTTATAGTCGATGTGCTTGACGGTGTCACCGAGCTCGGCTTCGATATCGGCGTAGAGGGTACCACCGCAGGCGACGTTCATGACCTGGCTTCCTCGACAGATGCCCAAATAGGGAATGCCGCGCTGGAGGCAGCGGCGAGCCAACTCGAACTCGATCGAGTCCTTCGCTGTATCGTAGGTGGTGTCTTCAGCGTGCCGTTCCCGAATTCGACGCAGCGTTTCCTGATCGGCAAGCACACCGCCCTGATTTTCGTAGTGCTTGTAGAATTTGGGGTCAATGTCTTCACCCTCACAAAGCAAGAGACCGTGGAACGGTTCATACGAGTCCAAGCAGTCGATCATGCGCGGAACTCGCGGCACGATGACCGGCACGGCTCCCCCGCCGAGGACGAGTTCCAGATGAAACTCGCCAACAAAATCAACGAACTTTTGTTTTCGCACGTGGCGACGAGAGACGATGAGCACACGCGGTAGCTTCTTGGCCAACGCCTCCAGAGCGACGCGGTCTTCGAGGCCCACCGTTTCCATCCTCGCCGCAGAAAGTGAGTTTCCCCAGTTGGGACCTGTGAAGAAAATAAGCAGGTTTCTGAAAAACCTGATAAGAAAGCAGTCTCCAGTAACGAAGAGCAACTATGTTTCTGTGTTTTTGTCAAGGGAAGTGGTGTTGTGAACACGCCGGCGTCTCCATGGTACGGCGTGGCACGGCATTTTTCGACTGACTTGACCCCTCTTGCAGGGCGGTTGCGCTGTTCACAGCCGTCATGTCGTTGAGCGTTAGAGTGGTGCTCCCCGGTGGGGACTTTATCTTCATTCGAGGACTTACATCGAATAGTCTGGTGAAGGACGTGTTGGATCGATTACAGAGCCAAATGCCGACGCTTCCGCCTGGACTGCTCTGGTATCAAGGTCGTGCACTTGCCGAAGCGCATACCCTCGCTGAAGAAGGCATCACAAGCGGCGTCTCGTTGAACTGGACAACCGCGTCATCTAAACCTAAAGAGACTTGGAAAGGAGAACACATATCAGAGGGCTTTGTTCCCGGGGAGGCGCTCAAAGCACTGGTGCCGTTCAGCGAGCAGTTAAACGCCTGGACGCTTGGAGACCTACGAGCTGGAAAGCTGCGAGCGTTCTGGAGGCTCCGTCAACTACAGACTCTAGGAACGATAGACGGAGACACAGCCCGGGTTCCAGGTTCCGTCGAAAACGCTCAAGATACTGAGCAGGCGTTGCGAGCCGGACTAGAGTTGGCGCAACGCACGCTAGCTTCAGTGTCCAATACTTCGTTGAGCACACTTGAGAACGAGACAGAGGCCCGCTGGCGTCTTGAGCAGCTAGCTCTGGCACTTCGCTGGCTTAGTGACGGGCTGTTCTGTGTCAGTGCCATCGCGTCGGCGGGTGCCTATTCCGGCCGAGGCGACGCAGAAGAAGCCTTGGGTTGCACCGCTGCACTCCGAGAACTGCTAGGGCGGATCCAGTCGAGCGAGTCCCCCGGGTTCCAAACTGAGCAAGCGGAATCCCAAGCAAATGTCTCCACTTGGCAACCGGAGATTTCATCAAAGTCGACATCGGCTTCCAGGTCGGGTACATTGTCTTCAAGGGCGACTGGCGCAGGCTCCGTGCTTGCAACGTCGCTTGGTGGCATCGCAGGCGCAGCGACGGCTAAGAAAACGACATTTCGAACACAGGCAGTCCCTGCTGCGTCGGTACCCAAGCGCTCGGCAGCTTTTGCGACAACTCGAAGCGCGCCGGTCATAGATTCTCGACTGGAGTCGCTCATTGACGAGTCGGAGCTGCAGCGATGGAAGGCTTTACTCGCAAGGGATGCGCGATATCAGCCGTCAGCAGGAATGCGGACACTGAGTGTGCTCTATCGCTCTACAGGCCGTCATAGTGTTGGGCTCTGAGAAGCATTATTCGCAGCAGCTGATGCAGCAACAGCATAACCGATTGGACTAGCCTACCATCATCCTCAGTGCACCGGAACCCGGCACTGGATGCTCCGGCAGTGCTTTTACCTCAAATCACTTGACGGCGTATAGCAGCATTCTAAGAAAATTCAAGAGAAGCAGTACCAAACAGGAACGATGCTCGCTGATCCCTTCTGATCATAGGAGGACGCGATGTCCAGCGTTTCACGGCGAGCGAATCCGCCTCTTGTAATGAGTTCTCTAGTGCGACGCGCTTGTGAAACGTGGAATCGCACCACCAACATCATCAACACCAATACCGTTACGATCGCCATGACTATCGCCAGAGGCTAACATGCCTCTGCGCGGCTTGCACCATGCGCTTTCACGGAGCGCATATGTTCCAAATCCCACAGAGCAACGAGACTCGCGTCTGGTGATGGTCCTCAAGGCAGCGGCGGCCTGGATTCTCAGGGCTTGTTTGAAGGCGAATGTTGCGAAGAGCATTCGGTCTCCTCGGTAGGCTCGTTCCACGTACTGTAGCGGGGTATGCCCTCGTGGCGCCAATGGTGCACCATAGAACGAGTAAAGGGCGCTATTTTGCGTTCGTGAAGCGGTTCCTCGTGTGGATCATAGACGACGTACTGAAAACCATATTTTTCAGCGTACTGAATAGCTGCCTCTTTCGAGGAAAAAGTGAGCGTTGTTTGCGAGAGCGGATCACCGCTGCTGTACCAACCCATGAGCGGGTTTGTCCAGCGCCCGAAACCGTCCTGAACCTCGAACTCTGCTTTCCAGAGCTGCGTCCGGGATCCTCGCCCTTGCTGCGTTGCGGAACGAGCAGGTCGGTAGATGCGCAACCGCCGAGACCGGTGCTCGTCGGGAGTGCCGCTAACGCGCCCGAGGGCACCACGGGTGTCCTCAAAAAGCCTTCGCTGACCACTGAGTGGGTTCTGCCTTTGGAGTATATGTTTCCACAGCCCACTAGCTCTGTGGAGAACGTAAGCCATGGACACGGAACTCGCAGACGCGCCTGGAGCAAACCGCTGTTCGTTTGTTGAGCGTGCCACAGCGGCGTGCAGTCAGCGGCGCAATGCCGACCTTCATGTCTGTGCCTGCGGGAAGGCGGCCTGCTTGGGTGCTTCTTTTTCTCTTGGGTGCAGCATCGTTCACGGGGGCTAGGGAACCCCGATTGCATGCAATTGCTATCGATATCCGGAGAAGAGTCCATCGTACCACACCAGACCTTCGAGTGCCACCATTAACCACCATTATCACTGTCTGCAATTACCTCCAGAGATTCTGGTTATATTGTGTGATTCTCCGGTTGCCAAGCACGCTACGAGTGCCTGTAGCAGCGGTGCCCGTATGGACGTCGACTCGACAAGTCGATGATACTCCCTTGTCATGCCGTGTCGCCATGTAAAGGTATTTCGCACCCGCGTGCATCACCACGCGATCCGGTGTGTCGTCCGGGTCGCGAATCGGAGACGCTTTCGCTAGTGCGCGCTCATCGACTGTGTTTTTACCACCATTCCTAGACTGCTCTCTATCAAACGCTATCGTGACAGTGCAGCGGTCTCAGGATACTGCAGGAGTGCGACGCTTCCTCGGGCGCCGCATCGACATGGCTGCGTAGCAGCGGGCGATTGTTCAACGATACAACATACGTATGCAGAAACGCAACACCTCGCTTTGCTTCACACTGATGTATCCTGTGGGCGCACACTGTATCCTCTGCAAGGATACGCACACTTCATCGAGTGAAGTAGATGACTGGAAGAGGCCTCGCAGCCACCGATACGATGCTTGCTGCAGATAAATCTGTGCATCTCTCGTGCAATAGCGCTTCAGAGTCACATACACGCTCCGTTCGCCCCAGATGCGTCTTCATAAGCGTCTTTGGTCCAACAAGAGCCAGGAACCCAGCACTGAAGCATATACGCAGAGGCGATTGTGCGGAAAGCAGGGTTTCTTCCGCCGAGGCGGCGCAACATTTGTCCGTGCGAATCGTACCACGAATACTGAGAGAATACAGCTGTTTCCCGGAAACCGTTGTTATCACCTTGATCCAGATGCCACCGGTGTTCTGCTCAGAGTTTGCAGTTGGATACCTTAACACGATTTATATCGACATGATGGAGACAAGTCCGGGAATCGGAGCCAACAGCCAGCGTGCAGGCAACTGCGCTGCGCTAGCGCTGGGCGTCTTCGCGTCGTTTTCGCCAAACACATGCACACACAGAGGCATACAATCACTCCAATCTGCAACCGTGGCACGTTCAACTGGAACACAGAACAGCTCGCTCTGACCATTCCCTGCGATTTTTTCCAAGAAAGTTAGTAACTGTACGGTCTCGGCACTCGAAATGCAGCAAGACCGGCCTACGTATTCAAACGTGGATTCAGGATTCTTGGGCGTGTTCTTTTCGGAGTGGCGCGTTCGACCGTTGCCGCGGCAAGTCGCTACGCTACCGGAATCAAGATGATTCGCAACACCCTCGAAAAGCCTCCGTATAATCATCGATATTATCATCCAAGTTATACGTGCAAGCCTCCATTCGTCTCCATTCCTAACGTAGAACACATGCAACGCACGCTTGCTTCAGGTTCTCAGTCAGTCTTTCTGTTTCAAGGAAACTGGAGGGTGCAGCGAAATGCGCTGCTGGATTGACGAGGAGAAAACCTCGACGTTGTTCCTCTTGATACGCTCACGAGCGCATGCCGGAAGCTCGCTGAACTTTTCACCTCAAATAGTCGATCTCGTTCCAATAACAAAGCGTCCTCCCTTGATGGCATTCGACAGCAACATGATACCTCTCACGAGACATGCTCCCAGAGGCGCGTGCATCCTCTGGTTGCACCATTCAGGGTCTTTGCCTCGTTATTGAGTCGTCGCAGCGATTGCTTCCAGTGGAAAGGGCGCGACCGCTTTGCAACAGGAATATGTTGACATATCGAATATCGATACGACTGTTCCTCAGGTTTGGATCTTGATTCGATTACCTATTTCATCACAGACAACATCGCGTTCAACAAACCCCGACCAAATGGAACAGCGCGCGCGTGCTGTTCCAGCAGACAGTGTACTCAAGGAGAGGATCGCCCAGAACAGATCCGTCATACGACGCTGTGATATGGAGTGCGGAAACGGAGCAGCGTATCGAAGGGAACCTCCTCGGCCCGGTCAAGTGCCTGTACCGAGCGATGAAGAAAACGTTCACGCGCCACCGCGTGGCCCTTGCCGGAGAACGAGGAGTCCGTCTGACGGACTTGCGTCCACACCTGACCACAGTCAAGTGTCAGCGCTACGCAGGGCGCACCGATGCAGCACACAAAAGAATGTATACTGCAAGCGTCTTCGAAAGACGGAAGCGGTGTACCCGGGCCTTGAACGCTTCCAACAGCATCCCTCGATTGCTTACAGCGGAGCTGGGTCGACACGGACGACCGACCGATTATGCAGCCCGAGATAAGAGCGGAAAAGAAAGCAGTCACACAAAAAGCCCGCAAAGGCTGATATTGACGACACTGGGAAGAAACCGAAACTTTAGAGTGTACGCTCGTATCCTTGGATCTGTTCCACGGTATTATTCTGACGTGAGCGTCGTACTACAGAACGAAACTCCAAACTCCTCGACAGGTCTCCAATGACCCTATTCCAGTTTATAGCAGCAACGGTGGCTAGCACTCGGCTCAGCGCAACTGCAAAGCGTGCCCGGCACTCCGGGAGACACCCCGCGTGCGCGCAGCCGCATCCGGTGTGCGTGCATCTCGCCCGCCGCTGCTGGGCCACCACAGCAGCACAGCAGCAGCACAGCAGCAGCGGCAGCAGCAGCAGCAGCAGCAGCAACAGTAGCAGTGGACGTCCACACGAACGGCACCTGGGATCGTACCCGAGGCATCGCCCGGTGGACAAGCCGGTGGTGCAACGCGTCCCTGCTGCTCTGTGGATATGGCGGGGGTTCGGGAGCGTGATTCTCTCGAACCTTCGAGAGAGCCTGCTCCACGGGTGCAGCGAAAGAGCTCTCGTGACGGGAGCGAAAGCAACCCGAACCGCAAAGCGAATCGTTGGTCCTTCTCCGGCATCGAAGAGGCACTCGAGTTGCCGAGCGCCCGAACGAATTCCCTGTCAGCACTTGATGTAGACAACACGAGAGCAGATTCAAGCCGGAGACGACGTCGTGACGCGACCTCGACAACTTCCTCCAGTTCTACGGCAAGGTCGCGCAGCCGCACCCCGGAACGGTTCGCTTGTCGACAGCTGGCGTATCGTGCACCCCCTGGAGTCGAGACATTGGCGTACCATAGCTATGGGCTATTCCTTGGAAAGCTCGAAACGCTGCGTTTAGGTGTGCGTAGCTTCTTTCGAAAAACGGTTCCACGCTTTCTGAGTGCTTGCTGGTGTCTGCTGCAGTTGCTTCTGCTCCGTGCCAGGTTCAATCCGACAGCATTCGTCAAAATGGAGCAGCTTCTGGGCGGGTCCTGCTGGATTCGACGCCCAAGGAGTCGAGATGGCTCTGCTTCGCAACCATTAGATGCGAAAGCGAATGACAAACGTGCTTCAAAACAGGTGAAAATGGGCCGTGATGCCGAGCGCAGCCGCTCTGCCCAGAACTCGACCGAGCCGCAGGCGAAGGGGTTCTCTTCTCGATTGGCTGCAGCTGGCGACCGCTTTCTTTCCTATATCGCTGCATTTGGATTGCTTGGCATTTCGCCATCATCGATCTTGGGTGGCATCCGCAAGCGCCTCGTTCAGTATCACAGTATGTTCTCGTGGGAGGGCGTCGTCGGCCGAGCATCACGCTGCGCAGCCGCGCGAGGCCGGACGACGCTCTACTGGTGTCGCGACACGGTGTTGCGACCCGGCTCAAAGCCAGTGCTACTAGGTCTGGCGTCGGCGCAAGTACTCGGTGCGGTCTCATGTGATATTGCCGAATGGGTAGCGCGAATAGTTCTGGAAACGTTTGCGCGATGCTTTACTCGAGTTCGCGTCGATAGCACCACCCTGATCGACAGTATCCAGTTTGGCGGCTTGTTGCCGCGCTTCGCTCGAGTGTCGTGCGGCCCGTTTCTTGCGTACGCCTCGACGCCGACGGAACGGAAGATTCTTGTGCTCGATCTGGACGAGACTCTGGTTCACAGCAGCTTCAAAGAACGCAATGGCTGTGACATCACCGTCGAGGTTGAGGTCGATGATGTTCCGACGGTATTCTTCGTTCGAAAACGACCGCATTTGGAGCTATTCATTCGAGTCGCTCGCCAGTGGTACGATCTGGTCATCTTTACTGCTAGCCTGCGCCGTTACGCAGACCCCCTGGTAGACGCACTCGATCCAACGCGCACGCTCTTCAGAGCGCGATACTTTCGGGAGGACTGTGTGCGCCTGCCTCCCTATAATTTCGTGAAAAACTTGAATATCATCAGCCCGAATTTGGGAAAAGTCATTATTGTGGACAATTCACCGGCGAGCTATGCTCTCCAGGCAGCCAACGCTCTGCCAATCGACGCTTGGTACGATGACCCATTCGATGAGGAGCTGCTTAACCTTTTACCGGTGCTTCGTAGCCTGAGTATTCTGGAAGATGTCCGCAGTGTACTTGGTTTACGCTTAACGCGAGGTTCATTGATCAGTCGATATAAACCGCTCGTTGCGATGTAGTTAGACCGCTAGAAAATCGGCTCCTTGCGCAACAGCAGCGAAGACACTCCCGCCCGACCCAGAAGCACCTAGTCGACTCCGGCCGCGGAGAGAGAATGTCGCTTTATCCACTTGGTTTCGGAGCGAGCGTCTGCATTGGTGTTCGCAGTGGCACCACAGACAATCGTGACACGAGTCGTCGTTTTACGTAAACGAGCGCACCCTGGGATATCTGTAGCCGCAGGTCCTTTTTGCGTGTTTCTCTCGTTGGTACTCAACAAAATAGTGTTTTACATGAACTGGAGAAAGGTCGAGAACCGACTTTATAGTGTGAATACTAGGTGACGAAAAACGACTTGGCTTGTAAAGGTCAGTGATTCTAAGGTCAGCAGCTGGACGAACCATCCTTGAGGTCGTCCGTATCAAGCAAGTCGTGCGCCCAGCACAGAACTTGGCGAAACCCGTACCCACCCAACTGTCTCCAGGTCAATCGGTTCAGCTCCATACCTTATTTGATACTAACTATCAATGAAGCCACCGGATGTGAATCTTCCCTTTTGTTAACACAAACATGAGTAAAGACACAAGGACGAGCAAGAAAGAGACAGGCTTCTTTCAACGAGCGTCGCGCGTTGTGCGACCCATGCTCGGTTTCGCCGCAAAACGCATACACATCGGATACGAGTGATATTCGCCTTACTCCATGAGACCTCTTTCCGCGGAAATGATAAAGCGCTTCATGGGTTCTCCAAAAACGGCAAACTACTGATTACAAAGCAGAAATACGAGAGAGGGAGGCCGTTGTCAGCCCAGCGGCGACTCAATGACACGGACGTTGACAAGTCGCAAAGCACGGAGGACCGTTCACCACCTCATTCCTCGTCGCAGTACTTTAGGACTGTTGCGTGCCACATTCACCTGCCCTGGTGTATGAGACTGCATCGCTTTCCAACAATCTAAAGCGTTCAAAGAGTACGCAGGTGAGACTGGCAATGAGCTGCTCTCCATGGAAGCCCGTTCTCTCTGATTCGATCCATTCGAGCGGTTTTCTTGTATTGTGAAATGCCTGTTAAACGCTCAAGGAGCACTAGACGAGTCCTTCGCATCTATGACAACGTTCTTCGAAAACTCGGTCTCTACCTTTACCAGACTTGCACAGTTGAGTCGGTTTTCTGCTCGTATGCAGGAGGCAGCGGAGAGGTGCGTTTCGGCATTTTTTGCGCGCTGACGGCGGTCAAGGTGGCGAGCGGGCACCCCACGACTAACACATACAAACATAGAAAAGGTAAACTTAAGTGCCGCCGCCCATTCAGTGCGTCTAAATCCCAAAGAAGAAACACGGATGTGGAGTAGAGCGATCAATTGAATGCAAAACCTCCGATGATCGTAAAGCCGGAAAACCCAGCAGACAAAGAAGCGAGCGATCCTCCCAGATAGGGGATCAGGAGCGGCACGAAAAAAGCCTGTTCAAGCGGAAAGATCCATCCGGAATCCTTGTCGACACCTCACTACCAGAACATACGGACGGGGAAATGCCCCTAAAACGCAAGATCTCGGACTGCATTCGGGATCACGTAGCGTCTCTTCCCGGGGCAAGGCACGCTGAGCTTCGCCCGTCTTGCCGCACCTCATCAAGCAACTGTTCGTGTGAGTTTCGGACGCCGGGCCGACCCAGAATGTCCAACCAGCACACGTATGCATGTTGTAGGGTTTCCATCCAAGGCGATCTCGATGACATCGACGCTTCACGAGCAAAGATGGATGCTGGAACAGGTGGAGCAGAAACGTGTGAGATCGCGCTGAACGCATAAATCGGTGTGAATCAGTTCTCTGAAGCTCACTTGACGAGGCAATCGAAAATGAGAGGCTTGCCACCGCATGATTCCATCAGCAACCGAGCATGCAAGCACTTGTCGCACCAGGACATGAAGGCCTCGTTCAAAATCCGGAAATGACTCTTACTGGCGGACTATCCAGCGGATTCGTATCCAGCGACTTTACGAGGAAATCCCAAAGCGTCTAGTCTAGGCAGAGTATTAGAATGCTGAACATTTTCAACGAAAAAATCAACAGTTCGGAGAGAGGGCATTGGATTACCGCCCGCAGCGAGGCACTGGTATGATACGTTAGGCAATCCGAGTATGCTGGAGCGCCCTGCATTTGTTCCGATACGAATTTCCTGTGCAAATGTTTGAGGATCATCGTGTTTCATGATTCCATGTAACTGAGCATACAATGACACAGCACCGCAGAGGGCAACTTCTCCGGCCCCAGAGAGAAATCTTTCCCGAAAGTGCTGCCGTCTCGCAGCAGCGCTTGGTACAGCGTTCCTGGACTTGAGAATGATTTGGATGCGCAGAGGCCACGCTAGAGCATATGATTGAGGGTGCGGCACCAGCCAACGGACCGCGCAATGACGAGGATGCTTGCAAGCCTGCACCTCATTGCTGCGTGCAGGATGTACACCAGCACACGACATTTTGGTGCACGCGTGTGACTTGACTGTGTTCGTAGAGCCTGGAGCAAGCGACCTGCACCACGTACAATAGAGCGTCTAGTACAGATCATGCTGTACGTCATCACTTGGTCGGAGGGAGGACGCGCACCCGCTCCTGCCCAAAATGCGCCCGCAAAATGGGTTCCAGCTTGTTGCGATCGCCGAGAACCAAGGTTATTAAGGCATCATCATCGATGCGGTCTCGAGCCGCTTGTTGCAGGGAGCGCGCATCCACTCGTTCAATGCCTGCTCGTAATTGTTGCAGAAAGTCGTCGGGGTACCGATGGAACCGGTACAACACAAGACGACGGAGCATTTCGCTCTTATTCGGAGCAAGCTGAAATACCATGCTATTCAAGACATAGTCTTTCGCATAGTTCAACGCGTCTGGCGAAACCAGCTCGTTATCGAGTCGTCGGAACTCGGCCTGGATGCCCTCAACGAGCGCAGGCACCTGAGCGGTCTCGGTCTCGCCACCAGCGATGAATACCCCGGGATAGTTGTACTTTGGCGACCACACGCCATATACCGAGTAAGCGAGACCTTTTCGTGAGCGTAGCTCATCGAACAGGCGTCCGCCGAGTCCATTCATGAGGGCGTTCATGACATCCAGCGCAGGATAGAGTGGATCTCGTAGCGTGCCGCCGAGTTCGCCCATCGCCACCTGAGCCTGAGTGAGTCCCGGCTTCTCCACCAGCAGAACCAGCGACGCATTCGGGTTCGGCCGGGGCGCCGGTGCCAACGCCATTCTGGGCGGGTCGACGAGTCGCGACCAGTCACCAAACGTCTCTTCCGCAAGCCGACGAACAGACGCTCGATCCAAATCGCCATACAGCACCAGAAAAGTATTGAAATCCGGTCCGAAATGATCCGCATGAAAACGAAACAAATCATCTCGTTCAATGCGATCGATGGACTCGTCGCTCGATTCGCGAGCAAACGGCGAGACGCTTCCGTAGACGAGCTTTGCAAACGTACGCCGGAGCACAGAGCTGGGTTCATCGTTACGACGCGCGATGTTAGCGTGCTGGTGCTGCTTCACGAGCTCCAGTCTGGGTGCAGAGAAAAGAGGCGCTCGAACGAGTGAGCTGGCTGCCCGCAACACCTCACCTAGGTCCGATGGTTCGCACTGGAAAGCGATTTGAAATGACTTGACCCCCAGTGACGTTTCGATACTTGCGGCGCGATTCTCCAGGAAATCATCGAGCTCCTCGGGGCTATATGCTGCGCTACCGCCCTCTCGAATAAGAGCGGTAACCGTCTCCGCGAGCCCTACCTTGTTCGGCGGGTCCAGCCACGAGCCCGCCTCAGTGAGCAGAAAACCGCTGGTGAGCGGGACTTCATGGTCTTCGAGGATCAGAAGATGAAGGCCGTTCTTAAACGTCTCTTCGTAGATCGACTCTAGGGTTGGTAGAGCAGGTAGCGTCGGAAACGACAACGTTTCCCAAGGTGCGGGACCCGGTTCTGAACGCTCTGCGCTCACCTCAGTACACGGTTCCACCAGAGCGACAGCCTGATCAATGTCGTGGGAAAAATACGGGCTGAATCCAAGAAGGACAGAAAAGCCTATGACTGCGAGCTTGGCCAGCCTCTGCAAGGACGCCACATTAGGTCCAAGCTGCTTCCGTTCGGGCGTCGCGCAAGCTCGCCCCAGCCTCAATCTCGTTGCCGCAAGTTCATGTCGCCTTGTGAAGGGCGAAAAGGCCTCTGCTCGTACGAGCTTGCCACGGCCGAGTCGCTCTCTGCCTGGCGGGATCGCAACGAAAGCAGATTGCACGCACGCTCGCATAGCACTCCCTGCTACAAGTGTGCCCTTTGCACCACTCCAGCGACCACAAACAGTAATAGGTCTAGGGAGGCCGCGTTTTCCGACAAAAGATCCTTGTCCTGGCGAGATATTTAGCCCCGAGTACCTGACCTCACCAAATGATCGTGCCAGGTGCGCAAGCATGCGGCGACCCGTGCACGAGCGAGCATGTTGCTTGATGCGCATGGTGTACGCCTTGACAAGACATGTCCAGTAATGGGTAGCTTACCGCTCAGCGCTTTGATCCGCGCACAGGCCATCGGATGGACGTTCAGGCAGCGATCGCGTACGCACATAGGATTCTAGAAATTTGGCGACAATGCTGGAACTGACAGACAAGTGCGCAGGGCGCCTCCTGCAGTTGACCCTTACATGGCGCTTCTTGAGTCGTCGGGGTAATGCAGTCTTTTAGGATTCGCTGATTACCGCCTGTAGGCCTGTTGGCTCACAATGGACGTCAGAGCGGCGTTAGACAAAAGGTCAGATTCGGGGCCTCATCGGCATGGAGGCACCTTGACCGATTGTCGCAGATGCCCAGCTCGCCTGCGCCTTTTGATTGCTAGCTGGTCAGCGTTTGCGTGCGCAGCACTGGTTCGTGAGCAGACCAACGCGTGCGCGCACTTTACACGAAAACATCACCGAATTGCATTTCGTGGCGAAGCAGCGGTGGCCCGTGGAAGCAAGAACTGCGGATGCTCGAATCGCATCGTCTTTTAGAGAGCTGCAGAATTTGGTCTGAATGCCCACGTTTGGGAGACACCCGGGCGTCGGCACTGCGGATGCACAACTGCTATCGTCAGGTACGGGCTGCCTTGGTCATTCACGGAATGCTTGGCCTTGAGGTCGGCACAGGAGCTGTCCGGAGCTCCATAGTATCGGCGAAAACCATCAGCAACCAAGTATCGCATGCACCCGCTTATTCGGGAATCGCGAACGCCACGGAATTGCTCCATCTCAGAATACCCGTGAATTCCTCGGACAGACGCAGACGCCAGCCGGCATGATGCCGCCGAGCTCGTAACGTACCGCCCGCATCGCGTAAACACCGTCGATTCGAAGCGGCTGTGGGGTTCGCACGCGTGTGCAGCGCACCGTCAAAAAGCCTAGCAAGCATGAGCATGGTGATGAGATACCCAAGTTGGCCGCATCAGGTCTCTCGGTATCAAGCCCGGAGCTGCCTGCATCAGGTGCAACAGGGCCACGGCAGGCTCCGCAGCGCTCGAACGACTCGAATAGCCGTTAGAGTGCCCCGGTGGTCGCAAACAGCACCCGCCGCATCACCAGAGATTTCATTCAATTCGATCCGCTGAAATGTCAGTGCGCAACACTGTCTGACCGCTGCGGTACCTGGCAGAGAAACCCTGCTCCGGGTACGTCGATACCCACCCTGGAGCCGGGAATTCCCATACAGTACCATCGATCCTGTCCTGAAAAACAGCAGCCTCGCCTGCAAGTCGCCATTGCATTCGCAGCTGATTTCCATTCTTCTGATGGTGTCTGGTCGATGCATCAAGCCTTGGACCCTAGGAATGCGCGACGAGGATCAACAGCGGTAAAAGTATCAGTGATGCTGTTCATCTGGTGTCAGAAATGGCGATGACCCCGTTGCCACTGCCACTGGTGTCATCCAAAGCACCGGGCGAACGTTGCGCGCTACCAGCATGGGCGCATTCGTTCGTGCGAACGCTTCAGCGCTGTGCAGCTGCGCTCCATGTCGAAGTATGTTCCTATCATCTATATATGGAACAAACGATAAACCATCTTTCTTGGAACTTGTTTCACAGGAGCAGCTGCTGTTGGGCTTGCGACCGGCACTGGACCGAGTGCTCCACGGCCTGTGCGAACGGTTCTCCGGTCAGCACTGGTTACGGGCCCTGCACCGTCGCACTGACGAGCTCTGGTTGCTGATTCTGCTCGTCGTTGAAGGCCGCTCGCTTTATTCGAACGGAGCCACTGTTGCAGAGAGTTTTTACGGACTCCGAAGACGCACGAATGAAACGTCCACACTGGCCTCGCGACCAAAAGAGGAGCACGGGCCAGCGCCTGGTCTGCCAGCGGCAGCGGTATGGAAAAGCGTTTTGGAAAGCGCAATATTGCCGTATTTGAGAACAAAACTTGACGCGTTGTATCAGGAATTTTATATCCAGGCTAGCCTTGGCTTAGACGGCTTCTGGAGCTGTTTTTGGAAGCGACTATTCCTCCGCCTCTACCCTTTCTTGCGAACGTTGGACCACTGCTTCGTGTTTCTCTTTCGTCTTCTCTATCTGTTCGGTCGAACCGAGTACTACAGCTGGCCTTTACGACTTGAACGAATCGTTGTCGTGCGAGCGCCCTATGCCGCTGGGCTAGTCCAGGGGCGACCTGCGGCTACACTGCTGCAGCGGTTCCTGGACCGCGCGTTCTCTGGCGGCAAGCTCGCTCTTATAGTAGGACTTTACACGCTTCGTTTCGTGGACTGGTTTCGATCCAATTTAGAGCGCGAGCGCCGTGAGCAGGTTCGGTCCTTGCCTTTACCACCACCGCCAGAGCCTCTGGGTCCGCCGCAGACCCACGCGTGGACACCAGGCGCTTGCGCTCTTTGTCACAGAGCGGACTGCTGCGAGCCCTCTGTTTGTCTGGTCAGCGGCTTTGTTTTCTGTGACGCTTGCTTACGCGAGCATATTAAGATTCATCGGCGTTGCCCGATAACAAAGTTTCCCGCATCCGAGTTGGACATACGTCGGCTCTACTTCTCAGACGCTCTATGACGCGGTGATGCGCAGCGGTCTCTCGAGCGATGTTCCAACATCGTGCCCTCCAGACGTAATGCTCACTGACTAGCCATTATCGATAACCCAAGGCATGTTCCTGCCGTCGAGTTCCAGCTAGGGCCTCACATGCCTGCACAGAGGGTGTTCTTCGCGTGCCACAGCAGCACACCGCGGGTGCGCGGTTTGTCTCCGCACCAGCGAATGCAGACACCACAAGCGCTTGCGCAGAGCTCGTTTTCGGGCCTATCCAACGGCCTCGAAGAACGGTTGCCTCCGCATCTGCTCAGCAGGTACTCGCTTACGGTTCCGTGCTGCAGCGTTCAATAAAGTTCCTGGTTCGTTCTTGCAGCATTCGGAGCATGAACCGCTCACGCCGTAAGTGCTCGTGCGCGGAGCGGTTGGCCCCCGGCTCAAGCGTTTGTTGCTCGACAGCGTGAACGTCCATCTCCGAGATGTTTACCTCAAAGTTTGCCAGGTTCGCACGTTCCCGTGCTCTCTGCATGCGCTCTTTGGACAGTTCGAGGCGCTTCCGCAAAAGTTCTTCCAAGTTCGTTTTGTCCAGCTTGGCTGGCCAGTAGAAACCGTCCTGTGGTCCCACGAGGATCGGCTCTAGTCTACGCTCCTCCGGCGGATCAAGCTTCATCTTCCGTAACTTGAACCGGAACGCCCCACCCTCGTTGACAGTCCAGTTCACGAGCCGGAAAAAAGCCAAGGAACTCAAAGACCCCACGAGAAAGTATACAAGCGGTGCTCTCCAGGTCGATAGTCGCGAAGCCTCAGAAAACGCTCGCATTTTCCAAAGAGTATACCTTTCGTTTATAGCTCATTCAGAGATGTACAGTAGAACACAAGGTGCAACTGAAACAGGCATAGTGCGCCTTTACCTGAAACGAAAGCGAAACAAAATCGTTAGGCCGACGCAGGCACCTGCGGCGTGAAGCGCTGCAGCTGGAGTGGCGAAACGTTGCGGCTGTGGTACTGCCGCTGGACCCCGCAGGTGTGCGGGTGCGCTCCACCCACGATCACAATCATTCCAGTAGGAAACAGTGCGGATGAACCGTATAGTTCGCAGCGCATAGCTCGTTGGTAAGGACCAAGTTGGATACAAAAGCGCGTGCAGCATCGAGCATTAGTGTCAAAATCCAGCTCCGAAAGTCACCTGCTCCAGAGGAGTCCCTTGCACCAGGTGCCGGTCATACGAATTGCATTCAGAAGCAACACAAGCACCGTGCCAATGACACACACACATGATGCACCAATGTAGGCATTGCGAGACCGTTACATTCTGATGCTGAGCCTTCTTGCCGCGTGCTCTGAAAAGCCAGGTCATTGGCGGTGGCTCTCGCGATGAGGTTCTGCATGAAGCACCGCTCAGCGCTTTAAATGTACGGACAATGCGGTAATGGGATCCACTAAGGTTCCGCTGCAATGCATGTATTTCCAAGCCCAGTGCTCGGTGGTGTCATCCATGCAGTTGCTCTCCTGCACGGAAACGGAGACGCTGCGGCGCACAGCCACAAACGCTCTGGTACGACCTCGAGCGAAAGCGGCGATTGCATCATTCTACAGAAATCGGGCCAAAGCTGCTGCTCAACTTCAAACGCAGATGCAGCGATGTGCATACACAAGTATAAGCGGCACGAAAGACCTCGCTACTGGAGCGATCGCGTAACGAGGAACCCTACTGATCCGAGTACGAACCTTCGAGCACTCGACGTCCACGATACAGACCGACGGGGTCCCTGCTCCCGTGGCTAGTCAGTCCCCAGCAGCCAATATCCGCTGATATTGCTGGTAGCCAGCGAGACATCATCGGCAGAGACGCCGTCGCTCCGAGCTCAGACTGCTAAGCGTCAAGTGCTCGCGTTTTCATGGAACGTCAGGTCCGCCGATCCAAGAGCGACTCGTCTCTGGTATAGCCCGACGTATGGCATCACCATATAATGAAGACGCATCGTGATGGAGTTGCCGCGAAGTGTTTCGTTCGGAAACGCACGCAACGGATATTTGGCTCTCTCACCTATGAGTCGGATAACTCGGCTGTCCCTGGATCCGACTACTTTATCCCACAGAGTAACTTGGCTCGACGCGTTTTTACTCTCTGCAACAATGAAGACATAGAGCTGCCGGTACGTACCTCTCCAGACGGGTTGGAAGTCAGCTTCCATATCTATGGAGAGAAACGCAGTTTCCGAGGCACGCGGTAAGTTACCGTGGAACCCCAGGATGCGCCCTCCAAAGTTCTTGACTGTGATCTGTGGACATCGCGCCGTGCGCACTGCGTCTAACGCAACCTGCAGAGCCAGCAAGATCAAGAACCAGAAAAAGCAAGTAGCAGCGTAGGAAGTGAGGCGCTGCCTCCAGGTAGACGCAACCATACTGGACGCTACCAAAAACAACTGCGAATGAATTGCCGAACGATCACACGTTCCTCCTTGTGCGAATACGCTCGAGATCTCCGTTCAATAACGTCTGCACTGAGAGCAAAAAACGAATGACGCTGCTGGGCCCTGGTCGACCTGCGCCCAGCATTGACCAATCCTAGTTTCGCGGAGACGACTGCTGATGATTCGCGTTCGCGCCGCTGCCACGGCAACGCAGGGTCACAAGCTGCATCACCGATGCTGGAAAGGCACGTCCCATGCAAGGTCCAGCACATCATGTTCTCCAAGGGACGGCGCTGTACGAACCAGTTCCTCAGACGCAGTTTGTAGCTGCGTATCTGCATCGAGATGGATCGCTGGTTAGAACTGGGGGACGCACTACACAACGCTGCCTGGCGTACGCTGGAACGCTTCACCTCGATGTGTGCAAAGAGGCGCGCAAATACCGGTGCAGTTCAGCCGGATGGAGCTCGACGAATCGCTCGGTGGAAGCAGGTATCAGCATCTGCGATTCGAACGCATGTCAATGTCGAATGGAACGGGGTCTCCGACTCGAGCGTATACACGAAAATTCGGGTCTCTTTCTCTGGTCTTCAGCACTAGCGTTTGCGGAACTGTTCTGTGACTGCTTCCTTTTCCTCTGTGTGGCCGTCGGCTTTCCGTACGGTGTCCTGCTCTTTCCCTACAATGTCCTTCGTTCGCAGTGGAAGGGTTTCGGTGGCAGCGTTGAATTCCTGAATGCGCTGCTTCCGCCTGTTACCGATGCATTTCATCCGCAGGCGAAAGCGGCGACGTATGCCTCGCTTGCCATTTTCATCTGCATCGTATACAGCTGAAGTGCGCCTTACATAGCGGTGGCACGCAAAACTGGTCAGCTGCTCCCAGAGGTCCGCCATACATCCACATCTAAAGGCCACAGCGCGGCGCGTGGACGCTTGCTTTATCGCGTCATACGAGCGCTTGACGAGCCCATGAAGATCCCCTGGATGCTCCCCGCCGTTTCTTCGCCCGGGGTCGTACACTGCGATCGCGGGCCTCTTCGGGGTGACGTTCTCGGTCAGTACTCTGTGCAGTGGAGACGCAAGCGTACAGTGTCCCATTCGATAGAGGATATCTGGAACGCAAGGTTGTCTATGATGGAAAGAGTACAGGAAGCAAAATCCAGCATGGAGAACAAATCGAGAAATTTCGATTCATCTATGCTACCCTCGCGCAAAGCGATGGTGCATTCTCGACTAGAGGCGATCGCAGCGACGACAGAAAGTCTCAGTCCAGGGCCCCCTTCCATGGAATCAGAATCGAGGAGAGCCTCTGGGGGCATATCCAGTGGGCGCGATGATGCTGTTGCGAAGTGTTGCCTCGCCGATGCCCGCAAAGGGCGGATTGTATGCCTTTTAAAGGGATTCAATCATTTGAAGAGCCAAGTCCAGTGAACTTTCGACGTGCGCTTGTGAAAAAAGTCATCGGGAAACGACGCGGATTTTTTTCCGCATCCATCCTGCGGCGCGAATCGTTGTGCCGCAGAGGAGCCTCCAAACAGAGCGAGGGAAAAGTTGAAGAATACGTGATCTGACTCTTCCACATACGTACGGAAAGGAGAAGGGTGAATGCATGGAAGTATGCATTGGAGAGTGATATCGGTTATGTTATGAACTCAAGGGGCACTGCCTCGGAGATGCCAATGGGAAATGACGACCAGGAATCCTAAACCTATGTATTACACCATGAGCGCTTATTCCTTCATTGAAATATTGGGGCGCTATCCCTAAAGAAAAGCTCGTGAAAAAACCAAGGCACGAACAGAGAAAGCAGTTCTCTTTCCGTTTCCATCCGACATGGGTGCAGGCAGCGGGTCCGTCGAGGTGGATAACCACGAGGATCCAGCGCTTCGTGCAACTCCACACGCTTGGGTCCTGGTCAAAGGCCCACGTCGCAAAACGGCGCCAGAGTCCGCATCCAATAGCGGAACGGAGTCAATGTACTCTGGAATCGTTCAAGCTGCTAAGTTTCTCCATCGCTTGGTGCCCGTCGCAAAACGGCGCCAGAGTCCGCATCCAATAGCGGAACGGAGTCAATGTACTCTGGAATCGTTCAAGCTGCTAAGTTTCTCCATCGCTTGGTGCCCGTCGCAAAACGGCGCCAGAGTCCGCATCCAATAGCGGAACGGAGTCAAGGTACTCTGGAATCGTTCAAGCTGCTAAGTTTCTCCATCGCTTGGTGCCGCGCCGGCGAGTCCGCATGCACAGCGCGTCGGAGCACAACCTGAAGACGACATACGACCGCTCGTTATGCGAAAAACTGCTTGAACGAACGTCCTTATGGGAGTCGATAATCGGTTGTATCTCTGAGCTGCATACGTACCAGCGCTACGGGCATCCATTGAATGCTCGGCACCCAAATGATCATAGGAAATTATCAGTATTCCCAAAGAGACCAATAGATTATAACCTGTAGAATTTTTTGCCGTATCTTGTGGAATAACGGATTCTTTCTTACGTGCTGGTAACAATCGCCGTCCGAGCGATGCCCTGGTGGTCGTGCACACGATCCTCCACTTTCGGCGCTCTGCGATGCAGCCGAAAATGTAGTGGCGGCGCGCTCCGTCTGGGCCTTTAAAGCACGTTTCGAACGAACAAAACCCGCTTACCAGGATGCAGCGCCCAGAGGGCCCAGGGACGCACACGATTCCTATGCCGAAACTAAACTCAGCAGAGGATGTTTTCACTTTTTGGTTTGGGGTAGAGCCGTCTCTTGAAAAACGCCGAAAGTGTCTTTCCTCCTTCAGCTACTTCGAGTCGCGCGTTGCAACGTGGTTTCTCGGGAAGAACAAGGAGTTCGAGCTAGTTCAGCTGGAAAGCGTTGACCTCGTGCATCGAGCCGGGCGAGGCGAGCTGCACGGCGGCGAGTGGGACCAACCTCTTGGGTTGCTTGCTCGGATCTTGCTGACGGATCAGTTTCCACGGTGCATCTGGCGCGGACGCGCGGAAGCCTTTCAGTACGACAACGTAGCGCGCGGCATATGTCGTGCAATCCTCGAGAAGGGCTGGGACAAGAGCGAGTTTTTTTTCGCAGAGCGTATATTCATATATCTACCTCTAGAGCATAGTGAATCCCTCGCAGATCAGCGCGAATGTGTTCGTCTGATGCGCACCGCAGCAGCGGGCTCGCCATGGCTCACACGCTGGAAACACGCGCGCAGCGTCAACGTGAAAATGGCTGAGGATCATCTCCGCGTAATCGAAAGGTTTGGACGATTCCCATATCGCAACGAGTCCTTGGGTCGGGCTTCATCGCCCGACGAAATAGCATGGTTGAGATCAGGGAACTTGCCGGTATTTGCAAAGAGCCAACTCGCATCATCGCAGCACAACGAGGCCGCGAGCACCGAGCCAGCTTCTGCGGGCGGGAATGCATCCACAGAACGTGCTTTTGGCAGAGTGTCCCGGTCACCGTGGACTGCGCTATCGGCTGCGGTGCTGGCCATTGGAACTGCAGCTGCCATCAGCTATCGCATCTACCAAAGGCGCCATGAAGTCTGACGTCTGATGGGACTCATTGACCATCTGGTTTGCTTTTCCGCGATGCGCAACGCCAACGCAAACTGGTGCGCCAGGATCACATTTGGTGACAACGCCTCCCCGCGAAGCTCAGCGGTCATTGCTGGGTAGCCAAATTACCGATTTCATCGGATACCGCAAGGCACCATCATCAGCAGTGGCAGGTCTTCTGTTATGGCTCTGGGATAAATGGTGCATTCGTTGGAATCTGTACCGACTCTGGGACGCAGTCTGGAACGGAGGGATCTGATGGCGTGCCGCCTTCTCAATCTGTATCAGACGAGAATGGAATGGTGAACTGCTCGCGCTGTTCCTGCATTTCGGTTTTTTTCGAACATTTCTGGAGTTGGTGGCGAGCTTCGACATTCAACGTGAAGCAACGAGGGACGATGGATTCATGAATATTTTAAGGATTTTTGGTCGTCTTTTCCGTATGTCGTCTCTGATTCTATGTCGCGGGAATTCGTTACATCAACGCAATCAAGATGTTTCGGGACGCCGCCGAATAAGAGTTCGTAAAATATCTGACAGAATCATCCAATGCATGCATACAAGTCTGGATGCTTCTCGTTTCCTGAAGTGCGGTCTGCTCCAATCTTGCATTCTCCAAATGTTCGGTCTTTCTGTTCTCGACGACGTCGTGGCCCGTCGACTTGCTTATTTGCTCATGGCATACGTTGACTGAACTTTTCGCTTCAGCGAATGATCGATTCGGTTTAGGAGACGAACCCTCCTATCTCACTGGTCATCGACGAGGCGGCATTCGACAGCAGCCTGCTGCCTCTCACATGACACGCCCGCAGACAGACCCGTCTCTTCTGTTTCCATGGAGAGAGGCCTCGTTCTCGGACCTGAATCATCCCAGCGATCGCCCGCGGTGGAGCGTACGTCAACGCTTTCCACGCAGGTAGGGTAGACGAAACGAAATTTCTCGCCCAGGTTTCCCGCCTGAGTTTTATTGCGATTTCTGATGCCATCATGATGAACATCGCGTTCCACAAACCTCGATCGAACCGAGGAGCGTGCCCGTGCTTGTGCAGCGGACTGAGCGCCTACCGAGGACTCTCGCCCGGCGGGTGCTCGATAGTGTAGGGTACGGTGCCGGGCGTGGAAACGGAGGATTGCAACACCGACAAGCATCCGTACCCGTCAAGCGCACAGCCCAAGCGAAGAAGCAAGCCCGTGCGTGGGCGCCACGCCCACCCGCAAGCTCCGTCGCGCTCCGGGGATGTCTGGTGGTGGATGCCCCGGAACACTCCACCACAGGATGCAGTCCTGCATCGCTTCAAGAGGTCTCGCGCCGGCAGTGCCGGATCGCAGCCACACCCAAAAAACCCCATTTGTGACAACTGTCTATCGTGACATTCGTGCGCGTGTCAGAACTGCCGGTGATTTGGCGGCAACGCGCGCCCATTCGGACCTGTTCTTGGCGTTGTTTGCACGTCTTGCGAAAAACATGCCGGACTTTGCGTTCGTCACGACTGTTCATCACAAATTTAACACTCATTCGCATACCGTCTGTCGTAATAAAAGTAAATCCAGGTGCAGAAAAGGCCTAGCGAACGTCGAAAGCCTACTTGACGCTCACGGAGACGGCCTTGAGCAACGACCGACGCCGCAGTCTGTATTGGCGCACAAGGCGCTCCGAGCCGGTCAAGTGGGACTCTCTTCAAGTTCTCGATCAGACTACCAACAAAAGCCGGTCGACACGGACACACCACCGTGTGTGGTCAAGGTTTTCGGCGTTGGCGGTGGCGGGTGTAACGCGATCTCTCGTATGCTGGAAGACGGAGAGTTCCGCGGGGTGCGGTTCGCTATCGCCAACACAGATCATCAGGCATTGATAGAGTTCAAGAAAAAATACATTTTATATACGCAGAACGCTGTTCTAGAAACAGTTGTTCCACTGGGTGAAAGCATCTGCAGAGGCCTCGGTGCTGGGGGCAACCCCGAGGTCGGCTGCGCAGCAGCCGAAGAGTCCCACGATCGCATCGCACAGGCGATTGGTGTCGGGACAGACCTCCTGTTTATTACCGCGGGCATGGGCGGCGGCACCGGCACCGGAGCCGCTCCCGTTGTTGCGCGCATTGCCAAGAGTCTCGGAGCGCTCACCGTTGGGGTGGTCACCAAGCCGTTCTCATTCGAGGGCCGCCATCGAATGCAGCAGGCCTTGGATGGCGTTGCTGCGCTTCGTGAAAACGTGGACACACTCATCGTTGTCAGTAATGACCGCCTCATGCATGTGGTTCCCAAGAATATGCCGCTCAAGAGAGCTTTTCGGGTAGCAGACGACGTTTTGAAAAATGGTGTGCGCGGCATTTCCGAATTAATCACGCGACCTGGTCTCATTAATGTGGATTTCGCTGACGTTCGCTCGGTCATGGCCGAAAAAGGCTACGCGCTTCTCGGATTGGGAACAGGAAGCGGCGAGCGCCGAGCTAAGGAGGCAGCACTCGCCGCGGTGTCCTCGCCACTGCTTGATTTCCCTCTGAACAGCGCAAAAGGCGCAGTGTTCAATATTTGCGGTGGACCCGATATGACGCTCAGCGAAGTGAACCAGTGTGCGGAGGTCATATTCCAGCATCTGGATCCTGACGCGAGCATCATTTTTGGGGCAACGGTGGATCCGACGCTTGGGCCGCGCGCTGATATCTCCGTTACTGTCGTTGCGACCGGGTTTGCGTCCTAATGAAACTAGACCGCAAGCGTTCCATGCAGTACAGATTGCTATAAACAAGGAAGCTCGTTGCTATGGAATGTCCATCGAGTCGGCGCGAGCGTCGATAATCTCGCTGGGGGCCTCATCATTCATATGCAATCCCTGATTTTTCCCAAGCGAGCAGTGCTCCAATGCCACACACGCGATGGTCACTCGGTGTGATACCACAGCCATTCCGTTGGTAAGGAAGGATTCCTGTGCGCCCGAGCGGCTTCTCTCGGCACTCTATAACAAGCAAAAAGCTCGTGCCGGCTCGTAGCAGGGGCAGCGATGTGCGCTTCGCCACCATGGACCGCTTCACAGGGTCAGCGTCGTCCGCTCCGTATCCGTCTCGATCAAACCGTCGTCCTCAAATGCCGCCTGACCTAGCAGATTGGTCTCGGTCAAGTGATCCAGCTCGGGAATGTCGGCCATGCCGCGTGAAACCCGGATTCGGTGGAGCATGTCCACAATCTTCGGATGCAGATGTTTCAACGCAAGCTCACGTCGTGGATCGTCGCGCTCCCAGCTGCGAAAAAATGGACCAGGAACCCGCAGTATTCCATTCTCAATATCATCCAAACAGTAGTCAAGGGTGAATACCCGATAGAAGTACTCTCCAAAGAAGCGATTATCCCGAAGGCCGCTTCGCACTGGCGCCCCGTGGACCATTCTAACGTGGATGAACATCACATTGTAGAGAACGACCCAAAATCTGATTTTCGCGTGATCATCTGTTAGCGTTCGCGGATCCGCTGACTGCAACTGCGACGCCGCGAACAAATACTCCTCGCTCGGCAGCTTTCGATGCTGCATGCATTCGCGGCGAATACGTTGCAGCAGCGATTCAACCAGCTCAATGGCACTTGCCAGAATCGGGTTCCCGGTAAAGTCGGAAGCAAGGTTCAAGACCCGTCGCGCAGGCTGTCGCCATTTCTCGTGTGCAGCAAAGAGCTCTTTCGCTCCGGCGTCCTGGAGTGCCTGGGGCTCGCGTGTTGCCCGGCGATGGGCATGGGTGCCGCGCGGCCACCACGAGTTTATCGCTCGGGTCACCCGGCGAAAGCCCTCGGCCGCGTGTCCTGCACTAGAGGCGGCATCGAAAGACAAAAAATCTCGCTTTTCGAATGCATCGGGCCCCAGAAGCTTACTCGCATCTACACGGTGCAAATGACGAAAGTCGATGCCTTTGAAGAAAGGATGCAACTTGAGTGCACGCATCGTAATGCGTTGGGCTGGATCCTTGTTGAGAAGCTTCTCCACAAGGTCTCGACCCGAACTTGTCGGAAGACATGACTTGGGGAACGCAACGTCGTCTTTCAAGATACTTTGAAAGAGTAAGTAATCTGTTTCGCCACGGAACGGGAGCTCGCCGCCACACAGCATCTGGTATAGGACGACACCGAGCGCCCAGAGATCGCTCTCGAACCCGCCTCCTGGTCGTTCTCTTCGGAGCTGCTCTGGTGCTAGATAAGCGAAAGTACCAACAAAGGAATCGTAACGATGTTTGTCCTGCGGCCGCGGAGACCGCCCCGCCAGTTCGTCATCCGGTGTTTTGCCCAAAATGGCGGCAACGCCGAAGTCTGCAAGCTTACAGTGGCCCTTGTTCCCAATGAGAATATTGTGTGGCTTCAAATCGCGATGGACGATGCCGTTTTTGTGAATCAAATCGACCGCGGACACAATCTCTGCAAAGTAGAAGCGCGCTGCATCAAGGCTCAAGGCGCCGACATGATTCCCACCGCTCGGAGCCGCCCCGTTCGGCTCACGCTTCTGGAATCTGTCTCGATGCGACGGATGCGGCGTTTCGCTTGAAGCGCGCCTACGAGCGAGCAGGCGCGCCAGGTCACCGTGTGGGCAAAGCTCTATAACCATATAGAGAAAGTTCTCATCCTCCAGAATAGCTTTCAGCTGCACGATGTTTGGATGGCCCAGTCCCACTTGTAAACAAATCTGCTCTGTTCGCAGGGGGAGCACCTGCTCATTCTGCTCTGCCAAAGCTTTCGAGATAACTTTCACCGCATACTCCCTCCCGGTCGGAAGGTAAGTAGCTCGCAGCACCCGCGAGCATGCACCCTCTCCTATCAGTTCCGTCGCTTTGAAATCAGCGCGCGATGCACCCTGTAGCTCAAGAGGCGGAACGCCAGGCAGCAGGGCAATGAAATGACGGCGAGCATTGCGCTCGCCGTCGGTATGCCAGGAGTGGCTGTCCGCTACTGGGGGGCTTGTTTTGCTCGAGACTTCCGGGACCGGCGGCTGATGCGGTAGCATTTGGTCTGTCTCTTTCTCAGATTCGTCCCGAGAATCTTCGAAGCACACAACAGGCTCCGGTTTAGCGGATGTGTCCACAGGGAGACCGGCCGCGCAGCCACCCTTGATGCCTCGCTCGAGTTCGGCAAACCAACTTTCATCCACTGCCCAGGAGGGCGTCCGGCGCTCCCGGCGCCACGTACTCATCATTTCGAGCTAGGCCGCTCTCACCACCGACGAAGAATCGAAAAGTTTCCCCGAAGCTGGAACTCTACAGAAAGCGTTGGCGCCCCGCGCGCTTCCCCAAAAGCTTGCGCCGAGCTCACCCCGCAGTTGCGTTCCAAGCAGCAACCTCCGGCACAAACGAGGGCTCCCTGCTGACTTCCGACCCTCTGGGCGCGAGCCCCAATGGAGGCGACGCTCAATTCGAGTCCCTAAGTCCTTATTGTCACGCACGCGTGATGCACCACAGAAATCGGCGGTATACTCCACCAACCAATCACGTATTCAACATTGGAGGAAAAATGCCACGCATACGCGGACGTCCCGCGCTGCATGCGTGCCGCGAGTGGCGCACGCACATTCGACTGAACGCACCCGATATCTAGCGGACACGTGTCCATATTGCTCGAATCGGCGATGTTGCCGACGGCACGTCGACGGGCATCGGTGAGCAGCAGGCACCAGCGCATGCTTGGGAATGTTCGCTGCGCTACACGCTGAGCCATCGGAAGCGAAGAGGTATATAGTGCGACAAAAGTGTGAAAGCAGCGTGTACCAATGGTTTGAAATACCTCTCCGGATTATAAAATGTACAGAACGCAGTTGATGCGTCAGGGCAAACATGCGTTGACTTTACAAAGTTGGTAGATTGTTGTGTGCTTTTACGCAGAGATATATAGTATGGTGACTTGGTAGCTCCGTGTTAAGGAGTGGATGTTCGTGTCCTCACAAGGCAGATATTCAGTTTGATTTATGCACGTCCACACAACAGCAGCCGAGTGGGCGCAGAGCATGCAGCGGCGGCGGTAGCGGTTGTCAAAACTGCCGCACTCGATTTCTTGTCGAGCATCGTTTGGGATCGATAAGAGCGCCCAGATGCGGTCGCTTCTGGCGAATGGAGCTTTCGCGCTGCGTACGCACGCGGAAGCGATAGGTAACCTCGATTTAGGTGCTGGAACGGCCGGGAAAACTCAACAAACTCGGGGGCTCGGCGTACTTGCCAGCGTTTGACTTGTAAAGCCACCGAAAGAAAACCAGAAGGACCTACACGAAACGTTCTAACCGTGGCCTGTGCCAGTGCACAAGCTCGAGTCACTCGAGAACCTCTACATGCAGTGCATCGCGGCAAACGAGTTCGGAAGCTTTTTCAAGACATGAAGCACCTCAACTGGATTCGCTTGTGGTACGATCCCTGACACCGATTGATGGAGCACCGTGGTCGTTAGCCAGGTGCATGGGAAATTCGGTCTCGATGGATCCAGGTATTACTGGATTCCCTCTGCATTCTCGGTATTTGCACCGTTCCACAGCCTTGCTCCACGCGTGGTCCGAATGTCCTCTCTGCTGCGCTGATTTTTTCATCGCAAGTCATCTGCGTATCGGAGCCATGCCACAGTGCGTCCGAAACGATGCCTGCGGACGCTCCTGGGGCACGACATCCTTCCGCATGTCGATCGAGCCGCTCAAGTCCAGGTTGAGCGTGTGTTTGCGCGCACGGTTGCTCCTGGGGCACTCCACAGGGAGCAGCTCGCATGCTAGTGCCTCGCATTCGGACGTTCAGGCATGTTTCCGCACTCCGTACCGTGCATTTGTCTCTATTTGACGCCCCTGTGCTCTGCTTGTTTCGGCGTACGGTTGTATGCATGATGAGCGTAGATGCCGTTCAGGAGGCATCGACGAGCCTCGAAGAGAATCGATTCGTGAACGTGTGTGACGCTCTCGTCGACGGAGCAGGAGCGCAGCCTTTGCGCGTGAGCGCACGTCCAGCGTCGTGCGCTGCTACCAGACGACCCGAGATGTTAGTCGTGATCGTGGCGAACATGTTGAACGGGGTGGCGAGTGCGCGCTTCTTCCCGCCGACCAGCGGAAGCTGCTTGGGAGCCCCAGCTCAACCGCGTGGTCCCGTGTCCTCCTGCCGAAAATCCTTCTCATGAGCCGTGTGCATACTCGTGTATGTACTGGTGCACAGCACCCCTTGTATCTGTACCCGCTTTTCTGGGCCTCTGCGGCGGCGGTACATTGCGCAAAAGATGCACTCTACAGGGACGCACAGACGGTTGTTGCGGAGAGTTTGGTACTCTTTGGCACTGGCGCTGTCGGTGTTCCTGTCGCTGAGCAGCATGGCAGTGCATCGAAGGATGCTGGAAAGCCCGTGTGTGTGTGTGTGTGTGTGCGTCGCTGGTCCGCCGATTAGGCCGCATTGCATCCGCGGTGCCGAACATCACGCTTCATGTCGCATGCGGGTTTGGTCGAGCAGGTCTAGGCCAGTGTGGACATCCGGCACACTTGCACCCGGAATGCCGTCGAACTGCTTGCTCGACGAGGCGCTTCCGTGCAAGGACAGCGAAACGAGTATTTCTCGAGTGAAGCGTTACACGCTCATTCATGACGCTCTGTGTCGTTGCGCGTGTCGGATACGAACGACTCGCCTACTGATGCGTGATCCTCGAAGCGGTGTAGAAGCATTAGGAAGGCGGATTTGGCCCGATGGAACCAGGGAGCATCGGCTAGCACGTGGCGCACCTGAACGCCTATGCCAGCTGCGTACGCCTTGACCACGTATCAGAGATGGAAAGCGACGCTGCCCCTGAACAGGACAGACGCGTACGGGAAGCAGAAGCCAGGAAGCGTGCATCGACGAAGAGTGCGCTGTTGAGCGATCCAGTCTGGTTGGTGATTCACAGGAGACCGCATCCTTGGATGGTCGTTCGCGTTGATGTCGACGGCATGCTCGTTTGACTGTTCTGAGCAGACCGAGGCTTGCCCCTGTTTGCGTATCCATTGTGGAAGTCGACCAAGTCTTCTTGCGTGGAGCCTCGTCGAGCGAGACGATCTCTGGCCCCTGCCACGCTCCGCCCTCGCGTTCCAGCATGACGCCGATGGTGTGGTATGCATCGTGCGTCTGTCTCCCCGAGAAGCGTCCTTTCTTTCTTTCGTGCTTCGTCCATGGTGTCTCTTCGTCACTGTTCGTATCAACGGCACGCGGAATTCGGAAGCTCCGGCTTCTCTGAAAGTACTTCCTGCACAACGCGTAGAATGGGATGGATTGACGAGTACTGGGTTGCATAGGCAGCGTTTTCATCAATTTTGTTTACGGGTTATGACATTCAGAGCAGGGACTTGCACGGTATTTGGTCCAGTGGCTATCGCAGATTGACTGCATTGGACAAGCACCGCCGTTCTTTTTCGCGAGCTTGCACTCGCAGCATCACGGCATTCCGTAACCTTTCTCCAGAGCGCAGGATACAATCCTCTGTATTGAATCGCTGTGCGAGAAACAAAAACAATACGGGTGTGCTGGCGCAGCTTCTCCAGAATTCACTGGTCTGAGCGTAACGCCCGAAAGGTGTTGGAAGCAGCGAGTCGCGTCTCGTCTCGACACTATTCCTTCCCAGCACCTGGATCGCATCGGAAACCGATCACGCAACGCGTTCGCCATCGTACCAGCAACGAGACGCCCTAGAGGCACGCGCACCATCAACGCATCACGATGATCAGCGTACGTACATCGAAAGCGCCTCTGCCCCGCCATTGTCCCTGTCTCCCAGCAGGTGTGGCGCTGCCGTCTGGCCGCATCGCTGGCGCGCAAAGCGCTGCATTCGCCAGCGCTGGGACACGCTGCCGATCCCGCCATCTTGGCATTTCGAATCCGTGAGCGCTGGGGGCCGCGCGTTCCCGGGTGCTCTCGTTCCGGTTCCGTAGTCGCTTACGGGATATGCCTGTGGGCAGCGGGGTAGAACCCCAGGCGGCTGCGTTTGAAAGTCTGCAGCCGCCCTGGCTGGGCTCGAAACCTCCACATACACAATCTACGCGAGATGACTTAGAAGCTGTTATGACAGAACAGAAACTGGAGTTGGAGAGCGCCCAGAGACAACGTTTAGCTCGTTTGGAGGAGCGAGCGCGAAACCAGGATAAGGTTATCGCTCGGTTACAGAGAGAGCTCTATGAAGCTCGAAGGCTTATTGAGGAAAGAAAAACCAGTCCAACACTGGTGGACGCAATCCGGGTACCCGCAGGTGTTCAAACGACAACGTCCAGCGCCGGCAAACAACACGACGTCGCATCGCTCGCGCTGCAACTTGAGGCGGCCAAAGAGGCACTCGCAGCTGAGCAGAGAAATAGGCAGGAAACTGAGAGGCTCAGTGAACGATTGGCGAAATCTTTTGACTCGTATCTGCAGGAGATGGAGCGACGTCAGCGCGCTCAGGAGCAGGAATACCGTCGCCAGGAGATGCACCTTCGAGGAGAGCTTCGGCGTTGCAACATGGCAAAGGCGCACCTGGAGGAGCAGCTCGAGCTGGAAAAAGAGTCACTCCGTGCGGCCCAGCAGGAACTCCGTGGGCTGCGCTCCAGGGTGGAAGGCACCATAGAGGACATGAAGGCTCGCCAGCTGCAACTGGAAGAGGGAAAGCGGGAGCTCGAGCGAAATCTGAATAAACTCTCCGATCAGCTTGAGAAAGAGCGCACTCTCTTTCAAAGCGAGCGCGAACGTTTTCAACAGGCGTCCCGTGAGGCGTACACGATGCTGAGCGAATCCGCCGCCCGGAGTGATGAACTCGAAAAACGACTCGCTGAGACTCAAGCGCAAATGCAACAGCTTCGAATCGAATTCGGCAGTCAGTTGCAGGCTGAGGTAGCACGCTCTGCTGCACTTGAGCGCGACCTTGACAGATATCGCCAGCGAAATCGACAGTTCGAAGACCGTATTGACGAGCTACTTACCGTGAATCAGAAACAGGCGGAGGAACGCGCCTCCCTTCGGGCGGAAATACGACGACTGACCGACGAACTGGTACGTGTTCAAGCACGCAGCACATTCGCTGAACGACGCCTTCAAGATCTGCTTCTGGATGCATCAAGCCCGCAAACGGAGGCAAACCTGCTCCCGGGAGATACAGGTGACGTCCCGACGCCATTGTCGGGCAGCATCATGAAAAAAACGTCTCCCTCAAGCGTCCACAAGCTTCAGAACATCGAATCGTCCCTTCGTGGCATTTCCGAAGAAAATGCAGCGTTCCGAGCCAAGGTTCGCGCCTATCTGGACAAGCGAACTCCCGAGCCGCGCAGTCGTTCACTCGCTGATGATACGCATACAAGATCTCAGAAGGGAACGCCTCCATAGGGTTTTCACGTGCATCGACAGACACAAGTAGGTGCAGTTTCCGCGCTAAGCGGCTTCATCGCATTGGATCTTTCGAGGTAGGCGCGTGAGCGCTTCGAATTCCGTCGGACTTGCTTTACGAATCGAAGTGGATCCGTATGGCAAGCGCCCATGCATGCCTCTCTGGGTCAAGAAGAAGCTGCCATGCGCTGCATGCTCTTGCAGCCAATATTCCATGACGCTGCTTTATGGGCAAGAATTTTCCGCCGCTTACACGATCCAACGCCAATGCCAGCATCAACAACGGCTTGTCCGTAAGTTTACAACAGTGTCTGGACTATGCTTACATGGTGACAACGACGGGAACCGTCGTCGTCGCGCCGCAACGCTGCACCTGACTCGCGTGCCCTACAGAGACAGAGAGAGAGAGAGAGACAGCGCGCTTTTCGCTCCTCACCACCAGGTCAATAACGTGCATGCCTATCGCACGCGTGCAGGCCTGGTGATCGCAGGTGCAGCACCGACAAGCCAGCTTCCTATCGCGTGTGCTGGCCATCCGCGAGGTGCTATTCCCGATTAAACAGCACCCGATCTCAATAAAGTCTGAGTACCCATTCCACGTCACGTCTCTGGAGATGTGTCCGGCAGGAGCGCAGATGCCCGCAGGCGCCACACAGCTCTGTTGCCATCACCGGATTCGCTCAGATAGGCGACAAGCTTGAGCACTGCTCGGAACTCGGCAGCGTTGATGCCGCGTACGCGCAAGGAGGACTTAAAGGCGCCCGCAAGCTCCGCAGTCGTCGCCCCGGGCCCGCGTCGCTGTAAATACGACGTAATCTCGTGCACAAGAGACTGCAGCTTTCGAACCTGCTCCTCATCGTCATCGACCGCTTCGCGTTCGTGCAGACACTGAAGCAGTGCCTGTGACGCAAGTTTCGATGAAGGTGCTCGGTTCGCTGTCGCTGTCGAGCAGAGCCACGGCGCCTGTGTCGTTGGTTCAGGTAGCGGGGTTGTCGGCGTCTGGTGGTTCAGTGAACGACGCAGTGCCGCCAGCGCTCGTTGGGCGACTCGATCGGCCTCGGCCTGGAGCACCTGTCGATCGAATGCGGTCCGGGGATGCTTTCCTGATACCTCCAGCGTGGAGTCGTGGTTGAAGACTGCCGCCACTTGATCAAGCGCACGGGCATCGTTGCCGTCCAGTAACTGTCGCATGATCCGCATCTCCGCTGTTAGCTGTTCATTCTGCTTGGCATCTAGCTTACAATGATTATCGGCATCAGCATCATCACCAGCTGCTGCTGCGACGCTCACCGGAGCGAGCGACTCCCGTGCAGTCGCCTGAACCTGAACAAAATCCTCGTCTGTAGCGTCTTCATGCAGCGTCAGAAGCTCGTGTATATCTTTTCGTTTGAAAAATCGGCGCTTGCGAGGATCATGCAAAACCTTTTCAGAGAGAAACGTTTTGAAGATCTGGCGGTGGTATATCTTCTCCTCGATGGTGCCGCGCGTCAACAGGCGATAGACGACAACTGGGCGCTCCTGGCCGATGCGCCAGGCCCGTTCGCGGGCCTGGGTATCGGACGCCGGGTTCCAGTCGGGATCGTAGATAATCACGCGATCTGCTCCGATTAGGTTGAGACCGAGCCCACCCACGCGAGTGGTCAACAGGAAGGCGAAAATCGAGCTATCGTGATTGAAGCGGTCTACCAACTCGGCTCGAAGTGCAACATTCGTCTCACCGTCCATGCGCAAGTACGTGAACTGCCCCTTGTTCAGCGTTTTCTCGAGCAGAGTGAGCATGCTACGCGTCTGCGAAAAGATCAGCGCTCGATGATTCGTCTCGCGGAGCTGGTGCAGCAGGCGATCCAAAGCGAGGAGCTTACCCGAAGTACTCTGGCGCAGGAGCTTCCTCTCTGAGCCGGATACATGGAGATCAGCAGCCGCGAGCCGCGGATGGTTACAAATCTTGCGCAGGGTCGTGATGATTGGCAGTAAGTTCAGCTGTCCATCTGCGGCTCGTTCGACGTCAATGGCATTAAGGTAGTTCTGGTAGATCCGTCGCTGCTCGGGTGTCAGTCTGCAGAGGAGAACATGTTCCTGTTTTTGTGGTAACTGGAGTGCAACGTCCCTTTTCAAGCGTCGCAAAAGATAGGGCGCAATCAGATCTCGCAGTGTCGATGCACAGCGATACGCGATGTGAACCTGGGCGGGCGTTGCGTTCGCGAAACCGCCTAGAGATATGGGTATGCTGAACTCCTCCTCAAAGGACTGCAATGTTCCGAGCCTGCCAGGGTAAATAAAATCAAAGAGACTCCAGAGCTCACAAAGACGGTTTTGCAAGGGTGCACCGGTCATCAGAATGCGATGTACCGTGTTGAGTTGTTTGCATACTCGTGTGACCTCTGCTTCGGGATTCCGAATGCGATGGCCCTCATCCAGAATTACATAGTCCCAACGTCGGCTGGTAAACCAACTCGCATGAATGCGAAGGTGTTCGTAATTCGTAATGAATATAACTTGCGATGGACACTGATTCGGCTGGAGCGCGGACTCCCCGATACCCAGCACGGCGTGCAGGACGCGCACTTGCAGTCGAGGCCACCAGGTTTCCAATTCTCGTCGCCACTGGTCCAGAACAGTGACAGGTGCCACCACTAGAATCGGGCCTTTCAAGAGTCCCGAGTAGTCGAGCGCTGCGAGAAAAGCGATGATCTGAACAGTCTTTCCTAACCCCATTTCATCGCCCAGAATCCCACCGGTACCCTGTACATGAAGCGACCAGAGCCAAACAAGCCCCTCCTTTTGGTACGGAAACAAACGCTCATACAGAGACCGCGGAAGCCAAAGTCCAGGTGCAAGTTCCATAGCTGCCTCAGTTCCTACGGCATGACCTGCTTCGAGCGTACGCGCAAGCTGCTGCGAAGCTAGTGCGTCCGGCGAGCCCGTTGGTGTAAACGAAACTTCTCCGTTGCGATAACCGTCGGTGCTCGCAAGATCTCCGAGTTCATGAACTTGTTCAGCTTCAAGCTCAACCAGCTCGCTTCTAAGTTGTTCCAAGCGGTTGTGCAGGTAGTGGAGTCGTCGCCGCGCCCGGCCGCTAGCCGCAACGCTGCCCGCGTCACAGGCGTCGTCGCTGCGCTGAGCCCGCTGCGACGACGTGCCCGCTCCGTGCTCGCTTCCGAGCACCTGCTGGAGTAGCTCATTCGTTTCTTGCTCTAGCACAAGGATTTGCTGTCGTGTTTGCTCGATGAGATCGCGATGTGCTTTCTGCACAATGTCAACAACGAGTTTTCCCTCGTCCACCACCTGCACTGCAGGATCAGTGACCAGTGCATCGCTCCTCGCGACGTACGACGTTGAATTCGGGGCAGACATTGTTCGTGAAACGTACGACCAAATGCGTTCACAACCATAAGTCCACTTCTAATGCATAGTTCTCGGGGAAGACTCTTTTTTTACGTTCTTGTTTCGTACCGCACACCAGCGCCCTGTTCACGATCGAGCGTCGAGGGCGCGCGTCGCAACTGGAGAACGGCACCGATTCGCGTACCGCATGGGGGTATCTGACGCGTCCACAGCGCTGTGGTATGGAGAGTTTGCATGTTCGTGATGTGCATCGCTTCGGATCGGTCATGAACTGTGGAAGAGTTATGAATTGGTTCAGCGGAATAGATTACCATTTGGATTTGATTAAAAAAAGCGGTGAAACCTGCGCACGCTTCACGGATTGGAACGGGGAAACGAGCGAGAAATACGTGCTGCAGCGGGAGCGCGCTCTCCGCGACAGCCTCTGCTGGACGACGTCGATGGTTGCTTCAGAGCTTGCTGCGAACAGCTGGGAGTACTTTCAATCATTGTCTGGTGATTTTGGTTCGTCATTCACGGTAGGGTCTTGTTGGACGGCGCAAACTTGGACCCGCAATGCCACGGATGAGCCGCGGGAGTGTCGACCGCGTATCCAGGTGCCGGTGAGGGTATACCCAATGGAATGCTGCAGCTCGAGCTGTCATGATTGCCCCGCATACACTATCAAGATAAGATCCGCCTCAGCGCGGTGACTTTGGAGCTGTATGTCTCGCTATACCCGTGTCAAATGAAAACGGGATACTGGATCGATCGCTCTGGTCCTTACCTGAGCGTTGCCCAACTTTTTCAGGCGTTTAGCCCTGAAATTCGAAATGCGATCAAAAAATTCCTATTCATTTATACCATGTCGTATGATTCTCGGTCGTCTTTTAGACATGTCAAGTGCGACGCGGTGCCACTGGGTTTCATCGCTTCTGCTTCCTAACAAAGATTCGCAACGACGATGAGCACGGGTTCGTAAATTGCCGACGTCATTCTACAATGCATGCGTGGAAGTCTGGATGCTTCTCGTTTCCTGAAGTGCGGTCTGCTCCAATCTTGCATTCTCCAAATGTTCGGTCTTTCTGTTCTCGACGACGTCGTGGCCCGGCGACTTGCTTATTTGCTCATGACGCACGTTGACTGAACTTTTCGCTTCAGCGAATGATCGATTCGGTTTAGGAGACGAACCCTCCTATCTTACTGGTCATCGACGAGGCGGCATTCGACAGCAGCCTGCTGCCTCTCACATGACACGCCCGCAGACAGACCCGTCTCTTCTGTTTCCATGGAGAGAGGCCTCGTTCTCGGACCTGAATCATCCCAGCGATCGCCCGCGGTGGAGCGTACGTCAACGCTTTCCACGCAGGTAGGGTAGACGAAACGAAATTTCTCGCCCAGGTTTCCCGCCTGAGTTTTATTGCGATTTCTGATGCCATCATGATGAACATCGCGTTCCACAAACCTCGATCGAACCGAGGAGCGTGCCCGTGCTTGTGCAGCGGACTGAGCGCCTACCGAGGACTCTCGCCCGGAGGGTGCTCGATATTGTAGGGTACGGTGCCGGGCGTGGAAACGGAGGATTGCAACACCGACAAGCATCCGTACCCGTCAAGCGCACAGCCCAAGCGGTTAGACAATCGCTGTTGCGCCGCATGGTAGAGCGCCATGCAGATTCTGTGTGGTCGACACATGCAAACACCTGACCAGAGTCGAACGTTATCCCTGCGAAGGGCATACCAAGATCGTTAGCCGAGAAGATGGAATATGGCAAGCGAAGCATAGTTCGTAATTTGTGCCTATGCATGAAATGCAGCAACAACAGCTGGAAAGCAGCAAGATCAGGAGTTCAAGGTAGCTGCCAATGGCCTTCGACTGCCAACACCAGAGCTGGAATGCCAGGAGGAACCGTCGTCGTTAAAACAGGCGATAAGAGAGAGGAATAGGAAGCAGTCACAGAAAAAGCCCGCAAAGGCTGGTGTTGTTGATACTGGGAAGCGACCCAAACTTTAGAGCGTACGCCCGTGTCAGGTAAATGGGCCCGTCGCATTTCATTCTGACCTGGACGTGTAGCAGAAACGGATGCGCTGCTGCTCGAGTTCGATCCCGACGACGACGATGGAGGTTTCGCTATGCATCGAGCTTACCCCATCCGCAAGCGTCATCGCTTGCCTGGTCCAGCTGACTACCACGGACACGCAGCAGCTTCAACGTGCGCTGCAGCAGCGAGGCGCCACCTATCGACGCTTGCCCAGGAGTAGTATTGCCCCGACGCCGGACTCGGGTGTGCGCCCGTGGCCAGACCCTCGAGTGCGCGCACCGCCTCCCGACACATGCCCAGGAGCAGCGGTGCCTTGTCGTTGCACGCGTGTGTGGACCCGCGCACTGCCATCCTCCTGGTCGACGGGTGCCTGATTTCCTCCAGATTCCTTCGGTGTCGAGCCATGAGATGCACAGTACGTGAGCTCGTCACGTAGGCTCGGATTCCCGGACGCGTCCAGCTACGGAATTCTCCTGACTGGCGAGACCACCGGGGAATCCGCGTCTTACGTCCAGGCCAAGTAGGCGATCTGCGCACATCCGTCGTCCAAGTGCTGCGCAGCAGGCGCATGCCCAGTCCCAGTTTATCGGTTATCGTCCCTCGAACCAGACATCGTTTTCACGAATGCAAATTCACGAGCATGCGTTTATCACCGAGCATTCGTGCGCAGAATTCATGGAAGTGTCACGAATGGAGCTCACGATGCACGTGAGCGAGGTTTAATCATTCCTGTCCGACGAGCGTACTCGAACAGACCGCCGGCATCAATGACAGGCTGGATTTCACCGAGCGGCTCCAGTTCGAAACGCTGCCCGCTATTGAGATTCCGTATGCTGAGGGTCTCAAAGTCAATCACGGCCTCATCTCCGGTCTTAAAGTGCTCAACTAATCTCGTCTTCGATACCCATGGATACAGCTCACCCGTCGATGAGCAGTTGCGGAAAAAAATACGTGCGTATGAGGTCGCGACGACCGCCTTGGCACCGGCCGCACCAAGAGCAATAGGTGCGTGCTCCCTGGAGCTTCCGCAACCAAAGTTCTCACCTGCAATAATGATGCTATACTTTGTGGATAACTGTCCTTCTTCAACAAAACGCTCGGGATAGAGCTCTCGAGGAAGACCTTCCAACGCGTGGGAGCCAAGCAGTTGATACTCTGCTGGCACCGATGGCAGCAAGCTCAGGTGCTCAGCGGGGATGATTTGCTAATTTGCACGTGAATAGGGTTAGTATCTGTTATACAGCCTTCATGCACCCAGGCAAACAACTGCGTCTGCTGTTTTTAGACGATTCTCCGCCAACTGAAGCCGTCCACCCAAACCCCTGCACCGGTTTAAGAGCGGCAACCGAGTGCAAACGGCGATAATTCCACAAAACTTACGTCTGTATCAATGTTATCGTGAACAACGAACACACGTCCTTGAATGTTACCCGTCTCTGGATCGCGTTTCCGACCAACAGAGCAGACGTCCTCCATTCGAAGCGGAGCGGGCGTCTCCATTCGCACGGTAGCCCGACGAGAACAGCCCCTCGAGCGGTAACCAGCCAAACCAGGAAGACGAGGCGCGGAGCACCTCCCGAGAGCGCTGCTCCTTGCTCTGGTCCCCTGAACAACCACAGCGTTCGAAAAAACGAAAACCATTGTGAACCTTGAGCTTGTTTTCTCCGAGAACGTTCCTCCGGGTGTCGCTTCGTCCCCAGAGCGTATTGACCGTCGCGCGGGGCAGCGACACCGCGCTGCGCTGTCGCGGGAGGTCACCCGTGGAGCGCTCACACTCCGAGGCACTAGGATCGTACACCTGCTTTGTACACCAAGAGCTTGAACCGCTTTGGAGCTGGGAGCGTCCTCGGTAAGCGTCTGAGAATAGAAGACGCTGCCTTGGTATACGACGGGTGCAGTGCTCCCGAGCACCATCGCTGGCACTCAAAGGGTGTCGTTTCGCACGCTAGCGTTAGGGGGGTGTCCATCGCTTGACTTGGTCGTGAGCGGGGAGCGTTCGCTAGAAAACGCTTCATTGGATACTGCTCAGTGCTTTCCTTCTTGAGCGCTAACATTTTCGGAGCACGACGCACGCACAAACGGCGATCTGGAGGCTACGCAAGCTCTAGAACGGGAAACCGCTATGGAATGACGAATTCTGACCACATTAGTCTCTTTAACTTCGCTGGAAGACAAGTTCCCACGCTTTCATGCTTTTTAGGTCCGCGCGAGCGCATGTCCCAGAATCAGCGACCCCAGCGGACTGCTTTCGTTGCGTCATACGCGGGTCCGCGTGGAAGCGCTGCAGCTGTGCCGCAGCGTAGAAACGCTGAAGAACGAATACTTGTGTGCCGGATCAAGCAAGCGAGTTGCACCGTGAATACGCATTTGCATCGAAAAGCGCCTACCCAGCTTTTGTCTGTGGAGAGCGCGAGATGGCCCGGCGGCATGCTATTCAGCAAGAGGCAACAGCGTCATCAACGACAACGAAAACGGGCGCTGGCGCTGTGCGCTGAGGCGCCACACCCCGGGAAGCCACAGCTCTTGGTACAGCGAGCCGCAGCGTTCGCTGGACAGGCCGCTGTCCTTGGCCTGCTCTGCTATCTCCAGTTTCTTCTAGGCAATGGATCCTTCTCCATTATGGACAACACGGAACCCAAATTCGCTGTATGCGCAAAGAACATGCTTCGAACGGGGAACTGGCTCATTCCGCAATGGAATGGACGAGTTCGCTTTGATAAGCCTCCGCTTGTTTACTGGCTCCAGGCTGTCGCATATCGTCTGTTTGGATTTACGGAAAGCGCCACGCGACTGCCGACTGCGCTAGCAGCTTGCGCGGTAACCCTCATGGTGTACTGTTTCAGCGTAGGCGCCTCCAGCGACAACATGAGAAAGCGGCAATTCAAGGGCCTGATTTCCGCCGCAGCATTCGCCTGCAGCCTCTATGCAGTCGGCTGGGCCCGAAGTGGTGTCTCCGATATGGTCTTGTGTGCATGCATCACAGCGTGTTTGGGGTGTTTCGCAGCCGCCTATATCTCGGAAACAAAAGCGACCCGTTTCGCCTGGTACATTGGTATGTTTGCAGCTGCGGCATTGGCACTGCTCACGAAGGGCCCCCTGGGCGTTGCGCTCCCAGCCCTGATCGTGAACGTCTTCCTCGTGCTCGTCGGTCAATGGCGTGCGGTTGTCCTTCACGAGATTCCCTGGACTCGAGGTGTTCTCCTCGCCGCTGCAATCGGTCTTCCGTGGTACATGCTCATTATCCGTGCATACGGGCTAACCTATATCAAGGCCTTCTTCGGCTATCATAATCTGGCCCGCCTGACAAGCGCTGTGAATGCGCATAGCGGCCCCTGGTACTACTATCTGGCGTGTCTTCTACTGGGGTTCCTTCCCTGGGTCGCAGCGTTACCGGTTGCACTTGTCGCTGCCTATCGTCGCTCCGGCTTCGCCGCAGCGTCGAGAAAGTCGTCGCGACGCGAGCAAATCCCCTTATTCATCACCACCTGGTTTCTGCTTACAATTTCGTTCTTCTCCTGCATCCGCACGAAGCTCTTCAGTTACATACTGCCTGCTATACCGGCTGCTGCTCTGCTCATTGGCGAATACTTCTCAGGCGTGGATCCGCGCAAGCCAGCAGACTGTGGGCGCGCAGAGCGTCTGATCACTGCGCTGGCAGTCATCATAATCATGGCTGCAATGGCGCTGCTCTGCCTGCGACTCGAATCACTCATTATCGGCAGCAGCGGAGGAGCTGGCGACCCCTGGATTCTGCGGGTCTGTCTCGAACAGGTGCGAGCTCAGAAGCTGGTCTGGCGAGGCGTTGCGCCCTGGGTGCTCGGTATCGTCGGCGTTTTGGTGACCTGTTCCATCAGCCGCTGGTATCGTTATCTGCCCACAGCTATGGCGGCAAGTTTTATGCTCTTTCAATGCATGTTCCTATTGCCAGCGATACGTGTCTGGGACCGCGCCCACCAGCAGCCGCTTCGCGAACTAGCCCAGTGCGTTCGCAGCCTGCGTGAGCGAAGCGAGGCCGACCTCCGCACCGACCGGGTCTACATGATGGTATTTGGATGGTGTGATGGTGTCCCCGAAGGCCAGCCTTCGGTTGTTTGGTACAGCGACTTTGATGGATGGCATTTTGCTGAGCGTCCCGAGGAGACGCTCGCAGACATTGTGCTCATGGCACGACGCGATGATCGTGCCGAACGTGTTTGCCTCGTTTCCAGGCCAGCCGCGGACGTTGCACCAAACTACGCCAGTCTATGGTCGGCTTGCTGCGATGGAATCGCTGAAGACGACCTCCGCGACGCTAAAGATGTGCTGATCCTGGCGGATACATCGATCTGGCGGACGATTCCCGGGCAGCTGCCGGATACCAAGGTCATCGAGCGACGAGGTCCATTTGCGCTCTATCGCGTACCGCCACGAGCGGCACTGCGAGCAGTACAAGCGATACGAAATCGTGGTGGTACATACGCTTTCCAACGTGATCGTCTTGACTTGAAGAGCATGGAGCCAGCTTCGAATATGAAGGAGTATCCTTGACACCGATTGATGGAGCACCGTGGTCGTTAGCCAGGTGCATGGGAAATTCGGTCTCGATGGATCCAGGCATTACTGGATTCCCTCTGCATTCTCGGTATTTGCACCGTTTCACAGCCTTGCTCCACGCGTGGTCCGAATGTCCTCTCTGCTGCGCTGATTTTTTCATCGCAAGTCATCTGCGTATTAGAGCCATGCCCACAGTGCGTCCGAAACGATGCCCGCGGACGCTCCTGGGGCACGACATCCTTCCGCATGTCGATCGAGCCGCTCAAGTCCAGGTTGAGCGTGTGTTTGCGCGCACGGTTGCTCCTGGGGCACTCCACAGGGAGCAGCTCGCATGCTAGTGCCTCGCATTCGGACGTTCAGGCATGTTTCCGCACTCCGTATCGTGCATTCGTCTCTATTTGACGCCCCTGTGCTCTGCTTGTTTCGGCGTACGGTTGTATGCATGATGAGCGTAGATGCCGTTCAGGAGGCATCGACGAGCCTCGAAGAGAATCGATTCGTGAACGTGTGTGACGCTCTCGTCGACGGAGCAGGAGCGCAGCCTTTGGGCGTGAGCGCACGTCCAGCGTCGTGCGCTGCCACCAGACGACCCGAGATGTTAGTCGTGATCGTGGCTAACATGTTGAACGGGGTGGCGAGTGCGCGCTTCTTCCCGCCGACCAGCGGAAGCTGCTTGGGAGCCCCAGCTCAACCGCGTGGTCCCGTGTCCTCCTGCCGAAAATCCTTCTCATGAGCCGTGTGCATACTCATGTATGTACTGGTGCACAGCACCCCTTGTATCTGTACCCGCTTTTCTGGGCCTCTGAGGCGGCGGTACATTGCGCAAAAGATGCACTCTACAGGGACGCACAGACGGTTGTTGCGGAGAGTTTGGTACGCTTTGGCACTGGCGCTGTCGGTGTTCCTGTCGCTGAGCAGCATGGCAGTGCATCGAAGGATGCTGGAAAGCCCGTGTGTGTGTGTGTGTGTGCGTCGCTGGTCCGCCGATTAGGCCGCATTGCATCCGCGGTGCCGAACATCACGCTTCATGTCGCATGCGGGTTTGGTCGAGCAGGTCTAGGCCAGTGTGGACATCCGGCACACTTGCACCCGGAATGCCGTCGAACTGCTTGCTCGACGAGGCGCTTCCGTGCAAGGACAGCGAAACGAGTATTTCTCGAGTGAAGCGTTACCCACTCATTCATGACGCGCTGTGTCGTTACGCGTGCCGGATACGAACGACTCGCCTACCGATGCGTGATCCTCGAAGCGGTGTAGAAGCATTAGGAAGGCGGATTTGGCCCGATGGAACCAGGGAGCATCGGCTAGCACGTGGCGCACCTGAACGCCTATGCCAGCTGCGTACGCCTTGACCACGTATCAGAGATGGAAAGCGACGCTGCCCCTGAACAGGACAGACGCATACGGGAAGCAGAAGCCAGGAAGCGTGCATCGACGAAGAGTGCGCTGTTGAGCGATCCAGTCTGGTTGGCGATTCACAGGAGACCGCATCCTTGGATGGTCGTTCGCGTTGATGTCGACGGCATGCTCGTTTGACTGTTCTGAGCAGACCGGGGCTTGCCCCTGTTTGCGTATCCATTGTGGAAGTCGACCAGGTCTTCTTGCGTGGAGCCTCGTCGAGCGAGACGATCTCTGGCCCCTGCCGCGCTCCGCCCTCGCGTTCCAGCATGACGCCGATGGTGTGGTATGCGTCGTGCGTCTGTCTCCCCGAGAAGCGTCCTTTCTTTCTTTCGTTCTTCGTCCATGGTGTCTCTTCGTCACTGTTCGTATCAACGGCACGCGGAATTCGGAAGCTCCGGCTTCTCTGAAAGTATTTCCTGCACAACGCGTAGAATGGGATGGATTGACGAGTACTGGGTTGCATAGGCAGCGTTTTCATCAATTTTGTTTACGGGTTATGACATTCAGAGCAGGGACTTGCACGGTATTTGGTCCAGTGGCTATCGCAGATTGACTGCATTGGACAAGCACCGCCGTTCTTTTTCGCGAGCTTGCACTCGCAGCATCACGGCATTCCGTAACCTTTCTCCAGAGCGCAGGATACACTCCTTTGTATTGAATCGCTGTGCGAGAAACAAAAACAATACGGGTGTGCTGGCGCAGCTTCTCCAGAATTCACTGGTCTGAGCGTAACGCCCGAAAGGTGTTGGAAGCAGCGAGCTCACTGCGCGACGAGCATGCGCCCTCACGTGGGCGATGTTTTCCTGCCGAGGTCTGCGTGCTCCGCCGCCCTCGCCAAGGTGCTCGGTAACGACCGCGCCGACAGAGTTCAGCTTGCAGCAGGGAATAACTAACCGTGAAACTATCCCAGAAACTCGCCGAGCAAATTTCGAAAGCAAAAAGCTGGCGACAAGGTTAAGCATCCGGTCCTGTACGAAAACAGCGACTCAATCCGAGGTTAGGAAATACAAGAGCAAGCTGTCGCGTGTCCGTATGGCGGCCACATACGCGCATTCCATATCGCAGAGATTCTGGACTGGTAAAAATCCACACCCAAAGCGCACTGAACCATCGTGCGGAGCGCACACGATACTCACAAAAGACACGACATTCCGTGGCTTCCAGGATCGACCAAAGCCGCGATACTCCATAAGACCTACCGCACTGGAATGGGGGCGGCTGTACATACAGGCATCCGCGGAACCTACGATGGTGACGCTCCCCATACACGAAGGTATCTGTGCATCCAGGTCGTCTGGTTCGATCGATCGATAGAATCTGGAATATGAAAAGAATCTCCCACACCATGTCCATAGCCAAAAGTATCGGTACTGAACGTGATAAACTCGTCTGTAGCTCGCTGCATTTCACAATGGCATCCTACTCGTAAGCGTCCTGCACATGAGGCAGGCCCCCACTGAAACAAATACAGTTTCCAGCATGCCATCCGCTCAAATGGACGCGATTGTTCCGTCTGTTCCGTTGCGTATTCGTCGGAATCACCCGGTATACATACATACACACGATGATGCATCTCGACTCTGACAGTTTGCGGTGACGTTCGTGTCCAGTGCAGTGCGTCCGTGGCGGCGCCACGACGCCAAGGGTGGCACGGCAACGACATCTGCATCATCATCGTTTGGGTCGTGGATCTTTCACCGTCACCGGATGCTCTTACATGCGTCACGCACTGCAACTGGTGAGCGCTAACACGTTTGCAGAAAAACTACGGTTTGTGGACCAAGAAGAAGCTGCGTTCTTGCTCCCTAATATGCCTTGTTCGCGGTATCGGGCCATAACATGCGCTCATAGGCATCACCGTGCAGTGGAAGGAGACAAATCGCTGTCTCAAGGGGCTTCCAACGGAGCGCGCATGCTACAGTTCACCTTTCGCATTGCATGTTTAGAGCCGAACGAGCACCCCTTGATTCTTCATGTACTGCTTGAGGTCGGGAATGCGAATCGTGTTGTCATGGAAAAGGGAGGCAGCCAACGCTGCCGATGCGCCACCTTGCGTCACTGCGTCCACAAAGTGCTGCATGGTGCCTGCACCACCACTCGCAATAACGGGAACGCATACCGCATCCACAACAGCACGGGTAAGCTCCAAATCGAAACCCGCCAAAGTTCCGTCCGCATCCATGCTTGTCAGCAGGATTTCCCCAGCTCCTAGCTCGGATCCTCTTTGCGCCCACTCCACAGCATCGATCCCGGTGGGTTTACGTCCGCCAGCGACATAGACTTCCCATTTACCCGGACTGCGCCTCTTTGCATCAATTGCAAGTACAATATTGGCCTTTCCGAGCTGGTATGCACATTCTTGGAGCAGCTCCGGGCGTGCAACAGCTGCGCTATTGATGGCGACTTTATCCGCTCCAGAGAGCAGCGTGCGTCGCGCATCCTCGACCGTGCGTATTCCACCGCCAACTGTCAACGGAATGAAGATGGATCCTGCGACCTGTTCTACAACTCGCAAAGTCGTCTCATGGCCGTTCGGTGTTGCCGAAATGTCGAGAAACACGAGTTCGTCGGCACCGTCCTCGTAGTAGACTCGGGCCTGCTCAACGGGGTCACCTGCGTCTCTGAGGTTTACAAAATTGATTCCCTTGACAACACGGCCATCCTTCACGTCCAAACATGGAATGATGCGCTTCGCGGGTCCCGAAATACGCTCCTGAGGTTCAAGCTGCTCATCCACCGACAATATGGTTGTCGTTGAAAGCGGCGACGAGGACGCAGCCGCCAGACATTGAACCGTGCGCGCTGCCCTGGAAGCTCGCCCACCAGATCCGCGACCAAAAGCAGCACAGCACCGCAGCTGCCAAGCCCCAACGCTAGCCCGCCAGGTGCTCTGCCGCTCGATCGGGAGACGCAAACAGAGGCTAAAGCCAAGCGCAGGACACTTCCGACTGCAACGCGTGTTCACCGTTCGACGGCAACGAGGTAGGGCGCTCGCCATGGCCCTTCCCCAGGACCTGGACGTCAGCTTGAAGCCGCAAAAGATCCACCCGCAGTTGAAGTGGACGCAGCACACGCTGCAGCAGGAACCAGTACGAGTTCGGACTTGCTCCTGCTGCTCCTGCTGCTGCTCTCAAGCGTCAGCCAGGAGTCTGTCTCAGCTACGCCGCTGCTTCAGGCCTGCCTGCGCTCTACGGATACCTGTGCTGGACATTCGGTGCCATCTCTAAAGTTGGACATCCGATGCCATCTCTAAAGTTGGACACTCGGTGCCATCTCTAAAGTTGGACATACGATGCCAGCGACGGTTCCCAGGCCCCGGCTTGCACTGCGACATCTCGTCGACGTCGTCGACTGTACCGGGGATGATCGTCAACGGCATTGCGCTCTGGGCGTGCTGCTGCGTCTCTCCTGCCTCAGGTGTTGTTGTTGTTCTTGTTGTTGTCAGCGGCGTTGGCGGCTCGGCTCTGAGGTGCTTTCAAACCAGTATCCATTGTCAAGCCAAGCTATGCTTACACGTGCAGAAAACAGGGGTTTTGTGCGTTTATTGTTCATCTCACGTCTGGGTCTACTGCGCACGCCGTCGACCTTTGGACGCTGGGCAACAGCGTGCGCCCCCCAGCGGCGTGTACGTGTCGAACAAACAGCGAGGCCGCTTGCTCATTGCTGCGGCGTCCGAGGGCTGCGGTCGTGCTCAGCGGCATCGACACCGCGTACCAGTCAACAAGCGAACGCAAGTCAGAAAGCACCTGTCGCTGCTGGTGACGCAACGGGGACCTCTCGACTCGACGCACTGCCGACGAACGAGACGAATCCAAGGCTGTTGCGCATTCGCCATACCTGTGCTCACGTTATGGCTATGGCCGTACAGAGAATATTCCCCGAAGCCAAAGTGACTATTGGGCCTTGGATAGATAACGGCTTTTACTATGACTTCGATATCAGTCACCCATTCTCACCGCAAGACCTCGAGCGCATCAAACAGGTCATGGATGAGATTATTCTAGCGGATTTGCCGCTAAAATGCGTGGCGCTCTCACGCGAAGAGGCGCGCGCCCGCGTCGAAGCACTCGGTGAGCCGTATAAGCTGGAGATATTGGATTCGATCACCGAGGAACCAATCACGATCTATTCCGTTGGAGACGACTGGTGGGACCTCTGTGCCGGGCCACACGTTGCCAGGACCGGCGAGATCAACCCGGAAGCGGTGCAGCTGGAGGGTGTTGCTGGCGCCTACTGGCGCGGCGACGAGTCGAAACCGATGCTCCAACGCATCTACGGAACCGCTTGGGAGACGCCTGAACAGCTTCAAGAGTATCTACGTCGCCGTGAGGAGGCCAAACGCCGAGATCATCGCGTGCTCGGAGAGCGGCTTGGTTTATTCTCCATTCAGCAAGATTTGGCTGGACCAGGGCTTGTTTTCTGGCACCCGAAAGGAGCCTTTATTAGGAATATGATCGAGACTTTCTGGAAGGATGCGCATCTTGCGGACGGCTATCAATTGCTGTACACTCCGCATCTTTCCGACCGCGAATTGTTCCGCGTTTCCGGTCATGTGGACTTTTACGCGGAGAGCATGTTCAAACCGATTGAGTGCGAATCTCGAGAGATTATAGCCAAGCCAATGAACTGTCCACATCATGTTCTGGTGTACAAGAGCAAATTACGCTCGTATCGAGAGCTTCCGGTGCGCTTCGCCGAGTTGGGTACTGTCTACAGGTACGAGCGATCGGGCACGTTGCACGGTCTCATGCGCGTTCGTGGGTTCACTCAAGATGACGCGCATATTTTCTGCACGTTTGATCAGCTGCGATCCGAAATCAAGCGAGTCCTAGACCTCACTGAAACAATACTATCGCGTTTTGGATTCCGTGACTATCAGGTGCATTTATCGACCCGACCCAAAGTTTCCATTGGTAGTGAAGAGGCCTGGTCGCGTTCCGAGCAGGCGCTGCGCCTTGCGCTCGAGGACAAGGGATGGTCTTTCACCGTTGATGAAGGTGAAGGGGCCTTCTACGGAGCGAAGATCGATTTGAAAGTTCGTGACGCACTCGGTCGTTTATGGCAGTGCTCTACCATCCAGTGCGACTTCAATTTACCCGAACGATTCAATTTAGAATACGTAGCGAGTGATGGTTCACGCGAGCGACCTGTCATGGTGCATCGCGCGATATTCGGCTCGCTGGAACGCTTTTTTGGGATTCTGATCGAGAATAGCGCCGGGGACTTTCCGTTGTGGCTCGCGCCAATACAGCTCCGGCTGCTACCTGTCTCTGACAAATTCTTACCGTTCTGCGAGCAGGTGGTCGACAAGGCCCGTCGACGTCGTCTCAGAGCGGAGATCGATCTGTCAGCGAATCGCCTCGGCAAAAAAGTTCTCAACGCAGAAGAGGAGCACATTCCCTACATGGCCATTGTCGGTAAGCGCGAGGTTGAATCGGATGCACTGTCGATGCGTTCTAGACACAAAGGCGATCTGGGATCTGTACCAGTAGACGAAATCCTCGCCCGTCTGGAATGTGAAGCGTCTATGCAGCTCTGAGCACGCGGCACTGCGAGCTCATGACGGCTAACCACCGAAACCGCGACGACTCGCGGGCGTGCCTGCCCGCTGACTTGCCGCATGCGCGCCGCCGCCGCCGCCGCTGCTGCTACTGCGTCGTCGCCGCATCCGATCAGCGTACGGCGTGAAGCAGCGAAAAATCTCCCGCACCCGGGGTTCCAGCGTCGCATTAGCAGTACCCGATCCACCGTAACTGGGCACCCTCTGACCAATCAGGGCTTTCATAGACGCTAAAGTCTGTGCAAGCACCGCGTCGTCGGCGAATCCGAGGGCATCAGGGTGCGGCAGCGCTGCGCGAACCCACAAGATGCCCGTCACCGTGGAGCGTCCCCGCACATAAACCACAATCGTGTGCTCAGGGCCTGGTAATCGACCGTTAGCGCTTTCACCAGAAGCGTCCACTCCCGAGCACACGTACTGATACATCTCGTCCGAGGCATGGAGATCCCCAAACCAGAGCAAAGTTGTACTCCCGAAAGAGAACTGATGCGCAGCCTGATCGCTGTAGACTTGCCGAGCGCCACGCATATTGCGCGCCGCCATGCGTGCCGTACGGCATGCGTGTTCGAGGCCGCAGGCGCGTCGACGCCCAGCGACGGGATCCGGGAAGCACAGCGCATCGCCAGCGACGTACACGTCCGAGGCAGCTGCCAGCTCTCGATTGCAAACGATGCCACCAAGGATTGCATCGATTTCCAGGTGTTGCACCTGTTTGAGCACTGCAACGCCGCCGGGTGGACGCGCTTTATTCAAGACGGTAAATCGATCGGTGCGAAACGAGACAGCAACGCTACGATCGTAGGTTCGGACGAAGAACAACTCTAGATCGCTCTGGGCGGCAGCTGTATCGGTGCGCTCCTGAATATAGCGCGGTTCTGCGTACGGGATAAGTTCGATGCCCAGATCGCGGAGGCTTTGTGCGACTTGTTTGGCAACTTCTTTGGGTAGGAATTCTCCGAGCGGCTCCGACTCGGGGAACAGAATGGTCACTGAATGGAGACCGCCGCTCCAAGTTCGGATTTCGGATGCGAGCACACAGGCATACCAGTCCAGTCCCAGCAGGGTGTAGTGCCTCGGTTCGGTGCATTCGCGCCAATCACAGCCCGCATGAAGTTGGCCGGCGGGTATAAAGTAGCGGCTCGCATTCGGACCCATGACGCAGCTGTCTGGGCAACTGTTTTCTTGGCCGGTTGCAAGCAGAAGTCGTCCGTAACGAATGGGATCGACGCCCTCGAGTGTAACGGTCTTCTGTTCAACGTCTAGGGCCTGTAATCGATGGCCTTCGTGGAATACCCGGTGGTGGTTTACCCATCGTTTACACTGTTCTTGCGTCCAGGATGGATCGTAGCTCTGGTCCGTGACCACCAGAAGCGAGGCGTCTGCGTCACACCGAGCAAGTTCTGCCGCTGCCTCGTGGGCCGCTGGTCCACCGCCAATAATCACATAGTCGTAGGAAGAACCAATAGATGCTGATGCTTTGTGCGAGAGAGACTTGACTTTCGAGTTTTCGGCCGCCTCGCAAGAGGTTTCGTTCGCTATTGCGCTGGAGACGGAAAACCAAGGTGCCTTGAGGGCGCACCAAACGCGAAACTGATTCCAAAAGTGAAATCGTCGTCTATAGTTGCAACGTTCGTGGGGCTCCTTATCCAAACGATCCGCTGCACTTGGGTGCCACAAGCCTGCACCCAGCTGGTTCGTCAGACTGTCGCTATCCCCTGCGAAAGCGAAGAGTCCGAGCCCCGCAGTCAGGCCACTCGCCAGGCAAGTCTTGAGCAACCCACGACGTGCTGAACAAGTTCGCAGACCAGAACAGGAACGAGACAGCAGCTCGAAACAGTACAGTGCTCTTCCCCAGCTCATGAACCAGCTGCTCAGTGCGCTGAACCCGCCGTTCCAACTGTATAGTGAGAGCACGTTTGCGAAAGACCATTACCTGAAGTATGCGCATTGCGATCTAGCGGAAACGCATTCCCTGGCTACGAGGCGACTGCGACTGCAACAGACGCCTTTTGTTGCTGGAAGGCCCAAAGCGAAGTGCTCCTGGTGCGTTTTCGGCACTTTGCAAGTCGCATGTGCGCAATGCACAAACCCGTAAAGCGGAGATTGGGGCAACACCGTTGATTCTTCAGCGGATAAGCATGGTCCATTTTTTAGCTGCAGGATAGATGTGGCTTCCAGGGATACCGCAGTAAGGGCTTGTTATCATCATCGGTGGAAGTAAACACGATTCCATGTCAGATTCCCTAAATTGCACCAACCAGAACCCAGAATTCTGCTCGGGCGTGGTTGTAAGACGGGCGTCCATTTGCTGCGTTTTCGTGATACATCGCTGAGCAATCTAGTCAAATCTCCCGGGAAGCGCGAACGCCACCAATAACAATGAAGCAACTTCTTCTCCGCATGAGATTGTATCAGGCTGAACCAGTCCCCGAATCGCTCGCCTTGCAGAGGCCAATGCTCCATCCATGCATCGCTGGCACGGGGCAGCGTCTCAGAAGCACCATGCGGCAGCTCTCGCGGGACCGAACCATTGCAAAATCGGTGCTTCCAGAACGATACGATCACAGGCTCAGGACTAAACAAGCCCGTTCAGTGATTGGCTGCGCAATTCGCTCGCGAAACCGCGACAAGGCGCATTCTGCATCGGTGAGGTCGGCGCGGTCCAGAGATGAACGCGTGTCGCTCCCAAGCGCCCGGCTACATCACCTCAAGCAACCCAGGCACTGAGGCGCGATCACGCCCGCCCCAAATGTGACACACGTGCGTCTGCCGCTACACGTCGTCACATTCCTCATCCGCACACGTGCCTCGTTCCGTGCCGATGCTCGAACGCATGCACCCGTCTCAGCTGTCACGCAGGCGCGAACGCGTGCGACCTGGTGATTCCCTGTTGGCTTCGAGCAGCGCACGCACCGGCGCTCCAGGCGTCCTTGCAGACTCTTAACCCTAGGGGCCATAAGAACCAACCATTACCCCCAGAGGAAAGTGTAGATGGTGCCGATCCTGCTGGTGATGGTCATTGCGGTTATTGCGTGGAGAGCCGAAGCCCAATTGCGACAAATTGGCCTTCGGGTCTACCGCGTGCCGATCGCAATCGCGCGCACTCAGGAATCCTCGCCTGGATGCGGCGTTCCCGCACCCCTATAAGGAAAATACAGTCTAGCGCCTGCGCCTGACGTGCCCGGCCTGTCGACGCGCGAAATCTCCGGTGTCTCTGAGAGCCGCACACGCCCGAGCGATCGGTGCAGGCGACACGCGCGCACCAGTCGCAGCAACGTGATGGCGTCGATCGCTGCGTCCCGCCACGGCACGGCATCGCTTGACGTGGACCGTGATCTGTCTGATGGTGTGTACTGGACTGCGTGAATAGAATTTCTGTAGCTTTGTGTGTTGCCCCAGTCGCTTCAGGCACCTGAAACCATGAACGTACCACAAAAGTTCCATATAGAGGATGCGACGATACAGGGTGTGCGAATGGCGCTTTCTCACCCGCGCGAGTGGGTGCCTGGTCTCGTCCACGCGCTGCGCACAGCGCAGAGCCCGGTGGGCGCTGCACCGCTAGCTGCAGCGCTCTGGTTCTCTATGCTGTGTGCGCTATGGGCGTATGTACGCTCAAACATAACCGGCAGTACGTCGCAAGTAGACATGATGTGGTCACTGCTGCCGCCTGCATACGTTACCTGGTTTGCTGCACTTGCTTTCTACACTTCGGGGGCGTCTCCGCGACTCGCGGTGATGACGGCGCTCGCGCTGGCGTGGTCGATTCGAATGACGTACAACTTCGCACGCAAGGGTGGATACTCTGGCGTGGAAGACTACCGCTGGCCGGTGTTGAGGCGGAGGATCTCGAACCCGATCCTCTGGCAGCTCTTCAATATCGGCTTTGTGAGTATTTACCAGAACTTGCTGCTTCTGAGTCTGGCTCTGCCCGCGTGGGCGGTCTTCCTTCGGAGTCAAAGCGCCTGGACTGCAGTGGACACTGCAGCTTTATCCATGTTTCTCATGTTTCTGCTTCTCGAGACCGTGGCAGATGAGCAGCAATGGCGTTTTCAGTGTCGAAAGCACGCCTTGACGCTAGTTCAACGTGCGCAGCACCCGAACCCAGATATCCGCCGAGGTTTCCTCACAAGTGGCCTCTTTCGTTTCTCACGGCATCCGAATTTCTTTGCCGAGCAAGGTATGTGGTGGGCGTTTTATCTCTTTGCTGTAGGTGCCGTACTAGGCGAACAGAAGAACCCCGCATGGTGGCGAGTGATCTTCCAGGGGAGCGCGGTGCCTTTCTTCCACTGGAGTATCATCGGGCCTGTGCAGTTGACGCTTCTCTTCCAGGGAAGCACCTGGTTAACTGAACAGCTCAGTTTGGAGAAATATGGGGATCTGTACCGCGCCTATCAGCGGCGGACAAGCCGCCTGATACCCATGTGGGCGCCCGCGCTTCTCAAGGAGCATCGAGCGTAAGAGCTGGAACAGGACAGTTTTCTGGTACGCTGATGTTATTCTGCTTACCCAGACGAGACGAGGCTGAAAAATTTCCAGTTGCAGACGGCACTTAGATTTCAAGTGTCTGGCGCATGTCGTTTCCTTGGTTGCGATCATGCCGCGTGAATATGATGTGACCAGACGGCTTCTGATTTGAAGAGCGATCGCCGCCCCTGCCGGTCGAGCAGGAATCATTGTGTCGGACTATCCGCGGGACTGCGAGCTCCTCATATCGTTCTCGGCATGCGCAAACCGACCCACACGGGTCATTGTTTCCAAGTTCCGTTCCCCATCCGCTTGCATAGTGCAAGCAGTTTCAAAGCTTGGTACCGGCGGTCTCCATTGAGGTGCGTCACTACTTCTTGTAAAACATGCGCAAGCCCAAGAACATCTAGCGCAAACGTCTACAGAGGCCTGCAGCGCCGTTCTTCTCATGCGCTGCGACCTGGGCAGTGCCTCTCGTGTCGTAGCAAGCGGTCGCTACGCGGCTCAGCGCCAGCAGGGTTGCAAAATCGATCATACGTCGATGTCAGTTGGGGAAAGGGAGCTGGAGCGCATTGAGCGGAGACAAACATTAATAGGACCGCGGCTTCCTCTATGGTTACCAGCAGGAATCGCACATCCGAGGTATTCAAGAACCGGGAAGAAAAGTAAATGAATGCGAGGCCGCAGTTCCATGCGTGTGCAGAGTGCCTACCCGGCCCCTTGAACGCAAGCTGAGGCGGTCGAGCAGCGGCACTACTCGCAAACACGCCTCGAATGGGAAGCTGACACACTCGAGTCCTTGAGCACAAGTCTCTGACCCGACGCAGTAGCAGTTACTCAAACGTTTGTGGCCAGTCAATGCCCTGCAACGCAACGGATCCGCACACTTTACGAATTTGCCCATGGCAACGGGTCAAGCGGCACCATGTTCCTTTTGGCGGAGACTACCCGGGTACGACCACAACTGGCAAACATCTGAGCGCTCCGCCGGGATGCTTCCGCCTGCCACACAGTTCGTCGCGGCGTCAGCGGAAGACCTCGTGTCGAGTCCGTAAAACGCATTGGACCTTCTCGTAACTCGAACGTGGCGTAGCCATGCGCGATGAAGGCATTCAGTGTGAAGCTGGATGGCATCTCAGGGCTCTCGCTCGTCTACCCATACTGTAAGCGATGTTGACCGAGTTTGCTCCTGGTCCCTAGGCAGGGCGAGCCATGTAGCTCGGCCCCCGCCTGAGTCGTTCGAACGAGCCGGGCGAGCGCACTGCTGCCGAGACTCGTACCCAGAAGACCTCTTCGTTATGAATGCATTGGATACCACAAAATACGAGTTTATCGCCGAATCGGGCGCGAGGCAATCAGAGCAGGCTTCCAGATGACGCGGGAGGCTCAAACGAGACCCAGAAGGTCGCAGATAACCCAACACCGAGTAAAAGTCGATTCCAGGAACAATTAAAATCTTTGCAAGCGGGTAGGCGCGCCTCTCGAAGCCGTATGCACCATCCAGTCGCTGCAGCTGGAGCGACCGGGCGCACGCCTCACCTGGTAATAGTCGTCTCCTCGGGAACGACTCCAGCGTGTGGATCGGCTTCTCGAAGGTGTCCCTGGTCAGCTTTGTCGGAACGCCCGGGCCCCGCTAAATGGCAGCATACTGCGTACGCACTGCTGCAAGTATTGCGTGCGGATCGCAGTCTGGACTCAGGTGCGCCTCACAAAATATCTCGTATTCGTCGCTTTTGCTCCTCTGTGAGGGTTACAGGGAACAGAACCTTGAATTTCAGGATCATGTCACCCTTCTCGTTCGGGTTCTTGCTATTCGGCATGCCCAGGCCGTTAATCCGTTTTTCAAAGCCCGGATGGACGACCTCCGGTATTTTGACTCGCAGCCGACGGCCATCGAGGTGCTTGAACTCGATCTCCGTCCCAGTCAGCGCATCCTTGAGCGGAACCTGCACATTGTAAATAAGGTCATTACCTGAGCGCTCAAAAAGCGGATGCGGCTTCTGTTTCAGAATGAAGACCACATCAGCTGGAATCTCGTTAGGGTCGATTTCGTCGCCCTCTCGCTCGAAGCGGATTTTCGTACCGGCCTTGAAGCCTGGTCGAATATCAATCGTAAGGATTTTCTCGACGGGAACAATTTGTCCGGACGAAGCGTCCCGTATTCGTTTCGTGAGCTTAATTTTCTTCTGAGTGCCACTGTACAGCTCCTCTAGGGTCAAAGCGAGGGGCACTTCATGATCGGGCGCCTTCTTTTGAGTTCGCCGAACGCCGCCAAAGCCGGAATCGAAAGGAGACGCTCCGCCAAAGCGACTGCTTCCAGCACCGCCGCCAGTTCTCGATGAAAACGATGTGAACGGATCGTCTGCCGCAGCGCGACCGAAAAATTCGCGGAATAACTCTTCGGGATCCTGGAAACCAAAGCCTCCGAAGCCACCGGGCATGCCGGCGCCACCGGGCCCCGCTGAAGAAAAGAAGAAGGTCGTGCCGTTACCGCCGCCGCCACCGCCCGCCCCTCCTGGAAAGCCGGCGAAGCCGCCAGGAAAACCGCCGGCGCCTGCACCACCGTTCTCGTGCATGCCGGCCTTGATGCCTTCTTCACCAAATTTATCATATATTTCGCGTTTCCTAGGGTCTACGAGAACCTGGTACGCCTCGCTGATTTCTTTGAACTTTCGCGTAGCGAGCTCCTTGTTGTCAGGGTTCTTGTCCGGGTGCCATTTCATTGCGAGGCGCCGGTACGCCCTTTTCAAGGCTGCCTCATCTGCATCCCGGGGAACGCCAAGAATTTTATAATAGTCGAGTCCCATTCCTCTTCACGACAGCAACTCCCTCGAAACGCTCGGGGCGTGCTTCCACGCGGGTTTACGTGTCTGTTGTGTGTAGCAAGCCAGAGGATCTTGCAACACTCAATGGCCCGATTTCGCTATCCACATTGCCGCTTTCATCCGTTGATGCTCGAGGCACGCGCCTGGCCGGCCGCACGCTGATCGCTGGCGCGCGCGGAAGTCTCTGGAAGGCGGGGTCATATTTTTCCCTTAATGGACAGTTCCATCACATGCTGCGTGTCGCGTTGTACCCGCTACGGAGAACGTAGATCATCTGCAGCGGGGATGTGACAAGCCGATCGCTGTGCCCTCATGAAGCTGGGTATGGACAGGCTCGCAATGCTTAGCGTTTTGGTATCTGCACTTGGGGACGCAATCCATCAGAAGGCCTCTGGGTGATGCATAGAATGACTGGATGGTCTCTGGTTCAGTGAGTAGGAGGATTCGATCATCGCAGATCTCGAACGCCCAGCTTCCTATTCCTCTCTCGGGTGGAAATGCAGTACTGAACTGCTCGATCTGCTCTTACATTTCTTCATTCATTTCGGGCTTGTTTTGGGTGTACTGTCTCGATTTTCGAAGTACGATACGAGGGACTTGCGAGTTCGTACGTATTTTTAGGATTCTTGGACTTATTTTTGAGTGGCTCACTCGAATCTCTGCTGATGGAGCTCATTGCGTCTTAGGAATCAAGATGATTCACGTAATCGTAGAGCAAGTGTTCGTAAAATGACCAATGTCATTATCCATTGTATAGGAAGTATCCTCCATTCTTCTCGTTTCTTTTGCGCACTGCATCCTCTAATCACACGTTGTATCCAAGTTTTAGACCTTTCTGCTTCGGGCCAACCTGTGGGCTCAACAATTTGCGCGTCTGGACTGACGACGAATACCACTCGTCGATCTCAAATGGCGGCATGTGTAGAAGCTCGTGCCAAAAGTTCGTTGAGCTTCTCGAGTCAAATATTCGATTCCGTTCCAAACACAAATCTACCACGCTCTGTGAACATCGACGAAACTGTTTCGGCGGCAGCATGATACCTCTCGTGCGATATGCTCCAAGACATCCCGTTTCCTCTGTTCTTTTTCGATGGAAAAAGGTCCTGGAGTCGGACTTGAGGCATGACAACGATCGCTTTCGTTGGAGTATGTGTGACCGCTTTGCACGAACGCAGCGTCGATGCATCGAGAGTTTTCGATCTTTTCTCCACCGCTCTTTTCGCTTTCGGTTCTTGATTCGCCATGAATCAGCTCGGGTTCCGCCAACATCTGTCGAATGGTACAGCGTGCGCGTGCGTGTGCACCAAAAAGAGTACTCGCCGAGGATATTGCTCGCAAGAGTCACGCGATCGTAGGGCAGGGCACCGGGAGCGAAAACGATGGAGACTGCCCAAAGGAGCCTTCCGTAACCGTCAGCGACATGCGCCGGACCCTGAAGCCAGTCTGAACGCGGTGCAGGACGGCCCTCGGGCGAGCGGATCTGAAGTGCCTACAGAAGCCCTGGTTCACGTTCAAGTGTCACCGCTGCACAGCGCGCACCGAGGCTTTATGCATAGAGTATCAATATGCGAAACGAGGCGTGGATCGCAACCACCGTCTGAGCATGAAACGCGTCGGTAACAGCCGGAAGCATCGAATCCGAGAGTTTAACACTGCCGTCAACATCGTTTGACTGCTGCCAATAGGGCCACAGGGACAAGAGAGACCTCTGTGTTTAGATCTAGAGGTAAGAGCGAGGGCAAGGAAGCAATTGCAGAAAATTCTCGCACTTTCTTGTATTGATGACATTGGGCAGAGACTCGAACTTTAGAGTGTACGCACGAGTTGGATACGCGGACTCTAGTCTGAAACGGATATATTCAGCGACTCGAATGGCCTCTGAGTAAACGGGTCTATTGAAGCGATAGGAAATGGAACACTCCGGAAGGAACGTTACAGGTTCTGGTACTCGTGAAATATAGAAGAATTTGTGCGGCACACGAGCTCCGTTTCCTGATTAGCACCAAAGCTTCCGCATCCGAAAGCCTTACTGGTTGCTTCGCGATATCCGTCGCCCATGCAGAGATTCTGCCGCCTTCGGCCTCGTCGCTGGCAAAAAAGGAGCGGCTGTCAGGTCAGGTCCGTGTCATGGCCTCCACACAGAAGCGGAAGCAACCAGACCGCGGAACTGCTTTCCGTACTCGAGCTGGGCACGAGACGATGACCCCAGCTCTGCGCTTCGTATCCGACTGCAGGCATGCAACGCGTCCAGTCCATTCGTTGTATGCAATCGTTAGTTGCAGCCTCCTGGAAGCAGCAGATATTGATTCAATTGCGTGATCTGTATGTCCAACGCGAACTAGGCTTTATCAGAGTCGCATTCGCACGCATGTATCGCTCAGTTCTGCGTACTTCAAATCCAGTACGCAAATATGTGTCCGAAATATGCAGTCTCGCATTTCTACGCACCTATACTTCCCACAAATGCCGGTCCGAAAACCATTGTCAGTGTCGATAACATCTTGATCAGCACGTGCAGACTCGGTCCCGCTGTGTCCTTAAGCGGATCGCCGACCGTGTCTCCAGTGACACTCGCCTTGTGTGCCTGGCTACCCTTGCCGCCGTAGTGCCCATCCTCGATGTACTTTTTCGCATTATCAGCCGCACCTCCAGCATTATTCATAAAGAGCGCCATAAGTATCCCAGCAATTGTGGCAACCATAAGGAGACCCGCCGCGCATTCAAGTCCTAGCAACGGGCGTCCGGTCATATTACCTATGAAGCGGAAGAGCATCCCAATCATGATAGGAGCAAGAACCGGCAAGAGTCCCGGCAAAACCATTTGACGAAGCGCCGACGCTGCAACGAGCGCAACACAACGCTCATACTCTGGCTTCTCAGTGCCAGCCATAATGCCAGGATGGTCACGAAACTGCCGCCGAACTTCCGCAACGACGCCCTGTGCAGCGCGACCAACGGCAGTCATCGCCAGACTCGAAAACAGAAACACCACTGCTGCACCTAAGAGACCAGCGACAAATACCTCCGGCTTCGCCAGGTCCACCGAATTGAACACCATCTTTTCCGGCAGCTGTGCACTCATTTCCTCCATAAAGGAGCTGAAGAGCAAGTAGCCCGCAAGCGCTGCGGAGCCGACGGCGAAGCCCTTGGTGAAAGCTTTGGTGCTGTTCCCCGCTGCATCGAGCCGATCGGTTATGCGACGAACGCTGGGGTCCGCTCCGCTCATCTCCGCGATGCCACCTGCATTATCAGCAACGGGCCCGAACACATCCATTGCCAGAACGATTCCCGCGGAGCTCAGCATGCCCATGGTGGCCACAGCAGTGCCGAAAATTCCAGCCGCGTTTCGATCCGGCATGCCAGACGTTGCACCGAGCCAGTACGCACCAAGAATCGCAGCTGAAACGACGATGGCAGGCAACGCACTCGACTCGAGACCAACAGCGAGCATTCGTATCACATTCGTCCCGTGACCGTACTCTGAGGCTTCCGCAATGCTGCGCACAGGCCGAAACTTGGTATCCGTATAATACTCCGTTATGAGTACGTAAAGATAGGATACTGCCAGTCCAATCATCCCGCAGAGCGCGTAGTGCCACCAGGCACTTGGCGCCACATTTCCGACGCGCAAAAGCAGCCAGCATAGTACCCAAATGGAAATTGCTGCAAGCACCATCGTCACACGAAAGCCTCTTTTCATGATCGACATTGGATCTTCAAGCCTCGTCTCGAAGGCATCGTCAGTCCTCAGCAAAGAACGCTCTTCGTCTCTCGCAACGCCGCTGCTCACACGAACGGTGACGCCGCCGAGAGCGCTACATACCAGTCCGACGGCATGCACGCAGAGCGGAAACAGAACGTACGCCGCTTGACTAGCCCCGGACAAGTTCGCCGTTCTCGCGAGCGTGCCTCCGAGAATGCTCGCTCCAACTAGCTCCGCAGAGATCGACTCAAACAGGTCACAGGAGCGCCCGGAAGCGTCGCCGACGTTATCGCCTACCAAATCAGCGATGGTGGCTGGATTTCGCGGATCGTCCTCGGGAATACCTGTGTCAACTTTGCCGACCATATCGGCCCCGACATCCGCAGCCTTGGTGTAGATGCCTCCCCCAAGCTGTGCGAAGAGCGCCACAAAGGAGGCTCCAAAAGCGTAACCCACGAACAGGACAGGGACCTGCGTTATGTCGCCAGCCGCCATCCCCGTCACAAGGGCGAACCAGTAGAGCAAGATGAAGCCCACCAAACAGTTGCTCAGTATGAGGAGACCCCCGAAGAGGCCACCTCGGAAACAAACCTTCATCGCTTCAGCATAGGACCTACTTGCAGCCGCTGCAACACGCACGTTCACCCGAACAGCCAAGTACATTGTCAGCACACCAGAGAGCGCCGAGAGCGTGCCACCAAGCAGAAAGGCTGCCGCGTTGAAGAAAGGTGAGGCTTGCGTCGTGCCGCCCGCACCCCCTGTGCCGAAAAAATAGATCACAAGCGCGAATATACCTGCTATGCTAGCTATCGTCGAATACTGCACCTTGAAAAATCCGGAGGCACCCTCTTGAATCGGACGCGCGACATCGCGCATGGACTGCGGCCCTTCTGGACAGCCGATCAAGTACTCATACAGACGGTATGTAAAAATCAGTGTTCCAAACGCTATCACTGCTAAAACTGCCAAAATAAAACCCGCCGTAAACATTCTCGTTTCTATGTAGCAACTTGTCTGGGGAGAGCGTCACTTGAGCGCGCTAAGTACAGTTGCGCGTGTCTATGGGCTGCAACCTGCGGGACAAGCAGTAGCAGCAGTAGGAGCAGTACAAGCGATTTTATCCTATCAGAGATAGCTGCAAGAGCTGCATCGCAAAACAGCGCTGCGCGGGTGATCTGGGGCCGTGCGCTGCACATCGAGCGCAGCCAGTGCCTCGATCGCCATGCGCAGATGTTGGTTCCCAGAAGGTTTCCACTGGTATGGGATTCGATACTGCGGGATGGATGGATGGATGGATGGTTGGTTGGTTGGTTGGTTGGTTGGTTGGTTGGATGGATGGTTGGTTGGATATGGGCTTTTGGGAAAGCGTCGATTATTCTCCACTCTGCCTCCAAGTTCGATTTCTTATACTCTCTGTCGGGTGTAAGAGTCGTTATGTATGTTCTATCGTGCTCTTAACCTGCCTTGAGCACGGGCGATAGCACTTATGCCGCTAGAGCAGATGCTGAACGTAGACAGGAAGGTTTTGCCGTACTACTATGGGCGTTGGATCCAGGCTTGGTTCATCCGACATGGGGAGTGGATTCATTATGATTCGGGGAACTAGCAAGCTGCGCAGAGAGACGTGCTGCCTGCGGCAGCGATAAATGATATCCTAGCAGTCCACTGCGACCAGGGTAACGTCCAGACGCAGCCTAACTGCTCCCAAATCCCGGAATGAACTACGCTGCGGACGAGTCGCTCAGGTCTCACTAAAGTACCCGCCACTGCGAAGAGCATAACGTACTAGCCTTGTGGAGCCTTCCGGCTGGAAGGTAAACTTTCGACAATACGGAAAGTAGTTTTCCCTTTTGACGTTGACCTAAGAGGGAGAGAGAGATCGTTATATTGTTGCTAGCTAGTGGTTCGTTTCTATTTTTTTTCTACAACGCGGTCGATGCGCGCTCCTCCATATCTTGCAGGCATGATTCACGATGCACATCTCACCGTTGAAAGGGAATGCGATGATGATCAATAGCCTGTTGTTCTGACTTACAAGTCGAATTTGCGTTGTGGTCGTAGCAAAGTATAGTTTTTCAGTTCAATTGTGTTTCAACCCTCAAGCAAGTGTATTCAGGTGCTTTTTCGCAGTTTATAGCAGAAGTTTTCAAAGTGAATTCGTTATCCAAAACAAAATACAGTTATGGAAATGGAAGAGGAGGATCCTGGGCGGCCGCTGTCACCGGCTGCCCGACAAAACGAGAAACAGTGCCGAGCCCAGAGGAACAGACGAAGAACAAGAAGCAGAACTGGGATTTCGTACGTCAGATGCAACTCGTGATGCGATACATCGACGAGAATATGGTGAAAGCCTTTCTTCGAGGCGATACCAAGGATCCCCACAAGCAAAAGTTTCTAGAGGCCATCAGAAATCGTGTCGCGTCCCACTCCATGAGGATTATCAAGACTTCTTCAGGAATAGTGCATTTGGTGACGAAGATGTATCGCGACTTGACATATATGAAAACAGTCGAGGTTCCGGGAGAAAATTTCAACAAGGCCATTATCCGCCACTTGATACTTGGAACCAGGTAAACGTCGAGGCCAAACGATCGAGTACACACCCTACAGGAAAATCACGCCGAATACCGCTTCACCAGTACTCGAGACAGGGGTAATTCGGATATTGACACTTGCGGGGCAATCAAGTGCATCATGAACCTGAAGAACCATATGACCATGAACCTCAAACGCTTCATGATACGCTACTTCGTTGCACTCTGCCCGGGTCTCGTTCGCAAAGGGATCTGGGGCGACATCGATGGCATCATGAACGATCGCCAGCATGAATAGGATATCGAATTCGTCGACCAGAAGACATCACCCAGGAGCACAACTGAAGCTTCTGTAATCCGCTCGGCTATTCATGAGCACCATGCTGTCTTGGGGCTGGCGAGTCCAGCAGAGAAGCTATCAGAAATGAAAAACGATGTAAAAGGATACTATCCCCTCATCCTGTGCTATTTCATGTTCCTGAACCTCTAGCCGAAGAAAGCTTTCAAACCATCAGAAACATTCGACGACGGCAACTCCACTGGAAACATAGCCGTTCGCAGCTGATTTTGCACCGAGTTGCGCGACGCGCTTGTCGCATGCACCCTGTAGCCGTCGCCTACGCATATGTTTATTTGCGAACGGCATTCAAATAGGTCACATGTCAATGAAAAGGTGCATTGCATGAACCGTGGATGCGCTGCCTTGCCGTTTGCTGGAAACTGCAGCAATCAAGAGGCACATCGATGAAAAGTTGCGATGCATGGTCCCAGACTCGCTGCCTTGCTGGCTGGCAGGAAACTCCAAAAAAAATCCCCACACGTCAGAGGCTAAGCAATCCAAACCACTCGAGTTTCGCGAGTCAAGAACGGCGCGATCCCTCTTGTAAACATATCCACATCCAAAAATCAAGTTCCAGGATGGGTCAGTTTAAAGCTTGGGCTCCAGCCATGGTAATAACGCAACCGTGTCATCCTCGATAGCAAGAACAGAATATTCCACTTATTTAACATGAAATATCAACAGCCAGTATAGAATCGCTTCGCGTTCCATTATCGTGACGTATCCGCGAGCGTTTCCGATGGCATCGCATCGATATCCAGAAGCTTTGCTCTGGATGCGCGTCTTCCCCCAAACACATACGACTGCAAACGCGCTGCGGGGCGTTCGCGAGCACTTGCGCAAGCCTAAGGAGATTTTGTTCGACCTTGATTTCAGTCAGGTGTCGGCTGCAACAAGCTTCAGTTCAAAACATATCATTCGCGATGTCGCCATCGGTGCGTCGTCGTTTGCACCGCAGTCGATGTACAGCTGGCGTATCGGTGCTTCTGTGTGCCTTCTTGGTTTCATGAAAATGACAGAGAACTTCATATGCCGCCCGAATGCCGCTAAGATACGCACCACCTGCGGTGGTTGGATGTTTCCGGCTGGTATGCTCGCCGGCAAAGAACAGGCGTCCATCCACTGACTCCGCAGCTGTGTCATAGGCAGCGCCAGAGCTCCCCACCGGAACGTAAGAGTATGCACCTTGAGAATACTGATCTGATCTCCAACGCGTCACAACTGTCTCGAGCGGGTCAGGAGCTTCGGGAAAAGCCAATCGTAGTCGCTGCATAGCGGATGCCGTGATCGCATCATCGCTCAGCATCTCCATGGAATCAGCGGCATCTGCGGGCAGCATACCCATGAGTGCAGGACATCCAATCAATGGCGTAAGGTCCCAGAACATATAGAAGCGTCCATCGTCGTGGGCCACCTCTTCAAGAGGGCATGCAACTCCGAACGAGCACAGCTTTGCGCTTTTTCGATCCGGATGCGTATGTGAAATCCAAAATGCACACGAAAAAAGGAGCACGATTTTGTTGAGGTTGCCATTGCCGACAGCGCGCAGGGCATCACGTTTCCAGACCGGCAACTCCGGGACAAAACGCAATAGTTTCGGGTCACGCAGAACACCGAGTGGTACAGCCAAAATGACGTAGTCTGCCAACTCGACACTGCCGTCACCACAAACAACCCGAACTGTGTCATTCATCCATTCAACTTTCTGCACTGGTCGCCTCAGCTGGATGTTCAAGCCGGTGGCTAGAGCCTGCACGACTTGGTCGAGTCCGCCCTCGACCATGCAGTGCTCACCTTCAAATCCGAAAGGATCATCTTGGTCCCAGTGACAGAGGGAGAGTTTCTCGAGCGGTGCTGCGCATGCGTATTCCAAGTTGGATACGTGCCATCGGACGATTGGCTGAAACTGATCAGGCTGCTGGTGGAGTTTCTGTTTCATGGCTTTTCGAAAAGCGTCTCCCAGAGATATACGATCAGCATCCCGGAGCTTCTGGCGCATTTTCACAGTCTCTTCAAGAATGCTGTTGTAGATGTCTTCGATTTTTGCGTCTAGCTCGGGGTCGAGAACCTCGTGAACACCAGCGAATATGGGACAACTCGGGTCGACTTCGCGTAAATGCAGCCTCAACTGATACAATGCAATTAAACCAAGGGGATTCTGGCGGACTCCGGTGATGATCATGGCACCGAGATCCATAGACGCCTGCCCGAGCGAAGCTCTATGCGTCCAGATTCGACCACCAATCCGCGGACGGGCCTCCAACACCCGGACATCAAATGCTGGCTCGCATGCCCGCAAGTGCCGGGCAGCTGCAAGGCCTGCGATGCCTCCACCGATGACCAAAACTCTTGCAAGCGACTGGACACCATAGCTGGCGAGCTGTTGGAGAGGTACGGCGCCAAAGAGGATCTTGCCTCTCCAGTGCAGGAAACGGAAACAAGCGCGAACGAGTTTGGTATATTCTGATGGTGTCTCCTGCTCAATATCCTCTGTGGATAGCCACTGCGTAGGATTACGCCACCACTTCCGAATGATATGATTTCGCACATCCAGAAAGAGGTCCGTGAGCGCTGATACATACTCGGGGAACTGGGCTGCCTCCTCAGGTTCGATCTCATTGACGGTGATGCCAGACCGCACCACAGCGGCAATATGTTCGCCTGGATTGAAGCAATCAAGCTTTGGCAAGTCACTTTGCGTAGCTGTGTCCACCGCCTCTGCGAGCAACTTCTCGCAGGGCTCTAACCACTTTCGGTAGGTCTTCCCGAGAGCGTTTCCCGCATTCGTTGCCGTCCATGCCAGTCGCTGTTGCTGGGCTATCGGTTGAAAAGCCCGTTGCTGGTGCACCGTATGTATGCCTCCTCCAGCACGTACGCCCTCAAATAGCATAAACAAGTCAATCTGGCGCCAGCCAACCCGAGGAGCCTTTAGTTCAGCGAAGCCCTTCTCGGTCCAATAGCTCGTCAGGGCTCGGTCGAAAGCTGCGCGGCCGATCAGCCGACAAAGCGGGTCATCTGGTAGCGTCGACAAAACTGAGCAATCTTTCATTTGTCTCTCTGTACTACCTTTGACCTAACACAAAGATCCTATTCCCTATGGAAGAGTCTTATGGACACACTTGCGCGGCATGCGCCACTCAGAAGCAAGTCTGCGCGACAAGCCGCGAGGCGAAAAATGCGCGGATCGATGCCGGAAGTGCAGCAACTTTTGGCGATCCGCTTGGGAGACAAAGACAGAGAGAGAGAACGAGCCGCGAAGCAGCGCAACCATCCCGAATACGATGTGATGGGTATATGTCGCTGCTCACCACTGCTGCATCAGCATACCAAGGAGCTTTACCCGCTCAAGCAGGGGATGCGCTTCAGCGATGCACAGTGCCTCCAACGCTGCGGAGTGCATCTTGCAATCGATGCCATACCTGTTTATCTAGCATTCTGGAATACAGCAGGCAGTATGCACCTACAGCAATCAAATATTCGTTCCAGTAGTGCGGCTCGAGTCCTATGGAAATGCTGTAAGCGCACGCACACTTTTCTTCCATGTGAATAAGCCACGCCATGAGACCAGCGCTCATTGGACGTTCCGGTTCCCGAACAGGGGCATCTCTTGTCGAAGATCATGGAATTGCGCTCGGGCGTTTATCGCGCACACTCAAGCTTCATGGACATCGAATGTACCAATCATCCGATAACGTCGAGCCAACAACCGCAGGGGAATGGTGGAGCTGCTCTGTCTTCCTACGGCGTCTGCAAGGATCCAACAGGCGCGTTGGTTAGACAAGGTACACTGCAGTGTGTTTGAACGAACCATGATCCGCAAATGAATTGTCAAGTCTGACGTTCGCGGAATCTTCAGGTCTGAAGCAGACTCTTGTTTGTTTCCCTGCATGCCGGAACCAATCGTGAACTCGAAGGGTCCCGGTTCGATGCATCGATCCTAAGCTATCATCATTGTCATCTCGTCCGCCGTGGTGACACGCTCACGGCACGTACCTATGCTCATTTTGTTTTCAGCGACGTGCTCGCTGTATAAGCGCCGTCTAGAAACTTGCGTCTGGCGTGGAAGGCTTCCCTGACGTGAAGCGCTCCCAGAGGCACACCTATACCGTACAGATTAAGAATTCGACTCGCGCAAGCATGCAGCTCCATTGTTCATAGGAAATGCTTCGCTCGGATGCATCTTCACCTACCCGAGGTTGAAAAGCGTCGCAGCATTTTACGAGACATGCGCTTTCATGAGTAAGTTTCTTCAGCGCCAGAACGTACGAAGCCAACACTAGTTCGCCCGTGTTGCTTACCTTGATGTCCATGTTTCCGCCGCAACGTAACTGTCGCCTAAGAGGTCGTATCGCACCAATTATCAAGAATTGGAAGATGTCCAACCGAGGCTTTCGATTTTGCACCCGCATGAAGGCTGGTTGCACAGAACACTGCTCCAAGCCGATGAAAGGTGCTGAACAGCGGGACATAATCAACAATTTCGCTCCCGAAGAGCCAACCACTTCACACAGAAGACTGCTCCATGTTCGTGACAGGTGCATACAAGCGGAAAAAATCAGTGATTTCGCTCTTGTAGAGCCAACAGCATCCCGTAACGGCTGTTCGATTCACGAAGAAGCTCCTCATGTGTGCCGTATTCGACAATCTCGCCATTCTCCATAACCGCAATGCGATCAGCATCTCGAACGCTTGAGAGACGATGAGCAATAAAAATAGTGGTTCGTGGGTACGCGCTTGATGCGAATAGCTCACGAAGACTCGAAAGAATATGAGTTTCATTTTCGGCATCGAGAGCGCTGTATGCTTCGTCGAGTATGAGAACACCCGGCTCGCGGTAAAGCGCCCTAGCGATAGCAAGGCGCTGCCGTTGCCCACCCGACAGATTTGAGCCACCTTCTCCAACCAGCGTTTCGTACCCTGCAGGCAGATCCTTCACAATGAAATCGTGTGCTTTTGCTAATTGGCAACAATATTCAACTTTCATGGGGTCCATTGGCAAGCCAAACGCAACGTTCTCCGCTACTGAGAAATTCAACATCGGTGCGTCCTGGGGCACCACGCAAACCTGTCGGCGAACATAGTCAAGCGGCATGGATCGGATATCGACACCGTCCAGGTACACGAAACCGCGCTGTGGATCACACATGCGGCTCAATACAGCAATCAATGTTGATTTGCCGGCACCGCTTCCGCCAACGATGGCTACGCGCTCGCCTGGATGAACAGTCATCGTGACGCCACGCAGCACATATTCCGAATCTGGTGCATAGCGGAACCATACGTTCCGTACTTGGATTTTTGATGCGGCTGGTTTGGGAATACTGGAGGTCTCTATTTGAGTACGCTTTTTGGGACGCAGGTTGATAACACGAAACACTCGTCTTGCCGACTCCTCGCCTTCTTTCACACTCCCCAGACCAGAGGCTATCCCTTGCACTGGCTCTATGAGAAATGCCACAGCGGCGATGAAGGAAACGAGCTCTTTCGGCTCGAGATAACCCCAACTGATACAAAGTGCGCTTGCATAGAGCATTGTCAGGACTGTTATAGCGTAGCAAACAGATATAGCAGGTACAATCCCGGCTCGAATAAAATGCATGCGGTTCTTTGCGAGAAGGAGCTCTTTCGCGAATGCTTCCAGTTTTGACGCAGCAAAATCCTGTGCTAAATACAACTGCAGGAGTTGCCGATTCCGAAAAGAGTCTGCAGTCGCTGCAGCGTACCGAGCGAACAGCTTCTGCGCCTGTCTTACATACTGGTCCAGTCTTCGTTCAAGAATCGCATAGACGACAGCCATGAGCGGTGCGGTACATAATATACACAGTGTCAAGGGCAGAGAAACATACAACATATAAGCAAGCATCACGACGAATTGGAGCACGCTGGGCGCAAGCGAGCGGAGAACGAGAAGCATGGCACTACCTACCCGCTCTATCTCCATGGTGGCTTGCATGGAAGCTTCACCAGAGTCTAGGGCGCCCTCCTCTAGACCGAAATCAAGGGCGGACGCAACATAACGCGCCCTGAGCGCGTCTTCGACAAAGTTGCATGTTCGGGATAGCCATACATCCTGACCAAACTGAGATGCTACCCGCAAAAGGAGCGCAACGCTGCAGCCGACCGCTAGTTGGCCCACGTTTGCCAACGAGCCGGCAGCCACGGCCGAGCTTAGACGCCCGAAGAGGCGAATAAGCCACAAAAGGGACGAACTCGACATAAGGGTGCATAGTCCCGAGAAAACAACCTCCTTTGTGTGTGTCCTGATCAAGCTAGCGAAAACCTGAGCCAATTGCCACCGACCAAGGCTTTGAATACCTGCCCCAATAGCCGAGTCGCGGGAGATGCTTTGAAGTTGTGTCACACTGAGCTTTCGCAAGCGCTTTCTAGGAACGGCTACCACTTTCGGAGCCCTCCGTCCCAGAAAGCAAACGACAGGAGACACCAGATATCGCGACTGCTGACAGAGCTGATCGTTGCCACCATAGAACGCAACACTACTCCATAAACTTGGAACGATGAAAGCTAGCGAGCGGCATTCTTGGACAAGGTGCCTTCCCCTTGCCATAGCTTTTGGACTACACCGTTGCTGCTGGCGTCTTCGACAGGGCGCACTGCGGGGCCACTGACCCGCACGGGCTCGACCGTCGAGATGGACGTGCTGCCGGGGTCGTCCCAACCTGCGCTAAACGCTCACTCGTGTCATATTAACATGGAATACCGGACTGGTAGCTCCGTGCCTGCCTTTCTGTCTCTTTCCGGACCTTTTTTGGATGTACATCCTAGACATTCAAGGTGCAGCGACGGGGGATTACGGATTCATGCACAGTATCAGAGTTCGTGGTCGTCGTTTCAGAGCGGCTTTTTCGAGCTTTTGCCGCTGGAATCCGTTCCGCTACGGGGTAGAAGATGACCCGCTGCGCCCTTGAGTAACGGTTCGTAAAACAAGCCGTGTCATTATCCACTGCATACGTAGAATCCTCCACTGTTCTCATTTCCGTACCTGCAGCATGCTAAAATCATACATGCTTAAAGTATTCGATCCGTTCGATTCATGGTGGTCCATGGGCGCAGCAATTCGCGCCTTTAGATAAACAATGAAAAATGCGACTTCATTGCCGGACGACTTGTTAACAAGCCCATGCCAGAAGCTCATTGAAAATATCAAATGAAATAATTGATTCATTTGAAAATATAGATCGTTGTCTCTTTGTCATCATCGACGAAACGCAATTCGACACTAGCATAACGTTTGTTACGGGTTTTTCTTCCAGGATATCTCGCTCAACTGTTTGCGCGGAAAAGATTCTTGGACTTTGGGCATCGGAGCAATGGCTTCTAACTGAGCATGCGTTATCAACTTGCATAAAGGGAGCGAAGACGGATCGAATTTTTTCGACGTGATCATCATCCTGAATACTCCTTCTGGAACATGTTTCATCATAAACAATACAGTATGACGCAAATTCTCTACTTAATGGCGATACTTGCGCTCGCGCCCGCGAGGGATGGATTACTCGCCTTGGATTTCTCTTAGAACTAGCCCATGATCGTAGGATTCGGCTACGAGCACGGAAACGGCGGAGGACATGAAGCGAAGCCTTCTGGACCCGTCAGGAGCATCTACCAAGCCTTTCGTCGATAATTACAAAGAGACAACGATCTATATTTTCAAATGAATCAATTATTTCATTTGATATTTTCAATGAGCTTCTGGCATGGGCTTGTTAACAAGTCGTCCGGCAATGAAGTCGCATTTTTCATTGTTTATCTAAAGGCGCGAATTGCTGCGCCCATGGACCACCATGAATCGAACGGATCGAATACTTTAAGCATGTATGATTTTAGCATGCTGCAGGTACGGAAATGAGAACAGTGGAGGATTCTACGTATGCAGTGGATAATGACACGGCTTGTTTTACGAACCGTTACTCAAGGGCGCAGCGGGTCATCTTCTACCCCGTAGCGGAACGGATTCCAGCGGCAAAAGCTCGAAAAAGCCGCTCTGAAACGACGACCACGAACTCTGATACTGTGCATGAATCCGTAATCCCCCGTCGCTGCACCTTGAATGTCTAGGATGTACATCCAAAAAAGGTCCGGAAAGAGACAGAAAGGCAGGCACGGAGCTACCAGTCCGGTATTCCATGTTAATATGACACGGGAGTACCAGCAGGCTATGGAAAGAACAAAGCGGCCCTAGTGCTTGGGCCCAGCATAGTCTGCCTTCGCGACAACAGCAAACCATCTCGCACGAACACGTATCGAGCCGTCACCTTCATGCTTAGCGCACTGAGTGATTTCCAGGCAATCTACTGACAGAATCGATGCAAGTCGGCTAGAACGGCGAATGGGTGAAATTACCATCAATGGATGCGCGTGACGCATGCCACTTATCCAACAGGTATCTTTTTGAAACTTCCATAATCTATAGCAGACTTGCACCAGCGCAGGGAACGACGAAGGCTCTCCGACGGCTTTCGAGGTGCTGTTGCCTGGACGCGGTAGGTGCATGCCGGTTCGCATCCTGCTAACCAAACTTCCGGATCAGAAGCGATCCAGCATTAGAGACACGACACAGCTCCGAACACATCTGTGATGCATCACAGCGTCTGCACCTGTTCACAGCCCATGATCAGCTTCCGCTGAGAGACTCACCACTCGGTGACAGGTAGCTAATGCATTCGTCCGATGCATCTTGCGATCACGTGTACGACGCGGTTTTGGAATCTCTCTAGAGGTCCGCAGCACTGCAAAACACGCTCCGTGCAGGTTCAACACGGCACTGCTGACCATTTTTCTTGTGGAATTTCGTGAACGCAAGCTTGTAGGCGCAGCCCGGCCGCTCTATCATTCCCTCAGCATCTCAACCGTGAAGCATACTGCAGCTGAGACGGTGCCCACAACAGCACTTGCTGCGAGAAAATAGCCAGCACTCCCGGGGCGCAGTTGAGCTCCATTCGAAGACGAGTGCAGCGCAAGCCGATTCCTCAAAGCGATGAATAGCCACTTCATCCAGAGCGTCGAGATCCCGCTGGCTGTTCCAGCTGCGGCTGCTATCAGGCGCGGATTCCGTAGCTGTTCAACCGTAGAGAGTTTCTCTAAAACATGCCCAGAGGAGTGATCGAGGATCTTATCCGTCCAGATCGCGCTCTGGCGGTCCAGGAAACAGTATATTCCATAATACTGGGCAGTGAAGACGCCAAATTCCGCTGCACGTCCGATCGCACTGACAAAAATCATACTCATATACAAGTGTGACGGGTACGCAAAAGGTCTCGGTACTCGAAACTGCCATAGGTGTCTCCAGTCGAGAGCCTTTCCCCACGCCGTGTTCGTGCAGTCCCGCACGCTGTTGTCCACGTGGGCAGTATCAGAGCGGTGGGAGCCCCAGACTCGGTGTACCCCAACAATGGCGCCCCAAGCGAGGCCCAGAGGAACGCCTTTCAGCGCTCCGTCGAGTACCTGAGAGGTACAAGACCAGTCTGGTTTGCGAGTCCTTACTGGCTCCGCCATGGGACCCGATCAGAGACCAACACCCGCAGCAAAACTGCCATTGCAGTCTCGGCCTGTGAGCCACAAAAAGCAAACGGTGCTGAGCGTTTCGCTGCCCTTATGCAACAGAGACGTCACCGCTACCCCTTTAGCCTCGCAGGTTGCTCTCTGGTAGATACCCACTCAAACGTACTAGGCCGCAGCTTGCTCACGAAACCAGTGAAGCGTCCTGCATCGCGCAGGTACCTGCTTCTGACAAGCGCTCGACGCGAAAAATTTTCATGCGTTGCTTGATGGACGAGGACGTTGCTGAGACAGTCTCTGCCAGTGGAGCCGGGTGCGTTCTCGGGGATTTCGGGGCGTTTGGGGAAGATCGTACCAAGTTTTGGGAATGCCACAGCCATCCGAGTTAAGTAAACTTGGAAAGGGCAGCTGCCAGCCAAAGCCCCCCGCGGGACTTGCGTTTGTGGCCTTGGGACTGGACGCTAGACGCATAGTAAGAGCGCTGGTACACTGCGGCTACCGCGAACCCACTCCAATCCAGCGCAAAGTGATACCTCTGATTTTGTCTGGAAGGGATGTGGTTGCCATGGCCCGCACCGGTTCTGGAAAGACAGCTGCCTTCTTAGTGCCGCTGATCCAGCGCATAGCGCTCCATCCGACGCAGTGCGTCGGTGTCCGCGGGCTCGTGCTATCACCCACGAGAGAGCTGGCTCTACAGACCTTCAAGTTTTTATGCGAATATGCAAAATATGCAAGGTTGCGGGCAGCGCTTCTCATCGGCGGAGAGTCACTGGAAGCACAGTTCGCCGCACTTGCGCAAAATCCCGAGGTTTTGGTCGCGACTCCTGGTCGCCTGCTGCAGGTGCTTGACCAAGTTCCTCACTTTTCTTTGAAGCTATTGGAAATAATCGTTCTCGACGAGGCCGATCGCTTGTGGGAAGGCAATTTGGCCAGTGAATCGAGGCGAATACTCGACATGCTGCGGGGTACACCGCAGGTTGAGAACGTGTCGGGCCTGAACGTTGCTGCTCAGACACAGAAAGTGCTGGTATCGGCGACATTACCAAAAGATCTCGCAAACTTTTCGCAGATGGTCCTCTCATCGCCTGCATTTGTGCGGCTTGATGAGGAAAAATTGCTCTCCGAAGCTGTGGAGACCGGCTATATTTTCTGCAGGCAGGAAGAAAAGATCGCTGCTCTGATCCATGTACTGCGCACGCTCTTAGCGTCCAGCAAACGGATTTTAGTATTTTTTGCCACGAAACATCATGCGGCATATGCACATAGGCTCTTATCTAGGTATGAAAATTGGCCAGTCGCTTGTATTCACGGTGGGATGGACCAAATATGCAGAAAGAGGACCCTAGAGGAGTTCAGAAAGAAGGAACAAGTCTCACTTTTCGTGACAGATGTGGCAGCGCGCGGGCTCGATTTACCACAGCTGGACGTGGTGATCAATTTCCATTTCCCACCAAGCCCGAAACTATTTGTGCACCGCTGTGGACGAGTCGGTAGACGCGGACGCAAAGGGTGGTGCTGGTCTCTCGTGTCGACAGATGAAGTACCATATATGCTCGACGTGTGGTTGTTCGCCAACGACGGGAAATCTTTTGCCTTCCGAGAATCCAGTGAAGAGTGCCCCGTGGATGTCGGTAACCGCGGGTACGTGCGGGACCTTAGATCCCAGAACGTCGGTCGCGTGTCCTCTGCCATTTGCCAAAGTATTGCAGAGCGTATACAGAGGGCCGAAATGGAAGATGCAGAGCTGCAATCGCTCCATCAGAGTTGCGTCCGTGCCTATGATCTGTACCGAAGAACGAGGATCAAAGCATCCGGAAGCTCTGTTGTGCGTGCACGACATCTTCGTAATGAGTACTGGAGCCACGTGTCGATTCACCCGATTTTTTCCTCTGCGACTGCTCAAGAGGAAACGCCTGCACAGGAGCAGGCTGGGAGAGTGGTCCAAGTTCCAAACAGTGACGGCCCGGAGACAAAACGAAGCGAAGTGCTCCGGGATATTCACTGCTGGCGACCACGTGCGCCCGTTTGTAACGTGCAGCAGACAATATCCGGCCATCACGCATTGCTTCGCACTGCCTCAGGTCCGGGACCTCGTCTTAATGAAACTATCTGCCGGGAGACTGAGGCCAATGATACAACCACGGCGCCTAGCAGTACCGCTGCTTTGGACGAAGCAGCCGCGATTTCTGTGGACTGTGGACAGAGCGATGCCTCGTCCGCTGATCGAATAGAATCGAACACAAGAGAGAAGCCTCGCCAGCGGAAGCGTGCTCGTGAGGCGCTGCTGCAGCGGGAGCACACGTTCGCCGTTCCAGCAGAACCTCCTGCCTCGACAGTTACGGATCGGATCCGGGCGGCCTTTCTGCAGCTGGATCAGAGTACGGACGTCGATCCGAAGAAAAATGACAACAGTGCTAGTGGCGTTGGAGGATTGGGAGCATCTGTTTCTCGCCGATCATCCAGCCTACAATGGGACTTCCGTCGTAAGAAATTCATTCGAACAACGTCACAGAATGGAAATATCAACGATATTCGGGTTCGGCGAAGACTGCGTCGAAAGTTTTCAGAGGAGAAGAAACAAAAGAATGCCACCCGAGATACCGTTACAGCCTATGAAAGATGGACACAGAAAACACAAGCCTACATTCAGCAAACAGGAGCTTTGCCTAGATCATCCATATCAACGCTAGCGCTCCAGACTGTGCGCAAACCTGATTATCGCAGCAAGCAGAAAAAGAGCTCGCGGTGGCGTTCGCGACATGCTCCACTTGGGCTTCATATCGACACAGAAGTGATGCCGAGCTCCGCGCAGATGATCTCAAACCGAGCTGTAACGCGCTCTCTTCCTGAAATTCGGAAGCATAGGAAACGCAAGGCCGTGATTCAACATATTCAGCGAAAGATCGGGAAACCAAGCCGTTCGAGAAAGTAGGGAGCGCATCCTGCGACAGCATGGACGAAACTGCAGATCAGAACATGCCGGGAACGTCTTTCCCAGCAATGAAACTTTAGAGCATAGATGCCATACATGCACCACTTAGATAGCCTGCGGCAAATCCGATGTGGCAGTCTGCCCCTGAAAGCACATGAATGGAGCCAACCTGTTTGCGGGCGGACTGGGATATTCCGCAGACGAATCCCCGGAATTTTTCCACGTTGCCTAGTGCCGCAATGCCACAAGGCGGGTGTGTCTGAGCGGAGCTCGATGCATGAATTGTGACGCTGCAGCTAGTGACTTGGATGGAATACGTTAATCTGCCCGGATAATGCCATCTACCGTTCATGTTTGCATCGATTCGATCCTTGGATATCCTTGCAGACCGCAAACCTGTATCCGCCATAAAGCTCATGTTTTGGTCATCCTGAGACCTCTCCGCGACTGCCGTCAGCGCACTAGAACGATCCTCTCCCCAGCGACTGCAGTAAGCTCATGGCTCCGTCCTTGTTTTCCCCAATGATCAGTATCGTCACGAAGATAACGGCAAGCAGCACGCCTACGAGTAACTCTCTTTCAGAACCCGATTCCCTGGATTGCCCGGCTTGGTTTAAATTACGCAACTTTCGAATGATACACATGACTTCATCATCGCCTGGTTGTCTGTTTTCGTACTGCGTTTGATCAAGGGTCCCAACTTTGGTGTACACAATTTTGGACCTTTCTTGCATGGCTCGTTGCCAGCTGGCTGGGTGCAGCCTGGTCGGCGAGCATGCGAAAACATTCCAGTTTTCACCAAATGAACGTATGAGCACACCGTGCTCTACAGCGATGAGATCCGGCCGCAAAATCTCCACAATTGGCTCCATGAAGAAGCCGATCTGGAAACTATACAGAAACTGCCGTCTCCTGTCAATTTCGCGGATCGACAACGTGACATTATCAGCCTGATCCTCGAGGTATGGATTCAAGAGAATCCAGATAACTTGAAAGTCGCGTCCTGGTCCATGTGATGAGACAACATCCAGCGCCTGCATCTGTTGCTGGATCAGGTTTTCAAGCCGCGGGATCGCCGAGTCACCGCGAAGATTTCTTGGTTCAACGATGATGATGAAACCTCTCCACGTCGCTGATTTCTTGGACAGAAGCTCACTAGCGTCCCATGTAGCATTTGCAGACTCCTCTCCAAAACAAGAAAACTTTGCCGATGCCTCTCCGCAAGGCGTGACGTCGCCCAGTTCATCGAAAAGACTTTTGGCCGCGTTCGCCTTACCTGCTGAAGAAAACACCAGTCTTACTTCGTTCAACTCATCACCTATTGAATAAAAATTCGTGGCGGTCAATTTTTGGGCAAATGCGTAGGTCAAAGCGAAAAGAAGCGTTTCCGAGTACGGCACCGTTGTTTCAAGTTTCTCGTTAATGCCAGGCAGAGCAACGACACACCTCAGACGTGTGCAACCGGCATTAACAGCCTTGAGGATCGAGTCACTGAGTGTTTCAACTGTGTTCTCCAGGTCCAACGGAGGCTGCGCATCCGTAGAGAGTACAGAGGAACCCAGCAGCCCACGAGCACCCGAAGCGCCTTGCGACCCGTCCAGCCCCTGAAACGCAGTAGTCTTGTGGGCCAAGCCTGGTGCCCCGCGACGCTGTTTGTCTGCGAACGGCGCTCTTCGTGGGAACACAACCCGGTGCTCTGGTCTGTGTCCACGAGCTCCAGCGAGTCTTCGCCTGAGCCTCCTGAACGAGACAAAGGTTGGGTTGAAACTGGTACAGTCTACACTGAGGCTAGAAAGGAAGCATGATGCACCAGCTTGCACGTGACTGTACCCGTTTACGAGCATAGACACAGCCGGTTCGGATTCTGAACCCTTGGAGATTCTTGTGTACTTGCGGCATCTCGGGGAAACGGGATCGATGAGCTTGCGGCAGAGGCAGTTTTGCACAGATGGAAATAATTGTATCAATAGGCACATGAACCAAAAGAATTCGCACACGCGTCCGCTTGACTAGAAACGCCTCGCTTTATTACGCTTGGCTTTCAAGACGTTGCCCGGTGTGCTTTGAACACTTCTTCGCAATGCCAGTCAAGCATTTGTCTCTTGAGGCTCGAAAGCGCAAGCCCGAGAAGCGGAGCGCTCTCTGGCACCAGAAACCGCTGCCACAGCAACTTGCCGGGGAAGTCCAACCGGTTCGTGCCAGACCACGTCGCAAGAGCCTTGACGGCGCTCAGCGCGAGGCACGCTCTCCAGGTCATTCGAGTTCCGACTCCGATGAACTTCGAGATGTTGAACAACTTAAGGGATCTTTGGCGTTCGATCTATTTCAAGGTGATTCAAGCCACAACCGGGAAACTCGGGCGTTACAACTTGCGACGGAGCAACTACTTGAAACTGATTATGATCTGGACGAAGCGGCACTCGTGTGGGGAGCCACGGAACCTGGACGCCCTAAACGTCGGCGCGCTTCCAGTAATTTAGGTGAGATCGAGTTCGAGTCAGACTTCTCAAAGTCTGAGGAGTCGTCGCTATCAGGGTCCAGTGACACTTTTTCGGATTCTGCCGTTGAAGATAGTATTGTCCACTCAGAAGATTCCACTGCACTTCTACAAATGACGGAGGAAGAACGGGACGCGCTTAGATCATTTGAACTTTCGCGTGCTGATCCGTCTGCAACAATCAACTTGGCGGACTTGGTTGCAGCAAAGCTCCGTGAGGGCGCCGCCGCATCCCCTGGTGGCCTCCCCGGTGCTGGGAGCGCAACGGGCGCGCCAGAGAGCCAAAGTCGAGAGGCTAGATTTCGTCAACTTTACGAATCTGTAGGTGAAGTGATGCATCGATACAAATCCGGCAAGGTTCCAAAAGCGTTCAAGCTCATGCCGGCTCTGAGGGACTGGTACGACGCGATGTGGCTGACCCGGCCAGAGCAATGGTCGCCTCAAGCTCTTTTCGTCGCTACGAAGGCATTCGCGTCGAACTTGGACCAAGCAGCAGCTCAAAAGTTTTATACCTCTGTTTTGCTGCCGAGGTGTCGCGAAGACATTTCTGCAAGAGGCAAATTGAATGTACACTTATTTCAAGCCTTGCGAAAAGCGACGTACAAACCGCAGGCTTTTTACAAGGGCCTAATCTTTCCATTGATCGATAATGAGTGCTCACTACGAGAAGCAGCGGTTTTTGGTGCTGTCTTGAATCGTTGTCACATTCCGGCCCTACATTCGGCGGCTGCGTTACTCTATCTGTCCCAGAAGCCGTATTCTGGACCCGTCGCACTCTTTATTAGAGTGCTTTTAGACAAAAACTATGCGCTCCCCCGCCGCGTCATCGAAGCATTGTTGAAGCACTTCCTTCGGACTCGAGGGGACTGCCGCGATTACCCTGTACTCTGGCACCAGAGCCTGCTCGCCTTCGTGCAATACTTTAAGTCAGATCTTTCTGCAGCGCAGGTGGAGTCCCTTCGTTCGTTGCTTCGGGAAAAGCGGCACCATTCAATTACACCTGCGATTCACCACGAAATTCAGAGCATTGTCCAGCAGAGAGACGGGGAGATTTGAGCTGACCACAAGCGAAGAGCGAACTCACTCTGGCGTTGGCAGCTCGAGAAGCGTCTCCGAGAGTCAGCAGGTACGCCATCAGGCACGTGAGCTACCGCGTTGCTGCTGTGACGAGTCGTCACTGCAAGCGCTTTATTCGACCGTGGTTCTGCTACATTTCAGATACACAAGCCCATGGCCTGCTCCAGATTACCAATTCAAGCCCGAACGCGGACGGCAGCGTCTGCATATCCTGATGCGGCAACGTGCCAGGAACTCTAGATATTCGGACCCAAGCATGCCACCTGAAGTGGGAGCTTGCCTGGCACCATGCTAGAGAGCGCCGCATCTTCGGGAACAAATTCGCCTTGTTCCCGTGGCGACATGATTGCGCAGAGTGCGTACCACAATAACGCTCGCGAGGACGGCTCTGCTGAGTGACCAGTGTACTGCTCGGAGACTGGTATTTGGCTCAATGTGCTTTGACAAGGAAATTCACACCGCTTGGAATGAATTTGATGCGAGATGGCTCGCTGGAATGCGCGGTCTAACTCACGTGACTTTCTGAAAAATCGAGTCGTTCAAATAGGCTTGTATATGGCGAGAGCGCGAATCGCGAACCAAGAATCTAGGCTTCTGTGTCGAGTTTCGTGTAAAAGATTCACTTACGCTGGATCGAGAGCCCACGATCCTCGCCTCACAAACGCGTACCGTTTCTCGGCGAGCGCCTCTCGTTCCGTCGCTTCGCTCTACATCCGAGGACGGTTGCCTGCGAGGTCTCGACGTCGCAAGCAGTGCTCTTTCATTCATAAGTCGCGGAAATCCGTTGACGTTCGATGCATTTCCTCTATTGTCCACGATCGAATCTGCTTCAGAAACATGCTGGGCGAGTTTTCGTTCCTCCATAACTCATTTGACATTCCTAGCGAGCGTCCGGCCCACACGCGGTGCACAGGAGTAATCACTCGAGTTGCGGAGACGAGGAAAACCTCAGACCATTGCGCACGCTCCTCAACTAGAGGAGGTTTCTCGAGTCGAAGTGGAACGTTGTGCGCTTCGCAGACCCTAAGGACTAGCTCCCGCATGTGACCGTGTAGTACGTCATTCACGGCAGTAGCAACATACCCCTCTTTGTAAATGAAAAAAATATTGCTCACAAGGCCTTCAAGAATGATCAGCGACGTAGATGCTCTCCGCACAATTACAAGCTCAATAGAGTCGGCGTGTTCTCGAAGTTCCTCGCATCGCTTGCGATCACGAACCCAGCCACTGTACTTAATGCTAGGATTGGACCGTTCTATTCCTAAATGGAACTCAACCTCCGCGTGCTTGGATACCACTTCGTGCTCTACTGTTGGTGGAGCAAGTTCAGAGCAGCGCACGAATACGGGTACAGTTTCATGCAGGTTACAACACGCTTTGGAATCGCTGGTTCTCGCGGAAAAGACTTTATTTCCATCGACGCATGGAATGTAGATAATAATCAGAGCCTCTGCCGCCTCGCCGTTTCCACCCTGTTTACGCTGATAGACGAGGGCCCACTGGTGAAGTGCAGTTCTTATACTATCCCTCAGTTTCTTGGTGGAAAAAAGGGAAAACCGACAGCTCGCGGCTTCTGTATCCTCTAAAAGGGGCTGTAGCGGTGCTCTGCCAGCGTCCTGAACCAAAGCTGCAAGCGTTCGCTGCAAGCGTTGAACGTGGAAAGCATAGCACACAATGCTTCTGCCTCCGTTCACGGTACGCGCCGCAGTGTACGCACCCTGCGGGAGTTCGAGTAGAAACGCTGCCGGCGAATAACTGTGCAAAAGCTTCCATACAACAGCGGCGTGCTCCGCGGGTTGCACACCAAGCTGCTCTAGTGCACTCTTGAGAACATAGACGGCTCCCGAGTCTGAAGTGGTCAGAGCGAGCGCGCTTGAGACTGCAACGCCGTTAATGACCAGTACCGTTGCGGACTCATCGAACGCCACCTCGCCCATTCGACAGACCCCCAGAGCTTTCGAAATAGTGAGTAGTGGCGACACCTATTTAATCTCAGAATAAGTTTCCGCCATATCGTCAACAGACAAGAAGATAAACTGGGTCTAGTGCATCGCATGTACCGAAAATGGGGCGTCCCGTTTCAGACTTTCAATTCAATTCTATTCCACCTTTGCTGCGATTTATTGGAGGAGGTCAAAATCGCTTTGCAATGTATATATCCTAGACGAATTGCTTGCAGGACGCATTCATTACTGTGCAGTGCAAGGAGGACAGCTTCCTTCTTCAGGCCAGTCATAACACAGCACTCAGATGCTTGCGGAACATTGAAAGAAACAAGTATATGCGCTGCGCATCAAAAACCGGTATTCTCAAAGAGTGCTTGCGATCGATTGTAGAAAACGGCCTGTTTATCACCTTACGGGAAGCAAAAGCAACGATAGCAGCCATCATGAGCGCCTCTCTTTCTCAACAGCTTGTTCATGTGGTCCTAAAAACATTCGGATACAGTCGAAGAAAACGAGACTTAGTTCACGCACGAGAGTCTTCTACCGAAATCGCAACGACTGTGTTCCTGGAACCTCGAGGTCGATGTGAAGCACCAGGACGTTGGTTTGTTTTTCTGACAGTCGAAGAGACTTGCGTCGGAGGAAAAGGTCGGAGCGTGTGCGGGTTTTTGCGGTTCAGGGAGCTCGTTATCTGCACGATGGAACTCGAAGAGATCGAGGATATCATCATAGGCTCTTACTGCAGTAGATTCATTCTGCGGCATAAGTTTCGCTGGTACAGAAGGCTCACATAATAGCAACAACCATCTCATCGAATCATTGAAGATTTTTCCCTGACGCTTGGCGGCTTCTGTCCATTGGACAACATGCATTTCATCAAGTCATTTGCGTTCGAGCTTTTCCGATTTCATCGACATAGAGATGCTTTCCATACCCCCGTACGCTCCTTGGTTGAAACCAATCCAAGGAGCGTTTTCTGTTGTAAAAAGTAATGATAGCTCCGCTGGGCGGATCGTTGATGCCTTCAGCTCACAGTAACACACCGGGGCACATATCGTCTTTCTTCCGCAAGTGCTCCTTCCTCCGGGAAGGTCATCATCTGAGGCTATTCAGAATTGCGTTCATTTTAAAAAAAATAAATGGATGAGCCTGTGTGTACGTTTCAGAGGTTCAATATGGAATGAAGGCGGCGAAGCGTATCCTCGACAGAAAAGCAGAGAGAGCTGACAGAGCAGCAAATGGCACAGAGGGCACGGGTCCGTGATCTCCTTTCATTGATGAGTTTATGCAGCGGCAAGAAACGCGTCGAGATCGTGAACGCAGACTTTGACTCTGCTATCAACATCAGAAGATGTGCATTGATGAAAACGAGACCCGCAGAGCTGACGCGATCCAACGATGTAGGGGAGCTTCTAAAAGCCGAAGTGTACAAGCAGAAACTGAAGCCGATACCAGGGGCCAGTCAAAAAACGCTGGGAGGCGCTTTGAGTGGATACTAATTTACCCTCAGTGGTCGCGAAACTTTTTTTCTTGTACTGACATGTCGTCTATTAACGAAGTTTTCCGTAAAGCACGGATGGATACCGATTTCGCAGGGCTCTATCTTTTGCATGCGAGTCTGATCTCCTCTGCTTCATACGTGTCAGCGTCAAAATAGAACACTGAACAGCTCGCTCTTATCTCGCTTCTCGAATTTTTCCCGAACTTTGCTATGTGCACAGCATCGAAAGTCGAAGCACATCAAGAAATACTTTCAGTCTCTCACGTAGGTTTAGAATGCTCTATTGTCATTTCAGAGTGGTTCCTGCCAAACCTAGGTACTGGAACACGTTATGCCATCCTCATTGATATGGGCAGTGGCGCACTTGAACAAGCGCCCGTAAAATAACCTATGTCATTATCCAGTTCATACGTTCAAGCTTCCTCTCTTCTCCTTCCCCAGCTTTATGATGCTCAAATCACGCGTTCTCCACGTTTTCATTCTTTTTGTTTGAATGCAACTCATAGATGCTGCTAGATGCGCCCTCTATTGAGGACGAGAAGAACCCGACGCTTTCCCTTGACGGCTTGTTCGCAAGCTCATTCTCATAGATCATGGAACTTGTTATTCCAAATAATCGATTTCATGTAGAAGACAAATCCTCTTTTCTTTGTGACCGTCGATGCGGGAGCATTCGTCATCAGAGTGATTTCTCTCTCTGGATACTCTCCATGGTTCCCATCTCTTCTGTTTGCATGTAGATGCTTCTTGGACTCGGACTTGAGTCATCGCAGTGATCGCTTCCAGTAGAAATTGAGTCATCACTATACAGGAAAGGGACTTAAACGGATCAAAATCTCTCTACTTGTTCTCCAGAGTGGAGCCCCCGTTACTTTGCTCGCCATGGACAACGTCACGGTCCACACAGACTGTATCGAACGAAGCAGCATGCGCCCGCGCATGCGACGGGTAAAGTGCTCGCCTTTGAGATCCCGAAGAACAAGCCCGTGATCGTGGGAGACTCCACCGGCCATGCTAGCCAAAGAGCGCATCGAGGGAAGCCTTCTTCAGCAGTCAAGCGCGTACGCCGAGCGATGAAGCAAACTTTTTCGTGCCGCAGGGCGGCCTTCGGAGCTGGAATTGTGGCAGACATACATGAACATCCGACCCCGACCATGTTTCACCGCTTCGAAGGGCGCGCCGACGCAGTTCACAAAGAAGCAGAAAATTGGCAAGCGAAGCGCAAATCGCTGCCACAGGCCGCGGGCACATATCATCGACAACGGTCGGGAGCTGCTGAATCTGGACTTGAACGTCGCAATCAGCATCCTTTGGCTGGTCAAAACGGAGCTGGAAGGACACAGGAGACAGATGTATAGAAAGCCGGAGTAAAGATAGAGGAAAAGGAAGCAGTCGCGGTGTGAGCTCTGCAAGCTGCTCTTGACGACAGTGGGAAGAGATCTGAACTTTATCTTGTACTTACGAGTCAAGTCAGTTGTCAACTTCCGTATTATTTTGATGTTGGTGTAGCGGAATAACGAGGGTACTCGATCCTGAGCGTTTCCGCCTCGCAACGGTTCAAATGTGGTTCCAACACGGCTCTCAGAAAAGAGGGCGTCTCCAACGAAACCGAGGACGCAAGGAAATTCCGGATTTTTCTCCATACCGCAAAGGCATTCGAGCGTGCATCGGGCATGCATCCTCACTGTAATGTGATGCGCCTACGTTCTTTGATCGGGGGCTCCTGCAGGCCTCCGGAGCACTAGCTGCACTCGAACCAGAACTGCTATTTCCATGGTCCAAAAATTTCCAGTTTCCTCTACGAGCCCCATATATACGTATTCCGAGATCGTTTACGATGTACGCACAGCGCGGACCTCATCGCTGTATACAGAGGAGGCGCTGCGACCATACGTCCCGCACCGTAACCCCAAATCAAGCATCCAGCCGGAAACGCCGCCTTGAAAGCCAGCCCGGGGAAGAAAGATCTATCAGATCCCGCCTCGCGCACGTTGATCGCATCCGAAGCCACCTACAGGACGCTTCCGTTGACAACACATCGGCGTGCATAGTCCTTGTACAGCTTATTCTGTAAATGTCCAGTATTTTCACGTCATCGGCTTGATTGCGAGTCTATGTTCTGAGGCTGCGGCGGCTGCGGCGGCTGCGGCGGCTGCGGTGGCTGCGGAAGCATCTTTCAGGTGCCAATTGGCGCGCACTCGGCAGGAATCGACAACGAAGTATCGGATTTAAAAGCAGTTGTCTTCAAAAAAGAGCGGGGAAACAAGTTCGGGCGTGACCATTTCAAGATCATGGTGATCAAGCTATTCTCAAAGCTTGGAGAGAACTCGAAGAAGATTTTGAACGATGATTTTGTTTTCCAGCCGAAACTCACTGTGAAAAGCACGACACAGAACGGTGTAACGTACTCTGTGAACGGTGTGCAGACGCCGAACGGAAACATTGAGGCGGACTTTGGGACGAAATTCAAATTAGAGCCTGCGAACCTCGGATCCATTATATCCGGTGGTGCTGCAACAAACACAATCTCTCTGAAGCTTTTCACCACCGGTGCAGTGAGTGCAGAAACCGTGCTCGACGACGTTGCAAATGTCAGCGGTCTGAAGGCGACCCTGTCGGGCACCGTGCGTGACGCTTCCAACTTTGTCGCTCTCACTTCCGAGTACGTCGGGCACATACTTGCGATTTCAGCTGGTGTCAATGTGTTCGGTACCACGGCGGCGACGAGTTCAGGTGACACATCGTCACCGAGCACTGCGCTTTTCAACGGCTCCCTTGTTTTGGGCGCTGAAGGCATATATGTCGGCGGCGAGCTCGAGTACAATGCGAGCAATGCAGCCATAAGCAAATACAATGCGGCGATCAGTTACTGCGATAAGGGTGAGAGCGAGCTGCTTCTTGCCCTCACGGACAAAGCTCAGTGTATTCGTGCTTGCTATGCTCACGCTATTTCAAAAAGATTGAGCGTCGCCGCAGAAATCAGCTATAGAAGAGCGACGGATGCCAGGCTTTTGACTGTAGGATTCAAATACGGAATTGACGAGCTTTCATCGGTCAAAGCTAAGGTAGATTCTGCAGGCGAACTTTGTATGGCCTACATCCAAGAAATTCGGCCGAGGACGACTTTAGTGCTTGCCTCCAGATTGAACGTGAACCAGTTGGACAAAGGAGGCCATCGGGTCGGGTTGTCTTTGACATACGATGCCTAGGTCTGCTGTTGTTGCCGCTTCTGGCTAATTTGCGGTTCGTAAGCCGTCTTTAAGCGACTTAATCCGATACAGGACGGTCCAGTTGGCAAATCATGGTCAACAGAGCTTTTCGAAAGAATTGGTAAAGTTTTGCGTGGGCATCTCTGATTTTTCGCCAAGCGAAACACGTACAGCGAGCAAATACCGATCGTCGAACGGAGTATATTTGACCTTTAGACTTCATCTGGGAACGCACAAGAGCTGGACGCTTTTGCGGGTGTTTGATGGAGGCGCTGTTTTGCAAGCCGCGGAGAGTTATGCTCTTGTGGTTACCGAGTCATTTTCCTCTTCGGGCCGTAAAGTCAATTTGCGGACAAGAATGGGAACGCACTCCCTTAATACATCGAAGAACTTTTGCACTTTCTGCAGGTATGCATCTAGAGCTTTGGAGAGACCTTTGTTGGGGCTTCGGGCGTTTGGTGGATCGGTCGTGGCACGTATATTTTGCTTTTATCTTTTTTGGAACACCGAACGCTGTCCAACCTTTGGAACGAACTGCTTTTACAGCACGATATGTTTCGTTCGTATTGAAATTGCATATCTCCAAGGAAGCATAGCCCCATCTATTGTTGGACTAAAAATGCACAGAAATATTGCTCAAATTTTGTTGCGTAGAATAAGAGAATCTGATGGGATGCATCCGGGATCGCCACGGCTGCCGTTTATAGACTCTCGAGACAAAAATCAAGCCCATGGTTTCTGGGGAAAAAGCCAGCATTTTAGCGAAAATTCCTCGCAAGACGAGAACCGAAAAATCTCTGCAGGATACGCACCTCCTGAGTGTGCTAGGCATCTGCTCAATAAAGCTCTTGGACAAATCCTATCCTGGATGCGCACCTGAGAGCTCTTTGCAGCGAATTCAGGAGATCAAACAAGCAATTCACTAATTCTGGAATTTTTGCACCATACCAAGTCTCGATGTGTCGCAGGAGTGCAAACGCTTGGACAACATCAGAGTAAACTCGGATGTCCTATTCTACATAGTTTTGCATACCCGAAACATTGATCATCCATGCTGCCAATCGTTGGATGATGCCAGCGATCAACGAACTCTGACGTACAACGCGTGCGCGCAACACGCGAAGGGCGTTTGTCGGCCGATACGAACGTTTCCGAAATGGCAAAATTTAGGTGGCACCTCGGGCAATCTGAATAAATATGCACGAGACTTGTCGCCTTTTGCTTTTAGAAGGCTGCGCTGACGGCCTCTACTGGTGCCACGTGACTTGCAGTGCAATGCCGGGCACCAAAGCGAAAATATGCATTCCAGTGTTCGCTGGAGCATACGGAAGTGAAATTTGCAGATTTGAGCGAGCGTTTCCTTGAGACCTGCACGAACTCTGCAAATTTGACGCAGGCAACTTGAAGAATGGATACAGCGCGGCCTACCGCGATATCTCTTTGCAACCATAATAGGATAAAAAGGAAAGAGTCTACTTGCGTAACTCACACAGGTGTTCTAAAGACTGTGTCTCTTCACATTGCCATCAACATTAGCGGGTTTTGGCTTTTTCTTTGACTGTGTCCCTAATTTCTCCCCTCTTTCCGGTATTGAATTCGCCGGATGCTCATTGGCCACCAGCCCTTTTGTCAGAAGTCGAAGGACGCAAATGACAGAGTTCATGTCCCGATCTCGCTGCTCCCTGCTGTTTTTGACGACTTTCCTGCACAGACGCAAGTTGCAATCTACTTATCGCTTGCCATTTTCATCATCTTCTTCCACCAGCTCTGCATGTCAGTCGCAGCGGCGACACTCGACTGTAGTCAGGTGTTCATGCCTTTCCACCCAACCACATCCTTCGAGTGCCAACTTGTAGCGCGTGAACATTTGTTTCATCGCATGGTACATGCCCTTTTCAGTTAAAGAGGGCTCGCCCCGGTGCATTCCTCTGTTTCCGCGCCCGGTGACATTCCCCTACGAATGCTGACTTCCTGTAGGCAATCTCCACGAAGAGGACACTGTCAGCTGCAAGCGCAGGTGCACACTGTCCTACTCTATAAAGGATTTGTGGGATGCGATACTTTCTGTGATGAAACAAGCACCGAAAGTACAACCCAAGCTGCAAAATTTTTGATTCATCTGTGCTCCCTCCGTGCGAAGCTGTGATGCACTCACTGCAAGAGGGATTAGCTGCGATGAATGAGTTCCGAGTACAAGACCATTTTCAGGCAACTTGAAGAGACGGGCACCTGCTGGAGCTTGTCACGTGTGAGGCGTCATGCTGGCCCCGAATGCCGTTTCGTCGATAGCCACAAAGAAATGAGATTTTTTTCTTTCGGGCGTAATCGATTTTTTGACCTGGCAAGCTCAGGGAACTTTCGGCATGATTTTGTAGACAATTCATCAAGGGACGACGTCGAGTATTTTTCCTCCTCAAGCGTTCAGCACGATCAGCTCCACCCACAATAACCCTAGAAACAGAAAGATCCAAAACCTGAAGAAGGCGTGATTTGAGCATATTATACGCACGGCACCGGGCTGAATGGAGGCATGCATACATGAACGTTAAAATGACTTTGGTTACTTTTCGAAAGCTTTCTTGAGTGCGTCGCGTATCAGCCTCATCCCGGTAACGTAACAGATATCTGCGCCAACAAGTCGAAGAAGCCACTCTGAAAACGCGGTCCAGATCCCTAAAAGTTCATCAGAATTCGTAATCCCTTATTGCTACAATGCGCATATCGAGTCTGTGCATGTAAGAAAAATTTGGAGAAATCGAAAAGCCGAGACACAGCGAGCAGTTCAGTGTTCAGTTTTAATCTTACACGGGTATGGTGAGATTTTTTCTCGCTGCCCGACGAGTATTCATGAATCTCCTCATCTGTTGCGCGAAGCAGTGAACTGGAAGTTACACGGACTACGGGATAGAGCAAAATCCTTTCTGTAGCTCAACAAAACAACAACGTAGCTCCGAAACCCCAGAGTTCTTCACAGATATTTTCATCTCAGACCTAAGCCTGCGCTATGTACTGAAGGCATGTACCCGGAAACAGCGCTGCCAGCGAAGTCTAGTGTCTCAAGTTGCACCGTCGCTCGCGTCGACTTTTCCAGTCAAGAACGGGCAACAGCTGTCTAGGAGGCGCGCAACGTATGCATTTTCTGGGTTCGCACACCGGAGACAGTGCCTACTCGGCTTCAAGACGCGAACTGATCGTTGAATGCTCGTTTCTACCCAGTACTATTCACTATCTATCTCTCTTAACTTGACCGGTGCCACAAAAAGTGCGAGGACACTCTCTGTGCAGCTTACAGTTACGCCAGACACTGCTCCGCGTTCCAAAAAAGCTGTGGTGCTGCGCGGGCTCGAACCGCGGACCTTCGTGTGGCAGCTATCTGCTTATCAGCACGATGCGATAACCATCTTCGCCACAGCACCTTCACTAGATCGCTTACAGCAATGGCGCCAGCGACGTAAGTTGGATTCAGGAGACCAAAAATTCTATATAAATCCCATGGCTTGGATGCGCATCTGGATTAGATCGCTGCTTCGTGATTTAGACGCCGAAGCGCTACAACTTGGCGAATGCTTATAGTATAGAGCTTTGGCGGGGCTATCGTACCAGCTCAAAGCGGTTGGACTCTTTTGCTATTCTTCACATGCGGCGTGAGAACGCTTTCAGAGCGCTAGCTCTCTGCATAGCGCTCTGTATTCTAACGATAATTATTTGGGACCAGTACTGGAACGTCCTGCTGCGACATGGCTACGGTACTACCTGGTTCCGGCGGCGTGCGGAACCGCATGAGCGCGCGCCGCATTCGCTCCAGGAAAACGACGAATCCGTGGTTGAGCTTGAGGAATACGCGAGTCTCGGAGAACTGCTTTCAGCTGCAACGTGTACTTCGAATTCAGACTGCACCTATGGCCTAGTGTGTGTGAACGCCACTTGCACAGGGTGCTCTAGCACAGAACAGTGCAGCAATATTCAGCTTGACTGCGATGCCAACTCCAACAGATGTGTGCATAAGCCTCTCTCTAGATTTACTTGGCGCGATGGCCTTACTTTCGGTCTAATATTTGTTATCGCAGGGTTATCGAGCACAGGGGGCGTAGGAGGCGGCTTTTTATTCGTGCCTGTACTCGTGCTACTCACTGGCTTTCAAGCAAGGCGCGCTGCTGCACTATCCCAAGCACTCGTAACTGGCGGCTCGGGTGCTAATGCCTTCTATGGTTTAATCACACGCCACCCGTTTCGAGAACGCCCGCGAATCGACTATTACGTTGTGACTGTGTTCATGGCGACGATCCTCTGTGGGACGAGTGTTGGCGTCATCCTGAATATACTCTTCCCGAATTTCTTCACGCTCTTCATGCTCGCGGTCCTCGTTGCGTACGTGTTTTACATTAGCATCAAGAAAGCCATTCAACTGTGGAAAGATGAAAGAGCTGCATCGCGGAATGTTCGGGCCCAAGACCAAGGCGCCGATGCGGCTGCATCGAACGATGTGAACGCAGATGGCTCTTACGACGCATCGTGCCGTGGAACTGAGGCAGAGCATTGCACCGATGAAAGTTTCTCTATCCACAGTGACCAAATTGTAGACATGCAGGATACCGGTCACGAGCGTACATTTTCAGTCAAGTCCGAGTCAGTTCATTCTACCGAGGGCAATGAAGGCATGCGCACCTGGGCTTTCGGGCGCCTCTGGACCAGACTCATAGGTTTCTTTGATCCGACACTTCAATTCCACAGCGCAGACGAAATTATGAAGTATGAAAGTCGTCAGTATCCGCTCGGATCGCTTGTATATGTGCTCGCTATCTTTGCGTTTCTTGTCGTCTTGTCGGTATTCCGAGGTGGAGGCTCGAGCCGAGTGTCTGTGATAGGTGTGGAAAACTGCAGCGCAATTTTTATATTGCTATATATTGTTCAGGAAATTGGACTTCTCTGTTTCTCGGTCGCCGCAGGTTTTCGTAATTTGCGCATGCATCTGGTCAAGTTACGTGTCGGTTATGAGTTTTACGAGCGCGACATGGAATGGACGCGCAACAGAATTTTGTGGATTGCTCCGCTCATGATCTTTCTTGGAGCCGTTGGTGCATGGGTCGGCGCTGGTGGCTCTTTCATGTCGACTCCGATTTTAATTGCTGGAGTCGGAATGGATCCGCTCGTGGTGCAAGCAACTGCGGGGTTCATGAACTTCGTGGCGGCTTTTTCCAGCGCGATTCAGTACTATGTGAATCATGAGCTACCGCTGGACTATGGCCTCGCGCTCGGGGGCACCGCTTTCCTTGGATCACTGTCTTTCGTTGTCTTTTTCAATAGGCTCGTGTACAAATTCAAACTCCAAGCTATTCTTGTGTTTATCATGGCAGGGGTCATGTTCGGGGCCGCAGTTCTCAATATCTACGCGGGAGCGTTAGAGCTCAAAACAACACTCAACCAAGGAAAGCCGTTCCCCTTCGGGAACATATGTGGGTGATTTTCGAAACGAATTCGTACTGATTGGAGAGATACCGGCGTCGATGCAGGCGGAGACATCTGCGACTCTCGTCGCAGCACGCTCTTATCTGGAACTCGACTCGCTGGCAAATGCCGTTCATCACGGAAGCCTAATGGTTGCGATCAAAAAGGCACGATATGCGCTGCATATGCCGATATTCGGAGGCGAGATTAACAGTGGTGCTTATTTTTGCTGAGTCTATGCAAATACGAGCACGTGATGCGATGTCCAAAGTCGGTGACAGAGTCAACGAATGCTTTTTCCTCTTTTAGCGGGAAAAAGCGGCATGAAAACAATCTGAATGAAGTAAGCGCCACTATATCAAGGGCGCTTTCGGAGATGGAAATGAGCCCTATGTCTCGAATCTTACCAGGCCGGCAGCGCTCCTCAGCGGATTCGACAGCCAGCCGGTCGATGACTTTGAAACTAGATTCTCCATCAGAATTCGAGATGCACTGAATAAGAAGAATTTCACCTCTGCTCGTTCCAAGAAAAGCGTACCGATTCCCTGAATTTGCGCCATACTCACGGACAAAGTAGACGCAGCTGATCAGAGCATCCGTAAGTTTTTCCGATGAGACAGCAGTGCCCGAGTTAAGGTCATACATTTCGAGAATACTGCGCCCTGCGAAGAAAAAGACAGCAGATTCCGGACACCATTCCACGCTTTCGGGCCGGAAACCGAGCCGGAATCGAAGCTCAGGAAATGCGAGGCTCTTGATGCTCTCGCGTCCATTGGAGGTATTTCTCGGTCGACATCCTCTGTTTCGCTTTGATTCTAGCAACTTCTCCAAACTCCATAAAGTCAATTGCGGTCTTTCATCCAGCGTGAAAAACTGGGCTTTGTTTCTTGTCATAACGATATGGGTTATCGGCCATTTCCCAAGCGAAAGCGTTTTCTTTAAGAACCACTTTCTGAACGGCTGGCCTGTACAAAGCCAAACTGCTAGTTTGCCTCTCGTTTTGCCCCCAGCCGCGAGCAGAAAAGTCCGGTCATGAAGCCGAACGAAAGCCAGATCGTTGACGCATTCTGTCTGGCTATCGAAAGTCTCAAGCAAAACGCTTCGGGAAACGTCTAGAAACGCAACTTCACCGTTAGAAGCCCCGAACGCAGCGAAAACTGCCGCTTCACCAGCATCTGCAGCACTATAGACAGCGACTTTACGAACGGAAGCGCTGAGCACGACCGATCCAAACGCTTTTATAACAGTTATAGGACTATTTTCGCTAGACAACGAGCACTGTTGATGCTTTTCGCTGTCAACAGAGGCGAACTTTTCGCCGGGCAATATATTTTGAGCAAAGTTGAGCTTCGCAATACCTCCAGAGTACGTTCCTATAAAGGCCTCTGCTACTGTTATCCTAGAACTTGTTTCCGAGGTCCGCCCAGCGGCCTCCATAAGGAAGCAACAACCGAATACCCCGTGCCAACTCAGCACATCTGCTGGCAGGTCGGCGTCGACAGCGGCTTCGACATCAGCGACGATTTGCGCGCTGAAGTTTCTTGGTTGAGGTCGACCCATGGATTCGAAACTGGGGCGTGAGCTGAGAATCAAACTAGGCGTTGCGCTTCGTACTGCGAAAGATCTTGACTACTATGAGAAAGAGCTTGTGACGCTCCGAATGAGGATAGAAGAGGAAAGGAAAAACGGTTCGGATTGCTTGCGCCAACTGCAGGACGTTTTTAGTGAGACGGAGGCTATGATCCCGGACGCACGGTTCCGGCTTCAACGAGCTACCCAGGAGCTTGAAGTGGCACTAAATAAGGCCAGTTTTGCTGGTGCAGCTGATGAATCCGACACGAGCCGGGCGGAAGTCTTGTTACAAGAACTGAGAACGAAGCAGCTTGTCCGCTGAGATGTTTCGAGTACTAGAACGTGCGATACCCCCGACGTCAAGATAGATTTTCACACCGTATCAAAGTGCTCATTTGTTAGAGCTTGCCTGGATTCATTTTTATTCAAGGTAAACACGGAACCGTTTCGAATAGAACATGTGTGTCGAGTTGATTTTCTGTAAGTCGACTTGGGTTGCAGAGTTTGAAATAGGCATGAAACAGCGTAAGTCTAAGGGTATTCTTATGGGAGATTCTAAATGGCTGCTGCAATCTAAAATGGAATGGGTTTCCCCAATCGCCAAAAATGCGGATAGCGAGAAGAGCAGCGCTCCCTTACGATGCGATGCTGAAGCTCAGCCAGTTGAAGGATATCTTTTGCTGCAGCGGAGGGTTCGCGCTGACCTCCAAGTGGATTCATGTTCGACTTCACGTCACCGGGGCAAATTGCATCTATTCGAATATGCGATGGCGCCGTCCGAGCTTGTAAAAGAGTTAGCCGGTTTAACAAAGCCTTTGACAGCCGATACGCAGGTTCGTCACCGTGGACGACTGCATATGGCTGAAGACCGGCCTGATCAACTCGCTCGACCACTGCGTGCATAAAATCGGTCAGCTCATCATAACTCTCCAACTGCTCGATAGCCCTGCGCCAGTATGAATTAAAGAAGCACAGTTCCCCGTCACCTGAGCTCACATTTATGACTGAACAGGGCTCAGGGTAGTGCCTCATGTCCAGATAGTGAAAAACCTCGTAGAGTCGCTGCGGAAACACGACATTGACAGAGAAAGTTTCCAAAAGTGTAAAGGCGTCCCAGTTTTTCGGGCATATGGCAGCAATATTTACTACGAGCTGAATGCGCGGAAACTTCTCCCAGGCAGACACTAGCAACGAAAGTTTGGAGTGAAAATCCTCTGAGGTTGCGGAACGAGCATCAAGTTCAAACAAGAATAGGTTTTGCGGACAGGGACCCCGCGTCGACTCCAGTGTCTTCCTTTGTCGCGTTAAACCGAGTACGATCCAGCCCTCGCGCAGTAAGTTGTTTACGGTTGACCATCCGATAGAGCCCCCGCAGCCTGTCACTAACGCGACTCTTGGTTGTGAGTCCATCAGAGCTGCCCTGACACGAAAACACTACTGCGAGCGGAACGCTCGGAAAGCTCTTTGTGGACGCCCTCCAGAGTAGACACTCAAAAATACGTCCAAGTCACAACCACGACGTCGTACGGACTAGACAAAAGAGGGCTCAAATGAAAATAAACATGCAGCCACTACAGTTTCTAAAGCTTTTCAACGACCAGACGAAATACACTGCGCTCTTATCTGTGCGAGGCGACTGGATGGTCGCTGTACACAGACAGTGCTCTCACAGAATTTTTTGACACCAATTTGTCGGAGGATTAGTTGAATCAGCAGAGCCTTTCGCAGCGATGGAGACACCCTGATGACATCTAAGCAACTCTGGTGTGCGGGTATTGTAGTCAAGTCGAGTGTAGCTTCCATTTATACTCAGTAAAATAAAAACATTCTACGACCATGGAGGGTATCGTGATACCCGCTACCAGATGCCTCCTAATCTCTTTTGACCTGCCGCCTGCTATCAGTCTCATCCTCTCATTGTAAACGTCAAACCGGATGGGCTGCCTCACAAAATTCGCTCGCGTCAGCTCCTCCGGTCTCGTCTTCAGTACCCCACATTGTCTGGTATTGATGGCGGCATTGAAATCACGGTTAATGAACTCCGTGCGTTTGTTCCCTCTTGTGGAGCTCACTATTGGTAGAATTACTCGAACTCGTGCTTTCTGTGCCATTACAGTCTCGTCGTGCTCCCGCGGGACGAACACCTTTGTCTCACCTGCCTCCGCTCTTTTTATTCCACGTGATTTGCTCTTATTCGCTCGATGGTTGGCGATAAGAGGATTTTTTCGTTTTTTTCCGGCAGTCGGTGATGACGGGCCTCCAGGAGGATCGACTTCCCTGTCAATGCCTTCCCCACTGATTGTTTTATTCTAAAAAATGGACACGCTTCTTTATGCTTTTATACGAAGATCTTCCCGAGAAAGAGGCACTGGTATAAGAAAGAGGAATCGTGCCCAGGCGTTACCATGCTGAAAGCTTCAGAGGTTCGCCCAGTGGAGCGACCATTACGTTCCACAATAGAAAACACTCGTACGATGGGGTTGAACCTCGGGCAGTGCGAAGGAGTAAAAAGCAGCTCTAGCCCTACAGAATCGGTAAAAGCTGGAACGCAAATGGAATGGTGCAATGTCATGTTGTCCAACTGAAAAACGTCGCCAGAGGTTAGGGAAAAGTCTCCGACGATTCGTCGAAGTGGCTGCTGTGTTATAAGTATTCTCTACGAGCGAAACTGAGGCCGCCAACACTATCTACTACAGCTAGAACAGATGATGGTGTCGTCTTTCTCTTGGAGATCCATCGTACACGCCTTGGGCTCCTTCTCCGCGAATACGCATATACGCCCCAACGGTTTCGTCCGAAGTTAGTCTCATCGACCGAAAAGACAAACCGATGTCCCTCTGCTTAATACCGGTCGCGCCGTTCCGGGAATTCGGTGGTTGCGATGTCCGTGGAAGATGGCGGAGCCTGAAACTGAAAAATTTTTGGGACTACATCCGAATTTTTTCAGGACAACACGCAAAAGCTGTTGAAAAAAGAGACGCTCGAGGCGGCTACCATCGACACTTTTGCTCCCCATACCGTGACCAATGAGTCAGTTTCCACGATCGACCGCAAGCAGTCTTTTAGTATTTTGGTGTTTGGCGCAGAGCCCATGTTCTTGGTTCTTTCAGTGTTTCGTAATTATCTGAGTACTGTCGTATGACTCACCTCAAGGACGAATGCAAGTCCTCTTTGCACTGCGCGGTCAAGAATGTATTCATAGGAAATTCGCCTACGATCTAAACGGTACATCGCAAAGTTAGTTCGGTCGTCTGCAATACACTGTGTAGAACCACGCATTTACACTCAATGGGAGTGGCCCAGAACAGAGTTGAAAGAATAACCAAGACGCAACTTGGCGCCAGCAAATTTGGCACGCATTGTTTTCCAAGCGACTTCAGTCTTGTGCTGTCACTGGCTGTTGCCTTAATGAGGTTGATGGTATCGAAACCTCGTATATATATTAGCGCGCTTATTTTGGGAGTCATTGTCGTTGCAGTGGCCCTGCGCAGCTTGTCAAAGTTCTCCCATTCCACTCTAGTCTCGAGAGGGAACAGAGGGCTAGAGTTACACGCTTTTTATAACGTTTTCTGGAACTCAGGGACGCCACGTATAGCGCAAGAGCAACTATCCTGGCTCGAATCAAGCGGAATCAAAATCGATGCTCTGCACGTGTTCGCTTTCGGGACTAACCTGTCAGGGTTGGAAAGAATCGAGAAGTGGACAAGTGCACCAGTCGTATACGAGCAGTTGAGCCCGATCGGGAACGAGGAAGTTACGCTTGCGGCTCTACACAGGTTCTGCACAGTTGCGGAACTGAAAGGCAAAAGTGTCTTCGTTTTATACTTCCATCCAAAGGGTTCGTTTCATCCGAGCATTCGAAATGAAAAGTATCGACAAGCCGTTGGGCATTATGTGCTGCGAAAGCCCCAGGGTTGCCTGAGCGCCATGGCGCTTCAATCATGCGACGCTTGTAGTCTCCGCTTCTCAGAGTATCCGCACGCTCATTTTCCTGGGAATATGTGGTGGGCAAACTGTAGTTATATCTCCATGCTGTATGCGCCGGATATTCCGAGAACAGAGCTCAAGTCTGCAAAGCTTCCGGAATATTGCATAGGGCTCGGTCGGTTTGCTAGTGAACACTGGATTGGTTCGCACCCTCAACTAAGACCATGCGACTGCTTCCCCGTCACTGAGGACGCATTTTACTGGTATGGGTTCTCGGGTCTCGATGGTGTCCACCGTCTGATGAACAGTACGATGGACTGCAGGCGGGGGCCGCGTCCGAATATAATTGAGATTGCGCGAAAAAAAGGATACGATGTCGAGCTTAACCTACGCTGCCGTGAAGTTTCGGCCGCAGGCGACAGACGCGCCTATGGCTTTGAAACTACGTCGAGCTAAGGCTCGCAATGGACACGGTATAGAAAAATCAAACCGGTTTTGAAAATTGCGATCCGGTGCGCCGCTCGAATTATTCATCGACATTCGATTTTATGCTCAGTCGGAGTGCCGTTTTACTCCTGTATTCTCTAAAACCTTGGTACGCTCGCTACGGGAAGTCTTTAATGCGTTTCTGGCGTGCAAGTCTTATTTCCTGGGGAGTAATTCCATTCCGACATCACTTAGACACACGCCTATTTTGCATCTTCGGATCACTCAAGACATCCACACGGGTCTCGTCCGTTCGCTACGGTGGCCTGCTCCGGTCTTCTTTTACTGGAATAGGGCTGTTTTCCTCCATTAAAAATACTTTCCGCATGGATCCTCTGAGATATATATTCAAGGCTTTAAAACCCCACTTGGTAGTTGACAGGTTCAGTTTATGATACTCTCACTAGCGAGATTTCACACTCGGAAGCTGTTTCCTTCAAAGAGAACACTGGCTGCACCTTACGAGAGTGGGGCTTAGTCGCGCAACAGCACTATGATTTGAAGCTCACCAACGTAGGGAAAGGCTGTAGCGCGCACTGTCAGCGCGACATAATTCCAAAACCTTACTCTTTTCGAACGCTTTGCTGGTTCCGAAAATATGAATTGCCCCATTCGAGTACGATCCCAACAACTGCTTTTGCACTTCAAAATACCTGAAGACGCAACTGCGCCGCATCCATTGCGAGCCTTAGCTCGACGTAGTTTCAAAGCCATAGGCGCGTCTGTCGCCTGCGGCCGAAACTTCACGGCAGCGTAGGTTAAGCTCGACATCGTATCCTTTTTTTCGCGCAATCTCAATTATATTCGGACGCGGCCCCCGCCTGCAGTCCATCGTACTGTTCATCAGACGGTGGACACCATCGAGACCCGAGAACCCATACCAGTAAAATGCGTCCTCAGTGACGGGGAAGCAGTCGCATGGTCTTAGTTGAGGGTGCGAACCAATCCAGTGTTCACTAGCAAACCGACCGAGCCCTATGCAATATTCCGGAAGCTTTGCAGACTTGAGCTCTGTTCTCGGAATATCCGGCGCATACAGCATGGAGATATAACTACAGTTTGCCCACCACATATTCCCAGGAAAATGAGCGTGCGGATACTCTGAGAAGCGGAGACTACAAGCGTCGCATGATTGAAGCGCCATGGCGCTCAGGCAACCCTGGGGCTTTCGCAGCACATAATGCCCAACGGCTTGTCGATACTTTTCATTTCGAATGCTCGGATGAAACGAACCCTTTGGATGGAAGTATAAAACGAAGACACTTTTGCCTTTCAGTTCCGCAACTGTGCAGAACCTGTGTAGAGCCGCAAGCGTAACTTCCTCGTTCCCGATCGGGCTCAACTGCTCGTATACGACTGGTGCACTTGTCCACTTCTCGATTCTTTCCAACCCTGACAGGTTAGTCCCGAAAGCGAACACGTGCAGAGCATCGATTTTGATTCCGCTTGATTCGAGCCAGGATAGTTGCTCTTGCGCTATACGTGGCGTCCCTGAGTTCCAGAAAACGTTATAAAAAGCGTGTAACTCTAGCCCTCTGTTCCCTCTCGAGACTAGAGTGGAATGGGAGAACTTTGACAAGCTGCGCAGGGCCACTGCAACGACAATGACTCCCAAAATAAGCGCGCTAATATATATACGAGGTTTCGATACCATCAACCTCATTAAGGCAACAGCCAGTGACAGCACAAGACTGAAGTCGCTTGGAAAACAATGCGTGCCAAATTTGCTGGCGCCAAGTTGCGTCTTGGTTATTCTTTCAACTCTGTTCTGGGCCACTCCCATTGAGTGTAAATGCGTGGTTCTACACAGTGTATTGCAGACGACCGAACTAACTTTGCGATGTACCGTTTAGATCGTAGGCGAATTTCCTATGAATACATTCTTGACCGCGCAGTGCAAAGAGGACTTGCATTCGTCCTTGAGGTGAGTCATACGACAGTACTCAGATGGTTGAACAATACTGGAAGAAATAGGGATATGCGTCCAGCGCAGTAAACCGATATTCTCGAAGACTGCCCGCTGTCAATGCTAGAAAACGACCCGTTGATTACCATACGGAATGCAGAAAGCGACGATAGTAGCCGCCACGAGTATCCCTGTTTCTCAACAGCGTGTTCGTGTAGTCCTCATAACACCAGGATTCAGTCGCAAAAAAGTCCGATTTACGTCACGGCCATCTTCCACCGAAATCGCAATGACAGCGTGCACGGAACGCCGCGATCGATATGAAGCAAAGGGATGTCGGTTTGTTTCAGTCGATGAAACTTCTTTGGTACGACACCCTAGGGGCGTCTATTGGTAATATGCGGAGAGGAAGCCCGTTGTTTGTACGATCGAACTCAAAGAGAATGAAGATATCTTTTTTTCTAGCTTCAATGGATTCATTCGGTGGCCTCGGTTTTGCTCGTGGTGATGGCTCGTACAAGAGCACAAATCAATTCGGTGAATCATTGAAGAATTTCCCCTGACGTCTGGTGACGTCCATCTATTGAAAAATGTGACATTGCACCATTCCCCTTGGGGGCGAGCTTTTGCCGATTCTATCAGGGAAGAGCTGCTTTTCATTGCTCCGTGCTCTACGTGTTCCAAACTATTCGAAAGAGTGTTTCCTATCGTGAAACGTAATGATCGCTCCACTGGCCGAGTCGCTGAAGCGTTCAGCGCACGGTGACTCCGGGGTGCATTCGGTTATTCTTGCGCAAGTGCTTCTCCGTCAGAGAAGGCCCTAACCTAAGGGCATGAGGAAGTGCTTTCATTTTCAAAAATAAAAAATCCAAGGGAAAGTTATGGAAATGGAACTCAAGTATCCTAGAAGCCCGATGTCGCCGGCAGCGTGAAAAATCGAAAAAATTCTTTCCTCGCTGACCATCGAGCGAAGAAGAGCAAGATATGAGGAGAAAGAAGAGGGAGATATGAGAGAAAAAGTATTTTCCCGACGGGAAAATCGCTAGACTGTAGTGACACCGAGGGCAAGAGTTCGAGGACGCCTTCCACTGGTGTGTTCAAGCAGAGGCAAGAAACGCATGGAGTTCGCGACCCGAGACTTCGACGCCGCCATCAATATTAGGAGATGTGCGGTGCTGAAGAGGAGACCTGAGGAGCTGACGCGAGCGAACTTTGTGGGGCAGCCCCTCAAGCTCGAAGTGGACACGGAGAAGCTGAAACCGATAGCGAGGGTCGGTCAAAAAATGGCTCGGAGGCGTCTGCGGATGGGTAGATATATTTATCCTCCATGGTTATGAAATGCTTATTGTTTCAGTGACCGTTATGTGTACAATGCCGAGAATATCATTGTCGGCTCTTTCTGGCAATGCGTTGCAGTTGAGTCAATCATACTGAACAACTACTACCCGTCGTAAAATAATGGAGAGAGCATATCTTTATCTTACAAGCAGAATCCAATGGATAGAACGAAAAACTCTAGAATAGGTCGAGCAATGCTGCATCTTTCGTTGCTTCCGAGTTGCTGCGAATGAGCTGTTTGTCGGCTCTTTGCATCACTGCAGATTCTCTGCAGCCGTCACGCCCGTCTGAGCCGAGTATTGACGTAGAGCAGCTATATTATCGACGAACCAGTCAAGGTTTTCGGTACTGGAAAATATCTTTTGCTACTTCGAGCGATCGGATGCACTCTGTTTGAAGAGCCTCACAGGTGGCTTTCCAGGATTTTCTTCTGAATGGCTCTCGGTTTCATTGTAGACTGACGCGTGACCGGACTCTAGCTATCCGAACCAATCGACTCTACGTGGGTATTTCAAACTTCAAATCTAAACTCGAAGAAGCTAAAAACATGCCAAAGAAAAACGTGACACTTGGTCAGGTCAGCTGAGTACCTGATCCCTTTGAGCGCACAGTTTTCTACAAGACCATCTCCAGAACCCAATTTTGTTGCTCAAAAAAACCCACTTTTTGGTTAAGAAGCTGCGAGCTTGACTGCAGACTGTATCGACGAACTGAGGAACTCTCACTTGTACAGCATGATAGCGCACAGCTTTCGATGCGCAGCGCTTTGAGCAGCCTAGAGCCGAGTGGATAGCCAGAAGCATGATGATTGCACGTTGCATCGCGCAATGATATTGGTAAAATATTTGCTCTGTCTTTGTTCGTATAGTTTTGTTGTGGTCTAGTTTGTTTAATTCACCTGTATAAGAAAGCGTACGGATAGTTTCCGCAGTGGATGGAAGCATACCTCTCAGCACCTTCACGACCGAGTGTGACGCTTTCTGAATTCTCTGGTCGCCGGGTTTGCCAGACGAAACGGAACGATTCTCTTCTGGGCGCTCGGGGGAGGTTTGCACCGGGCACGTGGGAGCGCGTAGTGCTCGGGCGTCGCGGTGGTTCCCGTACAGTCAGTCGTTTGCCTCAAGTGCGTGCAACAGCTACTGCTGGGGTATCGCTAGTGAAGCCAAAGCAGACGGGGAACGCGTTCGCTGACCTCTGCATCAACAGCATTCGTTTCCTGGCTGTCGACGCCGTAGAGAAGGCGAACTCTGGACACCCTGGAGCGCCCATGGGTCAGGCCCCGCTCGCGTTTACTCTTTGGGACAAGTATCTGCGCTTTAACCCCAAGAATCCGAACTGGGTCAATCGCGATCGTTTTGTGCTAAGCTGTGGTCATGGGTCTATGCTTCAGTATGCTCTGCTTTACCTTTATGGATACGATCAACCAACAATGGACGATATCAAAACTTTCTGTGAATTTGGTTCTTGCGCTACGAGTCACCCCGAGAACTTTCTTCTTCCTGGCGTTGAAGTGACCACAGGGCCTCTGGGCTCTGGCGTGGCACAGGCTGTTGGTCTCGCTATCGCCGAAGCGCACCTCGGAGCAATGTTCAACACCCCAGAGGAGAAGCTGATTGACCATTACACCTACTTCATTATGAGTGATGGATGCATGCAAGAAGGAGTAGCTGCAGAGGCCGCATCTTTGGCAGGCCATTTGGGACTGGGGAAACTAATCGGGTTTTTCGATGATAACAAGATAACTTACGATGGACCAACAGACCTTGCGTTTAGTGAGGATGTCGTATCTAGATTCAAATCGTATAACTGGCAGGTAATTAGCATTGCAGATGGAAACACAGACATCGACAACATCTCGAAAGCAATCGAGGAGGCGCAAAAAGATCTGACACGACCATCACTAATCATAGTTCCGACAACAATTGGTTTTGGCTCACCAAAACACGCGAACAAAAGGACAGCACATGGAGAACCTTTCGGATCTGACGAAGTCAAGGCAACGCGGGAGAATCTTGGATGGAAATATGCTCCTTTCGAGGTCCCAGAGGAGGTGCTGAAACATTGTCGCCGCAAGATCCAAGAGGGGGCACGTCTTGAACAGGAATGGAATGAGCTCTTGCAGCGGTACAAGAGTAAGCACCCAGAACAGGCTGCACTATTCGAGCGGATGGTGATTCGCAAGGAGAAGAGCCCTGGTTGGGAAAAGGCCCTCAAGGATTGTGCGGCAAAGACAGGCTCCATGGCTACGAGGCAAGTCTCCGGCGCAATGCTCAATGCGCTCGCTGCGGTGATGCCGGAGATCATCGGGGGATCTGCAGACCTGGCCCCTTCGAACAACACGCTCCTGAAGGGCTTTGGCGATTTCTCTCGTAACAACTACAAAGCCAAGAATATGCGCTTCGGTGTCCGCGAGGCAGCGATGACTGCGATCACCGCGGGCATCAAGCTCCACAACACTGGACTGTTTCCCTACTGCGCGACTTTTCTGATATTCACCGATTACGCCCGGGGCATGCTCCGCCTTGCTGCCCTCTCCGAGGCGGGAATCACGTTCATTACAACGCACGACTCCGTCGCCTTAGGCGAGGATGGCCCCACGCACCAGCCCATCGAGCATCTGGCTAGCCTGCGAGCTATGCCGAATGTGTACACGTTCCGTCCGTGCGATGCGAACGAGTGCGCAGCTGGCTATGCGCTCTCGATCCGGCATGATGACAAAGTCGTTCTGTTGGCGCTCACGCGACAGAAGACGAACAAGCTCGAGACATCCTCATACGATGGTGCCCTGCGCGGAGCGTACGTGGTTTCGGATAATAGCCCTGCGGGCAAGCACCCGGATGTGATCCTTATCGGAACAGGCTCCGAGGTGGACGTCGTCGTGGAGGCCGCCGATCAACTACGAACTAGCGATGCTTTGAATGTGCGCGTGGTGTCGATGCCCTGCATGGAGCTCTTTGAGGACCAGGATGCAGCTTATCAAGAGTCTGTGCTTCCTGCTGCCGTGCCTCGCAGCCGGAGGGTCGTATGTGAGGCTGCCTCAAGCTTCGGCTGGTCGAAGTATGCGGATCACTTTGTGTGCATCGATCGCTTCGGAGCGTCCGGCAAAGGGCCTGACCTGATGAAGTACTTTGGGATCACGCCGTCGAACGTAGCGAAGAAGGCGCGAGAGGCTGCAGGAAAAGGCGTTTGAGGACGCCGCGGAAGCAGCGGTTCTGTGCCGGGCAAAGATTTTCAAGCGGCGTTTGCTGCGGCAACGCTCTGCGGAATGGGAACGCTTTGGAAGAGAGTATTCTTGCAGGGTCTAAACACGGCTGTAGTATCCCGCGTGATCACGTTGGGCCTCATCGTTCTCGTTCGCAAATGCGTTCCGTAGAACGTGCTGTTCTCTAGGGTAACAACGGCTGGGTACGCGGCAGCTGCATCGCCTCTGGGCTGGAGCGGGTCCTGCGGTTTTGAACCGTTGTCCACCTCGAAGGTTTTCTCCCGCCGATGGCGTCCGGGTTGGAGCACCTCCAACGGGCGCTCTGGAGACGGGGCCTTCCGTGCTTCAGCCTTGACTGGCTCACGCAAGCACACGAACGTTACCCAGACGTTGAAGAACTCGTAACGTTTGCTCTGGAAACAGTCGACTTTGAGGACCGGCGCGTCGTCGAGAGAGGCAGCCTTCCTGCGGAGGCACAGCCAGCGCTGCTCTCCAAGGAAGACGGCGTGGTCGTTCCCATACGCGGGGAGCTTCTCGTTTTTCAGGTGCTGGACGTTGCGGACGTCAGCGCCGCTGAGGAAAAAGCGGATCTTCCAAGCGGGCCCGAGCGCACTCTGAAGCTTCTGCTGACGGACGGTCGCCTCGAGTTGGCCGCTATCGAGGACGCTCCGATACCGGACCTCGGAACGAGTCTCCCTCGTTGCACGAAAGTCTGTGTGCGGAAACCTATGCTGCTGCACGGGTTGCTGGTGCTGCGTCCCGAGAACACGTCCGTAGTGAGGCCTCGGCCGAGCTGCATATAGAAGGAGTGGCTGCGGCTGCCGCTTGGGCGTATCGCAAACGAGTTCTTGGTGATGCATCGGGCGAGCAGCTGCCGCGTCCAGCTCGAGTGTCGGACCGAATATCGCCTGTTTGATGATGTATCTGCGTGGAGCTTTCGAGATGGATACGCTTGTACGAAAAATGATCGTAGGTGTGGCATGCCTGCATGCTCGAGACACCGGCAGGATGCGTTCTACGACTGTGCCTCGGAGGCTCGTGCAGAACGCTGCCGAGACGTGCACACTGGCGCTGTGGCGCTTTCGGGCTACGGAAGTCTGGAAAGAGCGTTCTCCAAGCTTTGCACAACGCCTATGCCGGTACCTGCAAGACCACGCTGTGTCGTGAGGCACCCCTGGTTCCCATGGGTCATGCTTCAGAGCGCGAGTGAAGCGCCGCGGATGCTGCTCCATAGCAGAATAGGTGCGGTGCTAGATCGAACTAGCGGCCTGATCTAATATGCACGCTGGTGCGTGAAAGTCTTCCATGCACATTTTGGGATATGGAATCGAGTGCGTAGCAGAAGATTGCGCAAGACTGTTTCGATGCATGCGAGTGCGCACGCTGTGACGCAGCAGGGGATTTGCGAGCCTCGGCTGGCAGGGCCCCCAGCCGGCGTCCACGAGGGAATAGCTGAGCTGTCCCGTCTGTGTGTGGCGTTCGCAGTAGCAGCAACAGCAACAGCAACAGCAACAGCAACAGCAGCGCGCTCGACTCCAGAGCAAGCGCTCACTGAAGAAACGCCACCGGGTAGGGCATCTATGCAGCGAACCATAATCCTCAGAGCGAAGTCTGGAGACTGGTGTGTGGAACACGGTGGATCTGGTGCGGAATGATATCTGCTTCCGTAAATGCCGATTGGAATCGAGACATTTAGGGATCCCCTATAAGATTCAAGGATCCTGCGCTACTGAAGAACAACTTGCGGGGACTCACCGAGGATCCATCGTCGTGTCCGAACGATCGCGGCGAAGGATGCAAACGCATGATCTCCCCAGTCACGCATAATGCCACGGACGGAAGGTGCATAAGATATTTCGATTCCAGTTCTATTCGTGCACGCATGAGCTCCCTAGTCACGCATAATGCCACGGAGTAAAAGTACACAACGTATCTAGATTCCGGTTTACTTCTTGCGCTTCTTGTTCATACTGTTGCAAGGCGAAATCGTCGGTGTTCGCAGTTATTCACGGGTATAACGCCGAAATTTGCGATACCCTGACGCTTACCGGTGGGCGGGAGCCCTCCTGTGGACACACTCGGCGATACTCGGTGCATGGGCTGTAGATCACAGGCGGACGATCGTTAAAGGTCGCTGTGATTTTAGTGTTGCCCATACCTCTACGCGTGGAAGTCATCCCCAGAGGGCGGCTCTCGAGCGCGCTGCCCTCGGTGACTCGGAGCGGCGCATGGTCTCCGCACTGGTAGCGATGATGCAGGAGCATCACTCGAGCGCAACCTGTGTACGCCCCTCTCGGGCACCAGTCTGCGTAAATCTACCAGAAAAATATTCGATCGTCTCTGCCGTAGGTGTCTTGCTCGACAGTGCGGTCAGCGCGGTGCATTGGATGCGCGGAGCTGCCCCTGGGATGGTCCGCTTGGTTTCGGGTTGTGCGCGGGTCTTCCAGTGACCCCTCGCGTCCACAGAAGCATCAGGCCGGTGTCACGTAGAGCGCTCCAGTTGCTGCGAGCCTGTGGATCCTGCACTAGCCGAGCACCGACTGGGCGCTCAAGGTTACAGCGGGGATCGTCCAGTGTCTGTATCACGGTGGTAGTCGAAGGGCTCATTGAAAACGCATCCAACTTGACCCCGTAGATATCTCTCCATGAGATCCCTGGTTGAAGCGTTGAACTCTTCCGAAATGGGGCGGCCGAAGTAGCGGCTTTCGTTCAGCTGCTTTCGGACACGCTTTGCGAGCACCTTTCCGAGTTCGACGCCCCACTGGTCGAATGAATTGATGTCCCAGATGAAACCCTGGACTGCCGTGCGATGCTCATAGAGCGCGAGCAACTGGCCAGTGGCGTACGGATCCAGCCTCTGCAGCAGCAGCGTCAGACTCGGCCTGTTGCCAGTCGTCACGAGATGCGGAATCAGCCATTCGGGGCGGCCCTCTGCACGACACTCCGCCGCTGTTTTGCCGTACGCCAGAGCATCTGGCTGGGCGAAAAAGTTCGCCATGAGCTCGTCTGCATTGCTGACCGGCTCACCCTCGATGCACAGCGGGTACTGGGACTCGATGAAGCCAATAAAATCGCAGGGTACCGTCTGCCCCATATGCAGCAGCTGGAAAAACGAGTGCTGGCCGTTGGTGCCGGGCTCTCCAAAGTCGATCTCACCGACCGCGTAGTCGACGTCGTCGCCGCGCAGCGTCACGTGCTTACCGTTGCTCTCCATGTCAACCTGCTGGATATGAGCGGGGAACTTGAGAAGCGCCTCTGCGTAAGGATGCAGCGCCCGGCTCTTGTAGCCGAGAAAAGACAGGTTCCAGACGCCGAGAAGCCCCATGATCACCGGCAAGTTCCCCGCCAGCGGACTAGCAACGTCGTAAAAGTTCGCATCAACAGAGCGCGCGCCCTCTAGAAATCGCAGGAACGTGGGGAAGCCGTACTGAATCGAGAGCGGCAGCGCTCCGACCGCAGAGCACACGGAATACCTACCCCCGACCCAGTCCCAAAACTCAAAAGTGTTCCGCGGGTCGATCCCGAACTTCTCCACCATCGGCACGTTGCTGCTGCAGGCAACCATGTGGAGCCGCACGACCTCATCCGAGCGCCCCATTTCGGACCAGAGCCATTCGCGCATCGCCCGTGCATTCAGAAGCGTCTCCGCGGTTGTGAACGACTTGCTCACGATCACTATCAGCGTCTCCTCCGCCGACAGATCCTGCGTGCAGCGCTTGATATCCACAGGATCCACGTTGCTGAGAAAATGAAGGTGCCGCCCCCGCGCCGCCTCAAACGCCTCCGGATCCGTCCGAAACGCCTCGTGCACAAAGTCTGGCCCCAGATACGAGCCGCCAATCCCCACAGCGATGACGCTGCGAAGCGGCTTCCCCGTGGCGCCGCGATGCTCCCCGCTGCGCACCCGCTCGCTGAACTCACGCACGTGATCGAGCACCCGCCACACGTCACGAACAACGTCCGTACCGTCGACAACAAGGCTTGCGTTCCGCTCCGCGCGAAGCGCCGTATGCAGCACGGCGCGCCGCTCGGTCACGTTTATGTGCGCGCCGGACTGCATCGCGCGGATCTTATCCACCAAACGCGCACGACGCGCTAGCGCGAAAAGTAGCTCAATCGTATCCTTCGTCACCCGCTGCCGCGAGTAGTCGAGGTAGATCCCGTCATACTCAGCGCGCAGAGAACGCACGCGATCGACGTCCTGCATCAGCTCCCGCAGGTGCAAACGATCGATCTCAGATGCATGCTCCACCAGCCGTCTCCACTCGGCAGTCTCCGAGATGAGGACGTAGTCGGTCGGCACCGGCAGTGGTGGCGGCGTTTCCGAAGGAAGCCGCCTCCCAACGGTGTAGCTCCCGCGAACGTCCCCCGCTGTGCAACGCGGAAACGCACGTCTCCGCAAAAGCCCAGCAGACCCGTGGTGCGGGTACAGCGCCCTGGATCGGCGCGATCCAGCTACCCCACCCCGAAGCGGCCACCCAGGCACGACAAAGGCGCTCATCAGGCGAACACTCTCCCAGCAAGCAAAGACCAGGTGCACACTATTGCGCACTGCACCGCGCAGCGAGCTTTCAACTGGCGTCCGCTTCTTGGGCGATTCGCCTCCGGCACGCGCGGCAGGCGGGTGCAGCTGCGAGGGCGCGGCCAACGGATCAGCGACTCGTTGATAGACTTTCACCTGAATTGCGTTCCATACGCAGGTGCGTGCCATCAACTGCTCTTTCGCCGCTGATGAGAGACGCGTTCCGCGTGCGTGCCTTAGCAGAAATAAAAAATCTAGGGGAAGGTATGGGCATGGAAGTCGGAGATCAAAGGCGGTCGCCATGGCCGGCTTCTTGAGGGAAAGGACGAAAGAAATCCTGGTCTCGCCGACCATGGAGCGAAGAAGCGCAAGTGACGAAGAAGAAGAGAGGCACAGGGGCGGCAGGCGAGAAGAGGGGTTCGCCCGATGAGACTGCGACGAGACTGTACTGGGAGAGGGGGCACGAGATCGAGGAACTCTCGCAATATCGAGTTCATGCAGAGGAAATATAGAGATGGAGTTCGTGACCTGGGACCTCTATGCCGCCATCAATATCAGGGAATGTGCGGTTCTGGAGACGAGGCCCGCAGAGCCGACGCGATCCAGCATTGTGGGGCAGCCCCTGAGGCTTGAAGTGCACAAGGCGAAGCTGCAGCCGATGGCAGGGGCTGGTCAGGAACTGCTGGGAGGCGTCTGGGACTGGATATATATTTACCTACCATGGTTGTGGATTATTGCGCGTGAGGCAGCGCGATATTTCTTCCACCTCGTTGATTGGGCGCTTCTCCCAGCGCGCATACATTCACACCGACGCATTCGATCACGCACCATTCTCTTCCTCGCCACCCTTCGTTCCCGGTACAATACTTTTCACAAAACGTGTAGATTATTACGAAATTCATTGCGGCACTTTGCACTGTCGCGGGCATATCGTACAGGACTTTCTGCTGAGTGCGATAACGCCTCCAAGGCTTCTAAGACATCATTGCGTTTGGCCTGCACGTTTCTGGATTATTCGCCCAGTCATTACTCTCTGCTGAGATAAAGATGAGACGTATGTTAGTAGGTCTTACAGCTGTTGGTTGAAGTCCGATGGTTCACCAACGATTCCTCCAGTGCGTCGTCGTTTACCACAGGCAGGCGGACTCCTCCTCGAGCCTCAACGAAGCGCTGGTGTATGGAGTCTCTTTCCCTGGCTTCAGGCCGACGCACTGTGCATAGCGGAGAAGATTCACGAGGACATGCTTCTGCATTGCTTGATGTTCCACCGTGTCTTACCTCATCTGAGCAGAGGAGCGTTTGGGCTCTCAGTGGGCCGTGTACCGTGCAAGACGCCCGCGTTTGATGATTTTGGATGCAGCTACGTCATTGGTCTCGAAGGAGGACGCTACGTCTTGTCGTGATGGTGCGAATTCTTTGTTCCTTCTTTATTTCTTTCCCATACGCATCTATCTTTGCTTTCATTGACTTGTCGCTCCTCCTCCCGTTTTTGCGTTCCTTCGAAGCTTCGGGCCAAGAGCGCACAATTTCTTCCATGCACTCCAGGCAGTCGATAAGCTCCTCTTCTGCTTTGATGCTCTTCGTGTTGTGCATCAGAAGCATCTACGCCGCCTGTACGGAGGCGCCCCACTCAATCAAATTGGAAAAAAGCCTCATATCGAGGTGCTGGTAGGAGCGACTTAAAGATTCGATTGGAAAAGTAGAAAATTTCTTCCCTTCAGGGACACGGTACAGCACCCCAAATGCAGAAGCATCATCCCTTTCTTTTGCTGGTTACTCACAGGCGACAGCTGAATCATTTCTTTGGCGTATTCGTCTCGGAAAAGCATTCGACGGAGGTTTACAATGCTCCCTCTCTTTCCAGTCGATGGGCTTCGACGAAACGCCGATAACGAAGAGCTCCTTCATGTCGCCCGGACTTGAGACCGACTCGTGGTTTTTTCGTTTCAACATCAACGAATACATCACCCGAGGGTGGAAGTGAACGCTGACGTGTTTCAGGCTCGCCGTGCATACTTTTCGTCCCAAGTGCCTCTTTGTTTTTCTGGAACGCTTTGAGTCTCGCAACGAGTGAAATCCTCGGCATCCGCAAATTTGTTCAGCTGAAAGACCGAAGAGCGTTCGGCGTCGATGAAAGCTCAGAGCGAGAGAGGAGTACTCGGCATGTACTCTGGAAGAGTGAGGGCATAGAAGGCGGTCGGTGTCAATAGTCTCTCAAAGAAATTCATCACTTTCACAAGGTCCTTGAAGTGAGGAATGTCCGCAGTCTTGTGCGAAAGGCAAGCATGTTGCTGGAGCTTGCTGAAAGAAATGCATATTTACATGCGCAGGATGTGTGCTCCGGCAAGAGCAAGCACGCTCAGATGAATCCCTTTATGAGTGTAGCGTCGCAAAGTAGCGACACGCAAAGCTCCTCGTTCGCGTAGCTGCCCGAGCGTTGAGGTTCGTACAGCAAGGCGATCCGTCGAAAGGTGGCGACGTTCTCTGGGACGGGTATGCACCTCTGTTCGAAATGCTCTAGGATTTCTTTTTAGTCCTTAAACAGCTGTTTCCCTCTCTCACATGGTGTGGTTGGGCTGTGTGCCTCTGTTGACGAACCAGCAATTTATTGTCATTCTCAATTCATCTTTCAACTTTTTCCCTCACGTCTCTTCAGAAATCCGCCAACCTAAAACTTGGAAACCTTGTGCGAAACAAACCCTGGCAGGCCGGGCGGTTTCAATTGCGGCCTCTAAAGCGACGAGCACCAGTTCGTATTGAGGACAATCCAAGGTATTGACATGTGCATCCGCTTCCCCAGGTCAGTGCCTCGCGGAACCGGAAGACGTTCTTCATTTGGCGAAACTATGGAAAATAAGTTCGAATGCATAAAATGATCCATCCTCTGGTCTCTACTCATTACCAACGGAAAAGTATTTGTGGAACGCGATTTTTCCACGAAGAAGAATATACTGGGGCGAAAATCCGGGTTTGAGGACGAGTTGAGAAATTTCGATATTTGCAAGCTCCCTTCTTGTGAAGATCTGATGCGCTCTTCGTGGAAAGCGATCGCTGGGATGACTGACGTCCGAGTCTTAGATACTTTTCTCTCCAAACAGAGGAGGTCGGAGCCTCTGAGAGCTTCTCTCGATTTTGGTACTATGCTGCTATCGAATGCCGTTTCATCGATGGCAGGACGGAGTAGGGGACCCTCCTTTTGAACAGAATCTATTGTATTACCCTAGATGGTCAGTTACGTTCTAGAGTGATCTTGTCAACGAGTCTCCAACGAGCAGCCTCGAGTAATTTTTGTCGTCAACCCAGCAGTAAGCGAGACCTGCTGCGCCCACGACTTGTCTTGAAACATAAAGATAGAAAACTTGAAACATGCATGATTTGAGCACCCAACTCGTAAGGAAGGAGGAAGAAAGGAGGCTTATAAATACAAAATCGATCATGATACCGGGTATTTTACAATTGCTTGTTTGACAGCGTCGAGAATCAGCTTGATTTCAGTGACGCATGGAACTCCAGCGGCAGACTGTCGAAAGAGCCGCTCAGAAATGCCAACCGAGTGTTCTAAAATTAAGTATGAAACCATATGCCCTTATGGCTGATAGTCGAACGTTGACGCTGTACATCTAGAAAGAGTGCATAAAAACGAAAGACAAGAGAAGACCGAGCAGTTCATTATTCCATTGTGTTCGGCATTGGCGGAGGCACAAGCATTCGCTCCACAGTGGCAAATCTCGAGCGAGTGCGTTTCTGGAGTTCTTCCACAGGCAAAAAGACCCGACCGCGTGTAACAATTTCCTCTGCTAGAAATAATCGATTACGTGCGTGGACTCCTCGGTGACCCTGCAGCAGTCGAATTTCTGCGTGCTTCGTGCGTATCGGCGCCCAAAACGCCCTTAGGCTGTGACTGGGCTGGACACGCTAAGGACTGACACGGGAGCCAGAGGCTGGGATCCAGCCTGGGCAGTTTGGGTTTGCTGGTCGCGTGGAATTATAAGCAGTGTAAATCACTTGTTCGGACTGAGGTGAGTGCCTTAAGTAACTTGGCTGTTTGCTGAACCAGCTCTCGTGCGTGCTGTTGGCGACTTTGGCTGGGTTGCACAAGCTTGGTGCCCAAGTTCGTAGCCCCCAAACGCCAGGTTCGAAGTGCACATTGGCCACGGTCTCGGCTTGTTTACTGACTTTGCGCTCTATGAAACCCGCAGTAGCTCAACAGGATGGTCCGAGGCGAAGCCAGCTCCAGCAGCATGCCACGCGCTTTGAGCATCGCAGGCTCGGACTCGGGAGGCGGTGCCGGCATCCAAGCCGATCTGAAGACTTTTGAAGCCCTCGGCGTGTACGGCATGACCGTTATCACAGCGATCACGGCCCAGAATACGGTTGGAGTGCAGGCCGTGGAGGGTGTGTCTCCCGCTTTGGTTCGCGCCCAGTTACAGAGCGTTCTGAGCGACATCGGCGTTGACGCCATAAAGACTGGTATGCTTTTGGACTGCGGCACCATCAACGTGGTGGCAGATACCATAGAGAGCAGCGAACCAGCTGCCATGGCGCCTCTGGTCGTCGACCCAGTCATGGTGGCAAAGAGCGGCGACCGCTTGCTTGCCGCCGATGCAGTAGCGGCCTTGAAGACTCGTCTTGCACCGCTGGCAACGGTTCTAACGCCAAACATCCCCGAGGCCGAACAGCTGCTAGGTAGGCGCCTCACAATCGATAGCATGGATTCAATGCGACGTGCACTTGTCGAGCTCATGGAGGAGTTGCCTGAAACGCGCGCAGTTCTTCTCAAGGGCGGCCACCTAGACTCCACTGGCAACGTCTGTGTTGACCTGTTTAGCGATCGCGTACACGGCGGTCTAACTGAGCTTACACTTTCAAGACTTAGCTCGAGGAACAGTCACGGAACGGGCTGCACCACTGCATCGGCGATAGCTGCTGGCCTCGCTAAGGGCTACCCCTTGCTTAAAGCAGTTTACCTGAGCAAGCGATATGTGCACGGGTGCATTGAGCATGCCTTGCCGTTGGGCGCTGGGTGTGGTCCGCTCTTCCACGCACACCTTCAGGCAGCAGATGGTGCTCTCGATGCTAAGCTGAAGGAGCTTATCGGAGACTGAGGCGACATCCCAGCAATCTTTCTGATTGGACTCAGAAGGATTGCCTCGGGCGCTGCAGCTACTTGCCGCGGTAAAGTAAACAGGAGAGAACAACCGTCCTTTCATGGAGCATCCACGGTGACCGGCCGCAAAGTGTGGGAGTGACTTGTCAGCGTCCCAAAGGTATGAAGGCCTCTTGCGGCTTTAGGCCACGAGTGATCCTCTATAGGCACCGACAGAAGAACCAACCCTGGACAGGGAGCACTTCATCGAGTTCGCTATTCGAGCAGTCCATTCCTTGCGGGTTTCAGGGTTCTGAATCGCGCGAGGCCCCCACCGCCCGGTTGCCTCCGACAAGAACCGCTCGCAGCACTGAGGGCCACCCGCGTATTGTTCGTGCTGTAGCGCGTCCCGAGAAGCTCCAGATCCAGCACACAGATGGGGGCATAGAGCGCATGCGCCTCATTCGTGTCATATCCTCGCCTGGAGAATATCTGTACGACACGAACCAGACAGAGCGTGATGTTCTACCGGCCGGTGCTCCCGAAACCCTTGCAGCCGCGTTGCGTTTCCTCCAGCTCGGCCACCTCCACAACTGGTGGTGTCTCGATCCGTTCCAGAATAAGCTGAGCAATCCGCATCCCAACTTCGACCTGGAAGCATTCCTCGCCCAGGTTGAAAATCACAACACCGAGGTTCCCGCGGTAGTCCTGATCCACTACTCCAGCGCCGAGATCGATACCGTGCTTCAGAGCCAGCCCGCTACGAGGTGCAACACGGCCATACGTGCCGACAGGTACGGCAACTGCTAGGTCAGTGCGGACGAGCGCGCGGCCTCCTGGTGGAATCTCGACGCTCTCAGCGGCAAAGAGGTCGTAGCCCGCCGCGTGCTCTGAAGACCGGAGAGGCAACGTAGCGCACTCACTCAATCGTTTCACACGTAATGCACCAGACTCTTGATTGCTTTCCGTTTGGCACATGGTGAACCTCTTCACGCACTAGCAGCGAAGCAGTAGTACGGAAATGCAAATTCCCGCCAGATATGTTACCGATGCGCGAGCGCATATGGCCAGATTCATGGGTGGCGCGCGCTCAAGCCACACGAGACCATGTTTGCGTGCCGCGCGCGCAAAATGCTACGAACAGCGTCCTAGTCAGCTGTATACTGCGCGGGAAATCATCCCTCAAATAGCTGCCTGAGTCGCGTCCAGTGAACGAGTCGGGAGCATGCTATCTTGTGGTCTCGCAGCGCGGGAACGCTAGAGCCGCTGCTGGTGGGGCTGTATACGCTGACGCAGTTATTTAGGTGCGCTATTGTCTAATCGAATGTGGATCCCACCGGCTGCACACAAGCACCTGAGGACGAGAGGAGCACCTGCCGTATCCGTTTGAGTACGCATATGTTCCAACAGCGTGAGAATGATCGCACGAAAGGGAATGGTCGCCAGATTGTGCTAATGACGAGCTGTCTCCGAGTGCTGAGCCTGCCTCGTGCGCCCACTGTAAATCTCTGTTTGCCGCCGGCGCGCCTGAGGCAACCGCTAGGTGCAGACGTAATGGCCTCGTGATTCCTTGTGGGCATCATCTCGAGGACGCAGGCGGTTTCATACTATTTGCATTCGTTTCCGAGTGCGCTCCTAGGCGTTTAAACACGGCACTGGCAGGTTGCGCTCTGCGCGAGGCGCCGCTGCAGTTCGTGCTGGCTCGAACGGGCTCGTTTCTTTCTCGCGCAACGTGTGGCTACTGCAATTTGTGATTTGTAATTGCTTATTGCTGCATGAAGCCGCGTCCGAGGCATACTCTATGGAACTCGAGCCCGAGCACCGAGAGGATTGGTGCAAAACTCGAGCGAGCTTAGCAGATTTCGAGCTATACCTTCGTGGCGATGTTTGATGAGGGGACCTGGCATACGTTCCCGCAGCATCAGCTTCTTGCATAAATGTCCAATGGTTTGAGCATGCAATATCGCCTGTTATCTTTTTATTCTGAAGCAGCACGCGGCGATTGATTGTTGAGTTCACATCGGAGCAATTTAGGCGCTTGCCTCGTATTTGCGCCGGCTTGCATCTATTTTCAGAAAGTTGGCTTCTTGGGACCCTATAGCATCTGTACAACCGACTCCGCATCAAGTGGTTTCAGTTTTTTCCCATTGTGAGGAAAACATGCTTGCATTGGATCCGTTTCGGTAATGCATGCCCGGAGGCGCACCTGATGATGCAGCCGCGATTAGCTCTCGTGCGTTGCGGTCGTTGGCAGGATGCGTATCAACGTGTGATGTTCAAGTTGATCCTTAGTTGTACATAAAATTCTAATTCAGGTCAGCGCAATCGACAACCATGCGTTTCGCACGCGTTGACGACGACGACATCAAACATTCATAAGTTTTTGGGGAACGACTTTCAAGAAGCTTACCTTTCTGCAAAATAATGCTCGCATACCTCTCAGCACCTTCACGACCGAGTGTGACGCTTTCTGAATTCTCTGGTCGCCGGGTTTGCCAGACGAAACGGAACGATTCTCTTCTGGGCGCTCGGGGGAGGTTTGCACCGGGCACGTGGGAGCGCGTAGTGCTCGGGCGTCGCGGTGGTTCCCGTACAGTCAGTCGTTTGCCTCAAGTGCGTGCAACAGCTACTGCTGGGGTATCGCTAGTGAAGCCAAAGCAGACGGGGAACGCGTTCGCTGACCTCTGCATCAACAGCATTCGTTTCCTGGCTGTCGACGCCGTAGAGAAGGCGAACTCTGGACACCCTGGAGCGCCCATGGGTCAGGCCCCGCTCGCGTTTACTCTTTGGGACAAGTATCTGCGCTTTAACCCCAAGAATCCGAACTGGGTCAATCGCGATCGTTTTGTGCTAAGCAGCGGCCACGGGTCAATGCTATTATATGCTTTGCTTCACCTCTATGGGTATGATCGTCCAACAATAGAAGATATCAAACAGTTTCGGCAGCTTGGTGCGGTAACCGCGGGTCACCCCGAGAACTTTCTTCTTCCTGGCGTTGAAGTGACCACAGGGCCTCTGGGCTCTGGTGTGGCACAGGCTGTTGGTCTCGCTATCGCCGAAGCGCACCTCGGAGCAATGTTCAACACCCCACAGGAGAAGCTGATTGACCATTACACTTACTTTATCATGGGTGACGGATGTGCGCAGGAAGGTGTTGCCTCCGAGGCATCGTCTCTTGCAGGGCATTTACGACTGGGGAAGCTGATCGGTTTCTATGATGATAACAAAATAACGATTGACGGGCACACTGATCTTTCATTCAGCGAGGATGTGGGTGCACGCTATGAGGCGTACGGTTGGCAGGTCCTGAGGGTTCCCAACGGTAATGAGGATCTCGGAGCAATTGAGCAGGCCATCCTCACAGCAAAAAGCGATACAACGCGTCCATCACTGATAATTGTCTCGACTATTATTGGCTTTGGATCCCCTCACAAAGCAGACACGCATGATGTTCACGGAGCTGCCCTCGGTGCCGACGAAGTCAAGGCAACGCGGGAGAATCTTGGATGGAAATATGCTCCTTTCGAGGTCCCAGAGGAGGTGCTGAAACATTGTCGCCGCAAGATCCAAGAGGGGGCACGTCTTGAACAGGAATGGAATGAGCTCTTGCAGCGGTACAAGAGTAAGCACCCAGAACAGGCTGCACTATTCGAGCGGATGGTGATTCGCAAGGAGAAGAGCCCTGGTTGGGAAAAGGCCCTCAAGGATTGTGCGGCAAAGACAGGCTCCATGGCTACGAGGCAAGTCTCCGGCGCAATGCTCAATGCGCTCGCTGCGGTGATGCCGGAGATCATCGGGGGATCTGCAGACCTGGCCCCTTCGAACAACACGCTCCTGAAGGGCTTTGGCGATTTCTCTCGTAACAACTACAAAGCCAAGAATATGCGCTTCGGTGTCCGCGAGGCAGCGATGACTGCGATCACCGCGGGCATCAAGCTCCACAACACTGGACTGTTTCCCTACTGCGCGACTTTTCTGATATTCACCGATTACGCCCGGGGCATGCTCCGCCTTGCTGCCCTCTCCGAGGCGGGAATCACGTTCATTACAACGCACGACTCCGTCGCCTTAGGCGAGGATGGCCCCACGCACCAGCCCATCGAGCATCTGGCTAGCCTGCGAGCTATGCCGAATGTGTACACGTTCCGTCCGTGCGATGCGAACGAGTGCGCAGCTGGCTATGCGCTCTCGATCCGGCATGATGACAAAGTCGTTCTGTTGGCGCTCACGCGACAGAAGACGAACAAGCTCGAGACATCCTCATACGATGGTGCCCTGCGCGGAGCGTACGTGGTTTCGGATAATAGCCCTGCGGGCAAGCACCCGGATGTGATCCTTATCGGAACAGGCTCCGAGGTGGACGTCGTCGTGGAGGCCGCCGATCAACTACGAACTAGCGATGCTTTGAATGTGCGCGTGGTGTCGATGCCCTGCATGGAGCTCTTTGAGGACCAGGATGCAGCTTATCAAGAGTCTGTGCTTCCTGCTGCCGTGCCTCGCAGCCGGAGGGTCGTATGTGAGGCTGCCTCAAGCTTCGGCTGGTCGAAGTATGCGGATCACTTTGTGTGCATCGATCGCTTCGGAGCGTCCGGCAAAGGGCCTGACCTGATGAAGTACTTTGGGATCACGCCGTCGAACGTAGCGAAGAAGGCGCGAGAGGCTGCAGGAAAAGGCGTTTGAGGACGCCGCGGAAGCAGCGGTTCTGTGCCGGGCAAAGATTTTCAAGCGGCGTTTGCTGCGGCAACGCTCTGCGGAATGGGAACGCTTTGGAAGAGAGTATTCTTGCAGGGTCTAAACACGGCTGTAGTATCCCGCGTGATCACGTTGGGCCTCATCGTTCTCGTTCGCAAATGCGTTCCGTAGAACGTGCTGTTCTCTAGGGTAACAACGGCTGGGTACGCGGCAGCTGCATCGCCTCTGGGCTGGAGCGGGTCCTGCGGTTTTGAACCGTTGTCCACCTCGAAGGTTTTCTCCCGCCGATGGCGTCCGGGTTGGAGCACCTCCAACGGGCGCTCTGGAGACGGGGCCTTCCGTGCTTCAGCCTTGACTGGCTCACGCAAGCACACGAACGTTACCCAGACGTTGAAGAACTCGTAACGTTTGCTCTGGAAACAGTCGACTTTGAGGACCGGCGCGTCGTCGAGAGAGGCAGCCTTCCTGCGGAGGCACAGCCAGCGCTGCTCTCCAAGGAAGACGGCGTGGTCGTTCCCATACGCGGGGAGCTTCTCGTTTTTCAGGTGCTGGACGTTGCGGACGTCAGCGCCGCTGAGGAAAAAGCGGATCTTCCAAGCGGGCCCGAGCGCACTCTGAAGCTTCTGCTGACGGACGGTCGCCTCGAGTTGGCCGCTATCGAGGACGCTCCGATACCGGACCTCGGAACGAGTCTCCCTCGTTGCACGAAAGTCTGTGTGCGGAAACCTATGCTGCTGCACGGGTTGCTGGTGCTGCGTCCCGAGAACACGTCCGTAGTGAGGCCTCGGCCGAGCTGCATATAGAAGGAGTGGCTGCGGCTGCCGCTTGGGCGTATCGCAAACGAGTTCTTGGTGATGCATCGGGCGAGCAGCTGCCGCGTCCAGCTCGAGTGTCGGACCGAATATCGCCTGTTTGATGATGTATCTGCGTGGAGCTTTCGAGATGGATACGCTTGTACGAAAAATGATCGTAGGTGTGGCATGCCTGCATGCTCGAGACACCGGCAGGATGCGTTCTACGACTGTGCCTCGGAGGCTCGTGCAGAACGCTGCCGAGACGTGCACACTGGCGCTGTGGCGCTTTCGGGCTACGGAAGTCTGGAAAGAGCGTTCTCCAAGCTTTGCACAACGCCTATGCCGGTACCTGCAAGACCACGCTGTGTCGTGAGGCACCCCTGGTTCCCATGGGTCATGCTTCAGAGCGCGAGTGAAGCGCCGCGGATGCTGCTCCATAGCAGAATAGGTGCGGTGCTAGATCGAACTAGCGGCCTGATCTAATATGCACGCTGGTGCGTGAAAGTCTTCCATGCACATTTTGGGATATGGAATCGAGTGCGTAGCAGAAGATTGCGCAAGACTGTTTCGATGCATGCGAGTGCGCACGCTGTGACGCAGCAGGGGATTTGCGAGCCTCGGCTGGCAGGGCCCCCAGCCGGCGTCCACGAGGGAATAGCTGAGCTGTCCCGTCTGTGTGTGGCGTTCGCAGTAGCAGTAGCAGCAACAGCAACAGCAACAGCAACAGCAGCGCGCTCGACTCCAGAGCAAGCGCTCACTGAAGAAACGCCACCGGGTAGGGCATCTATGCAGCGAACCATAATCCTCAGAGCGAAGTCTGGAGACTGGTGTGTGGAACACGGTGGATCTGGTGCGGAATGATATCTGCTTCCGTAAATGCCGATTGGAATCGAGACATTTAGGGATCCCCTATAAGATTCAAGGATCCTGCGCTACTGAAGAACAACTTGCGGGGACTCACCGAGGATCCATCGTCGTGTCCGAACGATCGCGGCGAAGGATGCAAACGCATGATCTCCCCAGTCACGCATAATGCCACGGACGGAAGGTGCATAAGATATTTCGATTCCAGTTCTATTCGTGCACGCATGAGCTCCCTAGTCACGCATAATGCCACGGAGTAAAAGTACACAACGTATCTAGATTCCGGTTTACTTCTTGCGCTTCTTGTTCATACTGTTGCAAGGCGAAATCGTCGGTGTTCGCAGTTATTCACGGGTATAACGCCGAAATTTGCGATACCCTGACGCTTACCGGTGGGCGGGAGCCCTCCTGTGGACACACTCGGCGATACTCGGTGCATGGGCTGTAGATCACAGGCGGACGATCGTTAAAGGTCGCTGTGATTTTAGTGTTGCCCATACCTCTACGCGTGGAAGTCATCCCCAGAGGGCGGCTCTCGAGCGCGCTGCCCTCGGTGACTCGGAGCGGCGCATGGTCTCCGCACTGGTAGCGATGATGCAGGAGCATCACTCGAGCGCAACCTGTGTACGCCCCTCTCGGGCACCAGTCTGCGTAAATCTACCAGAAAAATATTCGATCGTCTCTGCCGTAGGTGTCTTGCTCGACAGTGCGGTCAGCGCGGTGCATTGGATGCGCGGAGCTGCCCCTGGGATGGTCCGCTTGGTTTCGGGTTGTGCGCGGGTCTTCCAGTGACCCCTCGCGTCCACAGAAGCATCAGGCCGGTGTCACGTAGAGCGCTCCAGTTGCTGCGAGCCTGTGGATCCTGCACTAGCCGAGCACCGACTGGGCGCTCAAGGTTACAGCGGGGATCGTCCAGTGTCTGTATCACGGTGGTAGTCGAAGGGCTCATTGAAAACGCATCCAACTTGACCCCGTAGATATCTCTCCATGAGATCCCTGGTTGAAGCGTTGAACTCTTCCGAAATGGGGCGGCCGAAGTAGCGGCTTTCGTTCAGCTGCTTTCGGACACGCTTTGCGAGCACCTTTCCGAGTTCGACGCCCCACTGGTCGAATGAATTGATGTCCCAGATGAAACCCTGGACTGCCGTGCGATGCTCATAGAGCGCGAGCAACTGGCCAGTGGCGTACGGATCCAGCCTCTGCAGCAGCAGCGTCAGACTCGGCCTGTTGCCAGTCGTCACGAGATGCGGAATCAGCCATTCGGGGCGGCCCTCTGCACGACACTCCGCCGCTGTTTTGCCGTACGCCAGAGCATCTGGCTGGGCGAAAAAGTTCGCCATGAGCTCGTCTGCATTGCTGACCGGCTCACCCTCGATGCACAGCGGGTACTGGGACTCGATGAAGCCAATAAAATCGCAGGGTACCGTCTGCCCCATATGCAGCAGCTGGAAAAACGAGTGCTGGCCGTTGGTGCCGGGCTCTCCAAAGTCGATCTCACCGACCGCGTAGTCGACGTCGTCGCCGCGCAGCGTCACGTGCTTACCGTTGCTCTCCATGTCAACCTGCTGGATATGAGCGGGGAACTTGAGAAGCGCCTCTGCGTAAGGATGCAGCGCCCGGCTCTTGTAGCCGAGAAAAGACAGGTTCCAGACGCCGAGAAGCCCCATGATCACCGGCAAGTTCCCCGCCAGCGGACTAGCAACGTCGTAAAAGTTCGCATCAACAGAGCGCGCGCCCTCTAGAAATCGCAGGAACGTGGGGAAGCCGTACTGAATCGAGAGCGGCAGCGCTCCGACCGCAGAGCACACGGAATACCTACCCCCGACCCAGTCCCAAAACTCAAAAGTGTTCCGCGGGTCGATCCCGAACTTCTCCACCATCGGCACGTTGCTGCTGCAGGCAACCATGTGGAGCCGCACGACCTCATCCGAGCGCCCCATTTCGGACCAGAGCCATTCGCGCATCGCCCGTGCATTCAGAAGCGTCTCCGCGGTTGTGAACGACTTGCTCACGATCACTATCAGCGTCTCCTCCGCCGACAGATCCTGCGTGCAGCGCTTGATATCCACAGGATCCACGTTGCTGAGAAAATGAAGGTGCCGCCCCCGCGCCGCCTCAAACGCCTCCGGATCCGTCCGAAACGCCTCGTGCACAAAGTCTGGCCCCAGATACGAGCCGCCAATCCCCACAGCGATGACGCTGCGAAGCGGCTTCCCCGTGGCGCCGCGATGCTCCCCGCTGCGCACCCGCTCGCTGAACTCACGCACGTGATCGAGCACCCGCCACACGTCACGAACAACGTCCGTACCGTCGACAACAAGGCTTGCGTTCCGCTCCGCGCGAAGCGCCGTATGCAGCACGGCGCGCCGCTCGGTCACGTTTATGTGCGCGCCGGACTGCATCGCGCGGATCTTATCCACCAAACGCGCACGACGCGCTAGCGCGAAAAGTAGCTCAATCGTATCCTTCGTCACCCGCTGCCGCGAGTAGTCGAGGTAGATCCCGTCATACTCAGCGCGCAGAGAACGCACGCGATCGACGTCCTGCATCAGCTCCCGCAGGTGCAAACGATCGATCTCAGATGCATGCTCCACCAGCCGTCTCCACTCGGCAGTCTCCGAGATGAGGACGTAGTCGGTCGGCACCGGCAGTGGTGGCGGCGTTTCCGAAGGAAGCCGCCTCCCAACGGTGTAGCTCCCGCGAACGTCCCCCGCTGTGCAACGCGGAAACGCACGTCTCCGCAAAAGCCCAGCAGACCCGTGGTGCGGGTACAGCGCCCTGGATCGGCGCGATCCAGCTACCCCACCCCGAAGCGGCCACCCAGGCACGACAAAGGCGCTCATCAGGCGAACACTCTCCCAGCAAGCAAAGACCAGGTGCACACTATTGCGCACTGCACCGCGCAGCGAGCTTTCAACTGGCGTCCGCTTCTTGGGCGATTCGCCTCCGGCACGCGCGGCAGGCGGGTGCAGCTGCGAGGGCGCGGCCAACGGATCAGCGACTCGTTGATAGACTTTCACCTGAATTGCGTTCCATACGCAGGTGCGTGCCATCAACTGCTCTTTCGCCGCTGATGAGAGACGCGTTCCGCGTGCGTGCCTTAGCAGAAATAAAAAATCTAGGGGAAGGTATGGGCATGGAAGTCGGAGATCAAAGGCGGTCGCCATGGCCGGCTTCTTGAGGGAAAGGACGAAAGAAATCCTGGTCTCGCCGACCATGGAGCGAAGAAGCGCAAGTGACGAAGAAGAAGAGAGGCACAGGGGCGGCAGGCGAGAAGAGGGGTTCGCCCGATGAGACTGCGACGAGACTGTACTGGGAGAGGGGGCACGAGATCGAGGAACTCTCGCAATATCGAGTTCATGCAGAGGAAATATAGAGATGGAGTTCGTGACCTGGGACCTCTATGCCGCCATCAATATCAGGGAATGTGCGGTTCTGGAGACGAGGCCCGCAGAGCCGACGCGATCCAGCATTGTGGGGCAGCCCCTGAGGCTTGAAGTGCACAAGGCGAAGCTGCAGCCGATGGCAGGGGCTGGTCAGGAACTGCTGGGAGGCGTCTGGGACTGGATATATATTTACCTACCATGGTTGTGGAACATTTTTTTGTTTCGCTTATCTTACACAGTGCGAATTCCGTGATTAGAATTGGGATTCCTGGGCTGCGCAATAGCGGCCGAGGTTCTGGGGAGTGCCCACAGTTGCGCTCCGCGTATGGGTATGTTCCGCAAAACGGCTGATGCCATTCTTGCCGTTGAAATTTAGGGTTTGGTTAATTCCAACGGCGTCTTATTTCTGAGTGCCGAACGCGACGATTGCGCTCCCTGTGGCGCTGGGTACGCCATTTTCGCATCGGAGCTGTGCTCTACGATGCTTTGCGAGCAAATGGACCTTGGCGGGACCCATATTCATAAACTTCGAATACTTTATATTCTGCACGCGAGTTCCTGATGGTTTTATCTGTTGGCGCGCGATTTGAGTTACGCGTTCCCAGGCTACTCGCTTGGCTCTAATTTCCGAAAAGACCTGGAATAGCTTTCGTTCATGAGAGACCCAAGCTTCTAGATTAGATCCTCTTTTCCTTTGACGAGAGCGTCGCTTGCAGTGTTTGAATCTTAGGGGACATATTCTGGTGCACGATGCTGTAGCTTCTGAACTCCCCGCCCCGAGCGCGGGCAATCGCCATGACAGCAGATCACAGAACTTCGGAACCTAACAAGTTTTAATCTCTTTCTACTCATTCTTAACCAACGCGTCAGAGGTTTGAAGGCCTGCAGCAGCGAGAATTTCTGGTGACGGGGCGCCCCGTTGTCTGAACACAAATGTCCCGCTACGTCCAAGATTTCACGCTCAATGGCTTTGTATGTGTTTCGTCGTGCATGGTAGGTGCCTTCCACGAGGTGCCTTCCACGAGGTGCCTCCGCAAACTCGAACATTATTCCATATTCATGGAGGAGAAGCGTCCAGGCAACCTCTCTTCTTTCCATAAGCTCATAAATTCCGCCACCCTTCGGCGGTTGTCTATCCTTCTGATCAAACTGCAGAACTAGCTTGCGGACCACATATCCGTTTTCCTAATGTCTATTTGAGGCTCAGACAAATATTCCGAAAACGCTTGAAAAGCATTCTCTGTGATGAGTGTTACGTACACAATTTCGCGCAGAGGGCTCTCTCATGCAGACGCTGCCGATCGTTGGAATCATTGCGATTACCTCCTCAAGAAGTTTTTTCCTCTGTTGCTCTATTGAATCGGGAGCGTGAGCTTAGAGTTCGAACAGAGATATGATCTGGGTCGTGGGAGCAGGTTTACTTGCAATATTCGCAGGAAGAAGCCTCTCGAGAAGGGGAAGGGAAAAAGATGATATCGCTCTGAGTACCGAGGAGCTTCACAAAGCGCCTCCGGCAGTTTTCCTCGAGTGGGGGGACGTGCGAGTGAAAGTTAAAGACAAGCGGCATCCTGCTGGACGCCTCATCTTATCCCATGCAAGAGGGGTTGCTCGACCAGGTCGAATTCTCGCAATAATGGGTGCTTCAGGTAGTGGCAAGTCCACGCTGTTGCGGGTACTGGCGGGCCGGCTCCCCAACTCTGGTGCTTATTCCGTTCAAGGTTACTTGCGGATTCGCATTCGACAAGCCTCTCAGGCAAGGGAGCTCGTGGGGAATACTTCGAACACGGGAAATAGCGGCAGCACTCAAGCTCCTTTTCGGACTGCGTTTATCGAGCAGGAGGAAAGTTTCTTCTCGCAACTGACAGCTCGCGAGACGCTCGAATTTTATGCGGAGCTCTTGCTGCCCCGACGACTCAGCAAGAGCGCACGCCAAGCTTTTGTGGAGAATCTTATTTCTGAGCTTGGTCTCGGGCGCTGTGCTGAAACACGTATTGGTGATGCTCGGAATCCTGGTTTGTCTGGAGGCGAGCGGAAGCGCCTCGCCATCGGCTGTGAGCTTTTTGGTAGCCCGAGTCTCATTTTTGCGGATGAACCTACAACGGGCTTAGATGCGAGTCAGGCGCTAAAAGTGATGGAGGTGTTTCGAAGACTTGCCGATGAAAGCCGGACTGTGATTGTGACCTTGCACCAGCCGAGGAGCAGCATTCTCGATCTCATTGATGATCTCATAATCCTCTGCGATGGTGAGATCGTATATGCTGGTGAGTACAGATTGGCTGCAGAGCACTTTGAACAAGTTCTTGGCCAACAGCGGCCTGCCGAGTCATCCGTGGCTGAGTGGCTTATAGATGAGGTTTCACCAGACCAGCTTCAACCTGAGCACTCACGTCGAAAAGTGTCGAAACTTATCGCAGCGGTTCCGATACATCTTTCGATCCCGTCTAATGAACTGGAAGGAACGAAAGCAGTTTCCGAGAGAGCTTTAAAGGTAAGGCTGCGGCCTGTGGTTCCGCTTCGGACACAAGCCCGGTTGCTGTTGCAGCGCGCCTGGCGACAGGTTTCGAGGGACTGGAAAACAAATTTGGCACGCTTGGGGTCAACAATTTTCTCAGCGCTTCTTTTCGGATCGATCTATTATCGCCTCGGTCTCAGCCAAGCCGCAGCTCAAGACAGGCTTGGTCTCTTGCAGGTTTCTACCATCAATACAGCCATGTCTGCGTTGGTTAAGACATTGTATATTTTCACAGAGGAGCGTTCGATTGCATCGAAGGAGCGCGCGAGGGGAATGTATGATCTCTCTGTATACATAGCGACGAAGCTGTTGGCAGAAGCTCCCATAGCCGCGGCCTTTCCTGTGCTGTTTGGAATTTTGACGCACCGTCTCTGTGGTTTGCGAGCCACCCAGGGACGTTTAGGTCGATTCCTTGGCATGCTCACGCTCGAGTCATTCGCCAGCGCGGCCTTCGGGCTCTGCGTTGGCGCTATTGCACCCACAACTCAGGCTGCAGTTGCAATTGGACCGGCACTGATGGTTATTTTCATCGTTTTCGGTGGCTTTTTTGTAACAAACCCCCCCTCGTGGGCGCGCTCTATTCCCGAGATCAGTCTTATTCGATGGGCGTTTCAGGGTCTCGCAGTGAATGAGCTTCGTGGACTCCGTCTGCAGAAGTCAAACACTGTTGGAGAGGCAGATACCGGTGATGCAATCCTGGCTCGAATGCAGATGAATAACGTCTCTCTAAGCAAAGCGTTCCGGCGGGAGAGCCAAATTCTCTTGGGGTTGTACGCGTTGACGCTCTCCATGCTGATGCTGCGGGAGAAGTTTGCATCAGAGAGCAAGCAGCTGTTACGTATTCAGATATCGAGTCCCGTGGATCAATTTATATCTGAGAGCGGCCCTTCAGACACTCGGAATTGACAAGTCCTCTGGAATACACTTATCCAGATCGCATACAATCGGAATCAGCTGATCACTGGCGGACTGTTTTGGAAACGATTGTTTCTATTTCGCTCCAAATGGACGCGCTTGAAGAATCCGACCAAATCGGTTGCATCAATGTAATCACCAAATGCTTGTGGAACGGAGAAGCAACTGAAAGGGAGCTGAGATTTCTGACTGGTAACCAGCGATATTGGTGCGACAGGCGGAATCCAGGTTATTTCACCCAACCACAAAAACATAAACAGATTCTTGCTCTGTGTGAGCGACCTTCACCCGATCCCACTGTGCGGCTTTTGCCGAGCTTCAACGAGATTCCTGCATTCTAGATGGTGACTGTTGGACGTGAGCAACGGAATAGAGACTTCAAACTCCAGCGACAGTGGTCACGAGCGTGGTGCTCCGGAAGCGAAAGGTCCATGTGATGCTGGAATTTTTCATGGCCTTTGATCCAAAACACATGTCAGTAAACGGAAAAGTTTCGCTATCAAGGAGTGCGTGCATATGCCGACGCGCAGAAGCCTCCCAGCCTTTTTGCCCGACACTCTGCAAATGGCTTCAGTTTCACCACAGACACTTCGAGCCTGAGACGCTGTCCCACAAAGTTTGCTGTCGTCTGCTCCTCGAGTCTCGTCTTCAGCATCGCATACCGTCCGATGTTGAAGGCGAGGATGAGGTCTCGGTTCATGAACTCCTTGCGTTTATTGCCTCTTGTGGAGCTCAACTTTGTAGGGATTCCTAGAGACGACGCCCTTGGTGCCACTGCAGTTTTGTTATCGTCCCGTTGGGCAAACACTTTTTTCTCGCCTATCTCCCTTCATCATCTTCTGCTCCTTCGTCACTTGCTCTTCTCCGTTCGATGGTCGGCGAGAAGAGGAATTTTTCGTTCTTTTTGCCCTACTCGGGGATTATGGCTTCTCAGGATCCTCTACTTACGTTTCCGTCACTTTCCCTAGGATTTTTCATTTCGTCAAATGAACGCAGTTGTCTATGCCCTTGGGTTGGTACATTCCCCGAGCGAGAAGGACTTGAGGAGGATGGACGACTTGTGTCCAGGCGGCACCGTTTGGTAAGAGCGTCACCGATTGGTCTTTGAGCGATCATTATTTGTCACGATAGAAAGCACTGATTTGATGGGGTTGAACCTCGAAGCGGACAGAGGGATCAAAAGCTGCTCTAGCCCGATATAATCGACATAAGCTCGTACGCAAGATGGAATGCGAAGTGTCACGTGGTTCAATAGAGAAACGTCTGCAGACGTGAGGAAAAGTCTTCAGTGATTCGGCAAAGTGGGTTCTGTTGTATGAGTCCTCTGAACGAGCGAAACTGAGGCCGCCATTTGGATCCACTTCATCTAGAGAAGAATACGATATCGTTGTTCTCTGCGCATCCGATTGTACATATACCGGGCTGCCTACTCCGCGAATACGCATATATGCTCCGACAGTTTCATCCGGAGAAATTCTCTTCGACTGAAGAAACAAACCGACGTCCTCATACCTCATTCCGATCGCAAAGTTCCAGAAACGCTGAAGTCGCGATTCGCTGGAAGGTGGCCGTGCTTGAACCAGAACTGTTATCTTCTTGGCTGTATTCCAGTGTTCTCAGGACAAGAAAAACACGCTGATGAGACAAAATGACGTCCGTGGCGGATACTATCGTCGCTTCTGCTTTTCCTAAAGTGATCAACGGGTTGTTCTGTAGCATAGACCGCAACTGCACTTTGAGAGCATGGCGTTTTCGCGCAGAACGAATGCATGCTTTTTTCAGTGCTCCTCACCCATCTGAGTACTGCAATATGACTGATCTGACGGAGAAATGCAGCCTTAGTTGCAATATTCAGGAAAAAATATCCTACGGGCAATTCGTCTTCGATCTATAGGGTTATATCGCATCGTAATCTCGATCTCCTGCGATACACCACAGCGGGGTCGAACAAAACTGAGTTGAAAGACAATAATAAAACAGTGATCGTATCAGATCAACATGGAATGCAGAACTCATTGCTCTGTTCCTGCCTTACCATTCTCTTCCGAACATTTGTTTGTATGTTAACCCTCGACATTCCAAGTGTATCGATCAAGGCTTCCGCATTCGCGAACAGTTTCAGGATCCTAAGTCGCCTCCTCGGAGTGGCTCCAACGCTTTCGCGCTGATACTCGTTACCTCAACTGATTCAAAATGATTCGAGGCGCATTCTAAAACTGGTTCTTCATATAAGCCACACTATTATCCATCTCATAAGAACAAACATGTAGTCTTCGCTTTTCTGTATGAGAAAGACGCTCAAATCAGGGATTCCTAAAATTTTCGATCGCTCCACTTCAAGGCAACTGTCGGGCTTTGCAATGCGCTTCGCAAAATTGACGAGGAAAATAATTCGACATCATTCTTTGACGACTTTTTCATAAGCTCATGCCAAAGGCTCACAGAAATATGCACATCAAGTAACCGATTCCGTCCAACGGCAAATTATCCGCTCTTTGTTACCACCCACGAGAAGGAACTCGACACTGGTACGGCACCTCTCGTGGGATATGCTCTCAGAGGCTACCGTCTGTTGAGTTTACTTGGAAATGGTTCTTGGACTCTGAAGTGAAGAATCGCAGCGATTTCTTCCAGTGGAGTGGTCGTCATCTTTTTGCTCGAACGGAGCCTAGACGGATCGAAACATCTCGACTTTTTCTGTAACTTGGATATTCCTTTTGGTACTTGTTTAGACAAGGACAATTTCTAGCTCCACAAATCCTCTTTCGAGTGGACGGCGTTCACATCAGTATACATGGAACAACGCACTCGCCGAAGGGAGTCGCCCAGAAGAAGCCCGTGATCGTAGTGCACGGCGGCGAAGGCGAAAACGGTATGGGACACCAAGTGCAGTCTTCTGTGCCAATTACAAGCATGCACTGTGTAATGAAAGAAGCCCTAGAGCGCCACAAGGCGCCTACTGTCCCCGAGGCGGAGTGGTGGACAGTTTTGAAAACCCGATAACATTCAAGAGTTATCCCTAACAGGGTCGCATGAACACTGTACGCGAAATGGACGAAAATGGCAAGCGAAGCGTGAATCGCTTGCTCTAGCTGTTTATGAAATGCGTCGACAACATCTTGGAGCGGTGAGATCGCGATATGAACGTGGTCATCAACATCCATCTACTCATGGCGAGGGCGCTGGAAGGAAAGGAGATACTGGCGCGTTTCAGACTGGATGTATGAGATAGAAAAAGAAACCAGTGGCTCTAAAGGCCTAAAATGACTTTTGTTGATTAGGATGGGACGTGGAACAGACTTAAGAGTGTGCGCCTACGTTAGAGAATATGTTTCGTTTCATTCTGGAAAGCGTCTAGTTCGAAATCCACTCAAATCGTCAATTCGGTATCCAATTTGACCGCCTCAGTAACGCTGGCTACGCCGCGGCGCTGTGTAGAGATTCAACTTTGTTTCGATACTGTCGCTTGAAACGCTCACGAGAAAGATGAAGCGCTCAGCGTCAAAACGCTCCACTGCCTGCAGACTCTGCATTTTTTATCTTTTGATATCTATGGTTATTCAGCACGCGCTGCTTTTACAGCAGCCCGTCTCTGCTACAGAAGGAGCTGGACTATTGGGGAGTCCTCGTGTTGCGGCTGAGTCGCAGCCGGCAGAGAACCCCCACACGCCGCACTCGGGGCAAACTGCCAGTGGCCAGTCTCAACAAGCTGAAGCAGCTCAGCGTCTCGGTCGTGAAAATGCTAGCGAGGGCTCTTTAGAGGAAAGTGATGAAGATGAACTCGATGGAGAGCTATGGCGCCTGCGTGAGAAGACGAAGGAACTAGAGCAGCAACTTGCGCGTCTCCAGAAAATTATTGAGGAGAAAAGCAGTTCGGAAAACTCTCTTCTGGAACAACTCACGCGGCTGACAGAAGATAGGAAAAATCAAGAACAGAACCGGCTCGATCTTGAGGCACAACTGGAGCACGTTAGAGCTGAACTAGCTGAGCTTCAGGCGCGACCCACTCCGGAACCAGATCTGGCTCGTTTAGACCTGATTGCTGTGGTCCGAGCGAAAGCCCATTATCGTTCAAAGCAAATTATGGGAGCGCTCGAGCGACGCGGAGTTTCCGGACGTGCGCGGAAGTTGCGGCGTCTAGTGGCTCGGACTGGCCGTCACGCTGCGCGCAGTCTTCGTGCACTGAGGAAAAAGGCCAAGCCCCATTTGAAACGTCTTCGGCGTTTGTTACGTGCGACGGGCCGGGTGACATCCCGCCGAATCCGAATCGTAGCGTATAAGCTTGAGCCGCATTTGAGGGTCATATTCGCACGTGGCGCCGTCCTGTTTCACAAAACCGCAGCGAAGGTTAGCCGCTCTGTCCCTCCAAGCCAGCTACAACGCCTCCAGAATATTTACCACACCGTTTTGGCGCGTTTGCTGGACTTTAGACGTTGCTATAGGAAGCAAATGAAACTCGTCCCAGAATACACAACAGCTGAGCACGGGAATGGCTACGCATCCACCTTTGAACGCGCGGTCTTCCTCAAAGAGAACGCGCGAATTGCAGCATGGTGCTTCTGGCAAGCAGACTCGACATCTCGAGTGATTCTTATGGGCGCTTTCTGGATGTCTATGATGTTCGTCTGGATGAGTATGGTCATTCTGGTTGTGATTGGACGCCTGGCATCCAAAACTTTGCGCATACTTATCCCCGGGAGATAGAGCGTGCACGTTGCATAGGCTTGAGGATCCAAATTATAGGCGAGCAGCAAGCGCTATGAATGCCCTGTTCATATAAATGCGTGATGCATGCTGCAGCAAAAGTGAAACCGGGCATGGATGCGGCATGTCGACTCTTGCGTGCTCCTCACACAACTGAGTTTGATCAGACTCCTGAATAGCCCGGGCGAAAGTTGCGCTCTCTTGAGTAGAGGAACTGGCGAATCGATTAGGGTCCAAGTTCACCCTTGAAATTTAGCTCAGTACTCACAGCTCAGCTCGCACTCGTTGCAGTCGCCTTTCTTGGGCCATCATGGAGCATTGATGAGTCTCGCCACTCTTCATCTGGCGCGCGTTCCCTGTCAGTGGCGCGAATACGTACCTGACCTCCTTCGCGGGCAAGAGCGCGATCTAGCAATGAAGCGGTGCGTTTCCGTGGATTGGTCGCCGGATTCATGGACCCTGCGTGTTCCATCCGCTGACGGAAACGCGTTTCCATTCTTTCAAGAATCTCGATTCGGAGCGTGGGTTTAGCAGCGCAAAATCAGCGCTCGTCGTCGGTCTGAGCGCCCGCAAACCAGTTTCCGCAGCGTGCCAGCGACGTGGAACAACACGCGTGAGGGATTCGACGGTCAGGTCCAAGTCTTGGGACAGGAAGTCCCGTCGAAGCTCCCAAAGCATTGTATTTTATCCGTTACAGTGGTAGCCACCGACGCATCTGCATGCAGCTTTGGCCAGGAGGGCGCTTCCGGCGTACGCACCATCTATCTGAAAGGTGGCATTCAGGCTTGGCCACCACCATTGCACGACTAAATTGGCGAAAGCATCTTCTGATGTGCCGTATCAAAGCTCTGTTACTTTTCGCCCATGCCAGGGGTACCCCGTCGGGCGCACATGCTTCGATGCCCCTGATCCGTGAGCATGTTTGAACTCGATGTTCAGGGAGACAAATACCGAAGCTGAAATACTGCTGTTGCGACCATGTCGCTGTTGACGGTTGTATCCGGCACTGGTGACCTTGGCGGCGTCGGAAGCTCGCACTGAACCGGAATTCTTGGATGCACGATTGCCGTTTGCTGCTATGAGAGCGAGCCAAACAGGCCGGTCAGGCCTTTAGGATCTAAGATGCATGCATAGAACCATTAGACTCAGACGCTAGGTCACGTTTTGCATCCTGGAAACAGAGCGAAAGAGGTCTGAGTGATAGCTAGGGTCTGAGATTCACGCAGCTAACCAGAATACTCGAATACTCGATTGCTGTTTGCATGCGGGAAGGGGACCCCGGAGGCTTGTTGAGTATTGAGGCAGTAAGAGTCATGAATCTTACGAGAATCCTCGGATACACAAGTACTGTTTGCGGACAGCGGCCTAGAATCACCGCTCTTTTCCCGCGGAGCCGCCTCGATATGCAAGGTGCATTCCACGCGCTATAAAGAGTGCGTTGATCGAATGCCGTTAAATGAGGCGTGCAAATGCCGGATACTGGACCTTTCTTTTGTCAAGATGAGCACGGAAACATCTGGTTAGTAATGTCAAACATGAATATAGCAATCTGTTTCTACATCGAAAGCCGCGAGTCAGCAACGCAGCATGCTCGTTGCTGCGGACGGGGGTTTATTTTAGTGAGGCGTAGAACACATGCTACGCAGATCATGGACGTCGCTATCATTGGCATTACCATCTTGACATCCTGCATAAAAGTAAGTTGCATTCAGTTGGCGGCCTCTCTATTTCCAAGAGCACGATCACGGTCCGGCAGGAAGTTGTAGGCGCTAAAGTGGTGGTCAATTCTCTCCGATCGCATTCAACTTCGCTGTTTCGCAACACGCCGTCCATGTTGTAGAGTCTTTACTAGCCTTAATCTCTTGTCTTTAAAAGACGGTTTGCAGGCAAGTTATCAGGTGGCAAAGTCACCTGTCTGTGTTGGAAACGACAATTTGCCGTCGAAGGTGGCGGAGCGTTGCTTCTAGATATTACGAACGGAAACAAATACCTCCCTTCTTGCCAGAGATCACACTGGAGGTAGAAAAACGCTTTCTCCGTTCCTGCTACGAATCTGCAGCCCCTGCTGGCTCCGATGCTAACACGAAGCTTGCTTGCGGTCACGGCTAGCGTCAAATATAGAGCACCTTTTGCCAGCAGGTGTCCGTTGGGCAGCAGCCCGTGTCACTGCGTTCTCCGTCCAAGAATACTCCGATTTTTTGCTCTAGATCGCAATCAGGATGGTTCGCAACTAAGAAGTTCAACGCCCTTACTGCGGCACTGGGAGAGGATCAGGCGTAGATATCCCCAACACATTCTTTTATACCAAGTTGGCGACTTCTTTGAGTGTTTTAAGGAAGATGCTGTTACGCTCTCCGAGACGCTCGGCATAACGCTTACCCGCCGTGGCGTCGGCAAAGACGCGACTCCCATGGCGGGCATTCCTGTTCGCTCTTTGGACGCTCACTTGCATCGCCTTGTACAAGCGGGACATCGAGTAGCCTTATGCGAGCAAGTTGAGCCAGCCTCGTCAGGGAGTCGCCGCCTCATAGATCGGCGTGTAACACGCCTTGTAACACCGGGAACTCTGGTGGAGTCTATCCAGCAAGCCAATGAGAATAATTACCTTGTAGCGGTTTCCTTGCCGGCGAACTCAGCTTTGGACGGGAATGAAGCGAACAACGCCACGTGTCGCATAGCTCTGGATCGTACAAGCGCATCAAATCAATTGGACACGACATATCTAAGCGAAGTGCATGATGCATGCGTCTATTATGGCGTTGCCTGGGTAGATTTGAGCACCGGACAGGAGGTTCAGTGCAGCCTCGAGAGCTTCGAGACGATTGGCGAATGCCTCAGTAGGCTCCAGCCGCGAGAGATTCTCGTGCGGGGAACTCTTCCTGATGATGCAGAGGCTTGTTTCGCATACACCCTGCTGCGCAGAGTAGTTTCAGATAAGTGCCTCATGACCTGCCATGATGAGCGCTTCCGATACCAGCTCCCAGACCAGACTGGAAATGGAACCTTGACCCCCCAGGAACGACGCGCTGTCGAAACCTTGTTTTCCTACATCGAGCAAACACGCAATCCAATGGAGGACAATGCTGAGGGCGTCGCATCCTCTGCTGAGAGACTGTTATGCCTGCGACCGTTGCCATTAGAACTCTGGCCAATCGTACGGCGCTTTGACGCCGGAGGTTTCATGCGCATCGATGCTTCTACACGGCGAGCTCTAGAGCTGCACAGATCCCTGCGAGACCCGTACTCGCGCAGAGGCTCACTATTGGCTGCTATCGACGCTACCGTGACGGCGCCAGGTGCTCGTCTGCTTTCGCTGCGACTTGCGTGCCCTTTGGTGGATTCGGCCGCCATCGAGCGCCGGCTTGACGCGGTGGAGTTTTTCGTGAAGCACCGTGCAATAGCGCGCGAAACGCGAAGGAGCCTCCAGCACGTGCTCGATATTGAACGAATCGTTCAGCGAATCTTTCTCACAACTGGGCAAGCGGTTCGAGAGGGCCGCTTCACGGACTTTGAAAGAGTAGAAAATACGAACGAGCATTTGTTGAGCTCGCCCGCAATTGCCCGTATACAAAATTTGATTCGGGACCTTGTTGCCCTAGGTGAAAGCCTGGGGCATGCCCAGCGTCTACGTGATCATATCTGGAAACGCTTTGCTTCAAAGGAGAGCCATCATGACCCGTGTTTCGAGGCCGTCCAGCGACAAATGGATCGCATTCGCTGTGACAACATTTATAATGTTTTATCAACCGCCCTGGAGGGTGTCTTGGGTCCAGGCACGACAGTCGTTGGCGTTTCACCTCCAGATTCGGAAGCACGGGTGCGTTCCGGAGACATCACGTGGCCTCCGGACTCGAACGCGGATGGTCAGGAAGCACGAACATCAGACGGTACCCGAGCTGCGGCTACTGGCCCAGCAAGCACTCAAGCAGGGGCGATACGTCCAGGATACTCTGCGGAGCTTGATGCAGCAGTGGTAGAGTACGAGCGCAGCTTGCAAGCAGTGGGTGCACTCGAACAGGTGTATCGTGAGGTGCTAGGTCTGAAAACTCTCAAAGTTAGAAGCAATAATCTGTTAGGATGGCACCTGGAACTAACCCGAAGAGAGGCCAGCCGCCATCAGCTGTTCCAAAAGGCCCAAACTCACGGCAAGTGGGAGCCACTCGGGCTCCCCGTATCCGCTGCTAATCCATCGCCCTCTGATATTGATCATCACAACGTGCCTTCCTTGATGATGCGGAACAAACTTACTGATGATGCTGTTAGACGAATCAATGAGACCCAACACACTGTTCGATTTCGAAGTAGATTATTGGAACACTATGTGGCCAATCGTCTTCAAGCTGAGGCGCGCTTCCTCCGTATTCAGCAGAACATCCTACTCGAACTGACTCATCGGTGTGCAGGCGACCCACATGCACGTGAGCAAATACGTGAAACTGTCGCAGCGTTGAGCGAGCTCGATGTCGCAGCAGCGCTTGCTCAGGTCGCTCATGAACACAACTATTGCAGGCCAGTTCTGCATCGACCTGCTTCGGAGAAACCTCGCTACATGATTCGCATCGAGAATGGCCGACACCCAACGGTTGAAAGAGCAGTGCGGAATTTCGTTCCGAATTCTTGCTATTTGGAGATCGCTGAGGATAGCAAGATCGCGTCTCCTTCTCTGCTCGTGCTGACCGCAGCGAATGCTTCAGGAAAATCCACATTTTTACGACAGATTGCTCTTATAACGATTCTGGCACAGACCGGGAGTTTCGTGCCGGCTGATCATTGCGAATTACATCCTGCAGATAGAGTTTTCGCCCGCGTCGGTGCCGCATCAGGTGATGATCTTCTCTCTGCGCGTAGCACGTTCTTCCTCGAGATGGAGGAGACGGCGGCAGTACTGCAAAAAGCTACGCGACAATCCCTAGTCGTTCTGGACGAAGTCGGTCGAGGAACGTCCGGCGAGGACGGGCTCGCAATTTGTGAGGCCGTTGCAACGGCTCTTGCCCCCCGGTGCCGCACCATACTCGCCACCCATTATCTCGAAATACCGCGTAGAATTCTGGAGAGAACGCACCCTGCTGCAAAACACACCAGGTGCTTCACCGCGAAAGTCGAGCACGATGCCACGAAACGGGCGCTCAAGTTCTCCTATCGACTCAGCGAAGGAGCAGCAAGCTCCAGCTTTGGTATCGAGGTTGCACGGCTCGCCGGGGTCCCGGAGCCCGTCTTGCGTCACGCAGAAAGCATCGTCCAGTCGAGGAACGCTCAAAAGCTAGGAACTCGTTCCGGCAGCTGAGTGCGCGGTAGTGCTCGGCTCCGTCTCTGCACCGTGGTGCTCGGCGCCTTTCAAGAACGGCTTACTGAAACGAGGGTTCACCGACCTGCGATAGTCCTCTTCCCCAACTCTGCCGTAATATCCAGCTAAAAATAGAACGACACCGAAACCTATGGCGAAAGGATATGTTTCCGGTTTACGGACCTCCGAAATCACTGCTCGAAAGTACTGCCACGACATGATTAAGAAGGGAGCGCCACAGCCAACTACAAGTGCGGATCGTAGGAGCGAATGTTCGAGCGAATCGCCCCAACCCGTCGTGCATGCTCGGCCTGCCTATGTCCTTTATGTATATTTATGTCCAAAAGCATGGACAAGTAATGGATGCGCTCCAGAATCAGAGAATTCCACGAGTGACGCTTTTTCATGTGAAACGAGCGAAATGGACCGGACGGTCCCAACATACTGCGAAGCTCGAGCGCATTTCTTGGTGCGCCAGAAACGGAACCTTACTGATTTGCCGCACATCGCAGGTAGAAGTTGCATTGCGCTTATCTACTCCTCGTGAGAGGTGCCCGCACGAGCTCATCGGGCCGTTCAGGTGGACAAGTACCGCGCTGTGAACGGCTCTAATTGGTGAAGCCTGACAAAGAGCGACATAGACCGGTTGGTTACGAGGTCAGCCGCTTTATACGCATGGCAGGATGTTCTGAAATAGGCCTAACAGCACGTTTCATTGTTTTTGCTCGTTTTCTTGCATGTGTTCAACAAAAGTAATGGATCCTGTACATTGGAGCGAGGTCGCAGAAAGACTTGATGCTTTCATTTCTCGTTCGCGACAAGTTGCTTTAATCTTCAAGTCAATCAGTCTCCGTTCATGAGCAAGATGAATCTTCCTACTCGTGGTACCCGTACTGGACTTCGTGCATCCAAATAAAGGACTAATAAGACTCTGTGTAAACGACGGTTTCCCCTGCAACCCTCTCCACTCTATGAATTTGCTGAAAAGTATTATAAAAAATGTGCAGGATGTCACGTTACCGACTTGTTGATACGAACGGCAATGAAGAGACGCGGATACTCGCTGGAAATGGCGCGCCTGCCTGGGAGATGGTAGCGCGTTGAACAAAACGCTTTCGGTCTCGTCAGGAGTCTCGAACATATGTCTCAAGGGCGACTGATATTCCTCTGGCTTGATGAAACTTTATTCGGGGAGGTGTGGTAGACCTGTATATGGATATTCAAAGAAGGCAAACCGTTGTTCGTAAACAAGAGACAATTGACTGGGAGGACAACATCAGCTCGTAAGAAGATTCAATCGTATAGTCGCCTACAATTGCCTGAAGGGCTGGATCGTTCACCAACTCTTCCATCCTTGCAGCAAGTCGTGGCTCTTCTTTGCGTATTTCTTCTGTCCAGGTCTTAGACAACCTCGCTTTCAATCCTTGAAGAACGGCCGAGGAGAGCGCGGCTGAGACTGGCGTCGAGATGCTCGTCGTGTCACTTTGTTCTTCCAGGTTCAATCCAGCCGGTGGCATCTTCCCTGATATCGAGCTTCATTTTTATGCTAATGGACCAACAGATGAGTTCTTAACATCCTCGCCAACGTTCTTCGGCATATCCTCTTCTACCGTTACCAGCCCTGAACTGCTGTACTGCTCCTTTGCTAGGTCGTGGGAAGCATGGTAAAGGTGCGATTCAGTCAGTGGTCGTGCCAGCGACGGAAAAAGTACCGAGCTCGAATTCTACAATAGTAGATTCATTTCTTGATAGAGAGAGCATCGGGCCCAGTATCCATCCAGTGCATTTGAGCCCTGAGGAAAAACGCACGAATATAGAGTATAAAGACCAAATCTATGAAACCCCGCCGAGCAAATGAGGAGGCGGACACACTTTCAGACGAAAAAAAAGAATGATCCCCCTTCTCTCAAACGCGGACGAGGGCGGACGGGAAGTATACATCCTCAGAGCGCAAAGATCCGTCTGAGACAATTTTCACGATCCTTTACTATAACACGTCAACGGGAAGAATCCTCCATTAAGTGAGTTGCCGGAAGCCAAGCAGGATCGCCTGGCTCCTTACTCGATGGAGGTTCAGCTTGCTTCCCTCGCTATGGGACATCTCATCGAGTACCTGGGTGTATCAGTTCCGGGCTCACGACTAACAGCTGTCCTCGTTCGTTTGGTATATTCTGTCTAAACTTCCTGCGACATCTGATGCTAGGGCCAGGAGAAACAACGCAGCCGAAACGAAGGATCAGCGGGTTGCAGGGAAGCTTCCTGGAACACTTTGACGGATGACCGTGCCGCGTCACCATCACGACCTCAACAGCGCAGGAGCCAGGAATATCAGACCTGCCTCAAAAATCGTATCGGGATCACTCCCGTGCGTTACATGTGATATACCCTGTAGAGGTTGTAACCGTATTTCGCTCACCTTAGAGGCACAGAAAAAGGCGGACTCAGGGAAGGAATCTTAGAGGTTTCGATGGATGTACGTGATGATCAGATGGTGCCGGAATAGATCGAAATGATAACGACTTGTAATAAGGCGCCTGATTGAGAGCAAGGGTCGCCTCAGATCGTACAAACCCGTCGTGTTGTTTCAGGCCTCGGCCCGAAGGACCCCGTTCCCATAGTATGGATGAAACCTGATGTCAGAAGTCCATGCATATTGCGCTACAATTTTTCCTAAATAGAGCGCTCCAGGGCGAAAGATTCCATTCCAGAATGCGGGCGCCCTCGCCGTTCAAGCTTGTACTCGGTATGGTCCGCATTCGTCATATCTATGCCGACTATATCGCTGTAGACGTTTGGCTTCCGTACTGTATGGCTTCCTGGCCGCAACAGTTTGTCTCTGCGAGCGCGCTCGAAGCTTTCGAACAACTTCGCGAAGAGCATCAACAGATATCGTATAAGACTTCTCGTTGACATGGGGAAATGGAAATTAGTTACAGGGACGACAGAGGTCGACTGAACACAAAGCTACATGCATTTTAGGAAACTTAGACGTGGGTCGCGCAGCGAGACCTCATTCCAGAATTTCGAGGTAGATGATCGGACAGATTTCATTTTGCACGCGCACTTGGGGTTGAAAAACATCATGGCTGTCGCCCGACATCTCAGTCCAAAGGACGAGGTAAAAGACTTGAACTGATGGCTCATGAAGCTGCTCAAATTTTCCAGGGCATCGCAAGATCGACATTTGGGCATGATGGACGCCCGGAGACTACCCGCAAGTGGAATGGCGGCTTCAGGCATATCTCAGCATTCTGTGCGCCGGGTCGAGCAGATGAGAGGACTTGGTACGCTTCATTCAGAGAGAACATAAGCATCCGAATGGCTCACGCGGACCGTCTCTGACATGGGTGCATGAGATCGCGCTGGTGCTTCTAAAATTTTCGGACGCAGGGAGCCAAGAATTGATAATTCGAGGACCTTTTCAATCGGTTAGAAAAGGAACTGCGTGATGAGTTGCGTCATTTGATGAGAGCCTGTGGTGCTCGGCGTGCTGCTGCGCGGAAAGGCCGTACTCGTGGTCCTTCGAGGAGAGCATGGGTGAAGCACGGGAACCGATTCAGCTCGATGTCCACTGATAAATGCAGAACGATACTCACATCAGAGTTACGTGTGCATGCCGGAACTACTAGAGAAGAAGAAGAAAGTGAAAGAGATACGTATACACGAGATGGTGTCTAGTAGGCCGACGGAACGTCAACTGGCGATTCAATCGAAAGCGAGACACCTGCTCTGGTTCGATTCCACCAGCGACCTCGCGGGCGAGCATCCTCTGCACCCAGACTTGAGTGCCCCTGTCAACGTAGGAAAGTATCTCGTGCTTCGGGAGCGTGCAGTAGCTTTCTTTCAAGCCGACATTCGAATAAATCGTTTGGAACTGGATGTGGACATTAAGCTGTGTCGCTAAATAGTTCCGATGAAAAAATCAGCGGCTAGGAGAAGGGAATTGGATTCCCACTCAGAGCAAAGCAAACGTGAGTGACGTTTCCGCAACACAGCATGAGTTGAGCGCCATGTGCCTACACGGGGAGCCGTTTTACTGGGCAATCGGTTAGCGACAACAGGGTTCCATTTTCCGATATTACAGAGCATACGGCAGTGTAAAACGCCAAAGCCCAAATTTTTCCGCGTCCTGCTGACGTGCTGTCAGGGATAGACCAGGGCTGTTCGTTGTTGATCTGTGCTCCAGTGCGATGCATGCCTCTCCTTGACGGAAGCTATTCGAGGTTCGCGCCAGGAACGGACACAAGCCCCGGGGAAAAGACGGTGGAGTAGCGTACCCCGGTATCGACGCCCCGGCGACGCATGGAACGGCACCCAGTGTGATGGGATCGTCGCGTGCGCAACGCGCGCAACGTAGTATGCCACGCTTTTCAAGTCGGGAGCGGCACACTGAAAGAAAGCGCTGAAGTTTTGGCCCCCAAGGGCACCAAAAGCGCTCCGCTGCTCGTCATGGCGGGAGATGCAGCGCGTGCAGCTCCGCAAACTGGTAAAGAGCGACCGCCACCGAGGTTCATAGAAGTTTTCCACGACAACCTTGAGCGAGAGCTTGACGTAATTTCGTCACTTGTTGCGCTTGGCAAGTACAAGTTGGTTGCCATGGATGCAGAGTTCCCTGGCGTCGTCGTGCGACCTCTTGGAAACTTTGACTCACCAGAGGACTTTCAGTACCAGACCATTAGGTGCAATGTCGACCTTTTGAAGGTTATTCAAATTGGGATCTGCCTGGCCGACACGGAGGGCAGTCTGCCAACGACAGAGGAAGCGCCCGCCGGCAACGTATGGCAGTTCAACTTCGAGTTCTCTCTCGCACGTGATATCTATGCACAGAGCTCCGTAGAGATGCTTCAGGAAGCTGGAATCAAGTTCGACGTGCTTCAAGAGCGCGGCATCGATCCGATCTATTTTGGAGAGCTCCTGATCACATCTGGGCTCGTAATGAATCCGGATGTAACCTGGATTACGTTTCATTCAGGATATGACTTTGGTTATCTGGTGAAGACATGCACAGCAGACTTGATGCCCGCGACAAGGCAAGCGTTCTACGAGCTTCTTAGCATTCTTTTCCCAAACTTTTTGGATATCAAGAGTTTCATGCCGTCTCTGCAGCTGCATGGCGGCCTCAATAAACTTGCAGAGACGCTGCGAGTGCGTCGACATGGCCCCGCACATCAAGCGGCAAGTGATGCGCTGCTCACGCTGGATGTTTTCAACCGTTTGGCGAGAGTGCATGCGAACTTTATTGCGTTCGATCAATTTCTCAACAAACTATACGGGCTAAGCTTTCCGACCAGCGTAGACGTGACCAACACAAGCATGCAGGCTCAGCCTCAGAACGCGCTGGAGATGAATGCGTTGCTGGAGGATACAGACCGAATACGCTCGGAAGATGGGTCAGGTTTCGCAAAGCCCGCGGTCTGAGCGTCTCGAGACCTGTTGAGCTTCGTTATGGCGAGATTCATGCCTGCAAATATATGTTAGAAATGTTTCTAACGAAATATGCGCAGTTGAAGCCATAAGCTTGAGTTTTGACTGGAGCCAGAAGATAGAAACAAAGGCGCTGGTTACCGCAGCAAGCCTGAATATGCATTTGTGACCTGATTTTTCTGAGCTGTATTCTCTAGGTGCGCTGCGTCCGTATGCGATTTTTCAGCTGCGACATTTCCGGCGATGGGCGCGGAGTGTGTGTGACCGAGTTAAAAATCAGCGTGGCAACAGATTCCGTTCGAAACTTGTAGAAGGAAGAAACTCATTGTGAAGAATCGGTAGAGGAACAGCAGGGGGGTGGATGGCGCGTATGAGCTTTGAAACGGTGTGCGATGCAGCTCCCAAACAAGCACAATACTTAATCCAATCGGCTGGATCGCTTGGCTTCACAAGCTTTCGCAAAAAGCTTGGAATGGACACTGAACAGGATTCACCAAATCGTGGTGGACGAAAGCAGCCTCGTGTTCCAAACACAAATGTTCGCAGTTTTAAGGTAACATGTCGTACATGTAAGCAGAATTCTATGCCGAATGATAAACTCGACACCTGTAGGAAAATGGCAGGGCACGTAAGCAGTCTCATATGCGTAAGGAGAGGGTTGTCACTTTGAAGAAATAGATTGTTTGACGAAAGCAGGTTTGGGTGCTATATGCTAGGCTTGAAATTTTAAGGAACTAGATCGTGGACAGATTCTGTCTTGTTCACCAAGGGGGAAGCGGAACATTTTGAGGAAAGAGATAAGATCGTCAAGACGAAACAGATGTCTCGCTGTTGGACTCGCACGATGAAAGCATACCAAGCATTGGTTTCAAAGTGCGAAACAAAACATCAGATGAGTCGCAAGCGTGGAATGCAATACCTTTGAATATGTTGTAATCTGCAAAGGGCTTCCATTCCCATGGCAGAAAAAATGGACCAGGCCCTTCGACACGAGCGCACACGCTAAAGTCTGGTTCGCTTCTCAACGTTGCCAACATCAGCTGTTGTGGATTTGTTCTGCGACTGCTTCCCTCATCTCTCTGATCTCTCCAGCTTTCAATACGCCGGTCGCTCCTGTCGCCAAGGTCCATTGTCACACGTCGACAGATGTTAATGGCAGCACGCAAGTATCGATGCCGCTGCCTACGGCTATTGTGGATGCATTTCACTCGCAGATCGTAGTTGTGATGGTACTTCGCTTGCCATTTTTGTCTTCTTCGTATACCGTCGCGATGGGTTTTCGTGACGGAGGCATATGACTGTAATCGGCGTGGTCCCGTGTACTCACCAAACCCTCTCCGGGCGCCCGGCTACGGTGCGTGAAGGCTTGCCTCATCGCTCAGTTCATGATCTTGCTGGATATAGAAGGCTCTCCTTGATGCCCTCCATTACAGCTGCGTCCGGCGCCTTACCCTAAACTCGCGAACTTCTTCTGTTCGATCTCCTTTGCGCGTACTCTGTCCGCTGCACGTGGAAGCGCACGCTAGTCCTTTCGACGGGGGATTTGCGGAACGCGGTATTGTATACGATTGAACCAGAACTAGAACGAAACTCCGGACTGGGGTGAAAGTCGAAAAATGTCGATCCGAGTAAGCGCCTCGCATGCAAATAGGTGACACAGTCTGAATGAGGTGCAATCGCTGAAGTTCGAGTCCGCAACTGTTTGCCATGCAAACGGAAGCGACGAGAGCCCTTGAGAGCATATTCTATGAGCGGTATCATGCCGATGTCGAATGCCATGTATTCTATGGCCACAAAATGATGAGGTGTTATGCTCGAATGGGGTCGATCATCAGACGTGAGAAGCTCAGTGCTGCCCTGGGCATGAGCTTATGGAGACCTGGCACCAGGAAGTCGTCTGTTCTCTATTCGTCGTCAGGCCAGCAGTGCAAATCGCTGCGCCCACGAGTTGGCTTGAGAAAGAAAGGTCGAAAACTTGAGGAACGCATGATTTGAGCATGCAACAAGTAACGGAAGGAGAAGGTTTGAGTCTTGCGTGAATGTTTTGGATCATAATATGGTTTACTATTCGAACCCCTATTCAAAGGCGTAGGAAATCATCATGATTCTATTGACGCACCAAATTCCAGCGGCAAGTTGTGAGTGCTCAACTCCGAAATGATCGAGCGTTTCAAAATCATCTATGACTCCATACGCCCGTATTCCTTCACTTCAAATCTTGAGGCTGAGCAACTAAAATAAGTACGGAAAATATCGAATAGCTGAACAGAATGAGCAATTTAATATTCCATTTAAAAGCAACAAGCTGTACTTGACAAGGTCTCACGCACGAAGTAATTGAAGGGTTCTTCCAGATCTGGATAAAATGGCACTCACATCAATCGTTAGGTCGAACACCACGTCTCATTTTGCTCCGCCGATGGGTTCATGGCGAACAACACCAGTACTCTCCGTAGAAGGTGCTCTGTCGTGTCACAGTAAACACTCACATTAGGCAAGGGGATGCTACGCTATTCGAGCGACGATGTGATCTACCAGCGGAAGTCGATGTGCCCAGTGCCACCGTTGAAGTTAGACAGATGGGAGGCTAAACTTCTATTCGAAGCCTCGATTCGAGCGTATAACTTGCCAAAGTGTCGTTCTGGTCTTCCATCTCTATTTTTTTCCTGGGTACTGCGGAAAGACTGACCTGGGAGAGGAATGCAGTCCCCCTAGTACTGTCCAGGAAAGAATATATCCTGCAGGCAATTCTTCAAAGATCTATGGGCTACATCGCACACTGTTTTCGATCTCCTGCTCGATACCGTATCGGAGATGGAACAAGAGTAAGTTGGAAGACCATAAGACCGCTTTCTTTCGAGTGCTTCCTAGCAACGACATGTCGAAGCGTGATCTGGCGCGCACCAGCGCTGTGATCCTGCCAGCGAATGAGCGCGCATCGGCGCGGGTGTGCTGTCGCGGAGCGCGTCGTCCGTCGACTGCTTCCGCAGATCATTTTCCGGGGGTACACCTGGGCACGAGCTTCGAGACTCCGGTGCCATACGTGCAACACGGAATCCTAGAAGAAAAGCGTCTGATATCCTAGGATAGGGCTGCGTATCGCTGTAAACGATTCTGTCAATCTTTCCATGGCGCCTCTGTGTTTTACAGTTGCGCCTGCGAGGAAAAACGGGTCAGAACGCTTGCGCCGGTTGGGGGCCGAGCGAGCGGACGGCGCGTTCCTGGCGGCTTTATGCAAGTCTAGATGGGCGCGCTTCGGGCGCAGAACACAAGTCTCAGGTCTCCACTGGAAACTTACCTGCATTAGCACGCATGAGAATGTGTCTGAGGCACCGAACTCACTATTACGTGAGGAAGACCTTCAGAGTGGCCCGCTGACGACCGAGCACCAGAGACATATTCAAGGTGTGCCTCCGGTACACCCCAGAATGCGGGCGAATTTTGAGAACATGATAAGAGCTGCTCAGAACTCCATCTGTCTTGCGTTAGAGAACGTCGATGGTTCCGGAAAGAAGTTTCGTGAGGACGCATGGGTACGCGGCGCTGATGGCGGTGGCGGCATTTCCCGCGTTCTCCAAGACGGTCATGTTTTTGAAAAGGCCGGTGTTAACGTGTCCATTGTTTACGGCACCATGCCTCCCGAAGCCTTGCAGGCAGCCTCTGCCGGCGCTGTCGCTCGTAATGCGGGATACGCCCGGGACGAACGAGTCCCGTTCTTTGCGGCCGGAATCTCATCCGTCATTCATCCATGGAATCCGCATGTTCCGACGATGCATTTCAACTATCGGTACTTTGAAACCGACAAGGGCATGTGGTGGATGGGCGGGGGCACCGATCTCACGCCGTCCTACCTTTACGTCGAGGATGCGCAGCATTTCCATGGCGTTCTGAAATCAGTCTGTGATCGCCACGATGCCGCGTTCTATCAAAGATTCAAAAAATGGTGCGATGACTATTTCCTCATTCGTCATCGGGGCGAGCGTCGCGGCATTGGAGGCGTGTTTTTCGATGATTTGAATGATCGCCCGGCAGAGGAACTGTTCAAATTTAGTTCAGATATGGTGGGCCATGTGGTTGAGGCGTACGTCCCCATCGTTGAACGCCGCAAGCACATGCCATACACTGAAGAGCAAAAACGTTGGCAGCAGTTGCGTCGAGGTCGATATGTGGAGTTCAACCTCGTCTATGATCGCGGCACCGTCTTTGGTCTCAAGACCGGCGGTCGTATCGAAAGCATTCTTATGTCGCTGCCGTTGACGGCACGATGGGAGTACGATCATCAACCAGCAGAAGGGACTCCAGAATGGGATCTTCTAGATGCGTGCAGACATCCTCGTGAATGGGTGTAGTGCGATGCCTTTCAGGTCGCAGGCGGTGTACGTGCCGAATTCTAGACAGGAAATGAAAGTTCCACTTACAAAACAAGGCGGAAACTCTCCAGCGTACATAGCAACCACATGTCATCTAGCGCATCTCGGATCCACTGCATGGTTTGGCTTCCGCAGGATGGCGCACTTGCATGGAATTCACTCCGGGGATTCCACTGCTTGCTGCATCGCTCCAGGATAACAATGGTTGAGCAAGCCATGGCGATGCTGTTCGGTGACCGACGCGCTGCGTTACGAGTGGCGACTCGCACATGCCGTTCAAGGCGCCACCAGTTTCGTTCCGGCTCGTAGCATAAGTGTCAGCCCGCATCTCGTATACGCGTATGGCAGGATGTTCTATGTAGCGCGTTGGCCTCCATGCAGCGTCGTGTTCCGGGGAGAACATCCGATTCGACAACAGGTGGGGATTCCGAGGCATCGGATGGGTCGCACCTCCGATACGCATGTAGTGGCGAACCGGACGCCTAGCGCTGATATCCCAAGGAATGAGACCTGCATCGATCTGTGCAGGTTGAACTTCGCGACGGAATAATGCACCAATCTGTATATACATACTGCAGTGGGGTGCAGGGAGAAACGGGGTTTGGCGGTTTGTCGTCAAGATGCTGCCGTGGTAAAGCACGAGATTTGCACTATGAGGGACCGAGGCTCGCTGCCCAGCTTCCCAGCGATGCGTCGGTGAGGAATCGACTCTCGATGGCATCGAAGTCGAAGTCGTCCAGTGCACGTTCGACAAATGTTTTTTCGCCACCCTGTTGATCGTTCTCAGACAAGGTTTCAGTCGCTGACGGCTGCCACAGTGGTTCGACAGCAGGCGCCGCAGCTTCAGAATCCGGCTGAGGATGCTCTCCGGGTCGTGCTGGCTGAAGAACGGGCTCTTTCTGCACCGTTTCGTTTCTTGATGGTTGCCAACTCGTTTCAGGGTTCAGGTCGAGCCCTGAATGGATTGGCAAGCCTTCTTCCATATGAACTTTGGATTCGATGCCGAGCTTCTGGAGAACGAGCTTGGCATAATCAAGGTAAGCGTTGTCGGGATCCGATGAGAAATCCGATTGACGCGGATCCCCGCCTCCCGTCAAGAAGTGTTCCACAAAATCCGGATCTACGACAACTATGGCGAAGATGGCATCCTGGACGACAGCGCGCTTGCGATACATCAAGCGAGCGTGGGCCTGCGTTAGTCGAACGAGCGATTCCAGGAGGCGCACCGTTGTGCGAGCAGCGCTTCGCTCCGAGTTCGTCCTTCGCAACGCATAGTACGCGCCAAGCACGCACTCGGATGCGGGAGACAGCGTCGGGCGAAAAGTGCCTCGCACATGGTGCAGGTACTGACGCAGTTGTTCGAGGCTCCAGTCCAGCGATGGAATGGGATTGTCGAACACGTCATCTGGAGGTCTTCGGAATGGACTTTTTTTCTCAGCGTAATCATTGAGCACGAAGTCAGCGACTCGTTCATCCCATTCATCATCCTGTTTGTCTGTCAGGATGAGAATAACGTCGAAGCGACTGAGTAGCGGTGACGCAACTCCCAACGCAATGGACAAACTGTTGCCTGTCTCGCCTGATTTCCTTAAATGCTGCAGTGAGGCCTTTGTTGCTTTTGGATTAGTTGCCGCGAACACGGTTGCTCTCGTGTTCAAACGACAAACAAGACCGGCTTTTGCGACGCTCACAGTCTGCTGTTCCATCGCTTCGTGGATCGCCGCTCGATCATGTTCGCGTATTGAGTCAAATTCATCAATGCAGCAGAGCCCGCCATCAGCGAGCACCAGGGCACCGGCTTCGAGAGCCCATTCGCCGGTCGCTGGTTCGCGTACAGCGGTGACTGTGAGGCCTGCGCCGCTCGTTCCAATGCCGGTTGTTAATACGGCGCGCGGGCTCAGAAGTGCTGCGTAACGCAAAAGGCGGCTCTTTGCCGTACCAGGGTCGCCGACCAGGAGCAAATGAGATTCACCGCGAACGCGTGCGCCGCTAGAGTCTTCCTGGGGAACGCCACCGATAAGCGAGAGCAGCACAGCCAATTTCACGATGAACATACCATACGTTTGCGGACAGACCGCTCGGATAATGCGATCTCTAGCTCGGAGGATAACTCCATCACGCTTAGCTAGGCGCCAAAAATGCCCAAATGCATCTAAGAGATCTGGGCTGATATCGACGATCGCTTTGCGTTCATTGTTGATCTGGACGTAGTTTGCCTCCAAAATTACATCCATATCGCAACGTGTACCGGGTACGAGAGGGCGAAGCCACCGGCGCTGCAAAATGCCGGTCACGGTTATCTCATCTCCGGCTTTGCAAGACCCCGCCAATTCATCTGTAAGCACGACAAGGATCGATCGTGGTATGGAGCCCATTCCGAGATGCTGTACGGATTCCTGAAGGCGAATTTCCTGGTAATCTCCACAGGCGCAGGTGCCAGCGTCGCCGTTGCTTCGAGTCACAGGGGCGAAGCGTGTACCCGAACACGGAGCATTACATCTCTTGAATCTTTTCCAGGGTCTTCCTCGAGTCGTTGAGGTCGCCTCAGACGTTTCTGAGTCTTGCAACTCGTTTCCAGATGGACAACGGAGTGGCAACTCAAATACAACAGATTTGCTGACCGGCGTCGCTTGGGCTCGAAACTGATACCCACACTTCAAACATTCGTACTCGCGTTCCTTTTCGCGTACCATAACGCTCCCGGTTCGCGTAACGGTTCCCGATAGTACGATAAGGCGTCCCATGTCTGCCGATCTTAGGCCCGAAATCGTCGGCTTCGTTACTTCCGCACATTGCGGCAAGTTTGATATCCTCACATGTACAAGTGGTTTGAACGACAAACGCTGTTCTTGCGTTTCCGAAGCATGCGAAGATTCTCTCTCCGTTAAAAGTCTTGTTTGAGCATCACGAAGGGCCTCGTCCAGAATAGGGAGAAACGTCGTGGGCCTCGCCAAGATAAGAGCCGCGAGATCGCTATGAAAACAGGCCAAATCCAGAAAGTTCACCCGCACGGCAGCGTATTTGGATACGTCCGGCTGTGCTAGGATTCGTTCGATTTCCTGAAAATGCTGGGATAGAAGAAAACTCGAGAAAGTGAAGATATACTCGCTAAGACAGGGTTCGGTGCCCGCGGGGCCCGCAACTGGAGGCAGCTCCATCGCTTACCCGTAAACCTTTGGGTCAGACGTTCAAGCGCCCGCACTCACGATGCCTGCACGACGCGGGGGGCGCAAACCAGGTTCCTGCCGTCTACCTCCTGATGCCCTGTCTTCAACAAAGTTTCCTACCTTGGCACAACGTAGGTGCTCTCTCCGATCCTTAAGTCGGTGCAGTGGACGTATCAGCACCGGTTGGTCGCGGATGGAGCTGGACCCCAAACCGTGCGGAAACACGCCGGAGCACGTCGAGTCTGAGGGATATTCGGGCGTGACTTGACCAACCGCAAATTGATCCAAAAAGCGCAAACTCTCACACACCGCGGAATTCCAAGAATTTTGCATGAAAGCACTTAATCGCACGCCTAGCGAAACTGGTGCGGGCGACACCAAAGCGCGCTTTTTCGCGCCCAGTCGCGTGCCGCAAAGACACGCAGTGAGGGGCAACACGCATGCGCATGTCCGCTGACTACGTGTCCGCATTGTGGCGCGCGCTTTTTCCCGCTGCTTCCCGAGCGTGTCGATTCATTCGCTTCACGAACTTGGAAAAATTGGCAGAAAAGAACCATTACCTGGCAACCCGATAACAATTTGCTTCCCCCTATACTATAAGCGTTCATAAGAGAAAGTTTCCGTATTTTAGAAAGATCATGGTCCAGACGGACAGTTCCGCGAGCCGAACGAGTCTGCCGGGTAAGTGCTCCGTGTCGCCAATGGCGAAGGCTGTAACGAGACACGGGCAGCCCGTCCGCAAGCTGGTTTATTCTGGGACTAGGGTAGTTAGGCTGCGTCTGGGAATCGCGTTTAGCGCGGTGGCCTCCTAGCATATCGTTTCGCGCTGCCGCAGGTGATACGGGTGTCTATGCAGCTTGCACGCTACCAGAATGCTGATAAACCTGACCCCATGTCTGGTGAACTACCTGTCGAGCTGACGCTCTCAGTGGTATGACAAAGCCATACTGTCTCTGTGCCGCATCCGCGCCTACGGTAAAAGTGCTATGGTGGGGTACTCACGATAGGCACTTGGCGCTCGATAGAGCGTATGAAACGTTCAGTACATCTGAAAGGAAGCATAAGTAATGCAGCTTGGAAATGGGAGGAACGGCGAATGTGTTGCCGTGTGCTGATATCAAGCCCACAGTCGCGCATCTCTGCCGTGTGTAAACTTTTTGTCAAATTATAATCGTCTTTGTTTCATCCTTCTCCAAATATCTGAGTACTGTGGGATCACTCAAAATTGAAGGAGGAATGTAGTCCCCCTTGCACTGTTCCGTAAAGAATATATTCGTACACGCATTTCATTTACCATCTAAAGGGTACATTGCATCGTGATTTCGGTCTTCCGCTATACATTGCGAAAAAGCACTTTATTGCACTCCGTGGGGTGAGTTAATGTTGATTTCAAAGACCATAGGCGTTACAGGCTGCGTTGCTGCATCCGGGAATAGAATAGGACCATATTTGCCAACAGGCTGTAGCAGCGATTTTCGCAACCAGCTACTCGATGAACTTTACTGAAGCCGCGTATTCATGCGGCATCAGAGTGGAGCTCACGCACCTCGTATATCGCAAGGCGATGCGACTCGGATACAAAAATGACAGAGAAAAATGAAACTTCTTCCTTTTGATAAATGGGATGTACGCATTATAGTTTGCGCCTTTTCTAATTGTCCTCAACATCAGCCTTTTGCAAGCTTATTCTTCGACCGTTCTTTTCTTCTATATCCGGCTTTGAACACTTCTTTCTCTCCTTTCCCTCCGGTTTCGTCGTCAGCAGTCCATGGGTGAAGGACGCAGGGGTAAAGTACCGAATTCGCAGCTTCCGGCTGTTATTATTCATGCATTTCATGCACAGGTGGCAGTTGCTCTTGATCGATCGCTTGCAGTCGGCAAATACTTCGGAGACAGCCTCTGTGCGCCGGCTGCAGCTGTGCCAATGGATTGCGGTTGAGCGTTCCCACTCGTCCACCATATGTCGTCCACGGAGTGCCACCCGGTGGCACCTCAATGATTGCTTTATCCTCGGTATATGTCCATGAAGGGTAAAGACGGCTCCTCAGGAAACCGTACACAGTTTCCCGGTCCCGCAACGTGCCCCACGCTCACCTGCTTCCTCAGGGCGATCCTTCGGAAAGTTCCTTGTCCGCTGCACGCGTAAAGCTTACACAGTCCCATTTGATACAGAATTTTTGGAACGCAATGTTGTCCATGATGAGAGGGGCATCAAATGGAAAGTCTGGGCTCATAGTCGAGTCGTGAAAATTCGATTCGTCTACGCTCTTATCGCGCAAAGCTGAGACGCACTGTCGACTGGAACAAATGGCTGCAATGACACAGACCCGGGCCCAGGACGCTTTTCCACGCAATAAGAAGAGAAAAGTGCATCTGATAGCATACTCTGTAAGGGTGGTATGCTGCTGTCGTGTCCTGTTTTTGTCAATGTGCGTGAAGAGCGGAGGGTTCGTCTTTCGCTTAGAATCATGTATTTGAGGAAAAATTTTAGTGAACTTGTGGCATGAGTTTATGACGAAATCTCCAAGAAACGGCGTCAGGCTTTTTCGTTTTCAATGCACTGGTGGTGATCGCTGCGCCAACGACGCTGCTGCAAACGGAAAGGGCGAAAACCTGAAGAATGCTTGATTTTTTTAGTGCATACTACGCGTAAGTAGACGAGAAGAGAGGTGTCTCGTTCGTACGCATCGGACAATATCATCTGTCATTTTACGAACGCTTGCCCGCAGGTGTCACAAATCACCTTGGTGCAGGTGACGTTCGGAATTCCAGCTCCAAGGAGTCAAATGTGTCACTATGAAAAACTGACCGAAGATACTGGGAGCATACGTAAATCGGTACGCCTTCACTGCTGCACTTCGATTTTTGAGGTTGCGCAAATGAAATAGCTCTGAAAACTATCAAAAGGCAGTAAAAGAACGAGTATATCCATGTTCCATTACAATCTGATACGCGAAAACGCGGACACATCGCTGTCAACAACTGCAGACGAGCCGAAGCACCCGGCGGGTGCATCGCTGCGCGCCAAATTCCTCTGCATGCGCGTGCGGGATTTGTTCTCCCGAGCGAGTGCCTGATATCTGCCGCTGCAACGCGGTGGGACTTTCCCAGAGGGAGCTCGCTTCCTCTGGAACTGAGGCTCTCGAACCTTGAGGATCATCAGAGATCCTTGCATAGAGACCTTCTTGAATTTGAGCAGCAGATTCGTGGCGATCTGGCTGCGTTGGAGGGCGCAATGCTTGGTAAATTTCGCGCCTTGCTTGCCTTTCTGAAGAAGAGCTCCGTTGTCGGTGCTTCTAGCCAAACGGAAGCTGTCGGGGCGTCGAGAGTCCTGGCCACAATTCGACCTGCTTGAGAGATGCGGTTGGGAACGTCCGTTACTGCACGCGAAGCGCTGAAGCGCAAGCGGAAACAGCGCCACCGAGCGGTGTGTCGACACCGTGTTTCACGTGTTCAGGCCAACTAGATCGTGATCGATATTCCCGTTGGATTTGAGAGTTTCGCCTCGCACTGGCTCGAGTGGAGCGAGCTCGTGAGGAGCTCGCGAAAAGACTGGACATGGTCGAAACCACGACCGCAAACCTAGTGCACATGGTCGAGTCAAGAGCCCGTCGTTTCGGCCCAGGTGGCCGCTTCGCGGCAAGCGGCGACGCCTGGAATGAAATATTCCAAAAGGACGGAACGAGCTCGCGCGTTCAGCTGTACCTATTGCGTATGATTGACGGTGTCGAAGAAAAAATAGCAGGTATGGTCCGCGACCAGGCAACATGCTTTCGACGACCATGAGGTGTCGACTGCAACAACCAAGATGCGATAACGAGTCACACGAAATCAGGCGCCTTCGAACGACGAAATCCTGAGACATTACAGTTTTTTACGGCAAAAATCTATTACTGCAGCGTTGTGTACGTGGTTATATCGAATAATGGAACATTACGGTCGATTAGCAATTACCGAGGAAAATTTTTCACGGCGTACGTGCAAGGCGCTTCAGACGTTCTGGATAACTGACCATACAATTGAAATGCGTTGCTCCGTGAGAGAATCCGATGCTCGCTCCGCAGGCCAAGAATCCTTTTCACCGCACTTCTTCCGCATTGGAGCAGAATTTCCATATGGAATACTGAACGACTCCCTCGCAAGTATGCATGACAGAAAGCCGCTGAACGATCCGGAAGCACATGACTCTTCCTGATTTTGATCGAGGCGTTTAAGCCGCGGTGTGAAAAGTGCCTGCGCACGTTTTAGCTGGTGGAATCAGACCAGAATAATCAGGTAGTTTTTGGTTTCCTTGCAATCTGACACTCATTCAGCCTACCGTACACTATATCGTAAATCCGTATCTGTTTCAAGCTCTTTTTCTGTATCTGTTTCTGTGTGCACTCGTGCCCGTGATGTGTGAATCTCACTCCAAGCTCATCGACAAGAATCAAACAGAATCGATCCCCGCACTAGTTGTAAGCTTTCGTGTGCGGAGCCGGCATGCAACATTTGCGCGCTAAAGCACGTCCAGCGCCGCAAGATACCACCACCGAACGACGTGACATATATATATCTATCCATTTCTAACTTGCAGTGCATTTTGGTCGATGCACGCTTCTTGCATGCGCACAACTGACTCTGCTTGCGAACCAAGCACGCTCCCTTGTACTCGTGCAAAAAATCGTCCGTTTGAGTCAGTTGGACTCTACGGAGTATAAGTTTAACGCAGACCGATCTGCTCGATTCGATGCCCAGAGCGTCGAGATGGGTTCCGACCCGGCCACTCGACACGCTGGTATATCTCCTGACGTCCTGCGTACCCAGCTCTCGCTGGTACGGAGGTCTGGGAAAACTGAATGCCTGCACCAGCTTTCCTTTCAGGTCTTTGGGTTCGGCCCCTTGGTTTGGAGATGCGGCGCTGGTTTTGACGCCTTCCAACCTGGGATCCACGCCAAACACAAACGCTTGCTTTTCGCTTACCTTGAAGGGTTGAAAATGAGTGTCGTTACTCGACTCAGGCTTTGTCCTCAAGACTTTGACAAAGTACACGTAGACTGATATTCCGTCGGCCTCCACCGTCGCTGTGGATTGCTTTTTATATTCTCCCTGTAAAGGAGAAAGCTCCGATTCGCTCCATCAATGCTGCTCGACGTTGTTCGAATGCTTCATATTTGCTCTTAGAAACCGGCCGTGGCTCACCGACAACGCCATACACTGGACGAGTGTCTACGATGAGCATACGGGCTCTGATGAAAGATATCCCAATAACGTCGCATAGACACTTCAGGAAGCCATGGAGCTGGGATTCACAGAGCAGTTGTGCCATGCTCTTGCGGGCTCTGTTCAGGAACACTTCGAAACGCAAAATCCGAGGAATGTAGGCATCCCGTTTCACCGATCGTTTGGATATCACGTCCGCCAGTTCTGGGGAAAGGCTATCACAATGAGTTGGAACTGTACGAAGCTACCCATATTCTCGTTGAGACATCTCTTCTGAGCTCGCTACCATTTCGAACGTTCCAGGTATCAGCTCTGGACATGATTTAATCGACGCACCCGCGATCGTTTTCTTCAGTATTCACCTTTCTGAACCAGTAACGTGAGGCTACGATACCCACAGTGTGATCCTAATGAAGCGCTCTAGACTAAACCGCATCTCACTCCGGTTTTTGAGGTCTGCTTGATACTTTTTCAATCTGGTTCTATAGACTTTTATTCCGATCGATGCGGCACCGCGAAGACTCGGGCATGCTGGAAAGCGTTCCAGCGAATCTCGGATCCTAGTAACAGGCAGTGATGCATCTTTAGCCCCGGGAGTCAGCAGTGCTCCAACATGAAGGCTAGATCGAAAATTTCGAGGGGAATATAGACAGCTCGTCGTCCTACGTCCCGTACTCGTGCGAAAATCTGTTTGACGTGGTGCGTCCAGGCAAGGGAAACTGGGCTAGGCTTCCTCAAGAAAGCTGCTACGCAATCCCTACTGGCGCCATCTGTAATATGTTTTGGAATATTCTCTCCAGTGATGAGATTGAATACGGAGCCATTGAAAGCGCTCTCAGACTGATTTTGCGGCGCCGACATTATTCCCTTCCAGTGAATCCTCATCGTCGTGGCTGGAGGGTCTTTCTCTTCTTTGCCGGGTGGTTTCCTCTTCTTCTCCTTCACACGGTGGAATGCCATGGATGTGATTGCGTTACTCCATATCGATTTGGTTCCCTTGAGATTCAGACACATGGGGAGAACGACCGGTACAAAGCTCGCCTTCCCTACGAATCTATCCACAGCTATCAAATTTCCTTTTGTCACTATCTCTGTTGCGAGCATGTCCACGATCTGTAGTGCTTTTTAGCGTCCCATCACGCATAAGAGCGGAGGAGTGGCACGCTGGTTCGTGGATGATACAGGGTAAAAACGACTTGAGAGAGAACCGTGGCATGGACGCGAACGACTCCTGAATTCATCCACAAGCGCACATGCGACGTTAAACAACATCGATGACGCCCTCAACTGCAATAAACTGGAGAGAATAGGTTGAAACGAAATATAGCTCAACGCCTGTCTCAGCTGCATGTCGTCCTTTGTGTTTTGTAAAGGAAAGCGGCCATTTCGAAAAGTGAGAAAGACTAGTGAGGCGAAAAGCCCCGAAGTGCGTCGGCGACGAGTCCAATATGTGATGATGGTATCCTTTTTAGATTTTGTACACTATCACATGATTCGAATGCCGGTTGGACTTCTATTCCAGGAGTGCTGGCTTGTTTTGTGGTGATGGACATCGGGTTGACTTCTTCCACCGTCGAGTGACAAGCAGAATATTTCTCCCGCATGAATTCTCATCGAGTGAGTCAAACACCATTCTTTGCTGTCATCAGCGTTCACATTTGAGTACGAGATCCATTCTCTGTGCTTCAACACTTGACGGTCTCCTGTGGAAGCACAATTTTCTCTTTTATCTATCCGTATCTGTTCATTAGCGGTCGATTCTGCGGTAGAGATCCTCCATATCCTGTGCCTTCTTAGATAATAATTCCAAGAAAACGCAGTGAATAGAATGAACCAACAAGGTTAACAACATGAAGGTAGAGTTTGATTAGTTCTGTTTTGGTGTAGAGCGTTTTGGATAAGGACTACGAGATAGGTGGCTCATCTACCAGGTGCCTGAAGAATTACTGAGTTGTTCATTTCGAACCTTTCGCGCCAAAGCTGTCAATGAAAGAATAAACTGCTGCCGCGACCGTTCTCCGTATTAGATGATATATTCCTTATGTTGAGAGCATTCGATAAAAACAAAAACAAAAAGTTCATGCACGTACGGGTGTTCAAGGGACACGCTAATTTCATAGTCCTTCAACTCAGGATTTTTCACGCCCGCAGCAGTGCATAGCAGGAGATCGAAATCACGATACAATGTATTCTATAGACCATTGATCACTTGCCTGTAAGATATATACTCCTTACAGAACAGTGCCTGGAGGACTCCATTCCTCATTCATCTCAGGCATATCACAGTACTCAGATGAACGAGAAACACTCAAAGAAACAAGAACAAGGGCTTCGCGTCGAAAACCGGTATTCTTAACAGGTGCTTGCGGTCAATGGTAGAAAACGACCCCTTGATCATATATTCCTGAAGGCAAAAGCGATGATAGTTGCCAGGATGGGCGTCTCTGTTTCTCAACAGCTTGTTCGTTTGGCCCTGAAAACACTTGGATACACTCGCGAAAAAGATCCCTATTTCACGCACAGCCATCGTCCACCAAAGTCGCGACGACAGCGTTCCCGGAACTTCGTTATCCATATGAAGCAGCGGGACGTCAATTCATCCTCGTCGCCGAGACTTGCTTCAGACGATACGGGTGGAGCGTATATGGGTATTCGAGGAGCAGGGCGGCCGTTGATAATACGGCCGAACTCGTGGAGACCGAGGACGTTATCAACTGTTCTGGCTGCAGTGGATTTACATGGCGGCCCCAGTTTCGCTCGTTGAGAAGCCTCATGCAATAGCACCAGCTTCGCCTTATCATTGACGACTTTTCCATGACGTGTAGCGACGTCATTCTACTGGACGACATAGCATTTGGCCATTCCCATCGCGTTCGATTTTTTGGAGATCCTGTCCGGGTAGAGCTGCTCTTCAGTAGTCCGTTCTCTATGTGGTTCAAACGCATCGAAGAATGGTTTATTCTACTGAAACGTAATGGTCGCTCAACTCGTCGATTCGCTGAAGCGCTCAGTTCGGAGACATCGGGACACATTTTTGTCTTTTTCCCGCAAGTGCTTTTCCCTCCGGGAAGGTCCTTACCTAAGGGCATCAAGAATTATGTTCATTTCAAAATGCTATGGGATGAGTTGGGGTGTACACTTCAGAAGTTCGATATCGAGAAAAGCCAGCGGAACGCTTCGGCTATTGAAAAGTATGGAGAGCTGACCGAGCCGCAAATGGCACCGAGGACACGAGTTCGAGGACTCTTTGCATTGGCAAGTTTAAGCGGCGTCATGAAAAGAATTAAATTCGTACGTCGAGACCAGAACGCCGCCATCAATATCGGGAGATGTCCTGTGCTGAACACGAGACCCGAGGAGCTGAGGCGAGACAACCTTGTGGGGTAGCCTCTCGGGCTCGAGTTGTACAAGGAAAAGCTGAAACTGATAGAAAGAGGCTCGTCAAAAAGGGATGGGAGGCATCTGCACAGGAGTTTTCATTTACTCTTCTTGGGCGTTGGACATAGTTTTGATTCACTGGCGATGATATGTCTAGTATAACTCTTTCGCTACACGCATGTTCCGAGAATTTCCGCGAATCCGGTTTTGTCCGTGATCAATTTTATGGGATCAAAATACATTGGTCAGATAAGAGAGCTTTTAGTTGGCTGCTAATGCTGAAGGTTCATTTGATCTCTTGAATGCAGCAGATTAGATGCTTATTTCATAAAACCTCTGCTGTAGATCTTAATTTCGGTGGGTTCTTGCGATGGAAATAGTGGAGTATGTTGTATCGAAACGGTATCCGCGGAGTGCCCAGTTGAAAGCTCGACGCTTGATGGTAAGTTTTCGACGCTTTGAATTCGGCAGCTAGGGTCGTGAAAGAGTTTGTGCTGGAGAGAAAGCGCGCATATTCAGCGGAATGCAACGAGGCACAAAACGCCCAGAGCCGACCATTGCAGAGATCGGAGGCAACTGAGCGTGAACGTGTTTATTCCACAAGCGCCTCTGTACTACAGCCTCAGGTGAGCGCTCGCTGAATTGCTCACTGGCGGCAGCATCTCATCGTATTTAGATGCCGTTGGATCGCAAGCGGGTCGCAGCGCCAGAATTGACTCCCAGAACGACGCCCAACTTGAGAACCTCATTTTGATTCAAGTTCAACACGGAAACTTTATGTACGGCTATGGAATGAGTTTCTTCTCTTTGCCTACTTTTGCGAAAGCGGCAACGCACTGCTCGATATCATCAGTGGAGTGGGCCGCTGAGATCTGGACCCGAATACGCGCCTTGTCCCGCGGCACCACGGGGTATGAAAATCCAACGACGTAAATACCCTCCTCAAGAAGAGCCTTGGCCATGTCGGCTGCTATTTGGGCATCTCCGATCATGACAGGTACTATAGGATGCCACTCGCCGCCCAGACGAAAACCTGCGGCGCCCATTTTCGTACGAAAGAGTCGAGTATTTCTGGCGAGTCGAGCACGTAATTCAGAGGCTTCCAAGGCCTCAGCGCCACCTGTTTCCGTCGTACTGGCTCCGGTTCCATCACTGCGAGCAGTGTCCGCACCAGAAGCCGGCGATCGCTTGCGCATTAGCATATCAAAGACGGTCAAACTGCCGGCTACAATAGATGGCGGCAATGCATTGCTGAAGAGGTACGGCCGGCTGCGTTGTCGCAGAATCTCAATGATCTCCTTCCGGCCAGTGGTGTAACCGCCCGCGCCGCCACCGAGCGCCTTTCCTAATGTGGATGTAACGATATCAACTCGATCCATGACGCCGCATAGCTCTGGAGTCCCGCGTCCTTTTGCACCGACAAAGCCAGTCGCATGGCAGTCGTCGACCATGACGATCGCGTCGTATTGGTCCGCGAGGAAGCAAATCTGCTCCAGAGGCGCGACATCGCCGTCCATACTGAAAACACCGTCGGTTGCTATGAGCTTATGGCGCGCACCTTCCTGATTCGCTTTCTCCAGTTGACGCTCGAGGTCCTCCATGTCGAGGTGGCGATAACGATAACGCCGAGCTTTGCACAGGCGAACGCCATCAATGATGCTCGCGTGATTCAGCTCATCACTTAAAATCGCATCCTCCGGGCCCAGCAATACTTCGAAAAGCCCCTCGTTCGCGCCGAAACAAGAATGATAGAGTATCGTGTCCTCAGTATCGTGGAACGTTGAGATTTTCCGCTCAAGTTCTTTGTGTACATCTTGTGTTCCGCAGATGAAACGCACCGAGGCAACACCAAAACCGTGGCTATCCAGTGCATCACGAGCAGACTGTTTGATTTCGGGATGATTCGCCAAACCGAGGTAGTTGTTGGCGCAAAAGTTCAACACTTTGCGCGGCTTGTTGTTGGTCTCCGGACTCTCCACAACCACGTCTGCGGCTTGAGGGGAGAGAATGCGTCTCTCCGACTTGTAAAGCCCAGCGGAGCGAATGCCGTCCAGCTCTTGGTGAATCCACTGATATAGGCCGGTGTCGCGCCACTTTCTCCGCCGTGCTTCCGTGCTCTGCTCAGGCGTCGCCGCCAGGTGTCGCCGAGTTTGCCAGCCCCATAAACACGACGTGCGCTCGCTGTTTCTTGTGAACACCCCAGGAGAAGGCGCTCCGCTGTACCGTCTTACAAATGATCTTCCATACGAAAAACAATGGAGAAAGTTTCTTCCCATATCGTGTGCAACTAGTTCCAAAGCCGAGGAGGATGCGAATGCAGGTCGATGCAGACCCCCATTTGCCCTCAGCGAATGCATCGCTGAGCACACGACGATGCGCCCCGCTGCGCAACGGATGGGCCGCATTCATCGCCGTTCCGTCTCTGCCAGATGCAATTGGAAGAGTGAATAGCTCGAGCTGTTCCTGCTTTTTCATTCTTCCGAACTTTTTTACACATGCAGCATTGACGTTCAGATTGCATGAACGAGCGGTACATGATTCTTACGTACTTGTAGGATTCTCGGTCTTTTTTTAGATTTTGTTCTTACGAGACGTTGCGGCGGGAATTCGTTCTGCCACTGAAACCATGGTGATTCGCAACGTCATCAACGAACAGATCGTAAAACAATCTATATCATTCTATAATGCGTACGCGGGAATCGCCAGACTTTCAAGTTCTTTACATGCAGCATGTTCAGATCACGCATGCATCACCGTTTCGATCTTACTATTTCATGGCAACCCGTGAGCGCTGCAATTTGGGCGGATAGATTGACGAGGAAAACAACACCTCGTCGTCCCCCTGATGACTCGTTCACAAGTTCATGCCTAGAGTTCAATGAACTTGTCGCGTCTAATAGTCGATCCGTTTGCAGAGACAAAGACTCTTCTCTCTTGGGCAGTCGAGAAAACCAGAATCCGCAGCAGCATAATACCTCTCACGAGATATGCTTCCAGAGGCTTCCATCTCTTCTCTTTGCATAAAAAAGGTATTGGAGTCGGACTTGAGTTATCGCAGCGATCACTTCCAGTGCGGAATGCTTTGCCGCTCTGCGCGAAGGTAGCATACAGACACCGAAATTTCTCGACTTGTTCTCACGCCAGAATTTACCTTCCAGTACATGTTTCATCATGGGCAACCTCGCGTTCTGCATGTCCTCTATCGAGTGCAACAGCGTACACTTGCGCGTCCAGCATACAGAGTGCTAGACGATAGGATCGGCCAAGGCAAGCCCCCCATATAGGAGCGCTTCAAAGAAGGCGGATACGGAGTGACGCGCGGACAGGAGCCTTCTGTACCTGCCATTGGCATGCAACGAGCGTTGAAGCAAGCGTTCACGCGTTGTAGGACGGCGCTCGGAGTGCGATACCGTGTGCTGGATACCTTTTTGCTCCTGACAACACTCAAATGTCAGCGGTACGAACTGCACACCGAGGCTGTCTGCAAACAAGATGAAAATGGCTAGCGAAGCATAGATGACAACTTCCATCGATGCATGAAATACATCAACAATAGCCAGAATCAGAGAAATCGGGATTTGCATGATTTCTTGACCATTCTTCGATAGCTGACAGCGGAGCTGGAGGGCAAGGAGAGATCAGCGTACTCAAAGCCGGAGACAAGATGGCGGAAATGGAAGACGTCAAAGATAGAGCCTGCAAAAGCTTGTGTTGATGGCAGTGTGAACTGACCCAAATCGTAATGTGCGCGTTCGCGTTCATCTAGTAGACCTATTCCATTTTTTATTCTGACATGGGTGGACGCTCGCGAACAGGCGGATCACTGCACAACAGCTGATCTCAACAAAACGGAGAATTGCAGAAGAATCCACATACACTCTTGTCTTGGGACGTATAGTCTCTGATCTCTGCCCTATCAAGTGGCACCAGAGGTTGTAGCGCATGCAAATCCACATACACTCTTGTCTCGGGATGTATAGTCTCTGGTCTCTGACCTATCAAGTGGCACCAGAGGTCGTAGCGCATGCAAGGCGCACTCACAATCCGGCCGCTCCCGCTGTCGGCAATCATGAGTACCACGTCGCTTTGATACAAAACCAGGTGGCGCTGCGTCACAGCATCTTCGTACGCGGGCACCTCACATCTGAGGCTCAAACAAAATAATCAATAATCGGGATTCTGCGCCAGCGTCTCAGAGCCTTGTCTTTGTGCACCTAAGGGCGCGCGCAGCGGCAGACTGTCATGGATGGGATACCAGCATCCGTACGGAAAACACGTCTCCGGCGACTGCGTGATTGGAACGCTACTCCGTGAGCCGGCTCACGCCCGAACTGGTGCTGCTGCCGACAAGCAGCTCAGCCATCGAAACAACGAATCTGTTTTCCATCTGGACAACATCAGTTCCTTTCGAGTAAACGATGCGCGAACATCTCATCAACCCGTTCATATTTGCAGAAAGACGCTTCGAAGGAGGCACGTCCACCAGTCAAGCTGCGGAGCGCGTTCGCATAGCCGATCAGACCCTCGAGCGGTACGAGCGCCTCGACCACAGAGCCGCTTGCATCTGTGCCGAGCACCTGCCCGCGGCGTTGCGGGGACGTCAGGTCCCGAATCACGACGCCATACAAATGCTGCTTATCGACGCTCGTGTCGGAACGCGTAGGCTCGTCGGGCTCGCTTGCAAGCTCTCCAACTGCATCCAGTCGTACCTCAACTCTCATGACAGGCTCGACGAGTGCGACTGTTGATCGACCGAGTGCATCGTGGACAGCATCCACAGCACAAGCTCGGAGCGCGGTTTCCACTGGATTTTCCGCAGAAATCTGATGAATGACTGCCCTGACCCCAACGACAGGGAGACCTGCTCGAGGGCCGCGCTGGAGCGCCGCTCGCGCACCGTCCGTGATAGCGTCCCGAATTGACGCTGGGATTTCGCGACTTGAAGGCGCGAGACCCTCTTGTGGCGACGCGCCCCTGAACACGAGGTTGGGGCACAGACACACCTCGCGTTCAAGTCGAATTCCATCATTGCTCTCGTTTCGAGGCAGTGGGTGCAACGTCACACGCATCGATGCTCGTAAACGAGTCGCGCCCACAGTACGGTCCATTGTGGAAAGCGGCATCTGATCGTGGCTCTTCAGCGTGCACTGGACGCTGTTCACAGCGGATACGCACCCAGCACCAGGCTCAGCGACCGTTTCAAAGAGCGCCACTCGCGGCGCACTCGCATGGAGGTCCTTTATTCCGAACTCCCTCTCGAGCCTTTTGCAGGCAATATCAAGGTGAAGCTCACCCATGCCGCTTAAAAGCAACTCTCCCGTGCGTTCATCTTCGTGAAAGCGAAGACTTGGGTCATCAAGTACCAGAACCTGCAGCGCGGCAATCAGTGCCTCCTGCGCTGAGCGCTGGTATCCCGTGTCACGCGCTAGCGCGACGCTAAACATAGGCTCTGGTACCGGCACTGGCGGGAGACGCACCACACTGATGGGATCGGCATCTGACGAGACCAATGTGTCACCGGTGCGGACCCTTTTCAGACCGCTCAACGCATAGATACCTCCTGTTTGCACGTGCTGGATAGGCATGAAGTGGTCTGCGTGCACGCGGAAGACGCCTGTCACGCGTTCCTGTACGGCATCATGCCATTTGACTCTGTCTGTCGAGAGAATTTTCAGGACAGACCCCGTCTGCAGGCACGCTGTGGCTCCCGCGGAAAACACGCGGACAAATGTAAGTGGTCCGCGGTGCAGATCCTGCTGAACCTTGAATGCGTACGCTACTAAAGCGTCTTTCGAATTCATGGCGATCTTCCGAGTCGACCCCCCATCGAGCGCCTCCCCCAGTCTCGCCGGACGCTCCTCCGGCGAGGGAAGCAGCTCCTCGACCGCATCCAACAAGGGTTGAATGCCCATACCACGTAACGCTGACCCGCAAAATACCGGCACAACGTGGCGTTCCAGCGTGGCACTACGAAGCGCACGGCTCAAGTCGTCGTCGTGGACGGGCTTACCGTCCAGATACTGTGTACACAAGCGATCATCATATTCTGCTAAAGTCTCGACAAGTGCCTCTCGTAGATCTGTTGCGAGCTTCGACCAGGTCAGCGGGGTGTTTCGATTCACTGTCAGAAGCGGCTGGACGGATGCTTCCGCATCCATCGCAATGCGCTCAACTGCTTCGCCGTGCGATCCGGTGAAAAGCAGCATATGGTTGGTGGCCCTCAAATCCACGATCCCTACATGTCCGTTCCATGCTACCGGCGCTGTCAACAATACTGGTCGTCCGCCCAGGGAAGTGCGAATTTGCTGCAGACACCGAGACACATCCGCCTCTTTTCGATCGCACTTGTTCAAGAAAATAAGCCTTGGCAGCCCGTATCGATTCGTCTGTCTCCAAACTGTGGCAGTTTGCGCCTGAATCCCCGCGATTGCGTCGACGAGCACCACAGCGCCATCCATGACGCTTAGAGAGCGCTCCACCTCGAAGGTGAAGTCCACGTGACCAGGCGTGTCGACGATGTTGATGAGTACAGCGGACTTGCGATCCTTGGGTTGCGGGAACGGCGGCCACGTTACACTGGTAGCTGCAGCTTGGATCGTAATCCCCCGCTGGCGCTCTTCCCACAGGTAGTCCATGACAGTGTCGCCGTGATCAACGTTTCCGACCCGCCGCGAAACTCCCGCATAGTACAAGATCTTCTCCGTCAAGGTCGTTTTCCCTGCATCAACATGCGCGACTATCCCTATATTTCGTATAGAGTTCGGGCGTACCTCAGTCTCTGAAACGGAGGATGCAGCCTCACTCCAGAAGCGCCACTGGCTGTGGCGTTGTCGAAACGGTGCACACTTTTTCGTTATTCGAACTGGATTCAAGGGCAACCAGCTTCTAAAACTCGCCCAGAACGTGAAAGTTCCCTGTCTCAGCAAGCCCATATGGAGCGTTTATGGGCAGCGAGCCTCATGCGGTTCCCAGACTTGCGCTTCGACAACGTCGACTACCCGTAAAAAGAAACGTAGCTGCTGTCTGCAGCACGCCCGCATTTCGCCTTGTAGTCTCTCGACTGGGCTCTTTTGGTTGCCGGCTCTGTGGGTTATGGATGAGGGCTGCAGCAGGTGTCTGCTTGAAATCACTGAGATCTTGGGTTTTTCTTGGTTCCACTAGAGGTCACCAGTGTACGCTGTCTGGCTTGGTTGCCCGTACTAGTCAGCAGAGAGGACAAGAGGTGTTTTGGCGTCTAGAGCGGACCTCGGAAAGCGTGCTCGTACCAACACGACGTTGGTCGTCTAGTTGGCGACGATACGTTGCACATCAGTCGACAGGCGCTGCAGTTGAATCAAAGAGCACAGTGGGAAAGGCTGAAGAGAACCCTGCCGAAGCAGCAGAGACTATTTCTGTAACCTTTGTGGACCGAGAGGGCGTGCGGCACGCTGTTCGAGCACCGATCGGCTCCTCGATGCTGGAGGTTGCACACGAAAACCACATTGACCTGGAGGGTGCCTGTGAAGGCTCTCTTGCTTGCTCCACTTGTCACGTCTACGTCAGTGAGGAACACTTCCGACGCCTACCCGAGCCCACTGACGACGAGAACGATATGCTCGATCTTGCCTTTGGGCTGCAAGAGAACTCGCGTCTGGGCTGCCAAGTCATAGCGACGAAAGAGCTAGACGGCATGGAACTGACCCTCCCGAAAGCTACTCGGAATATGGCAGTTGATGGGTATGTTCCGAAACCACACTAGTCTTTTCGAGTCAATCGCTTGAACGATAAGAACCGCACGTGAAAGCGTGTCCTGTTGGAAGTAATGACGCTCGCGTGCGAGACCACTGGACATGCAGCCGCCAGATGTCGGGGAACCAGGCGTTGGGCGAGGAGGCCTAGCGTATGGTGGAGACGCCACCAATGAGGGCCTTGATCAGATATAGCGACCGGGAGACGGACACACAGACAGCATGACTGACGGACTGACAAACCAACCGATCAACTGGCTGACTGAATGGCTAGCAGACTTACTGACTGACAAACTCGAGCAGAGCATGGGATCACAGGTCTCATTGCCAACGACAACGACGCAGCAACATGCTCTATGCCTCGCTTTTCATTTCACCGGTTTTGTTGGATGGGTGGCACATTCCTGGAATCCCACACAAAGAGTGCGGCCAGCATGACCTGACTCTGGCACACGCTCTGCATCCATCGAGCGCTTGAGACCCCAGCCCACGCCAAAGATAAGTCATGCATGAAGACGTCACTTGTGCTCCAAAAGCAAATCGTGTTTTCCAGGACGCTGAAATTCGGTTTCCTGGTGTGCTTAAAGGCGCTGCAGCCTCGGGAGCTCGACGTGCTGAACCATACTCTACAGCTCGCTGTCAGAAATCCAGGATGTACGGTACTGCAGGGTGGACAAGCTTTCAAATTCGGGGCACGTTGCTGTTTTTCAAAGGATCAAACGCTGGATATCCAGTTGTCTAGGTCCAAAACCGGTCCAAATTCGGTGTACATCGCTGTTGTTCAAAGGATCAAAAGCTGAATATCCGGTTGTTTAGGTCCGAAACCATCCAAATTCGGTGTACATCGCTATTTTTCAAACGATCAAAAGCCGTGTATACAGTGATGCAGGTAAAGCATGCCTCGAATCTGGTTCGCTTTGCTGTTCTGCAAACAGTCATTGATTGTGAGCAAGTGCAACAGCGTCGCCTCGGATAGACGCTTACGAAAGTGTCGTCCTTGATCTGAAACTGGGTTGGCATACGTATCGTAGACTTGCCCGGATGCGCCAGCGGGGCGCTCCCATCGACGGCATCAAGCTGCATTTAGTGAGCGTACGCTTTCGTCTGCATGATTCAGGACTGGTGGATACGTTTGGGTATTCCCTTCCAAACGTCCTCAGCGACTTTTTCCATGAATACGTCCTAGCACATGTGCTCAAGAGGGCAGCCCCGAAGGGTCTGGCTAGAACTGCTGCACCTCATGCGTGCATGTGCCGCCGCCGAGCTCCCTTTCGCATACCCGGGAGAGAAGCCACAAACACACACACCGTTATCGTCGTGCTTTTCGTTGCTCTCGTCAGCATCTTTGTAGCTTTATACAGTGCTGTCACCATGCAGACGAGCAATCTAGTCGCGGTACTTCATTTCCGAAATGGACCAACCAACGGGGTCAAACTGTCGAGCGAAGCGGTGCACTTTGTCCCGAAGCTCCAACAAGGAAGGAAAGCGCGTGCCCTCAGCGCCGTCCGCCATTAAAGCTCGAAAATCCTTGAGCTTGGGTCCAGCAATCTTCTTGAGCTCTCCCGTAACCTTCAGTCCCTCGTCAACGAGCTCGGCAATGCGTGCAAAGTCTTTTTCTGTGCAGCCCCGAGTCGTCATGGCGTGCGCACCCATCCGAATGCCGGAAGGATTCATCGCACTTAGATCACCTGGTACCGTGTTCTTGTTGAGCGAAATATCTGCGAGCTCAAGAACTCGCTCAGCACGAGCTCCATCCAAACCACGGGAGCGCAGGTCGCACAACAGCAGATGATTGTCTGTGCCGCCACTCACAATGCTAACGCCGCGTTCCGTCAAACCGCGAGCGAGCGCCTGAGCGTTCGCAAGAACCTGGCGCTGGTACTCTTTGAACTCTGGTGATTTGGCCATCTTCAGGGCTACTGCTAAGGCACAGATTGTATGGTTGTGAGGTCCGCCCTGGAGTCCGGGGAACACGGCGTTCTTAATTGGATTTTCCAGGTCGTACTCCTCTATGATTCCTGTTTTGGGGTCCTTGCTCTTCACGCCTTTGCGGTAAAAGATGAGCGCACCGCGCGGGCCCCGAAGCGCCTTGTGTGTCGTCGTCGTGACGACGTCTGCATATTCGAACGGCGACGGTATCACACCAGCCGCAACCAGACCACTAATATGCGCGATATCGGCAAGGAGGTATGCCCCTTGCGAGTCGGCGATTTTGCGCATCCGCTCGTAGTCATAGAGCCGCGAGTAAGCCGAAGCGCCCGCAATCAACAAACGGGGTCTGAAGAGGTTCGCCAATTCCTCTAGCTTGTCGTAATCGATGCGCCCGGTAGCCTCGTTTAGGCGATAGGGCATGCTCTCGAAAAAGATGCTCGTAGCGGACACACGCTTCTTGGCTGTCATGAACCCGTGACTCAAATGGCCGCCGTGCGGTAGGTCAAGCGCCATGATGCGATCATGGGGCCGTAGCAGGGCAGTATAGACGGCCATATTCGCTGGTGACCCGGAGAGCGCCTGCACGTCAACCCCCCAGCGCTCTGGATCCAGGGAAAACGCTTCCAGTGCCCTTTGCGTACATAGCATTTCCGAGCGGTCAATCCACTCATTCCCTCCATAATACCTGGCCCCTGGTCGGCCTTCCGAATACTTGTTGGTTAGAGGCGACCCAATGGCCTCGAGAACGGCTCTCGGTGCAAAGTTCTCCGACGGAATGAGCGTCACACAAGACCACTGACGCTGCTTCTCTCGTTCTATTATTTCCACAATATCTGGGTCCACTTCCGCTAAGGAAGCGTTCAACACCGGTTCCGCTGTTCCACGACGCTCCGGCGAGGGTACCGGTTGAGCCGCCGCGAAGAAGCGCTGTCCTCTCGTTGAATTCACCGCCAAGAGGCCCCGTAGTGCGTCTAAGGTTTTATTCGCCCCCCAGGTGCCCTTCGAACGACTAATGAATGAGCGTAGAGTAGCAGATGAGAGCATAGAGGCAGTTTATTGAGAGTTATAGCGCACAAGGCGTGTGAAAACTGGCGGAGCGCACCGCAGGCGTCAGCGATGCGAAACAGCCGGTAAAGGACGCAGATGAATTCGTGGCCGCAGGGACGCGCAGCGCCATGGCGGCACGCTCGGACGCTGTTGCTACCAAAAGCAGGGGAAGCTCCATGCCGCAGGCCCTGGAGGGTTCCCCCAATGCAGCCCAGATGATGCACACCGTGCAGCTAGATGCACTCTTCTCCCATGCAGCATAGTCTTATCTTCCAGAGGTACATCGCACCGAAGCTGGTGTGGCGTCCTCGGTTGCACCAGCTGCGGGGCGACGTCTGCGAGAAACTCTTCAGTGCGTACGATTGTGGAATACTGAACGCACCTGGTTTCCATTTGCCAAAATGTCAAGACTGTCCAGGTATAATTCATGTGAAGAACAGGATATCCGTTTGGTTCATTCGAGGCTTGTCTCCGGAACGGCTTCGAAATGAGACCAATCATCGTGATCGGGGCAGATCTGTGGTCTCCATGTGAATGGCGATACCTGCGGGCGGGGCTGTTGCAGCAGCTTGCAAAGAATGAGACGGTTCCGTTTTTGTAAATGCGTGTACAAGACGGGTCTCTCGCAGAGCTCGAGAACAATATCGCGTACGCTATCGTAGCGTGGTTGATCATGCAGGCATCGTGCGGATGCACTTCGCCCATCGAAAGACTTCGCTGCGCATATCCGTGCCGGGCAGGGGAGCAGAATGCTATCGATACTGGCTCGGTGTCCTCATTTGCTGCTTCGGCTTACGGAGGCAGTAGCGAATTGTGCACGGGATCGATGTTGTCGAAAAGAGCGCCTCTGCGATGAGGCGACCTGAGACATTGAATTGATATCGGGCAAATCCATTCCCAGCGGGCAACTGGAAGTTCGACGCTCGGCAGCGGGATCTCGTGGAAGGCAGTACCCGTAGCAGCGATTTGATATCGGGTAAATCCATCCCCAGCGGGCAACTGGAAGTTCGACGCTCGGCAGCGGGATCCCGTGTACGAGAAGGCCAAAGCACATGAGCACCCCAACGGGACAAGTCGCGAGCCACTCGCACGATTTGCCGCTGCAGCAAGGTCAGCGAATCGAAACAGAAGACCATGGATGGGCGGAAGCTGCCCAACACAGCCAGGAATGTCTGCGTTTTTCTCCAGAAAACTCTAAAAGTTGCAAATCTCAGAACGGTTTGCGTATTTGTTGAACGCTTGGACGCCAACACGGATACGGGACGATTTTCGAGAGTTTCGCCTCAACGCATGTACTGGAGCCTCTGGACGGACAGCATATCCGCGCGAAGAGATTCCATATGTTTCCAGAGACAAAAAGTTTACGTTGATCGGGGATCCCATATTGCGGAATGGGTATTGGCTGTCGGGAAAGTGTCCATCATCCTGCGCTATACTCCCAGATTCCATCACCTGTTCTCGGGTGTACTGGTCGTTTTCTACGTTCGATTTTGCACCGAGCCTGCGGTGAGAACCCGCCTCAGCGCTTATACCGCTAGAGCAGAAGCATCACGGAGACCGGACTGCTTTGTCATACCAGTGAGGGCGGCGACTCGAGGCAGGGTGCACCCCGCACGGAATCCGAGGACAGTATCATTCTGGAGCCGACAATCTGCGCAGGCAGACGTACTGCCTGCGGCACCGCAAAGAGATGTGCTGGGAGACCACGTCGACTAGGGCGATGGCTGGGTGCATCCGAACCACTCCTGTTCCCAGAATAAACCTGCATTGCGGACGAGCTGCTCAGGTCTCTTCACAGCACTAGGCACTGGGAAGAGCACGACGCACTTACATAGCAGACTCGGTCGGCACGCCGGACATTCCGCCTCGAAGGTAAACTTTCCACAATACGGAAACCTTTTCCCCCTTTTAACGCCTACTGTGAAGGTCGAACGAAAGTATCATCGAATTGCCAGTTAGTGTTTAGCTTCTGTTGTTTTTTCTATAGTGCGGTCGATACGCGCACCTCGATTCCTGGCAGGCATGACACACGAGATGCATCTCGCAGTTGATGAGAAACGCGATCCTTTTTTCGCGTGTTGCTCTAGCGTACAAGATGTATTTGCCTGAGCGTAATACCAAAGTAAGTTTCCCAACTGAATTGTGTTCCATTCCCAAATTAGTGTATTCAAGTGATTTTTCTCGGTTTATAGGAGACGCGTTCGAAGCGCGTTCATCGTCAGAAATGGAAAATACCAGAGCAAGTTATGGACATGGAAGTCGAGGATCCTGGAGGGCCGGTGTCGCCGGCTGCCGGAAAAATTAGGGAAAACAGTGGCGAGCAAAGAGGAACAGAAGAAGAAGAAGCCAAGCCAGGAGGACCGACATCAATGACTGCTAGAAAGACAACAATGCGACGAGTTGGTTGTGACAGCCTGTCTTCTTGGACATATCACAGATCCGTGCAAGCCAAAGTTGCAAGCGGCCATCAGAAATCGTGTCATTTCGTACTCCCTGAGTATTCGAAATGCTTCTTCAGGACTAATGAATTTGGTGAGCAAGATATATCGCAGCGTGACAATTACGAAAACAGTCGAGATTCCGGAGGAATTTATCTACAAGAGCTTCATTTGTCACCTGATGGTTGGCACAAGGGAATCATCGAGGAGAAATGGGGGAGTGCACACCCTCCACGAAACCGACGGGGCAACAAAGTACCACAAGAGCCTGAAGAATCATATGACCATGAACCTCGAACGTTTCATGATACGCGCAGTGTTTGCGCCATACCCGGGAATCTCTCGCAAAGGAATATGGGCGACTATCAATGGCATCACGAACGATGGTCATCATGAAGATGAGATAGAATTCATCGACAAGAAGACGTCACACAGGAGCAAGAATGAAGCTTCTGTAATCCGTGCGCGTATTCAAGAGCGTCGTGGGTTACTGGGCGGGCGGATCCAACAGAAAAGATATCAGAGTTGAAAAAAAATATGCAAAGATACTATCGCCTCATCCTACGGTATTTCATGTTCCTGGATCGAGAACTCGAACGCAAGGCAGAGGTGACGTTAAGTGGGGGAAAATGAAGAGTGGGAGAGACGGAAGGCTCTCCTAATAGGAGAGCGCTTCAAAGTCGTTCCGTTGTGGAACATGAAGTCACATTTTGTGACTACCGACTCCAGAGTCCTTTACGGTATCATGGAGGTGATCAGTTCGGAGTTCGATGTAAGGAAGACAGAGTTCTCTGGTGAAACCCGGGAACGAACTGGAAGAATATCTTCGATTTCAAACGTCTGAAAGTAAGCAAACAAAAGGTATTCACTGGTATGATCGAAACAGATGGGGTAACCATGTGTGTACACTATCGGTGCTTGAAGGTGGATCGCCCAGTTCCGCTCGTGACGAAGCATGAAGATGAGAAGGAGGCGGATCCTTCGACGCAGAAAGTGCAGGATAACGACTTTGTTGTTGGCGCGGACCCCGGGGAATATGAATATCATAACCAACGCAGCACCCAAGCGTGCGGAAGGTGGCATTGACGGTACCTTACGTCAGAAAGACATGCGACTTTTCAGGTTTTCGAGAGCGAAATGCTATCTAGAAACGGGTAGAATGAATGCGAGGAAAAAAATCGAGAAATGGAATGCAGGAATGAGAGAGCACCTGGAAGCTGTGAGCGATGTGACGAGCCACGGAGCGGACGTTCAGGCTTTTCTGAAATTCATGGAAGTTCGCATATGGCGCACCGGGATGCGCTGTGGGAGGAGTATGCCAAGCCCCGGTGGGCTCGTTTGCGAATGAATCTATACGGTGGTAAGCAGCGGGCATTTGCGAATTTTTTCAATGAGTTGAGCTCCCTGAAGGAGGACGAGAGTCAGAGGCTGGTTGTAGCATACGGAGCAGGTCGCTGGATGATCCCGAACGAGACTACGCCAGCTCCAAGGACAAGAACGTACAAAGAGTGCGCATAGCGTTCCGGCACGATACCTGTAGATGAGTTCCGAACATCGTATACACACCATGAACTGGGGTGTATACTCCAGAGGGTGTAGATGGAAAAGTGTCAGCGGAGTCCTGAGGATATAGCAAAGTACGGAGCGCTGACGGAGGAGCAAATGGAAAGGGGGCGAAAGTTCGAGGACTTCTCGCATTGGTACGTACAATCAATGGCAAGAAACGTATGGAGTTTGTGAACCGAGGCTTGAACGCCGCCATCAATATCAGGAGATGTGCGGTGCTGGAGACGAGACCTCCAAAGCTGACGAGAGAGAATTTTGTGGGGGAACCTCTTATGGTCATATTATACGGCAAGAAGCTGGAACCACTCGTAGGTTGCCGGTCCAAAAAAACCGGGAGGCGTCTGCACGTCAGTTGGACGCTTTTCGTCTGGGGCGCCGGTCGCCGCCACTTTTGTACACCGCCGGCGGCTGCGTTTTTCTTTAGAACGGCCTTCGGTGTTAGCGTTGGCACTAGCAGTTTATCATGTTCAGCTACGCTGGAAACGCTTTGACCCGTCTTACATTTAGCAATGGAATAGAACGTGAACATCGGAGCGAGTTGACGGGTAGCAGTCGCTCCAGACGGTCGCACCGCCAGGTAACGCTGCCGCTGCGGACGTACGCAGCACGTACGCGCGCTTATAGCTCCGCCGATGCTACCAAATTTTTGGATGCGAGGAAGTTACCGTTTTTGAGAGCAACGAAAGTGATCAATTGCTGCTCGAGCTTGTCGATGCGGGACTCGGGCAGCAGTGGTGCAACCGGCACCGCCCCTGTTGGCACCAACAGAAACACAGCAGCGCAGCGGGTCGGACGCGCTGCAGTTGACTGGCAGTCTCTCGGTTTCGGGTTCACGCCGACCAACTGCTACGTCAAAGCGGTCTGGAGAGAGCAAACTGGGACCTGGTCTCCTGTAGAGGTCGTCCCATACGGACCCAACGGTGAAGCTACGTTCCCTCTGCACGTCGCGTCGACGGCCCTGCACTATGGACAGTCCATATTCGAGGGCCTCAAAGCGTTTGCATGTGCCGACGGGCACGTTCGATTGTTTCGTCCACAGGAGAATGCCCGCCGTCTCGAGCGCTCGGCCTTGCGTCTGAATATGCCAGTGGTACCAGCTGCGCTTTTCCTCGAGGCGGTGACCCGATGTGTATACGAAAATCTGGAATTCGTGCCCCCGTATGTCGAACAAGGCGGTGGCGGATCACTCTATGTACGCCCTGTTCTGTTCGGATCTGGAGGTCGCATTGGCCTCGGCCCAGCTGATGAGTATACCTTTATGGTGCTGGTGGTGCCGGTCGGCAACTACTACAAGGGCGGCTTATCGCCAGTCACAGCATACATATCCACGAATTATGATCGAGCTGCGCCCCGCGGTGTGGGTCACGTCAAAGTGGCAGGCAACTACGCCGCCGACTTGAAACCGAGCATGGAAGCGAAACAACGAGGCTACCCGATCAATCTCTATTTGGATGCGCGTGAGCAAAAGTTTATCGAGGAATTCGGAACCAGCAATTTTTCTGCGGTACGCTATCTAGATGAAAACGGAAACCGATATGTATACGTTACACCAGACAGTCCCTCGGTTCTGGAAGGTGTCACCAACAAAACGCTCATGGAGCTTTCACTAGATGCAGGGATGAAGGTGGAGCGACGACGCATTCCTGTCGAGGAGTTGGCAACGTTCGATGAGGTGTTCGCCTCGGGAACCGCTGTTGTGATCACAGCTGTGGACCAGATTGTATATGGTGATCAGGTCATCGGCATCGGTAAGCATCCCGGCTCTGGTCAGGTAGGACCTGTGGCGCGCCGACTCTACGACACCGTGCGCGGGCTTCAGACGGGGCGATTGCCAGACCGGCACGGATGGACGTATTTGGTCGCCTGAGCGCTGTTCACGGTGCGTTTCCACAGCAACAGGCAGCCGCGTTTGCATACCTCTCACAGAAAGCAGTGACGAATGAAGAACTGTCTGCGAGCATGTCGGCGCATACGATTTTATGATACGAATGCTGTGCGGCTAGCGACTCAGGAACGAAAGCGCACGCGTCTCAGTACTTGGCCAAGCTCGATCGAATTCCGATGGACTGGGGAGCGTTTGCGTCAGCCAGTGTTCCATTGCTCGCGCTTTCCAGTGTGAATCGCGAGGCTAGATCGCCCTAGTATCATCCATGCTGGGTTTGGTCGTAGCCGGCTCCCTGGACAAGTTTCTCGACCGCGGCGGCCGCCTTGGGGTCCATGCCGGACTCCGAGTCGTCAATCATGCTTGCAGCCAAGCGGAAAATTCCGACCAGAGCTGCCAGCTGAATGCGCTCTGAGGTTGCGCTTACGAGACGCCATTCCATGTTGGCTAGCTGCTCAAACAAAAACGCCTTCACCTTTGGGCTGAGCTCCATGAGCATAACGGCCTCATGGAGGCCGTGGATCATGTCGAGCAGGGCAAAGCCCTTACCTTTCTTGATTTCGCTTATTTTGCAAAAGGCTTGTGCGAAAGGATCGTAGAGCAGTATCTGGGCGATCGCATGCAGATCAGCGGGGCTGGGCATGCCAGCATTCGCATAGACTCCATCTTCTGTGACTCGAGCGGAGGCAGATGCGAGGAATGTGCTTTGCATGAGGTAAATGGCCCGTCGCATGTCGCCTTGTGCGATGCGGGCTAGCGCATCGAAAGCGGCCCGATCTACTGGGACGCCTTCGCGATCGGCAATGTACTCAAGACGCTGGATCATCTGCGCAACTGGTACCGGTTGGAAGCGGAATCGGGTACATCGCGACTGGATGGCGGGAATAATCTTGTTGGCGTAGTTGCAAATCAGGCAGAACCGAATGTTGCTCGTGTACTTTTCCATGATCCGGCGTAGCGCTGCTTGGGCCGCGGAGGTCATCGCATCCGCTTCATCAAGGATAACCAGCTTTATCCCGGCCTTCAACGCGTAAATGTGTCGAGTCGAGGCAAAGGTTTTGATTTGCTCGCGGACGACGTCGATTCCCCGGTCGTCTGAAGCGTTGAGTTCGAGTACCATTGTCTTGAACTGAGCCCCGAACATTTCTCGTGCACAAGCGAGGATTGCTGTCGTTTTGCCTGTTCCCGGTGGCCCGTAAAAGAGCAAGTGGGGCAAGGTGCGTTCCGCTATCAACCTGCGGAGCGTTCCGCGGATTTCATCGTGGGCAACGATCTCGTCAAGCTCGCGAGGCCTGTACTTTTCGACCCAGATTGTCTCCGACTGCTCGCTCTGTGTCGCTGTCAGTCGACCGTTTGAAGACATTCCGATTCGCAAAGCGCGGGTCGTGTTCCGGACGCCCAGGAATGCCGTCCCGAGTTCACTTTGACAGCAGCGACGCTCGACAAAGCTGCTTTTCCTGGTTTACGGAGCAGCCTACAGCGGAATCGTACCCAGCGTAGCGACAGCGCAGCGTCAAGCGACACTGTTTCGCGGGTAGCGTTATCGCCGCGCGCTCTGCAGCGGGTGTACGCACAGGCCTCGACTCGACGACCGCAGACAGCGGCACACTACGAGGCCGCTATCTCTGCGTCCGAGGACAGCAGTGGTCATCCAGCGCCATGACTCCGTGTTTGTCCTGGGACTGGGGTGGACTCGAAAGTCGCAGAATCCCTTGATCCGTCGAGCGTCTATGCCCCCGACCACAAGGTCGGTCTGGAGCTGCTGGAGCGCACATATGTCTGCGCAGGCAGGCGCTAACACCTGTTTCCTGGACTGTGTAGTCTCTTGGTACTCGGGTGCCTCGCTGAATCAATGTAGAGCCATTTAGTTTACACCATGAAAGAAAAGTGACGCTGAGTGCTCCAATGTCTGAAAAGGAAACGTATAAACTTGTGTGGAAATGTCGTTGGCGTGCATCCAGCGAGGCTTACGCGCTCAATGGGAAACAGAACTGTTGGCGTGCTTGCCATCGAAGGATGCCGTACGCCTGCATGCAAACTGACCTCTGTGGAGATGCTCGCCAGTTAGCACTCGGGGGATGCATCGTACACACCTAGCTTGTCGTCCGTTCGAGCTGCGTCTGTGGTCGACGAAATCACGACATGCTAGAGAGCGCCAGCACACACGGGTCACGACTTGAACACCGCAGCGCTGGGGGCGCGTACGCCCGTCGTGCGCAAGCGCCGTCAGTATCGACTGCTGCAGGTTGCGGTTAGCTGCTCGCCACAACAGTACGGGAGTTAGATAGCGTTTGACTCTTGAACGGTGTCGGTGGTAATGATGGAGTGCCCTGCGCGGGATCTGTGTTGCGTTGACCATGCTTAGTGACTGCAGCGCTTTTGTGGTCGTTCCAAGGTTCTGCTACCGGTTGCACGTGGGCGCGTCGCCGCCCGGAGCGTTGCAGTCGTCACGACGGCGAGTGGCTAGGTTACGGGAGCGCTCTGCTGGCACGCTTCCCTGGGCACGTGCAACATTCTGCAAGGCTGGGTGTCGTATTGGCAGCAGCAGTTGCAGCGTGTTGCTTCGCTGGAAGTCGTGCTTTCTTGCCGGTGAGGAGCGTTCGCACCTCCGCCAGCTCGGAAGCTTGGTACAACAACCGGGCGCTCTCCGTCAGCACGTAAGTATGAGCTTGTTCTCAACGCCTGCTCAAGTCAGTTCTTATGAAATAATTGAGTCATATCCACACGACCCGAGTGCGTTCACGCAAGGCCTCGTCTACGCTGAGGCGCCGATTCATTCCCCAGACGAGGCCGAGTGGACGATGTTGCAAACCTCGACTGAGGTCTTTTACGAGTCCACCGGTCTTGTGGGGGAATCTTCACTGCGCTGCGTTCACAAGTTATCAGGGAAAGTCCTAAAATGTGTGCAGGTCCCGGCACCGCATTTCGCTGAGGGCCTCGCGCTCGTTCCACGACCCACTCGGATGCTGTTCCAGCTCACGTGGCTGACCCGCACAGCCTTCCTCTACGACGGTGTATCGCTGAAACAGGTGCGGGAAATACCGTACGATCTCGAAGGCTGGGGAGCAACCTATGATTCCAATCGCCATTGCATCTACACGAGTAATGGAACCGACCGAATCCATATCGTGGACGCAGACACCTTCGAGATCCTGGACCAAGTTCGGGTCCGTTCGAGTCCGTACAAGTTCTCGCGCTCTTGCCCGACATTGTGGTACCTGAACGATCTCGAAATGATTCCCGATACTGACGAGCTCTGGTGCAACGTTTTCTTCAGTGACTATGTTGCGGTTGTGGATCCAGCGTCATGGGAACTGAAACGATGGATTGACCTGCGCGGTTTACTCTTACCCGAGCATTGCCTGCCTTGCCATGAAGTGGATGTCTTGAATGGACTGGCCTGGGACAGAAATCGGCAACTGATGTACGTGACCGGGAAACGCTGGCCGCGAATGTATGCCATTCGAGAACGCCCATAGCCAGCAGCGTGATATAGGCTCTAGCGCCCACCAGGTCGGAACCGGCAGTAACTAGAATCCCCAGTACCTCTCTGGTGCTGAAGAGCGATAATCCGATTCCGGTACCGGGGGCGATCAGAGCGCAGCATTTGCTGCTGCCCGAGTCGAGGATCTCCTGCAGCAGCGCATGCGGCACCAAACCTGTTCACAGCGAAATGCATGCAGTATTTATGGGAAGGTAACCCCGCGCTCCGATTCCATCGGATATCACGAATTACTGCAAGCTATGGTGAAAACAGCTTGCGGTAAGGGAACGTCACGTACGGCGTTTGAATATCGGCATGATGTACAGGCTGAGTCATCGCATGGTGCACCAGGCGTGCTTTTTTCCGCACTGGTCGTGACGTCATTCATTGGCGCCGTGTGCATGGCAATGCATGCGTACACACAGGCGCGCATTTTCTATATACATAGACTCGAATGCGACACATGCGTTCACTACTGATCGCTGTATACAGCGAGCACCAGCAGCAGCACTGGACTTGAGAGCGCCTAAAAAGAATAGAGACTAATCGCTAACTAGCTGCAACTGTGCCGGAAGTACAAATACTAACAATTAAGTAGCTACTCGATAACAATTCCGTGCCACCTTCACGGTAAGCTTTGAAAAGGGAGCATTATCCCGTAATTTCGAAAGTTTACCTCATAGGCGGAGAGTCCCACCAGCCGGACGAATATGTCGGACCTGCGCTCCCTGCTGCTCCCAGACCCGAGTGCTGTGGCAAGACCTGTACAGATCGTCCATCACGCATTTCATTCACGGACTAGGAATGGGTAGGTTGCATCCAAGTGTCGCCCTGGTCGCTGTCGGCTTGTGGTATAGCGCTTCGCGTTGCCGCTGGCAGTAGGTCTGTCTGAGTAGCTTGCATGCACCCAGCATGATTATGGATCCCGATCCCGCACCATGCAAACTACACCTCCAGCCGATGCCCTCATCGATACCGTAAAGCGGTTCTGTCGCCCTAACGCATCTTCCCCAGCGGTATACGCGCTATTGCAGGTGCAGCAAGGCAGGCACTCGGCGCACGCTAGAACCTACGGAACGACAAGCGTATCCGAAAGGAACTCGCCGAAATGGAACGTGAATGCATGATGCATCATGATGGACGAGTTTCCGATTACCAATATCCATCCCACAAACTGACATCCATGTACAAGTAAACGTTCTGACGAATGAGAAACATAGTCTTGAAAATGCTCCTCGACGGCGCCTGTGTCCAGATGATTCCCGCCAGGAGTGCGCAGCGCCGCAGGCGATCGTGATCCATCCTGCCTTGGACCATGGTATTCACTTTCCGCAGGCGGGGTAGTGTGTGCACAGTTTCAGGAGAGGCTGACGCACGTAGACGTTGTTTAGGGGAACTTTTGGCCGCGTTTAGGCCCTATGTTAAGGTATGACGTCCATAGATTTGATAGGATAGTGATTGCGAGGACGTCGGTGGCGCCCGCCGGCTTCGTGGAGGCAGTGACGACGCTGCTTCCGTCGCTGACGAGCAGAATCAGCTGCGTTGGAGCGCACGCCACTCTCGCGGGTAGGGACGCAGTCGGTTCACGCACGTTGGTGAAGCTATGCAGGCGACCGCTTTACGTATCTGCAAAAAGAGTGGATTGCGCGCGGAGCTTGACGCTGCACCTCCAGGAGTTTTCCGATGCTGAAGCGGAGGAAGTGCGCGGACCTGTTTCAAGAACGAACAAACGCAGTGCAACTGTGGCGAAAACACCTCAGCATGCAAATGAACGGGCCCTAATCAATCCGGTGGAGACCAGTTCCGCACCCGTAGAGGCCGGAACTGGGAAACGTGCGCTCAAGTCGCTGCAGGCGTTGTCGCTGTGGGAGTATCTGTGGCCGCGTGGACTTTTAGTGCTCGTTGCGGCCATCTGGGGCACGAATTTTGCAACTGTAAAATTCATCGGGGACGCGGACTCTTTGGATGTGTCCGCTGGCGCCTTTGTTCGGTTTGGTATTGCGGCAATCGCGATGGCACCGTTCACCTGGAGGGCCGTTCAGCGCCTCCTTGACGACAAAACTCCGACCTCGGAGCACGGATCGGATGCAAACGCCGCTCCGCAACCTGAGGTAGCGGGAACGGAAGACCCGTCAGCAACTGTAGAGCAGCGTTTACGCAAACGTACCTCTGAATTTCTGTTCGGTGTACTCGGTCTTGGGACTGTCGTGTTCACCGGCTATTTTACGCAAGCAATTGGTTTACTCGGCACAGATGCCAACAAGTCAGCATTTCTGTGCTCACTGACCGTCGTCTTGGTTCCGTTCATGGAAAGAACTTTCCTGGGCAAACGCATCGAGCCGCGGGCGTGGATGTCCGCGTTCTTGGCCACGATTGGTGTAGGGCTCCTTGAGCTCGATGGCTCTGCGTCTGTGTCGCTCAGCGATTTGTGGTCGTTTTTGCAGGCGGTATGCTTCGGTGCAGGCTTCATGATTGTCGAAAAGCTCACCCGGAGGTTCCCAGGACACCCATTGGAGATTGCCGCCCTGAACCTGACAATCGTAGCGGTTTACAGTGGCCTATGGTGTCTGAGCGCAGCTTTCGTGTCCGGGACCACCATGCAAGACCTCTTACAAAGTCTGGCACAGATCCTGATAGATCACGGCTCTGGAGTGGCGGGAGCGCTCCTCTATACTGGTCTGGTTACAACCGCGCTTGCGGTCATGATGCAGACAGTTGCGATTAGCAAAGTCAGCGCCGAGGAAGCGGCGGTCATTTTTTGTTTGGAGCCCCTCTTTGCGGTAGCGTTCTCAGCAGCACTACTTGGAGAGAGTATGTCCATGAAAGGCGCGTCCGGCGGTGCGCTCATATTGCTTGCGGTACTCTGCAACCAGGCGCTGAACCCAGAGATGCGCTCGCGGTTAGGTTTGCAGCGATCGCGTACCAGAAATATTCGCGCGATAGAGGGACACACGAGGACCCTTGCCCCATCGGATCGTACTCCATCGGTAATCGCGCCGATGAAACCGCGAATGGTTTCCCCAGCTACACCAGAGCAGTTCGTGAACGGTACCGCGCCTGAGTCCGCTTCGTCCAGTAGTACACATCTGGAGAAGCCGCAGCAGCCTCGAACTCGCCCACGCCCGTCAATCTTGCCGAATGAGATCACCTTCATCGCGTCGAAAGACAAAAATAGTGCGTCTACCGCATCGCAAGCAGAGGACACGCGATCCGACGAGTCGGAAATGGCGAGTGTCCACAGCTAAACACGGCAGCATGAAATTTTCGGATTCAACTAAAATGTTCTTTTGTATTCAAGGGGGCAATGCGCTACGCTGTGTCCGATATGTAACCACGGAATGACGGATGATGCTGAATTGCTGCATCTGATTGGATGTCACCGGAAAGGCAATTGCTGCTGACGACCACGGAGGATGCGTCGTTTCCTGCAAATACGACGATATTGATGGATGGTATCACAATGGGATAGCGTTTGGCGAAGCTGGGGACGCAGCGAGTCCTTTCTGATCCCAAGTCGCCGTGAATCCGGCGGTGCGTTCCTCGTAACCCGGTGATATGCTGCTTGTCGAAGTCTTGCGATTCAATTGGTAATACCTCTGTTGCGTCTGGTAGAATGCTTTTCGGCAGTGCCGAACATGAGATCGAAATCCCCATGAAATATACCGTATAGATCGCAGACGAATTGCCTGTAGGATGTACGTTCCTTACTGAACAGTGCACAGAGTACTGCATTCCGTATTCAGGTCCGTCGTACCACAGAACTCAGATGGTTGAGGAACACGGAAAAAAAGAAGGATACGCGTTCCGCGTCAGCAACCGATATTCTAAAAGACTGCTTGCGGTCAATGGTGGTGGACGACCCATTGATCACCGTACGAAAAGCAGAAAGCGACGATAGTTGCTATCGCGGGCGTATCTGAATCTCGCCAGCTTGTCGCTGTGCTCCTGAAAACACTGAGATGCGGTCGTAAAAAAGAATCCTAGTTCATGCACGATCAACTTCTGCTGAAATCGCAACTACGACACAGTCCCTGCAAGGTTACGATCGATATGAAGCACAGGGACGTCGGTTCCTTTTTGCAGTCGACGAGACCTGCATCGAACGAAACCGTCGGCGCGTATATGGGTATTCGCAGCTAGGGAGCCCGTTGCGTATACGGATGAAGTCGAAGAGAACGAGGATATCATCTGTTCGATCTGCAGTGGATATATTTGGCGGCCTCAGACGCTTTCACGGAGAAGGCTCACGCAACGGCACCAACCATTATGTCGAATCCTTGAGGACTTTTCCCTTGACGCCCAGCAACGCCCCTCTACTGGACAACGTGGCATTTCACCATTCTCTTTGGCTTCGAGCTTTTGCCGATTCCCGCGGGGCAGATCAGCTTTTCATTCCTCCGTACGCTCCGTGGCTCAACCGCATCGACGGAGTGTTTTCTATCGTGAAACGTAATGATCACTTTACAGAGCGCATTGATGAATCCTTCAGGACACGGTGACACACCAGGGCACAGTACCTCGTTCGTCCACGTGTGCTTCTGCCTCCGGGACGCCCCACTCCCTGGGTCATATTGAAGTGCTTTCATCAAAGGAAATAGAACATCTATGGGACAGGTATGGACATGGAATTCGGGAATCCTGGAGGCTCGGTCTAGCCGGGTGTCGGAAGAGAAACGGAAACATCCTCTTCTCGCCAACCAGCAAGCGAAGAAGAGCAAGTCGTGAAGAAGAAGAAGAAGACGAGGAAAAGCGGAGATAGGCGAGGAAAGTTGGTTGTCCGATGTGACGATGACGGGACTGTAGTGGCGCAGAAGGCGCAAGTTCTAGGAATCCTTGCATTGGTACGTTCCACCAACGGTATTGCAAGCATGGCGTTCGTAAACAAAGCCTTTAACGCTGCTATCAATATCAGACGATGTGCGGTGCTGAAGACGAGACCCGCGGAGCTTACGCGATCTAAATTTGTATGGCAGCCGCTAAGGCTCGAAGTGTGCAGGGATAAACCGAAACCGATAGCAGGTGGCAGGTCAAAATACGCTGGGAGGCGTCTACACGTCGGTGTAGATACAGACACGCTATCGTCGTGAAGCTTTTCAGGTTTCATCGATAAGGCATGGACATGCTCGTTGGTGGCAGGGAAAACCTCGCGAGACTTGCCGTGCGCATGCTGGTGCGATCCGCTACTGCATGCGCCAGCAAGCACTTTATGAGCGCACTCACGGTCATGAGATCACGGAAGACCAGGATCCGCTACGACACGCGCCAGCAAGCACTTTAGAAGCGCACTCGCGCCCATGACAGGCCGTCATAGATCCGATTTCGACACCACTGGCGAGATTTCACGGGAATCGCCCAACTGGCTCAGGACTCGATGATCATCGTATCCGTGGATGCGGCACCAGTATCCACCGTGGATGCCGTCGTTGGTGCCGTCTGTGCTCGGAAGCCCATGTACTCTGCGTACTTGGTTATGCCAGAATCATCATGGGACAAGTTGACCCAGCCATCGGCTTTGACATGATAAACGTTAATGTAGCCGCCGCTGTAAGCATCTCGGTGGGTTGCGTGGAAGATAGCGCGTCGGCCGAGCTCCGCAGCCTCAGCTGCATCCATGTCCCAGCGATAGAACTGGTCCAGAACTCCGTAAGCAAATGTTGAACCTGACCCGACTGAGAATCGTGTCCCCCGTAAACGAACACCATCGCTATCGACGTAGAAAAGCTGCGGGCCGGTTTTATCCCAGCCCGCAATCATCGTGCCCATGGACAATCCCATGCCCTTGTATTCGTAAACGATATTGGCAAGAAGCTTGGATGCAGCGGCGACTGAGATCCGTTCCCGGTGCTGCAACTCGTGTAGACGACATCGCATTCCGAGATAGCGCTCCCAGAATGAGCAGTCGGCCGCGCCGCCCGCCATGGTGCCCAACAGATATGGATTGATCTCGATGATTTTCTTCACGGTACCAGATCCAATGTATTGGCCCATAGACGCTCTCGAGTCGACGGCCACAATAATCCCATCGCGGAAGACAAACGCTAAAGTGGTTGTCCCGTGCAAAAACTTCACCAAGGAGCTGTTCTGTTCGTCCCGTAGAACGTCCCGCAACCTCGGTGCGATGCTTGCTCCGCGAGGAACTCGAACTCGCCCAAGACTCAGGTCCATGGGTGCAGCGGTGTTGTCACCGTCCGAGCTGGGGCATATGTCGCTCCCGCTGCACAACGAAAACGTCCGATCTAAAAACTCCAGCGGTGCGTACATGAGCGGAACAGGACGCTGAAACTTTGAGCTGTGAAGAGAACCGCGGTTTCCCTAACAAAGAACCGCCTGGTCGATGCAGAGCGCCGTTTGACCAGGAGTACACACAGCAAAGCCAGTCAGAGAAGGGCCTCCAGAAGCGTCCCCGTGCGACAGTAAGGCGTGCCTCAGCCCGAGAACGGACGTGCGAAGTAGCTGCAAGTCTCCCGTGCTCACTTAAAGGAAACCTTCGGTTTTGTGCGTGGCAAGTCAATGGCCAAGCTGCTGAAGAACGAAGCAATCCTAACGGTGCGAGAACGTTGAACTGAGCCAGCCGCTCACGTCCACGCGAGAAACGCCTCGAGCCCGCGCAATACGCCTGAAACGTCGTGCCCGGCTTGCGGTTCAGCGCAGAAGCGCTGTCCATATTGGACCATTTTTGTACATAACTGCGCTTCAGCGTCGCTACACCCTTACCTGGAACACGGAACCGCTCGATATGTTTCTGAATTTTGATGTATTCGAACTTTTTAGATGTGCAACATCGACATTCAAACTGCATCCGTGCGAGATTACGGATTCGTAGATACTTGTAAGGTGCTCGATCTTCTGCTGGGGTCGCTCTTTCGAATCGTCTCCGCGGGAATTCGTAATGTCTCTGAAATCAAGATGATTCGCAGAGTTATTGAACACGAGTTGGTAAAATAACTGATACAGGTATCCCATGCAAATGAACAAGTGCCATACCTTTTCCGTCCTTACTTGTACAACGCTCAAAACACGCATACACTCCGAGCTGTCTACATATCTGCATCAACGGAAATTTTGGACTCGACACTTTTCGCAGCTTGATTGACGAGGAATCATACTCCACTTTTTCGCATGAAGACTTTTCAAAAATTCATGCATAGAGTTCAATGAACTTGGCAAGTCGAGTATTCCATGCGGTCCAATAGACATATTCTGCTCTCCTAGTGGCTATCGAAGAGACGCCATTCCACGATAGCATCATGATCGGTCTCATCGGGCACCATCCTTGAGGCTCCCTGTCCTTTCTGTTTGTATGGGAAAGGATCTTGGACTCGGACCTCAGTCATTCCAGGCATCGCGTCCAATGGAGCATGTCTTGCCAGCTTGCATGAATCACGCGTACACAATTGCAAAGTTCTCGACATCGCCTTCCGCCTGGATGTTCCCTCCGGTACCTGTGCCACCACGGGCAGCTCCTCGTTCGACAAATCCTCTCTCTCGTACCGGACAGCGTACGCTCGCATATGCAGCAGACGTTGCACCCACTGGATGCCTTATCCAGAAGAGATCCGCTTTCCTAGGGTACCGCACTGAGCGCGAGAACGGGGCAGCGCCTCCCAGAGAGCCCCCTGGATCTGTCAAGCGTATGTAGCAAACGGTAGAGCAAGCGTACGCAAGCTACAAGGCGGCGTTCAGAGCATGAGCTGCGGCACGCATCCGGGAACACCCGGCGAGGTCCACGTTTCACTCCTGGAAAGCGCGCACGGCTGCCGCAGATGATGATCATCAAAATGGCAAGCGAAGTATCGTTCGCAACGACCGCCCGTGCATGGAACGCGCGACCAAAGTTCGCGAGCTGCTACATCAGAACTTTCATGCTGCTATCCACATGCTTCGGCTGCTGACAATAGAGCTGGAGGCGCTGCGCATACCACGCGAATGAAAGACGTAGCTGGTGGAGCAAGGAAAATCAAGCCGTCAGATACCTTGCCTCCATTGACTGTTGTTGACGACAATGGCAAGAAATCCTGACTTGAACGTGTACACTCGAGTCCGTATAGTGAAGCTCTTCCATTGTGGTCTGAAAATGACAAGTGCAAGGCAGAACTGTTCGTGTGCATCGGCAGTCGTGCGTTTACCCGCTGAGGCCGCCCGCGCCCAGCGTCCAGATCCGTCGAGCGATTCGTTTCCGTTCACAGCGTCTAGGGCTTGACCTTTAACGCTGTCTGTATATGTGTGTGTGTGTGTGTGTGGGTGCTCCTGCGTACGCTCGATAGTCGACTACACCCAAAGAAGAATTTGAAATAGCAATCAAACGCTCATGTTTGTCACATGTTTACTCGTGTCCGGTTCGAGGCGTAAAGGAACCGCTAACTGTGCATTGAACTTGCACAGAGCACAAACGGCAACCTGGGCAGCCTCGCGAAGCACGCAGCAGTTGCAAGTGCAAGGTTGGCGGAAACCCGTCAAACCAGGGGCATGCCAGGTCCTAAACGCCCAGTTAACTGTCTTTCGAAATCCGAAAAGCGGAGGGCCCGGCGCTCAAGCGAGCCGCGAGCCGCCGTCATTCGCACAGGTCTTGCGTGAAATGGCGCCCACTGGAAAACTCGACGACTTTGTCGTTTACGACTCAGACGGAAAACAACACCAGTTGCTCGATGTTGTCGGGAGTTACGGACCAGAAGATAAGGATATGAAAGCAACGTTAGTGATCTGGCCGCGGCACTTTGGCTGCGTGCTTTGTCGCCGCCTCGTGAAAGAGCTCGCCGCCCGTGAACAAGCCTTTCGACAAGAGCGCAAGTGGCGGCTCATGGTGATAGGTTGCGGCACTCCGGAGCAAGCTGCCAAGTTCCGTACGGATGCAACGCTTGGGCCCTTACCAGCGAGCATTCCGGTATACACAGATCCGTTGCGTCGTTCGTATCTCGCACTACGTTTCCGACGCGGTATTCTGTCAACGTTCAACTTGCCTGCACTACAGAACATCTTGGACAGTTTTCAGAAAGGCGAGCGTCAGCGCTGGGATATGATTCCTCCGGACGCGTTCCAACAGGGTGGTATTGCGCTCATTGAACGGGATACCGGGGCACTCTGGATGCTGTACCGTAGTCAGTACGCTGGCGATGCGCCCACTGCAGAGGACCTCCTGAATATAGAACTTTGATGCAAGCTGGGATATATTTTGCGCATATTCATGGAACCAAGGCTTGTCGCCTGTTCTGGCATGAAACTCTGGTGCATGATGCCGGCGCGCCAGAACGATTCACGTTTCGACGTATGACTTGGTACCGGCCCGGACTCCCTGGCGGGCGCTACTCTTTGGTCACATGGACAGCGTGCCGGGCGAACAGAGCCATAGCAGGAGCCGAGTGTCCCTATATGGCCGACGTGTCTGTGTTCAGATAAAACGAACCTGGGATTGTGTGACGCCCACGCAAGGTGCGAGGCACTGGCAGCGGCTGCTGCTTCGCCTTCAGGAAAGACGCCAGTCGAACAGAGCCTCGTGACCGGCGACGGCACGCGAACGTACGGTCGCAGGTTGCTGCAGCTCACACCCTCTGTTGACAGCGTTTGGCGGTCATGACGCGTGCCGTCGCAAAGCTTCAAATCGTTCGGGCAATTTTACCCAGCGAGCAGGACCCCACACAGGAGAAGCACCTGAGACATCGTTCACGTACGGAATTGCGATCTGTTACCCACCCACGTGAAACTGCACCAGACTGTGCACCCAGACGCTGTCCGCTGCGTACCGTCGACGGGACAGCTTCAGTGTGAGGCCATTTTACGAGCGACCAATTCACGTGTTGCTTGCACTTCAGCGGTTAGTTTCCTGGAGGTATCGTCGTTTTGCGTACGCGATATGGTCAAGCCATCTGCGAGCCGGCGACGTATTCGTACCAGCACCCGAACCAAGCCAGAAATTGCCATGACGAGTACGGCAACGATGAGCAAAGTACGCATCAGGCGGAGCAGCGCTCGCTGATGCCTCGCAGCGCCACGGCTGGTATGCCCAGCGACATGCTCACGCAAGCCGAGTTCCAAGGTGTAGAGCTTGCGCCACCATTTGCCCGTAACATAAAGATTTCGTGGTCGATTCGCATCCCAGGCAATCCCATTGAGCACTGCATCCGGATGTACGGGGTGCACCGGTGACGGGCCCTGCGCTGTTCGCTCCAGTGCCAGCACCGACAGGTTCAGTTCACCGACAAACAGCGCATGACGCTGACGCTCCAGACCCGCGCAAATATCCATAACAACGATGTTGCTTGAAAGCCAGATATTTGCCCATAATTCGGGGAAGCGTTCCGGCCGATTTGCAGCTGGTCTCATGACGACCTCCAGTTCGTTCAGAGACGAGACCTGCTCTCCCGAGCAGGGATGGTGTAACGCGGGAAAGCTCGTGAGCCATGCTAGTGTCCGGGGATGTCGCACTGTAATGATGCTCGATCCGTTGCTCATGAGGAAGCAAGCTGGCTCCTCATCTCGTCGAAGACAGTGCTCCGAGTCGGAGCAGGTCCATTGCCGCAACGCACCCGGGCAGGCTGCCAGGTGGTCCCAGTGGACTGCAGCGAGACCCCAGGCACCCGAGGGCCCGTACGGAATGTCCTGCCCAAAACGGTATCGGAGCTCCGTGCGATCGAAGGTTAGGGCACGTCCAGCGCTCAAGGTCAAGACGACGATAGCATCGTCGAAGGCGCGGTATGCAGCACCTTCGGCAAAGAGGCTAGCAGGTTCCACACGCGCTGTCTGTAGGACGCGACCTGTTGGTAGTTCAACGTGTTGCAGCCTCGAACGAAAACGAAGCCCGCTCGACTCGTATAATCGACTGCTATTGATGGGGTCAACGAAGAGACCCTGCGTAAACGTAGTCTCGTCGTGTGGGAGTGCGTTTAAGACGCGAAAGGGAATAGCGTGTTGAAGGTAGCAGACGCGCTGAGCGTCTGGCGCCCAGGCCCGGTGCAGCACCGCTCCAGAGACGACAGCTACGGCACTTGCGATGAACAGAAAGAGCGTGTGGAGTGGTCTGTGCATGCTCCTCTTTGAATGCAGCTGTGCTCTTTTACGGCAGACGAAGCCGTGTTGTTCATACTACCGAACAGTGGAATCACTTCATCGGATCCAGTCGATGGCAGAGCTTGTTTGCCGCATGAAGCATTTGCAAAGCGAAGGCAGTTGCGCTTCGCATGCGGGTGCACTTGTTTTTCCTGGAGCTGTAAACCCCTGCGGGCTCTCATCAACGTACGGTGACGAGGTTGCACACATCCGGGAGACATTTGGGCAAGCGCCTGTTCTCGAGAAGAGGTGCTGGTTCTGAGGTAGCGCTCACCTGGTGTTTGGTGTCGCTATTCCGCTTTCCGAGACGGTGCTGTTGTGGAGCATCGTGCGCAGGTCTCCAGGCTTCTGTTCGGTGCTTGGTTTGGTAAGCGTAGCGAGAACAGGCCTCGTGATGGCCCAGAAGCGCCACACGGTTGCACAGGACCGCGAAACGGCAAACGCTGGGCACGGTGAACCGCAGGATGAGGTTGCAGGTTCGACGTCTGATGCGTGCCAAGCTCTCTTCGACGCCTACATATCCTGTACACAGCGCTATTTGAGCAGAGGCGGCTTGATCAGAGACGAGTGTCGTCAGGAAGCGAGAGCCTATCGGGAGTGCATAGCGCACTATCTGGAACAGCAGCGAGCGACCTCGAGTGTCGGTAGAGTGCGGGCAGAACCGACGCGTTTCCAGGACTCGTGACGCGATACGACTCGAAAGCTACTGCGTAACAGGGCAAGTACAGAAACGAGAAGCTGTCACTGCATCCTGTGACGTGGCGCTGTTCAGGGAGCACTGCAATCAAGTCGCTTTACCGAAACTGCTGTATAGCGATGGGGGTTCTCTCGAGGCCGCTTCGCTGCATCGTTGAAGGAATAGAAGCCCCGAGGAAATCGCTTTGACAGAGAAGTCATGTGAAAACGATTGCACCAGTGAAAGCAACTGTTATTCCTGTGTTCTGATTACAACTGCTCAAAATGAAATGGAAGCGGAGTGCGGTGTCATATCATAAAAAATGTGATGCTGGCGCTAGTCGACATCCATCCAAGCAAGCGCCAACATTGGCCTTGGTTGGTCGTTCATGATACGCTGATACGTGTTCTTTGTTTTATTTCTTTTGAACAAGGTATCCGCTCTGCAGCGAGCTGCTGGGAAGCCGCTCGGGAAACGCTCATGACAGCCTAAAGTTCTGTGTTCGGATCAAGCGAAACCTCTAGTGCAATCATCTTCGCAATGAGACGCTTGTCGGCAGGGAGCAGATGTTTACAAAGCCTCCCGTTACAATCGTGCGTTTACGAGAAGCTGCAGCGATAGCCCTGGGGGCCTCCCAGCGTCAAGAGTCCGCGCAGCATCCTCGCACGACGGCCAAGCTGGCGGTATACTCAGGTCCGAGGTCAGCGATGCTTCCTGGGACGACATTCGCAGCCGCAGCGTCCCGTACACCGCAAAAAGGGTATGGTTGCGTCAGAGACCTGTTCGGGATAGATTCGCTCCCCGACATACGTTCAGCGGCAGTGCTTTCTTTTGCCGAAACGGCTATGCGATAAAGCAAGCCAGCGAGCGAAAAACCATGGATACCAGTCCAGTTCAGCGCGTTCCACTCGCGACGCTCGCACGACAAGTGCGGCAACTCGGACTGGTTTGGCACTGAGCACGATTCCAACTTTTCCGGTCGCTAGCGGCGAGGAATTGCCCCGCTTCGACCAGACATAAGCTGCTGCATGACGCGCTGGAGGCCACCCGGACCGCTTCCCAGTTGTTGGAGCATGCGTGGGTCCATCATTCTTTGCATCTGCTGCTCCATAGCGCCTATATTGGGTATGCTGTTTGGGCCGGTACCGTGGCCAACGCCGCCGTGCCCGGGCTGCATCAGGTGCTTCATATTCTTCCCGATACGACTCCATGCCTTGCTGATCAGTTTGTATTGTGTGAGAACCTCATCAACCTCCTGCACAGAACGACCACTACCACGAGCAATGCGACGTTTGCGTGAATCATCCCACCGCACTGAAGTACTTTCATCAAGCTCTTCCCGATTCATGGAATCGAGAATGACGAGCATATTCCGCACTCGAGTTTGAGCGTCCTTCTCGGAGCCTTTGGGCAGTATCTCCGCCATGCCCGGCATCATGGAGGCGACTTTGCTCAGCGGCCCAAGCCGCAGCACATTCGAGTACTGCATCTGCATATCGCGCAGCGTCAGGATGCCCTGTGAAATGCGATTCATTTGCTCCTCATCGGGATTCTCCAGATCTGCCTCCGCAATGGTCGACACGAGACCACGCACGTCTCCCATGCCTAAAAGGCGTCCGACAAAACTCTGTACCTGGAACTCTTCCAAGTCGTCTAGGTGTTCGCCAGTGCCCAGGAACACGATCGGTGAATGGGTAGCGGCCACTGCGCTGAGGGCACCACCGCCACGGGCGTGGCCGTCCATCTTGGTGAGGATGACGGAACCCACTCGAACGCGCTGTTGAAACGCTCGTGCCTGGTCGTAAGCTGCCTGACCGATGGAACCGTCCATCACGAATATCACGTGATCTGGAGTCAGCGCTCGGTCCAATTGCTCCATTTCAGCGAAGAGGGCTGCCTCCTGCTTGTGCCGTCCACTCGTATCGACCAGAATGACTTCGAAGCCCTCGCGACGGAATCTTTCGACGCCCTCGCTCGCAACCTTGACAGCGTCGGTCTCACCGTAGCGCCCATAAAAAGGAACACGTGCACGTGTTGCATTCTGTCGCAGTTGGTCGAAGGCTCCCGCTCGAAAGGTATCGGCACAAACGAGGCCGGTGCGGTATCCCTTGCGCTTGTAAAAATAGGCTACTTTGACACAGCTGGTAGTCTTGCCGTTTCCCTGGAGACCGACGAACATGATGACGTTTGATTGGCCGCGTTGTGGTCTATAGGGCGGTATGCCTGGGTCCAGCATACGACATAGCTCCTCGAAGACGGTTTTGTGGATGAGGCGGCGACGATTGGTGCCCGGCGGGAGCTCGGCTAGTCGAACGCGGTTCTTCACGCGCTGGCGCAGCTCCGAGACCTGTTTTACGTTGACATCAGCCTCGAGAAGGGCACGTGCTACCTCTTTTAGAGCTGCTTCCAAAGCTGTTTCATCTACGACGACTTGGTTGGTTAGCGACTGCAGCGCCTTGACGATTTTGGTTCCAAGTGTTTCGAGAACCATGAAGCTGTGCAGGTGGCGCCGAACCGCAACAGCCTCCAGCACTTACGGCCGTTTTTTGACCTTGGAAGGCGCACCCGCTCCAATAAAAAGTGCTGGAGGCAGCCGCTGTTCCTTGTGACAGGTGCGTGCGAAGCACCGCGTACCGCAAAAACGGAGCGTTCCCCGGTAAACGACTGACCAGGTTGAGGTTTCGGGTCTGGGTAGCTGCTGGGACGTAGCAGCGGGCCCCGGTGCGGCCTGCTGTTCAACTAGATGGGTGCGTTCATAGAATGAGCAAGTATATACTATGGTGTTCGGAAAGTATAGTTTAGTCGCAGGGGCGAACACGCCTCGCCGATCTGCGCGCCTTGCTGCCCCGCTGCGTTTGGCAGATGAGCATGGGATGCGACGCTGGTCACTCGGTTCCCGAATTTCGAGTTGTTCCACCAGCATGAGCACCGAGATGCAGACTCGATATTCATAGAGTGGCAATCAAGGCTCACGAGCGCCCGGGTAGCTTTCGAATTCGCGGTCGTCGTTTCGGAGTGGATTCTGGGAGACGTTGCAGTTGGAATGCCTCATGGGAGCGGCATCAAAAAATGATTCGCGACACCTTTGAACAAGGGTTCGTCCAGTAACCGACTTCGCCATCCCGTTTGTACGTATACCGCTCCATGATTCGCTTTTGCGTACGTATAGCATGCGCAAACCGCGCATTGTTCAAGTTGCAGGTCTTTTATTTCTAAGAAAACGCAAGGATGCAGCAATGCGCGCTGCTGCATTCACGAGGCGCGAAGCTCGTCGTCGTCCTTTGGCGACTTGTTCAGAAACGCATGCAGAAACTTCGTTGACCCGATCACGTTAAATACTCAATTCTATTCGAAAGAAAAACGCTACTCCTTTCTTTGACCATCGACGCGAATGCAATCGGCGTCAACATGTTCTCGCTCATGGGACATGCTCCCAGAGGTTCGCGTCTCTTCTGTTTGCGTGGAAGTGGGTCTTGGGGTCGGACCTGATTTGCTGCAGCAATCGCCTGCAGTGGGGAGTGCGTCACTGCTTTGTACGAAGCGGTTTCGTCCGATCGAAAAGATTTCGATTGTTCTCCAGCCTGGATTCTCCTTCCTGTTCTTGTTTCATCATGGATAACATCGCCGCTCGCGAATTCTCTATCGAATGTAAAAGCGTGCACTTGCATGTGAGCGAACAGAACACTCCCTGAGCGGATCGGCATGAAGAGGCCTCTGTTCGTGGTGTACGGCGTCAGGCGCGAAAACGGAGAAGAGCATCGGGACGACATTGTGTATCCGTCAAGGGCATGGACCGAGCAGTGCAGCAAGCATACGCGTGTGACGAGGCGGCGTTCAGAGGAGGAGATGTGGGAGACCTACGGGAACACCTGGCAACGGACAGGTGCCATTGCTGCGACGGACATGCCCTGATCATATGCGAAGGAGACGATACCGGTTGGTGAATCGTCGATCGATCGCAACTTTCTGCTGTGTATGAACTGGGTAGAAAACAGTGGGAAGCAGCGTCATCGCGACATGAACGATGCCATCAGCATCCTTCGACCTCGTTCATCGGACCCGAGCTGGCGCGATAGACCTCGGTATGTGAAGCCGGATACCAGAGCGATGAAGTGGAAACATTTGCGGAAGAATCCCGTAAAGGCTGACGTTGATCACAGTACGAAGAGACGCAAACTTGCGCGTGCACGCCAGAGTTCGCTACGTGGACTCCCGCCACCTTAGTCCAACACGGATATACTTGTTCACGTCGCACAGTCCTATTACCCAACTGTATCTGCTTTCATGGTCGAGACTACCGGTCGCATACGACGCATCAGAGACCGTATCCCGCAGAACTGAAGATAGCGCTTGTGAGCGCCCGGGAAGTGTTTGCGCGCTCGACATCGCAACGCCACCGCGCGTTGCTCTGCGGTGAATCACCGAGTGTTGCGCATGATTCGATGTATTGGGGGCAACATTGCTGACAACGTTCGCGTTAGCCTGTTGGTTTGTTGGGATACCTGCCCTCGACGCAACGAGCGCTTGCCGCAGAGCATTCAGTGTCTGCAAACCTCGCTCTATGGCACTGCTCTATGAAAAGTCCGCGACCTGGCGTTGGCTCGTGCAGCAGGCGCGACGCTCCACAGCAGGGTTGCTCCGAGTGAGCGGCGCCTTCATTGCGATAGGTATGGGCACTGGTGTTGCGATTTATGCTTTTAGTGAGTGGTTCTCCGGTGGTGCGGAAGTGCGCGCGGCAAACTACCGGGCAGCTATGCGTCACGACCCGGAGGCTAAGCGCTACGCCGACCACAGCCGGGACGCGCTGCGAGCACTTTTCGCCCAACGAGCGGACCAGCAGAATGTGGAGCCGGAGACGAGCTCTGAAAAGAGCTCCGTAGCGCTCCCGAAGATTCCCCGAGTGGCCTGGCACCCCAAGGCCGACCCCAAGCCGGACTCGTGTTCCTAGACGACCACGGTCGCTGGTCGCTTCCCCGGGTCGGTTGGGTCCCGGGTGTCGCTCCTCTTCTTGAGTCGTGTTGCACACTCGGGTGCACCTCGCTCGATGCCCTCATACCACTCCGCCAAAACAGGCAGCCAAGTCGGAGACGCCAACATAGAGGCCTCGACGCTGTCGCCTTGGAGACCAGGGGTGTCTGCTGTTGCGGTTGGCGCTGAAAGGTTACTCGAGCCCTGGATAGAGCCCTGAGACGCACCTGCTTGCTCGCGAGGTGCCTCTCGGGGTGCTGGCCCCTGCCTCTGAGCTGGCTGGTCGGAGCGAGTCCGCCGTCGCCAACGAAACCAGCCCCCTGAACCCGTGCGTGCGGCGGGTGCTGTGGACCCTGAACCTGTCGCCTTTAACTCACACAGTGCCTGTTCACTGCAAAGCATCTCCGCCAATTGCCAAGCTCGCGTTTGAACCAACTGCCTGCGCGCCTCTGCTAGCTGCGACTCGCGGTGCTTAAAGTCTGCGATCTGTAACCGCAGGCGCTCTTTATCGTCCTCTAGCTGCGTTTTACGCTCTAAACCCTGCAATGCCACTGCGAGCGCTAAACCAGCACACCCCATAGCGATCCAGTCCCAACGAGGAGCCATGTTAGTGGCTCAGCAGCGGCCTGCTATCGAAGACACCGACGAAGAACGAAAACGGGGAAGCAGCGCCGACTGCCAGCATATCTGCACGGCGACCAGAACGGTTCTCAGAGACCGGTTCGATATTGACCGGGCGCGCACACTCATACGCTTCCTCGCCTAATACCTTCAGGGGTTTATCTAAACATCACTGGTACAGTTGATCATACGACCAGGAGTGTGCGCTCGCCCGAGTCCAGGAACCTGAAAGCGGGACGGGAACAGAACGTCGCCTCGTGGACAGCGTGGCGCTCTCTGGTGGTGCACTGGACCCAAGCACGCTTGGGTGTTCTTGTGAATAGTTTCAACCGGGGAAGTAGTAACTATTCTGGAATAAGAATGGAAACCCGTTGGAAAAGCGTCTTGTACACGTTCACGACACCAGTGGGTAGCGAGAGGACCTTCCCGGAACTTCCTCGCAGCTACCTAGCAGGTAGGTCGTCTGCGGGCACCTGTTTAGAAGAACCAGCGCAGCGAAGCCTGCTGAACGCAAAGTTCGCAAACTTGACGAGTTCTACGCGATGAATTTACAGTGTGTTTGCAAGGCGGCACGTAAGCGCAACGTTCGAGCACTTGATGGCGAACGGGGGTCGCTTTGCCGCTGCACCGACGATAAGACACCGTTTGAGCTGGTGTCAATAACGACGACGGAGAAAAGCGCGTATATTCAAGGACGATTCTGCGAGGCGTGCACGTCGTCATGCATCCAATAGAAACAAGAGTTTATAGAGTGGAAAAAATGCTCGTTTTCTTGGTCCCTTGGACCCACGAACAGAAGCGCGTCGGTGGCTTTGGTAAACAATGTGCACGACATCGTCGTTCCCTGAACAGAATGCTTCGAAGCGTGCTTGCGTCATCACACAACGACTCTAGTCACGCCAACGAAGATGTCTGGAATCATCCTGCTCCTGTTTCTATGACGAGTGTTCCATTTCGATGCTACGCTGAGCAAACAGACACACAGACGCTTGCACCCAAGCATTCGTCTACTATGGTGCGCGGATCCTAGGGTCTCTGCTGCACCAGCGTAGCAGCTAAGCGTTTCGTGAATCGAGCCGAAAGCTGCCCGCACCTAGCACACAGGCCAATGCGGAGATGCAGCCAGGCTCCTGGGGACAGCACCACGGGTCCAAGGCACGCGACGACACCGCAGCGTGTTCCAGCGACCGAGAAGCTGCAGCAGTAGCGGGCATGGAGGTCAATGTGCTGCCATCCAGAAGCCAAGGTCTTTACACAGACAGCCCTGCTGTAGTATCGAGGGCGCACTCAAAATGGAGATTCTGCACCCGATAGGGACGAGACGGCGTACATGCCTTCCAAGTCGGAGGCGCTCCACGCATCCATGTTGGCTTCGTCGTCCTCCGCCGAGAGACGCAGATATTCGAGTGCTGCGAAGCGATCCCAGTCCGTTAGGTCGGGGACTGCCCGCTCCTGTCTCAAGAGTGATGGATCTCGACTTTCGATCGCGATGAACTTGTTCAAGTTGAACAGGATATTGAAGAAATGGCTCTGCATGCGACTGGATCGTAAAGCTGAACGCGTGATCACCGGTGGATCAAGATCCTTGCTGATCATGTCCAGCAACTGACAGAGAATATCCTCAAATGCAACTGGTTCGTGCCCCAGACACTCCATTCGATGCAGTTGTTCTGAATAGAGCCAATCAACATCGTACAGGGTGATCTTTCCATCGCCGTCCGCATCAATGCAGCGAAACCAATAATCCAAGGCCGTCTCTGAATTCTTGTCTTCCTCGCTGAGGATAAACCAGATGAAATCCGTATAGCTCATGTAGCCTGGGCGTGCGCAGTCGAGAGGCCTTCCTCGTCCACTAAAGATACAGTCAATGATCCGGTAGGTCAGGGCGTGCCCGTTGTAGCGCAGCAGATCCTCGCGGTCGATCATGAGATCATGATCTGTGTCCAATTCCCAGAATCGACAGTAAATCACGTAGAAATGCTCGTAGCTGAAACAACTACGCTCCTGGTTGATGTCCTCTTGTTCGTCGACGCTTCGAAAAATGTCCAAGAGACGATGTCGGCGGATATCCGACAGATACGCCTGCCCATTCGGCCGGTTCAGATAGTAGAATATCCGTTCGATGACTGTCTCAGCGTAGCGATGCTGGAACTCTGGGGTGGACTGCAGAAACTGTAAGCCGGGATGCGTCGCCAGCAGCGCATCAATGAAGGGTCGAAAGTCGGAACCAACAAGGTATCGGCGCTCATGTGCTTGTCGGTCGGCTCGATCCCGTTGCCCGTCGAGATTCCGCCGATTCGATGTCCATGAAGCTGCTGCAGACCTGGGCGAGATGCTGCTTCTTGGTGAGGATACGCTGTGAGCGTCGCTCTCCGTACGCTCCTCGTTCGGAACCGATGCGTGATAGTCACGGGAGCGTTGGAGTGCGTGGAAGAGGCGAGCGTGTCGATCGTAGCCGGCACAGTCCTCAACATACCATTGCAAGAATATGGACTGATGGATACGCTCACCCGTTGCCCCCGGGATGCTGATCTCCTTTGCGCCCTTCTTGTTCGTACCTTCTACCTCCGAAGCTACGTTGGACGTTTCGAAGTGCTGTTGGCGTTGGAGCAAGCGCTCGAAAATGACCAGCGAGACAAAGCTCGGCAACCCGACAATGTCCATAATGAGTTCAACGACCTCGCGCTGGCTCAGTGCTCCGTCTTGGCAATCAAAAGCGGCCTGTATGGCCTGTTGTTCTTCTGCAGCCCGGATGACGTGTTCGTGCGCGCGCCCATCTGGATAGTAGAAGCGCGGGATCGTCTCCGCCTTTGCGAATGCGCACTCTGATGGTACAAAGAGCGCATTCACCGCTGAACGCTTGTTCAGACCTCCTGAATGGAGCGCATTTCGCTGGTGTGCTGTCTCCTCACATGCAGGTAATGGTGGCGAGAACGATGCTCCATTCTCAGTCGAAGAGCCATCGTGGCCTACTCCCGAGTCCATATATGATGCGATCTCATGGCAACGCTCCTCGGTATCGGATTGACCATGTGCCATCGCCGCATCGCTATCCTCAACTTCGGACCAGATCCTAAAAACCTCATACTTTCTGATGAAATGTGATACTGGCGACTGTGGGCTCGACGTCAAAGAAGCTTCCTCTGTGGAGCTACTCCGTGAACGGCCTTGCCTTGCAACGCGTGCTTCGCCACCAGCGGGCGAGCCCGGAGTTTGGCTCAAGATGCGATAGAAGGCGCTGCGCGCCGCTCCGGCCGGGGAGTTTGGCGTAATGGTATCGGCATTCGTCGGACGCTTTGCGGTTGCCCCGTGCGATGCAGCATTACACGAAGCTGTCGGGCTCGAAAGTCGTTCCTGGCGGAGCATGGTAGGCTTCGGTGAACCAGCAGTCACAAGATCTTCGTCGGTCACCCTTCCCGTGACGTCCAGTTTCCCCAGGACCTGCTCCAACCAAGCGAGCGTTTCCGGGAGAAACAACCAACGCATAAAGAGGTACTCTAAGTGCCGTTTCGGCTCTAGCGCAATATCCGTGGCCGATAGCGTCACCAGCAGTTTTGGTGCGTCCATGGTGCCGGAAATCGCGTGCACACCGGACTCGTCGCCCCCGGTAACAAACACAGCTGTAACCTCTATACCAGACTCTATGGTCTGCTCAGAGGACATTATTGAAGCGTTCCTACGTAGATCACTCGAGCTGCTGCAGCTCAGCGGAGTCAGGCCGGGGAGATGTGTGCCAAGCCTCACCCGCTTGCGTCTCAAGACACGAGGCGAGACTGGAACGCACCTTTCAACTTTACAACCATCGCCAGAAGCCGTTCGAAAGTCGAACGACGTCGGGCGTGTACAGTAGTGGCGGCGAACGCGCCCTAGACAAATCGTCTCCAATTGCTGTGTAGACGCCTTCCCGTCTTTTTGGAGCGGCCGCCAACTACTGCTTCCAACTTTTTCTCATATAGTTCGACCTTGAGAGGTTGTCCAACAAAGTTCACTCTTGTCAACGCTGGAGGTCTCGTCTCCAGCGCCGCACATCTCCTTATATTGATGGCGGCGTTAAAGTCTCGGTTCACAAACTCCATACGTTTCGTGCCATCACTGGTTGTACTTACTGATGCAAGCAATCCTCGAACTTTCGCTCTCCTTTCCATTTGCCCTTCCGGCAGCGCTCCGTACTTTTTCGTATCCTTAGGGCTCCGCTGGCACTTTTCCATCTCCACCCTCTGGAGTGTACACCCCAGTTCATGGTGTGTATACGATGTTCGAAACTCATCTACAGGTATTGTTTCAAAACGCCGTGCGCGCTCCCTCTACGTTCTCGTCGTTGGAGCTGGCGTCGTCCTTTTTGGGTCTTCCATCGGCCTGCTCCGTACGCTACTATGAGCCTCTGACTTTTATCCTCCTTCAAGTCACTCAACTGATTGAGAAAGTTCGCGAACGCACGCTGCATCCCACCGTAGAGATTCATTCGCAAACGAGCCCACCGGGGCTTGGTATACTCCTCCCACAGCGCATCCCAATGGGCAACACGAACTTCCATGAATTTCCGAAAAGCATCAAGGTCCGCTCCTCGGCTCGTCACCTCGCTCATAGCTTCCAGGTGATCCTTCATTCCTGAATTCCATGTAACGATTTTCTTCCTCGCATTCACTATACCGGATTCTCGATAGTATCTCGCTCTCGAGAACCTCAACAGACGCATGTCTTTCTGACGAAAGTTGCCGTCAGCACCATCTTCCGCACGCTTGGGAGCAGCGATGGTGATGATATTCGTGTTTCCGGGGTCCGCGCCAAGGACAAAGTCGTTATCCTGCACTTTCTGCATCGCAGGATCCGCCTCCTACTTTTCTTCATGCTTTGCCGCGTCAGCGACAAAGTCGTTATCCTGTACCTCCAGCGTCTCAGGATCCGCCTCCTTCCCATCTTCATCCTTCGTCACGTCAACGTTAAAGTCGTTATCCTGCACTTTCTGCATCGTAGGACCCGCCTTCTTCTCATCTTCATGCTTCGTCACGTCAACGACAAGGTCGTTATGCTCCACCTCCTGCGTCGCAGGACCCGCCTCCTTCTTTGCTTCATCCTTCGTCACGGGCGCAGCCGAGGGCGGAACTGGCCGATCTTTCCTCAATGCCGATAGTGTACACAGATGGCTACTCCATCGGTTTCGATCAACCCAGTGAGTACCTTTTGTTTGCTGACTTTGAGAAGTTTGAAATTGAAGATATTCTTCCGGTACGCCTCCTGGTTTTCACCGGAGAACTCCTCCCTGCGAACATTGAACTCCAGACTGATCTCCTTCATAATGCCGTGAAGGATTCTGGAGTGGATGGACACAAAATCTGACCTTATGTTGCACATTGGAACCACGTTGAAGCGCTTCCCCATTAGGAACGCCTTCCGTCTCTCCCGCTCTTCATTTCTTTCCTCACTCAGCTTCATCTCCGCTTTGCGTTCGAGCTCTCGGTCCAGAAACACGAAATATCGCAGGATGAGGCGATAATATCTTTCCTTATCTTTTTTCAACGCTGATATCTTTTCTGCTGGATTCGCCAGCCCCAAGACTGCACAGTGCTCTTGTATAGCCGTACGGATTACAGAATCCTCATTCGTGCTCTCGTTTGACGCCTTCTTGTCAACGAATTCGATCTCATCTTCATGCTAGCGATCTTTCGTGATGGCATCGATAATCGCCCATATTCCATTGCGAGATAGGCCCGGGTAGCGTGCAAACACGGCGCGTATCATGAAACGTTCGAGGTTCATAGTCAAATGCTTCTTCAGGTTCGTGAGCTACTTCATCGCCCCATAGTCGTAAATATTCGAGTCACCCTTGTATCGAGTACCATTGAATCTGTAAAAGGGATGTTTTTCGTGGAGGGTATGCACTAGCACATTTTCCTTCCGCGCTTTCTCTTTACGAAGCATCAGGTGTTGAATAAACGTCTTATCGATGGACTCGTCCGGAATCTCGACCGTTTCGATCTGCGTCACGTCGCGATACATCTCTCTCGCCAAATGCATCAGTCCTGACGAAGCCTTGACAAGACTCTTGGAGTACGAGTCGACACGGTTTTCGATTGCGTCTCGCAACTTTTCCCTGTACGGATCCTTGATATGTCCAAGAAGAATGGTTGTCGCCACCTTCTCGACGTACAGCCGTCTTTCTTGCCGCCTTCGACGTAGGGCCTCTCCCTTTAGGTCCTTCTTCGCTTCCTTGTCTTCTGGACTCGGCACAGTTTTCGTTTTTTTCTGGTAGTCGGCGACACTGAGCCTCCAGGATCGTCGGCTTGCTGTTTCATAGCTTTTTTGTTTCTTTGAAAAACAACGCTCTTTGAAGGCTTCTGTTACATACAGCGACAAAACGCTTGACTAGACTTGTTTGAGGTTTGAACCACAAATGAATTAGAAAACTACACTTTGCTACGACCTGAACGGATATCCAATGTTTTACAGCTGAACAACACGTTACTGATGCCCACGACAGGGACCTTTACCACAATGAACGGAGGGGCGGAGGCAGTAGCAGCAGAAAATATTGACGATAATTCTGAGTAGTTATCCGCTGCTCCCGAAACAACGCTGCAGCTTCGGGCGCAAAATCTGGGTCCATCCTCGAGCTCGGGCTCAGTTTTACCTCCTTCTTCGGTTTCTACCTCAACTCTGGAAACAATCTCGGCGGATATTTTGGAAGACGGCTGGCGGTATGTTCGCGTTCGAAGCTGGAACGAACGACTTGCCCGCCTATGTGTTTGGGGAGCGGATACAAAGCCGCTGAAAGGTTGGTTCGTAGAGTATCCCCAGTGGTTGAGGGGAGCTTCATGTGTCCGGCAAGATAAAGGTCGCATTCGAGTCGACCTTGACTAATGTACATCTGATTCTACGCTAGTGCGGCGCCAAGCACTCAATGAACGACTGGAATGCGGGAGGCGCTGGTGGCATGTACGCTCACACACCCCGTGGAGGGTGCATCTAAATTGACGACGTATCTCTGGAGTACCGCAGCGCTATTCCTATTCCGTTACGCGCTACAAATCGGTAGGTATTGCATCATGGAATATTTGTGGTGTAGCCTCGAAACTAGAATAAGAGATATCGAATTACTAGTAGAGTAAAGAGGATCAGATACAACTGAAGGACTCTACAAAAGGAAAAGCGATCCAACGAGATACGGAGAAGGAGACACAGGAACCTCATGATCCACCTAGATGCAAAATAACCAGAGAAAGCAGCTCAGGAAAGAGCCCGAAGAAGAAGAAGACCAACAAGAAAAGACAGAAGAATAGAGAGAAGAACTCCCAAGCGAGCCCATCATGAGTGATCCCCCGAAAGAGCACCCCAGCAGGAACTCAAGAAAGCCGTCGCCAAACCGAGTCACCTACTCACAGCGCTGAAGATCCGAAAAGCCGTGCGTACAAATCTTTAGACCAATTGGCACGCGAGTTTGTAGATGGGAATCAGAAGACTGCCAGAGAACTGGGACGGCTGGCACCAGAACGCAACAGTTGGAAACCGCAGTACCTGAAACGACGTATCAAAACTCGGATTGATGAATGCCACCGACTCAATAAGATCCTCAACCGCACCGCCATACGCGCCAACGCCGGAGACAAGGAAGCGAAGGCAGCGCTACCGGCGCTACAGGCGCAACATGAGGAAGCTATCAAAAGAAAGAAGAAACTTTCCAGAGAAGACAAACGAGAGGATCGAAACCGCAAAATCGCCTCTCTGATGGAATCTACGCTAGAGAGCACCAACGAAGATGAGACCTGGCGCTATATTCGATCGAGACTCGACCCACCGAAAAGTGCTTGGGGCTCACACCAACTGTTAAAAAGAAGAGCTGAGGACGGAGAGTGCCTCAGTGAATGAGGCCTGGATAGACCACGGGAGAGAGCTGCATGAAGACGCAACTGGGAACTGCCAAGACCGAATCTATTGGCATCAGTATGCTGCAGAACTACCGCGCCTCAACCCGGTACCGGAATGGAACGACCCAATCTTCTGGCCTGAATCTGTTCGGACCCTGCTATGCTCAAGCAACCGCAAAACACCTGGCATCGACGGTATCGCGACGGAGTGGATGAAACTGGCGACCCCAAAAGACGGGACAACAGGGACACCATCGATACCAGATGAACCTGACACAATCTTAGGCAAACGCCCTCTGGAGCTCATCCAACGCATGTTTGAAGAAGCATACATCCCTGATGTATGTAGGAGTGTTGAGGTCGTATCGATCCTCAAAAAGGACTCCCACATACACAGACATGAACAACTACCGGACTATTCGCCTCATCCCGTCAATCATGAAGCTACTTTGCGCCATGCTCACGAACCGGATCCAGAGGGGCCTCGAGGAGCGCAAGTTCTTCGCTTCAGAACAGGCTGGATTCCGGAGTCGCGAGGAGTGCATGAGCCATGTCCTGACCCTCATCGGAGTGGCGCAACGTCGCTCCATTAGCGACCAACAACCAGCTTACGTATGCTTCATCGACTTTCAAAAGGCCTTTGACACGGTCCCGCACGAGGCTCCATTTCTCAAGATGGAACGCGCCGGAGTCTCCGAAAAGTGCTTGGCGTTCTTCAGTGCGCTCTATGCAGACTCGTGGATGCGCATCCGACTGGGCGACAGCTCAAGAACCCCTTCCAGAAGAATCCGCCGTGGACTGCGACAGGGCGACCGCGCATCCCCGCTCCTTTTCAACATCTTCATCAACGATCTGCTGAACAACGGCAGACAATTCGTGGCTGAGGCGCCGTGGATAGACTGTGGAGATGTCCGGTGAGGAGCCCTCAGATAGGAACCGCCTCGCAGGCCTTCTATTCGCGGACGATGTCGTGCTGTTGGCACCCACCCCGGAAACGCTTGCGGCTAGCATGGAACAAGTCAGCGCCTGGACCGATCGCTGGGAGATGAGCATAGGAGCATCGAAGTGCGGCGTCATGGTCATCCATGGAGACTCGCAGAGCATTCGCAATCGCTCGTGGCGGTTGCAGAATCAGGAAATTCCGGTCGTGGAAAAATATCGCTACCTGGGGGTCGGTCTCATGCTGACGCTCGACGAAAAGGCACACATCGACGAGATGATCGCCAAGATGCATAGAGGTACAGCGATCGCACGCCCATTCCTATCCGATCCCTCTATCTGCATAGCAATCCGTACGAGGGCACTAAGGATGTGTATCATCCAGCCTGCGACCTGGGGTGCTGAATTGTGCGGCATAAAGCACAAAAATGCCTCGCGTCTGCAGACAGCCGCCAACAGGGCAATGCGACTCGTTCGTGTTGGATGCTCAGTGCAGAGCAGAGCAACCAACCCGTTGACACTCGGACCTGAACTCCAAACACCATCGACAGAGGCGATAGCAGCAGGCTTCCAGGCACGTGTGTGGGCCAAAGGGCCCATCATGCGCACCTGGTTCAGTCGGAGTTTCATGCAGACCCCAACGCACTCCAAGAAATCTTGGATGGAATCGACGCAGATTTGGTTGGAGCGCCACTTAGGCGAAAACACGCTCCCCAATCATTCCCCAGGAATATAGAAGGCTCCCGCCGCCTCTAGCGAACGGTCCGAACAACCATATGGGAATTTAGACAAGGTACCAGTCGCGCAAGTAACGCCGGCTTGACCCTATCCGGAACTACACCCTAGCATACACATGCAAGTACTGGTAGGGGGTGCTGGAATTCCCGGGACTTGCTCGAGGTACCCAGTGGCTCGCCAAAATCCGCGTTGGTGGCTTCCGGCTGGCAGCACCGGCTCTAAGCCGGAAAGGAGCACTGGAATCGCACTGGGAATCACACTGTCCCTGCTGTGGAGACGAGAGCCCCCGAGAAGCTGACGCATTTACTGTTACAGTGCCCGCGCTAGAATCAGGAGCGCAGCGAGCTCCTTGAAGGACAGCAGCAGCTGGGCATCAGCGTGATAGTGGAAGGCCGGACACTCATTCTGAGTGTAGCACTGGCAACTGATGGTCCGCTAACCGAGCCGCAGCGCTCGTTAGTGGCGAACAAACTCACATTCTACCTTCTAAGCGGCAGGTCCAACGAATCGGATGAGCACACGGGTTTAGTGCTCTTTGTGCCTGCCTACTGGCGGGTGTCAAGCACAAACCCGCATTGCCGACCGACAACACATTCAATGCATGATCACGAAGGAGAGAGGCGGCTCCCAGGATTCATCCTAACAGCCAAGTTTCTCCAGCGTGTCGTGCAGCGAAGGTAAGACTGCATTTGCAGACTCGCTGAGCATATATCGACGAAGAGACCCGATTCTACGTCGGGTGAACCACGCCTCGAGCCGACGCCCTCTGTGGTATAGCAACGCCGTTCTGTCTCTATGAGCTATCTGCTCCAGCATTTAAGGTGCAAAGGCGAATACGGAGCGGCAGCTACTAGGCACACACGATAGGACGTATGAAACGACCAGAATATCTGAGATGAAGCATAGGTAATCTAACTTGGAGGCAGGTGCTTCATCATGGACGCTTTCCCGAAAGCCATTATCCATTCCAAATTCTGGGATCCATGGTCAATGGAAACGTCTTGTCAATAACAAAAAAACAAATTGCGCTCGGTGGGCGCACCTCGGAGATCGGGAAGTCAACTGACACGACGCGCATGCCGCCGTAGAAGGGTAACGCGATTGGGATCAGTAACGTGTTGTTCAGCTGTAAAACATTGGATATCCGTTCAGGTCGTAGCAAAGTGTAGTTTTCTAATTCATTTGTGGTTCAAACCTCAAACAAGTCTAGTCAAGCGTTTTGTCGCTGTATGTAACAGAAGCCTTCAAAGAGCGTTGTTTTTCAAAGAAACAAAAAAGCTATGAAACAGCAAGCCGACGATCCTGGAGGCTCAGTGTCGCCGACTACCAGAAAAAAACGAAAACTGTGCCGGGTCCAGAAGACAAGGAATCGAAGAAGGACCTAAAGGGAGAGGCCCTACGTCGAAGGCGGCAAGAAAGACGGCTGTACGACGAGAAGGTGGCGACAACCATTCTTCTTGGACATATCAAGGATCCGTACAGGGAAAAGTTGCGAGACGCAATCGAAAACCGTGTCGACTCGTACTCCAAGAGTCTTGTCAAGGCTTCGTCAGGACTGATGCATTTGGCGAGAGAGATGTATCGCGACGTGACGCAGATCGAAACGGTCGAGATTCCGGACGAGTCCATCGATAAGACGTTTATTCAACACCTGATGCTTCGTAAAGAGAAAGCGCGGAAGGAAAATGTGCTAGTGCATACCCTCCACGAAAAACATCCCTTTTACAGATTCAATGGTACTCGATACAAGGGTGACTCGAATATTTACGACTATGGGGCGATGAAGTAGCTCACGAACCTGAAGAACCATTTGACTATGAACCTCGAACGTTTCATGATACGCGCCGTGTTTGCACGCTACCCGGGCCTATCTCGCAATGGAATATGGGCGATTATCGATGCCATCACGAAAGATCGCTAGCATGAAGATGAGATCGAATTCGTTGACAAGAAGGCGTCAAACGAGAGCACGAATGAGGATTCTGTAATCCGTACGGCTATACAAGAGCACTGTGCAGTCTTGGGGCTGGCGAATCCAGCAGAAAAGATATCAGCGTTGGAAAAAGATAAGGAAAGATATTATCGCCTCATCCTGCGATATTTCGTGTTTCTGGACCGAGAGCTCGAACGGAAAGCGGAGATGAAGCTGAGTGAGGAAAGAAATGAAGAGCGGGAGAGACGGAAGGCGTTCCCAATGGGGAAGCGCTTCAACGTGGCTCCAATGTGCAACATAAGGTCAGATTTTGTGTCCATCCACTCCAGAATCCTTCACGGCATTATGAAGGAGATCAGTCTGGAGTTCAATGTTCGCAGGGAGGAGTTCTCCGGTGAAAACCAGGAGGCGTACCGGAAGAATATCTTCAATTTCAAACTTCTCAAAGTCAGCAAACAAAAGGTATTCACTGGGTTGATCGAAATCGATGGAGTAGCCATCTGTGTACACTATCGGCATTGAGGAAAGATCGGCCAGTTCCGCCCTCGGCTGCGCCCGTGACGAAGGATGAAGCAAAGAAGGAGGCGGGTCCTGCGACGCAGGAGGTGGAGCATAACGACCTTGTCGTTGACGCGGACCCCGGAAACACGAATATCATCACCATCGCTGCTCCCAAGCGTGCGGAAGATGGTGCTGACGGCAACTTTCGTCAGAAAGACATGTGTCTGTTGAGGTTCTCGAGAGCGAGGTACTGCCGAGAATCCGGTATAGTAAATGCGAGGAAGAAAATCGTTACATGGAATTCAGGAATGAAGGATCACCTGGAAGCTATGAGCGAGGTGACGAGCCGAGGAGCGGACCTTGATGCTTTTCGGAAATTCATGGAAGTTCGTGTTGCCCATTGGGATGCGCTGTGGGAGGAGTATACCAAGCCCCGGTGGGCTCGTTTGCGAATGAATCTCTACGGTGGGATGCAGCGTGCGTTCGCGAACTTTCTCAATCAGTTGAGTGACTTGAAGGAGGATAAAAGTCAGAGGCTCATAGTAGCGTACGGAGCAGGCCGATGGAAGACCCAAAAAGGACGACGCCAGCTCCAACGACGAGAACGTAGAGGGAGCGCGCACGGCGTTTTGAAACAATACCTGTAGATGAGTTTCGAACATCGTATACACACCATGAACTGGGGTGTACACTCCAGAGGGTGGAGATGGAAAAGTGCCAGCGGAGCCCTGAGGATACGAAAAAGTACGGAGCGCTGCCGGAAGGGCAAATGGAAAGGAGAGCGAAAGTTCGAGGATTGCTTGCATCAGTAAGTACAACCAGTGATGGCACGAAACGTATGGAGTTTGTGAACCGAGACTTTAACGCCGCCATCAATATAAGGAGATGTGCGGTGCTGGAGACGAGACCTCCAGCGTTGACAAGAGTGAACTTTGTTGGACAACCTCTCAAAGTCGAACTATATGAGAAAAAGTTGGAAGCAGTAGTTGGCGGCCGCTCCAAAAAGACGGGAAGGCGTCTACACAGCAGTTGGAGACGATTTGTCTAGGGCGCGTTCGCCGCCACCGCTGAAAACTGCGGGAAGCAACGTCTTTCTTTTGAAAGAGGTTTGTTGTTGCTGGTGGCGGTTGTGCATCTTTATATCCTGGATCGTGTCAGCGATCTCACACGGTACAAAAGTTGAAGGGGTGCAACACACGTACAGCTTCTCTGTCTGGGCACGTGCAACGCTCGAATCCTGGCGGCGCTCTCGAGACTGATAGAGAAAGCCCGCTTGTGAGGTATGCTCGGCGCTTGTTTGATTCGCGCTCTTACCCTGCGCAGGAAGCCGTGAACAAAATACTGCTGGCATGGAGGCAGAAGGGGTTGCTGTTGCGACTGCCGCAGAGCAGGCAGCACTAGTATTCTTCTGCGGTCCGCTGAACGGCAGCATCTTTGTAGCGGAGTGCGCAGAAGTAATAGATGCCGCTATCGTTGAGAGCTCCGAGGCGTGGCGCTGGACGGTGCGACCAGTGTGGCTGCGCTCTCCCACGAGCGACAACGCATTGAGCCCCGCACTGGCGAGAGCAACCACTGACGGACGCGAAAGAAAGCGACAGCGGACGAAACCTGCTGACGTATCCGCCAATGTGTCCGAACGAGAGCACCTCCGAGCAGCCAAGGTTGCCGCTGCCCGCTCTCTGCGTGGCAATGGGGTACGCTGTATCGCGGCTCAGCGCTGCGGGCGGGCGACAAGTCGGGGCGATGGCGAGACCTGCTGGATGCTTGCCGCTGCCGGAGATGATAAGATACTGCGCGTTTTTCGAGGGAAACACATACAACCCGCGCAAGCGACAGATGCAGCGATGCTCTGGGAGACTGTCGTCGAAAAGTAAGCTGGTTCGGTACGAGTACCTCGCTAGCATGCCGAGATCTAAGGATGAAGCGTATAACTGCATTGGACTAGAGTTTCTGAGTCTAATTCTGTGCTGAAAGCGTTGCTTTCCCTTGGCTGTCTGAAGCTTTCCGGAACGCTGGCCGGGTGCCTCGCACGCTTGACGATACGAGCGTCGCGGATGGAGCCTTTGCTGGACAGATAAACTAACCGCGGTAATTTTGAGCACAGAGCGAACCCGAAACGGATGACAGCTGTACAGCTGGGTTTCGACGGCCGTGTGGCGCTCACAGCCGACAAATTCGGTGACGTCTACGCGCTCCAGATCGGGGAGGAAGCGTTGCTGCCAGAGCCGGCTTGGCAGTATTTGTTGCGTCAGCCGGTATATGTTGCGGGGGACGCTTCTGTAGAGCCAGTCATGGGGCATTTGTCAATCATTACATCGTTGGCAATCGATCCTGGAGGCCGTCTCATAGCTAGTGCTGACATCGAGGGCCAAATTCGCATTTCGGCATTTCCGGAGGTGTACAGAGTAGAGCAAATCTACTCTAGTTGCGGCGGTGATCCATCATGGTGCACATCCAGCGACTTTATCACGAGACTCTCCTGGAAGCATGGTAGTCAAACGCCAACGCTCATAGGCGCTGGGACCGACGTCTGGTTCGTGGCAAAACAAGTGAAGCCGGTGCCCGCGGCACGCGACACTTGCGATGGTGAATCCTGTTGGCGTATCTGGGGTGGGCGTCTCGGCTCCTTGCGCGGAACTGGAGCGGCCTATGAGGGATCAACTTCAGACGAGAACGCATCAATGGTGGCCCGAGCGCCTTCTGAGGGTGCAGCTGGCCGCGCACTGGGTCGAGCATCGGGGCTGGAATCTTGCTCGACGCACGGTTTCACGTGGATTTGTCTGGATATCGATGCTCGCCTGACGCTAGCGCTCTGGGGCAACGCTCAGCATCAGACGTGCTTCAGTATTATTTCGTTGATGAACGCGGAATCCGAGAGCGCACTGCATCGTTTGAATGAAAGACTGGGCGATGCTCGAGCTCGCTATCGAACGCGTATACCAACCGGATGCTGCTCACTGCCGCTCAGCACGTGCTTGCCCAAGGGCCGTGAACACCAGCTCCGGTCGTTATCGACGCCCGTAGAACTGTGCTCGATGATCTTCGTTCCGACAGCGCCTGGTCCACTTGATGCCGCGGTCTGCTCGATGCATGAGACAGGCGCCCGGTGGACACCTGAGGTGACCCGAACCTCCACAGACGTCTCTGAACCCGAAGCTGTTCGTTTCTTCTTTGTTCTTCCCTTTGTGGAAAGCGATGACCCAGCAGCGGAGGATGCGCTGTTGCCTCTGGCGGCGACGATGCAGTGGACGCTCAACCAGTCCGTCGCAACTTGCATCCGAGAGTCCAGCGGGGCGTTCAGTACATCTGAGCGAGCAAACACACCTTACAATGCCTTACATCACTCGGGCTGGAGCTGGATATTCGATCAGGCATGCAACGCCGTGACCGGAGGCGACGGAAGCCCAGCGCCCGTGCCGACCCCCACTACGGAAACCTCGAGGTAGAGCAGGGACAATTGCCAAGGAAACCTCGAGGTACAGATTGTGCGTGAGAAAGCCTCACACGAGCGCTTCACGCGCGCAAACTGGTTTTTGGATGACGATTACCGCACGGAGAGTCGCGTCCGAGCCCAACGCGATGCATACATCGCGATAAAGCGCACAGACTTTCACAGCATACGTCGGATACTCGCCTATCGCAGCACAGTTCGCGTCGATGACGAGACCGTTACATGGTGCAGTTTTTAGCGTGCAAATGCTCAGGATATGATATCCCGACGACTCCAAGCTCCGCAAAGCCAATATCGACGCAAATTCTACGCTGCAGCCGGACGCTTTGGTGCTGCGGCTCTGGGTTACAGGGCTCTAGCGCCTGGTGACGGCATGCGGCTGCACCTGGAGATGTCGGTGACGCCCGGATCCACATATATCCACTATTGCCTGAACCAGTTCTCAAATCGACGGCGTATCCGCAGCGATTTCAGATATCCACGATAACGAAAACCTCGTAAACGCGCTCGGGGTCGTTGTCGGCAGCTGTCTCTGCCGGTGTTCGTTTACGAATCGTCATTGCGCTGTACGTGATCGCTTTTACCTCAGTGCCAGTGCCGTGTTTTTGTGGGTCAAAAGCCTCACCGAATGCAGTGACTTGCATCTGATAGGATTCTCGAGCTTCAGCGGTTAACTGGCCTTCCGAATCATTTAAATCGCTTTCTCGAAATAACTCTTTGTCGGAGACTGGTATTTGCCACGCCGTCACCAGCACTCGTGCAGCCACGAAGCCGTCCACGTGAAATCGATATAGACCCTCGGACAGAAAGTCGTACAGAAGACTCTTGAGATCGTGACCCCGAGCGCTCCACGTTTGCGGACTCGCATCCAAGCGCGCACGCACTTGTTCCACGTTGAGCATGACCCCGTAGAGTCCCAGCAGGCACTGGGCGAACGCCCCAGGCAATGAGCTCGACCACGCATGGATCATGACGTCGGCAGTGTGGTCAAGATACGTAAACTGGCCACGCGAGTCTAGAATGCTCGCCTCGGCGATCGCAACCGGGAACGCGTCGAGTGCCTCAGGCTGCTCCTCCGTTCGCTCCGGGACGTGGTGAGCACCAGAGTCCCGACACAAACGCTGACTTGAACCAGAGGCGTGGGCGCCTTCCTCGCCCTGCCCCATAGGATCATGCGTTTGGTCAAGTACCGCTTGCCCTGGCTGGTGCAGACTCTCCAGTGAAGAGGCAGCCGTCGTCGCTGGCTCAGACGTGCGAACCGTAGCCCGCCGCTGGCAACGGGGCCCCGCGGGACGCCTCGGAAGTGAACGGAACCCCCATTCGATCATATGCGGGTCAAGAGACATACTGTGGCACTGTTTGCTTTCAGGCAAGCGTCCAGTGCTGGCGTCGAGTCGCACGTTCAATACCCGAACTGAGTTTTGTCCACAAGCGACTTGTATCGCTGAGAAGCTATCTCCCAGCCGCGTACGGCGTTGCGCATGTGCTGGCGTCCTGCCGACGCACCGATGACTCCCAGGTCGTTGCCGCATTCACTTGTGAACTTGGGTGCCTGTGGGGCCACCTAAACAGCATAAATCCAGAAAGCATGGCGTTTGGAGTGGTTCCGCAGACACCAAGGCAACAGCCGTCTTTTTTTCGTTCGCGAACGACGTGCTGTTTCGTGCAACGAACTGCGCAGAGCTCTCCCGCAGTCCTGCGAGCGGCTAGTGCGCTCTCCTGGAACGAAGGCGGAGCCCAGAGGCCGCTTTGGTTCGTTCCCCCGGCCACAGGAGGACAATCTAAACATTGTGCGAGTGGTAGTCTGTTGATCGCTGCCTCTGACGGGAAACCGGCGCACACGAACTTGAACCGTCAACGTTCGGGGCCTGCATATCGACCGTCGCGGGACACCAGGCGCGGTGGACACCACCGTGCAGGCGGACGCCCCCAAGCAAGGCGTTCCGAACAGCAGTGTTTCGTGCTCGTCGCCAACCCGTGCAGACGACCAACGCAGCGCCCGATTATTGAAGTTCGGGCAAGCAAGGCTGTCTTTGGGAAACGAGCAACGGTGCGGACCCGAGCGCGAAGACGCCTTCGCGCTGCTGCACGGCAAGTGCTGGTGATCTGGGGACGCAGCGACTTTTCCTACGTTATTCACGGCTTACCGGAATGTCTCTTTGTGTCGTGGAAAGACCTGCTACAGGAAATGATGGAAGCTTTGCAACGGTCTGGTTGTGCGCATGAGAAAGCTCGTGCTCCGCCACGTCTACCGCAGCACCCACACGACGCCTCCTCTTCATCAAATGGGCAGGCGTCTGCCGCGGAATCCACCAAAGACGGTTCTCCAGCCGCGCAGTTGACTCAAACAGATGAAAAACCCACTACAGACGCGTTTCGACGACAGTAGCGCCAATGTCACTGCAGTGAAGCGGCGCTCGAACCATACCAGCATGACGACTCAGACAAGAGCTGGAAGTACTGTATCGCATGAGCCGATGTTGGCGACCATTCTTCCATTCCATTGAGGAGTAGAATCGATGATGCGAGGAGGTCGCCATGCGCGCTAGTGGATGATAGCGAATAGAGCGAAACGGCATTCAGTGCTGTGGCCGACGACAGTGCCCCAGATGCATGCCCCTAGCCCAATGCCCCTATTCTGATCACGATACCTGCAGCGATGCCTTGGTGTAGCGTTTTTCGGATGCAATACAGGCAGGCTGCATCGAATGGATGCGGAATATGGCGGGAAACGGGACACGTGTGCCTTGAATGAACCCCGCGATCATGAGGAACAAGCGGACTCGCCCGTGTGTGTATCAACCGCGTCTCCTTGCGGTGTTCACATTCCGCTGATAAAGCGCTTTGCTGAGTACGAGACGTTCTCGTGATGAGAGCGCAGCCCCGGTGCTTGTCTCTCGCAGTGATCACGCCCATGGCAGAGCACTGGGAACCCCCGCATTGCACTCATAAAGCGCTTTGCTGAGTACGAGACGTTCTCGTGATGAGAGCGCAGCCCCGGTGCTTGTCTCTCGCAGTGATCACGCCCATGGCAGAGCACTGGGAACCCCCGCATTGCACTCATAAAGCGCTTTGCTGAGTACGAGACGTTCTCGTGATGAGAGCGCAGCCCCGGTGCTTGTCTCTCGCAGTGATCACGCCCATGGCAGAGCACTGGGAACCCCCGCATTCCACTCATAACGCGCTTTGCTGAGTACGAGACGTTCTCGTGATGAGAGCGCAGCCCCGGTGCTTGTCTCTCGCAGTGATCACGCCCATGGCAGAGCACTAGGAACCGGAACGAGTGCGTGCACTGCGATTCAGCTTGAGAATGAGGAGATCCTCGATACCATGTGCTAAACGAATACCTGGTGGACAGCAAATATCCCGACCATATCGCCGCTCTTCGAGTTGCATACGCGCCACACTGATTGCTAAAAACGGAGGCGGTATCACGTCGCGCTCCACGAACACATCGATGGCTCGTACGATCCAGTTCACGAACCCGAGTTGAAGGTCGGTGCATTCCTCCAGATCGGTCGGACGAACTGGCAGCCGCATTCGAAAGCCACGGGGGTGCAGTACACCCGATACATCAACGGCATAAAAACCCGCATGAATAGGCAGCATGTTCACCGGATCGATTTGGAGCTGTCGTAGAACAGCCCGATAACAGTGGTCGATCGGTTGTGCTGATCCGTTTTGCACAGCGCTTAATGCCGCTTCATCAGTGTAAACAATGAGGTTATAGAGTGGTCCGCAAAACGTCAGTGAGTTACGTCGATTCCGAGCGCAGCGGTGGTAAACATGCAGGTCCGCATAGAGCGGCTCCAACGGCACACTAAGATAGATGTCAGGCTGTTGATAGCGTTGAATCACCGCAGGGATCATGGTTTTCGAGTGTCTGTTTCGGGACCTTGCCGAGCTGGCACGGTTCGGTCGCAGCATCCCCGTCAGGCTAGTGAGTGCGGGGTGTAGAGGCGCCAACCACTGAGGCCCCGGTGACTGCTCCACTGCTGCAGACGCTTTCTGCACAGTCGCTGCCTGAGCTGCCTGCCGGTGCTGTTGGTTGCGTAGGCCCCAGCGCGACTCTTGGAGTGATCTAGCAACGCGACTGGCAACCTGAGGCTGCACGCGAGCCGAGGCTAGCGCCGCTCGTTGCACAGCGATCCAGCCCTGCATGTGCCTCTCGGAACAACCGGCGTTTGTTGAGCTATACCAACAGCTGGACGTGAAACTCAAACTTCGAAACTGAAGTATAAACGCTCTGAAAGAAAACAACGCCAACGCTGCAGCGGCAGGTGCGCTGTCGTCTCTCGGAACACTGAAACCGATGATTGTATGCCGCTGAATGCCATGGTTGTGGGCAAAGCAGCGAATTCTGGAGAACCTGTACCAGAACACCCTATTTATCTTGGTTTCCCCAAAGGCATGGAACAAAGGGAAAGTATCGAGTAGAGTGGAGACAAGTCCCGCAACGTCTGTGTGCTGTGCCTGCTGGCATGACCTGTACCAGAACACGCTATTTATCTTGGTTTCCCCAAAGGCATGGAACAAAGGGAAAGTATCGAGTAGAGTGGAGACAAGTCCCGCAACGACTGTGTGCTGTGCCTGCTGGCATGAAGGAGAACGGCATGACGTGTCGGTGTCAGTCACTTTTTCGGTCAGCAGGCGGATGAACTACCCGCGCCGTTGTTCCTATGCTGATAGCCTTGCACCGAAAACAGAACTTGGGAAACTCTATTCACACCACTGTATCTAGTGGTCCTCTGGTTCCACTCCGCACGCCCAATCCGAAATACCATTGAATACGTCGTAGAATGAGAAGTTTCCATGCCTTGGATACGAATGGTGATATATGGACGCGCATCGACCGAGATAAGAAGCACTTTTTGCGATAGACCTTTCGAGCGTTGAACAACTCATAATCGATTTTTTAGTGGCATATGAACGCTGATTACCGGAGCAATCAGAGATTCGTCTCTTTCGATGAGACGTTATGAGGTAGCAATGCTAGACCTGCATATGCATCATCCTGGAGAGCGCAACCCTTTTGCTCCCAGAGATGGGCCTGAGCGGCGACTCAGTCGTACGCTCGCCCACAAATCGCTAAATGAACAGAGACCTTCAACATCTTCTCCTTCGTCGAAGCACTCTTCGTGCCTTCTCCTTCCAATATTTTTGCGTCCTGCTCTTGGACAACGTCCCTAAACATGCTTGGACAGCTGGCGAGGCGGACACGGCTGAGAATTGCTTTGAGCTGCGCTTCGTGCTTGCTGATTCTCCTTCGTTTAATGCAGTCGATGGCGTCTTCACTGTTGCCCAGTGACAGTTTTTCAGTAACGGACCAATAGGGGAATCGTTCGCGTCCAAAACATCGATGGATGCAGGGCGCTATTAGGAATCGTGTAGCTTCTGACTTGAGGCAGACTGGCCGAGATTTCCTCGTATGAAGCATCCAGTTAAGCCACTGATCGTACGAGTTCGGGACCTAGGGATGCCAATTCTCCACAATTCTCTGGTTTGCTTCCAGCAAACCTTCAATACGGCAACACAGCTAATGCTCGGGACTGAAGAGGCTGCACAGATTGTACATAGGATCCGGGATGTACACATCCGCGTCCCAGAATACCATGACACGTTGCCGCAGCACGTCGGCGATGCGAGCATCCAAAGCGCGGGTACCGAACCTTGTCTGACGAACATCGAAAAAGAACATCTCCATATGCAGATCATTGTCGTGAAGTTCATGCAGCGCAGCAGCTGAGCGTTGTGCCCACAAATTCGTGGTCCGGTAAAATGCGAAGTGATGCACATGATTCTTGGGATGTTGATAGAGGCAAGTGATCGGCTGGTGCCACAAGACATCGAGGTGATTGCGAGCTCAGACGAGATGCCGCAACGAGATCCAGAGACGCTTCAGGTCGTTCATGCTTATGATGGTGCTCTGTTTCTCGGACTGTTGGATGTCGCATGCAGATATCGTTGGAAATGTGATGTGTTCGTGCATTCCTTGCTACCTGCACTCCCGTGTTTTCCTGAAGCGAACGCTCCAGAGCAAGGAATGCTCCATGTCACTGCAACCCGGGCGCTCTCGCCTCCTCAAAGCTTGAGGACGATATGGTCCCCATGAGTCACATCTACGCCAAAGATATTACCATGGACAATTGGATAGCGTACTTTACGGCCTGTTCAGGGAGCGACGGCTTGTCTCTGGCAGCAAACGTAGAGGAGTATTCCGACAACATCGCCTGGAGCGTTGGCGGAGCCTTTGCAAGGTGTCTCGTTTACAGGGAAGAAACGGAAAGAAGCCGATCAGACAATCGAGATCAACGGAATATCCATTTGTATGCAATTCTTGGAACCTTTGCCTGAAGCGAGCGGCTACAATCGATTGCAACCTTTCGTGTAGATGAAGCTCAGGACTTTGTGGTACACGTGGATGCCGGGTCGAAAGCCGTCATCGTCATCGCCACGCGTCTCGATCAGGAGCGCGGATCCAAACGCCTGATCGGGAGCATGGACGACGCTGCAAAACTATTCGAAGGCTCTTTACGATAGCGAGAAGGCCACGCTGGAGGCCAGGATGCGTACCAGCAGGTCGAAGGACGGGATCAGGACCCGTTCGACGCGCTGAGCACCGCATCGAGCCGATGAGGATGCTATTTACGCAGTACTCAGAGCGTCCGTGAGCATCCAGATGCTTTATGAAGACGAGTTTTGACAGGCGTGTATGTCAGATCGCGCTGGAGTCGCCAATTGTTCTGATTGGATGGAGACAAGAACATGCTTTAGCCAATTGCATGAATGAGTTGGAAAAGTGACTCGCCGACAAATCGCGTCTATCACTGGTAACCTATGGTGCTAGACGTGCCGTAGCGCGCAAAGGCTGCCCGTTTCCCATGATGAACCGAGCGTACAACGAGTGCAGGTATTGATCCTGAGCGATTCCCATCGATGCGCTCGAGGCGGCATATGCGCACCACGACCATGAACGCATGTGGAATCTGGTAGAAGGAACCAGTGTGAAGCAGATTCGGATGCACTATCTGGTGTCCGGGAAGCGGACCGGACGCCAGATACCGAAGTGATCGAAGATGAGAGGCTTGCTGTGCTGCGATTCCACGAGCAACAACGCACTTTCTGAACCCAGACCTGAATGCCTCCATCACCAATACGAAACGTGTCGTGCTTGCAGGGCGTCCGCCGGCCTTGTATCGATCGATGCTTCGAGGTGATCGCTTCGTACTCAATGTTAGCGTTGTGCTAAAAAGGCTGAAGGCTTCTGATGGGTAAAAATCAATAGCCAGGAGGCCGAGCATTGGAATCTCGAAAGGAGTACGGCATTGGCAGGGCACGGTTCAGCAATTCAAAAACGCCAAAAGCGTGGTATATATGCGACAGGAACACTTTCAGCCTGGGCAATCAATGACCAATTGATGAGCTTCATGAATTGATGTTGCTGAGTACACGAAACTCGCCATCGACGAAGGTTGATGGCGTTACGTCTCGATCGCAGTGATGAAGGCGTAGCAAACAATGGGGAACAACGAGTATTCCCATGCATTTACGGGAAGTAGTCTCCGAGCACGCGGTAGCAGCTTGGGGCGGAAAGATGCCCCGCTTGGTGACCAGCCAGTCACTCGGTCTGTCAGCCAGACAGCCGGTGCCATGAGGTATCTTGCCGACAGGTGTCTAGCCCGCCATCCATGCTCGTATCCCTTTCAACTACAACGTTCTAGAATTCGCCAGTACCGTCCACGCTTTGTCACGAACGGCTGTCGCGGACGCCGCCTATGGTGTGTCCAGTTCCTGCCTAACGTTTTCGAATCAATCGGATGCTCGCTAATTTCGTGCGGCGAAAGAGTCACGCCCCTTGTCGTTGCAGCACAGGCACGCCATCCCCAGCCGCTGATGACCGAATGCAGGGTCAAACGAGCCTTCGCGTGCCTGCATACAGCGCCTGGAAGAGCGGGACGCCGGCACGCGGATGTGCTGACGCATCATCGCAACTGCGGCTGGGGAGAGTCGGTGGCATTCGATGACTCGGTGTGCGTCGATGACGGCAGACTCTGGCTGGTACGTCGCGAAACGAGCCATGCTGAACGGGGCCATGGCCAACGGCGATACGTCGTTGCACCGGTGCTTGCTTCATGAGCTTGCGTTGCTGGCGCTACCGGCGCATTCATCATGGTGCCGCTCGGCGGGAGCGCTTCACCAATACCCCGCTCGACGTCTCCAGGTTGTGCAACTGGATCCGGTAAACGAGGTTCATTTGGTAGAGCATGGTTCCGCAACAACGGCGAAAAGTCTTCGCGACATACCGGGCACGCCGGATGCTTGCGCAACCACGGGTCAATGCAGTCTGTATGAAAAAGGTGGTGGCAACCGACCCGACGCACGCGATCCCCATCTGCAAAATCCTCCAGACACACTGGACACGTGATGCTGCTGTAGGCGATCGACCTCTCTGGGTCGAACATGGCGGATTCGGGGGGTAGTCGCGGCACAGCCGCTAGATCCGTCGTTGATTTCGCCAACTCTCGCGCTTGAACAAGCAGCGACGGTGAAGTCAACGATTCCGCGGAATTCGGCATCATCATATACGGTGTCGTGTTATCATTGATCGCATCAGGGGTGCGCTCGCCCCCTAGAGGTACCCCTGGAGTTGCTGCAGCGTTTTCCCCAGCGGCAGCGTCGTCACTCGTATCCGAGCGCTTGCAGGATTGATGCTCTCCGCTGCAATACAAAGACGCTGGGAATACAGCTTCAATTTTTTCAGGTGGTATCGGAGGAAGACGGTTGCGGGCACCGCGCTGCCCTCGCAACGGCACGATTCGAATGCCGCTGTTCGCGAGCCTCTGAGCTTCGGCCTCGCTGACGTAAGGACCCATCGCATAAAGAACGCCTGGATCCGTCGGGTATTCCCGCCGCGGGAACAACCAGGCGAGAAGCAGCCCTATACCCAAGACGCCGGCGATGCCTCCGAAAAGTATCGGGAGTAGGAAAAACCAGCTGTTGTAGAAAGGCGGCCCGGTGCACGCCGGCGACGCCGGTGGACACGAACCACTGCTACCGCCACAAATTTTCACTTGCAGGGTCACGTTTGCCTTGGAGAACGGATCCATATTCGTTGGACAATACCGGTTTGCAACCGAAACCCAGTACGTGCTTGCATTTGGTGACAGCAACACGTTTTGCGTCGAATAGCCGCAGATGAAACTGTTCGTATCCGATTCGTTCGCTGGGAAGTTATCATTCGGAGAGAATGTTGCGAACACAGGCATCGACCGGTAAGATCCATTGTCCGGGGTAACCAAAAGCTCTGGGCAGCCGTTTTGCCCTTGAATCGCTAACGTAACAGCATAGTTGGTAGCTCCCGAGCTCGTATTCAATGTTTGTGCGGAGAAGCGATAATACGACAAGGTGCTGAAATTCACCAAAGTCGTCGTGGATTCTCCAACAGTAATATTGGGTGCCTCCACTGAGCAGTACGGTCCGACAAGGCTGCCGCTGCAGTCACATACCCCCCTGGTACTACAGGTCCCATTTCCCCAGCACGGACTTTCGGAGAACGGTCCTAAGGCGCAGGTTTGCTTCAGCGAGTCCGCGAAGCGCAAACGAATCGGCCCCTGTATCGTGATTGATTGCGGCTCGCTCGTTAGTACAGAAGAATAGTTCCCCTGGACTGCTACATTCAACGTCCTATTCCCAAACTGCGTCTTATTCAAGACAACATAAACGTATGGGAGTCCAGCGAGATAGCCCCAGTTGTCCGTAGCCAGCGTCAGATTTCGTGCAACATCCTGAACAGTGAGCTCGACGCGCCCAGCCAAGCGAAAAGCATCAACCGTCACGTTTTCTCGTGACATTTCAATTATAAGATACGAGCTATCCATGGAAGATGTATTGACGCGAAACGACAGCGCGGGGCTCGCTACCGGCAAACTAGCGAAACAAGCCGAGCTATCCTGTGTCAAAACGGTGTCGTTCGAGCACGTTTCATTTATCGCGCTCCATGGTACTGGAGTCGGCACAGAAGCGTTGACATGCCCAGTGAAGCGTAGCAGTAACAGGGATAAAACCCCAAGCAAGAAACCGAGCTGCGCTCGGTGCTCATGGCTCGCCATGGGCGCTGCTATCTGCCGTGGAGCGCGCGCCTCGTGCTCACGTTGGCGTTCACGTACCGCCCCAGGCGTGAAACTTGTGCCACTGGTCAAAGCTTTGAAAGTGGAAACTATCACTGCTAGGTTGTACGCACACACCGCAACTCAAGAAGCAGGTATCCGAGCGTTCGTTCAGAGTCCGGATTCCGGGTGCGGAAATCGACGTTGGCGTTGTGAACACGATCGCGCTGCATGCGGCAACGCAAAGGGCGCATCCTCACAGAGGAGCCAGAATACGCTGAAACGTGCAGTTTTTTGGCCATTCTATATGCTTTTGAGAGAGCCACAACATAGCGCACAACTCCTCGCACGCTACCCCTGTACCAGGTGAAAAGAAGGACACGAAGCTGGTTGCTCTGGTTCTTTTTATTCGATTTCTTGTACAATATTAGCTGTAAATGGACAGTCTCTACATTTGGCGTACAGCGAAAGAGCGCTTTACGTACATGGACGTGATTTAAGGACTTTCGGTCATCGTTTTGAGGTGTGTACTTGGACGCTTTGACGAAGGCATATGCTACGTAACGTTAATGAAGATGGGTCGTGACACACTCGAATGAGAGCTCGTAAAATAACCGATAGCAGTATTCCATGCGAATGCACGAGCCTCAACTCTCGTTCCTTCGCTATGCGACGCATGCTCCATATGATGCATGCGTCAGGTTTTCGATATCTCTGTTTCAAGACACATTGTGGGGGCAGCGATTCACACACTCGGATTGACGAGGATAAACAGTCGACGTCGTACTTTGACGACATCTTCACAGCAGAGGCATCCGCGAAGGGGCTGAATTCTCATCGCTTTTAGCGACGCTATGTTATCGCGTATCTGCCAGTATCCCGCCCGATTCATCCACTGTACACCTTTCAAAAAGTATTGAATCGGATGCCGGGCTTCAAGTAGGCACACCCGCCGCAGCAGAACGAAGACGCCACGACTCCTGTAGACGATACCACGGAACTCAAGGCTATTTGGGTAGCTAGATCTATGAAGTCTCTGGTGCTTCGTTGAGAGTCGGTGGAAATCTCTAAACATCCTTGGAGGAGCTGAGATCTCCTCTCTGGATACCTGTAGCGATTGTGTACGCACCGTATTTTGGTTCGATTCACGTATCTCGCAGCGTAGAAAAGTTCCGCTCCGACCGGTAAAGTCGCGTTTCCTCAGCTTCGAATGTCATGAGTCCAGCCAGCCGGTACTTGCACACATATCTACCCATACATGTCCATGCACATGTACATAGAATGCGGAGCTGTCGTCGAACGCATGGGCGAGGCACGATCCCACTTCTTAGCCGCCACGAGCCCCGTGAGAATACACCAAACGACCCATAATCATCATTTGCAACGGAAATATCCATCCGCTCCAGTTACCGTGCCCTAGCGATGAAGGATGGTACGCACCACTTGGAAGCAAGCGCAGCGAAGAGCTGAATCACTGAGCGAGACCCGCTTATGTCGCTGGGATTCCCTCGAAGCCTGTTAGGACAAAGCGCTTGGAAACCTGCCCTATTGTTTCCACATTACCCTCGAGTAAAAATCGATCTCAAATGCACTTGAATACAATACCAAAAGCGTCTAGTGACGACGCAGATCCCTCAAAGCTCTATGGTATAGAGCGCGGCTCGCTTCACCGATCATCGAGGTGGCGCTTGTTCGGAACTCGGAAGACGTCCGCACTTGAGCGGTTTGTCGACCTGCACGCTGCTCGGGACGTGAGGCATACGTTGACCTTTAAATCTTCGAATAGCCACAGTTTTCGGTCTTCTTAACTGATTCAGCATTCGATCTTGAACGCGTCTTCGACGAAGCTGGACACCGGTCTGGCCCGTGCGCCTACAGAGGCGCAGCAGCCGCCAGAGGACCCTGGCCTGACTACTGTCGTAGAAAAGTTCCGAGCGACGTTCGATGCTAACTTGGACTGGCAACCGCTGCAGTATGGCTTGGTAGATGCTGTAACGCCGGGCGCACAGCGGAAAGGTTCTGTTTCTCAGGTCCTTCGCGCAGAACGCAAAGCTCAGCGACAGAGAGCGAACAGACTCGCCTCTATCGCCGTGGACGCGGCAGCCGTCCAAGCACTCTACGAACAAGGCAGCTGGGTACTTGCGCCTGAACTCGCTGGAAACGCTGCTCTTGGGACGTCCCCAGAGCAGAACTGGCTTCGTTGCTGGCCGCTGCTGGGGAACAAACGTTGCGGACGCTGGTACGTGCCGCCGCCGAACACTTTCGCTCAGCTGGGCGAACTTTCATTCGAACCAGTGGTGCACTTCAAGTCCGTTGATGGGCATCATGGCAAACAGCGCTTTTCAATGCGGTTCATGAACTTGCCAGCCTTGTTACAATGCATTCGCTGCGGAGGCCTGGCGATTGTGGATGCGACCCGCTCCGGGAAACTCTGGCCGGATGCGTTACGCTGCACCTTGCCATTGTGGTGTGCAGTAATGAACGCTTTGTGGTGGTGGCCCGTTTTCCACAGCTCGGTCGACGATGTCCCGGATCCTGCACAGCTCTCGTGTGTTGCAGCATTCTGGCTACGCCTTTGTTGCAACTGGGGCATCGACAAGGACGAAATGACACAGTTGGGGCAAGCGGCCGCCGCTGCACTGGGCGCATTGATATCCTGCAAACCTTTTATGGACTGGTTTGAAGAAATGATCCGCCAGCGCAGTGACTGGGGTGTACTTTGGCCAATGGTCGCATTTCGAGGCGACCAAAAACTCGCTGAAAGGTTTCAGGGAACGTCCGCATGTCGCGTTTGTTCGGGACAGTCGTCGAGCGATACCGGGGACTGGCTCTCGCTCAGCTGCTCAGTACGCGAGGCCTTGGCGGTGCTGCAGCAGGTCGGAATGCGTCTGCAGTACACCGGGGGCAAGCAGTCGTCTCTGCATGTGATACCTGTGGTTGGGATTTCCGCATCTGATGCTCGCCAGGAGGGCAACCCGATCCTCAGTTGTCGTTACCGCTATGTCGCTGGTGCCGGAGACGACGAGGAGTCCTGGAGCGAGGGCCTCGAGCCGACGCTCTGGTGGCAATACCAGTCGCGTATTCGGGATGTGCTCGCACAGGGTGAAGCACTTTCGTCCGTCCTGCCTGATCAGTCGGCTGAAAACAGGCACATTTGTGGGATAGATCACGGAAGCTGCAGAGTAGAGATCCTTGCAAGCATTTGGAAGCAGGAGCGTGTACATGTTTTTCTGGGACGTTGCGCCTGTTCCAGGGCTAACCCAACATCTGGAGACCACTGTGGACTCCAGTCGGAGAATTCCTTGCACGCTCGCCGGGTTTTCTGGCTGGATGCGCTCCCTTGCAAGCGCTCTTCGCGTGCAGCAGCAATGCTAGAGTCCAGTTTACGGAGTGCAAGCGTCGCAATACAGCAGACGCGCTCAAACGAAGACCTAAGCCCGACGCGTAGCCCGTCTACGCAACCTTTGCATTGCACGCCGCACGAACTCGAGAGAGAGCAATCGACAAAAGCTTGGAAGCAGCCGGAAGCCGCGGGAGCGCGCTCCGCGCCTCGCGCCTATGCACACCATGGGGATAACTCCGCCCAACAGTGTGCTCGCTCGGCATCGTATGCTCCATGCAAACATTTGCTGAATTCAGGACAGCCTGCAGCGAGTAACGGTCAGCAGCGATGCGAGGATTGCCTAGCGGTAAGCAACGGCAAGCTGTCTCGTGCAGAGGCGAGCGCTGCCGCCCTTCTCGATACGCTGTTGCCCCAGATACGCCAGTGTATACAGGAAGAGGATCGATCGGTGGTGCTAGCCTCCACAGCGGGGGACGGCCTGGCGCTCGCAGCCGCCCTTGTCTGGCTGGCCACCAGTGGTCTGCAGCAGCCAGAGACGGGGCTGTGTCGTCTTCAAGAGACTCTCCTGCTCCTACAGTGTCGATATCCTTCAGCGGAAGTGTCTCAAGCGGTCATGAAGCTGGTTCGCGCACACCTGCGACGTTATGCGAGGTAGACATCTGGACATAATGCCAATTTCCATCGATACACTATCAAGATTAGAGAGGTCGAGGAAGTTTCGCAGGGCACCGCTGTAGATGGCGGCATGCAAACAGGCTCTCGCTTACGCCCAAGAAACCCAGATGCGTGAGCGGGTCCTCACGAACGCCCACAGAAGAGATAGCGACGCGGCTGACGTGGCAACGGTACGAGAGCGGGTGCCTGCTGGCTCACCACACGCCTGCTCCTAGTGCACCTACGAACGCACCATACCAAAGCAGCTGGCAGTGCAGCAACACAAGAACAGGTGCCTCGAGGTTTATCACACGCTTGCTCACAACTGGTCTCTGGACACGGAAGCGAACTTCATTCTTTCCAGCGCAAGAACTGGTGGCCGTTGCGAGCCCGCGGGTATCCCTTTCGCCCTAGCGGACGACGCGAAAGGGGTTCCACTGCCTCCACTCGTCAGGGTGCTGCGGCGGAGGCAACCACTCGATGTCAACGCGATCCACCCGCGCAAGCTCTGGACCACGACGACACCAAGCCAGGAGCTCCTCAACTTTTGTAGTGGTTCCAAACGCCTCGAGCTCCACGGAGCCGTCGGCACAGTTTCGCACCCAGCCAGCTACGCCGAGCTGTGTGGCTTTCTCCTGCGTGGAAGCTCGATAAAAGACGCCCTGTACAAGACCGTAAACTCGAGCTCTACAGTGACAGAGGCTTGGACTCGCTTCCATTTGACCCAGTAGGTCACGTGTCCTATGTGTTTGCTGTGAACGGGATTGCAGCACTCGCGAGCAGTTCATCGCGGTTTCCTCGTTCCGTTCGCTTCCAGGCGATACCAACACGCTGTCTGTTTCAACGACCATTTGCATGGGTTTGTGTGTTGACTACCAGCTGTTATTCGGATTCGAAGTAGCTCAGATATGCAGTGCTCTGATACATACGCTTGAGAGCACCTTAGCGCTCCTGGGGCATTCTGTGCGCTTGCAGCGATGTTCTTCTTGACCCTGGATGAGGAGCGACTTGGATTGCCTCGTAGCGTATCGTACTATTTTCGCGGTAAACGAGTCGTTTAGTTCCCGAAATCGCTTTGTAAACGCAGTGTCTCTACGCCTTGAGGCAGTGCGGAGATATCGGGCTTGTGTTGCTTTTCAAGGCGAACATGGTCAGAGCCCCGGAGTTCCGCCATGTGTGCGTCCGCCTTGAGAATGCCCGGCGATAGCTTGAGTGCATCTCTTCCGAGCACATATCAAGCAGAGTCTCAAGAATCCCCATGTTGGTATTGATTCAGTACGGAGCATCGGTGCAGCACGCCTGCGACCTCAGAACTGATGCCGGAAAACAGCGCTCCAGAAAGATCCCATCCCCGGTTTCCTGATCCAGCGTAACGCTTACCTCGACCAGCGTACCCTCATCGTCTCTAGGTGATTTCTCGGGACCTTTCGCTGCGTGGCTATCGTGGATTGGAAGCCGCCGTCTCTGTCGGGGCATCCGCAACCACCAGGCACCTGTCGTCCATGCGCATTCCAGGTCATCGCTCGCCGAGACTTTGCTCGCAACGAGTCGTTCGCTGCTTCGTTGTGAGTCATCTTCGAGGGATTTGCCTCTGGCTCTGCGTCAAGCACTTGACGCCCTCTCTGGGGCTGCCTCATCGACGACGCGATCGACGGGATGCTGGTTCCGCTCTGGCGGCATCTGCAGCGGCTGTGGGCGCACTGCTCGGTTCCCCGGTGCGCTCTGGATCCGCCTCCGGCGAATTCGTCACCATGGCTTCCTCATGCTCTGACGATTCATCAACAGAAGGCGATGCTCTCGCAAATGCCTCCTCCGCTAGAGGTTCCGATTCAATCATCCGCGTTTGCGGACTGTCGCCCAAGTTACCAGCGGTATCGCTGTGCGCATGCGTCACGATGGCGACTCGCTGGTTGACTGCGTCGGACACTGCGAGCACGGTTGAGTAGCCGCCTCCGTCTGTGGCTACTGGCAATGCTCGTTTATTGAGTTCCCGTTTCCTCTTCTGAGCCGTCACCCGGAAAACCGGAGCGGTGAGTTGGAGTTCCTCGGGCGGGAGCTCCACTGTATCGCGATCGCCTCTGAATACAGGCAGGGGAACCGCATTCAGTTCACGAGCGTGAAGCATCTGCACTTCTCGCGGTGGAGGCTGCACGAACTCTCGTTGTAGCTTGAGTTCAATAGCTAGCTTCACGTCGTTCACGTCGATCTCAGCCATGTCACCAGCTGCAGCAGCTGCGCTAACTCCAGAACCAGTGCGACTAACTTTGCCCTGGCCACGATGAGCGTGTTCTGACAAGTCCCGCGCGTCTGTCAAGACCTCTGCAACATAGCGATAGAGAAGCTCCAGTAGTTGGTGGATGACGCGATCATCATACTCTTCGATGCCCATCGATGACAGGATGCTCGCGAGTATGCGCGCGTCCAGCGGCGCTCCAGCGACCTCCACTTTACTCATGTTGCTGCGTGTGCAAAAACTATTTCCTTAAGTGAGGTCCAAAGCGACACAAGAGTCCAGCTGAAAGTTCGAATCGGTCAGCCTCGGTGCACCGACGCCTCAGCGAAGCGAGCGTTGGTTGTGGGCAGCGGCCACGTCCGAGCGAAACCACAAGTTTGTGTTCGTTCGGGAGCTACTAGTCACCTTCGAGGCAAGCCAACCTGCCCACGGAATGAATCGACTCCTGAACCCGTACACGCTCTGAATAAACGTCACTGGTGACCGATGCGAGTGTCTCAGCGCAGCACGCGAACAGGTATAGAAATGCGAGGATGTGTGCTGGGCGTGTTGGTGCGTGCGCCAGACGCTGCGTCGGCATGAGCACGTTCCAAAGCGAGTTGTCTGCATGGACTCAGCCTTGCGCGCTTTGGAAGGTTCCTGTATGGGAACAAGGGTACTATGTGGTGTCGGTCACTGTAGGAACTGAGTAGAACAGGTTCGGTTTGGGAACTGCTTGGGTTTTCGAGCAGTCGAAGACGACTGAGCTAGCTCTCGTGGGTTGTTTGAACAAACGCTGCGTTCTTGGATAATAGTGCAGTACGTTGCTTTGGATTGACTGATAAATTTTCATCGCACTGGGTCACCGACAGAGTTACGTGCTACAAAACTGCAGGCAAAGCGCTGTGTCCGTGCACGACAGAGCACTCGGTTGCTGCGGAGACAGCATCCGGCAGCGTGGTGCCTCCACAGCGAGCCGGATCGTTTCTTTCTCGTGCGTATTTCCCGAGGACATAGAGGATGAGCGCCATTGCTGGGCACTAGATTATAAGGTATCGAGGCATTTTGAGCCAGACGAGGCTTAGGGCGCACGACTAGACTCAGCCTTTATCTCGTTAGTTACCAGTACGCGTTTGGGCGCATCCACGGGTTCCGTCCGAGTCATTGGACCGCTCGAGATATGGTATGCGGTATCTGGCCTGTTCGCTATGTCGACGCGGAGCCATGTGCCGCTAGACCTGATGCCAAACCAGTGTTTGTTTCGTTTGTTGAAAATGCAAGGAGCGAAGCCTGGTCAGGTTCGGTAAGCCGGCGGTGTCTCTGCTGGAGCCCATTTGAAACCTCGCTCAGTGATGCAATGATCGTATTGAGGGTCATATCTAGTTTTACATGGATATGGGGGAAACAACATGGGGTCATGCATCCGCCCGAACAGGCGGTATGAAAATGATAAGCAGGAGCGCAGACCAAGAGCCGCGTACAACTTGGTAAGCGGTAGTATGTACATTAGACGGCAGCCCCGGGGCAGCCAATGTGGTGATTGCTGCTGGCCCGAAATCGCGCTTGCCGAGTTGTCAGTTTAATCTGTGAATCAGCATCGCGCGGTACTCATCGTATCGCAGTTCCGCCTTGGTGCTTCGGTATGTGGTCAGGAAGACGCATTCCGACCACCAGGAGTCGGTTTCCGTCGCCGGAACGTCACCTAAGTAACCAGATTTTCTGATAAGAGAACAAATGGTCTCGTATTTGCTCCATTTCAGTTCTAGCGGAACCTCGGGTAGATACGTTGCGCTGTACCGCGAGGTCCGTGGCCTTGTGAACCTTCTCCACGCAAATCGCCGCTGCTGAGACTGCGGTTCCACTTCAACAATCAATCCATGGACGCCAGGTTCCCAGTCCCAAACCGAGTCGCGCTCCGTAAAGTCGCTCAGAAGACTAACAACGCATAGCAGCCGGGGAAGTTCCTCGATACGGATCGGGGCGAAGCGACGATCATGCAAGGCCGCGGTGACTGCGTATGAACGCAATGCATCGTGGAGGCCGGTCGGTGTCAGTGTACCGATGCAACCGCGAAGTTGCCACACCGAGTCGGTGGTCGTCCGCAGATGCCCTCTGTCCGCGAGTATCTTCCATGTGATGAAGAGTCCGTAAGCGTCGCTGTCTGGTGGCAGCGCTTCACGGAACGGGTCGTCATCGGTTGATAGACGACCTCGAGCGCGCAGTTCCCGTTCTAGCACCGAGAACGCGTATGCACACATGACAGACGTCGCGACCACACCAGTAACCCCACCGGGGTGCTGCGCAGCCCCGCCGGCACCGCTGACCGTTGCGTTCGAAGCGTCCACCTGGGCGGTTACCGAATTGTTGAGCGGCAATCCCGGTGATTCTCTGGCTTTCGTTGCATCACTCAAGTTCCGTGCCGTTGGTTCGGTGGTAACGCTGCTCTCGTCCGACGTTGCCGCTGGGCTCCGTGTCAAGCGCTCGCCTGCACTTGCGGCCGGCTCAGTTGCTGCTGAGGAAGCTTTGTCACCAAAGTCAGTGTCTGAACGCTCTGACTGAACAGCGTCTCTTCGAATTAACTTATTCCACATAGGCAAGCAAACGTTTTCAGGTGAACGTGCGTGCGCACGTCCATGGACGCACGCATCCGCTTCCTAGACACGCACGCGTGCACGCACGCATGTCAAGTCTTTCAACTCAATTCTGTTTCACCCCTGCTGCAGCGTATAGCAGGTGATCGATATTACGATGCAAAGTACCGTTTGAATCGTTGGCGAATTGAATGTAGGATACATATTCTTTACTGAACATTGGGAAGAGCACTGCACTCCTCTTTCGGGTCAGTAGGACCATAGGAGAGGTACGGTTGGGGAACACTGACAGGAACCCATGTATGCTGCCTTTACCAAGACCCGATATTCTAAAAGTCTGCTTATGGTCAATGGTAGAAAAGGACCCGTTGATCACTTTAGGAGAAGCAAAAGCGACGACAATGGTCGCCACGAGCGTCTCTGTTTCTCAATACGTTGTCTGTTTGGCCCTGAAACCCTGAGCGTTCCGTCACCAAAAAGTCCGATTTCGATCACGGACATCGCGCACCGAAATCGCAATGGCGGCGTTCCTGGAACGTCACAATCGGTACGAAGCACATGGACGTAGGTTTGTTTCTTAAGTCGATAAGACTCGCTTCGGAAAAACGGTCGGTGCTCATATGGGTATTCGCCGAGCAGGGCGCCCGTTTTATGAACGATCGAACTCGAAGAGAACGACGACATCGGCGTATGTTCTAGCTGAAGTGGGTTTATTCGGCAGCCTCAGTTCCGCTCGTAGAGAAGGCTCATGTAACAGCACCACCGACTTTGCCGAATCATTGAAATCTTTTCCCTGATTTCTGGTGACGTCCTTCTAGTAGATAACGTGGCATTTACCTGTTCCCGTTGCGTTCGAGCTTTTGCCGATTCTGCCGAGGCGTAGAGCTGCTTCTCATTCCTTCGTATGCTCTGTGGTTGAATCTCATGGATGGAATGTTTTCCGTCGTGAAACGGAATGATCGATCGATCGTTCGAATTGATGAAGCCTTCAGCACAGTGACACACCGGGGCACATTTCGTATGCCTTCGGGAAACCGTTTTCCTTCAGGCAAGGTCCTCTCCCGATGGCATAAAGGAGGGGATTCAGTTTCAGAAATAAAAAACCCCAAAGAAAAGTTATGCACATCGAATTCGAGTACTCTGGAGGGTCGTCACCCCCGGGTCCGACAAAACCAGAGCGAAAAGTTCTCTTCTAGCCTACCATCGAGCGAAGAAGAACAAATGACGAAGGAGACGAGGGAGAGTGGGACCTTGGCCAGAAAAAATGTGTATCTGACAGGACGGTGACGAGACGTAGTGTCACAGAGGGCACGAGTTCGAGGACTACTTGCATTCGTGAGTTCAACCAGAGGACACGAACGCAGGGACTCTGTGAACCAAGACTTGAACGCCGCCATGAATATCCGGAGACCTGCGGCGCTGAAGACAAGACCCGAAGCGCTGATGCCATTCAACTCTGTGGGGCACCCTCTCACACTCGAATATTGCACGGAGATGCTGAAGCCGATGGCGGGCGGCCGGTCGGAAACGGCTTGGAGGCGTCTGTCTGGAGGTATATACGGATAACCTCGATGGTTATAGAGCTGCTCAGTTTCACTGATAGGTACGTTGACACGCACACCTCTGAACACGCCGCGGTTGCCCAGCGCCCCGTTGTATGCGAAGCACAGCATTCTGAGTTATCGGACCCAGCACGTCCTTTTCTGTTTCTGTCTATTTTTTCCTTGCAGCTATTCAACGAACACAATGTATTTAATGAATGGGAGGAACGTCACGAAAAGACTTGACACGCTCACCGCTAGCGAGCGAGGAATGGTTATATGTGTTCAAGCCAATCACTGCACCGTCCTGAGGTTGACGAACGGACCCTCTCATGGCTCGTATCCTGAACGCTGTCGTCCCAAAATCCAAGTTTCCAGACTCTTTCTACAAGAATGTCTCCTGGTCACTCAATTCTCGTCACATATAGTCTATTAGGAAAACGATTAAAGAAGGCACCAGACGAGCAGTTTCCATTCCGTGCATACGAACGGTGATGATGGGAAACGGATGCGAGGGAGAAGCGCGCCTCTATACAAGACGGTCGCGCGTCCAGCTCCACACAATCGATTTCGTACTGACACGCGAATCCTCATTCCAGGACAGAAAGGTATTCGTCTCACTCGATAGGATTCCGTTCGCGAACAACGGCGGACCTGTGTACGGGTACTCAAACCGGGGCCGAACCGCTGTTTACAATGAAGAAACTAAAACGAGCATGACGACGGCATCAGTCCTAGTGGAGGAGCTGTCGTGTGGTCTCGTATTTATCGCAGATGGCTCGGGATCGTTCTCCACCTTATACTTCGTCGAAGCAGTCTTCGCGGATCCTCCTTCCCATATTCTTGCGTCGTGCTCTCAGACAAGGGCGCTTTCTATCACATATCTGGGTCAAGGGCATCGGCGGAATGTGTGGTGCTTCAAGCTTTATTCTGAAGAGCAGCTGCGCTGTAAATGCAGAACGCTTCGGTACTTGGGCAACGCAAAACTGGGCCTGTCGAGAACGGGTGCAGCATGTTCCCGCTGCAAACTCGACTCGTCGATGTTGTTATTGTGGGTTCTGCCCTGCACCCGAAACTCACGAGCGGCGTCGCAGCTAGGCCCTCATCTCTGGACCCATGCATCGTTGCTCTTGACACGTGCGGGAAACCTTGCAGATGCTGAGCATTTTGGGCTCGATCTCCAGAATGAGCTGAGAAAGCAGTCGGCGCTCAAATCCAATCTGTTCCGTTGCCGTATCGCCAGTCGCACGGCTCCCGGGACGCAACCCGTCTCTGCATCGCTTCCAGGCTCGCTTGACGCACTCTGGGCCAGCTACTGGGCTAATGCTCCAAACACCCGGTGCATGACCCGCAGACAAGATATTGCACAGCGAGCGTGGACGCGTCATTCTGGCGGCCCGCAGGTGACCTTGGATCTGGAAGCGCCTTTCTCCATCTCACGATGGATCATGCCTGATGTAAATGAGAACATTTACGATGTTGGCGCCTGGGTTCACCATCGAAATCACAATCTCTAGGAATTCTCTGACGACATGCGCGCAGAGGTGTCCGCAAAACGGAAACAGCTGTTGGAATGGATCTGAGCGTGATCTCATCCGTGCCCGCACAAGGAGATGCGATCCGCTTCTACCAAATCAAGGTTTGATACATGGCGGACAAGTGCCTTACTGATCTCAGCCCGAAAGACCGTTCCGAACGCGGTTTCCGTTCCTTGGTTCATGCGGCAAGCAAGGGTTCGACGTCGTATCGGTTAAGTCCGACGATGACGTTTGGACACTGGAACTTCGTCCTCGTCTTCGTCCTCGTCAACGGCATCCTCGTCGTCGTCGTCGTCGTCGGCTTCCTCTTCCTCTTCGTCTTCATCAAAGTCTCCGCCCCCGTCCTCATCGTCATCGAACTCATTATCCTCATCATCCTCTTCTTCACTAAACTCATCGTCCTCGTCTTCTTCGTCGTAGACATAGTCGCCCCCGTCATCATCTTCATCGTCCTCGTCATCAACGTCGCCGGCGAGGTAGTGCCCGCCCGAAGGGCCTGACGCCTCATCTTCCGAATCCGCCCCATTATTGTCATCTTCCTCCTCTTCGTCCTCGTCATAGTCACCCTCTTCGTCCTCTTCTCCATCCTCCGCGTCACCACGGTCGTCTTCCTCGTCTTCCTCGTCCAGATCCGCCGGCCTTGTTTTACCATACGCCTGTCGAAGCACTGCGTCCTCCTGTTGAATCTCTTCCTCGTCCTCTTCGTATTCCTCATCGTTCTCGTCTTCCTCTGCCCCCTCACCTTCAGCCTCTTCGTCGTCCTCAACGTCCTCGCCATTTTCATCCTTACCATCTAGCACCATAAGTCCGCGAATCTCGCGGAACATAAACGCGCGATAGTCTTTCAGGTTGCTCACCGGGCATCCGTAGCAGTCGACGACCCTAAGGTGCAAACAACCGCGCAACGGCTTCAGCGAATCGAGCGTGCGAATAGCGTTTCCAGAAAGATTCAATACCTCCAAGCGAGGAGCGTGTGTAGGCAAAAGCTCCAGCCCGGCACCAGTTAGGCGGTTGTCGCTGAGCTCCAGCCTCCGCAGCGCCGGAAGCATCGGAAACCCCGGGGTCAACGAAGTCAATCCGCATCCGTTCATGGACAGAACCTCCAGCGAATCGAAGTTCTCGAGCCCACTTGGATGCGATTGTTTGCAACGGTTGTCCAGCACTAACTCCTTGACCTGTCGAGGGAGTTGCTCCCCGATGGCCTTCTTGATTGCCGCCTCCATCTCCAAAAGGTGGCGTCTTTCGACGATCTAGCTTCTTCCTGTCTCCGAAAATGATTCAAATCGATGATCCTCTGTGTAGCGTAACGCGGTCAGACTGCTATCCCGTTCCTTACGACGGCCAGCAGAGACTAGTCGGAGACTCTGCTGCTCGCCTCAGCTCGCTACAGATGAAGAGCGTCCTCTGCAGGCTGAATGCGCGTGTGCGCGGGCAGCGCACGCACCCGCGTCCACGTCGCCGAGCGATTCGCCACGGCACGCCGCCCAGCGCAGGCGACGCAGTCCAGCGGCGCGACGGAGGTTCGCGCGCGTGTGCGCTGCCCACATGCGCATCCACGTGACTGTCCCCGCCGCCGCTGCTGTTGTGCCGCGCGGAGATTCCACAGACAGCGATCGCCTTCGGGCGCGCATGCGCTTCAGGTGGCCGATCGCGTGACACCGAGGTGTCCGCTATGGTGTTTCACTTCAATTGTGTTCCAATCGCCGCTGCGTGCTATGGAATGCTTTTTCGTGGTTTATGGCGGATGCGTTCAAAGTGAGTTTCTTTGAAGAAATGAAAAATTCACGGGGAAGTGCGTGGACATGGAAATCGGGGGTTCTGGCGGGCCGTCATCACTGAGTTCTACGAAAACGATAAGAATCCTCTTCTCGCCGACCATCGAACGAAGAAGCGCAAGTGACGACGAAGAAGAGGCGAGGTAGGCAAGAAAAGGTGTTTGCCCGACGGGACGATGACGAGTGTGTCGTGGTACGGGGCCACGAGTTCGATGAATCCTTACATTGGAGTGTGTGTGTGTGTGTGCAGTCAACGGCAATGCACGAAAGGAGTTCGTGAACCGAGCCCTCAATATCATGCGCTGCGCTGTCAAGACTCCGCACTTTTTTATATCGTCAGGACTGATCTGGCACTTTTCCATCTCGAGCGTCTGAAGTGTACACCCCAGCTCGTGGTCTATGCAGGACGTCCGGAACTCGTCTATCGGGAATGTGACAAAACGCCTTGCGCACTCCTTGTAAGCGCGTGTCGGTGAGGCTGGAGTGCACCCTGTTTTCGACGCCCAGCGCCCTGCTCCCTATGCTGCTACGAGGCTTTGACGCTTGTCCTCCTTGAGGGTGCTCAGCGCATGAAAAAAGTTCCCAAATGCACGCCATTCCGCACAGTACAAGTTCATATGCGGACGATGGCATGGACATTGGCTTTTGAACGCTCTCTCCGCCGCTGCTTCCATTGCCGCTCTCTTAGCCCCGAGTGAACATGTGCCGGTCTCTCTTGTCCTTGCAGTTCCCGAGTCAGCAGTCGAGGGATGTCGGTGGCAGCGTTCAAGTTCCGATTTCGCCACTTCCCGCCCGTGGTAACGCGTCCCGCGCGTAGGGCCAAGTTGCGGTCCGCACGTCGTTCCCCACGTTCATCTTCTGTGCACATACAGCTTCGGTGTGTCTTTCGCTGCGCTGACACCGGACTGTGATCAGACGTTCGCATATTCGTCTGCCGCATCTCTCACGCGACCGAGCGCCGCCCTGTGGCATGCGAAGGCTTGCTTCAGCGCTCGATGCATGTCCGGGACTGGCGTAGAAGGCGCTCGTCGAATCCATTCTTTGTCTGCATACCCGATGCCGTGACGAACGATGACGGGCTGGTTCCGGGCGATTCCCTTTGCGAGTGCGCTGTATGGTGCAAAAGCAAGCATACGCAGTCCCGTTTGAGAAGGGATTCGTGGAATGCGATATTGGCCTTGGTGAGGCAGGCACCGGAATGATAACACTCATAGGAGAACCAGTCGAGTGATTTCGATCCGTCCACGCTGTTCTACAGCGAAGCGGCGATCCAGTCTGCACCAGAGGCGATCGCTGCGACGACTATAGTCAAGGACTTCATTCCATGCAACCAGAAGAGGCGAGTGCATCTGGGCGCGAATCCCCGTGTAACGTACGATGCAGCTGTCGAATTCCCTGTCTCGCGGATGACCACAGGGACACAAGGATTTGTCTTTCGAAAGGATTCGATCATTTGATACGAGAAGCACGATGAGGCTTGGGCGTGAGCGTGTGAACACGTCGTCAAGGAGCGACGTCGGGCTCCGTGCCGCGCCAGTCCAGTGGCGAGCATTGCTGTGCCCACGGGTTGCCTTGAAACAGAAAGATCGAAAACATGAAGCATGCATGATTTGCGCATGCTATACACAAGGAACGCGATAGCGGTAGAGGCTTGTGCCTACAAATTGGTTCATAAAATCGGCTATTTTACAAACCTTTGTTTGGCGGCGTCGAGAAGCATCTCGATCCCGGTGACGTATCGAGTTACAGGGGCAACGCGTCGAAAGTGGCACGCAGTAACGCCGACCGGGAATCCGGAAACTGCGCATGAATTTCCAAGCCCTGATTGTTGCACTTTGAGTGTCTAGACCATATATCTAGGACAATGCCGGGAAAAAAAATCGAAAGGCAGGGCCAGCGCGTGCAGTGCAGTATCCCGTATTCATCCAACGGTGGCACAGCGCTGCGGGAATCGGGCACCATTGAGGCGGGGCGTGTGTTGCGATGAATTCTATAATCAAAAGAACGTTCTGTTCTGAGCACGGGACCGAACGCTCGATGGATATCATCACCCTGGAAAGCGTCCATTATGCCTCGCCTTACGTTCAGGTACCAGCCGCCACTAGGCATACTTTTCCTCAGAGATACTAGTCGTCATATGTGTTCAACACTGTTCCGAATCTTCCGAAAATGCCGGGCAAATTGCGCTGGCTGTGGAGCGCGCTTCGAATGTAGTGCACCAGTGCCGAGAGCGCTTCGACGGCTCGTGCCATCGCGTCTCTGGTACGCCAGGCGAAGACGAGCCAACGTTGTTGCTGGTGTAAAACTTCTGAAAGGTGCCATGGATTTGGCATTCGCAGGCAGGAGTTGCACAGGCGACACCGACAGCGTACTATCAAAAAAATAGGCGCATGGCATGTCGTAGCATAGGGAGCCTTCGTCTCATGAGTGTGTACTGGAAACACGAGTGGCTGCCGCACAGAAGCTGCGGATCGCGCCGAGAAGCAGCTGGGCATGCGCACAACCCGAGTAATGGGGCACACGCGAGCGTCTCGACGCGACTCCAGTGCTCCAGAATGCCTGGAAGCGTGTGCCGCGGCCTAGGCTGCCAGGCAAGCCTCGTTCGAGCGGCACCGTCCGGCGCGAGTCGAGTGCGACCTCCCCTCCCACGAGTCAGGCATCCGGGTGCCGGACGCAAATGATCCTCAGTCGGTATAGCGCGTGCGCATATTGTAGCGACGTGCTCCGATATGGCCGCAACACGTAGGCCACTGGCGCAACTTTTTCGCAGCCCGACATACTCTAAACTGCCCAGAGGCTTCTCACTGCGCTTCATGCCGCAAAGCGTTTCCAGTCAGTACTTAGGGCGGTGTCGAGCGCCCTGCTCGACGCAGCGTTCTCGCGCGCCGCATCAAGTCGTTCTGCAATTCATCATCATTGTTCCGCCTCCGTGACTCGATTCAGTCGCATGCCCTCTAGACTTGCCATCCCGAGTCGCTGCCCGCGCATTGCGTCCACGAAAGCTCGTCTGTGTAGACAACAAGCGAATCGTTCCAGTCACAACGCTCGTCCCCGTGGACGCGATACAGGATACCCGCGTCGCCACACGCAGCGGTTACTCGAAGCGTCCCGCTCCTGCCGCTGATACGAGTGCTGCGGCCTCAGCGTCGATATGCCTGCGCAGCGCATGTTTCCGGCCTGCTTTTTTTTCATTGACAAAACGTTTACTTAGGCCAGCGTTCTCCGATTACGCGCATTTTTCTTTTCTTACTTTTTTCTGTGAGTGTTTTTTTCCCCGCCCTGCTGCGGAGGCGCGGCGCCCGCGCGATCGATGAACGCATCCCCGCGGATCGTTGCAAAAGCGCGACACGTCACAGCGCCGCATGCGTGCGTGCGTGCCGGCGGCGGCGGCGGCGGGAACAGCACTGTGGCATGCGTGCGTGCCGCGAACGCTCATTCAACAGTAGGCTCTCAGCGCAGCGTTCTGTTTTTGGGCGAATACAGGGAGCACCGGCAGTGTTCATCGAGAAGGAGTGTACTACGCGCCTGTGCGAGCGGTGACCGGGCGAAGGACCATTCGGTAGGTATCACTTGGTACTCGTTCGAGAACGCCAGAGTTTTCTGCAGAAGCTTTTCGGATTTCGGTAAGAGGAGCCAGCGCGCCGAGGAATGCTTGGTGATAGCACACGTCCCGTGTTCCTCTCGCCGGGCTTTTGGTGGATAGCCACAGCGCTCCTTTCAACGTATGCCGTTGTCGACGCGCACCTTGGTCACCTCACCAGTGTTTTCGAACGCGTTGCCGTGGCAGTGCCTTTGGGCTGGGCGGTGTCCTCGTGGCTCGCGTATTTGTTTGCGTCGCTGCGCTACCAAACGCTTGATGTACGATCCGTTCGAGCTGCTTGGCTAGTGCAAGCTGCAATCGGCTTGTTTCATGTGTGGCTGGTTCAGCGACGGAGAAAGGCGGGTCATGAACCAGCTGGCACCGTGAGGGACTCGCCGGCCCGCAGTGCGAAGGTAGCACCGCACAGGCCTGGGATGGGCGTCACAGCATTGACGGCTTTGATTGTCTGGCCCATGGTCTCGAGTCGTTTCCTGCGGAACGAACCAGATGGTAGCGTGAGCTCAGGTGGCGCAACCTGGGCCGATTTGCCGTTCCACATGAATATAGCGGCATCGTTCCTCTATGGAACGAACCGGGAATTCGACTATCGTCGCACAGAGGCAGCATTTTATGCAGGTTCGCGCCTTGTTTATCCGCTACTTCCAGACTTTCATGCAGCGTGTCTGCGGGTATCGGGCATGAGCTGGCGCATGAGTTTTCTGCTACCGGCACTGTTTCTGGCTGTATCAGCATCGGCGCTGCTGTATGCGGTGAACTGGCGTTTAACCGGCAGTCGCGCCGCTGCCGTGCTCTCCGTTCTCCTCGTCATGTGTGCAGGTGGTACCGGGTCCTTTGAGCACTGGATCGAGCGAGGCTGGAGTCACGCGACGCGCGTAGCCTGGGATGTGGATCCGGTCCAAGCTGACCGTGAGGGCGGCAGACAAGAGATCCTGTGGTTTGCCTACTTTGGGCATGTGTTCTTGCCACAGCGACCGGCCACGTATGCAATTCCCCTGATCCTCATTGTTATCCTGCTGCTTGTTCTTGCCATGACCGAAGGTGTTCCGCTTCAACAGAGCGCTATTGTGTTGAGGCTGGCGGCCTTTGTCGCCGGTATCTTGCCCTTATTCCAGGCGCACGCATTTGTTGGTGCAGTGATTCTCTGCTCTGTGCTCTTCATTATGGATTTCGACCGATGGTACACACATATGGATCTTCTCTGGCGAGGGTGGCTCACAGCCGCTTTCATCGGTTTGGCGTTGTCGGCGCCCCAGCTTCCGGTATACATCGGGAGGGTGGCATCGTCGAGGGAGCAAAGAGGCTTTCTTCGCTTCTCTTGGACGGCAATGTCATCCTTCAACAGAGGGTTTTGGAGAACCTGGTTCCGCGCCCTGACTCTACACGTTCCAGTCTATACACTTGTGTTTGGCATTGTGTCCGTGGTGCTGTTGGCACAGGCGCTTGCAGATCTGGAGAGACTTTTCGGAGTACGCGGATACTTTCCGATCGTGGAACGCATCCAAAACCGCGTTGTGCACTTGCTGCGGGGCCTTGCTCCGGCTTTTAGCGGGCCTTCACATTACTGGCGTTTGAAGTTCTTCCCCGCATTCGCTGCAGTTTTCGTTTTCTGTAATCTTTTCCTCATTCAGCCATGGGTCAAGGATAACGTCAAGCTCGTGTATATTTGGCTCTTTCAGGCTGCAGGTGTCGTTGGGTATCTGCTGGTGCGTTTATGGCGGCGCGGTGGGCCTCTGGGCAAGCTCCTGACCCCGCTGATCCTGTTTTTCATGCTCTTTAGCGGCTTTCTGGGGATGCGCCGAGAATGGGGTGGCGTTACGGCTGAGCTCTTCACACCCGCCGATCAAGAGCTAGGTGAATGGATCAAAATGAACACGCATTGGCGATCGGTGTTTCTGACTGGCGAAGAGCACGTCAATCCCGCTTGTGCCCTCGGCGGAAGATCGCTGTATCTTGGCTACCTGGGCTGGGTGTGGTCCCATGGTCTGCCGAATATTCACGAGCGAGTGCAGCTTCGGGACAAAGTGCTTCGAGGTGATGATCGGAATGGGACAGAGCTCTTGAATCTGCTCCGATTCCGGCGAGTGAGTCATATTTTGCTGGAGCCAAGAATACCGGATCCAGGCTTTGAGAGCATTTTTAACCCGTCCGACGTATGGCTCGGGTACGAGAACCAAGGATGGCGTCTGTACTTCATCAAGGATGTCGTTCTCGGTGATCGGCCCATCGAGTCTATCTCGAGAGAGCAGCTCTTCTTCTCGACTGGAGTCTCGCTCGTTGCACTCTGGATGGCCGCTATCTGCTTGTGGTATTTGCCGTGCGTGTTTACGCGGCAGAAGACCGAAGAAGACGGGAACTACGTGCTGCCGCATGGCACGATCGGCGGTCGACGCATGAAAGCGCTGTAGCCAATGGCTTCATGAAGAGGGGTTAACGCTCGAGGCTCGACGATATCTTGCTTCTGTCCGCTACATTGCGAAGCGATTCTTTGGCCGACGCGAGTTGTGCGTACGTATCCGGAATTCGGTGTTGCAGCATCTCAGCGGAGAGGCCATGAATGCTGCACTCGTCAGGCTTGCTCTCTGACTATCGCCAACGACGTGTCTCTTCATATCTAGTGGGGTCTAGTGACCATTTCGTGCCTGCTACAGCGATGCCAAACGACAAGCATGCAGGTAGGCAGCCATGTATACCCATACACATACGCAGGCGCTGTTCGTGTTGGAGAAGGCACGGCGCCCTGGTCGCATGCTCGTTCAGGGCACAGGCCAACGCGGTGACAACGAGCAGCATCCCCGTCCTCGCGGATCGCAAACCGGAGAGCGTCGATTCACTACCAGGACTGCGTGCTCGGGTTGTGTTGTGGCGACGCATAGCGTCGGGGCACTCATCTTGATGACTAAGCGGGTGCAGCTTTTGAACCGACCGGCTTGAGCCGGAGATCAGCCGCCTGAGCAGCCACGGGAACGATGACGAAGCGTGCTGGGGTGCGCAAATGCCGCGCACTATTCTAAACGAGACATCAGCGATTCTCTCGTAGTCCCTGGGTACGAGTATTCCCGCATTGCGACGACATGGCGGGCCATTGATCCATGCGCCTGGTTCACGTTCAGCACAAACCCTGTGGTGTTTTGCAAGTTGTCCCAGTAGTGTCGCCTTTTTGAACGCGAGCAAGCCTGAGGCTTCGATATCAACCGACTGCGGGCAGGAATTTACGGTGCCAGCGTTGCCGGATGCCTCTGCATGATATGGCAACCTAGACACCGTCGTCGCCAGAGGCGGGTATGTTGAATCAGCGTATGTGACAGGTCATCGATACATGGGATGTATTGGGTACTCCATGAGCGAGTGCAGCCTATCAGCACATCACATTTGCCCGCCACTCTCGGAATAACAACCAAACACCTCCAGTCCTCTGGGCGTCGTTTCGTCCTAGAGTGCCACTCCATAATCAGCTAGAACGGGAGAATCAGCAAATTCGAGCGCTGAAATCTCCGCTTGTCGGTAAAGGCGTCAACGCAGGGGTGATCTGAGCCAAAGCGACACGTTTCCGTGCGCTGCATATACCCGGGTCCATGCCATCGAAGCATTTGTGCAGCGCGGTTTCTCAGTTGCGCGTTGACGTCCGTGTTGCGCAGTAGCACCCCGTGGGGTATTTCAACGCGACCCGTTTGGATGCGTCATAAGCGCACACGATTCATGGAGCGGGCACGGCGGACTCGGGACACGCTCAGATGCGTGCCTGAGCGCTCCTTCGATATGCAGCACCATCGAAAGAGACCAACATGAGGAACGAGCTGTACCTCTGTTGAATGGATACAGATGAACGTATATGCTGCGTTGAGGATGCGGGCACGCGGGGATGACGCCCGAAACAATCGCATCGCCTCCAAGCGCTGCAAGGAGAGATGAAATTTTTGTTCGTCAACGGCACCTTTACACACACACACACACAGAGCGATACTTCGGGAATCTGCTATGTCACGACTGGTATCGGCTTTCGGGAAAGCATCCATCGTTTCGCGTCCTTGTCCCGGGGATTCCACCTCCCCCCAGACTTTCACTCTGGGACACGCGTTCTGTCTCACGCTCTAACGTGCGTCCAGAGTGCCACCTAGAGCGCCGGTGCGGTCGCAGTACGCAGTCAGAACGGCTTTGCGATACCCCAGCGGGCACCGGCTCGTCATGGAACAGACGAATGGACGTGCGATGCCCGCTTGCCTGTCGCCAGGTCCGCTGGTGGTCGTGCAGGCGCTGGGGATGCCATCAAGCCAGCGCCTCTGGCCAATCGATACGCAGCAGCGAAGGGACGCGGAAAATACGCTCACTGCAGCGGGTACGAACTGGCTCTGCACTCCTGGACTGGGTCTACGTTGCTATGAACCTTGTTCGGAGCCAGCTTGCCTTACAGCGACTACAAGACGGAATTGAGTCCGTTCGATGGAGATATACTGTATTGGATGCGTTGCGAGTAGAGCCGCGGTTCGTTTCTGCGCTCGTGGCTCGTGAACGGAGCTCCGGAGAGCGTCCTGCGACAACGTCCAGCTCGCGTGACTGCCTCGTGGCGGAGCGTCTTGACGGTATCGACGTCGGTGCGGCGGTGACCGAGGCAGAGCTGTGGACTCGGGCGGCAGAACGGGCACCAAAACTTGTTGTACGCCTTGTGGAGTTTATCAAGGTGGGTGCACGGAGCTGCGTGTTTGTGTACGAAACCTACACGCCAGTCGACCGCGACGCCACGCCGACAGACGCTCAGGTAGTTCGGGTTGCTGCCCAGGCTTTTTGCCTAGTACGCCTGTGCGAAACGCTGGGCACAAGTGTCAACGGTAGACTGGACAGGTCCGAACTTAGCTTTCAAGGCAAAGCGCGTGGTTTCGGACCTGGAGTTCTTCTCAGGAGGGAGGCACCGGCAGGCGTCCTCGAAAGCGAATCGGCTGCATCCGAAAGCATAGCCCAGCAGGATGAAAAACAAGTCGTCTTTCAGCTGGGATGCCTTATGGGCGATCTTTTAGCCGAGGACACGCAGTACTATTCTCGGCGGTTACTACGCCTGCAAGCTAGTTGTGTTCGAGAAGCACCTGAAGCGCGTCCAACGCTGAATATCGTGGAGCGGAAGCTTCGACGTCAGATTCAGCGCCTGGTGCGAGCACGCTCCGACAGCGGCTCCACCGAGGCACGCGATGAACCACCGTCTACCCCGGAAATCAGCGATGTGACTGCACCGGTGCCGAGCCACGAAGACCTAGAAGAAATGTTGCACCAATGGGAGAGCGGCATGTCTGGTAGCCAGACACCGGGACGGGCGTCGAAGAGCTCGCGGGACTCGGAGTCGACGGTGCCAGCCTCTTGTGCCGCTTACCCCGCTGGACCCAGCGTCGACTCAAATCCCCTTGGCGGTCATGTCGAGGCACCCTGGGCCATGGAGTCGTGCAGTGACCCGACACCGAACGCTGATCGAGTCGAGCAGCTCATTCAGCTGGCTTTGGGACGTTCCGAGCAAAGCTTCGGGTTTCCGCACTGCATTCGAGCGTTGCTGCTCGAGGCGTTCGCTCGACCCGATCGAGCCGTCATCGACACCGTGCTCAAAGCGCTTCGTCGGCGAGTCTTGCAGGACGCTCTGAGCGTATTTTCTCGTTTGCAAGCGCTGTATATTATTCACTTTCTGTTGCTCCGCGGGCCGCGGAGCGTTTACGATAGCGCCATAACTTACACGGATTTTATTTCTCTTCTTAGGTCCGCTGGTCAGCGTTCCACAAAGACTGCCTTGAAGCAGGTGTCTCCCAGACCAAAAGGGGCAGGCTTTTGGGTCCAGGGTTGCACTGGCGGCTCCCGGGATGCAACAGGGATCGTGCACCGATACCGTGAAAGAGACCCTTATGGCTGGGTGGTCGGCAGCGCGGTGCACGCAAAAGGCGACCAGCAGGCCGAGCGCTCGGCGAACCGCCGACAGGAGATGCTTCTCGAGCAAGCCAATGAGCTATCGAGGCACTACGGTGCACTTATCCTGAGCAAACTCGACGCGGTGCGGACCTGGCGAGACCAACGGGGCGCAAACAACGACGATGCGCGCCACCAGTCGAGACGTTTGGGGATGGCGTCCTCGTTGTTGCAAATTTCGAAATCCGCAGGCAAATTGGCTGAAGAGCTCCTTACAAACCCCGCTCCATTACCATTTCGAGAGCCAGTGATTGATGAGCTACTCTTGGATGTGTTGTGCGGCTTTGCTACCGTGACCTCTATTTTGGCGCCCCGTTTGAGTGGCGTCGAGCGCGTTCGACTGGATCACGAGTTCGTCGTGATTTTTCGAGGACTTGCGCGCCTTTTTGGGCTCGCAATTCCCTATTACATCGAACGGAGCCACGAGGCCTTCCTGCGGATCGGTCGGAGTCTGTGGGGCCTCTCGCAGAATTGCTCCCTCGACGAACGAACGATTTTCATACAGGCTGCGCGGCGACTTCCGGCGGAGCTGGCTATCGGCTGTGGCCTTCGCGCTCCAGACACTTATTCGGCGCTACCAGCGTTGGCGCTGTACGCGTTCCGCGCATGCTCATCGTCGAAGTCGGGTAACGTTCGGTCGATGCAAGTGGATGCAACGCTGGCTTCCGCCGTGGCAACGACTGCAGATATAACAGCCGATGATTACCGTGCCGCACATTGCCGGGCGCGGAGTAAGAGCATCTGCACTGTGCCAAGTTTCGAGACCAGGCTCGGGAATCTGCCCCTGAACCCTGAAGCAACACCTGCGAGACTTGGGCGAAATCTGGATATCGACTGGTTGAATATCGAGCTCATTGAGGAACTCGGCCGCGGCAGTTTTGGTACCGTCCATAAGGCAAGATACCTGAATCGCTTGGTGGCAGTGAAAATCTTCGAAATGGGGCGCAAGTATGCACAAGGCGATCAATATCGTAATTTCTATGCTGAAGTGCGCACGTTGTGTAGTCTCGATCACGAGAACATCCTTCCGTTTATTGGAGCGGGTAGAGCGCCCGATCCACCGCGTCTTTTCATCGTGACGGAGTTCATGCCCCGCGGAACGCTCTTCGATCTTTTGCATCGTCGACGGGAGGCGCTATCGCCGCTGCGGAAAAAGTGCATCGCGCTGGACATTTGCCGGGGGATGGCGTACCTGCATGAGCATGGTCTTTTGCATCGCGATCTCAAGTCTTCGAATTTACTAATCGATGGTTCTTATCGGGTGAAAATTGGGGATTTTGGCCTGTCCAAGTCCATTCGTTATCTGGCGCTGGACCAGCCAATGACGGGGAACTGCGGCACTCCCCAGTACATGGCACCGGAGGTGCTGGCGTCTGCACCCTACGGCACTGCTGCAGACGTGTTCTCATTCGGAATTCTGCTCTGGGAGCTACTAGCGGAACAATTACCGTACCAGGGCTTGGAGCCGATGCAGGTCATCACCGCTGTGCTGCAACGCGATGAACGACCGCCGTTAAATCCGCGATGGGATGTCGAGCTCGTGCGATTGCTCTGCGAGTGCTGGGATCGGGATCCAGCGAAGCGGCCACCATTTCGAGCATTGGTTGCGCGACTGCCGCCAGTTCCATTCCCGGTACCTGCGCTTGCCGACTAGAATAGAGGCGTGCGGCTGTCTGGGGCGCTTCTTCGAGTCTGGGCGGCGTCGGATGCGCACCACTGGGGTGCGCGTCTACTCCTGCTCATACGCGAATGTATCGCACAATCGGTATCGTTTTCCGGTTCCGTTTGGCGATCTCGCGACAGTTACGATGGTATGATAAAGTCGGGGAAATAGATGGCCCCGTTTTGCAACGCGTGAAACTGCATCGGTGGCAGGAACATACCCGCGTAAACATCATCGTGCAGAGCGAATGTTGCTTCCGATCCACCAGGACAAGCATGCGCCTCGGAAGAAATTACGGGATACCGCTTCATGGACACGCTGTCGTTGTCGCAGACAAAACACAGCTTCCGTCATCGGCATGCCAACAAACGATGCCTCGATCATGGCCAGGTCAGGGGTCCGGGGGTGCAGCGCCGCGCTCCAGGTGTGCACACCGAACACTCCCGAGGCGTGTGCGATGCGCGAACGCCGATGCGCGCACGGGCACATTCACGCACACGTATGCGATGCGGGAACGGAATGCGTGCGAAGCGACACGTGGCACCACCAAAATGCGCCGCGGAGATTGTCGCGCGATTACGCACGAGCTGCCCAGGTGGGCACGGATGCGGTTTCCGCACGTCAAGTCACTTCATTTTACATTGGTGTTGATCATTAAGGTTGTACGTTGCGTCAACAGCCGACAGAGTTTTTCTAGGTACTTCGTAAACGAGTTCTATGGCGCCGCAAGGAGACAAAGGTAAGGGAAAGGAGGCAGAGCAGTCCAAACCGATGGGTGGTCCAGCGATGGCCAAGCCTGCTGCGGATAAGCCTGGGGATAAGCCCGGACAAGGCAGGGCAGGTGGAAAGCCCAAGGGCAAGTGAGCACGTCCTCTGAAGGTTGTGGGTGTTCTACCGGAATCGTATGGTTGGTTAGTTGGTTGGTTAATTGGTTAGTTGGTTGGTTGGTTGGCTATCGTATTGACAAGTGGGTGCTAACTTTAGCCGCCGGCGTGACACACGTTGTTTGGTAAGGTGTCGCAGTTCGCGAGCGAGGTCGCAGCGTCTGGACCGTCGACACGGCTGAGGGCGCGTCCTTGTCAGGTAATCGTCCGCACTGGCGTGGTTGTCAGAGCACGGGTGCGCTGGAACGGATGCTCGTGGTCGTCGTCGATGCTCAGTAGAACAGCGGCGGCGCCGACTGCATTCCGATGAATGGCAGGGTTTTCCGGCGAGGTCTTGGGGCATCATGAGCATTGCCACCATCGTCGTCGTCATGTTGGTGCCGATGTCGTCATGGATTCCATGGTGGCCACGGGTGTGGAGCGATGACATTCAGTGTAAACGTTTTTTCTTGGAGAAAATTAAAGACTTCCATCGGTGTACCAGGCGCACAACACGCGCTGTCCATACGCCCGTGGCGCCGAAAAGACTCAGTGGTAACAAAATCGTGGATGCCGCTGACCTCCTCGACAGCGGGTGTATTTGACGCAACACGGTACGGGCGCGGCGGCATGGATCGAACGGAGTATGCGGTCTCTGCTTCCTTGTATTTCGTATCAGGGCGCGTGTGCCGCAGCCGTGAAACGGAGCGCGCGCGCGAACCCCAACACACCCATGGACAGCGGTGATATCGCCGCAGCGATTGCATCGCTGGTATCGCTCCTCCGGAATGACCTATTCCGTGCAGCACGAACTGCCTCGACAACGGCTCGATGACGCCCCGCATCATTCAGAGCCGGGAGCATGCTCCATAGAGACCAGACGGGCGTCGACTCGAGCGTCGCCTCCGGTTCGAACTGTTGCCGCTGTCCCAGACGCTTGCACTCGATTCCAGCGTCACCACGATGTTGCTGTGGACTCGGCATTGCACCGAGTCTCGATATCGCTGGTGTCAGTGTCCTGTGCATCATCATCGGTATCGATCCAGGGAAAGCGCAAAAGCGCGGCAATGCCGCCGATATCCGCCAACTGCTGGCCAGTCGCGTGTGCGCTACTGAAGAGATGCACCTGGCCTCGGGCCGACTCCACCTGATCGACCAGGGCAACGAAGCGCTTCCTTTCTGACACCTCTCGATGGCGGAACAAGGCGTCCGTGATTAGGAGGTGCTCGACTGCACCCATTTGTGCGGCTCTCTCTACCTGGTCCGGGCCATAAAGCGCACGATCTGAATCCTGATGTATCTGCTCGTAAAAGGTCTGTAGCAAACGCTGGTTCACAGCAGCCTTGGTGTCATTGATCAGGGTCATGGTCTCGGGCGAGGCGAGCACTTCATGAACGGCCTGCATGCGACCACTGCCTGCCGCCACAGCGATGAACTGTCGCTTGTGTTCCAGAATAGACCGCAGGTCCCGTCGAGCGGCCTCGGCAAACAGGTACTGCAGGAACTGCTCCCGCACGTAACCCGGTGAAGCGATGACGACGCAACGCACTTGTTCTAAGTTTACCTGCTGGAGCAGTGCTCGCATTACTGCCTCGAAAAAGCGTTCCAGCGCTTTATCTCGCACGCCGAAAGCGGTTGCGGCGCGCTGCAACTTGCTGGGAACGTGCTGCTGGATCCGCGCTCGAAGCAGCGTTGCAGTGCCGCTTACGAGACAGAGGTGCGCGAGTCCTTCCTCCATGACGCAGATCGCGATGTCCGCGGACTTGCTGGGATCACAGGCGGTTTCCAAGGTTCGTAGGTGGACGCGGTCGAACTGCGACTTGATGAGATCGAACCGAAGCCCGGTCGTTATCTCGAGCGTGTGGTGCTGCTCTCGCTTCACATACTCGTTTTCGGACACGTTCTTGCCCTGGATCCGGAGGGAAGGTGCCTCCGTGTCATAGTCAATTCGTTGTACCCGGATCGTCAGCACGAGTCGTACGCGTTCCGTGTGCCGAGCACTGGCGCGTTGCTCAGTCGCCCCCGCGAGAGCGACTTTTCGCCAGGTGGTTGTTCGCACCAAGTCGCCTTTGTCGATGAGGTTATAGGCGTGCCAGAGGTCCTCGCTGTTTTCTGGTAAGAGCGCAACTTCAAAGCGCTGATCTTTCAGGCTCACACTGCGTCGGAGGAGCTTCATACGACGCTGCAACGGGTGTCAACAACGCCAGCGTCAACCGCTTGATGGATACCTCGGGCTGTGCTTAAGTTCGCTGTAAACGCGGAACGAGAATGCTTCGTCAAGCGGAAATATCTGCAGGACGTTCGAACCCGATTCTATAGATCGGGTGGGTGACGCTCTTGATAAAGAGACACCAAGAGCCGGCTTCGTATGTGTAGGTAGACTGGTTACCTGGTTGCATGGAAGCACGGATTTGGTAAACACGCTTACTCGTAGCAGCGATGGCTCGGTTTTGTGTGGTATGTTCAGCTGCGCGCCTCATATGGAACACTTGTGAACAACAACTGGGGCAATAGAAACGCTGCGGAGACGCAAACCTTAGAGCGGACACGGTTGGTGGACTTCCCGCACAGCTGCACGCACGACTTGACGTTTGTGTCGAGCTTGCTATCCGCGAACGAGCTTGTTTACACGGTCAAAGGACTCATCGGGGTCGACAAACGTCCGACTACCCGGTTACTCTATCGAGTTTGCGAATATGCGTTCCAGAGCGCTACGTTATGCTGCGAAAAGCCGCGTGTCACAGCACGAAGCGCTGCTCAGGGCACAGGTAGCTCGCTGCCGCGAGCGTATCGGTTCACGACTCGCTGGAAATCCCGTTCTAATGCAAGTGGTTAGCTTCTTGGCGAGTCGCGGAGCTGCAGCGGTAACGCTGTTTGCTCCGTACGCAGACTCCGTGGCGTCCGCGCAGGCTCTCCGACCCGAACGCTGAAACCAGTACCCGTCAGGAAGCCTGCTGCATAGATGGATATGAATCGGCATGGTTACCTCGAGGGCAAGGCTACATGCTGATTGATACAATACGTTTGCTCGACGGACTCGAGCTTGCCATTGAATTCGTTATGACACTAGGCTCGTAACAGCTGCAACGAAATCACGAGTTTGCCCCAAGGTGCAGCAGCAGCAGCAGCGCTCACCCGGGTGCAGACGCGGGCTTGTTTCCGCGCGGCACCCGCGGTACGCTCGACGTCCATATGTTCCCTGAATCGATCAAGCCTAGCTTTCAGAGGACAAGGAATGGACAGGAGCAGGTAGACCGTGAAAGCATCCACAGAAGAATCGAAATCGCTTCGCTGGAAATCGGTTCTATTTGCATGCATGCGAGTGTTTGTTTCGATGATTCATCGAGCGTAGATTGTAAGAAACAGCGAGCGAGTCGCATTTCGCGCGAGCAACTGTCCTGAGCTGGCGATACGCACGATCCTTGCCTTCATCAGTCAACATGGAAGCGGACTTTTAGGATGATCGCACAAGCACGGTATCGGTGGCGAGCGAATGATCGTGATGCCTCACGAATCGCATAATCCGCACGCTTCAAGGAACTGTTCAGGGTGCTCCAGAAACGGTACATGGCCACATGCCGGAATCACCCGGAAACTGACCTGATGCTCCCGAGGCGCTGCCTTGTCCATCACTTGATATGCTCGCTCAAGTTCATGCACGCTGATCAGCGAGTCCGTGGCTCCAGCAACGATGCGGATTCGGCCATTCACACAACATGGGAGTTGCTCGAGAATAGACCCGCCAGTAGTCTCACCATCTGAGGCCAGCGGGTGCACGCAACGCGCTGTGCGTTTCTTATGCGATACGGTTACGAGCGCTGCGAACGCCAGATCAGCACTTTGTCCGCCACGACGTGTTGCCAAAGCGTACGTGTAGCGGCGGAGGTACCGCGAGCGAAATCCCAAATCGCGTCCGGGCCATCGCAGCCGGAATGCTAGATAGCCAAGCACTCCGGCGTTTCGCATGATCATTTGCGGCGTGAGCTGGAAGTACACCGCTCGTTTGTAGCTTTGCTTGGACCAGATGCCTGCGGGCGTCACGAGCACGAGGTTCTGGACCAGCCCATTCGATGCTTCGACGGTGTAGCGGCTGGCAACGTAGGCGCCGAGCGAATGGGCAACAATGTCGATACGTTTCCCGTTTTTGCGACACCAGCTTTCGATGCCGGAACTGTACAGAAATTCAGAGATGCCACGAATCATAAAATGGACAGCTACTTGGGCCCTCGCTGCGGTGTCCCTCGGGGCACGTCCTGTCGTGTATGGCGGTCGAGACGAGCGCCCCCATCCGAGCATATCGATGGCGTAAACGACATAGCGCCCGGTAGCGGCGAAATCCGCGAGAACGTGTCGGAAGTAAGCAGAAGACATGGAGTGTCCATGAATGAGCAGCAGAGGCCTCAATTGAGGATTTGTCCCCGAAAACATGTCCTGCTCGTTGCCGGCCACCAGCACGTGCACAAAGGGCAAGGCCGCAGCTGGCGACCGGTTACCGCTTTCGGGGACTTGGGAGGATGTGTCGCTTGAAACGCTCGACATGGGTGTCCGCTCGAATGACTCACTATCGGCTACATCCGTTAAAGGAGACAAGTAATCATCTACGCTGAGTGGCGCCTTCAGTCTCGAAACGCTCATCTCAGAAGACCATTCAGGGAGCGCTTCAGAGCTGACAGAGCTCAGCGAAGGACAACGCCGAAGTATGGGATCTATCGCTTGAAGTGCTCCACTTTCCGCCTGTTCGACGGGAATATCATCGAAATTGAGTTTTCGCTCGAGCCGTTCCGTACTGGTGCTCGCAACAGCTGCGCACCGGGTCGCTGCCGTCGGGCCGGACTGCTCCCAGCGCGCGAGCGTGACGCGCCGTGCAGTGACCACCTCGGTATTGGCCTGTTGGGGGCTCGTTCCTCGTCGCCATGAATTTCGGAGGGAGCGAATGCGCTCGTATGACAGCTCATCGCTCCCAGCAGGCGGTGCATGGGAGCTTGAGCACGCGCCCTGGTATTCACGACGCAAGCAGAGCCCCACTTCTGCGAGCACTTTTTCCTCCAGAGCGTCAAGATCCCGCTCAACCACCGGTGGTCGCGTACCCAGTAGGCGAGATAAACACTTTTGCGCCTCCAGGCTTATGAAAAAAAAGGTTATAACTCGTAACATGGCAGTGCACGTGGAAGCAGCACCAACTCGCGCACTGCACATGCATGGAGCCGCAGCTGCCGCCATGTCGCTACCCGCCCGGATCCGGTACCGATGCGGTGCGATGCGTTGCCGCGCGCGCGCGGGCGCTGCGGCGCGCCATCCGTTTGCGCTTACGATTATAGAGTTTCACCTGAACTGTGTTCCACGTTCAGATCCGTGTCAACGAATGCCTGTTCGCGGTTTATTGCAGGTGCTTTCTACGTGCGTTGATTTTCAAAAATGCAATATTCAAAGGAAAAGTATGGACATGCAAGTCGGGATCATGGAGGTGAGATGTTGCCTGATTCGACAAAAAGAAACACGATAAGATTCCTCTTATTGCCGAGTATCGGACGAAGAAACGCGAGTGACGAAGGCGAAGTGGAAGAAGCGTGTTGATAGGCGAGGAGAGCTGTTTGCCCGACGAGGCTGTGACGTGACCTTGGTGGCACAGAGGGCACGAGTCCTTATGCACCCTTGCGTTGATGACTTGTACCAGAGACAATACACGCTGGGAGTTCATGAATCGAGACTTCAACGCTGCGCCATTAAAAACAGACGATGTGCGGTGCTGAAGAGGCGACCCGCGTACCCGACGCGAGCCAACTTTGTGGGCCAGCCTCTCACACTCGATGTGTGCAACGATAAACTGAACTCACTAGTCCTGAAGCTTTACGTATATCGGCGTTATACAGCAGTTCGCTACATGTCGGAAGCGTCGGATGCCACGTGGTTCCTAAATTCGCATGAAAGTTCACTACAGCAACGCCGTACCACACACCATGAGTGATGCTCGTCGTCTTTGCAAAGACGCTTCCGTGCATTGTCGCTGGTATAGGGGCAGTCAGCTTGTCAAATAGCGTCGTGCGGGTACCCTGAATCAACTGGAAACCAAGCATCCAATCGATTCAAGGTGTTTCTCAGTCACAGTTGGGCGTCAAGTTGTCCTGATCATGCAGCGACAGAGGCGGCAGCCGCTCAGCACCCCCTGAGTCGGAGTTCCACGTCTGCAATCCGCCATTGTGCTCGGCTGAAGAAGCGTATCGACAAACGTGCAACAGGCATGAGCCACAGATCGGCCGCTGAGCTACATGTATCCGGACGCTCGTTTCCGCCTGCAGAGCCATCACGTATGCGCATGAGAAAGTTCGCACCCGATGCATACATCTCGAAGCAAACCGCATGCTGCCGGCTGTGGATAAAGTGCTCTATTCAACGGACAAGTCGAACGCGAACGCCCTCCAAGTGGCGGCACCACTGAATCGGACAATGTTTACAACCTGCCATGCCTTGCGGTATGCTGCTAACGCTCATTCCAGGCGCTCGAGGTCTAGTTCAAGGGTTTCGTCGCAAGCCACACCCGATGCCGCGGCGTATTGTTTTCGGTCTGCACGTCAGTGAATCCACTGATTGTCAGTAAACTGACCATATCGACGCGTTCATACTCAGAAAAATACGGTTCAGTGCTGCGGAATATGGCTGCTCCGACCGGGGGTATCGAACGGAACGCTTCGCTGTGCGGATCAGAATCCATCATCGCCAACATGCCTCCGGGGCGAAGCACTCGATACGCCTCTACCACGAGACGCTCGGTCGCTGCCATGGGCAGCTCATGTGTCACCAGGGAACATAACACGAGGTCCACCGAATCCGCTTTCTGAGGGAGGTTCTCGACCGCGGCGTGCTTAAAACGCACCTGAATCGATGACGGGTAGCTGCGCTCCTCTGCACGTAACTCGGCAACCGCAAGCATGAACGTCGATAAATCGATTCCTGTTATGTCGAGCGGGCGTTCCGGATACCGTGCTAGCCATGCATCGATGAAGCGCATCGTGCTGAGTCCAGTCGACGCACCCAGGTCGAGTGCTACCAGTGGACGTCCCATGGGCACGAGCAGCTGTTCCAGACGAGGCCAGACTCGGTCCAGGAAGGTGTCGCGTAGCAGGCGGTCACCTTGCGTGGGCGGTGCTTCCGGGAAAAGGCGTGCATGGACCGCCAGAGCCGACGACTCGACTTCCATGGCAGGAATCCAGCCAAGGTTCCCTTCCGGATACGTATGGAACGGTGCACGTACGTAGTAGTCTGGATATACGAGGTCGCGTTCGACAAGTCGCGCTCGTTTCTGTTCGAGGGTGTCCCACTTGAGCCGCAGCTCACGAACGTTCTCTCGCCAGGGCACGCCGATCTCCTCCGCTCTCTTGACGACACCTGCACGGCCAATTCGCTTCAGTAACCAAGCAGTGGGCGGGAAAGCTAAAATCCCTTGTACTATCAGAGCCGGCAGTTTGCCCTCGGGGTTTCGCGTCACTGGAGTCGTCGCCGAAGCGTGAATCCATCGACAAGCTCGGTATCGAGTGCACTTCTGAGACGGCAGTCTCACGCATGGAACAAAGTTTAACTGCGTCATGAGGCTCGCTATCAAACGCCGTTCTAAAGTCGAACGACGTCGGACGTGTATCGTAGTGGCGGTGAACGTGCCTTCGACCAGAGGTCTTCGACTGTCGTGCAGACGCCTTCCGGTCTTTTCGGACCGGCCACCTACTCCTGATTCCAACTTTTTCTCATATAATTCCACTTTGAGCGATTGTCCAACAAAGTTCTCTCTTGTCCACTCTGGAGGTCTTTTCTCCAGCACCGCACATCTCCTGACATTGACAGCAGCGTTGAAGTCTCGGTTGACGAATTCCATACGTTTCTTGCCGCCGTTGGTTGTGCTCACCAGCGCATGTAGTGCTCGAACTTTCGTCCTGCTTCCCATTTGCTCTTCTGTCAAGACTCCGCACTTTTTTATATCGTCAGGACTGATCTGGCAATTTTCCATCTCGAGCGTCTGAAGTGTACACCCCAGCTCGTGGTCTATGCAGGACGTCCGGAACTCGTCTATCGGGAATGTGACAAAACGCCTTGCGCACTCCTTGTACGCGCGTGTCGGTGAGGCTGGAGTGCACCCTGTTTTCGACGCCCAGCGCCCTGCTCCGTATGCTGGTACGAGCCTTTGACGCTTGTCCTCCTTGAGGGTGCTCAGCGCATGAAAAAAGTTCCCAAATGCACGCCATTCCGCACAGTACAAGTTCATACGCGGACGATGGCATGGACCTTGGCTTTTGCACGCTCTCTCCGCCACTGCTTCCATTGCCGCTCTCTTAGCCCCGAGTGAACATGTGCCGGTCTCTCTTGTCCTTGCAGTTCCCGAGTCAGCAGTCGAGGGATGTCGATGGCAGCGTTCAAGTTCCGATTTCGCCACTTCCCGCCCTTGGTAACGCGTCCCGCGCGTAGGGCCAAGTTGCGGTCCGCACGTCGTTCCCCACGTTCATCTTCTGTGCACATACAGCTTCGGTGTGTCTTTCGCTGCGCTGACACCGGACTATGATCAGACGTTCGCATATTCGTCTGCCGCATCTCTCACGCGACCGAGCGCCGCCCTGTGGCATGCGAAGGCTTGCTTCAGCGCTCGATGCATGTCCGGGACTGGCGTAGAAGGCGCTCGTCGAATCCATTCTTTGTCTGCATACCGGATGCCGTGACGAACGATGACGGGCTGCTTCCGGGCGATTCCCTTTGCGAGTGCGCTGTATGGTGCAAAAGCAAGCATACGCTGTCCCGTTTGAGAAGGGATTCGTGGAATGCGATATTGGCCGTGGTGAAGCAGGCACCGGAACGATAACACTCATAGGAGAACCAGTCAAGTGATTTCGATCCGTCCACGCTGTTCTACAGCGAAGCGGCGATCCAGTCTGCACCAGAGGCGATCGCTGCGACGACTATAGTCAGGGACTTCATTCCATGCAACCAGAAGAGGCGAGTGCATCTGGGCGCGAATCCCCGTGTAACGTACGATGCAGCTGTCGAATTCCCTGTCTCGCGGATGACCACAGGGACACAAGGATTTGTCTTTCGAAAGGATTCGATCATTTGATACGAGAAGCACGATGAGGCTTGGGCGTGAGCGTGTGAACACGTCGTCAAGGAGCGACGTCGGGCTCCGTGCCGCGCCAGTCCAGTGGCGAGCATTGCTGTGCCCACGGGTTGCCTTGAAACAGAAAGATCGAAAACATGAAGCATGCATGATTTGCGCATGCTGTACACAAGGAATGCGATAGCGGTAGAGGCTTGTGCCTACAAATTGGTTCATAAAATCGGCTATTTTACAAACCTTTGTTTGGCGGCGTCGAGAAGCATCTCGATCCCGGCGACGTATCGAGTTACAGGGGCAACGCGTCGAAAGTGGCACGCAGTAACGCCGACCGGGAATCCGGAAACCGCGCATGAATTCCCAAGCCCTGATTGTTGCACTTTGAGTGTCTAGACCATATATCTAGGAAAATGCCGGGGAATAAAATCGAAAGGCAGGGCCAGCGTGTGCAGTGCAGTATCCCATTCCAATCTAACGCTCGGCTAGCATAAACCGCTGTTCACGAAACGGCATCCATGCAATAAGAGGAGTCAGCGTACGCTCCGCAAGTCGAAATTGGACTGGGTATTCGGCAGCCTCGCAGGCGCGTTCATCGCTCTGGGCGACGAGTTCCAGAACTGGAGAAGTCTCTCTGCTCCTTCGGTGCCTCCGCGTGCAACCGAGACTTGGCCAAACAAGTGACAGGTAGCAGGCGCCCGTCACGCAATCCCCAGCATCTTCGACCGTATCATCCGTACCGGGAATTCGGATGCTCAACACGGCCAGGCGACGATGCGCGTCCGTTTCGGAGCAGGCGAAGCGGTGCGCTCCAACGCCGGCACCCGTGGCGCCTCGCATCTCTTCGGCGAAGCGACTCGAACGCGTCAACCCCAAGATATTTCTCTAAGACTTGGCAAAGCTATTGAATTGCCGTGACGCACACAACGAAGCGCTACCCCGATTGCACCCTGCTTTTATGGTACACGGTCGATGCACCGAGCCAGATTGCCATCGGTAACCGGAAATGAAATCGATGCGCTCATCCAGACGTTTTTGCGTATCTGAACCCTGGACCCGTATTCCCCGTAACACTGCACGCTTGATCGATCCCGCAACGCTCAGAGTGCAACGCCCATGGTACACGTCAAGCAGAGACAACACGATTTTCATCGATCCTTGGAGGCATTCGTTCAAGGCAGTTGCGTCATTTTGCATGCCGAGCGCTCGCTTGGCCGAGATCCGCGCACCTCTGTGCGCGGCGTCCATGCGCCGGTACCCGTGTCCGTGCGCGGCTGAATGGCGCAGCGATCGCCGTCGCGCCGCCGCCACGCATCGCTGTCCGGTGTCGCATCCGTGATCGCGGCATCGCATCGGATGCGTGCAGCGCATGCACCCCGCGCGCCCAGCACGGATCGCGCAACCAAAGCATCGACGTCACGCGCCCTGAGCGCAGCGCCCGCGGACGCTTGAGGGCGTCGCGTGCATTCACGACGCTCGCGGGATCGGAATCTACTTCCGTGCATTTCGCAGCTTTGAGTAAACTTCAAGACACAGAAGCGCAGCTTATTTCGATCTCAAGTTTCATCTAGCGTTCGCTTACGTGTCGCAAAAGTGGAGAAAGCAATATGCTGGTTCTGCCTGCGCTCTGCAGCGTACCAGGCACCGCGTCACTCTGATCCGCAGTTGTTGACCTGCGCGCCCTCATCGACACACAGACGTGGTATCCAGGACGAAGCGCGTCCGCTGGTCTCGTTGTGATCCGGCAAATGCGCCCACGCCCGTGGCGCAAACACTACATGGAACTTTTCTCTGGGTTGCTGCTGGCGTTCGTCTCGATTTTCTGAACGCGATCGCGGGCGTATTCGAGCATTCTGCGAGTGTACCTGGAAGCAAACACCTCAAAGTAATAGTTACTTCCGTTCCACACGACGATGAGACCGACAAATGCCAACACGATTTCGTGCATCCATTTGTAACGCCAGAACAGCGCCGTAGGCAAACAAGTCACCCCAGTGAAAATCAGCTGCCAAAAAGCGAGTGCCAAATTCTGGTATCGCTCGCCGAAGATATTCAGCATCCGGGAGACTGCCGAGCCCGAGTGACGTGTGAGCCATCGCAGGCTTGTGATCAATTCAGGGTTTCGATCGAGCTTTCGACGAGAGATAACCAGAATCTTTGCAAGATACAAGGTTTGCCAGATTAGAAAGATCACCAGCGGCACTGCCACCGTAAACGCGCGACGTCCTAACGCGATACAGTCTGCTTCGTGGCTGCAGATACCGATCCGTCGCGAGATGATCAAGTCTGAATGCCAACGAGCATTGTACGTCACTAGTGGGGGAAATATATGGATAAATACGGACGTCATCTTATCGAGCGAATGAAAAACCAGCGCATTGCGCCACGCCACCATCGCCCAGAGCACCGGTCCGTTCGCCGAGGCAAACAGGGCCACGAACATGACCTGTCGCCAGGCTTGCGTCCGCGGCCAGCCAAAATAGAAAGCTACCAGTAGTGCTTGCACAAAGTAACAATAGTCGTACATGAAATAATGCTGAGCAGACTTGCGGTATGAATAATAGCGGAGAATAAGCAGAGGCGTCAGCTGGTACAGATACCACTGCCATAGACGCGCCGGCTGGCGTAGAATAACGTATTCCGTGAAGAGCACGTTGAGCAGACCCAAGACAAACGAAAGTTTGTCTCGCAAACGAATGACCTCTGGAGTGCGAACGCGCCTTTCGATGGCTCGCCGCCGCTCCACGAGCCGATGTTTGGTGTTACGGATCTTGTCATCTAGATTAGCAAGGCTACCAAGTGTAAAAATATCGGACAAAGAAAGGCTGAGCAGGTCAGGCTCGTAGTACGCTTCCGAGTCGGGAAAAGCGGAGGAGTCCGTCTCGTCGAAGTGGTCAACGCTCGCACTGCCCAACGCACGCCCACCGTCGTCCATCTTTGTTCAATAGTTTTCGTGCCACTCGGTTCAGAACGGTTTCCTCGAACCGTTTCGAGAAACGCTTGACGCTGACACCACGACGAGAACGCTCTGAGCTGGTAACCCGCCCGCCGACCGAACGTTCGTCCTGACGCTGCGGCGCGCAGGCTGCGGGTGCCCGGTCGAGCAGTGGTGGTGGCGTCTGAAAATGCGCACGCGCGCGCGCTAACGCAATCTCCGGCATCGGCACCGACCGCACTAGATAGAACAAAGGACAGAGGCTATCCAGTAACTAGCAACGATATAAGGATTTATTTTCTCTTCTATGATTAATGTTAACATGACGGAAGGATTTCCGTATTGTCAAAAGTTTAGCTTCTAGGCGGAAGGTCCCGCGATCTGGACAAGTCTGTTAGGCTGATGCTTCATGCGCTCCCGCAATAGCTGTTGCTCTAGCGAGACCTGAGCAACTCGTCCGCAAACGCAGTTCATTCTGGGACTCAGAGCGGATACACTGCGTTTCGATGTCGTCACGGTCGCAGTGGACTTCTTGTATATTGCTTCGCGCTGCAGCAGGCAATAGGTCCGTCTGCGCGATTGGCTCGTTCCCGGAATGCTCATGAATCCTGATTCCGTAGCAGGTGAATGTAGGCAAAAGGTCCGTCTGCGCGATTGGCTCGTTCCCGGAATGCTCATGAATCCTGATTCCGTAGCAAGTGAATGCAGGCAAAAGGTCCGTCTGCGCGATTGGCTCGTTCCCGGAATGCTCATGAATCCTGATTCCGTAGCAGGTGAACCACGCCTCGGGCCGGCACCCTTTGCAGTATGGCAAAAACGTCCTACCTCCGCGATGTATCGTCATCAGCGGTATGAGCGATAAAGCGGACGCTCACGACAGGTACTCGGCGCACGATAGAACATACGAAACGACCAGCATATCCGTGAGGAAATATGGGTAAAGGAACTTGGAGCTAGGGTGCAGCACCATGACCAACGCTCTTCTGATTACCATTATCCATCCGGCAACCTGTCATCCATGCTCCATGTCCACCGGTTTGTCATCGAGAGAGACGGAGAGAGACCGGATAGCGCCATCGATGCGCTATCGTCGATCGCCGCCGCTGCCATCATCTGTTGAGGGTGCCTCCAGCCGCCAGCGCGCGCCCGGATCGCGGCGACCGCTCTGCGCATCCGTCGTCCAGAGGCACGGAGTTGTGAACCTGCCCCCAGACACGTACGCTGCACCGTGTACTGCCTTTGCAGGAGAGGCGCTCTCAAGTCTCCGCTATTCAGGTTCACTTCTGGCGCATCTTCTATCGGAATGTTTGTTAGCGGAGCTTTTCAGGTTCCTCGGGAGAGACGCTGGGGTGCGGCTCGGGTTGCACGTCCTAGGCGTGCGCTCCGGCTACGGGACGCGCAACGTCGTCACAGTGGCGTCTCGATTCTGGAGGCCAACGGCGAGAGCAAGGATGGCAAAGCAGGAGGCAAAGGTGGCGGCCTATTTGGAGGCCTTGGTAACCTCATGGATGCAATGAAAAAAGCACAAGAGTTCTCCAAATCGGCACAGGCGCTACAGGAAGAGCTGAAGAACACGGAAGTTGAAGCAACCTCGAGCGACGGTCGGGTTCGTGCAGTCGTTTCCGGACAGCAGGTGCCAATCCGAGTTGAGGTTTCTGATGAGCTCATCGCCGAGGGGAACCCAGCGGTCAGTGACGCTGTCACGGAGGCAGTGCGCAACGCTCATGTGAAAAGCGCGGAGCTGATGCGACAACAGCTCGCGGACCTAACCCAGTCCTACGGGCTGCCGCAACCACCGAAACAACCCTAGCGGAAAACTAGTGTCTTTAGTAGGGATAAAAACTGTCCAACGGAAAAACCATTCAGATTTTCAGAAGGAGTCTGCGCCATGTAATAAGGAACTGTGCATAGCTATGAAGGCCATTCGAGGCCGGCTGCTGTTGCTGCTGCTTCTGGGTGCTGTGACGCAGGCGATACCAGAGGCGCAAGGGCGCAAAGGCCCAGTGTGCAGCACCATGCGACGCAGTGTCCCCATAACTCGACACGAGATAGCCGTCCACGAGGAGCGTGCCTTCAAAAGTGAGCGGCGCGTACGCGTTGGTGTCCACGTGCTCGGTAACTCGTACAATGGTGTCGGTGGATCCATCTTCATGGAGCAAGGCCATACCCGGAAACAGGTTGCGGGCTCGCGTGAATCGTGGGCGTTCGTGCGCATCTCCCGGTTGGACGTACACTAAATGATCGGGTGTCATGTGCAAAACGCCACCGCTGCTGGTGTGCAGCGCGATATACTGGAACGGGCCTGCCGCAGTTTGTTTGTCCGCAAACGCGTACGCGGTCGTGAAGCGCTTCGTCCAGCCACCGCGATTGTTCGGGACTAATGTGGCAATACGCGTCCCGGGTTCGAGTGCGGATAGCGGCACCAGCGTGCCGTCTGCGCGCTCTACGGTGCTCTCAGCCGGAAAGCAGCCGATGAAGCTCTGCCCACCAGCCAAGGTCGAGGGACAACCAGAGAAGGACTCTAGTGCGACAAACTTTGCGCTTTCGTTGTATATCGGGGGTCCGAGCGTGATGGTGCTCCCCTGCTGCGGCCAGAAATCAAACGTCGCAGACGTCTCCACAGGTTCATACATGGGAATATTGGTTTCCATCGGGTTTGCCGGGCAATAAAAAGGTGCACTCATCCCCGTCTCTCGATAAAAATCCAAACACTCCTCACACACAGAATAGCTGAGCTCCATACCAACATTTTCAACGAAACGAACGTCAACGACAGACGCGCACGTTGGCTCCATCCCGTTCACGAACCCGCCTTCGGGAACGATTACGACGCTTCCGGAGGGAACGACAAACACATACGCCACCCCGGCTTGCTGGCCCTTGATAAGCCCCAGCGGTATCGTGAGCGAGTCGGTCAGTGGCGGGTATGGTCCGCCACTGATGGAAGCGAGCTGCGTGCCATCCGTTTCACCAGTCAAGTATGCGGGGAAGAAGGCACCACCAAACGGATACGCAGCGACATCGGTTGCTCCTCGGTTTAGAACCACAGCCAGGCTCTCATTTTTCGGGTTCAGAAACTGCCAGTATACGATGCCCTCAGAACGCGAAATCCACGACCAACTCACCTCAACGCCCAGCGGGCTCGAGCAACTCTGTTGACTACGGACTCGCTCCAAGATACGTCCAACGGTTAGGGTACCCGCCGGTTTGGTACCTTTTGGGTAGTACAAGTGCCGCAACCTCGCCTGTTTCGAACGAGATATGTCGCTGAGCCCTAGCGTTTTCACAGGCAAAGCGTACGCCACGTAGCAGCATAATCCCACACTGCAAAAGAGCGCTAGCAACAAAATCCAGGAAAAGAGCACGCGACATCGTAGACTGTGGCCCATGGCGGGCCACTGCTGCTCCCCGAGTGTGCAGGTCTAGCTCAAACCTCGCCACCTAGAACGTCGGGCATGAATACCCGCAACGGATGCGGCCATGTGCACTCAAGCATCGATGCGATGCACCACGTGGCGATGTCCAAGTTCTGGAGTTCCCTGCAAGCGGCCACTCAACGGCCGCATCGCCGGTGCGTCGGAACTCGCAGCGCGTTCGATGCTTGCACGGCCAGCACCGTGGAGATTAAAATTCGTGGTACCTGCGAGTGCTGCCAGCACGTGGCATCTGGAGGTTCCCTGGTGTGACGTGCAGATACAACATTCTCGGAATTGTTCCTGTAGGAAATCATGCGACTCGCCATGAAATCCCTTACGACGCTGGTATTCGTCGTAGAGATCGTTGTTTGCCTCAGTGTATGGTCTGGGTTAGCCCTTCCGGTTTATCGTAGTGACCGCCCCCAGCTGGTGTTCGCAAAGCCGCCGCAGCAGCAGCAGCAGCAGCAGCAGCAGCAACTCGCCGCCGGGGTGCGTCTCGAACGGGCACCGCTGCACCCTCTCGACCAGAGGGTTGTTCAAGAGGTTTCCGGTGCGCCGCTGGGACAGCCTTCACTGCGTACAAGCGGCACGAGTTGTACGAGCGGTGCAGGTGTGGAGGTTTCCTGGACATGGTTCAACCAGACCAGCGGTATCGTTGTATGGCAGTTCTACAATCCGACTTCGAGTGAACGGGCAGTTGTTCTGAACCGCGGGGCGAAAGGCAACAATAGTATCATTGAATCGTACACCTTCGGCGGCGCCTATACATTCGCGTACCTCGGGAACGGGCTCGCCACGCTGGCCCCGGGGCCGTATCCGACGCTGGAAGCATCACCGAGCGTGTTGCCGGTCGCCATTATAGATAAGAGCGATCCGGATATTGGCTTTCTCTTCACTATTCGTGCGGGTGGCACGGTAAGCGTCGAAGAGGGTGGCTTCGTGAACTTGGAACCGTTCTGTGACAGTGTACCTGACGTCTCGTTCGCGGAGAACGCCGACGTCAACATCACTTATGCAAAGAGTGTTATGTGTGAAGAATACTATTTTCAGGAAGGTAGTTCGAATGTTACGTGTTCTTCGAATCCTTTGGTGACGACTTGGCCTATTTATCAAGTGGCAAACGGTTCCGTGACGGGACAGAATTACATTATCATGGACTCTAATACACAGATCGAGTTTTTGAACGTATCAAACTCACAGGGTGGTTCATCGTCGGGATTCTCCTGCTTCCCGGGCGATGCAACCGTCACACTGTCCGATGGACAAGTCAAGCCCATTCACCAACTCAAGAAAGGCGATTGGATCTATACGCTTTCGTACGACGCCAAGGATCGCAAGTGGTCCCGTGTTTCGACGAGATTTCTCGGATTCCTCGATCACAAACCTGCAGAGCGGACTGAATTCCTTCGGATTACGCTGCACGGGACGGATAGCGTTCTAGAGATTACACCGGATCACTTGTTGCCGGTAGTCGCAGCCGGTCCGTCCCCTGGTGAGCAACGTGAGCGCTATATGCCCGCTCGGCTGGTTGTGCCTGGCGCATTCCTCTTTCTGGAGACCGGTGAGCTTGCCCACGTACGCAGCATGACATGGGTGCAACGGACGGGTGCCTTTGGACCGCTCACCGAGGCGGGAACCCTCCTAGTCGACGGGGTCCTCGTCTCGTGCTATGCGCACACAGGGAGTCATGAAGCTGCGCATATGAGTATGTGGCCGTTGCGCGTTGGATCCCGTCTATCTCGCTGGCTGAACCCGGTGCATGCCCGTGTCCCAGGGAGCGCTTGCGCAAGTACTGGTATGCATCCGTATGCGCGTGTGCTGCTCGCTCTTCAGTACATGCTACGCATGTTCGAGCATCCGAGAAGCAAACAATACCTCCATAAGCATCAGCATATTTGGCTGTGAAATTCTGCGCATAAGCGCTGCGGCGGGTCTGTGAATTCCGATACGAACAACCCCCTATACCTGTGTCAGCTTAAGAATGAACCATTGGAATGCTCGCCCTGTTCCTAGCGTGCGAATTTCTCCCGACCTTGTTTGTAGATGTACAGCCTCGCCGTTCGAAATGCGACAATGAGCGATGACGGATTCAAACGTAGTTGTAGGGTTCTCGATCGTCTTGTCAGTGTGGCTCGTTTCTCGCTTTGCCGCTAGAATTCGGTACGTTACCGGAATCTAGGTGATTCGCGATGCCATGGAACCAGGGCTCGTAAAATAATCGATATCGTTACGAAGTGCATATGTAGAATTTTTCACGCGTCCCTTTTCGGTACCTGCTACATGTTAAAATCGCAAATTCTTCAAGTCCTCCATGTTTCTGTTTCGTGGCAATTCGTAGACGCAGCCATTCGCGTCGCTGGATCGAGGAAAAAAAACTGGACGCCGTCCACTGACGAATTCATCACAGGTTCATGGCTGGCGTTTACTGACTTTGTCACGTGAAAAATTCAAAGCAGCTCGAAGGACAACACTCTTGCTTGATTGTGGCTATCGAGAAAACGACATTCGACAGCAGCATGATACGTCAGCCAGGACACGCTTCTACTAGAGGCTCCCGTCTATTCTGTTACCACGGAAAAGGATTGTGGACTCGGGCTTGAGCCAGCGCAGTGATCGCTTCTAGGGAAGCGCCCGTCACCGCCTGGTCCGAACTGAGCATAGACGGATCGAAATTTCTCGACTTGATCTTGAGGATCGATTTTTTTCTGGGATTCGCTTCATCATGGACAAGTTCGCAGTGCACAAATCCTCTATCGAATGGGACGGCGTACGCTTGGACATGCATCGGGCAGTGTACTCGCTGTGCGTATCGGCCAGAAGAAGGCCGGAATTATAGGGTACGGTCTCGGGCATGGAAACGAGCCACGGAAACGACGGGTGCGCTCTCTGAACCTGTAAAGGGTATGAAGTGAACGCTGAATGAGGCGTTCATGGTCAACAGGACAGCTCTCGGAGGATACGGTACCGTAGACATATGGGAATACCCGACCGCAGTGAGGTCGCACCGGTGCAAAGCGCACATCGCGACTGTATGCGAAGAAAATGCGACCGGCAAGCGAAGCATATGAACTGCATCTACCGCCTATGCACGAAATGCGTCGCTAGCAGCCCGGAGCAGCAATATCGGCATTTGACTGCAGCAATCGACATGCTTCGACTGCTGAAAATGGAACTGGAGGGAAACGGGAGCAATGCATTCTTGAATCCGGAGATGCTTGTAAGGCAAAAGAAGCAACCACAGAAAAATCCGCAAAATCCAGTTTTCATGACAATCAGATGTAATCCGAACGTCCTTATGTACGCCAGAGTTTGGTACTTGGTTCCTGTCCATCTCAGCCTGACATGAACGCCCATAAAGCATCCATAGAGTCGACATGAGCCAGGAAAAGAGCACATAGCGCGAACGCGCTGGCCTCGGGATGCGTCCGCCCAGGAGACTGCACGCGCTGTGTGGGCGGCCCCAGTTCGAACGCTTTGGTTCCCGGCTTGAAGCAGGTCGTGCATACGAGTTGCTCCATCTTTGAGGATACCATTCAAGTCACCCGCGGCTGTGATTCTTTATGATACCGTGGATCGCGTCTTCGGAATACCAGACAGGTTGCGCTGGTCCCATGTCCACAGGAAATATGGCTAGCTGTAGCATCCCTAGCGGGACGGCCGCCAGCATTGGAGCTGCACCCAACAAATAGATGTACACGACGTGCATTTAGCTCCTAGTGCCAGGCACGTGAACGCATCCGCCAAGTATTCGCTCAAGGTGCCTTGCAGGTGCACGCGATTACGGTGGAAAATCCGCGTACCTAAAAGCAAGCAAATGCCCCCAGAATGCAGCGTCTCTCGGAGCGTCTCTCTGCCGTTCAGGGATGTACCGGTACGCTGTCGCTCATTTCCTTGAATTTGACGATTCCGATATCGAGGAGAGCGCTCCTGTATTAGACGCTCGCAGCCCTATCCGATTTCGGAGCGAAACGGAACAGGAAAAGTCGAAGTTCCATCGGTAGGCAGCCACTCATCAAGATCATCCAATTACCCGTGAACGTCGACCTGGTCTCTGCACCAAGCGTACCCATGGTATTGCACGACGTGACGAGCCTTGCGATCTATGCGTCCAGGTGGGCGACTCCGGGAACCCGGAACCAGCGTCCTGCGAACACTTCGTAGACGCGACGCCTCGACGGTGCCCAGTACTGGCGCGTTTTCGGAGGTGCGCAACTGCACAGTTGCATTGCACTGACTCTGGCTTCGCGTCGCATACGCGTTGTACGATTACTGAGCAGCGACACTCTCTATGCACGCGCTGGTGTTGCTCCCGATGTACGCACAACGTCCAACTTGGAACGGAACCGTCGCCGCAACACACGCCTAGATCCTGGTTCAGGAGGAGTAACCAATGGTGCTGCTTCGAGTTTTAGGACGGCATGAAAGAGAGCTCCGGCGTATCTTGAATTCAAGATTATCGCCAAGATCAGATTGCCGAGTTGTACGCCATTGCCCCGAGCCCTGTTTGGGTCTCGCTCACAACGGCCAGCATGTGCGCAAATAGAGTTGTTGCGTTCCCGATATTCGCTTCCGATAAGCTACGCACGATCTGTTGTTTCACGTCGAGCGTGGGCTGCAAGCACTTGAGCCAATCCCCTGCATGTATTTCGCTTGCCAGCGGCTGCAGGTTGTACGCTGCTCCGCACTGAGCGGTCGCAGCCTGCACTTGAGCCAATCTCCTGACACCATTCGAGGGAAGCAGCCGCAGCCGCAGCCGCAGCCACAGGCTCTTTGCGTGCTCGCTCTCCATTGCATTTTCGTACGTACGCTAGACAGACACAGACTCGATCATTGCGGGAAATGGATTTCCGCATGCACTCTGAAGCGCCATAGGCATCAAAAACATGTTCGACAAAAGCGACGTACGACTGAGAACCTTGTACATGTTCGCTTTCGTGCGACGAGCGTGCACAACACCTCGAGTCGGCGAGCGTCACGACGACAGAGACCAGTCGGCAGCGGGTCAGTTGGCGTCAGACACTGCACGTTTGGACGCGTTTCCGAGGAGTTCAATTCTCGATCGAAACTGACTCTGGTAGGTGCTTTCGAGTTGCCGGCAAATTCACCGCTTCCGGGTAGAGTAAAGCTCGAGAACGCCTTCAGCGCAGTGCCAGTTCTGCCACACGCCACCTTCCCGGCTCCAGTGAGGTCTAGTTACAAACCGACGCTCCCCGATGCTCGACAGTAGTCTTCGACTCGACCAAGAGGAAACACGGAGAGGCGTCTACGTCACGGGAATCAAGCGGCGATCCGGGAAAATGCAGCTCGTCAGGGGCTTTGCCACGCCCTCATCGCGCGAAAACGTCGTATGCTCCAGACGCAAGCGTTGTAACCGCGAGTGCATGCTGTCTTCGGAAGCGCCGATTGCTCTCCGAACCAAAACACCATCATGAGCAAGGATTCGAGCCCTCGCACCGGTCTCACGATCGCACGCGCTCGAGTCGAAGCATCGCTCGCCGTCATCGATACAGTTTCTCAAGCCGCAGCCGACAAAACTTCCTGTCCATCACCCGCATGATCCGGCTGCATGCTCGTCACAGGTTCATTGTCTACTCGTGGAAGAGCGCGCCCCCCGATACAACCGGTACGCGAATGGACAATGCTTCAGAGAGCGCATCCCTCATGACCGTCACACTCGGGCAGGTACCAAGAAGTGCTGCAGCGTAGAGCTGCTTAGCAACGCATCCCTCATGACCATCACACTCGGAAAGGTACCGAGAAGTGCTGCAACGTCGAGCTGCTTAGCAACGAGCGCGTCGACCTAGATGCCACCGTGGCACCCCCAGTGCCGTCCAGTCTCCGTTGGCCAAGTGCAACGGCGGATGCGACGTCGCCACGAGTGCCCACGGCAGACCCGGTTTCCCAGAAGATCGCCCGAAGCTATCGGAGCAACCATGAGCTCCTCAGCGGGAACCCTCTTGCGGCGAGTGTTCCAACGCGGCCTTCACTGCGATCCTATGACTGGTCGTCTTCCGGAAAGTTTGTCTGGAGCGTTCTACCAGATTCAGTCGGTACGCGACGGCGACGTAACATGCCCCGGATGTTCGCCTCGCCAGTGCCCAAACAAACCGGACACACAAGGTTCCCCTTTCCGTCACACTGAGGACAGACCGTGCCTTTATACTGCGCTCGCTTGTCTTCAGCGAAGCCACCAGCCCGCCAGAAGCCCGTTCCACCACACATGTCACAGACGACACGCCCCTTGCCGCGACAGTTCGGACACGGACCCGTCGGTGGTGGCTCACGAGCGCGAGCGTCGGACACAGCCCCCAGCAGCCACTGTGTCATAAAAGCGGCTATGCCCACACCAACTTGTTTAATGAACGTTCGTCTCTTGGGATCGTTTGGCTCCAGGGAAGCTCGTACCTCTTCCCGGTGTCGCGAGCGAAACACTGCGTTCACTCTGGGGACACTGCATCGGCACACGGGTCGCCGCTCGACCCAGTGCCCGAACCAGCCGTCCGGTGCGAAAGCCAAAGGTTCCATGACCCTGTCGAATCTGCGTTCCTGACGAACGCCAAGCAGTCCAAGAGTGGAACGCTCGTTCCAGACTCGGTCTCGAAGGGTCACGGGTATAGCGCGCCAGTCAGCAGTCGTTGGCCTTGCAGCGTTCACCATCATCATCATCATCATCATGTCGATGCCGTGAGATGGCACCGGGCGCTGGGCCGCAGCACATGGTGCTACGTTCCTCCAATGTTCTTGGTTGCGTTCCAGCGGGGGCCAGGGTCGGGGTTATTGTTCGCTTTCCATGATCACTTGGATGGTTTTCAGAAAACCAAAGCGTTTACTTGGAACACCGTGCGCAGGCGGGAGGCTTTTTACGGGGGCGGTGGTGCAGGATCCTCTCCATGAGTCGGGGCTCGCCAACTGCGCGATGCTAGGCGCTATCCGGGAGAGCGTGCATCGTTCGCTACGCTCTCGCCATGCTTCCTGATGCTATCTGCGCGAGTCCTTGCACAAGCTACTCCATCAAGTGCTGTCTTCAGCACCGGCAGTCGCTGTCACGTCGACGGCAATGCGTAGCGCCAGCATAGGGGAAAAAAGTACGCTCGAGTAGCGCTTTACGTTGTTTCTGATGAGCCGGTTGGTCCCTGCAGGAGAACATCTTCACCGAGGATGCGCAGACCTGGTACGCTCGGGGTGACTTCCGGTGCACTGCGACCCGGGCGCGTTTGCTGCTGGTCGAGAAACGCGTGCAGGGTGGAGAATCCAGCTCGTTCCTCTTGATACATTTGTTGCATTCGCTGTTGGAGCGCGTCTAGCTCCTGATCGATGATGCCGCTCTGCTGAACGGAGCTGTACGCGTCTGCAACTGTGGTTTGCGGGGTCTCCCGGCCGAACGAGTCGCTGGTGGTATTACTAACAGAGGCATTTTCCAATTGAGATGAATCGGGTTGTAAAAGCTCCAGCGGGTCCGTGTCGTGGATGTGCTGGCCAGAGATCGCACCCACCTGGCGCAGGTCAGGCACTGGCCGGTTCGAGAGATCTCCCTGATCGCTTAGATACGTCAGTGCTTGCGTCCATTCAGGACTGAGGGCTAAAAAGTCCAAACCAGCAGATGCTAGCTGGCTGTTCATTATCTCCACGGAAGAAAAGAGCCGGAGCATGAACCCTTGTAGGTTGTGGAGCTGTTCCTCCCGTTCAGATTCTCGCTGCTCACTTTCGACGAGTCGCTGTTCAAGGCGAGCATAAAGACGACGCAGTTCGCTAAGCTCTCGCAATAACAGGCTGTTGTCGCGGCGAAGACGAGCAGCCTCGTCCTCGAGCGAACCATACTTACCAATCTCGATTGTTCTGTTGCCCCGTCCGAAGATGCGACTCAACCATGGCGGTTTTCGCTGATTCCCTGAATCCGAAGTGTTGAAGGTTGCCAGATCCTCCTCGCCCAGCAGCTCAGATGCAGCCAACGGGACATTGATGTGCTGCTGAAGGTAGGCAGCGTTCGCGTCTAGCCGCGGTTTGGAGGCAACCCCTCCGGGCAGCATGCGCACACCCTGCACTGGCTTGAAGGCGCTGCCATGGTTCACCGAGCCCGAGGAGCCGCTCGTACCAGATGCTCCCAGTACCCTCTTCCGTCGCTCGGGCCGGTTCCGCTTGATCTGACTCAAAAGGTCCGGCCGGTCTCGTCGGAAGAACTCGTGCTGGAACTCCCAGCGCTCGTGACTGATCTTGTGAAACCCGTACTGATTCAACTGTCTCACAAAAGACGACATGTTGCTGTGTTTGAAATAGGCAGGAAGCACTTTTTCGGTGAAGTCTCCGACCCGCCAGATAACGAAAGACTCCCCAGACTCTTCCCAACTGACAGTGTCCGCCGTCTCAGCATCCTGGACGAGATCGTACACTTTTTGGATGAACACCGTGGTCTGAGGCTTATCCGTATCCATTTTTGAGTCAAAGCTTGGGTCCTGTGTGATGTCTGCAGCGCCCATGGCGAATACCAGCGCCGTGCACTCGGAAAAGCGAGCGCGAATACCAAGCACGCCACAAGGAGCGTTCTCAACAAAAGCGAGAGCCGCCTACCTCGACAACTACTTTCAGATAGATAGACAGACAGCCAAACACAGACAAACCTCCAAGTCGAGTCTTTCCCCGTACCGATATCGTGGCACCCGAGCAGAAAGCGCACCCTCGGGTAACTTGTCGTCTTCGTGCAAGCGAAGCAACACACTGTTCGTTCGGGCTGTTGCCCGCTGCATCAGGGAGCGCGTCGATCGATGCGCGATCACCGGCCGCACCGGCACGCCAGTCAATCATCGATGAAAAGCTGCGTAACCCGTGCCCGCTGTGGTGGTGGTGGTGGTACCGAGCGACGCACCGCCGCCTCCGCCGCCACACTCTGTAGAATACGTATCCACCGAGCCGATCGGCGGACGCTTCGCCGGCTTTTCGGACCGGCAACCAACTACTCCTGCGTGCAACTTCAGGTCGTACTATTCGACCTGGAGAGGTTGTCCCAGAAAGTGGGGTCGTGTCAGCTTCGGAGGTCTCGTCTCCTTCAGTGCACGTCTCCTAATATTGATTGCAGCGTTAAAGTTTCGGTTCACGAATTCCATACGTTTCTTGGCATTGGTTGGTATCACCGACGCAAGTAGACCTCGAACTCGCAACCTCCACGCCATCAGGTGCTCTGGCAGCGCTCCGTACTTTGCTATATCCTCAGGGCTCCGCTGGCACTTTTCCATCTCGGCACTCTGAAGTGTACACCTCAGCTCGTGGTGTAGATAGGAGTTTCGGTTCCCATCTATTGGCAACGTGACAAGACGGTGTGCGCACTCCTTGTACGTTCTTGTCGTTGGAGCGGGTGTACACACTTTTTTAGACGCCCGGCGCCCTGCGACGTATGATGTTACGAGCCTTTGGCTCCTGTCCTCATTGAGGGCGCTCAACTGGTTGAAAAAGTTGGCGAATGCACGCTTTTTTCCCACTGTACAAGCTCATACGCAAGCGATTCATCCGGGGCTTTGTATATTCTTTGCACAGCGCTTCCCAATGAGCAACGCGAACTTTTATGAACTCCCGAATGACCTGAAAGTCCGCTCCATGGCTCGTCACCTCGCTCATAGCTTCCAGATGCTCGTTCACTCCTTCATTTTACGTCTCAATTTTCTTCCTTGCATTCATTATTCCCGATTCTCGGTAATATCTAGCTTCTGAGAGCTTCAACAGAGGCATGTTTTCCTGGCGCAAGCCGCCGTCAATACCATCTTCCCCACGCTCGGATACCGCAATAGGTATAATATTCATGTTCCCGGGGCCCGCGCCAACGACATAGTCCTTACCCTGCACCGCATGCGTCGCAGGATCCGCCTCCTTTTTTTTCATGCCTCGCCGACGGCGAAGCATGAAGATGCAATGGGACGATCCACTTTCAAGCGCCGATCGTGTACACACACGGCTGCTCCATCGGCTTCGATCATCTCAGTAAATAACTTTTGTTTGCTCGTTTTCAGACGTTTGAAATCGAACATATTCACCCAATTACGTCTCCCGGTTTTCGCCCGTAAACTCCTTGCTGCTTAGATCGAACTCCGGATAGATCTCCTTCATTTTGCTGTAAAGTACGTAGGGGCCAACTGTCACAAAATGTGACTTGATGTTGCATAGCGGAACGACATTGAAGCGCTTACCCATTCGGGCAGCGTTCCGTTTCTCTGACTCTTCATTTTTCCCCTCACACGCTGCTCCATCTCCGCCTTGCGTTCGAGTTCTCGATTCAGGAATACGAAATAGTGCAGGATGAGCGGATAAAAACTTTTTTTCATCTCTGATACCTTTTCTGCTGGATTTGACAAGCCCCAAGACTACACAGTGCTCGTGAACAGCCATACGAATGACAGAAGCTTCATTCTTGCCCCTGCGTGATGCCTTCTTGTCGACGAATTCGATCCCCTGTCCATTCTGGCGATCGTTCGTGATGCCACTGATGATGGCCCGTATCCCCTGGCGGGAGAGGCCCGGGCACAGTGTAAAAATAGCCCGTATGATGAAACGTTCGAGGTTCACGATCATATGGTTCTTCCGGTGCTTGAGGAACTTGATTGCCCCGTAGGTGTAAATATCACCATCATCCCTGCATCGAGTACCGTCGAAGCGGAATTCGGCGTAATTCTCGTGGAGGGCGTGCACTCGCTCATTTTTCGTCGACGTTTCCCCTGTGCCAACCATCAGGTGGCGAATAAACGTCTTGCTGAAAAATCCCCCCGGGACCTCGACCATTTTGATGCCCATCACGTCCCGAAACATCTTCTTCATCAAATACATAAGCCCTGACGGAGCCTTCATAATACTCATGGAGTACGACTCGACACGGTTTCTGAGTGCATCTCACAACTTTCCCTTTTAGGGATCCTTGATATGCCGAAGAAGACGGGCTTTCACAACCATCTCGTCATAGTGCCGTCTCTCTTGCAGCCTCTGACGTCGGACTTCCCCCTTTTTGCTTTTCGTCCTCTCCTGTTCTTCTGTACTTGACACTGTTTCTTCTTGCAGCCGGCGACATGATGCCTCCATAATCCTCCATTTCCATTTCCATGACTTGCACTTTTCATTTTTTTCAAAAAGAACACGCTTTGAAAGCCTCTGCTATAACTCACGAAAAATCACTGGAATACACTTACTTGAGGGTTGGAACACAGTTGAGTTCAAAAACTCGACGTTGCTATGACTTCAACGTAAATCCATCCGGTAAGTTAGAGCAACACGCTGATGATCAGGATCGTGTTCCCCTTGAACGGCGGCGTACGCATGGTGTATCATACCTTCCAGATTTAGAGATGCGCCTATCGACAGCACTATGCGGAGCAAAGAACAAAGACTTACCACTAAATGGCGACGATACATCGATGTCTTTCGCTCTCTACGATAAACGTGAAAAGGGGAAAATGTTTCTGACCTGTCGAAAGCGTACCTTAAAGGCGGAAGGTCCCGCGAACCGCACGAATCTCCCAGGCTTGCGCCTCATGCGCCTCCCAGTGGCGGGTGCTAGAGTGAGATCAAAGCAAATCGTACGAAACGCAGTTTATTCTGGGACCAGGGGCGGGCGGCTTGCTTCTGGGCGTCGCCCTTGTCGTGGAGGACTCCCCGGAAATCGCTTCTCGTTGCCGCTGATAGGATGTCCGTCTGCGCAGTTTGCTAGTTCCCGACATGCTAGTGAATTCCGACTCCGTATCAGGTGGAGCATTCCTCGAGCCGGCACCTTTCGTAGTATGGCAAAAACGTCCTGTCTCCGTGATGCATCGGCATCAGCGGTTGAGGCGCTGTTGCGGATGCAGTAATGCAGGTAATCGGCACACGATAGAACGTACAAACCGACCAGCGTATCCGAAAGGAAGTATAGGTCAAGGAACTTGAGGGTGAGGTGCAGCAGCATGATGGACGCTTTTCCAATTACCATTACCCATCGCGCAATAAGGGATCCATGGTCAATGCCAACGTTTTGTCATCGAAAAAATCTCCCAACTCAGCTCTGCATCATGCCGCCGCTGGAGCGCGCGCTCGATCCGCCACCACGCGATCGTACCGATGGCAGAAATGTCAGGCCTGGAACGGTGCTGCTGCTGCTGCTGCGTGATGCATTGGGCGCTGGAACTGCAAGCCGCTCACTTGCTACTGCCGCGCCATCTGGCATTTGGTCAGCTTACCATCACATCATCTCATACATCCGTAACTGTTTCACGCGCTTCTTGTCTACCAGTTTCGAAGAGCAGTCGTGCCCGTGATTCGCTCATTTCATCCTGGACGCATCCGTGTGAATCGTGCAGAGTCGACTCCTGCAAGTATGGGGTGCTCACGTCGAGGGCGCGGAGGTGCAGCGAGCGCGCAGTCGCATGTCCAGCGCCATGGGTTGCCGCCGAGCGACGTGACGTATCGTTCAGTGGCAATCAACATCATTGAACAAGTTGGCGACTGCACGCCTCTTGCCTCCATGTAACTGTTGCCGTCGGTGTCGCTAGCGCGATATTATGTACTCCTGCCAGATAACGTTCGCATGAGCGACGTTGGCGCTCACGCACTCTGGGAATGAAGTGCGTAACGCTCGCTACACTGCTCCGTGCTGTGGTCAGCGCTTCGGAATGGGCCCCCAAACCGCCATTCCACTTATTGGCATGCCCGTTGGCGTCCATCACGCTGACTCCCCGATCGTACCATTTCGTGGAAAACTCGAACGGATTCATGCGCTTCCTGTTCAGCCATTTGACTTGTTTGTCTTGATCTAGAGGGACGTCGATGGCCGCAAAACCCTTCGACGGGGGTTGCGTGCGCTTTTCCTCGCCCATACGCGTCGCTTCATCGCCGTTCGCATGAACGGCACGGAAACAACACATCATGTGATTTGTTGCATAGTTTTTCGTTGAGAACGTATGTATTCGGATGGTGTGATGAGAAAGTAGCCCTTCAAACACCGTTTGAAAGCTCTATCTTTGCCGCAAAACCTTGCGGATATGGACGACGAGATGCATGGTCCATGCGCCTGCTGACCACAGCATCCAGGATATGTCTAATTAAGATCTAGCTTGTCGCAATCGAACAAGGACATGTCGACATCTCATCGCGACTACGCTCCACGTATCTGAGCCGTCCTGTGCTCTTACGTATCTGCGAGAAAAACAAACAAAACCTAAAAGGGCTTGCCAGATCAGGTGTTCCTGAATTCACTGCTCTAATTATAACTATACTTGTTCTGGGAACGCCAGCTCCCAGTTGCCTGCGAAGCGAGCCTTCAGCTTCCGCGCTCGTCGACGCCACTCGGACTGCGCAGCTGCTCCAGTGGTCGTATGCAACACGCCCTGAGCAAAGCCGGAAGACTTTTCCTCGCAGGTGCTGCGGGCGCTTTCGTACTGAGAAACCCAGTCCGCGCAGATTTGGTTGCCACTGTCGGGGAAATCTTGCCTGGCACCGAAAGCGTTCTCCGTGGTCACTTAAAGGAGCTTCAGAAAACCGAAGAGGGTCGCTCTATTTTAAAAGAGAGGCCACAGATCACCGCGGAGACTCTGGCAGCGGTTGCTCTGCTCCCGCCTGAGACCCTTGGAGGTGCGTACTATGCGTTCTTAAAAAAGCACAGTTTCAACTCAAGTGAGCGAGCAGAGGCTTCTTTCATCTCCGATCCCGATCTAGCTTACATAGTCCAGCGTTACAGGGATATCCATGACATTTTCCACGTGGTAACGAACCTCACGCCCACGTTGACCGGAGAGGTGGCTCTAAAGTACTTTGAAGCGCTGCAAATGGGCTTGCCAATGGCCGTACTTGGAGCAACGTTCGGGACATTCCGTCTTACCGCGAGGCAGCGGGCGGCCCTGTTCCGGGACTATGTGCCTTGGGTCGAACGGAATGCTCGCTCATGTGAAAATCTCCTGGGAGTGTACTTCGAGCGGTACTGGCAAATGTCACTCACAGAGCTGAGGAAGAAACTCAGGCTCGAGCCTTTTCGGAAAGAGTTCTGATGGCTCGATTGCGTGATCCGGAGCGAAAAATACGGCTGGGCGAAACGCTCGAGGTATACAAGGCATTCCGGTATCTATGCTCAGTAATTTCGAATCATGCTTTACCATTGGTTTGCAGTAATTGCGCATGGAAATCGTTCTGGGATATAGATATAGACGACGCTCCGGCCTTTGTGGGATCGTCAAATGTACCGTACCAGCAGCTTGCTCCAGGCCGGAATCAAAGGCGCTCTCACCTGGCCACCAGGTTCTCTCCATCGCAAGTCTTCAGCGTTTCAGCACAGCGCCCGCTCTGAGCAGTAAACGATTCACGCGAAACTTCGCTCGAAAAAAAATCGCCGGACGCTCCGGAAGCCCGACATTTTTCCGGACGTGGATCAAGGCGTTCAAGTTCCGATGGGGACCGTGTGCGGGCGCGCACGCTTGCTCGTGGAATCACTGCGTAGCAAGATGCTCTCCTTGGATTGTATCACCTGCCGACATTCGGTCAGCTTTCAGTATATCATCTCGTGCATTTGGCTCTGTTTCACGCGCTTCTTCGGCACCAGTACAGCGCGCTCCGGTACACGGGATGCATCATTGTAGTCCTGAACGCATCTATAGCAATCGCTCAGAGCCAATTGCTGCTTGCGTTGTGCGCCCTTGTCTCTATGTACGGCAGCGAGGACTCGTTTACCATGTACGGCGTTGGTGTAGCACGAGCGTACGCAGACGAGACACCGTATCTACGATCTCTTCCGCGACTTGCGACCACGATTTCGTTTTTGCCGGAAGATTTTCGGACGCAACATGGCCATGGGCTTCCGTTTCGCCTTCTCTGCATTTGAGAGACCGCCAACCTTCTTGTGATGTCGATGAGGATCTCCGGAGTAACGTGGTCGGTCAAGACGACCACGCTGCACAGATGCGAGGCGCTCTTCCAGACTCCGACGCCGGCGCTTAAACGCGGATTCCAAGCGCTGGGGACTCGCCGGACAGAATGGCTCTTCAAAGCGCACAACAGCGCTCTGCATGAAGGCCGCATTGGCGAGCGCACGATCCTCTTTGGTGCTGCATGATCTCAGTGCTTCCCGATCCGTCATCGCAATATTGCCACCATCTGCCTGGGGTATATCATCATCGTCATCATCGTCATCGTCTTCAGGCGAATGCGGCATACGAGCATGCGGCAGGGTTCCACAAGGATCCATCAGCGCGGTGTTGCGCGCTTCTGCATCCGCTGGACTCCTGCCGTCCGCCGACTGAACACCTACTGCAGTTTCTAACGATGCTGGCGGCAGCGTATGCCCCATCGGATACAAGCTGCAGCGATCAGTCACAGGCGAAGACGACGACAAGGACAACCCATTCGTCTGCTCGGAAGAAGCCTCATCCGAAAATGCGTCACTTGCCAACGAATCTGGTGACATCGAGTCGTACTCCTGATCGCTTGTCGAGTCGTACTCGAGGTCTCCAGGTACACTCACATCTGCACGATGCTCTGAGCGTGCAGCATCCTTCAATTCCGTCCAGGACAACTCTGTGGCAGCATCACTGTCGTCTTCCGTGGCAACCACAGATGCAGTGCGATGCCGGCTATCTGCACTAGACGCTGCATTCGCCGCTGCCACGGGCCGGCCCCGTTCGCGTCGAGGCAGCAACGCTGGCAACACCCGCCGATAGAGCTGGAGAACGCCACGAGCAGCCATCATGATGCCCCGATCACGTGATTTTCGGTACTGCACCAGATCCTGGAGCAGAATCGAGTCCATGGCGTCTGGTACACGAGCACACAACTCCCGGATCGTATTCAAACCGATCGCAACGACTTCATCTGTACGACGATCGCTCACAAAGTAATGCGCCAGATGTCGGAGCAGGGGCGTAACCAGCTCGGCAGGCACATCCGCATGTACTGCATCCACCAGCATCGCTAAAACACGCGTCACATGCTGCTGAGATGGCATCAGGTAACGCTGGAGTGCCGTATACAACAGGGGTACGCACTGGCGGCACGCGCCACTGCAGCGACAGGCCAACTGCAAGATCAACATTCTAAACTCAAATTTTTCCTGACGTGCTCCCAGTCGATGCAACAGACGCTCGATGAAACGCTGCGGGTCGTACAACAGGGTCAGAGCAGGTGCATCGGACCCGGGATTCCCTCGTCGGGTATTCATCGGTGGGAATGAGGAAGCCCCCGGTGACGCCCCGTCCTCCGCGGTGTTGCGGAGCGCTCGTCGCAGTTCACGCTGAAAGCGTTGTTTCCGTCGACTTGATTTCTTCTGCGTCCGCTTGAAGCGTGTATTCAACATCCGGAGCATACCGTCATCGGCGCTTGCTACGGACTTGCACGCTCGACTCTGAACTGCCTGTTGTTTCTCCGAGGGTGCCTCGTCGTCCGCCGATGTCGATTCCGCAGCGCTGTCGCTGTCGTCAGCACTGGATCGACCGGCTGCATCCGTCTCCAAAAGAAAGCGACAAGCCTGTGCTGCTACGCTAGTGTTCGAATGAAAGCACGTATCTGCGACAAGCTGAATGAGTCTTGCGTCGGACTGCCACAGCCCAAGGCCATACGCTCGATAAAAGAGACGCAAGAGCGATTTTGCCATCGATGCATCTGCCTCCGGTAGCACCCGTTGACAGACCTGTAAAAGTCTAGTCTTGATTTTCTCATGCAATGGACGCTGGTTACGCTGCGACCGTCGCAGCTCCGCGAGAACTTGCCCAAGCACAAGTCGCCGAAGTGTCTTGTCTTGGAAGCGCAGTAAGGCCACGTAGAGGTCGACTGCCGCCGTAGCCGTCAGAAATGTTTCACCTTTTCGGTTTCGAAACCGGGTGACTGCTTGCACCAGTTCATAGCGGAGCGCTGCATGAAGCGTCGCTGCCCGTTCCGTGAGGAACTGAACGAGAAACTCAGCAACCGCTCGACACGCGTTCGGGTACGCTCCCGCAACCGTGGCCAGGAAAGCGACCAACTTGGTGAAGCGATCATGGCGAGCGCCAGGCTCCAGGGCCACAAGTGCTGCAAGCGTTTCAAACTGTTGGCGTTGAGCTGTAAACACTTCCTGGTAGGCGGCCGGATCGGCTAGGCAGCGACTCGCCAACAGGCTGAGGTCGGTGGCGAGCACTCGCTCAGTTTGACGCTGTCGAGACATGCAGTGCAACCTAGCTGAGCAAGGAGCTATACTCCCTCGACACGATCGGGTGTTCCAGTAGAAGCGTACCTTGAACACCAGGCACGACTCGGCGAGCGCTTCCGCCTAGCGCGCTGCTCAGAGAACGACACACGAGAGGCGTCGTCTGCGACTCGCTGATAGAGGCCACCCGCGGGACCTCCTTCAACTTTGTGGTTGAGTGCCTGCACAGTTATGATTGAATGGTGATAAACGTTATTTCAGTGCTAAAGTGTTAGTGTTCCGAGTGCACCCGCAACGAGCGCTGCGAACGTTTTACGAAAGCCAATACCTTGTATATCAACGAACGCTGCAGCTCCATCGACGAGGCGTGCAACGGGTATGCCAACAGTGGTGCTGGTGCTGGTGCTGGTGCTGGTGCTGGTGCAACGGGACTGGAACGTCTAGGTTTCAGGGGACACGAATGCACGTTCATTAAACGTCTGTCCTTCCTGAACCGGGATACACTGTGAAAGCAAAAGCCATGTCGAGGACCACAAGGCGTTCCAATAGACGCAAGTCCGAAGCGACTGTGCGGATCGCGTCTCCGCAGTCGACCCTTGTCAGAAGCAGTGCCACACCGAGTACTGGAAGCGACACCCAGCCTGATCGACAACGTACGCCCTCCATAACCAGCGATCGTACGCAAGAGACGTGCAAGGAAGCAGCACGCCGCTCGCAGCAGTGGAGCGACCTGCTCAACGTCATCAGCCTCTGTCTGGCAAAGCGAACAGACCGGGTGCTCTGCTTCCTGGCGCTCCCGTTGACAGTTGTCGTTTCGCTGTGGCTGTCGCATCGGCTCGTAGTGCAAACAGCGGTTCTTTCTGCGGTGCTTTGGTCTCGCGATGTACAACGCATGCAGGATGAGCTGCGGCATCTACTGGTGCTGTCGCTCTGCCTCAGCGTCTGGCGTATCCTTCGTGCTGCCTTGAACGAGTTTATCGCGATTCGCTGGCGTAGGGCGCTCTCAGAAAAGCTCCATAGCATCCTGGTTGCACCAGCGAGGATTACGGCGGAGGTGTCGCAGTCGTCGTCCGACGAGCACAGGGAAGCAACGCGTCCATTGACGACTGGGCTGCATCGGGGTCGCTTTCCGCTGATGAGGATTGCGTCGGAGCGAGCCTGCTGCCAATTGTACGAACAAGTAACCACATCGAGTCTTCGTATGCTCAGCGTGGACCTGATTTCCCTCGTATCCGGAGGTACAGGCGGCGCTGGCGGTCTCGTGGAGAATGCCGGCACCGTGTTCTGGCAGTTTGCACGGACGTATCAGCGTCTGCCGCTTCTACCGCTGCTGTTGGGTCTCGGATTCGTGCTCGGCTCCTATACGCTAATCTGGTTACTAGCGTTTCGGGTAGAGCGCGTCAATGTTCAGCTGGATGCGGCGGAAACTGCCCTGCGAACAGAGTACATGACGCTGGTGGAGCAGGCGGAGACACACGCCCTGCACAGCTGCGGCTGTGATGCGTTACTGGCCCTGGAAACGCATGTAGACGCGTGCTGCCGTGGGATGCGTCAACTTGGGCTGTCGCGTCTCCCTCTGGTTTTCATGCAACACATCACGGGGTACGGTAGTGCGTGGTTGGCGTACGCTGCCGCCGTTGTTGTCGTCTTGAAGCGCGCTTCCAGCGACATCGACGAGCATGGGATCGCTTCGGGTGCTAAGGAGGAGCTCATGCGCTGGACCTCGCAGTTTATCGCGGAGCTTTTGCAGCTGCTGGGCTCGCTTGTCGGTCTTCTGCAGCTATGCACCGACATGCGCGCTCATGCTCTGCAGGCGAACCGGGTGCTTTCGCTCTGCCGCCTGGTGCACACGCGACGCGTCGCGTAGGAGGCAGCGCCCGGCCGACTCCCGAAGCTTCGCAATCCTACCTGCTTCGACTCGAGCACGTCCATCTGTCGATACCCGGAAGCGAACGGCTTCTCCTCAGAGACCTGACTCTACATGTACATCGTGGTGAGCACACGCTCATCGAGGCACCGAGCGGTGCTGGCAAGAGCGCCTTGGTGCGAGCGCTCCGCGGTAACTGGTAGTTCCAAGTGACCGCTGATCAGCGCCCGTACTGTTTGCAGCTCCCTCGCAGTGCACTGTTCCTGAATGAGGCGTCAGGATTGCACCCCGATCGTGTCGCTTTTCGACGATCCGAATACCTGGGATACGGCTGTGCTGGAAACCTGGGCCAATGCCTGGCTGGGAGCCACACAGCACCAGCAGATCCGGAACCTATGTGGAACGCGCTTGCACAACTGGGACTCGCAACCCAGCTCCGCTGCACCGGAGACCTGGAAAGCAACATCCATTGGCACCAGCAGTTATCACGAGTCGCACGGGTTCAGCTCAGCGTTGCTCGCGTGCTCTATCAACGACCCGCGCTCGTTGTCATGGATGATGCACTGCACGCTGTGTACAGCTGTAACAACAACAACAATGGCATGTGTGATAATATCGAGGGCTCTGCGGACGACCTGGCTACGATGCTGCTTCGGGCCTGTTTCGCGCAGGGGATTACCGTGCTCTACCTCCGTCCTCCTGCAGACAATTGGATGTATTTATTTAAGCAGCATTCCATGATTGATGCTCGCGGAAGGTTACGGAAGCGTTGCCTGCCCGCATGACTTGCGTGGACGCTTTCTCAGCATCTCGCGGCAGCTGCTGACAGGTGCCAGTATCGACACCAGTCGCATGCTCCGGACTCGAGACCGCCGTCCCTGAAATACACCAGAAAAAAATCGCTTCCCTTCCCGACAAGTGTAAAGCGTATACACACAAGGCGGTAGTTGATGCCTCGCATTCGACGATGGAACGGTTTACCCGGTGAGATGCCGCCTGATACACCAGGAAGCGTCGTTTTCCTTCGGTGCGATGCAAGCAGCGCGCTGCTCTCGTTAAATAGAGCACGAAACCTCCAGAGTGCGCGCATCACCTAGGCGATAACGTGGTCTTTTTGATCCAGGGATACGTGAAAACTGCCCTATTTGAGGTCCAGTTGCGACCTGCCCAGTTTCCAGTGCAGTGTGTAGGCTCGAACAACCACTGTGGTGTTCCCGGCCGACTTTTCACTCAGGCCTTCCCGAATCTTCCATTCATATTCATCTATCATACCATTTTTGATCTGAAGGGAAGCACCCCCTGATATCCATTGCACAGCTCAAACCAATCTGCCGGATTCGGGGAAAGGTCATCGCTTCGTACCGGAGCGTTGCTATTGGAATACTGGCACCGCTTGGGGTGGTGGTGGTGGTGGTGGTGGTGGTGGTGCTCAGCCCTCTGAACTCGCCAACTCAGCGTCTAATTCGGAATCAGCAATCTCCAGCGGCTCCTCGAACTCGGATGCAAACTCCGTCAGCAGCCTCTGCAGGAACAGGGACACAACGTCGCTGTTCGCGACTGCCGGCGGTGTCGTCGTCAGGGTCCTGCTTCCCGCCTGTTCGCCGTCCTTCGAAAACCAAGGCAGACGCATCAGGTCCCAGGCCAGGAGACAAGAATTCGCCTTCAACCGCTGCTGAGTCTCTGCACTCGATATCAGCGGCAGCTTTGGATAGCGCTGCGAAAAGTGGGTCAATACTGCTCGCTGTGGCTGCATGCTCTCAATGGTACCCAGAGCTTGGCCAATGGTAGAGTGCTTGCGCAACAATGCTTCCGCTTCCTTGCCGTCCTCGAAGGTTGCTTCGTGAATCACTAGTGTCGCTCCTCGTGCAGCTGCAATGAGACCCGCATCATACGGCAGCGTATCCCCGGAATAGACGAGCTTCCACGAAGCAGCAGCTGCAGCGTTATCGCTACTCCGCGCCGTACTTGGTGCGCTTGTTGGCACAGGAAGCGCTTGCTGCTCCTTAGAGCCGTTCTGATCCCAACCGGCTGCAAGCGCGCTCTCCAAGACCAGACCGTACGCCTCAGGGCAGTGATCCACCGGCAGCGTCCTCAGATGGATACCCAGCGTCTGTGGGAAATACTCACTCAATGGAGACGTATCCGATTGCAGCAACGCAGCATTATCCAGAAAAATGTACGACATGGGCTCGAGCTCCGCCAATGCCTCCAGCCAACGTCCCAGCAGTCGTGGTCCGAGCACCATCAGCGGCATCATCGCTGTTCCGAGTCGCTCAGATTGCGGAAGTTCCCTCGCTAGTCGCGTCCGTAACGCGACCAACGAACCAACGCCCAGATGATGATCGGCATGCATATGAGATATCCATATGCAACGCACGCGGTGCAACAGCATCGCCTTGGCAGTATCAAGCCCGACAGCTCGAACCAGTTGACCAAAAGTGCCTTCACCGGCGTCAAGGAAGAGTGCATGATCCACGAGATCCACGAGAATCGCGCTCACATTACGATATCGACTGGGAAGTGCGCTGCCGGTTCCCAGAAACAACACGGAATACGTCTTGGAATCGTTGTTGCTTGACGTTCGCTTGAGGGTATCCGGCTCTCGGGGAACGTTCAACCTCGACCATCCATGGTTTGCAGCAGCGTGCGATTCGGGTAACGCCCAACCAAGTGTTGTTCGCGGGGCAGCGTTGAAACGCAGGAGCGGCTGCGCAAGCTGCCATGTCGCAGGCAGTGCCGACGTAGTACGGGCTCGTGGATCCGCTGGGGCCGTCCACGGCTCGAGAAACCAGTTCCAGTCTACGAATTTGAGTCGTTCGAGCATTGCCGCTTGGCCCCGGAAGGTGATACGCTGGTTACTGAACGATTCACAGGCCACTGAGTGGTACGCGTCCGCACCGAACACGTCCAGAGCCCACTCCTGATATTGAGGATCGCTGAACACTTCCGCACAGAGGAAATGAAAGACGCATACTGGTCGTTTTTGTCTGTGCGTTGGCGTCGATGCAGCAAGCCGCTGAAACCATTGCTTGAGACGTTGACGACCGCTGGGTGCCTGCATCTGTGATACCAGGTCCGGGGAGGAGGCACAGAGCATCACGAGGAGTGGTCCCGGACTCGAAGGTTCCATAACGTCAGTTGGATGCACTGTTCGGCGGGTTCCATCAGGTTGCTCCACTTCAATGGACTCGCCTCTCTGAAGTCGACCGTAGAGCGGCCCCCGAGGAATCCCCAAGGCTGCTGCACGCTCGGTCACAAAACGACCCTTCTGGTCAGCGACGCGTACTGCATATGTTACGAAAATTCGCTCAGCGACTTCGTTCTTCGACGACGAGGATAGGGCTTCCGGAACCTCCTCATCTCGTCGTTCCCCGCAGTGTCGTTTCACTTGATCCTTTTGGGTGGCCAGTGAGCGCTGCAGCTGTTCATCGACAAGCCAAGGCAACGCATACACGGCAAACAAGGGATTCTGAACGAGCGGATCTGAAGGCTCGTCCTCGCCCAGTTCGTGAACATGCAGCGGATACTGGGGTCTACTGGCAAAGCGCTTCGCCGTGGAGAGGGTTTTCTCTAGTCCCCGCGGTGCGAACATCGTCAACCCTGCATGCCCGGCATCCGCCAGGGAAAGCATCAGACCCAGGAATCCGGCGCAGGTGTCGGCATCCAGTCTACTGAGAAAAACATGGGACAGTTTTCCCAATCGCACTTTATACTCAATGCAGAGTCGCTGGGTGCCTTCGCTGCAGTTAAAGAGCAGCCGACGCTCTTCCGAGTGGAATACCACCGACGCTGCCGCATCAGCAGCACCGTTCCCGAGCCACTCTGCAAACGCTCGCATCAAGAACAAGAGCTACCAACCGTTTCCAACGCGGACACTCACAGCACGCGTCCCGGAGAGTCGCTGCTGGCTCGGGTAGCGGTAGCCGCGTTAGACGCTAGTCCTGGTATGTCACCAGGCGAAGGTATCGCCGCAAAAAAAAACAACGTGCTACGCAGTCCACACACCGTGTACTGTGAGCGCGGTTTGGGTGCTGGTCACTGTAAGGCGCGAAAATCCGGAGACTCGAGGAGCTGCTCCACAACCGCTAAACGAATGAGTACAGGGTGCGCCTCGTTGACAGCTGAGCCTTTCACCAAAGGCGCCCGCGTTCAAGCGACGTCCGGCGAGAGCGTTGTACACTTCCAGACAGAAACACCGTTCACTCGGCACTGTCGTCTGCACTTGCAATCCGGTCTAAAAGCGTCCCCGACTAACCAGAACCCTAACAAGAGACGCTGAGTGTGCCGGCAACGACGCCTTGCTGACGACGTAGAGCCGTTGTATCGCCGCCGGCGTCCGCATTATAGGCGACGGACGTCGCAGCGATAGCCCTTAAGAGACGTGATAAGAGGAAGGAGGTTACTTTCCCGACGGGGTATCCAAGTGAGGCCTGTTTGGGTACTGTGCCGGTTCATTGGACTCGATCAAGCATCGTGATAAGAGGAAGGAGGTTACTTTCCCGACGGGGTATCCAAGTGAGGCTTGTTTGGGTACTGTACGTGTTCATTGGACTCGATCAAGCATCGTGATACGAGTGAGGAGGTTACTTTCCCGACGGGGTATCCAAGTGAGGCTTGTTTGGGTACTGTGCCGGTTCATTGGACTCGATCAAGCATCGTGATACGAGTGAGGAGGTTACTTTCCCGACGGGGTATCCAAGTGAGGCTTGTTTGGGTACTGTACGTGTTCATTGGACTCGATCAAGCATCGTGATAAGAGGAAGGAGGTTACTTTCCCGACGGGGTATCCAAGTGAGGCTTGTTTGGGTACTGTGCCGGTTCATTGGACTCGATCAAGCATCGTGATACGAGTGAGGAGGTTACTTTCCCGGCGGGGTATCCAAGTGAGGCTTGTTTGGGTACTGTACGTGTTCATTGGACTCGATCAAGCATCGTGATACGAGTGAGGAGGTTACTTTCCCGACGGGGTATCCAAGTGAGGCTTGTTTGGGTACTGTGCCGGTTCATTGGACTCGATCAAGCATCGTGATACGAGTGAGGAGGTTACTTTCCCGACGGGGTATCCAAGTGAGGCTTGTTCAGGTGCCCTATCGATTATATCGTATTCATCACGAATCTCTGCGGTCACTTGGAACATGAGTCGGCTGCAGGAACAACTACGAATCATTCGCGAACGAGAAGAGGCACATCGCATCCTCGGAGCGAGTCGCTGTACGGTGCTGTTTCCTGACGAAACTATTGCCTCCCGAGTCTCCTGGTCCGAGTTGGCTGCGCTCGCTCGCAATGGACTCGAACAGCTCATCAAGTTCGACCAGCGGTTTGCATCATTTCTCGACAGCGACCTGTTTCACCACCGCTACGTTATCGAGGGAGCGACAGCACTTCCAGCACTCGATCGCGGCCAAGAGTCAGCAGCAGCGAACGCGGAGACCCAACAGCTCATTCAACACTTCTGTTACCTCTTGGTGCCGTATTTTACCACGAGACCTGGACAAAAGTGCGTTGAATGGCTGCTTCGTGCGCACTCAGCAGGAGCACTGGACCCCGCGTCGCTGGTGGTCGCCGCCCTGCCCTATATTGGGACGGAGGCATTTGAGCGGCTCGTTGCGGCCTTGCACCTAGCGCAGCATGGTGTAGCAAAAGTGCGCTGGCACTGGCTAGAGCGAGTACACTCCTTGGACCACCTAGTAGAACAGAGCAGCGAACTCAACTGGTTCGTGCCGTTTCTCCTGGACACCGCAGAAGCGCTCGTGCGTGCACGCGTTTCGGCCGAGGGCTGGCATCGACTGCTTCTCTGCTATGGCAGCACGCTGGTAGCCAAACATCCGCTACGAGCCGGAAGCGTCATTCGCTTGGTTACCTTGAGCCTATCTCGTGTTGGACAGGCAGCAGAGCGCGACAAGCATCTGTGGCAAGCGTTCTGGTATGCTGCATTAGGGATGCTGGTCGCAGCCTATCGTGCCGTCGGTGCCGCAGTCCGCAGCGATGTATTTTCGGCGACTGTACGAGCGCTGCTGCGACTTTATGTGCGCACGCGGACATGGTATTCCGGGGACCCAGCCTGGTGTCGAAGACTCACCCTTGTACTGGCCAACCTCTATGCCGGGTCTCCGCACCAGCCGTTTCCACATGAGTGCCTGGAGACGCTCTCCAGTTGCACAGATGAATGGTATAGGGTGCTGGGAGCCTTGGATGCGTCAGAAACGGAGTCTTTGCGCACGGCTTACAGTTTAGCGCTGTTGGAATACTGCTGGCACCAGCAGGACGCTGATGATGATTGCTGGCACCAACTGGTTGCACGCTTGCCTCCATCCCCTTCGGGATGTAGCGCTTTGATCGGGCGCCTGTTGGAACTTTTCGACGCGACAGTGGCATCGGAGTCAGCTGATGCCACTAAGGTGCATTCTGCAGCAGATGCGCAGATGATGCGGTCACAAAGGATGATGGACGCAAGCACTGAGACGCGGGCTTCACTATCTGCAGATCATGCGAATGCGAACTTGGAGACTCCTGGCTCTCCATGCAGCGCAACCGAGATGCAAGCTCCTGCTGAATGGCATGAAACAACGTCACATGGTCCGGAAGTGTTATTATCCAAGGTGTCGTGCAAGCGGGGAGGTCGCACCACGACCCATCCACCAAGTGATTCGGACGCTGATCGGGAACGCTTCCGGTCTGCAGCACCGACGACTGAAACGGCATCTTCGACGCTTGCAGCGACGCCTTCGGGGTCACTGGACGCCAAGCATAGAGCGCAGCCTGCTGGGATGCTCCCGGGGACGCGTGCACCATCAGCGTCTGCCCTGACGAGGGCAACGGTGGAGCCTGGAGACGCCTCAGCAGCCGACGCAGCATCCGGCGCAAGAGTCGTTTCCGCAGGCATCGGGGCGGAGGCGCCTCCAGAGGATACCTCTACTGCGCCGCACTCGCTTCGTCGTCGACAGGTACCCAGCGAGGTCGCAGCGCTCGATAGATCTCAACGCATATTGCGCCCGCTGGTAGCGCATGTCGATCCGGTTACGTTCTGGGAAGCGCTCTACGCTCATGAGCGTCGTTTTCGCGGCAGGGCCAGGTCGTGGACCCTGCTGTGCGAACGCTGCATTGCGGCGAGCAGCCCGCTTCGAAGCCTGCAGCATCCGGATCCCCGAGTGCGTACTCGGACCCTCCATGCGCTCAGCCAGGCGCCATCTGCAGTACAGGAGCAGGCGCTTCCCATCATCCTGGAGCTGCTCCAACAGCCGAACGGCTTCGAGGATGATGTGCAGCGAGCTCTCTGCGCACCTGATGACGCTACTTGTGGTGACGTATTATGGTTGCGAGATCAACTGGTGCGGGTGGGTGCTCCAGCACTCGAATCCCTCCTACCGCGCGCGATGCTTCTGTATCTGCGCGCTGTAGGGGCGTGCCCTGTACGAGCGCTCGTGCGATGCTACCGACTGGCGAGTCGGTATCGCCACGGAATGAGTGCCTCGCCAAAGGAAGCCGATGAAATTCATAGCCGTGGATTGGCCGAGGGCGTCATTGTCTGGGAGGCAGCGTTTGAACAACTCTGTGCACACTGGAAACTAGCCCCCGAGACGAATGCCGAGCGAGCTGCACGCCGGGCAGAGCCGGCTGAAATGTGGTTCAGGCGTCTAGGCGAACGCTTTGGACGCTCCAGAGGCGCCGAGGCTTTCACTGCGCTTCTGGAGCAGCTCGTCGACTTGACGATGAATGAGGATGAGAACGGCGTTACCGCATGTACTTTGCTACTCGAATGGCTTCGCACAGGCGCTGACTTGCTCGATGAGGTGACCATTTGGCGTTTCCTGGCGAGCATTGTGCATCGACTTGCCGCTGTCCATTGGCTAGCGCCCGTGTCGCGGATACTGCACACCCTCAACGATCGACTTGCACAGACAAAGCCGATCACGGATCCAATGTTGGTTATGCCTCATGTTCAGCGGATTCTAGAGGCGATTGCTTCGGTACTGGCTCGTGCGCCGCACCCGAGTGCCATCACCGTGCTGGCGGAAACGTTCATTTGGCTGGCGACGCAATCGAGTCCCATGGAATGCGAGGCGGTGTGCTATGCCCTGCAGCTTGACACTTACCGCGAACAAGTGCTCGAGTTTTTGGCCAACGCTGGTGTACAGGCGGCGCGCTGGCTCGCAGTCGGAGCGATTGAGCCGGTCGATGTGCCCGCTGCGCTCGCACTGCTGGACACGTGCTCTGCAAACCTGGGTGTCGCTGGTACAACTGCACTCTTGGAGCATTTATTCAGAGCCTGCGCAACGGATGCAACCTGGTCGGCCCAGTTGCGGCAACAAACGCGGCGCTTGCTGCACCAGATCGTGCACGAGCATCCCGAAAACGATCATCGAGAGCACCTCCTGGACCGCCACACTGCTCAACTGGTTGCGACCTGTATACGACTACTGAAACCGCTCGACGATTCCGACTGGTGCGTGGTTGAACCGTTGTGGGCAGTATCCAAGGCGTCGACGGGTCTCGCAGTCATCCGAGCGCTCCTCGACGCCTTGCAGGAGCGGGCGACGGACGCAAGCATACCCCAAGCACCGTTGTCGCGCCCGCTTATCACAGCGCTGATCGCGGCCTGCCGCTGGCTCGCCACCGGACCAACGGAGCAGCCAGCGTTCACGCTCGTTGTACCACGCTCATGGTTAGTGGACCTGCTCCAAAGCAGTGCCTTCCACGCAGACAACCAGAAGAGCTTGTGGTTACTGGAGGCTATCGACCTCGGACGTCTTGACTGGAAACCAGAGCCTCCTGCTGCATCCAATGAACACGTATCGACAACACCAACAACAGCGACACGCTCCGATTCAGACCCATGGATGAGGTTCATTCAAGAACAGTTCGACCTGGCATGCAGCGGGACGCTCGATACGAATCGCCTCAGCTGTGTGCTGTGCGTGGCGCTCAGAGATGGAACAGCGCGTGCAGCGCTCCAAGCGCGCCACGTGGCAGCACTGCTGAACGCCAACAAAGCATCGACATGCACGCATGTGCCGCAGGGTGATCACCAGCGATGGCGGCGACACGCAGCGCGCCTCCTGATCCAGTGCCTGCACGATGCGGGCACGCGTGGATCGGGGCTCCACGGCGAGCTCCTGGAGGCGCTCCTGGGAGCTCTCTGCCAGCACCATGAATGGCTCCCTGCATCGGAACGGCCTGCGTATCGGGTGACGGTTGTCAGGGGCCTGGTGTGTTATGCGCAGAGCCTTCGGAGCGGGGACGCTGTGCACGCGATGTGGAACGTGGTATGCTTGACCGCGAGTCGCGATCTGCCTTTGGATGCAGTGCGCGATCTGTTTAGGGAGGTCATTGGGCAGGATGAGGCTGCGCTAGAGCCGGTGTTTCGGGCGCTTCGTGATGCGCGGCGCATACGCGCTGGTACGCTGGCGCCTGTGCACGCTCCGGGGGCAGCTCGGCGAGGCGATGCGACGCTGTCCGAGCATCGCTCGTCATTGTCGTCGTCGTCGTCGTCGTCGTCAACAACAACAACAACAACAGCAACATCGCCGGTATCCGCAACTGCGATGGATCGCTTATGGCTACAGCTGTTGCAGGATGCGGCGGCTTGTGCGCCGAGGCACGTGCGCCGGCTGCTCTCGGAAGCGTCCGGGATTGCGCCGGCGGTACTCCAGCGTCTGCCTGAGTATCTGGATATGGGGCGCGTCTTCGGAAATGACAGCACCGAAGATATATTGAGCTTTTTAGAGACGCGGCATTTGCCAGTAGCGCTTGTGCAACACCTGGTGACGCAAGTATGGCCCTTGACGCGCATTCGTGAAGCGCTTGAGAAACGCGCACAGCCAGTCGTCATGGCGATTCTGGTGGAGCATCTGGTACGCGTGGCGCGGGCGGATGTACCGCGCAAACAGCATCACCAACGTCGGGAGCTGCAGGAGACGTTACGGGTGCTCGGCCGGCTCTTGCTGGAACAAAACGCTGATCCTGTGCTGGTGCGGCGCTGGCTCGAGCATCCGTATACGCGGACGCTGGGGCCGGGTATGTTGCCGCTGCTGGCCGCACATGCGGATCCTGTTTGTGTCGCATGCGCTGTTCGGACGTTTGGGCACAAAATGGTACCGCATTTGCCGCGCGTGTTGGCGCACTGGCCAGCACCGCCTGTTGTGCAAGCGCTCCTGGAGACGCTTCCCGAGTTCGTATCAGCGCCGTACATCCGCCAGCTTTGGGCGAGCATGTCGGAAAGCTTTCCCGACGATCGGGAGGCGGCAGCGATGCGTTCGCTGCTGGTTGAAGCGGCTCCACCGATGTCGATCCTGGAAGCGCTGAAAGCGGAAACGCAGCACCTGGCATGTTTGAGCGGCTGGAAAATGATGCACACGGAACCGTTCCAGAGTTTAACAGCGGCGCTTTCGAGCTGGGATTCAACTTTGGTCCAGCGCTCTTCCGAGCAAATTTTAGCTGTGATCTGGCGAGGTCTGGAAAGTCGTGAACGCATCATGATGAAAGCATTCTATGCAGGACGCGAAACAGAGCCGTCCATAAGCGAGCAGCTCGAGCAGCTCGAGACGCATTGTATGGAAGCGTTGGTTACCATGGTGCTGGTGCTGCCACACCCGGCTTGTGGCGAGATCCTCTACCGCAGCTTGCTCTGGTGCCAGTCGTTCGCAGCGGATGAGGACAGCGCGGGCGGAGATATCGCTAGCGAGCGCCCAGCGCGTCCGACAAAACGACAACGAAGCAGCAGCAGCAGCAGCAGCAGCACTAGTAGTAGTAGTACTATCGGTAGTGACCCTGATGAAGCAGCACCTCTTGGAAGAGCGCACATGCGTCGCGCGTCTCATTGGCGACGCATCGTCTGGTTCAAACTTATAACAAAGTTCGCATCGCGTCTCGGTAGTCGCTTCCAGGAGTATGTCGAACTCGTCTGGGATACGATTGCGGAACACGCTCAGCTGGACGCGGCTGGTGCGGCGACACCAGACCCGACGCCCAGCGAGGCGGCTGAGGTACGAGTTGCAGCGCTCGAGACGCTTGCGGTGTGCCTCGAAGCAGCGACACCATCGTGTGCGCAACTATCGAGCTCGCAATGCGAAACATGTCTGGATATCCTCGCCCAGTGGCTGTCCGAGGCGCACATGGCATCGCCGGTGGCAGCCACTGCCCTAGAGCGTCTGGTAGCGGCGCTGGCGCGCAGCGGCCTGTCCCAGCGAGTCACAACAGTGTCGACGACGTCCGGCACGTCTTCGCCGCTGGTGCGCCTCGGACGTCTCATTCTGGTCATGCCTGAGGTTCGTCGAGTGCCGGCTTCGTCGGCAGCGGCAGCCTTGCGCTTACGGGTGCGCCTGGTGCGCGTCCTCATCGAAACGCTGGACGAGGCGTATCTGCCGCCGCTGCTGCCGCGAACCCTATCGTGGCTCGCCGAAGTGCTCGATAACCCCGACAGTGCCGTTGAAGAGATGGCACGAGATATTGCAAACCGCCTGAGTCGAATTTCGGGCGAAGATATCTTGACGCAGTTGCGCGAAACGCCAGCGATTTAGGTCTCGAAACGCGACGAGTACCGGTGAGCCGACGATGAAGTGGAAAACGCATGATGCTTCTGCGTGATCGACGGTTGCCAGGTACCGATGCTATACGACGTGTACCCAGACACAAGTAGTGCATCCAGTGTTGTCGAGTTCAGCGCCGGCTGTGGCTCGCGAGCACCTCGGCTGTATTAGACACGCGCGAGCATCCACGGGTTTGCACCAGCACCAGCATCCGCGTATATGTCTTCATGAATGCCGCCAATGGCGAGTCGCCACGCCTCCAACAGAAGCGTCACCAGCATGGCAGCGGCGAGCGCATCCAACGCCACCTGGCTGAGCGTCCAACGCGTGGCAGATGCAGGCCGCTTCTTCCCCTGTGCCGGTCGACGGTATTCGTCGAAGCGCACCGCCGGCACCTCATCCTCGTCTATTCGATAGTACATCGGAAATGAGACGACAAAGTAAAGTCCGTAGAATGCGGATCCGATCCATACCATACGCCTCCAGTCTCGGAAACGGTAATGCGGAAACGCGGCAATGGTGACGGTTTCCGCGAAAGCGGTGCCGTACGCGAGCACCAACACGACCAGGACTCGCTGAAGACGCGTCCAGCGCTGCGATCCGAGCCTCAGCACCAACGTCACAAGCGTATGGTACATGCAAAAGTACGGCTGTGTGGCTAGATAACAGGGTATGGGTACGTCATTGAGCCGCCAGCTTGGAAAGGTGTACTCGGCGCCGAGCAACCGGTAGAAATAGTGCGTCCATAAATAGTTCCCGATGAATCCGAAGACCCCGTTCCAGACGTTCGCTTTGAAGATGAAGCGCTCCTGCCAGGGCAAGGTGCGGTCGGGTGTTCCCGGGAACAGCACCGGCGGCAGCACGCACACCAGCGCCATAGCCAGTGACACGAGTGCGTAACCGAGTGCGTCTAGTCGCTGGTACCAGCCGGTGGCAACGACCGCACCTAGCAAAAAGCCGACGGCAACCGGGCAAACGAGCAGGAGATAGCGTTCGGCCCAGGCCTTGGACGGGTTCCGTGCCCAGACAGGCATCCGGACGTTGAACGACTGTTGGTGCTGGTCGTAGACAACGAACGTCGTGCTGCTGCTGCTGTTGTTGTTGTTGTTGCGGACGTTTGTTCGCTGCAAGGACAATGCATTGCAGGGATTGGATAGATGGACGGATGGATGAAGGGTTTCATAGGATCCATCGATGCCCGTGAACTAGTGTACGCTGGATCATTTGTGGATGCTCTTGATAGACCCCGGGTATTGATTCACTTGGTTAGAGGTCGATTGCCGAGTCATCGATGGAGATCGAGCACCACTCAGAACCTCTGTTGGTGTCGGTTCCGCGAGCTCACCCTGTATACCACGTTTCGCTAGCATATGCACTGACAACACGGTGCTCTCGGAGTGCATATGAAACCGCTGACGCCTGGTTCCTGCTCTGAGCCGTCCATATCGTCGCTTCGCTATGGGACGAACGCGGAGTCGATATCGACCCAGCGGGACGTTGCCTGGGGTGTCTGCGCCTCGGTCGCTGCTGCTCGCAGTGCAGTGCTCGTAGCGCTCGTACGGCAGTACGTCTGGGACGGGTTACGTTCGTGCGTGGCGCAGACGTGGTATCGGTGCTCGTGTGTGTGTATGACGGTGAAAAGAACGCGCTTGACGTCCAGATGGTGCTTTACAGTGCATGACGCCAGGAGGTACGCTCGATGCTCCTGAGGTCGTCGCGCCAACCGACGCAGGATTACCGACTCGGTTCATGGAGTGTCCGGCTGGATGCGTACTCTGGAAGGAACAACACCCGAGTCAGAATGAAATGGAGCAGGTCCTCGAACGGGAGCGCAAACGCACATGTTTGAGCATCGTCTCGTTGTCCTGCATCGCGAACGTTTTCCGGCTTTTCCCGGTACGGATTCATGCGTCTCTTGTCCCTTACTTCGGGGCGTCAACTACGCGAGCCCTCTCATGCCGCCAGCGCCGTTACCTGCAGTCGAAAGACGATCGTGGAAGCGTGATCCTTCCGATATTGCCGATTTTTCGGCTGCTGTGGACGCGTTTCATGCACAGGCGGAGTACCCGACCTGCGCTTTGCTGGTCATTTTCATCCTGATGAGTACCGCCTCGGTGCACGCTCTACAGTCGTCATCGTCGACTGTGGTCAGGTATTCCCGTAGTAGATCGATCAAACTGCCTCCGGAGAGCGCTCGTTTGGTTATTCGGCAGAGAGGCCCCTGACGCGTACGGTAAGCTCGCCTCGATGTGCGCTTTCGTCTCCGTGCCCAGTGCCGTACGCTAGGATCACGGGCTTGTTCTGGGCAATGCCCTCAGCGAGCAGACGACGCACTGTAATCACACATGTGATCCCTGGGCCATTCGATAGAGGATTCTGCAGAACGCAATATCTTCCGTGATGCATCGTAGAGCGCAAGGAAAATCCAGGTCGCGGATGCAGTTGAGAAATGTCGATAACGTTGACGCTGGTGCCATGCAAACCAGTGATGCATTCGGCACATCCAAGTGACCGCCATCATGACTCACATCCGAATCCGATATACGTTTTCATTGAAAAAGAACAGGCATGAGCCTCCTGTACCCGAATCGGATGCTCTTGTCGTCGAGTCCCGTTTCGTCGATGACAGCCCAGAGAGGATGATGTATCTTTCTAACGGAATCAGTAGTTGGACAAGTTGCGTGATCTTGCTCTGAACCGCACCTGAAAAGGAATTCGTCAAGCGACGTTGTCGAAGAGCGTGCCGCGAAACCCAACCATCGAAACCTCGAAACATGCGTTATTCCAGCGTGCTCCAAGAAAAAGCACGGTATAGATTCTGGAGTAGTAGATATGATTTGGATCATGATATTCGTGGGTTCACGAACGACATTTCGAAGGTGTTCGGTGCTGCGATGATTCCGGTGACGTGACGAGTTCCGGTGCCAATGAGTCCACGGAGATACATCTGAGGTTCGATCAAGAACCATGAAACGAAATATGCGTCTGGAACACCACATACCTATACTTTGATTGTCTAGGTTTTCATACAAAATTTTGCAAAGAGGAGCAAGATCGAACCATGCTGTTTCCTTTTTGTCATCTGCGACGGTGGTACTCCTGCTCTGCATTGTTGTGATCGTTGTTGTCGACATCGACGGCGACAAGTTGCTTGTTTACGCGTTGCGCTGGCGGTGCGCGCGCAAACGAGCCAGACGTTCACGTATCTGTTGAGTTTGCAGCGTAGGTGCACTGGTTGGTGGTGGTGGCGATGCTTCACTGCGTGGTGCTGCTGTTCCAGATGACGGAAGCGCTTCTAATGGAGTTGCAGGCGCGATAAGTGGAATCCGCTCCCAGTCTGTGTCCTGACGAGCCAACGCGTCCACAAGGCGAACGAGGAAAGGCTGCACAGCTACGGGAACGAGTCGCAAGTGACTGCGAACGGTGTCGATACCGCAGTGGTGGCAGAGTGCGCGAACCAAAAGACGGGCTTCGTCGCAGGTCTGTTGCACCCGATCTGCCGGCAAAGTGGCACACATCGTAAACAGTACGTGCAGTTCGTAGAGAAGCAGGTCCAAGTGTGTTTCCAGTAAAGGCGAGGTCGCACCAGTGACAGTTTTTTCAGTATTCGGGCCACTTGTGAGCACCTGGTTGCAAAGGCGATGTAAACACTTTTGCAGCATGACGATGCGGCTGGGCGTGGTTTCTTTCGAGGACGTTGGCGCTTGTGACACGGGCACTGTCTGGACGGAGCGCACCGCCGCACGAAGCGCCCGAACCAGCGCTCTGCTTAATACAAGCACGGGCGCGTGCTCCAGCGTCTTCAGCATGAGCAAGTTGTAGGCGCGGAGTAGCTGGGGTCCCTCAGGATACGCGGGTACTCGATGATCAAGAAGGCGATCACAGACTTCAGTGATGAGTAGCTCCAGCGCCGCGAGAGAGAGCAGGCAAGCGAGTTCTCGTTTCATGATCAAGTGCATGAGCGCGTTGAGTAAGTACTTGACGATGCGCATTCCAGCAGCGTCGACTGGCGATGCCTCGGCTGCTGCAGCCAGCACCGACCGTATGCCTTGCGTCAGACCGAGGCACAGGTCTGCAGCGTGATGCTGGAGTGAGCGTTCCTGACCTGCTTTCATCATCGCTGAAAGCTCCTTGGCCGCCTGAATTCGTTCCTCTGCCGACGCTGACTCGCCGAGCAGCGTATGGCTGAGTCGTCGGACCTGCTGCTCGGCGGAATCCGCAGCAGCAGCAGCGCCAGAAGCAGCAGCACCAGAAGCAGCGACTGCTGTTGCGGTGACGCCTGCGCCAGCGGCGGGCACTGCGGTACGTCTCCAAAAACGACCTTCCGGGAGGCACGGGGTCGGTGCGATCGGCGGCTCGAAGCTGGTGTGCCTGTTTGCCGTCTCATCGAGACGGATGGCGCGCTCTGGGGGCAGCTGCAGGGACGGCACTGCAGACAGCGCTCGAGGCTCGCTCAATCCATCGATTGGTGGCTGCACGGGCCTCCGCCCGGTTGGCACCTGCGAGTCCAAGGCCGCTGTGCCCGTACCTACCACCACAGCGGTGTCTGCTTTGGCCCGAGCGAGCATCGCAGCAAATTGGGTATCACTGTGTTGCATGTCGGCGTCGAGTTGGAAGGCGTCCCTGCTGACCGGGACTGCTCCCAATGGGCTGCCATCACCAGCATTCAGGGTGTCTGCCTGCTCCGCATGCAAACGTCGCTCAGAGACATCGGATGCAGGTGTCTGCGGGGCCGATGCACCCCCCGGGGACGCCTGCGGAGACGACACAATGGAGCGATTCGATCGTGCCGGTGACATGCTCCGAAACTTTTCAGTTCTGGTGAGAACGTCTTTGCGAACTTGTTCGTTGCTGATATCCCGAATTTGAGCTGCGATTGGAGCGTACCCAATGAGCCGAACGATAACTTCAACAAGTCGCTCTGCGAGCTGTCTCACGTGGCCATTTTTATCGCGAAAGCAGAGCAGGACCGGCTCCAGCACGAGGCGAGCTTCTGCCTCAGAGGGTGTTCTCTGCTCAGCGCCGCGAGACCAGCGTTCACATAGCCACTGCAGTGTCTCGAGACGAGCGGCGGGCAGCTCGAGGCTCAACGCTGCTGCGATGTAGCGCGCGAAGCTTGGCCTGCTATCTGTGTTATCACGTTCTACAGCAGGATACCACGCGCTCATGCACTGTAAAGCTGCCTCGCGTACCATTCTCTTGTTGTCGTTGACTCCATGCTGAATGACGGAACCCAGAAACAGGCGTAGAATCGAGTCATCCGCTCCGGGTAGTCGTTGCGTCTTCATACTTTCCACCGTTGCTTCGCCCAGGTGCGTGAGCACGTTCAGCGCGCATACCCCGAGGTTACGGTTTGTATCCGCAATGCGACTGGCTAGTGCTTTGAGTAGCTCAGGCGAGATGGTGCGAATATCCACCACAAGATCCGGCTCGGCGAGCTTTCGAAGTAAATCCTGGAGAGCCTCTTGGCGTAGTTTCCAGTTCGCGCTCTCCAGGTTTCGAAGCACGGGCTGGATCCGATCCAACACGAGCGTCCTTGTGGTGCCAGAGTGCCGTTCAGCGGGTGATGACCAAGCAGTCGAACCACAATTCGTTGGCATGCTGGACATGGTGCAGTTCGTGTAGCGCGACCCGCGTACCGACTTGAGCGGATTCTGCTCAGAACCTGCACCAGATTTTTCGACATCACCGCTCATGGGACCGTTGCAGTTCACCACTGATGGTGCGGCATTTTCCTGATCCAAATGTTCCAGTTGTGCCCGATAAGCGGCAGGAATACCGAGTTCGACGAGTCCGCGCTGCATCTCAGTGCCATATTTGCTTCGTACAAGCGAAGCAATGACTCGCAAAACAACATCAGCACAAGCTGGTGGCTGCTCCGGAAGCAGCGGTCTGGTCATGTCGAGCACAGCTCCCATGGGCAACGAGTCCATTCCGAAACGCTCTACCAGCTGGTACTGAATGAATTCCAACGCCAAGATTCGAGCACGTAAATCCGGAATATCCCTGCATACTCGTTCGAAACAGGCGAACACAAGAGCGGGCGTCCCCAAGCTCGCTAGTTCGAGTAGAAGCTGGGAGCACTCGGTCAGGCCGGGTGCCTGAATCAACAAATAGGCAATCGTTTCCGCAAGGGAAGCGACACGTGCAGTACGAAGACTTGTCTGCGGACACTGCGCAATCGTCGTATGTATTCGTTGCACGAGCGCTCGACATCGTCCAAGCGCTCCGTGATCATCGGATTCAACCGCTTGTTCCACGAGTTGCTCAAGCGCCTTGCATTCCTGTTCTAGGAGCGCCCCCGAGTATACACTTGAATGGTCCTCATCGTTCCCAGCTACGAGCATGTCCTTTGCGATCGGTGTTCTGCGGGATCCCGCGGCTGCGTCAGCCAGCACGATGCCTTCTCCATCCGATGCCTTGCGAAGCATTCGCTCAGGGCCCGCCCCAGCCGTTGACGCTATCCGTTCGTGAGCGTCATGCGCTGCTGCTGCTCCTGCTGCTGCTGCTGCTGATACCGGAGCGTCCATCTTGCCAGGGCGTTTCGGCGGCACTGCAAAGGAGTCCTCGATGATACTACTGGAGAGGTAAGATGCAGCATTCGGTTTTCGCCCGGGCTGCGCGCTAGACACTTGTTGTGCAGGAGATGCAGGTTTGGCACGCAGCTCTTTGCTTTCATCTGCCACAATTTTCTGAATCTTGTCCAACTTGCTCTTCTCGAGACCTTCGATAAGCGACGAAACGGCGTTCGTGCCACATTGAACTTGCAATAGTGCGACGCACTCGAGAGCTGCCTCCCGTACATCTGCAGCGGCATCAGCCGTGGTCTGCGCAAGCATCAGTTTGAGCTCGCGCAGCGCCGGACGCAAGTCTTGGGCGCTACATTGGCGAATGAGTCGGGAACACCATTGCAGTGCGATGGTGCGGCTCCCAGGCACTTTTGCAGTTGCAGCTTCTATGATTGCTGGAGTCACTTCGGAAAACTCAACAGCTCTGCTTGCTGCCAGAGCATCCAAAGCCGCGCGCAACGCCTCTACCAGAATGCGATTCTTCTCCTTGAGGCGACTCAGGGCTACGATAGCGAGCATTTTGCCGTATGCACGGAAGTTCTTGTCCGACTTGGTCGCCAACTGAGCGATGACGCGTGCGGCCGCTGTTGCTACCGCAACATTCGCGTCTTTTCCGATCAGTCTCTGAATCTCTGCGGCTAACTGGCTTCCTCGAGTGGTGTCAATATGCGAGGCTGCCTGCAGCTTCTCCAAAAAGTTATCCAAAGCACTCTTACGTACACTCCATTTTTGATGACCTAAAGCCTGAAAAAAGTCCAGTGTCTGTTGTGACTTACCTTCATCCTCTGCATCCACCCGAACCTGTACCGCGTCTACGAGGCTACCGATGCATACACCCGGATCAGCGTCCGCCCTACAGGCCAGAGAAGGGTCCCTTTCGGGTATCGCCTTGGTCGAAGCGCGAGGTGCACCTGCGCTCTCCTCCCGCGGTTGCTGTGACCTGACTCTTTGCGTTCGTTCCAGGCGACGCGTTAGACGCGGCGGCTTTCGCTTCTGGCCTGGAACATGGGTGGCGTGCTCCGCTAGGTTCCGACAGGCCTCGGTGAGCTCCGCCTTCATGACTGGTTTGATGTCCACTTGCTTTAAGATGCGCTCTAGGAAGGATTGTCCCAGCCATGAGTAGATTTCAAGAAGCAGTGCTTTGCCGGCTGATCGAACTTCCTGATTGGAATGGTCGAGGAGCTTGTCGAGCCCTTTGCTTGCTGCGTTCGCAGAAATCGCAGCTTCGCCGTTGCTACCACAACCGAACTCCCTGATGCATGTCCGCAGGATATCAGCTGCTGCAGATACCACTTTTGGTAACCGGTTTTCATAGCCCACGTCGCAAAGAACGGTGACTAGGTCATCACCGGCATCGCAGGAAACGAGCCCCAAAGCAGCGTCAAGGGCTCTTGCTCGGTTCTGGGGCCGCCCCGCAAGGCACTTTTCGGCTATGCCTCGAGCAATAGCCGCAGCGGCACCGGTTTTCCGCAGTACCGCACTAGCAGTCGCGTCATCCGCACAAGCATCACATAGTGCAACCACAGCATCAAGTGCAGCGAGTTGCACTGCTGCATTCGCATCCCGAACTGCCCCTGCAAGCAGGTTCGCATCAGAGGCACTCGGCGCCGTGCTACCGTTGGCAATCGCCTCTCGTACCTTTCGCAAGGCTGCCTCGCGAACACGCCAAAGTTTATGGCAAACCTGTTCAGGAATCGGGAGTTTCTTTGCTTCCTCTATCAGCTGATCTTCGTCAGTCATGACGACGAGACCCAGCTGCAGCAACAGCAGTAACTACAAAAGCTTGACGGCAGCGTTGCGCTTCGCGTGATCAGCAACGAAGTCGCCACGGCAGAAAAATTCAAAATGGCGAGCGGGCTTTGGGCCGCCCTTTCATGAAGGCGCGCAGTGGCAGCAGCGAGGATGGCCCGCTGATGCTGTGGTCATATATGGATATAATGTACTAATTAGTACAGACTGCATCGGGTATCCCTAGACCCCCTGCTACGCAATCACGCAAATGCTTTGATCGCTTCGCAGTCCGGAAAAGTCAGGGCGCCACGTATACATCCATGTCTCGCGAATGATGCTCCTGGACAATTGATGAACGATAATGGTGTTTCAGCATTCGATTCTACCGAATTTATGATCCAGATACGTTGATTCCATACGAGGGAAAAGCTGCTATCATGACTAAGCGCTGAGAGCTACGAGCGCGCTTTCTTGCCAAAAAGTTCCGTTTCATGTTCAGGCTGCATTCTTCAGCTCGGATTCCTGATGACGCAGGTATCCGTTCGATGGTAATGCCGTATGGTATCCCGTAAATGGCCTTTCTGGTCTGGGCCTCATGCGCAGGGCTCGGTACCCACCGATGATCGAGTCGCAGGTCACCCGATCCATTTTCTCGATAGCGGAAGGAGGAAGTGTTCGCGGCCTATATGCACGTACATCGACAGCGATGCCGCTGCTTCTTGAGCAGTTTCCTCTTGTATGGAGCATTTTAGCGCTTGTGTGTATGGACCGGAGCTCTCGAAAGTACGGAAATACTTCCCGAAAATTTGCGGCTTGTGGAACACATCCGGCTCGTGCACCATCGTTGACGTGCCCTGGTGCCGTAAGCGAGGCTTTAGTGCCGGTCCGGTGCGTTTCCGGGACCCTCCACGACAACGGAACTGTTCCCGTATATGTCCGTAAAACGCCATAGCCGTGAATGGAAGTGCTGTCTCTGACGTCTTTTATCTAGGTCTGCGGCGTACCGATGACGATCTTGACAGAATCCACAGGGATGAACGGTGCATCGTCGACACGGATTCTAGTTTGGTGCACGTGCATGAGCAGGAACTAGGGATCGATGCACCGCATGATGCTCCAATTGGAAATGTTGTGTCCGACACTCCCTATGCATGCGTTTGAATGTGTCCAAATTCTAGACGCTTATTGTCGATGACGATCACGTATCCATGGAAACCCGCCTAGATGCGCCTACCTTGCAGCATGAAATGCCCCGGCAACATTTTGCCTCGGTGCAATCCTAAAACCCATGCAGTTTTTTGGTCCTGACCCTGAAGCAAAGAACCTGCTCGGTAACGCTCCTGCAATAGACACATCTGACACGTTCCTCGCGTTTGCGCCATACGGAAATCCATCGATGCCAACTGAGACGCGATCCCCAGCTTCATCTATATCCATCCTTGGCAAAGTGCTGATCGGCTCCATAAATACTCGCACCGCGTCGAAAACTGCACCTGCCTGCTTAACGTCTCTATTTGTGGTCAGCTACTGTCATCCGTCTGCAGGAGCTTGCAGCGATGAACCGCACGGAAACGCAGCAGAGGCCGGTACGACCCGCCGCACGCGTCCAGGACGAACTGCACCAGCCGCATCGCGCGCTACGCGCCGTCGGTCTGCTGAAACTGCTCGTGCCGTGCAGCTTCTACACAGTCACGGGTTTGGTGTGCACTACGGCCTCCAGGTATGGCCGGTGTTGGATCAGGTTATGATCTCACGACGACAACGTTTTCACCAGAGGGTCGCGTTTATCAAGTGGAGTATGCGACCAAGGCTGTTGAACAAAGTGGCACGGTGATCGGCATTCGCTGCGTGGACGGTGTGGTGCTCGCTGTCGAGAATCTGCGCGGTGTCAAACTATTACGTCCAGACTCGCTCCGCCGAATTTTCGCAGTGGATCGTCATATTGGCATAGCAGTTGCGGGTATCGGCCCTGATGGCCGGCACATGGTCGGCCGAGCGCGCAGCGAAGCACAGAACTACCGTTCCGTTTATGCGGAGGAAATTCCCCCGAGCCTGCTCGCAGAGCGTTTAGCGAGCTATGCGCACGTGTACTCACTTTATTGGCACGTGCGGCCTTTTGGTTGCACCATCCTCATAGGCGGTTGGGATGCTTCTCAAGGACCCTGTCTATACGTTGTCGAGCCTGACGGTAGCGGATACAAATACCGGGCATATGCAAACGGCAAGGGTCGCACCGCAGTGCGCACAGCGCTGAATAAACTCAACTTTGAGCAGCTCACTTGCACCTCAGCAGTTCAAGAGATAGCGCGTATGATTCATCAGTCTCGGGATATCGCTAAAGATAAACCGTACGAGCTAGAGATGGCTTGGATCAGCGAGGCCAGCGATCACAAGTTCGCTCGCGTCCCAGGGGCACTTGTCGTCAGTTCTCGACAAGCGGTTGAGGAGGAGCCTCAACAGATGGAGACCGGTGGAAGCACTGCCTCGGCGGATAGAGGTGAAACCCCGTCAACATCAACACACATCATGGAAGAGAGCTAAATGAATGTCGGTGTGATGCTGGTACTCGGTTTTGCTGATGGCAGCAACGCCCTGGTGTTCGTATTCACCAGCTTGGTTCTTGGAGAGTGTCTCTGCGCTGTATCGAATGCTCTTCGGTTTTAGACTGGGCCGGGTGACGCATTTTCAGCGTAAGCGCATGAAATGCTCGAAAATGTAGCTGTTGCCTTGTTTCTGCGTGACATGCTTCTCGAATTCCTGCACGGAGACTACTCTGTCCGTGACCATATTGACAGCGTTTCCTCGCTAGGATACTGTCAGGCACCAATTCGAGCGAAACAGTGCACGTCGAGAACCTCTGGCATCTCGGTTGTCCCTGGGGATTCCAGTGAGGATCGTTGCTTCCATGGAGAGGTCGTGTGGGTACATCAAGAAAATTCTTCCTATCAAGATGCCAGTTGCGTACTAGCTGGAGTTCATGAAATTTAGTTCTTGAAAAAGGGCAACAACGTGCATGAAATGCGTTACCTACACGTCATTCGTTGCCCATGGCTTATTGTTGTCCATGCCCTGCTGCATGCGGGCACCGGAAGCGCTCTAGATCGGTTATCGGGGAGAACACGTCCTGGATCAGGGAGTGCTCCTCTGTGGATACGCGTCTCGCGCACTGGGCGGTAATCGCTTTCACCGGCATGCCATTTTTATGATCCCTCAATGGGTACCATGCGTGATGGCAAATTTTGCATGCCTGGAGCCCCGGTACATCCATCCGTTCTTTTCACACGAGTTTCGCATCCGTGTCTTTGCCAGACAAAACACATGGCACATGGAACTCTTGACGCAATGTGGTTCTCTCTACCAAAACAGTCAGCTGGTATCCATTGGCTGCGTGGATATCCCCGACCGACGAGCATACGTGCGCACCAGCGTCCGCTTCACGTGACGTGCACGCTGTCGAGGCCACTGCACGCCGCCTATTCTATGGCGTTGTTTTAGATGCTTTCTGCGTATTACAGGCAAATGCGCTTCAAGCAAATTGCGTTTAGATGAATTCTTGAGCAGCTCTGACAGTCTTCCGTTTCCGATGTATGCTAAAAAACGTGTCCAACTCGTGCCATACTTCAGAGTTGAAACACCATGGCTCAGGAGGCTCCGCAGCTGCCGTTTTCGTGTAGAGCCTCGTTCCAGAAAGGCCGTGCGCATGCATTATGGAGGCTTCACACCCGGCTGTTTCGTAGCAGCGTCGCTCACACAGAGCGCCTCGAACCGCCCTGCCTCGACCCTATCCGCTGTGACACGGCTGACGCAGCCGTTCGCTCGCCGTCAAGCCGCGCTTCCTGTCACGAGTTTCGCATCCAGTCACCGCTTCTGCAACATGCGTGCGTCCGTTTGAAATGAAGTGAGTCTAAGGAAAGAACGTACGGAAAAATCTGTAGCGACAAGCCCTAGACATACTCTAACAGCTTGATCCATAAGTCGCGCGTGTTGCGAAACGTGCAGATAGCAACTCGGTAAATGCGTGTGCACGCACGCATCCGGTTCATCGCATCTGTGCTGAACTGACACAGCCGATTCCTTTATATACTGATTTATGCAGGAAATAACTACTGCGCGCGTGGCCTAACACGCTGCGCCTCACGGCATGACACCGATGGGGGCGGTTGGGCCCGATGGAGAAGGCGTTGGACTTCGGCTTCAGTTTGGAATCCATCCAAAGATTGGGGGTTCAAGTCCCCCCGCGCGTGTTGTTTTGTACCGGATTCCACGGAGGTGATGGAACGAGACGCACTGTCTGGACAACACTTATGCGGTGCTCAACACAACGGCTGAGTGATTCCCAGCACGAACGCGTACAGGTACCGCTGGTTGTGACCGAACGCTGTAGACTCGGGATCCGGGTTGTCCGTTGAACTGCCGGGATGCGCCTCGCGACAACGAGTCCCAAGTTTGGAAAACGTCCACGAATATCACTCGCTGTCGATAGCGGCTTGCGAGTCGCTTCCGCTTGCCGAAGAAAGTACCGACACTGCACCAGTGACTTTCGCACCAGACTAGAGGTGCTCCAAAGGCGCTGCAGCCTAGTTTATGAGATGGTTATCCCTAGAAAATTGGGCAGAACCTGGAATCTCCCTGGACGTCACGGCGTTTGAGCATCGCATGCAGCTGATCACGTTTCACCGAGGCGTAACTGAGCGTACGCTCGAACTGGGAAACCAAAACGAAACGACGACTAAACTCGGATACGAAACGTTTTGGCAAAAGCGTGCCAGGCAAGCCGCCTCTCTATCCTACGAAACCAAACGCACACGACTGCTATTCTCGGACTCGGAATTTTTTCAGAAACGCGTACCGGACGATTACCCGCGTGCTCCGGGTCCAGGAAAAGTCACACACTCGTTGTTTCCGCGTTGCAGATTCCGCATCGATAGTCTCACCAGGGCACGGTTCCCTTCCGATGGGTATCGAAGCGATCATTCTTTGTGATCTGCGGTACGCTTACAAAGTCCGTGAATGCGCGGAGGAAGCACGTACAGCTTCTCGAGTTGATCAGCGGACGGCAGCGCCACACGCAAGCACATACACACCGAGAGAGACACCATGGCGACAGCGTTCGCCATTTCGTCGTACCGTGCCACCACGTCGTCCAGTCGGACACGAGTCATTCATGTCCAGCGCATGTATGCCGAGTCGATATCGAAGTATTTTCATCGCTTTAAGAAAGATGCACGTTTGCCTTAGTATCAATAGCCATGGCATCTGGTTCCGTTTCACCGTCTTCATCAAGGTGAAATTCGAGCAGAATGTCGTCGGTTTGTGCCAACAGCTCATCCGTGACACGTAGATGGTCACGAGGTTGCTCCTCGGTGTGCGCTGCTGGTGACTCTGACGCCATCGAATCTGGCTCGGGGATGATGATCCCCGTCGGCTGAACACGCGCGCGTTTTTCACGCTCTGCGGCTAGCAACTGCTCCAGACGAATGACTACAAAATTCGGTACCTTCATGGCGGCTCCGACGTCGTTGGCTTGGCGCCAGTTCGAAATCGCAGCGATGTCGTCCTTCAGGCGTGCAACCAAAACAACGAGGCGTTCGCGCAGGAATCTCGATTTGCTGGAACGCAGTAAGCGAATGAGCTGCTTCTGGATTGGGAAGGCCAACTCGGGAAACGCCGATTCTCGTACGTAGAGCGTCAACCAATTCAAGAGCGAGTAGACAACTTCGTCTACAACAGCTTCACCGAAATTGCTGCTTTGAAGCACCGCATCCTGGATGCGAAGCAGACGAGGCCAGTCGATGACGGGCACCTCGCGCCGGGCTGCGCCCTTTGTCGTTCGATCACATTCAACTTGGCCGAGCATTTCGAGCAAGGACGCGCAGAGTGGGACATAGCTATGCACCTCTCCAGCGAGACGAAGAAGCGCACGTATGCAGGCAAAGCGTGCCCCGAATAGGCGCGCGCTCCGCAGGCCGTCAATCAGAATGAGCACGATTTGCAGGTACGGGAAGCGAAGCGATGCCAGTTGCTCGTGAACGGCAAGAACATGGGACCACCATTCAACAGCATGGATGAAGGACCAGTTCAGAATGGCCTCGCAATCGCAACCTCGACCAGATGACAGTGCTTTGCGCACCTGGAAACCCAGTTCCTGAACTTCACCGAATGCAACGCGGTAGGATGCATCACCGGACTCGGCGAAAAGCTCCCGTGCGCTTTGTAGGCAGAAATCCATCGACGCTGCTGTTCGCGGATTCCGGCTCTTAAATGTTTGCGTGAACGTCCGATAGCATTCCCGCAGTACGACCTGTGCGATACACGGTTGAAGGTTGCCGAGCAAGGCGCGTAGCGTCGCATGCACCTGCGAGCGAATCATGATGAGCTCCTCAGGGCGAGCCCAGATGATAGTGAGATCGCGGATCAGGGTCTTGCTCCACTTGGGCAAGAGTGGTAGAAAATGTGCAAGCTTTTCAATTCGACGAATCAAGTAGCACTTGGTCAGTGGATCCCGAACCAGCGCGAACAAGGAAGAAAAGCACATTCCATATGAGAGCATGAGCCGCCGGTATCGCTGCCACTCTGGATCGTTGGGATCCAGGTCACGCAGTTTGGCTCCCAGGTGGCGCTGCAGCACAGCGGGCACTGCTACAATAGCGAAGAGCATGACACGATGTCTTGCATCAGCATCAGCAAACGATCCGATCCGCGCCTGGTCGCTGTTCCCAGCTGGTACATCCCGTTCACGCACCAGGTGAGAGAGCACGCTGACCAGCCTTCGCAAGGCGGCCATGCGTTTCGACGGGCGCATAAGTTCGCGGCGTATGCGCTGTATCCAGGATACGTCGAGGCGCAATCGTTTGGCGTCATGTCGCGTGGGACGTGTCGCAGACTGCTCTAGAGCATCGAGGCGATGCGCTTCGTATGTGTCGCTTGTGGCATGATCTGCAGGTCCCGATGCCGAGCTGGACGCGTCTGACGCTGCGCTCGCCTGGTCGGATTCGGCACTGCTGCTAGCGTTCCCATCGGCCACGGTTGCCTTGCTTGCCTCACTTTCGCCGAACCGCAACAGCGCATCGTCATGTGATCGCAAATAGGCATAGAATTCAGGGTCCTGCTTCTGAAGGTTGACCAGCTCTTGCTGATGTGCCGCGACTGGATCCAAGTCCACGAGACTGGTTTCAGTCTCGTAGTCTTCAGAGAGTCCCGAAGTGCCCGAGGCATTTCTGGAGTTGTTGTTGCGTTGGCGAGCTGCCGGCGCTTCTAGAGCTCTTGTTGCACCAGCGAAGGCGCCACCATCGGCCGCAAGTCGGCGTCGTTTGTGGCCTGTGTGGTCTCGTTTTAACTCGCGCTTGCGTCGAGCGTCCAACGAGCCTTTTTGCGGTGCATCCGAGGACAGCGTACGCTTGGAGGCTGAGTGGCGACGCTTCGGTTCCTGCCACGCCACACGTCCAGAGCGTTTATAGAGTTCTTGAGGAGGATGCTTCGATCCCATCGGCGAGCTTTCTCCTTCAAGTTTTAGAAGTGCAAGACAAAAATCTTGTTTGTGACGTCGTTTGATCCAACCTAGTGCACGGCGGGAGAAACAATATTCCCTGTCACCCGAGCGGAGCTCCGCAGAAAACTGACTCACTTTGATCTGAGGCTAACAACGGTGCCTTGCCTACAGGTATAATCCGTGACCTGCGAGGTTCTCGCGAGAGCCTGATCGCGCCTGGTGACTCGATTCTCTTCGGGCCCTGGTGAGGCCGCCTCACAGACTCGCCGCGCTCACTGCTCCGGAGTGATCAACGACGATGCGGTAAGACTCTTATGCGACTTCTTCAAACCGTACAGCACTCAATCCCTCTGAAAAATTATCGCACCAGAGCTGCAGCCCGTAGGAAAGCAACGTGGCGAGCACCGACCCTAAACGGCCAGGTCTAGCGAAAACACCGTGGTTTGCGGCGCTATGGCTTGGGCGCTTCCGCGTTCGGGTTTAGGCATTTCGCCGTTGTCGCTTCTGCGGAAGCGCTTTTGCCAAGCACCAATTGTTCCCGGGGAAACGCGCTAAGCGTTGCACTTGCCACGCCAGCTTCACTCGGGCGAGTACCTGGAATCGGAACACCAGTCACGTTGAGCACGGTCACAAACGAATACTGCAGGTAAAGACTTTGGGTTCTTTGCACAAGATTGCGTTGCTTGGGTCAGTCATGCGTCGCTGACGCCGTTCCTCCATAGACGCAGCAGTCGAGGCGTTTAGCCCAGTGCAGAGCAGCTCCCCAACGATCGAGAAACAAAACCTCTGTACTTCTTCGCAGAAGAAGAAAAGCGCGCAATGTCCCGTTTCTGCTGTCGAAGGCGAGAGCTCGCACGCTCATATTGGGTTGCCCCGGCGAGCGTTCACGTGCTGCCATTAAGCGCTGGATGACCACACGGGGGTTCGTGCGTCGACGTACGGTTACGTCACAGGGCGAACATCCGTAGACGTCGTCTCTGATCCTTAGCAGAGCGGCTGGTATTTTAGAACTCGTTCACCACGATTGACATCTAGTAAGGATTCAACGGCTCACGTGTGTGGCTGGGATGCGTCCTGCGTGCTTCGGGCTAGCGCGAAGCCTACCATCCGCCTCAGCGTTTTGGAATCGCCGCTTGCTGCGACCTGTTTCCGAACGAATGAATCCGCGGCGACGTATCGCGACCGGGGTGTTTTCAGGTTACCAACGAGGAGCCGCAAGTAGCCAAAGATGGTATCATAGAGTGCGCTTCGGATGCCTGTGTATCGTCGAGCGCATCGGCGAACTGGCACCGTTCTGCATTCAGGCTAATGCCGAGCTGCACATTCTCCGAGACCTTCAGGTCTACGTACCACGAGGTCTTGCGAACCACCAGGAATCCTCTTTCTCATCAGATGAACTCAACATGGACTTTGGCTTTAGCGATCGATCCATCTTATCCGGCGATGGCTCTTCGGCGAGCGGCACTGAGGTCCTCTCTTCGCGTGGTGTCAAGACGAAGAGTCCAACAAGCTGGCCAGGGGTTTCGGGACGATCCATGGCCCTTCATCTTAAGAGCGACTCGTCAGCGGCATTGCCATTCGAAAAGGGAGCGTGCGCTTTTGCCGAATGCTTGCGTACCTCTATCGAAGGTCTGTGTGCATGTGACGCAACCTCGCGGATCCGCCACAGCGCCACGACCCGATGCACTCATGGAGTGATTTCTACTCGTACTTCCAGGCAAAAGTGCGGACAGGAACCCATGCGTCCCATTTTCTTGGCGATCATCCCATTCGGTGACCGTTACCACTCGGCTGAGAAAACCGGATGCGAGCACCAAAACCGCCTCCTATCGAGTGCATGAACAGATGTAAATGTGCGGATGACGTAGACCCCGCCCAAACAACCCATACCATCGACAAGAGAACAGATATGAGGATGGTGAAACGCCCTATTCTGTGGAGAAGAACGGTGGTGGTCGCTTCCCTGGTTTCCGCGAGCGGTCGTGTCTCCGGGGGCATCCGCTGAGACGCGACAATCCTCCACTACGGAAAACAAAGCATTGGTGCCCCGGTGAATCGCGTGCGCCACAGCGCGCGTCATGAGCCGGTTCGATGTGCACACAGATCCCAAGTCTCCTTTTGATCCAATTTTACCCAGCAGGAGCGGTGGGTACTGCACCTCCCTATGCACATGGGTCCAGTTTCGTCATGCACTTTCAGGGCGGATAAGCAAAGCTCGCTTCCGTAGTCGCTCTGCGTTTGCTACGCTTCAGGTACAAGTAGCGTGCAAGCTGTCTGATCCCGTCATGTTTCTGGTGACAAAAAATTATCTAGCAGTACGCTTGTCGATCCGTGCAGAGGGAAACGCAGCGTTCACTCGAACGGTTTCGCAGAGAGGCAGGCTTCGAAGCGAACGTAACCGCTGGAGTATGCACCACAGAGGCAGCGGCTTTGGGGCTAGGGCGCCAGTCACTGCAGACAGCTCCTCACGTAAAGAGCGAAACGTGCTGCGTTCTTTCGCCACTGCAGCGCTGGTAGCGCTGATGGCCGTTTCCAGTTTCAACTCGCCACTGAAACTTTACCGGCCGGCGTTCGCTGAGGAGGTTTTCAAGGTACCCGGAGGTGGTGCCTCTACTCTCGCAACAGGCACCTCAAAAATCGTCACAAGAGGCGTCAACTTGGAAGGAGCAAACTTTGCAAAGCAAGACTTACACGGGGTCTCGTTTCAGCAGAGCATTGTGCGGGATGTCGACTTTTCCGGAAGCAACCTGCAGGATGCTTCGTTTTTTGATGCGGACTGTAGCGGAGCAAACTTTCAGAATGCCAACCTCTCGCGAGCAAATCTGGAGCTCGCAAACTTACGCAAGGCGGATCTCAGAAACGCAATACTCACGAATGCCTATGTCGTTGGGCAGACCAAACTCGAAGGCATACAGATCGAGGGTTCCGACTGGACCGATGTTCTGCTTCGACCCGATCAACGACGGTTGCTATGTAAGCGAGCCTCCGGGGAGAACCCTGTGACACACATTGCGACCAAAGACTCGCTCGGTTGCGCGGATTAGGTAGGTGCATGCTCTGGGGAGTGATTTGGAGTAGGTATGTGCCTTGTCGTCAACCAGACAATCCGACACCAGTCGGTTTAGAGCTGACGCAGAATGTTTTTGCAAATGTCGCTCGTCGGAATACTAGGAAAGTTGCCGGCGTTTCATTTTGCGTTTAGGGCGGGTATTCACGGGAGCGACAAGCCTAGATGCAACATTGCAGGGTAGCGTGTTCGTACCTAGAATGTCGAGGTCGTCTGCGCGCCATTTCGGTCCGCAAGCTAGCCTTTGCATCGTTGCTGATTAAAGCGCAAGGCGCTTGTTTGTTGATAAAGGCTGATGCAACGTCAACATCGGCCGTTGGCGGTATTCCCGGCCCACCGCTTCTCGACAGCAGTGTTGGAAGAGCGGGATCGTTGTATTGCTAAACTCACTTAACTCCCCCATGGATCCGTGTCTACTAGGAAAGCCCTATGGGCATCAGATATGAGGTGTGCCAGCACGTGCATTGGAGATAGTGGAAACGCCAAACGCCGAATAAATCAGCTTCTCCAGGAGAGTTCCGCCCATGGGTGATGAAAGTGTCACCATCTCGTCTGGCGGTAAGTTCATGAAGAACCCCGTACTTGCATCGCAGTCGCTATGGCATCGTCTAGAACGCACAGCCAGCTCATCGAATACGCAACTCAATAGGGAAATGCAGTCGCGATATGAAAACAAAGGTTATGTGGCGGGGAAGTCACTTATCCTAGGTAGAGCCCGAGTGGCGCCCCAGTCTGGCTCTAGAACTCAAAGTGCAGCATTCTCATTTTTTCTCGCCGGCACGCCAGCTCTAACTTGTTCTCGAACCAGCGAAGATAGAAACGATATGACAGCATAGATGCGTTTGCAGACAACAAAGTCTGACGGAGTGCTATTTTTTAAAGCTCGTACCATTTTCAGCATAAAATGGATCAGGTCATCGAAAACGGGCTCACACACGACACTTTGGGTCACTTGCCAGAGCAATCAGCACCGGCCTCTGCGACGTATTTCTCTGGTGGCTTGCTTTCCCTCCATCTGATCTCCAGCTTCAAATACACCGGTCGCTCGTCACGCTCCAGCTCCATGCACAGCAGTCGACGGTTGTCGATGGCAGCGTTCAAGACCCGATCTCGCTGGCTGCAGCTGTTGTTTACGCATTTCATGCCGAGGCAAAGGTCGCGATCTGCGCCTCGCTTGCCAGGCTCCTCCTCTATGTGTACGGCGTCCGCGCGCCCCGAACAGCCACGACACGTGGCAACGGCGAGTCGTTCCCGTAGGCACACACGACGACCCCGCCGCCGACTGCCGGCCTGCGGTGCACGACCGCCCGCTTCATCGCCCGGGACATGCCCTTGACGGGTCCGGAGAGCTCCGGTCGATGCCGGCCACGGTTTTGCCGCGCCCGATGCCCTACTCCTCGATCAAGCACGTCGTCGGGACGACGCTTTTGCTGAATGCACTGCCCGCTGCACGCCCGAGCACACGCGCTTCCATTGGATGAGGGATCCGTGGAATGCGATGTGGTCCCATGAAGAAACAAGCACCAGAGACAGAATCCTGGCTCGGGAACGGGTCGAGGGATTTCCACTCGCCGACGCTGCCGTTGTGCGAAACGGCTAGGCATGCTGGAATGGACACGATCGCTGCGATAGTTCAGGCCAGAGTGCAGCACCCGTTTCGGTGCGAGCGGCACCGCCGGGAGCCTGCTGGAGCGTATCCCGCGAGACGTATCCTGTTGCTGTCGAATGCAGCTTCATCGATAGTCGGGAAGACAGCAGGGTTTTTGTTTTGAGGGGAATCGATTCGCGAACGTTTGACGGGTCATTGGGTTTGGATGTGAGCTTTTGAATGGATCTTCAAGAAGCGACGACAAGTTTTGACCGCCGTCAACGCAGTGGCGCAGGTTGCTGTGCCCCGCCTACACGGCGTCCAGTAGGTCGATCGATGACTTGAGGAATGCGTCGTTTGCATATGCTAAACGCAGGGAGCGGAGAAACGCGAGTGCTTTTGCCCATGCATTCGATCATCATACAGGTATTTACGAATCCCAGTGTTATCGTGTGTCGCGAATTCGCTTGATCCTGGTGAAGAACCGATGTTGAGCGGCAAAGCGCCGAGGGCGTCATTCGAAGCCCTCGACCAAGCATCTTAGAACTACACATGACTCCGCAAATTCCCGGTGATGCATCTTGAATGTCGAATCTGTGCATCCTGATCAAGTTGGAATTGAATCGGAAGGCAGTAATAGGGGGCAAGCAGTTCAGTGTTCCAGTTTTATCTGACACTGCAGCCGAGCCGCGCGATGACGCACGATGCTCCAAATCGTCGCCCGCTCTACTCGTGCACTGGTGATACGACAAGAGGCGCTGAGTCGGAGACCGAGAAGCATAGCCATTGACTGCGCCTACGCAAAAACCTCTTGGGACTTTATCCTTTTCTCGAGCACCTTCCTGGAATAAAGCTGCTGTTGAACAGTTACGAAAGGATGGTGGTTCTCGCGATCGCTATTTTGAACAAGCTCGGCCGGCTACTGATTTCTCGTCAGTTTCGTGAGATGCAGCGGACCCGCGTCGAAGGTCTACTCGCCGCTTTTCCGAAACTTTTGGAAAACGAGATGACACGGAGTGGGGAGAATCGCCAACACACGTTCCTCGAGTCGGACACGGTTCGCTACGTATACCAGCCAGTGGAAAATCTCTATGTGGTGTTAATCACGAACAAGACGAGCAATATCGTCCAAGATCTTGAGACGCTTCGTTTGGTCAGCAAGTTGCTCGCAGAGCTCAGCCCGATCGTGGGAGTGATCGATGAAACCGCCGTATACGAAGCAGCTTTCGACTTGATCTTTGCCTTTGATGAGGTCATCGACTGGGGCGGCTACGCAGAGGCCGTGAACGTGCCTCAGATTCGTCAGTATCTCGAAATGTATAGCCACGAGGAGCGCTTAGCAAAAATGATCAAAGAGAGCAAAATGCATGAGGCGAAAGAGGAGATGCGTCGAAAGGCGAATCTCATTGAGAAACAGAAGCAAGACCTTGCGAAACTGCCGCCCGAGATACGACGCCTCATGGGCCTTGAAGGGAGCTCAGTTTCGGCAGGCTCTGGCGCGCCTGCAGTGTCTACCGGTGCGTATTCAACGGGGAATATGCGAGGATTCGGGCCCCAAGACTTTTCTGGTGCTCTCGGAGGCAGCACTCTGCTTGGCGATGTTGGACCTGCTCCGTCCTTGACGCTGGGCGCCACCAGAATAGCAGCGGACCAGTCGGCAAGCATCACGGTTTCAGCCGGAGGCCGGGGTCTGTCTCTCGGGAAGCCAAAGGCTCGCACCGAGGACTGGATGGCGCACCTGCATGCTGAGAGTGAAACATCTTCCGCAGATGCGCAACGCTCGCGCGTTACTCCCGATCATACGGAGCCTACAGCGTCGCAACGAGCTGCGAAGACAGTCCCGTCCGAATCCGCCACTCGAGCGGTTGCAACATCTTCAATCCCTGCGTCTGATTTCCATCTAACGACCGAGGAGAAGCTGAGTATATCACTCACTCGTGACGGTCGACTCGAGAGCTTTCAAGTACACGGCGAGCTTCTCCTTCAGATACGCGATCAAAAGCGGGCACACGCTCGCATCCGGCTGAAACCGCTTCCGGAATCGATGATGCAAAAGGTGCAGCTGCGACTGCATCCGATGTTGGATCGTTCGCTTTGGCAACAGTCGTGGGTGCTCGCACAACGCAACGCGGAGCGCCCGTTTCCCTATGGTAGCCCGACGCCAATGAGCCTGATCAAGTGGCGTTTTCAGTCCACTGATGAGAGTCTGCTGCCTGTGCTTCTGACCTGTTGGCCAACAGTCTCCAGTGATGAGACGTCGATGACGATCGAGTATGAGATGATGTCTCGCGCATCGGTTTCCTCAGACTTGTGTCCTCCGTCATCGCTGTCTTCCGTGCAGGTGCACGTACCGTTGCCGCGAACAGCAGTACAGCCTGGATTCTTCCAGTTGACACGTGTGGACGGCCGTGCAACGCTGGATGAAGCCGCCGCTGCCGTGCTTTGGACGTTGCCTCCGCTGGAGGCGCCCTGTAGCGGTGCGCTAGAGTTTACGATTGCAGCTGTAGAAAATCCCGAGCGTATGTTTCCGATTCAAATACAGATATCGGCCACAGAGGTTTATACGAAGCTTGAAATTTTGCGGGTGGAGGTGGCGACATCCCCAGAGTCGGTGCCAACGGAGGAGACGGCGTTCACGCAGGAGCATCGCCTGCTCACCGATCGATTCGAGATTGTATGAGAAAGCACCTGCCTGGTGTAAGCGTTTTTTTTTGCATTCGCGTGGTCTCGTAGAAATATGCCTCCGTGGACGCCAGTATGCGTCATGTTGGGCGCGTCGATATTTTGCGGCAAAGTGCGGCTCGATCGCCAGTCTGGGAAGCTGATGCACCAACGCACTAGTAGTGGATGCTGCGATTCAGAATAAGCGCCTTTTATATCGGTGGATCGATGCTTGGTAGCCGCATAGGGGTTCCGCTTCGTATACCAGGTGGGTCTGATTCACCTCCGGAAACCAGAGCAGGATCTACACGAAATCATGTAGGAGGATTACCGTGGACATTACGATCCAGAAGAATTCTGCACGTATTCCCCATGATTCAGGGATGAGTGCGAATGTACCCGACCCGGATGCCTCGGCTGCAGTGTCAGATAAAACTGGAACACTGAACTGCTTGCCCCCTATTACTGCCTTCCGATTCAATTCCAACTTGATCAGGATGCACAGATTCGACATTCGAGATGCATCACCGGGAATTTCCGGAGTCATGTGTAGTTCTAAGATGCTTGGTCGAGGGCTTCGAATGACGCCCTCGGCGCTTTGCCGCTCAACATCGGTTCTTCACCAGGATCAAGCGAATTCGCGACACACGATAACACTGGGATTCGTAAATACCTGTATGATGATCGAATGCATGGGCAAAAGCACTCGCGTTTCTCCGCTCCCTGCGTTTAGCATATGCAAACGACGCATTCCTCAAGTCATCGATCGACCTACTGGACGCCGTGTAGGCGGGGCACAGCAACCTGCGCCACTGCGTTGACGGCGGTCAAAACTTGTCGTCGCTTCTTGAAGATCCATTCAAAAGCTCACATCCAAACCCAATGACCCGTCAAACGTTCGCGAATCGATTCCCCTCAAAACAAAAACCCTGCTGTCTTCCCGACTATCGATGAAGCTGCATTCGACAGCAACAGGATACGTCTCGCGGGATACGCTCCAGCAGGCTCCCGGCGGTGCCGCTCGCACCGAAACGGGTGCTGCACTCTGGCCTGAACTATCGCAGCGATCGTGTCCATTCCAGCATGCCTAGCCGTTTCGCACAACGGCAGCGTCGGCGAGTGGAAATCCCTCGACCCGTTCCCGAGCCAGGATTCTGTCTCTGGTGCTTGTTTCTTCATGGGACCACATCGCATTCCACGGATCCCTCATCCAATGGAAGCGCGTGTGCTCGGGCGTGCAGCGGGCAGTGCATTCGGCAAAAGCGTCGTCCCGACGACGTGCTTGATCGAGGAGTACGGCATCGGGCGCGGCAAAACCGTGGCCGGCATCGACCGGAGCTCTCCGGACCCGTCAAGGGCATGTCCCGGGCGATGAAGCGGACGGTCGTGCACCGCAGGCCGGCAGTCGGCGACGGGGTCGTCGTGTGTGCCAACGGGAACGACTCGCCGTTGCCACGTGTCGTGGCTGTTCGGGGCGCGCGGACGCCGTACACATAGAGGAGGAGCCTGGCAAGCGAGGCGCAGATCGCGACCTTTGCCTCGGCATGAAATGCGTAAACAACAGCTGCAGCCAGCGAGATCGGGTCTTGAACGCTGCCATCGACAACCGTCGACTGCTGTGCATGGAGCTGGAGCGTGACCAGCGACCGGCGTATTTGAAGCTGGAGATCAGATGGAGGGAAAGCAAGCCACCAGAGAAATACGTCGCAGAGGCCGGTGCTGATTGCTCTGGCAAGTGACCCAAAGTGTCGTGTGTGGGCCCGTTTTCGATCAGCCGGGATACCGTTCTTCGCTTTCCGACATTGATGTGAAAAGCGCGTACCGTTCCGTTCTTTCTTGCCCAGATATCGGTGACGATGCGTCCATAAGATGACACCCGTAGAGACCAGATACGATCACAATATCCGGTTGGCATGGGCCCCCACATCTCGCACAAACGCCCCCTGATGTTACTGGGTCGTTCTTTGAGCGCTGCAGCGCTGACGACCGGCTCCACCCGGAAACCGGCATTGCCTCTTTGCCGATGTTTATCGTTCGTGTGAGACGCTCTTCCAAAAAGCCGTAGGTGTTCTGGACACGCGTCCCAGCCTAACACGCGATTTTGATAGAGAATGGAGCGGTTGCTGACCGCCATTTCAAGATTGAAGCTGGGCACGCATCCCCAGGTCAGTTCGGTGGCTGACCACCAGCTGAAGTCTTCGGCAGCGGCGCTTTCGCGGACGCTATGCAGTACCAGTGACGGTACGCGCCTTTTCTTGCTTGGGGCAGACGGCGGGCTCTGGCTGACGAATGCCGAGGAACTGTGGCGTTCTGCACAGCGGCTCGGCGAAGAGTCGCGAACGGAGTTCTTCGTGAGCAGCTCTGGAACGCTGGGGACTCCCGTACACTTGACTCCAGCGTTACGCTTCAAGCCGATCGCTTGCGCGCTTTCGAGCTCGGATCGATTTCTTGCTCTTTATGACGAGGAGTTTTGCGCGGTTGTGGACCTCCAAACAGTGCCGAGTTCGCAGACTTGGCTGGATCAAATAGCCCCCGCACCTGTGACTGCACCCGCTGTGCTACTAGGTAGTCGAACTAGTCAGAGGGCTGCTTTCACGCTACGAAGCATTCGCCAGGTAAGTTGGCATCCCTGGAGTGATGGACGCCTCGCTATCCTCTACGATGATGGCATGCTGGAGCTTTACGATACCTTGGAAGCTACGCTACCGGAGCAGACCTTGCGCATTCGCTTGCCGCTGTCGGGGAGTGAAGCACCTGCCGCAACAGGCGTCGAAGACACCACTGTTGCATCAGTCAGTATCCAGAACGTCTCTGGTGCGCTGGAGCAAACCGCAGGACAGCGCACATTGGTCAAAACTGAAGCTCCAGCGGCATTCGCTTTCGGCCCATTAACGGAACCATCGGAATATCCTTGGGAGCTTGTCACGCTGTATTTGTTGCGAGAGTCTGATGGAGCGCTGTTTATTCTCTGTCCGTTTGCTCCTACTGGACTGCGCTTGCCCGCAGTGTGGGTAGAAGCTGTTCATGGTCAGCTGGAGACTGGAGCGCTCGCGGATACAGCAACTTCTTCGGCAGCAGACGCGACCACATGGGCCGAACTACAGATGCGTTTACGACGAGAATGGCTGGCACTCTGCACCAGTCGGCAAGCTCGTATGGATCTCGAGAGCCACCGCGCAGACTCCGAAAAAGCGCCTCCCGTATATCGTTTGCTTCGACCTCCACGCACCTTTAACATGCAATGGACGCCGCTTCTGCAGGGCCCGGTCCATATCGAGCATGATGCTGCAACAGCAGCGAGTCATTGGGCACCCGCGTGCGGCATCCAGGTTCTTCCGAGCCCGCTAGGTCCGCTCCTGCTCCGTACCTGGTGGCACGGTGTTCTAGACGTGCTTGTCACTATGGAAAAGGTGGAACCTGTCTGGGCCCCGTCGTCAGAGTGTTCAGAACAGCTGCCCGCAGAGGAGGATGTTGCGCCATCGCTGCTTCTCTATGAGCGCATCTTCACGGGCGCTCCCTGTGCTCATTCGATCGTTGGCGAGAGCCCCACAGGGCTCTCCACGTCCTGTGCAGCAAACGATGAGCATTTACCACTTCCATGGGTGTCACCTGCGCAGACAGTGCCCCGTCTGCAACGCAGTGTGCTGCTCATACGCAGCCACCAGGGCGTCTCGGCCCTCTATTTGACGTGGCTGGATATGATCAGCCACGTGCTTTCCCCGAGAAGTTGGCCGTCTAGCTCGCTTTTCCATTCCGAACCGGATTCCAATGACGAGTTTATGGAAAGTGAGCAGCTTGAACAGCTGTTGGAGCAGTTGCCATGCTCCACGCTTGTGCAGTCGCTGGCGTCAGAGGCGGCTCCGCTGGGCCTCGCAGAGCTGCGCCTCCCCAGTACAGTGACACTTGTGAATGGCCCAGCCGCGAACCTGCTGCTTGCAATGGATGCTGATGGAGAGCACTTGCGAGCAGCGGCATTGCACTGGTGGCGCTTACCGAGCGTGGGCGCGAGCCTCCGTTTCCCGCGCTCTTCCATGACTACGCGGGAACTCGAATACACGGATCTGGTGCACGCATGTTCGCCGGCGGTGAAAGCAGGAGCAGCAGCAGCATCAACAACAACAACAACAACAGTAGCGACGAAAATACGTTCAGCATCGGGGCTAACGCCTTTGGAGCAAAAGCTCACGCAGGTATTCGGTTCCCTGGTGCCATGGCACACGTCCGGAGTCAGTCATGCTGCAGCGACAGGCGACGCGCAAGAACTTTGGGAACAGACGCGAACGCTCGTTCTCCTTTGGCAGATGATACAGACGATTATCCAGCCGCTGCGACTTTTCTATGCACAAACGCTATCATCGACTATAGAACAGCTTCCTCTGAGACTGGAAACGAACGCACGTCAGTACAGCTACCTCCAACACCGCCTAGAAATGCTGCAAAGTCGAGCAAGAGACTTGGATCATCGCATTCGTATCCTGGCGACAGGAATGAATGAAAATCTCCAAAAGCGCGCTGCAGGTCTATCGGAGCTGCTGCTGCATCGGAAACCTATGATCACTCCGCTGGAGCGCCAGTGTTTTCGCCAGCTCGAGCGCTATCGCGAACGCCTCTGCGAGTTCCAGCAGCGCCTTACGCAGTTACAACGGCAGGCTGCAGCGGCGCGGCAATCAGGAAGCAGGGCGCTGCCCGAGCTTGATATCAGGGAAGACTGGTCGCTGTTACGAAAAACCCAACAGCGTGAGATTCGTCAAGCTATCGAAGAGAACACCCGTCGTTTGGAACGGCTTTGCCAGGTTTCGCAGGAAACACGAGCGTCGATCGAGCGACTTGTGCATATGCACGACATGCGGTTCTCGTCGTTAACGGGAACGTGCAAAGACGACACTCGGATTCTCTAGCAGTGCTTTATGTAAGTTGCAGATGCGAGCGGGGAAGGCACGCACCAAGCGAGCAAGTGGGTAAACCCTGCGCTTCCGTTTGCCGCGGACGCGAGTTCTTAGACGACTCCACCGGTGTTCGCGTCGAGCCGCTCTCGAAGAAATTTCTACGCCCTGAAAAGCTCCGTATAGATGAAGCGCCGGCCCTATGCTTATCCAGCTGGGGGTCGCTTCCATGCAGCACTGCTCACGACAGTGCCTGCTCACCGCTGAGTGGCCATGCGTGACCAGCACCGAAGGCGTCCCAAATTTTATGTGTTCACGGTTGGTGAAGCACAGAGAAGTGACCTCGGAACTTGCTATCGTGGATGAGTTGTCCGTGATGCTTTCGTGAGCATAATCGTGATCTGCGGCTCGAAAATCATGGATAGGTGCGTTCTGCTACCGCCAAGCCGACAACGAATCATCGCATGCGCGGAAAATCGTGGTTGACTCGTTCCAATAACGTAGAAGACGACCAAGCAGTCTCGCTGGTGGCAGATGACTGACCACCAACATGGGTAACTGTTGATGTTGCTGTTGACGCGCGGGCGCATCCTCCTGGTCGACAGGATCAGAGTGCTGGTCGTAAGGCCGGCATGCTTCGCGCTGACACTCAGTTCGGGGCGGCATCAGCACTCCCGAAGCAAATTCCGCGTGACACGGAACCATGAGATGTTCTTCACAGCGAATACCCTTGACGAGATTGCCTTCGAACTCCAAACACTCAAGACAGATGGCGAAATTGATGCCACAAGCTGCTCTGCATACACTACAGAACAGCGTCGAAACACAGATTGCCTCTTGCCACCAGCTGTGCCCTGCGACAAGTCGATCGATTGCCATTCGCGGAAATCGCCAAACCTGCGCATTGGCTAGGGTATTCGTCACGCTATTCCAAGCCCGCTGTCGCGTGGTCGTCCACGAGCGATGCAGGCGTTCAAGGCGCAACTTTCGTCGCCAGTGATGCAGCACAGCTGCAGCCTCCAAGCACGCTGCACTGGAACGAATCCAGTACACGAGAAAGCAACTTGCAGGATTGTCTGCTCGGCATTTTAGAGTCTGCTCTCGCCGAAACAGTTCAATGAGAAGCAGGTTGGCACGAACACAGGGACACAGCGCTTGCCGCAGCAGACTGCGTTCCCGATTGCTCCAAAGCGCAGCACCCGCCTGATTCAGCGCAGCCAGCATCTGCACAAATCCAAGTAACACGTCATTCACGGTTCCTGTTTTCTGGAGCGCACGTTCCCAGCCGATGGCTCTGCGGCTGAAAGCAAGCCACTCCAGTGGTGCCCAGTTGACTGCCTCTGCCACATTCCAGCCACAATTGAAACCGCAGTGATAGGCTCGCGGCATGGTCAGCACGATTTGACCCGGTACTTGCACTGCACGATACACGGGAATGCCGTGCTGAGCCAATGACGCCGGCGATATCAACAGCGACTTGCTCGTTAGAGCCCAGGGCAGGGTGTGCGGGGTGCGCAGCGCCCCCGAGCACGAAGCGTTGGCCCCGCTCAAGGACGCCGCGCTCCAGCGCTCCATGATCAGGTGCTCGACACGATCCGCGAAACTTGCTGGTATCGCGTACCAAACTTTGGGTTCACCGAACCAGAGCATCGATAACGAGCACAGATGCATATCCTCGACGTGTAAACCGAAACGAGTGAACAACCCCCCCAAATACGCCATAGGTACGTTGATCCCTCCTGCTCGTGGCCAAAAGCGCAACAGGGAGAGAGGTTTCAGGGGTACTGCCTGCCCCCCGGGCGACGTACCCGCGCCTGTGCATCCCTCGCAACTTGTTGCCTGATGATGGTGGCGATGATAATGCAGGCCCTGCGGTAACCATGGTGGAAGTTCAGTGTCGCTGACACTACCCGAGAGGCCAACAATATCTATTGCGTACTGGACAGAGCGAGGATGACCTGCAAAGCCGTGCTCCAGCGCTTCCCAGAAACAAGCCTCGAGCCATTGCACCCGTTCGGGGATGATACTTTTCTGCCACTTCAGTCTGGTTTCTAGTGGGATGCTCTTCGTTTCTGGCTCGCTCGTTGCGGGGAGCGAAGCACGCGCGTGCGTCTGCAGCCAATCCACGAGCTGGGCATCGAGTGCTCGCACTTGATCGCGAAACGCTGCTGCACTCATGGAGCGATTGCTCTCGGGAAAGCAGGGCCAACCAGCGTTAGACCATGTTCGACGGACTCTTTTCTGCGGTGAACGTTGGCTACGCTCGCTGGGTGCGAACTGCGGGAAGCGTTGCACGCGAGGCTGCACCATGGTCTGATGCAGCGCCTCGGTAAGCTCCATTTCGGAGACGCCGTATTTTTCCAGACAAGCCGGTGGAATCGAAAGCACCACGATACCGTGGCTTTCCCATTCGGTGAAAGAACGATGGACATAATTCACAAAGTTTTCGAGGTCCTGCGGTGACGGGCGATAGACCGGTGCGTCTGCAGCAAACGCCGCGGGGGCTGCTCGTTCGCTATGCGCTCCAGATGCAATAGAATGCTCTTTTTCAGCATAAACACCAGATTGGGCATCGTCTGCTATACTTTGGTGAACGTTCTGCTGAGGCATGGCGGCTGGTGCTGCTGTCGCTGATACGACTGCAGGAGGCCGTTAGCGAGCAGGCGAGCGCCGGTCTCAGCAGGTCGCTGTGTTGACGGCAACGCGTTTCTTGCCCCGTTCAAATATGAAAGCCGCTATCCAGCACCTTTCAGGTGCACAAACTCTTCATCAAACTCGCATAAAGTTCAGTATACTGGAACTGGAAACTCCGTTGCGGCACGTTGCGTCTGGTACGAACGGCCCAAGGCGTGCAACGCTGCTTCGATTCCGTTGCCATGGGGTGGCGATCGCTCGCCACGTCGCGCTCTTGTAGGCTCGTATCCAATGAACGTGTCACTCTGAACTGATCGCACTGATCTTGCTTTTCGATTTTGTTTCCGAACCTTTTCCTAGACGTAAAGCATCGCTATTCGGAGTACGTCAATACGGGCTTATGGATTCATGTGTAGTTATAGGGAGTCATGGTCGTCATTTACGAATGGCTTCTTTGGATCTCTGCTGCTGGAAATGATGAACACAACAGAATCAAGATGATCCGCAACGTACCCCTACAAGAGTTCGTGAAATACCTGAGATCACTATCAGATTTTAATGTACAAGCGTCCAGTCTGCTCCTTTCCGTACGGGTATGGCATGTTCAAATCATGCATTTTCCAAGTTCCTCTTTCGTTCTGTTTCAAGGCATCTCTTGGACGCTGCAATTCGGGTCGCCTTATTGACGAGAAAACATCCACGATATCGTATCTTGACAGCATTCGCACCTGCTTACGCCGAAATGTGAGTCAACTTCTGACGCTAAATAATCGATCCGGCTCGAAGGATAAATCTGGGTACCTTCGTGGTCATCGATGAAATGGCCTCCAACAGCACTTGGGTATCTCTCAAGGCAGATGCTGCCCGGTGCTTCCATCTCTTCTGTTTGCCTGGAAATGCGCGTCGGGCCCGGACATGAGTCATCGGAGCGAGCGCGTCGAGTGCAGCGTACGTCACTGCCTTGCACAAAGGGAACCTAGAAGCATCGACATTGCTCGACGTGCTCCCCGGCCTGGATATTCCTTCCCGTGCTGTGTTTCATCACGGGCAACGCCATGCCCTGCACATCCTCTACCGAACCGTGTTGCGTGCGCTCGCAAGTGCAGCCGACCGAGTACTTGCCGAACGTAGCGATTAGAGGAGGCCGCAGAACGCGGGGTGCGGCACCAGACGCCGATGCAGAAAGCGCGCCCAACCTATCGTCAGGCACCCGTCGAGGGAATGTAACGTGCGGTAAAGTAAGCGTTTGTGGGCCACATGGCGGAACTCGGAGGAGGACCTTTTATGGACAGATGGGAACACCTGATCACAGTCAACTGCCACCACTGCCAAGGGTTCACCGAGCATGCATACAAAGGAGATGAAAAAAAACAAGCGAAATATAGATCGCAACTTCCGCCTCTGCATGAAATGCGTTGAAAACAGATCGAAGCTACGAAAACGGAGCTTGAACGCTGACATCAGCATCCTGCAACTGCTTATCACGAAGCGGGACGGAGACGAGCGACCAGCATATTTAAAGCCGGTGATCCGAGAGAATAAAACGAAGCAGTCATGGCAAAAGTTCGCACGAAGCTGATGATGACGACACACAGAGGAGACCCGGAACTTTAGTATGCATACACGAGTTACTGAACCCGTTCCATTTCTTATTCTGACATGGATGCAGGCTAGCAATATGGGAGCTACGATTCGGATTGTCCAAAGCTGGTCTGCGACGACGAGCCTGAAACAAGATATTCGGACGACAACGCCATAGGATCAAGATGTGTCAGGCGAGGATGTGGCGACGCGTCATCGATAAAATACGCTTCGTCTATTCGCGCTAGACCCACGGTTCTTTAAAAGGAGTAGCGCATATAGCTGCTTGAAAATCTTACCTAGCCTGAACTCATTCATTTGCTTTACAATATGTAACCGCTGGACCTGATATCCCTGATTCCCTAGCTATCGTGCTTCGAATGTTGCGAGCAGCTCAGCCGGCCGCTGCTCTCGTAAAAAACAGAGCAGAGCAACTGGACAAGAGCATCCTCCACCGACTGTTTACTGGTCGCTAGCTAGTGCACAGGTTGGTTTCGGCGAGTTGACGCTAGCAAGCCCGGAACGCTGCCGGCGTTGACAACTACCACGCTTGGCACTTTGACCTTAAAGAGAAGCTCCAGCCTCGCGCCCCCAGCTCCAAACCCGTTCGCTGCGCTACGCTCTGTAACCGACAAACTGGACTGCTTTAGCTGACTCGGCCGTATTCACCGTGATTTCAGGATCAGCTCTGTGTTCATCTGCTCTCTCTGCCGGCAGAAAGCCTGACTGGTATCCTCGCGCTAGACATGGGTTCAGGGCGCAGCGCACGACCATGACCTTAGAAGCGCTTCAACGATCAGCGCAGCTATCGCGGAACACCATTTTCTGACCAGGTTTTCTGGCGTGTGTTTTCGAGCCAGCTAGACATAAGGCCAAGTCTCGACAGCCACGCACCGACTCTAACGAAAGAAGTACCACCAAGGCAAGTTCATCGCGAAAGGTTCGCTAAAGACCTGCAAGGAAAACTCACACACGTAGGCGTGTCGCTGTTGCGGTACGCTGTGAGCTAGCAGCTCGCGCAGCGAGCTACGCATATCTTCAGGCTCTTGATGGCAAAGAATGTGAATGATCAAACAGAGCTCCGGATCGGACACGAGGGGAACCAACAGATAGAGGCCCTGCTCAAAGAGCGGAACGAACTCTCCGAGGCACTCGCACAGACACAGGCCCAGCTTGCTGCAGCGCTCATGCGGGTCGAGGCCGCAACTCGTGTGATAGAACGCCTCCTTCGTGAACGCCAACCACTGCCTCAGGAAGAGTCGAGCCCATCACCGTCACCTACTTTATCGAAAGAATCCGTGGGTGCGGCAGAGCCCGCGTCATCGACGACGAGTCGCGCAGGGTCCAACACCCGTGGCCGTCGTACCCGGAGCTGTGTGCGCCGCGGAGGTTCCTTCCAGGACCTACCGGAGCGCTCCGCTAAAAAGCGATGACTCTCCGAGGCCTCCAATGATTTTCCGCCACATATGGATGCAACACCATTCGCTTGAAGCGCTTCTTATGAGAGATTACGCGGATAGCTTGGTGGCGCTTTTCTTCACCAGCGGTTTCCCGCGCAATGACTTTGAGCCACAGACATCGAAATCTCCGGAAGCAGGAAGCAATGCAGAAATGCAGGTCCATCGTCCTATATGGATGGATTATATCGGCTTGCTTCCAATGATGGAGCACGATTGACGAATGCACGGATATGGATGGCAGCGCTTGAGCCGTCCCATTGTGATCCAGATCATTACCCGGAAAGATGCGCGCTGCTTTCACTGTTAATGTCGAAGCAGCGCGCTGTTTGGCACGTGGCTGCTTTCATTTTCCAAGAAGATATTCGTGGCTTGCGCTTTCGTTTTTCGAAAAACGTGCAATCCCGAAATCCGCACATGGATAAGGACCTCGAGCAGGCAATGCTGAGCGTATGCTGAAGCCATCCTCTCTTCATATGGCGACTGCAAAAGGTACGGTATTCGGCAGGTAACCAGATCGATCGAGTGCCTTGGATGAAGCGCAGCAATCCGCTGGGACACCTAGTCCAGTTTGCGCAACGCTGCAGTGATGTAGAGACTGTACATATGCAGAGATCGGGTTCTCAGTGAACAGCAACCGAGCAGTATTCACTGGCATCTCGAGCTCGTATGCAGAGCCCAGGGTCGTGTTTTGCGGGCAGCGCTTCAACCGAGCGCATGGAACGCTGCGGTGCGAGTGCTGCGACATGAATATGGTCATGGAGCAGGCGAGCTCTTCACCAGACTACGGGCATTTTTTTCCGCAAAAGGGTACATTCTGGTGGATGCTGCGGCACCATGTCACGGAAATTCGAACAGCTTTTCAGAGAGATAGGCATTCATCGTAAACGTCATTGCGCGGACTAAGTGGCGGGCGTTGTCCAGATACGTGACGAAACGCAAGGCGAGTGGGAGCTATTAATGGCAGGCAGGGCTCGAATCTCACCTTCGTGACTGAATATGGAGTCGCTGAGCGGACGTTTTGCGACGAGTTTACATGATCGCCCTTAGACGACGATGAATCAGAGATCGCCAGGTACAAGCGTTCCACCAAAGACGAAAATATCTGTGATGACGCTGCCGGATGCGCAGTGCTCTCACAAGGCCATGTGCAAGCGCTCCATAAAACAGACCCAAATCGCTGATGATCCGGTTGCATCGTCAGCGCTTCCAACAGGTAGCGTGGTCTCCGAATCAAGCCCCGATTCACCAAGATACGATGCCGAACAACAACACGTCGCTCCAGTGCCGATGCTTCAGTGGTGCTAGAGCCAACAACAAAGTCCTCAACCAATAACGCACGGGCACTTTTGCTAGTTTGTCACTTTGGGGCTAAAAGAAAAACTTGCCAGTGAAGGACTGCTTTGTCACGTGCTGTGTTCGCGTGAACAGGTTCCGGCCTTTTGGTGGAGGTCACACCACCTCCACCTGAGACGTCTACGATGCCCGTGGGTTCAGGAGATCACGACTCCGACCAAAAAAAACAGGCCGATTCAGGTCCTTCGACCCAGGACCAGCGGCCCGTCTGGCGGCGACAGCTTCACAGTTTTACGTGCGTAGCGGCAAACCGTACGCACCGGAGCCAGTCTGCGCGTTCGTGCGCCGGACGAATGGGCAACGGGTCAGACTCAGCATGACTCCAGGATAAACGGCATGAAGGTATTTCGGACATGATCTGCGTACCGAATCCGTCCCATTTCGAACCGGAGGAAGTATATACGCCCTCCAGGCGCGATGTCGTGGCACCAATCACGCTGTGAACCAAGCACTCGTTGCTGATGGCTTCTTCTCGCCAAGCTGTGCCACAAGTTGCTCGCGCAGAATGGGATACATAGCAACTGCAGCCTGTTGCGCACAGCAAAATGCCTTTGAGAAGCTCTCCGGAGCACGAATATCGTCGACTGTGCTGTCATCCCGACGTCGTTGGCTCGTGGCACCACGCCACTGCAGATCTGCAGTTAGGCCCAGATTCGGCAACAGAGCAACCCATAGACGCCCTTCGTGGGCGCTGGCTTCCTCTTCCGATGTTGGAAAAGCGATGCAGGTCTGCTCTGTGCCTGCATACCCCGGTGTCGCGTTAACGGCGACAGAGACGCCGACAAGTGCATCAACGAGCGCGACCCCGGCATCTAGACAAGCGGCCCAGGCCGCGGTTGTTGCAAGCGCAAGTTCACTGCCACCCTCCTCCAGAACCCAGATATATACCCAGAACTGTAGTCGTGGGTATTCAGTGCGAGCGATGACACACTCGAGGGAGCGCGTTAGCGCCGCTGCGAACCTTCGCTCCGTTTCGCTGAGCGTAGCGCGTCCGCGCGAGGGTGCCCAGCGCTGCTCGTCCGATTCTCCACCGGCAAACTGGAGTCCAGTGGATATCGTATCTGATTCTAGCGTCTGTATTGATAACGGGCGGCTTGAGAGCCCCTGGCGGTACTCCACGACCACGGTTGCCAGCTCAGTGTCGGTGTCGGTGCTCCCCTGGGGCGGCCGCGGTCCGAATACCGCAGCCACGACTTTTGTCTTCCCTAACTGGCAAACAGCGCTGCCCTCGGGCCTGGAAAGAACGCCCAACTGGCAGCGGAACGACTTCATCGCATACTTACGTACTTGGCACGCGTCCTTGAAGGCACGGCGAAGGCCTGGAGCGCTATGTACTTGGGCGGCGGTTGGTACAACCACGAGCATTTTTTTCATTTTTTCTCGATTTCACGAGATGTTGACATAGGCCAGCGTTCCTCGACGGTGCGCCTGATATCAGCGCGCGGTAAAGCATCCATTGATCCAACTACTTCCAGGTTCAATATTCTATACTTCATCTCGGATATACTAGTCGTCTCATACGTACTATCGTGTGCCGCGTGCCTGGCGTAATCGTCCGCGATATAGCGCCCGTACCGTCGGTGCGGATGCAGCACGGAGACAGAACGACTCTGGCGCGCCCCAGAGTGCGTCAGCTCGAGCGCGTAAACTGATACCCACTCACTGGCGCTTCTCCGGTTTTGTTGACCCGCAGACTGCAGTCGGTTTCAGTTTGTCCTGGCAAACTTCGAGACTGGAAGGCTGCCCCACGAAGATGGCTAGCATCAGCTCCGCAGGTCTTTTCTTCAGCACTGCACATCGCCTGATATTGATGGCGGTATTAAAGCCCCGGCTAGAGAATTCCATGTGTTGATTGTCGCTGGTGGAACTCATGAATGCGAGAATTGCGAGAACTCGTGCCCGCTGTGCCGTTTTCTGCTCTGTAAGCGCCACCTGCTTTTCTATCGTTGAGGCACTCCGCTGGCTTTTCTCCATCTCGAATTTCTGAAGTGTGCGCCCCAGCTCATCCCTCGGATTTTAGGTTTCTTTGAAAGCAATGAAATTGTTTATGGCCTTAGGTGAGGACCGTCCCCGAGGGAGAGCGACTGGAAGAAGAAAGACGACACGTGTCCAGGTGTCACCGTGTGCTGAACACTTCAGCGAATCACTCTGTGTAGCGATCATTATATTTCACGATAGAAATCACTCCGCTTTATTGGGTTGAATCACGCAGAGCATGTGAGAATGAAAAGCAGATCTACCCCGGAAAGAATCAGCAAAAGCCCAAACGCACGGGGGATGGTGAAACGCCACGTTGTCCAGTAGAAGGACGTCGTTAGACATCGAGGAATAGTCTTCAATGATTGGACAAAGTGCGTGCCGTCGTTTGAGCCTTCTCCACGAGCGAAACCGAGGCCACGAAATGAATCCATTGCCGCTCGAACAGAGGATGTCGTCGTTCTATTCGAGTTCGATCGTACATACAACATGCTTCCTCGCCGCGAATCCCCATGTACGCTCCGACACTTTCGTCCGAAGCAAGTCCCATTGACTGAAACAAAATACCAACATCGCTGTGCGTCATAACGATCGCGACATTCCAGGAACGCTGTCGTTGCGACCTCGGTGAAAGATGGCTGTGAATGAACGAGGACTCTTTTTTTGCGACTGTTTCCGAGTGATTTCAGGACCATACGAATAAGGTGCACCGGAACGGAAATGGCCTTGGATGCGACGATTGTCGCATTTGCTCTCCGTTACCTGTTCAAAGGATCGTTTCCCGCCATTGACATCAAGCGCGCTTTGAGAGTGTCGGTTTGTTTTTCGCGGAACGCATATCTTTCTTTCTTTCAGTGTTCCTAAACCACATGAGTACGGTCGTATGAATAACCGAAGAGGAATGCAGTCCTCCTTACATTCTTCAGTAAAGAATATATCCTAAAGGCAAATCGTGAGCAATCTATACGGCACATTGCATCGTGAGTAAACCGAATTCAGTTGTAAGGCTATACCGCATTTGGATTATACACCTCGTTCGATTCACGGATCATCATGTACCACTGCAACGGGCGGCGGTTTTCTCACCGCCACGAGAAAATGGTATCCGTGCCAAAAGACAGTCCAAAAGGATGCTTCCTTCAGATACTCGGCGCGCCTTTGTTCTACAGAGTTGTCCATGTCGCGTACTATTCCGCCTCTGTGCCGAGTCCCGCGGCCATTTTCTTGAAGAGGGATTCTGGAATAGCGCCTGGCTCTCGCACCGATGCATCGCAGCGCTGGAACAATGCCATCGGTGACGCTGTTGGACGCAGAGGTGCCCCGAGTATGCACACTGCTGCTCATATTTCTTGAGTCTGTCAGCTGTTTTAGGTGCTTCACATGTAATCTAAATGCACATCGATTGATGCGCACGCAGATGCCAGAGACACGGAAATTCGATGTTTATTCCGCGTGCGATTATGGAGCCTGTCCAGAGATCTACTGGATGCACGGGCGTTACTGGTCGGAAAATTGATGGACCCTGCTTGCGTCTGGGACACGGCCCGCAACACACTTTTCTCTGGTGTGGAACGCCCACATTTGCATGTGAGTTGTCCTTTCAGGTCCAGCGTGCGTAGCGCTCGACGCCTGGTTCATTTCATGTACAGGGGCGTCTCTGGTGGCCGCTACAGACTCCAGTGACTGCGTTAGGATGCCTCCCGGCCGCGATACGCAACCTGTTTACATCGGCGCCAGCGTCTCCAGATGAACGACATGCCGGATGCTCGGCAATCGATTCGAGTAGCGAGGTGCTTGCACGCTCTGCACGGCAACGCTCGACACTGAAGCAAGCGGTTTGCGTAGAAGTTTCCGTGCGCGCACCAGTCTCAGATAAGTGTATCCGTGGCGGCTGCTACAGTTGCTGAAGCATCGCGCACAGGAATGATGTCTCTTTGTCATGTACGACTGGAAGCGATGACTCTCAAATAACGCTCCTCTGGGACGCGGCGAACCGACAGAAACCAAGACACTTGTGTATCGCTACCAAATCGGCATCTGTTCCCACCTGGTGCGATTGTATTCTCAGGGCATCAATGACACCACACACACACACACACGAGACCAGCTCGGATGATATGGAGCCTCAGGCGGGCGCAGGTGCACCCATGATGCTGGAGAGGTCTCAGCGTCTGCTGTACGACTGCCAGCTACAGCATGCGTCCCGCAAAGGCATGACACATTCTAGACGGCGTCTGCGTCCCGAAATCGTGATCGAGTCACGCGCCCAGCTTTGCCAGCGCAGAGACCTAGTGGTCGACGTCGCTCGCGGACTGCGCGCCATCCAGCGCAGTGCACGCTCCATTTGATCCTTACATGCGTACACGGCACGTACCGTAGATCCTGCAACGCCTCGCATGCCCCATGAAATGCTTATCATAGCAGTGAGAAGCCAGCACGTGTATCGAAATCGCTGCCTGTACCGCGATACATGCGACGGATAACGCCATAAAGCGCCGCAACAGACCTTGCAGATCCAAGGTCTACGCGAACATCGCAAAGTATCCCCTCTATACATGGCGTCCAAAGGAGAAAATGAAGCGTGCCCTTATGACCCGTAGAGCCGATGCCCTGCGTGTCGGGATTCACCACACCATCCGTGGAGGAACGGCAGGCGCATCCCTGGTCACCAGCTGTTCGAGCGCAGCACGCACGTATCGATGGGATTCCTCACCGATCCGCGACACACAAACATCCGTGCCGCGCACGCTGTGATCTGGCGAACATCGCCCTCGAGATACGCAAGGCGCATGCGCGCTGCGTGTTAACGCTGTATGCGTGCGTGCATGCGTGCGTGCGTGCGTGCGTGCATGCGTGCGCAGCGCTTCGAGGCACGCACACGCCCCAGCAGTGATTGCTGTGCATTGCCGGGACGACAGCGCTGCGCCCAGTACCAACGGTGAGCGTTGCGCCTGAGTTCACAAAGACCCGTTTGTTTAGAGCGTTCCAGAGCATGTCGAGTTCATCTGCAGAGCTTTTTGTGCGGGATCAGGCTGAGGAAGATGGTGCCTCGTCCCAGGGCGCGAATGTGGCTACGCGCTCGATTCCAAGGGCGCACGCCGGCATGAGCCTCGGCCCTATGATCGGACCCTACAGCCTTGGCCGAACACTGGGCGTCGGCTCTACTGGCAAAGTTAAGCTGGGTGTTCACGTGGAAACTGGTGAACTAGTTGCAATAAAAGTGATCCGAAAAGAGTTCATTGAGCGAAAGGAGTCGCTAAAGAAGAAGATGCAGCGCGAGATCGCTGTTATGAAACTGTGCGACCATCCTAATGTGCTGCGCCTGCTCGAAGTCTTTGAAACGAATACGCACCTTTTCCTGGTAACAGAGTACGCGGACGGTGGCGAGCTCTTCGACTATCTGGTCAAGCGAGGGAGCCTCGAACCAGACGAGGCGCGGCTATTTTTTCGTCAGATAATCGAGGGCGTCGACTACTGTCACCAGCGATACATCGTTCACCGTGACTTGAAACCAGAGAACCTCTTGCTGGATAAGGAACATCGAATCAAAATAGCTGATTTTGGGATGGCAAGTATGCTGCCGCCGGGGAGTATGCTGGAAACAAGTTGCGGGTCGCCTCATTACGCCGCACCGGAGATTATCAGTGGTGAAATGTACAGTGGTTTTGAAAGCGATGTCTGGAGTTGCGGTGTGATTCTGTACGCGCTGGTTACGGGTAAGTTGCCATTCGATGATGATAATCTGCAGAGGTTGCTGCAAAAAGTGAGATGTGGGCTATACCATCTGCCGAGTTATCTGCCTCCTCAGCTCCGCTCTCTGATCCACTGCATGCTCACAGTGGACCCGAAGCGGCGAATTACCGTCGAAGGCATCAAAGCGCATCCCTGGTATCTGGGGAAGGGCGAGAAAGGTAGCGGACCACATCACTCGCAATCGACCGCAAGCGATGGGGCAACAGCTGAAGGCGCTGACGCCAGGGAATCGAGAACCATACCGCAGTCGCTGGAACCAGCGGCGCCGTTGTATCGAGAGCCGGTGCTGGATCCAGTTCCTGCGATCCTGCAGTCTTTAGTTGATCTCGGTTGGGGTGATTCGGACTCTTTGCGAGCGATTCTAGCGAGTGAGCAACCGAGTTTAGAGCGTGTCTTCTACCGGCAGCTCGAAATTCGCGAGCGCGAGATGAAACAACAATCTGCGAATGATAGCGACGAGGGCGAAAGCGGAACTCCGAGCCCGCGCGCTGGAAGTGCAGCTGAGAAAGCCGCGGATATGTCATCGGCAATAGCTGCATTATCGAACGCAGAAGCGACGTCAGCGGTACGGACGCGAACGCGCCGACCGCAATGGTTTCCACCAGAGTGGTCGAATGCAACCGATGTGCCTGCTGGTGCTGGTGGTGGTGGTGGTGGTGGTGCTCCTGTTCAAGCCGCTGATCAGACCAATGACATACAGCATCGGCTCGCGCAAACGCACATCGGAGCTGAGGACGCAACCAAGGCAGCAGCGTCCACCGAGGCGGGCAATGCCGGTGTCCTTTGGGAGCGTCCGACAGTTGCCTCTGCGCCGCAGCGCATTCCGCGCGGTACTGGAACGCATCACGGGGCGCACGAGAAGGAGAGCATATCGGGTGACACTGGGGAGCAGCCATCGGATGGTGCTGAAGCCCAGAATGCTGACGAGGACATGTTCCTGGCCGACCTGTCAGGTCCGAAGAAGAATTGGTTCGATAGCCTCGGTCGCTACTTCTACTCGCGCCAGCGACGTCGCAGCCGAGGTCCCCCGTCGTCTCACTCGCAGAGCACGGACCAGACACCGAAAAACCCTACAACTTCAAGTAGCGATAACGGGAGCACGGCGACTGAGCAGAGTGCGGATACGCCCGTCAGCGCAGCGCACCTCTCATCCTAGCAGTCAGGGTAAAATCCGGTTGTTCAGTGTGTGTGAGTGTGTGGCATGCTTCATGGGATACATTGCACAAGTCGTGTGGCTTGGCGCGGTATCGTGGCCCCGATGTCGACTCGGTGACCAGCTTCGGCTGAGAAGCATCGCTCCCGGCCGCAACCGGTGCCGGCAGCGCCCTGCCCCCCGTTTCTCGAACCCGAAAGCACTGGTAATCCGCGCGTTTACCTGATCCGTCTTTCGGAGGTTACTTGGCTGCGCAAGTGCAGCCAAACAACCTCCGAACCGCACCGTCATTGGACGTGAATCGTAACGCTGCCTCTGTTCATGCATCCCGCGTACGTGCGTCGGATGCATCCTACATGCCTCCGACACTGGATTCTTCCGACATGTGAACGCATGTCCATATACTTCAACAGTGTGTATGTGTGTGTGTCTCGATCTATGCAATTGCATCGTATATGCTTCACATGACTGCATGCCTCATCCATGTGCATATGTTTGAACGCGAATGACCCTCTTGGGAATGCATTTCACGCGACAGCCTGTGACGCTCGAGCCGGATCCAAATGCAGCGCATATTCGAGTCCATCTACCAGGGCATTCACAGATGCAACGATAATATTCGTATCCGCTGATACGGTCGTAAATCGTAGACCGCGTTTTCGGTCATGGAAAGAAACCAAGACTCTAGTGGTTGCGGCTGTCGCCGATTCCGAGTCCAAGATCCTGACTTTGTAGTCTTCTAGACTGATATGCTCGAGCTCGGGGAACGATCCCAGAAGCGCTCGACGCATTGCCGCGTTGACCGCGTCTACCGGGCCGTTGCCTTCCGCACACTCGAGCGTTGGTGCAGCACCATGCACGAGTACCTTCACAACAGCATGGGTGTGCGTCTCGTTCCGCCAGACGGCCACAGAGGGATCTCGAGCAAGTGCCCTACGGCTATTTCTTTCGGGTATCTGAGCGCTCGGCAGAGGTGTTACGAATAGTGGACCACCCGTTACCGGTGCCGCAGTACCATCGCGGGCGCCTTCCGAGAGCGATCGGGCAAGCGGTTCCGAAAACCAGCTATCTTCAGCATCCTCTGGGTCTTCGGGTGTAAAACAACCCTCCTGGTTCACATACAAAACGCGTTTGTTACCAGTGAAGACGGAAAAATCGACAAGTTCGAACGGCGCCACATAATTGGGAACCGCTCGACGCCACATCATCGCTAGCGATGCCTCGGCGCCTTCGAACGTGAATCCCTTGTTCTCCAGCGCCTTGATACGCTCGAGTATCTTGGTAATACGCGCCTTCCAAACCGGATCGCGTTCATCAAAGGCGAGGTTCAAGGAGCGCAGTTTCGATTGAATGTTACCGCGTCCGCTGAGTTCGCTAACGAGTACTCGTGGCCGATTGCCCACCAAAGCGGGATCAATGAACTGGTAGCTGCGAGGGTCTTTCAGCATAGCGGCCACGTGGAGACCGCCTTTGTGCGCAAAAGCGCTCTCACCAACGAATGCACGCCATGGAACGTGCGGGCGATTCGCAATTTCGTCCACGAAGCGAGACACTGCCGTCAAATTCTGCAAGTGCGTCGTTGAGGCTACTACGGAATACCCCAGTCGCAGCTGCAAGATCGGGATAATCGACATGAGGTTGGCATTGCCAGTACGCTCACCGTAGCCGTTGACGCAGCCTTGGAGCAGCGTGGCGCCCCCGCGCACAGCTGCAATGGAATTCGCTACCGCCAGTTCCATATCGTTATGGCAATGGATACCCAAACGAACACCAGGTGACGACTCAAATCGAGACTGCACCACACGCATAACATTTTCGACGACCCAGGGTGTAGCAGCGCCATTCGTGTCGCAAAGCACAAGGACGTCTGCGCCGGCCTCTACTGCCGCTTCCAAGCACTGCATCGCGTACGAAGCGTTCGCTTCATAGGCATCGAAAAAGTGCTCTGCGTCGAGCATGACCTCCCGTCCAGCTGCTTTGAGATACGAGACGGTGTCCCGAATCATCCGGATGTTTTCATCCAGACTCGTGCCGAGCACCTGCAGAACCTGAAAATCCCAGGTCTTGGCGACTATGGTTACGGTGGGCGTTTCAGCGCGCAGCAGCGACCCTAGTTGCGGGTCCGCGTCGCAGGGAGTCCCTTTGTGTCGCGTTGCACCGAAAGCCACCAACTTTGCGTTACGCATGCGCGGCAACAGTTCCTGCTTTGCCCGCAGGAAGAATTGTTCGTCCTTGGGATTGGATCCGGGCCAACCAGCTTCGATATACGCCACGCCAAGTTTCGCATCAAGCTCCGCAGCGATGCGCAATTTATCTTGGCAGGAGAGCGATATACCTTCGCCCTGGGTGCCGTCGCGGAGTGTGGTGTCGTAGATCTGGATGTTCAAACCAGCGGTAGGTTGATCTAACGCATCCTTCCGGCCTTGGTCAACGTGCATGCAAGGCTGCCTAAGCAGAGACTCGGAGGCGTACTCGAACGCGGCACGTCGGCTTGTGCGTTGTATTCGATTGCGAATAGTCGAGCGACGCTTTCCGTGATTCCACTTCCCGGTATCGAAAGAAGAAAGCGCGACAGGTTCTGCTGAGAGGCCACGCCAGCGCCAGTAGACCGGAAGGCAGAACGCAGTTGCAGGGCGATGGTGATGAGTGCGCACACGCGCACGCGGCTGAGCGCACTGAGCCCAGCCAAGACCGAGTCCGTCACGACCTCCGCCGCTCGATCCAGAACGACACCACATCCCGGTCAGCAGCAGCATCAGTAGCAGCAGCCGTAGGAGTGGTCGTGCGCAAACAAACACAAACACACGAGAGAACGGTACACCCGAGAAACGTGTCGTGCGGCCACGAGTCCCAGGGAGTCGACGAGTTTCCAGCAATAGCTTTCGTCACGATCGCACCCAAAGGTAGATGTTGGCCAGCTGCGTCCAATCCTTTACAAAACCTTCACGTTTTAGACTATCCGCGTACACCGCACCGCCCTAGAGGCTGCTCGTACGCACCGCAACTCTTCCGTCGAAGCGAAAAGCACTACCACTACTACCACCACCACCAAAGAATCTCGCAGTCAAGGTGCTCGATGCAGGTACAAGTGCCCGGCGGCGCCGGCGTGCTACCCGAAAGCCTGGATCACAGCGCGCCTGCCTGCCTGCCTGGCTGCCTGCCTGCCTGGCTGCCTGCCTGCCTGCCTGCCTGCCTGCCTGCCTGGCTGCCTGCCTGTCTGCCTGGCTGCCTGCCTGCCTGCCTGCCTGCCTGTCTGCCTGCCGGCGCGCCGCGCACCCCCGTCGCGCACAATCGCAGCAGCGATACGCTGCCGCCCCTGAATTGCGTGTGTGTGTGTGTGCGCGCGCGCGCGACGGGCGGGTATCGCGGCGTCGACGACGCAGTCACCGGCCCGGGCATCGCGTTCATGGACACGAGGCCGCTGCTGCTGCTGCTGCTGCTGCTGGGATGCGCACGCGCAATCATCCACGGTGGGTGCGGAGAGGCAGCGCGTTTGCGTCCATGCTTCAGGGGTTGTTCAGCGACGCAGAATTCCCGTAGGTTACAGCCGGGTTGGTTACGGAGATTAGCTGCACTACTGAAGGAGGCATGGGGCAGTCGAGTGTCTACAAGGAGGCGTTTGTAACTGCTTTGAATTGCGGTGGAGGAGTTGCGAACGGTATCCAAGGTGAAAAACCCTCAGCAGGCGTCAGGAGGAAAGAGTCGCTGACGACGACGACGTGCCCTCGAACCAGTGCACCCACTTTTAAAAGCGGAGAGCGAAGATCTAGAACAGCCATTTGCCTTGAGTCTCGCTTTAAAACGCAGATAAATGATGGACGATGCGACTCGCCGTCGTGGGTCCAGGGAACGGTGCAGGCGTGCGGCCTGGCAGCGCACACGCGGCTATGTTTCTGGTCGTATAGGCGAACGCAGGGTCGCCTTACACGACGCATGGCGCGCTCTAGTATACAAGGTTTGCGGGACCGATGGAGCATTTCGCCGGTGCGTCTGTATGACGCATCGTTATGGGTGGCAAGCGCAGGCGCGGTCGAGACCACCCTCTTAACGCTGTGGAAGGTACTGCGCAGCGAGGTGACCTGCGCTATGCGCGGCTGCAGTGACGTTCTCTCGAGTCCATATGCTAGTTTATTGGGCATTCCCCTGACTTTTTTCGGGGCGCTAACCTATTCCCTTCTTGCATTCTTTACGTTTCAGGCTCGGCGGGAAAGAGTGTCCAGAATGACATCCGGGGCTAGTGCGCAGAACGGTACTGCTCCAGTGGCCGATGCCGTCGACGCTATCCCGCTCGATGCAATATCTTTCCGATTGTTTGGGCGACAAGTTCGACTGCAGGGGATATCGTACCAAGATCTTATGTTTGGTGCGTCGACCTTTATGCTGGTATTCAGCGGCTACCTTGTATGGTTGCTGGTCTTCGAACTGCAAGCAGTTTGCCCGTGGTGCATATTCTCCGCCGCGAGCTCCGTCATCCTCTTTACGCTCGCCTGTGCGATCGAGAATGCTTTTTATCAAGGTGAACGTTATCGAAGATGGAGCCGACTCTTCTGGGTCGCCGGATGCTCCACTGTGCTTTCGCTTTCAAGTGCAGCAGCTGCCTACGCAGCTGCACAGTGGAGTATGCGAGTGACAGCTACGGTTTCCGCGAGTGAGCTGTATGCGCCGCCACCAATCGAAAGCCATTCTTCTGAGTCGGCTGTGGCGCTCGCGAAACACCTCAGGTCCCTGGGCGCCCGAATGTACGGTGCGTACTGGTGCGAGCACTGCCACGCACAAAAAGAGCTTTTCGGCCGCGAAGCCTTCTCTCACATCGAGTACATAGAATGTTCCAAGTACGGGGTGAACGGAAAAATGAATCTGTGCAGAAAGCGGCACGTTCCGGGATATCCAACGTGGGAAATCCGCGGGGAGCTGTATCCGGGAAAGAAATCCCTCGATGAGCTCAAGGAAATCAGCGGGTACACTGGCCCGTAGCTACACGAGCATACGCGCTTTTGACCTGCATGGATCCATGCAGTACTGGATCGTCAATGATGACACGCCCTATGTTGTCCAGATAAATGCTCGAGGCCCATAAAGGCAGGCGCCTAGCCCAAGCAGGTACCGCCTGGACATGCATGCCTCGCGAATGCTTCGTGTTTGATGAGTACACAAGTGGCGTTTCGTATGCGGCAGGCAGGTCGATGCGCTCGCTAGCCGCGGACGTTGTGCCTTATCTTCCATGTGGACGGGCGTAGAGAAAACCACACCACGTATCTCGATCGAATAGCTCGAGCTGCCTGATTCTGCGTTCAGCATGTTTCCCAGATACCATGCGCGTGAAACCGGGCTCATTGCTGAGTCCCATATGTGCTGTGCACCCGATCATGGGAGAATCCGCGCTGCGCAAAAAACTAGCCACAGTGCTTGTACGACCGCGGTGATCGAGCTTGCGCGTCATTCTCTTTCGGGGCTGGGTGATTTTGATCCATATCACCAGCGACTCGGGCACCGTTATGTGCGTAGGCGAGCACGTGACGGAAGCGATCCAGCATCGCAGCACTCGTGACTCTGTCGCTCACGTTTCCTCCGTCGATCACGTGGCTGGGTCGATTCGCGTGTGTAGCGCTTGTCCGGCGACGATGACCGGAATCGAATGGCCAGTACGATTGCTCTGGTTCCTACTCGCCGCTTTGCACCACACCGATATAAAGAGGGCTCATAGTGTCCGTTCTGCACATGCAGTCGCCATACTCTGGCTGTCTGATTGGTTGGTTGGCTTTACGGCTGATGCGCACGGTTCAGGCAGTTGCGGTATGCGTCCCATACGCGGACTCGACCTGCGCTTGCCCTGCCCCACCGTCAAACAAATCCACGAGCATCGCATGCCTAGCGCTGCCTGCGTAACCGGGGCTACGCTCGCGGCAACGCCCGTCGGTATTTCGCATCAGGAGGCCTCCGGTGTGAAGGGCACGCGATTTCACCCCTGAATCCGATCCGGATCCAATGTGGTACATTCGCGAGCGATACCATCCAAACAGCAAGGGAGATTGACTACATGGGATCATGCGTGCGTGGAATCCTCGGGATGCAGCAGCTGGCGTCGCGGCAACGTCCCGTTCAGCTCCAATGCAGTGCAGACGTAGCGCTGAAAGAGGCATGCCTTCGGCGAAGTCTGCTTCACCAATGCTGCGATCGCATGTGATGAACGGGATCACTCTAGCACACGCGATGATGACTTCCTCGTACTACGCGCAACAGCAGTGACACAGGCCTGCGTTGATGACTCCAAAACACCGCTGAGAGCGCTGGAAGAACGCATGATCATGAGACGGCCATACAGATGACCCTTGTTTGACGGCAACAGGCTTCCTTTCAAAGCCATCCGTGCAATGAAACAAAATAGGATCTCTGACATGGTTTGACCCCAAACGAAGTCACCCAGAACCTCCAGTGAGGCATCGGTGTCGCGGTGCACAGCACACGCGTTGCATGTCGCACTTTTCGGATAACGGGGTTTATCAATATTTGCGCATGATTCGCTGCACTGTATCCAGTGCTTCACATATGGATCATGCGCGCGTTCAGCGGAGAACCCGCCATGATGGAAAAATTCCGTGAGTGCCGCACCTGGAATCCGTTTCGATATCCTCTGAAAACTTAGCCTCGTGCTCTGCACATAAAACTTAGGATGCATGGTCATAAGCACGCATGCTAGGCTAGTCAGTAAAACAAAAAAAAAGTTTAACGTCCATGGACTAGAAGTATATCTACCCAATGCAGACGCCTCCCAGCCTTTTCTGACTTCCAGAATGCTATCGATTTCAGTTTCTGCTTGTACACTTCGAGCATCAGACGCTACCTCACAAGCTTCGATCGCGTCAGCTCTGCAGGTTTCCTCTTCAATACTCCACATTTCCTGATATTGATGGTAGCGGGAAGTCTTGGCACACGAACGACATCCGTTTATTGCCGCTGTTTGAACACATTAATCCAAGGTTCCTCGAACTCGTGCCCCGTTTACCACGAAACTCTCGTCGTCGTCTCGACGTGCGAACACTTTTTCTCGCCCATAGCCGCTATGTTTCTTCTCCTTCGTCATTTGCGCTTCTTCGCTCGATGATAGGCAACAAGCGGATTTTTCTTTTTTTCAGGCACACGGCGACACCAAGCCCGCAGGCTCTCCGCCTTCCATGCCCACACCGTCGCCTTGGGTTCTGTACTTTAGAGACTTAGCGCACTTGGAACGCTTCTCCTATAAATTGCGAGAAAGCGTTGCAACGCAGGCATCCACGCGCGTGGAACCCAGCCGTGCTGAAATCGAGTGTTGCGCGTGACGGCGAACGCACGCCATGCGATGCTGCTGCTGCTGCTGCTGCACCGGTAATCTCGTACGCGACGCTAGTTTCTACGAACCAACGCGATATTCTGCTGCGCTGTTGGTTTTGGTTGCAGTTTCGTTACGTATTTTTGAGCTAGATCGAGTTTGGTTGCACCTGAACCTCACGTCGTGATACCCTGAGCGCCGTCCGTGGTGTCCTAGGGAGAGGCCTCTCGGATTCCGTGGCTTTCACACGCCATGGATCTCGTGTACCTGCTGACGTTCCTCACGTTATGCTTGACACTCACAGCGCTGCAAGTGGACAAGTCGTCTGCAGCGTTGTCAATCCAAAAGCTCATCATTCGTAAAGAACAACGAAATGTTGTTGATGAATCTGGTGCTGATGATCAAATAAAGACACAACGGTTAGGTTTTTGCTCGTTTCAACGCACGTACCTAAGTGTGTACTTCCTTGCTGTAGCAGCGGACTGGCTGCAGGGGCCCATGGTGTATGCGCTCTATGATGCCTACGGGTTTTCAAAGCACGAAATTGCAGCCCTATTCATCGCTGGTTTCGGTTCAAGTATGGTTCTAGGTACGTATGCTGGAGCACTGGCTGACAACTTTGGGAGAAAGCGTCTCGCCTTGGTGTACTGTGCGTTTTACACAGTCTCCTGTCTGACGAAGCATTTTCCTCACTTTGGTGTGCTGCTCGTCGGTCGTTTACTCGGTGGCATGGCGACGTCGCTGCTTTTCTCTGTGTTTGAGGCATGGTACGTGAATGAGCACGAATCACGAGGCTTTCCGGCGGAATGGTTGAGCGAGTCGTTTTCGCGAGCATCTTTTGGTAATGGTCTCGTGGCCATCTTATGTGGACAGCTTGCGGGGTTGGTGGCGGGACCATTTGGCTTTGTGGCGCCCTTTGACGTGGCCATTGGCGTCCTGGTGCTTGTTGCTGTCCTGATCCATCACAACTGGACCGAAAACTACGGCATGCGGGGTGAGCACGTCAGCCGAGGACTCCAGCGAGCGCTGAGGCACACACTCCGCGACTCGAAAATGCGCTGGCTGGGGATTCTCCAATCCTGTTTTGAAGCAGCAATGTATATTTTCGTGTTTTTATGGACGCCGGCGCTACAGGGCGCTCAAGAGAATCCCACGAATCCCATTCCGCATGGGATGATCTTTTCGACGTTCATGGTTGCGCTGATGCTTGGTAGCGTTCTCTTCGATCGCATCCTTCGGCGCATCACACGCGAAGAAAAGGACGCATCCGCCGTGAAAACCATGAACAACGCGGTGCTTTGGCTTATGCAAATCCTTGTGGCGATCAGTATATGCAGTTTTGTGGTTGCCGCAGTCGGCGATCGCCTCCACTGGAGCGCAGCTTATCTTGCCATGATCGGCTTCGAAGTCACGTGTGGCCTCTATTTTCCAGCCATGGGGTGCCTGCGAGGTATCCTCATCCCTGAGGAATGTCGAGCCGCAGTTATGAATCTGTTTCGGGTGCCGATGAATTTGCTGGTGGTTCTTATTCTCGCTTATGTGGATCGATTTACGAACCGCTCCGTTTTCTTCGCGGCGGCAGGGCTGAACGCGATTGCCCTTCTCGCGCTAGTCCGTCTGAAGGCTGCGAAACCGGAGCCAGACACGACTGGGGAAGCTCACGCATGAGCCTGCACACCTGTCATATTGACGTCCCTGAATACTTGTGTGTGAGTGTGTATGTCGCTTGCGCGCCGGGCGTGGTGGAGTTGGCGGCGGCAGTGCCGGCTCGCGCGGAACCCCGTGCTTGCCCCGCAGTCCAGGGCTTGTCGAGGCTGGACGCGATCGCTACCCGAGATGGATACGGGATACGCACCCTACTTGTGATAGGGCGTATGGTTGTAAATCTCAATAGCCCGATAAATTTGTTCCATCAACACAAGTCGAGCTAGTTGATGGGTAAACGTCAGCGTAGACAAGCTCAATAATTCGTGGGCATGCTGGTAGACTGCTTGTGGCAGACCCGAGGCGCCGCCTATCACGAACGTGACGCGGGAGCCGCCTTGTTCCATCTGCCTCATGAAAACCTCTGCAAACTCCTCACTTGTGTATACCTTTCCGCGCTGGGCATCAAGGGCAACCACTTGACCGCTGCTGCTGGCACGTTCCTGTCGAGTCCGTTTGACAAGGGCCTCCTCGTCGCGCACCCAGACCTGCTCCACGGTAACAAACGGAGCGAGTCGCTTCGTGTATTCCCGGAAACCTTCCTCGATCCACTGGAACTTGCTCTTACCCTGAGCCAGGATTGTAACGTGTAATCGCGCACATAAACTGTTCAAGGGGCGTGTGCGTTTGCACCGTGCCCGGGCCGGCTCGAGCGCGGTCCAGAGCGCTACAAAGCCGCAGCTCCGCGGCATCAGTCCGGCTGCGAAGCGCTTCAAACCGTCAAAACGCGTTCAACGTCGAGGTCAGCAAACGTGCAACCAGCGCTGGAACCGCGCTTCGCCGGACGCGCCCCACAAACGCAGAACGAACGCTAGTCGTTCTTATGGATGAGAGACACGAGCGCCGCGTCCGCACCACGAAAAGCAGTGAAACATAGGGGTTGCATCAACAGCCGTGGAAGTGCTCTATGCGCTTCCAAACTGCATCATGCGTCCATGAATCGCTTTTACAGCATCCGCAGTGCATCCGATTTTTCATCATGCTAGCCAGCGGGTACGTCAGGGAAGTACTCGTGAACAAGCCGGTATCCAGAACTGGGGCAGCATGTGGTTCCCTTATTTGCGCACACTCTACCCGGTCATTTGGCAAACACCGGATAGCCTGGAAACCGGAATTGGTTTGGATGCGAGAACTTTGCCTATCCAACTCACATTTATCAAATTCATCTACTCGACATACCTTTTGAACCTTCCATCGCCTTGTTTGATTTTTCCAATAAACTTTCCGCGAAATTCTCGATACCAGGCCTCGATGCTTCCTCAGCACGACCCAGGTCCGATACAATGCGCTTCGCCACCTCAGTATCGACAAGCGCGCCCGCCTCTCCAACGTGCCGCTTTCGCGGTCATGATGGGCGAATCCTCCATGCGTCTCCATGGCACGGCGCTCGCTTGCCGAACACTCGACATTGCCAACGCAACGAGCCAGAAGAACAAGAAGAGGAGGAGGAGGAGGAGGAGGAGGAGGAGGAGGAGGCGGAAACCCTCGCAGGTCGCTCCTTGTGATCGCAAGCATGCAACTGCGAGCCAGCAACTAGCGATACGCTTCCATGCCCGAGCGGCCGTGTATGGACGGCATCACCATACATACAGCGTTCCAGTCGTCGTCGTCGTCGTCGTTGCCTCTGGAAGCGCTCTCGTGTCCACGAGGCTAGCAACAAACCCATCATTGGACGAAAAAACAGCAGTGCACCCAGAGTGCATCAGCTTCGCCAGCAAACGCTTCGACCGCTGGCACGCAGAACACTCGGAGCATCTCTCTGTTACGAGTTGGCATCCGTTGTGCTAGCATTGTCGTTGCATCCGAAAACCCATCATGACAGCAGCATCAACCGGTGCGCGCACATCCTACTCTCCAGCGTGGCTGTTTCGCAGTCCACCTTGTGCTCAGAAATCGACACCTTCAATACGGTCTTCGATTTCGCGGTACAGATCCCGCAAGCGTTCGATATTCTCCTCGGAGGTTTCCCAGTAGCCACGGCCGTGTGCCTCCAGCATCGTTGTCACCATAGAGCGGAAGCTGTTGGGATTCGAGTCCATGAGCTTCTTCCGCATGGCCTCGTCGACAAAGAAGGTCTGGTTGGCGTTCTCATAGACCCAGTTGTCGACAGCGTCCGAGGTCACCGAGAACGCCATGGTGTTCCGCAAACGCTTGGAAAGTTCTCGCACACCTTCGTAACCAGAGTTCACGAGTCCGTCGATCCACTTGGGATTCAGCAGTTTGGTCCGGCTATCGAGACGAATGGTCTCGTCGAGGCTGCGCACGGCAACGTTCGCCGTCGTCGAGTCCGCGATATACGAGCGGGGCTTGCGCTTGTCACCCCGAAGGGCGGCAACCCACTTCTCGTTTGCGCCATCTGCATAATTCGAGACGTCCGTCAAGGAGATCTCAGACGAATCCAGATTCTGCATCGTGACCTCGACGGTTTTGAGCGCCCGCTCGAAGCGCTGCCGCGCGGGAATCATGGCCCCCGGGCGATCACTATCGTAGGCGAAGGATTTGCGAGAGAGGTACTGTTCCTGGAGCTGCTGTTCATCGGTCCATCCTCCATTTTCAATGGCAATGCCAACGTTCGCAGAATAACTGCCCGATGCATTCGAAAACACACGCGTTGCTGCCTCCCGTACACTGATGTTCTCCTCGGCTGCCTGCTCCAGGGCGTGCTTGCGCACGTAGTTCATCTCGGGCGGTTCATCAGCCTCTGCTGCCATCTTGATCGCTTGGTCCATCAGCGCCATCTGGTTGATCAACAGATCGCGAAAGATGCCGCTAACCGTGACGACCACATCGATTCGTGGGCGTCCCAGCTCCGAGAGCGACACCAGCTCCACCCGGTTGACTCGTCCCGATGCGTCCGGCACCGGACGTGCCCCAATGAGCCACAGCACCTGGGCAATGCTCTGGCCAAACGACTTGATCGCCTCTGTGCCATAAAGTACCAGCGATACCGTCTCTGGCATTTGACCTTGGTTCGCGGCTGCTTCCCGCTCGAGCAGGCGCTCTACGACGACTTTGGCTTCGGCGAAGGCCGAACTCGTCGGAATCGACTGCGGATCCAGCGCGTGAATGTTCTTGCCGGTTGGGACGACGGCGGGGTTCCGGATGGGATCTCCCCCCGGACCCGGTTCGATGTAACGTCCTTGGAGTGCCTGCATCAGCGAACCGAGCTCGTTATCCTTAATGATCTGCTCTAGGCAGACCTCAAGGTACTCAAAGAGCGGCTTCAGGTCTCGTGCTGAGCACTGGGGAAAGCCGCTCTCCTCGAGCGCCACCAGATACGTCGGTTTGATCGCTTCGGACAGGAACGATACCATCACGCGATCAATGCGTCCATCCTTGTTGACTGACTTGGAGACAACCCGCTCAACAGCGTTGCGGCACGCACGCTGAATGCGATCCAACAGCTCGACATCGTCTAGCGCTGTTGAGCGGTACAACTGCTCAATATCCCGATCAACAGACTCGGCTACAATACGGGGCAAGGCCTTGAGTCCTTTCTCCGGCCGATCGACACCGGCGATATTCACGAGTGTTGCTACCGCCTCCGCCGCAGTCGGTGGTTTGCCTATCGTATGCAGCCCGATCGGCAACAAACGAGCTTCTATCTCCATGAGACGGGCGTAGATCGATCCAATAACCTGGTCCCGCTCTTGACGCGTGAGTTGATCGAATCCGTCTACGGGCAAGTTGGGAATGTCTCGGTCGAGGTTGCACTGTCGAGCGGTTGCGACGATCGCTGCGCACAGTGCAGCAGCTCTGGACTCATTCGCACGCAGTTCCTGGTACTCCCGGATAAGCGATTGACACTCTTTGAGTTCCTTGTAGAGGCCGGCGTTCTCTGCAGGCGGTGTAAGGTAGGAGATGATTCCGGCGTAGGAGCGTCGCTTCGCTATGGTTGCCTCCGAGGGATTATTCGCGGCATAATAGTAGAGGTTGGGTAGACCCCCGATGAGAAGGTCGGGGTAGCAATCTCCACTCATGCCGACCTGTTTGCCCGGCATAAATTCCAGACTTCCATGCGTTCCAAAATGAATCACCGCATTCGCGTCGAAAATCTTCTGCAACCACGTATAGCAGGCTGCGAATCCATGATGCGGCGATGCAGACTTGGAGAACAGCAGCCGCATAGGGTCGCCTTCGTACCCGAAACTTGGTTGCACGACCACGGCGACATTTCCGAACTGTGCACCGTAGACCAGCAGATTTGTGCCGTCGGTGTTCAGGGTACCGGGAGGCGGACCCCAGTGCTCCTGCAATGAACGCTGATACTCACATAGACGTTCGTATTCGGATACAGGCATTCGATAGAGCACGTTGAGTTCAGGCGAGCTGATTTTGGCCTCGCGATCGTGCAGTACGCGCTCCATCAACGCATCAACAGTCTCGGGAATATCACCGACGGTATAACCATCCAGCTTCATTGCCTGGAGGACCTTGTGGATCGAGCCGAACACGTCCAGATAGGCCGCGGTACCGACATTGCCCTTGTCTGGTGGAAACGAGAACACGACGACTGCAACCTTCTTCTCGCGGTTCTTCATGCGTCCAAGTTGGGCCCACTTCAGCGCTCGTGACGCCAGCAAATGAATGCGATCGTGCAGTGGAATACTCCGCCCTGTGAGTCCGTCTCGCCCCGCATAGATGAGCGGCTCGATCGCGCCGTCCAGCTCAGGCAGACTAACCTGTAATGCAGTCTGAATCGGATGCAGTCCGAGCTCGCTTCGCTTCCACTCATCAAATGTCTGGAATACAAGCGGCAGCGAGCAAATGTATGGGCGATTCAGGGCTTTGAGGGCTGCAACTGCGCGCGGATGGTCCTGTTTGGCGGGACCCCCAACCAGCGCAAATCCCGTAAGCGACACAACGACGTCGACCAGGGGCACTGCTGTATTCAGCGCATAAAAGAAACGGTTCACTGGCTCGCTGAAATCCAGGGCTCCCGAGAAAATCGGGATTACTTTCGCTCCACGGGCCTCCAGTTCCTGGATGAACGACACATAGTGACAATCATCTTTGGTGACCAGATGAGAGCGCTGCAGTACGATGCCGATGGTGGGCGCATCATTCGCAAGCCTTGCTCGCGGAGCGTGCTCCTTGTCGTACCAACGTATGTACTCGGTGACGTCCTCAAACATCTTGGGTGCCACAGGATGCCAGATTCCTGCATCCGGAAACAGGACCGGATCCTTCACTTCAAACTGGAAGCTCTGAACATCCTGAACGTACTTGGATGCAACCATTAAGATCATGTTTTCGAGGTTCTCTACAGTGCCCCCGAGCCAGTACTGAAAAGAGAGCATAAACGATCGCGCATCCTGAGCCTTGTCGCTCGGCAAGTACTTAAGCACCTTTGGCAGAGTGCGCAGCAAGCGAAGCATTTGGGACTCGAAGTCTGCACCCTGTTGTTCTCGCCGTTTCTTCATGATCTGCCCGATGAACGATGTCGTAGACTGTCCAGTCTGGTTCAGTTGGCCCATACTAAAAGCCCCGAGTTTGTTCAGTTTCATCACCGGAGGTAAGGACGGAAACACGACGCATGCATCGAGACGATCTCTTACAGGCGCGACGGCGGCGACGACCTTGTCGGCAAGCTCTTGGACAAAAATCAGAGATCCGATGAAAATGTTCGCATCCGCAATATCGCGCTTGAAGGCGTTGTAGTTGGCCTCGTTTCGAAGCTCCTCCAGGAGATAGCCACTCAGTTCCACCGCCATGTGCTCCTGTTTCGCGTTGATCTTTCGAACCGCAGCCGTCAGCGTCGACTGGTACTGCGACTCCAACACGACATATACAATTTTGACCAGTTTCCGTCCTTCTAGCACTGGAGGTACAATGTGCCTGTCCTCTGGCTTCGACGCCGTAAACAGGCCGCCTGGCGCTCCGGCCAGAATGCCCGTACCGTCGTCATTCACACCGTTTCCACCAGCGTTCCAGTTCACTGCAGCACCCGTACCTTTACGGCGCTCGTTCGCAGCAGTCATCACCGACCGAGTGCGCATCTGTTGCGAGCGGCGGCTGCTCGAAGGCAGCACCAGCGGCCCCCAGGCTGAGGTCTTGCCCCACTGGTGCAGCGGCTGCACGGAACCAGCTTTCACAGCAACACCGGTTCCTAAAAAGCGCTTCTGCAACGTGGTACTCGGCGCTACAAAGCTAATCTCCATATTTAACGCACGGTGGAATGTTTACCAGACCCTACGCTGGACGGAAGAAGCGTTCAGGTTGTGAAGCGTACACTACTTCTCTTCGTCAAACGTGTCTACTATGCGCAAGCCTCTGCACACGTGACAAGATGCTACGAGTTACTATACGCTCCAGGGAACGCTGAACTAGAAAATATCAAAACCAGACGCCAAGCCACAGCAATGCTATGCGCTCGTAGCAAAAGAGCGCGATAGGTTGTAAAGTGACCCGGAGATCAGTTCGACGAGGGCATGCGGCGGTGCAGTCGCACCTGCGCGTATCAGCGACGGCAGGAACGGCGGCGACGATCAGAAAACGACCGATGCAGAAGCGTTGAGGGCCGCATTGCGCAGCGCCCCGGATGGTGACCTGAAGCGTTCCTCCGGAGGTGCAGGGAAATCAGTGGAATAAAATGGATATTTATGGATAGAGTGCGTCGGGATCTGATTCTTATCTTCACGAAACGATGACATCGGGACCATGGATCCCCGAATTCGGAATCTATGATGGCTTTCGGGAAAGCGTCCACCATGAAGCACTTTCCTTCAAGTTCCATTACCCATACTTGCTTTCGGATAAACAGGTCTTTTCATAGGTTCCATCCAGCGGCGAATGGCTGCCTTGAGCACTCGCCGTAGCGCCTGCACCGCTCAAGCAGATGCTGCATAGAGAGTCAGAGGGGCTCTGCAATACCACAGAGGGCGTCGGCTCGAGGCGTCATTCATTCAACCTCGACTCGACATTCATAATGAAACTGGGAGCCTGCAAGCGCTGCTGACAGACCTACTGTCTGCGGCAGCGCGAAGCAACAGACTAGGAGTCCACTGCGACCAGGGCGACGCCCAGACGCAGTAAAGCGGCGTCTAGACCCAGAATGAACTGCGTTGCGGAAGAGTTGAACAGGTCTCACGAAAGCACCTGCCACTGGAGGAAGCATAAAGCGCGACCCGGGCAGACTCGTCCAGGTCGCGGGACCTTCCGCCTAGGGGGTAAGCTTTTGACGGCATCGGAAACTTTCCCCTCGTTTCACGTCTATCGTAAAGCGGGGAAGGAATCGTTATCTCGTTGCAATGTAGTGGTACGTTGCTGTTATTTTGTCTATACGGCGCTCGACAGGCGCACCTGGAATATCTGGCGGTCACGAGACAAGACGGATATCTCGCCGTTGAAGGGAAACCCGATCGTGATCATTTGCGTGTTGCTCTGACGTACATGTTGTGTTTGCGTTACAGTCGTGCCAAAGTACAGTATTTCATCTCGATGGTGTTTCGACCATCAAGCAACGATATTCCGGTAGTTTTCGCGCAGTTTGTATCAGAAGCGTTCAAAAAGCGTTCTTTTTCAAAAAAACAAAAAAGGAAAGTTTTGGAGAGGCAAGTCGTCGATCCCAGAGGCCAAGTGTCACCGGATGCCGGAAAAAGCGGAGAGCACTGCCGAGCCCAGAAGCACTGGAGAGGACCGCGACGCGGAAAGTGCATGAGAACGACTTGGTCGTTGGTGCAGACGCCGGACACACGAAGATCCGTAGCCATCGCGGTTCGCGAGTGTGCGGAAGATGGCATGGACGGTAACCTACGTCCGAAAGACATGCGGCTTTTGAGCTTCTCGAGAGCGAGATGCTATCGAGAATCTGGAATCATGAATGCAAGGACAAAAATCGAGACGTGGAACGCAGGAATGAAGGATCACGTGGAAGCTTCGAGCGATGTGACGAGCCGAGGAGCAGACTTTCAAACTTTTCTGAAATGCATGGAAGTTCGCGTCGCTGACTGGGAGGCGCTGTGGAAAGCGTATCCAAAGCCCCGGTGGGCTCGTCTGCGTATGCGTCTATACTGTGGGAAGCAGCGCGCATTCGCCAATTTTTTCAATCCACTGAACGCCTTGAAGGAGGACGAGGGTCAGAGGCTCCTAGTAGCGTACGGAGCAGGGCGCTGGATGACCCAAAACAGGATATACGCCAGCTCCAACAACAAGAACGTACAAGGAGCGCGCACGGCGTTTTGTCACCATACCGATAGATGCGTTCCGAACATCGTACACACACCATGAGCTGGGCTGCACGCTTCAGAGGGTCGAGATAGAAAAGTGCCAGCGGGGCCCTGAGCATTTAAAAAAGTACGGAGCGCCGACGGAAGAGCAAATGGAAAGGAGGGCAAAAGTGCGAGAGCTACTCGCATTAGTATATACAACCAGTGATGGCAAGAAACGTATGGAATTCGTGAACCGAGACTTGAACGCCGCTATCAATATTCGGAGAAGTGCGGTGATGGGGAAAAGACCTCCAGAGTTGACAGGAGAGAATTTTGTGGGGCAGCGTCTCATGGTCGAATTGTACAGAATGAAAATGAAGCCAGTTGTAGGTGGCCAGTCGAGCGAGACAGTGAGGCTTCGGCGTTTCAGTTGGAGACGTTTTGTGTAGGGCGCGTTTGCCGCCACTGCTGTATACCGCTGCGCCACCGTGTTCCCATGGAAGAGAAATTTCGAAAACTTGAAGACTGCGTGACTGGGAGCTTCTGCACACGAATTCGAGAGTATATCATTTGCTCTCCGATGCCTTGTTCGACGGCGTCGCGAATCTTCATGTTTCCCGTGGCGTATCGAACTGCAGCGGTAAAGATCCCAGGTATCCATTCCGAAAACCCGACCGAGAATCCTAAAACTACCTTTGAGTTCTCAAGTCCGTCTCTTTATATTTCGAATGTCGACTTTGGAAATCACGGAATAAAACATTCAGAAAAAAATGCAAAGCCACGAACACAGTGCGAGCATCTCCCAATCCACTTGTAATCCAGGATTGGCGTGGTATCATCTGCGCGCTGTTGATGCAGCACTAGCACCAATACGCTGGTCTCTCAGGAACTCAAGTCGGTTGGGTCCTAAAAACCACCAGCGTGGGAGGAATTTTCATCTGTCCGTGCTAACCGCTTGGCTGTTTCTTTGAACCAGTGGCGGGAAGCAAGGCTCGGTTCACTAGGACGAGTCTAGCGGAGCGTTACGGTGCTGATCGAAAGGCCGTGCCGCTCTACCGCCGAGCACTCCGAGTTCATGTGGCTGGCTCTTTCGACATGAGCGCCGGTCCACGTTACAGCGACGAGTCAGGCACGTTCTTGCTCGAAACGAGCCGTTTGGCTCGGCGCCGAAGAGCCGTCGTCGAGGAGCTGTGGAACCATCGTCTGGCGTGGCCACCAGCACAACTGCATCACGTTTACCAGGGCACGTTTTATACGAGCCTGAATGATCTAGACGTTGCTCGAAGTGCCTTCCGCGAGTCTCACGTTCCCTTACGCGAAGCGTTGGGCACCGAAATCCAAATGCTTCTGGGTTTCGACCTTGATAGTGGAAAGTGGTGCGGCCGTATGCCTGCACCGCCTCCGTTGCCGGACAGTTTCGTGTACAAAGTGCTTTTCGAGTCCGGCTTGCCTTGGCAGGAAAGCGTGCTCGCGCTTGGGTATATCCCTTTCCAGTATGGTTTATCTGGCGATGCTACCGATCGGTTAACCCGGTTTCGTGAAACCTCTTGGCGCAAAGCACCAAGGGCGGCACCAGCAGGCGCACCCGAACAGAGTCGTGGACGCTCGCTAAAGAACAGCTCCTTGGTGGACACTACGCAACCAGTGATAGTACCTTTGCGCTTGAGCGCCGTCCTCCTGGAGCAGGCAGTGACCTTTCTAATGACAAGCGTTTCTGGAGCTTCTTTGGAGGACCCCGACACGATCGTCGTTAGAGAACGCACGAGCGCTGTTCTCTGTGGAGATGTACAAGTTGCTTCGCAGGATGAATCGACGCCATCGTCGATACCAACATTGAAACCTCACCATGAGTTCTCAGATCGTGTACAGCAACAGACGCATCGCGCCGAACCCGCCACGGATATGGCGGTTGGAGAAAATAGGTCCAGGAGGACAACACCTGCTTGCGTGCGTCGCATGAATGTGTGCACTGGTGAAGCGCATGCAACGGCACCTAGTAGAATCACGTCGCCTACTCGGCCGGATAGGTACCAAGCAGCGTTTGGGCATCGAGCCAAAACAGGTCGATTAGCGGCCTCATCTCATGCCAGCGCTGCTGATGCTGCTGCTTCCGCGTCTACGAATACAGCCCCAGCAGGTACGGGACAATGCGAGCAGAATGACCTGGCGCAGCGAGAGCGGCATTTTTTGATAGGGAGACATATCGCAAGGCTTCCATCGATGCTAGCGCGCTGTTTGCTCATTCGTCTGATTGCCACAAACCAGCTAACGCTGCCGCTGCTATGCCTTTTCCAGGGATTGGAGCTGCCGATCCTTTCGCTGAGATCGTGTCGTATGCACATCACCGACACGTGGATGCCGTTAATTGGGACTTTTGTGGGGCTCGAAGAACTCGATCTCTCGTTCTGTCATCGCATCACTGACCAGGGTATCCGTTTCCTCGCTAGGCGTTACGGATCCGAAGAGAACACCGAGGAGCCGTCGGTGGCGTCGAGAACGCTGCGATCGCTTTCTCTCCAGGGGTGCAACCAGCTGACCAATACGGCAGTTTTACACCTGGAGGCGTTTCCGCGGCTGAAACGACTCGACGTGAGCGATTGCCCCAATATGGGGAATGCGGCGCTTCAGGTTCTCGCGGAGCGCTTTCGGCTGAGAGCACTCTCGGTTGCTCGTTGCGAGCGGGTCGGGAGCTCCAGCATAGCGGCGCTGTTACGGGGAGAAAACCACAATCGCATGGCATCTAGCAAAAGCGTACAGCTCGACCAGAAAGCACCCATCGAAGAGGTACCGTTGGAGACCAATGAATGTCAGTTAGAGTTTTTGGACGTTTCTGGATGCCCAGCTGTTGGCGAGTACGCCTTTCTTGGATCCGCAACACGCTTCAGTAATCGTATCGCTGCGAACGCTGCATCGCCGTCGACCGGCTTGCCGCTTCGGACTCTGCGTTTACGAGGATGTACGCGGGTCAACGACACGGTTTGCGAACAAATAGGGCATCTGTTCCGAAATCTGCAGGAGCTGGACCTTTACGGGTGTGCACGCGTTACCGATCGCGGCATACTAGACTTGGTACGAAGCCTCGAAGAATCCCTCCAGGTGCTCTGCTTGGCGGAAACCCAGATTACGGACAAGGGGCTCGCCGCATTGGCACAGCTGCGGTGTTTGCGTCGCTTGCACCTGACCCGCTGTCGACGGCTGGAGTTTGCACCAGGTGTTATGGAGATGTTCTGTACCCGAATGGCTGCGCAGGCGAGTCTGAGCGAACTCCGATTGCGCTCTCTGCCTTCGGTGAACGCCCGAGTCATCGCAGAACTGAGCGGTTTGTTTGTCGCGGGCGAGCTCAAGCATTTGAATTTGACGGACTGCCACCAGGTGAACGACGAGGCACTGCTGGCTCTGGGCGAGGCGCTGCGCGTACGCCTTATGGACGCCACGCCTCGAACGTCGTCAAGAACGGGAAACTCCTCAGCTGTCGCCACACAGCGACCTCCGCGTTGTCTCGTACAATCTTTATCGTTACGGAATACCGGTATCCGCGATACAGGCCTAATATTCAAGGTTTTTATTGGCATGCGTCATCTGGACCTGGGCGAGTGCCCGACCCTAGAGAAACTGGATACGCTCTTTGGCGACATTGCCGAGGCGGAGGAAGCACTTGCACGTTTCGGACGCCGTTCGATGCGCCTAGAGCGGCCTGCGGTGCCCACTGCGAACCGCACCAGTGCGCCTGCCTTCAGTGCCTACGAGGGCATCGTTTCAGGCACCTGCAGCCGTGCTTGCCGCGATTCGCATGATGACGTCGCAGACTGGCGAGGTCGCACAAACACCAACACAGAGGATGCCGGCTGCTGGGCGCCTTGGGGCCTCGCGAACGCACGCGCCTCACAGGAAGCGGGGTTGTCCCATGGACCAAGCGCACTGCCCGTGGTCCCTCCCTGGCTGAATACGCTCGAATATCTGGACTTGTCCCATTGTCAGTCGGTTTCATTCGCAAATCTGCGTACACTGCGCTCAGAAAGTTTGCGAATCCTCATACTCGATCATTGTTCTGGGGTGACAAACGCATGCGTCGCCCTGCTTGCCTATCACGTACCGAATCTCCAGGAATTGAGCCTGCGCTTCACTGCCGTTGGTGACCTGGGAATTGCCGCTTTTGCGAACCGCTTCCGGCATTTGGAGAAACTGCACCTTCGAGGCCTACCCGATGTGACGCATGTTGGCATACGACGACTTGCTGCGTCTCCACTGGCGACGAAGCTCCGTGTTTTGGAGCTTGCCGAGTGTCCAGCGATCGGCGAACTTGCGCTCGCATCCCTGAATGGCATGAAAGCGCTCGAATATCTGAGCCTCAAAGGATGCACCGAAATCAACGACGCTGCATTGCGGCAATTAGAAGACGTACCAGTTTTGACGGTTCTTAACCTGCGGCAGTGTCCTTTAGTGAGCAGCAAACAGATTGAATTGTTGCGCAGTCGACTGCCAAGTCTTGTCGAAGTGAAATTTTCAAATGAATCCAGGGGCCTTGCGGAGCACACCGGCACGCCGAGTGCGCTTGTGGATAGCTTTCTCGCCTACGTTCATGGCGGTTCGCGAAGATCACCAACGGGTCGAAATCAGGCGCTTGCGCGGCAGCAACAAGTCGATGAGGCAGCACCGTCTCCGACTCGCATTTTTCTGGACATGTTTGACGCTTGGGAGATGGGACAGCGTTCAGCCCGACGCCGCTGCAGCCGTAGTAGCAGCAGCGCAAACCGCTAACTTGGATCTCGTATAACGACTGCAAGTTGCCACGCTTCTGGATTCGCACATGAACGCTCCCCAAAGACCGGGTCGAATGCAGGCTACAGCGAGCGCTCGGGCACGCGGAACCGAGACGCTTTCCGTTTAGACCGTTATCACATGCGGCGACGATGCGTTCTTTCGGACGACGACGAGACCGCCATACTTGCCTCCGTCAAGCGGTGTTTTCTGGTCGCATCCGGTTCACTCGCTACTCGGCGACGTAGAGACGTCAGGTGCCGTCTCAGAGCACAGCATCCGATCGATTGATGCACCTCAAGGCACAGGGCGCCTTTGTTGCAAGCATTGCCGCCAGTAGCGGCGGCGGCGGCGGCGGCGGCGCCTGACACGACTGCCGTGCCCTGTAGTGCCTCGCTATGTACGAATACAGCCCAGGCGCATGCCCTGTGTATGTGTGTGTGTGTACAGACCTCGGCGGAGAAGTTGCGGCGTGAAACGCTTCGGTGCACAACTGGGTCACGCTAGTGCAGAGCGAGCGTTTCTCGCATGCGAACACTGCACAGGCTGAATACAGGCGAACAGATGGGACGCTGGGGCCTGGTTACCCGCTGGGATTCCCTCTCGCGGCTGGCAAGTTGCCCCAGTCATGTCTGGCCACTCGCTTCTCATCGCGTAAAGCGCTTTTTCGCGAGACGGCGTCGTCTGCGCATGCCGGCTACGACGCCCTGCAGCATATCACGAGGGGATCAGCGGCAGCCCGCGTCGCCGCTGTACAGCGCATCCCAGGTCACATCAGCACCTGGAGCATTGTTTAAACGTACCGCGCTTCTCAAGCCAAGTGCGGTTTATCGCGTGCTTTCGAAGATAGGGAATGGCTCTGGAACGGAGAGCTGGTCGCTTTCCCAAATGGCGATGCAGAAACGCATATCCCTGCATCCTTGGTTCGATGCAACGCGTCCACAGAAAAACGTGCCGCAGAGGCGCGATCACCGCTACGTCATCTTTATCCATTTATATACTATATCGTCCAGATTCTTCCGTGCTGCCCGATGCCTTGTGTCTGCCGTTCGCATCCGCCTCGTGTGATAACGACAGCACCGCTACCGTCTCTATATGCGGTGTGTGCGGGAACTGGTCAACCAGCGCCACTTTCTCCAGGCGATACCAAGGTGCATCTCGCAAGAGTAGGTCTAGGTCACGCGTCTGGCTCGCTGGATTACAGGACACGTATACAAGGCGGCGCGGTCGTAGTGCCGGCGGTGCACCGGCGATCGCTTTGAGCTGCCGCGGGTGCACGCCGGCACGCGGCGGGTCCATTACCAGCAGGTCCACTGGATGTTGCCGCGCCAGCGGCAAGTGTCGAAAGATGACTTGCCACAAGTTCTCTTTCTCCAGGTCCGTCACTTGAAAAACCGTGTTTGTGCGTGCATTGAGTCTGGCGTTCGTGCGGGCGTCATCGACGGCACTCGCCACGAGCTCCAGTCCCAGAACTTGCTCGGCGAAAGGTGCCAAGCAAAGCGCAATGGTGCCAGTGCCGCAGAAGAGGTCCACAACGAGCGCACCGGTGTCTTGTCTGGCCTGCGGGCTCGACACGGCAAGCTCGGCAGAAGACTCTGCAGCGGGTGACACCTGACCGACGCTCGGCTGTTCCAGGAGGCCGCTGTTCTCCAGAACAACCGCCATGAGCCGTTCAGCTTGTGCTGGATTCGTCTGAAAGAAGGAATTCGCGGAAATCTGAAAGTTGATGCCCGTCTCGGACCAGGAGCTGGTTTGGATTCGAGAGCGCACGTGGCGAAGCGGACGCAGGCACTGTTCGATGGTATCCTGGGTACCTGCCAGGCGTCGTTGGCTCTCTCCGACCGCAACTCCGGAGCGATTGCTGGTAATGTTTTGCAGCACGCAAACAAGGCCACGATTGGTCTCACCGAAAGCTTTCCACAGCGCAGCCGCAACGTCCTCCAGTGCAGCCTGCTGGTGAGCGTCTGCCGGTGGGCTCGTGACTAGGTTGACCATCACCTGCGTCTGATTGTGTCGGTCTTGAGCTGTCCGAATGACCAGGTTGCGCAGGAAACCAACGTGTTCCACGAGGTCGTAGGGCGGCAAGAGCGTCTCGGCCAGCGGTCGACAATGACGCTCGACGAAGCGAAGGATTTCGTTCGCGACGTCGATCTGAAGTGCGCAGTCCTCAATGCAGAGCACCTTATCGTAGCGTCGCGGTACGTGCAGTCCCAGCGCAAACCCAGTGCGCATGTCCTCACCGCTTTCCGGAGCTGTGTCCGTCCCGGGTCGTTTCCTACCAGAACTAACCGTGTTTTCGTCTCGCGTGGACGTGTCCCGGCCCTGACGCAGCGTGACCTTTCCGCTATCGTCTGCTGTATTCGGTTTCGGACGCCATACACGAGTTCCAAAGGTGAAATCCATCTTGTTCCGATACGCGTAGAGTCCTGTAGGCACCGTTGCTCCTACGGCCGGTAAGAACTCTACCGATGCCTCAGATGCAAGTCCATCTGTCTCCAGACGGCGGAGCAAGGCCCGATACATGTCACGAACTTGCTCCTCCTTCTCGGACAACTGTTTTGTGTAGATCAAGTTCTGAAACTTGCAGCCTCCACAACCTTCGAGGAAGTGTCGACACAGTGGCGCAGTTGCGAACATCGAGGGTGGATCTAGGCGTTCCACCACTATCGCCTCCGCATGGTTACGTTTCCGACGAATGATGCGAGCACGCACTCGTTCTCCTGGAATGGCGTTGTGGACGAGCACCACGAATGACTCGTTCTCACTCAGTTGCAAACGACTGACGCCCATGCCAGTACCGTGCGCCAGTGACTCGACAGCGAGCTCCACCAGGAGGCCGCGCGAGGGCGACTTTTGTGACGAGGGCGCTCCAGGTCCATCGGTCGCTACCATGGTAGCGCTAGAGAGTCGCTCGCCCGCTGAAAAGTGTCGAGTTTGACGACTCCTGTGACACGGACGCTGCCAGACGCGTGCCCTGTAGATAATCGGTGAAAGCACTCGCGCAAAAGCAGGTTTTAGCGACACAGGTCTTTCGAAAAGTGAAACATACGTTCGTTCGACCAGGACAGCACCAGTGCGAATCTCTGTCCGCATCCACGAGCAGTGCGAAAGGGCAAGTACTCGGAGCCTGGAAACACAGCGTCAGTGCCAGTTCGAGACTGAGCGACCTGCGTCCGTCTTGGTAGAGGTTTTCAACTTGGCAGGCTCGCGAAGCCGACTTTTCGGTTAAGGGACGCACTGTTGCTGCTCTTTAATCCTAACGAGAGCTTGCCTCTTCAGCAGAGACTACCGCGTTCCAATAGCCCCGCAGTAAAGTTCGTGAAGAGAATAGAGTCTGGTTTTTCACGCGGCTCTGCGGGGGTAGCGTCTACCGCTGGTGTTTTAAGAAAAAGCGGTACGATGTGTGGTTTTGGAGCAAAAGAGCATCGCGCAGCGTAGATATGTCCTCGATGACAGAACGTCTCCATTGATCAGGGATCCCAGATTGCGGGATGGATTTCGGCAAGCGGGAAAGTGTTTATGAAACTGTACCCTACCTTCAAGTTCCATTACCCATACTTGCTTTCGGATATACAGGTCTTTTCATAGGTTCCATCCAGCGGCGAATGGCTGCCTTGAGCACTCGCCGTAGCGCCTGCACCGCTCAAGCAGATGCTGCATAGAGAGTCAGAGGGGCTCTGCAATACCACAGAGGGCGTCGGCTCGAGGCGTCATTCATTCAACCTCGACTCGAGATTCGTAATGAAACTGGGAGCCTGCAAGCGCTGCTGGCAGACCTACTGTCTGCGGCAGCGCGAAGCAACAGACTAGGAGTCCACTGCGACCAGGGCGACGCCCAGACGCAGTAAAGCGGCGTCTAGACCCAGAATGAACTGCGTTGCGGAAGAGTTGAACAGGTCTCACGAAAGCACCTGCCACTGGAGGAAGCATAAAGCGCGACCCGGGCAGACTCGTCCAGGTCGCGGGACCTTCCGCCTAGGGGGTAAGCTTTTGACGGCATCGGAAACTTTCCCCTCGTTTCACGTCTATCGTAAAGCGGGGAAGGAATCGTTATCTCGTTGCTATGTAGTGGTACGTTGCTGTTATTTTGTCTATACGGCGCTCGACAGGCGCACCTGGAATATCTGGCGGTCACGAGACAAGACGGATATCTCGCCGTTGAAGGGAAACCCGATCGTGATCATTTGCGTGTTGCTCTGACGTACAAGTTGTGTTTGCGTTACAGTCGTGCCAAAGTACAGTGTTTCATCTCGATGGTGTTTCGACCATCAAGCAACGATATTCCGGTAGTTTTCGCGCAGTTTGTATCAGAAGCGTTCAAAAAGCGTTCTTTTTCAAAAAAACAAAAAAGGAAAGTTTTGGAGAGGCAAGTCGACGATCCCAGAGGCCAAGTGTCACCGGATGCCGGAAAAAGCGGAGAGCACTGCCGAGCCCAGAAGCACTGGAGAGGAGTGCGACGCGGAAAGTGCATGAGAACGACTTGGTCGTTGGTGCAGACGCCGGAAACACGAAGATCAGGAACCATCGCCGTGCGCGAGTGTGCGGAAGATGGCGTGGACGGTAACCTACGTCCGAAAGACATGCGGCTTTTGAGCTTCTCGAGAGCGAGATGCTATCGAGAATCTGGAATCATGAATGCAAGGACAAAAATCGAGACGTGGAACGCAGGAATGAAGGATCACGTGGAAGCTTCGAGCGATGTGACGAGCCGAGGAGCAGACTTTCAAACTTTTCTGAAATGCATGGAAGTTCGCGTCGCTGACTGGGAGGCGCTGTGGAAAGCGTATCCAAAGCCCCGGTGGGCTCGTCTGCGTATGCGTCTATACTGTGGGAAGCAGCGCGCATTCGCCAATTTTTTCAATCCACTGAACGCCTTGAAGGAGGACGAGGGTCAGAGGCTCCTAGTAGCGTACGGAGCAGGGCGCTGGATGACCCAAAACAGGATATACGCCAGCTCCAACAACAAGAACGTACAAGGAGCGCGCACGGCGTTTTGTCACCATACCGATAGATGCGTTCCGAACATCGTACACACACCATGAGCTGGGCTGCACGCTTCAGAGGGTCGAGATAGAAAAGTGCCAGCGGGGCCCTGAGCATTTAAAAAAGTACGGAGCGCCGACGGAAGAGCAAATGGAAAGGAGGGCAAAAGTGCGAGAGCTACTCGCATTAGTATATACAACCAGTGATGGCAAGAAACGTATGGAATTCGTGAACCGAGACTTGAACGCCGCTATCAATATTCGGAGAAGTGCGGTGATGGGGAAAAGACCTCCAGAGTTGACAGGAGAGAATTTTGTGGGGCAGCGTCTCATGGTCGAATTGTACAGAATGAAAATGAAGCCAGTTGTAGGTGGCCAGTCGAGCGAGACAGTGAGGCTTCGGCGTTTCAGTTGGAGACGTTTTGTGTAGGGCGCGTTTGCCGCCACTGCTGTGCACCGCTGACGACTGCTTTCGACTTTTGAAAGGCGTTTGCTAGCGGTGTAAGCGTTGGCGCACCTCCGGAGGACTGACACTGGGCCCGGGCGGTCATCTGTGCAACAGTCGCATGTTCTCGGTATTCTTCGCTCATATCTGCTTCGCCCGCTCACCACTCGTGGACGCAGTCACTGGCACGCAGTACCGAGCCGAGCACTCGTGGCCGTAGCAGAGCGCCCTGCTGGCCCTGGAGGCGTGCAAAAGCGCACCGAACGCGTCGTACCGAGTGAGGCCGCTCGACAGGAGCGCACTGCCCGTCTGCGTCGCGCCGTAGACCTTCCACAAAATCGCATTTATCCCTTTCTAGAGCATAAGGTTGCTGGCGAGGCCAAACGCAAGGACCTCCTGGCCGTTCTGGAGCAGGACTCGAGTCGCTTCGAAGATGAACGAGCCATTCGTGACTGGGTTGAGTCACAGATTCAGGAAGCGATTCGGCAAGGGGCGTTCGAGCGGCTCCCGCGAGGGCCACTGCAGCTGCCGCAACCACCACTCGGTGTCGACCTTGTCACGTATACCATGCATGGTCTTTTACAGCGGCACGGACTGCGACCTGTCTGGATAGAATGTATGCATGAAGTAGACGCCGAAGTGAAACGTATTCGTCTGGCTCTGGAACGAGCGTATCGAGCTCGAGTTGCTACCGCCGAGGACACGTCACCTGCGAGCACAGCACAACGAGCTGAGCGCTGGGAGGCAGCAGCGCGGGAGCTCCAGGAACAGATGCATCAAGTGAACCGACGAAATGATGCTTTTAATCTCATGAAACCCGAGCGCCTGGACACTGTTTTCCGACTGCGCATGCGTTGGGAGCACGAATTCATGCGCGTCAAGCAACGAGTGGAAAGCGAGTACTCAGCTGAACCGCGTAGCAGTTTAGCTCCGGAGGCAACGGACCCGAAAGCTTGACGGTTTCATGGGATGTTTATGAACATACGGAGCGCCTTTACAATCGATAAAGGTCATAGCGGTCAAGTATCTAGTGGTCGTTGATACCGATGATATTTGCCATGGCGAGCATGATGATGAGAATGAGCATCTTCACGCGATGGATGTGCGATGCATCATACAGTAGATCATGCGTTCGTCTACGTTGATCCGATAACGCTCATGTCAAAATACAGTTCGATGGGATCGGGTAGACAAGTCAGGTGTACGTCCTTAAATTTCATCTCTTCCCATTGTAATAAACACCAGTCCGTGTCGGAGTTTTTTGCAACTGCTCACTTGTCGTCTCCCTCGTACCGCTGGCTTTCAATTAGCTGGTACCTCCTAGTCCTGCAGCTCGGTCGCCAACTCTTGAGAACTGTTTACCGCAGCGTTCAGGTCCGGTATTCTGCTGCTTACTCCTGTTGTGCACCAATTTCGTGCACAGACAAAGGTTGCGATCTAGGCCTCACCTGCCATGTTCATCGTTCCTGTGCACATTTTTGGTGCGCTCGTCACTGCTGTGACACTTAGTTGTGGTCAGGTGCTTCCGTGTGACCGCCGCTTACGCTTCTTTGCGCGTCACCCTGTGGCGTATAAACGCTTGCCTTATCGCTCAGTGCATGCCCTCTACGGATACGGAAGGCGTCCACAGATTCCCGCATCCGTTTCTGGAACTCGAGCCATTTCCTGCGATCCTGGGCTTGTCATCGTCAATGCTTTCGGCGAGTACACTGTCTGCTGCATGCGCTAGCGCACACTGTCCCAGGCAATACAGGGCTTATGGAACGCAATGTTGCCCGTGATGAGAAAAGTACCGGAAGTAAAATCCAAGCCGGAGAACAAGTAAGGAAAATTCGGTCCGCCTGTCCGCCGTTCGTGCAAGGCGACGATGCACGCTCCACTGGAAGCAAGCGCTGCGATGCCTAAACCACGAGTCGAGCAACCCTTTCCACGCAACTAGAAGAGATCGAAGCCTCTGTGAGCACATCTCACGGGGTGTATCATGCTGCCGTCGAATCCTGACTTGTCGATGGCCACACAGTCAGGATGATTTATCATTCGATCTGAACTGATTTTTCGACCTGAAAAGTTACGGGTACTTTCTGCATGAGCTTATAGAAAAGGCCGTTAACCAGTGGCGTCCAGTTTATGCCTTGTCAATCAAGCCGCGCAAATAGCTACGCCCGCGAATTGCCCTGAAACAAAAAATTCGAAAACCTGAATCACGCGTGATTTCAGCATGCTTCTCGCAAGGAAACAGGATGATTCGAGCCGTGTCCATATGCATCGGATTCTGATATCCATCATTTCACGAATCCTTGTTCGAAGGTTTCCAACATCCTTTTGTTTTCCATAACGCTACAAACTCCAGCTGCAAATCACGAAAGCAACCCCTCGAAAATTCAACAGAAAACCGGTTTGCGCATTCCTGAACTCGTTATGGATGAACCTCGATGTCGAGACTGTACATCTAGCAACCATTTCAAACAAAAATAGTTATTCATAGACAGCGCATGTATCTCGGTAAACATCGATCACAGGGATCCGCGGCGCGCGCGCTCGCTCGCGCATCTGGCACAATCGATCCAAACCTGCACGCACGCGATGCCAGGAGCGATACTGCCCCGCGATTCGACGCAGCGGCGATGCGCGGATTCCCAAGCAATATATCTGGCAGGGGCGCGGAGCGTTGCCGGTTGAACGCCGCCTCGGTCGGTGTGCTGCGTGGCGAAAGGCGGCAGCATGCAGCGCAGCGCCGCCTGCGCAGCACGGGACACGTGTACGAACGCCTCCGCTGCGCATCCGTTTTTTCGCGTAGTGCCTGCTCTGGACGCTTGCTGTGACGCGTCATAGACCCTGGGGCTTGCTCTCTCTGTCTCTCTCTGTGTGTGCGCGCGCTTGGGTGTGCCCTTGTGCTGTACAACTGTCGCCGTTACGTAGGTGAGTTGTCAGACCGTTGGCACGCGTTTGTGCGCGCGCGAGTCAACTGGTGTCCGCACAACGTTTCGGGTGAGACGCGTAGAGGCTGCTGAGCGGACGCGTGTGTATCTGCAAACCTGCCCTGCGTGGCGCCTAGACTCGCGGGAGACACGCGTCTGGAACGGTGATCGACGTGGTGGAAGGAACGCGTGGTGCTGGTGCGTGAAGCTTGCGTGTTTTTCACGAGCTGCACCTGCGTGCGGAATGCCGGCTGACTGCAGCGACCGGCCTTCAGCGGCAAGCGACGCGACAAACGGTTTGGAGCACAGGCACGATAGCCTCGTTTCCGAACCTGTAGTTCAGGACTCTGATCTCGCTGGAGGAAGCAGTGGAAGCTGTCCCGTCCCGACGGCACCGGTGAGCTCGTTGCAGTCGGAGTGCACCTCGGCGACCAAAAGCAGTGTGGGAGCACCGGCGAGCGATCCGCACCATGCCCGGGAGCTGGCGCTTGCAGACCTTGCGGAAAACGGCCCCAACAACTTCGCACCTAACTCCAATGCAATCCACCAGACCATATCTTATTCAGCGGATCGTCTGATAGGCAACGGTTCCTTTGGCGTCGTTTTCCAGGCGACAGTGGTCGAGACCGGCGAGATCGTGGCCATCAAGAAAGTCATCCAGGACAAGCGGTACAAGAATCGGGAACTGCAGATTATGCGGATGCTCTCCCATCCAAATATCGTAGAATTGAAACATTGCTTTTTCTCCTCCGGAGAAAAGACAGGGGAAGTGTGCCTCAACCTTGTGCTCGAGTACATACCCGAGACGGTCTACCGCATTTCAAGGCACTACTCGAAACTACGCCAACCGATGCCGCTTTTGTACGTGCGTCTCTACGCATACCAACTACTTCGCGCCTTGGCCTATATCCACGACTTGAACATCGCACATCGCGACGTGAAACCGCAGAATCTCCTCGTCGAGCCGCGCACGCAAGTGCTCAAGTTATGCGATTTTGGGTCCGCCAAGGTTCTAGTACCCGGAGAAAAATCCCTCTCCTACATAGTTTCACGCTTTTACCGGGCAATCGAGTTACTGATTGGTTCAGAAGACTATACGCCAGCGATTGACCTCTGGAGCGCAGGCTGCGTCATTGGGGAACTCCTGCTCGGGCGTCCGCTTTTCTGCGGTGAGTCGGGCCTCAGCCAGCTGATCGAAATCATCAAAGTTCTGGGCGCACCAACCGAGGAAGATCTCGTCGCGATGCGGAGCAAGCACAGTGACTTCAAAATTCCCCGGGTGCAGCCATTGACGCTTCGGCGTGTCTTCAAAGCACGCACGGACGCCGATGCTGTCGATCTGGTTAGCCAGTTGCTCGTCTACAATCCGCAGAAGCGGATTCGGGCGATGCAGGCGCTTGCGCATCCCTTTTTTGACCCACTGCGCCAACTGGAAGCAGCCCTGCCGAACGGTCGTCCGTTACCGCCCCTGTTCAACTTCTCCCAACGAGAATGGGAAATCGCTGGAATCGACCTTGCTCATCGTATCCTTCCACGCGAGCACTTTGAAGCGGCGCTACGCATGTACGGGGTGTCTCGCCAGCGGGCGTCGGGCGCCTCCGCGTGAACGGCGCCACTGGCTGGGTACCCAGACGCCGCGAAAACAACCGTATGCATGTTCGACGGCTGGACAGGGCATCGCGCTAGGTTGCCTTCGGATCCTCTGTAAAGTCTCTAACCATCGCTGCGACGCGCAATGATCATGGATTCTCTCCATGAGGTTCCAGGGATGTTGGAGGCGACTCGTACTCGCGCTCCGAGGGGTATCTGCTGGCATGCTGTTGCCACTTTCGAACAGAAGCAGCAGTTGCCAGCAGCAGCGTCCGCGTTCGTTCTTCGAGGCCCTGCTGGGTTTCTTTCGTAGCCAGGTACGCGGCAACTTGGTCGACCTGCAGCGCGCCGCCTTCCACTGGCATCCAACAGAACGGAACCGCGTAGACGCGCAGGCTACCTCCGTGGCGATGTCCGCAGACCTCGTTTTCCCAAAACGTACGCAGCAACGCGTGGAACTTGACCAGCGAAAGCGTACCTGTTGCGTTCACGTCTGTTGCCGCCTCATCGGTGTCTTGCTTCAAGAGCGCGCGTAGGTAGCGAGCCTCCTGTTCTCCTCGTTGGTACTGGTAGGTACCGTGCTCTATCTCGGCCCAGAAGCGCGCACCCCGTTCGGGGAGGTTTCGATCCGGCTCCTCTCGTTTCTCTGCCATCGCCTCCAGGTACGGCCGCAGGTCATCGACGCGCAGGCGCTGCAGCTGGTTCTGGTAAAAGTCGTGGAGAAAGCACTCGAGCCGTTCGGCAACATGCCACGGCGGATGCCGCTCCGTCGACTGTACCAGGAAGAAGAGTCCCTGCGCTCCGCACCGGCGATACACAAAGTTGGATACCACATAGCCCAGCTGTTGGACAGTGCGTAGCTCGTGGAACAGCGGCTTCTGGAGCAGGTTCGAGAGCACCTCTACCAAGAGATCCCGTTCCAGGGAGCGCACGCCCGTCTGCACATAGTATCCGAGGCTCGCATTCGACTCCGTTGCGTTTGGCAGTGGAATGAAGAGCCCCAGGGGCGAGAGCTCCGCAGGGATGCGCAACTGGTGGCACTCGAGTCGCCGGAGAAACTGACGAAGGTCGCCGACCTCTGGACGCAAACACGGCTGGACAATCGCCATGCAGCGATCAAAAAGCAGTCTTGCTTCGTCTTCGGTCACATTGCCATGGAGAAGCGCTTCGACGACGAGGTTGCGCATGGAGCACCCAGGCGCCCCGGATGCACCACCGAACAGTGTCGTTCGGAATGCGTCGACGCTTTCCAGAGAGAAACGTTCGGTCCCAGCTGATGACGCTTCCCGCAACAACGAGAGATAGTCCCAGGTCGCGTGCCAGTGCGGTAGCTGCAGCAGCACGCGTGTGTTGTACATTACCTGCTGATACGGTTTCTGCAAGGCAGCATCCTCGTAAGAGCGTCGCAGACGATCCAGATGCGCGTCCAGGAGCCGCTGACGAATCTCCGTCGACTGCTTGACATCCTCGCCTGAGCAGGTTGCTGCAGCGGTGCGGAAAACATGCTCGGTGAAGCGGATGAAGGTATCGGCGAAGCCGCTGAGACCAAGGAAAACACCCGTTGCTGTGGGCGTGAGTGTATACGACATGCCCGCGAGTTCGGCATCGTACGCACTCGCTGTGAGCGCATCTTCAATGAGAGCTATCGCTAGTTTCGTGAAAATGGCCTGCTCAGGGCTCGCGTACGCCATATCTGTGTAGAGTTGAAAGAAGGCCTGAATTCGTGGCTGCCGAAAACTCGTATCCAGGCTGTGGTGGAGCACCCGACCTTGGGCCTCATCCAAGAGAAGGCAGCGAGGCAACGGCTGCTGACCGTTTGCGTCGGCCGCAGCGGTTCCCGCAGCCGGTGCTACCTTCAAGCTGAAAGAACGCGGCATGAACGGGTTCGGAAGCGGTACGTGGAGCGCACGCGCAGCGGGTGTCTCTGAGTACCAAGCGGCTGCTGGCATGGTGCCCGTCAGGTAACGCGTCTGGTACCAAGGCTCCAGGCCGTGCACTAGCTGCGTGGATTCCAGCCCATAAGCCTCAGGCTGCTGATACATTTCAGTGGTCACCAGAAAAACGATCGCCTGTTCAGGGCACATGTGCTCAGAGAGAAGCTCCCGCAGCGCACAGGCGGATGGACGATCCCAGTAGAGAAACGGCCCCGCCAGCACGTCCTCTGGATCAAAGACGCGGAGTGAGGAACTCAGCTCCACAACAGCCTGGAATGGTGAGGACTCTCGCTCCTGGTATCGAAAGTGGATCTCGCCAAGTAACTGCAGTTCCTCGTAGATGTAGGAAGGCAAGTCGGCGTCGAGGATATCTCCGGGCCCCAGCAGAGTACGCAGTAGGCGCAAGTAGGCACCTACTAGACTCAGCGTTTGTTGCCAGTGAACAAGGCCCCGCTCGGTAAGTGCGATATCGATGTCAAAAAACGCGATGCCCGTTAATTCCCAAGAGACGCCCGCACTGAGGGCAGTGGCGAACCCGTGCTCCTTTAGCGCGGCGAGCAGCGAGCCATTCGACTCATGTCCCAGGAGGTGTGCAAGACAGTGTGCCGGCTTTGTGCGATACAGCGGCCGTTGCGGCGGTATCGTGAAGACGATGCGCATCTCCCGGAGCGCCTTCACCGGTTCCACGACATAAAGTTTGCCTTGGGGTTGGTGGTCCTCTCGAAAGAGTGGCTGATGCGCATAGGACGCGGCTGGCGCCTTCTGGAGGGCACGCGGCACCTCTCCGAATAGCGACCAAACAGCGGACTGCATTTCCGCCATCGTCTGGTGCGCGGTAAAACTGACGCATAAACACATGAGGTCAGCGCCATAGTACTGACGATGAAATTCGCAAAGTGCTTCCCGAACGCTTTCCTGGCTTTCAACGACCGCAGCTGGTAGGCAGGTTGGTGCTTGGTGCGGTTCTGCTGCGGCTTCTGCTGCTGCTGCTGCTGCTGCTGATGCGGACCCCAGAAGCGTCTCGCGGTTGCCCGTTCCAAAGTTGTGAAAGGGATGCACGGGGTCCGTGAGCGATTTGAGTAGTTGGAAAAGGCGATGGGTATCACTCTGAATATTCATGCGATACTCGGCATCGACAGCATCTACTTCACGCCCGACCGCGGCTTTGTGGAAGCGAGGGTGTAGGAAGCACTGTGCAAAGCGATCGAGTGTCTCCAGCAGCTGCTCGGGTCCGATTTCGAAGGCGTAGTTCGTCTCCTCTAATGAAGTGAAGGCATTTGCGTGCCCACCGTGACGAGCGATGTGCTCATGATAGGCTCCTTCGTCAGGGTATTTGTCCGAGCCCAGAAAACACATGTGTTCACAGAAATGTGCCAGGCCAGGATACGAGGGCGGGTCCTGCATGTGACCAACGCCTACCGACATGGAGGCGGCAGCGCGGTTGGCCTTGGGATCTTGGATGAGAAGCACCTGCAAGTTGTTCGAGGCGAGTCGGAAATAGCAGTAGCTGCGTTCATCGATATCGGGTTTGCGGGGCCACTTGAACACAGTGACACCTTCAGGAGGCTCCGTGGCGGTACGGCAGGGCTCGATGGAGCGCTGCGGTGCCGGCTGAACGGCGGGGTTTGAGGTAGGATCACTCATGGCTATGACAGCAAACAGAGCCAGGCGAGTCCTTCAATGTTAGAGAAGTTTTCCGCGAATCCGATCAGGGCCTGGTGGGTCCTTCTACCGTAGTGTCGTGACCGCCGACTGCAAACAAAGCCAGGCGAGTCTTCGAGACTTTGCGTAGTCTTCCGCGTTGTCGACAAAAGCCAGACAGCTCTCGCAATCTTACGGTCCTCTTCCGCGCCCTCAAACGGAGTCAGGCGGATCTTTACGTCGCAGTGTAGTTACCTGCGACGATGAATAGAGCCAGGCGAATACCCTTTTTTCTGACGTTTTCACTCACGAGCAGGCACCGGGCCGACGCGCAATGGTGCAGTGTGCTTCTCACTCTATGCTCACGAGCACGCGAAGGCAACTCATGAAGCGGCAGTTTGTTTTCGAAGTGTGTTCACTCGGGGGTACGAAATCTCCGCCTCGCACTTGATTTGACCAGGTCGAAACAGTGGGCATTATGCTGGGAGCATTCTACGCTGGAATCTGTATACCAGCACCTCATTGTTTTTGTTTGTTTTCTACCAGCTGTTGAACAAACCCGGAGTATCCTGTGGATCGGAGAATAGCTGCGGAAAGACGATACGCGGTCACTGGTGGCTTACGAAGGACCGCGTTGCTTCGGCAAGCCAATTATTCTACTATTAGCAGGTAGGTGAAGCTCCTGTCACGCAGTCCTCATTCAGAACGTCGCGTACCTAAACCAGAACTTGATTAACTCGATGAATATGAATGCCTCTTCCTCGATCTTTTCCACTCGATAGATTCCCCAAGAAATGCTACCGAACAAGGCTAAGGATGCAAAGTCTTCGCACCGTGGATACGACCGGTGATTACCAGACACGAATGTACTGGAAACAAATCGCGTTTCTATGGAGGAGTATCGCGCATTGACCAAGTACCTATCGATCTCGTACCGAGTCGCTAACGCTTACTACATGGCGGGACGGATGCTCGCCAACTGTGGGGAGCATTCACCTGCGAGAAACGATAGACCTGTCCATAGGCTGGCAAAGAGCAGCAAACCGCTGTTCAGAAAGCAGAGGCAAGGAGCCTCTACAAAAGCGTCACCCCAAGCGCCGATTTCATCCTGTGTACGCCAACCAAGCGCCAAATGCATGGGATCATTCACCATCTCGTCCTTCATCGAAGCGATTCGTGGCTTCTGTTTCCCACATGCCTCTGTCCAGGGCGTAGAACGTGTGGCTCCCGATTACCCAGAAGCGGTCGGCGAGTAGGCAGCTGAAATCCGCGTCGAGCTGCTGTTCCTGCTAGCCTCTTCTTTCTCGGTACGTCCGGTCAAAGGAGTCTTGTTTTTCGTGAAACACCGACTCGAAGCTCACCGATCCATCAATGAGTCGTGCCCATCTGGGACACACTTCCTCGATGAATCGCTCTTCGACATGTCGTTCTTGATGTCACCTGGCCCTGAAGTGGTGTGTTGCACCTCTGGTCATGCACTGGAGGGAGTGGTATGAGGCGCCTCGGTCCACGGGCGTGCTCGCGACCGAGAAGGTAGCAAAGAGGTATTCGACGAGTCGCACGTATGCATACTTATAGAGAAAGCAAGTTTCGGTTCTACCTCTCACCCAATAAGACTGAATCCCGACGGAAACGAACCGATGTAGAGGGTACCGATCACGGCTATGCTACCGCGCCAGGTAGCGGGGAAGAAGAGATCGGACAAGGAAGAAAAAAGATCCTCACGAAAAGAGGACAATAGGAGGCAGGAAGGAAAAACACGTCGGATCGGAACCATCAGTTTGCTGTCGTCGTTAATGACTTGCTAATACAACACAACAACGAGAAGAATCTTTTGAAGCGTGCGATGCAGGTCGCCAGGCGCGATCGCGTAGCTTCGAACTCGACAAGTCTCGCGGAGCGTCTCCCGCCTTGCCGCGCATCGTCGAGCATCTAATCCAGGGCACCCGGACACCCAGCGCTGCTACCTGTCCACATGGTTCTCGGAATCTTTCGATCAAACCTTCATGCGATCATACAGTTCATGTTCACGACAGAACATGTCGTACGGTATGATCCAAGGATCGGAAGTTTGCATACTCACACACATAGACAGTCACGCTTCCCAGTGTACCTTGAGCGGTCGCCACACCACCTCAGCGACTGGAACCTTAATAGCACAGATACCAAACAGGATCAAACCATGCCCAGCCGCTCCTACACCAGACGTCTGGGGACAGAGGCGCAAAGCAATGCTCGGATGCACGTCGCACCCGATGACATCATCGATCTCATTCGAAACAAGGAGCATCTCACGAACGGGGCGCTCTATCCATGCGGCATACTGAAAAAATAACACAAAAAAGTAAGACAAGAAAAATGCGCATCCTCGGAGAACGCTGGCTTAAGGAAACGTTTTGTCCATGAGAAAAAAATCCATGCGGCATCATCGCGGCGGACTGCTGCACACACGTTGCGCCGAGACGCCAACGCGCCCCTGCGAATCGATCGTCGCGGATACGCCGCCGCCCGGCAGGCCGCAGCGGCGCCCGGCAGGAGATCGGATCTACGGGCGAGGCGCGGGTAGCCCGCAGGTCCCCGCAGTCGTAGCACGAGGCGTTGTCGTCACTGGTGCTGGCGAAGGTCTGCTTTCACTGGGCTCTTGATGATAGGCTCACACGGTGAACGCGCTATTTCCATGCCTCCTCGACCTGTGCGTACCGTACTACGACGCTCCGTGGAGTTTAGTCTTTGTGCTGTTGGCATCTACGCAACGTACCTGGGCTATGGCGTGCTGCACGAGCGGCTGTACTGGCGGCTTTACCGGACGCGTGATGGAGCAGCATACGACCGCTTCCGATACCCTCTCTTTCTTGTCTTCTGGCAGTGCCTGTGTAACGCAAGCGTCTCGTTTTTTTCTCGGAAAATCGCGCGGAGCACGCCTCACGACGAGCGTCTGCGGTTCAATGAAAAACGACGTTTGTACAGCGCGGGAAGCGCAGCGTCGAGCCGTTTCTATGCGTTGGTTGCGGCGTGCCATGTGGTCGCCATGTGCTGTGCTTTCGGCGCACTGATTTACGTTCCGTATCCTCTGCAAGTCCTCGCCAAGAGCAGTAAAATGATCCCAATCATGCTCACTGGAGCCGCGATGCGACGAAAGCGATACACCCGCACCGAGATCATCCGCGTACTTTTGATCACGTTCGGTGTGGTGCAGTTCTCTCGGCAGCGGCACTCGAAGGAAAGTACTTTCCGACAGGCAGCAGTTCCAGGTCCGCAGTCAGGCGGTGGCCACCAGAGGCACCTGGGATGGGCGTTGCTCCTCATGAGCCTCGTTATGGACGGGATCGTAGGGCCGCTGCAAGAGCATACGCGCGCCCTCTTTGATGTTGAGGCGATTCACTTCATGTTTGCGCAGAATTCCTGGGCTACGTTCTGGATGACGTTGGTCCTGCTGGCGACAGGCCAGGGTGTTGCTGCATGGAGCTTTCTCCGAACACACCCGAGTGTCTGGCGAGACCTGTTCGGTTTCGGTCTGCTGAGTGCAATGGGACAACATTTTGTCTTCTACGTCGTTTGTCATTTTTCCGCACTCACTTTGGCGATGATCACGACAACTCGGAAACTCTTTTCTGTCCTGTTGAGCATTGTGGTATTTGCGCACAGGCTCTCCGTTGGTCAGGCCCTAGGGATGTGTTGCGCGTTCGCAGGATTGCTCTGGGAAGCGATAGCGAGTTTGGCCACGCGGAACGTGGCGGGCAGTGCGCTCAGCGGCAAGTGCTCGAGTTCTGTGCCAGGGGCGCAGGAGAAACAGGCCAGTGGAGCGAGTTGCAGAAACACGAGTACGTCTGTACATGTCGGCGAAGAGGGCTAGCGTTTAGAAACATGGGAGGTCGCTCGAACGCCATGAGCTGCGTCGAGACACCAGCGGTTGCGAGCGACGGTCCCGGATCTCGCGGTGGTGTACCCATTACAGCGGATACTCAATTTGGCAGACGCGAAGGCACCCCGAGTTCGATCATTGAACGGAGATATCTACATTCAGCAGCATGTATGCCGGGGGATTTGTCTGCGACGCTCACCTGAGCAGCCTGGACACGTCCCAACAAACCTCGTCATTCACGGGATTGGATGCTCTTGTCACAGCGGATCGCAGCAGGTGTTCATACCGCATTCAGCACTGGTTACCGACGAGGTTACATCCTCAATCAGCAACTCTTCTTGATCAACTTGATCCCAGAACCCAGCCTGTTCGAGCACGAGTTCACGTTTCAAGGCCGGACTGCGTCCGGGCGGGTGGCGCACCCGTGCGTGCACCGTCGCATGAGACACGCGCGTCTGCTCCTGGAGCAGGTTCGACGCCTCATTTCCTGTCGTCACTGCCGACGGTGTCAACTTGTCCGAAGAGCGCTCATTGATTGGTGACGCTTTCGCGCTGCGCAGCCGACGCGCCCGCGACTTGCGCGCCTGTACAGACGGCGCTCCAGTCGTCGACGACGCGGATAAGCGCTTCGGCTCCAGCCGCTCTGTAGTGCTCGACCTCAGGTTTGACTCGGGTACCTCGGCGTTGGGCTCGAAAACGGAGCTCCCGATATTTTTTCGAAAGCGACGCTCAAACGTAACAAGCTCTTCTTCGGTGCTCGTTGGCGTGCTCAAAGAAATGATTTCGACGCTTTTGTCGCTGTCGTTTCCAGAAGGCTCTGGTGCGCCCGACGTCAACTGCCTCAGACCGTCTCCTGCCGTTATCGCGTCGACAGGTTTTCCAGGACTAATATTTGCTTCTAACGTCGCGTTAACCGCCTTCGTGGACGTAAGAAGGCGAGCCTTCTTGACTTGGGTCGCACGCGCCTGTGAGAGGCGCCCCCGAGCGTCTGCACCACGCTGTGCCTCGCGGTTACGCAGGTGTTCGACGTCGCCCGTCACGTCCGCCAGGGGTTGCCTGCTCCCGGCCACTCGCTTGGGAGAAGAGGGCTGCGTTGAACGGCGCTTACGGCGAGCGCGCTGCATGCTAAGCAAAACCCAACGCTGCGGATACGAGAGCCGTAGCGGAAGCCCGACAATGTCGAAGTGTGCGCGCACGGATCGCGCCAGAGCGTCCCGATGCCGAATTTGTTTTCTGTTCGACAACGGCATCTTTATACGCATAGAGAGAGGCTGGGAATCTTTGATGATGCGACTGGTAGCAGCTTTGAGGAAAGCATTCACCGTTCCACGCCTTAGTCGTCAGAATTCCAACACCCTTGCTTTCCCGCGGAGATACTGGTTATTCCTCGTGTTCGCTCGAGCGCCAAGTGCATCGATTGCGCGTCCACAGTGACGTCTGTAGCGCCGGTGCGGACACAGCACGAAACCAGAGCGGCTTTTGTCATGCCACTGAGTATCTTGGCTCGAGACGGGCGCGTTTGTGCCGCTACGGGCGCTTTTTATTGAGCGCATCGACACCCTCCGGAAGGTTGCCGGACTGGATGCGGGAGAAGTGAAGCGCCCTAACCTTATGATCGTAAAATGATCAGAACTGTATAGATAGTGTTGCACCGCTTTCGTTCGCGAAGAGGACGCCTCCGCTGCCTGGTTTCTTATAGTTTTTCAACTCATTTATGTTCCAGTACCTCTGCGATATAGAGCAGGAGATCGAAATCCGGTTTTAATGTATCCTACAGATCGTAGACGAATTGCCTGTAGGATATATATCGTCTACTGAACAATGCAACTAGAACTGGATTCCTCTTTCGGGTCAGTCGTACCGCAGTTTGCAGATCGTTAGGGAACACTGAACTGAACAAGTATATGCGCTCCGCGCCAAAACCCGATATTCTCAAAGCGTGCTTGCGTTCACTAGCGGAGAACGACCCGTCGACCACCTTACGGAAAGCAAGAGCGACAATAGTAGCTGCCGTAGACGTCCCAAATTCTCCACACTTTGTTTGTAGGGTCCTGAAAACACTAGGATAAAGTCATATAAAAAAGTCCTAGTTCGCGGACAGCATTCTTCGGATGATATCGCAACGACAGCGTTCCTGGAACGTCTCGATCGGTATGAAGCACAGGGACATGGGCTTGTTTTTCCAGTTGATGAGACTTGCTTGGAACGAACCGAACGGTACATATTTGAATATTTGCGGAGAAGAGTGCCCTTTATATGTTCGATCTAGCTCGAAGAGAATGAGGACGTCATCTTCTGTTCTATCCGCAGTGGATACGATTCGCAGCCTCGATTTCGCGCACAGAGAACGCTCATACAACAGGATTCGCTTCGTCATATCATTGAAGAAGATTCCGCGGACGTTTTGCAACGTTCTTCTATCGGACAACATGGCATTTAACCATTCCTGTTGCGATCGAGTTTTTGCCGATTCTATCTGGGTTACTGCTGCTTTTCATTCATCCGCACACTCCGTGCTCCAAGTCTATCCAGAGGATGTTTTCTATCACGAAAAGGCATGATCGCTTTACGGAGCGAGTGTCAGCAGCTTTCAGCACATGGTGACACTGGGGCAGATATCGTCTACCTTCCGCAAATCCGTCCTCCTCGGGGAAGGTACGCACCAAATGGCATAAACAACTGTGTTCATTTTAAAAAATTACGGGATGAGCTAGGATGCACATTTCAGAAGGTCGGGATGAAGAAAAGCCCGTGGAGCGCTTCGGCGCTAGAAAAGCACAGAGAGCTGACAGCGCACCAAACGGGACGGAGGGTACGACGTCGAGGAATCCTTGCATGGATGCGTTCAACCAGTTGCAATCAATGCATGGTATTCGGGAACCGACACTTGAACGCCGCTATCAATGCCAGCTGATGTGTGCGGTGCAGAAGACGCCACCCGAGGCGCTGACGCGATCCAACTTGTATGCCACAGCCCCTCAGTCTCGAAGTGTACCTGGATACATCGAAACCGATTGCAGTCTCTCGAATAATAAAAGCAAGGAAGCATCGGCGAGAGTATCTATATGTAAATAAGCGTATGAATAGGTGCCCGCCATGGTTGTGGAACGATCGTCATGCTGCTGATCGCATATGCCACACGCCAAGCCATCCATACCACTTCCTCACAATCGGCGAGGAAGCATGCAAGAATGTATTTCAAATATATTTTCTAAATGAACTACCAGGAAAGTGACCTTGCCCCATTCAGGTACACAAAGCGTGGCAGATGTTGTTCCAAAGGCAGCAAATATCGATCATCATACGCTGTGCATGGCCAGGGGCGCGGTGATCCGCCAGCATACGCTCCTTGGGGCATGCCTTGCAACGCGCGCTGGTGATGAACGAGCTTCAGCGCCTCTTGTTCGTCGTTTTTTGCTTACGTGCTACGGGGTATACGGTGCCGTGCGCTTGAGGAAGAGGTTAGTTTCTTCATAGTCACACGGTATGGGAGAGCATCGGGTGAACGTGGCGTTTACGTTGGCACCAGTGCAGCCGCCCTGCTTCTCCAGTTATCTGAATGTGACTCGAGCTTGGAGCGCCGATGCCGCAAGCCGTGCGACGCGTTTCCGGTATCAGGGTACGTCACCGTACCCGAGACAGCGAACACTGTTTCTGAACTTTTTTCATCGACAGGACATGGTTCCGTGCGGGTTTGCAGCGCTGCACCCATATCACCGGACCTGCAGGTGGCGCCGATCTTTCATAAAAAGCGCTCGCTCCTGCTGCGCACGAGCGGAAGCTATCGCGCGCGAACATCCACCAGCATCACATGAACCGCTAGTGCGCTGCAACGGGAAGGCTTCGTGCTTCGGGGCCCGCCGAACACGACCTGGTGTAGCGGGAGCCGCTGGGGCTCCGCGCTTCCCCGGAGCGCTCAGGGCGCACCCCGTGACCGCGAGTCTCGGCATCGCGCTGGTGCTTTTACTCGCGGCGTTGCACAGTCCGTCTGTCGCAAGCGCGGCCCCAGTTTTCCACGCCAGCAACCTACAAAGCCTGGGCACTAAGATGCTTCATTCCTTCGCATCGGGTTACGCATCGTCGCTAGCACTGGTTTTCTTCTCCGAGCTCGGGGACAAGACTTTCTTCATCACCGCTTTGCTGGCCATGAAGTACCATCGAACGTCGATTTTCATTGGCGCCATTGCGGCGTTATCCCTGATGACCATGATCTCCGTGGTGCTAGGTCAACTCTTTCACGCGCTTCCACCGCTTGTGACGTCATATATCCCATTCGATGACTGGGCAGCGTGTGCCCTGCTAATCTTCTTTGGCGTATCAAGCATTCGACAAGGTTTGAAAGCGCGAGCAACACGAGCTGGTCCAGGATCGAAAGCAGAAACACCAACATCGCTCGACAGCAGCAGTGCCGGCGCATCCGAGCGATCAGGGACGCTTTCGGATTCGAGGTCTACATCTGCGCAAGCTGAAGAGCTTACGGAAGAGGCAGAAGCAGCGAAATTCATTCGGGAACGAGAGGAGCGTTTGCTGAGCACCAGAAGCCGCCCGGCCTCTGCAACAAATACGCAGATGAGCGACAAGACGCGCGAGCATCCCCGTCTGAGCCAGGCAGGTGCCGCGCTAGCCGCCATAGCGATGCCGCTAGCATCACATGCGCAGCTCGCTGCTGTCGTCGAAGCGTTCACGCTCGTCTTTCTCGCGGAATGGGGTGATCGCAGCATGCTCGCCACGATCGCGCTCTCTGCAGCAAAGAATCCTTTTGGAGTAACGGCCGGGGCGATCAGCGGACATCTGGTCGCTTCACTCCTGGCCATTCTTGGCGGAAGTGTTCTCGGGCGATACTTTAGCGAGCGCTTCGTTTCCCTAGTCAGCGGCGGGCTGTTCATCGTCTTTGCCGTCATGACTTTGCTTGGAGTTTTCTAAGCGATGAAAATCGTGGTGCAAGTGGCGAGTATGCGCTGGGCATACGAATCGAGCGGGTCGCAAACAAAAAAACCGACTCGTTAGTCGCTTCAGGTCGGCAGCTATTTGTTGAAGCTTTTTGTGTAACATGGATGCCGGTATCAAACATGTTGTCGAGTGTAGGGCTTTTCGCCCGTTTCGAGCTTGCGCTGTGCTATAAGCTAACGTATGCATGGATCAAAATTTTTTATATGGGCGAAATCAGCGATGCATCTGGTCGCTGAGCCCGTACCATACCTATGTTGCCACTTGAGTGCATTAGGAAAGGTTTCTGCCTACGTCTACGTCAGTCCCATGATGCGACGACGGATGCATTCGCCTGCAGGTGCTCTCATATCGGCTACTCGGGATGCTCACGCCATGGCGCAGCGAACGTCTTTGAACAAAGCACGGGCACCGTTGCAGCGCATGCTCGTTACCTATAGTGGAAACCTCACCCCGGTAAACTCGACCTGTTGTTTGCGTGCTGCCGCCAAATCCGAGAGACACGGGAGCGACCTCGCTCACCCCTGTGAAGCATGTATGCATCTTGCTATGGAGGAACTTCCCCCGTCCAAACAGAGAATAGAAGCTCCAGTAAACTGCGGTACGGGCAATGCACTTCTCGCCAGGATCAGTCGTCGCGACCGCCTTTTTCCACGCCAGTCTCCTGAGGTTGTATCATCGGGGAGCAGGGCGGCGGGATGCCTTCCTAGCCAGTCCGTGCTGTTGCGCTTGGAGTGTCCCTATTTCTGCGAGATCTGCAGGCGCTTGCCAGTACAAAGGATTGCGCTCCAGAATGCCCCGTAGAATCGGGGATAATATGGAGTGCTTCGCGGCTTGCGCATCGACTCTTCTTCCGCGCAGCAGCAAGAGACATTTGTTATGAACACCTAATCCGGCCCAGGACGGGCAGTCACCGACCTTGATATGCTCCATGGATGCGGCAGCATCGGCTCTGTCATCCGCCCAATCTAGATTTGACTGCTTCTGCACCTGTTCTGCTGCGACTTTGTGCCAGGAGCGCATCCACCACCAGGGAGAGGGCAACCGCAGCACGCGCTTCCAGGCTGGTACGCTGGGCGGCTCCGCTGGATGGATCTCATAGAGTTCAAATGCACCGCTAGCAAACGGGGTGCGCGATCTTGTCAGAGGTCGAACGTAAAGCGATAGTCGCAGGGTATTCTCGGACGCAAGTGGACGCGTGGACGGCCAAGCCGTTGCCCGCGAGTCGATGCGCTGTTTCCTAGACCGTTCAAAACGCGTCGAGTCCGACTCGGGCGTGAGGCTGGCTACCAGCTGCCTCGCGTTACCGCTACTGTCGCCTTGCTCGGCAACCAGTTTGAACGTGCCACTTGCATCGTGCACAAACGTCAAAACCTGATAAGGGTAGGCCAGCAGGAATGCAGCGCCCTCGCGACACCACTTGACTGCGTGGATGTGGTCGGTATCGTCGATACGCTGCAAGTCGTTTCCCGCGGCACCAAGCGTGCGACTTGTTCGCACTGGTCTAAAAGCGAACAGCTTTCGACAGAGAACCGTCTGGGAGGCAAGCGGTGCCGTTGCACCAGAGCGAGCAGCAGTCACCAAGGGCGACTGTGACGCAGCGAGCACGCGACTCGTTTCGAAACCCTCCACGCGGGCGATCAAAGCACCCGAGCTCAGGTTGAATAGCTCACCCGAGTACGCCCAGTGAACAGTGCTTTCGTTGTGGTTTGGATGAAAGCGACGTCGCAGAAACGTGTTCCAGGAGTCTGCTCGTCTACGAGAAAGCGGCAGCGTCTCGCTCTTATGAGGTTCCGTTGGTGCCGTTGCAGACGGTGAGGTTGGGGTTGGTTCAGCGGCTTGCGCAACGATCAAGCTCGGTTTTAGGCCTTTAGTCATGCTAAAGCAAACCCTAAGGTCGCTCAGCGTCCTCGCAGACACGAGCGTTACCGGGTCTGTAGTCGTCACGCAAGTCCCGAGCAGCAGCAGCACCAGCAGCAGCAGCAGCAGAAGTAGTAGTGCACTTGCGGCTTCGAAGAGGAAGCGTACTCTTTAGGAATTCATTCGCGGTGTCGCTGATCGCAGAGCGAGCGCTGGACTATTCACAGATGCTCAAGGCACTGGATGTGCTTGTGAAGGCGACCTCGGTATTCTGCGAGTTTTTCTAATAGGAACGGTTCTTTCGGACCTTGAGAAACATGCAAGATAATGTACCTGTGTTCGATCCAAACGAAAACCCAATGCGATGACGGTGCATGGGTCTGGGAAACTCGCGCTTTTCGCTGGTACTTCATTCAACGACACTGTATCCCTGGGTATCGGCTTTGGGATATCGCGCGAGTGGGTGTCATGTTCGAGTAAAGTAGCGGTACAGGCGAGGACCTATTGCCTTCGCTTTTCAGGGCCGAGCGTGGTCGCGACTCGGTTGCGGCGACTGGGCGAACCGCTGAGAGCCTGTGCCCTCAGCTCACCTAGGACGCTGGGTTGGAGGCGTCGGACGCCCACTTGCGAGAAACGCACCGGAAACGAGCAAAAAGCCTCCTTCCATCGTAGCGTGTAATCAAGCCTCTGATGCAGCTCTATGGGAACGTGGTTTGCCGAGCCAGCGCACGTTCGATGAGTCATCGACACAGTGGCCGTGCGGGCACCTGGGCAGGTAGCGCTCGCGCAGGTCCATGCTTTGTATCCTCTTGCTTTTGAAGCGTATCCTGCTTCGAATGGAACGGTTTCGAAAGTGCAACATATGTGGGCGACTTGAAGTGCAAATTTTTCCATGAGGAAACAAGCGATATGCTTCAAGATGGTGTTCCAAACGCAGATGCCGCAAGACGCTTTGCAAGCGCGTTCTTCGTGGACATACTGATTCGCTGCAGGGCAGGAGTCGCTGCATACTTGCCGTCCCTACAAGCCGGTGAGTACAACTGTTCCCGTTGCTGCTGGTATGGCGGCTGCATACGACCGTTTTTCACCATACCAAGTTCGTCGACAGCGTTTCACAACGCAAGAGACACGACTCGGGTAAGACTTTTGTTCCAGAGCGCGCGTTCCGGGAGCCGAATGTTCGGGGAGAGGGCGCCACGAATCCCATGCGGATGTCTGTGGCGTTCCGGCGTTTTTCGATCACGGGTATCGCACTAGTGCATACCCGAGAAATACAAGTCGAGTCTGGATGATTCGTTGCTGCATTGGTTACACCGCTGGCAACCAGCGGTATCTTTATTGAAGGCCCCTTTCTTACACGAGCGAGACGCTATGCAGATACTCTTGATTTTTGTCAAAACAAGCTAGGAGGTCGTGTATCGTTGGAATGAACGCATCCCAAGCCACATACCCGTACGACAAGGAAAACTGCGCTGATCAAGCATCCGCGTTCAGAGGCATTCGAACGCGACAATGAGAAGGCTCTCGATATGACGCAACCCAGTGGCTGTGTCGCGGGCATCGTGTTCTGCGGCCCGGGGGGCGCTCAGCGTGGACGGCAGTTGGAACGGACCGCTTCGAGGAATCCGAGCCGTCGCCGACTCGCAACATCGTCGCTACATAAACCCATGTGATCGTTTTTACTCCCAAGAACGTGCTGGTTTTTCACGCGAGACGTATCCAAGTTAAGTGACATCACGGGCGGGGCGACAAGTACATGCACCAAAACATCGCTTATGAAGCATGCGCTGATCAAGTCCCAGCAGCCGCAGTGAAGATGACAGCAGGGCTCCTGCTCTAGCTCGGCGCGCAACGGGTCGCTGCCAACGCTGCACCTGTGGACAGCAAACTCGCCAACCGCTACCAGACGTGCATGTTCGAGCACCCATAACCAGCCGCTCGCGGACGACACCTATGCACGGCCTCTAGGGCGTCAAGAAGCTGGGACGTTTCCGAGGTTGTGATTGTGGAATGCGCCGCCGTGCGCCCGCGAACGGCTCTCTAAAACATTGCAACGCTGGCGTCTAGCGCGAGAATGCCAACCCCATGGCCAGTGAGAATACTGGGTCGTACTTGCCTTTCCCGTCCATGAACGTGCCCGCGGAGGCATGAACCACAAGCCCCCGGGCTCGGAAACCGAGAGAGTCTATTTTCTCATCAACTTGGCGAGAGAACCGACGCGCCTGCGCCTCTTCGCGTGACTCCCCACCCTTCCTACGGGACCAGTGAAGAAGGCATTCCACACCGATTCTTGCATCAGCGCCGTATTCTTCGTCGCTGCGTCTCATTGCACCGAACTGAATGAAAGGGCGCGGGCGTCCTCGCAGCGGACCCAGCAGCGTGACACTGCTATCCAGTTCACCGTAGCGGCGATATGCTAAAAGGCTCTCTCCGCCGATAGATAGCGCATTGGGACCTTCCAAACGCCGCACGTAACACGGGGTCAGCAGCCCGTTCGTACTCACCGCAAGCACCGAGTCGCTGTAGTCAACGAGAGCGCCTTTCACAGCGCGCTCCGAACGCTGCAGGGTTCTCTGCAGCGAGGTCGCCGCCCGAGCCTCCCCGGCGTGCGCGCTCCTAACCGAAAACGGCGCCATAGCACTCGTACGCATACTGCCCTGGTCCCTGAGTGAAACTGTTCCCGAACTTCTGGACACGTTTGTAGCTCTGCGCAGCGTACCGTCTATCGAACCCAGTTGCACCTCGTTTAGCGCTGATGCAGGGAGCACCGTGTGCTCATAGCGCAGTCCACTGGATCGACTCGGTAACGGCACAAGGCTCGCTTGGAATGGATTATCACCTTCTACATCTGCTGTCCACAGAGACCTAATCTCCTGTAAAAAAGCGTAGGGCATCAGTGTGCGTTGTAGCGTTCTCGCAAGTCGCCGTATCGAGCAGCGAAACGAGCTCCACGAGCGTGCGCCTTTTCGAACGCCGGAGCGCGCCAATCTGTGGCGATGCGTCGCGCCAGTCGCTCGACAACGTGGAAGAGCGCTCTTGCGCGTGCCTGTGCTGTAGTGCGGGCGCGCTCTACGGCATACTGCAGAGCACATCGCCGCGATATGCCAAGAGGCGACGCCGCCCTTGTCGCAAAAGGCACTGGAACGCTATTGGCGTAGTGAGCGGTTTCCGGCTTGGGGCGCAGCGCTTCGGCCCTGAAAATATGCCAAGCTGCTCTGGGTCTGTCTGATGACTGCAGTGGGTGATGTTGTTGGCGGTACATCCAGTATCACAGCAAGCATTGATGACGGATGCGGTACCTGGAGATATCGGTGACGCGGACGCGTGTCTCTCGCTGGTGTGTCCTTGTATGGGCTGGGGAAACGTGGTGACCTTCGGGGATGAACGGTGACACCAGACCAGATAACTGTCACGAGACGCGCGTCCGGGGAATTCTGGTGAGCTTCATCGCTTCGATACCAGTTGGGACGGGGCTCGCGGGGACCGTGCGGAAGTGCTCGCCCTTACGCATGCACCCAACAGAGAAAAGTTGCAGTGAGATGGCGCATCCCTGGCGGATGGTACATGCGCTGGATACGCGCCCTGCAGCATCGAGTAGCGTGCATGCATGCGTTAGCTCCAGAGATGGCCATGGATACACCTGAAAAGTGGGATCAGACTGGGCGCCGATTCACGATCTGCGGGACTCGAGCTCCACGAAATGATTTTGTAGGATGCGTAAATTTTACGCAATGGACATATGGATGCGCGCTTTCCATGACGCGCAAGTCTGTCGTGGCAAAGGTAGGGGGTACGATCCGCCAAGTGCGCTTCGTATCATTATGGACAAATAGGAGATCCGATTTCACCAGCGTCTCTCCCTTGTCGAGATGTGCTGCGTCCCGGTTGCCGATACTCCGCATCGTAGTCGAATAGATTCCGACCTGTTCCCTATATGCTGCCTGAAATCAAACGCTCACATCGACATCTTTCCACGAACAGCGTTCCGGAAATACGACGCGTGGAAGTGAAAGCCCGCAAATTTCCTCCGTCAGCAACATGCGTCCGAGACCCTTGAACGATGCATGTCGAGATCCACGGCGAGCGAGCGACATTGAAGCTGCCGCAGTAGACGTCCCTCGAGAAGCGCAACGATAAGCGCGCTCATGCCCAACACTCTCAAGCGCTATGGTCGCATTCGGCCGGGTGCATGCCTTGCGTACCGTCATGCGTCTTGCGTGCTTTTGGAATACCCCACTATCCTGAACGCTGAGCGCATGCCTCATGAGCGGGTAGCTCATGCACATCGCTGAAGACTGCAACGCTTACCTTATCTTTCGAGAGGTATCACACATCGTGCAGGTACCCGTACCACACAGGCCTGCGGACGAAGCGCGTATCAGCAGCTGCCGTCAGCTGAGCTAGCCGCATGCGCCAAGTCCACGCGGGAATCTTGACGCCGGCGCTGATGCAGGCCTTTCGGAAATAGGAACTTGCTGCATTTTAATGTACATAAATGGAAAGGGCGAATCCGTGCACGCGCAGATGCATGCCGTGCGCTGCATCGCGTTTGCCTGCGGCCGCGTACGCTGAACGCATCGCTGACACCGCCTTGAAGCACCAGGAACGCGCCTTGCCGAGCTAAGGATGACGTTAAACTTGGAGCGTGTGGTCGCATCGAAAACCCTGCCAACGGTTCTGCGTTATGCAGCGCTGACAGCAGCAGCTGTATTAGCTTTTGCGATCCGTCTGTTCAGCGTCGTGCGTTACGAGCCTGTGATCCACGAGTTTGATCCCTACTTCAACTACCGCGCCACACGTGTTCTTGTCGACAAGGGTCTATACGAGTTCTGGAACTGGTTTGATGATACATCTTGGTACCCACTTGGTCGAGATGTGGGTGGTACCGTGTACGCTGGTACTATGTACAGCGCCGCCTTGGTCTACTGGGTACTGCAAGCACTTGGTTTCCCCGTCGACGTGCGCTACGTTTGCGTCTTCGTATCGCCACTGTGGGCATCGTTCACAACGCTTATTACGTACGCCTTTACAAACGAGTTGACTGAACAAAAGGACTCAATTGCGGGCCTCTTTGCGGCAGTTTTCGTTGCCATTGTGCCTGGCTACATTTCGCGGTCATCGGCCGGAGGATTCGATAACGAGTGCGTGGCGATTTTCGCGCTGATGAATACCTTCTATCTTTTCATGAAGGCGGTGAATACCGGTGCGCTGCAGTGGGCGCTTGCGTGTTGTCTCGGCTATCTTTACATGGTAGCATGCTGGGGTGGCTATATCTTCATCATCAACTTGATTCCAATCTATGTCATCGTCATGATACTAGCTGGGCGGTATTCTCATCGGATCTATGTCGCCTATTCTACTTTTTACATCCTCGGCACGTTGTTATCCATGCAGATACGCTTCGTTGGCTTTCAAGCCGTGCAATCGGCAGAGCACATGCTCGCTGCTGTCGTCTTCCTGGCGCTGCAAGTTTATTGCCTTGGGCAATGGATTCGCTCCATTGTCGCCGAACAGGTCTATCACGCATTTGTGCGTTATTTTGTTATAATCGTTGGATCCGCTTTTGCAGGGCTCGGGGTACTGCTTCTGGCCGCAGGTTACATTCAGCCGTGGACGGGGCGCTTCTACACGCTGCTGGACCCAACGTATGCGAGCAAACATATACCCATCATTGCGTCGGTGAGTGAACACCAGCCAACGGCATGGTCGTCGTATTTTTTTGATTTGCACTTTCTGACTGTGCTAGCGCCACTCGGTCTCTACTACTGCTTCCAAGAACTGACGGATGCAACACTCTTTGCCATCCTGTATTTCGTTTTTGCAGTCTATTTTTCTGGGGTTATGGTTCGACTCATGTTGGTGCTGGCGCCTGCTGCATGCGCAATGGGTGCTGTTGGCACAAGCCGTCTCCTGCAGTCCTTTGCTGTGGACTTGAAAGCTGAACTTGCTGAACGCAATTGGATTCCATGGATCAGCGATATGCAGCAGGCGAGCAATGCGTCGCCTGGCAAAAAGCACACTGCCGGTGCAAGTAGCACCAGCAGCACGAGCGGCAACCGGGGTCGCGTCACGGGCAGCAGTCAGGGAAACAATCGGGCGAGCGCGCTGCGCTTGGAGGTTTCGTTGGGGATCCTCTTCAGCGCACTCCTTCTCGGAAACGCGTACGTCAAGCACTGCGTCTGGGCCGCTTCTGAGGCTTATTCTTCTCCGTCCATCGTATTGGCAGGTCAAGGGCCATCTGGCAGGTTCCTCATCGACGATTTCCGAGAAGCCTACTACTGGCTGGGGTCCAACGCAGCGGCGGACGCAAAAATTGCCTCCTGGTGGGACTACGGCTACCAGATCGCAGGTATGGGTTTCCGCACGACCATTGTGGATAACAACACCTGGAACTTTACGCATATTGCAACAGTTGGCAACATGCTCAGTCGACCAGAGAAGCAGGCATACCAAATAGCGCGTATGCTGGACGTTGACTACGTGCTGGTCATATTTGGCGGCCTGATTGGATACGGTGGCGACGACGTGAACAAGTTTCTTTGGCCGGTACGCATTGGCGGCTCAGTTGATCCAACGCTTCGTGAGGCGCAGTTCCTCACTCGAAGGGGTGAGTTTCGCCTCGACGAAGAGATGGCTCCAGCGATGCGAGAGTCACTTCTGTTTAAGCTCTGTTACCATCGTTACGGTGAAATCAGCAACGGCTATGATCGCGCTCGGGGTTATCGGGTAGCGCATTTGGACGTCAGGTTGGAACTATTCGAAGAGGCATTCACATCCGAGCATTGGATCGTACGAATCTATCGAGTGAAACCGCCAAGCAACCGCGGTAATGTAGCATGGTGAAAGCGGAAGTCGAGGAACCTTGAGGCATATTTGGCTATACGATGGATGTCGACCAGCTTGCAGCACGCTGGTACCGCTTCCTGCACAGTTTACCCATGGCTTGCAGCTGAGAACGCTATGCTCGACGCGCTGGAAGCATATCTGTGTGTTGTATCGATGGCGATACTCAAGTTCGGAGCGGGCATCGATCCAACGAGCTCGCTGTCCACGACTGCGTCTAGACGAACAAGTTGATCGTTCAGCATAGCTCGAACAGGGCAGCTGCAGTCCAGCGAGTGCAGCCTAATGACCAAGTTGTCGTCTCATTTTAAACGATACATGCGTACGCATCCAGACGCTGAACACGCGTCCCCAGAATTGGATACAGTTCCAGTAGTCCAAAAAATCCGGAAGCGAATAGCGACCAGCTATGCAGCTTACGTGGCCCGACAAACGAGCGCCCAGCCTGCACAAGGACACATGCACCAAGGTCCCCAGAAACAGTCCCCGGTACGAGTTCCTTTGGATAAGCACCGCTATCGCTGAACTCGGCCTGCAATACCTTAAGCAACGGGTCAGCTGGTGTGCTGGAAACGCTTCCATCCTTCGATTCATCGATCGGTTCAGCAAAAAGAGCCGTGTCTAGCGACGAAACCGCTTTTCGCACAACCTGTTCCAATGGTTGAAGCATGTCGCAGGGATATCGCGCTCTAGAGAAGCGCGTCTCTGCTTCATCGCACAGGAACTTGGGAGTAGGGGGTTGATGCATACCTCACCGCGCACTGAAAAACACACACAAAAAAATAAGAAAAGAAAAATGCGCATAATCGGAGAACGCTGGCCTAAGTACACATTTTGTCCATGAAAAAAATCGCACAGGAACGAGGTCACAGGTTCCCAAGCGACAGCCTACACACTAAAACACGTTACATGTATTGTTCCAGCTAGAAGCGCTCTCCCCGTGCCGTTCGCGAAAACAAATACCAGCGCTAGAAGCGTGCTCGTCACTATGGATAGTTTAAAGCCGGCGTGCTTTGAAGCGCGATACGGCACGTTCCAGAAAACTCCACGAGCACGGAGCCTTTTATGCAGTGCCGAACGAGAGCCTCGAGGTCTGCTCGCGCTGCTGGGTGCACCGGGAAGGGCCTCACGGGCTTTTCCAGTCCATAAAAAGCACAGCTCAGCGCTATTCACTCGGGAACTCGAACAACATACCATCGCTTGGCGTACTGTGGCTGTGCTTGCAGTTTCCCAGTCGGTACGTTGAAAGCTGATGCGGCTTAAGAGCGTATATTTTGTTCCAGAGGATCTTTGCGTCTCATCAGAGACCTTTGAGAAGCGCAAGCCCCACTCCGAGTCCATACCATGGCACCTATGTGCAGCGCCACCACCGCTGCTCCGCTGTCGACGCTCACCCGATGACCAGTCCCGGAACGATACCCAGCGGCGATGGCGTACGTTGCTTCGTTTCGAAAAGGGTTGGCGAGCCACGTGCGTCGCTTCTTCGTCGCAACACGAAGCCGACCAGTGTGTGTTTAGCATATAGCACTCGGTTTGGAGAAGCTTGAGGGTGTCTACGCGCCGACCACGCTGACCCAGCAGACGTCCATGGCTTGCAGCGGGAAGCGCTCTGCACGAGACTGCATCGAGCGCTGTGAGAGCCTCAACTTTCCGAGCTGCTTCAGGCGATCTGGCTTCAGCTTCATTGGTCCCTGGACGGCACATGAGCGTCAGGATGCATCCATTTTCATACCGTGTTGCCCGATATCGTTTCAGAAACGGAAGTTTGTACGTTTTAGACGAGGTTCCGCGAGCGTCCGGCGTACGCAGCGCGGAGGCGACGTTCGAGCGAGTTCGAGTGACCAGAACGGCTCCGTCGCCCGTGACGACGTAGACACGCCACTAGCCCGACGGGGGCATCACCCGGAGACGCAGCCTCCTGACACGACTCAATTCGCTCAAGCAGGTGCGAACGGCGGGTCAGAGACACCAGCGAAAACGGCGTTTCAACCAGCGCTGGCCCCGAGCCTTGCACACACGTTGGAGCGACGCCTGCCGCAACTCCGCAGCACGTTTCTCAGCCTATTCGGATGTATTACAGTGCTATTTATTCGCTTTGCAACGGCCACTGTTTTCCTGGGCATCATGGTGTTGGCCTGGCTCGGATACTTTGCCGCGAATCAACGGCTGGGTGCGCTCGTTCACAGCGCAGCTTCAACGTCGCTAGGACGCTCCATTAAAGTCGGGAGACTGAAGCGGCTCGTATTGCCACTCGGTGTTGCCGCTGGAAAACTCGAGATGGCCCCGGATGCCTCCAAACCCTGTGGTTCACTCGGTGCGGTGCAAGTACGACTAGCCATCGAGCCGCGTCGCTGGATAACCCTTCGTACTGGACGAGTACGTTTCGATGTGCAGTTCCGGCGGGTTGCCCTGGAACTACACCAGCATCAGCCGGGCGAATGGGACCTCGGATGGTCAGTCACGCCAGGCAAACGCACCGACGATGCCTCCAGCGACGTCAACACCGCCGATGCACTGCCCAGCGGGCAACGAGCCCGCAGTGTCCCAACACAGGAGTTACCAGCGAACGGTGCCGAGCAAGCGCTGCCTCCGGCGTTAGCGGAAGCGACGCTACCCGTGGCGCTTCGTGTGGTAGAGTTCAAACGCTCAAGCGTCGCATTGGACGTGCTAGGGACAGGTGACTCGGCCTTTGGCCGAGGAATTTATGTGTTCCGGGGGATTCACGGGCGCCTGGTGTTTGCCCAGGGCATGAACGCGCTCACGGGCAAGCTGTCGTTCGAAACTGAGCACCGGGGAGCGGGATCCTGCGAGCTCGCCCTCGACTTGCAGCGCAATATTCATCGTATCAGCGTACAGACTAGAGCGCTGCCGGCGAAAACTGTGGTAGCGCTGCTGAACCTGCCCTTCGAAAGCGATACAGGTCGAGTGCACGGCCAGGTCGCGTTGGTGCTGCGACCCGATGCCAAGGCTCCCGAACTGACCGGAACCGGTAGATTGCAGCAGGTAGCACTGCGACTCGCCCCTGACGCGCCAAGTTTCACGGGCATATCGGGTCGCCTCCGCTTCGATGAATCGATGGTGATCTTCGAGGGCCCAACCGGTTTCTTCGGGCAGCTACCCATAACCGTCGTCGGGTCCATCGACTTGTCCAAAGACTACAATCTGATTGGTTTCGTGCGTCGGGTAGCGATCAGCGACGTGCTCAAGACGTTTCGAGTGGAGTCTCCGATTCCTGTCCATGGGAGCGTCAAGGCAGAGGTTCGCATGCATGGCCCACTGGAGAGTCCGCTTCTCACTGGAGCTGCGATTTCAGTCGGAGCTCCCTGGAGAGCGGATCGAATTCATCTGCGAAATGCCCGGGCAGACTTCCAGCTTGATACGCGTTCAATGGAACTGCAGATTGCCGCAATGGAAGCGACGCTTCAGGATGGCGGTCAACTTAGCGGCCATGGTGTACTGAAACTGGCTGCGAACGGTGCTGTGACCGCCTCGTCAATTCGGGATACCGAAGCAAACGAGTCATCGTCTCCGGTTGCAGTGAACGATTCCAGAGCAGAGCGAGATCCTGCAACACAGGAGCCGTCTGTTCAGCTGGCGCTGAACCTTCGCGGTGCCCACGCTGGCCCCTTGTTGGCGAGGTATCTCCATGAACCCGGCAAGCAGGGCACCGTTATGGACCCTATTGGCCGCCTGTCTGCGGAGCTGACGGTTTCAGGTCCGTTGAGCGAGGCGGAACTCAACTTGCGGTGGCGTCTGGTGGGCACTGCGCCACCAGAGGCATCGCAGACGGTTGCGTCTTGCGGGGCGGAAGCACCCACACCGAATGCGAAGCTCTATGGAGCGGCCTCCGGAACGCTCCGGATGCCCCTGGTTGCTCGACATACCAATGCGAATATCGATATCAATACAGGTACCGGTGCTCGTGCGTTAGCTCCAGTTCCAGCTCCTCCTCGTACTGCTGTAACTGGGAATACCAGTACGGATCCGGAGCCTCAGCGCCTTCGTTTCACCCTAGACGCCTATGGTATCGACCTGCGTCGTCTAGCATGGCGACCGGAATGGACGACTGCTCCCAAGGCACTGCTGGACACGCGTCTTTCCGCGGATGTAACGCTGCAACAACCGAAGCGCTCTACAGCCGACGCCGCACAACGCCAACAGGCTCCTTGCGTAGAAGCGTTTCTCGACGTGAGACGCTTGCAGCTGAACGAGTTCGGCTATACGCGTCGTCTTGCGGGAAAACTGCGCTTTCATCCAGACGAGGGTGTGCAGTTCCAGGCGCTTCCGCATGAGCACAGCTCAGCGCAACGCAGCGCTGCTTCGACTCTGCAGCCAGGAAGCGACGAACTCCAAAAGCTACCTGTTTTCCTCAGCGTTCAACTGGACCCGAGTTTCCGACGTGATCTGGCGGTGCATCTTCGTCGTGATCGTTTCCGTCTTGATGTTTCGTACCAGGAAAACAGCCGCTTCGAAGCATGTCTCGAAAATATGCCCATCGAAGAGTTGCTCGGCCCCGATTACGGGGCTGGTGGCCTCGTTGAAGCCACCTTGTCCGTTGACCTGCAACAGGAGCGTGGCACGGGCTCGTTTGCCCTCCGTGATGCGTATTTTCGTCAGTTTCGTTGCCGGGCGTTCGCCGGTGAGCTCTTCTGGCTCGATAAGACCGTGTTTCTGCAGAACAGCGTGATCCAGCAAGCGCGTTCCGAATACCACATTGAGGGCGTCTACTCGTCCAGCAATGTTGCCGTGGGGTCAGCTGCGTCAACGCTGCCCAGTTGGCAGACCAAGATCGTGATTCCTCGCGGGGATATCGCGGAGCTCGCCTGTCTCGCCCAGGCGGTGAACGGGCAACTGGACCCAACGATCCTCTCGTATTGGGAAATTCCCCCGCATCTCTCTCTGGAGGAGCAGATTCTCTGGTTTGCAGACTATCTCTGTCAGAGCGCTGATGTGTCTCCCGACGATTTTCTCAATGACGATCGCACACTGCCGCGAAGGGCAGAGCCCGGGAGCAGCGCTTCCCCTGCTGGCGACGCAAGCGCCGGGTGCCGTCATCTCAGCTGACGGCAGGCGAGCACAGCGGAAACGACCTCTGAAGCCACCGAGTCTCGCTGACTTGCGCGGAAGCTATCGGGGCACCATCTCCATGAGCAGCGGTGCAGAGCGACTGGCCTTTGACCTCAACGGCGAACAGTGGGCCATCGGGCCGCACGAACTCGGTACGATGTGTGCTCGCGGGGGCATCCATCGAGGAATCATTAACCTGGAACAGTTATCGTTTCAGGTGGCGTCTTCGTCGGGGGCTATGGTCCATCTCAGTGGCACTGCCGACCCAGCGGGAGCCTTACACGCGAACCTACATCTAGCCAAAGTTCCGCTGCACCTGCTCTCTGACTACGGACTGGCACCGGTTCGTCTCACCGGAGTGCTGCACTCGTCAGCAGAGTTAGCCGGCACGGTTCGGGATCCGACACTCCATGTGAAAGGTCTCTGGCAGGAAGCATCGCTGAATGGTCTTCGGTTGCGGGACCCGCAGGCCGAGCTGCGCTGTGACCTCGGACGCTGTCGTGTCCGCGCTACCGCAGCTGTTCCAGTTCAGCAGCGCAACTGGGGTCCGGTGCGCCCCAGTTGGCGCTTCTGGAAACGCCCTAGGCCCAGTGTCGCGCAACAACGCTGGCTGGACGGCAGCGAAACCTCTACAGCGAAACCGGGAGCATCCCGAGCGGCTTCTTCAGATGCTGCTGCTGCTGCTGCTGCAATGACGCTTCACGGGAGTATGCCTTTGAGCGGCGTTCGTCTTGAGGGGTCGCTTCCGATTCGACTCGCTCATGTGCTGGAGCGTCTCTTGGACCCGCGGATACCTCTGACAGAACGCTTTACCACGTTCTCGTTGCACGACCTGCTCGTAGCGACAGACGCGAGCGAGTCGATGCAGATTGATGTGCAGGTGAAACGCAGTGGTGCTGCGCTTGTCGCAGCTTTTCTTCCTCAGGTGCCCGTTGCAGGCGGCAGCGCTGACCTGCGGATTCGTTTACGCGGAGCGCCGCTTCAGCCCCAGGTTACCGCTCGATGTAGTCTATCGGATGTGCGAATCGCCCCGCCGGACCTGGAAACACCCATTGAGAGCGTGTATGGCGAGGTCGAGCTTCGCGACTGGATGCTGCACGTCCACTCGATGACTGGCCTCGTCCAGGGTCGTGTGTGGTCGCTCAAAGGCGTTCTTCCTGTATGGACGCCAATGACGAACTGGGACGCCAGTCCCAGCGACGCGGAGAACGTACGAGAACCCGAACCGCTTACGTTGCAGCTGGAGAACCTGCCAGTGCATCTGCGGGATCGCTATCACGGCAGGGCAACGGGTCAGGTCACCGTTCATGGCACAGCGCTGCAACCGGTACTGCGGGGCTCGCTGACCCTCCACGATGGCTCGATCATGTTATTGCCGGGATCCTCGAATCGAAATACCCAGCGAATAACGAATGCAAACAGTAGTAGTAGTGGTAGCATTAGTAGTAGTAGTAGTGGTGGTGGTGGTGGTGGTGGTGGTGGCGGTGTTGGTAACAGCACTACTACTACTACCAGCAGCAGTAGCAACAGCAGCAGTACTAGTACGAGTAATGGTAACGGCAGTAGCAACAATACGACGCCGCTGCGCCCGGATAACGAACTCGACATGCGCACCTACGAGTCGGATGAGAGTTTTATGAATCCTTTTCTGGAGCTCGTCGAGCAAGGTTTCCCAGACATTGTCTTTGAAGAGTTTCGATTGCGTTTGGGGTCGCGAACGCGGGTCGTTTTCCCGCTGGTGCTCAGCCTGCATCTGCAAGGAGACGTCGACCTGAACGGACCGCTCAGTGACTTGCGACCGAGCGGCTCGTTTCGCATTCTCGACGGGTCCCTCAATTTGCTTACCAACCGCTTGTACCTCATTCGATCGGTTCCCAACTCGGTGAGTTTCAGTCCGGATGCTGAGCAGGGCGCGCCGCTGGACCCCCTGCTACACGTCTCGTTATCCGATCGTCGCAAGTATACAGTTCGTCTGCGAAACGTACGGGCAAGCAAATGGGAGAGCGCACTTGAGGTGCTGGACGCCCAGGGTGTTCCCCTGGAACGGAGTCAACTGGTAGCGATGCTCAATGAGCGTCTCGGGAACGTTTCTGCAAACCTGCAACTGCGAAATGGTGGCTCCTTGGCGCTTCGATCCCTGCTGAACACGTATACCGTCGGGGGCTCGCTTGGACGTGGTGGTGGTACGCTCTGGCGCCTCAGTCCGAACGTGACGGCACGACCCGAGAGCACAGCGCTGCCCGGCACCGGCTTGCTGTCAGAGCAACTCGGAGTGTATGGTGAACTTGAGAGTGGTCGCTTTGTTTTGTCATTTTCGCGCGATATGCAAGGTTTGGGGATCACGTCGATCTCCTATCGACCGTGGGAGCGTTTCAAGATGGAGTACGAGAAGCGGGAGACCGGCGAGCAGCACCTGGAAGCGAAGATCTACCTCAGAGGCGCCAGTGATGATTAGAGGCACTGGCTGGGGCCGAGCACCGCCACCCGCGCCAGCACCGCACTGGTTTGGTTTCATTACGAGCGCACGAAGATTGTCGAGTGTTTCTTTCCAGTGCAGGCGGTCTCGGGACGTAAGCGCCAACCATATCAGAGTCGTGAGCAGTGCCTTGCTGGCAACTTTGGCTGGAAGACGAGCGGCAGAAATGCCGGCTTTTGCGGGCAAAGCAAGCAGTTCTGGTGTATTCAAAGACGGTGCCTGGAGCAGGTACATGCTCTAGTGATGGTCTAAACTCGTTTCAGATGAACATGGAACACTGAACGTTTCGCTCTGTTCCAGCCTGGAGCATTTGTTTCGGAATGTGTTGGTATGAATAGCATGGCATTCGAGCTGGAATCAGACTGGCTTGATTCTTCACATGTAGGTATAGGATTTTGCGGGGTCGTTCATTCGGGGTGACCCCTTCGATGCTTTGCCTATGGTACGCGTTACGTCACCAGAATCATGACAATTGGTGACACTTCCAAACAGAAATTCGTGAAATAAGCACTATGATCATTCATTGCATACGTATAGGTTCACGATTGAACCCGTTTCTTGATACGGACCATGATCAAAATATGCATGCTTCAAGCTTTCGACCTCTACGTTTCAAAGCTACTCGCAGGTGCAGCAACGCAGGCCGCCGAACTGCCGAGAAGCGGCAACTCGGCGTCGTTCCAGGACAGTTTTTTCAAAACCTCATGCCGAACGTTCCCTGACCTTGTCGCGTCGCATCAAGAAATTCGAAGGAAGGAACAGTCACGCCTGGTTCGTGGCCAGCGACGGAACCGCATTCGACAACAGCAGCGTGATAGCACTCGCGTGTCACGCTCCCCAGAGCTTCCGTCGGTACAGATTGCATGGAAACGAGCCTTGGAAACGGACTTGAGTCATCGCAGTGATCGCTTTCTCTGGGGAATCCGTCATCGTTTTGCAGGAAGCGTGCGTAGATGGATCGAAGTCTCTCTACTTGTTCTCGTAAGGCGATGCTGCTTCCGGTGCTTATTTCATCATGGACCACAGCATCGTACTCAACACATGCTTCGTTGAATAGAGCAGCATGCGCTGGTATCTGCTGCGGACATGGTACTCGACGAATGAGCATCGCTCCAGAGAAGCAACCCCTGAACGTTGGGTATGGCGTCAGGCGCAGAGACGCAGCAGAGCGCATGGACGGGAGTCGTCGGTGCCCAACGACGTCATGTACGGAGCGGTGAAGTAGGTGTTCGCAGGCCACACAGAGTCGTTCTTGGAGAAGCATCTCTGGCGGACACGTATCTCTAAGCACCTGAACAAATCCAAGCGTCAACGCGACGACGGGCGCACCCAAGCTCTGAACCCAAAACATGAAAGCGCCAGTCGAAACGTAGATCACAACGAACGTCGACGCATTCAATACGTCGCCACCAGCCAGAAAAGTAAAAGCATACGAACTTGAATGTTGGTATGAACATCTTTCGCTACTGCAGAGAACGGAGCTGGATGAAAAAAGAGAGGCATCTGGAATGAACGCTCGCGACAAGAGAAGGGTACCAGAAGCAGTCGCAGACCCCAGCGCCCAAATCTGGTGTTGATGACAATGGAAGGAGACACAAAGCTTCGTATGGACGCCCGAGTCAGCATAGTGGGATCATTGTACTCTATGCTGACGCAGGTAGAGTTGGAATGACATGCTTTGACCTGCGTCCGTGTACACGTGGCTGCTTAGGTGCATCCGTACGTCGGTGCGACATGGTGTAACGCACACACACACACACACACACACCACAAGGCGATAACGACCCAGTGCTTGGCGACTTGTCTTATGCGCCATGCATCTGACATGCCCTAATCTCTTCGAGTCTGCGTCGGTGCGTACACTGCCGCATGAGGAACAGTCGCATTCGCCTAGACACTCGCAATGTCATCGTTGCGACACTTGCGCCGCGTTTCGGATCACGTCCTGATCAGAGAAGCGTTGGATGCAGTAACGAAAACGCTGGACTCAACAGCACCTGTTAGCTGCTCATGTTCATAGCCAACTCGAATGCACCAGGTTCAGTAGCGTACGCTTCGATACCTGCATCGCAAGCCATGCACATACACACTTGTCTTCAGACAGAATGGTCATGCGCCCTATGAAGTGCCTCCCGTAGCCCAGCAATCACACGCCCAGCATCCGGCCCTGCACCGAATACAGCAGAGCCAGACACCAGAACATTGCATCCTGCCTGAGCAGCTGCGTCTGCGGTTGTCAGGCCGATGCCACCATCCGCTTGAATATCAAGGAGCGGATATCGTTCGCGAAGAAACCGCACCTTGGGTAGACATTCAGGCATGAAGCTTTGCCCACCGTGTCCAGGCTCAACGGTCATAATCAGAACCATATCAACTGCGGCTGCGTCTACCAGCGGAAGCACAGCCTCAACTGGGGTACTCGGGCGAAGGGCCACGGCTGGTCGCGCCCGTAACGCTCGAACACGCTCGCAGAGTGCCAGCGCCATGCGCAGACCGTCTTCTCCAAACACCTCGTAGTGGAAGGTGCAGCCCAGGTTTGGAGCTGGGCCCTGGTTATCGCCGTTGACGCGGGCGAACTGCTCGATCCAGAACACCGGCGCGGTGGTCATAAAGTGGCAGTCCAGAAACACTTGTTGGCCGACGGCTCGTCGGAGACCCTGGAAGACAACAGGCCCGAGTGTCAAGTTGTCGACAAAGTGCCCGTCCATGACGTCCACGTGCAACCAGTCGGCCCCGGCGTCGAGCACGCGTTTCGCCTCAGCTCCGAGGTTGCCAAAGTCACAAGAGAGCAACGACGGTGCAACGATGGTCGCTAGAGGTTTAGACTGCATCTTCTCGTTGACTGCAAAAGGGAGGCAGCACCAGTGCTTTCGCTGCTCGGGCTCTGCTGGTCGAGAGGAAACGCGACTCACACACGGTTTCTGGGCCTCTGCAGTGCAGCCTCGTCTCCGGAAACGGTACGCTGATGCGACCGGGCAACCGAGTCGAGCGAGGCGGCGTTCGCGTCTGCGGTAGCTCCAGCAACGGCAAAAGCAGCAACCTCAGGAACGAGGATGCAAGCAACGTTGCGTATGTTGAGGCCGTCTACAGATTGGATTTTTGCACGATACTTGTTCACAGTCGGACTGATGCGTGGCGGGTTTCAGGTGCCGCACGACTTGGGTGTTGGCATATGCTTCGGGGAATCTCAGCAGCATCGAAACAACGTGCGTGTTTCAGTTCCTGGGGAAACTTAACAGCGCTGATAGAAAAGCACTGCTGGCGACGGAGTGTTGCGGTATTCGCCCTCCTGGTGTCGAGGTCGGCAAATGCCGCACCATAGTGTTGTGCGAAGCGACTGCATGCTCGACGAAAGCGTTGCGTATCGTCGGATGCTGAGAACGGCATGCGGCTGCCAAGTCAGCGGTGTGTCGCTGTTGCGGCCGGTGTCGTGCGCTTGGGGTTGGCATCCCGGCTTTTGGACGACATCTGCACCAGTTGAGCGGATACACTGAAAGACCGGTCGCACGCTGGTTTTGTTTGCAAGTGCAACGAGCGTGGTGTCGGTGGAGCGTTATGCGCTCCTATCTCGATGCAGGGGCTCCTTCTTCAGAAAAGCGCTAAGCAGCATAAAAAACTGAGTGAACGAAGCGATCACTGGAGGCCCTAGCACACCTTTCCAGCTTTGGACGCTTTACGAGGGGCTTTTCTTATCGACATGTGCAGCAGCTCCCTTGCGGACGATAAACAGAACGACTTGGCGGAACGGCGACAGATTCATGTTCACGAAAGCGGAAACGTACCGCCCCTGCATCAAGTTCTCCAGATCCGCACTGCGAGGTTCCGCTGCCTCTGATGCATACCAGTACAACAAATCATCCGGTGCTTGTCTTGAAGGATGTTCGGGGACGTGTCAGATGAAGGCACTGCAACCATGGCAGTCACTGGAGCGACATACGACGATGCCGTACTCTTCGAGACGATCCCTGCAACCGTACATGATGCAGCGTAGCGTCACCATGGGATAAGCGTGCGTACCTTTGTCCGGTCGAAATAGGACTCTTGGCAAGGCGGCCTGCTCTTTCTGGTGGAGAATTCGATGCCAACTGGCATGCCAAGTACACAAATGGAAGTCATCGAGTCCCTAACCAACAATTTTTCATCCTAGAGCAAGAATCATGTATTCTTTTCTGATAAGAACGAAGAGTTTTACTCGCTTTCCACGCTCGTATGCTTTCTCGTTGAAAGACATGTACCGCAGCGATCGAGTGGCACAGCTAGACATGCTACAACGCACCGTTTCGTCTGGACCGTGCTTGACGCCCTTGCATCGTCATCACGACAGCGACATACTCGCTCCGGCAGCAAATAGTCCGACTTGCGAGCGGCGCTTATTTTTGTACAGAGAAGTCGTGCGCCGCAAGGACATGATCTACAATGACAATCACGATTTTCACTTGTGCTGCTGAAGACGCGTTGCCGCCTCGGACAGAGGCCGTGGAGGTCGCACCGCCTCCGCTCATTGCCCGTGAGTGGCTCTCGTTGATCCGGTTGCAACGCGCTGTCAGCGGGGAACGATTGCCACCTGGCGGGTGCACGCCCCTTCCCTCCGAGGCAGACGTAAATAGTACGAATGCGGGAGAGCCTCTGACATGGCGCTCGAGGTCCCAGACGAACGGGCGAAACGCACGATGGCTGCACCACCACCGCAGATCGGTGAGTCGCTCTGCGCTCATTTTTGATCCAGTGTCTGTTGGATAGAACGCTTGCGGTGGTGGTCAACAGGCTGCAAAGTTTCGTTGCCGGGTCCGAAACGGGACTGTATGAGGTACTTTTGGGATACGCGTGGAATCCAATGCAAGTGTCTTCAAGTGCATGTTCAAATGCTTGTCCCTAGACACATCCAGACATGCCTAGAGGGATGCACTGATCTCCATACGAATACGCATCGACTCATGTGCACAATTTTTCATGGATATTCATGGAGGCCTGAGCTTGGACACGCGTCCACAAATCCAAAGATCGTCGTATACACAGGTACTCACGGGAACACGCGACATGTGCGATCAGAAGATTGCACCATCGCTTCACAATGGAACGCAATGGTATCCTGGGCAGTAATATCGAAGTAAAGAACAAACGTATCGTGCACCAATTGCGCAGAGAAATCGTTTCCTTTTTAAAGATACAGTGTTTCGGCCTTGCTGATTACCGACGATGAATCGGAAGCAGTGCCTGGTTCCAGGCAAGAGTCCAGTGGTCGCTATCCTGGTCATTGATTGCTTGTTCGGAAGTATTCCGAATTGGAGCAAAATGCTTACACCGAATACGAAACGCTTCCCGCGAAGCTTCGCTCCATGCAATGCTGGTGGAAGCTCCACAAAGCACGAGACACGAACGTATGTCCCTAGCGGCCTTCAAGTCTCGATGCGGAAAGTGCTCGTGTGCCTGTGTTCCGATGCAATTCCACCTTAGTAAGGCATTGACGTGCGTATGCCTCACCAGGTGACATTCGGTCAGGTTATTCTCGTGCGTCAGCGCAAGCGACTGTCCCTGTTTGACGCACCTCTTCTCTAACTGTTTCAGAGCATATTGCTGCTCGTCATGCGCGAATGTCGTCTGGAATTCATCGATGGCATTCGTACAGAGTCGATTCTCGCATTCGAGGTACGATCTCGTTAACGGTGCCAGTCTACGACGTATTCGCACCACAGCACGCCCGGCGTCATTGACGACAACCACCAAAGGATGCGACTTGCCGATTGTTTCCTTTTCCAACACACTGAAAAAGTACGCGAATGAACGCTGCTTGCTCTTTTGCGACAGCGACCGTTGGCGCGCACAGCGCTGTCTCATAGGCTCCTGCCAAGGAGCTTCCGCCCGGGTCACGAGAACGCTCGTGTTCACTCTGAACGCAGCGTAGAATCCACGACATACGTACTGACTTTCTCTGTGGCAGCAAGCTGGTGGCAGGTACAACGCCCACGCGGTGCGCTTCGTGACGCGCTCGACACTGACCCGTCTCTGGTGTTGGCTTTTACGGTTGGTTTTGATGCTTTCTGGCATCAGCGCTGTTGATCTTCCGATCATAAGCTCGACATGGTAACGCTTCCAGGTATTCTGGGATACGCTTGAGCGCAAGTCGCGGATGCGACGATCAGGCAGTATGCTATGTTCTGTACTGAGCATCAGTTGTGTTGGCCTATGAATGGTTCATCGAAAAGTTGCCGAGAGAGACATGGACAGCTGGCATCTCAGCGTCCCGAACTCGTTCGAACAGTTGCTTGACGAGGTGCGTCGAGTTGACTGAAGCTGGGCGAGCCTTTCTTCGACTAGGGAGCTACATGCACCCTGATTACATCCTGCGTCTTTCGGTGCCGCGGATGCGAACGATTCGTTTATGGATCCGCAAGCGTAAAGCAGACGTTTTCAAACATAAAAGATGCGTTCGACGATACCGAACCAGGATGAATAGCCCAGAACAGAGGGCAGCTTCATGACGATTTTGACTAGGTGTGCCTCGGCCACATCCTTGCGTCGTGGTAGGTGACATGCTCTGGGTGCCGCAGCAAAGTCTATGCGAAGGACAAACCATGAAGATCACTTGGACGAAGGATGACGTGATGAACGATCCCGTCTATTTTGCGATTTTCGAGGCGTCCACACACACACACACACACAATGGAATCGCCCGCGTGGCAGCTGTTGTTGATATCTTCGCTCGTCCCGGCTTTACGAAGAGCGGCTTGACCCGCTTCGAGTACCAGTATACCTGTGTAACCATTTTTCTCTGATGTCGTCTCATCGAGTGAGCCAAAGACTCGTCATGCCCGTTACATGGATCCGCATTTGAGTACGAAATCGATAGTGGATTGTTGAGCGCTCGACAGTCCCGCATGGAATCATGTTCTCTCCTGTGTCCATCCGTGTCGCTTCAATGCCGTTCGTATCAGCAGTACGGAAACTTCGCATCCTATGGCTCCTTCCGTCGTGTTTCGTAACGCACATCTGGAGTGGAATGGATTGACGAGAAGACCGTCGTACAGCTAGTGTCTGAAAAGTTCTGTTGTGGGTGCATGATGCCTGGGACAAAGAAGACGACGAGAAGAGGCCGGCATCCAGCTGCAGATGGTAGAGTAACGGACTTGGACGAGTCAAGCACCTCTGACACGCTAGCACTGCCATCATCGACTCTCTCAGTAAGCTTTCTCCAATCTACCGATGTCAATGCATCTGTGAAATATCTGCGAGAGACACCAACAAAACAAAAAGAGCGTACTGGTCCAGACATCGCAGAATTCCCTGCCCGGAGGCTAACAATCCAGCCGAACGCATGTCTCTCGATGGAGGCCAGCACTCGCGCTCTCCCAATGCTCTGCAGGTGCACGCACCGTGGAGCGCAAGTGTGTAGGAGTGTTTGGTGCCTCTTACAGACCGCAGTCACGAAATCCGTATCGCTCTATTCACTAGACCCTCGTATGTGCCCGAGCGATATTCCATCGACTTGCTACTGGTCCGGGGCCGCCCGCTTATTCCATCACCAAGACATACCGAGGTGAACCTGCGACGCCCACAACGAAGCCTGTTCCCTCGGACGATAATGTCGCACCACGAATGCGGTAACGCTTTTGACAGTTTGGGTATTTAGCAAACACGCAGCTCGAGCTGTACCGAGCGTCAATCTTCTCTATCCCAGAAGACATTGACCGAATCAGAGACCGATATCGAGATGGCAAAGCGCGACCCACACCCATACACTTACACATCCGCCTGAAGCGAGATGAGGAGCGGTTCCTTGCGCACTCACCACTCCGGGACCGTACAATGTCTATACGCTAAACATGACAACGCTGCACAGCAGAATATCTGTTGACCCTTGTGGTTATCTCTCGGACTTGGCCACAGCGTACGTCTCATGGAAGCGCGTTCTCGCTGGACCAAATGCTCGAATGGCTCTTCGTCAATCGGTGCACGCGAACGCCTCACATCAGCACGAATAGAGCCTAGGTACGTCATGAAACGAACGCCTAAAGCCCTGAACGCCTCACATCAGCACGAATAGAGCCTAGGTACGTCATGAAACGAACGCCTAAAGCCCTGAACGCCTCACATCAGCACGAATAGAGCCTAGGTACGTCATGAAACGAACGCCTAAAGCCCTGAACGCCTCACATCAGCACGAATAGAGCCTAGGTACGTCATGAAACGAACGCCTAAAGCCCTGAACGCCTCACATCAGCACGAATAGAGCCTAGGTACGTCATGAAACGAACGCCTAAAGCCCTGTGGCTTTCGACGTGCCCTCTCGTTGGGTATTTCGGCCGCGATTCCATTCCCCGTCAAGGTCGTAGAGACGCAACTCCAGCGCTCTGTTTCGTCTTTGCAATGTTTCCACCTCGTCAGAGAGGTGAAGTGACTTGAGCTTGAGGGCTTCGTAGGCCTCTCGCGTCGCATCCAAGGCTGTCTCAAGCTCTAGAACTCGCTTTCGGAGCGACTGCACTTGGTACTCAAGTCGCTCTCGTTCCGACTCTGCATTGGCGGCTGCGACTTTGGTCTCGACCAGCAAGCGCTCATAATCTTCTAAAGACGAAGGTTCCACACGTAAAAGTTCAGCGATAGACAGGCGCTCGACTTGTTCGGTATCCCAGTTCCCGGTTGATGACGTGGCTGGCGTCGGGCGTTGGCGTGACTCGTCGACACGGTCGTGCTGCAGCGTGTCCCCAGAAGTCCCGATACTGAGGTGTTCAGAACAAGTCACCAGCGACTTTGCCGGAGAGCACGCTTGTTCCGCGACGCGCCTCCGACTTGATGCTTCACGCGTTTCACCGGGGACAGCTTCCAGCGGCTCTTTTGAGGTGCGGCTCGATGAGCAAGTGTCAGCTGATGCGCAGCCTCTGTCCGTGCCGCCACGCGCTGCCAAGGCGGCTGTCGTGACTTGCACTCCAGGCAGCGATTCGTCTGTACATTCGTTGCTGAGAGCGTTTGAATTGAGGCCCGTCGCGTGTTCACCTCGCGTTGCGTCTCGACCGGTGGGGCAGCGCGCACTGGACGCGTCGCTTCCAGCGCTCGTCGACATGGGTAGGCAAGCGACTTTTGCCTTTTCTAAAACCAAAACCGGTACCGACCAACGGTGCACCCTGGTGCTGGCTAGTGTGTCTCTCGTCGGCTTGAGCAGCACGTTCACACACCGTCTCCACTGTGAGGCACAACGAAGCGCTTTTCCACGCGTCAACTCTCTGAAACGTCCAGGTAACGCGCACCGATGCATCGCATTAGAAACGCTTTCATACCTGAACAGGTACAGCCAAGAGCATTCTGACTGTTGGACTAGCGTACACTCATTTCATCGTAAATAGGAAAAAGATCGACAATGACTATTCACAAGTATACACTAAAGCACTGGTACTGTCCCTATTGTCATCAACATCGGCCTTTGCTCGCCTTTTCTATGACTGCTTCCAGTTCGGATCTCTTATCTCCGGCTTCAAGTACGTCAGTTTCTCAAGTGCCTCCAGATACGTTCTCAGCAGTCCACGGATGTTGATGGGAGCGTTCAAGTCCCGATTTTGGAGCTTTCGGATGGTGTCAACATTATTTATGTTCTGGTGCAAGTTGCGATCTACGCTTCGCTGGATATAGATAGAGCTTCTCTATGGAGAACCTCGGTACACCCTTCGCTGCAGGAACACTGGGCCATGGTCAAGTCTTTGAACATCTCGACAACGTGTTGCCTCTTCCTGGGTCTGCCCCGTTGCACGTGGATGCTTGCTTCATCGCCCAGCACATGCCCTTGACCGGTACATAGGGCTTCCATTAATGCCCCACTTCGTATCGATACTTGGTGCAGTCCACACCGGTGACGGGACTCCTTCTGGGCGATTTGCCAGGCGAGTACGCTTGAAGCTGCACACGCAAGCGTACGCCGTTCTACTCGATAGATGATAAGCGGATTCCGATGTCTTCCATGATGAAACAGCAAGCGTACGCCGTTCTACTCGATAGATGAGAAACGGATTCCGATGTCTTCCATGATGAAACAGCAAGCGCGCGCCGTTCTACTCGATCGATGATAAGCGGATTCCGATGTCTTCCATGATGAAACAGCAAGCGTACGCCGTTCTACTCGATCGATGATAAGCGGATTCCGATGTCTTCCATGATGAAACAGCAAGCGCGCGCCGTTCTACTCGATCGATGATAAGCGGATTCCGATGTCTTCCATGATGAAACAGCAAGCGCGCGCCGTTCTACTCGATCGATGATAAGCGGATTCCGATGTCTTCCATGATGAAACAAGCACCGGATGAAACATCCACGCTCGAGAACATGCTTAGATCTTTCGATCCATCTACGCTCCCTTCTTGCAAAGTGGCAGTGAACGCTCCCTTGCATCGATCGCTACGTGAATTCAAGTCCGAGTCCATGACCGGGTTCCATGTAAACAGAAGAGACGCGAGGTACTCGAAGTGTATGTATTGAACGGAATCATGCTGTGGTGGAAAGCCGTTTCGTCGATGTCTACGTAGAAAGGAGGATTTCTCTTTCTAACGGGATGGATGATTTCAAGTGGCAGGGTCAGTGAATGTTCTGCAGGCGCTTATGAAGAGGTTTCGATATCGAACGTCGAGCTTGTTTTCTTCGGCAGAACGGCGGCGCGCGTTGCTGCACCTGCATTCAGACTTGAAACACGAAGGTCAAAAAATGGAAGCATGCTCACTTCGATCATGTTCTATATCAAGAAAACGGGAAGACTCGGAACTTGCACATTTGCATTGTATCATCATGTCGGATAGTTCACGAATCTCTGTTCGAGGGTGTCTGGTACCAGATTGATTCCGGTGACGTTTCCACTTGGTGCGGCAAATCGTCGACAGAGCCACTAGGTTCCGGTCGATACCCCTTCAAACTGTGTATGAATCCGCAAGCCGTTCCTGCGACACATGAAACGTCCAGACTGTACAGCTGGAAATAGTTTGGAAAGAAGCTCGAGTCCAGGAACACATCGTGCACTACAGTGTTCCATTTTAATATGAAACGGATGTTGAGGGTCGAAACGGGAAAATCAAAGCGTTCCGGTGACGTCAAACGCTTCGAATCGTGTTTGGGTATGTTCGTATCGTCATGTTTAGAGCAGTACGGCAGATCAGGCGTCTCGTTCGCCTTGAACGAAACCATTGGCAAGATACGCTTCATGGGTGGACATGGCGCGGTGCTACCATTGTTCACGTGTCCCGCTATTGCCTAGCACTGTCATCCCTTCGATGATAATCTGGTAGAATGCAGACTACTCAACAGGGAATCATAAACGCTTGCGCTGGGGTCGGTGGCACTGCTTTCGTCGCTTCACGCCAGCTCTGAACGAAGGCTTCACCCCGTCCAGATTCTTGCGCCGATTTCTTTGAAGGCGATCCTGTCTCTGAAAGAGTCGAACTTCGTACTGGGACCGGTTCCAAGGCTTTTGTATCGGTGCTGCACCTATAGGTGCTCGAACGGAGAATCATCTATCGTCAGGGGCGTACACCTTGAGCGCCTGCATGGAACGGCACAGGCGGGTCCGTCTTGCATCACCGACGAATGCCGAGCGTGTTTGTGCCGAATCCAGTATTTTCGTATCATCGGTGTAGAGGCTACTACAAAGAACAAGTCGAAAAACGGATGGAATCAGTGTCCGTAGATATTTAAGGGTGTATGCGGCTCGTCATGCAGAGCGCTTTTGATACAGACAGGCAGTCATGCCGGCATCAACGCCGGCGACGAATGCTCTTCGCTAGAAATACCCAGCTGGTTCCTGCTCTGCAAACAATTTTAGGACTATACACGGCATCCGCTGAGCAGGAGTCCTCGCCTATCCCATGTGGTGTTGCGATGCATGGTCGCCTTATCGCCACTGGTTAGCGCCAGCGACGAGCGCAGAGACGCTTTCGAGTGTATGGCGAGAGGCATCTGCCGGCATTTAAGGCTCACGCGGGCGCTGTTAGTGAGCGATAAGTACAAATCGTATACTACATGGTTCACCACGAGACGCCTTCACAATCGGGTACAGAGAGCGCTGCAGACAGCGCAAGTTGCCATGTTCACCAGCTGCTGCACTTTCTACCTCATCCGCGAGAGTCTCGGGCTGTTTCCACACCACGAGAAGCAGCAAAAGAGGCGATGCAACAACGGATCCTGGACGTGCGCCTGCTTGTCTCTACTCGTTGTTGTTGCTGCTGTTGCTGCTCTCCATTCGAAGTCGTCTAAGGAGCATGGGTAGACGACGGGCGCGCACGCCCCGCATCACCTTATCCAGCCGTTCGAGCGCACTGCGCATCTCCAGGAGACGTTGTCGCTCTGCTGTTTCTGGTGTAGTATGATGGGCCAGCCAGAAACTAATCCTCGTGACCGCCTGTACGCGACTGCCTCGTCCCTCTGGACCGCTTCGCGCTGGCGACCGGGGACTCGTCTCCGACTCGGTCTCACACTGCGTCAGCTCCGACAGCGACGGCTCTTCCATGGTACCCAGCACCGGCGTCAAGCCGTGCAACTCCGGCGAGACGCTGCCCTGTGATGCAGGTGTAAAAAGCTCCACCCGTGCCGCATCGAAAGCGAACTCCAAAGCGTCTCGAATCAGAGAAACAAAGCGCGTCCTGAGCTCGGGATCGGGTCCTCGACCGTTCAAATAGGCGACGTCAGGGTTTTCAGTCTCTGACTCTGAATCCTCATTCCAGAGCTCTACTCGCGCAACCACATAGCCATCCACGATGTGGACCGTTTCCGGGATAATCCTAAAGCGATTGATCCCAATCACGTCAATGAGACTGCGTCCATCGCCAAGTCGTTCACAGTCCGTGACTTGGAGAACCGTGCCTACGGTGGCCATGAACGGATGCCCACCCGCTGCCCGTATAACGTTGAGCCCAGCGGGTGGTTGTCGGAATACGGCTACGAAGCCGAACTGCCTTGAACTGGCCATGACTCGACGCAGCATCAAACGGTATCGAGGTTCGAAAATGTGCAGTTGGATTCTCTGATAAGGAAACACCGCCTCATCCAGCAGAAAAAGCGGCAACCAGCGGATTCTTTGGTTCACAGTCACAGCTGGGCCGCTCGTCACAGGCACTGTTGTCTCGGTGGTACCGCTGCTCCTGCTGCTGTTCCCACTGTTACTGGCAGGCTGCGTCTCCACCGGGGGCGTTCCGTCTGGTGCTACTGCTGCTGTTGCTGCAGGTGCGTCAAACTGGTGTGTGCACTCTCGTTCTTCTTCAATAGCACGCTGACGGTACACATCGGGAAATAGCTCCTCGCATACCTTCGCAACTGCTACCGTAACAGGGTGCTTTTCAGAGTCTACGTACAGCACTGTCCGGCATATTGGACAGTACGATGCGTGGTCCAGTGCTCGAGCTAGGCAACTGCGGCAGAACGTATGTCCACAAGGTGTTGTCAGCGGTTCGTATAAAAGACGCATGCACAAAGGACAATCAAGACCATACCGCTCAAAGTTTTGTTCATCGACAGTCTCCATGAACGTGAACACGCGCAACGTTGCGCTGCAGACAAGTTGCGATGAACGCAGGGTGCTGCGGAGGCGCTACGCACGAGCTGCTTGCTCGTGGATACGTTATGGAGTTTGTTTGGAAAAAGCACGCTTCCTACGGGGGCACATCTTTGATGTGCTGGAAGCTCGACAGAGTCTTTAGATGATCAAGGGTGCGGTGTTGGCGGTTGTTTGGACTAGATTCAGGTCCGTCGGGGGCAGCTGTACCCGCACCGAACACCGCTTGAATCCATCGAATCGGACGTTTGGTTCAAGCAATAAAAAGTTTCGTTGAATGCCTGCGTACAACTGGTGCGTTGGTGCTGCACAGTCTTTGCGTAGGGCAGGCCCGCTCATTGAAGCACAGTGCAGATGGGTGCACGAGACCGCCAACTGTGATAGAGTGTTTTCAAAAGAGTACGGGTTGTTGTGGCGCAGCTTCGAGTTGGAACAAACATGCTCTCCATGTACGCCGTTGGGAGTCGTGCTCGCAATCCCAGTCTGGTTGCGTCGGCTTTTAAGCTAAAATCTAGCTGCAAAACACTCTGCAACGAGCATATTCTGATCCGCACTGCACATATAAGGCTGTTCCGCCTTTGCTATGCGAAAAAGTCTGGTACGGAGCAAACTTCATCTACAGAATCCAAGCTATGCAACTTCATGATCAACGAAGACTGCAGTACGGCAGACGATCACTCTGGCGAGGGTCAAAGATGTGCACCTGGACCCCAACGCGCAGTGCGGAGCACTTCATTCATGATTCCTATAACTGTCTCCTCTTGCTGAAATCATGAACGCTTTCGGATGCTCTCTCCGCTGAGTAAGCAGTTTATTTCGCGCATGCCGTGGGCTTTCCCCCGGGGAAATGCCGTATCCCTCTCCCACACAGGCGATGCCAACTGCTCAGAAACCTGTTTAAAAACCTATGTTTTGGGTGTCCGCTCTAAGCACCATCACTGAATACCTTGCGAGAAACGCAGAGCACGCCGCCATCTGCGAACTTCGAGCGAAAGAGTACACTGCGTGCCGGCTGTTTCGACAAGCGCAACTTGTATCTGACGCATGCGGAGCTGTACCGCGCTTGTTCGTCGATATGCCACAGTTATTGGATTTGCATATAAAATTACAAGCGATCGTAACTCGTCATCCAGTCAATAGCACGCTACCCGTCCAAGACGGATGAACAACGAACCGAAGATAGCCGCATTTGATGTCCACCAGGTCATGACGTCGACGCGCTTCGACTTTCTTATAACCAGTGCCAGCTGTGCAATGCTCTCTTCTTCCTGATTGCATAGAGTCCGTCTAGAGCGGTTGCAAAAGATGCGTCTCCACTGTCGTCAATACGAGAATCGTCGCAAAGAATAGGAAAAAGAAGAGCGCCGTTTCGAGTGACCAGCGGTGCAGACGCGTGAGGAGCCACCAGCTGTGCGCCAACCAGTGACGTGAACGACGCTCGAGCTGGCGTTGCAGTAGAGCGCTGCCCAGCGCACTTACCTCCAGCGTCAAGAACACGACGGGTGGAGAAAGACTAGACGCTTTAAGCGGTAAACTCGAGTCCAGGTCGTGCAGTTGGGCCCAGGCACCGAAGCCGCAGAGCACCGCAGCTAAGCCGAGCACGATTTCCCACGATACTACGGCATATCCGCAGCTCCAGAGCCAGAGTCTTCGACGGAGTTTCGTTTCCACACTCGGAGTGCCAGCTGTGTTCGCACCAACAGGGGCACGAGTCGGCTGGGTTTCAGCCTCCTGCCGAACACGTCCCGAAAGCCGCAAATGGGCGTCACCGGGCGCACCTTGTTGGTCTCTACGAGCTGCCTCCTCTACTTCCTCTGGCGCTGAACCACTTGCCACAGCTAAACGTTTCCTTCGGTTCGCGAGGATCCGTTCTCGCCGCCTTGCTGCCTGTTCCGTGAGCGAGCGGTCACTACCAACCTCGCTTGCCTCCATCCGCTCTTCTCTCACTAAAGAGTACCGTAAAAACCAAAGTCAAACAGTGTCCAAAACGGCAGGACACTAGTTTCTATCAAGAATATCCCCAGTGTGCTGTCAGCAGCGGTTGATGAGGCGGCTTCGGAGCACCCGCCTCGCAAAAAGGCTACCTCCTAGGCGAGACCTGCATTTGTGAACGCTCAAGCGCGCTGCCCAGCTCGTCGAACGGCGCCTCTACAACACAAACCGGCCTTTGGGGTTTCCCAGTTCAGCGTTGTGACCAGTGCTGAACCGTACCCAGTCTTACGGATAACATGGTGCTTGAGGCGACGATGATCTGCATTGACAACTCTGAATGGATGCGTAACGGGGATGTTGCGCCCAGTCGCATGGATGCGCAGCTCGACGCTGTGAACCTGCTGTGTAACGTCAAGCTAGACGAGAACCCCGAGAACACTGTCGGCCTCCTGACCTTGGCAGGTCTACCCGGTGGTGGTGCACTTTGGACAGCGAATCACAGTGCGAGCGCTGCTGCAGAAGGTCGTCCACGTTGGCTTGGAACCGGCGCGGTTTGCCGGGTTCTCATCACGCAGACGCGCGATCCCGGAAGGGTTCTCTCTGCAATGCACCAGGTAATCGTGGAGGGTGAAGTGGACTTTATAGGTGGTCTTCAGAAGGCGCAACTGGCGCTGAAGCACCGCCAGAACCGAAATCAGCGCCAGAGGATCATTTGCTTCATCGCAAGCCCCGTTGCTGCAACCGCGGAAGAGCTGGTCCAGCTCGGGCGCAACCTGAAGAAGAATAACGTGGCGGTGGATGTGGTACTTTTTGGAAGCGAATGGAGTGAGAATGAGGAGAAAATGAAGGGGTTTATTCAGAGTGTGAACGTGGACGATAATTCGCACCTGATCACGGTACCGCCGGGTACAGCGCTCTTAGCGGAGGCACTGATGACGACGCCGCTCATGCAGAGTGAGCAGGCACTCATGGCTGGTGCTGCAGGCTCGGACGCTCGTTTAAGTGGGACTGGTATCGGCGCCTTTTCTGGCGGAGCAGCTGATATAGGCGGCTTTGGCTTCGATCCGAGCGCGGACCCCGAGCTTGCGCTAGCGCTCCAAATGTCACTGGAGGAAGAACGTAATCGGCAAGCAGCAGCTGCAGCGGGAGCAGGATCAGGAGCAGATGCTGTCGAGAACAATGCTCCGGGATCATCTTCGATGACAATGGAGGTCGTGAACGATCGTTCACAGGCTGCTGCTGTGGATTCTCGAACGAGTCTCCAGAGCCGTTCGGAGGCTGGCAGCATTGGCCATCGACCTGATTCCTCCGCTGCCGCAACAGCGGATTCCGAAGTGGCCGAGAGCTCCGATCTTGGTAATGCGAACAGTGACATCGTCAATGACGAGGACGAACAAATGGATGAAGAACTTCGTCTCGCCATAGAGCTCTCCAAGCAAGAGGCATCCACCGGTGGACGCCAGCCGCGATCGAGCTCTGGCCAGGCACTGGCCCCCGAGGACCAGTCTCCGGATGACTCAAAGAAGAAATCTGAGCCTCGTGGTAGCACTTGAACTTGACAGCATAGGAAAATGCGTCCCTGATGGTGCTTCATCGGCTTCCTGTGTTGAAGACAGTGTCCCCGGGTTTTGCACCTTGCGCACGACGATGACCCGGTGGTGGCGCCTTGAGGCTAACGTTACCGCCGCCGCCGCTGCTGCCGACGACGACGTCGACGTTGCCGCGGCTTTCGTATACGTGCATCAAAGTCGTTAAACAGTGGCCCTGCGGCAGCAGCAGCAGCAGCAGCAGTAGCAGCGGCACTGGTGATGACTGCGGTATGCAGTCTACGAACGCAGCCGTACATGAATCGGCGCCCATAAGGTGGCACCTCTACTCTCGACGCCAGCTTGAACAAGCGCTCGGCGAGTTGCTGACGATGCTCTGGTTGAGACAAGTACACGAGCTGGTCTCGTTGATTTGGTACTGCAGCTGGGGCACGTACCAGCGGTTCCCACAGTCTCTCAAAGGCGCGTCGCATAAGTACTTTGCGGTTGCGCTGCTGCGTGGCGCTAGCGCGCTCCATCGGCGCAAGATATAGACGTAAGAATGGTTGTACGGCGATATCAACCGGGTGCGTTGAATCAGTGTCCAGGGTAAGTGATTCAAGGCCGCCCGGCGCTTGACAGAGCACCAGTTCGAGCCACTTGTCGCAGACGTGCAACGCCATCCCGAGTGCTGCGGGTGCCGCTTCGAGATCCAGGTCCGCGCTTGTCCCTACCAGTGGTTCGAATACGACACGTTCCACAATGCCGGTGAGACGTCGCCAGTGGTCCACCTGATCCACACATAAAGAGGTTGCGGCGCTGAGCGACCTGTTTAGCAACGCATAGTACTTGTCCAGCCGTAAATGGTCAATTTCTATCCAGTATCGACAAATTGTCTCCCACATGACCTCAAAATAGAGCCAGTTGTCCACCGCGAGCCCCAACCACGAACAGAGTCTTTCGAGGGTCCAGTTGATCGCGGACGGTGTGTCGGCGAACCAGAGTGTGTAGTAGAGCGCTCGCCAGACCCTTCGCATACCTTTCGGAGAGAGTGGTGCTGGTTCACGTTGGCACAACATCCGCTCTACTTTACGAAGTGCTCGGTTCCGCACTTGCGCATCGGAAGATGCCAGTTGCCGCGCGAGCGCTGTCTCTGCAGTTCCTGCGACCGCCATAGTGCTGAACAGCGTTGCAGCGTCCGCTGGGAAGAGACCGGGATTCGAGTCTCGCGTTACGCACCCGCTCCGGAACTATTCAAGAATATCTCGAGAGCTTGGTGGCTAGTTGCCCGATCCAAACGGCTCAGTTGGTCCAAGTGAAGCGCAGAAACAACCAGGGTTTCGAGTAAACCAGCACCGTGTCGTTTGGCGGCGGTGTCGCTGGCGTCGCCGCGTTCTCAAGAAGCCGGTTGTTGTCTCGCGGCTCGTTGGGTTCGTGCCACACCAGCACCAGTTGCCGGGGCTGGGGCGTCATCCAGACTCGTGGATGACTTGCGGGTTTACCAGGTGGCTACGATAGCCAAAAGCTGTTCACTATGCTATTCGGGAACGCTCAGCTAAAACGGTTGCTGCAGGTGTTCCACGAGATGGAACGCTTTGGCGCGGCTGGGGCGTCATCCATACTCGTGGATGACTTCCGGGTTTACCAGGTGGCTACGATAGCCAAAAGCTGTTGACTTTGCTATTCGGGAACGCTCAGCTAAAACGGTTGCTGCAGGTGTTCCACGAGCTGGAACGCTTTGGCGCGGCTGGGGCGTCATCCAGACTCGTGGATGACTTCCGGGTTTACCAGGTGGCTACGATAGCCAAAAGCTGTTCACTACGCTATTCGGGAACGCTCAGCTAAAACGGTTGCTGCAGGTGTTCCACGAGCTGGAACGCTTTGGCGCGGCTGGGGCGTCATCCAGACTCGTGGATGACTTCCGGGTTTACCAGGTGGCTACGATAGCCAAAAGCTGTTCACTACGCTATTCGGGAACGCTCAGCTAAAACGGTTGCTGCAGGTGTTCCACGAGCTGGAACGCTTTGGCGCGGCTGGGGCGTCATCCAGACTCGTGGATGATTTCCGGGTTTACCAGGTGGCTACGATAGCCAAAAGCTGTTGACTTTGCTATTCGGGAACGCTCAGCTAAAACGGTTGCTGCAGGTGTTCCACGAGATGGAACGCTTTGGCGCGGCTGGGGCGTCATCCAGACTCGTGGATGACTTCCGGGTTTACCAGGTGGCTACGATAGCCAAAAGCTGTTCACTATGCTATTCGGGAACGCTCAGCTAAAACGGTTGCTGCAGGTGTTCCACGAGCTGGAACGCTTTGGCGCGGCTGGGGCGTCATCCAGACTCGTGGATGACTTCCGGGTTTACCAGGTGGCTACGATAGCCAAAAGCTGTTCACTATGCCATTCGGGAACGCTCAGCTAAAACGGTTGCTGCAGGTGTTCCAGGCGATGCGGCTCGTGAGCGTTCACGGCGGCGGCTGAGCGGCTTGGACCTTCGTTTCGTCCAGCAGTGTCGTTCAATTGGATTTGTTTGCGCAGTTCAGAGAGCAGTGATGTCAAAGCGAGTCTCATTTCCCGAAAAGCATTGCGATCCGCATTGATGCGGAAGAGTGTTTTGCCACTTGCAGAGCCTTTTTCTAGCCAGCACCAACCGGCGCTGTGCTCGCAAAGCTGTTGCAGCTGTTGACGAGCATCCTCGTAGCTTTGAGGAGCACTATCGTGTTGTTGACACAGAAAAGCGGTCAACTGGTCAAGTTCTACAGATCGGCGAGGTCTACCCAATACGCATGGCGTCTGAAAGAAGCTGTAAACGAGGTCTGCTGCGTGTATGAGCCGGCGAATATTGAGGCACGTTTCCTCATGACGCCGACTGGATTCTATGCAGTCCCGCTCTGCCGCTCGATCGCGAATGCGTTGAATGAGCTCCGCTGGTAAGCACCCGTCGATTTCGAGTGTAGCAGAGAGGGCGTCATTCGTGGACCGCAATACAGCGTTGTCTCTTTGCATTCGTTGATCACGTGAATCGACAGTGGAAACCTGGGAGAAAGACGCTGGGTGCGACTTGCCGGACGCCGACGACTCTGTGACAGGCGATGCGTAACCGACAAGTTCAGGGCTCTGCATGGACGCGCAACCGTCTACGTCCATTTCTCGACGGAAACTGGCCCCGGGTCGTGGCGCCGACGCAACCGGCGCCTGTGGGGCGCGCTTCCACGGGGTATGCTCTCCGACCAACTCGTCTGCCGGAGAAAAATCATCATTCGTCCGCTTTCGCTTTGCGAATGGTTGTGGTGGCGTTGGTGGTACTGTATCGTGGCTCATGTCCTGGGAATTGCATCCATCCGCGAAGCGTCGCTTCCGATGAGCGTGTTGCTGTGGCGAATAGGCTGTAGCGTTCGAATCGCCTTCGAGGATCGGCTTCCCGCACGAAGGCACATCCAGCGGTTGTGATGCGCTTCGGCGCATTGCTTCATCTGAACAAGCAGGTGCGGGCCGTTCCATGGCCTCGAGACGCTCACGAAGCAGCGCGCGACGCTTCATAATGCCATAGGCGTCACCGAAGCGGGTAACTTGGACCGAATCCGCTGAGGATTCCGTTCGCATTGAGGAGAACTGCTCCCGCAGCTCAATGCACAAGTCGGTTTCGCCAGGTCCGAAACGGTGAATCATAAATACCTCTGGAACTAGCCCCAGTAACTGATCCAGTCGCTGCCTTGTGAGCTCCCGCCGACACTTCCACTGAACCACAGCTTGAACTTGCTCGAATGTAGGTCGTGCTTGGCGAGCCCGGAGCAGTAAGCGTGCACTCTCAATGCCATCCATGATTTCGAGCAACGGCACCCAGTCTTTTTCTGTTACTTTGGTCCTGCATCCAGTGACGGGCGCACTCCAGTGCTCCTGATCCTCGTTGCAAGACCTCGGAGCAGCAATCGTGTCGTCGTTGCGCACTCCAGTTGTTGAACCATCGAAGGCGAAAACGCTGGACCCAACAGCCTCGGAACAGTTTCGTTCGGAAACTCCAGAAGCAGCGCTCAGAGCACGACTTGTGGTTTCTGCTCTATCAGCGGCATCCGAAGCCTCCAGTGTCGTCAAGCTCGCAGACCGCTGAGCGGTGTGTGGCTCCTCAGGCCAGCCCCTGGGGCTCGTTTGCAAATCCCCGTGCTCAGTTTCCTTTCCATTGCGGAATAGAGCATGAACACGCCTCTGCTTCACATTCGAAAAGTAGTTTGAGATCATGGATCGCGCTTACATACGCTCGTGTCCAGAGCAGCCCACACAGAACATGGAATATATCCCCGAGGATGATGAGGCCGTATTCCCGCCCGACCATCGATGCAGATGCGCGTAACGCCGGAAGCGCCTGTCCCAAAATTTGGCGCGAATCGCGCATGGACCCGTTTGCCGGTGCTACGTGCTGCTTTCGGATTTGCCTCTCTACTTTACTTGTTCTGTTTAACGGAGCGTTGACAAAGACCAAGCAGCTTGGATTGTGTGCTTGATATAAGCGATTGGAGGAGCATCCATGTCTCGACATACCTCCAGGTTTTATGTCGTTTGCTTGTTCTCGTTTTTTTGTGCACGTTCTGGCGTGCGCCCGGTACCCGCAAGGAGCGACCCTGGTACCACGTACAACAACGACGTGAATGGGACACGTAGACAGAATGCGTGTGGGATACCAGAGAGAGCGCCGGCTCTAGTTTGTTGATCTATTGACAGTCAAGCATAGGGCACGGGGAACGAGTTCCAACTGGGAAGGAGGCTATGCTATCGCCATCTCGTTATGCATTAGGTGGATGATGACGCAGGGTAGCGTGAAGCGCGATGACCATTGATTGATCCGACAGTGATTTCCTTAGAAACAATAAATAATGGTACACCATGATCTTGCGCTATTTGTTCATCAGAATCGTTACGAGTGTATACAGAGGGCGCCCCTGTCCTGCTGGATTGCTCAACGTACCGTGGCAGTGCCTTGCTCCATGCGGGAATCCAGTGCCCGCGGTTCTGGTACCTAATTAACTTTCATTGAACCTCTTCAGCGCTTGAAGACAATCCCAGCGCTGAGTACCTAACGATTCCCTTGAGTGCTCAATTGATACGAAACCGCGGGACGTCCAAGGAGCAAATGCCATTTCCGTACGTTGATCGATGCGTTCAGGTCTCGATACCGAAGGAGTCTGCGTGTATTGTTGTCGGCAGAATCGTACCGTAGCAAGTCTGTCGCACTCGACTGCCGTGGTATCTGGCGTTCAGTCTGCTTACCGCGTGTCATCTCGTGCGTGCGGCTCTGTTCCAGATTCTTCTTCTCTACCCCAACAAGCGTACACTCGTGCTCGTAATTCTGGTTCGTCGCTCTGAATCTATCGATGAACATCGTACAGTACGGATTCGTGCTTGCGTTGTAGACCCATCGTCGCAGATGCAGGAGTGCAGCCATTCCGCATCACAGCACAGTGAGCGCCATTGGCTACCAGCGAACGAGGTGACATGTCGATCATTTCCTCTCCCGACTCATTGAACACGTTGGTGAACGCAGGCTTCTTGTCTCCGTCCGCTTGAGATAGAAAGACGGCGACTGCGGCTACGCGCTTCGAACGGAGATCCACGCTGACAACAAAGACTGTATGATCATCTACCGTGAAATGCTGAAAAGGAGTCTCATCGCTCGAATCGGGCCGAGGTTCCATTACGAAATCGATATCGCATGAGTCTCTATATTGTCGTCGCAAACTGCTTTCCATTTTTGCCCGTGAACGAGGAACATTATACGATCTTCGCGAATGCTTTCTCGAACTTTTCGTATGCTTCAGAATTGGCCGCTGCGATGGGCTCTTTCGTCTTCTCGTTTACTTGGCGGGATGCCATGGATCTAGTAGCTACACTCCAGACCTCTTTCATTCCTGGGGATTCAGCATCGCTGGGTGAACGGTTGCACTGAAGCTTTCCTTTTCTATGCGCGTGTATCCACTATTCCCTGTGTTACTTTTCGTCGTCTTCGTCGTGAGTGGCGCTCACGGACTGTTGCGCGCCTTGCCGCTCCCTTTTGCGCACGAACAGAAGAGCAACACAGTATTTCAATGCTGGTGAAGGTAGAGAGCGACGTATTCAAGAACGGTGTCACAGATGCAAACGACGCTTCTTTTGGTCCATTCCCGCAAAACCTTCGTTTGACAACAACGAAGACGCCATCGACTGCCTTTAATCGTGAACGATAGGTTTCCACGAATAGCAATTGAAGGGAAATCGCAGCTGCGTCGTCATGACCCGCTTTTAAGGGATGTTATGCAACGTGCCCTGACAGCAGTGCAGAAGAATGTCGAAAGCAGAAGCCTTACGGTGCTTCCACGATGGATGAGGCGTTGAAGGATCCAGTCCGTGTGGCAGTTTGTACGGGATCGCGCGATAGAATCGCCGCTACGACTCGGGTTGTCGTCATTCTCGCTCGTCCCTTATTGACGAACAGCTGTTGCTACTCTTTGAGCACACATGTGAAGGTCTTCCATTTTCCCAAATGCTCTGCATCGAATGAGACGAGCATCTTTTCATCCTCGATTAGGCGTTCGCACTTCGTTAGGAAATCGATCGTGTTCTATTCAGCGCTCCACAGTCTCGCATTGAAGGGTGCTTTTAGTTTCGATCATTCGTACCTCTTCAATCCCGTTCATATCAACGGCACGGAATATTCACGATCTAGGCTTCTTTGACAGACTTTCTTAGAGGATTTATGGAGAGGACCGGATTGACGAGGAGACACTCTTTTGTAGAAAGAGTTCGATAAGTTCTGTTTCTGGTGCTCGACGTTCAGAATAGGGAAGAAGAGAACGGTGGTTTATCCATCTTATGACAATAAAACGACTGAATTGAAATAGTCCCACTGTTTTATTCGCCAGTGTGCACTGACTGCATCAAGTCTCTCCGCGAAGTCTCTCCAGTGCGCGAGAGACATTCCTTTCTACTGAATGCCAGGGAGAAAGACCAACAAAAACAAATCATGTATTCTGGCGCAAGTATTAAAGCATTCACCAGTCTAGGCATGACGCGGTTACATGCCCTGTAGGCGACAACGGCGGCTGCACTCCGTGTGCCGCAATCCAGTCGATGTGCCTCGCGACGTCTTTTCGAAGCGCCAGACGGAAAGCGCATCGTTCCATGCGCATGTGCAGTACTCAAGGCAAATGTAGCTCTCCAGAGGGACCAAAATTCTTCTAGACATGTTCACGGCAGACTCGCGATGATGCATTCGCAAAGGTCTCCGGATACGCTCGAGCTAGACGACACAAGACCGACGCTGCGCCAAGGTTTGCCCGTAGAAACGCTCGATCCACATCATGCTCGCCCTCGACTACACCATACAGATCTGCCTGCCAATCCTCTACGCAACGTCCTGCAAGAACCGCCTCCTCTGTGCTAATCCTTCCCTGCTGTATGTTAAGGCCGATGATTGCCGACTTGCTCAAGCATGCTATAGAATGAAGCGCGACTAAGGACCATAGGTCAAGTTGATCAAGATACTCTTGCATCCTTTGTAAAGCGAAATCACTTTGAATACCCGCAGTCACGAGCTCCGCGGTGACCTTAATCGGAACGCCGAGCACCTGCGAAGCGTTCTCACGTAAAGGACGCCATAGCCGTTCCTGTCTCGCGAGCAAACTTGCATGAGCGTGTTCCAGAAAACAAAGTGAATCGGCGCCAAAATGCTCCAAAATCTCTCGTACGTACAGGGCTCGGCAAGAGTCATCCACAGACAGACTCTTTGCCAGCAGCCGTGTCAGCGGCATTAATGCGGGACGTAAACGCTCGGACTGCCGATCCCATTCATAGAGCAGTGCAAGGGCCAATGGGAGCGTTGGAGCCAATAACGGCTGTTGTGGACTCAAGCATAAGGTTTTGCCGTCCACCTTCAGGCAGTATACGTGCTCCGCAGGTCTTCCGATTTCTGATGAAATCAACGCAGCAACTTCAACTTTCTTCCAAAAACGCGGCGGTCCCACTCCTGACCAGTTCGTTCGCAGCGTCCGCTCAACGTTGAGCCCGCGGGTATCCGAAGCAATCTGCTGGAGCAGTTGAGGGCGCTGCTCCTGTCCAGTTTGCTGCTTAACAGAGTCGTGCACATTTTTCGTTGAAAAGCTGATCGCTGGCGTGTACACAGACAAGGTCGCGCGAGCGCTACCGGTTTTTGTGCAACTTGTGTGGCTCGAAAGGAGCCAATCGTCGCCAAGACGTGTTCCTAGCAAACAGTGGAACCTAACGGGCACCACGTGCTGTTTCAGCCCTTTCAGACAGCCCCGAATACGATTCATAGCTGCTGCACGCTCCCTGGGTGCTCCTTTTTAGAGCATCTCTCCAACGGGAAGCGTCCAACGCTGCATACAGTCGTTTCTAGCACGTCTGCACAACTGGCTGCGTTCCAGCGAATGGCCACTCGGCCGGGGCAGGGGTCCCGAGCTCTGCCAGCACCAGGTTTTGCCACTCGTGAGAATGTTTGCGCATATAGTTCCGGTGGACCAGAAGCACGCCTTGGAGTTCACTTTGTAGAGTCTGTTAAATAAATGCCGCAAGAAATGCTTGTCCGTTATCGCAGCGGGAAAGAGACGTTCGAGGTGGCAACGCACCCGGGAGCCGTGACCAAGTATCGCGAGGGCACGCTCAAGTCTCTCGATGAAGTTCTGGTAAGTGATGTGGTTTTCACGGACTATCACAAGAGACTGCGTGCCTCTGAGCTTGAGCTAAAGTCAGTTTTTGGTGAAAACTATAATAAGGAAGAGGTTCTTGATAAAATCCTAAGAAAAGGCGACTTTCAGCTGTCTGCCGCAGAGCGGCGTCAGAAGCTCGAGCAGAAACGCAACGAGATTATCGAGTACGTTCACAAAAACTTTGTGGATCCGAAGACCCATCTGCCAATCCCAAGAATGAGGATTGAGCAGGCACTAGAGACCGTGCGTCCGAGAATAGATATGGATCAAAGCGCTGACCGACAAGTAGCTCTGATGATGAGCAAGCTCAGCGCTTGTATGCCAATGAAGAAACATCAAGTAGAAGGGACATTACGTGTGCCGCACGGTGTACTAGGAGCCTCCAACGCAGTTATTCGATCGTACTGCACGGTTGCCCGGGAGCATTACACGAGTGAAGGCGCTGTTCTCGAAATCATGATATCCCCGGGCGATTACGATGCATTCATCAAGGCCCTGAACAATGCTTCTAAGGGCAATTTTCATTTGGATATTGCTGGCGCGGCAGCTAGCGCTGCGGCTAGCACTGAGGAGAAGCCTGGGAAGAAAACGAAACCGAAAGGCACCAAGGGTCGGCACGGATGACCAGCATACGTAAGACGTGTTGCACCCACGAGTCTGGCGCGCACTGGGCACGAGACCTCCAGTTAGGTGCTGCGAAGCCATACACCGCGTCCGCTGGAGCCGCCTATGCTCCACAGGGGATGCAATTCGGAACCCCAGCATATGTACGCAATGGAGCGAGCGAAAGCATCAAGAACAGTGCACGTGATGCGCAGCAGAATACCTGGGATTTTATCGGAATGTGTCTTCGTGCAATGATAGAAGCTCTCGAGTCCTCTGTACGGTGCCGTGGGACTTGGTTTCATGGTACGCCGCTCTGCACGGATAAATGCTGCCTAATCCATCGAGAGATTCGCGATGCTCTGCCTGGAAACAGGATGGTGATGCGTTTTGTATTGATCTTTGGGACGGGCCTCTAGCGCATTCAGGACACGCTGCTTTTCACGGCAGTCAAGGGCAAGATTGCTGGGCTGGGCTGCTCTGGGCTGAGCTCGGCTGTCTCACGCTGCACTAACTTTGAGCAATATCGGAATCGCGAACAATTCGAACGTGTCCTGGGGCCTAACTTGAAAAAAATGCAACATGTCCCGAGCACCGCGTCCTATGCAGAGGCCGTTGGTTTTTCTTGTGCGGCACCATTTTGGTGAAATATCGAAGGTATCGATATCCAAGCTCGGTGGTGAGCCTGCATTTCCCGCGCGACAGTGAATGCCTCTGTCGGTGATGGTCGACGTAGACGCAACGTCACCGCTGGGGACAGATTCTCGTGCATGTGCGTCCTCAGCAGAGCGTCACGTATAAGGGTGCGGGGTGCACGATACCATCGAGCGAGCGCATCCACTGGGACGCCCAGTGCGAACCCCAGCAGGATACACTGATTAAGGAGCACTGTGTTGAGGACACCGAGCTTTTGGTAACGGCGAGCGCTGGTCTGTACATGCTCGGGTGCTATGCGGCATGCATTGCCCCAGCCGAAGCGTCGAAGCGCTCGATGTCCCAGTGCAACGTCGTCAAGAAGTGGCCAGTCGGCGGGGAACCCCTCGAGATCCTGAAATGTCTGCTTCCTGAGAAAAATACCCTGATCACCATAGGGCGCTCGGAAAAGACGTGAACGCAAGTTCGCGCCCCAGGCTACCAAGCGCAGTACCCAGGAACTCTCTGTAAACTCCAGCGAGAAGGCGCCGAGTGCCGGATGACGCATCCTCGCCTTAGACTCGCCACTGGTGTTGGTCTGAATCAAACCGAGCGTCCGGGCAATAACCTGTGGATATTGGAACGGCAGCGTGGTATCCGCGTGCAGAAAGAGCAGGATATCGCCCTGTGCTAGTCGTGCACCCCAGTTCTGCTGGTTTGCGCGACACGTGCGCTGTGTGCTTGGAAGATGAACGATTCGGAAGTTCTTGTAGGCCGAGCGCTGAGCCAATCGCTTCGCCCTCGAGCAAGTGTCATCTACCGAGCCGCCGTCTACGAGCAAGACCTCGTGCAACACGAGGCTCTGCTCGCAGCTCGGACGCAGCGACTCGACTGCTGCTCTCTGCCGTACGGCCCTATCATAAACACTCTCAATGGCTCTAGCAATGACTTGAGCTTCGTTCAAGGCGGGGATGATCACGGAGAGGCGGAGCGGCTGGTACGTTGGCGACTGCGACATCCTCGAGTGCCCAGCTGAGCAAGGCGTAGGTTGCCGCCCCGTGCGCTGCCCACTGGATGGGTCTCGTCGCTGCACAGACGCTGAGTGCCGGTGCGGACGGCACTGTTTCGGGTACCTGTGACCGTTCGAGTCAGGATGAATAACCAGTGCGCTTATGTCTGCTTCATGAACAGCGCCTTTCGACGAACGAGCGCGTCGAACTCGACGGGCTTTGCTTTGATGCTCGCGGGACGTCTCCGGTGTTGGAGTGCGCACCGACCTCGCACGCTTCACCAGGTTGCACTGCGGACGAGTCGGTTATGCGGAGCGGGTAGAGCTCCAGCGTACGGCGAGTCTGTTCGAAACCGACTGCGAACGCTGCGTTGTCGGAGTCACGCAAACTTGGCAGTACCGTCGTTGCGAGCGTATCGGAACACGTTATTCGTACCGGCGCTAGTTGCCGAGGACGGCTGTCTCGCAAGCGTCGAGGAGCAACTAGGCAGCTGCTTGTCGCAGCTAGACGAATGGTTACGCACTTATCAGGACTATGAAGTGGCCACCCTTCGGATCAACGTCGCCCCGAACCACGACACGCAGCTGCTCCAGCGCCTTGAGCGTGCCTGGGCAGAAAAGCAGCTCCAATCGCCAGCGGTAACGTGGCTCGAAGCGCGGCCTCTAGTTCCCGCTCGAGACGTGCTTATAGAGGCCGTGCTGGGGCTGCGGGAGCCGGCTGCAGAGCACTCGCTCCAGACTGTGGCAACCGAGCAGGCGGCCCAGGCGGTGGGCCCCTACGTCCAAGCTGTGCGGTTCCCGCGTGCCGCTACGCTCTATGTGAGTGGCTGTATTGGACTGCGTCCACCGCCGGCAAACGATCTCGCGGGTCCCGATGTCGAAAGCCAGACCAAACAGGCGCTAGCCAATATGAAAGCAATCCTCCGGGCAGGAGGCAGTGATGTTGTCAACATTCTGAAAGTGATGATCCTGCTAGAGGATTTGAGCGACTTTGCCGTTGTGAATCGGCTGTACGAGGACTGGCTGCGGCAAGGTGGATGCCATGGTAGTCGTCTTCCAGCCCGAAGCACATTTGCGGTGAAGGCGCTGCCCAAGGGCGCAAAAGTTGAAATTGAGTGCATCGCAGCGATCCAGTCGATGGGATCAGAGATCTCTCCATCGAGCTGCTGAATGAAGGGGCAGCGATCGATGCGAAAAGTCGGTTACGGATGTCATGCTGGATCCTCTGAGGCGTTTGTTTCGAATAGATCGCCAAAGAGACTCGGTTTTAGAAAATGGCCTGCACGGTGACCTCGGGAACGTTTTCTCGAATAGGTGACGACCCAGGTTTCCTGGTGCCCAAATAGGAGTTTGGATCGAGCTTACGATCCATAGCAGGTATCAGCGCACAGCAGGAGGCACATTCCGCAAAGCAGTCTAGTAAAATGCTTTATGAGCGTTGAACCTGAACGGGGTTGCTTTCACGAGTACTTGGTTCGTTGCCGGAACAGAGCGGGCGACAGAAAGCAGGCGGATTCCAGGCGTGTGATTTTCGGTAATGCGCCGCCGCTCGGCACTTGAGCGCTGCGCGCTTGGATGTTCGCGCTTTGCCGCAAACGAGCACATGTATGGATATCCCGGAGCTTCTGAGATCCTATTCGAGAAACATCCAGTACTTTGAGTCAGACCCTGTCCAGTGGATGAGATCAAGCTCTGAGAACCGCTCGCAGAACGGCACGTGCGACTCGTGCAGCCGCGTGAACGTCTCGAGGAGAGCCCTCGCGTACTTCATGGCTCATTCCAGGCTCATATATCCGATCAAATTCGTGAATGCTGGACATCGGGATCCAATCAATGGTGCTGCACGATGTTCATCATCTATCGTGTCCAGATCAGAATGCATCCTGTATGCGGAACTGCGTCATTGGATAAGTGCCGACGTCAGCTGGCGGCCTACTCGGATGCTCGATGCACATGATAGCCGCTCTGGTGTGTTTCGATTGTGAATACAAGAACGCTTCGCAGTGGCTGTGGTGTGCAACTCCAGGCACCATGCGCTCAAGCTGCCCTTGTGTACGACGTGTGTCCAATCTAGCGCTCCGTCAGGCACGTGCAACTCCGAGGGTGAACAAAGCAGGCGCGAAGGCAAAGACAAGGGGACTGCTGCATCGAGCAGCCGAGGCTTTACCAAACACGCACACTCATGCAACGTTTGAGGACGCTCGCGAACAATAGGCCTCTATCAAAGTTAACAACCGGAACAGCTCATTGCTGGTCTCCGCAGTGTACCAGCGACAGGTTCGAGCACCGGCACCCGATACGGGTCTCACTGATCCATGGTGTCGATGCAGAGCGCTGGGCCTCGCTTCCAAGCACGTGCCGCAAGCGAGACGTACAGGGAACCCCAGCGGAACCCGCGTCGCCACGAGGGGACAACCAGTCTAAGCTTCTTCTCTTGTGTAGCGAGATTACAAGTCCCGAAGCTCTTCCAGGATAACTGCGAAGCTAAAATGCCTCCAGTTTTCCAACCCGGGTGCAAACCTTGTCACACAGCGTAACCGATGAAGCTACACGGCATACACCTTAGCGTCACACGTTATGCCTTCGAAACCCGAAGCGTATACCTTCCGTTACCGTCCAGAGAGGAATCGTCACGTTGACTCCAACACCGGAGAGAATGCGCTTGCTGGAAGTCGCCGTCGGCGGCGGCGGCGTCTCCAGATCAACAGCGTCGAATTATGGAAAAGTTCTCGTTGCACCGCAAAGCTCACAGGTATGCTTCGTTCCGTGAGTTACGGTACTCTACGCCAAACAGTGCGACGTTTTCGAGGAAACTTTCTGAGGCGTTGCTCTAGTGCGCCTGAGTCCAAACCGGGACGTCCCTCGGAGCCAACGCATACGACAACAGGCAGTTCGTGGCGCCAGGGTCCGGTAACCTGGCGCTCGTTGGCCATTACGACGGGTGTGGGTGCCGGCATCGGGTTCCTTTACTGGCAACAGAAAGAGCGAAAAGCGAAGGAACTGGAGCGGAGTGTTACTGCTCAGGTTAGTAGTGGGAAGCCAGCCATCGGCGGGCCCTTCCAGCTGGTCGACGCTCGCACTCGACAGACGGTAACGGACGCTGACTTTCGGGGCCGTCTACCACTGTTCTATTTCGGGTTCACGCACTGTCCTGACGTGTGTCCGGATGAGTTGACAAAAATCAGTAAAGCGCTCGCGCTGTTGGATCAGCGTCTCGGACACGACCGTGTTTCGGCGACAATAGCACCGGTGTTCATCTCAGTGGACCCCGAACGAGACACACCTGACGTTGTGAACGAATTTCTTCGTAACGAGGAGTTTGATGAGCGCTTCGTCGGCCTGACCGGGAGCGTTGAGCAGTGCGCCGCAGCAGCCCGGGCGTTTCACGTCTATTACATGAAGACCGACGAAAGCGAGGAGGATTACCTCGTGGACCATAGCATCATAACGTACCTAATGGGTCCCGATGGTGACTTGCTCGACTATTTCGGGAAGAATATCAGTGCAGAGGAAATGGCGCAGCGAATCGAAGGCCATTGGAAGCGAATGCGTCTGAGCCTGGCCTAGAGACCATTCAACAGGACTGGAATAGTCGAGTCTGTGCAGCCGCTCTATTCCGGAGATGTTAGCACCGAAACCAAAGCGCAGACACGTTCAAAGATGGTGCTCCGTCTCTCTCTGCTGCTGCTGCTGCTGCTGCATTCATCTCGAGGACCGCTCGAGGGAAGCGGGATCGATCCAACTGGCGTGTTGGATTGGTGCAGCAGTGCGTATAGCGTACGCGTTATGGAATCGGCATGGATTCAGACTGACACAGTGACTGACCGACACGCACTGATATACAAGCACGTACGTACGAATGCACACATAGGGGCCATCCGGTTGTCTTCGAACGGGTCCATAGCAGTCGTCTCATGATAGATAGTCAAAGCAACTGCGCAACAGATGCATGTCCACGTCAACTTAATACGCTGTTGCGCTTCCAGACAGCTTTTAGTTGAAGAAGCAGGCATCCACATGGGGGTATCGCTTTCTTGAGTAGAATTCGTTTCATTCCTAGGATGCGGAGTGTGCTGAAACGGAACTGTTCGGAAAGGGTACAAAAATTGCACTGTACAGAGGCAATTGGGCCGGCAAGGAATCCAAGCGATTTGCACAGCACTTGTTCCAAGGCGCTCTCTCCCATATAGCCAGCATATGGTCTATACAAACAATTATCAGTCTGGAGCATCCTTCAGCCTCGGCGATTTCGTTGGAAACGAAGGATGCGCGGTCCATGATCCGTGCGTGGCGAATGTCAAGTTGCGGACTTGCCGACGAACTTGGACGCTGGCGGTAAATGGCATTAGTGCCGCCAAAGCGGCGCTTGCTCCAACTGAACCAGCCTTGGTTTTTTAAAGGATATTTCTCTTGTCCACAATCCATGTTTATCCAAAGATGTGGTACTACAAGTCCATCTGAGAGGAATCTGGTTGACGCCGGCGTCGACGCTTCCTGGCTCGACTTCTCCGAACTGCGGAGCACGCAACAGTCAAAGCTGATCCGGGGTCAACATGGCTCTGTCGATGACCGCCTAGCGAAGGTCTCAAAGGCTTCAACAGAGCGGCACGCGAGGCAAGTGGTTCGGGCGGCGACCATCTGCTGCGGCCGTCCAAGGCAGCGAATCGTAGGAAAGTGTCGTCCATAGATTGCAAATCCTTCAGATCGCCGTGCTTCTACAAGGAACTGCTGGCGAATCGCAGCTGCGGGCGCTGCCTCTGACCGCATGTCGCTCTACTGCGTGTCCACAAAACAACGTCTCTCCATCTCAATCCGAAAACAAGCCACTACTCTGGATGTTCTCCGGTGGCTAGCCACGCATTGCCATGGAGCCTTGGTAAATTTTCAAAAGGTCCTCAACATCCCTGGGGCTTCCGCAAATGAACGGCTCTCGCTGATGGACATCTCGCGGAACAATATCCAGAATTCTTTGCTTTCCCGTGGTCGCTATACCGCCGGCCTGCTCCATGAGATACGCCATAGGTGCGCACTCGTACAGAAGACGCAACTTGCCGTTCGGGTTCTTCTTATCACCAGGGTATCCAAAAACGCCGCCGTAAATCAGCGTGCGATGGACATCGCCAACGAGAGATCCTATGTAGCGCGAAGAATAGCCCTTTTTCTTCATCGATCGAATATATTCTTGAAGAACAGGGTCCCAGTTATCCGAGTTTGCCTCGTTGAAGGAGTAGATCTTGCCACGCTCCGGAACACGAACATCTGGGTGCGTCAAAACAAACTCGCCAATCGCTGGGTCCAGAGAAAAACCCTGCACTCCGTGACCAATAGACAGCATGAAAATCACCGATGAGGAGTAGAGAATGTAGCCCGCTGCCACCAGATTCGCACCCGGTTGCAGCGTCTGCACGAGGCACTGCATTTGTCGCTGACTTATATCCGCGTCCTCGGGTCCCGTCAGACAGTGCTCGCCGCTGCGCATTACACCAAAAATCGTACCCGTGGCGATCGCTGCATCCAAATTCGAGGATCCGTCCAACGGGTCAAACGCAGCAATAAAGTCACCTGTATACGCCTCTTCCATGAGCGACACTGGCTCGTTTTCCTCTTCCGAAGCCAAGACACCTAGTTTCCCTGTTGAGCGTAGCGCGTTCTTGAGCACCTCGTTCGTCAACACGTCCAGCTTTTTCTGCTCCTCGCCCTGCACGTTGACCGAGCCCTGAAGGCCAGTCAAGTTGCTCACGCCCGCTCGGGCGACCAGTGAGGCAATCTGCTTGCCAGCTGTCGCTGTGGCTGTTATCAAAGGAGCCAAATCAGCGGTCTCTGGATGCTGCCTCTCCTGTTGGAGAACCCACTGTCCGAGTGTCATGGGTAGGTCTAAAGCTGCGCGCAGTCTCACTGCACCAAAGCGACGTTGATGCCTTGTTTCCAGCGGCAAGACCGACACCGATACCCTTCCCCATATGTTTGTTGAGCGCAGCTTAGGAGCCCCAAGGCTAACGAAAGCGTGCGGTGCTTGCTTCGCCATGAATATCGTTGCTGGCTCCTTGAGGTCAGCAAGGAGATGAGTGCTGCAAACGTCGGGCGTCGCAGCGGCGGGCACGGCCGCAATCGTCGACGGCGGCTCGATCGGCTGCCGCATCTGCGATTCGCCCCGTGCAGCGAACTAGCTTCTGTTCTTTCGAGGGGGTACACTACGACCCATCGGCAGATGCCTCCTCCAGGCCTTTTTCGACCGGCTCCTGCTATTCAGTTCATCTGCTCCGTGTAGACATCGATATTGAGAGGGTGCCTTACAAAGGTAGAGGGCGTCAGCTCCGCGGGTCTCGTCTTCAGCACCGCACATCTGCTGATGTTGATAGCGGCGTTGAAGTCTCGGTTCAAGAATTCCAAGCGATTATAGCATCTGGTGGAACTGATCAACGTAGGGGTTGCAAGAACTCGTGCCCTATGTGCCATTTGCTGCTCTTTCAGCTCTCTGAGGTTTTCAATCACCGAAGCGCTCCGCTGGATTTTGTCTTTCTCGACCTCCTGAAGTGTGCATCCCAGTTCATACCTTATTTTAAAATGAAAGCACTTGTTCATTTCCTTAGGTAAGGGCATTCCCGGGGCGAGAGGGACTTGCAGAAGAAAGACGAAACGTGCTCCAGCGTTACCGTGTGCTGAGCGCTTCAGCGATTCGCCCAGTGGAACGATCGTTACGCCTCACGAACGGAAAGACTCCTTCAATGGCGTCGAGCCACGGTGTGTACGTAGTAATGAAATGCAACGCTACCTCGATAGAATTGGAAAAAGCTCGAACGCAAGGGGGATTTGTGAAACGCCACGTTGCCTATTGGAAGAACGTCTCCAGACATCAGTGTAAAAGCCTTCGATGGTTCGACGAAGTGTTTCGTGCTGTTGTATGAGCCTTCTGTACGAGCGAAATTTAATCCGCCACACATATCCACTGCTGCTAGAATAGAGAAGTTCGTCGTTCTCATCGAGTTCGATCGTACGCATGGCAGGCTCCCTTTCCGCGAATACCCATATAGGCCCCGTTCTGTTCGCCCGAAGCAAGTCCCATCGACTGGAAAACAAACCGACGTCACTGTGCCTCGTATCGATGGTGACTTTCCAGGAACGCTTTCGTTGCGATTTCGGTGGATGATGGGTGTGAATAAACTAGGACTTTTTTTGTTACTGGATCGCAATGGTTCCAGGACCAGACGAAGAGGCGATTGAGAAACAGAGACGCTGCTCGCGGCTACTATTGTCGCACATGCATTCCGAACGGGATCAACGGGTCGTTTTTCTATCATTGATAACAGTGAGTGTTTGAGAATATCGATTTTGGCGCGGAGTGTGTATCATTCGTTCTTTCAGGGCTCCTCAAAGATCAGAGCCCTGTGGTATGACTGACCTGAACGGGGAATGCAGTACTCTTCGCACTGCTCTGGAAGGAATCCATCCGACATGCAAGTTGTCTACCATCTATAAGATACATTGCATACTGATGCCGATCTCATGCTATAAACCGCAGCGAGGACCGTACAAAATAGCGTTGAAAGACTTTGAGTCCGATCATATTCCGTTTCCAGAGTCGTAGGAAGATAAATACGGTGTCCATTGCTGTGCATTGCACCGAGTATCTCGCTTCCATGAAACGAATCAGAGTGAGCTGCAACTCCTACGTGTCGCCTGCTTGCTTGCTTGCTTGTTTGCGAGCCAATACGTATGTGCCACAGTGGAATGGTGCACCTTCGTGGCCACCTATGCATCGTATGACGTTCCGCAGCTAACGTGTATGCATCGCTGCAGACGCTTCGCGATGTCGAGCGACGGGATCGTACGGTGAAGGGATACCGGAGCATCCAGGGATGCAGCTCGCCCTCTCTACGACATATGGACGCGTTTCACGCACGCTGGAGGTCAACGTGCTTGAGTGACACTGTTTCTGGTTGATCCCTGCAGGCAGCGCAGCAGGAGGCTCAGCGTTTCTAGATCTAAACCAGGTCGAGTGCGAGCGGCACGATTAGAGAGCAGACCCTCCGTGGTGTGCGATACTCGCGTTCCGACGACTTGTGCTGCATAACGCTCCTCGAATACGTTCTCAGGTTACATCTTTAGTTTCGGTCCAGGTTGTACCAGCATTCGCCAAACTGTTGAAACTCGAAACTGATCTTTCGAAATCGCTGCGCTCGCCCGCATCGAGTCACTTTCAGCCGGCCGAAACTTCACGACGGAGACCTAGTATTCTTCAGGGAGCCTCAATGCACCCACATTGTCATACGTTATTCACTTAACTGGCTAGAGTGACTATGGAAGAGCTGGTTCTGCAATGTCGGAAAACGCTTCCACAAAACGACGACTGGAGTCACGGCGACACCGCAGCATTCCAGCAAGCTGCTGCATCCCAGGGCATTGCGGAGAGGTGCACGTCGTGGATCCTTTGCGTACACGTCGGGTACTGCACGTCATGTTCGCCACTGATTCGAAGGAGAATTCTAGGTTGATTGTGAAAGGATTTGCTTCCTACATCTCCGAGGAGCGTCTACGAGCACACTTCTCAAGACTTGGTGATGTTACGGACGTGCGGGTTTCCCGGACGGCGAGCGGGCGCTCGCGGGAGTTTGGATTCGTCGGTTATCGAACACCTGCGGAGGCAGCAGCAGCCAAGGCATTTTTTGACCAAACGTTCCTAGATACTCGTCGCATAACTGTAGAGTATGCACTTCCTCCGCGATCACCGGCGCTAGCCGAGAGGAAACGTTTTCATGCGGAGGTTTCTGTGGACAGGCGGCAAGCAGCAGCCACCGCCCGTGCTGGCGAAAGAAGACCCCCAACGCTGACTGCAGCGGAGAACGAGCACCGCGGTGCAGAGGTGCACTCTACGAGTGACCACGCTGTCGAAACCGCTGGCAAAACCGGAACACTCGAGGGGGTACCTCGAGATCAGACAAGAACGAGTCAGACTTCGCTGTGGCATGCCGCACACGCGACCTGGGGTCAAGAAACGAGCGAGTCGGAGCCACGTAAGGTGCACAGGCGACCGGAAACGACTCCGTCGCGTGGTCGTCAAGCTGCTGACGAGGGCAGCGCTGTCTTGCTCGCGGACTCGCCTGATGATCAAGCGCTCTCGCGTACCGTTTCCCAAACGGAACCGCCGACCAGTGCGGTATCCGCCTCGTCTGCATCTTCAGGAGCAGAGCAGGTGTCTTCCCGTGCGGAATCGATGGCGTCCGCTTCTAAGGAATGGAAGTTGTGTCGGTCTAGTCGCATCTTTATTCGAAATCTGGGGTTTAACGTAACTTTCGAAGACCTGGAGAAGTTGCTTGAACCTTTCGGGGAACTCGAAGATGTCCATCTGGTTCGGGATCGGGAAAGCGGCCAGTCGCGCGGCTTTGGGTTTGCACGCTTCAAGACCGTAACCTCTGCGCAACAGGCAATGGACGCCTTGGACGGGTCAGTGTACCAGGGACGCCTTTTGCACATCATGCCATCCGAGGCAGACCGGTACGAACTGGATCAGAGGTCGTCTCTGGAAACCGAAGGCAAACGCAGAAGCTTTAGCGTGGAGCGCAAACGGCAGCGTCGTCGAGAAGCCGGCACCACAAAGGACACCATTTCGTGGAATCCGTTCTTCCTGGGAACTGATGGCGTTTTAGAGACGACCGCCGAGCGCTTTCAGATGTCCAAAGCGCGCTTTCTCGGTACCGATGCGCTAGAAGGGGGGATTTCAGCCGCCGTGCGGCTCGCTGTTGCCGAGTCGAGTCTGCTGTACGAGGTTCGCGAGGCGCTCGCCGAAAGCGGAATCAACGTGCAAGCTTTGCTCGATGAACAAACTCGGCAGCGAAGGGCTTTAGATCGGAAACAGCTCTCCCGAACAACGATTATCCTGAAAAACCTTCCGGCGAGAACAACGTCTGCAGACCTAGGACCAAAGCTCGGTCGCTACGGTCAACTTGGACGATTGGTGGTCGCTCCCGGGGGCCTTATAGCATTCGCCGAGTTTCTCGACGAAAACCAGGCCAAGGCAGCATTTCGGGGGCTCGCTTACACGCGTTACGCTGATCTGCCGCTCTATCTCGAGTGGGCACCTCGCGGCATCTGGGCCGACCCAACACCTCCCAATGGAGACGATATCGCCGAAGCATCGCCCAAAGCTTATGCTTCTGTTGACGACTCTGGATCAGGTTCCGAAGAACCGCCTCCGAATTGGTCCCAAACTTCGCTTCTGATTCGTAATTTGAGCCTTGACACGACAAGTGGCATGCTAGTCGAGCATCTCGAGTCCTTGGGCGTGCGACCTCGAATCGTGCGCATACCGCTGGATGAGGAGACCCCCAGTATGGATTCCCGGAGTCCAAACATTCCATCGAAATACGCTTTCGCGGAATTTGCAACTTGCAAAGAGGCCTGGCGCGCTCTTCATATCCTGGATGGATCGGCGCTGCGGGGCCACAGACTCTCCGCTGCGCCCAGCGAAAAGCACGTCACGAGTCGAGTGGCGGCCTCGGAGACCGCGGTTGTCCCCGAGGCTGGCAACGAAACCAAACTTATCATCAAAAACATTGCTTTTGAAGCGAGCAAACGGGAGCTACATCAGCTATTCAGTTCCTTCGGCCATGTGAAGTCGCTTCGACTACCAAAGAAAGTCGATGGCAGTGGACGAGGATTCTGCTTTGTGGAGTACGCAACGCCTCAAGAAACAGCCCGGGCCACAGCACTCGTCCAGGGCACTCATTTCTATGGAAGGAAACTCGTAGTCGAATACTCCCATCTTTGAAAGAAACCATCCCACAAAACAAAATGACGACTTTGGCAGCGGGAGCGACTCGTTGGCAAGGATGCGCACTTGTTCCGCGTGTTTGCCGCTCGATGCCGGGCCTTTGCACACAAGCGGCGCCTCGGGCTGAGGCCGTGACCGCCGCACCACCACGATGGGACTCCATCTCTAGTCCAGACGATCCTAGGCGTGGTCTGCGCTCCCTTTGGCTGGTGTGATAATGTGCATTCAATGTCCAGTAGATGAGGATTATCGCAGAGAGACGTGAAACACGCTCCAGTTCGCTGGCCATGCATTTCAGCGGCAGTCTCGACAGCGCCGCTGGAGCGCCCGACAAGACCCTAATCTTCATGATAGCGGTAGGCACAGATGATACGGGTAGTATTCGCAGCGTTCTTGGCTTGTCTGCGGATACCCCAGAAGTGCACGAGCGACTCGGACGCACAACAGGGACACGCAGTCCAAAATGCATGTCCAAGCCTGTTTCCTGCAGCGACGCAGACGCTCCCAGCAACAGCATCGTCGTTGTGTGCGATCCGCGACTCCAAAACCGAGAACCGCTGCTGGAGTTCACTTTTCGGCCATTTGCCTGTGATATGGTGCTGGTCCGGTACCCGACGTCAGTTCTGAATCGTGGTGAGCACTGCGTTTCCAGCTTTGAGGCGAGTACCAGGAAACAGGCTCGGCGCCAGCACAGGCGTTTACCTTGCCTGCTCTTTCTGGTACTGTTCAGTATCCGACTTGTGCCAGTTCCTACAAAGTCAGCGTGTAAACACTGAAGAACGAAGAACGAACGTGCTGCTGGTGCTCGTGTCGCCAGAGAGTCCAGAAGACCTGCCGAGTCGCCCACGTCAGCTGGTGCCTGCTGGTGCCCGCTGTCCAGACGACCAGGGGCGCGCGCTACGAGTCTCCCGGTTCGGCAGCGTTGACCTCCTCTATGGTGTCTATCCAGTCCGAGTAGACATCCACCGGCTCGCTCAAGCTGTTTATAGCGCACTGATAACTGGCCCCGCACACGCCACACTCTAAACGCCCGCGCATGGGCACCGTGCTTCGGTCCAGGAGCACCTCCACGGCTTTCGGTTGGTTGCAGAACGGACAGTCGAACCGCTTGTCCAGCTTTGGCTGAACTCGCTTCACTACTGGTTTCGATGACTTTTTGCGCTTACCCATGGAGTGGTCCAGCGGACATCCACGTCAGCGACCAGCACCTGCGACACAGCAGCGCTCGTACGGTCAACGTGGTGCGGCACGACGCACCAGGCAGCCGCGAGAGGTACGGCGTCATTCGCGTGCGAAACTGTTGCGAGGCTGCTCCACATGAGCGTCTACAGGGCGCACCATACAACAGATGACGGAACACGCAAATATATTCGGAAGCGATCGTTTTGGGTCCTGAGGAACCGCCCAACCTCTCTGCATCAAGTCCTTGTCGAGGTAAGCGTGCTGTTCTATCGACAAAATCCGGCGATTGTCCAACTGTATCGACTCTGTTGCAGGGCCTGCGCGGCCTATCGGCACTGCCGCCCCCTGGTGATGCGTCCACGGAGGTAGCGTCCAGCATGCAAGGTTATTTCGGTCTGTAGCTTTCCGCGGCAACGATCCCACTCGGTGACTACAGTCGTCGAATGGCGACACCTTCCCTGCTTCACGTGCGAGGCGCACTCCAGAGCATAACACCCGCATTCCTCCATAGCGTTGCCCGCTGCGAACGTTTGGCGTTCCGGGGATTACGCTGACCCTCGCAGCGTATCGATCCCCTGGGGTCGATTCATTCGGAGCTGCGCAGCAGTCCTCGAGTTCAACGCGCTGCCTGGAAAAGCTCAGTACGGTGGTAGCGGATCAAGTTGCTATTGACGCCGGCGCACGGCACCCGGAGAGCATGAACCAGTCATCCATCCTGTTCTGTCGTAGCTGACGAACCCAGATAACGGCGATTTGATGCTCGTAGTCGACGCTTGAAAGGTTGCATCCTCCGCAATGAAGAGCGCCGTCTAATGCCCGGTGCAGGGCGCGATGCATCACATCCAGGGACAACGAGTTCTGCTTCGAGCCGCCTCTCTCATGCGGGTTGCGCAACGGAGGGATCCCGCCAGGCCCCATGTACCTCGAGTGCTGCTCACCGTGTGATGGGCGACCACCTGGAGGCGTTCGGTCGTCGAGCTCTTCAGGCTTTTTGCACCCCGGCAGCGTTCTGGACGAGCCACCGCAGTCAGACGCGGCGTTGCGAGCGACCGCGCCCACAACGTTGCCTTCGACGGTGCCAGAGGCGCGAGCAGCAGTGGTGCCGTGTTTCCCCGGGAAGGTGTCTCCGGCTCGAGTTGGCTCAGAGGGAAACCGTAGAAAAACGGAATGAATCGTCTTTAGCACGTGTTGTATTCCGATATTTTGATCAGTGGAACAAGCGGGAAATCGCGGGTATCATTCCGCTCTTTGCTCCGGACGTGTTCTATGAGGACGCGCTTTATCCCAGAGCGCTTCACGGGCGAGAAGCGCTTGCTGAGCACCTCACTAAAGTAGCTCGTGTCTTACCACCTCAACTAGAGTTTGTAATCGATGACGTTTGCGAGGATCTCGAACGCGGCAAATGTGCCGTTCGGTTCCACCTCGAAGATCGTCGTACGGGGAAGCAGGTTCCCTTTTCGCGCGGGACTTCGTTTTTCACCGCAAAAAGAGCTCCGGACGCTCCTGAAGGCTGGTTGCTGACCTCGGGATGGGATCTGCCGGAACCCCTCATCAAGGCAGGGAACGTTCTGCTCGCCATGGCTGGTATTGCTGCGCGTATTCTCGGGCTCTTTCGGCGGAGAACCTGAGACACGAGAGCTGGGTACTGCCAAGGCAGGGAACGTGCCGCTCGCCATGGCTGGGAATGCTGTGCATGAGTTTGAGCTTTTGTCAGGTAGAGGACCTGATGCATGTTGGCAAGATACTGCGCTTCTGCACAGATCTCAGGGCGTGCGCCTCTGCTTGTTAGAAGTTGTCTACGCAGCCGTGTTATCCCTGAACACAGGACGCAGCATCTCAGAGGCCGCAAGTATGTGCTTGAACGTGGTGCCGGCTTGGCATGCGGCTCCTCGAAATGTTTTTTCTTCGGTATGAAGGGTGCGGCTCCTGGGTGCAACGAGAAATTTCTTTTACATACAGCTCGCGAAGCCTGATCACGCTGCACATGATCCCGAGGTACCCTGAGCACCGAGCCTTGTCTTCTTTTCTCACGCCATGTGCATGCTGCTGTTCCGTCTTGTGCACGCTTCACGAAAGCAGCGGGTCCCAGAGTCGCAACCCCCTCGCTATCCGCCGAAGCAGCAGCGCTGAACCTGCCGCAACCTGCATGATACAGATCCCATACGAAAGCTCGTTTCATACAGTTTCTGATGCGCCGCCTCTCGATCGAGCAGCGCGAAATGAGAGGTACCTGCCACTAACGCCACCACCGCTGATCCAGCAACCCGTCTGTCGTAAAGAAACCCTCTTCCAGGCACCGTGTATGCCGTAGTAACGGAGCGTGCGCGCGCGCTGTGAACACGCCCATCGCGCCGTCGAGATGCAGACGCACCAGCGCGATGGCGCGCAATCGCGGAGTACGCCCCAGCGGTGCCGCATAGAGTGAATCACGAGTCCGTTGATAAACGTCACTTTTTGCGACTGGTGGTACTGGTGTCTCGAGCCAGCAAAGTGTGACTGAAACATGAACCTTACGCTTCTGAAACGCATCATCTATACCCTAGTTTACAGACCGCTTGGTTTTCTCTATCTTTTCTTTGGTGTGTTTTACGGGCGGTTTGTGCTTCCGAAACAACCTGCGTTGACGTTACTGCGGCCGTACGTTGACGACCGGACGGTCGTCGTCGTGACCGGCTGCAACGTTGGCATCGGCTATGAGGTCGCGCTTGCGCTTTCAAAGGCTGGTGCGACAGTGTTTATTTGCTGTCGCACGGAAGAAAAATGTAGTGAGACTATCAGGCGGATCAAGCAGCAAGGGGGGCGCGGGCAGCTCAAGCCTATCAAACTTGAGCTGTCCTCGTTCGCATCCGTCCGCGCTGCTGCCGATGCGATTAACGCGCAAACAGCCTACATTGATTTTCTTGTGTTAAACTCGGGTGTGATGAACATTCCGAAGCTGGAATTTTCGGCCGACGGCTACGAGATGCACTTTGCGGTGAACCACCTCGGACACTACCTCCTAACCAGACGCCTGGTTGCTAAAGTGCGAAAAGGCATCGTCGTTGTTAGCTCTGATGGACATATCATGGGCGCTACTGATGCGATTGATGATATAAACTGGGATCGACGTGGACGGGAGAACTATGACGGCATGGTCGCGTATGCGGACACGAAAATGGCGAATGTTTTGTTTGCTGCTGAATGCAATCGGCGGTACCCTTCGATCCGCACTGTTGCGGTACACCCCGGCGCAGTACTGACCGAGCTCATTCGATATTCCGTGAAACCGGAGGCACAGACGCGTCTTCGCCAAATTCTCAAGTATATTTTTCGAACACCTGCGGAGGGAGCACTCGTCGTGGTGGCAGCGCTTGTGGCTACCGCCGTGCCTTGCGCCGGAAAGCGTGCGCCTCTTTTCTACCGCGACGGCCGGCCGAGCTGGGCAGTTGCGGAAAACGATGTTGCTGCAGCGCAGCATCTCTGGGACGAGAGCGAGCGCATCGTCCGCAACTACCTCACCTAGATTTGAATAGAAGCAACTTGTGCGGGAATATTTTTAGCATGACAAGAAAAAAGGGATATTCAAGGCGTTGGAGCGGAATCTCGGCCTGTTTTGATGGAAGATCCGTAACAAGACCGTCGTCGTCGTCGTCGTCGTCGAATGCGAGCAAGGTCCGCAATTGTCATGGATGAAAACCTGCTCGACCATTTTTCCTGCTCGTGCCGTAAACTAAAAAAATCGAGAGTGCTCTGGATCGTGCGTTTCCAGGACGATTCCGCAACCTTCACAAGGCACGTGGCGTCGCCGATGTGGATCGTGCCCTGCACGGCCAACGGCATACGTGGTCTCCGAGATGCTCCGAATATTAAAAGAGGTTGCACAGACCGAAAACGCATCCCCAAGCGAGGCCCATGCCAGCACCCCAACCCATGCCCCGAACACATGCGTTGCAAATGCCCTGAGAGACCTCTGATCGAGAATGCGACGGTGGTACCTGGCCAGTCGCCGTTTGATCGTCGTACTGGTATCGTGTGGGCTGCGCGGCCTCGCCTGCCCTGTTGCCCGGATAAATGGGTGCACCAGTTGGTCGGTAGACTGGAGGCAGAGGCGCGTACGGTGTGCTTTCTGTATAGTAGTAGTAAGCCCCAGGTGGCGGCTGAACGCCGGGCTTTCCGTCAAACTTTGCTGGCTCAGGCTCGGCGGCTTCTTCAGCATAAGCACCTTTAACCTCCTTTTGGGCCGAGAAACTCTGGGCCGGTTGCACCGCAAAGTCCGGGCGTGTTACAGGAGCGCTCGTTGTATCTGGAGCGCTCCCAGCAGCAACCGCAGCATAGCTTGTCGCCGGCCTGTCGGGGTGGTAGTAGTAGTATGACATAGACCTATTTGAGTCTGACACGGTTGAAAATATCTAGCTCTTTCTCGTGCACGCTAGTTTGAGCGCTGTGTGGCGTCTGGAACTGTTGCGCCCAGCTCAAGGAAACGCACAAGTGTTACAGTCGGATTCGTTGGCACAGTTCGACTATAAGAAGCCCAGCTGTAGGCGGAGGTTTCCTTCGCTGAGGCGTTCACGCACTGAACGAGTGTCAACGTTCAGCGCGCAAACTTTTCCTAGGGCTATTTTTTCTCAAACACGCGAAGCTTCGATGGCGCCAGAATGTCGACGCTAGCCAACCGCGTATCTGTATCGTCAACGTGCTTGTTCCGCTTACGTCTTCGCGTTGAAAGAGCATTCGACATAAAACGAAGATTCGACGACGGAATTCGGGAGCGTCCGCGGGAGACACGCGGTCGGGCGTCGTGTCCAATTTGGGCCGTGCCTCACGCGCAACGTGTCCGGCGGATACAGACATGCGCGCGCACGCACGCACGCGCCGGCCGGCGCGCCTGCGAGCTAACTACGTCATCGTCATGCACCGCAACTGGATTCCATAGACAGGCGCGTGTCATCTCATGCTCTTTCGAGGTGTAAGGCAGACGCGTTCGATTGCGTCTATTTAAAGTAATATAAAATCCAAGGTATGGAGATGAAAGTCGGGGATCCTGGCGGACCGTCATCGCCGGGCGCCCGGAAAAACGAAAAAGTCCTCTTCTCGCCTGTCATCGAGCGAAGAAGCGCAAGTGACGTAGATGAAGAAGAGTGGAGATAGTCAAGAAAAGGTGCTTGATCCACGAGACGATGACGAGACTGTAGTGGCACAGAGGGCACGAGTTCAATGAGCCCCTGCGATCATGGGTTCAACCACCGGCAATGTACGCGAAGAATTTCGTGAACCGTGACCCCAACGCCGCCATGAATATAACACGACGTGTGGTGCTGGACACGAGTCCCGCGGAGCTGAGGCACTCTAGTTTTGTGAGGAAACCGCTCAAGGTCGAATTGTGCAAGAAGAAGTAGAAACCAGTAGCAGGTGACCGGTCAAAAAAAGGCGGGGCGGTGTCGGCGAGTGGGTATGCGTACCCCGCTCTACGGTCGTGAGCCATTTTTCGTCTTGCTGAGTATATATATGGACGCTAGTGGAGGCGATGACTTAAACTACGCATAAGCGACATTCCGCGGGGATGTTCCCGAGGGCCTTGTCCTGATGTGTTACCCGGTATCGCGCGCTCCCTGACCAATGTTTCAGTTTGCCGGGCAGTAGGTGAACCAGCCAGCTATCCAGCGGGTTGTTTAGGTACAGGCATATTACATTCCCTTAAATTCACGAATCTTTTTAAGGAATCCTCTTGTTTCATACTACTACTTCCGTGCTTTTCGCGCTTAAACTGAAATGCGCACAGAATACTCCGTCATGGATACCGATTGCGCAGCGCCTGCTTCTCTTCCACATGCGTGTGTCTCGGACCTAAAAAGTGCAGTATTTTGCGGTTATCCTGGAGTGTCGCCCTATCCACCGCAGAAGTAAACTCGTCCGGTGCCTGCTTCTTCCGATGCGCTGCGGCTGTACTGAACAGCAACGCCCGCTGAGACGCGGTCGTTGTGGAGTATTCACGTCGCAACCCAGCCAAGCGCAGCTTCCATACAAGGAAAGAAAGCTCTAGCGTCTCCTTTAAGTGTTGCCGACGTTGCGTTGGGGAACACCACTGGCCAGTTCGACCTTGGTGATGCGCCCGCCCATCTTCATGATCCGCTGCTGCTCGCTGTACCAGGAAGTGAACGGCACCATCTTCGTTGTCGCAACGTTCTGCAACTCGCGACCGCTGTCAACACGTGACTGACTGGGCAGCACATACGAGACCTTAAACATGCGGCGATCATTCGCAACGCCAGATGACTTGATGCGCCGCGGTCCGAGGTTCCCCGCGCTGCTCCCGTTCATATCGTACCCTGTCATGCGGACGCTCCAGGACGAGTGTGCCAAGCACCGCTGCGACTCTGCAGACTTTGCAGAAGCCTTAACACCTGTTCCAAAGAAACTGGTCTGAACGAACATGGTCAACGAACGAAGAAACACAGAGAACAAAGATATCGCGAAGTTGTGAGTCAAAAGACGGTGGTGCAGCGAGCGCAGCCGGCGAGCTCGCTTGCGTATTCTCGCCACGTTCTCGCCGGCCGTGTACAGTAGTGGCGATCGGCGCGCCTTGGACAAAACGTCTCCAACTGATGTGCAGACGCCTCCCCGTCTTTTTGGACCGGCCACCAACTACTTCTTCCAATTTTATCTCATATAGTTCGACCTTAGAAGGTTGTCCAAAAAAGTACCTTCTTGTTCACTCTGGAGGTCTCGTCTCCAGCACCGCACATCTCCTGATATTGATGGCAGCGTTAAAGTCTCGGTTCGCAAACTCCATACGTTTCTTACCATCGTTGGTTGTACTTACTAATGCAAGTAGCCCTCGAAGTTTCGCCCTCCTTTCCATTTGCTCTTCCGTCAGCGGTCCGTACTTTTTTGCATCCTCAGGGCTCCGCTGGCACTTTTCCATCTCCACTCTCTGGAGCGTGCGCCCCCGCTCATGGTGTGAATGCGATGTTCGAAACTCATCTATCGGTATTGTAACAAAACGCCGTGCGCACTCCTTATACGTTCTCGTCGTTGGAGCTGGTGCAGTCCCTTTTTGGGTCTTCCATCGCCCTGCTCCGTACGCTACTACGAGCCTCTGACTTTCATCCTCCTTCAGGGCACTCAACTGATTGAAAAAATTCGCGAACGCCCGCTGCTTCCCACAATACAAGTTCATTCGAAGACGAGCCCACCGGGGCTTGGTATACTCCTCCCACAGCGCATCCCAATGGGCAACACGAACTTCCATGAATTTCCGAAAAGCTTTAAAGTCCGCTCCTCGACTCATCACCTCGCTCAAAGCTTCCAGGTGCTCGTTCATTCCTGAATTTCAAGTCTCGATTTTGTTCCTTGCATTCATGCTTCCCGATTCTCGATAATATCTCGCTCTCGAGAACCTCAACAGACGCATGTCTTTCTGACATAAGTTACCGTCAGGACCATCTTCCGCACGCTTCGGTGCTGCGATGGTGATGATATTTGTGTTGCCGGGGTCCGCGCCAATGACAAAGTCGTTATCCTGCACTTTCCGCGTCTCAGGATCTGCTTCTTTCTCATCTTCATCCTTCGTCACCTCAACGACATGCACGTTATCCTGCACCTGCTGCATCGCAGGATCCTCCTTTTCGTTTTCTTCATCCTTCGCCGCGTCAACGACAAGGTCGTTATTCTCTACCTCCTGCGTCGCGGGATCCGCCTCCTCCTTTTCCTCATGGTTCGCCGAGGGCGGGACTGGTCGATCTCTCTTCAACCGCCGATAGTGTACACACAAGGCTACTCCATCGGTTTCGATTAACCCAGTGGACAACTTTTGCTTGCTCACTCTCAGACGTTTGGAGCTGAAGATATTCTTCCAGGACATCTCCCGGTTTTCACCGGAAAACTCCTCCCTGCTAACATCGAACTCGGGACTGATCTCCTTCATGATGCCATGAGGGATTCTGGAGTCGATAGTCACGAAATGTGACTTGATATTGGACATTGGAACGACGTTGAAGCGCTTCTCCTTTAGGACAGCCTTCCTTTCCTCCCACTCTAAATTTTCCCTATTCAGCCTCATCTCTGCTTTGCGTTCGAGCTCTCGGTCGAGAAATACGAAATATCGCAGGAAAAGGCGATAGTATCTTTCCTTATCTTTTTTCAACTCTGATATCTTGTCTGTTGGATTCGCCATCCCCAAGATTGCACGGTGCGCTTGTAGAACCGCGCGGATTACAGAAGCCTCATTCGTGCTCTCGTTTGACCCCTTCTCTCCGGCGAATTCGACCTCATCTTGATGCTTACGATCTTTCGTGATGCCATTCATAATCGCCCATTTTCCATTGCGCGATAGGCCCGGGTAGAGTGCAATCACGGCGCGTATCATGAAACGTTCGAGGCTCGTTGTCAAATGGTTCTTCAGGTTCGTGAGGTACTTCATCGCTCCGCATGTGTAAATATCCCGGTGACTCTTGTACCGACGAACCCGTAAGAGGGATGTTTTTCGTGGAAGGCATGCACTAGCTCATTTTTCCTCCGCGCTTCCTCTGTACCAAGCATCAGGTGATGAATAAAGGTCTTATCGAAAAACCCGTCCGGGAACCTCGACCGTTTCCATGTGCGTCACGTCGCGATACATCTCCCTCGCCAAATACATCAGTCCTGACGACGCCTTGACAATACTCTTGGAGTACGAGTCGACACGTTTTTTGATAGCGTCTCGCAACTTTTCGCTGTACGGATCCTTGATATATCCAAGAAGAAAGGTTTTCACCACCTTCTCGTCGTACAGCCGTCTTTCTTGCTGCCTTCGACGTAGGGCCTCCCCCTTTTGCTTCTTTTCCTCTTCCTTTTCTTCTGGAATGGGCACTGTTTTTTGTTTTTTCTCCAGCAGCCGGCGACCCTGGGCCTCCAGGATCGTGAACTTGCTTTTTCACAGCTTTCCTTGTTTTGTTTTTTTTTTGAAAAAGAACGCTCTTTGAACCCTTCTGTTATATACTGCAAAAAACACTAGACTAGACTTGTTTGAAGTTTGAAACAAAAACGAACTGAAAGACTGTACTTTGCTATGACCTCAACGGAAATCCAACTTTCTACAGCTGAACAACACGCTAGAGATCAGGATCGCGTTTCCGTTCAACGGAGGCATACGCGTCGTGTCTCATGCCTGCCTGATCTCCCAGTTGCGCTCACTGAGCGCGATGCGTGCACCGCGCGAGACGCCTCACCGATCAATAAAGGACACGTGTCCGACACCCTGCATTGGCACGTGCGTGTTCGCATCGCACTGCAGCCAAAATAACGTATCGTAGATCGGAAACTCACGTAGAATGCACTCCTGCTATAGGCTATGTCGTTGGTGCCTATCGCAGTGCCGCCCTGAAGCACAGTCGGTGTTGTGGCACGCTTGGATCTCCATAATGCCTCCAGAAGAAGCGTAGCTTTCGCAGCGGCTCACGCTTGTCTGGATGAGGTGTGCATCACACTAGCCTTGAAGAGTTTCGTTAGTTTTATTGATCGTAACCAAAGTAGGCATATTAGTGTTCCCGAACACGGCTACAAGTTTATTCCCTATGCTTGTTATGCATGCTGCACGGACGCTGCAGGGAGTATCTAATTTGAATTGTGCTTCTATCCTGCGTCATAGGCTGGTACTGATGACAGCTCAAGTCATTTCCATGCTGCTTTCGTTGTCTAAATTATGGTGCCTGCTTCGTCCTCCGGATCCGGTGATCTTGGCAGAGGCAGAGCACACTCGACGGGCCCTTTGCTATCGGTTTCAGCTTCTCCTTGTTCAACTCTGGGCTGGGAGGTTCCCCCATAAAGTTGGACCGCGTCAGCTCCGCCGATCGCGCCTCCACCACCATACATCATCTGACATTGATGGCGTTTTGTCTAAAACGCTCGTGATAGAGCTGAGGTCAAGAAGCGATCAATCTTGACCGACGCTATCAAACGAGCGGTAACAGAAGCTGAGGGCTGTAGCCGGCACCAGGTGCTCTGGTGCCTACATGCTGGCCGTGAATCGTGCGTGACGAAGCCGCACAGCATGCCACGGTTTCCTAGTACGTAAACCAAGCACGTATTCGAAACGTTCGGGTTCAGTGTGATGACGAGTCGCCGCTGCGGCATTCTGGGAAAATCATCCGAGTGCGCTATGGTTTTTCGAATATCGAGCATCATCACGAGTGTGGGTGCGCTTCACTGCACGAGTTGCAACGATCACCGAATCCACCATCATCCAAAAGTGACGAAAATTCACATGCGCACCGGCCTCGCACCTCTAGGTCAGGACGTGCCCACCAGCACGCAAACAAATTTCGTGCCCCGCTGTGCTTTCACCAAAAACGAAAGGAAACATGCGTTTCCTCGACCAGGGATAGAGGGTTCCGAATTCCTTCAGATACTGCCGATGTTTCGCCCGAACCCAGACCAGCATCTGCAGTGTGCCCACGAGCATACACAGGATGCCTGCGATTGTTCGCATCATCGAGATCAATCCTACGCACGCCAGTACCTCAAATATGCAGTTCGGATACGACACGAACTCGAAAAGCAAGCCGAATGGGATCCGCCACCAGCGGCGACCGCGAAACCCGATTGCAAACCGCTCCCGCAAGCCATTTGGGCAAACGAGTGGTGCAGCGCGCATGTTCATATAATGCAGCAGCAGCAGCAGCAGCAGCAGCAGCAGCAGCAGCGTGCAAATACCCCACTGCATCTGCGCAGTTCCTGGACCAGCACCGATGAGGCACGTGCGGGGCAGTCCAGCCGTGCAGGCTGTTGCTAACTTATACGATCGGTACCTTCGCAGCCTCCAGCGATACCCCGTAACTACAAAGTCGCTGACTGCTGCCTCGGTTGGTGCTGCAGGTGACGCGTTGGCGCAGTTGCTCGAACGTCGTCAGCGAACACCGACAGCTGAGCGATTGGGAGACCCTGGTCCACAGAAGCCGTTTAACTGGCGAAGGCTAGTGTTATTCGCAACGTTCATGGGTGTCTTTAGCGCACCAGTTTCTCATTATTGGTACCTTTGGTTAAGCAAACGCTTTCCCGCAACCAATATGGTAGCGGTTAGCAAACGCGTTGCCTGTGATCAGTTGCTTATGGCGCCGACAATCATCCCGGCAACACTGTTTTTTCTCGAGTACGCCGGGCGAAAGTTTGTCGCTGGAGAGAATGGTGACGGCCTGTTGCGACACGCCTTGCAGGTCGCAAGCGAGGAAACCGGTCGTACGCTGCTGGCGAACTGGACGATATGGCCTATAGCGCAAGTTGTGAACTTCCGCTTCGTCCGCAACGAGCTGCAGGTCCTGTTCGCAAATCTGGTCGGTGTGGGATGGAATACCTTTCTCAGCCTTGTCGCTGCCGAAAACCTGCAGAAAAGCCATAAAACATTGACGAAAGCTGATTGAGAAACCGGACGGGCTCGCCTGGTTGGATGCCGTCAATGCATCTTTCCCGCGAGCCGTTCAGGTACGATCATCTGCTGGCAACGCCCTTCCTGCGTTCGTTCGCAGGCATCGTCATCGAGACCTGCTGCTCCTGGTTCGTGCAACAGACTACGCGGTGCGGGATGCCTCGATGGTGGGGTTTATTTAAGGTGTCGGATCGAGGCATCCCCCGAATCTGCGATAGTCATCGGTCTCTGGTCGTGGATGCAATGGCACGGTGCTTTCGTTGCAAACATGACGAAGATCATGGAACCGTTCAGTTCCGAGAACCAGACACAGTCTATGCCACAGGTGGACGGCCTAACGCACCTTGCATCGAATCATTGCGAAACATGGCCTGTGGATGGTTTCCCATGTGTGCCAGGTCGCCCGAAGCATTGCTCAGGTACACGCGTGGCGGAGTAAAACGGCCAATGTCCTGCAACACGGGCGCTCACTATGTGTTTGGAACTCTTCCCATGGCCATGAACACCAGTCTTTGCGGATTCACGCTGTGGCTGCTTCCTCTGTTCCCGCTCATATGTCCGGCCTCGTGACGTCGGTCTCTCCGCTCACTGCAGCTCGGCTTGCAGCGCCCGATGAATGTTCGCAGGAGTGTCCAAGTCCAGATTTGACCAGTTCCGACTGTAGTTCACGCATGTCATGAACTTTTTGGAATTTGCGATTCAAGCCTTGTCTGCCGTTCACAGCTTGTTTGTTTAAAGCATCTGCGCGTGCTTCGTAGCCTTGACATCTGATTGTGGTCAGGTTTTCTCCAATGCCAATCGCAGCTCCTCCTGCTCCTGTTCCAGTTCGTCCGAGGTCTTCTCTATGGCACGTGAACGCTTCCTCCGTCGCTCAACAGATGCGAGTGACGGGTACCGAGGGCCCGCCACGATACAGTCCTCCCTTTTGCGCGCCCGGTGCCGTACGCTGGGATCACGGGCCCTTTCTAAGCGATATCCTCGGGGGTTACGCTGCATGCGTTACGCCCAAGCGTACGTTGGTCCATTCGAGAGCGTCTCTTTCGATTGCTATAGTATCCATGACAGGAACGAGTATCGGAAGGATGATCCAAACGGTAGACCGCCAAAATGAGAACTTTCCATCTACGTGCACCCGACTGATACAAAGCAGAGACGCACTCTCCATTGAAAGCGACCACTGCGACGACTCGAGTCCAAGTCCAGCACTCTTTTCCATGCGAACAGCAAAGACGGTTGCGCCCCTGAGAGCACATTCCAAGAAAGATTTCATGCTGGTGTCGAATGCCGTGTCGTCGTTGGCCACAAAGACAGATCGATTTGTTTCTTGAACTGTACGGATTCTTTCACGTCACAAGTTTCGTGCGCTTGCGGCATGCGCTTGTGAACAAGTCGTCACGAAACGATACCGAGCTCTTCTTCCTCGTCAGCCGAGCGGTGCGTTTCGATGTGCCCATGAGTTGCCGTGAAACAGAAAGATCAAAAACTTGAAAAATGCGTCCTTGGAGCATGATTCTCGTAAGAAAAATGGAAACATTAAAGACGATGCCTACGCTTTGGATACTGGTATTGGTTAGTTTACGAACCCTTGTTTGAGGACGTCGCAAACCGTCGTGAGTCTGGTGACGTAGCGCACGCCAACGGCAAAGCGTCGAAGGAGTCGCTTTCAAAACACGACCGAGAATCCGATAACTATGCATCCATTGGCAAGTGCTTATGACTGCGCTTGGGGCGTGTCGATGTTGTCCATTTGAAACAAGTTCGGAGCGGACTCAACGGACGGGACTAGAGCCAGTCGTTGTGTTCCATGCTATGGGGCCACGAGCTTCGTGCACATCTCGAAACAAACTCGTTGCATAGGGTCCTCGTCTGTGCGTTCGCGCGGGGGCGGCATGGCGGTCCTTGTTTCGACCGATTACAACGAGGCGCTCACCACTGATGAATAGCTCCTCCTTTTGGAGAAACGTTTGGGAACGGCTGCGAGCAGTCGGGACCCGAGCGCCGCGGGGTCCCGTCGAGCGACCGCCCCCGCAGTGCAAGGACTTTCTGGACTGGGACGACCTCACGAGCTACGATAAACAATATTGTGCCCAGTTCCGGTTGGACGTGGTTTCGCACCTCATGAAACAGGTTAGGAAGGGAGAGATCCAGGATCCGCAGCTCCGCCAACAGATTGAAGCACTCTGGAAGGAGATCACTGCTGCCAGGCAACGTTTACGTTCAAAGTGATGCGGCAGGTCCCTCAAGCGCCTTGTGAAACAGGTCAGGAAGGTCAAAGTCCAAGACTTGCAGCTCCACTCAGAGATTCAAGCACCCTGGAACAAGCTCACTCCCGCAAGCCAAGATGGACCTGTAAAGTAGGACCCAAGGCCCCGGTATCATGTTGCGATACCACAGGGAAGCGATCCCCCGGAGCCTCGTCTCCGAGGACGAGCGCGGCATCACTGGGTCCCGTGCCCGCCGTTGCTTCGCGCAGCTGCGTTTCTCTGCTGAAACTGCTGCAGCGTTGCCAATAACTGCTTGACTTGGTCCATATCGGCTCCAGGCGGTGCCGTCGATGGCTGGTTCGCCGCATAGGGTGCATTTCCGGAGAAGCCAGGATGCTGTGCATGCATCACAGGGGCATTCATGCCCGTCGGTGGCAACGAAGCCATGTATCCGGGGTAGGCACGCTGACCGATGGTGCTCCCGGGGCCGTTCGAGGTCGCTTGCGGAGGTGCCGAGGGCTGCGGCTGCGGCTGCGGCTGCGGCGCTCCCGGGTGGCCGTACAGATAGCCTGGCGGCATCGAGGCGTAGGGATAAGGCATGGTGCCCGGGGCCGCCACCATTGGATTCTGGTACCGGTACGCTGCTGCAGCGGTCGGGAGTGAGGGCGCTGGAGGCGTCATTCCAGGGACCACCCCGGACATCATCGATGAGATGTTGCTGGGATCCGCGACGGTCGGTGGCGAAAGCGCCATCGCAGCTGAGGCCACGGTGTACGCAGCGGGCGGCAGAGGCAAGTTAATACGTTCCTCGCGGAAGATAATGGCAAGCGCCTCATGAAAGGGTATGATGGAGCCTCCCCCAGCGTACTCGAATCCTGTTTTTTCATAAGTTCGTATGGAACACGTTCCCTTGGAGGCATCCTTGCTGCTAACCACGATCACGTAACGTACGCATTGTGCGTAGGCCTCTTTGAGCGCAGTGCCCAGGGAATCCGAGAAAATATACGCCACATCAGCTGAAATTCCAAGGCTGCGGATCACGTTCTGCATGGCGTGGGCCATGGATCTCGACGTCGTTCCAATAACCAGAATGCGTACATAGGGTGCACCAGGTCTAGGTGGCGGCCGCGGGCCACCCGTTTCCAGCGCAGCTGCGTCACGCTTTCGCCACCCGCTGCTCTGCTGCAGGGGGCCTCGTTTGCCCTCGACAACGGGACCGGTGCTATGGTGTGCAGCTGCCTCCCTTCCGGTGGCACGGCGGGTGCCATGGTTGCCGCTGCCGCTGTCGTTGCGACGTCCGGACGCAACGCTTAGATCCAGGTGGCGGCCACCGATCAGGCGCCCTTGCTCGTAACGAATCGCGAGTTGCGTCGATTCCGGATTATCATACTGGATGAAGGCATAGGAGCGGAGCAGGAGTGGCTGCTCGATGATGCGGCCGTACTTGGAGAAAATGCTTATCAATTCAACCGGACTTGTAGTCTCTGACGCCAAGTTTCCAATAAACAGGCGTGCGTCGTTGGTGCCTTCTGGATGCCGCCTCGGCAGCGTCTGTATGTATTCAGCCGCCTCTTTCAAACTCAAGGCTGGTCGCAGCTTACTGGAATCATCATCCTCCAGTTTGTTCCATTCCGCTTCAGATTTCTCGGGCACGGCTGGCGTCGGCTGCAGGTCGTGTGCTGTCGAGGCCTCCTCTTGAGCGCCTCCTGTGGAGGGTTCTGCGGACTCCTCTTCGGATGTGGACTGGTTAGGGGCTGGTGCGGCCAGCTCCGTTTGATCGGATGCGACATTCTCGTGGAAGGCGCTTCCTTTGGATCGGCGTGGAATGCTTGCTCCAAATGATACCGGGGACGACTCTGCCGCTCCAGAAACGGCTTCTGTTAGACCTGTCCCGTCCTCGAGAGTGACTGTTGCCTCTGCCACGCTGCCTGACTTTGTCTCCACTGCGTCGGTTTTCTGGCGCTTACGGCGAACGACAGGCGGAAGACTATCGTCATCGAGCAGGTCGTCGTGCTCGATGCTGGCCCTCTCGATGGTGTCATCGTCGTTCAGGGTCACCTCATCGGTATCATCGTCGACGACGGCCGATGGTGGAACTGGTGACCCCCGAACCTGTTCATCCAACGAAGAGTGCATCGAAGGCGTGGTGTCGACGCGATTCCGGAGCTCCTGTGCAGCTTCCGCTGATGAAAAGCCATTTTTGGAGACGGACTCGACAGCGGCGACGGCGGACTGTAATGGGGTTGCCTCAGCATCTTGCGCCTCAGCGCTGCAGTGCCCATGCGGGCTCGTAGCGCTCGGTAGATCTAGGGCAGTTTGCTCCTGCTCCGGTAACCCGAGGCACACTGGCCTGGCTGGTGACTCCTCTGACGACAGCACTGCGGATGTAGCCGCCATCGCATCCCCCTCGCTCTTCCCACATTCCGCAGTCGGCTTCGGGTCAGTCGTATGCTCGGTGCAAGCTGGGCGTTCGTCTCGAGAGCTGGACGCCACCGGGCTGGTTTCGTGGGCACCGACGGACATGGGCCCAACCGGGTCCTCCACCCCGACAGCGGAAGCGCGCTGGGTTTCCGGTGAAGCTGGTTCCTTAGAAATCGGGTCTGAGGCCTCCTGTTGCTCAAAGGTTAGCTCTTCTGGTATGGCGGTAACGTTTTTCACAGTGTCCTCTTGGACTTTAGACTCGCCGTCGTCGTCGTGATGGTGGTGAGCAGCGGGCGCTGGCTCCTCCGCAGCTTGCGCGTCATTGCGCAGACGACGCCCGCGAGGCATAATTAACACGTGGACGGTGCTGCTTCTTCCTCCTAAGTAAAACAATCACCACAGATGCTTAGCGCTTGGCACCCTGGGCTGAAGCGGAAAGCTCTGCGCTTTACCCTCTGAGAACGGGTGACTATGGTTAAACCCCTCGCGCTAGGAGCGCAACACGTCCCGCGTCGGTGATGCACGATACACTGGACGAGGCCGCGCCCTCCGAGGGGGCATGTCACGTCACGCGGAATGCGCGATCATCGATCGCCAAGGGCGCTGGCGCCCTCATGCGCATCGCGATCATCGATCGTGCGTAACGCACCCCGGCGGCGCGCGTGGATGTGCCAGGGCGCACGCGCGCGCCCTGGGATCGCGAATGCCCGCGAGGATCGGTGCAGCGAAAGAGTGTTGTGTATATCCAATCATGGACAAAATTGTTGCGGTTGTGACTAGGGAACCCCAGTGTGATTCCGGCGCGCTGCTCGCTGTAGCTGTCGTCCGGAAAACTTGCTGTGGCACCTGGGCAGAGAGCGAAGGAGAGCCAGAGCAATCGCCGTTCTATAACAGGCAACAGCGATGCGTTGTGCAACTCGCGGGTAGCGCCGGGATAACAACGTGGGAAGCACGTTGATCTGTGCAAGCTTCTGCATACGACATTAGACTCTGACTGAGACTGCGCTATCTATTACAGAGGTCTTCTGGATTTTTCCATAGCGCGCACCTTCATTGCGACCTCTGGACGCAGCTTCGGGTCGCTGCGCGTTTGCGAGCTGGGCGCTGGTCTCTTCGCGCTCAGGTTCCTCTGTGTCGTGATGAAAGAGACTGAACAGGTGTCGGAAGCGCCACACGGCCTAGAAGGAGCCTGGTTAGACTTGACAAACAGAGTGCGCGTCTCCGGGGATACGGTGGAAGCGTGTTCGGCGTTTTCAATTGGTCCACCGCGTTGCCGCTGGCTGCTACAAGCGACAGACCGCGGCGTCAACTGTGCTGCACTGGATCACTACGTACCGCACATATGCGGCACACACACGGAAACAGTGTATCACATTGCACACCATCGATATATAAAGAGGGCAGTTTGTGAGATACCGTTTTTCAGGTTTCACAAAGCTCGGATTCAAGTCTGCACGGCGAAAATCGCATGCACCGAACAGGTGCTTCCTTCGGCGGATACAGACTATCCTTGCCTGGAACCGAACGACTTGATCGTTGGTCCATCGGCGTTAAACCGTGCACCTCGGTACACACGCGCACAAGACAGCACGATAGAGGCCCTGATACTCATCGTCGTCGGGCCCGACGGCACGTCCGACTGGCGCGATGGCAAGCTCGATGATCGGCCGCCGTATCTGACACCCGCTGCAATCGAATCACTGGCGACCCGCTACCCGAACATGCGTCATTTGCTAACGAATTTGCCATCCGTTGATCGCCGGCGAGATGGTGGCCTTGTCCGTAGCCACCGAGCGTTTTTCGCAACTGACTTTGCTGGAGATGGGACACCGTCCGAAAGCCCCCAGAAAACCATAACAGAGTTACTACGAGTGCCTCCAGACTGGCAATTGTACGACGATGCAGAAGGCGTTGTCTGTATCTCCCTCGCACCCATTGAGGGGCTCGATGCGATCCCCAGTTCCGTCTACTTTAAGAGTCACTGATTTGCGGATGCAATGCTTCCGTGCTACACTCTGCGAGTTCGCTGCAACCAGCTTCATTTGCCGATACCTAACATACTTGTAGAGCAGTGTCCACGAAGCGCATAATGCTAACAGCAGCCGGCGCTCGACGGCTACGTGCTATTGGAGCAGTCCGCGCGCCCCGTACGGACACGTACCATGGTAAACAAAGAACGATCGCCAGCGCGGGTGGCGCTCCACGAGGGCGCCCCGGAGCGTTCGCCGCCTGAGCGATCGCACCGGCGACGCGAAGGCGCTCGAAGGGGACGCGTGCGTACCGCCGTGGCCAGATCTGTCCAAGGATGTTCATGATGTGGAAGGGGTTCTGAAGTTCGCACTTCCCGATTGGCGCCTTGGCGGCGTCTCTGGTTCGTTGCGGCAGGCGACGTTCCCGCCCGAGTTTTACCCCTTACCCCACGGGGCTCGGTCAGCAGGCGGGCGTTGACCCGCCTATGCCCAGAATAAAGCACACACCCGTAAATAGACCTCGTAAAACCCATCAGTGTGTGCACTGTGGGACGCTTTTTGCCACAAGTTCTCAACTTTGTCGCCATACGCGGACCGTGCACGAAGGACGGCGCGACTATCGGTGCGAACGCTGCGGTGCGGCTTTTACAACGAAACAGAGTTGTGCGACGCACGTTCACACGGTGCACGAAGGTGCGCGGGACTTTCTATGTTCGCTGTGTGGTTCGCGTTTCACGCAAAAAGGGGCGCTCACCGTTCATATTCGGACCGTGCACGAGGGTCATCGCGATCATCGTTGTGATATATGCGGGAACACGTTCACTGCGAACTCCAGTTTGAAACAGCATATTCGTGTTGTTCACGAGAACGCTCTCGACTGGGTATGCGGTAAGTGCGGCGCCAGGTTCACGAGCCGCAACGGTCTGAAATACCATCTGCGAACGGCGCACAGTGCACATGGCGGGCGAGACTTTCCCTGTCCGCGCGAGGGCTGCGACCGCGTATTCACAAGCAAGGGCGGTCTTTTGAAGCATCTGAAAGCCCAGCACGATCGCGTGAAGGACCAAATCTGTGACCTCTGTGGAGCGGCTTTCGCGCATCGCACTCAGCTGAACCAGCATAGAAAGCGCGTGCACGAACAATCCCAGAGCCGGTCGAGTACCGCCCCAGGCTAGTCGTTCAAAAGGATGATGGACGGCCCCTAGGTTGCAAGTGTCGCAGTACTGCGGCGGAGGCTTCTACGTGCTCTTTTCGGCTTGAGTGCCTTGTAAAATGCAAGTGTTTCCCTGGCATCATTTCGGATTGACGGACCTTTACGTGCGATCAGGGGATTTAGATTTGCGTGCACATCGCGCACAGCTTGGTCCGTTGGAGGCGGACCTGGATCCGAGTCCCATCTCACTGGATTGTAACTGGCGTCTATATTCATATCCACGTGTCTGAACTTGGCAACCACGTTATTGGTTGCTAAGCACCTTCAAGCGTTTGGCGACTTCGAACGGCACCTGGACTGTACGCGGCGGATGTTCACGCAAAGGCGGTCTGTTACTTGTCAGCGGAGGCAGTCCCTATACTCAACGGCAACAGCATTTACACGGTTCGACCAGAGATCAGAGTCGATCGAGGGTTTCGTCCTCTTCATATCGCGGCACATAACAGGAGAATTCGAATTCCTCACCAGCGAAATGAAGCAGGACGAAATCCGTGAGCACGAAACAAAACGTCTGTTGTGGATGGACTAGACGCGCTTCGAGCGCATTCGCTAGAGCGCCCACCGGAATCTTTGCGCTTATCAGGTGATGCACGGCAGCAGCCGAGCTGTTATTATCGTCCGCGTGTCCCGGGGCAGCTGCTGAACCCGGAGGTGCATCGGGGCATTCACCTTCCACATACGCCAGTTTCAGTTCAGTGAATGTCAGACCGACTCGGATGGTTGTCGTCGGCACCGAGAGGCGAAGACGTGCCGTCGATGATGTTTCTCGCTTCACTTCAATGCTTAAATGGGCACAGAGCGGTTCCATTTCTGTTATACTGTATCGATGAAGTGCTCGTAGGCGCTTCGCGGCAGCATGGAGGCGTTCGGGGCAAGACAGCACCACGCCGCGTGCGCCAGCGGTCACCGGCGGCTCGCGTAGCTCCTGTAGGCGAGCTGGTGGCAGCACCTCCACGGCGACGTCCTGGATGATGTCCCATTCAGGTACTGTTGAATCGTGGAGGGCAATTTCCAGGCTAAGCACGGCACCGAGTTTGCGCCGCAAACGCAGCTGCACAAGCTGGCCCCGTAGCGCCGAACGCAGTGCCCCGCTGAGGCTTGTCGGTTCCAGCTGCAGAGCAATGTGATCCTGGGCCTTAGACTCGAGCTGATAGCTGGAAAACCAGGCCACCTTTTCTAACGAGGCCCATACCGCGAGGAGGTCGCCATCGCGCTCTCGATCACGGCCGACCAAACCGTCTCGATGTCCAGTGCTGGATACAATAAACTCGATGCGATCGTCAGCGGGCGGCGTCAGGTGCAGAATTACCTGTCGGTGATACTTGGCGAGTACGTTCGATATGCTCACGAGCTCTGGCACTTTCTCAAGCCGAAGCGCCGCTTTAAAGCGCATGCGTCGACTGAAGTGAGAACCGGGAAAGTGTCGTTCATCCAAGGACGTGACCCGCTGGCAGGCGACTCCGGCGTTGATCACCCCAATTCGCACCTACAACCATACGGTTCCTCGAGTGTCGTTGGCGCCAAAACGTGCACCTCGGGCAGCGTGCGCTGCATTGGAGCACCGCCTGCGATCTTGCGAATGGCGCCGCGGGCGGGCCTGGATGCATGCGTTTCATCAAAACTGCACACAGTACGCTGCTAGGTTTGTCCATGCCTTGAGCATTCTGGGAGCTTGTTTCAGATGTACCGTCTCTACATTCGACGTGCAGCAATGAGCGCGTACATGTTGATGGGCTGGTTCCAGGTTTTCGGTCGAGTTCTAGGGGTAGCTTCTTCGGTTATTTGCCGCAGGATTTCGTCACTTCATCGGAATCGAGATGATTCGTAATGCCATGGAGCAAGCGTCCACGAATGAACCCATAACAATATACAATGTTGGCATACAAGCCTGCAGTATTCTATGTTCCATTCGTGTCGTATGCTCCGATCACGTGTGGTTTACCGTTCGGATCTCTCTGCTTCGGGGCAACGCGAGGGCGCAGCAAATCGTGTCACTGGATCAACGAAGCGAGACGCTCGACATTGTCCGTTGAAGATCTCTTGAGAAGCGCACGCAAAAAGTTCGCTGCATTTGTTGCGTCCAAGAATCGATCCCGATCGAAAAAGAAATCATACTTGCTTCATGATTATCGGCAGCGCGGCACTCGACAGCAGCATGATTTCTCACACGTGAAATGCTCCGAGAGGCTCCGCGTTCTCTTCTGTTTTGCATGGAAGAGAGCCGCGGGCTCGGTCCTCAGTGATTGCAGCTATCGCGTCCAGTGGAGTGTGTCTAGCCGATTTACACCATGTGAACGGAGCTGGTTCGAATTTTCTCGACATGTTCTCTAACCTGGGTTCTCCTTACGGTGCTTGTTTCCTAATGAATAAATTTGCGTTTCACAAATGCTCTACCGAAGGGCAGTGGGTTCGCTTCCGTGTGCAACGCGCAACATTCTTGCCAATGGAACCCTCAGAAGAAGCCCTTGATCCCGGGAGACGGCACCTGGCCCGGAAACCGAGGAGAGCATCGACTGGTACATTCCATCCCCGTGAAGAATATGTACCAGAAGATGAAGGAAGCTTTCATGAATCAAAGGGCGGCGCCCGGTGGAGGCATAGGCGTAGAAATCGTATAACAACACCCGACTAGAGTCCAGTGACACCGCTGCAAAGGGCGCAAAGGGCGTTTGTGGGCGAAGAAGCTGAATTCGGCGATGAAAGCGTATATTGCGACTGCCGCCTAATCTTCAAAAGCGTCCACAACAGCTTGAAGCAGCGAAATCAGAACTTGAGCTCTGCAATCAACATCTGTCGAGTGCTGAAACCGGAGCTGGAGCAACGTGAGAGACTGGCGTTATGAAGCTTCAGGAAAGGGCGAGGGAAAAAGCATTCGGGTCAAAAACCTAGAGAGACTGGTGTTGATGACAGTTCACAACGACCCAGGCATGACTTCTTACGCGCATGTTAGGTAAAAGGACTCGTTCCATTTTATACCGATATCAGGAGAGTCGCGTTGACGTATATTTTGACCGACGAATCGTTGACAGGAACCCAAGATCACCTACGCCGCATCTGCTATCCGCATCTGGGAATGCGCCCATCATTCCGTTCCATACCGTCGGGTTATAGCTCCACCATTAACTTTATTCACACCTGATTGCGGAATGTTGGCAATGAGTGCATCCTGATTGTTGTCTGCATGGGGCTGCTTCGGAACCGTTCCGCGCAGGTTCTTACGCGTGGCGATGTGGACGGAACGCCACCCTCGTTCCGCTCAGAAGCATATCGAGATACGCACGATGAACCAGGAGTCTTACACAGAGCAGGGCTGCAAATGCGCAAGCACTGTATCATGCAGAGATGCCGCACGCTGGCGATGCTGGTTCGAAGGATGACGTTCGCAGATTCGTATTCGATTTGACGCTGATCAGGCTGCGCAAGCATCGTCGTACTTCTGGGGGCAAACAAGCATCACCGGAACATGTATGAATCCGTCTTCGACAGGGCAAATTTTCCCACAATGTGACGAGCAGTGCATGCTTCGAGAGCCAACGCTTGCGTCGGAAAATACGCAAGCTGCTGTTACTGCCGCAAAGAACGCATCCATGATTTCTCGGCCGTTTCACTCCTTGATACTCAGTTTGTAGGCAACGGGGATTTATTCTGTTCAAGAAGGCACACTGGGGTTGCAGCTCACCCACATGCTCTGATCGATACAGCTGTGTTTCTGGGTCGGTGGTAAGCAGCCTCCGACACCGTTGTTGAAATGCATGAGGGCGGGAACGCCCCGTATCGGGGGCTCCGACGGTACACTGCATCCCCGAGAGCATCTTGTACGGTGTAAGGCGGATGGATCTGAACAGGTTGCCTTGGAGGTACAGCGCATGTCGGCAACCGGGACAACAGGCTTTACACTGCTCCAGACGTGGGTGTATTTCGCCAACGTCAGATCACGCTGCCTGCTGGGACCCATGAAAGCATCGTCCATCCAGCGACAGCGTAGATGCCGAACCTATCGAAAAGCGGCTGCTACGGCGCCATCTACGCTACTGCTGACGCTGTTCGAAGAGAAGACGTCCTTGCGGAACCCGAACTCAAGTCGACTGGAAGCGTGTCCGGGCGTAAGTGTGTTCCTTGCATTAGATCGCTGTGCAGCGGGTAACCTTCTGAAGACATAGTGCTGCGTTTCTAATATCCAGGAGGTACCGGGCGCGCTAACCGCGTACTCACAAGACAAAGTTTTTCGGCCTATGATAGCGGCAGTGTGGTGTTTTCACGCACCGGGTTTTCTGGAACTAGAGCCAACAGCGTGTGTGGGTTGTTCAAGAAAGGCTAGTGCTCTATGCACTACCCGGCGGGGAACGCACTGCAGCTCGGCTTTGAGCAGTGTTACTGGAGCCTTGTGGCGCCAAATGCTTGTCCGACGAACAACTCAGCTACTAGTGTATGCGGCGAGTGGGAGCCTGTCCCTGTAGTGGACGCGGTTCCAGCCCAGAGAGCTGACAGCGGAGCGAGACGATCGAGCTATGAGAAGCTTGTTGCCGCTTCTAGCGGTGACGACTCGAGTGTGCGGCTCGTTTGCGGCTCAGTGCCTGGTCACTTGTGCAGTGAACCTCGTTGCTCTATGACTGTGCTTTACTTTGAACCTGCGTTCGGACGCATGACGGATCACTTGCTCTGGATCGAAGAGCAGCCCGATGAAGGCCCTCTAACCGGCAACGCCGTCTTCGTCATGGAAAAGGCCACACATCAAGTGGAAATAGGATGGACGCAGTGGTCCATCAACCTACGACTGCACCCGCACCTGCAGTTCATTGCATGGGAGCCACCCATACGGAGCGCAGCTGGTGCGTCGCTCATGCTGCATCCTCAAAACGGCGGTATGCAGCTCGCGTGGGTGGAGCTGCAGTTTGCTGCTGGAGAAGACTCTGCGCTGGTATATCTGTTGAGTGCTAAGGAGCTTCAACGGCTTCAGTTGACTCGCAGGCACGCTCGCCAATGGGAAATAGCGGATCTGGATTGCATTGAAATGGTCGTTCCGCTGCCGACACCAGTGCATAGAATCCTGCGATGGATTCGGCCTTTTGTCGATTCTGACAAAGCCGTGGTTTTGCTCCATGAAAATCAGATATGCTCACTGCCTTCCGCCCAGCGCATCGACTTGAGTGCTCTAATCCAACCGAAAGGTCGCATTGATGATGTTGTTGCGCTCACCGATGATCGCATGCGGCAGGTGTGGCTCGCTCGCTGTGTCGATGGAACGACACACGCGATAGAGGTCGATGCCTCGTTTCGAGCGAGCCCGCTACCGATGATACCCACGTATCGAATGTGGCCGAGTGGTCGACTAGAGGCCACACGACCGCCAATTCCTCGTGTGTACGTAGTTCGTCAACCACGTTTCCCCGCTGTTGCGATGACGCAGCCAGATGCAGTTACCGCATCGATAGATGGTGATCGGGCGTCGCTCGCTCGACATGCGGACGAAGGGCATCCAGCTGGGGCTGTGAGCCTCAGCTCACCATCACACGGAGCGAGGTCAGAGAGCGGCCCATCGCGTGCCTGCATAGTCACAGAACGCGACTCCGGCGGAATGCGCAGCCCACGATTGTTGCCCGGAAACTTTGTACCGAATCCGCTGACACAATCGCTGTCATCAAAGCGATCGGGGTCAGCGTGCAGCGATGTACTACCGACTGAAGACCCCGCACAGGGACATTCGTCGATGTCGATGTCGATGACCACCGCAGTCGGCGAGTCGGCACCGAATAGAAGCCTCGATAAGCGGTCGACGCATCGTTCTGCAGCGCAACGCATCCTCTATTCTACCGGATCCGGAGTCTGCCTCGTTGAGCTCGATGTTTCAAGCGGCGCTGTAGGCGAGCACATGGTCGTGGACGGAGTAGTTACCGGTCTGTGTTTCTTCGACAGCAGAGAGGCGTTGGTCGTACTGCGCTTGCCGGGCGATCCGCTGATGAACGAGCGCATCGCTTGCTTCCCTGCGCACGTAGTGCATCCTTGGTTGACTGAGGGCCGGCAAGGTGCCTGGCCCTTTGCACCGCCGTGCTCCATGGAACTTATGCTGGACGCAGTTACCGAAATTGCTGAAGATCGTCAGGCGCGCTTGCAGGAGCAACACGAGCAGCTTGAACGCACGCTGCTGGCGATGCGTCCCGCCCCGCAGTACGCTTACCTGCTCGGCAAGAACGAGCACGATCGTGAGCGCCTTGCCACCTTGTTCTCGGTGGGTGTCCGAACAGAGCGTGGCTTCGCAGAAGCGCCGTCATTACGGGTCGCTATACGCCTGTCGAGTGAGATCAGGGATGCGTCTGGGAGTCGACAGGAATTACCATCGCTCTCGGATGCCTGCAGCTTTGTCGTGCACTTGGGTGCGGCATTGGAAGCCATACCTGGTCCTCTTGCTGGCGCTTGCATGGACAACTTGAACGTGGTGCGATGCATCCCGGCCGGAGACTGGGTAAGCGCCACCGAAGAGCGTGTGATGCTGGTACCCTTGCCCGCCAACTCCCATGCACCAGTGCGGCTACTGGTGCTGCTCTGCTTTCATGGCCGTTTGGAGGATCCCGAAGCAGCATCGGCAGCAGTTGCGTCTGCGTCTGGATCGGAGGCTTGGCAGTTAGCTCCGCGAGGTAGCCAAGCCTGGTGGCTCGTGCTGACAGAGCGGCATCTCGATGTATTCGACCTCGTCGAGCGCGTCACGGGTGCGGATTTTGCGGCAGCGCTACCCCTGGCACCATATCATCAAAAGCCGACTTGGTACGGCGACGTACCGATTTTGCCAGCAAGGAAGCGGCCGCGCTGCCAGCGACTTGTTGCTGGTATACCCGGGGCCGTTCTGCGCGAGACGTTCCCGTCGTGCTGGTCAAACGGCGATGATCGAGACACTGCTACGATTTTCGTTGAGACGCTGCTGGGCAGCAGATTCCAAGTACACATACAACGCCAGGACTCGGACCTGGCTCGCTTCCAGGTCCAATTCAGCGGCCCGCTGGACGTGATTTCGTGGGCACGAGTTGCGCTCCGGGAGCGCTGCGACCGACATCGCTCTAGGCGTGAGGCGGCAGAGGCGCTCCCGGTCAGCGGAGGGCGCGCAGCGTCCAGGACGCCTCACCTGGTGGATTCTGAGTTTCTCAAAGCTTGGCTTGGCGCGCGAACAGGGTCGTCAGCGCCTCCATTGTACCCGCGAACGACTGCAATGCCACTTAGACCAACTCCAGCGGAAGAGAGGCATCTGCTCGCCTGGATCCGCGACGGATTAGCGACCTTTTCGGAACGTCTCGAGTCTGCGGAGCGGGTGTACGGCATCATTGCGCCTTAAGCTCTGCTATGGACGAACGTTGAAATCACCGCTTGCTCAGTGTCGCTTGCGGAAACGAACAAACGCAAGATGGAAACGAGGTACCCCGGGCAACATCGCCGCCCGTATTGGAGCTGTTGTCGTCACAGGACGCTAACGTGCTTGCTCCTGTGCGACGAGCTTGACGTGAGTGCGTACACATTCCCGACGTACGCTCGTATCTGCTGGCAGCGTTTGTCTGAACCTTGCGTGGCACCGACCAGGCACTTGGCTTACCTTTTCTCACCAGGCAGTCTTTGTCTGAATTGATGATGTTGAACGGTTGAGCATGCCTCTGGTTGCTCGACTAAGCTTCAGGTGTCCCGAACGACATGCAAGTGCGTATTCCATCGATCGGTACGGTTCCTGTAGACTCCCTGCTGTGTCCTCGCTGTAATGTTCGGGATTCTCCCTATTGATATCTTTCAGTCTGGAGGCGTTGACAACGATTCCAGACTGAGGTTACCGCTTCGACCGTTATCCATCCATGTTTATCCTCTTTCCGTACAAATTTTGGTCTTCTCTGTGCGATGATTTCTTCTTTTTTTGGTTTTTACTTGCCTGGATAGAATGGATTTGATCGCTGCGCATCATATCCGTTTGTGCATCCTCGGTGTTCAGACACATGCGATGCACAGCGGCATAGATATTCGCTTTTCTCTATCGATCTATATATCTGCAATTTTCTGAGTACTTTCCGGTCATCTTCCCCCTCGCGAGCACGCCAACAGATCAAAGCGCGTCTTCCCGCGCCTTATCGTACAAGAGCAGAGAACCCACACATCTGTTCTGGACTGCTCAAAGTAGACAAAAACTTGTCATACACTTTCAGTGCCGTGGGTGCGAAAGACTCGTCCATGGATCTCTCTGCATGCAGCTGACATACGACATCACAGAAGACGCTTTCGATTGCACGATACCCGGGAGCATGTGCTGATCCCAAGCGCACCTCGAAGGTCAACCGCTGCTGCATGCTCCCTGACCAATTTTGAGTGACGGAAAATAACGTTGTTATCGAGCATGACAGAAAAACATCGCATGGAACTAGCGCAAAGCACTTCAACGGAGAATGACACACATAGAACGATTCTATTCGTTCGGCGATCAACATGCGATCACGAAATGGATGGGCGCCTAGTACGAATCTTGTCGCCGTGCTCGCTTGGGTCGTGCTCTCGGCCAGCAGTTTGCGTTTCTACGAGTGCACAAACAATTTCTCTGATTTTTCTCCACTGAATAATCGTCCAGTGAAACAGACATCCGTCCCAGATGAAGCAAGATTCTGTAAGAATCAGCACAGAATCAGTTGTGCGCGAGACCCGACGCGTGAGCGTCTCCGATCGAAGCGTACCGCTTTTGCCTCGCTCATTGCTGTCCGCATGAAGGGTATGAGAACCTCATCTCCTGAGGGTACTCTAACCATTTATCTCAGAGAGTATGAAGAATGCATATATTGACGAGGAGGTACGCTTGGAAGTCGAATCTGGTGCATTCTGTTTTGCGTATAGTACGCACCGTATAAAGACGAGAAGTTGTTCATTCATTTGCTGACCGTAGAGTAACTGACCTGGACAAGTAGGGTCGTTTTCGGCAAGCCACCAGTGACAGTACCCACTCGCTCAGCGATACGCTTCTTCTGATGAATATCTGCGAGCAAAACACTCAAACTCAACATGCTCGTGCTGCCACCGGTCATCCAGAATGCACGGCGCTGCGTGTCATGCACCGTATACAGCGTGCACTGGATTGCGGCAACGTTTCGCGATCCACTCAAGTATAACTCCTCAAGTTTATGACTTGTTCTGGTTGGATTCACTGCCTTCCAGCACGGACGGCATGCGATACAACCGCAACGACTGTCGATGCGCTTCTTTTGTCAAGATCGCCCGCTCCCCATCCGCGAGTAAACTGAAACATACTTGGACTAAATGGTTCATGATTCCCCACATATTCCGCGTATTCACGCCAATCTGCTTCGCAAATTCGTTCGGCTTGTATGCCTGCATACCCAGGATCACGTGATTGCGTGTATCACGAGGGTTGACCCGCGACACAAAGCCCAGTTTCAGCTGATCCGCGCCAGCTATCAGCGCTAACACTGTCCAGCGAACGAGTTTGGCGGTGTGATTGCGCAGCTCCGTCGCCAAAACACTGCCACGCTGGGCGTCGAGACGTGTACGCCAGTCGCCCACACCTCCCCCGGCAGTGGCACCAGCAGCGCCTACAGCACTTCCAGAGCTGCCGCCAGCGCGTACATTCGTGTCCGGTATTTCGTTGAGCGCGCGCAAAAGGATCAAGGCCGGAGCAGTGGATTCTCCCGCAAACGCTGGTCCAGTAGTTTCCAGTGCTGCATCAACTTCACAGCGCGCAATCAGTTCCAGCTCATCCGACAGCTCCCATCGGCGATAGCGGTAACCCACGAGAACCGCATCCGTCGCACTGTCGGTGAAAGGGCTCTCGCCAGCAAACCGATACGGCTCAAGGTCAGCGCGGAGCACGCTCTGAGAAAAGTTGTGATTGATACGTGCCGCTTCCAGAGCGTTGCTTTGCGCCTGCTGAAGTGCAAACAGCATGTTGGCCCCAGCAAAGGCCAGTCCAGAGCGCTGACTGTTATCCGTAATGGTCTCGAACATGGTAAGCGTCTCTACCTGGCTATCTGGACGCCTGTCGATAACCAGCACGTTACCGTGCCGTTCGACGACCACATCCCATGGATAGCTCGATTTCGGAGCCGCCATCAGCAGTGCCAGCAGCGGCCCTGTGGTGAGCACGCGTCGTTTCTCCGTGGGCGCGTCAGCTGCTCCATGATCGCTGTGCTCTAAATCGCTCCGATAGGACTGCATACGTGGATCTTCATTGACAGTTGGATAGAGTCGCTTGCGCTGCTCGAAGGATGCCAGCGGCCGAGGTTGCTTGCACGAAATACGATCACAGCTCTTGTCGTAGTAGCTAACTGCTCCGCGTTCACAGAGCATTTCCGCTTCCGGGATATCTTGTCCGAGTTCCATCTTGATCAGCTTCGCAAAGGGTATTTCAACCAGCAGCGTCCACTGAGAGGTGCCCTCTAGTGTCAGCAGCGGTACTGCGTCCACAAATGGACTCAGCAAGCTTTCGTCGCGGTTGCTTGCCTGGGCGTTTCCGGTACGTGCGAGCTGGGTCGTCGGTGCGCCGGCTGCTCCGAGGAGCGGCGTCGTTGCACTGGTTTGCTTGCCCGCGCCAAAAGCACCCGACACACTCGAGCCGGCAGCCGTTGATGCCACCGCTCCACCGCGTGCAAGCGCTGCTGCTGTTGTACGTCTCGCCGGGGCACCGCCCCGAGCAGCCCCAGCACCACCTCCATAGCCAGAACGCTGCTGCTCTCGGTAGGCGCCATAACCCGCTTGAGCTGCACGCTCTCGACCGGATCCTTCGACAAGCGTGAAGCCCTCGTTCCCTGCAGATCGGCTTCCAGCGCCCGTGAACCGGGTTGTAGCCAGTGCGGACTCTTCGTCGCCGAGGCCGTTCGTTAGCCCCGTCGACGCTCGACCGCGCTCGCGAGGCGTTGCCTTCTGGTGACGTCGACCCCGTCTTCCTAGCTCATCCTCTCTTGTATCCTCTTCTGCAGCCCATACGCTTTGGGCATCATTGCCGATCTGGGACGCTGCTGCTGCTCCCGCAAAGTCCGCTACCCGTCCGAGTCGCTCCAGCCGAGTGAACGGGGCGTACGGCACGTGGCGATAGCGATCGGGCCCCAAGTCCAGTGGTGGTCCCCAGCCCTCGGGATTTTCATAGAAACTGAGTCGTTCATAGAGCGCACCAGAGGGCATAGCTGGTGTCAAACGAATGAAGCTGATTCTTGGCAGACAAGGGCGCTCACTGATACCCGACTGCAAACATGAAGGACGCAGCAGCGGCGCCGCTGCATCCGTAGGCTCTGATCGCTTCCGTTCACGAATAAGCAGACTGCATTGCTTTAACGACTGACTTTTTTTAACGACAGCTCTGGTATCCTGGATGAACTGAGGTTGCTTTTTAGTTCATCGGTAACATCGGCGTATGCGGTAGAAAGCTGGATAGGTTCATCTATCTTGGACCGGAAAAGCCGATTTGGGTGTAGGGTACGCGGAACCGTTTGCAGAAGAACTGGGTTTGCACTCTTTGCCCTTCATTAGTGATATTCACGTTTTCCTAAGCGACCAAGGGCGCTTTGCGTTACACCCCGCGAAGACGTCATCGAAGACAAGAGGCGGGGCACGTGTGCACCGAGACAACGCGGCAGCGAACGGTAACCTTCGAAGCAGTCGCGGTGCTTTCGACACCGTACGAGTTATTGAATGGAGGCGCAAGAGCGTTCTGTCGATGACGCAAAGGACACCTGTATTGGACAGAAACTTTCGAAACGAAGACCTGTTGGCTGCAGCGTGGATTGCGCGTTGGGCTTCAGCGCTCCGAGCGGACCGCCTACGGTACCGCTCCGCCGGGTGCTCCTGCCAGCGTCTCGCGTTAGAACGCCTCCATGTCGTGAGGCGTCCCGTTCAGGAACAGTGTGCTCCACGAGAAACGTTCCCGGAATCGCCCGTATTGCTTGCAAGTCCAGAGGAGCGTTGCGAGCACGAAAAATTGGTACACAGCGAGCTGTGATCGTACTTCGGCACGCACAGCGACCACCGTTACTTTGGGGAAAACCGTCGCCAGCACTAGTCTTTGGTCTGGGAACCCTGCTTGCTGCTGCACTGGTCTGGAACCGTCTGGCGAACCTAACACTGGTGGAAGGTACACGAGCGCGTGCCGATCTCGTAGGTGCGATTGCAAGCAGTGCGCTCCTGTTGTATGCGGTGAGTGCCTGGCAAATAGAGGTTCGCAGCACAGCTCCGGTACGCATTCGGGACGGGCACCATCTAGAGCAGACAGAGACTATTGCCTTGGGAGGCGAACTTGAAACCGCCTTGGCATGGCTCATTGATACGGTGTTTGGGGCGTGCGCGAATGTCACGACTGCGGTCTGGCTGACAGGTGATAATACCGGCCGCATCGTTGCCCAGCGGGGCATGGTCAAGGCAGCACTTGGATCCCAGGTTGATCTAAGGCGTTTTGAAGAGCTGGGCGTATTGAACCTCCGCGACCCGGTGAGCTCAAGGTACTTTGCGGACCTGAAAACCGTCCCACGAAGCATCGAGTGGCAACAACTGCTACCAGCGGATACACAGTCCGCCTGGCTGGGTACCTTTAAGGCGCCACTCCAGCGTGATGGATCGCAACCTGCCCAGTCTTGTTTTCTGCTGATCCTTGGTTGCAACAAGATACGAGGTTTCTTGGATAAGGACCTGGAGATGTTGGCATGCTTCCAGCAGCAGTGGATGCCATGATGCAGCAGAGCGAAGGACGACATTCGTCGTCGACGGGAGCAGCGGCCGGTCGCCGTGTTCCGCATGACCAGGATTTGCGTGGGAGTCCCAATGCTGTGGAGAGGAGAGCTGCCGAACTCCTTCGGGCTCGAGTGGCTGCATGCGACAGCGTCTCCTACAATCTAAAGGAGATATCTGTGAACGCCCGACAACTACGCGAACTTAACATCAATCAATGCACTACCTTCCGTTTGGTATCGTACCGCTCGAGGGCATGCTGCGTGGACCATGCGCGCTCTCCCTGGTATTTCTACGGCGAGTGTTGCGCTGGATATCCGAAGAGCTGCAGGCGCGTTCATCGGACAACTTAACTGTAGTTTCGCTGCCGTCAGCCAACGAGCGCCTTCCTCGCATATTCAGGATAATGAAGCTAACCTAGGGACAGCGCTGGCATACTCATATCGCCATCGTGGCGTTCGCGTGTGCCGCGCGCTCAACACCGGTGTCAGGTGATCGTAGAGCATTGAACAGCTCGCGATGTTCCCGCCTTGGGATCTTGTTCAGAACCTTTTCATGGATATATAGCCTCAAAATTCGAAGTAAAGCAATAGGGGTTTATGGATGCAAACGAGGTTTTAGGATTCGCGGTTGTCGTTTTCCAATGCCTGCTTCGACGCGCTGCCGCTGGGACCCTGTACGCTACGAGAATCAAGATGATTCGCAAAGAAATCAAAAAAGGATCTCGTGAAATAACCATAACCGACACCCACTGCATACGTCCTAGCGTCGACGCTTCTCTTTTGTTTACGTGTAGCGCGCTCAAATAACACATTCTTCAAGTCTTCGATCTTTCAAGGCAATTCGTAGGCGCTGCGATTCACGCCGCTTGATGAACGAGGGAACAGAACTCGAAGTCATGTCTTGGCTAATTTTGCACCTGCTCATGCCGAAACTTCATTGAACCGCTCACCTAAAATAATCATCTCTGCTCGAAAGAAAAACCATCGTCTTTGGGCGAACAACGACGAACCGGCGTTCCCTAACAGCCTCAGCATGATACCCCTCACGGGATGTGCGCCTTGAGGCACCCGCATCCTCTGTTTGCACGTAAAGGGTCTCGGACTAGGCCTTGAGTCGGTGCAGTGATGCTTTCCAGTGGAGCGTGCGACATCCCGGTACAAGAAGCGAGCCGAGGCAGGTCGAAATCGCTCGCTTTGATCCCCATTCTCGATTTTCCTTCTGGTACGTGTGCGGCATCATGGATAACCTCGGGTGCCACAAATCTTCTGTGCTATGGAGCAGCATGCGCTAGTGTGTGCGGCGGAGCGCTTTCTCGCCAAGGATATCAACCAGACCAGACCCGTGATCGTAGAATACGGCATCGAGCGCGGAAAAGGAGCAGGGCATCGAGAGTAGCGTTCTGTTCAGGTCATGCGTATGTACAGCACAGAGAGTCAAGCGGTCACGTGCCACAATACGAATCCCAGTTGAGGAGTCATTGGAGAGGGTATGGGCATAGGTGTCACCTGTCGAGTGTCACCTTGGCGAAATGCGCACCGAGGCTGCATACAAGTACGATGCAACTGGCGAGCGAAGCGTCGATCACCACGACTGTCTATATATGGAATGCGTCGACAACAGCTGGCAGCCAAGAAATCGGGACTTGAACAATGCCATCAGCATGCTTCGACCACTGACAACGAAGCTGGAGGAGCGGCGAGACTGGCGTCCTTGAAGCCGGCGATAAGAGACAGAAAACCGGTCCAGTTGCGGAAAACGCTCGCAAATTCTCGTGGCGGTGATCGTGAGAAGAGGCCCGAAAAATAATTATATCGTACACTCGACTAACAAGGCCCGCTTCTTTTCATGCCGACGTGGGTGTAAACCCGTCGACGCAGCCGGCCCCGTCATCCGACCAGATACTGCAAGGACACATGTCAGAATACGGTGCACTCGTACCAGCAGTTCGGTGTGGCGCTCACCACCATCGGATCATGCCGTACGCAAGCAATCGATCAATACAAGACGCCCGAGAAGACAGTTCATCGACAACTCGATCACCGCTATGTCGGATAAACCCGCCTTTTTACCGTCGCCAATGCTTCGATTCGTCTGAGAAGCATGATCGATTCTGTCGGAATGAGCGTCGAATGAAAACGGCGGACTGCGTTCTGGAACCGCAGCGAACTCGGATACGAGATCCCCACCCCGGGAACAGCTCTTTAGGGACAGAGACTCCTGGGCCTGTAGACAAGCGGAACAAACGTCGCGGTCAAGATGCACGCGTACGAATCTCGGTATCGTCGAATCCCGAACCCGACATGACACCGCAACGCCTACCCGATCCGGAGCCGGAGAGAGTTCATGCTGTGGATATACTCAAGTCGAGTTGGCCTCGTTAAGCGTTTCACCGGAACGCGACACAATGCCCAGATGTAGCGACACGATCAGCAATGATAGCACCAACATTGCGTCCGCTGGAGCATCATAGCATTCGTTTGCTATCCGATACGAACGTCGATTCAGTACAAGCGGGCATGCCAGCCCAGACTAGGAAGTTCCCAGTCCGAAAGGCGTCGTCATGCAGTGCTGGATTCCATTTTACGACGATTGCGGTGAGTATCTGTACCGCTGCTGCTGCGGCTGGTGGCGGTGGTGGCGGTGGCGGCGGCGGCGGTGATATCCGTCCAGACCGCCGCGTAACCCAGCCAGCAAGCAGCCGTGAACATGCAACAGGGCCACAACACCCAGTTCTGCACACCCTCGCCTACAGACTCATTCGAAAGATGGTGAATAAAGAATACTGGTAGTGTATATCTTCATTGCAACCGCTCGAGCGTGGTGCAAGACACAGTTCTAATCATCGTCTGTAAGCAGTAGGTGGATGACGTCTGCGGCATCGGCAGCGATGATAGCGCGGGTTGCATCCCCGCGGCCTCGCTTGCCGTTTTGCGTTTCATGCGCACTAACATGAATTCGCGTGCTCGATGACGCTTCTTGCAAGGCATGAACGCATGCCCGATGACAAGCGCCCACCTGAACTTGACTGCTAGAAAGCAAAGCAGGTGCAGTTTCCTAATCGTTCCAGCAGAAGCACCACCGCGTAGGCTCTTCCCATTTTGTTTTTGGTGAACCGCCGTTTCGGAACTTGCCGCGAGACTTCCTGCGCCCGTCAAGGGCGTGCTCCGATATCGTACGCGCATCGCTTGCGAGCAAGACGGTGCGATTCGTCGTACTCGATCGCTGTTGCTGGTGGCAGCGTTAGCGCTTGTCTCGCGCCCCGAGTATCAGCGCTCAGCCGCTGATGATGTCCATCGCGTTTCGTGCCTGCCCGTGCGCTTGCTACCCAAGGGGCTGCTAGCTCGCGGGTCCATGTTGCGGTGAAGCGGTCGTCTGAAGCACAAGATGCAGTCGTCAGGCGTTCCTGACGGTCGCGCACGCGCTCCGACCCAGAGAGCTCTCTCCTCCGAGCATCGCCGAGCAGGACGCCAATTCGCTCTCCCGGACCGAGGTTCATCAACGAGTCCAGTACCGGTAGACGTCATCGGTTTTGAAACAGAAGAGGACTCCAACCGACTTCGAGCACTTCTCTGTCCCCAGATGGACGCTGGACACAAATACACGCGCTTAGATTCGATCCAATGGTACAGGAGCCTGCGCAGCATCGTCGCCCTCTTCGACGCACCGTTGTACGTACTCCTCGAACGATTCAAAATCATACCGAAACTGACCTAATTTGGCACGCGAACGTGAAGTATCGAAACGCTTTCCCGCTGGTCGAGCACTGCCACCACCACGAACGGCTTCCGATTCTGCGGTAAAGACAGGCATTGGGCTCTTTGCGTACATCGGATGTCGTCGAGCGACCTCGCAGATCTCACGTCGCGAGAGCGGCTTTGCATCGGCAACGACAAGCGTCTCGCGCTCGAGACCCGGTTGCTCCAGTGCCGCTACAACCGCACGTGCCGCGTCATGGTAGCTTACGAGACTGATGAGCCCGTCGGGTGGACCACCAGTGACGGTTCCCCGACTAAGCCAGAAGCGGTGCGGGCCGCGTTCCAACGTGTACAGGCCGGCCAATCGAAGCACCGTACCGCCGGCATCGCGTACGACTTGTTCACACGCCAGAAGTTTCAGTGCCGACGGTGACGCGCCCGGCTCCGTCGGGTCCGTCACCACAGGCGAGTCTTCGCGAAGCACCGTCGGCGTCAAAGGCTCGCGGTACACGCCGATGGAAGAGGTGAAAACAAACGCAGCCGTTTCGGTGTCTGGTGTGCGTGCGACCCAGTATCGCTCCACTGCGCGACGAACCGCGGCAACATAGTCCTCGTTTTGCGACGGTGGTGCACAGAAGACGACGCGACGAAAGCGATCGAGACCGTAAGTTGCGGCATCCGCAAGCCGCAGTTCCAGAAACGGCAGGGTCGCACGCAGGACGCCGTGCGACGCAGGTGTGCGGCTCTCAGCCACAATTCGGGACGACGGGTATTTTTCGTGCCACATCGCAGCCACCGCACGACCAAGCACTCCTGGTCCGACGATCAGTAGCTCGTTCGGGTCCGCGGGTGGCCTGCTGGCGGACTCGTTGCCAGCGAGCATCCTGGTCGTTGCGCCGCCTCTCAAATGGACACCGTTTCGAACACTGCTCCCGTTCCGATTGCGAACGCTTTCACAAGCTGGTCTAGAGTGGCGTCCACGTGCCTCTGGTCCTAGCCGCCAAAGCGCAAGCGCTACGAACATGAGTCGTTTAGGCAACGGGATGACGTGTTCTACAGTAGGTTTTTCGCTGCGCTGGAAACGCGACGTCGTACGCGATCACAAAGCGGCAGCGACGTCTAGTGTGCAGTAATGTGTAGGTAGATTCTAAAATATTCAGTATTGTCCAGTTGCTTTGTACAGCATCACGAAGATCGCGTCGATCCACATCTCCGAGAATGTTGGCGTCTCTGTGCGATACCCGTATGCACAGTCTGTTTCGTGCGGTACGCCTGGGGCGTACCCAGCATACGCTGCTGACACCACCAGCTACGGATGTCGTGTGCATGCATCGAACAGTGCGTGTTCGGAGATTGCAGGACAAGTTGTAGCTGCCGGAGCCGGGTCCATAAGCGCTGGATCGGGACAACTCGGGGAATGCACCGAGTTGGGAGCCATCATAAGCGGTGCACACGTTGGATAGATTTGTCGCTGTCGCGCGTTTCACGAAGCGAATCTCGACAGCTAATCACCTGGACGGGTCGTGTGCACGTGAAGATCGCGGAGTCAGCGTGTGTGTCGACGCGCAGAATTCGTTGGGTTCTGGCGTCGACAGATGCCCTCGACTGTGCAGCGCGCCGTGCTTGTTCACCATGGTGCCGGTCCAACAGACCCAAAGTTTGAAACTTGCCTGCCGTGTTAGGTGTCAGGGGTCCATCGCGAGCTTCCAAAAAATATTTCGGAAAGCGTTCTATTCTTGCGCTGCAGCGGTGCCAGCGGCCTTGCCATGCGTCTGGTGCTTGCCGAACCGCACGCGAGTCGTCATGATCAGACACAATGCATATCGTACTCGCTTGCGCTGTCGCAGAGCGAGCGCAATCCTTGTAGCACGCTGGTGTCGTTGCTCTCTCGGACAGACGGCACGCGGAGAATGCACTGATGCAGACGAGCCACCGCAGGCATGGCGTTCGCCTACTGCGCTTGGCCCACGGCCGGTGAATCCCGCGCTGGACTTTTGGCATCACATCGGCTATCACAAGCTGATCCCGCCTGCGCTCGAGGTCGTATACTGAACAAATATCCGTCGGCATGTGCCGTACGCTTTGGTGAGCTCGGAAATACATGGCGCTCGGGCGCAGGGATCGGTTCGATGATGAAGCCACGAGCAAGCATTTCGTTCTCCGCCGTAATTCGCTGGCGGCGCAGCGCCTCATCAGCACTGAGATCGTCATCTGGATACAGTTTCTCAGCGGCACACACGTGCCAATCTATGGGTGCTCGTAGCACGTCTGGATCGCCTTCGCGATTGAAGGTTCCCACAGTCTTAACATCTTGTGGTAACCGACCACGTTTGGGTATCCATAAGAAATGACTGCCTTCATAATAGCAGCACTCCAGGGCGCGCTGAAAATCGATCGTTTCAAAAGTCAGGTGGGGATACTTGGCCTCGTCCATACACATGACCGATTCATGAGCATCCTGTGCATCCTCGAAAAAAGCGATCGCCGGTCCGAACGGAGTATCGACCGCGATCAATTCGTATATGGGAAACTCCTCATCAGACCGGATATACGATAGCACGGAAACTTCCTCGACATCCGTGAACGAGACGCGGACAGGATCACTTACCGGTTCGTGGACACCCTTTGCATTGCCGATTCCGTCGTCAGGAGTCCATCGCTCCTCGTCCACAGGCGGCCGGCTGGACGTGCGCTCATCCAAATCTCGAGGTAGCAAAGCGAGTGGCGAGCGCTCTGCCCCATGCTCTGCAGGTACGAGGTGTCTCGGCTCCGGTGCTACGACTGGAAACGATGACGCTGTGGCGCTTCCAGTCGATCGAGCTCGGCCAGCATCCCCTGATCCCGTACTGCTCGGTTCCGCGGATGTGTCGCTGTCAGCAGTCGCACGACAGCCACCTGTACCGCGTTCCACTGACGCGGGTACAGAGCCGGCCTGCGAGCGCAGCGGATCGCACGATCTATGACAAGGCGTCATCGGGCCACTGGTGCCACCGAGAAAGGAACTGGAGCGGGATCCTACCCCTGGCGTCGCCCCCGATGTCCAGTTCCTCGTCATTTTGGTCTCATTGAGCCAAAAAGGATTCCACTCAGCTAACTCGCGTTCCCATGCAGCAACAGCTGACCGTTTCACAGCGTCAAGAACAAAAGTGGGCGGTGATTCAAAAGTGGGTAGGCCGACTTGCTCCCAAATGAAATCCCAGAGGCGCTCGAGCCACCGCAGAGGACTTCCACGACCACTGATCCCGATGTCACGGTCCATTGGTGGCCCTGGAAGGCAGTCCGCTGACAACGACGGTGCTCCGGATGTCGCATCATACTCTGACACGACGGACTGCTGGCTGTCGTCCGCCCAGGGCCCAAAGCCAAGAAGCCCCCAGAGACCACCGCCCCCGCCTAACCCTCGTTTTCGGCGCCAGCGTTGGAGCATTATCTTGTTGATCTCGTTCAGACGCAACCGGAAATCGTCTTCCGAGCTTGAAAAACTCGCTGGAAGAACCGCGGGGCTCGGGGGCCGCCGCCCTCCAATCGCCACCGTCGACCCGCCTAGCACAGGCTGCTTCGACAGGCTCTCGTTCAATTTCACCAGTTCTCCAAAAAGCTCCCGCCAACGCAAGCGCTCTGCCTCCTCCGTTTCCACCGCATTCTCTGAGGCGCCAGTCCCGACCGCTAGCGCAGCTCGCGGCAAGCAGCGAACGCGAGGTATCCCCGGTCGCTCACGCACCAACAACGTAGACGGTGTCACAACACGTCCATTCGAGCAGCCCGCGCTCAGCGTTGTTGAACTCGGCGATACATAGCCAACACTGAGGCCAGAATCAACCGAGCTCGACTCATGAGAACGCCACCACTGGCTCCGACCTGGAGGCGGCGAAGGCGTTTCCGTAACAGCTGTAGTGCGCTGCGGTGGACGCTTCCACGCATACGGCCAAACAGACGCCTGTAGTGCGCGCTGCCGCCCGGGCTGTGTTGCGGCAAGTGCGTTCGTTGCCTCCGATCGAGCCTGTGCGGGCTTCAGCCAAAACATATGCGTCGTGTTAGAAGGAGCCGTGCCCAGGCCTATAGTCCAATGAAAGACGACGAGTAGCGCGCACTGTTCAAGCGCGTGCGCGCCATCGACGTATCGAGCGCGCCCGGCGGGATTTGGAAATGGGTGCGCAGCGCGCCGAGACGTTGAGATCGCGCCTTCGGCATCATGGACGCGCACGTCGGTTGCTCGCCGCAAATTGCCACGCACGCGATGGGGTCTAGAAGAAACTGTAATAATTTGTAGATTTATGGATGGTATGGATAAGAGGGGACACAGTGCTTGGACGCGCGATCGCCGCAGCTGGGACACGAATGGACACAAGCAGGGCGCTGATGCTCGGTGCTCCCGGAGCGCGCTGCACGCATCACAGAGGCTTCATTCGTTCTCCTGTGTGTGATGTCTTCTCGTCGACGAATCCGTTCTCATCTTCATGCTGGCGATCGTTGTTCGAGCCATGGATGATGGCACATCTCGCCTTGCGAGAGCCGCCCGGGTACAGCGCAAAGATGGAGGGTATCATGAAACGTTCGGGGTTCATGTTCATATGGTTGTTCGGGTTCGCGAGGTACTTGATTGCGCCGTATTCGTAAACAACCGAGTCGCCCCTGAATAAAATAACGTTGAAGCGGTATTCAGCATAATTTTCATGGAGGGCATGCACTCGCTCGTTTCTCCTCGACGTTTCCCCCGTGCCAAGCATTAGGCGTCTGTTGCAGGTAACGTTGAAAAGCTCCTCCGGAACCTCGACCGTTTTCAATTCCATAACGTAATCGTACATCTCTTTCAATAAATGGATTATTCCTGAAGAAGCCTTGCAAACACTCAAGGAGCTGGACGCGACACGGTTTCTGATAGCCTCTGGCAGCTTTTCCTCATAGGGATCCTTGATATTCCATAGAAGAAAGGCTTTCACCTCTATCTCGTCGATCTGCAATCTTTCGGCTAGCTTCTGACGTCGGACCTCCGGCTTTCGCTTCTTTTCTTCTCCTGTTCCTTTTTACTCGGTTGTGAATTTCGTGTTGTTCTGGCAGCCGGTGATACCGGCCCAGCAAGATCCTCGACTTCCTTCTGCATAATGCTATGTTTTTGGAAGAAACACACTTTGAACGCATCTGCTATAAACCGTGAAAAATCTCTTGAATCCACTTACTTGACGCTTGAAGCACAACTGAAATGAAAGACTGTATTTTGTCACAACTTTAACCGAAATATATCTTGTACGGTAGAACGAAACGCTATTCGTTAGAAGCGCGTTCCTCCTCAACGGCGAGATGCGCGTCGTTGCTCTCGGCTGCGGAATATGGAGGTGCGCGACCCGACCCCAATATATAGAACAAAGAGCAGAAACTAACCACTAACTTGCAACGACGTTACGATTTCTTTCCCTCTCTATGATAAACATGAAAAGAGGGTAGGGCTTTTCGTGCTGTCGAACGTTCGCCTTCTAGGCCGAGGTTCCCGCGGGCCGGACGAGTCTGCCGTGCAATCGCTCCGTATTCCTCTGCAGTGGCAGGTGCTGTGGTGAGATCTGAGCAACTCTTCTGCAGCGCAGGTAATTCTGGGACTCGGAGCGGGTAGCATGCGTCTGGGCGTTGCGCTTGTCCTAGTGGACATCTAGTGTGTCGCTTCGCGCTGTCGCAGGTAGTACGTTTGTCTGTGCAGATCGCAGGCTCCCAGCATGATAACTAGCCCTGATTCCGTGTCAGATGGAGCATCCCTCGATCCGACGCCCTATGCGGTTTGGCAAAGCCGTTCCAGCGTGGTGCTGCATCCCTACCAACGATATAGGCGCTTTGGCTGGAACTCAAAGCAGGCACTCGGCATAAGATAGAGCCTAGGAAAACGCCAGCACATCCGAGAGGAAGTAAAACGAACGGAGCCTGGAAACAGAGCGTGGAATCATGGATACGTCAACGCGCGCTATTCTCAAGGGCATCGGTCACGGAACGCTGGCCTCTGTGTCAACGACTCGCTCGAAACCGAATTCCGTTACGTCTCGCCTCTTCGTATGCGTGCGCTTTGGCAGAGACTCGCACGAGCGCCGAGAGAGTTGTGGCTCATCTACTTGTTGAAACTACTCTCTTCCTATGCATACTTCAGTCTCTCGTTAGCGCTCGTCCTCTACCTGTCAGAGACGCTCGGCTACGATGACGAAACTGCAGGTCTACTGTACGGGCTCTACGGGGTCGTTGCCAGCGCGTACGGCCTTGCGAGTGGCTGGCTCATCGATCGTCTGGGAGCACGTCGATCGTTGCTTTTCGGTGCAGCGCTGGGCACGCTTGGGCGCACTGCTTTGGCGGTGCTTTCGCAACGCCTCGTGGTGACAACGCTGCTGGTCACGGTGCTTCCGTTCGCCGAGTGTCTTGGGGTGCCTGTGCTAACAATATGCATCAAGCGGTATACGAGTGGCAAAGACGGTACTCGCACAGTGGCGTACTCGTTGTTCTACACGGTCATGAACGTTGCAGCGCTCTTGGCCGGGCCTGCCGTGGACCTCTGCCACCGATTCTGGGACTTGCGCGCCCTCTTCTGGACCTGTGCGCTCGCCAGCGCGGCCATGTTCGGTATCATCCTCCTGGGCGTCCGTGAAATCGAAGTCGACGCAGAAGGCCGAACTCGTGATTTTGTTTCACCGTTTGCGGGAGAGACGGTTTTGGAATCCCTGCGGCGCCTGGCCGTGGACCAGCGCTTCTGGCGCCTGCTCGTTTTCACGACGCTCATTGTGGGTGTTCGACTCATTTTCCGGCACCTGGACGCAACATTACCCAAGTATATGACTCGAGTGTTCGGTGAAAGTGCCCCATTCGGACTATTCTATGCAATTAATCCATTCATGATCATCACTCTGGTGCCGGTTCTTGGCGTTTACACCAGTCATATCGATCATTTCCAGATGATCCTATACGGATCATTTCTTTCGGGATTCTCGGTGTTTTGGATGATGCTCGGTGATCGGTACTGGACGGTGGCTTTGTTCATCATGACGCTGTCTCTGGGCGAAGCGGTGTACTCGCCGCGGGTGTACGATTACACAATGGCAATCGCTGCGCGTGGTAGCGAGGGCACCTACACCTCGTTGGCGAGCCTGCCACTATTCGGCGTACAGTTTTTCACTGGCTGGATGAGCGGCACCTTGCTGCAGCGATATTGTCCTGCGAGCCCGGCCAGCGCTCGGCAGCCTCGAAAAATGTGGTTCATTATCGCGTTGGCAACCGCTTGGTCCCCACTAGGAATGTGGTTTGCTCGCAACTGGCTACGAACGGACGTTGCGTCGCGAAAGGCGACCGCATCCGCGGACGCATCACCGGCGAATGCCAATGTCGAGTACGCAACGACAGTTGAGGCCCCGGATGCCGAACAAATGACGAAGCGAGCTGTACCCGAAGACAGCATTAGCCAAAGCGTATCAATTGAATAATCTTGTCAAGGCGGACGGCCCCGATCGTTGATCAGGTAGTACATACAAAACGATACCGAGCGGATGTTATCGCCACGATGGATGATCGCTAGCAGCCGCCAAGTCACAGGAAAAAGGCTCCAAATGCTTCGTACGCGTCGTCATGCACGGCATACGACGCGACTCCAGTCTCGATATCGCGTTGGTTCGCTCTTGATGCGGCTCCGTCGAGTCACGTTTCCGAATACGGCACGCTCACCATGACTCGGTCTGAAGCCTTCGGTCATACCAAACAACATAGCAGCAGCGTAGCGGCTGTACCCGAACAATGAGATTCGTTGTGAGTTATCGTGTGGCATTCATGGCGAGGTCGCAACGCTAGCACTCCCTGAACCAGGCTTGTTACCCGAGCACAGTGGATAGACCAGGAGCTGCAGGACGTCTGCAACCCTCATGGAGCGCGCTCAGTCGAACACACTACAATACAAGGGCCCGCTCTTCAGCTGTGATGATTCGTCACCACATGTATCCGAGCTAATCGGGGCACGCCTCTGAATCATCACGCTCTGGGGCACCGATGTCGTTGCCGGTACCCCGCTGCGTTCGAATCATGAACGCCCAAGCCGTGTTACTCGTTTCGCGAAAGCAATGATATTGCTGCCGATTCCGCGTGAATCGTAGGGATTTCTTTACGAACAAGCGGTGATTGCGCAAACCTGCTCCCGACCTTGCAGGCCGCTGTGCTCCATCGACGCTCGTTCACCCGGCAAATACGAGACTTTATGGGTAAGGGTATGCATGGGCTCGATGGCAAGCGACCGAGCGCGACTCCAAGGAACGGCACGCATCATCCTTCGACAGGCAAGATACAATATCAACGCTCATGGTCAGCGCGTTTCCCCCCTAAGATATCCTGAGCGCATCGTTCCGGTACAATCGCTCGTTACCATCAGATATCGAGTGCGTTGCGTACTGCCAAACTCGATACGATGCGAGATATGTTTTTTCCCCAGAGATGACAATAGCTACCAGGCAAGCGTTGCGAGGGACTTTTCGTCGGTTGCAGAGCCCCATGCAGGCATCGCGTGCAGTTGTTGCGGCAGATATGGCAACACCGATGATCAGCTCGTTCGCATCTGCCCGTGACATGCACGAATACATCATGATATACGGTACCCGCGATGCATCGTAATTGCAGCGCTTGGCCAGACGACGACACCCGTCGGCATTGCGCTCCATTCCCGCACACAATCCACAAAGATAGCATCCTATGGAGTATGGTTTCCGCGCTATGAAGGCAGCGCTCGGTCACGGGGTTGCGTATGTCACCGAAACTTGCACTGTCGTTGCGCCTTGGTCGTACCCTGGTAGACGTCACCCGATTCGGCCCATGCCTGGCGATTGTTGTTGCACTCGCTTACAGTACAATGCAGTTCAGCGTTGAAGCGCTTCTAGCGCAAGCGCTGAACTGCCCCTCAACGCCTACACAGATGCAGGAACCCAGCAGGAACCTAAATTGCAGATCAACGAGACCAGCGCAAAAGTCCGCGATGTAGTTGCACTTCGAGGAGCTCGGCTCCAACCTCTCGTACAAGGCGATTCAGAATGGAGAGCTGCTGCCCCGATTGCGATATCAGGTTCACAACGCAGCCGCGGCGGTGAAAACGCCCAGTCCGGCCTGCACGATGTGCGTAGTGAATGGGGTCGGTCGGCAAGCCCGCTGCGTTGATGACAAGCCCCACATCCGGGAAATCGAGACCGCGAGCTGTCAGTTCCGTTGTAACCAGCACTCGAATGATGCCGTTCCGAAAGTAGTCCATGACTTGTGCCCGTTGAAACTTGCTTTTTCGGGGACCGCTGCCCTCTATGCGGCCGGATAAGGCTGCCGCAATGACGCCTCGTGCATCGAGTCTCTCTGCGTAAATATCTGCCGTGCGTTGATCAGGCACGAACACCAGAGTCTGTATCACAGCTTCGTTGGTGAGTTCAAGATTCTCGGTGCGGAGATGATCGGGATCGTCCCAGGATTGCTTCAGTGGATCCACGGGAGACACCAGCAATCGGGTGACGGCATAGGTGAGCCTCCGAATGGTGTCCATTCGCAGATGGTCCGGCACCTTGAGGTAAAAATGACGGATGGATTTCGGTAGCAGTGCCTGGCTGGTGTCGGCACCATGCCCGGTGCGCAGTAGGAATGGTTGCTTACGCGTGCACTGTAGCGCCGTTCGCAAAACGTGCGGCTGATCGCTAGTTGCCGAAACAAAAACAAACTGGCGCTCCTTTCCAGACGACGTCGGCGAGCGAAAATGGCGCAACAAGCGCTCTGTTTCCTCTAAGTGAACACCTTCGAGCAGGCGGTCTGCCTCATCGAGCACCACGGTTTCGAACGAGGCCGCGGGAAGCCTACGACCTCTGCGATCGATCATCACCTCGATCAGGCGTCCCGGGGTACCCACAATGACCTGCGGTGGCAACTTGCGGAGGCGCTCGAGCTGTCTCTCCACACTGGTCAGGCCGATCAGGCCCTGCGCTCGAATGCTCAAGGATGCAAAACGCTCACATTCGCGGACGACCTGAACGACTAGTTCCTGACTCGGAACCATGACGAGTAAGGTAGGCGCGCTTCGTGCCGAGCCCCGCTCAATCTCCTCGCAAAGAGTATCGATCGTTGGTAGCAGATATGCCTAAACTCGATGCCAGCTCACTTCAATGGTTAGTTTTCTTGTTCGCTTTCAGCAGGAGCACTGAGGCTCGCGCTTCCGTTGCCCGGCCTGGAGCGGCAGGGCATGACGACTCGAGCGAGTCTCGGTCTCCCGAAGCAACCCTCGCGTCGTTCAACCGACGGAAAGTCTCTTTGCTCTCGGCCGCATTCCATCGATAGGACGCTAAGCGCTCAGCAACGCGACTGGCGCTCGCCGCCGCGTCGTCCGATCGTCAAACTTCGGCCTAGTTCCTCAAAGCCGCAGCGCATAATCCATAACTTACCCATGTCTTCCCGGAGCCTGTAGGCGCCTTAATCACGCCGCTCTGACCTGTTCTCAAAAGAGGAATCGCACGACGCTGCACCAAGGTCGGTGCGTTGATGCCGTTTGCAGCCAGTATCGCCCGCACTTTTGCATTCGCGACCAGAGCGGAAAAGTCAGCGTCAGCATTCGCTATCTCCGCTTCGCTGTCACCGGGTATGAGATACGAGTCTATCAGGGAAGCCGACGCTGCTTCCACCTGCTCAGCTGGGCTCTTTTCGACCGCCGGAGACGGCGGCAGCTTCGCAGATGAACCCGAACGTTGCCGTCGCTTTTCACCTGGGGGTGAAGCCAAGGCTTCTTGCCCGTTGCCGTTCCGTTTCTGTGCAAAGCTAGCTGGTTTACCATAGCCGTTTTTAGGGCCGTCACGAGCACTCGGTGGACCGGAAGCATCCCGACGTCGCGGGCGCTCGCGAGCCATGCACCACCAGCGATGCCGGCTGTAGCAACGTTCGCTGCTCCTCTCCAAAGCAGTGGAATTGTGCTTTCTCGCTGAGGGCACACTTGGGCTCAACGCAATCCAAGACGGTATTTCCGTAATCGCCATCGAAAGAAAACCTCTTGAAGCACGCTCAGCGAAGAGGCCGTCGAGTCCAGCGGTGCCAGGACGCTGTGCACGTCGCCGCGGGGCACTGGAATGACCCTCGCCCTCCTGCAACCCGCGCTGCACCTTGTTGTGCTGAACGAGTTGATCGTCGTAGAGGTAATCACGCGGTTTCCGCATGCTTGGAACGATATTCGGGACCGGGTTATTGTTCTTGGTCCCAGTAACGCCAACTCTGATGAAACTGCGGAAACGATCACTACCTGGTACTTGTGCTGCGAGCAGTCGCCGCGCTGGTGCTGTGCGAGCCCAGGTCGAGCGCTCTTCCCCAGAAGCAGAAGCGGTTCAGTTACCCGATCGTTCGGCGGAAAAGATCCAGAAACATCGCCTTGGAGCGAAGAAGCATGCCGTTGCGTATTATTTGGTAAAAAGCGAGGGTTCAGGGCCGCGCAAGTTCACCGTTGATGACCTTGCGGCGAGTCCTCTGCGTTGCACCAGCTGGGACGGCGTGCGTAACTTCCAGGCCCGCAACGTGCTACTATCCATGCAACTTGGAGACTTTGCCCTCTTCTATCACTCAAACTGTAAGCAAGCGGGGATAGTGGGCATTGTCGAGATCGTCCGGGAAGCCTACGTCGACCAGACCCAATTCGATAGCACGGACTCCGAGGCGTACGACCCCCGTGCGACTCCCGACAAACCACGCTGGTATGCGGTGGACGTGAAACTTCAGTTGAAGCTACCGCGACCGATTCCGTTCGAGGAGTTGAAACAGTATGCAACGCCGGGCGGTCCACTGGACGGTATGCTGCTGTTCTCGCAGGCGCGCTTGAGCGTGCAACCGGTGCGCCCGGAGCATTTTCGATTTATTCTCGGCCTTTTTTGACTCTAGTCAACGAATCGCCTCGAACATAGGAATACAGCGAGGAAGCGCTGTCAAGGAAGTGCGCAGCAGCCCTGGGGAGCGTCTCGGGCGCCGGTTTGCACCAAACGAGCTTCGCTTGCGCGCTTGCCCGCCGTCGGGTATGCCCACGGAACGTGCGACCTGTTGGGTGTAACCACGAGCACATGCTGCCGATGACAGACGCTTTCTGCTATTCTAGAGTTGCTTGCTACGAGGCAAGAATATCCAGCTGTGCGTTTTACGACCATATGGGAGTGGCGGCTTTGCAGCAACTGCGGGGAGACGTTCCCTTTTTTCCTCCAGTTACTGTGTGACGCAAGCATACCATGCCGTGCTTGCTAAGATCATGCGGGAGCGGCGGCTTTTCCAGCAACTGCCCCTAGATGCTTTCCTTTTTCCGAAGTTGCTAGGACGCAAGCACATCATGCCGCTTTTTCTATGATCATGAGTGAGCAGTGGCTTTTTGTAGAGCACGGTATGCACTCCAGAACCGCATCAAGACAACCTGTGTCGATGTGATCGCCTCGATGACGCACTCTTGACGCATGGACGCACAATTCAGAGGGTATCCCTGAGAGACACCAGTGTCAGCTGCTCAAGTCGACGAGCATAGCATGGTGCTCGTCGTTTGCTGTCGCACACGTCACCGCATCAACAAGATTGGTGCAATCCTGCAACCCGGCGATGCTGTGTTTAAACAATAGCCGACCGAAGCACCTCCAGGCCGCGAGGTGAACGCATCCATTTGCTCAGCAGACGCGAATCTCGATTCACCATCATCACGCGCTGGTGAACCGCGCGACCGCATGATCAGGCATTCACGAAAGAAGCTTTAACGATCAGGCGGCCTTTTTCTTGGCTGCGTCTATTTTCTTCTGATCCATATGCTTCGCATACGAATAGATGAGGGTACCACCGACGGCGAGCGCCACACCGAGCCAATTAAGCGGGCGCATGATCGTACCAAATGCGATAACACTGGATAATATGATAGCTAAACGCTTCACGACGTTACCAATCGAGAATGTCAATGGCGAAACATCCTCCAGTACGCCATACGATGCTTCGTTGTACAAGTGATAGAGCAGACTCGCCACTGCGATGTAGCCGAACACAGTGCCAGCGCCGATTCCCGGAATGCGGGACGCGACTTTCGGTAAACCTTCAAAGAGCAACGCCATGGGCAGCTCCAAGAAGAAGCTTATGATTGTGATCAGACCGTAGGTGTTGAAGGCGGTCAAGCTGGCGTCCTTCTTGGTGTCGCCGAGACTCACCTTGGAGGTTACGTTTCGAGCGACAAACGCAAAGTTGCTCGCCATCGCGTTCAGGAAACCAGCCATCGTAAACGTTAACTCGCTGATGGATGAGAGTGCAACCCCAACGATAATGGGAATCATGGCAAAGTACACCATGGGCGAGTAGTACTCGTGGAGAAAGAGCGCGGAACCCAGTGCACCGACCACTGGTTCCGCCGACTTCACCGTGTGCGTGAAGGAAATCGCTACCGACGAGAAAGATAAACAACTTGTCGCATGGCCTATGGTGTGGAAGAGAGACGGCAGAATTAGAGAGCGAATGAGCTTTCCGTTCACCTGCGGACGCCGGCGCAATCCCAGCAGCCACAGCACACTCACGTAGAGCGCTCCGACGCCAAGTTGTATCGTCGATAGAACCCAAGGATACGACCACATATTCAACGTCTTCTTGTTCACGATATTAAAAACGACATTATACAGGTACCACATGAAGAACCAAAAACCGACTTTCAAGCGCTTTCGGCTAAGGCCAAGAAACACGGGTTTCGTCTGCGCGTCACCCGCGCTTGCCGGCATCGGTGACGACGGCGATGATGCGCTCTCCACCGCACAGCACAGCGCGCGACGTGAAACACCCACAGAGTGCACTGGAGCGGAGACGGCAGCACCGACTCGGGCCGGTCTCTTGGGGAGCACAACACCCCCGCAGCGAAACGCCGGCGAACCTTGAGACGCTAACCCAGACGCAGCGTGATGCACACGACTGCGCTGCAGCGTCCCCGTACCTCCGGGATGGACAAAGCTCAAACGCGTAGTGATGCACGCCGCACGCATGGCTAGCACTGCTTCAGAAACGTACGAACAGACCAGGAGAGATACCCAGGAACAGCAACTTCAGTTTCAAGTACGATCGTTTGCACGGCGTGCGCAACGACAGGTGCGGCGTCGATGATCGCGCCCTGGGGCGTCTGTGGCGGGCGGGGCGCCTCGCACTGCGCCAGCGCACATCGCGATGCCGCACCTGCACGCATGGGCCGTACAACATAGTATAAATATGGAAGTATGTAGACGCGTGATGTGTCGCTGGGCGGCGGGTACGCCACAGCCCAGCGCAGCACACAACATATCTGGTCAGTGCGGCGACACGGGTGCGCGTACGCATTACTCGAAGCGCTCGCGGTGTCGGTATGTTCGATATTCACGAGCGGACGCTGCTCCCGGGAGAGTCGAGATCTGGGTCGGCCGGGGCGTATCGAGTGCGCCAAAGCCGCCACTGGATGCTCGAGTACGACCACCAGAGGTATCGTATGTGCCGCAGCTTGTACATTGGCGCACCACCAGAAATTGCAATCCGTACCAGAACCCTGACAAATCCTTGTTGAGTCTACCAGCGGCTATTTCTTATCCGCTCTTTCCCTATAGATACCAGGCATAGTATCCCGTACGTCTCCATCTCATCTTTCCCTATAGATACCAAGCACAGCATCTTGTATATGTCCATCTCATCCTTCCCTATAGATACCAAGCATAGTATCCCGAATATGTCCATCTCATCCTTCCCTATAGATACCAGGCATAGTATCCCGTACGTCTCCATCTCATCTTTCCCTATAGATACCAAGCACAGCATCATGTATATGTCCATCTCATCCTTCCCTATAGATACCAAGCATAGTATCCCGAATATCTCCATCTCATCCTTCCCTATAGATACCAAGCACAGCATCTTGTATATGTCCATCCCATCCTTCCCTATAGATACCAAGCACAGCATCATGTATATGTCCATCTCATCCTTCCCTATAGATACCAAGCACAGCATCTTGTATATGCCCATCTCATCCTTCCCTATAGATACCAAGCACAGCATCTTGTATATGCCCATCTCATCCTTCCCTATAGATACCAAGCACAGCATCTTGTATATGTCCATCCCATCCTTCCCTATAGATACCAAGCACAGCATCTTGTATATGCCCATCTCATCCTTCCCTATAGATACCAAGCATAGTATCCCGAATATCTCCATCATCGACATAGCAGCGTCAGCGCTATGGACACCGTGCCTCCGCTGCGTCGATGGAAACGCGCGGCCGACGGCGCATCGGCCGGAGTACGCACCTCAGACGCGTCAACTGAACAGCTCGCTGCTGGCTGCGGTATGCGTTTATGCGCTGCGCTGCGTCGTTTCAGAGACCCGCAGAGAGCTACCATGATCTGCAGCCTACGCTGACATTGCGAACGGAGTGCAACCAACGCAGTTCCCCGGTGAAGCGTCTTGAAACGCGTCCAGTTATCATGCGGTTAGGCGTAGGGTCTTGCCGGTTGTGGCTGGGCGCATTCGTGTACGCACTGCGTCCCGCTCTGCGAAGAGACGGAAACGTTTGGCAGCAGTGGCGCCGGGCACATGCCCTCGTGCCTGCTGTGCCTCGACGACGCTGGCTGTGTGCGAACGCCCGCCGTTCGGCTGCTAGTACCTGGGACGAGGAAACGGACGTGGTTGGTGACGAGTTCAGCTCCGTGAACCTGGTACAGGCGAGCGCGGCAAAGATAACCGAAGGCGACGAGTTCACCGCCCAGCGACTGCAGTTGCTGAACGCGCCTGAGCGCGAGAGCGCTGCCGCCACGCTCGAAAGGTCACCGCCGCCTGGTGTAACCGTCGTGCGCAACCGCGCAAGTGCGTTGCGCGTGATTGATCGGCTTTGGCAACTTCAGAAAGAGTCGGAGCTTCTTTACGGACGTCGGGCTGCTTCGGTGCCGAGGCGATGGCGTCTCATAACGGAGGGTTGTACCCACTCGAATGGCAACGGTGTGCTCCACGAGGACAACACGCTCCAGTGCAAGCGTCTGTATCCACCGACCGCAGCGGACTGGATGGAGCACTCGCAGTGTTATCACGCTTGGGATACGGAAACCATTGGCATTGATCCGACAGAGGACTCCCCTGTTGGGAAAGGTCAGGTGATCTGTCTCTCGGCGTTCTGTGGGCCGCGTGTAGACTTTGGGAATGGACCCCGCCTTTGGATCGACAATTTTGGCGACGCACAAGGTACGCTGGACTATTTCAAGTCTTATTTCGAAAATGAGGAAATTCCCAAAGTTTGGCATAACTACAGCTTCGACCGAGCGGTCCTTTATAACCACGGCATCGACTGTCGAGGATTCGGCGGCGATACCATGCACATGAGCCGACTATTGGACGCAGCGAGACTGCGTTACTCTCTGGAGGCGCTCACGGAAGACTTTCTGCTGCGGAAGAAACGCAGCATGCGGGAGCTGTTCGGTCGGCCTCGTATTTTGAAAAATGGAAAACCAGGCAAGGAGATTATCGTACCGTCCACCAGCGAACTCCAGATGGACCCTGAGACCATGTACCACTGGGTGCAGTATAGCACCTATGATGCCGAGGCAACCTGGTATCTGCGCGATAAATTTGAGCGTCTGCTTCGTGAACAGGAGATCCTCGGCTCGGAGCGAACCATGTATGACCTTTATACGGAATGTTTCGTTCCTTTTGGTGCGGTCTTAACCGATATGGAACGCATCGGCTTCAAGATTGATATTGCGCGACTCCAAGATGCGCAACGTGTAGCCGAAGCCGACCGCCAACGTTACACTGCAATGTTTCGAGAATGGGCAGCGCGCTACTGTGCTGATGCAATCCACATGAATGCCGAGTCGGAGAATCAAAAGCGCCAATTCTTTTTCGCCCCGGTCCGGAACAAGAAAACCGATGAATTGTTGCCAGCAGAGCGCACTTTCGAGGTCGAGAACACGGAACAGGTCGTGGAGTCCGCGGGGAAGAAGCCCCGCAAGAAGCGAACCATACAAATATCCGGTCTCGGGCTGCCGCCCGTGGCGTTCACTGCAAGCGGTTGGCCGGCTTGCACGGCGGTGGTGCTGCGGAAACTGGCGGGCACGCCGAGCGCGAGTCCCGCCCAGGGCGGGCTCCTGTATGACTTTCTCACCAAAGAGCGACGGGAGAGCGCGGAGGATGCGCTTGCGGCGTGCAAAGCCGTTGAGGCGCTACTTGAGGCTGGTGCAGTCGGCACCCTGCTCGACAGTTTCATCGATCCGCTGCAGAAGATGGTGGATAAGAACCATCGCATTCATGCGTCGCTCAACTTGAACACGGAAACAGGTCGGTTGTCGTCGCGGCGGCCGAATCTGCAAAATCAACCCGCTCTAGAGAAAGATCGCTATCGTGTTCGGGATGCTTTCACTTGCGAGGAGGGCAATACGCTGATTGTAGCGGACTATGGCCAACTCGAGCTGCGATTACTTGCGCATATCGCCAACTGCCGCAGCATGATTGAGGCGTTTAAGGCTGGTGGCGACTTTCATTCGCGCACGGCGAGCAGCATGTACCCGTACATCGCAGAATCCGTTGCCCGCGGCGACGTGCTTCTTGAACCCGAGCCCAATGCCAACGGACAGGCCACTTCGTCGAAGCCGCTGCTCAAGGATGTATACGCAGGGGAGCGACGTCGGGCCAAAACACTCAATTTTTCAATCGCATACGGGAAAACGCCAGCTGGGCTGGCGCGAGACTGGGGCACCAGCCTGAAAGAAGCTCGCGAGACCGTAGATGCTTGGTACCGGGATCGACCCGAGGTTCGTGCCTGGCAGGAGCGCGCTATTAAGTTCGCGCAAACCCATGGATTCGTGAAAACGCTGCTGGGTCGACGGCGGCCTCTGCCGGAGATCAACTCCCCGAATACGAATGCGGCTCGCCATGCGGAACGTGCAGCGATTAACACCCCTCTCCAAGGTAGCGCAGCCGATGTTGTTATGAAAGCCATGCTGCTCATTCATAGCAACGCACGTTTGGCTGAACTTGGCTGGCGAATGATCCTCCAGGTCCACGATGAGATCATCCTCGAGGGGCCCGAAGAAACAGTCGAAGAAGCGGAAGCAATTGTCGTTCGGCTTATGCGTCAACCGTTCCGTGAACCGCTGCGCGTTGACCTCGCTGTTTCGGTCGCTCACGCGAAGACGTGGTTTCGTGCAAAGTAAGGGCGAGATTCGATGTCAGCGGCATCGGAGAAACGGGCTCATGTGCCGGCTCTGCGAAGCGTCTGCAATCGGGCGAGACTCGGCTAGAGTGCTGCAAGATATCGCAGATACGGTGCTTCGGGCAAGCCATAGATTGTGTTGCAAGCATTCGAGAAAAAACGGGCTACTTGAACGCAGTCCTTCATCGTTCGGATGTTTGTCGCATCGTGGCTGGTCTAGGATGATGCTTCACGAGGGACTGCGGTTGAGGTCGCGGACGCTGAGCCCGGTTCCTCAGGTCGATGATCTGCACGCGGTGCGACGATTGCAGTTACAACAGCGGTGGTACTGTGCACCATCAAAGAATGGCTCACTGAGCTTTCCGGAGGATCATAAAGGCCAAAAACCCGAAATCTTCCCAAATCTACGAGGAAGATTTTCTCACAAAGGGATGCTCTAAAAGAGCCGAGGCTGGTAGACGTCGGCGGCAATTGAGTTCGAGCATCTTGCTGAGGAGGTCAAAGGCCTCGTCTGGAACTTCCGTCTCGGAGGCTGTGTTCGGCCGCCTGCCCACCCGCAGCTGGAGACACAGTTGGCGCAGGTCCACTCCAGGAAAATTGTTCGCGGGAACAAAAGGGCGTCGACAGGCTTTTGCTGCGGACGCTAGTTTCTGGGTCCCGAATATCTGCTCGAGTTCCAGGAGGGCTTCTTCGTCGCTGCTCGCGCGAAAGAACGGATATTGACATGATAGCATGGATAAAAAGATGACGCCCGCGCTCCAGACATCGATGCAGGAATCTTGATCACGATATCGCAGAAGAATTTCGGGTGCACGAAATCCGCGAGTTCCCGCCCGCGGTGCCTCTGCCGATTCCATGGTTACTGCCCTACGTCGAGTCCGATCCTCTGTTAAACGAGAGACTTTCCATGCGGGCGCTCTAGCTGGCGTCGGTGTGAAAACGGGCGCCGTCATCGCAAGTCGCCAGTCATCCAAGCGATCGCGGTCACTGGATACCGTGTCCACTGCATTAGCTCCTGAGGAAAGTTGCCGGCAAGCGGTTTGCGCCCTGGGATCCCGCCACAAGTTTTGCCCGGAATCGCAGTCGCGGTTTCGCGTTTGCTCGGATTTCTGGGCGAGGCCAAAGTCAACAAGCACCGCGGCGTCTGGATGCTTGCGATGAAAGAGAAAATTTCCCGGTTTCACATCCCTGTGGATGATCTGATGCCGCTCCAGAACACTGAGCACGTCCAGAAGCGCGCGCATGTACACGCGCATATCGTCGATGCCCATATCCGCGATCAGGAGACGGAACGGCTCATTAGGGTAGAGCGGCATCACCATCCAGACTTCATCGTCCCGGCGAAAGATACCCTCAAGGCGCGGAATACCTTTCTCCCCTTGGAGCCCACACAGAAAGCGCACTTCCTGCTGTATTCGTCGCGGCTCGTTCGTTTTGTAGAAGCGTTTCACGGCATATGCACGATTTTGAGCGCACGCTTGGTCCAGCACGGCCCTGTACACAGTGCTAAACGTTCCTGCACCGACGCGTTCGTGCAAAACCAGTGGCGGCCACAAGCTACCGCCTCCACCAACATTTGAAGTATCCGTATATTGGGTCTCGTCAAGGCTTTCCTGGACGTCTTTCGGAATCGCGCGGGCTGATAATTGGTTTGACGATGTGCGCGCCAACACTTTCCACCTGGCGGAAAGCGCAGCTGCACTCCAGCACAGTTCCTGATGAGCCAACCCAGATATATACGCTCGTGGTATCGCCGCTGCAGACGTAATATCCATACGAGACTACCAACTTGGCCCAGGAAAGGTTCCCAGTTGCGGATCGCTTCAGTCAGTCCAGAATAAAAGAAAAGTTCAGCACGAGAGAAACGTGCATCCGGGGTGTTACACGGCGGACAATTTTTTGAAAGCACGCACGCACGCACGCATCGCCCGTAAGGAACGTCGCCGCGCATTGCGATCATGCAGCGCGATGCAGCGTTCGCGCCATCACGCGTTGCCGGGCAATAGGGTGCACGATTTGCCTGTCGCGCTCGAGGTGTTTGCTTTGTACTGGATTGTACAGGAGTCCAGTGGCGCGGCTGCCATGGCGCTGCGCTCGACGCGCTCTTCGCTACCACGACGTGCACGCGTATCGTTGCATTGAACTGCATGGCGCAGGAAAGTAGCCCGGAGAAGAGGGTATTGATACACCGGTTTGGGTTCTTCAAAATGAAGCGAACTGATCGCTGGCGCGAGCGGTATGCAGTGCGGAGGAGAGAAGTTTGTCGGTTTCGCGACGATCGCGTATTATTTGCGAGCATGGACATGTCCATCCATGCGCAGACTCCGACCATAGAGGATTTTTGCCTGCTGGTGGGAAGTGTTCTTTCTTCTGCGCTTATTTGCAAGGAATTGCGGCTTCGACTTCGATGCGAACGTACGCCAAAGGGTATGTTTCGGAACCAGGGTTGGTGTTTGGGTCAGTACGCCCAGAAATAGTTCACATCGTCCAGTTCGAGGCATGTCGGCTGATACGAGCGTAGAGCAACCATGGAGAGCCTCACCAATGAACAGCATCAATTCTGAAGCACCGCAGGACTTGAGGCAGTCGCTTGGACGTAGCCTCGAGGCCGCATGCGGCCAGGTTTCACGGGGTCCATATCGCACTTCCCGTTGGTTCGCAGAGCAGCTGGCCCGCGACCTACATAAAAGAACTCGTAAGCGATACAGCTCTCTTTATGATTCTGTTTCGGACACTCTGCTGTGGACAGAGCAATCCATCTCTGAAATGTGACGTTGATTCGTCCAGCGTTTGCACTTTGTCTTGCTGCGCGAGCTCCTTGATCACAGCCACCGCCCGGCAATGACAGATGCGATTCGATCACCGGATCGCTTGGCTTTCAATATGCCCGTCAGGGCCGGCATTGACGCCCCGTCGGCTGCACCGGATACCACGGGGAGCGCAGCGTCACAACACAGCGGCTCAGTGCATGGCATGGATGCAGCGAGTTTCCTTTCAGTCACATCACGGGCATTGCGTCGCAAATGAGCAAGAAGCGGCGGTCACGCACCCTGTAAGGTTTGGTTACCAGCATGTCTCAGGTGGCGAGCAGTGCCAGTTCCATGTGTTCAGACGCTCTGCTGATGGCTTGAGATGCTCTCGTGAAGGCGATCAGAAACCGAACTCGCACTGCTGGACAAGAATTTCCCTGTGACGCATGGTCGTTTCCCGTTTGAAACACATTTAAACCAAATTTGGTCCCGTGATGAACATGATAGCGTTCTTGGCGACCTGGGAGAGCCAAAGCAAGTATTTGCCTCGGTCGGCTGCCACGAGCAGCATGCTGCTTCAGAGCCGCACGGAGAGGCATGTCCCGTGGGTCACTGTACAGCCGGCAACACGACTGGGTGCACTATGTCGCTGTATTGCTTCAGTAGCCGACTCCTTAGAAGGCGTGGCGAAACAGCACGATTCCCGTCCAACGCGTGCAGTGTATAGAGTGCAACCAAAGCGCCTAAGCCTCGATTCCAATCGAGAAGCGCATGGCTACACGGGGGCAACGAGCAGTGGCCGCCCTGACGCTTGTCCGCGAGGACCTCTGCACCCCCATGCTGATGATGTCGGTGTACTGAACGCTTCCCGGTACGGCATCGGTGTCACCAGCGGAACTCGTGTACACGTTTGACGACGCGAAAATCACGTGCAACGCTCGCAGATACAGCCGCTGAAAGCGTACAATACACGAAACAGGCCGTGGAATTAGAGTTTCTCCGAGCGGCTCCAGACTCGGAACTCGACCGCCTGCGCAAGCATCGCGCTTCGGCGTTCCATACAAAGCGTTCTGGGTAGAGAGAGCGTTCTAACCGGACGCCATTTCCATCCCAATCTCCAATCGTTACCTTTAGGCGAGGAATAGTTCGACGCGTATCCAGGAAACGGACGGTCTAAACGGCTGCTCAACTGGAGAAGCTTCAGGAGGCACCTGCGTATTCAGGTCCAAACACCAAATCCTCGGGTATCCCGCACGGCGCTCGTTATCGGAAACGCGCGAGTTCACAGAACCTCTAACAGCACTTGGCCCCACAGGAAGCGATCGCCATCACCGGAATGCGACCCAGACGGTATCGATCGACACCATGACCTGCAGCAGTGATCGAGCGTTGCGGGTCGCGTCGCCAGTTCCTTGCCAAACCTGGCAGGAGAGCTCCAGCCTAAGTCTAACCACGTATAGAAATGTAAAATATTGCGTTCACCGCTCCAGATTGCACGAGTGATCACCATTTCCGTAACACCAATACGTATAATCATCAAAAAACACGACACTTGCGACTGTAGCTTCACGAGCCCAGGAGTCTTCTGATTTCATTGACGACACATCGGGCGAGTGAGCTTGCATCCGCTTCGGTGTGCGCTTCTGCATAAACGCGCACAACATCTTCCGTGCCGCTGGGGCGCACGACGATGCGCGCCCCAGCAACTGCTGACTCGTTTGCGGAAACGCTCTCACGAGCACTACGATAACTCGCCACGATGCGATCTATGCTTCGTTGGAGTTCGGGCGGCTCAACGACACGCTGATCGTAATCCGATGTTACAATCTGGTGACGGTCTGATACCCGCTCAACCAGATAAACGCTCGCAAGCGGTGTATAGTAGGCAGTTGCCCAGTCTACCAACGACCAGCGTTTCCACTGTAGTATCGTGGCGATCAGGAGCAGATTCGCGATGCCGTCGCCAACACCTTGATTGGCGACTCGCGCGCAGCACCGTAAGGGAAGCGGCAATGTCGAAGCATGCGACTTCAACAGCGCATCGCTGAACAGAATCGTGCCGTGGCCATTGGGTTCAAAGTATAGGCCAATATCAAACCGTCTGGCTTCCTTCTCCAAATGCACGACTCCAGTCCAGGTGCAAATGATCTGTAGCTCAATGACGCAGGCGTGATGCGCTCGCTGGGATTCCAGTTCGCGTTGCCGCTTGCGCCAGTACGCCACTGCGGCACCATTGGCGTACACGGTATGGACGAGCGCTACACGCCAGGATTTCCGCGCTGCACCCGCTGCGGCCTCAGCGCATGTATTTTGGCTCAAGTACGCATGTTCGGGATGCAGAAACCCCAGCACAAAGTCCAGGAAGAGTGTTGCCGTCTGATCCCCGTCTAGCAACATGGCTACGCCCTGCGCATCCGCTAGGAAGCACACGAGGCGATCGGCATCGCCATCGAGACTCGCACCCTGACGTTCGGGTTTGCCAGCTGGGGTCTGTGGCCAACGCTGGGGCAGCCGGTTTCCTTTCTGGACCCAATCTGCTCCGCATTGCACGTTCAATAATTCCGTTTGGGCTGTCTCCTGGTTACAGCATACAATCTGGATACCGCACTGTGTGCGGAGCGCAGACGCCAGCTCGCACAGGAGCGGCGCACCGACCCCGTTCGCGCAGTCTACAACCCAGTGATCCATAAGCGCCCGGTGCTCCACGTCTGCCAAATGGAGTGCTTCCGAGAGCGCCCTCGTGGCCTCCACCAAGGTCGATTTGTAGCGGTTGAGCAGAAACAAGGGCCGTCGCTCGAATGCGTCCCGGAAGTTTGACAAGTCCGATTCGCGCATGTCGACAGGGCTTTCGTTCCACGCTCGGACGACTGCGTGCATGGCCGGTGTCGTTGTCATGCCCAGAAGGAGCGCGTCCGCAAACGCCAACGTCTCGCCACCGGAGCATCTCGTCGCGCGCAGATAGTGTGAAAGCACGACACGTGCGCCTTCCTGCGCATTACTAGCGAGGTGCGGGCTCGAGCTTCTGCTATCATACCCCAAGAGAACGACCGGTATGCAGAGGGCGTCACGTATGGCCCGGGCCTCCGATATTTTTTCACGATGCACTTGTTCCAGAACGGTGGCGAGCGAGTCGGGCCCCGCTGATGCCCGGACCAGCCGAACAGCGAGGTGGATCCAAGTTGGGTCCGCCATGCCTCCGTTGGTATCGATAAACTTCACGCCATTCTCGTGCGGTGGGTTATGTGACGCAGTGATCATCAGTCCTACAGCTACAGTTCTGAACACTGAAGCCGACAAACCCGGAGCTCCCAGATCATCATGGTGTCCGACTTTGTTGGCAGGAAGAGTGCTTCGGGCCTCGGTTGTCGATGCCCTTTTGGAACCGTCGAGGGCGTGCCTCAGAGCTAGGAAACCTGCTGCGAGCCCGCAACAGAATGCAGCTTTATCGAACGCGTGATCTCGTGCTGAACCCCGAAGACCTGCCGCGCCGCACTGAAGGTCTTCTGGAACTGTGTCCGACCACGAAGGTAAATAGCGCGCAAGCTGGTGTGCCTCCCAGTCCATATATGGCGTTGTCGCCCCACGAGAGCACCAGAGAACACTGCGCTCTGCGGGCACGACGAAGGAGAGTCGCAAATCGTTGAAGTACGGAAGCTTTCTCGCAGCGCTTGAACAGTCTCTCAAGAAGCTGGTGTCAGACAAAGAAAGGTGCCTGAACAACTCACTCTGCTACTGCGTTTCGATTTCGTTCGAGGATTTCTCTAGGTTGACAGCCTCATTCATGGAAAAGCCGGACTCAAGGTTCATGGTTTCATACGCCGGTGAAAGGATGCTGGGTCGCCCATGTATTGGCCTGACTCCATCCCTTCTCTGTCGCTGGATCTCGTTACGTCATTCGAATCAAGACGATTCGCCACATACCCGTAATATTATTCGCAAAATAACCGCATTCCTTCTCACATTCACACGTACGAGCCTCCGGTCTTCTCACTTCCTCACGTGAAACATGGCTCAAAGCGGGCAAGCGTCAAGTTTTCGATGTTTCTATTTTAAACGAATCATGGGCAGTGCAGCTCGCTTCGCTCGATTGACAAGGAACGAAACTCCACGCGATCCCGTGACGGCCAGTTGAAATGCTCTTGCCGAAATCTCACTGGACTTGACACGTCAATTCCGGTGGAAAGACTAATTGTCGGTTCTTTATAAATATAGATGACGTGAATTTCGACACGAGCCTGATACTCGCCCCAAGATGTACACCGAGAGGCTCGCGTCTCTTGTGTTTGCCTGATAGAGAGTCTTGGGTTCGGGCTTGAGGCACTGCAGCGATCGCTTCTATTCGAGATTGCGCCAGAAGGTTGCACGAAGGACAAGCAGACAGATCCAAATTTTTCAACTTGGTCTCCAGCCCGAAGATTCGTTCCTACGCTTGGTTCACATGGAAGGCATCGGGTTCCACTAATTCTCAACCGCACGGGATCGCATGCGCTTGCCTCTGCAGTGCATAGGTTATGCGCCCGAGGTGATCGTCCCGATCAAGCGCACGGTCGTAGAGTACGCCATCGGACGCGGAAACGGGGCAGGGCATTGAGAGTGGCCTGCTTGGCCCGTCAAGAGCATGGACCAAGCGCTGAGGCAAGCGTGCGTTTGTCACAGGGCGGCGTTCGGAACCAGCGCATGTGCAGTGGCCATACGGGAACACCGGATCACAACCAAGTGTCGCCGCTGCACAGCGCACACCGAGGCTGCAAACAAACAAGATGAACATGCCAAGTGAAACTCCGATCGCAGCCGCCGCCTGTGCATCAAATGCTCCTAAATCGCCCGAAGCAGTGACATCGGACATCGAACGCTACCATCAACATCATTCAACTGCTGTCAACAAAGCTGCACGGACAAGAGAGATCCGCGCGCGCAACACCAGTGCTTCGAGCGCGGAAACGGAAGCAATCACAGAAACCCCCCGCAAACACCAATCTAGACGACACATGAAACTCACCCAAAGGTTAACGCATCCGATCGATCCAGAACATGCACTCCGCTTTATGTCGACTCGGACCACATCGTGATTCGGTGCATCACCAGCTGCTTCGGCGAGCTGTTCGTGAGCTGCATGCGTTGCCGGCAGGCTGCAGGCGACGCAGCGGTCGCGTGCATGAGCGTGGCGCAGCGGGCGTCGCGGACACGCACCGTAAACACGCATACGCATGCATGCACGCACGCAGACGCACTGAGATGCGATCGCGCGCGGGCGCATGTCGCGGCACCATCGACGCTGCTGCCGCCGTAGAAGGCGCCTGGCGATGCATCGCGAACGGATGGCGACGCAGCGCGCGCCGTGGACACGTGGCGCGCATGATGCGTGCATTTTCCCTTGAACACGCAGGTATCGCCGGAAGTACACAGAGGGCACGCTGCCCCAGTACATATGCAGAGGCTTGCTCCTCATATGTCGGGAGCGGATAGCTGCCGCAACTTTGATGGGCTTGAACCCTTCCGTGACCAGCGGGAACCACGGCCGTCTGGCAGCGGCGCGAGGAGCGGCGACGCAGTGCACGCTGCGGCTGGTCCGGTCAACGACTGGGGCGGCGGCGGCGGCGGCAGCGGCAACGCCGTGCGGGATCCTGCAGACACCAGAAACCTAAGGGATGCTGGGCAACACTTTCCACAAAAGAAAAGGCGCTTGAGTGAGGGCGAGTCAGAAGCGTTGATGCGTTTTCGAGAGCTTCGCTGTGAGCGACTTGACCTGAGCGAGTTGCCCCCGTTGATGCCGGCGAACGATATGCTATCCCCGGCAGCCGCACTCACACCGTCAGGTGCTATATCGGCCACGATTTCTGAAACAGAACTGCGACTGGTGCAGACAATCGCAGAGTTTGGACAAAATACGAATACCCCGCGAATTCTAGCGGCGATCCAGGAACATCATCAAAAGGACCTACTGGGCATGCCCGCTGGGACTACGCTCGGGCCCAGCAACATGCCCAGTACGCTCAAGCCATCGGATTCATTGCTCTCTAATGCAGCGCCAGCGGGACTTTCTGGGACACTGGACGCGATGTCGTCGCCAGCGCTCTCTCGGGACAGCGTTCCGAACGTTCCAGACTCGGGATCGATAACGCCGCCCATGGACAGTAACGTTGAGCCGCTCATGCCCGGTTCAACGCTGGAATGGTGTCGCCAATACGCCCGTCAGATAAGCTGCCAATATGTTGACGAGCTGCGACGAAGGATGCGGGGCTCCTGTCGACAGTGCGCGGCGCCCTACGGCTCGTGCAGTCACCGGCCAGTCGACCGCGACGCTGCGCTGGGCGAATGGAGTGCGCTGTCGCCGTCACGCCGTCGAATTGCGAAGAACAGGGAAACGGCAGCTGTCTCACGCTTCCGCAAAAAGGTGTACATGGAGAGCCTCGAGCGAGCGATTATGAACCTGGAACGAAAATATATGGAAACGAGAAATGAACTTGCACAACTTCGCAAACTCTTTGACATGAGCGTCACACCCGTGACACCGATGCATGGACGCGCGGCGCCAGCGACGCAGCCTGAGCGCAGGGCTGAGGCGGACAGTGCCGCGCGCCCGCCCTTGGCAACAGCTGCGAGTGACGCGACAGGCGCCCTGCAACTCATGGGTGCCGTCACCGCATCCGACGCCCTAGGCATGCTCGATGCCGACCGCAGCCCGCCAAATGTGCAGCAGAGAGCACCTGGGCCGGTCGCACTGGCTGCTGAGCCCGCGGAACCGTCACCGCGACTGCTGGAGGGTTTCCTGCGTCCGCTCCTGGCCAGTGTGGGCATCGAAGGCGAGAACGCCGCAAACGCAATCTCCGGGGCGATGACGACGGCACTCCAGGATGCACAATCGCGCTACGCCCTGCTGCATGCGCTGCGTATGTGCGCAGGCACCGTCGCCGGCACCCATGAATCCGAAGAAAACGTGGATGCAGCCACGGACTTGACTGGGCTGGCGACCAGCCCGTGTCTTCGTCCGTCAGCAGCACGCGCTCGAGCGAATTCCTGTTCCAAGTCGCCGGTCGAGGATCTGGCTGGCGACGCTTCGCCGCTCGCCCTGGGTCGCATGCACTCGTCTCCGATGGTGTCGGCACGGGCGTCGCGCGCCTCCGGCTCCAGACCTCCGGATTCGGCATCCTCAGGGGCCTAGACGTTTGCTTGCAGGCCACCACGGGAGCCGCTCTCCTTGTGCATGTGCATCCATTGAGCGTTGCGGTTGTGGTTGCTGGTGTCCTCATCTGTGAGAATGAGGAGCAATGGTGATGGCGCGCTAGCAAGCCTGAAACCAATCTGCCTTTTGCCTGGCATGTTTGGCTCGCGCACGCGTACGCAGGCATCGCTTCCGTCTGTGTGCGTCTCGCGTGGCTCGCAGCAGCAGCAGCAGCAGCAGTAGAACACAGGCGCGAACGGCGCGAGCAGTGCCCGTCGCGGTCGGATCTCGACTCCATGCAGTCGCAGTGCGTGGTCGGGCACCAATTCCACCGGCTGCCTGGCCTTGATCGGGCGTCAGGTATGTGGTTACGGGCGAGTGCATTACGAGATTCCGCCTTGGTGCATTTTTTAGGACAGTAAGAAACCCGCTGCGAGCGATTCATTGGATACCAAAAGCAGGTCAGGAAATGCAGCTTCATGAGATACGACAGCGTCCGCCGGGTGCTGTGAAGGATTCACTCCGAACCGGAAGCGATTTCCGGAATCAGTGCACTGGGCAGCAGCAGCAGCAGCAGCAGCAGCAGCAGCAGCAGTGCGGTGCGTTGATCATTTCATTGGATGCTGAAAGCGATGCAGGGAATCCGTGCAGTTAGACACAGCAGTGTCTGTGTCTGTCTGTGTGTGTGTGTGTGTCGAGCCTCCCTGCTGCGATCACAAACGCAACATCGAGCCGATCGCAAATCCTGGGAACCACAACAACCTGGGCGCTCCTTTCGACTGCGTTTTACTCAACTGCCGGGAGCGATATGATAGCTAGCTTGTCTATCGTACCAGCAAAGGCCTGTGCACCGACTTTTGCGAATGCCTCTGCGTATCGAGACTATTTGCCCTGTAGGCATGCACAGGATGCCAGATACAGGTGCGTCTGTCGCTTCAGAGAATCGGGACCACGCGACTGGCATGTGCAAATTGCTTCTGCGTAATGCATTCAGCGATCCAGGTAAGGTTCCGGATTTCCTGTTCCAGCATCCGGAAGTAAGCATAGAAGACCCCGTAGTGGAACTGGGCATCGAAAGACTCGCGCAGAAGCTTCATCTCGAATTCTAAAAACTGATCCTCCAAGCTATATTCTCCCCGTTCAGCCGCTCGCTGGAAGAGCGCTCGGTATGTACTGCTGAGGTCCAGAGCCATGGCAACCGCTTGCAAGTCGTCCGCCCTCCCTAGTCGTTGGATGATCTCGTCGTCGAGTCCACCGGGCACCCGCGGAAAGAGCATCATTCGTTCATCCTTCCGTAATGATGTTTCCAGTGAATTCAAAGTGATGTTGATGACTCGACGATCAGCCTCGAAAGCGATGAGCGTTGCCATGATTGACCCCGTCATGCCACCGATTCGCTCCACACAGAGCTGATAGAAATCAGTAAGGTAAGCCTTGTACAGTAGGTTGCGGATGATTTCCACATTCATCTCCGTCAGGTCATGGACATTGACGCATTCCGCAAAATAGGGCGCCAACGGCGTATCGACCAGAATCTCTCTATAGAGTTCCTCTGGCGAGTGGATTGCTGTTAACGTTGCAATACCCTCGAATAGGCCCAGTGGGTGACACTTGTCCAGCAGCTCGCTGAGGTCGCGATTCCGGAGCACACCCATGAGCAGCAGAACTAAATTGTCGATCATGTACGGATACGTCACATAGTCCAGAAAGGTGGAGAGCGGTGCGTAGGATTGCCCGCGAATGCTCCGAAAGTCGTAAACGAGGCGGTTCATGAGGCAGTCGTACAGGGCCTGGGTCTGCAGGGGGGCTGGTTCATTCTGCAGCCATAAACCGTAATCCGAACTGTTCAGAATCGTGCGCATATCTTCTGGAGACTCGCACTGAGCCAAATTCGTGTAGTCTTGGCGACGGAGTAATGAAGCCTTGAGTCCTCTCACGACAGCCTCGAGGTAGCCGTTGTCGGCGTTAAACGTAAGCATATCCATGGTGAACGCGCGAATCAGCCGTGCTGAACGGAGTCAGCACTTGCGGCTCGCTAGCAAACGCGCAACTGCTGAGTCAGCGATCACGAAATAAACACCAAGCACACGTCCGGACGTCAATACCAGAAAAACTCGCTAGACTCGCTGAAGCGTCCCTGGAGAGCCACACCAGAAGAGTCGGCGATGGACGCGACACGGACTCAACTGTGCAAAGTCTTGCACACGTCGGTGCAAGCCGGTGCAAACCTGCGTCAAGCGTTCCTCAGCTTTTGATACGGCTCCGGCAGATCGTTTCAGATGTTGCTCGTGGTCAGCGAGCGGCGACGATGTCTGGCGCTCGAAACAGCGTCCACCGCAGTCGCGACTTGGGTTTAAGTTTGTTAACGCTGCTACGGTTGCTGCGGTGTGTGTCCACAGAAACAATACGAGGGATCGTTGCGTATAGACCTCGGTTCTGCAGCGATGAGCAGGAAACCTCCAATCCAGACGCCGGTGCCGAATAAGGTTCTGACCTCGAAATCGGGTACCCCGGGTGCCTCCTATGCCAGTTTCGAACGTTTGGACGATGTCGGCGCTCACCGCCTGCTAGCCAAAAACGTTTCAGCAGTCAAGCGTGGACACTTTTTAATCTGGTTCACAGAAGCGCTTACCACTATTTACAAGCACTCCGAGTCTTGAGCAGCCGAGCTCTTTTGAACGCTACGCTTTCGCCTGGCCACCGCTCAGGCACCCCGATTGTCAGAGACGCTTTCAGCGTTCTGCAACACGAGCGAGCCCCTGGTGCTGTGCGCCCCAAATCCTCAGCGGTACCATACTGGACTGGACTGGAATGGAAAGGAATAGAATGGACAGGCTGAGCACCGTTTCCGCTTGCCGAGGCGCTTTTCGCAGGTATCTTCCGAAATGCATTATCCTGTGTCGATACCATTTCTAGTCTTTGGGGCATCATATCTAGCAGCTTGCTTCGGAAACGCCTCGCCGAACACTGGTGACGACTCTGGTCGACGGGCATTCGTATCTAGCATCTATCTTCCGGGAAGCGTCACCAAAGGCAGGTAGCATTTCTAGTCTAAGGTCCATCGTTGCTAGCAGCTCCATTCTGAAAGAGACATGGAACCCTGGTAAAAGTACTAGACTGCTGGGAATCTGTTCTAGCATCTGTCTTCTAAGAAGCGCCACTGAACGATGGCAGCCTTCCTAGTCAACGGGACTTGGTTCGGAGCACCGGCACAGCGTCGATGTGCAGACTCGCCACTATCTCAATGTTGGTGCGTTCTCGGCACGACGCGGACGGCTCGTGACGAGCTTCGGCAGTGAAGCTAGGTTTTGGTGACTGCTTCCCACGAACTTACTCTCCTAGGAATATTAACAGGGATTGAGATAAGAACGCTAGAGCTTATAACGCAGCGGTCTAATCTGAGCAGTTACGACGAGCACTCGTTCGTGTTCTTCGTGTTTAACGTGAGCACAGCTTGCGTTTTACACCCCTGCTTTGTGTATGAGCAGCAGTACGAATAGCCATTCCGGAGATGAGAAAGCTTGCACTATTGCTCCAGGTCAAGTTTTGGAAGCTTCACAGGCAACCACGGAGCAGCTGCTACGCCACGCCGTAGAACTCGCGCGTCAAGGCGTTCGCAAGCGCGCTGGCGGTCCTTTCGGTGCAGTTATAGTCCGTAAACTGCCCGCGTCTGAGCATAGTGGTAAGCAGTTCGTTGAAATACTCGCTTCTGGTCATAACTGCGTTTTGAAAACGCAAGATCCTACGGCGCACGCGGAGATGGTTGTGCTTCGAGAAGCTGCACAGCGACTGAAGCGTCGGAACCTCTCGGACTGCGAGCTTTATACATCTTGCTTTCCGTGCGCGATGTGCTACGGGGCCATATGGTGGGCCAAAATACCCCGTTTCTGGTATGCTTCGAGGAGTGAGGATGCCGCCGGAGCGGGTTTTGATGACGCTCGCATCTATGAATGCTTGAGAGGAACGGGTCACGCAGACTTGCGAGGTGAGCATGTAACGATTGCGGAACACCACGAGCCCTTCGAAGAATACCTGGACGCTCTCAAACATGGTCTATCAGAACTCTATTAAAAATGGAATCGGATCAAAATGTGCTGGCGGACGCTGTGATGATGCGCTAGATCGATGCTCGCGCTAGAACACGGTTTATCAGAAGTTTTGGCAGAAAGGGAATAGGATCAAGATGCAGCGGGGATTCTGTGATGATGCTCCCGCCTCTCGGTCTCCATTATCGACGCTGCATGATTGTTTGGGTATGCGACTCGTTATTGAGCGCATATGTGCGCTCAAAGCTAGCTATCAGGCGGATCACGGAACACGAGTGTCATCGGGTCGTTCGCCTCCTCAAAAAGAGGTTTGGAGGCAGTCGCCTGAGGACTTCATGGGGTGCACGCTCCGGAGCGTGCACGGAGCCGAGCGTGCCGCTCCAGGACACCGGTTGTGGACACTGGCTGAGCAGCTCTACGATTCGCGCAGTCGCATCCACCGAGTTGCAGGAAGATTCATTGATCGTACACCATACAAAACGACGTTCGAGCTCCTTTTTGCGTCATACGGGGTGCACGAACCACCGGATTTCTGTGGTATCGCTAACGCGCTGACGTTTGCTTACCGCACAAGTGAGATCGAGCACGAGACGCACGCCTCGACGAGAAACTGCCTCGCTTTTCGTGCTCGTGAAGACCAGGGTAGCCAAGCTCCCGCAGATCGCGATGGACGGTGCTCTCTGTGCTTTCGCAGCCACAGGAATAAAATTAGATCATACGCTCTCACCATCGCTACCTTTGGCAGAATTCATTCTTTACGTCTGAGGCGCCAACAAACGGGTTTCAGCTGCCTTCGCTACGCGTCGCTATTGAGCAGGGTTCGTCCGCGTTGGTACGTCGCCGTTTTCGCGCACAGGCGGCAACGACATTGCCGCCTCGCAGACAAGACCCGAGGCTTCGGGTGACCGATGACAGGATACGCTATGCAGGACGTGTTCGTCGGAAATACCACCAGCACACGGATGCACCAGTGTACGCACAGGACGCGAGAACCCCCAGCAGACCCGTGAAATAAACAATCCGCTCGGTATGCTCCATCAGAATCGCGCGCGTCTCATACCAGCGTCGGGGATGTTTGAGCGCTCCTGCCGTAGCGCTTGTGGGTGGAAAAGTGTCGCTCGCCATGCGCGCTGCAACGACGTGTGCACCACGCAGGCCGAGGTCCTCGGCGAGCACCACTTTCACGGGAATGCGCCGCAAGATCGTGCTCACACGTCCTTTTTCCCGGAAACGCTTCAGAAAATCCGACTTGCCTTCCTGGAGCCATTCGAGGTTTTTAGGAGCTATTCCGCCCGCAATATAGAGACCACTAAACGGTAGGTATTTGAGCGCTGCGTTCCCGCACTCGGTACCGTAGATATCCATCATCATACGCATCGCCTGCGCGCAAAGGCCACACTCGTACACGTAGCGAGCGATGGTTGCAGCGCCATCATTCGATTCTAGGATGGATTTATCGATACTTGGTTGCACTTTTTCGGGGTACTTTTCCCGCAGGAATTCATAAATGTTGACGAGTCCTCGTCCGCTGACGACGCGTTCCACAGAGACCCTATGGCCGCTGTCACCGAACTTGTTTCGCAAGTACTGCAGAAGCTCCAACTCTAGTTCCGTTATTGGCGCAAAATCTACATGACCTCCCTCGGTCGCGTGTGCCTCATAGTGCCACACGGTGGATCCCTGACCCGACACATCCGGCTGGGCGCACGCAGTGAGGTAGCACTCCCCGAGACCAGTGCCGGCTCCGACACAAGCTTTTGGCTCACCAGCACTCGGCTCGCCACGCTGCAAGACATAACACTCGTCTGGCTCCCTCAACGTGAGCAGTCCGTACCCGTTCGAAACAAAATCGTTCAAGAAACGGACGCGATCAATATGGAACGCGTCTCGCAACTCATTCGCATCCAGAATCCACTGCTGTCGGTTCGTGAACGAGACCCGGTCGGCGACGACAGGTCCCGCTACCGCAAGGCACATAGCAGCGATATAGAAGGAGGCATCGTTGAGGTGTGCACGCGCTTCCTGCACGAAAGTGTCCAGTACATCGTGGAAGCGGGAAAACTGCTCGTTCCTATACGATGTTCTGTGGACGCACGGCTGAGCGCAGACATCATCCGAGTCTGTCGCATCGAATATCGCTAGGCGAGCATTCGTGCCCCCTATATCACCTGTCACAATTAACTTGCGCATTCCTAAAGCATGAGCCGGTAGGTTTGCAGGCACGAGCGCTCTTGCCGCAGCCGCAAAGCGATAGCGGTATTCGCAATCGCGTACAAGGTTCGTGTGGTGACGCCAGACCGGCGTCGCTTGTCGTTGCCGCACATCCCTGCTGCAACGACAAGTCCGTACAATGACGCAGATATTTTGGTTTGAAAGAATGTTTATATGGACTATGGATATCCAGATTGCGGGGCGGGTATTGGCTTCTGGGCAAGCGTCCATTAAACTGGACCCTACCTCCAAGTTCCATAACTTGTACTTTCTTTCGGATGCACTGATCGGTTCGAACGTTCTATCAGACGCCGAGTACCCGCATTGAGCTCCTGTCTTTGCGCTTCTACCGTTGGAGTCGATGCATCCCGAAGACAGAGCGACTTTACCATACCACTGAAGGGCGTCGGCTCGAGATGTCGTGTACCCGACGCCAGGTCGTATCTCGTTGTATGTTCGTGCTTGGAGAGACTGTGCAACAGGCCTGCTTTCGCGGCCTTTCGCGTTAGCGCAACCTAGCTCATACAAAGAATTCTGAATACCGAGTCACCGACTCGCAGTATTGTGTCGAATACGTCGTCGGTTCGTGTAGCGGGCCTGTGCTCGGCAAACACCGGTAATGAGTGCACGAATCGACGAACCCGCGCGCTCATCTGGTTTGCCGGACCCCCGTCCTGATATGTAGAAGGAGAGTTTCGTATCCACTAGTGAGTGATGTCGTTCGTATAAAGCGATGTCAGGTGCCAGGGCTGCACGCGATGTGAACGAGCGCCCTTATCAACTACATGTACATGTAGAGGATGCAGTCACGCACGGAGATCGCTTCGTTCCTGCTGCCAGCTTGGACAGCGTAAGCATAAACCTGTCAGAATGACGGCAGTTGCGTTCCAGCAGCAGGTTCACTGTGGTCCCCAGTGAATATCTAGTGTTTCGACACGGTATAGAGCCGAGGCTAACCACATCCCACGGATCCGCTCTTTGGTGCACGAATGAGTCCCTCTGGTACGAGCCGCGGACTTGAGCCTGCAGGCATGCTCACAAATTTTGAGACATTCATGTCATTCCACTTTCTTCTCAATGCTCGTATCAGCATAGAATTCTCGTCATATACGAGACCCCGGATACTGTAATCTTTATTTCGCATTAGGGCGTTTGTGTTCCGGGATGAAACTGAAGGTTTGTTGTCTCTGCGCTATGATTTGCATTTTCTGTCGCGCGATGAAACGGTGCAAGTCGTTGACTTCTTCTGACTCTGGTCTTCGACAGCTCCGGAATGTTGCGGCACTCGTTGTCGTGATTGTTCCATGTGGTGCCTCATCTGGGAGCGTCTTCCCGGCATCCTCCACGCTCTCAGTGCAGCACGCTGTCGATCGGAGAAGTATATGACCTTCTTTCAGTTTCGTTCGTTTCTTCATTGGTGATGGCCCTCGTCGTTATCACTTTCAAGTTCGTATGTCGACTTGCGCAACGAGTACACGCTTTCGACGTCCGGCATTCGCAGATGTCCACCACACGCACATGCAGTATTTCTGTAAACTTCTGTGTGGTCGCTTTCTATGCGCTGCATTTACGACGGGATATCGGACGCATGGCTACTGCACCCCAGTTTACGAACCAGATGACCGTCTTTTCGCCACTCGGCATCAGAGGAGAATGCAGATCGCCTAGATTGCATTCTGGTCAAACGAGTGACGCAGAGCACCTCAGCTGCTGGTCTCCAGAACGAGCTCTGTGTTTCAGTTATTCAGGGAGAACGCTCAAATTCGCTCGCATATGAGTATTGTCGCCTGAAATCGTCTTTTCGCAAATGGTGAGACGAGCAGTACCATCCTCTGTCTGTTGCCTCTCTTTTTGTGTTTTCTTCGCGCTGTAAACGAACCTCGCCTGGTGGTCCTCTCTTCTGCTGCTGGAATGACGCGTCTCTGACTCCGGACTAGAGTCTGAAAAGGTAAATTCGACGTCTGAAAAACCCGGGTCCACGCGTACGAATCTTTGGTTATCTTCCAGAATGCGGAAGACTTTCGTTGTCTCCGTTCTCGCCTAGAGATATTCGGCGATGCTCGAGGTTGAACCCTGACATCGTACCCGTGCGAGAGAAAACGGAAACAGAATTGACTGTCTATGGCTTCAGCAGCTTTGATATTGGAGTTTTTCTGGTAAACCTTCCTGTTCGTTGACTTACTCCATTTCATTTCGTTCTTTTCCTACTCATGATTTCATGGTGAGGTGGAGTTCCCATGACACCCGAGAAACTGAAAGAAACGTAACCAATTGTGAAGCCAAGCATCCTCGGGCGGGAGAGCGAACGTCTTGGACGGCGTGTACCTCTTCTGCCTTATGAATCCCGTTCTCGCCAGGTATTCGCAGTGTTGACACCCTCTTCCAACGATTTCGTAGTACAGAGAAAATGCGAAACGTGTCGGAGACGAATGCTTCAGTCAGAGAGAATCCTTCGAGGGAATTCGTCTCCTCAAGTCTGCCGCGAGCTCGACAGCCAATTTCATCTTCGGTTTTCATTGGCGATCACTTCCGGTGAAATAGGACGTCGAACTTTCGAACGATCCGGCGGGTGCCGCACAGACAAGCTCTCTCTCTCTCTCTCGAAACGCCCTCGATTTAGTTACCATGCATCAGCTTGACTTAATGAACGACACGAAACCCGATATTCATCAGGACGTGATTCGTTTCTGCCGTCGCCATCGTGATGGGAAGCTCCACGTGCATCTGCGTCATTCCAAAGAGATACGCCTTCATTGACGCTCACTGTTCGTGCCCTTCGGTTTCTTCTTCATTTCGTCCGGGTTACAAAGCACCGAATTCATCAACGCTTAACCTGAGACTCGAGCTGATACTTTTCCTGCAGTTGTTTCGGTGCCTCTTGAAACAAGCGATGACACAAGCGTAAGAAAGTTCTCATTCAGGGAAGGCAGCACGTTTTTGGGAGCGTTGCTCGCCCATGCTCTCGCTTTCTCGCGTGAGCGTCCTCTAGGCGTCTGTCACAAGGGAAACAAACGAGCGTGTGCCTGGCGTCAAAGGTCGCGAAAGAGAATTCTCAAAAAGTAGCAGTTCGTCAGAGCGTCTGGCTCGCTTTCCACTCCTTTGACGAGGATAGCTTCATAAGGAAGACGGAGGCTTTATCCGTTGAGGATGACGTTCCTCGAGGAAACAGCTCAGCTTCAAACTTCAGATGCGAAATTTTCCTTGCGTTACTGCTTCCCGTTCTCTCCCCGCGGTTAACTCGGACGCTGCATCTCTCCTGCGCACCAGAGGATGCCGTACCCTTATCCAAACAGAATCATTTCGGTGTTCTCGTTGAAAAGCACCTTCGACCGCTGATTCAATAGAAACCCCCTGAAAGATCCGAAGCACCTCTGTCTTGCACCAGAAGAGACGTCCCTGTTTCAGCGCAGCGCTACGCGATGCACGGGTTGCATCCATCGCGCTCCGGCGCATGCGCGATCGATAGCGCCCAGTACTCGTGAAGCGTTCAACGCAACGTTCGTTATCCGGCAAGGCAAGGCAAGGCAAGGCCGGTACACTCCAGAGCACGATACGTGAGTTTTCAATAGAACATACTCCACATCCTTCAGATAGAGGTCAAGAGAAGCATGGCGCTTGTTGCTGCGGGTTTTCGTACAGTGGTGCAGCGACGCTTTGGTAGCGCGCAAGCTGCAGCCGCTGCTGCAACAGAGTTCTTTTACGAACGAAACGGACCAGTCGACACAGTTCTAAAACGAAGATCCATCGAAGACTCATCGTCGGGGAAGGCCCTGCCGCGGAACGCAGCTCGCGTCGAACTGCTCGCTTTTCCGCTGACGCCCTTTGATGTCGCAGCGATCGAGCGCGGCTATCGAAGCACGGGAGTGGCGGGTGTTCAAGGCATCGCCCGTGTTACAGCCGCGGCACCAGAGACCCCGTTCCAAGTGGGTGACCTGGTGTTGGCGTTGCCAGCGATGCCTGGCACCTGGCGTGATCACGCAACGGTGCCGAACGCGAGCGAAGCGTTCGTCGCTGTTCCCGCAACCTTGCGTCGTGCAATCGAGGACAAAGTTCCCGGTATGCTTGAAAGAGCGGCAACTTTACTAGGGGCACCTGCAATGGCTTATAGGCTTCTGGAGGAGCATGGCATCCAACCCGGTGAAACCATCCTGCTGAACGATGCCGATGGTGCGGTGGGGCTCGCCCTGGTGCAGCTCGCCAACATGCGCGGTATCAAGACGGTTTCCCTTGTCGATGATGAGATTCCCGAGGATGAATTACCACCTGAAGGCCATGTCGAATCCTATGCGGTGGTCGCTGAGCGTATTAAAGCACTCGGCAGCGATGTTGTGGTCAGCAGCTCATTTGCCCGTCAGACGGCCACTTTTCGTGAATTAGTTTCTGAGCTTGCTGGTAATCGTGGTATGCCGCGTGTCGCTTTTAACGGATCAGGTGGTGCTTCGGCAAGGCAATTGATATCCTGTCTGCGACCGCATGGAACCCTGGTGACGTACAGTGGTCGCCGCGCTACCCAGCCCTTGGTCATTCCAACAAGCGCATTCACTGAATTTCAGCTGAATCTGAAGGGATTCAACCTCATGCTCTGGCTCGAGAATGCACCTCGAGACCAAGTCCAGGCTATGGTTGATGCGCTCGGGCAAGCGATGACTCGCGGTGCGCTGACCGGCTGGCTCGAGCGAAAAAGCTTCGCATCCCTCCAGATCACCGACATTGCCACGATCCGATCAGGGACCAGACCTCGCCAGTTGGTCGCTATCACCGCAGCCGGGCAATCACTGGTCCAGTTAGCTGGGCCCTGAACTTTGGCGATTGGAAGCAGACCCCGGAACTTACCGATGAAGGCTGTGCGCCTTCGACGGCGCCTTCGTACCGGAGCGCTGCCGTCGCGGAGCGCACCGCAGGTATCAGCAGGTACTGGATGCGTCGTGCATCGAGCGCCCGTCACAATGAACGCACAGGTCGAATGAAGGACTCGTAGGAGGCGGCAGCGGCACTGGTGAAGAGCAGCGATCTTCAACGCGGACGCTGTCATCGGCTGGTGGCGCCCATCGTCTGCCCAAGTTGTGAGCGCGCGCACCGCGACCAGTAGTGCTATACTGATGACACTTTCCCCGCTTTACTCCTTTTCGTACGTGACTGGTGCAAGCGCGCATGCTCTGGACACGTGCAAGCCGAAATGCCGTAGCCCCCAGCGCACCGCGGAGCTTCGGATCTGGCGTGGCTCTTGAATACGAACGCATCTGGCATAGCGTCCCATTCTGGGTATTGCCGCGGCTTTATTGCCGCATTGCACATCGTAAGCTGTTCAAACCAGGTAGAGAGGAACCACCTCCGCTTCCAGGATGTGTCGAAGGTCGCTGTCTAAAGTGCGTCCCGCTACACTTGGTATGGATACCCGAGTCGTTCGGAATCGTTCGCAGGCAGCAGCCGAGTCTACGCCACCGTGGAATCCCCCAGCGGGCTAGCGTCCTCAAGTCTACTGATTCATTTCATTTGTGCAAAATTCATGACCGGGTTCGTCCGTGTTGTGAAGATCGTGTATTGTGAGTCGAACACCGGGTGCGCAGTGTAAAGCGAACGTACCGCGTCAGTCTTACACGGTACCGGGTCGGGGCTAGCCCCTGAAGCGCTGTTTCGCTACGAATGACGTTGATCCAGATCCCTCGTCGTTCATCGCAAACAAATACCGCGAATACGACTAGATCGCTGGTAGCGACCAAGGTCAACTTCGCACGCCCGGAAACAGCGACCGCACCAGTGACCAGCTGCGACGTTTGGACACGGCTACGGTGCTGCAGCGGTTCCGCGAGTGCCCGCTGTCACCGTTCGAACACCCGAGCGACACTTTGAAGACTGCCAGCCGGTTAGCGACACGTCCTGGCAGGAGTGTTCGACGAGCAGCGTTTCACGAGAAGTGAGCTGTCCAATGCTCGGTTTGCTCTAGTGTTCAGCGCTGCGTGCCGCGGGAAGCGAATGAGGAGCGCGACATCCAGTTTCCCCTGGAATCATTTGAGGCGTCTATGCTTTCCTGTGGAACGAGACTTCTCCAGTAGGGCGCTCTAGAACTGAAAGAATATACTGAGGTTTTCGTCGTCGCCAGCCTGCATATTCTTGGTGCTCCGGAGCGTAACGGAACGTCAGCACCTCCGTCCATGCAGCTGCCTCGCCTCGGGGACGGGCAATCACCAGACAACCCATCGACATGGTCTAATAGTCGGCGTGGCAGTCAGCATACATGCTAAATGGCCATGAACTCGAGGTTTTACAGGCACCACGATTCGCAAGTAGGTAGGCTCCGACATCGATACGGTCAACGGCAGTGAACGCTGCATGCTCATATGTGCCCCGCAGGTTGCACGTTGCAAAACCAGCAGAACCGCAGATACCAGCACGCGTGTATCGAACGACTCCTCATTGGAGTTGAATAAGAACGTAGTATCCGGGGAGCATTCGTTCCATTACCAACCGCGGATGCTTCCGTGTACGGGCGGTTACCGAACGTGGCCTCTATCGATGCAGCGCAATCGGCACCGTGCCAGGCTGGACGCTGGTCGTCCAGTACTCCAGCGGGCGCTGCTCCAGACGGTCTACTTCAAACGCACTCTTGGCCGAAATCACGCGTAAAGCGCTCGTATGCTCCTAAATCTGCTTTGCTGACAGTCGGCTTGGTATGGAGCAGTACTTCTTCGAAATCACTGTAACGGACATCGGGTACGAGCAGCTTGTCGGCTGGGACGTCGTACAGGTTCATTTCCACTGCTCCTGGTGCCGCCGGAGAGCACGGCGTCCAGAGTAGCTCTGCAGATGCAGTGTTCGTGAACCGAACACCGCGCGCCGCATTGTTGTTCGAGGATGTATCTTCGGCACCGCCGTCTCTCTGCAGGGTTCGATGGTGTGGACGCGGCGATACTTGTCGGAAATGCGTCGCCATTTGCAGGCGCCGAATCGGCTGCATGATTGCATCACGGACAACGATTTCGATATCCGCACCGCTGTAGCCTTCAGTTACATGGGCAAGGCGCTCGAAATCGCAAGCGCTGAGACTATGTGGTGTATCTCCGATGTGAATTTCGAACATTCTCCGACGCGAGCGTTCATCTGGAAGTGGAATGTATATCCGGCGCTCGAACCGCCGTCGAATAGCCGGATCCAGCTGCCATGGCAAATTGGTGGCGCCCAGTACCAAGACGTGCTTTCCCTCCTTACGAGTCTCATCACCAGTTGAAAGGCCTTCTTGCATCTGCACCAAGAATTCTGTTTTGATTCTTCGAGTTGAATCAGAGTCAGATTCGGATCTGCTCGAACAGAGCGCATCCACTTCATCAATAAAGATAATAGAGGGTGCAGACTCGCGCGCCATTCGAAAGAGTTGTCGAATGAGCTTTTCTGATTCACCCTGCCATTTGCTGACCAGATCTGCAGACGACACGCTGAAAAACGATGCCGCACTTTCTGTGGCAACAGCCTTTGCAAGGTACGACTTACCGGTGCCCGGTGGGCCGTACAGCAGAATACCACGCCACGGTTCTCTCTTACCGGTAAAAAGCAACGGTAAGCGCATCGGGAGCACAACCGCTTCCTTCAGTGCCTCTTTCGCGCCGTCTAGACCAGCTACATCATTCCAGCGAACCTGGGGGCGTTCGCGAACGATCACGGACGCCAGTTGCTGGCGCAGGCGCTCGGTCTCGTCTTTGGTTGGAGCCGAGGCGGCGGTACCCGCTTTCTCAGCACCAGCGCCAGAACCGCCGCTTCCATCAGCAGGCCCTCTACCGCGGCGTCGCTCTCGAGCTGCTGCTGCTGCTGCTGCTGCTGCTGCCCCGTTCGACTCACCCGAGCCGGTGTGCGGGCTCAGGGTAGCCGCCGCCGTCGCACCTCCGTTTGTGTACGACTCGCTCTCGAAGGGCAACCCGTCCGCACCGTCGTCGCTCCCCGAGGCCTGTTCATAGGCGCCACGCTTCAGCAGCTCCTTAATAGATTCAGCACGTGATATGTACTCACGCACACGAGTCTGTAAGAGCACCCGGGTTCTCTCGGACTTTTCCCAGCGAATCGCGGTCATCAGGTACTCGATAGCACGAAGATAGTAGTGATACGCCGCCTCAAACGTCTCATGGTCCCGTGTTCTCCGCGCCTCTCGATCAGTTTGAGTCGCTTTATTCGCGAACTCTATTCCTTTGTCCACAAACGAAGTCATTACGCTTGTAACGCGGAAAGCGTCCCCCAGGCTGCAAGCCCAGGCTTTGGCAGACAAAAACGCACTGTTTTGCCTGGACAGCACCGCGCGCGCACGCAACGCGCACCCGCTGGCCATTGCGATGCGCTGCTGCGCGCGATCATCCGAACGGGGGTGTGTGTGCGTTTCGCCGGTGTCCAGTGAATATGGGATGCTGTGCTGTTCGTATTGTCCCTATATGTTCAGATATTTGTGGGCGAGTGTTCGTTGTACTGTCTCGATTGTACAGGTTCAGAGAAATGGGGCTTGTGGATGCTATAGACGTTTTAGGATGCATGATCGTGTTTGTTTGTTTGTGTTTTGGAGTGATTTCTCTTCGATGCTTTGTCGCTGACATTCGGAAAGACAGCGGCGTGAAGACGATTCGCGATAAGCTCGAGCTAGGGATCGTGTCATACTGGATATGATGATGATGGTGATGCAGGTGCTGCGTACGAGGCTGCACGCTTCTCCATGTGCACGGACGGCGAGCGCTAGTCATGCATATTTCAGGTTTCGGATCTTGCCGATCCAAGGCAAGTCGTGTGCGCAGCACACGGTGCAGTTGTTGATGGACAAGGTCGAATAGTCATCGATGTGGTTTCTTGGCGATTTGCTCATCAGCTTGGTCCGGATATTCACTGAAGGTGTCGCGTGAAATGATCGATTCCGTTCGGAAGATAAATCTTCCTCTCTTTGTGGCCTTGAATGAAACGATTTTCGACGCTAGTGTGATATCTTTTATGGGATGCAATCGTGGAGGCTCCGATCTTTACTGTTTGCATGAAAAAGGGTCTTGAACTCGGGCTTGCGTCATTGGAGCGATAGGTTACAGTGAAGTGCGCGTCGCAGCGTGTAACGAAGCGAACACAGGCGGATGGAGATTGTCGTATTCCCTTCCAGCTTGGATTCTTCTTTCAGTGTTTGTTTTATCATGGACAACAGTGCATGGAAACCATCGATCGATTGGAGCAGCTTGTAAAGCGGCATGTGACGAAGCGAGCACTGGCGAATGGACTTTGGTCGTATTCCTCTTCAGCTTGGATTCTTCTTTCAGTGTTTGTTTTATCATGGACAACGATTCATGCAAACCATTCATCGAATGGAGTGTCGAGCGCTCATATGGCCGGTAGCCAGCGCACTCGCCGAAGGGGTCGCCCGGAACAATGCCGTATTCGTACGATACGGCACTGGGTGCATAGACGGTGTAGAGCATCTAGAAGAGCCCTATGGAGGCCTCAAGAGCATGTACCAAGCTATGAAGCAAGCGCTCACGAGCGACGGGGCGGCTCCTGGAGAAAGAGTTGTGGTGGACCTACCGACGCATCTGATCGCAGGCAAGAGCCGCCCCTGTGAAGAATCTGACGAGGTTGTCTACAACGAAGATGAAACAGGCAGTGGAATAGTGGAGAGCTATTTTCGCCTGTGGATGACATGCGTCGCCAACATTTGGAAGCTTCGAAATCGGCACCTTGACGATGCCATCGACATCCTTCGACTGCTGACAACGGAGCTAGAGGTACAAGAGAGACAGTCACATCGAAAGACGTCGAGAATATGGAGCAAAAATGAAGCAGTCGGAGAACAAGGCGGCGGAGACTGGTGCTGATCACAGTAAAACGGGTTGCAAACTTTATCGTGTATGCGCGAGTTAGAGGACCCTCTCTATGCCATTCCGGCTCGGGCGTAGACTCAAACACCAACAGACATCTTGATCCGCGAGGCGTGTCTCGGCATGCTTTCGATGCTAGTAACGACAATTGATCTGCTTTCTGGCTAGTTTTTCTTTTTCGCAGGGTGCAGAATCGTTTACACAAAGCAGGTATCTCCGATTGCGCAGTATTGTCAGCAGCCGGGAGAGCATCCATCTTTCCTCATCATACGCCCAGACGCTACCAGCTGCCGGCTACTGGAGACGCTCGTTTCGACAGCCGCTTCGTCAGCGTTCATGGTCGCTGAGGTGCATCAATCTCACCCGGTGCACGCCTGCTGCTGGCTCTCAGAAACGACTGCTTCGTCCCTGCACAGAGACACCCATGTTACGCCAATCGCAGACAGGTCGTCCGTTATGGAATACGTTCGCGACCTATCGACTGATATTCTGGGTAAAATGCAGGTTGGGAGCGCTGCTCGGCGAAAGGACGTCTTCACCAGACCCGCGAAGGCGTCACCTCGTAGACAAACGGATCGGGTCGGTGCATCCAATGTATCAGGCGGAAAGCTCTCTTCAACCCAACCACCTCTGGAGACGAGGCTCTGTTGTCCATCTTCTGACAAGTCCGGTTTATCCTTTGTAGCAACGTGTGCCCTTGATATGCAGACATACTGCGACAGTCCCCGAAGCTGTACTCTAGAAAATGTCTCTCGTCATGCGACGTTGAAGAGAGTCTGGCTATCACGATTAGGCTTTGCGGCAACCGGTTGCAGAGCTCACAACGCCCCGCAGGCCTCTACAGAACGCGAACGAAAAAATATGATCAAAAGTACCAGGATTCATGGGCACTTATGGTGATCATGGAAGCGGCCGCAGTTTGTCGAGACAATGCCTTCGATGAGTCGCTCATGCATCCTCGATGAAACATAACAACATGTGCATCGTTCACGGGACATGCTTCAGCCATGGTTTTCGTACGATCTACGATCGGCGCACCCGCCTAGATACTTTACAGGCTTTGTCTTTCGTGGAACAGGTAATTCAGTAGGATGTTTGCATACCAGAAGGCAACGGATCGCTCGCTGGCACTAGGCATGCACCAAGAAGACGTTCAGCAACGGAACGTGAGTTCCCCTGCTAAAGACGTCGAGCAGCTCCAATTTGGATATCGACGGACGATGTTCCTCAGCAGCTCTTTCAAGCTCGTTCTCCTCTGCATTGCTTGAATGGTCAGTGACCTCGCGTCCACAGCAGCAAGCCCAAGACGTATATGAACGAGCTGCCGCTGACATAGCTGAGTGATAAGCGGCTAGTTGCCATCCGTACGCCAACATCAGAAAGCATCAGCATCGCTACCTTGTATACTTCCATCGTCGAGGTCGAGCGACCAGCGCAGATATCCTTGCGAACATCTGCAACAGAATTCGGTAAAACCGGTATCAACAAGTTGCTGATCTCCTAAACAAGGAAAACCATCATGCTAAGCTACTGCTCTGGAGAGCAGCGCATGCTCCAAGCTCGCTGCGTTCAGCCATTCAGCATGAGCATAGCGCCACCGTGCTTGCTGCAGATATAAGAATCCCGCCTATCTCGATAAAAGTGGCTGCTATGGGTGTACGCTGCCATCCGGGTCGCCGCACAGCAAGCGCACCACCAGCAACAGACGATGGAGCGTTACTGCACCTGCGAAACAACGTTGCACATGCGCTGTGTTCAGGTTGTGGTGACGTCGCAGCACTAAAGCCGCGCCACGAAAGGAAGCAGCAACGAAGGCTATAGGCTCTGGACACTAGCACTGAGGATAACGTTAGATTAGAGTTGCACCCCTGAGACGAAGTTCTGCACGGTGAACGCTGTACGGAGCGAGCGGCGCCAGCTGCTGGGCGCAGCGGCCAGCGTTCCACTTCCAGTCACAGCGCATGGGTCGGGCTCGGGAGCCCGCGTATCGTAAGAGGGGTTTTCAACGGACCTGGATCAGCAAAGTTTATCTGGCAAACTTAGGCGAGTCATCGGCGGTGGATGAAACGCAGTCCCCAAACCTCGGTCTAACGTGCTGGGCACCGTCGATATGTCCTGCTAGCCAGCACGGACGTGCTGGCGCTTTCCTCCCGCTGGCTTCTGGACCAATTGTTGGCCTCCTGAGGCACCGCCCGGACCGCAGAGAGCGCCTCCAGACGAGCTTGAACGCTCGGAGCGCCACCGCGGAAGCGAAACGCTTCTTTCTCCAGCGGCGTCGATGCCACCATGCACCGCAAGCCTTTTCTAGGGCGCTTCATACACCGCCGAGAGGCCAGCGCACGCTGCATGACTCCCAGTTTTTGGGAAGAGCAAGTGAGTTTCACCGACCTTGTCTGCTACGGCGACAAGCACGTGCACCATGGTCCTTGTGCATGGAGCAAGGCGACCGCGCTTCCGCTTCGGAGCGTACAACTCCTCCGCGTACCGCAAATGACGTTCAGCAAGGCATCCAAGAGGCAAGTCAGCGAAAAGCCGGTGCACGAAGACACCCGGGGCGGCGTTTTGCTGCGTTTACGCAGATGCTGGCCCGTCGTTCGACCTACCGCGATGGCCTCGTGCTGCTCCTGCTCGTACTGCTGGCATATGCCATGGCGGGAACCACGAGTTATGCCATAACGCAGCGCTATGATCCAAGTGCGGTACGAATATCGTGCGACCCGCGCGTGCTACCGGCGTACGGTTTCCAGTCGCTCATGAGACTGGTACTGGCCTACGGATTCTCACTGGTATTCTCGTTAATCTACGCGTACATTGCGTACAGGGCCTCGTTTGCTGCGCAAGTGCTGCTTCTCATTATTGACGTTTTGCAATCCGTCCCTATTCTCGCTTTTGTCCCAGCAGCAGTGCTGGGCCTGATCGCCATGTTTCCAGGGCAACGCATTGGGGTCGAGCTGGCAGCGATGCTGTTGCTCTTCACCTCGATGGCGTGGAATATGCTTCTTGGCTTTTACCAGTCCCTAATATCCATACCGCCGGACCTGATGGAGGCAGCCAGAATACTGCGACTCTCAGCGTGGCGGCGTTTTTGGTTGCTGGAAGCGCCTTCGGGCGTGTGCTCCCTCGTCTGGAACTCCATTATCTCCGTGTCCAGCGGGTGGTTCTTTCTGATAAGCATCGAGAGCTTCTCACTGGGGCCCGGCAGAGAATATCGTCTGCCGGGCTTGGGAAGTTTCCTTGCTGAGGCTGCGGATCGAGGCAATATGCGCGCGATCTTCTGGGGTCTGTTCACTGTAGTGTCGCTTATTATCTGCATCGATATGTTGATCTGGCGTCCGCTGATCGTCTGGAGTGAGCGCTTCAAGTTCTCGACGAACGCCAGTTCCGGCATCGGGGCGATCAGTTCGCTGCAGAGGAAGGCATCGCGCTCGCCTTCGTCGTCGTCGTCTGGGCTGCGTTCGTCACTGGGGTCGGACGCTAATTTCGCGGATGAAGACGACGACCGCGAGAACGATAACTACGACGACGACGACGACGATGATGATGAGAATGACGCGTCTTCTTTCGCGTGGGCTGGTGCACCACGTCGGCAGTTCCGTGTTCTGGAGCTTGTCCAGATACCGGATGCAACCGCGAGTGCCACAAGCAGCGCGCCCGGACTCGCGATCATGCACAGCATCGAAGGTGAGTCTGCTCCCGGAGCCGAGCAGGTTGTCATCCAACAACGCGAACTGGACGCACCACGAAGCATCGTGTTTGCATATTTCCAGCGCTCTCCATTGATGCGTGCCGTTCACCGGCGATTCTTTCTGCCTCTCTGGCAGAAATTCATTGATGCAGACGTGATCTGGGAGCGTGCAACGGAAACAACTTCCCAGACGCTGGCACTAGCCTGGAAGCGCGTGCATCAGCCGCATCTGTTGCTGCGGCTCTGGGGCTTTATGGTTCGTTTGCTTACATGGAGCAGTGTGCTGGGCATCGCCTGGTTGGCGTTTCTGGCGTTTCGCGTTGCCCACCACGCGCTACGGATTCTGCAGACGATTTCGTGGCGCTCGTGGATCACCATTCTGAGCTGTGCTGGACTGACCTTTGGTCGTGTGCTGACGGCTTTAGCGCTCTCGTTATTATGGACAGTTCCACTGGGGGTTGCTGTCGGGTGCTCACCGGCACTGGCTCGCGTCCTCCAGCCGCTAGTCCAGATCGCTGCTTCCGTGCCAGCGACGGCAGTATTCCCGTTTCTGCTCCTGGGGTTAGCGAATTTCGGCGGGCTTGGCTTGCAGATTGGCTCGATCCTCTTGATGATGTTCGGCACGATGTGGTACATTCTGTTCAACGTCATTGCAGGTGCTGCAGCGATTCCCGCGGAGCTCTGGGAAGTTGACGCGGTTTACAACAAGGCCACAGACTCGTGGCTTGCTCGCCAGTGGAGACGATGGCGCTTTCTCATCCTGCCCGGTATCTTCCCATACCTCATCACTGGTATTGTTACGGCTGTTGGAGGCGCGTGGAATGCGAGCATCGTTAGTGAGTACGTCCAGTTCCAGGGCCAGATTTTATCGACCAAAGGTCTGGGGGCGCTCATATCGAACGCAGCGGCTCGTGGTGATTTACCGTTGCTGTTAGCGGGGACCCTGGTCATGTCTAGTTTGGTGCTGCTCACGAATCGTTTTGTCTGGGCGCCACTCTACAAGTTAGCGCGTGAACGCTACACGCTCAACTAGGAGCAGCGCAGTGACGCCGATCCAGGTTGTTTCACTGCTAGGATTGGAGGCTCTTTGTGATGATAGATCCCCTGGTATCTGTGTTCGATACCTGTAGTGGTGCAACTTGCAAGACTAGACCCTAACTTTAAATCAGTTCTGTGTTTAGTACATGGCTCATGAATGACTAGTGCGTTCTTCGGGATTAGACGGTAAAATGCAGCACTTTGGTTACTCCGGGCGCTAGGCTTGCCCAGTGACAGTCTTCCCGATGACAGGTGCTTCAATACAACAAAGCGCATCCAGAGAGCGATGCAAGGCCTACCTTCTCAGCATGATCGGTGTCGGGAAACGCCCTGCATGACAACGTGTCGTCAACCGTTATACCGGGGGCGGTACGGGAACGCTCCGTACGCGAAGCCATCGTCATGCTGCGCGTTTGCTCTGCTTCTGCAGGTCCGAATCATCCATGCAACATATACAATCAATAACTTTTAGCATATGCGTCTCCGGATGCAAACACAATGCATCACTAGCGACTTTTTTGCTGGTGTGAAGACGCACCCCGTCGCTGCGGCGCCCTCGCCCGGACAGCTGCAGATTTCAATGGGTTCGGGAAGAACGCGTTTCGGTTCAGTGACTTGTACTCGGCAAAGTTCTCCAAATACCACTGATGGTTGCTCCGTGCCCTGGGGTATAAGTTCGAAAACGTCCAAAGCGCGAATGAGAACGCTGCCCACGTCTGTGCGGCGATCGCAAAACCCGTCCATTCCACAAACTCAGAGAAGTAGTTCGGCGCGCTGACGTAGCGATACAGACCACCATATGGAATAGCGTAACGTTTCTCTTTGATCTCTTCAGGGTTTCGCCGCAACGCTCTCGTGATCGCGTCGCTATGCCAGTTGCCAATCAAGCCACACACCCAAAGCAATAAGCCGCTGCAGAATGCCCAGTCCAAGGACCGACGCGAGCGAATGACCAATTCGTAAACGAACAGTGCTTTCGCATTTAAATAGGTGTTAATGACGCAGAACAGGATAGCTGTCGAAACAACAGTGAAGGTGGTAGGCTTCGAGCCTCCACGCATCCGCAGAGGGAACACAAAGGCGCGGTTCGCATAGTGAACAAGCCAACAGAACGCCAACGTAACAGTCATCCACTCCCGTTCATCAAACCCGAGCTTCAAGAGTTTGTCGGTACGCTGACGAAGCCAACGAGTCAGGTACACGGCCATAATCAGGAACGAGGGGCTCTCTTGTATGATCCAGCCCAGGTCGCTGCGCAGCGTAGGGCCCCAGCCGGTACGCAAATGCCGCCCGTATGGTGCTGATACGAGGAAAAGCACTGGAAACACAAGTACGGCGAGAGCAATCCAGCTCCATAATAGTGCATCATCCGAAAGAAGGTTCATTATGAAAGGGGGCGATACCGCTTCACGTTCAAAACACCACGATCCAATTCTGTATCATAGCCGTATGTGAAGCGCGAGGTGATATGCGGTGCGGCGCATCATCAGAGACGCCATCCCTGCACGAGATCGATGCGCCTGAACGGTTTCAATCTGTATATTTCTTGACATGATGGAAGGGAATGGACATGGCATGAACGGATCCAACACAGCCATGAACGCCCATGATATAAATTAGAACATCAATGTATCTGTTAGTACAAGGAAGACAGTCGGTTGACGGATGCACCCCTGGCGGACGCACTGCGTACCCGCTGCAGCGACTGTGCAGAACGTTGCCTGCACCTCCGGCAGCTGGTCTCTTTGGTTACCGTGGTTCGCTCTTCACAGAGTCAGCGATGGTGTTCTTGATTGTGGATTTTAGCGAAGTAAGCCGGGGTGGCGTGAAAGCGCGGGTCCAGGTTACACCGAACAGCCTGCTGTCGGAAGTTCTGCGACAAGCCTGGGAACAGGTGCAGACAAGGTGCGGGAGCGCTGTTGGCGACGCTGCCGAGCCTCGGCTCGCATCTTTACCGGCAAACTGGGGACTTCGGCATGGGAAACGCTGGCTAGACTTGTCGCTACCTTTTCGGCTGTCGGGTTTATCGGCTCAGGCCCGGATAGTTGTTGACGAGCGCAGTGTCAGTGAAACGGCGAAGACGAGCGTTACTGGAAAACCTGGACAGACAGCAGACCTCGCTCAGGGCGTCACACCTGCGCATTCGCTGACTGTGGCTGTGCAGTACGAGAGCGACCCCCCAGAGCGCTACATCGCACCTGCAGTATTGGAGGATACGCTCTGGAGCGTGCTCGAGCGGGCGAATCCGGAGCGTCTGTGGTGGTGCCGCCCCTACTTGCTAGTCGCACGGTACCTGGAGACTGCGCACTATGGAGTCAGCCATTTTCGAAGCCTCCGCTTACGAGATCTGGGCCTAAGTCCGGGCACGCGTCTCCTGATTCGAATACAGTGCCTCACCACGGATGACGACTCCGGTGGCTGGGAGGAGGTGGAAGCGTCGGCAGGGGCGGCTCGATCGCCGGTCGCTTCCAACAGGCACGATCACGCGGATGCAACAGGCGGTTCTGATATCGCATCTGTGGACAAGGTGAGCAGCGGTCAGGCGGCGACGCGAGAATCACAGGCAACTGCCGATTTGCATCTGCAGCATGTCGAGCAGCAAAGTACGCACCTGGTTTTGGGAAATCCAGGAGCGAAGTCCGCTTTCGTGGATGCCCCAGCACGCGTGCTCGACACTGTCTCCCGAACGATCGAGGAGCCAGCAGCATCATCTCCGCAAGGAGAGCGCGTGCCGGTTACTGGCTCCAGTGATCCCTCGACTGCCAATGGTGATCGGCAAAGAGACACGCGAGCCGACGCGAGCACGAACCCACGGACACCGTCGCCTTCAAGTCGAGGCGCGAGGCCGTCCACTTACGCTCTTGTCGAGATGCACGAAGTGGACACCTCTGTCCCGAAAGTCGATGGAGTCGTAGCTGAGCCAGCGGATGCACGAAACTCGGCCTCGTCGGTGAACACGGAATCAGGTACAACCCAGATACCTATACAGGGAGCGGAGTCAACCTCGGAGCTGCTGATTCCAGGTCGCACTGCATCTGACGCCCCTGTTTTAGAGACGAACGGAAATGCAGGAGCACCTGCAGGTCAGGTGCCTGAGCGGTATGTCCGTTTCTACCTGCCGACGACGATCCGCTTTGATGCGCAGCTCCTCGACCTACCCGATACTTTTTACGATCTAACACCGGGGGAACTGCGACGGATCCTTCATGCACAGCAGCGACAACAGGAAGAAGCAACCGTTCTCCGAACCCGCAGGCATACAACTGCTTCACGAGCAGGCGCAACGCAGCCGGAGCAGTGTGTGGTACGTGTCCGGCTTCCCGATCAGACGGTCATTGAGGGTCGTTTCTGGTGCAACGAAAGCCTAGACGACCTGTACGCTTTCGTGCGGCGCTTTGTAACGAGCACGAACGGGGCCTTGGACGCATTCAAGCTCTATCAAACGCCACCGAAACGGGTGCTGCATGCCGGGCCAACAACGCTGCACCAAGTGCAACTCTGCCCAGCTTCTGTGCTAGTCCTGGTTCCGTCAACATCGAATACGTATGTTACTCTGGGCTTGCGCCCAGAATTTCGTTCTCGCTTGGAGAAGTCCCCGCTGGAGGCTGCATTTGCGAAGGAGGTTGCACAGGCAGAGGCGCTGCGTCGCGAGTATGCTGGTGTCATTTCGTCACCACATACCACGCCACCGGAGGCTGCCGCGGCGACCGCAGACGGCACGGCAGCCAACGCCGGCAAGCAGATTCGTTCGGAAGATGCAGGTACCGGAGATCGCGAGCCGGATGCTTTCTCGAAGGCGGATAGAGCTCGCAACGACGCTGAGCAGCAGTTGAAGCAGCGGTTGCCCAAGTGGTGGCGGCGTCCTCCAGGTGGGCGTTCGTGAATCCTTCTGTTCGGGTCAGGAAATCCACAGCTTTGCAGCTTCTGACTCGTGTTGCGTGCAGCGAGGGCAACTCAGCCGGCATGGACGCCCTCACAAACACGCCCATGCACACACGCAAACGCACGTCTACGCCCCGGACTAGAGACAGAGCACTCGGTTGCCGGTACGGAGTCATCACGTCTACACATGCGGTTTGCGCCCAGTGCGCGTCTGCACATATCCACGCAGGCGAAACAGATGCCGAATTTGAGACGCTCTGATCAGTCACCAGAGCGCTCTGTCGCCGGTAAACTTTCGTTGCGAGAGTCGCTACTTTTGCAGCAACTACCGCAGACATGAGTATAGTTTCTTTTACCCCGCAATTGCCTGCGTTTCCGCTACGCAGCATGGAACGCTCCCGTTGCATAATCCAGGCTCAGCTGCGCGGTGTCGTCCAGTTCGAGCCTCTGTCGCTGTCTTAGATTCTAAACCGGCAATGTATCGCTTGTTTAAACATCGCCGAAGCCTACAATACAACAACCGCTCGGCAACAGTGGCGACACGTACAGCGTCTCTTGCTCGACGCCCATTCCAGGAGACGTCTCCGCACGATGTCTCACTATCTCATGATGCGGACGAAGCGTCCTCATTCGGTCAGACGTTCTCAGGTGGCGGTTATGGCGCTGCTGGACCCCGAGCATTCTCGCATTCGCGTACGCACTGAGTGCCAGCATACGATCCTGGGACGCGCTTGGCGCCTAATCCGCAAGCTTCTTTCATGGAGTCGGATTTATGCATCAGACCAGGATTCCCCGAGAAGGCATTTTCAGCTGTTAAGCAAGAAAAAAAGAGCTAAGCTCTCCGGATCCATCAGCATTCTACGTACCCCAGAGTGGTTTCCAAGTCTGGAAAGAAAGATAGACCAGGCTGGTGCGATCGGTGTTCTGGGTGCAGCGTCTTGTGCTGACGCCTCCGGTAACGCGGAATGCGCCGGTTCCGCCACGGTTTTCGCACGGCGACGTCACGGCTTGGGCGAATGCCTCGTACGGTTTCTTTCATGACCTAGGACCGTTGTTTCTGACCAAGGATCCCCTAGTGACTGTCACCTATCGATATCGAAGGAAATGTCGTGAACGGGTGAAGACGCGCAGTCTCAGCTCCGGGGCATCGATGCACGGAGCAGCAGCATAGAAGCTGGACGTATCTGGTCAATGATGATCCTATCCGTTCTCATGCGTGACAATGGTAGATAAGATCCTAAACATTCATAAAATTACAAATAAGTATAATATAATACATATTCATAAAGGAGCATGGGCGCCGTCGCAGCGCGCACGTCGTCAGCGCATCGCAATCTCTGCCTCAGTGCACCGCTATTAGTTTGGACGCTAACGTCAAGTTTTCGTGTTGGTTAGTGTGACTGCGCATGACCGAGGTGCAGACAGAGCGTGCGTTCCAGAAGCAGGAGGCGGTGTCGTTGAATGGGCCGGCAGTGAGATTCCATGGTGCCCGGAAGCGCTGGTACAAGTCTATCGGGCTCGGGATCAAGATCCCGCGCGAAGCCATCGAAGGCACGTATATCGACAAAAAGTGCCCCTTCACGAGCAACGTGAGCATCCGTGGCCGTATTCTTCGTGGCGTAGTTGTGAGTACTAAAATGACGCGCACAGTCATTGTGCGACGGGACTATTTACACTGGGTGGCCAAGTACCGGCGGTACGAGCGCCGGCACCGCAACATTCCGTGCCATGCCGCGCCCTGCTTTCGGTTACAAGAGGGAGACATTGTTACCATTGGCCAGTGTCGACCTCTGAGTAAAACTGTGCGCTTTAACGTTATCCGAGTTGATCGATCTGCTGGCGGAAAAGACAGGACTGGCAAGAAGATGTTCACGGGTCTATAAGTGTTGCACATAGTGCGCAGGCGTGGCGAACGCGTTCCACGTAACCGGCGTCGCGAACATACACACACACTAGGAACCGTTAAGGCACGAGGGCGCCTAGATCGGAACAGGTTTCTGGAACTGATATGGGTACGTCGGCAGTTCGTGCGGATAGGTTTGGGACAATCTTGAAGCGGTATGCGCGAGTCTGGTCGAGAGGCGTAGCTACCAGTTCACGGGCGCAAGCGCGTCCGACGAGACCTCTCACTGCCACGCCCAGAGGATGCCTCTCGTGCGGGCGTGAAGGATCACACATGTTCGTGTGTTGGGACCTACTTTTCTGCGTCTGTGAAGGTATGGCGAACGCTGTGGTGTGGGCGTTGTGCCCGATATAGGAGATGCATCGCGCGGTATCTGTTTGATGCTGGTTCAAACGTCTCTTTTTTCCAGCGGCGGAAGTATCCGATTCTATGTTGTTTTCCTCGATGGTGCAGTAATTGATCTGCCGACGCTCCAGAACCGCCCAGAGACACTGCGGTTACGCGCATCGCTCACACTACATCCAACATGAGAGTTTAGAGTGCAATAAAAATCGCAGCACCGCACACATACACCTAGTGCAGAATAAAATAGGACGGGCCTAGTCACCTAAAACGAGTGTACCCTCTGAAGCTTGCATTCCTTTGCATTGTCATGAACATAAGCGTTTACGGTTTGTAGGCGACAATTTCCTTTGCTTCCTACTCATCTGCGATTTGAAACGCGCAGGTCCCTCACGTCCGTCCAGTTCCGTGTTCAGCAACCAGGAGATGTTGATGGTAGCTGTACGATCCCGACGTCGCTGATTTCGAATGTTGCCCGTGTACTTCATGCGCAGGCGGTAGTTGCCATCTATACTGCAGTCGATATCTGCATTTGCGTTTTATACACGCTTGGAACGTGGTTCGCGGCGTTGACACTTGACTTTGGTTAGGTGTTCCCTCTGTGTCCACCGATTCTCCATGTCCTTCGATGGCCGGTCTGTGACTCGTCAGGGCTTCCTGCATCGCTCGACACATGCCCTGCATGGATACCGGAGGCTCCCTCGATGCTCTCCTCCGACTCCCGGTCAGGTGCCGCACCCCACGATTACGCGCTTGTTCGATGCGAGCGCCTCGATGATACCTGCCTGCTGCATGCACAAGCGCATGATGTTCCACCCGATAATTGATTTGTGGAACGCGATGTCGTCCATGATGAAACAAGCACTGGAAGGAGAAGCCAGGCTGGACAATACCCCGAGAAATTTCGATCCATCGACGCTCGCTTCACTTGAAGCGATGGCTCCGATGACCCAAATCCGACTCCAAGACCCTGTTTCATGCAAGCAGAAGTGACGACAGCCTCCGGGAGCGCATCTCATGAAAGGTATCATGCCGCTGTCGAAAGCCGTTTCGTCGATGACTCCATAGCCAGAGGGACTTGTCGTTCGAATGGAATCGATCACGCGACGCGGGTTGTTCAACAAGCTTTCAGCATGATTGTGTACTGAACTCCTCAAGGGACGACTTCGGGTTTGTTCCTTCGTCCATCAAGCGGCGTGAATCGTTGCGCCCATGAGTTGCCAACGAACGGAAAGATCAACAACTTGAAGCATGCGTGATTCGAGCATGCTTTTCATACGGAAATGAAAAGCTCAGACGCTTGAAAATGTACCTTGGATCATGGTCTTGGTCATGTTACGAACGTCTGTTCGACGCTTACGCGAATCACTCTGATTCCGATGACGTCATGAATTCCAGGGGCAAGGCATCGAAGACGTCACTCTGGACATACGACCGAGAATCCTAGAACTACACATGAATCCTCAACGCATATTTCTGCACTTTGCAAGTCGAGACTTTTGCTCTAACCCATTCGGAAACAAAAGTCACAAAGCAGGAAGCGAGCATCCGGTACACTGCCCTATTCCAGTCTGGCACACAGACCGATGCAGCAGCGCCCCGATTCGGCAGCGGAACAGAAGCGCCGCTCCTGGACACACTGCTCCGTTTGTTTTTGAGCGCTCGCCGAGCTCCGGGGAATGCGTTCCGGGAACGATCATGACATCCCAGCGAGAACTCCTTCGTTACGTGGAGAGTGATTTGCGGTCTCTGGTAGCGAAGCTGGGGAAACGAAAAGTTGAACGAGCGTTTGTCGAAGATCTCCCGTTTCTTACGGAGCGTTTCTCGAGCTGGAAGAGTGCCGTGGAACGCGTACTGACGCAGTTGCGTGAGGATGATACGCAAGCTCGTCTTTCGTTCTCACTTTCGATCGACCTGGTGGGTCACGTGCTCATCCACAACGTACAGTCAGTGGAGAACTGGCGTAAAAGTGAAGCAAGTACGCTTCTTGCACTGGGGCTTCTGCACCGTCTCGCAAGCCAGGCAGCGTTGCCAAGCCACCGCGTCGCAGACGTCGTCGCCTTGCTGAGCTATTTCGTTCTCAGTGTTCAGAAACTGGTCCTTCGAAGCGAGTTTTCGAAGCGTCGTTGGTTGATTTATGGCGAGCGCAACGGTGCCCAGGTTCCGGGAACGAACTCGGATCAATCGGACGCAACGGACTCGTTTTCACGTCGATCCTCGCCCGGAACAGTATCTTTGGTGGAAGAGGCCCTCGAGCAAGCCACCTGCGAGCAAACAGCTGCGGTCGGACAACGTGCCACCGAAACCCAAGTGCTGCCGGGAAACGACCTAGTCTTGGTCGAGCGGCAACTGCTACGAGTCCTCCAGGTCCTTTTCGAAATACCATCTGTGCAACACAGGGCCGGTGCAGCTCAGGAATACGATGTAGACGCTTCGAAATCAGACTCAGCGGCTAGTGTCTCCAAAATGTGCCAAGCATCCCTACCACAGCGACTATTTACGCTCCTGACGCTGATTGAGCAGCTTCCCGGAGTGACTGCAGTGGTTGCTCGCACTGCAGCAGCTGCGTTAGAGCGATACTGCACAGCATTATTCGAGGATCGTCTCTGGAGAGAGCAAGTCGCGATAGCTTTCGTGGAGGATCTCTGTTTGCTGACGCTGGAACGGCCGCCTGTTCACGGCTTTGGGACGCTCTTGTCCCTGCAGGTCCAGACGAACACGAGCAGTCCAGTCGAGTTGCCGGGTGCTTCGGCCTCTGCCGCAGAGCGCACGTCATCATCGCTGCAGCAAGAGCGACGAGCACAGGCGTCGCCCGAGGCCGAGGACCTTGACGAAGCCCGAGAGGGCCATCCAGAATCGCTATCCGCCGCTCAAGTGACGTCCACTGGTGCGATGCAACAGAAGGAAACGTATTGCCTGGAAGTGATCACCCCAAGCCCTGATGTTATGACGTCGCTGCTGGCGGAAGCGCTGGGCAGGGCGATGCGTGGTGGTCTCGCTCCCCAGGCTTGCCTGCTCAAGCGTCTTTTTCCTTTCGTCGAAGCACAGCTGAATGAGGCCGAGCTCTCCTGGTCAATATGCAGTCTCGCAGCCGCGTTAATCCAGGCACCGGTGGCCTCGTTTGGCGCCCTGCTCGCGTCACTTGCTGGAAGGATGCTGGAGCAATTAAGGGTCTCGATGGATCCGAGCTATTCATCATCTGACACGAATCCTAATCAAGTTCTGTTGATGCATCATCGCGCACTCTTGTTGATCGAGACTTTTCGCGATGCATTGCTTACCGGAGCGTCCACTGCAGAGGACCGTGCTTTTATCAGCAACAGCAGCAGCAGCAGCAGCTCCTGGTCACCACAAGCGCTACTCCGATACCTGGAGCGCGAATCAGATAGGACGTTCGCGTCACAAAACGCTGCTGCTGGAGCAGGCGATACGACCTCAGCGCTGGGTACGGAACAAAAATCGTTGCCTTCAGTCGATGAGCGACGTCGTCTTCGGGAGGACGTTGTTACGTCCCGAGAAACAAGCGCGGAGGCCTTTTCAAAATTGCCTGCGTCGGAGACCGGGGGTATACTCACTCAGTGGGTGGCGATGCTGCAGCTGTGTGTCACCACCGGCACATCGATGGTGACGGAGCTGCAAATGCTGCCCACAGGTCCGTTGCGGCATCAGCGCCCGCTACTTCGCCAACTCGGGCAACTTATCGAGGAGCCCAAGCATAGAAACCTGGACGGCGAACTCTGGGGGCAGCTTACGAGCGCGGCGCTGGGTCTGCTTTTCGTCTTGTTGGAAGCCACCGATCCCGTGGCGGATGTGGACTTTCTGCGACGCACCTGGCCGGACTTTTTGACGGCGTTTGGAGCTTTGCTCGCACGTGCACAGCAGGTTCCGGCGGTGGTGCTTCAGCCGCTCATCGAACGGGGCATGGATTCTTTGCTCCAGCGTCTGGCAGTTGTACGGAGCTCTGTGGACGCGCCCTCGATCATGAATGACTCCAGCACCGACGCATCTGGGCTTCTTGGTGGCTCTGCTGGGCAGCCACCTGCGATGCATGGCTCGACGTCGGCACTGGAACCCTTTGAGACGGTGTTCATCTGCCTGTGTCGTACCCTGCGGCTGGTGCGAAGTACACGATCCGCCTCTGCTTCTGCTTCCGACAGCGAGGCTGTGCATGTGTTGACCTGCCTTGGGCGCGTTTTACAGAGCAACTTGCAGCGCGCGCTTTCGACAATGCACGAATCGGAGTACAACACGAACACACCGCAAGCTGTGGTCGAACGCAGGCCGCTTTGTAGTTCCTGGAGTCCCAATACTTGGCTTGCTCTCGTGGAGAGCATTCTAATCGCAGGAGACGACGATCGTGATGCTGCCTCGGGTGAGCCGATGCTTGATCCCGTGATCGACAGCAGCTTCGAGCACTGGGACAAGTACCTATTGCAGCAGCAGCAGCAGCAGCAGCAGCAGCGCGCAGTAGGCTGCGTTCCCGCAGTGGCGTTGCTACGAGCGCTTTTCACTGTTGCTCACGCGGCCCAGGAAGACACCTCCACGCGGAACCGTGCCTTTTTACATGCCGTCTTCGTCGTCAAAGCATACTTGAACGCTGTCCAGCGGCAAGCAAGGGCAGCAATTGTTGCCTCAAACGGAGATGGACCCTATACTGGAAATGCCTGGACAATACCAACATCAAATGCTACGAATGCTGCTGTTGTTACAGCAACCGGTCCCTCTGAATGGCCTGATGGTACAGGCACCGAGCAGGCATCCACGGAAACAGGCGAGCAAGTCGCTAGCGGCGCTATGTCGTATGCGAGCACCACTGGAACTCAACCGCCTTTCCTGTTTTGGCAGACACCAGTAGCGGCTCAAGTTTGGGACTTGTTTGCGCAGTTCGTTCCCATGATGGCCTCTACAGATCACGTCCAAGTCTTGAATGGATGGCGCGGACTCTTCCAACAACTCTTCCTCGCACAGAGCATAGACGATAAGACCGCGGCGGCGCCAGATGCGGTACAACACGCGTTTCGACCGACACCGCAGGCACCGCTGTTCGCTCCGCTGCTGCAGCTTATCGAACAGAGGCGAGATAACGCTCAGTCGGATCGAGTGGACGGGGCTGTGATCTCCAATGCGATATCGCCACTGCGTCTTTTCCGAGAGATTCTGCAGCTCGTCATGACGCTGGTTCAGGACTATGGCGAGCTTTTCGTTGCTGACGGCTGGTACGCCGTGCTCACGCTGTGCAAGGAGGCAGTGCTTGCGGGTCACGACCCGCTGACATTCACATCCGAAACAGATCGCAAGGGTATTCATGATGCCGGTTTTGCCTTGCTGCAACTCTTGGCTAAGGAGTATGCGTCCAGTTTTTTGCACCAACCGGCTGCATCAGAAGTTCGAACGCTGTGGCTAGAAACCTTGACATCATGGGCGCTGCATGCCGCTGATGTGAACATGGCGCTCAGCAGCATTGGGATGCTGTGGAGTCTCTGCGACCTCCTGCAACCGAGCGAATCAACAGATGCCGCGTTATGGTGCCGAGTGCTCTCTACCTTGGCGCGTCTCTGTATAACGGAGCGCGTCGATGTCCGAAACAGTGCACTGAAGACGTTTCTCGGAACGCTGTTGGCTCATGGCCAAAACCTAGTGGAGCACGACCGCTGGCGAGGGATCTGGGAAGAGGCGCTCTTGCCGCTCATCGAAGGGCTCTTGGTGCGCTCACCGGCACCCTCGTCGCTGGCTGGTGAAGGTACCGCGCTAGAAGCGCCAGTAGAGGCAACATCAACAACCACCGATGCCTCTGCAGAGGCGACAGCGAAGCATGCGCCGGCACGCGCGCTCACCAGCGCTACTACCAACGATGATGGCAATGATAGAACCATCGTCAAAGGTGATGCTGTTGTTGGGATGCATCCAGCAAGTGCAAAAGATGCAATCAAGCACTGGAACGCGAGTCGACTGCTTCTCATAGAGGGCCTCGTGCGACTTATCCAACAATACCTGGTTAGTCGCTGGTTAGCTCTGGAAGCATTTCCGCGCCACTGGGAATCGCTGCTAGACTATTGGGAGCAAACCAGCTGCCTCTATGACGTCCACAAGAGCCCGCCGTCGAACCAGGAAGCGCTTTTGATCGCACTGGTTGCGTTGTGGCAGACCTCGCTGGAAACGCTGAGCCAGGTCGTTTGCTGTGAGCCGGCATTGCCCGGCTCCCGATCGTCCAACCAAAGCGCTCGGCAACTCTGGTTGCAGACCTGGCAACGCGCCCAGCGACGGGCTTTTCTCGCCAACTGCTGGCCGCGTTTCTCTGTGAGCGTCGTCGAGAGCATCGTGCAGGCGTTGTTGTCGCTGTGCGGACGCGTTCAACAGCAGACACCAGATGTGGATATTCTCGATATCGTGCAGAGCCTGGGATACCAGTGTCTCGAGGCGCTTATCGAGGACACCATAGACCCCAAAGTCGCCAAGGCATCCTCCGCCACACTAGGGATGCAACGGGGCAAACCGGTGCAACGATCCGCACTCGTACGCGACGTTTTCGACGTGCTCGCGCGTTGGCCCGGTGACTCGGTAGGTGTTCACCGATGTGCGCATCTGAATGCCCTGCTATCCTTCCTGGAACGTATATGCGGGAGCATTATACGAGCCACGACGGGATCAGCGGCTGGTGTGACCTCCAGCGACGAACATTCTGTGATGCTCTGCATTGTCCAGGGCACGCTGGAGCGACTCGTACGCGGAATGCCTCCGAGTGCCACTTGTGCGGCAGAGCAGGAGCAGTTGGTGCTTCGTTTTCTGGAGCTGCTTGCGAGCATCCTGGTACCGAGGCGTACCTGGAACGGGAGTCTAGTAGCTGCTGTCGTCGACGGGTCGTCCACAGCACCAACCGATGCACCAGCAGCATCTGCACAGCAACAGCCGAGCAGCCTGGTGAGCACCAAACATGTCAGCGGTGCGAACGCGTTTGTCGAGAGTGCCGTGTTCTCGCTTGCTGCCCTGGTTGACAAGCTTGAAGACAACGAGGAGACCAGGGCGCTGCTGACGGATGCGGTGCTTGCACGTATTGCTGCGCTGTGTGAGCGCTTTCTCTTCGAGCACGACATCCCCCTGCCTGAATCCTTTGACGGTGGCACGCTCCATATGATTCACACTGGTCAACTGGATGAAGAGAAATGCAGCATCGTGATGTTACAGCTGGGTGCGCGCCTCGGTCTGGTGGACTTGCTCGAGCGTGCACTGGGCCTCGCCCCGGATATCTCGGTGGACGAACACTGGTTTTTACTCGTTACGAGCGCCTATCGCTTCAATCTGCGTCTTGCTGCTATAGAGGCTCTGTTTCACGTCGCTGCTGGACTGGATTCTGGGGCGGCACCTGCTTCGCCATTTGCGCTGAGCCGCCTGGCGAGCGCCGCGTCTACGGTGGCCGCAGCACGTGTGGCAGTTCAGCGTTTGATGCAACGAGTCGAGCGGTGCGCTGCTGCGTATCGACGTCAGTCGGGGTGCTGTCCACTGCCGTACCTCATGCGAATGTTCGAGGCCTATGTGCGATTTCAGGCGGACGCGCTTACGAAGCGTGGTGTTCACTTGTCCTCTGCAGCAGACGTTGGGACTCAGAGAGCAGCAAACGGCACAGCGTGACTTGAGCGCCCTTGAGCTAGGCGGAAAACGGGCTATGGACAACGTCGAAGCCGTACCGAGGTTTCCAGGGTCCGGTTGAAGCGCAGGCACGATTCTTGTTTGCACCCGTATCAGGCTTTGTGGCGACTCGAGCGGAACGCAGCAGCCACGAACGCAATAGGGGTTGCACGTCTACCCGTTTCGCCACCTGAGGAGAGAACTGGATGGATTCGCTGCGCTTCAAAGTACGACGCTGATGTTGCGTGCGAGATGTTCAACCGCACGCCGCTTCCTGATAAACGGGATCGGGTCAGCTCGATACTTTGCTCTTTACGATCGATGTTGTGGAAGCAGTTGCATATCGATGCACAGCGAGAAACCTTTCTCACGGCCTGTGCGGATATCATGAGCATCGTGTGCACGGTATTTTGCTTTCTGCACCCGATTTTGTTGTGGGAGTAGTTGGTTGCTGAAGCAGAGCGAGACAATTCATTCGCGCCTGGTGAGCGTCTCGCTGGCATCCGCTTTCGTTCGCAGAGCCGTGCGCAGCAACATAATATAGGGCGCAGGTTCCCGCGTAGGAGCCTAGGGAACTCGCGCAGCGTCCTCCTGCAACAGCGCATCGCGGTTTCCGAAGTATCCTTGTGAGGCTCTTTACCCGCAAAACCAGTAGCTGTTCTCAATAGCGTGAATGAAAAGGGCGGCATCTGCTCCAGAAGCCGTTATCGGGTGTAGCGGCGGCGACACTTACCTCAACGCAGTTCATTGCGACAAGCGCAACCATCGTATGCACGGACGAGCCCCCGCTGATACCCATACGACTCACCAGGTAAACAACGAACACATACACGACATCAGTGTACAGGAAATGCTGCCGATGCAAAGTCCATCCCTACGGTGCAGGTCGATCGAGCAGTGCTGGATCCAGCTTGCAGTGCAGTTCCTGCTGCGCTTCGAATAGGCGAAGGAACGCCTCAACGGCGGCACGTGTATCCGCTCGCCAGCAGAGTGTCGCCCTCAGCTTATCGATAGATGATCTCTCCGCTGCACTATCGTTGTGCGCTGACGCTGTATCCAGCGGAAGATAGCAGCGTTGCCGTAGGGTAGACTCTGGCCACTGGCCTCCTTCCGCCGGTACCAGCTCGAGAACGCGCCCCAGGAACCAGAACGTCACCGCCGGTCGACGAAGCGTGCCTTTCCCGTCCAAAGAGTCAGTACACGGGACCGCTTCACAGAGACTGCAGTGCCGAACCAGCGGTCGAAGTAGTTGCACACGGGCACCGGCCTCCTCGAAGGCCTCGCGACAGGCCGCAGCAGCGGGTGTTTCACCGACCTCGACACCGCCGGCCGGTAAGATGTAACGGGCTGGCTGTTGCCCCGCTTGTCGCTGATTAGCGCCGTCGCTGGTTTGATGTCGAGACGTCACAGCTAGGATGAAGCGCTCATCCGGTGACAGGGCCAACACACCGGCTCGCACGCGAGCATCCAAGGCGCTCCGGTCGGCGGAAAGCCTCTGGGCACAGCGGCACGGCTCGAAGCCAGTCACAGTTTGCCATCCGAGCTCCGAGACTGAAGCTGGTGTATCGTCCGACATTATAGGGCGGCTCAGACCCCACCGCGCTACTGGTCTGGGGGTCGCATTCCCGCAGACCTTGTGCTTTGGTACCCGCGAGCAACGCAGAAGCCGGTCAACGTCGCTGTTGCGCACTGTTCGAAACGAAGCGCTGTACGCGCAGGGTAACGTTTGTGTGAATCGAAACGCTTCTCTGCGGCTGTGTTCGCTGCTCGGGCGCCTTCGGGGACGCATGGCTACCTTAAGCTTCCTTTTCGGTACGTCTTCTGCCAGGTTCACTTCAGGACACGATGCATGGTCGCGGGCGGGTGTCCGAGCGTCGTGGAACGTGGCGCCAGCCCAGCGTTTGCCCCGAGCGAAGGTCGGACTGCGGACCCTGGTGGCGCGCACCAAGAGCACCTCGAGTCCTAGCGTCGAAAACCGTCGAATAAACTTTCAGTATGAGGTTCTTTGGACCTTGGAATGTGGAATAGAGCTCAAAGGAACGGAGATTAAGTCGGTGCGGGCGGGGAAGATGAACATCCGAGACGCGTTTGCGCGGGCGAAGCGAGGAACCAACGACCTCTGGCTCTATAACTGCCATATTGCGCCACATGACCGAACAGCGACGTTCTTCAACCACCAACCGACACGACCTCGCCGTCTCTTAGCGCATAAACAGGAAATTCGGCGGTTGCTGCAGGCTCAAGAGGAAAAGGGACTTACGCTGGTACCGCAGCGGTGTTACTTCGACCAGCGCCAGCGGCTGAAAGTGCTGCTCGCAGTCGCCCGTGGTAAGAAACTTCACGACAAACGCGAGAGTATTCGGGAACGTGACGAGGCACGTTCCATGAAACGATTCGCCAAATACGACCTGAGAGACTTGTAGAGGGCCATGCCCACCAGCGTTGTGGCTGCATGCCTTGTGTCGTCCGCGATGCTGCTTCGAGGTCGTTTGAGCAACCGCGGTAGCCGCTGGGGCCCAGTTCCTTGGCTTGCATGAATAGGCACATCGCCATTTCCCAGCGATTCCAAGAAGGAGACTCGAACCTGGAGGCCATGCATTTTTGCAGCTCAAGCCGCTGAGGCGCACACGCGCTACCACCGTTCTGGGTGTATGCATCTACGTTTATCCCGTTCCGATCCCGAGCGCCTAGCGGTGCTTTTCGTAAACCCCTTGTGCCCCTGCGACAATGACCACAGAGGCCATGTCGAGAAATAGTCCATGCTCGACAACGCCTACTGTGTCGCGCAGCGCTTGTGCTGCCTGGTAGGCATCGGCAATGGGCTTCTCGAAATACAGATCCACAATATAGTTCCCGTTGTCAGTGACGTACAGGGCACCAGCGGCATCGCGACGTGCCTCAGCGCGGCAGCCTGCCAGGGCAGGAAGCGCGGCAATTTTCCGCATGGTATGCTGCCAACAGAAAGGTGTGACTTCCACAGGCATGGCTCCGCTGACGCCAAGACCCGGTACAAGCTTGCTCTCATCAACAATAACAATGAACTGTTTGGCGCAGACTTCGACCATTTTTTCCCGCAATAGAGCACCACCGCGTCCTTTCACCAGGTTCAGTGCCGAGTCAACCTCATCCGCTCCGTCTATGGCAACATCGAGTTCTGCATCCTCGTCCAAGGTGGTCAAAGGGATATTCAAAGATCGCGCTTGCTCCTCGGTGCGCACCGAGGTTGGTACGCAGCGGATGTCGCGCAGTGCTCCAGCGGCGAGTTTCTGACCTAGCCGCTCGACCGCAAAAGCAGCAGTGGAGCCTGTACCTAGACCAACCACCATGCCCGAGCGAACGTAGTCATCGACTGCCTTGTACCCGACCTGTTTCTTGAGATCGTCGGCGCTCGCCATTGATGTGGAGAAAACGCCCCCAACAGCTAGTCGACGTGAATGCGCGCGTAGCCAGCGTCCACTGGTACTGGCTGTTGTGCTTCTGCCCAGGATGCGTGTATACCGGTCAGTTCTGGCGCCTATGTTGCAAACCCGAGGTTGATTTTTGAGAGTCCACAGGAACGTTCCTGTTGGTGATGCGAAACTCACAGAGCGGTCGAACATAGCCTACGAATACGTCGACAGCTTACGACTCCTGCAAATGCGACTGGGGAGCGCAGTCGCACCGCGAGCCGATGCGCCTCCTGGGCAGCCGCTCGCGCTGCGCCACAGGCGCACGGCGTGTTACGAGCAGCACGCCTTGCGGCAGGCGCTGCTTCGCCTCGGCAGACCTGCTGGTCGTTTTGTGCACGAGGGTTGCAGCTGCACGTTCCATGTGGGTTGCTGAAGCGTCACGGCTGTATTGCCGTACGATGAATGGCGGCGCATCCGGTGTTGCGCCTCACGCTAGGCGAAAGGCGACGCAGCAGTGGCACGATCCCTGGCGGGACTCGAACCGCTGCTCTCGCTACCGACTCTAGAACATAAAAGACGCACGTGTCGTGGACAGAGTTTGCATGTTTCCTGGTGAACTCCATTTGTCAAGCATGTTGGGTCGCATAGAGCGTGAGGCACGCGCGGTTGCGTCTGTGCGGAACGCACACCCGTTTCGTTTCGGTGCTGCGCGCCCGAACGTGGACTGCGCGGTCGAGCCCCCAGACACCACGGCAGCGAACTGGATTTGGAATGGTAACGATGATGGTGATGGTGATGGTGATGATGAAATTCGAACTCCGAAGCAACCACAAAGGAAGTGTGCTTGATGGCCCGACAACCGCTCGCAGTCGCATGTTCGGGATTCTCGGATCCGATGCATCAACGCCGTGCCATGGAGGCAGTGAAGAGGCGCAACCAGCAGCGAGTGCGACATGCGCGCCTGATGCTCAGCTGTCCGGGCATCATGCGGATGCCTGAAAACCCGCTCCGAAGCAGTACATCCAAAACCACGATGAATGCTGGTAAAAATGGAATGTATTACAGCATGCATGGCGGCTGCATCGATTTGGAACTGTTGATCTGGGACCAAGATCCGGCTAGATGGATCCCAGAATACAAGTGCGAACGGCGGTGCACGAATCGATATCCTCACCGCTTCCTATGCGCATGCATCTTTACAGCCTCCTGAACGCAACTGGACTCGAGACGGCGCTCTGTACGCAAATCGTCCATGTTGTATGGTGAGGTACATGCGCTCACCGTGCCTCACCACGGAGCTTGCATCCCGCCGTCTACGCGGCACCCTGGTATCGAGCGCGCAGTCAAGGATCCCAGAATGATCATGTATCCTGATTCCGTGTCGGGATGGAGCATTCCTTCATTCGACGCTCTCAGTGGTATGGCAAAGCCGCTCTGTCTCCGTGCAGCCTCGGTAACAGTAATTCAGGCGCCAATGCGGGCGCTCAAAGCAGGCACCTGTCACACGACAGAACATACGAAACGACCAATACATCCGAGAACAAACAATGGAACTTGGAGGTAAGATGCAGCATGATGGACACTTCTTCGATTACCATTACCCATCCGGCAATATGGGATTCATGGTCAATGTAAACGTTTTGTCATCGAAAAAATCAGTGTACCATTTTCATCGCGTCCGGGGTGAAGGGCGAAGCACCGGTTGGTGCATCAAAAACAGTGTTGTGTCCCTAGACTGACGCAAGTTTTGGATAAAAACGGGCGTTTACATCTTGTATGTGGACGCGTGCTCGCAACTGAACTCGCTCTAGCACGTTGCTTGCAAACACATAACTACCCGTACATAGTAGACACGGTTCCAAGGTAGCTTCAGCGTTACCGGGAAAGCCACCGAGCCTAGTTGCAGCGCAACGTGAAGCAGTTGTCACTTGCCTGCATCTGTTCAGGACAACTGAACGAGACAGTTTTCAAGTTGTCCACAGTTTAGGCTCAGTTAGCGAGAGGAATACCGTTGAACAGCGCCAGGTACCTGTCCAGAGTCATACCTCCCGTATCTGTAGTACATCCGCTGGAACGCTTGAGGCAGTTCTCTGCCAGCGCTCATGCGAGCCGTCGGCTACAGCCCTGTGGTGCCGCGGGACTCTTTAAACGCGGTAGAAATGGCAGCAGCAAACACTGCAGAATGATAAATAACAACAAAAGAAACCGGTCACAAACTATACATGAAAGAACAACTATCTTAACGCCCCATGCACCACGTCCGCCTAGGAGGTCTAGTATTTCCGGAGGAGCTCTGAAAGTGGGTTAACACGGGGTGCTTGGGCGACGGCGAAGGAAGCCCACACCAGGGACCTTGACCGTAACGAACGGAGGCGCGGAGGCAGTTGCAGCAGAGAATGATGACGAGAATTCTGAGCAGTTATCCGCTGCTCTCGAAACAACGCTGCGGGTTCCGGCGCAAATCCTGGATCCATCCTTGAACTCGGGCTACGTTTTACCTCCTACCTTGGCTACCTACCTCAACTTTGGAAGCAATCTCGGCGGATTCTGCGGAAGACGGCTGGCAGCATGTTCGCGGTCGAAGCTGGAATGAGCGACTTACCCGCCTACGTGTTTGGGGAGCGGATACGAAGCCGCTGAAAGGGTGGTTTGCAGACTGTTCCCAGTGATTGAGGGGAGCTTCACGTGTCCGGCAAGATAAAGGTCGCATTCGAATCGACCTTGACTAGAGTCCTTCTGATTCTACGCTAGCGCTGCAGCAGACACTCAGTGAACGACTGGAATGCAGGAGGCAATGGTGGCGTGTGCGTTCTCACACCCTGGGGAGGGTGCATCTAAATTGACGACGTATCTCTGGAGTACCGCAGCGCTATTCCTATTCCCTTATGCGCTACGACTCGATAGGTTTCGCATCATGGAATATTTGTGGGATAACCTCGAAACTATACGACGAGATATCGAATTACCAGTACAGTAATGAAGAACTGATACACGTCGAGGACTGTACAAAAGGAAAAGAGATCCAACGGGATACGGAGAAGGAGACACAGAAACCTCATGATCCACCTAGATGCAAAATAACCAGAGAAAGCAGCTCAGGAAAGAGCCCGAAGAAGAAGAAGACCAGCAAGAAAAAAACAGAAGAATAGAAAAAAGAACTCCCAAACGAGCCCATCACAAGTTATCCCCTGAAAGGGCACCCCAGCGGGAACTCAAGAAAGCCGTCGCCGAACCCAGGCACCTGCTCACAGCGCTGAAGATCCGAAATGCCGTGCATGCAAATCTTTAGACCAATTGGCACGCGAGTTTGTAGATGGGAATCAGAAGACTGCCAGAGAACTGGGACTGCTTGCACCAGAACACAACAGTTGCAAACCTCAGTACCTCAAACGACGTACCAAAACTCGGATTGATGAATGCCACCGACTCAATAAGATCCTCAACCGCACCGCCATACGCGCCAACGCCGGAGACAAGGAAGCGAAGGCAGTCCCAACGGCGCTACAGGCACAACATGAGGAAGCTATCAAAAGAAAGAAGAAACGTTCCAGAGAAGACAAACGAGGGGATCGAAACCGCAAAATCGCCTCCCTGGCGAAATCTATGCTCGAGAGCACCACCGAAGATGAGACCTGGCGCTACATTCGATCGAGACTGGACCCACCAAAAAAGTGCTTGGGGCTCACACCAATCGTTTATAAGAAAGCGCTGAGGACGGAGAGTGCCTCAGTGAATGAGGCCTGGACGGACCACGGCACAGAATTACATGAAGACGCAACTGGGCACTGCCGAAACCGAAACTATTGGCACCAATATGCTGCAGAACTACCACGCCTCGACCCGGTACCGGAATGGAACGACCCAATCTTCTGGCCTGAATCTGTTCGGGCCCTGTTAAGCTCATGCAACCGCAAAACACCTGGCATTGACGGTATCGCTGCCGAGTGGATGAAACTGGTGATCCCAAAATACGAGACAACAGGGACACCATCGATACCAGATAAACCTGACACAATCTTAGGCAAACGCCTTCTGGAGCTCATCCAACGCATGTTTGAAGAAGCCTACATCCCTGATGTATGGAGGGCTGCCGAGGTCGCACCGATCCTCAAAAAGGACTCCCACATACACAGACACGAACAACTACCGGCCTATCGGCCTCATCCCGTCAATCATGAAGCTACTTTTGCGCCAACCTCACGAACCGGATCCAGAGAGGCCTCGAGGAACGCAAGTTCTTCGCCCCAGGGAGGGCTGGATTCCGGAGCCGCGAGGAGTGCATGAGCCATGCCCTGACCCTCACTGAAGTGGCGCAACGTCGCTTTATTCGTGACCGACAACCAACTTACGTATGCTTCATTGACTTCCAAAAGGCCTTTGACACGGTCCCGCACGAGGCCCTATTTTTGAAGATGGAACGAGCCGGAGTCTCCGCAAAGTGCTTGGCGTTCTTCCGTGCGCTCTCTGCAGACTCGTGGATGCGCATCCGACTGGGCGACGGCTGAAGAACCCCTTCCATAAGAATCCGCCGTGGACTGCGGCAGGGCGAGCGCGCATCCCCGCTCCGTTTTAACATCTTCATCAACGATCTGCTGAACAACTGCAGACAATTCGCGGCTGAGGCGCCGTGGATAGACTGTGGAGATGCTCGGTGAGGAGCGCCCACATGGGAACTGCCTCGAAGGCCTTCTACTTGCGGACGATGTCGTGCTGTTGGCACCCGCCCTGGAAACGCTTGCGGCTAGCATGGAACAAGTCAGCGCCTGGGCCGATCGCTGGGAGATGAACGTAGGAGCATCGAAGTGCGGCGTCATGGTCATCCATGGAGACTCGCAGAGCATTCGCAATCGCTCGTGGCGGTTGCAGAATCAGGAAATTCCGATCGTGGAAAAATATCGCTACCTGGGGGTCGGTCTCACGCCGACGCTCGACGAAAAGGCACACGTCGACGTGGTGATCGCCAAGATGCATAGACGTACAGCGATCGCACGCCCAGTCCTATCCGACCCCTCTATCCCCTTAGCAATCCGTACCAGGGCACGAAGGATGTGTATCATCCAGCCTGCGACCTGGGGTGCTGAATGGTGCGGCATGAAGCACCCAAATGCCTCGCGTCTGCAGACAGCCGCCAACAGGGCAATGAGACTCGTTGTTGTTGGATGCTCAGTGCAGAGCAGAGCAACCACCCCGCTGGCACTCGGACCTGAACTCCAAATACTCTCAATAGAAGCGATAGCACCAGGTTGCCGGGCACGCATACGGGCCAAAGGGCGCACTATGCGCACCTCTTTGAGTCGGGTTTTCATGCAGACCCCAACGCACCGCAAGAACACTTGGATGAAATCAACGCAGATTTGGGTGAAGCGCCTCTTAGGAGACAACATGCTCCAATCGTTCCCCAGGAATACAGAATTCTCCCGTCGCCTGAAGCGAACGGTCCAAACAACAGTACGGGAATGTAGACATGCAGTCAGTCGCGCCCTTAACGCCGGCTTGACTCTATACCGGAACTACAACCTAGCATACACATGCAAGTACTGGTGGGAGGCGCTGGAGTTCCCGGGACTTGCTCGAGGTACCCAGTGGCTCGCGAAAATCCGCGTTGGTGGCTTCTGGCTACCAGCACGGGCTCTAAGCCGTATGGGAACACTGGAATCGCACTGGGAATCACACTGTCCCTGCTGTGGGGATGAGACCCCCAAGACGCTGACATATTTAGGCTTACAGTGCCCGCGCTGGATGCAGGAGCGCAACGAGCTCCTTGAAGGACAGCAGCAGCTGGGCATCATCGTGATAGCCGAAGGCCGGACACTCACTCTGAGTGTAGCACTGGCAACTGATGGTCCGCTAACGGAGCCTCAGCGCTCATTAATGGCGAACAAACTCACATGCTACCTTCTAGAAAAAAGGGTCCAGCGAATCGGATGCGAACACGGGTTTAGTGTTCTTTGTGCCTACCCACTGGTGGGTGTCAAGCACAAACCCGCATTGCCAACCGACAACAACGCATTCCATGCATGATCACGAAGGAGAGAGGCGGCTCCCAGGATATATCCGAACAGCCATGTTTCTCCAGCGTGTCGTGCAGCGAAGGCAAGCCTGCATCCGCAGACTGTCCAAGCACAAACTGACGTCGAGTTCCGATTCTACGTCGGGTGAAACACGCCTCGAGCCGACGCCCGCTGTGGTACGGTAACGCCGTTCTAGCTCGATGAACTATCTGCTCTAGCGTTCAAGCGCAAAGGCGAATATCGAACGGCAGGTACGAGGCACACACGATAGGACGTATGAAACGACCGGAATATCCGAGAAGAAGTATAGGTAATGGAACTTGGAAGTAGGCTGTTTGATGGATACTTCACCGCGCATTGGAAAACACAAAAAAAGTAAGAAAAGAAAAATGCGCATAATCGGAGAACGCTGGCCAAAGTAAACGTTTCGTCAATGAAAAAAATGCCGCAGTTGAAGGGAAACGTGATCTTGATATCTAGCATGTAGCTCTAATGTAAACGCTGTATTTTCGTTACCTTCATAGCCAAGTATAGTTTTCAGTTCATTGGAGTTCCAAACCTCAAACATGTGTATTCAATTGTTTTGTCGCAGTATATAACAGAAGCGTTCAAGGAGCTTTCTTTTTCAAAAAAAAAAAACTAAAAAAGGAAAGTTATGAAAAAGCAAGTCGACAATCCTGGAGGCCGAGGGTCGTCGGCTGCCAAAAAAAAAACAAAAAACTCTGCCGAGTCCAGAAGAAAAGGAAGAGAAGAAGGACCGAAAGGAGGAGGCTCTCCGTCGAAGGCGGCAAGAAAGACGAATGTACGACGAGATGGTTGTGAAAGCCGGTTTTCTTAAACATATCAAGGATCCGTACAGGGAAAACTTGCGTGACGCTTTCGAAAAACGTGTCGACTCGTACTCCAAGAGTACTGTGAAGGCGTCGTCAGGGCTGATGCATTTGGTGAGCGAGATGTATCGCGACGTGACGCACATGGAAACGGTCGAGATTCGGGGCGAGTCTCTCGACATCGCCTTTATTCGTCACCTGATGCTTGATACAGGTGAAGCGCGGAGGGAAAATGTGCTAGTGCATGCCCTCCACGAAAAACATCCCTTTGACGGGTTCGAGGGTACTCGGTACAAGGGTGACCGGAATATTTACGACTATGGGGCCATGAAGTAACTCACGAATCTGAAGAACCGTTTGACAGTGAACCTCGAACGTTTCATGATACGCGCCGTGTTTGCGCTCTACCCGGGCATCTCTCGCAAAGGAAAATGGGCGATTATCAATGGCATCACGAACGATCGCAAACATGAAGATGAGGTCGAATTTGTCGACAAGAAGGCGTCAAACGAGAACACGAATGCAGCTTCTGTCATCCGTGCGGCTATAAAAGAGCATCGTGCAGTCTCGGGGCTGACGAACCCAACAGAAAAGGTATTAGATTTGAAAAAAGATAAGGAAAGATACGATCGCCTCGTCCTACGGTATTTCGTGTTTTAGGACCGAGAGCTCGAACGCAAGGCAGAGATGAAGCAGAGCGAGGAAAAAAATGAAGAGTGGGAGAGACGGAAGGCGTTCCTAATGGGGAAGCGCTTCAACGTCGTTCCAATATGCAACATCAAGTCACATTTCGTGACTGTCGACTCCGGCGTCCTTTACGGCATCATGAAGGAGATCGGTCCGGAGTTCAACGTTAGCAGGGAGGAGTTCTCCAATGAAGCCCGTGAGACGTACTGGAAGAGTATCTTCGATTTCAAACGTCTCAAAGTAAGCAAACAAAAGGTATTCACTGGGATGATCGAAACCGATGGGATGGCCATGTGTGTACACTATCGGCGGTTGAAGAAAGATCGTCCAGTCCCGCCCTCGGCAGCGCCCGTGACGAAGGATGAAGAAAAGGAGGAGGCTGGTCCTGCGACTCGGCAGGTAGAGGATAACGACCTTGTCGTTGGCTCGGTGAAGCATGAGGATGAGAAGGAGGCGGATCCTGCCACACAGAAAGTGCAGGATAACGACATTGTCGTCGGCACAGCCCCCGGAAACACTAATATCATAACCATCTCTGTACCAAAGCGTGCGGAAGATGGTACTGATGGTAACTTATGTCAGAAAGACATGCGTCTTTTGAGGTTCTCGAGAGCGAGATACTATAGAGAATCCGGTATAATGAATGCGAGGGAGAAAATTGGTACGTGGAATGCAGGAATGAAGGATCACCTGGAAGCTTTGAGCGAGATGACTAGCCGAGGAGCGGACTTTCAAGCTTTTCGGGAGTTCATGGAAGTTCGCGTTGCTCGTTGGGATGCACTGTGGAAAGAGTATACAAAGCCTCGGTGGGCTCGTCTACGTATGAATCTATTCGGTGGGAGGCAGCGAGCGTCCGCGAACTTTTTCAATCAGTTGAGTGCCCTCAAAGAGGACAAGACTCAAAGGCTCGTAGTAGCATATGGAGCAGGGCGCTGGAAGACCCAAAAAGAAACTATGCCAGCTCCAACGACAAGAACATACAAGGAGTGTGCACGGCGTTTCGTTACGATACCTGTAGATGAGTTCCGAACGTCCTAAACACAGCATGAACTGGGTTGTACACTTCAGAGCGTCGAGATGGAAAAGTGCCAGCGGAGTGCTGAGGATATAGCAACGTACGGACCGCTGACGGAGGAGCTAATGGAAAGGAGGGCGAAAGTTCGGGGACTACTCGCATTAGTAAGTACAACCAGCGATGGCAAGAAACGTATGGAGTTTGTTCAACGAGACTTTAACGCTACCATGAATATTCGAAGAGGTGCGGTGTTGGAGAAAAGACCTCCAGAGTGAACAAGAAAGAACTTTATTGGACAACATCTCAAAGTCGATTTATATGAGAAGAAGTTGGAACCAGCAGTGGGTGGCCGGTCCAAAAAGACGGGGAGGCGTGTTTGCACTTCAGTTGGAGACGCTTTTGCTAGGGCACGTTCACCACCACTCCTGTACACCGGTGGCGATGGCATGCAGCCTAGGAGACGGTATCGAGGCCACGCAACCATAAACGAGGAACGACATCGTGCAGCACAGTTCGCCACTGCTGCTTCTGGGTATGTCGAAGAGAGGGAGGCGGCGCTTCGTGAGCAGTGCGTCGTTTTCCAGGGAAAGTTGCAGGCGTTTGCGAGAGAGCACCGACGGGAGATAGAGTCTGATGGCGCGCTTCGGACTCGTTTTCTGGAACTCTGTATGAACCTTGGTGTTGAGCCGTTTTTGTCTCGCCGCTCAGTATGGTCGCAACTGCTGGGACTCAGTGAGTGGTACGCCCGACTCGGGTTTCTGGTCGCGCAGATCGCTTTGGCGACACGGGACTGGAACGGTGGTGTCATTCGTCTGACGGTTCTCCGAAGGGCGCTCCAGCGACGTCTGGACGTAGACTGTGGCACTCAGGAACCCAGTGAGAAACGCGCACGCATCGTATCCAACGACGATATCGCACGCGCAGTTCGAACCCTGGAGCGATTGAGGGCAGGGTTTCGGATCATCAGTATTGATGAAGGTAAAAAGGAGTGTTGCCTTGTCTCGGGAGCGGCTGGCGAGATCAGTTTTACAGAAGACGAGAAAGCCGTGTTGCAGCGTGCACGAGCAACAGGCGGTTCGATTTGTCGACAAGACCTGCCATGGGAGAATATTCGATGGGGGCGATCCATAGAGCGTCTGCTCCAGCTGGGCATTCTGTGGGTCGATGACGGCGCAAGTGATGGCCAGCGACGATACTGGGCCCTCGGGCTGATCCCAGAATCCATCGAGGATCAGAATCCAGTTTCCGAGTCGGGCCCCAGCGATCGATACGAAGGTCGCCCCATAACCTCAGTGGCGTCTAAGCTCCCGTGAGCGGCCATCATGCGAACTTCACTATCGTACGTCCTGCTTGCAAGATGCGTGCCATTTCCACCCGGTGGACTCCGAGTGCTCTCGATACGTTCGTTGACAAGTCGGCACGACGAACGATGCCTGCGACCTTTGCTCTGGGATGGAAACTGAGCCGTCTCTGAATGTTGCAGCGGGCAGGGTCGAACGGCGATTTCCAGCACCGCTTGCAGTGCTGCTCGCTTTGAGGCTGTGACGCGTGCTCCTTTCATAAAGATGACTTTTGTTTCGCTTGGTACTGGGTCCATGGATCGAAGCAGGTTTCCCCAGAAGTACGGCTGCTGTGGGGATCCGCAATGGTTACCGCCCTTCCCCGAGAAACGTTCCTGTGCTGTCCAGGCACCAGGCCTGTCTTTCTGTCGAGAAGTTAGATTGCGTCGATGACCGTCCGGGTCAGATGCCTCATAGGTTGTCGCTGGACATGCTGCTGCGCAGGTAGGGTGCACGTCATTGTCTTTGCAGAAAGGCAAAATTCGGTGAATGCCGACCCTCGCATTCGAAACGGATTTTGGCTCGGTTTCCATATCGAAAACGATGTTCTGCAAGCGAACATCAATAAGTACTGTGGTGGACGTCTCTGATACCCGATTCGGAGAACGCTGGTGACGAACCTGGCCCTCGTGACTGTTGCTCTGTGTGGATGCTCGCGGTACCGCTTAGCAGGTAGCATCGCGTGCTGATCGCCAGCGAAGAGGACGAACACTGCACACCTCGTACACATGGTGTGCGTGGTGCCCACTGGAAGTACTGCACTCGTCGAATGCATCGTAGACATGGTGCGCATCCTTTTCGTAGAGCACGGTCGATGCATCAACATGAATGATCGCAGAAGCACCGGTGCTGTCCGTAACCAGGAAACACAGTGTTGTTCTTCCCTGTACGACGCAACGCTAGTACCGCTCCAGTCCAGTGCTCCCCAATGGGGTAGAGGCATGGTGCAGGCAGTCGCCTGCTGGTCGCCGAGTCTACCGTAAGCGCCTTCTCCGGCATTGCATGCTTTTTCCTAGTCGTCGCACAGAGAAACAGAGAGAGCACCAGAGCACTATCGGGTGATGTCAACAGGGCGACAACGCCCATGTACAGGGGCGCGTAGTCCTTCGGGTCTCGGTCTGTATCGACGGGTGCATTCGCGTGTGAGGTCGTCTGCGAACACTGACACATGAATAGGCCCGGTTCCGCATTCACGTGATATCCGGGCCACTTTGGTTCGATGCAGAGGCTATCGGAGGCATATCGACGGTCGCCGAGGTCTGCTGCACAACGCTGCGACTATAGAGCGGTGGTATCGCGACGTCCGCAGGACGCAAAGCATTGGCTCCAGAAGAGGCAAACGCATACGAGTGTGTGGGCGTTACCTCCGAGCGGCGACAGCGAATCCTCAGGGACAGGCGTACGCTTCGCTGATCACGCTGCAAAGGAAACACAGCGAGTATGCACTGGCGACCGTCAAGGACGCGTGACCTCGAGAATTTTCGTGTGCGATACCGCACGACGATACTCCCGTCGCTCTGCATTCTCGACAACCATGATATCCAGAATTTACCCAGGCAAGGATCCACGACGACAGCCTATCTCCCTGTCTGCGTGCTTCCGTGAATCAGCGACATACGCCAGGCACGATCGTTCACAGGCATTGAAGCAATCATCAACACCTTGGCTGGTAACCTACCCGTTCCAAACATGGAACAATTCTTCACATCTAGATTTTGTTCTTGTGGCGGTTTTGTTTCCGCCTCTTTCGGTGTTTGTGTTTGTTCATTTTCAACTTGCGTTTTTTCAAAACGGAGGCGCAGTCCATGTTGGCCTCATCTTCGAGGCAGGTGAGCTTGCATTGTGACTCTCGCGAGCCCTGAAGACCCGCAGATATCCATCGTCGAGACGAGTCGTATCCTGCGCAGAGCAACAATGTCAAGTCCAGCCTGGAAAGCGGTTGAGCGAACGGAGCCTTCGATGCGTAAACCTCGGGTACCGGTGACCCGGGCGCTATCCAACAGTCGTTGCCGACCGCCGGGCTGTGGAGCCTGGTTACAGTCCTTGGGCCAGTACGGGTGAGACCGTCCAAAGGAAAGCGTGTTCCCCTGCGAGTGCAGTTGCAAGGTGGTGCTTGCTTGAGGAACTGTGGCCAGAAAGCGAGCAGGTTCCAACGCCAAGCTCGCAGGAGGAGGTCACGCATCCGACACGCTGCACCAGCCACCCGGTCCTTCGGGATAGAACACGGCCTTTACCCGATAAGCGGCAACGCGATCAAGCTAGTTGGTCCACCTTTGTATTTCTACAAGGGTCTGGGCCCTACCGCACGCTGTGACACGCCACAGGTGCCACGTCTTCGTCCGCTCCAAGTGCCAACGCCGTGCACCAAACCGGGTAGACGTTATCCAGGCAGCGGGTACGGACTGCACAACGCAATAGCGGTTTATGCGAAGTGAAAGCTCGTCGCCCTAAACAGAGAACGTAGAAGAGAACGGCTGTGCGCTTTGCACCCGCGCTCGAGAGTACACACGACAGGCGTGTCAGGTGGAAATGGATTAGTTCCCGTCTTTCGATTTTTTCTGAACTTCCGTCTGGATGGACAGCCCCGGTAATCGAAAAGCCAAAATAGAGGCTTATGGATGCACACGTAGTTTCAGGATTCTGCGTCGCGTTCTTTTTTTCCGGAATAACTGCCTCGACGCTGTGTCGGAGGCATTCGTTAGGTCACTGGTGTCAACTTGTGTCTCAAGGCGCTCGAACTAGGATTCGTAAAATGACCGATATCATTACCCGATTCATACGAACAAGTGTCCACCCTGCTCCTATATTTGTCCAGCATGCTCCATTCATGCATTCTTTGGTTTTCCAATTTTTCCAGTCCAAGGCAACAAGTGGGTGCAGCTGTTTGCGATAGCGGATTAACGAGGTTCGATGATCGTCGGCATCGTTCCTCGAGGACTTGTTCAACGGTTCGCGTCAAAATGCCACTGAACCCTGTAATGTCAAATGACAGGTTCCGTTTGGAAAACAAAGCCTTCTCTCTTTCTGGCCATCTCCGAGATGCCATTCGACATCAGCATGGTATCTACCTTGGAAAATGCTCGCAGAGGCGCCCGTCTCTTCTGTTTATATGGAACAGAGTCTTGCACTCGGCCTTGATTCGTCTTGGCGATCGCTGGCAGAGGAGCGGGCGTCACAAGTTTGCACGAAGACAGCGTCGAAAGATCGAGATTTCTCGATATCACCTCTGGGCCAGATATCCCTTCCTTCACCTGTCCCTTGACGTGTACCGCCACGTTCCTGAAACCCTTTATCGACTGGAACAGCGTTCGTTTGCTTGTACAGCGGACTGTGTACACGTCGAGCGGATCATCAAGAAGAAACCCTTAATGGTATCGTTCAGCACCGGGCGTGGGAGCGGAGAAGAGAATCGGTGCGAGCCTTCTGTACCCGTCAAGGGCATCTGCCGAGCGATAATGAGAGCGTTCACGCGCCAAAGAGCAAGCCCCTGAGGAGAATGTGTTGTTGTTGGCATGTGGAAAGACCTGACCACAGGCATCTATAATCGCCTCGATGGGCGTCCTGCGGCTGTATACAACGAAGATGAAAACATGGCAAGCGAAGCGTAGGTCGTAACCCCCCTCTGTTCATGACATGCATCGGCAGTAGCCGGAAGCAGCGTACTCGGGGCTTTGACGCAACCATCAGCAACCTTCGGCTGCTCCCGATGGAGCTGGGGCGAAACGAGACACCAGCATATTCAAAGCTGTACATTCGGAAAAAGAAGCAGTCGCAGAAAAACCCCGTAAAGGTTGGCGTTCATGAAACTGGGAACAAACCCAGCCTTTAGAATGTACGTGCGAGTTAGAGGAACCGTCCAATTGTTATGCTCCTAAATCTATAGATACGAAGAGTGTCTCCTCATTTTCGCATTGTGATTGAACAAAGTGAACGCTAGTGTAGACGGACAGGTCAGCTGCTCTCTTTCGGTTCGCAGCTGGTTCCGTATTCTCACCAGCCTGACGTTCATTTGCTGTATGAACTTGTTTGCTCCCAGAGTAGCGTTTATGTATCGGTACCAGCTATTCGTATCTGCTTTCGAGCGGGTGTTTCAGCAGGTCAACTGCGAGGGTGTGCGGATCCCGCTGCAGCTAACGGGTTTCCGCACTGCACTTGAGCCGTCGCAAACTTGCCAATAAACCGTCAGCCGCTGGTTCGAATGCTTCCGGACTCCAGCAGGTAGCCCTCTGTTCGCGCGCGTCCTGCACTGCATTCGCTGGTATCATATGCGGCGGGCGTACCAGGGACGTTTTGGACAGAGAATGACGGCTTGAGCGGAAACGAACCCCCGACGACGGGCCCGAGCGTGCACAGTCGTGGAATGTTGGATCGCGATACCTCGACGATCGCTCTTTGGCAGGGTTGCGAGACTTTCCTCGCCGCTTTGTACTGTCGAGACAACAGCTGGATACTCGGTCACAACCCTGGACTTGAATGCTGCATTCGTCAGGACAACGACAATGCAGCCAGCGTGCGCATGAGGCACCGAGAAGCCACAAATCGCTCCGAAAGTACCGACATACACGGAACTCGCCGACTCGGTGCAGTACCGCGAAAAAGGCCCTCGCTTCGGTGCACCATCATGTGAATGCGTTCACGACGAGAACATAAGTACAAGACCCAGTACCAAAAGAACTTGGTGCCTACACTGAAAGCTCGTTATCGAAGTCGCAAAATCAGCGCCTCAAGCTCTCACTTGGATGAATGTCCGAATGAACTGGGCATTTGCCTCCATCCTGGACGCGTCTCTATCGGTTCAACGTGAGAGCATATGCATACGCTCACTGGGCCGCGCTCCTTCAACGACGGCAACAAGACCTGGTCAATGAGTACTCGTGCCTGTGCAGCCCTGATTCCACACGAGACCACAATCGTCCATTTTCGGGCTCTTCACCCAGGACAAGGTATCTTCAAGACGCCATGCACAGAGAGGGCAAGCGCAGCGACGCAGCGTGCATCCATCTGGAGAAAGAAAATGGAATGCTCGCCTGTACCGGCATCAGCTGCATCCACCGAGAATGCCCTCGCCACTCAACCGAACGATCGAGCTGTGGTACGCCATTGCGAGCCTTCAACAGAGACTCGGATCGTTGCTTACGGCATCGCACACGATTTCATCGCGAGCCAGTACTCCTTGTGACTCTGGCTCGACATGCAGCGTTCAGCTGCTCTGCTGTGCGGATGTTAGTTACCCAACACTGTCAGATGGTGCCGGTGTCATCGATGATGGTTGCGCATCTTGGGACGCTCTTCGTAGCTGATGTTGTCGTTTCAGTAAATACTTTTGCAGGTGACTTCGTACTTGCTTGTTGTCACGCGTTCCAATGCGTTCGCTCATAAGGCTTACATTGTATCGGCCATCCTCTGTTCGGCAGGATGGATCGTGAACAAGTTCGAGAAACTTGGCATGCTCCTCAGGTGTCCAGTGGCGATTCATCGTTTCCGAACGGATGCGCTTTCTTCGAATGCTACCTGCTGTGGGCGTCTCCGAGGGTGCCTCCAGGGCATCCTTTCTGGCCATGGCAGCAGCACCGATTGCCATCTTTGCTGCAATGCTGGCTGCTGCATTGGAGCCCACGTGGCGCGGAATCTGTGCCCGAGCTTGCAGCTCCTGTGCAGCAGCTGCTTTTTCTGTAGCGGCGATGGTATTCGCCGCAGCGATGCCTGCTAACCCAGGTGTATTGGCCGGTTGATGGTCCGCCACTGTCGCCAGATATACCAGGTTGGCATGCAGACGGCTTCCTAGTGCTGCGCAGTGTTCAATACGGCCCAGTTCTTGTGCAGCGCATATGGCCCGAATCAAGTCATAGTTTTCATCCAAAATAAGTTGAATAGCGTCCGTCGTGAGCAGCGGAAACGGCGGTCGTGTCGTTGGGTTTTGGAGCGTCGATAACAGATGCGCCGCTGCCTGCTGCTGGGTCGTGACGCCTTCCCCGTCGCGCGGTGTGGCGCCCCCCGCTGCGGAGCACTGACTCCTGGACCTCGTGCCCGTCGAAGTGTCCATTTCTAACGTTATATGCTCTGTCACAACGTCTTCATGAACACTAGGCGACGAGGACGTTGCACAAAAAGACGTCGCCGTCAAAGTAGGTGTTTGCTGACCTCCTGACCCGTGAGCCGCAGCACCGGGAGCACTGCCGTTGTCCATAAGCGCTCTGAGAAATCCAAGACCAGACAAGGTCAGAGGACAGCTCCCAGTGCGGCTTCTTTCACGCGACAAGAGGCCTGAGCGGAAAACCTTGGATAGAGCCCTGCAATCGCACCGGCGCCGCTGCAAGGCGTCTACGCGACGTCAAACAGACAGTGCGCGAGCTCGCACCTGTAGCTTAACTTGAGCACGTCACGCTTGATGAGTGCGTAACCAGCTGGGTCAACTGCCCCGGCTCTGCTGGTACCGCAACACGAACGCGTAACGAACGAATGAATAAATGCAGGAAATGAAAATGTGCGCATTGCGCGCCACTAGGCAGCGCCAGGCGTACCAAGCGCGTACTGTAAAGAAAAAAAGAACAGAAACGAAACAGTAACTAGCAACGAGATAACATTTTCTTTCCCGTCTAGGACAAGCCTTAAAAGGGAGAAGAGGTTTCCGGGTTATCGAACGTTTCCTTCCTAGACGGAAGGCCCGCGATCCGGACGAGTGTGCTGGGCTCGTGCTTCATGCTCTCTCCGGTTGCGGGCGCTGTAGTGAGATCTGAGCAGCTCCTCCGCAACGCAGTTTATTCTAGGAGCGGACTACTGCATGTGGGCGTCGCGCTGGTCGCAATGGACTCCCAGTCCATCGCTCCCTGCCACCGCAGGCAACAGGTCTGTCTGCGCATTTCGCAGGATCCCAACATGTTATTGAACCCCGATTCTGTGTCGGGTGAAGCATTCCGTGATTCGGCGCCCTCAGCGGTATGAAAAAGCCCTCCAGTCGCCGTGATGCACCTGTTCCAGCGGTGTAGGCGATATGGCTGGAGCTCAAAGCAGGCTCAGTGAACGATAGAACGTACTGAACGACCAGTACATCCGAAAGAAAGTACAAGTAATGGAACGTGGAGAGAGGGTGCAACATGGTAGTCGTTTTACCGATCATCAAATTCCATACCGCATCCCGGAACATACGTGGTCAATGGAAATCTTTTGTCATCGGAAAGAGAATACCTTCTAGGCAAAAGGTCCAGCGAATCGGATGCGCATACGGGTTTCGTGCGCTTTCTGTGCTTACCTTCTGTGGTGGGTGTCACGCACAAACCCGCATTGCCAACCGACAACAATGCATTCCATGCATGATCACGAAGGAGAGAGGCCGCTCCCAGGATATATCCTAACAGCCAAGTTTCTCCAGGGTGTCGTGCAGCGAAGACAAGCCTGCATCCGCAGACTCTCCGAGCACGAACAGACGATGAGACCCGATTCTACGTCGGATGAACCACGCCTCAAGCCGACGCCCTCTGTAGTATAGCAACGCCGTTCTGTCTCCGTGCAGCGACCGCACCGGCGCTATAGGCGCTATTGCTGTCGCTTTCGGCAGGCTCGGCACACGATAGGACGTATGAAACGACCAGAATATCTGAGACGAAGTATAGGTAATGGATCTTGAGTGTAGGGGGTTGATGGATACCTCATTGCGCACTGAAAAAAAGAGAAAAAAGTAAGAAAAGAAAAATGCACATTATCGGAGAACGCTGGTCCATGGAAACGTTTTGTCAATGAAAAAGAAATCGCAAAGAGAATCGCCGTAGCGTGCAGCGCGTCGATTGCGCATATCTATTTCGACGTGCTCCTGCTGCTTTTGGCTGTTAAAGTGCTCGCCACTGCTATGCCGAACCCACGTGTGTATCTCGATATAGAAATCAACAAAAGCCCTGCAGGCAAGATCGTTTGCGAGTTGTTCGCTGATACCGTGCCGAAGACAGCTGAAAACTTCCGGCAGTTCTGTACGGGAGAGTCGAAAAAGGCGGCAGGGGGAAGCTACGAAGGGTGTCCTTTCCATAGGATCATTCCCGGTTTCATGATGCAAGGCGGAGACTACGAGAGAAAGAACGGCACTGGAGGGCGGAGCATCTACGGTGGCAAGTTTCCGGACGAGAACTTTACGCATCGGCACACCGGACGGGGGTTGCTCTCCATGGCAAATGCAGGCAAGGACACGAATGGTAGCCAGTTTTTCATCACGTTCGCGCAAACGCCTTGGCTTGACGGGAAGCACGTCGTTTTTGGGAAAGTTGTTGAAGGGCTCGAGGTCCTTGACAAGGTCGAGGCTGTAGGGAGTCGCTCGGGGACACCCACCGCAAGTGTGGTGATCGCATCCTGTGGCCAGCTGTGAGCGTGTATCGTGTCTGAACCGTCCGTCTTCTTGACGCAGAGGTTGCCACTGACCATCCAGGATACTCTAATACATAAAGGACAAGTGTAATATCCGAATGAGCTTGTCAGACGCAGGTCGGTCGCGGAGTGTGACGCTTGTCGCGCCCCTCCGTGCAAGGTTCAGCGATATCGCCACAAGCGTTCCACTAGCGGGCGTTTATGTTTGCCGTGGCCTGCTTCACCATGCAGTCATTACCATTTGTCATGGTGATCCTAAAACCTCATTGGTGGTGTCGACTCTGGCATGCGCTGATTCTATAGCAAAGTATCTCGTCTAGGGCGCATGCCCGACTGAAAAAGATTTCAAAACGAGGCCGGACCGATGATCCCGACCATAAACGTCCCGGATGGGCTCATATCGCCTGCAACCAAAAAACTTATGTCAGCGACGCAGCCGTCACCTGAACGCTCTGCGAACAATGGAACCAGGTTGCGCCAAAGGTCGTAGACCTGACGGATCCAAAGACCCTGCAACTGCCGAGCCTATGAAGAGGTCGCCCGGATTCGGAACCGCTGTTCTGCGGATGCCCACCCGAGGGACAGCACCGGCAGCGGCAAACCGTTTCTTCATCAGGCAATGCTTGGTACAGGCGTACGAGCCATGCTGAGCTGCTAACGAAAAGCTCGGCAATTTGACAGAGCCGCTGCCGCCGCGGACAATGGTTGCGCGCCTGATGCATAGAGTCATCATGATTTGGCGTCGTTTTCACCTATGTCTGAACTCGACGCCTCTTGACCCGGGATTCCTCTGAATGGATGTCGGACGGAGCTCCGCGCAAGCACATGCTGCAGCCCAGAACGCGCGATGCCAGCAGCAGCGCGACCCCGCACCAGTGTACGCTCAGCGCGTACGAGGCGTGGCTCGGGGACGCTGCGTCGCGCTTTCCCCAGTCAGGCCAGTTATCCGCCGTTTTTTCCAGTCGTCATCCGTTGGCAGCAGCTCATGTGCATCATTCCCAGACATATACAAAGTATCTGGAACCAGTCCTGCAAAAAGATAGTCAATTCGATGCTCACGTGACTCGCGTATCGCTCTAGCAATAGTATCGCAGATCGGGGCTCCCGGTAGCGTTGGTGCTGCACCCGCAACTCGGGGTCTCTATTTCTCGATGGATGAGAAGGAAACGAGTGCGTGTCGCAGCTCCTGAAAGAACGCACGATCTCCGACATATCAGCGAATCCATTCAGTAGGCATACGGGTTTCATCCCATGATCCGCTCGCAAACAGCTATCCTAGCAGTATGCGCCTAGCGCTCGAACGATGCAGCTTCGTGCTGGTTCGCGTCCATGCTCCAGGAAAGCGCGCACAGGGCGCAAGGCGATCGACGACCTTCGACCCGCTACGATGGCGCGTACAGCGCACACTGTCACGTGACCGAACGCCACACATCGGCGTGATCGCCGTCTGCGCTGCGCCCGTGCTATCGCCGCCGTTGTGCACGACGGCAGCGTACGGATGGTTGGGGCGTAAATGTACATGGATGTTTATGAAGATACAAGAATTGGGGAGGGATACGTTTGAAGATACTGGAATTAATGTCGAGGGCGGAGGCCGGGCGCGCAGTGTCCCTTCCGCTGCGCCGCGCCGCGCCGCCCCGCCCGACCTGCTTCGCTACGCGCAAGTGCAACGATCGCTAAGCGCTTGTTGCGACCTTGGCATTCGCTCAACGTACCTGGAGGGGCAGGGCACTCAGTGGGTCTGCTCCTTTGATTGCGCTTTTGCGCGGAGAGTACCCGAGTACACTTCGGTTTCTGCTGTCGGTTCTGAGTCTTCCGTGGGCATTGTTGAACTGGTCTATGCCGTTTAAACAATATGTTGTTGTGGGCAGGCGGTTGCCGGAACAGCAGCTCGTCAAGGGCGCAGTGGACGACACGCTCTACAAGATGGTTATTTACGCGCCAGATCCTGTTAAGGCAAAGTCGAAATACTACTACTTTCTGTCGCAGCTACTGAAAACAAAGCGATCAACTGCGGAAGTGGTGGCTATTACGGAGGTCAAGGAGCGCGACACGACGCGCGTGAAGAACTACACCATTTGGTTGCGGTATCGGAGCCGCACCGGCCAGGTGAATATGCTGAAGGAGACTCGTGCAACATCTGTTGCCGGAGCAGTCGAGAATATATACCAAGAGATGGCTGGGAGGCACCGGGCACGAGCTGAGTCCATTCAGATTCTCCGCGTTCAGGAGACGCCAAGCAGTCAGTGCAAGCGTCCGGCAACGCTACAGCTTATTGACCCGCAGCTTCGATTTCCACTGCCTCGTCAACGCCAGAGAGCATCGAAGCAATCGCTTCGAACAACGTTCAAGGCGAAACTACCGGTGACCACGATAACCAAGTGAGAACAGCTCGGCAAACAGCTAGTTTACAGTGGACGCGCAGTGGAGCTTGATGAAGCAGGCAGCTTAAGCCATTGTCTCATTTTTTCGTAGACTGCGAAACTGATGCCAACAGTGGGCGCTGCTTTGATAAAGTTAAGACTGAGTCCGCGATAGAGCGCCCGAACGCCTTCGGCACGCACGATACTGTAAATGGTGGAAACGACGCCTTGGCTGGGGATCCGCGGCTGCCGCTGGATAAACCTGCTCTGCTTTCGATCAACCTTGGTTTCCCACGCGTCCATGTTGTCACCAGCAGCAGCAGGAGCAGCAGCAGCAACATCAAAGTCCGTTGTTCGATGATGATGATGATAATGATCCCAGCAGTGCGCTCGGCGGCGTACCGTTTCCAGCGGGTATGCTGCGCTCTGGCCAATAAGGCCGGCGCTGCCGCCACAGACCAGCGCGGATAAAGTTGGATAACGTTCCGCAAAGCCATTGTTTTGCGCCAGTTGCCGCAGGACGCCATACATGTAAAAGTTGATGCCTGCATATGGTATGATGCCAACGAGCGTTGCGGAGAGCCCACTGTACAAGCCACGCACACCGCCCCGTCGAAAGAGTGAACAAAGTGCGTCAAGGATACTGTGGTAGATCATACCGGGATGTGCACCCCCGGAGAGCGCCACCGCCTGGGCAGCGAGGCGCGTACGTACGAGGTCCAGCGGATAGGTGGCCACGACGGCCGTGGAGCCCGCCAGAGCACCCGCCAGAAACCGGAGGAAAGGTGGCGACTGCGACGAAGATGCGGCACTCTGCTGGTGCCTCCATCCACGAGCCAACATTCGGGACAGAAGCTCATGATATTTTTCAAAGGCTGTAAACTGTATCGCTGCGTAGGGAAAGATGCGGGTCAGAGTCGCGCTGTTTCCGCGAAAAAAACCGCGCAAACCCTCTTCTATGTAGATACTCCGAACAGTTTGCGGTATGGAGGAGTACGCACGCGCACCTCCATGCAGTTTCGAGACCTGAAGGAGGATTTTGACACGATCGAACGGGGCTACTGCAGTCTTCGCGACAGCTCCAGCTGTTCCACCCGCCAATAACGTTTTCAATAGCGTGACTGCGCGCTGCACTTCGCGAGTCTCTGGTTGAGAAGTCGGGCCCACGAAACTCCGGTGCACGGGTTTTGTCCTTGGCCGAGCGTGCGTGCGTGCATCTGCTGAATTTTCGTCCATCAACGAATTCCCAAGTCGCTTTCGTGGCGATCCTCTGCTCGCCGCTTTCCACGTCTAGCACAGCGGGAGCCTGGTTGGAACTTGCTGATCACGCCCGCACGGCAACCGCTGCAGCAGCGGCAACGCTGGGCCTACGACGAACCGAACCGCGCACTCGAGCGCTGACTCCTGTTCACGCACTTAGTTCTCGTCTCCGTTAGCTGCTGACTGGAGCTGTGCTTGAGGGCGACGCCTTCGCTCGGTTCGTCAGCTGAAGCCATTCCAAAGCAGCACCATTTTCCGGTGAGTTCGTGCAAGCGGTTACGCGGCCGGTGCGTTGTTTTTTTTGATGACAAAACGTTTACATTGACCATGGATCCCAGATTGCAGGATGGATATTGGTAATCGAAAAAGTATCCATCATGCTGCTGTACCCTACCTCCAAGTTCCATCACCCATACTTCCTCTCGGATATACTGGTCGTTTCGTACGTTCTAACGTGCACCGAGTACCTGCCATGCCGTACCCGCCGTAGAGCCTATACTGCTGGTCCGGATTCAGCAAGGGAACGGAACGGCGTTGCCATACCACTGAGGGCGTCGACTCGAGGCATGGTTCATCCGACAGGGAGTTGGGATTCATTATCATACTGGGAGCCAGCAAGCTGCGCAGACAGACGTACTGCCTGCGACAGCGCGAAGCGATATCCTAGGAGTCCTCTGGGACCAGCGCGACGCCCAGAAGCAGCCCATCAGCACCTTGTGTCAGAATGAACTGCGTTGCGGACGAGTTGTTCAGATCTCACCATACCACCTGCCACTGGGGGAAGCATGAAACGCAAGCCCGGCAGACTTGTCCGGCTCGCGGGACCTTCCGCCTAAAAGGTAAACTTTCGACAATATGGAGACCTTTCCGCCTTGGCAGGCTTCGATGGCGTCGAGGCGGTCGACTGAGCACATCCCCAAATCCTATAGTACGGCATCTGGCTCGGAAACGATGCACAACATTGAACCGGAGCATACTGTATATGTCAAGGGCATCTGTCGAGCGACGAAGCGAGCGTTCACGCGCCGACGAGCGAATCTCCGTGGCAAGCGAGATACTGTCGACATACGGGAGAACGCCTGACAAGCAGCAATTCTCACCGCTGCGGAAGGAGCATCGAGTTTGTGTGCAAGGAGGACGAAAATGGCGTGCAAAATTTAGACCATAACTTTCGTCTGAGCATGAGATGCATCCACAACAGCCTCAAGAGGCGTTATCGACACCTTAACGCTGATATGAACTTGCTTCACCTAGTTACAATGGATCAGGAGGAAAAACAGAGATCCGCGTATTTCAAGCGGGAGATTAGATAGACATATCAGACACATTCGCAGAAAAAGCCAGTAAATTCTAGAGCTGACGATACCGGGAGCAGACCCCAATGTTGGCCTGTGCGCCCGAATCAGCAAAGTGGATCCAAGCTGTTTCATGCTGAAATGAGTGCGTACGCGTGTCCCGCTTCGTACGAATAGAAAAGTGCGGATACGCCAGTGACACCCGCCATCGCTGCGGTTGGGCTCTCCACAGGTCTCTGCAGAGCATCTCACATCGCCTGCCGTTCTATGTTCCTACAGGACGCACAATACTTGAAGCATTACCCAACCACAGGCAGAAGCGGGTGCATGTGCCTGCACTGCGCCTCGAATTCACACACACACAGACAGACATTTGTGGAACGTTGGCCACGGTGGGTCAGCCGTGCCTCATCGCATATGTGGCCTGCGAGACGACACCGGCTCAGGCAGCTCAGGCCCGTTTTTCTTACTGCAAGGCATTTGCGGCGTTGCAGCAGTTATCTGAAGCAGGCGTGCTATCCAGACGAACCGTTTTCTTGGGCGGAGCTGAACGAATATACCCGATATGAAGAGTAAAATGAGCTGACTGGTGTACAGCGAGATCCAGCGAGCTCCGGTAGTCTCCTCTTTGGTAGCCAACGGTAATCGCGTTTCCGAGCGACTCTGGTTCGAAGCATCGGTCATACACTCCATGAAAAATACCCCTGGGTGTTTATCATGAGCCTCTGCGCCCGCTTGACACTAGTGCATCGCTATACCAATCATAACCGATATGATAAGTGAACATAGCAAACGTGCACCATATGCTGCAAGGATAACCGTGCCCGTGTCCCTGGTCCATACTGCATAACGCGATGTATTTCGGAACCGCCTGATGATGATCATGCAGCCACGAACCGGAACGGCCTTCGTCTTCTCGACATCGCCTCGTGTCAAGGCATGCACGAACCTTGAGCGCGTCCGAGGCCATGGACAGGCTAGACAGCGCCCTTCTAATCGACTTCCATATCGCTATCAACCGGTGATGCGAGCAGTCCCTCCGAAACAGCTTCCACCCCAGCTATCCTGACTTGATTCGCCGTTCGAGGACGACCAGGCTCTTCAATGACCCATTCGTTTGCCTCTGCATACTCCCTGCAGCGCTGCTTTGCGTCCTGTATAGCGGAGCGGACACGGCGAATGCGCTGCTCCCAAGCGTCGAGTCGCTGCAAAAAAAGCTGCACCTCCTCGGTCTCGACCTGCGCACTCGCCTCTACGCCGTGCACTGTAAACACCTCACGCTCAGAGTCAATTTGACCGCAGATGACTCCGTTTTCTATTGCGGTGAGCAGCAACGATACGAGCTCGGAACGCTCTCTGATCCCGAGCGCAGCAGTCAACTCTCCGTACGACCACACGTTCCGCCTTGCAATCAAACGAAGCAGCGTCCCTACCGCTGAATTATAGCCCAGCAGTTCACCACCAGACTTTAGCCTCTGTGAGCCCGGTCTTTCAGCGTGCAACGCTGTGCACACAGCTTCATTGGTTTCGCCAGTAACGCTGTCTGTCACCACCGGTTCCACCGAACTGTGCAGTGCGGTAGCTGGCAGCCGCTGAGCTTCCCCCAAAGCCGTTGACGCCGGTGCTTTCGTATGCCCACTCATAACCGTTTTCCCTGTTCAGTGCTTTGTACGGACTCCACATCCTTCAACAAACGCCTTCCCTCGCACCAGCTGGCGAGACAAGTCCAAGCAGAAGACGTCAGTCTCAGTAACTGCGAACAGTTGAACTTGGCGGGCGCGCGGGCACCCACCCACTACCTGCTGCGTCCGTTGCGGCAACGCTGCTGCTTCCACGAGCAACGTGCTGGTGCATACTGCACCTCCTGAACTCTGCTGACACGCCTTGAATTGTTTTGGTTCCCTTCTTAGCACCAAAGTTGATCTCTCTTCGAACGTGACCACCTGGTGCTGGACGCATGTCGAGTGAAAGCGGTGTGCCGGCAACGTCGGGTAGCGAAGCGGCAGAGCGTTTGACCAAGACGCTGTGCGGTGTTTACGCACTATGCTTCGTTATCGGGTGGCTCTACAAGCGCTGGCTCCTTCGGCGTTGGAAGCGCGCCATCCTAGAGGTATTGCGAGAACAATGTGCGGTGGTTGGCGAGGACCTTGTGCGCTTAGCGGGGTCCAGTGCGAGCCGGGACGCCACCACACTCGTTACCGACGTCTGGAAACGAGCAGACAACGGCGTGCTCGAAGTGTACGCCTCTGGGAGGCGGCACGTTGCTGGGGTTCTACTACGCCTTGATCCCGTTCCTCGAGAGGACGTCTTTACCTTGATTCACGACTTTTTGTTCGAGGAAGCACCGGATCGTCTGTCGATCAAGGCATTTATTTCTACGAAAATGGAGCGTTGCGTCTTTGCCTTGGCAAAGAAACATGAACTGAAACGCTTGCATGTCTCGTATCGAGAGCTCGAGCACTACACAGAGCAAGTCACAACCGTGGCACCGGAGCTCTCCAGTGAGTACGGCGTTCTGGCGGATACGAAAGAACTCGCGCAGCGAATCTTGAACGCTTCTCGCGTCGCCCTGCTCAATCGATATGTCGATATCATTCAGCGGCTGCGTTTCAGTGATATCTATGAAGACGTACCTCAGGACGATGACGAGGATGCCCAAGAAGCTGATTCAGAAAAGCCGAATGCATCGGTGGAATCTCGCGAGCCGCCTGGTACGCTGCATCCCAGCAGCTGGAGCCAAGTCGTTCATTTGCAGCTTGCGTTACCTGTGAATCTGGAGTCGCTGTCGGAGGTGCTTCGCTTCTTTTTCGATTTGGTTGACGAGGTTGCCACGATGCGGATGTCGCATGAAGCGCAGCATGCGACGCAGGCGCTTCGGGAGCTCGTCCAGCGGGAGCGTCAGAAGCGACTCAATCGAGCCCGAGCGAAAGAGGAGAAGGAAAAAGCCGAAGAGCGTGTGGCTCGTTTCGAAGACGCAGAACGCCGTCGCCGCGAACGTCGTGAGTACCGTCGCCGGGCCAGGAGCCAACGAGCACCCCTGCGCATCTTTTTCTGATGCACAGGGCGAAAGCTGCGAGTTTCAGTGCGGGGCACCCCAGGCGTCGCCCTCGCGGTGCATTTACGCCGCTGAACGTCGCCCATGCCGGTTGTCTCTGCACGTATACGTCCATACTGGGCGTGTTCGGTCGCAGGTGTGCACCCTGCACGCTGCCGAGGCTCAAGCGCCCATCGCCAAACTGCCGCCAAAGCGTACGTATCGCTGGGTACACGCCAGGCAACTGGTCGCTGGTATCGCCAGTAGGCGTAGACGCCTACCAGTGGTTCAGGAGTGGCATACCTGCAGCGTTGATCGGACGGTTTCCTGTTCCAGAGTTCATTGTGCTCATCTCACCGATAAACTTTAATGACTAGGGCAAATTGAATTCGAGCATTTGCGCTTCCGGGAAGAGAACCACCAGCTTGTGAACATCTGGATTGCCCTTGGTACAAAGCGTTTTGGCATTTGCGCACGCACCAAAAGAACCACCTACCGAGGTGATCTAGATGACCCCTGGTACATGGTCCTCGTACCTCGTCCATCATGAGTGCCATATGCGAGCACCGGATCCGTGCCAACGGGCAGAAACACATCGGGCTATTGCGTATGCATACGCTGCACCATCGCCAGACGCTGTTGCATGCGTTATCCGCACTGCTGGCACGTTACCAGCGATGCAGAGGCCCACAGAAGCCGGCCTGCCAAGTTCCTAGGCTTTAATCTCGCTGGTTTTCACGGGACGGCCTTCATCAAGGCTCTTCTTCGCTGCCCGTGCGATAACCATTGCTGCGCGACCGTCGCGGCCACTGGTCGGCATCGGTTTGTTGTTCAGCAGGCAGTCCACAAAAACTGAGACTTCGTTGCGATAGGCTCTCTCGTAACGATCCATGAAGAACGAATACGGCATTGCCGCACGACGCACGCTGCTTTTGTCCTCTAGCATCACATCATTCGGATACGCGTTTCCAAAGGATACTTGGCCTTTGCTGCCAAAAACCTCCACGCGCTGATCGTATCCGAAGCTGCATAACCTAGACACTTCCACCGTTCCGAAAGCACCGTTATCGAACCTCAGCAAAACGACCATGACGTCGGTATCGCCAGCCTCCTGGGCAATGCGCGGATCCACCCGACACGCCCCTACCGTGTAAACCTCCGTGCATTCCGCCCCGTTCATGAGAAAGCGAGCAACGTCAAAGTCGTGGATCGCTTGATCATTCGCCTGCCCACCGGACATTTTCAGGTACTCAATAGGCGGCGGTGCTGGGTCCCGCGATGTGAGCTTGAAGGTGAACGGCTCGCCGATATCTCCGCGAGCGACTGCCGCCTGGGCACTCGCGAAAAACGGATCAAAACGACGCTGGAATGCGAGCATCATCTTGACGCCGCTGCGCTCTACTGTCTGAATGACTTCATCCGCCTCAGCTAAGGTGATTGCAAGCGGCTTCTCACAGAATATATGCTTTCCTGCAGCGCAACATGCTTTGATCTGCGCTGCGTGGAGCGTTGACGGCGAACATATGAACACGGCGTGTATGTCCTTGTTCTCTACAAGATCCTCAAATCGCGTCGATACTCGTGGTATTCCGAACTTAGTGGCAGCGGACTGGGCTGCTTTCTCTATAGTGTCAACGATGTGCACAGCCCGGGCGTTTGGCAGACGCGAGAGCGTCTCTGCGTGCACCTGGCCGATACGCCCGGCCCCGACAATACCAATGTTGACGCAGGCTCCCGCGCTGCTTTGAGACGACAGCGAACGCTGCGTGCTGTTTAGTTGGCGCACAGCAAAAATCTCTCTAGTCGATCCGATGCCATTCGAGTTAAAAGTGCTCAGTCGAATCAATCGGCCACAAAACTTTGCAGCTTGCATGGTGGACGCCCAGTACACGCAACGAGCAGCGCTCAAGGGAGGCGCATCGTCCGAAACGACGCAGAAGCTGCAGCGGCGACGGCGGTGGAGAGCGCCGGCGTTGGATGAGCGGCGCCAGGCGCAGCATCTGCACTCTAGGATGTCGTTTCCATTTGATACCAAAACATTCATGAATGTTCATTATTTGCATGCTTTTGTCGATGCAGCATTCGGGAACGACACGACGGAGCGATCTCGCTGAAACCCGAACTCGAATAAGCGACGTGACACGTTCAGTGAGACCTTCGGCAGGGGCTTTTTTCAACAACTCGCCAGGGAACGACGTCGATTAATTCGCGTCCTCAGTCTAGTGGCGCATATTGCTGGGTCCACGAGTTTCCTGAAAACGTAAAGATCGAAAACTTGAAGAATATGTTATTGAAGCATGCGGTATGTATGGAGAAGAGAGACGTGGAGGCTAGTACTTGCTAGCAGGAAGATATCGATTACTTTATGAATCAGTGGTACACTGCATCGCGAATCATTTCCAAGCCACTTACGTCAAGAATCGCACCGGCAAACTTTCGAAGGAGTCGCTCTGAAACGACGACAGAGAATCCGAAAACTTCGTACGAGGAGTCCCTGAGCTCTGATACCTGCACTCCGTGCCTCCAGGCCGTGAATCTACAGTGCATTCGGGAACGTAATCGAGAGGCAGGAACAAGGCAGCCTGTTCAGTGTACCAGGTTCATTGAGCACGAGTCCTTCGAAGGTGACCGCTGCCCAGCTCCCGTCAAGGCGCTGGGTCAACCAGCACGCAGTCAGCCCTATTTGCTTCCACATCCATAGCGCCAGGTGTCGCACAGTGGCATATCATATCAAACGGACATGAACTGCGTTTCAAGAGGAAAAAACCCTGCCGAGATGCCAGACGTGGAGACGCAGGCTCGCATCCCGGATCTCGACTACGAAACAAATTCTAGTCGGCAAGTTTCAGGGCTCTGGTGCTGTTTGACAAAGTGCATCCGCGCTGACAGACTATCTGAGGGTAAAGCGCAAAGCGTCTTAGTCTAGACGAGACAACCGTTGGTAGTGCAAACACGACATAGTTGTTGCCGGAAAAGCAAAGCTCCGCGAAAGCACTCGCGTCCCTGGCAACATTGCGATCGACGTTTCGCGAGCTGTCGCGTTCGATGAACAAACGAAAGTTGCGTCGTTCGCGAACGTCAAGTCCTCAGTGGAAACTGCGTTACTCGACCAGAACGAAAGTTTTTATAGGTAAAAGAGCAAGACTGAACCTTCTATGGGGTTTTACCCTTTTCACTGGACCTGGCGGACCCGCTCTGGTGGTCAGGTGCGACTCTTTGGCGTGCTTGTGACGCTTCCACTTCTCGGTGGGAGCTGGTGGTGGTCGCAAAGCGCGTCCTTCCACGAACGATCCACAAATGTTGTACCTAACGACCGATTTCAGCGTGAAAAAGATGGAGGCAGTAACTCACGGGAGCTACCGCCTCCACAGTGACGGTTGTAAGAGTTCTGGGAGTTGCCACGCCTTACTGCAAACGAGGTCGACCTGGTCGCTGCTCACCGGGAGGTTGTCTCGGGCCCAGCTCCGCCCGAGCTTTTTCCGCCAAGAGTCGCTCTGACTCGAGCAGTGCGTCGGCTTTGTCTCTGAGCAAACGAACAAACCGTGGAGCGTTGACGATCATAAGCACCAGAGCCATGAGTATAATGTGCGCGTACGGGGCCGGTACTTTGGAAAAGTACCAGCCCAAAGCGCGCGCCATGTACTCCCCTATCACTGGACGACTCGAAATGGACTCCATGTTGCTCAAGGCTTGGCAAGTGTGGAGCTTGTCTTGAAGTGCAGGTGAGGTTTCGCTTCCACAGTGCCAGCTTCCGTTACCTTCCCAGGAACCTGTGCCGTTGACGCCACTGCCGCTGCCGCCGTCGATTGATAACAACCGCTTGCGGGAGCGCTGACGGAGACACAGTAGCCTTTGTAACAACCACTACTTGCAGTGATGCTTGCCTTTGTACGAACTGGTGCGGTAGACGCCTCTACAGCTGCTCGTAGCGAACAAAGGCACCTGAAAGCGCAAGCGTATAATCGTTAGCGTCGCGGCGTCATGACGCACAGCGGCAGCAAGTCTCCAACGACACGCCCTGTTGACTTTGGACGACAGGCATCGTTTCTTCAGCGTGTACGTTTGGGACCTACGCATTCGCGTACTTTTGCCTTTGTAAAGTAGAGTTTGAGTTGTTGGACCAGTTTTTTGGTGGAAGCCTCGGAATAGTTGGACAGCGTGTCTCGAACGATCTCGTGACATTGTGATCAACGTCGAGCGCTCTCCACGACCGCGTTTGTGCTGGTTGTCGCCTCGCACAACCGCCTCGAACTGTGCGATGCTCGGTACGCAACAAGTTCAACAATCACGGCAGACCTGGGAACTAGACGCAGCATCATGACCGACCTACGACCAACTTTCGGGAAGCGACCTCTGCGGCGCTCCGCAATACTGGAGCACTTGGCGGCAATTCGTTATCGTACGGGTCGCCGCTACCCTTGCGCCATACTGGACGGCGGCTTTGCTACCGAGATAGAACGATTAGGGCACGATCTGTCGACGACTGCAACCCAAGGAGAATGGGCAGCAGCCGTGCTTCACAAAGCGCCGCACGATGTGCAGCGAGTCCACAGGCGATACCTGGAAGCAGGTGCTGAAATCCTGACATCTGCCTCTTATCAGGCTTCTATGGCGAGCATTCCGACTGCAGTGGAGGTTCTAGCTCGGTCTCTTGATCGACTTGACACACAAGCGTCGTATGTACTGCGGGCTGTGTCGCTAGGCCCCCTGGCTGCTAGGCTTGGGGGCGGCCTCGAGTACCGCGGCTACGCGGATACCGAGCTATTTGCGGCGGGTGATGAGGCCGCACGTGAAACGTTTCGGCGGTATCACGAGCCGCGTATCGCTGCATGTGTACCGTTTTTTGCGGAAAACTCGAATGACCGGGATCTCACGGGCGATGGCACGGTTCCGCGAGCTGACTTTATCCTCTTTGAAACCGTACCAGACGCCCTCGAGGCAACGTGTATTTCGGAGCTCATGACCAGTGATACGCGATTCGAGAACATACCGTGGGCCATATCGTTGCAGTGTCGACTGGCATCGTCATCGCCGCCTCTAGCGCCTGAGTCCTCAGAGCGCTGCACCAACATGCCGCAGCTGGCTGGCGGCGGCCCAGTACCCTCTGTTGTTGAAGAGTTGCTTGTGTCGAGTTTTGGGCCTGATCCCGAAAGCGGTACGCGAAACGGTCCGCTCTTCATTGGATTCAACTGCTGTCCTCCGTGGTTGATCCGCCCGATACTTGAAAGCCTCCAGCGGTGTCGTCATCCGCTGGCGCGACAGTGTGCTATCTTGTCCCGGACTTTGGAACGAACCGAGGTCAGGTCCGCTGACAAATGGGCAAACTTCGCCGGTTGGGCCGTGTACCCAAACTCGGGGGAAATGTGGGACCCCGGAACCCAGACTTGGGGACGCCCATCGGCCTCGACGCTGGATCCCGAAAACGACGCGTTTTGGCAGTATCACGTACCCGTGTGGAGCGCTCTTGGCGCTACGATCATCGGTGGCTGCTGTAGAATCGGACCCCAGGGCATTTCAGCGTTGGCGCGTGTCGTTCTTGGATAGACGCAAGGTGTTGCGACTTCAGAATCGCGCTATTGTCTTCCATGAGCGGGTCTGTCGACCGCCGTAGATGCCGGGTGTAGCGACGGATCATTTGCGACTGGTCTGGTGCGTGCCAGCGTTCGTGCTGCGGGCCCTGCATCCTCGTTACCTGCAAAGCGACGCAGCATCTCTGGCCTCAGTACAAAGACGCCTTTCGAGAGCGTAATGGCATCAGGATGAGCTATGATCGCAACATGAGCCGGTAGCCTTTCCGCCTGCAAAGACTCGGAGCAACACGAACGCGGTGCGACGGTTCAGCCCAGGGGCGCCGACGATTGCAGCGATCTGCGAGCGACTCTTGCCTCTAGCATCTCAAGACGGAGACGTTTTCACACTGATGTCAGAGGAATGTTGCACGGGCGCGAGGAGAACCCGTACACGCCTGCGAAAAACCCGAATGTCTATCTCGGGGGAACCGAACTTTCTCCCGTATCCACGTGTAATTCGTTCGATACATCGCCTGTGTTCATAAAAGATATCGTCATCTGCAGAGCGCACCTCCGCAGACGCCGCGGCAATTACATATCCCTCTGATCGTATGAGCACCGTACATGGATGAACCTCTTCGGCACCGGTGCCTATGAACAGCGCGTGCCCACGAGCTCTATGGCTACGCAGAACACGTGGCAGTGCCTGGTGGTGGCGACTTCGAGGGCCCTCCGGATACATTTGAAGGACTCGAAGGATCTCGACTTTTATGGACGTGTTAGATCTAGGAGGACAGATCGACAGCTGTGCGCTGCTGGCGCGCGCCACGCGCTGGATACATATGCGGGACTGGAAGGAGCTCTACGTTTATGGACAAGTTAGATCTAGGCGGCCAGATCGACAGCTATGCACTGCTGGCGCGCGCCACGCGCTGGATACATATGCGGGACTGGAAGGAGCTCTACGTTTATGGACAAGTTAGATCTAGGCGGCCAGATCGACAGCTGTGCACTGCTGGCGCGCGCCACGCGCTGGATACATATGCGGGACTGGAAGGAGCTCGACTTTTATAGACAAGTTAGATCTAGGCGGACAGATCGACAGCTGTGCACTGCTGGCGCGCGCCACGCGCTGGATACATATGCGGGACTGGAAGGAGCTCTACTTTTATGGACGTGTTAGATCTAGGCGGACAGATCGACAGCTGTGCACTGCTGGCGCGCGCCACGCGCTGGATACATATGCGGGACTGGAAGGAGCTCTACGTTTATGGACAAGTTAGATCTAGGCGGACAGATCGACAGCTGTGCACTGCTGGCGCGCGCCACGCGCTGGATACATATGCGGGACTGGAAGGAGCTCTACTTTTATGGACGTGTTAGATCTAGGCGGACAGATCGACAGCTGTGCACTGCTGGCGCGCGCCACGCGCTGGATACATATGCGGGACTGGAAGGAGCTCTACGTTTATGGACAAGTTAGATCTAGGCGGACAGATCGACAGCTGTGCACTGCTGGCGCGCGCCACGCGCTGGATACATATGCGGGACTGGAAGGAGCTCTACTTTTATGGACGTGTTAGATCTAGGCGGACAGATCGACAGCTGTGCACTGCTGGCGCGCGCCACGCGCTGGATACATATGCGGGACTGGAAGGAGCTCTACGTTTATGGACAAGTTAGATCTAGGCGGACAGATCGACAGCTGTGCACTGCTGGCGCGCGCCACGCGATTCTCCATTGCATTATTTTGTTTTCCCGGCAAGGTGCCGTGTGTTGCAGCGTCTCTGCAATGGAAACAGCAACGAGTTCACCGGAGCGAATGCTGGTGGGTTCTCTTATCCAGCTCATCCAAGCAGAGACACGCCTGATTATGCTAGGATGGAAAGCGTCTGACCAAAATCAGCCGACGCTCCGAACCCAGCCCTTGCCGTGGTCGCCGAGGTCCGCTGCAGACGAGTTTGCGGAGCCGCTGCAGGCATACTTCGTCCTCGGCTGCGGGGGCGAACTGCGTGCGCCCGCTGCATGTGGCCGAGTCGTCGGCATCTACCACAGAGGCTTCGTGCGCTCCGTTCATGATAACGACGAGGTGCTCTATGCGGATGTGCGGCTCGTCGTTGTCCGTGAAGCCGGAAGCGCCCTCACCCCTGCCCTGGAACGAGCCTGGCTGCGTCTGGAAAACTGGGTTTCGCTCACAATAAAACAACAGAACGACCTCAACGCAGATGCGTCAACTGATGGCTGGCGGCGACGCTCAGAGTATTTTGAACGGATATGCCGAGACTTGACTCACCTTGCGCGAGAGCGAGACCGGCTTTTGAATCAGACCAGGGAGCGCTTGAACGTTGCGCGTCGATCACAGATGCACCTGCGACGCGTCTTCGTCGAGGCCTTCGCTGGACACCTGCTCTGTTTCGAGTCATCTAGGCCGGATCAGGGTTTCGAAGGCGCATCTAGCGAAGCCGGTGCGAGTAAGTGCGATGCTGCATCCGCGTCTGAACCGGTGTTTTTTACTGGCCAACCGCTCGTGCTCTTGAACGACGCTCTCCCGAATGACCTGCCTGCTGATGGTGATGAGAAAGAGCATCATTCATGGCGTTGGCTCACGCACGATCTCTTTGGACGCTTTCGCATTCCATTGGGTAGACCGCCGGCGATCCAGTCGCTGGGCTGGCTCTATATTCCTGTGGTCGACGACGTCGGCAACGCGATTCGCGTTGAGGAGATTATTGAGGGGGATCCACCCACAACTGATCCGAAAACGAAGCGTTATTTGCATACGAAACCCATTCGTCTCGCACCGGACGTTGAGCGAGAGGTTCAGTTCCGGTTGACAGCAGCGAAACGCTGCTGCACGTGTATCCGCGAAACCGCGTGTGCCGGAGCGCCTGTGCAGCCGGATGCGAGCGGTACAGATGCCAGGTCTGCAAACCGACATGCCCTGCATTCCTGTGTAACATGCAGCGCGTGGGCACTAACCTGGCCCGGTGTCTTCGAAGTGACCAGTGATATGCTTCGAGGGTGGTCAAACTGGCAGGTCCACCAGAATCGTTCCGATGAGAATACGTTTACGTTTGCAGTGGACGGCACGGAGCGCGTGTATCGCGCTTGGTCGCGGCATGAACGCGATGTCATTGTGGCTTGTCTGCGCCACTGGCAAGAGGAGGCTCGCGCTGGTGCCCATGATCCGGGAGCCGCGTTGCCCGCAAGTGGAGTGCCCCTCAGCACTGGTTCAATGTTCCAAGACAAGTGAGCATTTTCCAAAGACACTTGGTTGCGAATGCCTTTCGTGCGGAGATCATACCAGTAGAATACGGGAACGATCGGAGCCTTCAGCGCATGAGCGTGTTCGTGTATGATCCGTGTCTCCGGGAAAATGAAAAGTTTTGCGTCCAACAGCGTTGGCTTCCAGCTGTGCTTGGTTGGCAGGAAAGCCGCCGAGCGGTAGAATGCTGGACCCCAAAACCCACGCGGGGCGGACAAGTGCACTCACCAGGCTCGCCATGCGATGCCTTTTCGAAAAGCACGTATTTACGCGATGGCATGATTTCTTTGGTCGCATTCGCCAAAATCTAGGTGTATCGTCCTCGGCGCTTTGTTGGTCTCAGAAGGCGCAGCACCAAGGCGTGCCTTGTCGGACTGCTAACCTGCAACCGAGTCGGTTTCGTATTCATCACTCGGACCGACAGACGTTGGACGCCTGGTACCAGCTTCCGTTAGCGCCAGTGCCTCCCACAGAGACTCTACCAGATAAGCAGCTCGTCTAGTTCATTTGCCGGATGAGTCTGTTGATGAGTTCTTCGCGATTTCCATGGGAACCTCCCTCCACGAAATGGCGGAGCTTGCCGCGGCGCCCATATCCACCACGCGGTGACGATAACTTGAACGGCCACAGCGCCTGGTTCACAATCTTAAACTTGGGCCCACAGGTGAATAGCTCGTGAATGATGTCTTCCACGCAAATGATACCGTGCTTGCCCAAAACCCGCTCCACGAGGTCGTTGCTCGTAATTCCGATGCGGCTCCAACCGCCGGGTTTCCCTACTTTCAAAAAACCCCGTTTATAGACGAGCTCTCGTACAGATTTGAGGTTCGGATAGCCATACGCTATATAGGGCTCGATGAGCTGCAGCATGCGCAAGGTAGCGTAGTTGATCCGCACAAACACACCGTTGTGGATCTGTCGAAGTCGGAACAGTTGCAAGATCTTTCTCTGCTTCGGTGGAACGCCACGAATACCTCGAATCCGAACTACGAAAGCTACCTTTGCTCCTTCGGGAACATAAAACTTGCCCTCTGCACGCGCTGCACGCCGAGCGTGGATGACGGCACGCTCTTTCGCGAGGTACTCGGCGACGTACGACTCCGCTCGACGAATAGCTTCTTCCTTGCTCTTTTTCCGCTTCTCCCGCTGCGCTTTGAGCTTAGCCAAGTGAGCAGCCTTCGACTTCTCTTCACTGACCCTTTTCTTCAACACACTTTCTGGTACCTGCTCCATTGTGGCTTCCAGTGCGCACAAACCGATACCTTTTACGCTTATCCGTCGTGTAGGGTGCGCGTGGACGACGCCTCCGACGCGGCGGCGTCTTACAATATCGACATTAAGGAATCAATCTGTATTTTCCTGGACATCGATCTAGAGTGCCATGCGCGCTGCGCTTTCAGCCACAGCAGCTGCAGCCGCAGCAGCCTTGGGCCTCGACGCGTGACCCATGATGGAGCGACAGCGCGTGCCCCAAGGATGCCTGCTCCCGTTCGGAAACGTTTCCATGGCTGCTGCTCACGAGCATCCTTTACGTGATATGTAAAGAGCGCACTCAGGCCGTCAGTGATCGGGGTATGGGCGCTTTGTTTCCGGTCGTTGGTACACAGAGACACACACACACACACAGAGAGAGAGAGACCTGTTGCAGTGGCGTTGCCCTCGTGGGATGTCCTCTGCACGGCGCTTGCATGCGCATGCTCCCAGAGCGACCTCCATCGAGCGTCTGATTGCCATGCGACGGCATTGGTATGCAATGCGACTCCAGCGGGACACTTGTCCCTCAGAGCACGAATGCATGCGCTTGAACAATGCATGCATGTTGTGCACTGATCACTTTAGGCAATATGCAGTGATATGCCTCCAGCTCGTCGATCATTCGCCTCTATCCGAGGAGCGTCGGAAATTCGCCGCACCGCCCGTGACTTGTTCCGAGAGCGCCAGCATTCAGCGTCCAGTCGAAGACGCATGAACTAGATGCAAAGTAGGCCGGATTTGTTCGGGTTCCCATACACGCGAGCACTCGACAGAGACAGCAGTAGCGTCGTCGTCGTTGTCGTCGCATGCAAGAAAACTGGGTATCCTTTTTGCCGTGCGATTTCCAGGCACGGCGAGTGCCCGGAGCTTGCGTTCCGGCACATGGGTTTCTGCGTATCAGGTTATCGAGAAACCAGAAGAAATCTACTGAGTGTACTGGTGCAAGCTTCACGGAGAGGAATGTGCTGTTTCGAGCACTCGCATGCTCAGTTGAGCGTAGGTGCGCAACGCCGTTGCCGAGGCCGCTGGCGTTGCGCGGCGCAGCGCAGCGTTCATCCGCCATGCTGTTCGACGCTACGAAGACGCGGAGCAAGTATCGTTTTGGTGAGCACGGCAGCTGAGCGCGTCATCATGAGCAGCATCTGGTCACGTTTGACAGATAAGCGAAGATCGAACAAACCAGACGACGCTTCCGGTGAGAAGTCGGATATTCTTGGAGCTGGAACCTCGTTAGACTCACGAGCGGACCCGGCACCGGACCACTTGTGGGCACAGGTCGACCAAGTTGACAGCGTCCCCGATATCGAAGAAGAGAACGGACCCCGAGTGGATTTTTCGAACTTGGACAGAATACAAGCGGAGACTGTGGCTCCAGCGTTGGGCATTTATGCGACGCCGCGGGGCAAGTCCGGCGAAGTGGATTACTTGTTCGCGGAGGAGTATCACGAGTATCGCCATAAGAGCTGGGGCGAGCAACTCACCTTCTGGGCAGGGGTGAGTTATTTAGGCGGTGCGATAATTGGAGGCTCGTTAGGGTTTCGTGAAGGCATCCAGAAAGGAAACGAAATGGTCGCGGAGCTTGTGTCGCCAGTGACAGGAGCTGGCGGCGGCCCCAAAGCCGCAACTTCGCTGTCAGTCTCGCATGTATCCAAGGCAAAGCTTCGACTCAACGCACTGCTCAATGCAGTAGGTCGACGCGGCGGTCGCATGGGTAATGCTGCAGGCGTCTTAGCGATCATGTTCTCGGGATTTGAGTCGTTTCTGCACTGGCTCCGCGATGACGTCGACGACTCGTGGAATTACATTGGTGCCGGAGCGCTGACTGGCGCGCTCTACAAGTCCACCGCAGGTCTACGGGCAGTGTCTATGTGGAGCGCAGGGCTGGCGACTGTCGGCCTCGTTGGCCTGTACGGAGCCAGACGAGGGGTCTACGGCCGGCGGTTACGGCAACTGCTCTAAGCAGGTAGGCGGTGGTGTTGGGCGTCACGTAGACGGGCACAGCTCGGGAACGCCGCAACCTACGCTCATGGTGGTGATGGTGATGGTGCTGATGGTGGTGCTGGCGGCCGCCTCTATCGTTGGCATGTTGCGCGATGGCTTGCTCTGAGAAGCGCGCAACTCCTTCGATGGATCCAGACTCGGGCGATGTGCGCTGCGCGCAAGCCCTGGGTACGCCCGCGCAAAGCCTCGTATTGCTGGCGACAAGTACCCGATTTCCATACATTGTACTATGCTCGGCTTTCGGTTGAAAACGGAGACACGCGCGTTGCCCTGTGTACAGCGCAGCATGCGCAGCAGCGCGAAAGCAGTAGCAGCTTCCGGCATGAGCACTGGACGCAGGTCAAGCTTCGTCAAGCCTCAGATGCTTCAATGGACCAGGCTCGATGTCAACGAGTCCAAGGCACGATCCACATGACAGGTTGGCACCTGGGGATCCCCGAGGGAATGCAGCGCAGATGCTGTATCAGAGAAGTTCATTGACGGATCCGAATATTTTCGTTCACACTTGAAGCAGAGAGACAAGCACCGCTCTGTTTGAGGCTGTTGAGCTGCCGTTGAATAGGAAAATTCGTGAAGATACGATCGTCGTGTAGTGAGCCCCTGGGCTGCAACTCCGCTCCCTGAGCGAATCAGTTCGTTCGCCTGCTCGGACGGACCTGGGGTCGGATGTTCCAGGCCTCAGCTCAAACGCTAAAGGACCTTTGCTCCCTTGCTCTTGCACAGCCGCGGGCACACGCTGGTGATGCAGTGAGCTCTTGAGTCGCATATCGATCCCAAATGCGAATCAAGGCGTTTACATGCTCGGACGGCGCTGGGGTGTGCTGTTCCAGGCGCCCGGCATACCGATAAAGGCACCTCACTCCGTGGTGATGCTGTTGTCGCTTCCCCATCGAGTCTACCAAGTTGGAGAGGCGGCAATGCCGGCGTGCACAGCTGCTCGCTGGCACCGCGGCTTCCCTGCCGTTTCCGACCGACCAGCATATTATCGTTTCCGATCGCAACGCTTGGACTCGTAAAAGCGAGCCAGTGCTCCAGCAACCTGCTTCACCGTTTTGAGTGAAACTGCTTCCTACTGAAGCCTGCCGCAGGCGTCGGCATTGCCACATGGAGCCGCTCGTGCCCGCGCGTGCTTCACTCGATCCAACGGAGATCCGTCGAGACTTGGAGTAGTTTCGATGGCAGCTTGCCCGGTGACGGGGACAGAATTCGCAGACGACCTCGAAACCGATCCACCGCCGTTATCTGTACGAAACCGAAAACCGGAGTGCCCACCATACGAGTAACGATGGTCGGATCATCCAAGTGAGGCCGCTCCCAGACGGTGCTCGGCGCGTCAATATGGCTGGACGCCTCGGCCGCTGGGGGCGCTGCGGAGGCCCCGGATATCACGTTTGGTAATCTCGCGGCCAGCTCTTGCTCTGAGGCCTGACTCACCGCACCCACCGTATGCAGCATCTCCTCTTGAAGCTCTGTAAGGAACTCGATTTCTAGGGATTCTTGGTCCGGAAACGTTTCGCCTAGCGGTAACGCCGTCAGAGGCGCGAGCGCTCGCTCACAGATTCGATAGAGTAGGATGTCTGCGGTCGGAAGCCATAGCGGGTGGGGATGAAGCTCCCCGTGAAGACCATAAAAGTAGGATCGAAAGCGCTTCGCACGCTCTGCTCGACGGATGGATGTATCCCGAGGCACGACGCCACCGCTCTTGGGAATTCGAACGAGATCCACGCGTTGTTTCGTATCGGTGTTCACCCGATCGTCATATGATTGACGGAGTAGCGCATACAAACGTTCCGATTCAAGAACAACGACACAAGTGGGTGATAGTTCATGAAGCGCATCGGCGAGCAGATCGAAACTCTCGCGAGTCTCTGTCCATGCGGGCAGTACTGCAATGCAACCGGCGTTGTAGAGCAGAGGTGCCTCGGTGTCAGCTCCCTGATCACCCGCTTTTGCCGCTTTTGCGTCTACTTCCGTCATCCACGCGTCCAGCTGACGTCTGATGGCTCCAATGAGCGTCAAATAGGACTTGGCGTTATCATGTGGATAGAAATGCCCAAAGTACCAACAGATTGGCCGTTCAAATGCCGCCGCATCTTCCAGCGCAAGCAGCGGCCGATGCAGCGACATCATCACCAGGGCGCCGGGAACCGCCGTTAGTCGGCTGCACGGCCCGAAGCCAGCGCCAGGGTCCAAGTCTAGCCACGCAAGTCGAGCACCGAGGTGCCGCAGTGCGTAGGCTGCCAGAGTTGCCGCCACCGTCAGCTTGCCGCTGTCATGGGGGCCCACGACGGCCACCCGCGGTGTCTTATTCGAGCGACCGTCGCGTCCAGTGCGAAAGCTTTGCTCACGTTGCCGCTGGAGCACTGCATGAATGTTCATCACAAGTGGGTTTGGTGTTTCCTCTGCAATATACGGCGGCACATGGAACGATCCGCGAACCTCGACACGACATCCATGCCACGTGAAGACGCCCAAACGACTTCCAGGCCGCAGATCAAAGCTCTGATGAAGCGCCAGCTCCCGTCCGAGGACTTCCGCAGTGCCACGCAATAAGCGCAGCTGTGCGGTCGACTGTGTGTCGTCGGAAACCTCAAGTCGTAACTCGTTCTCGGCTCTCAAGTCAAAAACTCGCCAGGCATCTGCGTTGTGTCCGGTACCCAGGCCTGAACTGTGCGAACTTAGGGTATCGGCCATGGCAGAGTCTTCCTCCGCAAAGTGGTTGCCGAATGGACGTCCGATCCGGTGAACGCTCGCACTGCTACGAATTCGGCACAAAAACACCACAACAGTGTGTTCTCTGGCAAGCGCAGCAGCAAGCGTATACCGCAGCAACGCCTATCATCAGCTGTGGGGAAAACACCCCTGCGAGTCTCCCGTTCAAGGTACTGCTGATCAAGCCGACTGCTGTTGCGAGTCTCTCTGTCTCTCTCTGTCTCTATCTCAGCGGTCCGGTTTTCGGTGATAGGTGTACCCAGTCACTCGGTGGTGTTGCAGCCGTAGAACCCTCGGGGCACCTTCCGTAGCAACTTCCGCTGATCCGTTCGAACTGCTTGTGCGAGTGTCTATTTCAGTCACCCTGTTTCCGGTGATATGTTAACCAGCCACTCAGACCGCTAGCAGTACTTGATCTTTGGGAGTTTCTCGTAATAGTTCGTGAAGATCAGTCCGAATCGCTTGCACGAGTCACTCAGGATGCTTCCAGTACTAGACTAGAGGACGTTCGTATCCGTCTGGCGGTCGAGATTCGTCTAGCCCAGCAGGGTCGCGGCGAGTCGCTACTGGGAGGACGCGCTGCAGACTGCGCGGGAAAGCCATGAACAGGAGGCGTTGACCGAGCCTACACGTGTACCTGTATTAGACTTGTCGCCACGTTCTATGCGAAAACGAGTTATCGCTGAGACCGCTCCTGGAGAAGAGGAGCTGGCGGATCAGGTCATTCGTATAAAAGCGAATGATGTCGATTCGGGGCTCGCTGCACTCAAAAGCTGTGCGCTCCCTGCACTGAGTCGGGCGGAAAGTCTCCAGCGTTATTACGCAGAGTGGTTCCCGGCTACGGTTTTGGCACAGTGGCTTGCTGGCCGTCCAGGGGCTGAAGGCGAAGACCTACTTTCACGTCGGGAGTTCAGTTGCGAGGCGGATGACGGAAGCGGAGGCGAGAAGAGGATTCGCTACCTTGCCTATCAGGATGCTGCTGGACTGCGTGCCGAATTCTTGCGACTGCTTCCGCTCCGGTACGATATAGGACCTGTGTATGATGCGAGTCCCAGAGATAGGTACCGACGTATAAATAAACTGGAACCCGTAGAGCGCGAACTGGTCTTCGACGTGGATCTCGATGTGTACGAGTCTGTCAGTGCGCTAGGTCAGTCAGAGCCGGCAGGTGCCGCTGCGAACTTTGCTGACGACCCTCTGCGGGCGTGTGCCGATAACTGGCTATTTGTTGAGGCGGCTGTGACGGTTATGGAACAAGCGCTTCGCGAAGACTTCGGATATGAACACGTTCTTTGGGTTTTTTCGGGACGGCGTGGTGTCCACGCCTGGGTGTGCGATACGCGGGCCCGGCAGCTGACCGATGAAGCTCGTGCCGCTATCGTGGAATACCTACAGTATCGCGGGATATCCGCCGTTTCGAACCGCTCGTCTCTATCATCTACCTTCAACAGAACTGCGACAACATTCCTGCACCCGGCGCTTCGGAGGGCTGCAACAATCCTGCTACCATTCATGGACAGGTTTCTTGAAGAGCGGCCGTCGATTTGGGCGGACGAAGGCGCCATGGACACTGTCTTGGGCATGTGTCCCGATGCTCAGGTACGAGAGACGCTCCGTCGCTTTATTCAGCGTTCCCATACGAGAGAATCTGCTGCCGCCGTCTGGCGCCTGGCGTTGGAGCAACTCGACAGCAAGCGCCTGGATACGGATGCCGCCATGCATATCGTGCTAGGATTGCTCTACCCACGCCTGGATGTGAACGTAACCCGACAACGAAATCATCTGCTCAAAGGCCCGTTTAGTATCCATCCGAAAACGAACGCGATTTGTGTCCCGTTCAGAGCCGACCAGGTCTCCAAGTTCCGACCAGAACGTGATGTGCCGCGGCTTGTACCCCTGGTGACGGGCGACGCGAAAGCGCAGAAACAGCTACGCGCCGCCCTGGATATCATGGAAGCCTTTGTAACGGAGTTATACCGCGCTGATACGTAAGATCCCTCTATCCTACTCTATAGACCTTGGGGTGCGCACCTGGACATCCGCCTCAGACGTTTTCCGGATGAAATTTGAGCAGCACGCCATCAGCACCCAAGACAAATCCTCGCTGCGAGCCGAAAAATTTGATCTTATAAAGATTGGCGCCTACTTTGCTCACAAGCGGATCGCGTCGCCATGTTTTGCCGCCATCATCGCTGCGGTACATGCTTCCACCACCAACCGCTGCCCAGACGTGCCGATCGTCCTGAAAAGCGACATCCAGGATACCGTAGCCACCAGTCTTAGAATCGACCATATCGAAGGCAATCGTCTCAGTTGAATTCAGGTTCACGTTCGGCTTGGTGAACCCCAGACCGCCGCCCCTGATCGTTTCCCAAATACCTTTGGTAGCGTCATTCTGAATGAAGCCGATTGCGCTGATGCGTCGCGAAGTGGATCGAGCGTGAGGCGTCCAAAAATCGGATCCCGGCACCCAGGTGAGGAAAAAGTTACCCCTTGAAGGTATCGCGATATAATTCCCGTGAACATCGCGCGACACGGAAACGATGCTGCCGGTGAAATAGCTCGCTCCGGTGATACCAGAGGAGATCGTTCGATTCAAGGTAGCATCAATAGTCTCCCGTACCAGCGCCTTCCAATTGATACCACCATTTTCCGTCACGTAGATGGCACCCGAGCTGGTCACCATTTCAGCGCAGTTCGGACCGAGCGCAGTAACCAGCAGTGGCTCTCCGGGTAGCTTTGGAGAGAGGAGAATACGTGACCAGTTTTTGCCCCCGTCGGTCGAACGCAACATAACCGGAGGCTTACCTATGACCCAGGCCTCATCTCCACTGAAACTCACGTTCGAGAAACGGTAGTTCAGCTCCTCCTCACGCTCGACGTCCTCGAAAGCGCGCGGTTCCCAGGTCTCGCCTCCGTCACGCGTTTCGAGGACCAGGCCACGAGTCCCTACAAGCCAGCCGTGATTAGGATCCTTCTGGCTGAAGTCTATGTCGAAGAGCACACTCTCCGTCGGCAGCGGCACCTGTTTCCAGGCGGCGCCTCGCACGGTCTCAGCGAGCGGTGCCGCAACTAGCGCTCCGCTGCGCGGCAAAGCAACAGCTAGCGCGCCAAGAGCTAGGTGATGCAAAAGTGCTCGTCGCGAAACGCTGAATCCAAGCTGAGACTCAACAACAGTTTCCGTATAGGCGTGTACGCGCTCGCCGTCGCTCATGCAGATACGCCACCGCTGACGGTCCCCGCTAGCTCTCTCTGCTGCTGACCTGCTTCGCAGTACCTCCGCGTTACGACACCTGCTTTTGCTGCCGTGTGCCAGCAAGCCAGCAACGTTCGTGAACGCTACAGATACTGACGTCATCGCCCAATATATCCTGATCAGAGGCCCTTCTAACCACTCACCACCACCGTCCCCTAGGTCGCACAGTGCTTCTAGTGATGCGATGCAGTACAAGATGCTGGCAGCGATGTGGGCGTGAGCGCTGCGGCTTCGCAGATCGCCGCCGCTGTCGCCGCGGATGCAGCGCATCGAGGAGCCTCTGCGGCGGTGCGTTGCTAAAGTGTGAAGCGACCTGTGCATCGTCGGAGTAGGTGCAGGAGTAGGTATAGGTGTAGAGGTAGGGGGTAGGAGTCAGTTGCGTCTGGGATAGACTTGACGACATCCACTGCGTCGCTGGATCTAGCCATTATGTCTGCGAGGAACTCTTCTCTGGGATATTGAGATGCACAGGCGCGTTTCTGGGGCGATCCAAGTCTCTTTCCAGCTCTGCTGAGGCAGCGGATGCACCTCGCGGCGGTATCTGGTTCGATGCATCGATCTGACGGCATGGGAAGACTTGCGTGGCCGGTGTCTGCTGAGCCTCGGAATTTTTGGCGGGTCTCGGGGCCAACGTTGCCTCCTGCATGGTTTGGAATCGAAGGTAATTGCGACGCTTTGCGCATGGTCACGTGGATTAGTTCGCTGGGGCATGGCTATTGCCTCTCGTTCAGACACGCGTATATGGACCGCTTTGCAGGGTGTGCCTGCGTGAAGTAGACGCTGGACCAATCGGGGGATCCTCCAAGCGTCGAGCCTCTGATATTCGCAGCTGTACTGGCGCTTATGGGGCGTCGACTCGCTTCAAGCTATTGGATCCGATTTTTCTCCCGAGCGATCGGATGATTGATACTTCCTGTCAGACACACTCGAGTACGCAAATGCTACCAGTAACCGGGACGTCAGCGCCCATTCCCCCAGGGAGAGAGGCTCTCACGCTGGACCAGTCCCAGTCCAGCTTGCTCGTATGAAGTAGAGGTATGACTCTTCCCGTCTACATGACGCTCGACCAGTAACCAGAGCCTCAACGTCCATTTCCCCAGAGAGGGAGGGAGAGACTCTGACGCTGGACCAGTCCCAGTCCAGCATGCTCGTATGAAGTAGAGATATGACCGTTCCCGTCGACACGACGCTCGACTTGCTGCCTGCTGACGCTTCCTGCTGTATATGATGCGAACGCATCTCGGAGGCGACATCGCATTTAGCACCCAATTTTGGCGAACGGAGCATCGCGGCGGAATGCACGCTGCGCTCTCACCAGCCCTGCTCTAGCCGTACGTGTGGGGCGGCGAGGTGTCGAACGCTGTGACGTGGAGAGCGCTGGGCATATCGCTTGATAGGGCGTCATATCCGGAAAAGCGATGCGGTTGCTGTACAGTGGCTTTGTGTAAACGCTTGATAGCGTTGTTTCTTGCTGGAAGTACAGCTTGCTTGCTTGCTTGCTTGCTTGCCTGCAGGTGCTCCACGAGAGACTGAGCACGCTCACGTCGTTACCCGGGTATAGCGTTGCGGTAGCTGCTGACTTTGTCCTGGAAGCCTGGATTTTGTGCGCGTTTCTAGTGATCGCGCGCTCGTTGGTACAGAAATCTTGTCAATCTGTGCTGTCTAAGTGTGCATTAATCACGCCTTGGTCGCAAGGGTTTGGGCTTGAACAAGGAAGCGCGGACGCTGGGGTTTGCGCCACAGTTCTCGGTGGGGGACACGCTTGCGGTGCTTGACAGCCGCACCTACACAGTAGAGAAGCGATTGATGCTCTTTCGCCGAACATGGCCGCTTACGTTTGGCGCTGTAAATTTGAGAGGTTTCCGTTTCGGAGCCTTCGGGAATGCCTCGATGAGGACAGCGGGAGCTGTACGTGTTGCTTTCGACGCTGGAGCTCGAGTGCTGAGTACTCGAGCGGCAGAGAGAGTTTTTCGGAAGATTGGAAAGACCGTACACGTGATGCATCGGAGTTGACGGGAAAGCGGAAGTACCCACGCGAGGCGCAGCCTGTTCGGATATGGACCAATCCCCGAGAATACGCGTTTTCAGAGTCATGGCTATCCAGCGATAGTGCCTTCGACTTGATTGCTATGGATGCGCAAGGGCGCCTAAGCACGTACCACTGGCACCGACGTCGGCTCCTACATGAGCTAAGTACGAACAGCTCAAGCACGCGACGAGCATCATTTACTGAAGCCGATTCCCGCAGCTCACCGGTACCGCATTCACAGTCGGACTGGGAAAGCAGAGCCGCAATCTTGCAGTCACGTGATTTGCGGTTGCTGAATCCGATCTATCGAGACCAACCCGTATTTTTGATGCGTTCTGACCTGATTTTAGCTGCACTAGATCGTCATGTGTTGGCAATCATGCAACCAGGCAGACTTTTCCTGCAGCAACTAGCGTGCCCCGAATCGAAGTCTCTGAATGACCGCCTGATTCAGTGGATCCGCGTACGGCTGAGTGAGCACGGCAATGCATTCGAAGTGGTCGCTCTCGAAGCTCTGTTGGTGCTTGCCCACGAAACCCTCGCGCGACGAGCGAATGTGGTCAAACTGGCACTTGAGGAGCGTCTTGCACCGTTCGCGAGTCACCCGAACAAGCGCTTACTCGAGGAAATCCGCGTGTTGAAACGTGAACTCGCCTCTGTGGCTACCGAGGCGCAAAACTACAGTGCCGCGTTGGAACGCGTGCTCGGTGACGATTTGCCGTGGCATATCGCTGAAATGACGCTTGTAGTGGCGTCATCTGGCGATATGCTGACAACGAGTAGCGATCTGGAATCGCTTTTGGAGAGCAGTATGCAAAAGTTTCGGGGCTGGAGCCGCCTCGCAAACGAGTTATGCCATCGGGTCGGGAATGCGGAGCAGATTATTGAGTTGAGTTTAGCAGTCACGCAGATGCGCCTATGGTCGTTCGATGCCCTACTTCACCTCGTTACCGTGTCAGCGTTCCTGATAATGATTCCACCCGATTATTTCGGGATGAGCATCTGGATTCCGGTCTATGATCGTGTAGATATCTACTGGCCGTGGCTTCTTACTACGTTCCTTTTAATGTTGCTCAGTTTCGGATTCCTCGGGACTGGAATTTGGATACTTCGCAGAAAGAAGCTCCTGTTCCCTTTATTTAAATCGCGGGTAGATCATTAGGGTTCAGGGTTGATCGCAGCGCCGAGACGCTGTTGACGTAAAGCGCGTAGCAACTGGCTGCGGTGCATTGCACGAAACCTGGAGATTGATATCAAGTGCGTATCATCTGGGTGCTGTGTTCGCTTGAAACCGATCCCGCTACGCTGGAGCGCTCACCGTCGGGACGTTAGGCTCTCCAGGATATGCACATCACAGATCTCGTGGCCTGATAGCGATCGCTTTCACAAGTGGTGGCGCGCACCAGCCGACCATTTTCTTCGGTGTAAGATCCAAAAACCAAACCGGGATCTCCCCGAATGCACCACAGCATTCGCCAATGCGGGAATCGAACATCGCTCCACTCCATATAGCGTTATGTTTCAGAAAGCCCGGACCGGCTTTCACAAATCCATACCCCAAAGGAAGTTGCACTAGGGCGACACTGCGGCGACCGAGTACCTGGCGCGTCATCTTTATTCATGAGGTCGCAGCGTGCCATCGGACGGTTGCGTGTGGGTGATCCCGCTGACCTCTCATTGCAGTTTGCGTATGCGAGAAAGTCGCTTTCTGGAGTTGACCGCATACCCCTTGCAGGATGATGCGCCGCATCATCAACATATGGGGCTGGTTCCGCGGTGCAATGATGACTCGAAACCTATCGAGTAGGGCAGGAGGTATGCCCACCAGCCCCAGAAACAAGCCAGTATGCCACATGCATGTTCTCTCCAGCGAATAGATCCCTTGCTGGAAAGTCGCCAGATAAGGATACGGCAAAGCCAAGGTTGCTTGTGGAGGCAGCGCACCATTTCCAAACTTCTCGAGCAGAAGAGCGGTGGCGGACCTCGTCCATGCGTCCACGGTAACTTATGCTGTATCGCATTCGATGCTCTGAACGAGCGGACCAGTTTGACCAGTGGGAGCACTCCAGCTCCAAATGAATGCAGATAGTGTTTTGGCCCCGTGGCCTGGCATCACCACACGCGGACTTCATCAAGACACGGCACAAACGAGCGGCAACATCCAGAACAATGCATTTCCGCTCCGGAATGCTGGTGAGAAACCGCCATGACGGACAATCGAAAGCCCGACATTCTATTGCGTCTAACACATTTACGATCATGCGCCACCCAAGTACGCGCACAGTCGTCCATGCAGTGTTCAGCACCTGGAGCGAACGCAGCAAATGAGACTCCAGCGCAAGTCACATACACTAGTACGCGCACAGTGGTCCATGCAGTGTTCAGCGCTTGGAGCGAACGCAGCAAATGAGACTCCTGCGCAAGTCACATACACTAGTACGCGCACAGTGGTCCATGCAGTGTTCAGCGCTTGGAGCGAACGCAGCAAATGAGACTCCTGCGCAAGTCACATACACCAGTACGCGCACAGTGGTCCATGCAGTGTTCAGCGCTTGGAGCGAACGCAGCAAATGAGACTCCTGCGCAAGTCAGATACACAAGTAGGCACATGTAAGCGCGCGTCCATCGGATCGCTTGACGCGTTATGGGCGCACCCTGCCGTTCCGTCCGCATAGACACGTTCATGATCTCGACGTTGGAGATAAGTTGAACAAAGGCCCATATTTCTGGACTATCCCCACGGCGCCTACTCCAGATCTTGCAAAGCACACGGGCGCGAGGGTCTCGGGTTCCGCGCAGTGCACCCGGCGACGCGGGGGTTGCATGTCCATCGAGACATATTTGTACAACTGTGGAGGTGCATCCCAGCGCCTCGATGGGCGCACGCTGTATCGAGTCAACAGGCTTTTATTCTCTAGTATTGGTGTGCGCTACCGCGTGCCCTTGTGCAAACGCGCACGTTGGTGAACACTATGGAAAAATTTGCGGATAATATTCCTGAAGAGGACCTGTCAGCCCTGGTGGAACTGGTTGAGGAGGGTGAAATCACGTCGGAGGAGTTGGTGCAGCAACTGCAGCGCGCAGACTTGGGTGACCTCTCAGCGGAAGACGTCTACGAGCGCGTTTCGCGCTGGTTGGAGCGCCAGGATCTCGCCGAAAACGTGCACGAATCTGTGGGTAGCGATGAGCCGGTTGAAGCACAGCCAGCTCCACAGATCGAGACTGACGTCAGGTCGGGTGAGGCACCGCGTGCCGTGACATCGAGTGCAACTAGTGACGCGCTGCTCGTGAGCCTTCTCCAAAAGGTACGCCAGCGACAACGCTTCTACGCTTCGCAGGCGGAACGGGTTGGTGCGGAGCTCAAACGCCTGCGCCGCCTTCTCCTCGACGAGCTGCGGCCGGGTTTGGAGGCGATTCACTCGGAAGCTCTAGATCGCCTTACAGAGTTGGCTGGTGATATCGGGGAACTTCGCTCGATACGCGATGAACTGCTCCAGCGTCGGGAAGAACGTTTACGAGAGCAGCTTGCAAGCGCTTCTGCAATGGCGAATACGCTCGAGAATGAACTGACCGAAGCGCTTAAGGAGGACGACGGCGAACGTGCTGCAAATTGCATGCTGCGTATCGAGGCGCTGTCGCAGGAAATCGAGGAGACACTAGGGCTGTCGCCTGGACAGATTGCAAAGGCCCGGCGGATGGCTCTCGAGCGCTACCGCACCTGGGTCTATAAGAGATGTGGAGCGTACCTCAATCGTCTGGGTCCGTGGCCGTCTAATCCGGACGCTGCTTTTTTGCGCAGACTGGAGGCGAGTGAGATCGCTGCTCGAATTCGAGCTTTAGCACAGCAGTCTGTGCGCGTGTTCCGGGGTCCAGATGCTGCCGGTTTCTACGGAGGCACGCTTAACGAAGAGGATGACCGCCGGAGTGCAACTAGTGAGTACAGTGGTTCCACCGCACATCGAGCTTCTGGACGCGATCGTCGCTACTTCGAGCACTGCTTCCTGCAGACCCAGGTAGCTGCGTTTGAAAAGGCGTTTCGCGAGGCCATTCGCGCACCACCCGTACAAGCGAGCTCGGAGTCCAAGTTGTCTGTTGAGCAAGGAGCCCAGAAAGTTTCAAGCCAAGTCAGCGAGACAACGCCCAGCAGAGCAGTAATCGATTTCGCTGTTCACTATTTGAAAGAGTTTGCTGAGCGTTATCGACCGCTTTTGCGAGTCGTGTTTGATGGCATGGACGAAGACGTAGATTTATTGGTCGAGTCCATGGTTCATGAGTTCATGGCGACCATCGCTGAAGTTGTATTTGCAGAGTTGGAGAACCGTTACAGTTTCGGTGAGGCCGAAGAGGATAACGCGCGCCCAGCTTCAGGAATCTCGCACCTCTACGCGCATACATTGCAGCTGGTTGACGCGTTGGTAACGTTTGATCGAGATATGGCGTTGATAATTGTCTCGGAGAATCACTCCTTAATGCATTCCTGGATGGAGGCGGAATTCCAAAGCGCGCTAAACAGGTTCGAAACCGCGCTGCGAACTCCTGGCGCTCTCGGTATCGTGATCCCCGGAACTGCAGCCTCCAGCGACCAACTTGACCTGCTCACCAAGGGTCGAGCCATTCTGGATTCATTTGCAGGTCATCAAAACCGCGCAACGACCGCTGCAGCGCTGCAGCTGGATGCCCTTCAACAGGCATCTCTAATCGGAGAAACGCTGCATTCCTTGGCGACCAGATGTCGAGCATTACCGCCACATCCTCACCGTGCCCGTTACCGTTTTGCACAGTCTGTGATCGCTCCTCTTATCGGGTGGATCATGGCACAAATTCATTACCTGATGACCGAGACTGAAGCGCAATGTGCGACAAGTCTTCAAGCATCCATGCATGCAAGCGGGGCGCCCTCGGCGGAACGCTTCAAAGACTGTTACCTTTTGAGTGCGGATGCCTTGTATCGGACGCTTTCCTATGCGGCGGCTGCCTACTTGCTTGCCGAGGATATTCGCCAACGAGTCGAAATATACCTCTACGAATTGGAGTTCAGCAACGCACCCGATCAAGGACCCGACAGCGAGCTCGAGTCCGAGAATGAGCAGAGCGCGCGCAGTGACGTGGTTGGCGCAGGCAATCCCTACGACGCCATCACCGCTGAGGTGACTGCTTTGCGCAAACTCTCAAGCAAAGCACTCGCTTCGTATGCTGACACGGTCACTGATATGCTAGCACCGTGCTTCCTTGAAGCTGACGCCGATGCGTCTCTAGCGACGCCGGCGCTGGTTGCGGCAGCGATGAGTACCATCCAGGATCTTGTTGCTTTGAGCGAGCTTCTCCTGCGTGGACACAGAACGCTGCTTCTCTGGCTATGGGCACCGTTCTTCCTTCAGCTCGATGCGAAATTGGCGATGTTCATTGCCCAGTGGCGACAGCAGCTGCAGGAGGCGAACGAAGCATCGCAGCCATTGCACAGCGCACGCGCGCACCACGAGTCAGAGGCACGTTCCATGCAGCAGAGTTTTGGCGCCTCCAAGCATACAGCACTTCCTATCCAAGCGGGTACTGTGCAGCAGCTTGCTGATTTTGCTGCTGCACATTTCCAGCTACGCCACACGCCACTGCATCAGACCCGCTTGGCACTTGAGCATATGCTCCAGTTCAGCGCTTCGGAGTGATTGCGGGAAACGAAAGATGTATCGCCGTCGCAGTGCGGATTTTTTGATGCGCTTGCCGCAGATGATTCATATGCTGTATCTGAATATCATGCGCAGACCGTTCAGCGACTAGCATTTCGTGCCTTGACCCAAACGAGACAAACCTTGGGAGTTCTAGATGCCAACGTCTTAGACGCGGCGTGTTGCTCACTCCTGCAACCTGTTCAGCGCACGAGAAAGGCGCTGGATCACACCAGTCGCCTTAGGTCTGTCCTTGACTTGGTATTTATGTCGGGAATTTCAGACCCTGTTCGCCTCGTTTCATACCTGCTACTCGTCGAAGAAGAATTCGAAGCACTCCATTCGGGGTCATGTCCAACGAACACAGCGCTCAGTGTCGCCTTTCTCCTATTCGTGTCGTGCTCTAAAGCATCCTCGCCAGCGGGCAAGGTACTGTTTTTGTCTCCTGCAGATTCCTCATCCTTCGCGGACATCGTGTCTGAGCAACTCGTTCTCGTGCACGTCAAGCTCTTTGCCTGATGTCTTTTTTCGTGTCTAGCATCGACGATTGACATCAGGTCTTCCCGAATGCACTCACAGCTACAGCCGGTAGCCAGGTGCAAGAACTTTGCCGCCAATGGAGAAACTCCCGGTACACGGAGGCATCTTGCACGCGGAGTTGTTCCACGGACAAACATGCGCAGTGAGCAGGTCGCTGATGCACCACGGCGACGCGTTTACTAGTCAGCTGGATCGGTGCGATAGCGTGCGGCTTCCGTGTCGTACCACGGAAAACCGACAATATCCCGAACCTGTTCGAAATCCATCAGATGCGGAGCGACTTTCTCGGGATTCCCGGACTGCAACGCTGACAAGGCAGCTTGCATGGCTTTCATGGAAGCCGCCAGGAGCGTCAGCGGATAAGCAGCGATTCGATAACCCATGCTTTCGAGCGTTTTCGCTGGGAGCATCGGGGTCATCCCATTCTCCAGCATATTCGCCAACATGGGAACACCGGCGAACGTTTTCGTGAAGCGCTCCATATCTGCCACGGAGCGCGGTGCCTCTAAAAAAAGCACGTCGGCGCCAAGCTCCAGAGCCTTGTCTAGTCGCCAGAGAGCCTCATCGAGTCCGTGGGTGGCTATCGCATCGGTACGCGCGACAATGACGATGTCCTCGAACTCGTTGCGAGCATCGATGGCTGCCCGCCAGCGCTGCACCGCCTCGCTGCGTTCAACCACGGCTTTGCCGCGCGTGTGTCCACAGCGCTTCGGATTGACTTGATCTTCAATCAGGATACCAGCCAGACCGGCCAGAGCGAATCCTCTAACGGTACGCTTGACGCTCACCGGGTTTCCGTAACCAGTGTCGCCGTCGCCAATGACTGGATAGCTTGCGGGGAGCACTTCCATGATGGAGGCCGCGCGGTCGCGAATCTCACCAAAGGACAGCAAGCCTGTGTCTGGAAGCCCAAAGCTCGCAGCGACCCCGAATCCGGTCATGAAACTCAGCGGAAATGCTGCAGAGCAGATCATTTTCGCAGAGAGCCCATCGAAGCAGCAAGGCATAAGATGCAGTTTCGGCGTTTGAAGCAGGAGACGCAAGCGCTCCACCGCTTCCATTCGTCCCGAACGAGCAGTGCGTTCGAGCTGGCTGGGATGCAAGCTCTCTCCGGCAGCATCTGCAACAGCCACAAGCCGCCCTCGTCGCCACGAGTGAGACGATCGCTCGAACAGCGCCAGAGCGCTCCTCAGGCCCGCTGAGGGAAGGAGCGTACGCGGGCCCTTTCTGGTGCGCCGCTGACCCCACAATGAATTGTAGTCTACGACATGTCCCGAGATCGTGAACATGTTTTCTCGTGCAGGTGGTAAACGGCGTTCCAAGCGAGCTAGCCTCTGCAGTGCGAACACGCCTGAGGAGGGCGCATCGACACTGTGCCCGTTCAGACGAGCGCATCTGCCGCATGCCTCGTCAGCGTGGTGCTCTAGGGTGGTTTACGATCATCACGCTTTCAGCGTTCCGATGATAACACTCCACTATTTGAACCAGTCGAGGGCGCTGAGAGTTTGGTGGCTACTAGAAGAACTTGAGGTTCCGTACGACGTCAAACGTTATCAACGCGATGAGACGACTATGCTTGCGCCCGCAGAGTTGAAGCGGGTTCACCCGCTTGGCAAGTCACCGGTCATAGAAGACGACGGGCAGGTGATCGCAGAGTCCGGTGCTATCATAGAGTACTTGACGGGAAAGTACGATAAGAAAGGTCTGGTTCCGCCGGCCGGAACACCTGAGCGGCTGAGGTACACTTTCTGGTTACACTACGCAGAGGGGTCACTGATGCCGCCGCTGTTGCTCAAGCTGGTTTTTAACCGGCTGGCTACTGGCCCTTCACCGTGGATAGTGCGTCCTCTATTGCGCGTTATCTCGAGGCGTGTGCAGGAGAGCTTTGTGGACCCCCAGGTGCAACTGCACCTGGGTTACGTAGAACAGGAGCTTACCCGCTATCGTTGGTTTGCAGGTGACCAGTTCACTGCTGCGGATATACAGATGGGCTTTCCTTTACTGGTGGCAAAGTCACAGAAAGCACTGGACGATCGCTATCCGCATATTATGGATTTTCTAAAACGTATGCGGGAGCGTCCTGCATACCAAAGGGCGCTTGAAAAGAGCGGTGGCGATGAAATTTGAAACGGGTAGGTAAGAAAGTACAGAATGCCCAAGTCCCGAGGTCTCGGCATATCCAGGCTAACGAGGACGCATCCATGCATACACGATGGCATGGAAGTACCTGCATAAGATGCTCGGCTTTCGAGTGTCTGGGAGTAAGTCGCTTTTTGAGGCGCGCGTGCATAGACTAGCTTGTACGTGTTTTCGAGTTCAGCCTTGGAAATCAATGCTTTCGACTGCGATTGCGCTTCTTTCTGGGCAAGTACATCATAGTCGAGTGGCTCTTGCATGATGGCGCTGTTGCATCGTTGCGAGGCTGGGTTTCTGCACCATCAAGTAGGTGTTTTCGCTTTTCAGCATGAATCTTCACCAACGGTGGTAAATGGGAAAAGCGAGCCAGCCTCTTGGCATAAGATCATTGAACAAAGACTGACGGGCGCGAGCGCCTCAGCTCAAAGGCACTCCATGAGCCTATCTTGGATGGAATTTGATTTCAGGTCTCTGTTTATGGTATGAGATAGTTGGACGGAGCGCTCACCGGCATTAGTAGGTCGCACATGTCATTCACTCTACCTCCCGCATTCTTGCTCGGGAGCTATTCACGTTTTCGGGTTCACCAGAAGCGGCTTTCCGTGCGTCCAGAACCCAGCACCACGTTTGGCGATGCAGCTCTGGAGAGTGGAACTTCATCAGGATAGCCATGGGCAACTTTGGGAAGTTCCCTCCGCAACTTCGCTGGCATCGCAGTGCTTGGGTCTACCAGAGTGCGCGCTCGACTGGACGACACCAAGTACCGTTCTGCTCAGATGCAGAGCGTGCTTGCGAGAGCGTCACAGCACTGCAGAGCATCCTGAGCAGAGCAGGTGCTACTGCAGCTCATCCGAAAACATCAGGGGACCTCGATTGCCACCGAGGGCTGATCAGTCACGCTTTTCTCCTGATAAAGAATTCCAGATTAAAGAAAAATTGCGCACAAAGGCCTCCTGTGCCATACCACCGCCGTCACTGGAGTAGAGACTCTCGCGTGAGAGCGCCTCATCCACGCTGGTTCCCTGTGTGATCCGCCAGCAGGCAATCATTGTGCCAGTACGTCCTATACCTGCTTTGCAGGATACATACAACGGCCAGTTGCTGGGTTCATTTACAAGTTGCACAAACTGCATAACTTGTTCCAACGTTGGCGCGCTGAAATCTTCAATATGGAAGCGTATCATGCGAACATCACCCCACGCCTCCTCGTGTGGCGCATTCCACTGGTTGCCTCGGTCGGTGCCACGCAAGTCGATGGTCACACGAACCCCGTAATCTCGAAGCCACTGGATACCTGCCGAGGTCGGTTGGCCGCCTCTCAATAAGCGGCGCGGAAGAACAACTTCGAAATTCGGAATGTCCGACGGACGCGGTCGCAGCAGCATCGACTCACCGTGCAGCGCTGGAGCCCGCTCCGGAATGAGCGTCGCGTAAGCCATGTCCTCCTCGAGCGCCTCCTGCAGCATGTCCAATGAATGCCGCACTGTAGATGGGGTCGGCAAACCGCTCGAGCGTTCTAGTTCTCCAAGATAATGCGCGAATGAACGAGCTGCCTGGAGCAGCCGAGACCTTCCCCGAACTCGATAGGTACCCAAATGCAACTGCGTGGCCGCGTCACGCAGCTCACACAAGTACCTCTTTGCGTTTTCATCTTGCTGGACCCAGTCCCACGATGCGCAGCTTAACTGGACCTCGTGCTGCAAAATTCGTAGCGAGAGCAACTCTAGCATGAGAAAGTTGTCCTGGACCAATAGTTGCAATGCGAAGAGCACAGTCTGATCCTGCTCCCTGAGGCGTGGTTGCACGTCACCAGGTTCGGCGCCGGGGGATCCCCCAAGGGCGAGGCTCTCAAATCTATTGTCCATGAGGCAAGAACGCAGCTGCTCGACAAGCATCTGGAGCACTCTCGGCGGATTGTTCGGCTCAAGCAAGCACCGCAGTTGCCATAGCTTCTCCCTCATAGCCGACTTTGTTTGCGGAATACCGGCGCGAAAGCCAGGATTTTTGGAATACTCCTGCAAAAGCTGTGCGTCTCGCTTGAGCGCTTCGAGCAGAGGTTCCAACTGCTCAAGGACCTCGTCTCCCACGGGAACTCTGCACTCGTTACGAAGCCGACTAACCAAGTCCTCCGTCAAGAGTCGTAACAGCTGAACCTTGGCCTGCAAGACCTTAGCAGCAAGCTCTTCTTCTTTATCGGAACTATGATGTTTCGCCCGAAGCAGCTCGCCTGCAACGTGCTCCAGCTCCTGGCGCAGCGGCAGTAGTTGTGACGTGGGCGCTACCAGCCAGCGTGCCTCAGCTTCCTGGGCCATATAGACCCTGGCTCGCGGGAGCGGGCGCGAATCCCGAAAGCGGCTCCCTTGTACTGCTCTTCGCTGCCGTTTTCTCACAACATACGAGTCAGGTGCCGGTTCCGGGCAACACTCAGTTGAAACAGGCAACTTCTGCAGTGCAGTGCGTGCCGATGGTGCCTCCACGAGCTCGGGCCCGAAGCAGGAAGCCGCTCGAGCAACTCCACGTAACGAGCTTACTGGTTTCCAAGCAAAAACAGGCACAGCGAACATGCAGCAGACGGTGGCCCGATTCAGCACGTGATTTATGCTACACAGGTTTCACTTGCGGTTGGTTGTTTCCACGGACGCGGCAGAGTAGATTTACGAGATTGCTTCAATTGTTCGCGAGTCGCCATCTGTCGCTACGCGATTCACCGGCAGCATCGCGGAAAGTGTCCATATATGCTTGCAAGGAGGAACGCACACGCCGACATCGCGGATCGATGCTTTTGACGCCGTATCGATCGCGATGGTGATGCGTCTTTCTGTGTGGAACATGTCCATATATGCTTGCAAGGAGGAACGTACACGCCGACATCGCGGATCGATGCTTTTGACGCCGTATCGATCGCGATGGTGATGCGTCTTTCTGTGTGGAACATGTCCATATATGCTTGCAAGGAGGAACGTACACCCCGACATCGCGGATCGATGCTTTTGACGCCGTATCGATCGCGATGGTGATGCGTCTTTCTGTGTGGAACATGTCTTTGTATGCTTACAAGGAGTAGTGCAGACCCAGGCATTTTAAAGAAATCCAGTGAGCATTCGACAAAAGACTCACATTCATAATAGCTCGATTCGTGTCTTGCGCTCCTTTCGATGAAATTGAACCTCTTCGCAAGATCGCCGTCTCTTTTCGAGAATGATTTTGAGTCGACCACCCCGGAGCTTTTCGATTAAAGCCTATTGCTACCCTGGTGCGCCTATTTACTGCATCGATTGCACAGGCATCCGAATAATCTCTAGCTCCGGAGAAGCGCACAGACTCGTGGACTCTGTAGAGACGACACCGCCTATGCAAGACTTGACCATATTTCAGATTATCTGACGTGCATCGCAGCAGCTCGAATAGCCGTGATTCAGCGACGTTGCAAATTCATGGCTCCCGTGGTATCACGAGGTGGGTTCCAGGACACACGTGCGCCCAAAAATGTTTACAACTCTCGTCAGCTGCTAGCCGCACTATTGCAGACAACTTGCCAGGGGCATCGCCCTCTCGCGGAATCAATCAGCCAACAGTCGTCCGCGTTCGCTGGATTATACTCTGGTAGGTCAAGGCGATTCGGTTTGTTTCGACTGGAATTGAACGCAATCCATATAAGTTCCCCATCGGATTTCCTGGGATTTGCACGCTGAAGAAAACATAGCGTGCGAAGCATCCGTCGATCATTAGCGTCATGGCGGCAAACTGTATCGCCCATGTCAAATCTGGCGCAAGGCGCGCTTCGTCTTGCTGCTCATGTTGCTACAGTCGCAAGTAGACACATCCCAGAACTTAAACCATATGAGCGAACGAGGTATACGTTCCTGGTTACCGCACAGCAGCACTGGTACAAGATCGCTTGTCATCTGCAAAAAGCGCTGGCTGGCGCGCCGGAGTCCTCTCTGCGCCTGGCCAGGGCGACGACACGACACGTTGCCCAGAGACTGCACAGCATAACAACGCAATAACGCATTTTGAGGATTGATGTTGCACCTTGTAACAATCTCACGGCTCGTCTCGTGCTCGAAACTGACGAAACGCATCCAGTTCCCTGCAGCACAGTAGGAGCGCATGATCAGTCGAGCGTCCATCTTCCGTTATCGAGTCAAGGCATTGTCCACGACGCCGGCTCGAACGGGTTTCAGAATTCGTCGGAGAATCCATCGCAAACGTGGTCGAGTCTTGCCGAACAGGTATGGAGGCAGCGGTGTAGGCCAAGAAACTCCGCTCGCCTAAAATAGCAAGGGCGCGGCGTTTGTCTGTCTCACGAAAGCGAACGATACCACGAACCTGATCGATGGTCGGAGTGCATTCCGCCAAACCTAGCAGTGACTGGTCAAGCTGGACGCTCTTTTCGGCAAATGCTCCAAACTGCTTTCGTTCAAGCATGCGGGTCAACACTTGTTCGACATCGATGCCCTCCACGATGTTTCGCTGTTCTCCGTCTTGATTTGCTGGTGCGTCCTTTGTGGACAGAGCCCCGCAACAAGCGTCAATTCTCGGTATAGGTGGCGAAACAAGACACCTCAAATCCTCTATATGGAGAGCATCACAGTGCTGTGCGAGTGCGTGTAGGTTGTGTTCCGCTATAGCCTGGTAGAAATGGTGACCACGCTGATGGGGCCGCAGATACTCGTTCGCCACGTAGCAATAGTCTTCGAGCCATTGTGGCACTTGTTGCGAAGAGCGTAAGACGTCGTCCGGATTTCCTGCTCTCACAAGGGGCCACCGAATCGTCCGGCCTGCAAGTAGATGATCGAGCAGAGCGAACGGAGCGCGATATAGGTAGGCGTCGTACGCGCGCTCTACCCGCATATGTGAGACCCAAAGCGAGGCAGTAGCACTACGAAAAGCACATTTTTGAAGATACCTCAAGAGTCTATGGCGCAGCGCATCAGCAGGGCTGAGAACACACGAGCAAAATGCCCTTCGAAATACGCTCGCAAATAGAATCTCGACTGCTTCAGCGTCCGTGATCCGATGAAAACGCGCTCCGAAAGGCGCACCATTCCTGCCGCGTAAAGTTCCTGCCTCCGGTTCAGAGCTGGCAAGCGATGACAACACCCTGGACGCCGCTGGGGCCCGTGCAATCGCAGTGACCGCAGACGGCCCCGGTTTTTCAACCCAAACCTGACTGCCGGTTCCGTCGTGTGCCCTGCATCCGTTCGCAGTTTCCTGTAGGCGCAGCAGAAAAGCATCGAGACCGAAGACCACTGCGACGTACTGAAGTGCCGCACGGCTGTACTGGGCCCTGGCTTCTGCGATACGTCCCTGGCAAAGGCTCTGGGCCAAAACGAAACCGATATCCTCCCAGGTTTCCAGCGTGAGCCCCTGGACACCTAGGTAACGACCAATACAGCGTGGAGAACTGAGCGGTGCTCCTGTGGCAACGAGTTCACTAAGCGCCGTCGACAGCTTCGACACCTCTTCGTGACGCCCCTTAGCAAGCTCGCTCTCCGCGAGTTGGGTGAACGACTCGCTTCTCGGTACCGATGCCGGAAACGAGAAATCATTCCGCTCCTGCAGCTTCTCCCATAGATTTAGGAATAGTAGTGCTCTGATAATTCGTATCCGGTATGGATCCGCAATAACCTTCCAGAGCGCGTGTACGTGGGAGATCTCACCAGATTTCGGGTAAGGTTCAAGCATCGACAACGCAGAACTCCATCTCTGTTCCCTGTTCGTGGAGCGTGGTCTGTTTTGCCTGCAGAATACATGCCGTCGAAAGGCCAGAACATCATCCATCACATCCAATGACTGTTGCCAGCATCCATTTTCCGCGTACCGCTCGACAAGGTACAGTTTGAGCACCTGAGTTACAAGTGTCACATCAGAAGAAAACCTCGTGTCCAAGGTTTGCTCTAGTTCATGAACAAGCTGTTCAAGGGATGATGCGGAAAACGCACCGGTGGTGTTTATTCCGTCAAAGGTCGCATCAGAGCCGCACAGAACGCCAAGCCAGCCTGCTGGAGGCAGCTCCTGCAGCAGCCGTTCCGCAAAGTGGCCAGCAATGCCACCTGCACAGCTTTGATTAGGTTCCGCCACTTCCAGAGCCTTTCTCAGTAGGTTTATCAGCGGTTTCCATAGGGTATCCAAATAATCAACTTCGGTACTCTCTTCTCCATTTCGGAAGCGCCTAAGAAGTGAAGAAAGCTCATCAAGGTTGCGCGACACAGATAGTTCAGGCTCCACGTCCATATTCTATTTCAAAACAAACAGAAGTTCACACCCGTACAGATGGGCGTTCACTAGCAATACTCCGCCTGCTATTCCTGTCGGACGCCAGGCCCCGAAACAAGGATGAGTCCTTGGGATTCTTCGGCAGCTTTTCCGAAGCTGCCACCAGCCTCTGGGACCCTGAGACGCGTGCCGGGTTGGCACTCACTCCACCACGGTTCGCTGCCTCTATTGCCTGCTTGTCGAAAGCCTGCCTGGGGATACGGCAAAAGCTGCTACACAACTCTAGAGCCTGCGTTGTCTTCGGCCCACTGGGTCAGTCGCTGCAGAACATTGCAAAGCAGCTGAAAGCGGACGCAGTGCACCCAGGAAGCTGTGGGCGAGCTGCACGCTTCAATCCAATCTGAAACCGTTGACGCGGGCGATAGCTGTAAACGCCCGACTAGAGCGACTTGGACTGCCATGGTTTACGCTCCGCTACCGCAGATTCTGCGGCGAGCAGTGGTTTGCAAACAGGAAACGTGTTTGAGTGTACTGCAGGGGTTTCGCAGCTTTAAGCGTGGACAGCATCTTTTGCTTGCGGAGACACGGTTCCGACCGGGGTTCCGACCGGCCTCGCACAAGCTCGAATCAGCTCAAAAGTTGCGGAACGAGATGAACTGGTTGCAACGCCCCAAAGGACAGGGACAGATGTTTTGCACCGAAGCCGCCTCGAGTTCGCAGGAGAGTTCAGCCGCGAACTCGATGATTCCGCGAGTCTCCATCGCGGACTACTCTTACGAACTTCCTCCGGAGCGGATCGCCCAGTACCCGTTACCACTGCGCGATCATGCCCGCTTATTCGTGTTTGATCCTCAGCAAGGCATGCAGCATCGATTCTTTTACGACTTACCGAGCCTGCTGCCACCCGAGAGTGTGCTCGTTGGGAACGACTCACGCGTCATCGCTGCGCGGCTACTGCTTCGTCGTGCTCCGCCCCAGACAGACTCATCTCCGCAGGCGCCCTGTGCGGCGCGTCTCGTTGAAGTTCTGTGCTTGGAACCCATCGTACCCAGCACTGACCCTGCCGTTGTCCTCAGCTGTCGCGAGCCACCGGTGGAATGGGCATGTTGGATCGGCGGCAGGCGTGTGTTCCCCGGACTCGAGTTGCGGGGTGAGCATTTGAGAGCTCGAATTCTAGAGCGAGCAGGTCAGGAGGGCACTGTTCGTTTCGATTGGGAGCCAACGACAGCGTGTTTGAGTTTCGGTGAGCTCCTCGAGCGTGAAGGTCGGACACCGCTCCCTCCGTATCTGAACAGGGATGACACTCCGCGGGATCGCAGCGACTACCAGACCGTGTTTGCCCGGGAATCGGGGTCAGTCGCTGCACCGACTGCTGGACTGCACTTCAGCGAGGAGCTGATCAAGAAGCACTTTGAAAAACGATTCATCCGGTTTACGCTTCATGTAGGTGCGGGGACGTTTGCACCGGTAAAAGCGGCTGATATTGGTGACCATATCATGCACCGTGAGCGAATCATTGTCCGGCGGGAGCAGCTCGTACAGCTCATTCGGGCTGTGGAGAGCGCGTCCCCGTTGGTGGCTGTCGGCACGACCACGGTACGCATCTTGGAGAGCCTCTACTGGTACGGGTCCGCTCTATGTCGGCCAGGTGCGAAGCGAGCGCACCGAGGCGCGGCGGCTGCATTTGACGAGCATTTGAGCTTTGTGGTCGAGCAGTGGGACCCCTATGTCCGCTCCGGTGACGTTCCCGTGGAGCATGCGTTGAGCGCTGTTCTCGACGTACTGGAGAGGAATCGCGCTTCTGAGATTCATGGATACACGAGTCTCATCATTGTTCCTGGCTATTCATTCCGGGTGGTTGATGCGCTGATCACCAACTTTCACCAACCGCGATCTACACTGCTGTTGCTCGTGGCTGCATTCTTACCGGGCGGCCGCGAAACACTCTTCCGCATCTACCACGAGGCACTGGCGCGATCCTATCGTTTCCTTTCCTATGGTGACGCCTCGTTGCTATGGAGGAAATCCGTTCAAGGCAGATAGCGGCAGCGAAGCGAAGCAATTGTCGTCCGGGGAGATCTGACTTGCTATCTTGATAGATCAGGTGGCGCTGCAGACATGCAGGGTTCCGGCAGCCGCTGCGCAGCACAATGCCAGAGTAGATTTTTTGGTAACACCAGAGTGAAACTAGCGAGCACCACACATCTGCAGGAAGCGAAACAGGTGTGCATGTTTTTGAGACAAGGGCGATATCTAGAGCGCCCTCTCGGTGCTGCCTGCTGGCGCTACTCGTATCTGGAGCACGTCAACCGGCACCAGCATCGCAATGCACCCCAGAGAAGCGAGCTTCCAGCGACGGCTCGCTTCTGGACCCCTGTGACAGATTAGACGCTCTGAAAACGCTCAGACCGAATTGCAAATGAACGATAGTTCCCGTTCTTGCTCGCATGCATCTACCAATGATTCGTATCAAAAGGCTCGGGTAAAAGGGGGACGCTTCGAGCTCACCTTTTAACAAGGATGACTAGACTTTGCAAGGCACCGGCTCTTCCGGCCTGCTCTGTTTCTCACCAAACGGGATTTCGATTCGAGCGTACCGCCACCGAGCACCACCCGTAGTGCCGCGAGATAACGTGGGTGCTGCCTCACGTGAAGTCTTCCGTCCATGGGCAGTCTAGACACCCAAATGGAGTTTGCTTGATAACATAGGAAAGCAAAGATTCGAATTCGGGATCTGTTCGCTCTACTTGAATCTGTGCGCGCGAGCCCTTCACGCGCACGCATCTTGACACGCTGGTTGGTGCGTGTCTCGCCGCACGCATGCACGCACGCATGCATGCATGCGTGCACCGATCATCGCATATTAGCCGCCATGCATCAAATCATGTCGATTTTCGCAGCGCTTTTGGAGTTCTTCACACTGCTTTCGCTCGTCGAGTGCGAGGGTCATCTGGGGAAGGGTCCATGAACAGAGAACGGCCAGCTGGATGCAAATCGATGCTGAGAGATACAAGGTGACTCTTACGAGCCCGAGGTCCCTCTTATCACCACAAAACATCAAGCTGGCGTTCACACTCCCTGAACAGCACGCTGCTGAGCATTCCTGTTCTCGCTCAGTAATCGCGCGCCACCGTTATTACGCTTTGACTGCGAATGGGGGAGCTGCGGACCAAAACATCGGCGATTCCGAGGACACACGCAAGGTGGGTGACGCTGTGCCTGACGTCGCAAATATCACCGGTGCACTGGCCTCTGGCGGTACGGCTCACGCTCGCGAGCGCTGCTACCATGTAGCGTCTGCGATGCGGATACCCGCTAGACCAGATAAATCCGTCGTGTTATTCCGCGATCGATACGTCACACAGGACTCGTGGAAGATCTTCAACTGGGCGCCTCCATTGGCGAGCTCGTCCAAGTTTCATCTCTATACGCGAGCATCTCCTCTTCACGCAAAGCAAGTATGGACTGCGTCAGCATCCCGTCTCGGAATGCATTGGAACGAGAACGACCCACCAGTGAGCCGCACACCGGCACCGCCCGATGCACACGAGCGCCGATCTCAAATTACCCAGGTTCTGGCGGCCGCGAAGTCGAGCCGCAGCCCCGCAAAACCTCATCCGGAGCCACCTGCGAGCGATCTTCGCTCGCCAGAATGCAGAGCGGGTGCCTTCGCAAACGCCGCGGAGCCGTTGTGGGACCAGGATGCTCGGATAAGCGCTGGTTCGAACCACGATCACATGTCACCATCCCAGGAAAGTGAGGGCATGCACGCCACGCATCCCATGGGAACCGATGAACATATCGAGAAAGGCGCTGATCCGCTGCTTTTGGCTATGCCCATGACTCGCGCCGTCGCGAAACAGCGTCGAGCTGCGTCTCCAATGCGCGCTGAGAACGCTCGTCAGCGTGCGAATCGACTATGGGTTCCAGCGAGAATATCGCACAAGGCTTCGAAGCGGCGATCCAGTGCGGATTCGAGACAGAGGAACGGACCTGGTTTTTCTCAAACTCGACCTGCTGAGCTGCTGATCCCCGTTGGAAAATTGCGGCCCGAATCGGAGCACCACGAAGATCCAGGACGTGTCATCAAGCCGGAAGAAATGGCTCGTATGGGTAGAGTTTTTCGGGAGCGCTTTCCAGAGCCTCCATCCGCCTTGAGCAGCATCCCATCGAGTGGCTGGTGTCTAGAGCGCATTACTGAAGAAGCAAGCGCTTGGTGGCGGCGCAACTACAGCGAGCAATCCGAGACGTGGTTCCAGCGCTGGCATGCGTACGTGCGTTTCGTGCGGCAGCGTCTCAGTCGGAGCAGGTCGAAAACCGCTCGAATTTCTGCTGGGTGCGCCCGCCGCTGGCTGGCTCAATTCCTTCGATCGAACGTCGCGGTGGATGCACACAGCGCGCCATCGAGCTCGTACACCGATCAGTCGGATGCCGCCGCTGAACGGCCAGCACAGACGCACCCAGTACCACTATCCGTGCGCAACGGTTCCATGATGAAGCGCTCGTTTGCGACGTACCCAAGTTATACACCGCAAACCAGAGCGCGATACCGCCGCTACCAGTACAGAGAATGCGATATGATCTCGCTGCCGGTGGGTTGCGATGCACGCACACTGCTGCGCTGCTTCAGCGAGGACGCACCTTTGCGCCAGGCACAGGCACTGCCTGCCAAAGAACCAGTGTGGATACGAGGTCTGCCGGGCCAGGGCACACGACGATGGCCGGGTTACATGCTGGGCACACTGGACAGACGCCTCATTGATGTCGATGCAGGCGTTTCGCTGGTTGCAGTGCAAGCCGCTGACGGGAATCCAGAGTACGTCGCAAATGCGCAGATGTACGTTCTGCCGCAGCACCAAATAGAACCATTTCGTGCCTCCGAAGTGAAGGCAACGTTTGCAGCAGAGCTTGCTCTTCGACGGCCAGCGTCCCGCCAGAGCGCTCGATTCGAACATGCGTTCAGCGAGGTGTACGCTTTGTTTCTGCAAAATGCTGGTTCACAATGCGTGTGAACCGCATGCAAACCCTCCCGATACTGCGAAATGCGATCAAGGTCTCCGCTGGGTAGCCAGCAGCATCATTCAGCAAAATTCGATCGATGTGGTTCGCTGCTTCTCAGCTATACAATGCTTTGCTATCCGATTCGACACAGCAATAACATCTACAGGATACTAGATGCCGCAAACATCCGTCCCTCATCACGCTGCTCGGAAATAAGTCGAGCGCTGCAACTAGGGCGCTGGACATGGCCCGGCTTCACACGGAAATGCCTCTACGATTTCGACCGATTCCGCCTGCAGTGCCTCCCTGATGGATTCAATGACTGATCTGGCCTTCAAAAGGGTTTCTTCGTACTCGTCTTGGGGGTCGCTGTGTGCAACAATAGCGCCGCCAACTCCGATGCTGACGCCCCAGGAGTCTTCTGGCGCATCCACACCATTGGCGTTCCGACGGCGTTCCCATACTGCAGTGCGGATGATGACGTTCCAGTCCGCATGTTGGCCGTTTGCTGAGACGTAGCCGATGCTACCACTGTAGATGCCCCGGGGCCTCTTCTCCAGCGCCTCGAGAATTTCCAGGGTTCGTTGCTTTGGCGCCCCCGTCATGGATCCCATGGGAAAACAAGCTCGAAGGACGCGCCCCAGAGGTGCAGCCCAGGTGTTATGTGGGCCCGTGTTGCGCATGGGAGACGGCAAACGTCCCTGCACGATACTGACCAGTTGATGCACGCTAGCGAAGGTTTCGAGCCGCATGAGTTGCGGCACTTGAACGGTACCAGGTTTGCATAATCGACCAAAGTCGTTGCGAACCAGGTCGACGATCATCAGATTCTCCGCTCGATCTTTCCGGCTGGTGCTAAGTTGGAATGCGAGGCGCGCATCCTCAGCTGGGTCAGCGCTGCGTTGTATGGTCCCCTTGATGGGTCTCGACTCCAGCATTGTTCCGTTGCGTAATAGTAAGAAACGCTCCGGCGACGCGCTGCAGATGACTGTATCGGGGCCGAGCTGCAAGTACGCAGCGAATGGCGCCGCGTTCACACGACGTAATACCAAGTAATGGGTTAGAGGATGAAACTTGGGAGGCAGCTTCGTTGGTCGTAGTCGAAGAAGATTGGTGAGGCAGATTTCGTAGCTCTCGCCATTACGAATATATTCCAGACACGTTCGAATATCTTTGAGATACTGATCACGAGAGCGACTCCATTCGAACTGGATAATCTTCTGGGGTGCATTCGATGACTGATCACATGGAGCATTCCTTGGTGTCTCCTGATTCCTGATTCGATCTGATACCTGAAGATCAACCCGATTTGGCGCAGAATCCGGTGTCGTTAGGGCGCATTCGACTCGTTCTATCCACATGGCGGCGTCGCTCGGATCTGCGGAAGCCGCATCATTCGTGACGAGCAGCACCGAACCCGTCTGATGATCAAAGATCGCAAGTCGATGCACCCAACCTAGAAAAGCATCAGCCGGGTTTCGACGCCCGCTCTGACCTCCATGGGGAGCATCGAAGCTCTCCCTCTTCAGTTCGAATCCAAGATATCCAAGGTAACCTCCAATGAAAGGCGGCAGCTCATCGGATGTTTCCAGCTCCGGCCACGAAGCGGCACTGGTCGAGAGCTCTTTGTCAAGCGCTTCCCAAAACGGAAAACGAGACCCGTCCAGTGCATGACTTGACTCCCATTCGCCGATCATGCTCCAGCGCACTGCCGGCCAGCGTTCTTGTCGATACTCGTAACAAGAATCCAACCAGAACACTTGCCGATTGGGATCATTTCCATACAGACGCAAAAACGCTTGTGCCGGTTGCGCACAGACTCGTTTTGCCTCCAGACGGTGCATCTGAACGCAACGCTGCGGTCGATGAAGCTTACCCATGACTTCTTCGTATACTGCTTGGAAACGACCTGCGTTTCCAGGGTCAGTGCTGTGGGGCACGCGCGGCGCGAGGCGCTCTACTGGGTATCCACGCTCGAGGCGATACCTCTGGGCGATACGCAGAAAATTGCGAAGGATCTGGTCACCATATTCAGTGCCTGCAGATTCTATATGAAACTGGACGCCGAAAATCGGAAACTTTTGATGCCGCACAGCCATAAGGATGCGCTCTTGCGTGTCGACATCCGTGCACCAGGCCAGTGGCTCGAGGCAGGACGGCAACGAGGCCGTCTCCGCAACCAGGGAGTGGTAGCGCACGGCGCGGAAACGAGTCGATGGAAGACCAGAAAACAGGGCCTTCTGGCTTGAGCGCTGCTCGGTTTTCTCAACGATGGCGACCTCTCCGTGAACGGGTCGCTGGGCGTGAACAACACGCCCCCCGAACGCGTGCACGATGCCCTGGTGGCCGAGACAAACGCCCAAGATGGGCGTCTGATGAAGAGAAAAACATTCGATGACTTTGCAACAGAAGCCAAAGTCGTTCACGCGTTCAGGACGGCCTGGGCCCGGTGAAACGATGATGGCGTCAAACGGACTGGGTCCCTGTTCGCAGGTCGTAATCGACGCCAGCACCGTAGCGTCGTCGTGCCGAACGACAACTGGAAGTTGGCCTCCATCTACAATGCCGACTAACTGGCACAAGTTGTAGGTATAAGAGTCGTAGTTATCAATTATAAGAACGCGCATGTTTTCGTGAATCGGGCTCGAGGTTCCTCGTCATTGTCCGTGGGGGGCGCGTTCGTGTTCACCGCGGGTCTCTTTCAGACAGCCTTGGCTCAAATGTTGGTGAAGCGCAGCCAGTATAAGAAGCCTGGCTTGCGGTCGCCCTTCAATCCCGATAGTGAACTGCCTCGGCAACTGATCCCGACAAGTGAAGGCTCCGGTGCTGCACCAGCTCAGGTGAAGCGCTGCGACTCGAATGCCGCAGGCGCCGCATCCACTGCCCCGCGCGTGGCGTTTCGTTGCTGGCGGCAATCTGCGCTGCGGCACGGCGCAACGACTCTACAGACTAGGTGCTTCGCTCTGCACACGGCAGCCTGCGGGTTTGGCCTGCGCTAGGCTAACTTGGGCTAGCCAGCTCTACAACCGCTCCACCGCGTCTCATGGTAGGTCAAACAGAGCTGGAAGTGCTCGCCGCAGAGCGTCAGCGCAAGGCGCTCCGACGAACACCCAAGCTCCGAGCGCGGTCTCACGCAGTGCTGGCCAGCACTGGCTCTGTTCAAGGTCATGCCACCGACACTACGACTTTCGGGACTCTCTATGGAGTGCTGGTTGACTTTGGTAGCACCGTATCCGCGAGTTGTGAGAAGATTGCGTCGGTTTGCAGTGCGCTGCCTGGCTTCCGGTCGGATAGTCTGGGATCGGAGGAGCTCGCGTCGAGCAACGCCCTGGAGCACGTGCGGGATAGTTTGCAGTCCTTGTTGCGATCATTGGCGAAACTTTTCGCTAACCTACGAGATGCACAAGTTCGTCATCGACTTGATTCCGTGGAGCTTCCTGCTTGCATCGTTTCGGATATGCGACAGATCCAGAATAATTGGCTCGATCTGAGTTGCCGCATCGCAGCCAGCATTGTTTGTGTGCAGCAAGCAAACCAGTGTATCGGGGACCCGCAGAGCCAGAGCTTCACAGCTCTCCATAGCGTACTACAGAAACATCTCTACCTCTGTCGCAGAGAATGCATGCTTCTGGAAAGAATTCGTACCATTCAAAAGGAGTTGCGGCTGCGGGAAGCCCGCATCGACGCCCCCAACCGCCGAGAGGCGCCTGCCCCCGAAGCGTTTCAAGGATGCAGCGGCGTGCTCCGGCAGATTAGGTCGATGCAGAACGAAGAGCGAACCTCCAAGAGCCCGAAGAGATGCGCTGTGAGAACCAGGCTTGAAATTAGCGCACCTACGACACCGAACTTGCCAACTGCGGGACGCGAGGCGTTTTTTGTCGGCGCTGTAAATGAAGCCGCTTCTCGTTCGCGTTGTTCGGAAGCGCTTGCTCCAACGCCGTGCCTTTTTCGTCTGTTCGAGCGCAGCAGCGCCACTCGACAACATCCTGGAAGCGTTGGCGAACACTTGGACGGATCGCGATGGACGTCGCTACTCCATCATTCAGCATTGAGTAGCCAGTGGCAAATATTGCGTTTCCGGTCAGAAGGTTTCCACGATGAGGGTAGTTTGCAATGCTCGCATGGATCAGGTAGCCTTCGTGTCCTCGCAGACTCATTGCGTACGGATGCCTATCATTACGCGGCAAACTTTGTGGGCTCACCGTGCTCGTAAGCATTCGCAGACGCAATGGAATGCTTTCCATTGTACGTATTTCTCATCGAATACCGGTATGATGTCCATAACAGTTGTGCGCTCGTGGATTGCAACTCTTGAATGAGCAAATTCTCCATAGAAATCAATTTACAGGTCTGATTTTTTGCCTCGTAGCTTGGCACTGCATAGCGTCTATCGGCATGACGCAAGGAGGATGCGTCGTTCGGCGTGATGAAGCCTCGGATAATCGCCGTGTGCTGGTTGAGTATTCGAATCGAGTATGCGCTGGTAACCTTGAATGGGTAGTTCCATCGTATCACTGCAAACGACTCTCCGTGCAGCTCTGGTTATATGGTATCGCAAGCAACCGGCATTCGACCAGGTATCTCAGAGTACACAGCGGCTGCCTGCACAGAATCCCGAGACGTTACGGAACGCTTTCCCCAGGTGTGATCTTTTGTGCCTGATCCATGCGATACTGGGTAGCGCTGGCTGGCGCTCAAAGCACGAAACTGCATCGATAATGACGATTCCCTTCACTTGATCCATATGGTGCAATGCCCTGATGATTTGCGCCCAAGGTACGAATCTGCTTGTCATGTAAGCCTTGATGGATGTACATGAGCAGATGCGACACCTGTTCGAGGCAGGTTCTCCATCGAGCGCTCGAGAACACGAGCGGGTCAAGGCGCACTCTGGTCGGCAATGGAAACGACCCGAAGGGTTCGCTCAATGCTGGACCCTTCTTGAATCCGACATGACTTGTAGATCATGGATACGGTATACGGAATTGCACAAGGTACCACATTGCGTGGCGCAAACGTCAGATTCTTCAACTTATGAGCATATCGTCATTACTGCCCTTCTGCGTTGGCACGCTGAGCATAAAGTCGTATTGAGCACGCGTGCCACGACGCCTGTGCACTGCTTGGTCGGTAGATCCGGCTCGTTCAAGGACGCGTGTATCGACATCAGGCGCTCTTCAAATAGCCCGAGATAAATACCGCAAAAACTCCTTGAGCATTTTGCGCTCGCCGAACGTTAGCCGCGGTTGCACCGTCGATACCAGTTCTTGCTGCTCAGTCTCGGTTAGGGCCAATACAACGCGACCGTCGACGAGCTCGCGTGCTAGCCACTTGCATACTCGAGGAGGCAGACCAAAGCTTTTCGCCGCCTCAGCTACATCACGCTCGGTCCATCGCTCGACCTCCTTTCGCGAGACACCCCAAATCTTCTTAGGGGACTCCTGTGCCAGGCGCAAGGGAAACGGTAACTTGGTATTCTCCCGTGTTTCCGTCAGCATGTCAGGAGCGCTTGCTCCATATAAGCGCGCATCGAATTGGGCCAAGTCTTCCCGGACGCGCTGCAGATAGGATTCCTCGGGTGAGGTCTCGCCAGGAGTGGGTAGCTGAATGTCGTCTGCGGCTTGCAGATCCACACGCTGTCTGCGTCGGCGTGAAAACAGCCAGTATGTGCCTACAGACGCGATGCAGAGCGCTGGCCATGCCAGCACTGAAACCGACCCACTCAGGGCCAGCACCGGCATCACGACCGCTCCGGTAAGAGCGACTCCACTGATACAGAGCAGTCCACCCAAGCCGAGGAACGATACAGCACCGAGCAGGAACACTGGAACGCCAACCACCAGTGCAAGCATCATGAGCTGCGATGCCACTGCAAGCAAAACAAGAAAAATTGGAATGACCAGCGCCATAATTGCAATCAAAAACAAACCAAGGATAGCAGTGGAAGTAGGAGGATGTCGCACTCCTGTTGTCGACCAGGCAAAGTACTCGTCTTGGAACAGAGTTCTGAACGGCTGCTGCCATAACCGTTGCCAGCGCGCGCGAGTCTCTACTCGATTCCTGAACAAGTCGTCAGCAGGCCCTTCGGAACCTCTGCCTGAACCCGAACCCGGACCATTTCTGCTACCACCTCCCCAAGCGCAAGAGATGTCGCATAATCGCCGCGTGCTACCCCAGTGCACTATTCGAGAGCGTTTCTGGAGCGCAGCGCCGGTCTTCGACCACGAGGTGCCCCGGTTACAGTGCCCAACAAGTTTGCCGCTAACCCGACTACCATACCTGCACCGACAATGCAACCACTGTACTGGAGTGCCAATCCAGCACAACCGTGCGAAACTACTCATATCAAGTTAAAGAGCCGCAACGCGGGGCTCGTCAGCGCGAAGGCAAGTCCGTAAAGTGACGAATCTGGCCGCACGATATCGTTGCGCGACTTGCTGGCGACACACCTGGGCATAGAGACGCTGTCACTGGGTGTAGGATATACGGTGCTTCCACTGCAACAACTGTAAACGAGGCTCACTGTATGAATGGGTCGATAAACCGAGGCAAAAGGTTGTCCCTGTGCGATTGTAGTTTCCAGCTTGGTAGGAGAAGGGAACTCGGCGCTAAAATCTTGAAGCAGCCTCAGCCACTGCATGAACCTGTCAGGATGCGTTCCTGCGGGCTCCAGGAGCAGTGCACGTCGGTCGACCCAGCAGCGCCTAGACTTCCAGGCGGCAACGCGTTTGTGCATGAGGCATGCACCCGATCTGTTTGGGGCACTCAAAGCTCTGATATTTCGAGTAGCTGCTCCGAAGCTTCCAGAGTGGCCGTGTTCCGCACGAGACGTGGATCAACCTTTTCCGCACCTGTAACAAAGAGAGAGAGATTCTCGGGTAGAGAATCCCGCGAAGCGCGGCGCATCCTCGCCTGTATATCCTTAGCGCCACGGGTTTCGGACAGCTGAGTCGCCTACGGTTATTGGTGTACGACGCAAAAGCCAGTAGTGTGGAAGAAGCTCATGCGAGATGTTGCCCGCTACAACGGCACCTTGCTGAGCCAATTACCGCCTTGTCGGCTCCGAGGTAACAAAGCATGCCGTTTGGATGCATAAGTATTTCGGTTGCTGGCGTCGCTCTTATGCGCTGTCATCTGTTCACGCTTGTGGTACATCGTTCTATGACGTACCGCATGGGCATCTTCAGTCGATGTGCACGCTTGCAAACACGCACCTGAAGCCCTAAAGACAGTATCCAAGCCAGTGCCGCATCGGATACACTTTGAAATATCAAATAAGGGAGCATCGTTGTCGTGCACCAGGTGCCAGGGACACCTCTCCCTGGTGTACATACGAGACGCTCTAGCTCTCCTGAATGGCTGCACAATGCGATACGCCTGCTGCGCTCCCGGAGGAAACCGAATGCCCCGCACGCTTCCGGTTTTTTTTTTCATTGGCGAAACGTTTACGTAGGCCAGCGCTCTCTGATTCTGCGCTTTTTCTCTTCTTTTTGGGTTTTTTTTTCAGTGCGCGTTGAAGAATCCATCAACCCCCTACCTCCAAGTTACATGACCTATACTTCTTCTCGGGTCTTCTGGTCGTTTCATACGTCTGGTCGTGTGTCAAGCCTGATGAAAGCGACAGCAATAGCGTCTTTACCGTTGGTACTGTTGCATCACGGAGACAGAACGGCGTTGCCGTACCACAGAGGGCGTCCGCTCGAGGCACGCTCTCGGTTCATGAGTATTTTCTCATCAAAAGTCCTCAGCTGTTCCGCAAAATACCCACACTGAGCACCAAACGATTCCTTCGAAAATTCGCTCAGTACAAAGCCGCTCGAGGCCCAGAAGCACAGGGGCATTCCGAATGTTGATCGAAGGGGTAAAGTCTTGGCGCAGCGCCTGTCTGCGCCTATGTTTGCCGGTGGAAATACGCCATGTAAAGCCTCTGACATTTGATTAGCTCGCCGTCCGACGTTCGCTCACCTAACCATACAACGTCTTGTGCATCCCGCCCGATTTCACGCACATTCTCCATTCCTGTTACAGCGTGCTCCCGCGCGCTACGAAGCCACCTGTTGCCGCCACACACGCACCTGTCCTCTACGTGGCCATGGATGGCCATGCTTCACAGCGACGGCATTGCGGCGGTTCCAGCGAGTTATGAGCGACGCACTGGAGCGACCCTGCTGGTCGCAGCCTACCGTCTCGATCAACGCAACCCTCGACCAGAATGCGAAACAAGGCGGTGCTTCTGGAATCGTTTCCTACAGTCGCAAGCAAGCGCTTGCGCAGCTAAAGCGCATACAGGATTCTGCAGGCATGCTTTACGAACGATGGACGAATGGTACCAAAAGCGTGCTTAATCCGACCATGATCGCGCCCGAGGTGAGTACCCGATTATGCTGGACTGCGACGGAAGCGTGGCGCCCCAATACTGGGCTCAGTAGAGCAACTGCAATCTCGGGGAAACACTGACTCGCGTTGAAGAGCGTCGCAAATGTACCAGCAGCGTCTCGTGCATTGCTATTCGCAACGGATGCACCGACAAGGGCCCAGGGAATCGTGATGCTCGTTGCCCACGAGATACCAAGGACAGCCTGCAGGCACACCGCGAGTACCACATTCCGAGCGCCAATGGTTGCCAGCGCGAGTAAAACGGTGGCCTGTACCACCAGAGAGAACCCGTACTTCACCTGCATTGGTGAGAGTCGCCAAACTCGATACTGGATCTGCGGCATGAGCATGGCGTACAAGAATGCGATGATGCTCTGCAGCGCTAGAGCGACATTCGCGTGACGTATTCCCGCTTCGTAGCGTTCCCTCGCGATGCTCCCCGCGAGGGCATGCGGATCACCACCGAAAACATTGACCCCGAACCAGGAGCTACCGAAAACGAACAACGAGAACCATCCGTACCATGTACCGAGTTGTATCAGGAAAACAACCCAAAATGTCGTGGACGCAGTCTTCAGTGCTCTCCGGCAGTGCTGCACAAGGCTCAGCAACTGGCTCGCCACTGGCTTTAGCGTCAGTCCAGTCGCGCGCATCATTCCGGGCGATCGAGAGGCGAGTTCGCGGCAGTTATCGCTTTCCGCTTCGTCCATTGATTCGGTATCAGGTATCGGTAGGCGTACGTTATCACTTTCGGGTACGGTCCATGGTGTCGTCTGGGCTGGGCAGGAACGGTTGCGTGCTAGCGGCGCGCTGGCGACCCAACAGACTGCTGCAGTTCCGAGAACAAGCACAGCACCGATAGTGTACAGCGCTTCTGTATCAGTCGAGAATACATGCCGCAAAAATGTGTCTCTAGTTAATGCCGCACCTGCCATAGCACTGCCAACGAGGTTTCCTATCGCAATGTAGACCGCTATGGCCACATTACCGCGTTCCTGCTCAGCGGCTTCGACGTGGTCGAAAATCAAGGCTCTCAAAGGCCCTTGCATGGCATTTATTGAAAAGTCTAAGCACCAGAAAGCGGAAACAGCAACAAAAAGCGGCGTCAAGAAGCGAGAGCGGCGCGCTATCGGCACCGCGTAGGCGAATGCAAGTAGCGAGGCTGACGTGAGCACCGCACCGACCGCTACAAACGGCCTGCGTTTTCCGTGCCGACTGGAGCTCCTGTCCGAGAGCAGGCCTACGAGCGGCTGTACAACTAGGCCTGCAATTGGTCCTGCCAACCACGCCAGTGAGACCCAACGTGCAGTCATGCCAAGTTCCAGAAGTACCGCCGTCGTCACCCCGACTTGCACCGCCCACGCGTACTGGATGCCTAGCATGGCCGATGTCACCAGGTATAGACGTAGGGTACTGAGTTTAGCGGCTTGTTCCTCCATGCTCAAGAATATACGGTTCCTATTGCAATCTAGTCCTAGATGTTGGCACCATAGCCTCTGTGACTCGCGATAGTCGCGTTGGAGTGCAGCTCCCTACTCCGGCTGCGTTCCGCGAAGCACAATGTTGAGCGGCAAGACGGTGCTGACGCCCGCAGCTGCGGCATGGAGCGCGCTGCAACAGAGGCGAACTGTGGAGAAAAGAACAGAAACGAAGCTCAAACGACCAACGAAATAGTACGGTCTATCGTCGTCTAGGGTCAACGGTAAGAGCGGGAAAGCTTTGCTTATCGTCGAAAGTTTACTTTATAGGCGGAAGGTCCCGCGAGTCCGACGAGTCTGCAGGGCACACGCTCTGTGCGACTCTGCAGTGTTTGTCGGGGTGCTTTAGTGAGAGAGCTACGCAGCTCGTCCGCAACGCGCTTTATCCTGGGACGACGAGCGGGTACGCTGCAACTAGGCATCATGCTGGTCACCGGTTTATTCTAGTATGTCGCTTCGCGGTGCCACGGTGAGTACGTTCGTCTGCGCATCTTGCTGGCTCCTTCAACGATGATGGACTCCGATTCCATACTGAATGAACCACGCATCGAGCCGACGCACTCACTGGTATGGCAAAGCCGTTCTGTCCCTGCGATGCATCCGTACCAGCGCTATAAGCGTTACGGTGGGTACTCGAGGCACGCTCTCTGCGAACGATAGAACGTACGGAACGACCAGTACATCAGAAAGGAACTATAAGTTATAGAACCTGGAGACAGGGTGCAACAGCATGATGGACGCTTTTTCGATCAACAATATCCACCCATCCGGCAATCTGCGATCCACGGTGAATGGGAATGTTTTGTCAGACCAGAAAAATCGTCCACCGGCACTGGAACCGGGCGCAGGGGCATATGCTCCGAGCCAGTGTTCAGTTCTCGAAGCGCTTCTGAACACGAACGTGAAGCGTTCTCAATAGAACTCTGGCGTTCAAATGAATAGGTTCAATCAACGCAACGTCCGTGCACGACGGATCTTGCACGGCGACTCAGAATGATGACGACACAGGCCCGACGGTTCCTGCGAACCGGGCCGGGCACGAGCATGAGCACCCCACGTCCGTCGTCACTGAGCCCCGTTTGTTGTAGGGCATCGTATTCCAAGAGCGCCAGCCAAGAACGCTTTGCAGCACCTCTATCCAACCGGGGTATACCGGAAGCTGCTGCCGCAAACTGGTTGTTATGAATGAGGCACCATGGGGGAACAGGTCTCCGTCATACGCGTTATGGACTGACGCGTCGGGTTCAATACGCGACTCGCGCTTCGATCCGAGAGCGCATACTGGCATCGGATAGCAGATGTGGAAGCGATTTGCTTTTTCATTCAGTAGAAATGTATCTGTTTACGTGAAACGATGAGAGGAGGCGGCAAGAAGCGATCCAACTGGACATACGTGCCTGGTACCATTTTTGGCACAAATGTCCAACAGATGTCCTCGCGCAACGCACGCATCCATGGAGACACGTGTACCTTTCCGTGTGATTCTCATTGATTTCGAGATGGTGTTCATGCTTCTCGTTGGAAGCGTTGAATTCTCGTGTAAGTGATAGCGTGGCTGGCTATGCTTCGGCGTTTCAACCAGCCAGTAGTTATGGTTTAGCTTTCGTGCGCAGGTTCTAGCGGCGATCTCTGCACATCGGAAAGCTCTGCGCTCCTCCAGCGAGAACCATGTACGGATTCAAGTCGCACTGTCTCGAGTCGGAACGCATGTTTCGTTACAGCAGGCGACGCAGGGCCAGGCCTAGCTCTCGCGGTTGCTTTGGTTGCGATATACATAGCGAGAAGTGCGCTGGTGTGTCGGTAAGTCTAAACCAGTAGGGGCTCTATCCGCGAACGCATCTTTTCTTGGAGCATGCGTCGACCAGCGCATACTTACCGGAGAAGCGCGCGGGTCTTCTCGCGGCCCGTACTCGCACCCATCAGGTCGAAATCGTGTTACTGGGGCAGGATTCTGCGCCTGCGCAGCACCGTACAGATCCGGTGTTCTGAGTTCCCTCGTCAGGCTCTATGCGGTGCATACGGATGCTATGCTGCAGCGTTTGCAGTCGGTGCCTGCGGTGTCCCAGTGCCCGTCACAGACGCCGAATCCACATTCTGGTCGGTTTCAGCGCGCGTATCGCGCAACAGTGCCCGGTACAGGCGCCAGAGCGGATACCACCAGTCTGATTCGTCTGGGCTGGAGATATCAACGCCACGAGCTTCCAGGCGACTATACAAACGGGTTGCCGCTCCGACACAAACCTCCGGTTTCAGACGGCTCGTGAGAGCCATCCCGGCAGCTTCGGCGAGCGCTGGATTCGCTGGAATATCAGCACGGAAGCCGAGCGCCGCGTCGATGACGGCATCAAGCAATGCCTCCACACCGTCGCCGGATGTAGCGAAAGCGTATCGAGCGGACAATGCGCTTGCCACCCGGCGAGCGCCATCGTGGCCGTCTACATCAAACGACATCTGGAGCGCAGCGAGCTCCACCGCAACCCGCTGGCTCAGCGTGCGACGCTCGCGGATGCGCTGATGCACCCAGCGTGCCGCGACCGCGAGAATGTCGTTGCCAGTCGACCGGGGCTGGAGGAAAAGGAGAGGAATGGCTTCCATGGCCACTGAGGCTGGTCCAATTAGGATGCGTTGGCAAAGCGCAAGCACGGCATTATCGCAGACAGCGCGTGCGCGAAGCAGATCCCGGAACAGGTCGCGAACACTGATGCTGAGTGTCTCTTCGGTTTCCATGCCGAATGCCCAGCCGCGCCCGAACGCGATGCTCCACAGTGAAAGCAGCACTTCGAGGCCGGTCGTCACGATTTGGGCGTCCTCGTCATGCTGCGCAACATGCCATATTGATCGAAACGCTAGATCCCAATGCTCATATGCCGATTGCGGTTCATTGTCAGCGGAGGCGTCGTTTGAATAGCTCGCATGCCACAATACATCGAGAAAAAGAATTCGACAAACGAGCGACGCCACGGTGGCGGGAATTTTCGCTGACCCAGCTTGGCGCTGGGCCAAGACGATGTAGAGGACCCGTCGCAGGCCATCCATCGAAGCGGAGTCTTTCGGCGATATCCACTCGAGCGCGGCGAGCAACTGGTTGCAGCGAGTTTCTGTGCACACGTCTAAAGTGTGCATGCAGCATGTACTGAGGAGTTCCTGCAACCGGATAGGGATGCTGTCGCTGTCGTTTTCCGTCCTGTTCTCGAGCGCGTAGAGCGCCCGAACGATCGCCCGCATCGCTTCTAGGCTCTGGGCATGACGGTGGAACGCGTCCATAAGGAGCGGCTCGATGACCTCTTCATGAGCGTGGAAAGCGTCACTGCAGAGCCGAACAAGCTGTGCGAGGGCGGCAACAAGCGCCGGATCTGACTGGAACCTGCGCATGAGGCGCGGAAGCGCTTCGCGACATGCTGCAATCAGGAGCGTGCTTGCGACAGCAGGCTGGAAGGTCCCCTCTGGATTCGTTGAACACCGCGCGCTGGACTCTTCCAGGCACTGGACGCGCTCCGCCACAGCGACCCAGAGACGAATCAGCGCCAGCCGGTCAGCATCGGTCAACGGCTCCGACCCATCATCTGGTTCTCCTTCCTCCAGTAGTTCCACGTATGCGTTCCAGGTGCAGAGCGCCGTGATGGCTGCATCGTGCCAGAGCGCCTCACAGACTCGTGTGTAGGAGTTTTGATTTGCCGTCAAGATTAGAAAAACGATTTCTCGTAGCATCGCTTTGGGGGCATGTTCTACCCCGAATCGCTGAATATAGGCGCTATTGGCGAGCTCTATGTAGGTGATGGAGAGAGCGCCAGCAGCAGCTCGGACGGGTGCTCTCGGATCCTCGGTAATGAGGTCTAGTACGCCTTCGAGCTCGGCCTTGCCCAGCCAGTCCGCAGGGAGCAGCGTCTGTGCGAGTCGAATGGCTTGAATTGCAATCTGCTCCTCGCGGTCGCGAGTCATTTCTACGAGTCGCACACGAAAACGTTGCAAAAACGCCTGCATCGGTACCACATAATTCGGATTGGATACGAGCTGTAAGATAGCATCCAAGGCAGCGTGCCGAACCTTGCTGTCCTTGTCGTAAATCATCCATCCGAGATACTTGAGAAAGCGATCTTCAAGAAATCGAGCAGGAGCGGAGCGAATCCAGCGGCCCAGGGCGCTAATGCAATGGAAGCGGATGTCAGCGAAAACGTCACGGTAGCGCTTTGCAAATACCGTCTGAACAAGGTGCTTCACCAGATCCTGCGTGTCACTGGTTTGGAGCCGGATTTTCTCGAGTGCTGATCGATTCCGCACGACATTCCGTTGCACGGCAGCAGCCTGATCCTGTAGCGCTCGTTCTACAGCGAGCAACCCGTCCACCGTATGGAGCGCTGCAACGACCGCGGCGAGCCGCACCGCTCGCAGACGACTCTCTGTCAGGTAGGCCAGCCATGAGACCCAGGCATCGATCAAATCGGAGTCCATCCAGACGGACTCTGGGCAAGTCTGCACAAGCTGCTGGAAACAGGTCTCATATTTTTGCGTAAAGCGACGAGCATCCCGCGTTGTTGCACTTAGCGGTGGGATGAGAGCTGCACGTCCGAGTTCGCTCTCCGAAATGCGCGGCAAGATCGCCGTACTAAGGGCATCCACGAGTACTTTGGCGTTCTCGGGGGTAGCTACCCGATCGGGGCCCTCGATGACGCTATCGGCCAACAGTTGAAGAATCTCCGAGCGGCAGCTTGGCTCTTCGGCAAGCGTCACTGGATGCGCGGCGAGCACAACCAACTCTAACAGTTCGCAAATCGTCCACTTGAAATCCGTACTCGCTCTGCTCCAGAACTCACTCAGTGGCCGACTCAAGTCCGCGGAACGGAGTCTCAACGCATCGTAGAGGAAACCGCCGCCCGAGTGCACCTGATGGGTGAATGAAGCAGAGCGCGGGCTGCACGGGCTTGTTGTCAGGTCCGGGACGCGCGTCTGCTCAATAGGTTCTTCATCAGTACGAAGTTGGTGTACCGGATCGACGAGAGCAGCCTCCATCCGTTTCAACAAGCTCCCAGAAACGGAGTTATGCTTGCCAAGGAAACCCCGAAAGTCGCAGGCACTGCGGGACGTCTAGAGTTCCAGGAATCAACCGCGCGTTCAACGACTTGTTCTTCTCAAAGTAGATTGCTTGCGTATACAAGTGTGCTGCCGCACCGTTTCTGTTCGAGAAGCAAAGTCGCGTCCACAACACGCCTCTATGTACGGCCAGTGAGCACCGTTCGAACAGGAGGCGCGCAACCTCGTTGCTGTGAAACGCAAGGCAGTACCGAGGCGCTCGATCCTCAAGTCACATTGGCGCCAAATTCGTAGCGGGCAGCATCAGGATCGTTTTGTTCAGAATTCCGCGTTGATGGATCGATGTTGCTTCGTGAACGCTGTGGAATCTCCGAGTGTCCATACTTTCTCATTCGATTCTTTATGTACGTTTCGCGACCTCCGGACCAGTACCGGCCGTGGAATGCCTGGGACTCCGGGTGCGTGCATGGATGCTGTGTCCATGAGCGGCGGGATGACCGCGTGTCATCTAGGCTGCATGGGCATCTCACGATCTGGGCAATGGTGTGCGTTTTTCGCTGTCTGCAGCACATGACCCCCTTTGGCGACCACGTTCTGTTCGGGCAAACTGCTCGCCGCAACGCAAGGCCATCGCGTGCGCCACGTGCGTTCTCTGGCGGAGAGCTCACTAGCAACGGGTGCTTTGCATGAACAGACTGTTTCGTTGGGCACTCGAATGCGAATCCAGCCGCTCTTGCGCGATGGATGAAAGCAGAGGCGTCCGACGATGTCTGCGTGCGCTCGTTGCCGGATTGCTTTTCTTTTTCACTGACGAAACGTTTCCATAGGCCAGCGTTCTCCGATTATGCGCATTTTTCTTTTCTTACTTTTTTTTGTGTTTTTTTCAGTGCGCGGTGAGGTATCCATCAAACGCCCTGCCTCCAAGTCACATTACCTATACTTCATCTCGGATATTCTGGTCGTTTCATACGCCCTATCGTGTGTGCCAAGTACCTGCCGAAAGCGACAGCAATAGCGCCTACAGCGTCGGTGCGATCGCTGCACGGAGACAGAACGGCGTTGCCGTACCACAACGGGCGTGCGCTCGTTGCCGGATTGCATGCCGATGCCGTTCGTCGCCGAACACGGCAACAGAAGCCGCAGCGAGATCGGAACAAAGCTGCTGTGGGAGCGTTAGCGGAGGCGTACCCGTCTCAAAAGTTTTGACATCAGTGGTTTCACGACTGCTCACCCGGAAGAAGCAACTTCCAATTGGTCCGAAAGCTTTTTCGGTACGAATGCTTCCTTTGCTTTGCGGGACGGATCGAGTTAAATATCAAAGCATGTTTTTGTTCTGATCACGAGGCGGGAGTGTCTGACAAGAGGTACCTGCTTGAGTCGTCTTGCAGCGTGCTTGGAATCGTCCAAATCTTCACCTATACTCGGTAAGAATCATCGTCGTCACTTGCTTGCCGTAAAACTTGACACAAAACAGGGGTTTCGCTGGCGTCCACAACGGTGCTCCTTCTCCTGCCGTGGCATCAGAAACGGCGATTATCGCAACCAGTTCCATGCTGCTGGCCGAAGCCCCAAACTGAGCCACTCGGTCGCGAGACGCGAAGCCTCAGTAGTGGCATCCTGGTTCCACGCTCGGTGGAGTGCTGTCTGGGAGCGCCCTGCACAAGGGAAAGACGCCCAGCGCAGCTCGGATGCAGCCAAACCGTTAATGCGTCGACCTCCGAGTGCTTACAGTCTCTAGATGAGGCTCGGTGGAGCGCGGGGCATTCTAAACCCGTGACCCACTCCAGCGTTCCTGTTGTCAGCGGTGATGGTGAACGCTTCCGATGTCGAGTGCTTCAAAGCACAGCTATATTTATGGAGGAAAGCGAAGTATTGGCGGTTCAAGTCTAGCAAGACCTGAACCCGACCGTCCGGGTGACAGGTGCGCCTTTTCAGTCACCGGCAAGTGATCCTCCTCCGGGAAAGGCTCCTCGTCAAATGGCATGAGAAGTGGTGTTTTCTCGCGCGGCAGACCGCTTGGAGATAGCGAGCACAGCATCCCATGGACCAGGCGGTGCTCTCTACTTGGATCCAGATCTATATCCTGTTCGGCGAACGAAACAAGCGGCTCGTAGAAGAGCGGATCCGTTTCTGGCACGGAGATGGCATTCGGAACGATCTCTGGTTCCGGAATACCGTCGTCGTGATCCAGTAGCCTCGCATCCAGAGCCACGACATCCGGTGAAGCGAGTTGCGCATCCAGGTGCCTCCGCGAGGCATCGCTGGCAAACTGCGAAAGCGGTTCATAGAAAGCTACCTCCGCAGCACCGGGCGGCGGTTGCGTGGCGAGACCCCAGGATGTCCTGCTCGTCGGCGTCGCCTTTCGACCAGTTTCTGGAGACTTTTCACGCGCTCTCCGGCCTCGCGGTGTCCGGTGCACATAGTGCTTCTTCTGCTGAACTTGCCCATCGATTCGTGGAATATTCGCAGCGTCACCCAGGGGTCGACGCCGCGCTCTGACCTCCGAGGCTGCCGCTACGTTCTGCCCGAGCTTGCTGGTCGCTACCTGTTGCCAGTTTTCTTTTTCCGTCGCCTCTCTTTCTCGAGAAAGGTGTGTGTCACTATCAGAACTCCAAACTGCAGCGCTTGCTGGTCGTTCCCTCATGCGCGCAGTCTTCCCCGTACCCTGAACACACACACACACACACGCAAGTCACCACTGCTTCAGGTGACTACTTGACGCAGTCGCAGTTCCAAGAGCGCTGCCCACAAGGATGCGGCCCGTAAAACGCCGCGCGATACACGAGCAGGCGTCTCGTGCTCGGCCGCCGCGTCACCACCGAGCGCTCGCTGCAGAATACAGGGCTCCTGGATCTGCCGCTGCGGCTGCTGCGGCTGCTGCGGCTGCGGCTGCGGCCGTCCGTTTCAGCATTCCGCCACCGTTACGAATGATCGCGATGCCGCGCTGGCATTCGTGGCGATTTGAATTTGGAAAGCACGGGACCAAGATAGTACAATAATGAATTATAAGGTACAGTTATATACCTGTTCAAGGTGAGCGCTTGCGATCGGACAGTATCCAGGCGGCAGCCATGTGTGCGTCCACGAAACGGTCGCCGCAAGCAAGCTGCAAACACTTTGCTGTGCCTAACTTGCCGCAGTTCCGCGTTGTGCGACGACGTCTTGCGATAGACTAGTGCTTCATCAGGCTGCACTAGGTCTTGCAGTTGGCGAACAAGCAAACGAAGCGCTGCTTTCCAGAACGAACAATACTACATTGCAAGTCGACTCCTGGTGTGGAACGGCTCGGAGCGGACGCTCGAGTCGCGGGCGGCCTTAGTGTGTTGGAGTGCAGGTCCGAGTTGCTGCGCATAGCACTGACCGAACGTACTTACGTATTGCGCATCGGTTCAGCGGGAATCTCTTGGTGGTCGCACTGCACTCGAGCCGCTTCTCACAACCGTTAGCGCACCTGCTTTGACGCACAGAGTCTGCGCAGGTGCCGAGTGCCCGCGTACGACTCGACGTGCACTGTTGTCAACCGGCAGGCTGCATTTCTCGCAGCATCAACGTGCCATTTCAGGACGGTCAGAAATTCCAACGGACTAGACGGAACGTTGGCACTGCACCGCCACGTGGTTGCTTGCAGCTGATACGCACTGGCACACAGCGGCCTTCTCGCAGGCCTCGTTTTCGGTCGCTTCCGTCGAGAACACTCAGACTGGAGGCTGGGTGTGATTCTTCCGATTCCTCGTTTGCTCATTCTAGCTTGCTACTAATGCTTGGGAACACAAGACGCTCGCGAGGTTCGTTCTCTATACAGATTCCACCTTACATGCAGCAGTTCCCGCTCTGGTGGTTATGCAGTCTCGCCAGCGGATACCCCGAATGCCCAGAGAATCCAGGGTCCAGCCTCCAATACCTCTGGCATCGTGTGCAGCTCTCCGCTGCACCATGGAACCAGTTCATGCAGCAGCAACTCTGTGCGCTGCAGGACTCGTGGATATTTTCGACGCTGCAAGCCACCGGCGATAGCTTCTCGAATCCCCCAGCGGTATCCTGGCCACTAGCTCGAGGTTTGAGCGTTGCGCTCGACTCCCAGTGGACTCAAATTCGAAAACGAATCACCGAATACGTCAAGCCGTTGACGCTGGAGTCGATACCCACCCGCGTGCCGTACTTGGCGTCGCTTGAGGAGCGCCTCCGTCCTTCTCGTATGCTCGAGTGCCAAAAGCATCTCTGGGGACGGATTCAGTCAAGATCCGCGCAGTCTAACTCGGAGTCGCGGAGTTCCGTGCGAGCCACCTCGGACAACAGCAACCGCTACAGCGAGTGGCTTGCCATCGTGTTGACCATCGGTGCTACCGCGCTCTTTCTCCGCTGGATCTACATGGGTGTGCATCGATATCCAACCGCCGCGCATCTGCCTCCTCATTATCTGGCACTGCGAAATCCCCGAACCGGGAAAATCGATGCGGGTCGACAGCTTCATGGTCTCGTCGTGCATGTTGGTGATGGAGACAACTTTCGCGTACTGCATACACCGTGGCTTCTGCGTTGGTGGATCCGTCTGCGTTGGCGTCTGAGTGGCGGGCAGCTGCCCTACAAGGGGAATCTCTCGAGTCAGACTATTCATGTTCGCCTCGCTGGAGTTGACGCACCAGAGTGCGCTCACTTTGGGCTTGCTGGACAGCGGTTCGGACCTCAGGCACGAGCATGGCTACAACGCACCCTATTAAACCAGCCGGTGAAGCTCTTGCTGTACCAGCGCGATCGGTATGGACGAATCGTTGCGCACGTCTGGCGTCCGCGACGCATACCGCTGCTCGGGCCGTTGTTGCCCGGACTTAACGTCAGTCTCGAAATGGTTCGTGCCGGCTACGCGGAAGTTTATCGGGGAGCTGGCGCCTGCTACGGTCATCTCCGGGAAGCGCTCGAGTTGGCTGAGCGGCAGGCCCAAAAACGTCGTCTGGGCATGTGGGCGCGCTCGGGTAGCCATTTTCTCTCGTGTGCTGGTCACGTTGCCATCCAGAGTACGCGGAAACTACGTAGCTCGCCATGGCAGCAGCTCATGGGCGCCCTCACTCGACCCAGTGCGTACAAACGACTCGTACAGGTAGTCAAACAACCGTGCGGCTCTTCCCCGGACTGGAAAACAGCCCCGGCATCTCGAGTGGCAACTGCGATTGCCGTATCTGCGTCTCGCACTCCACACCAGCAGGGGCGACTCTTGGCGAGTAGAATCCCCCCGAAAACGACCTCCTCATCAGTCCTTCAGATCAGGCCGCGTCTGCTGCTTCGAGCGCTCAGCACCGCGCTGTGTCAACGATCAAGAAAGCGCCACATCCTCGGATCCTAGTCGCTTTTCGGGCATCGCAAGCACGTCATGAGCGTCGATGCGCATTGGGTCTCATGAGCGCATTCGCTGCCGCATGTACGCATCTGTGCATCTGCGTATACGAAAGCACCCCAGCACACACGCAAGTGCACAGGGTACTCGCGTGCAACCAGCCGTGCAGTATAGGGCTTTCCTCGGCACATAAACACGCACAAGTGCTGGAGACTTTCCAGCTGTCGTTGCTGCCGCCTTCGCTTGGGGATTGCATCGGCTCCGCGTGTCGAATGACGCGCACTTCGCTGAAGACGCACACCTGGGGCATGGTTCATCCCTGGTTTCCCGTCCATGGAACGTCCTAGGGCACCGCCGTCTCAGCGTCGCCGGTGCCCGAGTCTGCAGCTGGAACGGTTGTACGCGATGGATTCGGCGCCTGCAAAAGCTGTTCGCTGCGCTCGGCAACGCGGAAGAGACGAGCCGCCAAATCCTCATGCGCTCGCTGATAGTGCGGTGGCGCCTCTTCGTAGAACACCTCCGGGGAAGAGGCAGCGGCCGCACTCGGAAACATGCGGTCTGTCTTGCGGAGCACCAGGAGGTACCGTCGTAAATCGCCCCGCATGCGCTGACAACAGGGTACTCCGATGTACTCGAACGATGCATGGCGTGGGAGGTCGTATGCCGTTAGCGCCGCTACCGCCGGTAACCAGAAAACCAGGCGACCTCCTGGACAGAGCACTCGCGCTGCCAACCTGAAAAGTGCTTCTAGATGGGCAGCAAAAGGCGCCCGACGCCGTCTCATGGTTCGGGAGGTGCGCTCCTCGTCGGAGTCGCCAGCACACGCTCGCGATGCCTGCCGAGTGCCCTCGCGGATACCGTACGGAGGATCACACACGATCGCATCACACCAGCCGAAGCGTTCCGGACGTGCCGGGTCCGGGACTGCCCAGGCGGGCTCCAGCAAGTCCATGCGCACGAGCTCCGGCCACTGATGCCGTGGAATCCCATAAAAGCGAAAGTTGTCCAGGATATGGTATCGTTGAGCGATGTTCCGATCATGCGTACGAGCCTCTAGAGCGTGCACACGATTCGTTGCGTTTGCTGGATGCTCTTCGATGGTACTGGTGGTGCAGGTTCGCCCCGGAGACGCCCGCAGCAGCGTTATCTGCGAGTCGGATTTTGTCTGGGATTCTCGCCCAGCAGTACCGTTCCTATGCCTTCGTCGTGCCGTATGACTGGTGCCGTACAGCACCCAGCGATCGAGGTCGGAGCCGAGGACCTGGCTCGCACCCAGTACTGCACTAGCAATCAGGATAGAGCCGGTTCCCACGTACGGGTCCAGAACCGTCTGACCGGGTCCAATGCCAGCCACATTGGCCATGAGAAACGCTAATTCTGCGTCCATGGACGTCGTTCCGATAAACGGTCTCGCCGACAAGCGGTATCGATGAACGGGGCAGAGCTGGCCGCCGGGGGCGAGTCGGCGTCCCACAAGGACGCGAGCTCCACAGTCGGCAGCCAGCTCGTGATCCTCCAAGAGTGCAATGCGCTCAACGTCGTCTCCAGAGAGTTGAATAGTCCTCTGTTCCACAGTTGTCCAGTGGTCAAGCAGCTTTGCGTATATCTGAAGGTTTCGTTGCTGCTGTGTCATGGAAAGACGCTTCCCATGGCTCGCCTGCTCGAAGCGAAAATAAGACGCGTCTTTCGGCAATGCATATTTAAGACCGCCCGCTTTACAAAGAGAATCGAGAAGTGCAGCGCAGTCCGCATGCGACGTGCCACTGCACCATAGGCGATAAACTGCGTGCACGAGAACAGCTCGACGGGCCACTGCTCGAGCTTCTGCGTCTGTGAGACCGAGACTCACAGCGAATGCGCTTTGTTGATGTCGATGTAATATGCACTGCTCCGTAACACCGAATACGCGGTGACTGAGGTCTCCACCGGAGTGCTCTGGCGAGCTGCTAGCCGCGGAGGCGTCCAGGGCTTCCGGTGCGCGCACCGTGTCGAACAGGCACTGGAGCTCGAGATCCGCAAACGTTTTCGGGTGGTTTGAACGACGCCACCATATGTGGTACGTCCTAACATTATCATTGGTGTCCAGATCGCCCCGGCGAAAGCAGTTGCACATGAACAGAATGGAGCACGGTGGATACCGTTCCCAGCGGGCACGCAGACGGGTTGGTGTGGCGGGTGTGCGCTGCCGACTTGAGTGGAAAAGCTGCAGTGGCCGTTTTGTTTGAATTGTCGCATAAGTAACGCTCGCGCTTATGGCCGATCATCTGCAGGCGTCGTCTCAGCGCTACAACGGTCTCGTGCAGCGCTGCCGAAACCCCGCTTCCACGTGCTGCAAGTTGCGCTTTGCGTGCTTGATACTGGTGTGTTGGCTCGATTGCGGTATTCTGGGTGCTGTTCCTGTGTCCGAAATACGATTTGCGAGGCGGCAGTCTATCGTCGGGTTTGTTCCGCTGGCCCATCTATAACGCTAGCGAGCTGAGCACCGTGTAGCGCCGGTGTACCGCGTGCCCCAGTAACGTGCAACGCGATTGCTCCTGGTGCGTCCTGATAGACGCTTGGGTACTGGGTTCGATTACGGTATCTCCTGTGTACTCGCAGTAGTGGCTCAAATCGTAATCAGCTGAAAATTCGAAAGTGAAGTGGCTTGCCGCGCAGGTGCACGCCTATTCTTGGTACTTTTGTTCGTGATCCTCGACCATGGTTGGTGTCGTCAATAGGAGCATCACATCGCAACCGTCCCTGATGCACGCTGAGGCGGGAGACGCGTCGCCGGATGCTGATGGGAGTTCTAGTACGCCGGACGCGACGGTAACGGATACACTGCGACGGACGGTGTTCGTTGGCAACGTTCCAGCTACCATACGCAGACGCAAACTGGAGGCGCTGTTTCGTTCCTGTGGCAAAATTGTTTCATCCCGTCTCCGGTCGTTCACACCTGCAAAGCCGAACCTGCCTCGAAAGGCGGCCATGAATCAAGGCGCCATCCATCCTACCAGGCGAACATGCAACGCGTTTTTAGTTTTCGAGGATGATGTTGCGGTGGAACGTGCCTTGCTCCTGAATGGTACCCCACTCGAGACAGACGATGGTAGTCAAGTGCACATGCGCGTTGATCGTTGTTACCTTGCCCCGCAAAAGATGCGTGAACAGCGTACGACACGAGCGGATACCGGCACCGGCGATGCCGCGGCACCATCGTACACGTCGCCAGACGCTCTGAGTGCGAAAATCGCCTGGGATCATCGACATTCTATCTTCATCGGAAACGTACCATTTACTGCAAACGAAGAAGAGATTCGGAGCGTTTTCAGTGACTGTGGTGCAATTTTGAACGTGCGCATTGTTCGAGATGCCCAGACTGGAATGGGAAAAGGTTTCGCATATGTGACGTTTGCCCCAGAGGCCAATATGGACCTTGCTCTGAGTCGTCACGAGACTGTGCAGCTGCACGGACGCCTTCTTCGGGTAGAGCGTTCCGTTGAGCGTCTGGCGAATCGACGTGCGCAGCATGGCAAAACCGACAGCCGCAGCAATGCAGGAAACGGCGCTAGAACGGCTGATTCGCGACGGAAACAAACGCCGCGTCATAAGGGTAGAGGAGCTGCTCGCGATTCGCAGACTACCTCGAAGCGTGCGAAGCGGGAGCGATCAGCGAAACGGGCTATGATACCGAAAGCAGGTCGACGCAAGGGCGCCAAGCGTCGCGCTGGGTCTAACTTGGGTTCACCAGTGAAAGAAGTCGCCGCAGATGCGCTGCCGCCCTTTGCTGGCCGGGTTGCTGATCCGAGTACCACACCCTTCTCGCGACCGAAGCACCGACGCCGAAAACGGGGCCCGGGAGTCTCAGGCAATGCAGGTGTCTCGAAGCGTGTGCGAAAACAAAGCAAAATAGGCAAGCCGAGGAAGCGGGTGCGCTAGCTTGCAATGGCCCTTCAGAAGGACGTCATCCTTGTGTGTGCACAGATGCTCGGCGTGCTGGAGATGCAAATCACCAGGGTGGAAGCACCCGGTGACTTGCAGCCAGATCCAGTGATGAATCCATAGGTCATACGAGAAATCGATCTGCACAGCTATAACGCTCATTCGACTCGCAACTTGTCAGTGATTCTTTCGAAAGCGTCCCAGGAAAACGTGGACATGGAGTCGAAACCGCATGATACCCCAAAAACAAATCCGTTTCATAACACCAGACCTCTAGATCCATGGCGTGTCTGTGTCCGTCATCGATGCACTCAGCGACGAAGGATCGTTCAAAACTGGTCCGCGAAAAACGCTACCGACGATTGTTCTAATTCACAGACGGAGACCCACTCATGTCCGATTGAGTGCGAGGTCCCTTGCTTGACCTCAGATTCGTGTGTCTCACGCGTGAACGCCAAGAAATACCCTGGTCAGGGGGCACCCCAAAGGCACGTGCAATCTGCATGGTGCACTTGTTGTAACGCTAGCGAAATCGTCGCTGGGATGCTTTCATGATGTAGCCAGCGGTTCGTTGCCTTGTCTCTGAAGCGTTCTCGAGAAAGCTCCCGACGCTTTGTCCTTGGGTCTGATGGCTCGCATGCTTCGAGTATTCATTCTCGCTGGTGTGGAGCACCAAGCCGAATGGCATTTCGGTGCGAAGGGCCAGCATGATTCGAGCGTTTGTGCCGCTGCGCAGTATCAGCGGCAGAGGCAGTGTCCTCTGGAGGCCAGCACCTATCCGGCAACGAAGAATGCCACACAAGTGAATGACAGCACTTGATCGTATTCCAAGATATGCTTTCGTGCGCTCTGGGTGAACCGTGCGCCGCCCAGGGAGAACGCTCATGACGCGCGTACTCGCTCCCTCGCTCACGACAATTCTGGAGGCCGATGCTTGCTGATCGGAGGCGAGGCGCCCGCTGCGTCTCGACAAGTGCCAAAACCTTGGGTCGTAGGCTGCACAGGGAAACATATTGAGGTTCGCTTGGCGCCGCTTCAAACGGAAACGGCACGTCTAGTGCGTTGAAATATGTGCAAGGAGCTTGGTGCTTCTGAAAAGACGCGAACTCGATTGCGCTTTGTACTGTCGCTGGTGCTCAGCGCAAACGGGAGCACGTAGCATACGCAGCATATTGTTGCAAGATGAGGGTGCTCGGCACAGGTCTATGGCGGGTTCGGGAACGGCCACCATGCTGTGGTGACCAAACTCATGACGAGGCGTTCTGTTGAGGCTTGTAGACTTGGCTGGCCTCCTTGAAATGTTTTTTCCTTCCTGCGATTCTCTACAATATCGAATTATGGAATACCATGATGCCTCATAGATTGTCCGGGAAAATCGGAACCATCATCAGACATATGGATATATGCAGCGCTCCAGCTGCTCTGCAAGTGCTGAACCGTACCGTCGCAGTGCCTTGCAGCACCAAGCACGAGTCGAAACCTGCTTCCAATGGTCACTGTCCTTTTTCCAGTTTACGACTGCAACGATTTACGATCATGTCCACATTGAGTACGAAAGCATTCCCGCCGAACGTTCGCTGGATGCAAAGCTGTTGGACGCTCCGAGAGCACGGGAACTTTCCATATCTTGATCGGGGCGCTGAGCGCTCGGTGCAGAGACAGCAAGCGCACGTGTTTGCTGGTTGAATCGCACCGCGGAAAGCCTCTCACCTTGCATTGCCTCGCTATCTGAGGTTCGTTCAGCTCACCGTGCACCATCTCTTGCATCCGTCACTGTTTCATACGCTTTGCTCAACCGGTTTCAGTGTGTGTGTGTGTGTGTCTTGTCTTGAACCCAGCGTTGGGTATCGCACGGAATCGATTCCTGCATTCATTGTATGCGCTTGTCAAAGGCAGAGGAGTGCAGTCCTCACGTTGGATCGTACGTCCAAGGAAATCGACAACCAGGAGAGACGGCACGACTTGTTAGTCATCTCTTTTTTCAACGCATGGGACAAGGTAGCGAATGCGTGCTGCTTGCCACAGTAGAATCGCGGTCATTGGCGAACCTTGCGCTGTCTCATGTACGACCGGCCAAGATCGTCCACATGAGTCATGTAGATGCTCGTGCACGCTCGGAACGAAGCGTATTTTGCATCCCGCCTCTGCTCGATACGCTACGCAGAGCGTCGAGATACCTCCTCACGCCAGCACTCGTCTTGTACGCTCGCCTCTGGGCGCTCATCATGTATGGTGCCCAATGATGCAGGACCCTGGATTCATTGTACAGCTTCATCTGCTTTCTTTTTCATCCATTCGGCTGCGGTCTCTTGATTTAGAGGTACGGCATCGGGCGTGACGCACATGAGCTGGGGATCCACGCCCCCAGCAAAGTCTCCCTCTTTATCTACCTTGAACAGTTTAGAAAAAGCTACGTTGCCTGACTGAGGTCGAGGTTTCACAAGAATGCCTGCAGATGCATCGTCCTTCCGTATCTATCGTCACTGTGAACCGCTTTCCAATTCAGTCCGCGAACGAGAAAACCTGGCATGAGCTCCGCCAATGTCTTTTGCGAGCTTGTTCGAAGGCTCCTCGCTTGTTCGTGCGGACGAGCCGCCGCCATGACGGAGGCCATTCACTACATTCCACAGGTATCCATTGGATTACAAAAGGACTTGATGTGGCATACAGAGACCGTCTCGAATAGACGCTTGGAGAAGCTGTGGCACTCGCACTGGGTAAGCGAGTCTGCGTTGCTCTAAAGGGATCTGTACGAGACAAAATTGCAGCGCAAGACTGAAGCAGGCTAGGCATCACGCTCCAATGATCCTTCGCGTAAGACGTCCGTCTGTCCGAAGCCCACACCAACACCATGAGCTCGGACGATCTGAAGCAACGCTCGCTCTCGTTGCAACATCTGTGCTGAACTCGTTACCACGCCGAGCTCTTCCTGCATCAGCTCCTCATTTGTGTCCATCGACACGCTGAGGGTGCCTTGTAGCAGTGCCCCCGTTCTGTGCCAGTGCGTTGAGCAACGCTCGGGTACACCGCTCACGGGGCATACCGCATGAAGCGCACGAGACTGACCCTCGATATCGTTTACGAGGTTGGTTTCTTGTTGCTGGCGCCTGCGCTTTCCAAGTCCTGACCGGTGACGTGCGCCACGACGACGCGTCACCGTATTCCAGGAAGCTTCTGCGCGAATCTCTGATCCTATCATGAGGCTGTATTGCGTCTCCTGCTCCCAAGCATCGGTGTATGAACGACGTTTGGATTGCATTATGCCAAACGAATGAGGATAGCTAAGAGCCTTACGGCGGTACCTCGTACAAACAGTTGGTTGATGAGATGCTTCGATTCGAGGGAAGCGAAGCGAGAATTCCTCGATTAGGAAGCGATCCAAATCCTGATTGCGTGCTGCATGTTTCGTTATCACGTGTGCGAACGACTCTTCTCTTGATCACTGGGCGAAAGCATCACGTGCGGCCATAGAGAATACGACTTTGACCGGACTGAACCTGGAGCCTGAAGGCGCCATACAGGGCAGCTCGACGCTCATCACAGCTTCGTGCTCCATGACGGCTTTTGAGTGATAAAAAGCGACGTAATCCAAGAGCGAACCAGATGAATGTGGGAATCAGAAGCCGCGAAGAGTACCTCGACGAACCGCGAGCTCTTGATCGCTGCTACCCGAACGGTAATTTGGATACATCCACCCGATAGAATCGCCAGTCGCGTTGATCTTGTCGTCAATACCGCGTTTCGCTTCGTAACGACCAAATACTTGTCCCGCTTTGAGTCCTCGTGTTCGGCTCTAGCGTTCCTCCCCAATAAACTACCATTGGCTGAGACGAACCTCCGTCCATACTGCCAAAAGCGTTCGCAGTCCATTTCGAAATCGATTGTAGGCTGAGCAACGCACGACGGTCTCCGACAGAAACACCCGTTTTTGTCTGTCCATCGGTGTTTCTTCATCGCCGCTGGTATCAAAGGGAGAAAGCTTTACATGATGTGGCTGTTTTGTTCGTATTTTTAACAAGAAAACGTATGCAGTGGAATGGATTCACGACGAGGCAGCCGTTCAGATTCCGTTTGTAAAGTTCTGTTTTGCGTAAGCGCCCTTCGGGGTAACGACAAAGAGACGATTGGTTCATCCACCTGCTAACCATCGAATGTCTGAGTCGCAGAACCCAAGAGGCTTTTCTCGCAAGCTACCAATGACATTGTAACGTACTTCACCGACTCTTCTGTAAATCCACGGACATGCCTTCCATGCTGCACAGGAGAGAATCCAGTGAAAGCCGAGAATCACCAGCTGCTACAAGCATTCCAAAGTGCACCTCTCACAGAGCACCGTTGTGGGACGACCACCAGTACCAACAACAGCTCTTTCCGCCAAGCGCTACGAGCACGTTTCCCGAGCTTCACTCCGAACTTTGGACAGGGTTTTTGCGGTGCTCGCGTATCAGGCGCTCACTCTAGTACATCGACCAGTTCGCGTCTAATACCGAGTACCTCCTGTGTGTGTGTGTGTGTGTGCGCGCGCCATGGAGCGCCCATACCTACCAGCTGGCTTGGAAGACGCCAAGTCCAACCAATGCTCAGGTTGCGGGCAGCGCCTTCCGTGCCTGTGCCCAGCACGTCCAATACCACCTCAACCTGTAGCTGCACACGAAAGTCTGCCAAAGCCCCTGGACGACAACTGCAGGTTCCAGGCGTTTCACGGGTTCAATGTAGCGACGTTCACGCCTGGAGATCGTATGTCCGACACTTGCTGAACGTGTGTCTCAACTGGAGTTAGCCATAGCTCCGAACCCCCCAGCGCTCGCTGCTGGACGCCGTGGGTTCCGGCGCTATCGACGCCGCCTCCGTCGCCCTTCGAGGCCTGCGACTGGCCTCGTTGACGGTTTCACATGCCATGGATGAGGAGCAACAAGGTCAATCGAGCGCTGTTGTCGATGAACACCCCGAGCTACAATATTACACTGTGCTAAACCTTTCGCCTGACGCTAGTCGTGAAGATGTGCGTGCTGCATATCTGCGTCTGAGTCAGCTGTACCATCCGGATCGCCAACCGGACCCGGTGCTCAAACAGCGGGCAACAGAGCTCTTCACTCGCATCAGGGAGGCCTACGAAGTGTTATCGCATCCTCTGAAACGCCAGGTCTATGATGCGTACGGCACGGAGGGCCTTCGCTTCCTCGAGTCCACACAAGTTACCACTTACGCCGCAGTACGTGCGTACTTTGGTGAGCGAGGCAGCCAGCCCCAGCGGCGTACACGAGGTAAGAGGAAGCCACACTCAGCGCGTCATGAGAACACCGACGAGCTCACTGCGGAAACACTCTTGGCTGTAAACCATGCGGTGCAGGTCACGGTGGACGGCACCGGGCTGGTGCAGCTGCTTCCGGACCTGGTGGCCGGCGAGTCACTCTACTGGCGCTCAGCGATCGTCGTTCGCGGGGCTGCACTAGATACCCAGGGTTCGTGGTACCTGACTCCTAAGGACTGCTTGTCATGGCAGTATCAGGTCGCAACCAGTAGGTCCGCGGGCGTCATGAGCGACGACGACGACGACGATGATGATGATGACGAAGACGACGACGACGATATGGACGACGACTTCGGCGAGGACGGCCAAACTGACGAACACAACGAGAATCAGGACCCCCATACAAGTACTTGGGAGTCGTCAACAGTCGACTCGGCACATGAGCGGCGCTCTAGCGCAGCCTATGCGTCAGGCTCGACCAATGCGACCAGCAAATCGTCATCTAGAGCGCCCGGGACGACTTCTCGGGATGATGACGCCCATTTGCGAGGCACACCGCCAATGTTGAAGCACGCTCGTGATGAGCCTTTATTCCGGAAGCTAACGCAGGTACAATGCCGGGGTATCAGCGTCTCGTATCGGCGCCTTGTGTCTTCCGAGCAAATGATGGAAGCTGGCCTAGCCTGGGCTGGATCACCGTCTCGCACTGGTGCGACGCTCTTTGCCGATGATTCATGGACAGCACGTCCACTGCTTTCGGGAAAGCTGTGGCGTCGTGTGAGTCCGCACGCTTCGCTTGCGCTTGAGGCGTCGTACGCTCTTGGGCGCGACCAGCGACCCGAGCTGGTGCTGAGTCACGCTCGTCAGATCTCGGAGAGGTGGCAGGGCCATCTAGCCTGGGCCGCTGGACCTGCACCCGGCTACATGGCTTCTTTTGTCTACGGAGCGGAACAGTGGAATGCAGCTTTTACCGTGAACCTGGGTCTTGGCGCCAGCGGCATCAAGTTCACCCTCCGACGGCTCTGTGATCAGGCTCAGACGATCATTGCGCGACTGCGAGCGCACTTGTCGTTATCGGGCTGGTCCCTGGAGACCGGACTTGCCAAAGAACTCGCTTTGGATAGTTATGTGGCAGTTGCAGCGCGCGTATCGCATGTTGGCGTGGCACTGCGACTGAGACTAAGTCGAGCCGGTCACCGCCTAACGGTGCCGATCCTTTTGTTTCCGAACCCGGACCCGTTGGCGTTTGTCGCTGTGGCGAGCATTGGGGCAACAACTGCAGCTGCAATTGAATACCTGGCGCTTCGACCGCTGCGGCGGCTAGCACAGGAGCGCAACCGACGTCGAATACGCGAACGTGTCTATCAAAAACTCGTTGAACGGCGGCGTCAGGCACTTGAGGAGCGCGAGTTGTTGCGACCACAAGCGGCTCGTTCGCGAGCACTCGAGCAGCAGCGCAACGGTCTGGTGATTGTTCGAGCGCTCTACGGTGCCGCAGAAGTCGTACGGCGAATGCATTCACCGGACGTGCCAGTTGCAGTCATCGATGCACTCGAAGACGTCTGTGATGTCACCGATGCCCTGCAAGCGCTGGTTGACGATCGGGATTCGAGTTTGCGGCTCTACGCTACGAGCAAGGCAGCGCTGACGGGATTCTTCGACCCAACCATGGGCGATGCTGAGCTTGCCTTGCGTATTTGGTATTTGCTGCGTGGGGAGCCTCTCCAGGTGACCATCGGGGATCTGGATCCGCTCTATATAGGCGCAGATACCTGAATTCGCGGGTTCGCACGATGTGATTGGGGGTTGCGCATCGCGAGCTGCACGTAATTCGAACGAGGCAGACTTGATGCAGCTGGGCACACGGGCTCTAGGCAAAACGTGAACGACTGGTGCATCGGGACGTCCGTAAAAGTCACAGAGCGCACGGCGCTCGAGACGGCGTTGCCCGCGAACAACATCGAATGCGGCATACACGAAGCAATGACCTGCTCTATTTACAGGGAAGTATCATCAAGGTCAATAAGTTGCAAGATCGCGCGTTCTTTGCGGCGTTTGAAGCGACGCGGCAACGAATGCGGTCGAAGCGAGGCTTCGGCTGATGTTGTTGTTCCTCCTTGCACCTGATCTGCGACGGCAGACCAGCTAGGTGCCGATGCACGCGGCCGAGAGTCTGACGGTACGGTCGCGTGCAACGTCCGAAGACCACCACCACCACCACCACCACCACCACCACCACCACCGGTGTCGCCGCTGTCGTCATCGTTGTATTCAGGCCAGTGACAGCTGGACGCCTCTACGAGCTTATAGTGCTCCACCACCATGCGGTTGATCGGCGTTGTCTCTTTGCCTGGAGACCAGGTAGCGCAGCGGACGGAGGCACGTGGCACGGATGTCGTATGCTCACGGACATCGTTTCGCTCAGTCGAGCGCTTTTGCCAATATCGATAGCATCGTTGCAGGAACAGCATACAGTGATGCAAAGCGGGATATATCCATTGTTGCACGAGACATCTCGCAAGAAGAACCAGCGCCGCCACCAACCCAAAGATGCTCGTAAACAGCTGCGTGAATGCTTGCGTAAGCTCTGGACCTAGTGCACGCACAATCACTTGACGCAAGAAAATACCGAGTCGTTTCAGTTGCCTGAGCAGTAGCTGTGCGATGTCGCAAAAGCTGCGGTACACGCGCCATCGCACTGCCCGCATATAGCGATGTCGCCAGAGCGCTCCGAGCTGCTTTGCAACCAGCTTGATGAGTTGCAGGCTTAGGCTGCCGATGCTCATCAACAGATGGCGCGATACCATGAGCTGTTTACGAAACCTAGATGACAGGTACAGTTGCCAACCTGCGGCCTGTCGCAGCAAAGCGCCAGAGCTCGCCTTCACTGCAAGTTTCTCGTAGATACCCGTGGTAGACGTTGTGAGCGGTTCATTCGCGAGCACCGTGTGCTTCTTGCCTTGCAAACGAGCTCGCACAGTTTCCTGAAGCAACCTAGCCTCAGCAGAGCGCTCTGAGGAACCCAGCGAGCTCGTACTGCAGCTGCTGCTCGCCGGGTGCGTCACCGATCGTGTAGAGTCGTTAGCTCGAGGGTGAGCCTCGCGCTCCATTCGGACTCTGCGATTTTTAAAGATGTACAAGCCCTATGGTGTTCTTCGTTATCTGAAAAGCGGTCCTATGTGCTTTCGTTGGTTTCCCGGAGCACCAGCAGCACCGTGGGCCAAGCAACGGCACGCCGAAGACTCGACAACCCCGGACCGTATACACGCTCTGCTTGAACAGCAACAGGAGCCCGTCTAGTTCTCCTACTTAACGCTAGCAGAATAAGCGCGAGTCCCAGTGCCACGCGGGTTGCAGGGCACCCCACGCATACGCAACGTCAGTACAGCACGAGCGTATACCCGCTCGGGTTCGGTAACGACTAGACGCGCGTCGTACGCGAACGCGAACGGTGCGCGCCATATCCCTGGGCGCATGGTTGGCGCTTCGGCGCTGCAACGCTTTCCATAGGGATGGCGATCATTTTAGAACGAAACTGTATGTTTTCGATCAAAATTTGAAGAAAATGCCTCGGGTACAGATCGTGCACGGCATCCCCGATCCATGCAGTGTGACCGCTGTGCCAGCGTGACCCCCGGCGCCGGATCTGCGACTCCTTGCCAGTGATGAACGCGTACCATGGAACAGGTCGACGGGTACCGGTGTACGAGGGAAGTTTTTGGTCTCTTCCCACTGGCATCAACAGGGGTCTTGAGTGGACTGTTTTTTCTGTAGGTGCTTTGGTTTGATCTTTTTCCTATGTCTGGTTTTCTAAACGCTGATCTCTCGATTCCCTATCGCTCCGTTGCATGCAGTCGAGGTATGTAGTTGACACCCAACGTCCGGGTATCGCTGCGATTGACGCTTCGCTTGTCTGTCTCATTTTCAGTTGGTAGGGATTTGGTGTACCGTTGTGCAGCGATGGTACCCTAATTTCGTTCAGGAGTTCTCATTTGTCCATCACGCCTCCTCTCCCGTGCACCGCATGGTGGCAAGTGCGTGCGCTCGGCACATGCGCTTCGTGGGTTCAGTAGGTTCGCCTCGATGCCCGCGTTGGCTTTCAGCGCCCGGTGCCGTAGCCCAGGATCATGGGCTTCTGTGCAGCGATCCCCTGGTCGAGGATGCTGTCCGGTGCGTACGCACGCAAGTGCAGCTCGTCCGATATGATGCACGATTTCTGGATAGTGATACTGTCCATGATGAAACAAGTACAGAGAGGAAAATCTAGGCTCAAGTCGAGTTATCCCGAACCGTCTGCGCTCCATTCTTGAAAAATGGTGACGCATGCTGCACTGGATATGAACGCTGCGATGATTCACGTCCGAGTACAAAGCGCTTTTCTGTGCAAACACAGGAGGCGGGAACTTTTGGGAAAATACCCATGAGAGGCATCCTGCTTGTTTAGATACCGTTTTGTAGATCGCCACAGAATGAGAGTGACTTGGCTTTCAAACGGAATCGATGCATTTTTGTGAAAAGTTCAACGATCTTTTGGTATGCGCTTGTGTACAAAACGTCGAGAGACGACACCCGGTTTTCTACGTGGATGCTGTGGCGAGCATACCTCGTCCCACGAGTTACCTCGAAACGCAAAGCTCGAGCTCTTGAAGCATGCTTGATTTGCACATGGAAGCCGTAGTAAAACGGGAAGCATGGATGCTTCCGCGTATATGCTGAATCATGGTTTCCATTAGTTTGCGCTCCGTTACATGAACGCGTCACGAATCATATCGATTCCGATGATGTAACGTGTTCCCGCAGCAGAGTGGCAGACCAGCCACTCGGAAAATATCGCCGAGAATCCCTCAGCACGAGCACCTGGGCATGGAGTGTCGATGCAGTGCGTCTAGAAGGAAAAAAGTTCGAATAAAAATCTCACACCAGCAACAGAGTGAACAAATCAGTGTTCCACTCTCATCTGAAACGGGTAGAGAGTCAGCGCCATTCTTGCGAAAGCGCTTTCGTGAATGTGGTCGCGTACCCGCAAACCTGCAAGCATACGTAAAACCTGCATACTTCCCGGGCGGATACTCAATATGTGAATACATGGCTTCGCTGGCCGTTGCTCCTTCAGATGCACACTCTAGCTGGTGACCGGACCACTAGTTCGGAGACTGAAGTCGCCCGCAAGCGGTACGCTCGGCGTGCCATCTGCTCGGAAACTCACTGGAGCCAGCACCCACACAGGCTAAAGCAAAGCTGGTCTTTGTTCGTACGTCGTCCGCAGCGCCATTCACCAGGCACAGTTGTCGATACTCGATGGATCCATGCAAGACACCCGCGTGCATCGCATGAACGTACCATGATCACGAAGCAACTTCTGGTCTTGGATCCATGGTACACACGAGGTCCGGAAGCGCATAGCGGGCGCTTCTCTACCTGCCGATCGTAGTCGTGCACACGGGTAGACTGCGGTCAGGTTTAACGATCCCTAAGGATATGCAATAAACTCGTTCGAGCGCATCGTGCGGAGCTTTTCCCCCCGTGACCTACCGGAAGACTAGTCTAATAAAGCATGCTCTTCCAGTCACATCGATAGATTAGAATTCCATAGGGCACGAGCGGTCGTTCTTCGCCAGCACATTGCCCACTCTGCGGCGCAAGGTGCTGCCTCGTGCGACACGCTGAACCGATCCTCCGTTGATCAGCGTACACAGGGACGTTCCTCAGTGGATGCTTGTACACCTCTGCTTCGAAGAACGCAGACACCCAAAGCTTCGTGACTCGTTTCAAGGTGCTGCCTCGTGCGACACGCTGAACCGATCCTCCGTTGATCAGCGTACACAGGGACGTTCCTCAGTGGATGCTTGTAGACCTCTGCTTAGAAGAAAGCAGACACTCAAAGCTTCGTGACTCGTTTCAAGGTGCTGCCTCGTGCGACACGCTGAACCGATCCTCCGTTGATCAGCGTACACAGGGACGTTCCTCAGTGGATGCTTGTAGACCTCTGCTTAGAAGAAAGCAGACACTCAAAGCTTCGTGACTCGTTTCAAGGTGCTGCCTCGTGCGACACGCTGAACCGATCCTCCGTTGATCAGCGTACACAGGGACGTTCCTCAGTGGATGCTTGTACACCTCTGCTTCGAAGAACGCAGACACCCAAAGCTTCGTGACTCGTTTCTTTGCAACGTAGAGGCGTTCGACGGAAAGCAACTCACAGCTCAGGAAACGTTGCCCCGCCGCAAGCAGCGCGGCGCAACGGCATCCTCAGACGCAAGGCGTCGGGACTCGGAAACCAAAAATGTTGTTGGTTCGAGAACTCGACTATGACTTTTTGGGCCTGGATTGCGCTCACGGGACACAGCGGAATTCATTCGAGGTCGAGTCTGAGAACGCTCCCACGAGAGACAGCGCGAGTACGTAGGGTGCTGTGGCGGTTGTCGCCTGAACACCCACATCTCGGGCGCAGTGTGTTTACACCATCCCGTACCACGGCGCGTCCGTCAGAAGCGCGTGAGCGACTACCGCGTAGCGCTTTGCCACACCTCCGCTCAAACTACTCCTTACCTGAAACAGCGATGCTCGGGAGCGGTACTGGACACGGAAGTTCTGATGGAAAGGGAGCACCACTACCAGCAACGACGACGACGACGACACACCAGAGTGACGAGCGCCTGCTCACACTCGACGAACTAGTGCTGAGTGCGGGGTTCGCCAGTCGTCTACCCGCGGACCCGGAAACTGCAAACTACGTCCGCGTAGTGCGCGGTGCGGCACTTTCGTTTGTGCACCCGTCACCGACCTGGACGGAGCCGGTGCTTGCTGTCTGGTCAGACAGGTGTGCGCGTGCTTGTCTTGACCTCGAGGTGAGGCCCTCAGAGCGAGACTATGCAGCACGTGTGTTCAGTGGCCTCGCGATGTTGCCCGGATCGCGACCCTATGCGCAGCGCTACGGCGGACACCAGTTTGGCGTCTGGGCAGGTCAGCTTGGCGACGGTCGTGTCATTGTGTTGGGTGAGTACCAGAATCGATGCGGCGAGACCTGGACCTTGCAGCTGAAAGGCGCAGGCAAGACGCCGTTTGCTCGTTTCGCTGACGGGCGCGCTGTCTTGCGCAGCAGCGTGCGAGAGTTTCTCGCCAGTGAAGCGCTACATGCGCTGGGCATCCCTACCAGTCGTGCGTTGTCCCTTGTGGTCACTGGTGACAAAGTCGTGCGGGACATGTTCTACGACGGCAATCCACGCGAGGAGCCTGGCGCTGTCGTTTGCCGTCTAGCTCCTTCATGGGTGCGGTTCGGAACGTTTGAATTGGCAACGGACTGGAATGAGCTGGAGCTTCTTCGACAGCTTGCGGACGATACGATTGTACACCACTACCCGGCATTGCTGGCACATGAGCGTTCTCACGGCAAGCGCACATCCGCAGACTCGAGCCGCAGCGCAAGAAATGAAGAGTCCCAGAACCCAATGCCGTATCGAGCGCTTTTACTCCAAGTCGCTGAACGAACAGCTGCGCTAGTTGCCGGCTGGCAAAGCGTCGGTTTCGTACACGGAGTCTTGAACACCGACAATATGAGTATTCTGGGGATCACCATAGACTATGGTCCGTTCGGCTTCCTGGACGCTTACATGCCCGAGTACACGCCGAATACCACAGATCTTCCGGGTCGACGCTATTGTTATGCGTTACAGCCGACCATCTGTTTGTGGAATCTGCTTCAACTAGTGCGTGCATTCGAGCCGCTCACTGGTACTAATCTCTCGGAGGAAGTGAGTCAGACCTACGAGACCAAGTTTCGCGAAGAGATGTCCGCACGCCTGCGAGCCAAACTCGGTTTCCAAACCTGGAACTCGGATGCAGATAATGGACTTGTGCGGGACCTGTATGAGCTCATGCGTCAGGATCGAGCGGATTTTACACGCACCTGGCGAGCGCTGTCCTGGTTAGAGCCCGTTGCTTGTCTACAGAAAAGCGACGCCTCGCTCGAGCCGCTGCTTCGCGTACTCCCAGAGCCGGTTCGAAAGAATCCGGACCGACTTGAAGCTTGGCGACTTTGGGTGCAACGTTACGCAGAGCGTACGCTGGCCGAAGACAACTTTGATGGGACTGCACGGCGCAAGCAAATGCAAGCCGCGTCTCCCAAGTACATTCTACGGAATTACATGGCTCAGGTGGCAATTGAAAAGGCGGAAAATGAACAGGATTTTTCGGAAATCGAGCGACTGCTCAAGTTACTCGAACATCCGTACGCAGAACAGCCCGAAATGGAGGCACTCTACGATCGGGAGCCACCGACATGGTCCCAGCGCCTTGGAGTGTGCATGAACAGCTGCTCTTCCTAACAAATTAGGCGAAAAGGTGAGGTGTCTGGTTCGTGTACCCGATCGCATGGATAGACATCCACGGATGCCTATTGAAGCACCTGTAGGAATACTCCTACGAATACCTGCGCGGATACGGCTATGGACACAGGCATGTTCATGGGTGGCAATGGTTGAAGTGCACGATTCGTGCTGGAAACTGCCTGCAACCTGTCACGTTCACAGTGTGTTGTTGCAACTTGTTTCGCATGCGTCGCCAATGCCGCGTCCCGAGTTTTCTTTTTGTAAAGAACCGCTTTCACCGAATACGGTTGGATGCGAATCTTGATGCTCTGGTGGATCATACGCCAGAGACTAGTGGGACCGCTGCAACTGTATATATTCTCAGGACGGCGCTGTTCGTCGATCGCGTTTCCAGACACCACACCCGAGCAGTCCATATGATCAGTTCGCATCTATGGGTTCGCCCCGGAGACGCAACGCGGGAGACGTCTTTGCACCCGATCCCATGGGTGAATCTGCATCCACCGAGAAAACCGAGTTGAGCGCTTACCTCGTACCGTTTAGGCGATCGCTTTTGAGATCCGATGCTAGCGGGGGTCGGGGTATCCGCTGACCTTTCTACGACTGGATGCCAGCGCTATGCAGCCTGAACCTCGTCGGAGCTGCTGCTTCGATCGCCATATGAAAACGTGAGATTCGATTCGTGCAAAGCCAACAAAGAGTCCATATGCAGAATACAAACTTTTCCTTCAGCAAAAGCAGCCTCTTGCAAGTAAGGATCTACGCGAGGTTTGTGGTGTAGGACCCGTACCTCATTCGCGCTGGGGCGTCTAGAGTGCTGGGGGTCTCCGAGGTGCCCCCGCTGCACGCTCCTGCCCTGCCGCCTGCGCTAAACAACACCTTTCATATACTGGGCACTCGCGCTCTCTCTACAGGTCCTTCGCTTCATTCATCAGCAAATATCCGCCTGAACGTTTGCCGGCACTGCAACACCAGACTTGGATAACTGCATTCAATGAAAGAGTGACGCTCTTTTTCCAACGTAGAGCGCCACCAACCTACAACCGCGTCCTAACCTGCAGCTGTTGCAAGACGCCCTAACGAGAGCATCTTCTGTACCGAACAATTTCCATACCAGTGCTGCTCCCTAAGCGCTATCCTAACCCAGCGCACAGTGTCTTGAACGGTTTTGTGGTACGCACTCGGAAACAGTTGGCGTACCAGTGCTGCTCCCTAAGCGCTACCCTAACCCAGCGCACAGTGTCGTTAACGGTTTTGTGGTACGCACTCGGAAACAGTTGGCGTACCAGTACTGCTCCCTAAGCGCTACCCTAACCCAGCGCACAGTGTCGTTAACGGTTTTGTGGTACGCACTCGGAAACAGTTGGCGTACCAGTACTGCTCCCTAAGCGCTACCCTAACCCAGCGCACAGTGTCGTTAACGGTTTTGTGGTACGTACTCGGAAACAGTTGGCGTACCAGTACTGCTCCCTAAGCGCTATCCTAACCCAGCGCACAGTGTTGTTAACGGTTTTGTGGTACGTACTCGGAAACGCTCCAGTGGCCGCGTCAGCGTTCGCTGTCCACCTGTGTGCCAGCCCGTTCAACGAGTGCAGTTCTCTTTTTGAAGATAGAGGCTTCTTTATGCTTCTATTCCAGTCTACACTGGTTCGAGTTTATGTTGTCCGGAGCCCGCCTCGCAACCGACAACTGTGTCTCCGCGCTGACTCGAGTCAAGGACGACACCTCCTGGGAGCACGACCTGCACAGCAGACGACGACGACGACAACAACCACTACAACTACAACTGCTGCGGCGTCGAGACCGATAACCAAGCTAACAGTATTGCGAGTACAGCAGCGTTTCTGGGAGCGCCATGGAAGCGCTCCAGCGCTGGCTTGTTCGCAGAGCCCGTTGCAGCCGCACCTGGGCGTCGGTGCAGAGGCTTGCACCCGGCAACGAATCTCAGACCTCAAGCCGAGCGTCGGTGAGCGCCTCCATTCAGCCTATTATACACGATTGCGGCAAGCTGTGGCGGTAGTTAGAAACTGGGTTTGTGTTGCAAGCGCGCTTCTCTTTGTCTACCTGAGTACCAGCGACCAGGTGGCCCTGGCGGCTGCCTCACTCGCCAATGGCATGCCTCAAGACCGTCTGGCTCTGGCAACGAGTACGCCCGTTCCAGATCGCTACCGAATTCTTTGGGAGCAGGCACTGGACATCATCACGAACCTTCACTACCAACCCGGTCAACATATCCATGCAGCCTCGTTAACCATGCCTTCGCACTTGCCGCCTACGCGTGCGTCCACGATCCCATGGGGATGCTCTCTGGGAACACGTGCCTCGACCTACGATGCCATTCGGATCCGACTCAGTGAATTGAATGATCCCTACTCACGTTTCCTGGAGCCGGATGAATTTGAGGCGGAACTGAATCCTTACCGGCGAGCTCGGAAGCTCAGCGGGGTCGGCATCATACCGGAGCGCAGTCCAAAAGGCCACGGCACGCTGCGCGTTATAGCCGTTATTCCCGAGTCACCGGCTGAGGAGGCCGGAATCAACCCCGGCGATGAACTCGTTATGATTGACGATATTGTCGTCGAGCCTTCACCTTTGAACCCGATTCCTGTGACCCCCGATGAAGCGTTGGCGTTGCTGCGCGGCCCAGCGGGTACGCGGGTTCGTCTCACTGTGCGACAAACGACAAACTCGTTGTCGTACGCTGATGCATCGCTGCAAGTAGCGTCAGCGTCCACAGCGCCGACCTCTATGATGCGTACATATACATTAACGCGGAGACCGCTTCTGGTAGCTCCGGCTGTCTACGGCCTTGTCGCCGCGGAGCCCACTTTCGGTTACATTCGCCTCCATACCTTCAACGCCGAAGCGACACGTATCGTCTTCGAGGCTCTGAACGCATTCAAGAATTCTAGCGATCGTTCGGCAGCGGCTGGTGTTATCCTAGACCTGCGCAACTGCCGAGGTGGCGTCTTCCAGGAAGCACTGGTGATTGCTTCGATGTTCATCGCAAACCCCGATGCCGTACTCGTCTACACCGTCGACAGTCGGGGTATCGAGCGCGCACACCGGGTGCGTGACCAGTGGAACGGTTGGCCTGAAGCTCCTGCTGCCGCTGCTCGTACTCCTCGTACTCCTCCTGAGACGCTCGGGAGCGCGGCGTCGGCCCGGCATCCGCTGTACAATGGCCCACTGGTGGTGCTCGTCAATGGTGCCTCAGCTTCCAGTAGCGAAGTGCTTGCGATAGCCTTGCGCGATCACGGACGAGCAGTGCTGTTGGGCATGCCAACTTTTGGGAAAGCCCGCATCCAACACTACTTCCCGCTTTTGGACGGCTCGGCGATCGCGCTCACTGTCGGGGAGTTTCTCGGCCCGCAGCACGAACGCCTCGCGGACCACGTCGGCTTAGTGCCGCAGGTCTCCTGCAACGCTGCACCCCGGAACTTTGCGCTCCTAGAGAGACACACGCCACCAGATGCCTGCATCGCAGAGGCAGCTCAGCTGCTAAGCGAAGAACCCACGGGGTCATCGGCTACAGAGCCGGTGCCGGTCGGTGGCTCCGTGCGGTCTGCGTTCACATCCCGAAGCAGGTCCACTGAAACGACACTGTTGCCTCGGATCCAAACCTGACCGAGTTGCGCACCCGTTCGGCAGTCTAGAGCATCCGACAGCACCAGGTTCGCGTAGTGATCAAAACCGCTGAGTTTTCCGCGCACGCACCTGTTCGCGTTCAGGTACACTTGGACGGAATGAAACAGCAACGCTTCGAGTTCCGCAGTATCGACCTCGTCTTTTGCCATAAACCAAGCTGATCAACAACCAACACGACGCTGGTCAAATGCTTGGACGCACGCGGGTTTCCCACAGCCTGCCAAGACGCCGTCGCAGGGTACCGGCAAACGCACTTGTGTGTATGTTGCTGAGTTGCGCGACGTTTCTGTGCATATCCGAAGCAGGAGCAGCAGTAGTTCCAGCCCAGGAAGCCTTTCGTTTCGACCTTTCAGGAACGTGTAGTGCGCACGTCGTTTTGACGAAAAGTCACCTTCCCTGCGATAACCGACGACTCAACCTGGACTGCAGGGTAAAGTCGTTGCAGCGCGTTCGGGTGTACGCGCGAGCTCCACGAGTCGCCAGTGAGTGCCTCGGCATACCTCGACCTCGACGGTGTTCGTTGAACCCAGAACACGAATTCGGGAGCTTGGTTGCCTCAAGGCGAAAGCGAGCGACAGGCACTTCTCGGAGTCTGTGGGTGTTTCTGGTGCCTATCCCAGTCTGTGGCCGGAGTGTGTCCGTTCGTCCAGTTCAAGCGGAGGTGTACCGAGTGTCTTGAGCAGCGTGCGGACGTCTGGGTGTCACGGTGGCTCTCTGTGGTGCGTCCTGCCTTCACGGGCGTGATTCAGACTGCACCCGCGAGCATGCGCTACTCACTCGTGCTGCAAACGCCCGCCACCTGCGCAGTGTTGCAGGCGAGAGACAGCGGAACCTACCGCTATGCGACTTGGCGTTAGGTGCGTAGGTATATGCGTTTATGCGACGGAAGCAACGTTGTTGTCGAGTACCTGCCCGCGGGTTATCTGGGACCGTGTTGAGATTCACGTTTACGCATTCTCTATATATGCTGCCTTTAGATGAAGCTGCCGCCTAGCCTAGCCAAGCGCATCTCTTCCTAGGCACCAGAACCCGCTCTGGTCCAAGATATGCACGCGTATCCATTCCCGGCTTTTTGGTGACGCTCAGGGAGTATTCCTTGTCCGGCTGGGTATGCCACTACTTGATCAGCGCTTTCAAAAGCAGATGCCAGCCCCGCGCACCAGCGCGTCCAGCGTTTACATTACAGGCTTGCACACCGCCGCTACCCGCTGGTATCATACGCCGGTTTGTCTTCATCGTGAAGCTCTTCGTTCCACGACTTGCTCTACCAGAGTCTCCGATGCCGCGGTAGCATGTCTGGGAATGCTCTACCTCCGGCAAACGCACACACACTCACTCCTTCACAACAACAACAACAACAACCAATGGGAATCGAACAAGGCACAGATGCACGCCTCAGGTGCCGCTTTCAAGTGCATCCAATCCACGAACGACGTGAACGGACATGTGGACTTTGGTGACGCACGAGTTCGCCAACAGGTGCACTGCTCGCCAAACAACATCCGGCTCGATGTCGCCCAGGTGTTGTACTGGTCGCCGCAACGCCAGCGCATGCGTATGAGAGAGCAGCAGCGACGGGTGCTGCTGCAGCTCCGAACGGATCCTCTGCAGCGCCATGAGTCGACAAGTGTGGCACGAATGATCGCCCTGGTCAGCAACGTGTCCATCTTGGGGCGTCTGCTGCTCAGGCGAGGCATCGACGGTATCGCGATCCGCATAGAGTTGGAAGTAGCCGCGGTAGAGGTGTGCATCCAGGGCCGTGCGAAATGCCTCATCCTCAATGGCTTCCGCGACGCTCAACAGACCCACTACGGCTGCGGGTTGAGAGCCGGTGATCAGATTCGGCTCTCGATAGTACTTGTGGCGATTGGCAATCACATTTTCGTTGAAAACGGGCGCCCGTGAAATAGCTGTCGCTGTGAAATGCGAAAACTCAGCGATGCCGTAGAAGAACAGGGGGTTCGTCGTTCCCGTCTGCAGGTACAGATCATTGAGTACACGTGACCACGGCAGGCCTGCTGGTATTTTCTTGGAGCCAGCATTGGTACCCTGAACCCCGGTAGGCAATTGCACGCCGGGCGCCTCGTATGATACGTAAAAGTCGGGTACAGCACCCTGGGGCATGCCCAGGAACGCGACACTCGAGAGGTACCGTCCACGCACCGTGCGGTAGTACTCGGCTGGTGGCGCCTCAGGCGCTTCCGCTGGGCTTTGCTGCTGATTGCTGGTCCCGTCGGACGTCGCTGGAGACGTTGCTGCTGGCAGTTCACCGGTCAGCGTACAATACGCAGTCCCGTGAACGATGATGGCTTCACCCATGGTCTCCGGCGGACGACCGTCCACGGTGCCCAGCTCAAAACCCGCAATATAGTCTTGGGAATCGATTGGAATCCGCGACAGCGCCTCTACGGACGGTATCTTACCCTCGATGAGGTTCCGCACGGAGCCCAGCGCTCGTGCTCGGCTGCCTGGCGGTTGTGGTGCATGTGGATGCAGGTTGTAGACCTTGACCGGGCTCTGGTTGGAATCCGGACTGGACTCCAGCGGCTCTACCAGGAGTTTCTGGGAGGCGATGCAACCGAAAAAGTCGCCACTGCGCAGTAGCTGCAAAAGATATTCGCGATCCTCAGTTGACAACGCGGCGCTCGCGGCAACATCCTCCGTTTCGCCCGCGGATTCAGCGTCCATCCGCTGACGCTGTCGATGCACCATGATAAAGCTGTCGAAAACCTGGCGGGCAATCCGCATCTCTTCGGGTGAGATGAGTCCGTCGTTGTCCAGGTCAAAGATACTCAACAGCTCCATGTCGCTAGCAGTGAGCGCCTCGGTAGGCAGGTATTCGGCAATCAGACGCAATACTGGTACCCGGTTGCTTTCCACGGTGGCGTACTCGGCCTTGAGCTCAGGGCTCTCGACCAGATCGATGAGGAACGAGTGCCGGGCATCGCCTCGTTGCTGTGCAGCAAGAGCGGACTCCAACGCCGCCGGTGCTTCCGCTGGTCGCTGGACGCGGGCGAAGCCCATACGGTACGCCTGGGCGAGTCGCTGCAAGTCTGGAAGGATGATTTCGTCGCCAGCGACGCCAGTATTCCCAAAGCGTACCCGTCCCATAACGCCGTTGCGGAGGACAATCACGACAAGGTTATCGAGGCCCTGCTGCAGGGCAGTTCCAAGTTCCTGTTCAGCCATTTCGAAACCGCCATCGCCAGTGATGAGGTAGACGACACCCTCGCTTTTGCGTCTCTTCAGCGAGACGCCCATCGAAACGGCAGCCGGAACCGCGTACCCCATACTGCCCATGTTGATGCTGGAAAGCAGACGCGTTCCCTGCCCATCGAAACAGAGGCAGAGACCTGCCCAGATGGTAACATCTCCGATATCCACAACCACAACATCGTCTGGACCAAGTTTCGCGGACAAGGCGGTGAGCAGGTGGCGCGGATGACAGAAGCCGCGTACCTCATCATCGCCCTCGTCAGCGGTATCGTCTGTGTCCAGCATGGAGCGCCTGCCAGTGACCATAGCGTGTGGCGTTTTGCTCAAAACTGCAGCACGACGCGGCGATGAAGGCAATGAAGCTTGACGCTCACGCCATTCACCGTCTAAAAAGTACTTCCAGAGCCGGCTCGAGTAGTCCCGGGCCTGTTGAGGGCCCGGCGGCAGCATGCGCTTTGATTGCATCTCCCGCACGCTCGCTGTTAGTGCGCTCAGCAGGGCCTCCAATTCAGGATCGATAAGCATACACTCCACATGGTAGTAGACCTGGAGGCGCGTAGCCAGTGTATCGTCTACACCGAATACTCGGACCTGCTGTTGACCAGTAGAATCGAGCACGACTGGATCGCAACGATCGACGCCTATCGCCAGAATACACTCGGCAGTGCTGACGAGGGCCCGCGGCGCTGCCATGCCGGGGTTCCCAAAGATCCCGTCAACACCGAGTACCAGCGGGTGATGCTCATCGACGGCACCCTTGGCGTCCAGTGTGGTAATCACCGGCGCACAGAGCGTTTCTGCGAGTTTCAAAATCGTACTCGAGCAACGAGCCTGTGCTGCACGCAACCCGCACAGAATGACGACGCGATGTCCCAGCAGAAGGCGTCCAGCGTGCTCCACGGAAACGGCAGCGCAGCGCGGTACCTCGGCAATATGAAAGGGAAGGCGAGCCAGGGCGCTCTCGTCTGAGGGCGACGTCTGCACATCTACTGGTATCGCCAGATGTGCTGCTGTGCTTCGCTCCAGGGCGAAGCGGATAGCCGAGTCCAGCAGAGAAAGGAAGCGATCGGCAGTCATGGGGGCCTTGGCAAACTGGACGCCTGCTCCGTGCATCAGTTGTGCTGTTCGGGTGTCCTGGAAGCCCTCGTGTCCGATGTTACTCCGCGACACGAGGCCGCTGAGTAGGAGCACCGGCACAGAGTCCGCAAGCGCATCCACCATGCCGCACACGGTGTAGGCGGCACCCGGACCCGAGGTGGTAACGCACACACCCAGCTTCCGATAATACTTGGCGTATGCAGATGCGGCAAACGGTGCGGCAGTTTCGTTTCGAACGAGAACCCAGTGCAGACGTGGATGCTGCACAATCGCTGTGATAAGAGGACTCGCAGCTGCTCCGTGTCCACCGAACACGAGCTCCACGTTTGCCGCCGCAAGCCGGTCTGCAATCAGGTTCGCAATGGTGTACGTGCTACCACGACTCGCTGGCATCTTGGAGGTGGTACTATTCAATGCTTCAGCACGCGCCCAGTCAAGTTCTTGGTGCTGGTCGAGCGTCTGTCTCTGGAGTTACCGCTTGTGTGAGGCGTTACGGGTAGCCTGCGGTGGCAACTTGATCGAACCGTGCGCTCTCTGAGCAAAGCCTCCACTGGATACCTTCGGGCAACGCGAGCTGAGCGAAATGCAGCCACAAACTATCGTCTACGAACTTTGAAGCGACTCTGAGATAGGACCTAGCGACGCAGTTCACCCTGAAAAGTCGATGTTCGGTTGCGAGCAGGCAGAGCAGCTTGTTCAGTCTGATACGTCAGCAACTGCCTCTCTGGAATACACCTTTTATTGGCAGCGCTCCCTGATTATAAACACTGTTTGCAATCACCTCTCCAGATTTATGGGATGCACTCGTCACACTGGTTCTGTGGAGTCGCGTTCAGGCCGGTGCGCCAACAAGTGCCTCCCTGGACCAAACCGGTTATTGAGGGTGCTCGCCGATGAAACACACCGTTCGCAGTCGCTTTTCCAGATCTATAAGATGCACTTGTCAAACCTGTTCCCTCGAGTCGCGTTTCGCGCTGTGGCACTCCCTCGAGGAGGCAAGTGGTTGCGTAGGACACGAGGCCGCCTGCCGGTCGTTGCAACGTCTGGTACCCCGAGCGCGATACGATGCGTCTCGCGTGGCTCTGGAGCCGTGTGGAGCACCCGCCACCCAGCGACTGTGAGGCCGAAAGCCCAGCGATGCAGATCATCAGGAGTGCCGCTCAACCGGGATCATCGAACTTCATCTGATTCCGCTTCAGCTCAGTTAACTCCAATGAATTCCAGTTTATCTCTTCTGACCTCATTCCATCTCAAATGATCCCACTCGTTGGGATAGCAAGGACGCTTGGTAATTTTGCAGGGTACGCATCAGGAATATAAGAGCTATCATGAATACTCATCACGAGAGGCACTTGGCGCTGGGAGAGTCCCACGAACGAATGAAAGGATCACCGGAGGCAAGTATAGGTCATGGCGAGTGGTCAGCAGAACGCTCGGGAGAGATCGTGAGGCGTCATCACGACTGCCTGCCCGGAAACCGATACGCGTCGTGCAGTTGGGAATCCCTGTTTGCTCTACGCGATGCAACGTCATGGTTATCCATCGAGGGTGGCGCTCGGGCTGGTCTACTGGAGCGCGTGCACGCACGCACACACACACACACTTCGCAGTTTACCGCCTGATGATCATCGCCCAGGTACACCGTCAACCATCTACGTAGCGTGCACTTGCATCCGATTTCTTTCGTTTCCATACCCCATGACGCCTTTTCGAATGCATTCTGCATCGACAACGACGAGCACACGAGTGACTGCAGCTGACGTTTCTCGCTTCCTATAACCCGAAACGCTCGGCAACGACGCATCTCTCGAGAGCATCGCCCGCAGCCTCGGAGCATCGCAGAGGACCTGATTGCATGCAACGATGCTAGTCCATAAACCGATGGAAAAGAATTGACCCTGTGTATGGGAGCATCTGCAGCTTGCAGCTCATATCCATCACAAGCATCTGTACGAACACCACCGGGTTGACTGCCACACGAAGCTCTCGGGGGTGCGCGGGCAGCTCATATCCATCACAAGCATCTGTACGAACACCACCGGGTTGACTGCCACACGAAGCTCTCGGGGGTGCGCGGGCAGCTCATATCCATCACAAGCATCTGTACGAACACCACCGGGTTGACTGCCACACGAAGCGCTCGGGGGTGCGCGGGCGCTCGCGCTTTGCGTCCCGATCCGGCTGTGTGAAGCGAGGCGCTCGCGGGCGATACGCACGACTGCCGAGTGTATCTCGACGGCTCGGGTGAGCGCGTGGAGCACTGTCGACCGCAGGTGACCATCGGGTGCAGCTTAGACCTGGTCAAAGTGTACGACGCATATACTCCATTACGCGTAGCGGTTGACGCTGACGGAATAAGATGCTGACGTCAGCAGCTGACGACTTGTCGTCGGGATATCGGGAGGTAAGGGCGGAGCTGGGCGAAGCCTTTCGGAGTGGGGCAACACGCTCGCTTCGTTGGCGTGCAGCGCAGCTGGAAGCCCTGAAGCAGGCGCTAGTGGAACAGGAGCGCGCAATCATCGCGGCATTAGCTGATGATCTCGGGAAGAGTGCTGAAGAGAGTCAGCTTACCGAGCTACAACCCGCACTCCAGGAACTAGCGTTGGCGCTGGGGAACCTGAAGCTCTGGGCTGGGCCCCGCACGGTAGAACCCTGCTTAGCACCCAAGTATCTGGCGCCGTGGTTCTGGTTGCAACGTGTTTGGCGCGCGGTGCTTCCTCGAGTACTGGGCGGTGGCAACCCGCCGGTGGCAAGTTACGGCGGCGTAGCACTGGCGACGATACTGGAGCGTCGCTGGGTCGTTCCTGAACCACTGGGCGTGGTGCTGATCATCACAGCCTGGAACTATCCTCTACTGCTTGCGATTTGGCATATGACAAGTGCTATCGCCGCTGGGAACTGTGTCGTCTTGAAACCAAGTGAACGTGCTCCTGCAACAGCAAAACTGCTGGCAGAGCTGGTGCGCACCTATCTCGATGCTCGCTGCATCCGAGTCGTGCTGGGCGATGCCAGCACTGTTCGGCGTCTGCTTCATCTGGATACCGAGTGTCCGGCGGATGTTGCGTTCCGCGTTTGGGCACAGCAGCGCCCTTTTGATGCGGTGCATTTCACGGGCGGCTGGAGGATTGGGCGTGAAATCGCACGCGCTTGTGCGGCCTACCTGATACCGTGCACGCTCGAACTGGGCGGTAAGAATCCGCTTGTGGTGGACTGTGCATCGCTGTCCGAGCGAGACTTGGCTCGGGTTGCCCGAACGACCGCATGGGCCAAGTTACTGAACGTGGGTCAGACGTGCATCGCCCCGGATTATGTGGTTCTATGCGGTGCAGACCGGGCACAGGAGGCGTTCTTCATAGAAGAGATGTGGAAATCGATTGAAGCATTCTACGGGAGGCCAGTGGAAAACAGCACGACCTTCCCACGGATCGTGAGCAAGGCACATACCGCCCGTCTGGCGGACCTGCTCCAACAAAGCCGTGGTGAGGTTGTGTTCGGTGGAACCCACCGAGAGAATGACTGCTTTTTCACGCCGACCATTGTGCGCAATGTGACTCTGGATGATGCGCTGATGGCGGAGGAGATTTTCGGGCCGATACTGGTTGTTCTGCAGCCGTGTGCTGGTACCGAACAAGCGCTCGAGGTGATCGGGAGTCTACCATCTCCGCTGGTAGTCTATCTAATGTCTCGTGACGCTGCTGTGGTGCAGCGTTTTGAACGGGCATCCACCTCTGGATCGCTTGTCGTGAATGATCTGCTGGGTCAGGTAATCTCGCCGGGTCTTCCGTTTGGCGGGGTCGGCGCTTCTGGATACGGCAAGTCCAAAGGTCAAGCGGGGTTCGATGCGTTCTCGAACCTCAAGAGTGTCCTCTGCAAACCGATATGGATAGAGCGAATAGCGAGTGATCGCTACCATCCACTAACCGCTACCAAGATCAGTCGTTTTCGTCGCTTAATCGCGCTCTGAGACTCGAGCGCGGACTCGCGGTAAACACGCGATGTGCTCAGGATACGTCCGAGAGCGCCCGAATGTTTTCGTCGGTGGACAATATCGGGGACCTTGGTGGATGGAAACGGGTGCATTGACAAATCGAGCTACACGTATCGCCGCGGCATCGATTCTGAATCGTTTGGGCTGCACTGCGGCCATCGGGTCGTTACGTTGTGCGAAATACCGGTGTGTATGGCGTCGATGACGGACTACCGCGTCGCTTAGGGCGTATTCGAAGACGGTCTGTTCTGATGCGCCACTGGCATCCGGTCTTGCGGTGTCGTTCCAGCGGGAGCACTTCGAGCGCCATCTAGCGTTTCACGCGAGCTGCACCGCATGCTTCCTCATCCTATCGTCCATGCAGCGTTTACGCATTCTTCCGAAACTGTTGCTGCTGCGCTGCTGAATGCCATTTTCGTGAGACGACGCTGTGGGTATCGCGCACCGCTCCACCCGTGTCGGATGAAAATGGAAGCCTGAACTGCTGGCGCCTTGCCTGCTTATCGGTTTTTTCCCGATTGCACATAGATCTACAACCTTGACGTTCGATATGCAGCAATCAGGGTATACGATTGCATTTGTAGTTTGAGGATTCTCGGTCGTTTTTTTTCGGAGACGCTCCTTCGACGCTTTGCCGCTGCCGTTGGTGACGTCGTCGCCATCACGATGATTCTCGACGCGTTCGAACGAGACTTTTTAAATTCAATGACGTCTTTGTCGAATTCATATGTGCAAGCCTCGACTTGTCTCGTTTTCTCGCGCATGCGATAATCAAATCAAACATGCTATCAGTTTTCGATTCTTCTGTTCCTGTGCAACTCATGGGTGCAGCAATTCGCGCCGATGAACTGACGACGAAGAAAAAGTCGACGCTGTCCCATGGTCACTTGTTCACAAGCTCTTGCCAACGGTTCACTGAAGTGTTCATGTCAAAAAATCGATTCCGTTTGAAAGAAAAATCCTCTTCTCAATGTAACCATTGACGGAGCTGCGTTCAACATCCATAGGATATCTCTAACGGGATTCGCAGGTAAAGAATCCGGTCCTTCGGACTTGTATGTAAGCTGGTGCAGAACATGAGTCATCGCGGTGATCGCTTGCAGTCGAGTGTGCATCATCGCTTTTGAGCGAAGGGTGCGCCAACGGATCGAAAGTCCTCGACGTGTTCCCCAGCCGTGAATTGCAGTTCGGTACTAGATTCATCACGATTCACATCGTGCGCCATGCATGCTTTACCGAATGGCATAGCGTTCTGTTTACACATGCAACCTGAAGAGCATGCGCAGAGCGCGCTCGCCCAGGAGCAGCACGTCATTGCAGGAGACGGCTCTGGGCATGGAAACGGAGCAAGGCATGGTAGGGAGCCCTCTGGATCCGTCAAGGGCATGTAACGAGCGATGAAGCGAGCCTTGACGTGCTGCAGGACGGCGCTCGAAAGATGAAGAGGTGTGTTGGATACATAAGTGCACTTGACAGCATGCACATGTTACCGCTTTGAAGCGCGCACCGGGCTCTACACAAAAGGAAACGAAAACGACAAGCGAAGCGTAACGCAACTTTCGTCTGTGTATAAAATGCGCCGTTGACAGCAACCGGAATCGGGGAAAGCGGAGCTTGAACGCCTCCAGCAACATGCTTCGACTGCTGACAACGGAGCTTGAGGAAAACCCGAAACCAATGTATTCAGACCTTGATCTATGAGAGCACGAAAAGGAAGCACTCACAGCACAGTCCCGCAACATCTGGTTTTGATGACAGCCGCAAGAGCCCTCGACTTGCGTGCATACGCCCGAGATCGCCGCGTGCACCTCTTCCAAGTTCACGCTGACACAGGCGTCGTCTAGGTGCTCGAGGACGGCATTGCTCTGCCCGCAAGCCGCATGCCCATGCAGTGCATACAAGCTCTTCCAAATCGTCACCTGTACGTAAAAACAATACCAGCATTTCTCTATGGAGATTACGGTCACTATCGTTTCCGAGGCAAGTGCGTTGTCTCCATCTGCAGGAACGCTGGGGGCGCTCCCTTCTGGCTGCTCGATCGCTCGCCTCGCCCGGTGCGGGAAACTTATACCGGCCGCTTTGGCAACCAGCGGCGCGAGCGCAGCCCAACGTCGCCGCTGGCGTTGCGCTTGCTGCTGGTCAGGCCTGGAACTACTTCCAGGCAGCGGCACGAACCTCCGGGCGCCTGCAGAAGACACGCATCACTATCGTTCGTCTTCGTAAGTCTTTTATTGGATATAAAGGCATCAGATCAGGCGTGCGCAGGTGATTACTGTACATAACGGCCATATGTGATGCTGGTGCGCGCACGCGTTTTTCCAGCAGCGCTCCTTCGCCGCCGTTTGACGATACCGGCCGCTGACGGGCGCGACACGTGTCCACAAGCGCTCAGGGAGCGCGTGTCCATACGACCTGGCGGTGCCGATTTACAGGGCGCGCGTTCATGCTGCGGCAGGTGAGAGCGCTTTAGAACAATCCTCGTGTGCTGCGTCCGAGGTCCTGCGTTCGAGTCGTGGACAGCGTGCGTCAATGACAGAGTGCTACACACTAACACGGCGCGTAGTCCGTGCACACAACCATGAAAACGACGCCTGGGTGATCGTTCGTGGTGGTGTCTATGACGTGACGGGGTTCTTGCGGTACCACCCGGGCGGGCGGGACGTCCTCTTGAAGCGTTTGGGCGAGGACGTCACCAGTGTTATGAACGGCGAGCTCAAAGGTGGTCACGAGCACTCCAGTGCGGCGTATAAAATTCTGCAGCAGTACTACGTAGGCCCGCTGGCTGACGCGGACGCTTCTCCCGCAGAGGCAGCCGCCCTAGACGGCACGCTGGACGAGCACGGTAGACCGCTGGTCGACTTTAGTAAGCCGCTTCTGGACCAGGTTGGTAAGCTTGGGGATAAGTATCACCGCTGGGTGCATTCTTTTCCGACCAGCGACCATCATGTGGCCCTTTTCGCGAACCCGACGCTCGAGTCACTGACAAAGTGTCCCTGGTACGTGCCGCTAGTGTTCTGGATTCCGATCTTTGTCTGCGGGCTGTGGTTTGTGTTTGCGCGCCTCGGTTGCTCGTTTGTTCGAGATTTCCTACCGTTCACGACGTTTGGCTATATATTTTGGATGTTCTTCGAATATCTGTTACATCGATATGTATTTCACGTGCGGACCGGGACGTACTGGTCGAATATCTTTCATTTTCTTATTCATGGACATCACCACCTGGCGCCGATGGATTATGATCGACTCGTGTTTCCACCGATTCCCGCAGCGCTCGTCTCGATGCCGGTATGGCTGACTGCACCTCGAGTGTTTGGTCTCGTGCGCGGACTGTGCTTCCTTTTTGGATTCGGTGTTGGGTACCTTCAGTACGACATGACACACTTTCTGGTGCATTATGGAACGCTACGTACGGGGTTCTTAGCCGCTCAGAAACGGCGGCACATGATACACCATTTCAAAGCACCAGGGGCGAATTTTGGTATCAGTGTTCCCGTGCTGGACATTGTGTTCGGGACATTGCACCGGTAACAACCACTGGTTTTCGCACACGCCTGCATGGACGAGCATGCCAACGAGAAGTGCGGTATTTCTGGACGGCGCGTCGAGCGCAGCGTGATGGATACCCACGGGCGGCTTGCGATGCTCGTATGGAGTCAAGCGTGCCTTGAAAGAGAGGTGTTTTTCTGGTTTGCTTGGTAACATCCATACGAAAACAAATTCATGATACAAACGCACCTGAGTGTTAGATAGCTGATGAGCTGCTAGCAGACTGCTTTTGTATTCTTGCGAGCTGCGTTCCGCGCGGGCCCGTGCACCTGCACAGTAATTAGCCTCTCCTATGGGCGTGTGGTCCCCGCTCCACGTGCGACATACAGCCTGCGCGCTTTGGGCATTGCGGTTGCGGGTATCAGTTTGCTTGGTGGTGCCTGTCCGGAGACTTGCTTCTCGGGTATGGTGAGGTAACGCAGGTTTTCACCTGCTTCTGCCGCCGCTGTCGCACACCAAGGATGGACGCTACAATCACATCTTTGTAAAAGATTTGCTGTGCCCGATCACCGCGGACCTCGTTGACATGGTGCTTTGGAGTAATGACAGAGGAATCCACGCTGTTGTGGACGCCGGGTTCTGCAGCCCCTCCGAGCGCCTGCTGTTGGCCGGTCGCTGGAACGAACGCGCAGAAGCCGCTAGCCTTGGCGGGCCCATAGTTGGACAGCTTCTTGTCAGTCGATTCGTCGCTAAAGATGCCAGCATTCTCGAGTACGCGAGAACCTCGCATCGATATCCATGGGCGTTTATTACCGGCGACGATTCTGCTGAACAGGGCTGGTGGGACTTGTTCCATGTCCCAGTATCGTACCACCAAACAGTTGAATTTCTCCTCGTACTGCTGTTCATGTGCAGATACAGCTCATTGACTCGGATGATCCAAGCAGATGTGCACCCGCGCGAGCACCTCGTGGAGTGGAAGAATAGGGGAAACCCCCAGCACATGTGCTCGCGACCCTATGTAAACCCGAGGGATGGGTGCAGCGATCGACGCTCTTCACCAGCGCCGAACGCTCCCTTGAACCTAGGATAAATACACAGCGGTGTTCAGAAGAGACTGGATCTGGGTTCTAGTGATTGATAGCGTCTCCGCACGCGTTCCATGCCAGCTCGTTTCCTCGGTGCGGTACGTGGAGAGAAGATCGCCACGATCGCTTGCAGTGGTGGTATCGGCGGCGCGCCTGCGGATAGACTCGGGTGAGGTCGCTGCGAAAAGCTCGAAAAGTCGCGCGTTGCTACCCGGCCCGTTGCCGCAATCCCGTACCGTGGTGTGAGACGTCGTCTAGACTCGTGTCAGAATCAAATGGAAGAGGTCCTTTTTTCGCGAAAACTAAGGTGTGCACGCTAAAATTTTGGTCTCTTTCCATTGTCATGAACAGAAGTCTTGTTGGCTTTTTCTGCAACTGCTTGCTGTTCCCCTCTCTGCTCCGTGGCTCTGAATACACCGCGATCTGCTCTGCCTTCAGCTCCGTTGTACGTTGTCGAAGGATATTGCTCGAAACGATCATGTCCCGATATCGCCATGTTCAGCTGTTGTCGACGCTTTACACACATAGAGAAATGTTACGATCCTCGCATTGCTTTCCATTTTCAATTTTGGTTGTATAGGGCACCGGTATGCGCTTCGCGGCGGTCGCATTTGGCCGTGGCCAGGTGCTCCCGGATGTTCAAGGATCCTCCTACTCCGCCTCCGAGCGCAGCCCCGTAACGCGTGAACTCTTGCATCAGCGCTCGGTACTTGTCACGGAGAGGAAAAGAAGGCCTCCGGCGATTTGCCCCTCAAGTGCGGCGCCCGGTGCCATAAACCACGTTCATGAGCGTATCCTAGTCGAACTCTTCGACGGGTACTCTGTCCGGTGCACTTGCAAGCGCACGTTATTCGCTTCGATGGAGCATTTGCGCATCGCGATCTTGTCGCTGGCGAAACAAACACCCGCAGGAAAATCCAGACATGAGCAGGACCCGAGCTGTTTCGATCGTTCAATGCTCGCTTGATGCAAAGCGGTGTCGCACGCGCAGCTGGAAGCAGCTTCCGTGATGACTGGAGTCCGAGTTCATAATGCATTCCCATGAAAGCAGAACAGATAAAAGCTTCTGGAGGCATGTCCCGTCAGCGATATTCTGCTGCTTCTAAGTTCGGTTTCGTAGAAAGCCAAAAAGACAGGAAGAAATATCTTTCAAACGGAATCGATGATTGAGCATGAAAAGTTTCACGAACATGCGGCATGAGCTTGAGAACAGGTAGTCAAGACCGATGTAGAGGTTTTTTGCTTTGCAAGCCCAGCGACCCCAATTGCTGCGCCCACAAACTGCCTCGAAACAGACAGGTCGAATACTTGGAAGATTCATGATTCGAGCATGCTCCACACAACGAAAGGAGAAGAGCGGATTCTCGCACATTTGAACTGGATCATGATTTCTTTGATTTTACGAACCCTAGTTCTCGGATATCGCGACTCTTGTTGGTTCTGGTGACGTTCCGTTCTCCTGTACCAATGCATCGAAACAGGCACTCCGCGAACACGACAGAGAATACTAGGGAACTACGTATCAGTGCATAGGTCCTCATCATTACATGATGGAAGTCCAGGATGTCCTTCTATAAAGCTATGAAAACATTCTACTTGCAACAAAGAACACCCTGCTCCGTGTTCCATTTTAAACTGGCACAGTAGGAATACTAGCAAGCAATGGGATGCTTCTCGGCACCTTATAGCGCACCCGAGTACCTCACCTGCCATGATCCAGTCACCGCAATACTAGCAAGCAATAGGATGCTTCTCGGCACCTTATAGCGCACCCGAGTACCTCACCTGCCATGATCCAGTCACCGCAATACTAGCAAGCAATAGGATGCTTCTCGGCACCTTATAGCGCACCCGAGTACCTCACCTGCCATGATCCAGTCACCGCAACAGCGTCGTCGCTGCCCTGCGCGATGCTGCACCAAAGAGCGCGCGCGCGCGCGCGCGCGGATCGCCTTACTACTGCGCGCTCGCTTTTACCTAGACCCAAGGCGAAACTAGTGAGGTGTTCGCTGGGAGGCGAGATCGCCTTATGGTGCAGGACCCGGTAGTCGGATCTGAGACTGAAAATGATGCGCTTCTAGCGCAGCTGCTTTCGGCGGAGGAAGAGACGGCAGATGCGTTATACTACGCGAACGGCAACGACTGGATAGATGCGTTCTCGTGGGCGAGTCCCGAAGGTCTGGAGGCAGAGCGCAGCCAGCGCAAGGGACGGCACAAACGGAACGGCAGGCGGCGGAGGTTCAGTAACATTGACGAATACGATGAAGATGGTGAAGACGACGACGATGAGGACTGGATTGAAACGGTAAAGAACCGGAGACCGCGCTCGACAGCAGTAGGTCGGAGGCCGACGGCTAGCGCGCCAACTGCCGGCGCGCAGCCTGTCTCCAGTGAGCGAGAGCGAGGCGACAGCCGCGACAATAGTGTCGGCCGCGACAGGAACCCTTCAGAGGATAGCCCGGAACGGGGTCGGAAGCGCCCCACGGCCTGGAGTCCCGAGGAAGAGCAGCGTTTTCTCGAGGCCCTCGAGCTCTACGGACGCGACTGGCGACGAGCGGCGGCGCACGTCGGAACCCGGAGTGCGAGCAACTTCCGCTCACACGCGCAAAAGTATTTCATTAAGCTGTACAAGGAAGGGCGGCCTGTGCCGCCCAAAGTTGCTGAAACTGGTGCGGGTCACACGTTGAGTGGAAAACCTTTGGATCCAAATAGTGCAGCAGCGCGTGCATACTTACAGGGCAGTGTCTACCGCAAAGAGCTACGTAGCCGCCACAAGTCGAGCGGTGCCGCAGAGAGCCCGGCAGGGTCAGAGGAACCCGACTTGAGCACACCAAAAACGAAGCATGCGTCACCAGAGGCATCCGTCGCTGCACCAACCTCAGATATTCATGAAGATGAAATTTTCCAGCAGATGCAGCTCGACGCACAGCTGCAGGCTGAGGAAGCGAGCGCTCCCTACGACGAGTACGCCAAAGAGAATGCCCATCAGGATCCAGAGTATACGGTAAGGGCACCCTCGATGCCGGGACCTGCGGCTGCTGCGGAGCCTCCGGAGTACGCGAAGCGGAGACCGAAGCGATCGACCGCGGGGCGACGGAGCATTCGTTCACTCTACAACATCGCGTCCGCTGATGATGAGCTGCGGTTTGTGAGCTGCCTATCGTACGAGCCCGACGCCCAGCCATTTCGAATCGTTGTTCAGCCTCGCGCCTTGTTCATGATGGACCTGCATGCGCATCTCGATCTACGAGAAGTCATCGGCTTTCTGGGCGGCCGCTACGACACCACACGCAAACAACTCGAGATCATTGACGCGTTCGCCTGTCGAGCTGCCCAAGGGCGGGCCGGTCACCTAGACGTGGAGCTGGACCCGGAGTCAGCGGTAGAGGCGCGGAACACCATCGAGGTATCCGGTCTCGCCGTTGTTGCCTGGTATCACTCCCACCCGACATTTCCTCCTGAGCCATCCGTTCGTGACTTGGATAATCAACGAAATTACCAGAAACAATTTGAAAGCGAGGGAGCGCCTTATCCGTTCCTTGCCGCAATCATTAGCCCGTACGATCCGAACTTGCCGAGTGTGCGGTCTGCGATTCAGTGGTTCCACGTTGGCCTCAGTCCAGCCGAGGATAGCTTTGCTTTCCGTTTACAATGGGAACCGGGGCCGGTTCCTCTGCTTGCTCCAGCGGTGTCGTCGCCTGCATCCCATGCGACGTCCGAGAAGCTGTCGGATGAGCTGCAGAAACGAGTTCAGCAGTTGCTGGACAACCGTTCAGTGAAGCTTGATACAAACTGGAGCCTTCGCAACGGCGAACGCGGTGAGAGATCGACGCTTCGTCGCGGGGAGAAGCTTTTACGAAGTCTCCGATCACGGGTATCGGAAACGGACGCCGACGGCCTGGCTCTGTTGGAGGAGCTGAAACCCGCTCTCCTCGCTGCAACCTGAACGATATTTCCATACCCTACCATGTCCCGTGGCAGAAGTGCGAGTGACGCGTGTGACTGCGATATCCACTGGAGCAGCCCCAGAGACAGGTGTGGGTTCTTTGTGGATGCACCTCCACGGATACGTCGATGAACTCTAAAGTGATGCGCTGGCATTCAGGTGCAGTGCGTTCGTGAAAGCGTGGGTTTTCTTTTACGATAAAGCGGTTCCATGCTTACAACCCGATACCTGGCTATACCTGCATGCGAATACGATGGGCAGCGATCGCTCTTGTCTTTCTCATGAGCATCAAGTTCGGTTCATGCGATATCACTCACACCAGTGTCTATGCGGTATCGAGGCAGCCCATCTGGAACCGCATGAACGCCTGCCCAGCTGAACGCCCGTGATGAAGTATGCGGAAGGTCACGGGCTCCCCGAACACCTCCTGTGACGTTATGCGAGGTTGAAAGACGCCTTGGCTAGCCACGAGTACGAACCGACGACGTGCGCGCCGTTGAGAGTGCAACGCTTCGGCGACCGCTGACGCGCGCCCTGGGCACTCGGTCCGCAGCTTGTCTCGGCTACAGTGCCCAGCGAGCGGCACGGTTAGCAGCGTTCAAGTCTATCCAGACTAGTTGAAGCGTTACGGAGCAACGTTCGGAGGTGCTCGCTCGAGAAACTCCTCCGGAAGCCGTCGGTCGCTAGTGCAAGCGCTATGTCTGACAGAGGGCATGTGGTCCATGAATGAAGGATACGACGCACTCCCCTCGGCTTGCTTCGGTGCTCTGAGCGTCTAGATGGGCGCTGACGCCATCATTGCATTCGTTGGTTCGTCTGGGGGCGTCCATAACGAGCACTGGAAAAGTTGAGAACCTGTATCTGCTTTCCGTTGAGGTCTTTGGCTCCGATCTCTTGATTTACAGGTGTGGTGACAGCCATGATGTCCTTAAACCCAACGTCCATGCCAACGCTAACGTCATTCTCATCATCCATACGGAACAGACGAGCATGAGTTCTGTCGCTTGGCCCAGGTCTGGGTACCACACACTGCATGCAAATGAATATTTCGTCAGTCACTTCTGTCCGCGTAAAATGCATTCCATTTGCTCCTTGTAAACGAGAAAACTTGAATGAGCTCTGTCAACGCCCATGGCGAAGCTGCTCGGATGCTTCCTCCTCTCTAGCGGAGACCAGTGGTAGCTCACTGAGGACACCAGCCAGCGCACTGCATAAGTTTCTACACTGATACCATGAGCCTTGCTCTGCAAGATGGTGGCCACGTATCGACGTTACGCTTCCAGATGGCGAAGGTATTCGGTTTCGGTGGACGGAATCTGCTTTGCTCCCGATGACTCTTTTCGGGGACACCTTGTAGCATGAGGTGCTCCAAAGACAGGCATCACGTTCAAAAGATCGTTGGAGTATCACGTTCACTGGTCTAATACCCAGACCATCATACTACGCATGGCCAATCTGGAGCGATGCTTGCTCTCGTTGCGACATCTCTTCCGAACTCGTAACCTTCTCGATCTTTTCCGACACCAGCTCGTCATTTGCCCTTATCGACACACTAGGAATCGGTTCTATCAGTATGGGACTCGGAAACCTCTTTATCTCTACTGATACCAGCTCGTCATTTGCCCTTATCGACACACTAGGAATCGGTTCTATCAGTATGGGACTCGGAAACTTCTTTATCTCTACTGATACCAGTTCGTCATTTGCCCCTATCGACACACACAAGGAATCCTTTCGACATGTCGCTGATTTCTGCGCCAGCCAGATTCTGGTGCAATTCGTAGAAAGCATGCCTCATGAAGCGCTCTATTTTAACCCGCATTCGTTTCTGGTTCCCGTAGTTCGTTTGCTGCCTGTCGGTACCGGCACTGGCGCATGTTTCTTCGGTGGCCGACGTGGCAGCACCACGCGTCAAGTTATGCCAGCAAGCGTTTGTGCAAACCCCGCATCCTACACTGACGCAGCGATGCATGTACCGCGCAGCACTCCAGTTCCCGCATGAGGGTTTGATCGAGAAATTTCAGAGGAAGATGGATAACTGGTAGCGCTGTGTCGGAAACTCCTCTGCACAGTTGCTCGGCGAGATGCATCATGAAAGAGAGACTGGACGTGGCTTGCCTGCGTAACGAGCTACATGATGTGGGGCGGTTTTCTATATTCCTTGTCATCGAAGTTGCTCCCGATTTGCGTGTTTTAGCATAGAAGCCTTGAGAATGTTTTGAGTTTGGTTTTTCGGCTCCGACGGTTTTTCCTTGCTGAGATTTCTCGTCATGTCTTCTGGAGGATCGTTCGCTTCTTTGTGTGGCTCGGTTCAACGCCTTTTCGTTTTCTCGGCAAAAGTCGTATGGACGTGGTCCCGGGAATCAAGCACCGTTTCTTTTATTCAGACGCAGACGCGTTCGGTGGCCGTGCACCTCAAACGCTTCTACGATCTGTACGTATCTTCTCCTTCGACCGCATATTTTCGTCATCCGTCTTCGTCGCGCGCACGCCGACGTCCCGCAGCACTGCTTTCCGCTCCGCACAGCGCACGAGAGCAGGCAAGCAACATACGAGTTCAGTGCTGCTGAATATAGAGAACGACCTGTCGAAGCACGGGGTCGTCTATTTGATCGACTTTTCAATGGATCCATGATTGTGCATATGGTGTTTGCCGACAAAGAACACGCCCTCGACTGGACTGAATCAGGGAGGCTGAGCTAGCCCGTAGAGCAGCGCATCCCATGCTGCAGCTGCGTACACCTTGACCGCTTTTGAGTGATGGAAACCGACGCTTCTCAAAGCCGGACATAGCAATATGGGATCATGGAGCCACCGAGTGCTTCACTGAGGGATAATCTTTTGTGCGATCCTTCCGTTTGAGCAAATCACAGGCGACTACATGATTGCATTGCCGCCAGCGCTGATACATCGTGAATTTCGCTTGCCGCTCCCGCGCGAAGAGCGGTTCGCTCTTCTTTGCGTACCAGTGAACAAGTCTACCATTGGTCGTGAGTGAGGTCTCATCGGCTGAGACGGACGTCTGTCCCTCTTGTGATAAGCGTTCGCGTTTCAGAGCGAACTCCGTGGTGTCTTGTTTATGGTGCGATAGTCTCCCGTAGAGGCCTGCATATTTTCTTTGACGTTTGCATCATTTCATCACTGTTCCGGTCAACGATAGGAAAACTTCATATCCTGTATCATCTTTGATCGTATTTCTTAGAGAATAGTAGGGGACGGATTGAATAGACAAAGCAACAGTCATGTATGCATTGTATAGCGAGATGTGTATGTAGACTGCTCGACGCTGAGCATGACAACGACGACAAGGGCGGCATATCCACCTGTTTCCCATGCAATGACTGACTTGTACAAGAAAGGTCCTCAGCTCGCAGGCTAGCTCCTGCACCATGCAACCTTTCCGTGACATCGCTCTTTAATCCACGGGTTCCATTCCGTTTGTTGCATGCCTGCGAGAAAACAATCAAAAAATGCATCCGGGTACAGGAATTCCAGTACTCATGGCTCCGCGTACAATCGTAGATAACGATGCTGCCGCCATCGCCTTTCGATCTCGATCACCCTGCATCGCGGTGGTGTCGCAGTCGATAAACTTCAGACTTGGAGCTCCCAGAGCGCTATCGAGTATCCTTGGTTCGTGTGGAAACGATCCGAACCCCCTAAACACGAACTAGGAGGGCGTATGTGGGTCATCTTGACCATGGCAAGTGCAGTTCACTGGTTCCGAAAGGGTCTGCGCTTGCACGACAACCCTGCCCTGCTTGATGCGGTGCAAAATCCCACCACAACGTACGTGTTGCCAGTATTCTGCCTTGACCCGATATTCCTGCGACCCGAGACTGTGGGCGTGAACCGCATGAACTTTCTGCTAGAGTGCTTACAGGATCTGGACCAGCAACTTCGCAAGCTGCACTCTAGACTGTTTGTGCTTCGGGGCAATCCGCTGGAGCAACTACCCGTCTTTTTCCGAAAGTATCATACGCGCTTGCTGACGTTCGAGTTCGACACAGAGCCGTATGCGAAGCAGCGAGACACACAGGTTCGGCGACTCTGTGCCGAGCTGGGCATCGAGGTGCGCACTCGTGCGACGCACACGCTCTACGATCCCGAGGATATTCGACGTGAACTCGGAGATCGTCCCACACCGCTTACCTACAAAAGCTTCTACGCGTTCGTAACGGAGCGTCTGGGCCAGCCGATGAGTGCGCTGGACGCACCCGCGCCTGCGAGCGGTTTCCAAACACCCGATGTGGACCTGGACACCTACACCGTTCCGTCGCTTTCGGAGCTGGAGGCGTATCAGGGCCTCGAAGTGGAGACACCTTTCCGCGGTGGCGAGACTGAAGCACTCAGGCGCATGGAGAACTTTTTACGAGAACGGGCGGATGAAGTTCGCTCGTTCGCGAAACCCGCGACATCGCCAACGGCATGGCCAGTAGCATCCACGACGCAACTGTCGCCGTACTTCAAGTTCGGCTGCCTATCGCCGCGGCTCTTTGTCGAGCGCGTCCGCTCACTACGACCGCTCCAGCAACCACCGGTCTCTCTGATTGGACAGATCTGGTGGCGGGAATTCTTCACATACGTCGCCTATGTGACGCCGCACTTTCATCAAATGCAGGGGAATCCTATCTGTCGACAGATACCGTGGCGAGAAGCTGCAGATGATGCACGCTATAGGGCGTGGGAGGAGGCTCGAACCGGATACCCCTGGATCGATGCTTGCATGGTGCAGCTGCGACAGGAGGGCTGGCTGCACCATCTCGCACGACACGCTGTCGCTTGTTTCCTGACACGGGGTGACCTCTGGGTCAGCTGGGAACGAGGTCGTGAGACCTTTGATCGTCTGTTGGTAGACGCCGACTACAGTCTGAACAATGCAAATTGGTTATGGTTGTCAAGCTCAGCATTTTTTCATCAGTACTATCGCGTCTATTCTCCGATCAGTTTCCCCCAAAAGTACGATCCAAATGGTGAATATGTGCGACATTTTCTGCCAGTGTTGAAGGAGATGCCGTCAAAATACATTTACACCCCGTGGTTAGCACCAGTTGTGGTGCAGAAAAAGGCCAAATGCATCATTGGTGAGGACTATCCGCATCCGATCGTGGATCATGCAGTCGTTATGCGAGAGAATATGAGGCGCATGCGCGAGGCACTTGACGCGGGCGCTCCGCAGCGTGTTCCGAAGCGGCCACGACGCGATGCCAACGAAGCATCGTCATCGTCATCGTCGTCATAGTCTACAGTAGCTGCTTCCTGAATGCAACCTTATCCATTATCCGAATGCCGCCAGCACCAAGCATGAGCGGCAAGGGCGATGCCAGAGCGCGCTACGTCGTTCAGCTGGCGAGTCGACGACACTGGCACCAGTGCGGGTTACGTGCATGGCGTGCGTCTTGTATGGGACACGGGTGCGGCACATGACTCGCCGGAAACTCGTGCATACTCCATCTGCAGACGGCAGGGCAGCTGGTTCCTCGTCCAGCTGATGGGCACGAATCCGAGGCAGATCACGAGAATCAGAGATGCAGTATTCGTCGCGTCTGTGAACGGCCATGCGTATGCATTCACGAGTGCGTCATAAGCGCACCAATGATGAGACACACGCTCCTGGCGGCGAACAGTACCAACGGGCGCGCCAGTGAACGCATCAGGTTCAAGTCGTCGGTGCCTTTTGTCTTTGCTGGAACGCTGTCCAGAAACCTGTACGGCATTGGTGTGCCCAGCGTAGGTGCCGCCCAGGCTATGCGCATTGGGCGCTCGGGACCAAGTTCCGACGAGCAAGACTGCGCTCTCCGTTCCGTACCTCGTTTCGTATGAAACGGCGGACCACGCACAAAGAGTATCACATGAACGGAATTTAGCGGGCTTTGCGGATGAAAAGCATGCCCTACAGCTTTCGATCAAACACACACGCCCGACTCCAGCACCTATCGCGGGTCGCGCTCGTTCCACCGGCCGTGGTGCATCGTTGCGGGTCGCTCGACGTGCGCAACTGCATCGTCGCCCGAGCGAGACGTTGAACCTGAGGAAACGCTCGCCATGACACTGCCGATATACATCGCAGGTACTAGTTGTGTTCGTGTTTGAGCTAGCGACCGCACGCCCGTTCGTTGCATGTCAGGTACGCTCTGTGCATCGCGTAACTCGTTTTGGGTTCATGCCAGCGTGAATCCGAGCGCAAGTCTCGAAAAGCACACCAGAGCGCCTTGTCGATAACAGAGCCTCATTGGCGCATGATGCCGATAACAAAGACTCGTATGCCTGTATCAAGCACGCCCTCGATTCTCCCCGAGTCTGAGTCAAGTGCAGCCCATAAACGCACACACACACACACACACCTGTCTTGCGCGTCTCGAAATACCCAGCGGCGATAAACGACCAGCTACATCGTATGCCGCCCACAAAATTGGTCAAGTGGGGTCTCCGGCAGGGCCTCCTTCGGGATACCGTAGACCACAGCTTTCGCCCTCAAGTAAAGCTCGATCTGAGCCATTGCTTGTTCCGTACGCCGAATCTCTGGCCCAGCTCGATACGAGTCCAGCAACACCCAGTACAGTTTCAACCCGCAAACGACACGTCGCCAAGCCAGCCAGTGCGAGTCATAATGGACGAGCACCGCTCCGTACTGGACTGCTTTCTGAGCCGCTCTCTGCAGCGATCGAGTTTCGGAAGCCTTCCAGCGCAGCGGCTCCGGGTGGATACCGACCGATGCCAGCGCAGCAAGCAGCACTTGTGCACTGAAGAAGCCAGTGAGACTCGCGTTCAAAGAGGCGGGTGTGTACGCCTGCAAGAGCTCGTGCCCCTGCAGTAAAGCCCGCTCCGCTTCATCAAGCTCGTTACTGATGCTGATCAAGTCGTCCAGCGAAAAGTACGGCCCCTGCAACACGTTGTTCAAACAGTGCAGTACGCAGAGGTACGAGTCTGGCTCCTGGTGTTCAAAGTAGACCGCTGAAAGCACCTGCTTCCGACTGGGTACCCGTGGTGGCCCTTCCTCGTCGATTGCTCCCGAGTGCCGGCCTCTGCTCAGGAACCGGGGTGCGAAGCAGACCATACAGCACGCCCAGTGTTACTCCGAGGTCTCGAAGCGCTGCTTGTTCGCTTTCACGACGACGGACGTTGTCAACGAGTTCCTGGCAAGTGCGTGGCGTTTCGACAGGTATGCGTACGCATGCCAAGCGTCCTCCTGTATACTCGCGTCCCGTGCGTCCTGCTTGACACAATTCAGATGCAGTGCAACCCGTTGCTAGCTTACAGCAGCAGCAGCAGCAGCAGCAGCAGCAGCAGCAGCAGCAGCAGCAGCAGCAGCAGCAGCAGAAAAAGTCAGGTATAAAGTGGCGTGTAGCGCACGTAGCGGCCGCCCGACTGCTCGACGGATCATGCCCGAGCGTTGCGCGGCTTCCGCAGAAGCGCTCGGGATACCCTGTGAACGCCTTTAACTGGATCATAGGTCTAACCAGCGGACTTGGACTTGTGTGTTACAGTATGGGGTGCTTGCCGGTGTGTTAGCAACACCAGCCTTTAAGGTTGTTTCTGTGACTGGTTCCTTTCTCTCTCTCTCTCGTTGCATAGGGGTTACAAACGCCAGTCTCTCCTGTTTCTCCAGCTCGGTTGTTCGTAGTCCGCGGATGTTGGCGGTAACGTTAAGGTCCGGATTTCCCTGCTTCCGGCTGTTGTTGATATAGTCGATGCACAGGTGGAAACGGCAAGCTACGGCTCACTCGTCGTGTTCATCTTCTATATGTGCGGCCTTGGTGTGCCGTTCGCAACGGTGATACTTGGCTGTGGCCGGGTGTTTCCGTAGGTCCAGTATACCGCCTGCTCCAGGGGTTGTCCCGGGGCGCGTGAACGCTGTCTTCATCGCTCGACACCAGCTCACGACGACTCCAGCAGGCTGCTTTGGATGCCCTGCTTGGTTTCTGCACTCGGCACGATGCGCGATATTCACGGGCTTGTAGAGGAATGCATTCGTGTTCTGAAGGTATCTTGAAGTGTGCAAAACGTTGCATCTGGATTGCTCCTTGTTCTTCCGCGTTCTCTATCTTGTGTAAAGGAATCCATTCGTGTTCTGAAGGGATCTCGAAGTGTGCAAAACGTTCGTGGCTGATGACGACAGATACGTTCACGACTCCGCTCTCGATGGAGAGCACTACGTCTGCTTGCCGCACTGCCAACATCCCGCTCCTCTCTTTTCCTTCGCATTCACACATTTCTCTGCCTTGTTTTTCCCTTTCGTTCATATGGTACGCATGAGTGCCCTGCAAGCCACGGACGAAAGCTGCAACTTTCGCTTCGTGAACTCGTCGTTGTTGCTGAGTTCCCTATCGTTTTCGGTACGCTAACCTTTCATCGGACGCATCTGCGCCGCCCGGAAGCCGGTACCGCTCTCCACAACAAGCCGAAATAATGCCCCTAAACGAATCGCCGTTACGAGCCCCGCAGGGATGCAATAGGAGAACGCGCAGTCTCTATCATTCAGGAGCCCTGCTGCATCGCTCCAGATCCGGTGGCATCATCGCTTCGGAAGGCGGGGTTCTCGCATTCAACGTATTCATCTTCTCCTCGACATCTTCGCTTATGAGGAAAATTCGACCCAGGCATAGCATGCCATCTCTGTTCACCGAACGAATGGGCTTGGACGAAAGGCATGCAACAATGCCGTCATTCGTGCCGTTCAGTCCGGTACTTGAGTGGAGCCCGCAGCACCCAAGTCCGCATGCTTCTGTACCGGCTCCGTGATCCCGGCAAAGAGCAAGCACATTCCGCGGTTTCCCTCTGCTATTGTGGTGTCGTAGAAATGCGGCGTCGTCAGGCACAGGCGTGCCAACGAATTGGGCAAGATTCTCGTAAGTTTATGAGTCTCTACGCCAAATCCTCGGTTCACCACTTAAGCACGGATACGAGCATCTTGACGAGAGCTCTTTTGCATAGCGCTATTGTTTATGGTGCCGGCTCGCCGTACGTCGCCTATAGAATGGATATGGAGCCAGCTAGTGTTCAGTCGTATTGTTTTCGTCGTTCGACGATCTCATAGGCGAAAGGCGCACCAAGTATCTGTCGTATCGAAGTGTCGAGAGGCGCTCGAAATCAGCGTCACATCTCCACCGCCGATCGAAACGTATGTGATACCTCGTGTGAAGCGAGCAAGGGCGTAGCGCATGTCGAGTTGCGCTGGTTTGGTACTCGTTGCCTGTATTCGAGTCTGCAGGGTGCTGCAGTGATTAGCGCTTCAGGTGGGAGTCTTCGGTCTCGCCATGAACGTGAGACCCGGCGCTGTATGAAGTGGAATACTGAAGCGCCTGCGCGCGCGTCGATGTCTACACCAACGCATGGAGCTGCTTTGACGTATTCGAAAGCGTGCGCTTCTATTCATGAGTAATGCCCCATTCAGTCCCCGTCAGGCACAGCTGCATACGGCGTACATAACGTATGGACTCGTTCGGAATCGTATCGACCAACGGGGGCATATCGTGGCGCCCTTGGGGGCAGTTATCGACAGCTGACGCTTGGGTACCCTCTACCTGCCAGGTCGACGACTCGGATTCTACGGACATGACCTTCAATGAGTGCCAGCAGTTACGGACCCTGCAGACTGCAGTTCGCCACAGTCTAGCCGTATGACAGAGGGTTCGGTGCCCATACAATGACGCACCAGCACCTGCCTGCCAGTCACCTGCTGTGCGCTTCATAGGATGCATAAGGCTTCATGTTCGCTGCCCGCGCGTCCTGTACCCACCGGTGCATTCTAGGAAATCGCAAAAAAACGCAATGATGCACTTCTCGGCATGCGACATGTCCTTCTCATTGTCAATGGTTGCTCGCCTCGTTCCTGACGCAGATGCACCCTAAAAGTTGGCCGAATCCACCCAGTTCAGTAGCTACTGCTCATGCTCTTGTGCTCACTATGCTGGTCAGTCACACACAAACGGCTTTCCACGGTATTCTCTGGAGGCCGCGGTACCGTGCTCAGACGCCATCGTCCTCGCCACGGAGCATGCGTACGTTCTATTGCGAGTGGATGCTCGATGCCTACCTTGACCTATATACACTGAGATCGTGATCCGAATGGGCTGTGCTCTGGTTCTGTCATCGATAAAGACCTAACCACATGCGGTTTCCGTGGCCCACTCCTGATCTTTTGATGCTCGCAATGCAGCAAGTCCTCATCACGGTCACACAGGTTATCCAAGAATGTCCTTACCTACGTCTACAGCATCCTTCCGGCTATGTTGACGTGTTTTCGCCAAATCAGTCTGATCTAGGTGCATCCTGATCGTCTCTAAAAAGTGACATCATGGCAAAGCCGCGACTTCTCTGCGAGCCAGACACACCAGCTGGACACCGCTGTAGTTTCCAGTGAACGGACATGGGTGTCGGGGCCGAGCCATTGTCGCGCCTGGGCAGCGACTTGCTCCGACTCCGTCGTGCGTCGTCGACCGTTCCATTCCATATGTGCGAGCAGCTGCGCGTACCGCACCAAAGCGCCAATGTAGAGAACCTGATGGCTCGCTGGACTCAGCGCTGGACACTGCTGCTGCTGCTGCTGCTGCTCTCCTGGCTTTGAAGTACCAGAGTGTCCCGACAGCGAGCGTTGCGGAGGTGCACGCTCGAGACAGGCGCGATACAGACCTTCCGCAATGACGGGATCTCTGCGGACCTGCCAGTAAAAATTTGCCAACGCAGTGAGCGGAATTAGGGCAAAACCCGGATGCTCCGTTTCTTTGGCCCTGCTCAGAGCTTCAGTCAGCATGGATTCGCACTGCTCGTCGTCAAAGGACAGCGAAGCTGTTACTTGCGGCCGCTGTGTGCGCCAGAACGCCACGCTGGCGTTTTCTGAAAGTGCTACCACCTTGCCAAACAGCCGCATGTCGCTGTGGTTACCCGCTGGTGGCGACTCGTGCTCAATATGTGTCAATGCAGCCTGGAGCATATCTTCCGAGTGCAGAGCTGCACCAAGCGATAACAGCGCCCGTCCGAGAAGTGCGCTTCCACTGGCGGACGCTCTCAGCTCGTCCAGGAACCGCTTGGCGTCGGACACAAGCCTCGCGTGGATCTCTCTAGAAGCGGCGTCTGCGGAAGGATTCCCGGCATACAGCTGTTGTGCTCGGCTCAGCAGCGAAAACAGATGGACCCCACTCTTGAGGAGGCCTCTGGGCGACTCCCTATCGCTGATCGTGCCGGTCATACGCGAGCACCTCGTGGAATGCCAATCGCCCAGCTGCACCGTTCGCAAACACTGCACCAGGAACTGCTGACTATTCCAGCATGCCATGCTATCCAGATAGAAATCCTCTCCACTTCGTTGAAGCGCGACCCATGCTTTGCGGTAAAAACGAAGAGCGCGGCTGATGCCTGCTCTCGTTGACCAAGAGTCAAGCGTCGCAACGTGTGCATACAGTGCTGCCGCATCCAGACTGTGCTGAGGAAGCTTCTGTACGACAGCTACCACGCGCTGGAGCGCACGCTCACTTCCGTCCGATAACTCTGGGAGACGCTCTGCTTGAGCCAGAGCACGCGCAAAGGCAGCAGAGCGTGCTTTCGGTCGGAGCACCTGGAGCCAGCTTTGACTCTGGGCACTCATCAGGCGTCAGTGTCCGCGTCGCCGAGCACGCTGTGTACGCTTCTCGAACCTGAAAGCGACAACACTGGACTCGTGGCGATGCGTGCCGCACGGTGACGCAGTATCCGTAGCTATCCAGAGAAGACGCGCTTTCTGTTGGCTAGCGTGCGGCCTAGAGCCAACGTCGCTTCACTATCGTTTCCGTACCTCGTTTACCGCCTGGTGCGCGTGGCTGCCTTTCCACTTAAGGCGCATGAGCAGCGCTTGCCTTTCGTCCCTAGAGTTGTACTTCGCCGGTTACGTCCGTCGAGATCAATGAAGATCACCCCTTTTTCTTCGCTTTGAAACGCAACTGCCTGTCGGAAGCGCGCTTTCTCAGTTTAGAAAGCCCCGATCAGTGACGTCTAACTAGAATCCAACATCTCAGCATGCAACTACCAGCTCAGGCGCCTGAGGGAAACGTCGTAGCATCCGCGCGACAATTCAGGAAACGTTCTGCGATGATGAAAGGTCAACAAATACCCAATAGCAGACGCCTTCCGGTCTTTTTGACTGGCCGCCTGCGGTCCGTTTCAGTTCATCCTTGCACAGTACGAGTCGGGGTGGCTGTCCCATAAAGTCGGCCCACCTCAGCTTCTCGGGTCTCGACCTGAGTACCGCACATCGCTTGATATGGATGGCGGCATTTGGAGCCTCGGTTCACGAACTCCTTGCTTTCTTTTTTTGACTCGTGTTGAACGCACCAGTGCAAAGAATGCTGGAGTTCGTGCCCTCTCTGCCACCGCAGACTCGTCATTGTTCCGTGGGGCAAACACAGTTCGTCTCTTGTCTTTCCTATTTTGCACGTTCTTCTTCATCCGATGAACACAGAGAAGAGGTTTTTTCGTCTTTTTCCGGTACCCGGCGATGACGGTCCCGCAGGATCCCCAACTCTCATGTCCATACCTTTTACTTGGATTTTGTATTTCTTCATGTGAGCGCACTTCGAACGCCTCTGCAATCAACCGAGAAGAAGCATTTGATGACACGCTCCTCGAGATGGAACACCATCGAGGTGAAAGACTAGAAAAGCTCCCGGAATGCGAATGGCTAGTATCCATTCGGAGACATAGAACGTGCTTTTCTGAACGCATGTAACAGGTATTTTGCGTTTCTTGGTGCTACGGAGGGAATCACCATACATGCCAGGCGCCCAGTGAGTGCATGATCCTACACCTCGGATCGAGTCAGGCGAAGTGTATCCAAGGTTCGAAAGCTTCTACACGGCATCGCGTGCGCTGCTTTCGTGACGTGCTTGCTCCAATGCACGCTGTTCGGAAAATGGAGGTCACATTGCACAGCTGATGCTGCCTTGGTTAGAAAAGTGCTCTAGGGCGTCGAGTGCGCACCTGGTTTGCTGCTGGTGCTTGCGAAGTTCTCGTTTGTACCGCTATGCTCGCGCAGCGTTGCGCTTTTGAGGAAGGCAGCCCTAAACCAGACCTGGACGACGATTTAAAACATTTCAGAGAGAGTCTTGTCGAGCGACACCTATGACGCCTGTTAATGCTCAATGGTTTGCCTAGGCGCTTGCCCGACCGGGAACGAACGTCTCACTCGAAAGGGCGCCTTCAGTCTTGACCAGTTGCGCTGGCAGAATACATGTCGCTGAAGCATCACCCCGTGCACCGACTTGACGCCATCTCGAGGCGTTTATCGTGCACAATACATGTATCAGATGCTTCCTAAGAAGAAATGCGGCAGAGTCCTCTGGTTAGCTTCAATGCAACCCAGGAGTATCGCTGGTGTTGGCATCCCGCATCCGAGTGCGAGTCCCGACACTGTACCGCGACCTCTGGGCAGTCCAAGCATCTCGTCCAATATCCACGATGCGGAAAGGGGCACGCTTGCGTCGTCCAGCGCGGTACACTTTGTATCCCTGCCCGGAATCGATAGATCGAAGAGGCAGAGGTGCGCGCAATCATTCTGATCAGTAAGCGGGCAGGCAAGCAGCACCGTTCCATGATGCGTATCGGCTCGTATACTGGGCCGAATGTTGTTACCGAATCGCCATGAGGTATATCGCAGCGATGCCGACTCTTCCCCAATTGATTGCAGGTACTGTGCGGCGGGATATCTGTACTCGTGAGAGAGGATCGAGTTCAGGGGTGCGCTCGTTGTATGTAGCGCTGAGGTAGCCTGCGGCAGTGCGCCAGGTATTGCAGGCTGCTCCAGTCTCGCTTGCAATGGGCTGCTTTCGAGCCCCGATGCGACTGAGCTGCTGTTTCGAGCAAGCGTAATCAATAGATTTCTTCGGTATTCTTGTTCGCAAGCGTTGCTAGAATTAGGGAATCTGGCGAAAGGTGCGGCAGACGACAGGATCCGCCCATCCTCCGCCGCCGCTCGATACGGTCGCGTAGCGCACGTTGCCTCCGTTTCTGGTTCAAAGCACCAGCGAAGGCGCAAAGGTCCATTCCATGACGTGGACGCGCCTCGTTCAACGCTTTGCCCAAAGGCCTGACGGTCGATATCCAAAATTGCGCATCGCCGGAAAGTCGGCGTTGTCACCGCAAGCGAAAGACAGTCGGGATGTTGGGCGTCTTCCGGTAGCGGTTGGATAGAAGAAAATCGACAAGGTGTTGGGAAGCGCGCTATCATCGTCGTATTTGTGACGGTTTCGTATGCGTCCCATAGATGCGCAGTCGAAGCGCTCGTACCTCCTCGGTATTGTTTGGCAAAGGATCCGCCAGATTCCTGGCGATTTTGTCCAGAGGTATTCCATGGGGATTTCGAGGAACCTGGACATACCTGTGGCCCGAGTCCGACGCCGATTTGCCCCAAGACGGAGGCTGCACTGCTCGTAAGAGAATTCGTGCTGAGCATGCGGGCGTCATGGAGCTGCAAAACGTCAGTGTAGACAACGCCAACTAGTGTGGGCGCAAGCCGATGGTGGCTGCTCCAGATGCCAACTGGCATCGACGCATGGCCATGTGTCCTGTCCCGAATGAGGAAGCGTGCAAATCGACGCCAGTCAGGACGCTCCCTTTGGTCCATGATCCCTGCGAAAGGCCCATCGCGGTTACAGCCACATAGCAGCATGAGAGTTGGGTGCGGATCCGAGAACGCTGCAGCGTCTGTGTACCAGGCGGCCGCCTGGATCCTACTCGAGCTTGCGGCGGGCAACGAAAAATGCCAGAAAGGCGCTATAGGCGACGGCTGCTCAGGGGCAGTCCACGGGTGAATCCCGGAATCGGTGCGCTCCAGACTATAGACGCCCAAAGCTCGATTCGTCCAGGCCAAGAGCTTTCCCTCGGAGCGCGTCGACTGCCACTGAATGCCGCCCCAGAGGTCAGGGGATGCACTGCCCTGAATGCCTTGGTCGCCGAATCGGCGCTGTAATCCGGGCCTGACATTGCCCGATCCACTACTCCCATTACCACCACTACTACTGGTTGAGGGCGGCATCAAGTACCCCATGACATGCCAATGTTCCATGCTGGCTGCTTGACGGATATTCCAGAGAAACGCGGACTCCGCCGTACAACAAGCGACGAGCGCAACGTCAGGGTGTGTATCTAGGGCACGCAACATCCCCTGGCCGTTGTGGAGCGGCCGACGCGCTGCCGTCAAGCGCTCGCGCGTATACCACGCTTCGCCACGTGTAGCGGAGAGCGCTCGCCACTGCCATGCTTCGCGTTTAGCGCAGGTTCGTTGGTACCAGACGCGTCGCGCGTCGGCGTGGAGTGCACTCCTGGCTGTACACTCACGCTGCTCCATCCGAGTAACGGTACTGCTCATGTCGGTTGACGGATGGACAACCGCAAGTTGGCAACCGCGGCGCCATGCGCTGCGTTGCTGCTGACAGTTAACGGCAGCAGCATTTGGAGTAACAACGGCGAGTCGGACGCCAGAAAGAACATGCGCAGGCGCTCTGATGCGTTTTTCGGGTCTCCGCTTCATGGGAGCTGTGTCTATATTTGTACAGTTTGCCGCTCGGTGCCGGAAAAACGACCGCACCGGCATGTTACCAACGTGAGCATCAGCAGCACCAGCGGCCTCCATACAGAGGAACGTATTGGAGTTAAGGCGCTGATCTGCAGGTCCTATTACCGTGTAGCTACTTCACCCAGCGTACCGCAACAAGTGCAACACAAACACACGAACGAACGAGAAAGCAGCGGTTTCGGCAGCTCTAACTTGTCCCTGGGACGTTCCCGTTCACGCCTGGTGCCCAGCAGCGTACGTGCACCAAACGTGCGTGCCTAGGCACCCGAAATAGAAACGAACACCCCGCGGGACGCGTTCGTGCACACAGCGTTTCCCGCGTGTTTGCTTACCAGGTTCAAACGCGGTCCACTGTACGCAATCAACGAAGCAAACAACCAGTTCCCGGACGCAGCGTCCAACAGCGCTTCACTACGGAGTCTTACGAAAGTGCCTGATGATTGTGTTTGACGCAAGCTGTACTCGTTCTGCATCCAAGCAGGTGCAGCTCGGGTGCGTTTGTGTACCTGCTGGATGCTGGTGTTGCCTGCAGAGGCCGCAGTGTGAGGCTGCGCCCCAGCGCCTGCGATGACGATGAAGAAGATGGTGATTCGCGCCAGAACGCCCCCCGGATCGATCCGGTGCACGATCGTATCTAACGCTGAATGAAGCCTTTCTTCGATACTGTTGCTGTTGCTGCTGCTCTAGGACGCACCCTGGCAGACACCAATGGCTTTCCTGCCTCTAGTGCCTAGACCAGTTGGGACGAGACGGTGGTCAGGAACGTGGAACAATGCTTCAGTAGAGTCCAGAAAAGCGGCAGCGTGGAGGCAAAGCGACAGGCTCAAACCGGCAAAGGAGGTGCCTGCGAAGCAGCGTACCTCTTCGTCAAGGACACCGCCTCGTTCCTCCTTAACCCAGCGTCTGCGGGCGCTCGCCAATGTACCGGAAAGGAAAGACAACGGCTCGCTACTGGACGCTGAACAAGAAGCGCTGGAGTCGATGTTTTCGTTCAGCTTGGATGAGTTCCAGTTGCGGGCGATTCGCTCCGTGCTACAGTCGCGCTCGGTGGTCGTTTCGGTTCCGACCGGCTCCGGAAAAACTGTGATTGGCGAAGCAGCACTCGCAATTGCGCTGAAAAAAGGCATGCGTGCTTTCTACACGACGCCGTTAAAGGCGCTCTCGAACCAGAAGTTTGGCGACTTTTGTGATCGTTTTGGGACAGAGCAGGTTGGCTTGCTCACTGGCGACATTTCCATTCGCCCGGACGCTCCCATCCTCGTGATGACCACCGAAGTGTACCGCAATATGCTGTACCGCTGCCGTACTGGGGTGCTTGCGGAGCTGAGCGTCGCCGCATCCCCAGTAGACGAGGTGCTGGCACCGGCGACAGAGGACGCCCACTCGATTGCACCGCTTCTGCGTGCTGGCTATCTCGATGACCTTTTCGTGGTTGTATTCGATGAGTTTCACTACATGAATGATCGCGAACGTGGTACAGTTTGGGAGGAGGCTGTCATCGGCAGTCCGACGCATACGATCCTGGTGGCGCTCTCGGCAACGATGCGCAATGCAGCAGAGATCAGCGAATGGTTCGAGGCAGTCCACGGTGTAACAGACCTGATCGTAGCTAATGATCGCCCTGTACCTCTGGAGTATGTGTATCTGGACGCGGATGGCCTGCATCCGCTTTTGGTGCCGCTAAAGCGAAGCAGCGGTGATAAGGGGAAGGGGTTTGGGCGCTCTCGCCAGCGCGGTGCCCGAAACGAGAGCAAACTTCCAACCATAGAGGGTCGCTATCAAATGAATCCGGAGCTGGTATGGAATGTCGGCCAAGAGAGCAAGCAGATCGCTGAGCGACGTCAACGTTGGCGCGACGCGAATGACCCGAACCTGCGACGCTCTGCGGAGGTGCTGGAGCGTCGCGAAGCTCGCCGCCTGCGCGAGCTCTACCGCGTTAGCGTTCCCTCGTACCCTTTCCTGGTTCGTTGTCTTCGTAATCGTCAGCTGCTCCCGGCAATTGTTTTCGTGTTTTCCCGAAGTGGGTGCGATCGAGCGGTTTCGGAGGTACTTCGGGAGCGCAGCGCCCTCAAGCTGGTGAGCAAAGCTGAGCGCGCCATGCTCGAATCTGAAATGGAGGCGTTTTTCGAAGTGCATCCAGAGCTGCGTGAGAATCCAGACTCCCAGAAACGCTATGAATCAATCATGGAGGGCGTTGCCGCTCACCATGCTGGCATGTTACCGCTTTGGAAGGCGCTCGTCGAACAGCTGTTTCAAGCCAACTTGATCAAAGTGGTATTCGCGACCGAAACCCTCGCCGCCGGAATCAACATGCCAGCTCGCTCGACGGTGGTAACCGCTCTGAGCAAACGCTCCCGTAGCGAAGGCATTCAGCGCCTGACACCGAACGAGTTCCTGCAAATGGCGGGCAGGGCTGGACGCCGCGGTATGGACCCCATCGGCTACGTCGTCGTCATGCAAAGTGCCTGGGAGCCATCCGCAGAGGTCGCTTGTCAGCTGCTGCAACGAGGTGCGGACGCCCTGCGTTCCAACTTTGTGCCGTCCTACGGCATGGCTTTGAACCTGCTCCGTTATCCGGGTACACCACTGCAGAGTGCACGACGCTATCTGGAGCGGTCGTTTGGAAGTTTTCTGGCATCGCGTGGTCGTCTGAACCAATGGAAGCCGGAAATCCACGATGAGGTCGAGGCACTCGAACGTCAAGTGAAGGAAGCACATCGCATCTTTGCGCAGCACGGCGGCGAGAAGGTTGTCGCCGCTTACGATAAACTGCTGGAGCGATTGCGCTGTGAGGAGCGGATTCTCGGATACCTACATGAGCAACACGAAGAGAGTGCGGTTAGCATCATGGAGGACCTGTTGGTATTCTCGGACCCGGGAACGATTGTCTTGCTTCCTGATCGAGCGGAACGCGCCGTACTTGCTGGTGTCGTCGTCGAGCGCACACTGGACACCCCGTTGCGCTTTGCACTTGTCGCCGCGGATGGTCGTATTCGAGTGTGCGGACCGCGCTACATTGCAGCTGTGCTTTCCAAAGAGCCGCTGGCGAAGGTTTCGCTCCCAGACTCTTTGACTGGACTCAAAGCCGAAGCACTGAGCGTCCTACATTGGCGAGAGCTTTTTTCAGCTTCCAGCCGCTATGGTGAAGTTCGGGAAACGTTTGAGCCGGTCATGGACTGCGGCCTCGTGGATGTTGGCACAGCGCCTGCGCTCGAGTACTCGGAAATGACCACCTGGGATGATTTGGCAGCACCACCGCTCGCGGTGCCCGAGATACGTCGCCAGCAGAAACTCGTCGTCGACCTTCAGGAGCGTTTGGCGAGTTTCAGTCTGCACGATCATCCTGATTGCGAACTTGTACTGAAAGCCTATCGATCCCTGGGCGTCGCTGAAGCACACCTTGGTCGTCTCCGTCAGCGGCTGATGCGTCAAACCATGCAAGCTACTGCTACCGAGTCGTGGAATATTTTTCGTGCTCTCGTCGATGTTCTCGAGCGCTATCGGTGTTTGGAGCGCGTCGAGGAAGTAGAAGACGATGCTCGTGCCGAGTCTGGGCAGGATGTGACGCGAGCTGCACCTGAGGCCTCCGACGATACCGGCTCGCGATACACGTTCTTCCGCTTGACCGAGTTCGGTTCTATTGTTGCTGGATTGCGCGTTGAAAACGAGTTATGGGCGGGACTGGCGCTCATCCACGCCGAGCAGCAACTCGCAGGGCTTGCACCGCACGAGCTCGCGGCTGTCGTAGCATCGATTGCGGCAGACACGAGTCTCCCGCCCGGCGGCTACTGTCGTTTCCTGCCCAGCGTCCGAGTTTTGGACCTATGTCGGGAGGTGCTGGGCCCGTTGCGCAAGCAGCTTGCGGCAGCACAACAGGAAGCACTGGAGACGTACTGGTCGCCGTCCATGGCGACGCTGAACGGCGAGCTCATGATTCCCGATGTGCGGCTGTCGTACGACCTAGCCGGTGTTGTGGAAGCCTGGGCGTGCGAGACGCCGTGGTCAACGCTGCTGAATGGGGTCAGCCTTGATGAAGGCGATATCGTTCGTCTCCTGCGTCGCACGATCGACCTGTTGCGGCAGATAGCGAACCTTGGCACCAGCTCGGGTCTCGGATGGTCTCGTCGTGTTGCCGCACTCGTTTCCTCACAGCTAGTGGTGAATGCGAAACGAGCACTTACACTGATCGATCGCTATCCAGTTAATGATGGCGGTCTAGAACGGGCGTCTGGTGGACAGGTTGCCGAGTCGCTGGAGCTCGACAACGACTCCGACGAGGACAGTGCGGAGGTCGAAGAAGACGTAGCCTGGGACTCGGGTGAAGATGCGATATTGGCCACCTCCGATGAGTGAAATTTAGCTTGTAAAGGCACTGAAGCGGAGCTCGCTGACCATCGATGACCTGCAGCAGCATGGAAGAGAAACGGTCTTTGCAAGGTGCACATGAAGAAGCCGATTACCCGCAGAGTCGACGACGGGACTTGCAGGCGAGACTCGCGAAGCGCCAGCCCTGGTAGCACTCGTCTTATTTCGAGTCTGGGATACTGGGAACAATGGAAAAAGGATTCGGGTGTCGTTTCGTGAAACGTTGCAGTAACTCGTTGTATGTCGGAGTTGTATGCAGAGCGGTACATTCGGGAACTACTGTAAGAGGACGTTGTTTTGTTTGTTCTTTTTTCTCGCGGATATTCTACACAAGGATTGCATGCTGTATATTGGAGAAAGATTGCATGAAGACACGATACGATGCTTGATGGATTGCGGAAATCGGCCTCGCTTGTACATGTCAGTTATTCTACGGGATGCAGGTGGTTGAATTGCCGGTCACGCCGTCCTTGTTCTCAACGTCGTGCACCGAAAACGGGACTTGTAAAAATCGGTGTACACGACACTCTCCCTATCAATCCAGTAAAAGGCGTGCATTCTCGGAGAAAAGTCTACAATAGAAGCAACAGGATGTGAGGTTTCTGTACCGCTGACACGAACGTGGATCAAGAGACGCGAAAGCACAGAGAATGATGTGCACATTTATGGGCATGCGTCGCGCCTTGAACAAAAAGCATATAATGTATGTTACACGAGCAAGCGATTGATTGCTGCAGGAAGGACTGGTGCGGGTCTCAGTGTATGCGGCTTGATTCTAGACAAGTGGTATTCCTGTATGCACGTACTCGGAGTCGCGCAATCTGCAATGCGGAAAAAAATGAAACACGCGAGCGCAGTGACAGCACCAGAAGTCACAGTGATTCTACTATAAGGGCACCAACGGAACACCGAACGCTCAGGAATGTTCGACGCCTCATGTTTCACTGAAGCTCTCCACGTGGTTACCCATTCTCGCTTTCTTTGGTCCTGTTCATGGAGAACGATGCTTTCCCGAACATAAAAGCGGTCATGGAATACACAGCTGAGTTTTGCGCTGAGCTGCCCTTCTTTCAGACGTTTTCTTCTCGGTTCAATCGAGTCGAATCCATAGCGTTTCTGCCTTGATGGAGCGTCTGCACCGGCGCGTTTGGTGCTATTGTAGACGCTCACGGCAGGCTGAGCGCACAGTAGTACGGATGCAACGACCGGTCTCTTCAGGGGGAAGGGTTGCGGTGGCTGTTGCACCTCGCATGACTCGCGTGGAATCATGACTGCCCGCCCCTATACTGATAACAACCGCGGCTTTGGGTATTCCAGCAAGTGGAAATGCGGGGAAATCAAGTAAATTCCATCCAAAGGCGTCGTCTTTGTCGTCTAGCGCTATTTCTATGCTCATGGATCAATTTACAACTCATTCGGACCGAAGGAAACGTTCTTCGACGAGTCTTTCTCTACTTTTTCCTGTCCTGAACCACAGCGCAGCTTCGAATCCTGTGCACGGGAGGGAGCGAAACGGCGTGCATCTATTCTTGGGCGTACGCACAACCGAGACAACGATGAAACCCGACGTGAGGAATCCTTGGTACATGCACAGGAGAGGCGAGGTGCCGCACCAACGGCCATCAAAGGTGTCTGATTCGCGCTAAAACATGAATATGGAGTGCAGTGAACGCATTGGTGCCACTCTGTTGAATTATAGTGTAAGAGAAAATTCTACGCGACAAATCAGAGCAAGATAATCCTAGAGTGCAGACGGGTGAACACATCGAGGAAAAAATGTTTGCACATGAAAGAAAGTTCTGAAACTATTAGAAAAGGAACTCCCTGTGAAAGCTCACCAACGGGAAGATCGCTTCAACTGGTGAGATGCAGAACGCCTTTCGAGCATCTTTCTCATAGATAGCTCACATCGCCTCTCTCGCGTTGGCGCATACCGTCAAGCTACTGGTCGTGCGAGTTCGGGGCAGAGGGCTTTCAGCTGTGCAGTTTATTCTGGAATTTTTCAATCAAATCGTCGTACAAGTACCGGTGCTCAGGCAGAGGATGCAATACAACCCGATCGCCGGGTCAGGGATTTGCAAAGACGCTCCTCTGAATCCCTTGACAGGTCGCCGTGCTAGCCCGGCGATCGGAGTATCTACTGCGCCGGTGCCGAAAAGTTTCATACCGATCTCAAAAAAACTGCATGAAATCAGGGTTCATGTCGAGCGCTTCGAGAGTCGCGCTCTGTTGCCGTTGGAAACTCACTGTACTGGCACCGGGAAGCAGGGACCGTTGCAAGAGATTCTAGGTTTCAGACAGTACATCAATGTCCAAATGGCCTATGCGGACGAATTGTGGCAAGCGTACCCGCGATCAAGCAGAAACTGCCGACTGTTCCAGTTCTACAACGGTAAGAGGCGTGAACTCGTCAGCTTGTTCAATGAGCTGGAAGAAAAAATCATCGATAACTCGCAACGTTTGGTGTTCGTCAAGAGAGCTGGACGTACTGCAGTGCACAAAGGCTGCGCTCCTGCGTCATCGACTTGAACGCATGATGCGTACATGAACCAATGCTGCACGTTTCCCATCGATGGGTTTACGACGGTATAGACGCTCGACGAGCACATGAAGACGCTGAAACAGATAGGAAAGAAAAACGTGAAACGGAGACGGATGCAAGAGATGGTGTTTGGTTGTCGGAGCAAACGTCAGATGGCTAGAGAATCGATGGTGAGCTGGTTCTGATGATATGATTCCATGAGCAAGGATGTGCTCGAGGACATTCTAAACATTGATCTCAATGCCTCTATCAACCATTCGAAATGTCTCGTACTTTTGAAGTGTCTTGAGGCTTCGCCTCGAGAGAACATTCAAGGAAATCATTCGGTGTTCAATGTGGATGTGATGCTGAAATGCTGCAGACTTTCAATGAAAAAATCAGTGGACAACACAGAGGTCACTAGATTCTCGCCTGTAGCGGTGCATTAGCGACGTGCGCTGGGCAGTCAAGCAAGCACGGCTGGAGCAACGTATTCACAACGGGAACGATTTTCCCGGGCACTTGCTGAAAGATGATTTTGTTCTGTTGTGCGATGTTCGTGCGTCACCTGATACGTAATGGGCGCTTCGTGTCAGTCGCTTCCAATCAAACTTTGTGGCGTGCATGACATCTCCCGATGATTTCGAGCGAAAATCCCGTGTTGGATTCGTTATTGGACGTAGGCTGCAGTTCGAGGTTTTCGTCTGCCTGCACGCCTCCGTCCACGAAAATGTGTTTTCGAGGATTGGCTTCACTGCACCATGACTGGATTCCATGCGAATAGCAGGCTGTCAACTTGCGCCCTGACTGCGAATTGTCGCTACATGCTGAGCGGTTTGGAATGCTTCTGCATGTCCTAGCGAGTCGACAAGAGCTCTCTTGCTGCAGAGGCACGAAGGATACCCCTGATGCCTCGGATCTATCGACCGTGGAAAGCGTTCGCACGGGAGATACGTCCAGATGCTCACGTAAGTACGCACAACGAGAATATGAAAGAAGGTGCTGCTCCGAATCGTCTCTTCTTCGAGGTATGCGCCTGAAGAAGAGCTTTTGGGGATAAGGTGCGGTTTATCCACGGTGGGTGCATGCGAGCAGTGGTGTAGACGGAATCGTCTGAACCTCGGAGTGCCCAGGGCTCGCGACTGGCGCCCAAGTCATCAAGTTGCTGCCGAGACTTCGACAGGAGTTCGCGTACGAGGAGTGCTGTCGGGCGGCCAACAACTCGTGTCTCGCAGTCGGTCGAGTCGCATCACATCCTGCGTGGAGACGGAAGCTATCCGCTCGATGTCTCGGTGGACCAACGCCTTCCTCGAGGTGCGCATTGATGCCGATGTCCGTCTATATCCGGCAATAAGATCGCAACCGCAACGGCTACCTGCTCGTTGGTCGGCAAACAGCGGACAACCAGTCGGCGCGCTTGAACCCTCTACCAAAACTCATCATCTTGTGCTCGCTCGTTATCAGCGTATCCGGAAGCTGGATTGGTTGCAGGTTTCAGATAAAGCGCACTGAGGCTTGCACCTGTTGGCAAGGCCGAGCCAAAAAGTGCCACTCGTTCAGGGCGCCCCGTGCGGGCGTGGCGCTCGCGGGATACGTATTGGACTGGCACTGCTACGAACTTTACCACAGCGTCTAAGCTAAACTCCCGCCTGCTGTAGTGTATGAGCAGCACAGCGCTGCGTAGCGTGAATCTGGCCCGAGTCCCGACACTTTGAGGCTCGTCTTGGATATGATGCGTTCTTGGCGGTGCAGCAGCTCCGCTCACAGCACTGCGCACCAAGGTCTGTGAAGCGGCGCCTTACTCGCCAGTCTTGGTTATGTTGCAGCGCGCTGAGGCATTCTGAGATTGCAACCTGCACTCGAGCTCGACACATTCTGAGGAACTTCCGGCGTTCAGGGTTCGATAAACACAGGTGGTAGGTGGCCACCACACGCCAGTACTGTTGGAGGGCTCGTTTCGCTTGCGCCGAAAGCCACTGTACGTACATAGACGGTACCGATATGCGCTCTTCTGCTTTCAGCAAGTGTGCTACGCTACTGGTGCAAACTGGACAGAGGTGGTATATGCGTGCCTCCTCTATTGCCTTCTCAAGGTGAGCGTACGCGTCCACAAACTGAGACCAGGCCCAGATGCGATACATTCCTATGCCATTGGCGCGATAGGGAGAACATTTCAGGCGAGGCATGGAACTTCAACTACTGAGCCAAGTCTTCCAACAAGTTTCAGGAACCGAATGTTATTTATGAATTAGCTAGTGTCGTGTCTTGAGCAGACCAAGGCTTGGGTTGCGCTGTTCATCGACAGGTGGACAAGCATCCATTTGACCAGAGAGTGATTGTTGGACATCTACGGTTCCTCTTCTGGATGGTTTAGATCCTTGAAATCAGGAAGCAGGTCGCCGTGATCTTGAACGAATTCCTTCGTAGGCAAAATGCCAGTCGCAGGTCTCAATGGGGCGGCCCTCACTTTCTCCCGCGTTGTATGATACGGTCTCTCGCTGAAGCGCGAACTGCGGATGGAGAGCCATGCCAAATCCATGCAACCCTTGCTGCTTTTTATGGAATGTGTGCTGTCTTGCATGCTGTTCCTAATCACACTGCCGTGTACTTCAAGGCGATGAGCGGCATGCTTGGCGCTGTCGGATGCGAGCGACCGAGCATCATCTAAACCGTCGTTCCGGTCGAGGATGAAAGTACGACATAGCCGCTGCGGCGGTGTCGCGGAGCGGTGCCTGTATTTGACCTCTTAAAATTGGATCTTTTTTTCGAAGCTGTATGCGCATCAAGGCAGTCTGGTGAAGCACGAAGGACGCTCGAATGCATTAAAATCCTCCAAAGAGAGACTAGCGGAGTGGGACGTTTGGAATGACCGAGCGAGCTGTGACCTGTATTGTCGGATTTTTTGGTCTATAGTATAGCAAACAGGAGCTTTTCATTCGTCACTGAGAAAGCGGCCTGCAATGGCATCAGGTTAAAAAATACACAACGCGTCAATGACAAAATGGAATCATGCTCGTCTGGGACCGACTTGATTTGCCCACTTATAGGCCGGGCGCTGACTGATATGGTTGCCTACTGCTAGAGCACGTTTTCGAAGGATTCGCAATAGCGCAGGGCACCATACCTGGGTCCCGGTCTCAGGGCGGAGTCACCATTGGCATGTTGTTCTGGTAGAGCACCTGACCCGCCACAGGGCCAACATGTACACAGATGCAAGCACTCTGGATAACCCTGCTCAAGTACGCACTTTGCTCGTCCTAAACCAAGTGTAGAGATGTTGCGGGACTAGGGCATACACCTGTTGCGTATGGGCGTGCGTGCGGGCTTCTCGCCACATCTTTGCATACTTCCGACAAACGCCTTACAGATTCATCAACAACCTATTCAAGGATCGTTGATCGACAGACAAAAGACCGCCGTGCTGGTTATTCTCAAGACGTTCAGGTACAACAATAGAGACGTCAGAAAGAAACCGAAAGTGTCTTCTTCCTGGGCCCCACTCGATAAAGTTTGAGTCTCTTTCTACTGCTTTCGACAAACCAGCCTTTTTGCAAGCGTTCTCTGTGACCGCTTTCACTTCCAGTGTCTCTCATCTCGGGACTGGCATCCGTCGGTGTCTCTGTTCCTTCAAGCACTGTTGTCAGCACTCGGACGATAAGGGTAGCTACGTCCGAAAGCCGAATTGGCCGCTTCCTGCTGTTGCCAACGCTTTTCATCTACAGACGATCATTCTATGTACGCTTTGCTCACCAGGTCCATCTCCTTCGTTTCAGCTTTATTGGGGCCTTTGCATGTGCGGCAGTAGACTCTGAACAGGTGCTTCCGCACGGCCATCACCCTTTCTCCCACGATCGCCGCGCTGAGGGCCATGAGGACGTTCTTCACCTCTGAGCACATGCCGATGACGGGCACAGAAGCTCCCCTTCGGTACTCTACGCTGTTTCGGCGCCCGATGCCGAGTCTTGCAAACAGAGGCTTCCTCTGGCCCTGCACCTCGGCTGGAGCTCTGCGCGCTGTACAAGCAAGCATATTCTGTCCCATTCGATAGACTATTCGTGGACTGCGATGTTCTCCGTGATGAAAGAACTACCAGAAAGAATATAGAATTAGAGAACCGGCAGAAAAATTCCGGTTTAGCTCTTCTCTCGTCGGGCAGAACCGTGACCGGCGCGGGAGTGGGAGCGATCACGGCGGTGACAAAGTTTCTAATCCATGACCCTCATCGGTGCTAACTGAAGGTACGGAGCTCCGGGGAGCATACCCACTGAGCGGTTTCAGGCTGCTATCGAATCTTTTTTCGTCGTTGACAACAATGAGAGGAATCTGGTGTCGTTCGAGCGAGATCGATTCTTTAAGGTAACAAGTACATGGACCGTTCCGCATGAACTTGTGAGCAAGTCATCTGGCGACGACGTCGAGAATCTCACCTTGTCAATACATCGGCACGAGTTGCTGCGTCTACAATTCTTGTTGACACAACGATACCGGAAAACCGGAATGATGTATGATTTCGCGATTGCTTCATGCGATGGAAGGAGACGAACGGAGATTTCCACATACAAAATGGATAATGGCTTCAGTCAAGTTACCGACCATGGTTCTAGGAGGTCGCGAAACATCCTAACTCTGGTGAAGTAACGAATTCTAGCAGCAAAGCGTCCCCGCTATCCGTCCGATGAAACGATCGAGAATCCGAAAACGATCGAAATAAAAACGAAAGCCCTTACTGATGCGCTTTGAGTACCCCAAGGCTGAATACCTACAAAAACATGCAAGAATGAAATCTACGAAAAACGCGAGTACTTTTGCTTTCGCTTTGAATCCTTCATAGGTGGAAAGTTGATGGCTTCGTAGTACGCAGCATCGCTTTCGTGCAAAAGCGCTTTACAGAGAGGGTATGTGGAGCACGGCTAGGCGGCCGTCTCCCAGCGCTCAACCTCGACATGTCCATATTGTCCAGCCACGATTTTGGCCAGCAACGCTTTCGCGGTTGTGTGGAGTAGCAGCAGCTCACGATTTCTGTTAGAGCAGTCGGGGCCGATCTTTGTTGACCACGAGGTCTCCACTGTTTCATAGTCAGTAGTGCTAAACAAATTATCAGAGGTTGCTGAATACAGGAAGAACGTAGGGAACGATCGTACCGGTTCTGGTGAAAGCACTACGTGCGAGCCTTTCCCCGCGAACACGCTCTGAATGGCGGGTTCGACGCTTCCGGGTAGCTCACCTGGGGACGAATCAGTTCGGGAAACGTCCACTCCAGAGCCACCCGCGACTGATGGAAACAGTAACATGGACGGAGAGGGATCTGTATCCGAAATAACGGCGATGAGGAGCAGAACTTCTGTCTCGAACGACGCACTTGTGCTGGAACGGAACAGTGAGCAGCGTGTAGACCAAGACACTTGGGTGCGTAGCCGGGAGCCTGCAGCCAGCGCTCGCGAGCTATCTCCTGATCTTGGGCCCATGCAACCGGGTGCATCGCCTGAAACAGCTGCGGAAAGCGATAGTGAAGAGGCGTCGGGGTGTGCGTCGCCTGCGCTTGCCTCTGGATCAAGTGCCGACTCGCCGCACTCGCCGCAGTTTCCTGTTCAAAGCGCTGAAAACGATAACCCGACTTTAAAAGAGATGCAAAAGGCGAGCCCCGCCTCGATCGCGGAGTCAGGTACCCAGGAAAGCTTTCCAGGAGAGAGAGACTCACCTGTTCCAGTACACTCGCTGGCCTCGACCCTGGAGGAAATAGGCAAGCCGGTGGCAGCGGAGCGCAAAAACTCTGCAAATGAGAACGCAATCGTGCCAACTGAGCCGGAGATGCACGCCCAGGTGCTTTCCAGGCGTGCTGATGGACACGAATACGTCGACGAAGACGAGACAGCGTCAACTGGGCCCTCGCCTACGGTGACGACAACACCGACGGCTCACAAACACGCTGGCTTGCTGACTAGTCGCCCTGGGCAGAAGAGTGCGGAAGCAGCTCGTCTTCTCGCGCTCCGCGGCCTACGCCGCATTGTGGAAACCTGCACTTCTCGAAAGTACGCGGAAACGGTCGCCAGTTGTCGACGAGCGATCGAGAAACTGGAAGTGGGCACGGAGCCTGACGTTCCTGAGGTGCTTGAAGCCATCAAGAAAGCAATTTATTGCGGCAAAATTGTCGCTGCAGATATTGCCCTTGATACACTGCATCGATTGCTCACCTATGGCTACGTTGATCCGTTGCGAGGTGCTGATCTTGACGCCGAGCAATTTGAGAATCTGATTGAATGCGCCTGCTCCTGTATTGACACGAAGGATGAAGGGGTGTATATCCGTCTGACGCAGGTTTTACTTGCTTCAGCTACGAGTACCGTTTACGGCTTACATCAGACAGTATTACTTGCGGCAGTGCGCACCCTCTACAACATCTACTTGTCGAGCAAATCGAGTGCGACGCAGACGACGGCCCGCGCTGCAATCATCCAGATTGTGAGCCTTGTATTCGGTGCACTCCAGGGCGTTCCGGTATCCACTGAATCGATGCTTTCGACGGGTTCACTGGAGCCAACGGCTATGCTAGCCGGAACCTTGTTGGTGCACCGCAAATATCGGCAGCGAGAGGCAGCTTCCGGTGCGGGCGACGACCCGGAAGCGGTTTCGCAATCGTCGATTGTCGTGCCGGGGCAGGCAACCGCCGCATCCAAAGGCGTCCTCGATCTCGAACCTGTTGAGCAGTGTCGAAAGGATGCATATTTGCTCTTCCGAGCTCTGTGTAAGCTGGCTTCGAAGCAAAGCACAGAAAACAGCAGCCTACCGACCGAGTCGATACCCATCCGATCCCGTCTATTGGCGTTGCAGCTCATACGCGATATCACTGAGACTTGCGGGGCGGCACTGCTTCAGCACGAACGCTTCGTGTTTGCGCTGCGTGAGTACCTCGTACCGACCGTTCTTCAGAACTGTATGATCCCGAATCCGCAAGTCCTTGACGTTGCCTTGCAGCTTTTCGAGCGAATGCTGCAGCTCTACAGAGCCGCCCTCAAACTCGAGATTGCCGCTCTCTTCCATGCGGTCGTGTTTCGCTTTCTGGAGAGTTTGACGGTCGCTCCGTGGCAGCGACTCCGCATCTACCAGACCGTCGAATGCGTTGTCCGTGATCAGCAGCTGCTCATGGATCTCTTTGTGAACTACGATTGTGACGTGAGCTCGCCCAAGATCTTCGAACGTCTTGTCGATGATCTCAGTCGCCTTGCGATCGCCGCCTTGCAGAGCGGAGGTCCGCGCAAGCTCTCTGCTGCGGACCGGAAGCGCTGCCTGGAGCTCCTGGCTACCATGCTGCACTCGCTGAAAGAGTGGAGTCAGCCACTGGTCGATGCACGTCGGCAACTTGGAATCGACGACGAAGACGTGTTTCAGGTGCTCGCAACTCCGTCCGCGCCTGTCGACGAGCGGAACGCTGCCGATGGCGTTCCTTCGTCGTCGTCGTCGTCGTCGTCGTCGTCTTTGGGGCAGCACTCCAGCGCCACAGAGGTGGGCTCTGGTCTTTCGGCTGTTAAGCCGGTCGGCACCTCGAACGGTTCGGCTGCACCGCTCGCTGAGCGCTCTCTTATCGAGTCGCTACGGCGAAAACGCGAACTGCAAGAAGTGGCCGAAACCTTTAACAGGGACGCTGTAGAGGGCGTGCGGCTCGCCGCCAGCAAGGGCCTCGTGGATGCCGCAGACTCCTCCAGCGTAGCTGGGTTTCTGCGGAACTACGCCGGGCTCGATCGTCGGCAAGTTGGCGAGTACCTGGGCGGTGCAGATCCTTTCCAAGTGAAAGTTATGCATGCTTTTACGGATATGGTAGATTTTAGTAACATGCGTATCGACGTGGCGCTACGGAAGCACCTTTCCGCGTTTGTACTGCCGGGGGAGGCCCAGAAAATCGATCGCATTGCAGAAAAGTTCGCCCAGCGGTATTGCGCCTGCAATCCTACGCTTTTTGCCAGTGCGGATACGGCGTACATCCTTGCGTATTCCATCATTATGTTGAACACGGATTTGCACAATCCACATATTCGTCGCAAAATGTCGCTAGAGGATTTTATCAGGAACAATCGGGGTATTAACGATGGCGCGGATCTGCCTCGAGAGCTTCTCACCGATATCTATCGAAGCATTCAGGCGGAAGAGTTGCGTCTTCTGGACTCGATGACGGGATCCTGGGGTGTGAACGATTTTCGGTACCCGGCAGCTATCCAGTCTGGTGAACAGCAGCGTGCAACGCTCTTTAAAGAGGAGAGCGAGCGACTGCTAACGCAGACGCGTGAGCTTTTTGCGCAGCGACGCCACATACAGTCGTTGCCGCCGTCTGGTAGAGCGGCTTCGCCAGAGCGCTCGAGTCGTGCGGAACAGTCTCAACCAGGAGCCAGAGCAGATGCGGGATTGAGGGCGACTGGCAATCCTTTGGACGCCCAAGTACCTGTCACCGAAGTCTACTACACAGCAAACAACGTGGGTCATGTGCGTTTGATGCTCGAGGTCAGTTGGCAACCCATCCTTGCCGGGCTCTCGCAGATCCTGGAGAACACCCCAGACACCGACCGAGAGCTCCTGGCGCTATGCATCGATGGATTCTCGGTTGCGGTCCAAATCGCTTCACTTTTTGAGATGGGCACTGAACGGCAAGCCTTGGCATCGGCGCTTGCCAAGTTTACCAAATTGCACGCTCTACCAGATATCCGTCTCAAGAACGTTGACTGTATCCGAATCCTCCTGAAAATCGCACTTGAGGATGGCGATACGCTCGGTGAGACCTGGGTGGATGTGCTGCGCGCCGTCTCCCTGCTGCAGCAGTATCGAGCGGTACTCTGGCCGGGCACTCGAGACGGCACGTCACTGCCGGTATCGCCCGGGGGGCGCACACCTACTGCCAATGAAAGCGATGTTCAGGGTCGCAACAGCGAAGCTGCAGTGGACGCGCTGGATGCTCTTGCCGCGCTCCAGCACGTCGAGGCGGATTACGACGAGGCTTCTGGTCTCAGGTCGCGCCCCGGTGAGTCGCTTCCTCGCCGTACTACGGCCGAGGCGCCGAACTCCCCGGTACCGCTCATTCCGGCCGCTGTTCGGGAGCAACTAGTGCACGTGCTCCAGAGTCCCGACTTGGATCGTCTGTTCATGCAGACGACCTCGTTGAGCGCCGCAGCTATGTTGGATTTTATGGAAGCGCTTTGCCTAGTTGCCGCTGAGGAGCTCGATGTCTCGCCCGCACCGCGTTTCTTCTGTCTAAGGCAGATGGTACGCGTTGCTCATCTCAATATGGATCGCATCAGACTGGAATGGTCGCGAATTTGGAAGCATATCGCCAACTTTTTGGAATACTGCTTGCAGCGAAAACAGCGACCTGTAGTCGGCATCAGAGCGCTCGATGCCCTGCGCGATATGGCTCGCAAATTTCTCGAGAAAGAGGAGCTGAGCAATTTCAACTTTCAGCGAGAAGTGCTACAGCCGCTGGAGCGCTGCTTTGAGCTCGACGTGAGCGAAATGCTAAAGCTCCGCACCCTCTCCGTCGGTGAAGTGCTGGTGCGGGAGCACGCCACCCGCATGCGCTCTGGATGGAAGTGCATCTTTACTGTGCTGCAGCGGGCGGCAGAGGAGCGTTCTGAAAAGGTTGTGGAGCGTGCCTTTTCTCTTTTGGATTTTATTGTGCGCACCTATTTCGGGGAGATTCCCGAAGTCTTTGTCGACGGGATTCATACGCTTGCCGTCTTTGCTGTGAATCGAGTATCCACGACTTGTGCGACGCAGGCCGTAGAGCACATAGGTGTGCGAGCGCCCGTCATGGTTGCCGAGCAACGAACTGGCGTCACTGGTGGACCCGCTGGCGACGACGGTAGCTTGTGGTTTCCGATCCTCACCGCTTTGGCGAACGTGTGCACAGATGGCCGTGAAGTGCTTCGTGCTTACGCCGTAGAACTGCTTTTTCGTTCGCTGTTAGAGTATGGCGGTGGTTTTTCGGGCGAGTTTTGGGTGCTCGTGTTCCGCGGCGTTCTTGCCCCGATTTTCGATGATCTGCATCATATGCCGGGTGGGGATCGCTTCGAGGAGCCACCAGCAGCTGAGACGGCCTCGGGTCAGAGCTGGGCTCAAACGACGGGTGCAGGCGCACTTCACGGCCTTTTGATGGTGTTCGAAGCGCACCATGTGCATATGAAGTCGCTCTTCACAGACATGCTAGAGATCTTGCGTATTTGGATCTGTCAGGAGAACGAGGCAATCTGTCGCGAGGGCATGCGCTGTTTGCAGCGATTCGTTGACCAAGCTGCTGCCTGGATGGAAGCAGCTGATTGGGATCTGGTGGTGAACTTTATCGACGATCTTGTCAGAATGATGCTGCCTGTTGATATCAGTCGCGAGGGGAGTCTCGTCCAAGATGTTGTGGCGGGTGCGGAGCCGAAGCCCACGGGGTCGCCACGCCAAGCTGCCGTGCCTTCTACCCTGGAGCGCATCGCAGTTGCCGCAGACTCGGTGCCAGCACCCGTGCTTGAGCCAGCGCTAGAGCAGGACGCACCGCCCGGATATGCAAACGAGACCAGTGGTGCCCCGGGCGCTGCTGTGCGGCTGAGCAGAGAGTCCGTTCAATCGCCAACGGCATCTTTGCCGGGGATAGAATCAGCAACAACAGCATCAGCACCTGCGCCTGTTACCGCTAGTTCAACTCGCGTTGATATCCATGCGGATGGTGATAGCGGGCTCCTGACTAGCATGTCGCCGGGCCAAGCCGCAGACCTCAAGGATACCGTCTCGACTGAACGACGGACATCTGGGCAGCGCTCAGCGACTCGAGGCGTTAGCGAACGGCGTCAGGCGGCTTTCGTTGCGATCCGTTGCAAATGTGTTGTGCAGCTGCTCTTGATTGAACTTGTTCGGGATCTGGTATCGGAGCATTATCCGCGACTCGAGGCGGTACAAGTTCTGGCGCTGGGCAAGGCCGTCCACTGCTCTTTTCGATTCGCACATCGTTTCAATGCGGATCTTGCGCTACGCTTTGACCTATGGCGGGCGGGTTTTATGTCGCAGGTTCCGAATCTGTTCAGACAGGACACAATTGGGCGAATGGTGTATTTGCAAATCCTCTTCAGGCTGGTAGTTGACCAGCGGGCGGCATATGCAACGCAGGCGCTGGAGCCGTTGCTTGAGCTATCTGCCGAGACCTTTGCGCACTACAATCGCAAAGCGTCCGCAAGATATGCAGGGCTAAGCGGAGACGCGCGCAACACAGCTGTTGGTGTGACCTCTACAACGGAGACGACGGCAACCCCGTCGGTGGAGGAACAGCGCGAGTTGCAAGCGTTCGCTCCGGTTGTCGCATTTGTTTTGGAGAATATCGCTGCTGCTCCGGATGCCGTATTTGATTACCTCGTGCGCGGTCTTTTCAAGGAGCTCGCTGATCTGATTCGTACTGCCGGGGAGCCTGCTGATGTTCGCGTTGCGCTGGCGAGCATCTTCCATCGCCTGGGAAGCGTCTGGCTGGACAAGTCTTGCGCGCTTTCCTGAGATTCGGCCATATTTACGACGAGACATCCTATGGTGAGCGTTGTAGACATTACGCTCGACTTGATAGCGAATGCCCGACATGAACTGCGATATCGCGCACCGCTCATATACGGAGTTGGAGAGGGCGCAGTGCCCTGCTCCGGAAAGCGCTGTAAACTTCAATGGAGCCGGGGTGTGTGTGTATGTGTGTAATGTCACGCTACGATGAATGGATGGAATCGTCTGCGTCTGGTGCCGTGCAACTGCTGCAGTCGATGGAGCATGGCGCTTTTCCACGTTGCGCATTGTTTGACATCCGAGCCAGCTCGTCGCTGGGCTTGAACGACCCCAGGCCGGGGCAGTGCCGGGGGAGCGCTTCGTCGCGGAGGCTATCGCTCTGGGTCTTCTAGTTTCTGTGGCATGCCTCGTGATGGCGCGGCTTGGTGCACTGTGGTGCTCTCTTTGTGAGCTGTTCTTCTTTTTCTGAGCCTACTCTGGGCAGAGCGGTTGTGTGGTTGAAGTGAAAGGTATCGCAGATTGTAAAGTGAGGTATTGTATCGGGTGCAGGATGCACTGATGCTGTCCCAGGTAAAGACTGCATCACTGCTTCACAAGAAGGAGCATATGCAGATGGAAATCTCGCGGCTTGTATTCCAGCCTAGGCATTTTCTTCCTGTAATTTTCACATCATGAGCAACATTGCGTGCCACAACATCCTCTAGCGAATGGAACGGTATGCATTGGATTGTGCAGCCGACAAAGTCCTTGCTGGGGCATCATCCAGAAGAAGCTGGTGATCATAGGGTCATGCACCAGGGCGCCGGAACCGAGGGCGGCACGGAATGCAGCCCCTCGTATACGCTAAGTGCATATACCGAGCGATGAAACATGTTTCGATGCTCCACAGCACGACTCTCGGGGGATAAGATGATTTAGTGCACGTATAGGCACAACTGACAACTGCCATTTGTCCTGCTGCGAGGCGTTCATCGAGGCAGTATACCAAGAACATTGAATTGACAATCGAAGCGTGGGTCGAAACTATCTTGTGTGCAGCATTTACGTCAACGACAGCTGGAAGCGGCTGCACGGAAAGCTCAGCGCTGCCATCCACACGCTTCGACTGCTGACAACAGGGCAAGAGGTAACGAAGAGACCAGGATATTCCAGTCCGGAGAGAAGCGTGTGGAATTGAAAGCACTTGCAGCGAATCCCGCAAAAGCCGCTGTTGATGGTGATGGCAAGAGATTCGAACCTAAGACCGTACATTGGATAAGGTTATATGGACTCAATCCGTTTCGTTTCGACACAGGTGCATTAGTTGCCCGAAAAATTGGTCTGGTCTCTGGAGCGGTGTTATTCAGAGATTGTGCAAGCCTTGTAACGTGGGGGGTCCGCCACTGGGCTTGGCAGGTCGGCAGCGCGCTTTTGATCCTCCTTATACACACGGGAGGATGAACACGCCACGGAGCGTCGTAAGCTCATTTTACGTGCCCCATGGAGAGCGTTCCTTTGAGCCAGTCAGCGGTGCGGACGGTCGGGAAGCAAGGGCGTCAAAGCGCAGCAGTCGCCTTTACGGTACCTACAAAGAGCTGCTACAAGTGATTGAAGAGCTTCGTGAGGAAAGTGCTCGCTGGCTACACGCTGATCAGACGAATGCCGAGCGACCAGTGGGCGAGGACGTCGACTGTGCTGCTAAAGCTTCTAGCGGAGAGAGAGACGACGTGCAGCCGGCACCAGTGTCGACCGCGCTTGCGGGAAACGGCACAAGCTCCGTTTCAGGGATAGAGCTTTCTGGTTCGTCTTAGAGTCATAGGAAAGAAGCCTGTCCAGCAGGGGCGAGTGCTTGGCACGTGGGAGAGGTACGAGTGTATATACGGGGCGAGCTGCTACTCGCCACATCCATGTCAGACCAGGTGCAACGCTGCGGGTTTCACCTTGTTGACTCGGGTGCACGATGTGAAATTTTGGTAGTTCCCACCACCACCAGCACCAGCACCACCACCAGCACCACCACCACCAGCACCACCACCAGCACCACCACCACCACCATCATCATCATCATCATCATCATGACAAGCCTTTGCGGGGTTTTTGTGTGACGGCTTCATCCTCTCCTGTCTTATCTTCGAATTTGGATAAGCTGGTCTTTCCTTTCCTTCCGGCCCCATAGTCAGCAGTCGAAGGATGTTGATAGCAGCTTTCTTCCCGATTTCGCTGCTTTCGACCACTGACAACGCGATATATTCTGAGGCAAAAGTTGTGATCCACATGTCGCATGTCATTTTCATCTTCTTTATATGCAGGCTCGGTGCGGCTTTGGCAGTGCTGACACCTGTCTCTGGTCAGGTTTTCTCGTATTTAAGCTGGAGTTTCTCGGTCTCCGAGGCTGGCTCTTTGACACCCAAACGCTTGCATCATCTCCCGATAGATGTCCGTCATAGGTACGGAAGGCTCCCAACAATGCCTTTCTTCGTTTCGGAGCCCGGTGCCATACCTAGCAATCACGACCAACTCCTGGGCGCTCCTCTCAGTGAGAACGCTGTGCGCTGCACGCGCAACAGCACGCTGTTCTTTTCGATAAAAGGTTTGTGATATGCGATGTCGTTCGTGATGAAACTACTATCGGAAAGAATGTTCGACAAGAAACCTTGCCGAGAAATTCAATCCAACTGCGGGGTTCCTTCATGCTCCGCCGCATCGCGCTCTCCTCTGGAAGTAATCGCTGTGATGACACGAGTCCGAATCCAAGATCCCTTTCCATGCAGAAAGAAGAGACACGAAATTCTGGAAGCACAGAATGCTTCCACTATCATGATGATGTCCAATACAGTATCGTCAATGGCTACAAAGAGACGAGAATTCGTCTCTCGAATGGGCTCGATTACTTGACGCGGGATGCTCATTGAACATTCTGCATGAGCGTGTGAAGATGCCGCAGCGGACGGCTTGGAATATGTTCATTCGTGAGACCATCCGCGTGTGTGGTTTTACACTGGAGTGTTGCGAGACAAATAGATCGAACAATTGAAAAATATGTGATATGAACAATGTACACACAAACAAAGGAAGGCAGTGGCAGCATGTACGTATGAATGAAATGATAATTTCGTTTATATTAGGATGCCTTGTTCGATCGGACAGCAAATGATCCTTGTGACGTTGCAGTTACGAATTTCAGCTGCTAAGCGCCTAAGGAGTCATTCCAAAAGGACGGTTAAGAATTCTGAAACAAAGTCTGAATCCATTAGCGTTACCATTGTGCCTCGGGTGTCGACGCCGGGCAACCAAGAAAGCGCGGAAAACAAACCAAAAGTCAGAGGCACATCGAGGCGACCTATGATCTTTTCTAATCCGATACGGGTATGGCGCATATTCTCTGTGCTGTTTATGTTGCACACATAAATCGAGGAAACACTTGGAAAGCTCGAGCGAACGGCATACAGAATACCCGCAAGTTTCGCATGGTAGATTGGGGCGCGAACCGCAGGCTGCATGTGCAGCATGTGGTCATATCATACACCATGGTCGCAGATATATGGCGAAAATGTGTATACCTGCTTTGAGAACCCAATCGAACACCATAAAGATAATGATCATGGTCACGTACGGCCCGCGCTGCGAACGACGCAAACATGCGCTCTGATTACTTCTGAAGCATCTTTTCTGCTGTTATCACTTAGGTACGGAACCGCAAATCGAACGAAACGTTTCACGCATTTGTAGAGACATTGTCAGCATCAGGCTGCTACTGCCATGCATTGTGGTCAGACCTTGATTTTCATGTTGCTCACACAACATTCTCCATTCGAAGCACCTCATCTAGTCCCTCAGGAAACTGATTTCACAGTCGGCAGCTATGCTCGGCTTGTGAGCAGTAGATAGAGAAGCGACCCGTAACAAGGCTGGCGGGCACATGATCAACGTCGCGTGTTCATGCTTACAGATTTGAGCGTAGCAATCTTCTCCGATCCCAGACCGACGTATCCGATTTGGTTCAAAGGTCTAGTTGATATCTAGAGGAAAATCCAGGGCGATATGTCAAAATCGACGCCGCCTAAACATGGTACCGTAAACTGCAGCACCAATGCGACAACAAGCGGTATAAGCAGATTGTCGTCCAAGGCGAAGGGAAACCATCGAAGTGGCAAGGTCCTCTGCGGCGACGGCGTAAGCCATTCCGCGAGCATCGCCGCAGCGCTCGGTACCAAGCAATTCAGCCAGAGACAGAGCGTGTTCCCGGGACGGAGACTGCTCGCACGGAACACGACGAACATAGTGAGCGTCGCGGCTGCGAAACCCGCCACGCTCCCTACCAGCGACTTGTTGTGCCGAGCACGGGTAGAATGATCTAGTTCTGGTATATAGCGTCGCACCATATTTCCCACTAGTGCAGCAACCGGATCTGAAACGGACAGAACGACAATGGCTATGATTGCGACACCCTTGGGGTAGAGAGCGATAGTTATTAGCGCTCCAAGTATAAAGGGCACCATACCGCTGAACCGGTGCTGCTCTTGGCTGCGCATAAAAGGTCCCATCAAAACCATAACGAGGGCGTTGAGCCGAGGGTTGAGGAGTCTCATTATTTCCAAGAAGAGCTGAGCAGTCCAAAGCACAGCCAAAGTTGTCAAGAAGACTCGTTTTGAAGAGAACGAGCGGAACGCCAGCACGAGCAAGTAGCCGTTCAAGAAGTGGAACAAGCGACGGTTCCAGTGCAGTGCCTGGGTCTCCGCCAACCTTTTCCGAACGGTTGCGCTCCCTCCAACGGCCGACACTGCTGGACTTGTTCGGCGCTGACGCCTCTGGGCGGGCGCCGCGTCACCACCCATGGTGTCTTCTCTGTTGCTGACCAGGAGCATCGTCACCGCCGTACACAGTCGAACGCTGCCGACCGTGTACAGTGGTGGCTAGCGACCCGCCCTAGACGAAACGTCCCCAACTGACGTGCAGCCGCCTCCGAGCCGCTGTCGACCGGCCACCTGCTACTGCGTCCATTTGTGTCTCATTTCTTTCCGACGTTTAGAGGTTGTCCAACAAAATGCTCTCGTGGCCACTCTGGAGGTGTGTTCTCCAGCACCGCACATTTCTTTATATTGATAACAGCGATAAAGTCTCGGTTAACAAACTCCATACAATTCTCCCTGTTGGTTGTTGTACTTACTAGTGCACCAAGTCCTCGAATTTTCGCCCTCCTTTCCATTTGCTCTTCCGTCAGCGCTCAGTACTTTTGTATATCATCAGGGCTCCTCCGACGCTTTTCCATCTCGACCCCCTGAAGTGTACACCCCAGTTCATGGTGTGTATACGATGTTCGGAACTCATCTTCGGATGTTGTAACGAAACGCCGTGGACACTCCTTGTACACCCTCGTCGTTGGAGATGACGTAGTCTCTTTCTTAGGCGCACAGCGCCCGGCCCCATACGCTACTACGAGCCTCTGACGTTCATCCTCCTCCAAGGTGCCCAACTGATTGAAAAAGTTGGCAAACGCCCGCTGTTTCCCAGCATATAGATTCATTCGCAAACGAACCACCGGGGCTTTGTATACTCTTCGCACACTTGCTCCGAATGAGCGACGCGAACCTCCGATGAACACCCGAAAAGCTTCAGAGCCCGCTCTGCGGGTAGTCAACTCTTTCATAGCTTCCAGGTGCTCTCTCATTTCTGCAATCCACGTCTCAGTTATCTTCCTCGAACTCGTGATACCCGCTACTCGATAATTCCTCGCTCAAGAGAACCTCAAAAGACGCATACATTACTGATGTAAGTCGCCGTCGATGCAGTCTGCCGCACGCTTGGGAACAGCAATGGTTATGATATTCGTGTTCCAGGGGTTAAGGCTGACGACAAAGTCGTTCCCGTAGGGATATACATCCAGTGGCCCGCCTTCCTTTTTTCGTGTTTCGGCAAGTTCGATAACGCAGACGGGATAGCGCGAAGTGCCTGCATCCGCTGAGAGTGTCAATATTTGGATACCGCATCGTAAAAGATTGTCCCCGTGAATGCCTTTTTTTGGCCGGTTTGGGGCGCATGAAATCGAAGATATTCTTCCAGTAGGTGTCCTGTCCTCGCCGGTGACCTCTTTGTTTCTTACATCGAGCTGAGGGTAGATCTATTTCATGAAGGCGTAAAGGACTCTCGAGTCGATACTCAAAGGATATGACTTGAACTCGCGTAAACGAACAGCAATTAAGCGAATCTGGAGAAGCTTCTCAATGGCGTTTCTCCCATCGGTCATTTTTTCCACATTCAGCTCCATGTCGGCCTTGCGTTCGAGTTCTCGGTCCAAAACCATGAAGTAGGGCAGGATGAGGGGGTAATACCACTCTTCGTCTGTTTGGTCATATCTGACAGTTTTGTCGTGGGCTGACAAGCCCCAAGACCGAACGATGCTTTTAAATAGTCGAGCGGATAACAGAAGCCTCATTCATTCTCCTCCGTGACGTCCTCTTGTCGACGAATTTGATATACAGTTCACGCTGGCGATCGTTCTTGATACCATCGATGATTGCCCGCATAACTTCGCGAAACTGGCCCGGGTACAGCGCAAAGACGGCGCATATCATGAAAAAAAGACGTTTAAGATCGTATGGTTTCTTACAATCGTGAGGCACATCATTGCACTATATACGTAAATATCTGCGTCACACCTGTGTCGAGCACCGTTGAAGCGGAATTTTGCGTAATTTTTTGGTGAGGCATGCACTTGCTCGTTTCTCCTCGATGTTTGCCCATTAAAAAGAGTCAGATGGTTGATGAAATTCTTATTGAAAAATTCTTCCGAAAACATCACTTCTGCGATGTGCGTTAAGTCGCGATGCAGCTCGCTCTCCAAATGCCTCAGTCCTAAAGAAAAAGTACAAACATTCCTGGAGTGAGAAACTACGCAGTTTCTGATACCGTCTCGCAACATTCAGCCGTACGGATCATTGATATGTGGGAGACGAGAGGATTCCACACCCATCTCGTCGTACAGACGTCCCAAATGCAGCCATCGACGTAAGGCACCCCATTTTCCTTCTTCTTCTCTTCCTGACCTTTTTCACTAGGCACTGTGACTCGTTTCCTTCTGACATCCGGCAACAACGACCAACAAAAACCCACTATCTCCAGTTGCATAGCTCTAACTTTTTTTCGAGAAAAACACATTGTACGCTGCTGTTTCGACCGCGAGAATTAGTTGAACACATTTACAGGAAGATTGAAACGCCATTGAAGCCAACACTAAAATTTGCTACGTTCGGATAGCATATAGAACTGGCCCCGATACAGCAGTCGCTCAAGAAGAGGTCATTAACACGTTCCCCTTGATTGGCGAGACGCACGTGGTGGAATATGACGGCTGGAGTCCGGGAAGCGTTACCAGGGAGCACTATACAAAAAAACAAAAAAGAGACAATGTCCAAAAACGCGATGCCAAATACGAAGGCCACCTACTGTAAACATTGAAAGGAAGAAGTATTTGGGTATGGTCAAACAGTTACATTTAGGCGAGAGGTATCCGAGCGCGAAAATCTAATCGCGTGTACTCCGTGTGACCTTTAGTGGAGAGTGATGTGACGCACCTTGGTATCTCAGCCGAAACAAAATTGATTATGGGACTAGGAGCGGGCATTCTGCGTCTGAGCGTTAACTTCGTCCCGGTGGACTAATAGCACACAGCACCACGCTACCGCGGGCAATAGATCCTTTAGAACAGTTTGGAGGCTGCCAAGAAAGCATATGACCCCCGTATCTCATGTTGCATGAACCAAGCAACTCCAACGCGCTCCATGGAATCCAAGAGCTGCTCTGTTTCCAGAATGCATCCCCAAGAGAGAGAGAGATGCTACGGCGGATGCCAGACAGGCTTAGGGCGTACAATCGAAGCGTAAAACGACCAATGCCGATGCACGTGACTAAAAAGTGTGGGAAGGTACAGAAATAGTCAGGCTTAACAAAATACATCCCCAAAACAATGTCGATCCGACAATATCGGTCACCTGGTCAGAGGACAGGATCTGTCGATCAAAAAAAAGCCAGGCGTGGAATGGAAAAGCCTAAGGGCTCCGGAATGATAAATGTCTATATACCACTCACGTACGCGCCAAAAACGTAACGCCGGAGAAAAAACCCTAACGAATCTGGAAGGCTACCCTTCATAATCACAGATGCTATCGCGCTGAGAACATGGTATGTATGGGGGAATGGGGGG